TGCATCCTACCTCAAGTGCTTGCTGCATCCTTACTCTCAAGTGTTTGTTGCAATCCTTACCTCAAGTGTTTGCTGCATCCTTACCTCAAAGTGTTTGTTGCATCCCTACTCTCAAGTGTTTGTTGCATCCTTACCTCAAGTGTTTGTTGCATCCTTACCTCAAGTGTTTGTTGCATCCTTACCTCAAGTGTTTGTTGCATCCTTACCTCAAGTGTTTGTTGCATCCTTACCTCAAGTGTTTGTTGCATCCTTACCTCAAGTGTTTGTTGCATCCTTACCTCAAGTGTTTGTTGCATCCTTACCTCAAGTGTTTGTTGCATCCTTACCTCAAGTGTTTGTTGCATCCTTACCTCAAGTGTTTGTTGCATCCTTACCTCAAGTGTTTGTTGCATCCTTACCTCAAGTGTTTGTTGCATCCTTACCTCAAGTGTTTGTTGCATCCTTACCTCAAGTGTTTGTTGCATCCTTTACCTCAAGTGTTTGTTGCATCCTTACCTCAAGTGTTTGTTGCATCCTTACCTCAAGTGTTTGTTACCTCAAGTGTTTGTTGCATATGAAGTGAACTTATAAGGAATAAATGAGAGGAAGTAATTTATTTTTAATTTTATATTATTATATAAATTATCATTATCATGAAATAAAGTCATAGGGATTCTTTTCTCCTGTCAATTTTACATTTTTTGAACTTAATTGAAAAATCTTCTTCAGCATTAAACCCTATTGGTTAAAAAGCTTGATTGATTCATTTTGTATAAATCATAAACCTATTCAATCTTCAATATAGAATATCAAATAAAAAAATCTGACAAATTATAAGGAAGATCTCGTTTAATTTTGAACATGCTATAGCACTTTTGATTGACTATTTAGAATGTTAGATAATCGAACTTCCAATGACTTCTAAATATTCGTTCTCAGCATATAGCCCATCGAGTCAAAGAAATATTTTTAATCTTTCATTCTAGTAATAGTCCCATATAGTTGCTATACTTTGAAGTTAGTTTTTTGAGTTTTGATACCAAATAAATACTTAAATAATGATGATTACTCTGATATTTATATTTTAAGCAAAAATTTTTGATATATGTCATGTGGATAATCGTAACAAACCGGAAATCGAGATTATTTACTTTACTTCAACATGATTTCTAAATTTTTATGAAAGTAACTGACAATTGAATAATGATTAGTTGATTATCTACAGCCTACCATTAGACACTTGTCACAGCATCTCTAAATGGACTTGATAGAGCAAATTTCTGCATCAAATTACTGAATAATTCATCAATAAAGAATCTGACTTCAGTCCATCAAGATGTAGCTAACATAATTCAATCAAGCATTACATAATATACGAAAAACCTTCTAATGCAATGCAAAAATCACTCTACATCTACTCTCTTATGAAGGTTGCAAAAAATTTGGATATCTCTTATTTAATTAAACCATAATCTTATACTAAAAGAAGCACTAATCATAATTTCTCAATGAATCCTTATTATTCCCCATGTTTTAACAGTCAATGCATGATATTCATCATATAACTGGACTGGTACCAATAGATGTGATAATCTGAAAAAAAAAAAAATTTCATGAATATCTTTCGAGCATTAAATAGAAAATTAACAACCATGGCTAAAACAGATTATTTATTAAAAACTCCTAAAGGTACTAAAGATTGGGCTGATAAAGATATGATTATTAGAGATAAAATCTTTAATACTTTATCAAATTTATTTAAAAAACATGGTGGTGTTACTATTGATACTCCAGTTTTTGAATTGAAAGAAATTTTAACTGGTAAATATGGTGAAGATTCAAAATTAATTTATGATTTAAAAGATCAAGGTGGTGAAATTTGTTCCTTAAGATATGATTTAACTGTTCCATTTGCAAGATTTGTTGCTTCAAATAATATAAGCTCAATAAAAAGATATCATATTGCAAAAGTTTATCGTAGAGATCAACCAGCAATGACAAAAGGTAGAATGAGAGAATTTTATCAATGTGATTTTGATATTGCAGGTCAATATGATTTAATGATTCCAGATTCTGAAATTTTAAATATTTTAATTGATGGTTTAAAATCATTAGATATTGAATTTACAGTTAAATTAAATCATAGAAAAATTTTAGACGGTATATTTGAACATTGTGGAGTTAAAGAAGCAGATGTACGTAAAGTTTCAAGTGCCGTTGATAAATTAGATAAATCACCATGGGAAGCAGTTGAAAAAGAAATGATTGAAGAAAAAGATCAACCAAAAGAAGTTGTTGATAAAATTGGTGAATTTGTTAAACAAAAGGGAACAATAAAAGAAACTTTGGAATTTTTAAAATCAAAAGATTTGGAAAATAAAAATGCTGTAGAAGGTATTGAAGAAATGGAAGTTTTATCAAATTATGTTGAAGCTTTTGAAATAGACAAATATTTAAGTTTTGATTTATCATTAGCAAGAGGCTTAGATTATTATACTGGTTTAATCTATGAAGCTATAACATCTGCTTCAGCTCCACCGAAAGATGTAAAAGCTAAAAAATTAAAAGATGATGAAGATGCATCAGCATTTGTTGGTGTTGGATCTATTGCTGCTGGTGGTAGATATGATAAATTAGTTGGTATGTTTGGATCAAAATCAATTCCATGTGTTGGTATTTCATTTGGTGTTGAAAGAATTTTTTCAATTATAAAAAGTAAAACAAATTTAAATTCTGTTTCACCAAATCATACTGATGTTTATGTTATGGCATTTGGTGGTGGTGAAGGTTGGAATGGTTTTCTTAAAGAAAGAATGTCAATTATAAATCAATTATGGAAACAAGGAATTAATGCAGAATTTTTATATAAAAATAAAGCAAATATTCGTAAACAATTTGAAGGTGCTGAAAAATCAAGTGCAAAATTGGCTGTTATATTAGGTAAAGAAGAATTTCCACAAGGTAATGTTAGAATAAAAAGATTAGGTCAAGGTGAAGAAAATGAAGGCGATTTAGTTAAAATTGAAGAATTTGTTGAAAAAGTTAAACAACAATTGGAGGAAATTTAGAAAACTTGAAGATCTAGAGGTAAATAGAATGTAAATAAATTAAACAAGTCTATAATGTTTGTTCCATCCTTACCTTGCATCCTAATTTTGATCTAACTTATCAATTTTTGTACCCAGTTTAATGTTACCTTCCCTTTTAACCCTACTCCATAATTTATTAATGTCATTAAAGATAAACCACCATATTACGCCTATCCAAGAATTTACTTGAGGTAATGGATCATAAAATTCTGATGCAATTTTTTTCAATTCTGGTAATTTAGTCCATGCAATATATGGAAAGTCATGATGTTCATTATGATAACCAACATTCCAAGTTAATAAATTTAATGAACCATAATAAGAATAAGTTTCTGCAGGTACTAATTCCACATTGATACCATTTTTTTTAGCAAATTTTTCAGTATTATTTTCATTTAAAACATAATGTTCAGCTATAAAATGTCCAGCACAAGGATGAAGACTTCCTGCTAAAAATGAGCTCATTATAAAATATCCTAAAGCTTTCCAACCTAAAAATTTAACCATTAAATAATCAAAACCAATTTGAAACATTACATTGAATAAATGAATATATGTAAATTTAATTTGAGTTATAAACATTGGTCTTAAAGCATAAAAAAAAATTTGAAAAGTTGCAAAAAATACTTTACCCAATAAATTTGATAAGAATATACCTTCAAATCTTGTTGGTAAATCAGTATCTAAAAATTCATCACCTAAAAATTTATGATGTAATTGATGATATGGTTGAAATGAAGCTGAATATGGTATACCAATTGGAATATTTGCAAATGTGGCAAAGATTTTATTATGCAATGGTTTTTTAAATAATAAATTATGTGATAATTCATGAATAGCTAAAAATATAGCTTGATTTGCCGTGGCACCTATTATATAAGCTAATGTGAAAAATTTCAACGATAAAACTGGTGTCTTTCTAAGATAAAAAGCAATTGAACATTGTAATAATACTATTCCAATAACATACCATTTAGTTTTTGGTTCCCAACCTGTTAATTTTCTAACTTCGGGATATTTTTCAAGTATTAATTTTCTTCTTAAAACGTGAGGTTCAGTATCTTTTGTCCAATAAAATTCATTTAGTACATCTATTGATGAATCTGCCGGAGGTGTATTAAAGGTGAAAGTATGATCTTTATTTCTATATTTGATTTCACCATCCATAGTGATGTTGAAAAATGTTAAGGAGTAGAAATCGAAAGATTTTTAGCGAGATTTTTATACGAGCAACACGTACTGCATAAAATTGATATACATCGTGGGTTATTTTTTGTCGTGCGAAATAAGACTAGCTTCTGCGCGAAAAACAAATAAAGGGTATCAGATTCACACCAGGATTATGTCGATATCGCCTCAATGTTTCTAGTCAATACATCGATCAATACTGACATCCTTACGATCTGCTACCCTTTGCATGCTCCATTCAACTTAAAAAGAGTTCGTTTGATTCTAGGTAAACTTGCTATCTGGTCAGAAACTTTTTCTTTAGATGAAATTGTCACTTTTTTGTCAAAACCTGTCAAAACTCTACTCGCGAGAGGATTAAATTGGAAACTCGGAATACAGGATAATTAAAGCGAGCTCTAAAACAAAATATCTCAAGTCTAGCTTGTCCCTGTTTTATCAAAATTGATTGTTCCGAACGGCTGCAAATATTTGGCTGCAAATTAACGGATTTGTGTTACATTTCTAGACGACCCAGGCGAAAATATAAAAAAAATATTAAAACTTTTCAAAAAAATTTTTAAAGGTCATTAAAGAAAGTTGGATGATTTTTCATTAATAATGTATAATGGAAGAACATTTAGATGAAATAAAGCAATTCAAAGAACAGATAATTGGCTTTTTGAATGATAGACAATTAGATCATTCATTATTAATTGGTGTAAACTCTCAAATTCAGAGTAAATTTAGTCAATGGATTTTATCAAGTTTCAATGTTGATTATTTAAATTCATTATGGACTAATATTCATTATCCTATTTTAAAATATTTTCAAAAATTACATTTTAACCATTATGAATTGGTTAATTTTGAATATAAACGTCTTTTATATTTGCATAATACAACAGATTTTAGAGTTAAAGCAGTTGAATTAAGAAAATTATATGATAATTATTTGAGATTTTCAAAACAACTTCAAAAATTTTATTTAAATCTATTAAAACAATTTGCTTCATTTAAAAATGAGTTATTGCCTGAAAACTTTTTAAATTATTTTGAAATTAAACAAGATAAACAAGGAGACGTAAGTTTGCTTTTAATTTTCAAATGTTGTTTATCACTTGGTGATATTGAAAGAAATCAAAAGATTATTGAAACTCAATATTATTTACCATGTTTATCAAATAAAAATTTCTTTAATTATAGAAATACCCAAGAAAAGAATAAAAAAGCTAAACCTTACTTTACAAAAGCTTTTGAATATTATCAATTATGCATTTTATTATTACCTGGTTTAAACGATCCTTATAATCATATCGGTGTTATTTATAATTTACTTGAAGATAAATTTAATGCATTATATTATTTTGTTAGATCACAATTTGCAAGAGTTGAAAGTAAGTTGAACAATTTAAGTGCGTTGATGAAGAAGCATTACTTTACAACGATGCTTGTAGATCTTGATAAATTTACAGAATCCGATAAATTAAACATTTGTTTAGTAAATTTAATTGGTTACTTTTATCATCCTGAAAGGTACAAGTGTGGTAAATGTATTGTTAAAGATATTACATTTAAAGATATTGAGTCTAAATTGATTAAAAATTTGCATAAATTAGATGATGAAACAATGTTGAAACAATTGACAATTTTATTTGGTTTTTCAAAACTAATAGAAAATAGTAAATATAAAATCTTTTTACTAAAGTATATTGAAAGAATTGATTTTAAAAAATTAAAACTGATAAGATTCTTATTAAATGTATTTAATGAAAATATAGATGATAAGAAAGTATTTATTCAAAAATTGATTAAAATGAGTAATGAATTTGGAATCCATGAACAACCAAAACGACATTATAATTTTTCAGAAGATGTGGAATTTAGAGACTGTTCTATCATTGAATTTAAAGATTTTGATGATGATTTTGATGATATTAATTTGATTATTGGAGATTGTGAAAAAGTTGATGAAGACGTTTTGAGAAAACAAGCAATTGGTTATACTTTAAATGAAATTTTATCAAGAACTGATTTTGCTAAATTGGTGAATGGTAAATACGTGTATGATAAAGAATTGAAGAAACAAGTTAAAACAAAGAAAACAGAAGTTAAAAAGAAAGGATTAGACGAAGAATTTTATTCACAAATTGTTCCTGATGAACCAATCAAAGTTTCAACGGAAGTTAAATCAAATGATGTTGTTGTTCCTCAATCATTGGAAGAAATTGAAGAATTCATTTCAAAACAAGCTGAAGAAGTAAAGAATAAATTGGATCTTGAACTAAAATATCTTGAAGAATCAGAACCTTCACATTTTGATGCAGCAATTGAAGAATTACCTCCAAGACAGAATATATGGTCTACTCCACAACCAGCATATCCGCCTCAATTCATGCAACAACCTCCAATACCAACACCATTTGCACAACAATTTCATCAATATCAACCACCATTCCAACCTTTCAATCCATTCAATCAACCTTCAAATCAATATCCACAGTATCAACATCCTTTCTTTCCATTCATGCAACAACCACAACAGCCACAACAATCACCAAAACAATCAGATACAAACCTTCATTAATATATAACGATGTTTATAATTATTTGTATTCTCGAGTCTACAATTGAGTTTACGACATCATATATACTAATTTCAACCACCATTTAATCCACTTCAAATTAACGTTCAATATCCACAATACTAATAATCTTCCTGGCCATTTATGCAAAAACTACAACAGCATGCACATCAGCAATCACATACAAATTCTGTAAATATATAACAGTAATCTGTGACCTTTTTTTAATTTCCTGAGTCTACAATAGAGTTCAAAGTAAACAGTCATATATTAAATATCTCCACGAGCTTTCAAAGTATTTACCATTTTAACTAATTTTGAACCTTCAATTATAGTCAATTTTTCATCCAATTTATTATCCAAACTTAATTCACTATAATGAACAGCGATTTTCCCAACATCTTGTGCATCGATTGGATTCATTAAGGGAGCTAACCAAGTATTTTGAATCCAACCACCAACTTTCATTGCAAAATTATTCCAATGACCATGATCTTCTTTCCTTTCACCTAATAAAACACCAGGTCTAATGAAAACAGTATGATCAAAATTTAATTTTTTAATATCATTTTCCAAATCACCTTTTGTTCTTAAATATAATAAAGGAGATTTTGAATTTGCCATCGCTGAACTAATAAGAATACAAGTTTTTGAACCTGATTCTTTTGCAGATTTAGCTGCCATTAATGGAACTCCATAATCTAAATCATGAAATTGTTTAGAACCACCGGCTTTTGCTTTAGTTGAACCAAAAGCAGATACAAATATGTTACAGGGGTGCAGTCTAACAATTGGGGGCCATTTCGAACAATCTGGTTCAAGAATTGAATTTAATTTTTCAACAGTTAAATCAGGAACTTTCCTTGATAATGTTGTTATTGAAGTGATTGTTGATGATTTACTAGCAGCTAATAAGATTTCTGAACCTACTAAACCAGTTGAACCTAACAAAAAGACACTCATGATTAAATGAAAATGTAAAATTATGCAAAGCAAATCCTTAAATTTATCAAATGTAAAGGCAGCAATGTACGTCCGGCCATTACTCGAACAAGTATACGCCAAACCGTTCCACTATACATCATTAAAACTTTGAATTGGTCTAAAAGATAACGTTTGACTTGTTTATTTGTCTCGTGTTAGATTACACGGCAATTCGCTCTAATTTTTGTACCAAAAAAATTATCTTTTGTTCAATAATCTCAATACTTCTGGTGCAAAGAATAAATTCAATTTTTATATGGAAACTATTTTAAAAAGTCATTTTCAAGACCGAAACTTTTACCCCCAATTTTATTGCATATATAGAAAATTTAGGTTGATTACATCAGATCACAATTTTAAAGTTTTAGAGTTAGAAAATTTTTGCTATAAAAAAATCCATTTGAAGTCTCAATTTTTGAGTTGATCAAAAATTGACTTGCGCGTAAACGGATGATATTAATTTCCAATTAGAACCAAATTAATTTTCTGATAAATGTGACAACATTCATATAAACAAATATATAACACCTTACTTTCTCAACGGGCAGCAGAAATAATGTCGCCTCGCCGTATTTGGCCTAATTTTAGTGTAGCAGCTATTTTCTCGCGAGAAGTTCGCGCTAGAAATAACTTCAATACCCATTTGTATATTTCGCGGCTGATTCTTTAAATGCAAAGATTTGATAGCTTTCTTTTAATTAAGAGAAGATATCTACTATTTAAAGATTAAGAAGCTAAAGAATTTATGATTTCATTTAATTATTAATATTATTAATATTATTAATATTATCTCCATTATTCTATAATAATTAAATATTTGGTGTTATAGGTTTATTTTTAGCAACTTTTTCTTCAGCTTTAACATAATCTGGTAATTTGACAATAAATTCAGCCCATTTTTTAATATTTGAATTTCTTTTTGCAAATTAAATGAACTAAACCATGAAAAGTTAATAGGTTAATTCCATTGATAATTATAGTGAATATATTTGATGGAAAATAAACATCTTCGAAATATTCGAATTCTTCCTTTGGTTCGTCAATATAATTGTCATAAAAGTACGTATATTTTAATGCGATAAATTGGCGTCACATAATATCTTCCTCGTGCTAGATTCGGGGCGACTTGTACTGAATGTAGTGAATTGTAACTCATGTACAAAACATGTTCTCTAAGTAGGTACCAATGTAACAGAACCTGGAGTGCCTAAATATATATCATACATCTCAAATACTAAAATTCAACCATTTTTTTTTTGAGTTGTCATTTTGGCCTTTCTTCATCGTACAAAAATTTTGCTAAAATGAAAACGCAGTGTAAATTTTATTTCGGGTCGTAATTTCCAATTAAACAACGATTTATACCTTATACCTCAAATTAAGGTATAGAGCTTAATTTTATGCGATTTGAATTGAAAAATTCCAAATTCTTCTGTTAATTATGGGAAAAACGAATAAATTGACCTTACAAAAAATTTGACTCCACAATCAAATTCAGGATATGACTATGATAAAATTATAGAAGTTATTAGTTCCTCACTTCGATATATCCTAAGTATTTTTGTGTTAAGGTACTCAAAATTGGAAAGTAATTTTCCAAAGGCGAAACGAAATTTTTGAAAAAATTTCAAACCAATTATGACATCTTAAAAGTAACGTGAAAGGGGTATTTAAGATTTAATGAATTGAATCAGCCATCTTAGAAATTGTTGGATGAGGATTAAGTGTCGTTTATCTCACAAAATAGCGTTTTTAGCCGATTTTTAAACACTGAATTAATTGTTCAAATCAAGTTTCTCCCAAAAGAACAAGCATCGTTGCATTTGTAATCAATTAGATTTGAAGATTAACCTTGAATATCGAGAGAGTTATTTAGTAACAATTTGATTTAGAGCTTATCTACTTTAAGACTGCATATAAGGTAAATTTGTTCCAGAATTATACTTTCCAGTACGTACGGTTCAATGCGATTACTTAAAGCGACAGAATTGATTTCTCGCGCATGCTTCAAGGCGGCCTCGTACTACATATATTGATTCTATATGAAAAAAAACTAGAGTAGCAACAAATATTCATTGGATCCATTGGTGAATAAGGCCATATTCTTCATGTACTATTCTTCATTACTACACCAGTTAACAGCAGTCAAGAATCATAATTAAAAAACAAATCTTTAAATTAAAATATATATTCTATATAATCACGAATTGAATTATTCTTCATCAGCTTTCTTTAATCTTAAAACACCTTGTGATAATATCTTTTTCCCCCATTGACCAGCAGCACTTGAACCTGTATCGTCTCTACACTGTTTAAGAAATGGTAATAATGATGTACCACCTGTACCTACTTCAACATTCTTCTTGGATAAACCACTTCTTATAGTGGATGATGAACCAAGGTTTTTATTTTTTTGTAATATAATATATCTTGTTGTAATTTGTATATGTTTATCTCTAAATGATTTAAGCATTGCTAAACATGCATCATAATATAGTTCAATATCTGGATTTTTATTAATATAATCTTTAATATTTGTTTCTTGTTCTAACCATATTAAAAATTCTCTATGTTTACCAGGCATATATTCTCTCATTTCTTGTATGAATCCTTGATTATGTTGTATACCTAGTAAAATATCTAAAAATTGAATTAATGAAGATTGAGCATTTGAACCACCAGCATAATTTTTCAACTCATTACCATAATAAACACCTTTTAATCCAATATCTTGCATATTTTTCCAACCAGCTAAATAAGGCCTTAATCTATAATAAAATACATGTGGATCACAATTTTCTTCCATTCTCATAAGTATACTACCAAGCACATCTATTGATTCTGCAAGTTGTTGTAATAATTCAATAACCAATGATTTATTATCTTGTTTAATCTGCTTAATAATTTCTAATCCTGTTTCAATCGAAACTGCCCCTTGTTTTTCAAAATAAACACTAACTAAATAAAACCAACTTTCATCTATTGATCCAGTAAATGTATTTATAGTAGTTAAATTATTGAAACTCATGTCATCATTTGGAATTATCTGTTTATAATTCCATAAGCATAATGAAGCATAAGTTGCTATTGGTGGAAGTCCCAAAAATTTTGAAACTTGAATCCATGGCATACTTATTGAATCAGGTAATCTATCTAAGTTTTCACTCCATATATATGCATGAGCTATGAATCCTAATACTTGATAAGCTCTTCTAGCCTCGGGAATAGACAAATTATCAACTGATAAAACTTGCAATTCATCTACCTGTACTTTAACTTGTTTAGCGAGTATTAAAGCTGGTAAATTGTTGACGATAAACTCCCATGTGTCATAATACTTGGGTAAGCGTGTGAGAGGTAAATCATCTGGTAAGAAGCCACTAGTATGGCTAATATCATATTTATTCATTGAAACCTAATCTTAATAATTTTGAAAACGCACCAGAAAAATCTTTATAAAATTTTTTATCGTCTGATGAATAAATTTTAACAAATTTTAAATAATTTTTATCTCTAATTAATTCAATATCAGTCGGTAACATCATCAATGAGTTATCTTCATTATAATATTGTACTTTACCCGTCTCTGGTACTATACTTTCATGCCATTGTTCATTTAATAAATTTTTATAAAATTCATTCGATAATTTAGTTGGATTTTTCGTCCATTTACCTTCCCATCCACTTATATATTTATGACATCTTCCAACTGAGTGTGCCCCTAGTAAACAAACTGTTTCTTCATCATTAAATCCTAATCTTGTAAAGGTTTTTCTGATATGATCCGAATCTTTATCTCCGAACGGTAAATGATCCGAGATTGGAAATTTTGCATATTTACAATCTATTCTACCAGATTTCCACGATATAATTGGTCCATTCATTGATTCAATTGCCATTTTACCTGCTAATGTCCATAAATCTGAATAAGTAATTAAATATTTTTGTTTAATTGGTTCTAATGCTAATCTTGCAGTTTCTAATCCTGTATTACCTTCAACAATTAATTCTGGTAAAAATCTCATAGTACTACCATTTGAACCGCCTGTATTAGTATATTTGTTATAAGTTGCACAACAATGCCATGCTAATCTTAATATAATTGGAGCTAAAGAACCATCATCATAATTATTACATGGAAAAACTTTAGTAATTTCTTTACCAATATCTTGATAATAAGTTTTATAAATATATTTATCAACAATTACGCTTGATCTTTTCCATAATCTACCAACTCTATTTAAAGCAACTCTAAACAATATAAATGGTATAATTAATAAACTTAATAACTGTTTGATCATGGCGTGTAATTTTGTTAATCGCACGATCCCAATTATAAAATCTCAATTTTTCGTTGAGTGACCAAAATCTGTACAACTCGGGCTCCATTATGAGTTTTAAAGGTATTAAAAAGTCAATAGTTAGAGCACCACAAACATTTCGTCAAAAGATGAAAATGGGTGAAATAACCCATGATCCTGTTTATCAAGATGCTGAAAGAAGATTCAAAGAAATTGAAATTGAAACTAAAAAGTTATCTGATGAATCAAAGAGATATTTTGCTGCTGTTAATGGTATGTTAGATAATCAAATTGAATTTTCAAAAGCAATTGAAGAAATTTATAAACCAATTAGTGGTAGATTATCCGATCCAAATTCTACTGTACCAGAAGATAATCCACAAGGTATTGAAGCTTGTGAAAGTTATAGAGAAGTTGTTAAAGAATTAAAAGAAACTTTAAAACCAGATTTAGAATTAATTGAAAAAAGAATTGTGGAACCAGCTCAAGAATTATTAAAAGTTATTCAAAATATTAGAAAAATGGCAACAAAACGAGACCATAAACAATTAGATTTAGATCGTCATAAACGATCATTTACAAAATATGAAAATAAAAAGGAAAGATCAGCAAAAGAGGAAGAAAAAATGTATTCTGCAGAAGCTGAAGTTGAAGTTGCACAACAAGAATTTGATTATTATAATGATTTATTAAAATCTGAATTACCAATTTTATTTCAAATGCAAGCAGATTTTATCAAACCTTTATTTGTTAGTTTCTATTATATGCAATTGAATATTTTTTATACATTATATAATAGAATGGAAGAATTGAAAATTCCATATTTTGATTTAACAACTGATATTGTTGAAGCTTACAATTATAAAAAAGGAAATGTTGAAGAACAAACCGATGCTCTTGGAATATGCCATTTTAAAGTTGGTCGTGCTAAATCTAAATTAGAAATGGCAAGAAGACATCAATCGCAAACTACTTCTGGTAATGAATTACCAGGATATTCACAAGGTGGTTATAATCAACCTTATGGAGATTCTAAAAGTCCAACTTCTCCACAATCAACAGGATTTAATCAACAACCACAATATGGTCAACCTCAATATGGTCAACCTCAATATGGTCAACCTCAATCTGGTCAACCTCAATATGGTCAAGCTCAATCTGGTCAACCTCAATATGGTCAACCTCAATCACCTCATTCATATGCTTCACCTGGAATGTCACCACAAGGTACATTTAATTCATTACCAGCTTATTCACCACCTACTCCACAAAGTGCTCCTCAAACATGTACAGCATTATATGATTATACAGCACAAGCACAAGGTGATTTAACATTTCCTGCTGGTGCAATTATTGAAATTATAGATAGAACAGAAGATGTAAATGGTTGGTGGACAGGTAAATATAATGGAAGTACAGGATTATTTCCTGGTAATTATGTCAAATTATAATGTATATTATTTATAATACATCTCTACTCTTAAGTGACAAATCCGAGTGGCGAATTTATAGTTCGTATATAAATAGAAAAAAAGATATATTTGATGATAACTATGGATCAAGTTGAAGTATATATATATGATTTATCTCATGGCTTAGCCAGAGTTTATTCACCTATGATATTAGGCACTTCAATAGATGCAATATATCATACCTCAACAATTATAAGAGGAAAAGAAATTTATATAGATCATGGTATTAAAATAACAAATGTTCAAAATTTTCATTCAAAATATGGACAACCAGTTGAAAAGTTAACAATAGGTACAACTGAGATAGATGATGAACTATTATTATTATTTATAGAAGAACTTAAAAACCATGAAGATCAAAAATATCATGCAATAAATTATGATTTATTCAATAATAATTGTAATCATTTTACCAATGTATTAATTGAATTTTTATGTGGTAAGACATTAGATGATAGAATATTGAAATTACCAGATATAGTATTACAAACAGAACAAGGTAGAATGTTACAACAATTAATCGGTAATCAACAGTTAAGATGAATATTTGTGTGTATATAAATAAATATATAAATATTTTTATTTCTCCAGATTTTGTTTTTTTCAAATTTGGCAACATTTGTTTAACACTCAGTTACGAATTTAATGAGTGATTCAATCAATGTATGTTATTATATTACCATACATTAATCTATTACTAACTTTATGTAGTTTAATTTTGATGATGATGACAATACATCGAGATTTTGGTCAACACCAAGACCTACAACAAATAATATTTTTAGACCCTTGGATGATCAACCATTAAATACAAATTACTCAACAACTTCAGGTGGTTATTTAACTAATACCGCTGGTTCAAATACTACTGCTGGTTCTAATTATACTTCAAATTTATCAACAACTGCTAATTCTCAATTAAATAGTGCAGCATCAAATATTTATAAATCTTCATCATTAATTAATGCTCCAAGTTATGTACCAAGAACAGCTGCAACTTCAGTTAATACAACTTCAAATAATGATTCATTACAGGAAGAATATAATAAATTAAAAATTGAACTTATGTTGAAAAATCAAATTATTAAAAATTTAACTGATCAATTAAAGAAACAACCAACAACACCAGTTGAAACTAGAAGTGATTCAAATAATACCACATTTAAAGTTCCCAAAAATCATTATCAATTATTCATTGATTTATCAACAACTTTACAAGAAAAGACTCAAGAATTAGAAGATACTAAAAAAAGATTAGAAGTTGTATTATTTGCGAGTTCTCAATTACAATCTGCTTCATCTTCTATATCTGGTTCATCTTCAACTACAACTAACTCAATTCATCAATATGATGTACAAGAATTAAGTCATAAAATATTAAATAAATTAAATAAATTGGAAACTGAAAACGATCAATTATTAAAATTATTAAGTTATGGAAATAAATCAAGTTTATTAATTGAAATTGGATTATTAAAGCAAGAAATTGCATTATTAAAACAACAATCTACACAACCACAACCACAAACACAAACACAACCACAACCATCTCCAACTCAATCACAATCTTTATATACAAGTGGATCAAGTGCTGGCATTTGATCTTTAACGATTAATGAAACATAGAAATAAAAGTTGCATTTAAATAGCATATATATAAAATAATGTATAATGGATTAATAATTTAAAATGACGTAATTTTTTGTTCAAAGTTAAATTTGGTCTGTCATTTAAAATTAATTTTATGTTTCATATTTTTAGATCTCGATCTCCAAATATCTGGCATGAGCATGAGCCAAAGGGTATATAATAACTAACGATTATTAATTTACAAAAGCCGATATAATTTTAGCAACTCGAATTAAAGGCTTATTTTGAATTGGGACGGTTTCTAAATATAGATTTACTATGAATTCTATGTTAAATTTTTCAATTTTTTTGCTAAGAAAAAATCTAATTTAAAGTTTTACATCAATATGCAAGTAAACAACTTTGTAGATCGGGACTAGAACTAACTGTAGCTGCGGCAATAAATTCATTGTTACTTTGTAAAATGGGTGCAAAAAAAATTTTAAATAAACATAATAGTGCTTAAGAAAGTCTTAGAACCATTAGAAAACTAAGCATTGTTGATACTATAACCGAATAACATCCCCTGTTGTTCAATATGAACAACTGCTGTTAATTATATTTGCTTTAAATTTGAGGCGAAACAGGCCTCATCTGATTCATCAAGGTTTGCTTATAATTATTATATGCACACCAAACAATGTACAATATGCACTGGAAATCTAAATAAATATTAAATATTAACGCGTTTGATCCGATATTTATTTCAAAGGACAATTGATTACCGCTGCAACTTACGAATTTTGTCAATCATACTGTTGAAACAAATTCATCCTCCTATTTTTTTAATACAAACAGTTTAAATACTTTTTCATTTATCCAACTAGAGTTTAGGTGCTATCTTTTCAAAACAAGCCTCAGGCCATCGTGAAATCGACGTCAACGTTTGCTAAGTTATTTAATACATGTTTATCATACTATGACCTTTAAGTTTGAGAAAGAAAAGATATTATCAACAAAAGATCCAAAATCTCCATTTTATCATAATTTACCAAGTTATGATTCAAAACCAATCAATCAATTAGTTGACTTTTTCAAATATTGGAAATATTTTATAAAAGCAGTGATTTATTATTTTAAAGAAATAATATTAGTTAAAGAATTAGAATCAAATTTAAGTTATCAATTAATTAGTGCTGTTCAATTTCCTGGTTGTAAAGATTTACCAAATAAAATTTTACATGATATTCAATTACAAAATCCTCCACAAAGTTTATCACCTAAAAATACAACACCTACAAAAGAATTGAAAAAGAATTTATCATCCTCAAATTTAGCTTCATTAAATACTACAACTTCTGCTCAACAATCAAGTTCAAATGAAGTTAAAAGACCTGGATTATCAAAAACAAAATCAAATAATTCAACATTCAACTCATCTTTCCTTAAAAATGCTACAAATACATTACATAAAAGAAATTCATCATTAACTTCAATTGCACAACCCCATATACCCTTGTCCTTACCTTTGCCTCATCATAATTCAACAATCGGTAGTGTCACTGGTAATGGTTCTTCAGCATCTCCGTTAAACTCACCTATTCCAAGAGTTGAACAATTACCAAAGGCTGAAATTAACTCAAATGATGTTAGAATTCAACCAAATTTCTTCCCTGAAGATTCACTATTTACAAATTTCCCAGCATTATTATTATCATCTCATCAAACAAAGTTTAATAATTCATATAAATTATGTAAAGATTTAAATAATAAAATTATACCTAAACTAGAGACATTATCGAAACAAGTTAGTCATAAAATTAAAGAAATTAAACTGTCTCTAACTAATGAATCATTTGCAAATTCAGAATTGTCCAAAGAAATTTCCAAAACTGGTCAAGTTTTAAATCTATATATGCAAGGTGTTGAATTATACCTGAATGAAAAACCAGTATTAAATGGAAATTGTTCAGATGCAGAAGGAGAAGAAGAATTAGCTCTTGATGATCCATTATTAATCAAATTACAAGTTGATTATAAATTGAAAAATCAATTAATTATGGAAAATTATATGTTTGCAAGTTATATTAATCTTCAAAATATCTCAAAAGATTTATTTACATTTATATTAAAAGAATTAAATTGGGCAATTGATAAATTTGGGAAATTAAATTTTAATAGTGAATATTATCAATATTTAAAAACTAAAATTAGTAATAGTTCAACACAAGATTGGGAATTTTTCATATCACATAATCCAAATTTTATAAATACTTATCAATCAACCGATGAAAATCCAAAGAGAGAAACAAGAACATTTAAATCAATTACATTACCTTACTCAAATTCAATTCAAAATAAATGTCTTAGATTTGGAATGATGTATAAAAAGAGTAAATTGTTGAAAAATTATACAAGATATTATTATATTTTATCATGTAATTATCTACATGAATTTAAAATTAATGAAGAAGTAGGTGGATCAAATGCAAGTATAATTTCTAAAAAGAATAAAGACAAAATTGGTGGATTTATTGGATATAATGATGAACCTATAAAATCATACAATTTAAATGATCATTCAATAGTTACTAAAGATGAAGCGTCTTTTAAATTCACATTAATTAAAAAATCAACAAAATCAAAAAAGACATTTAAATGTGCAAATGAAAAAGATTTTAATAATTGGTATGAAGATTTATCACAATTATTAAAATATGGTCATGATCATTATGCTAGATTTTCATTTATTCAAAATAAAATAGATACTTCAGAAAAATTTATAAAACGTACATCAACAGATCCTTCAATTTTAAACAAAAAGGGATTACAATTAGAATTTTCAAATCAGTCAGAACCTGCATTGACTGGAATGTTTACTCCAAGTATTAAAACTCCAAGACAATCACCAAAAGTGGAAGATAATCCATTTGATCAAGTATTTGAAGTTCCAAAACAAAAGGAAGTTTCATCACCAAGTTCAAGTACAACTCCAAAGATTTTAACACCAACAGAATCTCATATTAATATAAATCCTAATATTACTCAACATGAAGACTATTTAAAATTACAACAAGCATTTTTAAAACAACAACAAGAAATTTTAGATTTAAAATTAAAAGAATCTAAAAATGTAGATTTAATTTCAAAGAAATTGGAAGAAATACAAGATCAAGTTAATATAACTCCTAAAAAATCTTCAGATTCATTAAATTCATTTGTTATTCCTTCTAATACAACACCAGTTACAGAAAAAGTGTTGAATGAAAAGCCAATCTTTACGATTGATGATGATTCTGCAAGTACAACTACACCGCCAAATGACGTACCTACTGTTTTAGTTAGCTCAGATCATTAAAATTATATATAGACGATAATATATTTATTTTATAAATCATTTGCTAAAGTCGCTGAGATTAAAACGTTTTACATATTCCTCGTAAAAATTCGTTATATATTTAATCCTAACTCATCTCTATAATATAAATAATCCACCGATTTAAGAACTGAACAACTTTTTCATAAATAAACAATAAATAAATTTAAACAAGTATTCTCTTGATACCACTTATATCTCTGATCAATTTATTTGATTTATCAACTGATGTTGGAGTAACATTAACATTAAAAAAATTATTATTCTTCCAAATATAAAATTGTACCAAACTTTCAAATCCAACTACATCATATCTATATAAATTAGCAGCATCTAAATTTAAAGGAGAATCAGGTTCTGGTTGATCTAATAACATTAATATAGCAACTACTAAATTTTCTAAATTCCAAGCTGGTGACCAATTTTCTTTTAAAATATCTAAACAAATTTCACCAGTGTTTGAATTTATATTTGGATGTATTATTGGTGTTATAAATTTTATAGATGGTGGTTCTCTTGGATAATTTTCATTTACATTTATTGATAATTTCCATTGTCCACCATAATAATATTCTGAATCTGATTTAGTTGGTTTGGCAATAGTTGCTTCCCATTGAAAAATATTTGAATCTGGATTTAAAGGTTTTAATGAGATTATTTGTGAGTTATTTAATTGAGGTGGTTGCTTTTGATATTGAGAATACTCTTTAAATAATCTTCTTTCAGCCATAATGAATAGTTTAATTACTGTTCCTTAATGAAATATGGAAATTTGTTACTCTTTATATATTTTTATTTCCCCCGCGAAAATGAAAATAAAATGAAAAAAAAAAAATATGCATGATACAAAATATAAAATTGTTATGTGATATAATAAAGATATACCGTGGGATTCAATATTCGAACCGACATTACGTTGTTAATTTTACGAAATGTCGTTTAACGGTGATAAACTCCGAAAAAAGAAAGCTTATCTGCATGTGACATTATACAAGTGTCTTTTTTCAATGTCATTTTATAGCCAGTGTCAAATTAATAATTGTCTAGTTTCTATTGGAACAAAATAATACGATCTGGATTCCTGCATAGAACCTTTTTTTTTAGTCCGTTTCAGGAAGATCGTGAGTAATAAATTTCCATCTTTAATCATCCTATACAAAGATGAATCGATATTCAAGATTCATTAAACCTTTTAGTACAAGTTGTTGTGTCAACAATGAAGTCAAGAAATTAAATAAATATTCAAGTATTGTTACTTCTGATCCATCTCAGGGTGCTTCACAAGCTATGCTTTATGCCACTGGTTTTTCAGATGAAGATTTTAATCGTGCTCAAATTGGTGTTGGTTCTGTTTGGTGGTCTGGTAATCCATGTAATATGCATTTAATGGAATTAAACAATATGTGTACAAAATCAATTAATAAAGCAGGTTTAAAAGGTATGCAATTTAATTCAATTGGTGTTTCCGATGGTATAACAAATGGTACTGAAGGTATGAGATATAGTTTACAATCAAGAGAAATTATAGCAGATTCATTTGAAACTATGATCATGGCTCAATTATATGATGGTAATATTGCTATACCTTCTTGTGATAAGAATATGCCAGGAGTTTTAATGGCTATGGGTAGACATAATCGCCCTGCTATAATGGTTTATGGTGGTACAATTTTACCAGGCTCACCAACTTGTGGCTCTTCAAATCCAAATGTTCCTGAAAAAATTGATATCATTTCGGCTTTTCAAAGTTATGGTCAATTATTAAGTGATCAAATTACAAAAGATGAAAAAATGGATATTGTTAGACATGCTTGTCCTGGTCCTGGTGCTTGTGGTGGTATGTATACTGCAAATACAATGGCATCAGCTGCTGAAGTTATGGGTATGTCATTACCTTATTCATCAAGTTCTCCTGCTGTTTCAAAAGAAAAAGCAAATGAATGTGCTTCAATTGGTGAGGCTATAAAGAATTTATTAATTATGGATTTAAAACCAAGAGATATTTTAACTAAAAAATCATTTGAAAATGCTATAACTTATATTATTGCAACTGGTGGTTCAACAAATGCTGTTTTACATTTAATTGCAATTGCTTCTTCATTTGATATTGAATTAACAGTTGATGATTTCCAAAGAATTTCAGATAATACTCCATTATTAGCAGATTTTAGACCTTCAGGTAAATATGTTATGGCTGATTTACAATATGTTGGAGGTACACCATCAGTTATGAAATTTTTAATGAAAGAAGGTTTAATTGATGGTTCACAATTAACAGTTACTGGTAAAACTATAAAAGAAAATTTGGAAAAAGCTAAAGATTTAAATAATCAAGATATTGTTAGACCAATTTCAAATCCATTAAAACCAAGTGGTCATTTACAAATTTTAAAAGGTTCATTAGCTCCGGGTTCAGCTGTTGGTAAAATTACAGGTAAAGAAGGTACTTATTTTGAAGGTAAATCAAGAGTTTTTGATGATGAAGTTGCATTTATTGAAGCTTTAGAAAAAGGTGAAATTAAAAAAGGTGAAAAAACTGTTTGTGTTATTAGATATGAAGGTCCAAAAGGTGGTCCAGGTATGCCAGAAATGTTAAAACCATCAAGTGCATTAATGGGTTATGGGTTAGGTAAAGATGTTGCTTTATTAACTGATGGTCGATTTTCAGGTGGTTCACATGGATTTTTAATTGGTCATATTGTTCCAGAAGCTGCTGATGGTGGTCCAATTGCTTTAGTTGAAGATGGTGATATTATTGTTATAGATGCTGAAAATAATAGAATAGATTTATTAGTTGATGAAGAAACTTTAGCTAAAAGGAGAGAAAATTGGACACCACCTGAACCAAGGTATAAAAGAGGTACTTTAGCTAAATATGCCAAATTAGTTAGTGATGCTTCAAAAGGTTGTGTTACAGATTTATAAGCTTTTTGTATATAGAGATGTCCATTGAATGGATCAATTTTATTTAACGTTGCCTGTTCGTTGAATGAACGGAATAGAAATAAATTTTAATTCATTATTTCATTCTAACTATATAATCTTCACCACTCTTTGTTATATACCTTACCCAAGGATATGATTGATATTGTAATTTTGGTTCATTAATTCTTAAATATCTAACTTGAATACCACTAGTTGTAAAATATGGAATTGAAAAATTAACTTTTATTGGTTTTTTAGTAACTAAATGTTCAGGATCATTTACAGCAGGTAAACCTAATTCAGCCTTCATTGAAAATTGCTTACCACCAGGAAAAGTTTTCAATTTCCAAACTAAACATGATTTTTCAGGTATCCATTTGATTGTACCATATTCAGGTTGAAATTTTGGAGTATCAGCATCTTCAGGTATTGGTATAATAACTTCAACATTATTTGCTGTTGACTTCTTTTTGATTTGTGCTTTTACAGTACATAAAATTTCAATTCTTGAATGTTTATGAATTTTAGTTTTACAATTTACTAAAATTAATGGTTTCATTAAAAATTGTGCTGAACTTAATCTATAACTCATTAATGAAAATTCACCATCTGGAGGTATAAATGTGATAATTTTTTCATTTTCAAATTTAGAAAGTCTAACACATTGATGGAATTTTATATCTTCCATTTCTAGTTTGTCTTCTTTTGAGAAAATTCCTTTATCATTTAAACCTAGTCTTAAATCTGGCATACCGCTTAAATGAGATTTTATTTTAATTTCACCCAAAATTTCCGAATTTAAAACTTGTCCATTAGCATTTATTAACATATTAATGGATTCCACAACATCTAAGAATGCTTCATTCTTTTTATAGAATATACCATCTTTTCTCCATGAAACTGCATTAGTAACGGCATTTGGTGGTGCAACTAAATGTGAAGGAGTTGATTTAATTAATGAATAATAATCTTGAGTAATATATTCTTTTAATATCTTTGTATCTGTTGTTTGAGGAATACCAAAATCCATCATTTCATCTAATAATTCATATATAATTACAAAATTATCTCTTATTGATTCTTCTTCTAATGATTTAAGATAACCAGTCAAGACGGAAACTAAATTCGATAAAAATATAATAATTGTCATTATATTTTCATTCTTTCTTGTTAATGCACATATATATAAGTTACTATGATTTATAAAACAATAATTTATACCTTGATCATTTATAAATGGTTTATATTCTCCTTCATCAATTGAATTTTCTAAATATAATAATAATAATGGAAATCTCTCAATTGTATTTGTAGGTATATCTCCTTTGTAATCACGAGATAATAATGGTTTTCCTTTAATATCCAAGAAATGAATTTGAGATGCCATGGGTTGATATTATTTATTAATGTTGATTTGAATTGATTTTTCGTATTGATTAAAAATTTCAACAAAATATTTAACCTTCCACGTGACGTAACACGTGATTGGATTTTTTTTGACTAGACTGGTAAACCTGTTCAATTTGATTCTACAAGAGAATGTATCTTCAATTTTAAGGGATTGTTGTTCTTCAATCTGCCTCATCTTTTTATATTGCTCTAGTATGTTTATTTCGTTCGTAATTCTAATGATGGTTATTCTTTAAGTTACAGTTAACCACCTCAATCAATTGAGCATTAAAATAATCTTGCAGTCTAGATAGAATTAGATCTAGTTCATCAAATTAAGAGTTCAAATTAGTTGAGAGTGGAATATTTAGACGTCCTAATTTGACTATATTCGTACCTTGTTTGTTTGACTGTCAATGATTTTGTGTACGATTGTAAGAATGATTGAACAAGAAAAACTAAGGCCTCATTTCTTGTGTTCAATATTCGACATTCTTGTATATTCCTAGAATTAGTTTGTTTGATTCGGATTATTGGACGATATATTCAGCCCCCTTCTTGAATTACAAAGTAATTTGTTGCAGATTTCATAATAAGTCGTTACCCGAATGGACCACTTGATTTGGAAAAACATGCTCCAAAAGCGGCAAAGCTCAAAGATCATCAATCAAATGGAGCTAATCAATAATCAACTAAAGTTATTCAGAACTCACAAGCTAATGAGAAGATGTTTTGTAAAAAATGCATATGTGATATAAAGGTGTAACATTTTCTGGGCTATTGTTTCTGTTCTTTTTTAATGGGTGCACTGTTTGAGTTCGGTTATGCTATAGCTTATACAAAGGATAAATGTGATGAACATACATAATATTCACCTCAATTTGGTTTAGCTTATGAAGAACAATACATTGTTCCAGTATTTTTAAATGCCGTATTCAATAACAGCACTTGAGTCAGATATATCAAATGTAAAGAGAAGACAAATGTTAATTTAAAGTGTATATTTATACTTTATTTGGAATATTATGAAATATGAATTCCTTTAATTAATAATTCTTGCAGTTTGCTTTCCAATTCCGCTATTTATCTCTTCATCGAAAGACAAATGATCAAGTAACCTACTAGACCACGCGCATCTATTCAAGTTATTTGGTTGCAGTTTTATTCTAGTTTTTGGTACAAGCTAATCAAAAAATATTAATGCGAAGTATCGCCCCAATCTCGTACTCGAAAGGATAATTTCAATGCTATGGTCCACAAATGTCGTGCTACATATAAGAGTGCATATAAATTGACGTTTCAGAATCAATTTTTTGGTCTATATTTTTAGCGCGTTAATTCGGTGCGACGGAAACAATTTTCGCGTTAGTTCTGGGTCGACTCGTACAAAAGATTTTGGCTTATAACCAAAGAACAACTAATTTTCATGAGATAAATGCAGAAATATAAGAAATAAGGAGTGCTCAATTGTGTACGTTATTTACTTCAAGTTTTAAGAATCAACTATTCTTTTTTGACTTGCTATTTTGGGCTTTTTCACCATACAAACTTTTTTAAGAAATATAAATCTGTTACCTTTTTGTTTAGGCCCACAGCTCTCAAATAAACAACAAATTGTATATATTATAACTCAATTCAAAGATGCTAAACTTAATTCTTGTTGCTCTCTCCAAAAACTGAGAAATCCCAGAATTTTCTCTTAATTTTGGCAAAAATTCAAATAAATTGACCTTACAAAAATCAAGTTTCACTTTTAGTATTCAAATTTGAACACTGAAACCAAGTTTGTAGTTTTACTCATTAGTATGACTTAGATATTTTTTGTTAAGGTACCTCAAGTATTTTTTCAAAGGTGTTTTCTTGATTAAGCGAATAACTTTCGAACAGGAAGCTTGACTTGAAATTTGCTTTACGCGGAGCTTAAAATGTTATTGTAAATTTTGCAGCAAAAATATTCACCACCTTTTTTCAATACCTTAAATTAAATTCATTATTATACACATCAACTAGGTAATTAGTCAACAAGAAAGTGTGAATAGAACGAAATTGGTCAAAGAGCCAAATGATTTGAAACTCTAGGGGCCTAAAACTTGTAATCAAAATTAAATGAAGAGGCAAATTTCAACAATGTAAACAAATCAACAATAACGATACAACTGCAAAAGTATCACTATTATTAGGTCAATATCATTTACGAATTACCTCACGATGCTACAAATTCTAATTTAATCTATACAAAACTACATACATTTACATATAAAATTCTTACATAGCCAATCCCAAAATCAACTCTTTCAAAAGACAATCAACTCTTTCCAATTACATACCTCATTTCGTAGCGGTCGCGGTATCAAAAACTGTTTTATCAGTTCTTGATTATAAATATAAGCTTTCAATTGAACGATCTTGTGTAAAAAAGTCGGACATTACTAATCTAATCAAAGTTTCAAAACCCGCGAAAAAAAAATTATAAATAGTTGGTCACAACCATAATTTTCATTTCAAAGCCAATTTTAACCATGTCAAATCATAAAGATACTGTAGATGCAAACTTGAAACTATTCAATGAAGAATTAAGTGCAAAGTATCAACAAAGAGAAGCTCATAATATATTACCAATCTATTTTATTCAACATTTACTAAACTTTGATTTGAAAGCCCCAAGGAGAACTTTAGATGAAAGTAGTATAATTTTAGGTGATCCAGATTTACCATGTAATGGTTTAACAATTGAAAAAGATTTACCAGATCCAAAAACATTTATAAGTGAACATCCAGATACTCCATTTAAACCAGGTGCTAAAATTTTAGATTTTGCTTGTGGACCAGGTATGGTCACAGAATTATTAGCACCATATTTGAAAAGTTCAACCAAAAAATCAGAATTGATAGGTATGGATATTAATCCAATTTTTTTAAAATCATTTGAAGAACGTGCTGAAAAGGTTAACGATGAAAATTTAACAATGAAAAGTTATGAATATGATATTTTAGATGATTCAATACAAGATGATCTTAAAAAATTTGAAAATTATTTTGATGTAATTGTTTGTACTATATCGTATCATCATATATATAATTATGAAGAGGTTACGAAAAAATTAGTTACATTTTTAAAGAAAAGTGGTTGGTTATTCATAGTTGATTTTTATAATGAAGATGTTGAGTTGAAAAATGCTCCAGCTAATGCTGCTGTACAGCATATGGGTGGTTTAAAGACTGATAAATTGAATTATGTTTTAGGTGATTATTCAGGTTTGAAAAATGTATCAAGTGCAAGAGAGTTTAGAACTTGGGTATGGAATGATGAAAGCTTTATATGTAGTCATATGAATGAATCTGTACTACAAGATTTTAAAGCAGGTAAATTAAGATCAAGAGAAGATAAAGACATGGTAGAGTATTTGGTTCCTGTTAGTTTGATTTATGCTGTTGGTCAAAAAGAATAAACAGATCAAACTCCATTATGTTATACTTATGAATAAACTCCATTACGTTATACTGTTATACTTATGAATAAACTCCATTATGTTATACTGTTATACTTATGAGTAAAGTCCATTATGTTATACTGTTATACTTACGAATACATAAACTTGCCACAATGTACATCGCCAAGATCTAAGCTTTTGTTCAAATGATTTTTCTTATATATACGTCAATTAGTAGGCTTTTTTTTTGCAACATTTGACTTGGTAGCTTCGAAAATGCTCGAAAATACACGGTGTTTTCTATTGTTAATATTTTTAGATTTGCATTGTTTATTTCTTTATTGTGAAATTTTGCAACAAACATTTGAGGTAAACAATTCTAGATAAAAAAACGAAGTTCAAGTACAAACAATGAATTAAAACATATCTACAGCCGTGTAGAGTATCTTTTATGCTTCAATGAGCTATGCTACTGATTTTCAAAAGAAGTTAGAACGCGCTTTGGTTGCAAAAATATTTGTTTTGGTCTTCTTCTGGTTATGAACCCTTTATAAAAATTTCACACCACAAAATTGGAAATAAAAAAAAAAAAAAAATAAAATAAACAAAATCGAAGAAAATTCATTAAAGATCAATATTCCACTTCTTTCTTGGTTTTAATTTTATTCCTTCTTCTTTTCTTTTCCATTCATTCGTTGCTAATTTTGGAATTATTATTATTATTATTATATTATGTTGGTTAAACTAAGTTTGTTAACTAGTTTATTATCATTTTCCTTGGCCCTTCCATCCATTAAAGTTGAAGGTAATGCTTTTTGGAATGAAGAAAGTGGTGAAAGATTTTATATTAGAGGAGTTGATTACCAAATTGGTGGTTCATCAGATTTAACTGATCCTTTAGCTGATTCAGATACTTGTGAAAGAGATATTAAATATTTTCAAGAGCTTGGAATCAATACTGTTAGAGTTTATTCAGTTGATAATACCAAAGATCATGATGATTGTATGGATTTATTGGCTGATGCTGGAATATATGTTATTTTAGATGTTAATACACCTCATTCATCAATTACAAGATCCAATGCTGATTGTTCTTATAATAGTGATTATTTACAAGAAATTTTTGCAACTGTTCAAGCTTTTGCAAAATATAATAATACACTTGGTTTCTTTGCTGGTAATGAAGTTATAAATGATGGTCCATCATTAGAAGCAGCACCATATGTTAAAGCTGTTGTTAGAGATTTGAAAACATTTATCAAAAATAGAAATTTTAGATCAATTCCAGTTGGTTATTCAGCTGCTTCAGTTGTTGAATATAGATTAGCTTCTGGTTTATACTTTAATTGTGGTGATGATGATTTAGCAAGAATTGATATGTATGGTATTAATGATTATTCATGGTGTGGTGAAGCTTCTATGACTACTTCTCAATATAGTCAAGAAATGAAAGATTTTGCTAATTTTACCGTTCCAATCTTTTTTTCAGAATTTGGTTGTAATGCTGCTAAACCAAGACCATTTAGTGAAATTGAAGTTATATACTCAGATGAAATGAGTTCTGTTTTTAGTGGTGGTCTTGTTTATGAATTTTCAGAAGAATCAAACAATTATGGTTTAGTAGAAATTGATGGTGATTCAGTTTCTCCAAAAGATGATTTTGATAATTTGAAAAAAGAATTTAATAAAACTTCAAATCCAAGTGGTGATGGTGGTTATTTGAGCACTGGTGGTGCTAATAATTGTCCATCACAATCAAATGATTGGAATGTTACTAATGATATTCCAGATACTCCAAATGGAGCATTGAAATATTTAAAAGGTGTTGCAGAACCAAGTGGTAATGGTTTTAACGCTTATGTCCAAGGTAATTGTAATAGTGAAGATAATGATAATGATGATTCAGGTAATTTAACAAGCACTATTGGTGCAGATGTCCATACACCATCATCAAGACAATCATCTGCTACATCAAGTTCATTAAGTTCAACAACTTCAACCAGTTCAAAACAAAATGATGCTGCTATTGCATCATCAGGTATCGTTGGTATTTTAGCTTTAGCTGCTGGATTTGCTTTGATTTAGTTTCATAAACAAACAATAATATATATTAATAAACATAAAAAGAAATAAAAAACACCTAAAAGAAAACTGAACACCAACAAACTTAGAAAGCAGCACCTTTATCTCTATGAATTGAAAAAATATGAGATTGAACTGCATCACCTCTTGCAAAAGTTTTATTACAATATTGACAAGTAAATGGTTTTTCACCTGTATGAATTCTAACATGCGTAGTTAATCTATAACGTTGATTAAAACTTGCACCACAATGTTCACAAACATATGGTCTTTCACCAGTATGTATTCTATAATGTCTAGTAAGATCTGAAACTTTGCTAAAACTTTTAGTACAACCTGGATGTGCACATTTATGAATTTTAGGTAATGATTCCTTTTTAGCTTTTGGAGTTTTTTCTAATCTTGCTCTAGCTTTTTTAACGGCAACTGCAGCAGTATCAGCAAAATTATTTGAACCAGAAATTGATGGTGGAATAATTGGTCTATTAAAATTTTGATCAGATGATTGTTGTTGAGATAATTCAGGATCTTCAAGACCTACATGTTGAGAAGTATTATCAATTTCTTCACCTTTATGTTCAGTCTCAACATGAGCCATTAATTTATCATATGAAATAAAACCTTTATTACATTTTAACGCTTGACAATGAAAAACTCTAACATCTTTTAAATTAAAAGAATTTGAAGCAGCCGATGAAGTTGATTCTTTTTGTTCATTTTGAGCGAAGATATTAGATTCATCCTTCATTATATCTTCTTGATCTAAAATAAGATCATGATGAACATGAGTAGTATGAATTTCAAGATTAGCCTTTTGACTAAATTTTTTTCCACATATAGTACATTCATGTTTCTTTGGTTGTGAATGAGTTCTACGATGATTACGTTTATCAATGACATTACGAAATTCTTTTCCACATTTTTCACAAGTTGTTGAAGATGGGTCATCAATATTTTTGAAAATTGTTCTTGTTTGTTTACGTGGTAAATTTGGATCATCAGTTTCTGGACTCGATGTAGTTTGTGATAATTTTCTTTTACCAGTGGCACCTTTCCTTTTGGTTACAAGGTCATCATCATCTAAATCTTCTTCTTCTTCTTCTTCCTCTTCTTGTTCAGGTGCATAATCATTATCTTCTTCACTAAAATCATCATCTACATCATAATTTTTATTTGATTTATTTAAATTTAAATTAGTATTGGTAGCATTTTTGGTAGTTCCTTCATTAGCAGCACCAACAGTAGGATCATTATTCAATTGCATATCTTCTTCTTTTTCATCATCTGATTTTTCAGCTCTACGAATATTTTCTTTAACTGATTCTCTAAGTGCTCTTCTTCTTGAAGATAAAGTCATAGTAATTTGTTATGAAATAAATGTTGTAAAAAATAAAATTGGGAGGGTGTTTGTTTATATTAAATAAAAAAATGAATGAGCACTACCAATTGGGCACTACCAATTGCTACCAACTGCACTACCAATTGATATTACAGCATTAATACACGACTCTGTTTATATTTGAAACTTGGATTATGTAAGAAGAATTCTATTATTCTATTACTATTAATATATGGTGCAATGATTAGTAAAAGATGGTTACAAACTTCATCAAAGAGATGTTTACCAAGATTTACAATGAATAGTGGATCTCCAAGAACTAGAATTACTAAAGAAATATCTCCAGAAGAAGTAAAACAATTTCAAGAAGCTCAATCAAAAGCAAAAGAACAAGCAAGACAAACGTATAGTTTTAATAATGATTCCTCAGGATATCAATTTCATTTGCCAAAGAATACAAATGGTATAATAACACCACAAGATCCTATCTATGATATTTTAAAAGAACCAACTTTGGTAATTGAAAGAAAAATTGAATTTATGAATTTATTTTTAGGATTTGAACAAGCAAATAGATATATTATAATGAATTCTGTAGGTGATACTATTGGATTTATGGAAGAAAAAGATGTTGGAATTGGTAAAATGTTGGGTAGACAATTTTTTAGATTACATAGACCATTTGATATTGATGTTTTTAATTTAAAAGGTGAATTAGCATTAAGTATAAAAAGACCATTTTCATTTATAAATTCTCATATAAAAGCATTATTACCAGGTTATGATTTGAACAATGAATTAATGTATGAAATAGTTGGAGAATCAGTACAAAGTTGGCATTTATGGAGAAGAAGATATAATTTATTTAAATTAGAAGATGAAAAAACTGATGATTATAATCAATTCGGAGAAATAGATGCTCCATTTTTATCATTTGATTTTCCAATAAAAGATGATAAAGGTAAAATATTGGCAAGTATAGATAGAAATTGGGTTGGATTAGGTAGAGAAATGTTTACAGATACAGGTGTTTATATATTAAGATTTGATCCAATGTCATTCCAAGGATTGGAACAATATTATGGAAATAATATATCAACAAAGGGAGTAACATTAGATCAAAGAGCTATAATGTTATCATGTTTTACAAGTATTGATTTTGATTATTTTTCAAGGCATTCCGGTGGCCATGGATTATTTGGATTTGGTAGCAGTTACGACGAAGTTTAATACGAGAAAAAAAAAAAATAAAACCCACCAGAAAACTATCCCATATAATAATTAATTATCAACAAATTGTTAACATGTCAACATATGATGATTATGCCAAATTATTCAATTTGGATTCAACACCAGTTGAACAAAGCTCAATTACATCAAGTACTACATATTTTACAATATTTTTAATATTAATATCATTTAGTTTCTTATCAATGACTTTATTAGGCGATATTAAAAATAAGTCATTTATAACATATTTAATTAATTCAATAGTTACTTCTATATGTGTTGGTTTAACAGTTATATATGTTTCAAACTATGTTGGTGTGTATATTTAGATAGAAATATTTAATATAAATATATTAATTTGTTGTGCTGTTCATTTCAAAGCTCGTTGAAATATTCGATGAAATTCATACAATTTATACATTTACTTTCATTATTGAGTATTGTTATATCATTACAAGATTCTTATACTTTAGATTCTAATATATTTGAATTAACTTCATCAAATTTTAATAAAGTAATTCATAATTCAAATTATACTTCAATTGTAAAATTTTATGCACCATGGTGTCAATATTGTCAGAAACTTAAACCTGTGTGGACAAAATTAGGTAAATTTATAAATGATTCAAAATATTCAATAAATGTTGCTAGTGTTAATTGCGATAAAGATTATAATAAACAATTATGTTCACAATATAAAATTTCAGGTTTTCCGACTTTGATGGTTTTTAGACCACCAAAATTTAGCAAAGGAGCAGCAAGTGTAAATACTAAAAATCATGCTTCGGAAGTTTATAATGGTGAAAGATCAGTTAAATCTATTGTAAATTTTATAACTTCAAGGATTAAAAATTATGTTAAAAAATTTCACAATATAAATTCAGATGGTTTAAAAGAGTGGTTAGAAGAAAAAGAAGGAGGAGGAGGAGTCAAAGTTTTATTAATAACAAAAGCAAATTCAATTAGTCCTTTATTGAAATCATTAGCTATTGACTATTTAAATAAAGTGGATTTTGCAATGATTGGTAAATTAAACGAAGATTCAAAATTACTTGAAATTGATGGAGTGGAAGTTACTATCGCACCAAGTACATCATCTACATTATTATATTATGATAAAGAAGATCATAAATTTATTAAATATGAAGAAAGTAAGAAATTAAATGATAAATTACAAATTGAAAAATGGATATCAAAAATTTCAAACATTTCACCAGTTGAAGGTCCATTATCTAAAAAAGGTAAAAAGTTTTCAAAATATAGAGGTGTTAAAAAAGTAGAACATGATGAATTATGATATTTAGACTTTACCAAAGCTATTCATCATATCTAACAATGAATCTATATCTTCTTCTTTTTTATCATTTTTTACTTTTTCTATGTCTAATGATTGTATCCAATTTGTAACTTGATCAATATATAATTTAGAATTAGGTACAAAATGACCACCTGGATGTTTTAATAAATCTGATTTTGATTTAGTTAAATTATATAATGATAATGATCTAGTTTCATCAACAACAGTATCTAATTCTCCATAAACATGTAAATATCTAAGATTATTCTCCTCTACTTCTTTTTCATTTGGATAATATTCTTTTAATCCTGAATTTCCAGATTTTTCATTAGTATCTAATTTAAAACCAGAATAAAAAATTACAAATTTTAATGAATTAGTATTAAATAATTTTGAAAATTTATGACATATAATTCCACCAAATGAAGCGCCTTGACTGAATCCAATCAATCCCAAAATTGGTAACTTTTTTTCTTCTTCTGTTTCTTCAATAATTTTTAAATCTTCATCTGGTATTATTTTCTGATTTTTTATATAATCATTTATTGTTTCTATTGATTTATTTAAATTTATAGAATCATTTGTTTTATTAGGTTTAATCCACCATCCTCTATATATCATATCTTGTTTATCATCTGATCCAAATTTTACTAATGAATCATCTGAAGGTAAATCATTCGGTTGTAAAATATAAGGACCATTTAAATAAATACATTTATAACCTAATTTTGTTAATTTTTTCCTTAAAGCAGAAGTTTTAGCATAAAATAATGATGAAGATTGAGTATAACCATGTAGGAATAATATTTTACCTTTATACTTGTTTTCTATACTATTTGGTGCCATTGGTTAAAGATCTAATTATAGATTTATTTTTTTTTTTTTCTGACAGATGGACAAATAAAAAAAATGGCTGCAAAATAATAATAATTTTGCAACAACAACATCTTGAATCTATAGTAAATAGTAAATACTAATAAACAATTGATAGTGTTAATCAATATGCATATGCTTTGTTTATCTTCCAATCATAATTATAATTATAATTATTCCAGATCTTTTAAACGGGTCTAGAAAAGGGGGAAACCTTGTTTCCATCCGTTTTAGATCGTCGGACATTCCCATAAGGCGTTTAAAATTATTAATATACACAAAATTTTATGCCATGTGTTTATATGGTTTTATCAAATAATCTAAAATCTATTGTTCAAAGAAGTTATTGTTGATGAAAAATCAAAAAGTGAAATAACCGGAAGAAAAAAAAACCTAAATTTAATTCCATTTAAAGTATATATTAGACAATCATATATTAGACAATCCCTGGCAAGAGTAATTCAGTCTTTACCCGTCCAGCTGAGTAATTCAATCTTTACCCGTCCAGCTGAATAGAGTAGTTTACCAATCAATAGTTACTATAATACTAACGAAATTGTTCAATGTTTCACGTGTTAAAATGGTTTGTAGCGTTTGCAACCAAAAAAAAAAAAAAAATAAATAAAAAAAAAAAAAAAAATTCAACTTTGTGTAACAAAATATGTTCAATACCACATGTGTCAAAACTAAACTTAACTTAAGATAAACCAATATATATATAGTAAACTATATAATAGACTATTGGTTGTCTGTTATTTTTACATTATTCCATCAATTTATCCATTCTTTAATCATGAAATATTTATTATTATTAATAGCTTTATTTATTACTAAACTATCAGGTGCTCAAACCGTTTTCCAAAGTTCATGTCCTAGTGATTCTCCAATTTCTTGTTCTTCATCTCAAGCTGCTAGTTGCTGTTTTGAAAGTCCAGGTGGTGTCTTATTACAGACACAATTTTGGGATTATTCTCCTGCTACTGGTCCAAATAATTTATTTACTTTACATGGTTTATGGCCTGATAATTGTGATGGTACTTATCAACAATTTTGTGATTCTTCTTTGCAAATTTCTGATGATGGTTCAACTATTAAAGATATTATTGTAAATAAATTTAATGATCAAGAATTATATGATAATTTAAGTAATGTTTGGAAAGATATTAACGGTAATGATCAATCTTTATGGGCTCATGAATGGAATAAACATGGTACTTGTATAAATACTATTAATCCTTCCTGTTATTCTTCTTATGAAACTAATGAAGATGTTTATGATTATTATAAAATTTTATATCAATTATTTGAAAATTTACCAACTTATCAATGGTTAACTGAAGCTGGTATTAAACCTTCAAATTCGGTTACTTATACAAAATCTCAAATTCAAAATGCTTTAAGTTCAAAATTTGGTCAACAAGTTTATTTTAAATGTGATTCAAGTAACGCATTAAATGAAATTTGGTATTTTCATCACATTAAAGGTTCTTTATTACAACAAAATTTTGTACCAATTGCTCCTTTATCAAATTCAAATTGTCCAAGTTCTGGTATTAAATTCCCTCTAAAAGGTGGTTCTGATGGTTCTGATCCAGCTCCAACTAATACCCAACCTGGATCTACTCCAACTGGTTTTCCATCAACAAGTTATATTACATTAAGTGGTAAAAATGGCTGTTTAATTAGTAATGGTAAATATTATACTAGTGGAACTTGTGCAACTTATCATTTTACTGCTGCTACTTATGGTGGTGTTGTTATTAAATCTTCAAAAGGTGGTTGTGGTGTTGATTCAAATAATAATTTTGTGTGTGGATCAGATGTTGATGATTCAAAGAATCAATTCCAAATTAAAAATGGTCAAATTGGTTATGGTGGTAACTACGATTGGTGTTTAGGTTCATCATCTGGTGGTCAAACTATCGTTTATTTATCAAATGGTAAATGTTCATCGTTTACATTAAATGTTTCAGGTAATTAAATAAATAAGAAAAGTAATAGACGTTTGATTTTAGAGATTAATTTGTTTTTATTCGTTGAAGAATGTTTTATTAAAAATATATAAAATCTACCATTTCTAAAAACCCAATAACAATATAAAATACAAAATGAAGTTAAATAAACATAAGCTTTAATTTTTTTTTTTTTAATTTTTTTTTAATATGATTCTTTTCTATCATTAAACATGCAGTTGATGCAATTCGTTAAATATATAAATTCTAAAATGGTAGATGATAAAAATTGAATCTACCTAATATCTGTAAATATCAGCTTTATAAGGACCTTGTTCTGGAATACCCAAATAATCAGCTTGTTTTGGTGTTAATGTAGTCAATTTAGCATTTAAATGATCTAAATGACATCTTGCAACAGTTTCATCTAAAACTTTTGGTAAAACATGAACACCAACATCAAATGGACCTGATTTAGCAAATTCTGGAAATTGTTCTCTAAATTCTTTATCTTGAGATTTATATAAAGCAATTTGAGCTAAAACTTGATTTGAAAATGAACAACTCATAACAAATGATGAATGACCAGTAGCACAACCTAAATTAACTAATCTACCATCAGCTAATAAAATAATATGTCTACCATTTTTCATTAAATATCTATCAACTTGTGGTTTAATATTAACAACTGATTCAGCATTTGATTTTAACCAAGCAACATCAATTTCAATATCAAAATGACCAATGTTACAAACAATAGCATCTTCTGGCATTTTTTCAAAATGTTCACCAACAATAATATCTCTACAACCAGTTGTAGTGACAAAAATTTGACCAATACTTGCAACTTCATCCATTGGAGCAACTTGATAACCAGAAACAGCAGCTTGTAAAGCATTAATCGGATCAATTTCAGTAACAATGACTCTAGCACCCATACCATGTAAAGCCATAGCACAACCTTTACCAACATCACCAAAACCTGCAACAACAGCAACTTTACCAGCAATCATAACATCAGTAGCTCTTTTAATACCATCAACTAATGATTCTCTACAACCATATAAATTATCAAATTTTGATTTAGTAACTGAATCATTAACATTAATGGCTGGAACTTTTAATTTACCATCTCTTAATGATTTATATAAATGATGAACACCTGTAGTTGTTTCTTCTGATAAACCATAACAATCTTCCAACATTTCAGGATATTTTTCATGAACTAAAGAAGTTAAATCACCACCATCATCTAAAATTAAATTTAATTTTTTACCATCTTTAAAAGCAAATAATTGTTGTTCAATACACCATTGATATTCTTCTTCAGTTTCACCTTTCCAAGCAAAAACTGGAACACCAGAAGCAGCAATAGCAGCAGCAGCATGATCTTGAGTTGAAAAAATGTTACAAGATGACCAAGTAACTTCTGCACCTAAAGCGACTAAAGTTTCAATTAAAACAGCTGTTTGAATTGTCATATGTAAACATCCCGCAATTCTAGCACCTTTTAAAGGTTGAGATGGGCCATATTTTTTTCTAATATACATTAAACCTGGCATTTCATTTTCTGATAATTCAATATCTTTTCTACCAAAGGCAGCTAATGAAATATCCGCAACTTTAAAATTTGTAGCTGGTGAAGTCATATTTTCTAATTAATCGTAAAGAAATCTGTTAATAAAAATTGAAAAATTTGTTGAAAAAAAATATGAAAATTTATATAGTGCGCGCTTCACTAATTAATACATACATTATTTACATTGTTGACATTTACTTAACAACGTGTCGTATAATAAAAATACTACACATGTGAAGAAATAGACAGTATTAAATAAACTATTGTTATTTGACGTTGACAGAGAGACAATTGAAATTCTATTATAAACTATAACTAGTATATGCGTATACATTGAAACACCATAAACTTATAATACTATTCTTTTGATTCCCGTCGATCAAATCGATACGATAGATTTTGAATTGAATTGCACGACTTTTCAATTTGCTGCAAAATTTTTGCAGCAATTTGATTTACTGAATTAAATTGTTCAATGTTCAGATTATAACTTCGTTAACGTCTTTTAATGAGCTTAAACATAAGATTATAACTTCGTTAACGTCTTTTAATGAGTTTAAACATAAGATCCAATGCTTATGAAGACTGTATATGTGCCTCAAAACTATTTCTCAATAAAACTAGCTATAATAAAATTTATTATTCTTCGACAATTGGACTTTAACGCTTGGTTACTAATCATTAATATTACGAGCTAGGTTATATTTAGTTTTTTAGCTATTAGATTTCATAAGCTGCATAGCACAAGCTACTCTGTAGCTTCATTTGAGTTATTGAATACTATGGAGAACATTGTTCTAGAAGAATCTACATCAGTTAATAAGCTATTCCAGACGCTAAATGCCACCAAGATTGATAATAGTGCATATTAAAGCCTTATTAAACACGCTAGTTAACTATTGTATGTTGAGCCCAATTGTATAAAGATCTAGTTTGTAGCCAGAGTTAAAAATATGACTGCAAAAAAAAAATTGATTGCAAAATAAAAATTACATAATAAAAAGATCAATAATCAAGGATCAAGAACCCTAAAAACTTTATATTCAAACTGTTAATATTCAATACTATCTTATCTATTTAATCAATTATAAGTCTCCATAAATCAATATATCTGTCAAAATGTGTATAAATATTGCGTAGTCAAGCAAAAAAACCCTGGTACAATTTTTCGAAAAAAAAAAAAATCAATAAAAAGATCATTTTTTTCTTTCTATAAAAATCCTTGATCAATTTTATCTATTCTTATTATATTGATTATCAACAAACAACAGTTCATTTACATTTTACATTCATTTAAAGATATATTACTACCATATTCATTATCTTCTTCAATTCATTGTCATTCAAATCATTTTTTTTTTTTATTTGTCTATTTTTCATCCCTTATAGTTTCAATTTTAGCATTTTTATAAATTTATGAGTTCTAATCCACCACCCCCATTGAATAGAAATTCTTCAGTATCTTCAAAAAATGGTAAAAACTTATTTGTTGCTCATAGACGTTCACCATCTGATTTAACAAGTTTAATGGCAGAACAATATGAATTACAAAAACAACTTGAATCAAATAAATTACAACAACAACAATTGCTTTCAAATCAAAATTTTCAACAACAACCTCAACAATATTCAAGTCATTCACGTTCTGGTTCAATTAATAATCGTAGTGCTCCAGGTACTGCTCATGGTCATTCAAGAAGACATAGTCTTGGTCTTGATGAAGCAAAAAGATTGGCGAATGATAAACGTAATAATAAAAATTCTCCAACTATTGATTCAGCTGTTAGCACAACACAAAATTTCACTTTTCCACCTCAAGAAAATATTCTTCAAAGTCCAAGACATGGTCAACAACAACAACAACAATCATTTAAATTTCCACCTCCACCAAATTCCGAAAATAATTTAATGCCACCACCCACTATTAATTTTCAATCACCATCTCATAATAGAAAAGGATCACATTATAGATCAAATTCACGTGGTGGTGGGGGTGCTAATATGGACATAAACTGGAGATCTCCACAACAACAGCAACAACAACCGCAACAACAACAACCGCAACATAAACAATCTTCAAGTCTATTAGAACCTCCTTTAAATTTTGTTCCTGGACATAGATCAAGAAATTCATCATATGGAGGTTCAACTTCAAGTTTACAACAATTTTTACCAAATCAACAAAATAATAATCAACAAGGTAATACTCGTAAAAGTTTATTTGCACCATATTTAGCTCAAGCAAGTTTACCAGATTTAATCAATGAAGGAAGATTGGTTACAGGTACATTAAGGGTTAATAAAAAGAATAGATCTGATGCATATGTTTCAACTGATGGTTTATTAGATGCTGATATTTTTATTTGTGGTTCAAAAGATCGTAATCGTGCATTAGAAAATGATTTAGTTGCAGTTGAATTATTAATTCCAGAAGAAGTTTGGGAATCAAAGAAAGAAAAAGAAGAGAAAAAGAGAAGAAAAGATAATACTTTCCCTTCTAGACCCCTTACTGAAGATATTCATAATGATGCTACTTCAAATGATAGTCAAGAAAAAGAATTACCTTCTGAATTACATCGTCAAGGTAGTCTTAAAACAAGACCTACTCTTAAGAAAAACGATGATGTTGAAGTTGAAGGACAATCGTTATTATTGACAGAAGAAGAAGAAATTAATGATCAACTCAAACCTTTGTATGCTGGTCATGTTGTTGCTGTTGTTGACCGTATCCCTGGTCAATTATTTGCTGGTACATTAGGTTTATTAAGACCTGCTCAAGCTGCTCAAGCTGCAAGAGATAAGAAAAATGGTACTGACTCATCAGTTGTGACTCCAAAAAATCCAAAAATCGTTTGGTTTAAACCAATTGATAAAAAAGTTCCATTAATAGCAATACCAACTGAACAAGCACCAAAAGATTTTGTTGAAAATAATGAAAAATATTCTAATCAATTATTTGTTGCTTCAATAAAAAGATGGCCAATTACTTCCTTGCATCCATTTGGTACTCTTGTTTCAAAATTGGGTCCAATTGATTCACCAGATACTGAAGTTGATAGTATTTTAAGAGATAATAATTTCTTATGTGATGAATATCCAGATGATAATGAAGGAGTTACTACAAATGTTTATGATTTACCCGAACCGATTTTTGAAAATAGAGTCGAATATTTAAATGATTATATAATTGCATTTACACAAAATGGAGAGTTTACAGACATTGCTTTACATGTTAAAAGAACTTCCAATACTAAAATAGAATTAGGTGTTCATATTGCTGACGTTTCATATTTTATCAAACCAGGTTCTCCATTAGATAGAAAATCCAAGAAAAGATCTTCATCAGTTTTCTTACCTCAAAAATCAGTCCATCTTTATCCAAAACAAGTTAATAAATTAATTTCGTTCAAAGAAAATGAAAAAAATTTAGCAATATCTGTTGTTTTTGAAATTGATACAACAAATTTTGAAGTTGAAGATTTATATATTCATGAATCAGTCATTGTACCAAAACAATTGGTTAGTTTTGATTCATTTGATCAAATTCTTGAAAATAAACCAATTGAAGGGATTTCATCTGCTACATCTGACTATATTAAAACACTTAGTTTAATTTCTAAAGAATTTAGACGTCATCGTTTAGAAAATAGATCTTTGGGTATTGAACCTAACTTAACATTACTTGATCAATTGGATGATGAAAAAGTAAGACTTAATTTAAACATTTTCAAAGATTCTTTAGCGTTTGATGTCATTTCAGAAATTATTCATAAAGTAAATCATGCAATTGCTGTTAAGATTCATTCAAAATTAGGTGATCAAGCATTTTTAAGAAGACATCCATTACCAACATTACAAAAGATGGAAACATTTGTCAAAAAAGCAAACAATTTAGGATTCAAAGTTGATACAACAACTTCAGCAACATTACAAAATTCGATATTACTGATTGATGATCCTGTAAAAAGACAATGTGTTGAAACATTATTATTTAAATGTATGTCAAGAAGTAAATATTATGTTGCTGGTAAACAAGATAGTGATACTTATTTCCATTATTATTTCAATTTACCTTTATATACTCATTTTAATGCACCATTAAGAAGATATGGTGATTTAATAGTTCATAGACAATTAAAACAAGTACTTTCAAACCAATTTGAGGAAAAAGATTTGGATTCATTGAAAGCTGCGGCTGATTATTGTAATTTCAAAAAAGATTGTGCATCACAAGCTCAAGAACAAGCAATTCATTTGTTATTGTCACAAACTATTAATGAAGTTAGTGAATCTGCAGGTCAATTATTATGTATGGGTACAGTTGTACAAGTTTATGAATCTTCATTTGATGTTTTTATTTCAGAATTTGGTATTGAAAAAAGAGTTCATGGAGATCAGTTGCCTTTAGTTAAAGCAGAATTTGATAAAACAAATAGAATTTTAGAATTATATTGGGAAAAAGGTGTTGATGTTGCAACTTATATTCCACAAGATGAAAAATCTTCATTAAGTTATCGTAATTCAATTAAAAATAAATATCGTACAAGTTCACTAGAAGCTGCAAAATTACAAAATAAAACAATTTTGGATATTTTTAAAACAGATTCTATAATTGAAAAATTATCAAAATTAAATTTAGAACCACCAAAATTGTTAATACCACAATTGAAACAAAATTATGAAAAAAATTCAAAATCAATGCCAAATTCTCCAACTCAAGAAGTTCCAAAGAATTTAAGAACAAATTCATCATCAGTTGTAGCTGAAGAATCTGAAAAAGGTTTAGCACCTTATATACAAGATGTAACAACTAAAATTGAAGGTGAAAATCACATTCAAGTTATTAAAGAATTAAGTCAAGTACCTATTTTACTTAGAGCTGAAATTGGTTTGGCATTACCTTGTCTTACCGTAAGAGTTTTAAATCCATTTACCGAATAGTTAATATCGAAATTATCAATATATATATAGTTAATAAAACAATCAATCAATTCATTGTTAAGAAACAATTTAATTTTTTTTTTTTTTTAACCGCGTAGGGACAAATTTTTCAAATATTGCAAAATTTTAAAACGTAATAATGTCTGATAAGACTACTAAACTTCATAGTAGGGAAGATGTACATGAAAATGGAACTAATCAACCATTACCAATATTACCAATCAAAAGATCAAAATTAATTTCGACAGATTCACCTTTACAAACTAGAGCTGCTTCTCCTTTAATTTTAAATCCTCCAATTGATAACGATGGATTATCTTGGCCATCACAAGGTGCAAGATCAAGAATTGAACAGTCACCAGAGGAGGCAAAAGAAAGAGAAGAAAGAATTGCTAATGCTGTTAAAGTTGTATTGAGTGAACTTGGTGAAGATATTAATAGAGAAGGTTTATTAGAAACTCCCGAAAGATATGCAAGAGCCATGTTATATTTTACAAAAGGTTATGAAGACAATATTAGAAATGTTATTAAGAACGCAGTATTTGAAGAAGATCATGATGAAATGGTTATAGTTCGAGATATTGAAATTTATTCACTTTGTGAACATCATTTGGTTCCATTTTTCGGTAAATGTCATATTGGTTATATTCCAAACAAACGTGTTTTAGGTTTAAGTAAATTAGCAAGATTAGCTGAAATGTACAGTCGTAGGTTTCAAGTTCAAGAAAGATTAACAAAACAAATAGCTGTTGCACTTCTGGAAATTTTGAAACCAAGAGGAGTGGCTGTTGTTATTGAAGCTCAACACATGTGTATGGTTAGTAGAGGTGTTCAAAAGACTGGTTCTTCAACAACTACCAGTTGTATGTTGGGTTGTTTCAGAGATCACCAAAAAACCAGAGAAGAATTTTTAACCTTATTAGGTAGAAAATAATTAATTAGATTTTTATTTCAATTCAACTTTTTAACGATGTGATGATAATTCAACTTATATACATTTGATATACATTTATAAAATGGGAAATTCCGTTGAAACTTGTATTACTCTATCGATCTATTTGAATGACCTACGAATGTGACTGACCTACTTTAACTTATGACACTACCATCATGGTTTGCAGAAATGTAATCAGATTTTGTTCAAGCAATGAGCAAGTACAGATGACTTGTTCCAGCCAACTCAAAATTTGAAAATAATTATCAAAACCACTTCTCAATTATGGTTTTAATAATACCAAACCAACGATTAAAAGTTATTAATTACATCTTCTGCAGTATGTAAAACTAATTTGTCGTCACCAAACTGACCCATTATTTGAATACCAATTCCATTTATTGGTATCGATATAGTTGGTAATCCAACTAATGAAGCAGGAACTGTTAAAACATCATTGATATATGAATTTAATATATTTTCAGATTCTCTTTTTTCAAATGTTTCATAGTCAGGTGCTTTAGACATTGCAGTTGGTGAAATTAGTAGATCACATTTATCTTGAAATTGTTCATCTTGAAAAAGAACATGTTTATTATTAAAATTTTTGGAAAACTCTTTTGCCAATTGCTTTCTTAGCAAAGTTGATTTTAAATAATGATCACCAGATGATGAACTCAAAGTATAATTACCTAAAATTATTCTTCGTTTAACTTCTTTACCAAAAAATTCAGATCTATTTCTAAAAATTATATTTTGGTCCAATTTATCATAATCGTTAGTACTGCCGTATCTTGTTCCATCATATCTTGATAAATTTGAAGCTGCTTCTGCAGTTGCCAAAGTATAATATGTTGGTAATGCTTTTTTGATTGAAGTTATGGAAATGGTTTTTACAACATGACCAAGATTGATCAATTTTAGTATGAATTGTTTAAAGGTATTCTTTACGTCTATGGATATATCCTCTAGTATAAATTCTTCGGGTATTCCAATGATTAATCGTTCCTTGTTTGTTTCTGGTGTTTCTTTTCGTAGTTCTTCAGGTAATGAGGTTGGATCTTTTTCATCATACATATTCAATACGGAATAAACATGTTTTATTGTATCAATTTTCTTGCTTAATATTCCAATAGTGTCCAATGTTTGTGCATAAGGTATTAATCCCCACCTTGAAATTCTACCATAAGTTGGTTTAAATCCAATCACATTACAATAACTAGCAGGTAACCTAATTGACCCACCAGTATCTGAGCCAATTGAAAAATCACATAGATCTGCTGCGACACTAGCTGCACTTCCACTACTTGAACCACCAGCAATTTTACCTGGATAAATTGGATTTAAAGTAGGGCCGGGAGCAGAATTTAATCCACTCGATCCCATACCAAACTCATCTAGATTTACTTTACCAGACAACTCAGCCCCTGAATCATATAATAACTTCACAACTTCAGCATTGAATGGACTTTGATAATTTTTCAAAACATTTGATGATGCTGTGGTCAAAATTCCACCCGACAAATTTCCTGTCACTATATTATCTTTACAAGTATACTTCAAACCTGATAATAAACCGCCATTATTCTTTCTATATGAACACTTATTTAATATTGAATCTTGTACATTTTTCACTATGTGGCGCTTCATCTAATTTAGCGCATTTACTTTCGTTTCAATTTTTTTTTTTTCAAATCAAATTAGTCATGGTTGAAGTTTTTGCATCCAAAGGTAATAATTTATTAACTTTAGTTGATAATTTGAAATTAGCTATTGCTTTATCTGTTTATACAAATGAAACTTTAAAATTACATGGAGAAGAAAAGAAATGTTTTTTAATTGGTGAAAATTTAAAATTAGTTGAACCGAATTCAATTGTTAAATATTTAGCTAAAAATTTTACCAAAGATGAATTTATTGACTTTGAAGAAGATGAAATCTATCCTAAATTAAAGAATAAAAAAGATATTGGTGATTTGAAAACTCCTGATAAAGTTGAACTTAATCCATCTCAAATTATTTTATTTTCATCATTATACCCTACGCTCAAGGATTCTTCAAATAAATGGTTTAATGAATTCGAATCACAAGTCACTAAAGGTATTGAAAATGGATTATCTATAACTCATCAAGAAAGAGCAAAAGAAGAACATACAGGTAAACAAAATTTCAATTCAAGTTTTCAAGTTAAACCTCAAGATAAAGCCATCTTACCAAAAGATGGTGAAAGAAACATTTTAATCACTTCTGCTTTACCTTATGTTAACAATGTTCCTCACTTGGGTAATATAATTGGTTCAGTTTTAAGTGCTGATATATTTTCAAGATATGTTAAAAATAGAAATTATAATGCAATCTATATTTGTGGTACTGATGAATATGGTACAGCAACAGAAACTAAAGCTTTAGAAGAAGGCGTTACACCTTACGAATTATGTACAAAATATCACAAAATTCATAAAGAAGTTTATGACTGGTTTGATATCAATTTTGATTATTTTGGTAGAACTACTACCGAATTACAAACAGAAATAGCACAAGACATTTTTATTAAATTGTATAACAATGATTATTTAACTACAAAAACTAATGAACAATTATATTGTGAACATCATAAATCATTTTTAGCAGATCGTTTTGTTGAAGGTACTTGTCCAAAATGTCAATATGAAGATGCAAGAGGTGATCAATGTGATAAATGTGGAAGTTTATTAGATCCTGAAGAATTAATTGAACCAAGATGTAAAGTAGATGGCACAAAACCAATTAAGAAATCAACAACTCATGTTTATTTGAAATTAGATGAATTACAGGAACCATTAAAAGAATGGGTTGATAAAGCATCTGTTGATGGTAGCTGGACTAAAAATTCTAAACAAATTACAAATAACTGGATTAATAAAGGTCTTGAACCTAGATGTATAACTAGAGATTTAATTTGGGGAACTCCAGTGCCTTTAGAAGAATTTAAAGATAAAGTTTTATATGTATGGTTCGATGCTACTATTGGTTATGTATCAATTACTGCTAATTATTTTAAAGAAAAAAGTGATTACAAACTTTATGAACAATGGTGGAAAAACCCTGAAAATGTTGATTTATATCAATTTATGGGTAAAGACAATACTCCATTCCACACTGTGGTCTTCCCATCATCCTTGATAGGTACAAAAGATAAATGGACCAAGTTGCATCATATCAATACAACTGAATATTTACAATACGAAGGTGGTAAATTTTCAAAATCGAGAGGTATTGGGGTTTTTGGAAATTCAGCCAAAGAAACTGGTTTATCATCAGATGTATGGAGATTTTATCTTTGTTCAGTTAGACCCGAATCTAATGATTCTCAATTTAGTTGGGATGAGTTTGTTGCTTGCAATAATAACATTCTTTTAGCTAATTTTGGAAATTTTGTCAATCGTGTTATTAAATATTTGCTGGCGAAATATAATCAAGTAATTCCAAAATTTGATTTAAAAAATTTACCAGAATTTGAAGCATTAGAATCAGAAGTTAATAAGATCTTAAAAGAATATATTCAAGCTATGGAAGTTGCTAATTTAAGAAAAGGTTTAGAATTAGTTATGGCTATTTCAGCAAAAGGGAATCAATTCTTACAAGAAAATAAATTAGATAATTCATTATATTTGAATAAACCAGATAAATGTGATGCTGTTGTTAATGTTGCAATTAATTTAATTTATTTATTAAGTGCTACTATTAGTCCATTTATGCCCGGTACTTCAAAACAGATTCAAGAAATGTTGAATGCTCCGCCATTATCAATTACTGATAAGTTTGAATTAGTTTTATTACCTGGCCATAATGTTGGAAAAGCTCAATATTTATTTAAAAGAATTGAAGAGTCAAAAATTGAAGAATGGAGAAACTTATATGGTGGTCAACAAAAGAAATAAAGATATTTAGATTAGATTGAATATATAGAATACGTGTTGAATTGATTTCTCTATGATTTACTTGGATCTTTTTGCAAGATTGAATGAATCTGAGAAGCGCAATTTTCTGTTCGTATATTAATAATGTTGGATGCAAAGAGCCTATGAATATTTTGCGCTTCCAACATTTTGATTCGTAATTAAGGATTCAACAAGTTTGAGGGTCAAATTTTGATTTGAAATCAACTATTTGAACTTCTACTTTGAGATGTACTTGACCTAAAAACATGGTTTTGAGTGATCACATTACGTTAGATCAGGTTATGGCGTGTTTTTGTGGTTTAACTTGGTGGCATTTTTCAAATTTTGAGGTTAAATTCAAATTATTCGCAAACTTATAAACACTGAAAATCTTCAAACTTAACTAATTAATATCTCTAAATCCCAATGCTAATGACTAATCTAGCTTCTTGGAACCTCGTGTATATCTACCTTTAGGTTGTTTGTTAGAATTTTGATTGCTTAAATTGGCTGCAAAAAAAGTGTATCTGGTTAGCAATAATTCTACATAATTTTGCATCACATTTTTGAGAACTTTTATAATTTATGTCACGTAGATCATCTACTGTATCACAGTATGCTTTGAACTTGCAGAGAAGAAGAACTTTAGAAAGTGAGTTAAATAAATTAGAAGCTGAATCTTTGGCTTCTGCATTACCCGAGGGCTTCAATGTTAAAGAGACCGAAAGCAAAGACTCAGGATATTCAATTCTTAGTAAGACGAAGAGATTTTTTGGTTGGATTAAATCAAAATTTAAGAATTTATTTTATGGGGATTGAATTATATACTAAAAATTATAGCATTGACGATAAAGGATTATCAGCGTGACAAAAGTACAAATCATAATGTTTTTATCATATTCTTGTAACAAATTTAATCATGGAAATAGATTTAGCTCAATTTATTCTAGTTTACCCAAACTTAAAGAAATTCATGGAATTTATTAATTTTAGCTTAGATCAATTAGAAATAGGATCAGCACTTTATTTTAAGGAAAACATATTTTATCCGTTATTTTATAAAAAGCTATGGTCCTAAATAAGATGCACTTTAGGTTTTCAGTTGTGGCGAATTTTTTATATGATGAATAACTGCAAAATTTTAACTGAAAAGAAAAGTTTCAAACTATCCCAGCTTAACTTATGCGAGATACATAATTCAATGCTTCTGATCTCGTATAATTAGTGTTTAGCTCAAGAGAATAGTTGGCTCCTGTGTATAAACAAACGAGTTTAGTACGAGTCGTCCTAGAGCTAGCGCGAAGAAAATGTTAAGTTGGCGCTAAATTCGGGCGATTATACAATCTACAAAACATGGAACAAAAAAAAGAAATAGATAATAAAAAATTCTGAAACAAATTCTAGTTTTATGCAGTCTTAATTTACTTACTCTTGAAATTTAGATTGTGAATAACTTAGTCAATAGACATGCATTTATTTTCAAACTTTGTTTATTATAAGCTTCAAATTATCAAGAGTAAAATGTTGTTAGTATGTCATTGATTAACCAAATTCTGAGGGTGGATTTCTTCATTCAAAAAACGGGAAAAAACGCCAATTTGTAAGATAATAAACACTTAGACGTTATTAAGCAACTTCTAATATGGCTGATTCTGTTTATTGAATCCCAGATATTATACGTATGATGTTTCCAAAAAGCCACAATCAATTTGAAATTTTTGCAAAAATTTCGATTTACTTTTGAAAAATTAGTTTTCTAATTTGGAATACTTCAACACTGAAAAATTCAATGGTTAGTTGTGTGCCTGAACTACAAGATTGGATGGAAACATCATATTTTTGTCTTTATATTCAGTGTGGAACTAGATTTTATGTAAGGTGAATTTATTTGAATTTCCCTATACTGAAAGAAAATTTTGAAATTTTTCAGATTTAATCTAAATCGACTATAATTAAGTTCTGCACTTTAGATTGAGCTGTATACTTATAATGAGTTTTTTATTTTAAAGTTCCGTAAATATCATATACTTTGCATTTGCAAATTTTTTGTATGCCGAAAAAAACCGAAAATCAAAATCAAAAAAAAAAATTCAGAAAAGAAACAGTTTGAACTATATAGATCACATAGTTAAAGACTCTGATTTTACATAAGCGGTATTTATTTTCTGAAAATTCTTTGGTCATTAGTTAGAAGCCAGAATATTTAGCACGAGTCGCCTAAAAAACTCGAGCGAGAAATTATTTTGGCGCTACGATTTTTCGGGTTGAGAATGGCGCGATATTTATAAAGCGATTTGAGGCCCCGTCATGTGAGTATCAAGTTATATGCAGTTTTATTCTTATTCATTGACTTTAGAGCCTAGGTAAACTTCAATAAACCAGTCAGAAGTTCATATCAATCAAAAAATTCAGCTTAAATTGAATGTATGTACCTAATATTAATTTTGACTCTTAAGGGGTTATCTTCAAACGAGTCATTGGTATACAAACCAAGTTATATGCCTGACAATTAGTAATATCAAATTACGAATTTGATAGAAGATCCTGGACAATGTAATTTAATAAGCTTTAAATGAATCATCAATAAAAATGACAGTTAAACATTGGAGCTCATAATATGATAATTTCACTAGTTATTTCAAATACAATGGTCATGAATGGTTAAAAATTCTACGGTTTGCTTTTCATTATGTCAAATTAGGGGGCTTTTTTGTATAATCGGTTATTAATGATATTACTATTATATTATTAAATCAACTTAATAATATATTAGCATTGTAGAGCCGGAAATAATAGGATCCATTTAGTTATCAACCGATCGCATTTAAGAATTTGAACAATAGGAGATTAAAAAAAAGTAAAGGGTATCACTACCATGTGCAATAATAATAATTTATTGATATAAATAGACTTATAATTTCCCCATGTTTTTGAATATTTATTTTTCAGATCTATTTTATAATTCATCTTCCATATTCATTAATTTTGATCGTTGATATATCATTCACCAATCTATTAGGTTATATTATCATTGGCGATTAGCATATATTCTACCCCACAATTTTCAATTTATCAAATCATCAACCTTATAAATCTAATCATTATGTCTATGTCCATGTTATCTTCAAGCTTTAAAGGGTTAGTTGCTGGATCAATAATTACTCCAGTTGTTACTAAATTTTTCATTGTTCCTTATTGTTTTGATAATCAAGTTTCCAAAGAAATTCATTATATACAACAAGAAATGGAATTTGTTGGATGGAATGTAAGACACTTACAGGAAGAGAAAGGATTCAAGGAAGATGAATTATATCAACCAATTGGGTATCATGGTTTTCAACATTAGAATTTTAGAATGGTTTACGATTATTTTATTTATGTGGGCATTACGGGTTTGACTTTTTAGTTTAGTTCTAATATATTTATTTATTTGTAGTATAAGTTTATTCTATTATTCTATACTTTCCTCTGAATCTAAATCATAATTATCTTCTAAGCTTAAATCATTTATTAGATTTGTTGCTTCCCAATTTGATAATTTATCAACATCATTTATATCACCACCAGTTAAAACTCTAATCAAATTTATCTTTTTCAGTTTATCCAATTTATCAAAATCAACATGATCTCTTGAAATTTCATTAATCTTTTTATTATGACCTATTGATTGACCAACTCTACATAAAGTTTCAATACATTGTGATGAATTATTAATAAGATCAGAATCAAATTGAAAATATTGTTTTTCAATAAGAAGTATGATGGTAGATCCCCCAAATTTGAAATAACCAACTTCATCTCCTCTTGAAATTGGATCGCCTGGTTTTACAGATAATACAATTGAACCAACCATCATTGCACCTATGGCAATCATAATTACTGTTCCGAATTGTTCAGTTTTTATTGGAATTATACTTCTTACATTTTCTCCAAACACATCCAATTCCGATCTTATAGCCATTGGATTAACAGTGTAATATTCACCATCAATATGCTTGATATCTTTTATTATACCAGTCACTGGTGAATGAAATCTATGATAATCTTGAGGAGCTAATCTAAAAACTCCTAAACTACATTCTGAAGATTTTGCTAAATTTGTATTTTCAAATTGATTTGAATTAAACAACTTGGGTAATGTGAAATTTCTACCTTTTATCCATAAATTCGTAGCATCATTAACTGTTTCAAATGCTGCACATCTACAATCTGCAGGTGAAACTATGATATCTTCATTTCCTTCAATTGGTCTTGCACCTTTTTTCAACTTTCTAAAAAAAAAAGTATTAAAAGTTTCAAATTGAGTAGGATCAGTAATTAAACAATCTGATAAATCTAGTTTATGAAATTTAATAAAACTTGCAATATCATTTTTGGAATTTGGTGAATCAAACTTTTTACCTTGTTTAACTGAAAGTTTTTTGAGTAGTATACGAATTGGTTTACTTTTTGCTTTATCTAAACCTTTATAGAGAAGTCGTATTCCAAGTCTGACATATACTGACATTTTCTCTTCTAATATAATTCCCGTTAATCTATCCTGAACTAGTATATTCGCTGAATTTCCACCAAGTTTATATTTGCCATATGTTAATTTGATTAATGCTTTTGAAAACCATTTTTTTGTAGCTTGGGTAGGTGATACATATGAATTAACCAATAATTTATTTACAATCGACCAATCCTTAGATGCACAAATTGCAAAATGAGTGATAATATCTAAATCTTGTTTTTTATTGAATCTTTGTTGGTCACAAATTGGACATCTTTCTATTTCAAATATTTTATCATTAGGATTTTGATTTGATATTATATGTTGTTCCAATTGTTGAATAGTTTCATTTGTTGTTAATTTATCACCACCCCAGGATGACTTACCTAAATTGCTAAAGAAAGTTTCTATCAATTCATCTGAATTTAAACATCCTAATGTATCTAATAAACTAATCAATTCAAAATAATCAAAATCATCTGTATCTTCTAATTTATATTGATCTAACAAATATTTCCAAAATTTTTTTCGTAATTCGAAATATGTCTCGAATCTGACTCTAATTTTTAAAGTTGAATTATGCTCTTGATATTTTTCATTTTTAACTACTAATGATAGTAGTAAAACCTTGAACTTAGATGTATCAACATATGAACTTATCACTTTCTTCCTCTTCAACCTTCTTTTCCTTTCTATTGAATGTAAATTATCATCTTCTAGAATTTTCACAGATTTATTTTCATTATCACCAGTTGTAAAACCTTCTTCTTCAGAATCGTCAATAACAGTAGCATTGTTTGTTAAATCTTTAACTGGTAATGAAATCAGTGCAACTTTATCATGAAATGAAAAATGATCTTTATCAAGGATATTGAATTGAATATTATAATTTGATTCATTATTTAGAACTTCAAATGCTAATCTTTCATTGAATATAGGATTTAAAGTATGTCTTTTCCATGAAGTTCTAAAAGTTTTTTTTCCAAACGTAACTACTACAAATGGATCCATGTCAAATGTAGTTCTTGTAAAATTAGTCAATGGTGGAAGATCTTCACATGACAAAATTTCAATGAATAAAACACCCATCACACTTCTGCTAGATAATTCAAACCCATTGAAACCTTTTAATTTCTTCAGTTTTCGAAATTTAGACTTTTTAGGTGATGTATTAAATATATTTTCATCTGATGACATTATCGAACTTTCCGAAATTGATGTAACATCCTCTATATTTGATTCTACATCTGTACTTGTATCGTCTATCAAAGCATCATTGTAAAACCCTTGATCATTGGGTATAATCAAAGTTTCATCGATTATAATCTCATTAATCCATTCTTTAAACAGTGATTGTAAATCATCAGTTTTTCTAATTAATTCAAATGAACATAAAATTGAACCAGTAGTAAACGAATGAATACTAGCATTGGAAGATAATTTATACCACTTTAATTCAACCATTGGCGAAAATTTAGAACCATCAAGGAATAAATTTTGTATTGATAATCTTAATTCACCAAGGTAAGTTTTATATCGTTTATGTTTATCCCAAACACTCAATATTAAAATACTTGAACTATTACTTTTCTTTAATGGTATTGTTATTGAATCATCCCATGATGGTTGGTTAGTATTTAATTTTTTACTTGTTGAATATTTCTTATTATTAAAATGTACTTGACAAATTGGATTAATTGAAGTTTTAGTAAGCTGTTCATTTGATACTAAATTAGCAGCTCTATCTATATTAATTTTTAATGATAACAATGAACTTTTATGCTTTGATCTTCTAATTCTCATAATTGAATTATATCATAAGGAATAATAAAATTGGTTGCAATGAAATTTCAAATTAGTTTTTGGCGCAAGCTAAATATAAAAAAGAAATGTTAGAAACGATAAGCACACTATCACTATCTCTATTTGAAAATTATCAACAGATTATGATAATTTTCAAACTATCACCGATTAAACATTAGACAATTGAAGATTAAAGATTAAATAAAGAGATTTGATTTAAGTTTTACAGAAATTCGGATTTTCGAAAAAATAGAAAAATATCGACCCATCAATTCTATTATTTTATAACTAGGATCGCATAAATTGGACATATTTTTTATGCGACAAAAAGAATATTTTAGTGCGAGAAACATAACTTAGCCCACAATTAAGCCTCAATTTCAATTCTTTATTCTTAAAGGGTGGTTTCCAACTATAAAACTCTAACTGGAAAGGCCTTTAGCCTACCCTTCCTCTTCAAAATGAATTTTTTTTCTTGCAAGATCTGTTGGATCTCTTAATTTAATTAAATTCTAGTTAATGCACAGCGGGTATCTGGGAATCTAAACCAGATCCGACCTACTAATTGCTTTCAAAGTACATATTTGCATAATTTACAAGTAAAGTTAAGTGAGATTTGTCGATGGTAGAGTCAAAAAAACTAAGATACTAAATATGTTACGACCTTTTAGCTTGTAGTTCAAGATAGGCAATAGTACACCTCTAATTAACCTTGTTATTGTCATTTAACTAACGCAAACTCTAAGTCAATGATTCAATTGTTAAAGTTCAGCTACATCCGCGTAAATTGATTGGTAAATTAATTAAAAATGTTCAAAAATGTCATCCTAGATCTTACTCATGAAACATTAGATTCTATCAGGATTACAAAGAATTTACGAATATTACTGATTTTAGAGTTAATGAGGTTCAATTCAATTTATGTAATTTTCTGCCAAACAGTGTCAAAAATTTATTATATTAGTTAAAAAGTTTAGCAAAATATATCCTATTAGAAGCCCCGATCAATTGAATATTATTTGTTAAAGATCGAAAGTGAATTTCATGAAAAGTTTGTCTACAGTTTTAAGTTTACTACCATCAGTCACAAATTTGAAGTCAGGAATTGTAGGAAATGATGATATTCCAATTGCTGAAAATGTTATAAGTTTAATATTAGATTAGCACATTAGATCATTTAATAATGTCTCTGACTTCAGACATTTAACAACCTTAAAAATTTTAAATGTTGAGTTTCCAACATACCTTTTCACCATAAGAAGAAATTTTAAAATTTTAAAATCTTTTGAGTATGAGTTTATTTACACTGGAGTTTATTATACATCATCGACTTATAAAGGTGATCAAGTCAACTTAGATGATACTACTAATTTCCTTTTTTGAAAAGCTTGATATTGAATTCAATTATTTACTTATTACTGATAATATAATATTTCCATTATCTTTAAAAACATTGGATTTAAGCGCAAGGGTAAGCAGCAAAGTTAATATACCACCAAACTTGAAGAAACTTTTTGTTCCAAGAGAAGTAGGTGAAAGATTAGAGATTCCAAATACTGTTAACAAATATTATTATTAAAAATTTCTTTTTCAAGATACAGCTATAATAGCTCTCAGATCGCGCATTTTTGCGCTCTAGATCAAGATACTTCAAAGTTAGAAAAACAAAGTAAACAAAGTATATAAAATTATGTATTAATTTAATACACTATTCACAACTTGTTTAATATTCAATCTTTTCAAATCAGTATATGTTTGACCAGTACCTATGAAAATTATTGATGCATTTGTAGCAGCACTTAAATTTATTAAAGTTCCCATTAAATTACCAACTGTATCCACTTTGGAAACTATAAAATAATTGATATGACGATTATTTCCAATCTGATATAGATGTATATGTATTAAAATAATAAGATGAGTTGAATAGTTATTATAAAATCTACGATAATGTTTGGTTTGATGAACAAACGCAAAGTCGTATAAATACGATCAAATCAATATAATACACAACCAAAAGACATAAATTTATGATTGAAATCTTAGACAAATTATTATATACATAACGGTGAAAGATTTGGTCACAAAAACAATGTACGAAGAATTAGATTATTCACGTGTGGTCGTGTAAATCTGCTATATATCTAATAATAAAATTATCAGGGGTTCATAAAGTCCAAAGCTCAACAAATGTACCTCCAACCATTTATTCTGGTCTACTTGTTGGTTTGTGTATCAGCAAGTCAATTTAGAAACAGAAGAAATACCCACACAATTGTGTTTGATTTAGACGCTTTGCTCTCAAATGTAACAGTGATTCAAGACTGTTTTGATTCTTATTTGACACCTTATCATATACAACATGTGAATAATCTGATAACGATAGCTCTTAAAAGCGAGGATATAATACCAACAAACAATCAAATAAATACAATGTGGCAATGTGCAACTATCCGTCATTTTCCAATCGTGGTGAGATATCCTGATATTCAAAATATGAATGATTTCTTTGCTGCAGTTGGACATAGACCTCCTGGTATACGTGGCTATAGAGGATTAGATTCAGAGAACTGAAAATCATTGTACAAATAAACTGAAATCAATGTTCGGAGAAAATAAATAAATTGAAGAATTCAAGATAGTGATTTAAAATTCAAAATTGAATATATTATTAGTGAATTTTTAGCTATTGCGTGCTCTATAAAATGATCAGAGACTCTTGAAATAAATTCAGTGTTTTCAATTAAGAGATATGCCGTGTTTCTTTGATATGAAATTCAGGAGTTGACTAAAAAATAGGTTTTATTTGGCAAGTTATTGCATAATAGTCTTTTCTTAGAAACCACCTCCTGAGTTGGTTTGGTTGACAACTGATCGAGTTACTATATATTGATATAGATTTCTTCTGTGAACTACAAAGCTCTTATAATAATATCTTGATTTTAAAAAACCCACACCATGAGGATATTAATTATTTTTGCTAAAAATTTAACTGATTAAAGATTGGAGATTCCAAATTCTGTTAACAAATATTATTATTAAAAATTTCTTTTTCAGGATACAGCTATAATAGCTCTCAAATCGCGCATTTTTGCGCTCTAGATCAAGATACTTCAAAGTTAGAAAAACAAAGTAAACAAAGTATATAAAATTATGTATTAGTTTAATATACTATTCACAACTTGTTTAATATTCAATCTTTTCAAATCAGTATATGTTTGACCAGTACCTATGAAAATTATTGATGTATTTGTAGCAGCACTTAAATTTATTAAAGTTCCCATTAAATTACCAACTGTATCCACTTTGGAAACTATAAAATAATTGATATGACGATTATTTCCAAAAGCTTTCTTAAAACTATCAGCTTGTGCAACTGAATCTGTACCAGCTAAAGCCTCAGCAACCATTATAATTTTATCTGGATTTACAGAATCACCAAATTTCTTTAAAGGAGCCATTAATTTTGTATTAGAATGTGTTCTACCTGCTGTATCAACCAATATAACATCATATCCATGTTCTTTACCGAATTTAATAGCATTTTTTGCAGTTTGAACTGCAAAATCTGCAGTACCATACCCTTGTTGAAACAAATCAATTGAATCATTTAATTTCTTAAGATTATTCACATGTATTTTCAATTGTTCAACAGCTCCTGATCTAAATGTATCAGATGCACAAATCAAGACTTTTAAATTATTCTGCAATAACCAATATGCCAATTTTGCTAAATTTGTTGATTTACCAACACCATTAACACCTACAATGGAAATAACATACGGCTCTTTTTTGCTTTTAATAGATTGAAGTAGATCTAATGATGCATTTGGAGTTAATACTTTTGTAAGTTCATTAGTTAAAGCTTCTTTATATACTTTTTCAGTAATCTTTGTTTTAGATAATTTTGTCTTCATATTATTAATAATTTCTTGAGCAACTTGAGGAGTAACATTTTTCGATATTAAATGGTCTAAAAAATTTTTGGAAATTGTATCTATATCAACTGAAGAACCAAAATAAGAAGAAACTTTTGAGAAAAACCCAGTTTTAACTTGTTCTTCCTCCTCCTCTTCTTCATTTAAGATATCATTTAATTCATTAACTAAAACCATATCATTATTTCTTGTAAATGCTGAATCATCAACTTTAAAATCAAATTCACGTTCACCTTTATCAGTTGAAAAATCTAAAATTTGATCTGTTGATTCTATAATTTCACCAGAAGCATCCCATTTTCTCATTTTTTTAGAAGTAACTTCTTTAATAACTTCTTTTTTAACTGGTTTCTTTTCTTTTATTGGTTCTTTTTCAATTTTTAATTTCATTAATTGATTAAATTGTAAAGCAATCATTTGTGACATTTTGTCATCAGGTTCGTCTTCAAATTTCTTATAAGTTTTATAAATATTAATCAACGTAGATTTTATTTTATCTATGTCAATAGTTGTAATTGAATCAAAATATAATGCAATATAAATATCATCTTTAATATAATTATAGAATTTCTTATTACTGATAATTGTCGAATTAAAATTCGTATCAAGATTATTTATATTAATTTTATTAATTAAATTTGATATGAATTCATTAAATGGATATATTTTATTATTAAACTGATATTCAATCTTACCAGAAGGTTTGAATATAATCAATGACATTTTTCAATTTTTGGAAACGGTGAAAAAAAAAAAAATAAAAATTGATAGAAAAAGAAGAAAAACAATCAAACTTTATACTATTATACAACCATGGCATATTATCAACAACAAGTAAATGATCCTCTGAATATGCAATTTTACCAGTCAAATTATTCAACAGCAAATAGCGGTAACTTTGCTGGTTCAATGGATACTGGTTTTCAAGGTGTATCAGGTACAATGGGTGAGGGCCAATTAACACCAGGTTTACTAGCTGCTTTTGGTACGAGTGGATATCCAGGAGAACCACCATTATTAGAAGAGTTGGGTATAAACTTCAATCATATTAAAGGTAAAACTTTGGTTGTATTAAACCCATTTAATAAAAATATCCCGTCTGATATAATGCAAGATTCAGATTTAGCGGGTCCTATAATTTTTATATTATTGTTTGGTACTTTATTATTATTAGCCGGTAAAGTACAATTTGGTTATATATACGGAGTTGGATTATTTGGAATTATATCATTACATTATTTATTCAAATTTATGTCGAATGATATTACAATAGATTTAATTAGAAGTGCATCGGTTATTGGTTATTGTTTATTACCATTAGTTTTAATAAGTATAATTGGAGTTGTAATATCATTAGATAATGTATTAGGTTATATATTAAGTACAATTGCAGTTTTATGGTGTACTTATTCAGCAAGTGGATTTTTTGTAAGTGTATTAAAACTACATAATGTTAGACCATTAATTGCTTATCCATTATGTATGTTCTATACTGTTTTTGCATTAATGGCTATATTTGTTGAAAAGACTGAAATATAGAATAACCGTTCAATATATATACAATTTTGAAACGCTACCAAAAATTATTTTTTCTTTCTTTAATGAAACGATTCAATGTCAAATATATAACAACACCTATATTTTATGTTAATGCTTCACCTCATTTGGGTCATGCCTATACTATGTTATTAGCTGATGTTACGAATAAATGGGATAAATTAAAACGGATTCAAACGTTTTTATTAACTGGTACTGATGAACATGGTTTAAAAATTCAATCAACTGCTGAAAAATTGAAGATTGAACCAAAAGTATTGGTAGATAATGTTTCAAATAATTTTAAAGTATTGGCAAGTAAATTAAATGTGAATTATGATAGATTTATAAGAACTACTGATCTAGATCATGTGGAAAATGTGATAAATATATGGAATTTAATGAATGAAAAAGGTTTGATATATAAAGGGAGTCATTCAGGTTGGTATTCAATAAGTGACGAAACTTTTTATCCAGATTCACAAATTGAAGAAGTAGAAAAGGATGGAGTACTTAAAAAGATCTCAATTGAGACTCGAAATGAAGTAATGTACAATGAAGAAACAAATTATTTTTTTAGATTATCGAAGTTTAGAAATGATTTGATAAAGTTTCTTGAGGAGAATCCTAATTGGATAAAGCCAAAGCATAGATATGATCAAATTTTGACGGAGTTAAAGGATTCTGAATTGAATGATTTATCAATTTCAAGACCCTCATCAAGATTAAAATGGAGTATAGAGGTACCTAATGACCCAAATCAGAAAATTTATGTTTGGTTCGATGCTTTATTCAATTATCATACATTTGGTAAAGAAATCAATGTTTGGCCACCTACTCATATCATTGGTAAAGATATAATTAGATTTCATTGTATATATTGGCCAATTTTTTTAATGGCTGCTGATATGAAATTACCTAATGAGGTTATTGTACATTCTCATTGGTTATGTGATGGGTATAAAATGAGTAAAAGTTTAGGAAATGTAATTGATCCAATTAAAACAATAGAAAAATATGGTTTAGATACATTTAGATTTTTCATGATTGAAAATTCAAATTTAAATGAAGATTGTAAATTTTCATATGATTACTTAATGAATACTAGAAATTTATTAATTGGAAAATATTGTAATTTGATAAATCGAATAGGTGGGAATAAATTTAATATTGAACAAGCGGTACAAGATGTTGAAAAATATCAAAAGTTAAAAATGAATGACGAGTTGAAAGCGTTATCAGATGAGTTAATTACTGGTTTGAATGAATTAAGATGTGTAATGGATGAACATGTTTCAAATTTTGAGTTTAATAAAGTTATTCAATGTTGGTGGTCAATTATAAATAAAGCAAATACTTTATTTCAAGTAGCTGAACCATGGAAGATAAAAGATGAAATAACAGTTAATTATTTTGTTTATTTATGTTCTGAAACTATTAGAATTTGTTCAGTTTTAATCCAACCTGTTATTCCCGAATTATCAACGAAAATTTTGGATAGATTAAATGTAAATAAAAAGAGAAGAACATTTGAATATGCTAAGTTAAATGCTGATTTGGATTATGGTAATGATGCAAACTCAAAAAAACATGATGTCCCAATGAAGAAATTACATTTGTAAATAGAATAAATATATAAATGAGTTACGAATTGTAGAAAATGACATGACATTTGTATCGCTGCAAATTCTCTGTCTGATATTACTCTTCAGCCTAAAAAACTGCTCTGAGACAAAAGATTACAGTTCAAGTGTCTCAATTGCTCCAGTTCTGATACTTTCAGACTTGGGGGTTATACTTAAGTGGTAATTTAATATCACAGAATTCGGAAACAATTTTGACTTATATGCAGTCATATTGTAGTTAATCTTTGAAATTAATAGGTAAATAACTTTGTCAATATTTAAGCCTTAAGCCTGTTTTTTCAAACCCTAACTGCATTGGATTCTTTAGTTGCTACCAAACGAACTGGGGTTTATAACTTACAATAAGTCATAATTTTGATCATTTTATTCTTTGACTAAAATCCCACAAAAAACCTTAAATTGCAAGGTAATCAATGTCTAAACCCCGTTCAGAAACTTCTATTATAGCTGATTTGTCTCTTTTAACCTCAAAGATGCATTGTATGATGTTTTCAAGACGCCGTAATTGTTTTGAATATTTTTCGAAAATTTCGAATAACCTTTGGATATCCACTTTTCCAATATCAAATACCTTAACACAAAAATTTACTAAGTTTATTAGCGCTTCAGAACTGAAAATTTGGTCATTTTTATCATATCTTAATTTGAGTGGTAGAAGCGGCGTTGGAGTTTTCGTAAGATCAATTTATTAGATTTTCGCCATACTTAAGAGAAAATTTCAAAATTTTCGATTTTGATTAAATGCACCTACAATTAAATACAGCGTCATTGACTGAGGTATAATATATATAATCCATTGTTTATTTGAAGGTTGTGGCCGTAAATAAATTTTAAATTGAGTTCACAGTTTTCGAAATTTTTTGTACGATGAAAAAATGCCAAATTGACAGCTCGAAAAAAAAAATGTTTGAAAAACAGAATTTAAGATATATAGAATATATAAATCTAGCTCTTAATTCAAATAAATAGGTTTTACCTAAAGAGATTGCCTTGTTCATAATATTTGAGCCAATAGATTTAGTACACGTCGCCTTAACTCTAAGGCGAGAATTATTTTGTTGCTTCATATTATCGCGTTGAACAATGGCCCAACAACTATTTTGTCACGTGACAACGAGCTAATCTGCAGGTATGTATTCATTTGACTGCGGAACTTGATCTGTTAATAACTCCATCTGTATTCCAGCCTTCATTCTTATCATTGATTCGTTATAAACTTTAACAAATTTGGCGTCAGATAATGCTACTTTTAGTTGCAAATGACCGTGTAACATTGTGGGAATGCTTTCAAATTATTCATTATCTTCAAAGCAGCAAGTTAGCTAGTTGTCACGTATTCATTCAGTTATATGTATTCGACAACATTGAGGTTATATATAACATTTAATTGTAGTTTCCCGGATTTACCAAGTTGCCTTCTGGTGCTATAGCATACAGATTTAGAGTCCATTTAGTCCTACGTAATGTTTTGTCCATACTTGTTATAGATCCAGTGTAAACGCAGCCGGCTCAAACACGGTTGTTTCTGGTGTCAAAAATTGACGTTATCGATAGGTACAGACTATAGCCTAGATTAAAGAAGCGATTCAAACAATCTGTTTTCATTTTTTTTCTTATAGTTGGCTATATAAAATATCATAGTACTGCATATAACTTACATGAAAAATTACTATGGCCAAAGTAAAAATTTGATATCATATACAAAAAATGGCTGCAAAATGTGATTGACAGTTCCGAAATTTAAACTTGTAGTATTTATTTATTAAGAATGGTTGCAAAACTTGTTGCAAAATGATTCATGTTAGGTATTAAAAATATTTAAACTTAAATTTATGATATTTTTCATTAGACAACCTATGATTTTTATTACATCTGTCAAGAATTCATGATCAGTTATACCATGTCAATTAATTTTGTTATAATTGATGTAAATTTGGAGCAGATATCGGTTGATTCATCAGAAGTTTTTTAAAGTTTTGTTGTTGATATAATTTGAATTTCGTGTAATCACCATAATTGTTACTAACAAAAAATCCAAATAATTGTATATATATCAACAATATCAGTCGCAAGGCAATTCTTTCGTATACTTACAAGTACAAACTATATTAGATATTTGTTTTATATATAAAGTTTTTTGGTTCATTTGTTTATTTTGTTGTATGATTAGTTTTTTGCCATGGCTAAACGAGGTAGAAAACAAAAAAATCCATTATTAGATGATTCCGAAGAAGAAGAATATCAGGATGAAACAGAAGATGAAACAATTGAAGAACAAGGAGATGAAAATGTACAACTAAATGTTAATGAATCAGTACAAGACGAAAAAATTCCACAACAAGAACAAGGTCAACCACAACAACAATCAGAAGAAGGTTTACCTGATGATTTTGAAGATCCACCAACTCCATCAGATAAAAATAATGATGATGATTATGACGAAGATGAGGACGAAGATGAGGATATTAAACCAAGGAAAAAACAAAGAGTCGGAAGGCGAAGAGGTGCTTCGAAAAAACATATTGAAGATGAAGATGACGAATTTTTTGATGATGGAAATGAATCGGATGAAGATGATTTATTATCAGAAGAGGAGAAATTTAATCATCAGAATTTTATAGTTATTGATGAAGAAGATGATTATGTTAAACCTAAGAAAAGATTGAGAAGAGGTAGACCAAGAAGTGAATCACTTGAGCCAAGAAGGTTTACAAGATCAGGTAGATCATTAGAGGAAGAATCACACGACGATAGTAATAGAGAAGAAGTTGATTTACGTCAAGAAGTCGCTGATTTATATGATTCTTCACCAATGAATGATAATGTACATAAACTACGTCAAAGAGCAAAAGTTGATTATACAATACCACCACCGATTACAAATGATTTGCAACTAGCTCAAGAAAGAGGTCATACTCCTATAGCTTCAAAAGGTAGAAGGGGTAGACCAGCTTTACAAAAAAGTGATTTTAGAAATATTTTATATCCAACAGCTGGTCCATTTGGTGGTTCCGATGTTATATCATTATTTGGTAAAAATATTCCTCCTGGTGGTATATCATTACCTGGCTTAACGAATACAAATAATTTAACAGCTATTGGTCAAAATATAAGTGATTCGGATACTTCAGATGATGAAATACGTCCAGTAAATGGTGAAGCAACAGTTTCCAAGAAGAAGCCTAGACTATTAACTACTGGAGGTTCAAATGATGATAAAAAGAAGAAAAACAATCTTAGTGATACTGATCCATTAGGTGTTGATATGAATATTGATTTTTCAGTTGTTGGTGGTTTGGATAATTATATAAATCAATTAAAAGAAATGGTTGCATTACCTTTATTATACCCAGAATTATATCAAAATTTTGGAATTACACCACCAAGAGGTGTTTTATTTCATGGTCCACCAGGTACAGGTAAAACATTAATGGCAAGAGCATTAGCAGCTTCTTGTTCATCATCCGATAGAAAAATTACATTTTTTATGAGAAAAGGTGCTGATTGTCTAAGTAAATGGGTTGGTGAAGCTGAAAGACAATTGAGATTATTATTTGAAGAAGCTAAAAATCAACAACCAGCAATTATATTTTTTGATGAAATTGATGGATTAGCACCAGTTAGATCTTCCAAACAAGAACAAATCCATGCAAGTATTGTTTCTACATTATTAGCATTAATGGATGGTATGGATAATAGAGGTCAAATTATAGTTATTGGTGCTACAAATCGACCAGATGCAATAGATCCAGCATTAAGAAGACCAGGTAGATTTGATAGAGAATTTTATTTCCCATTACCTGATCTATCTAGTAGAAAACAGATTTTAAAGATTCATACTAGAAAGTGGACACCACAATTACCAGATATATTTTTAGAAAAATTGGCTGAATTAACTAAAGGTTATGGAGGTGCTGATTTGAGAGCATTATGTACTGAAGCTGCTTTAAATAGTATACAAAGAAAATATCCACAAATTTATTTAACAAATGATAAATTACAAGTTAACCCATCAAAGGTGAAAGTTATTGCAAAAGATTTTATGAAAGCCATTGAGAAAATTGTTCCATCGAGTGCTAGATCAACAAGTTCAGGTTCAGCTCCATTACCAGAACATTTAAAACCCTTATTGCAAAAAAGCTTTGATGAAATTGTATATAAATTGAATAATTTACTACCAAATTCAATAGGTCATAAAAAATTAACAGCTTTAGATGAAGCAAAATATTTAGATCCTACAATAAATGATGAAGATAGTGGTTTTACAAAACAGCAATTACTTAAAACATTGGAAAATTTAAGAATTTGTCGTCCACATTTATTGATTTCAGGTGAGGAAGGAAATGGACAACAATATTTAAGTGCTGCAGTTTTAAATCATCTTGAAGGTTTTCAAGTACAATCACTAGATTTAGGCAATATGTTTGGAGATACAACAAAAACACCAGAACTGAGTATAGTTCAAGCTTTTATAGAAGCAAGGAGAAACCAACCATCTATTATTTTCCTTCCAAATATAGATATATGGTTTCAAGTTTTACCTGATCCTGCTAGAGCAACATTAACTAGTTTACTTCGAGGTTTGAAAAGTAATGAAAAAGTCTTATTATTAGGTATTAGTGAAACTTCATTGAATGAATTATCAAATGATATAAAATTAATATTTGGTTTTGAAAGTACGAATAATAATGTAAGCTTACATAAACCAACTAATTTAGAAAGACGACAATATTTTGCAACTTTAGAATCTACATTATTAATGAAACCTTTTGAATTTATCAATGATTTGGAAAACAGACCAAAAAGAAAATTGAAGCAGTTGAAAGTTGTCAAAGCAGAAGAAGTAGTCAAGGATAATGAGAAGAAAATAAAAGAACAAGAGTATCAAGATACTAAATTAAAGAATGTGTTAAAAATAAAATTAGCTGGATTAATGGATTTATTTAAAGTTAGATACAAACGTTTTAAAAAACCAATCATTGATGAAAATTTCTTGCATCATTTATTTGATGCCACTATTTTAGAGAATCCATTTAACAATTATCAAGTCTTATACGAAAAATCAACTGATCCAAAACATGAGAATATGATTTTAGAATTATCAAGTGGTAAATATTATTATAATATGGATCTAGATACAATTGAAGAAAGATTATGGAATGGTTATTACTCGGAACCAAAGCAATTTTTAAAAGATGTTAAAATGATTGTTAAAGATAGTGTTACATTTGGTGATAGGGAGAGATTATTAAAAGCAAATGAAATGTTGACAAATGCACAATTTGGAATTGATGATTTTTCAACACCTGATTTTTTGAAAGCTTGTAAGGAAGTTAAAGAAAGAGAAACTGAAAAGCAAAAGAGACTATTAAAAGAACATGAAAAACTAGTTGAACAGTTGGAGAAACTAAAAGAATCAGAGGCACAAGCAATCGTTATTGAAGATGGTGAGAATGAAAATAAAGAACCACAAAATAATGTTGAAAATGGATCTACAGGAAATGGTGAAAATGAAAAAGGAACTGATAAAACTGGAACCGAATCTGAAAATGTGCGTGATCATCAAGTTTTAACCGAAGTTGCACAAGAACATGATGTATCAGATACTACCATAGTAACTGAAGAACCACAGTTAAATGGTAAAATTGAATCAGATTCGGAATCCGAAGCAGAAGAAGAATTAGATATAGATCTCACTAAAGAAGTTATAATCGATCCACAACAGTTATCATCATTCAATCAAAATTTAAATGATATCACTCAAGATTTTAATATAGAAAAATTAGAATTTATAATGGCAAGATTAATGGATATCATATGGCAAGACAGATCACAATGGGATAAAACAAATACATTAAGAAAACTAAATAATCAAATTAAATCATTGGAAGTTGGATAAAATAAATATATACCTTAATCATTTGCTGAACCATCTCTTGGTCTATATATTATATTATTATCTTCTAATTTTCCAATATACTCTGGTGATAATTTCCCATTTACTTTGACAGCATATAATCCAGGTTCAAAAGTATCTATTCGTAACCATCTCGCCACCCAGCTTTTTCTATTTTCTCTACCTAATGCAACTAAACCTTCGAATGATGGTGATGTACATTCACTTATATTTTCATCATTTTCTTGAAAATGTAAAAGACTTTCACAATTGATACATCCATCCTTTCTAAATGTCAGGTATGGTTTTATTATTCCACAAAGCATACAAGCTCTTTCAGTTCTTGTTGACATATTGATTTGATTAAACTTTGGTTGATAAACTTATAATTTTTTTTTTTTTTTCAATTTTGCAATTTTTCAAAATCATGATTATCAAACGAAGTATAATAAATAATAAGAGATTACTCATACGACAGTTTTCATTGGATCATAATGCTTTAATAAATTCGATGACTACTAGTTTCCAAAACTTACATGAAGTTTCTGGTCTACCTTGGTGGGCTTTAATTCCGATAACTACATTTACATTAAGATCGATTTGGACGTTACCGTTGGCTATTTTACAAAGGAAAAGATTACAAAAACAAAGTGAATTAAGACCAATAGTGACTGCAATGCATCCAATATTAAAGTTGAACCTTGCTAAACGAGTACAAAAAGCTAAAGTCGAAGTTGCAAAAAATCCCGAAAATTTGAATCTTCAACAATTATCAAATATTACTTACGAACAGATACTTTTATTGGCTACAAAAGAACAAAGAAAGAGACAAAAGGAGTTATTTAGGAAAAATCATGTACAAATTTGGAAAAATTTCATACTACCCGTGTTTCAAATACCGTTATGGATAATAATGTCAATTACGATGAGAGATTTAAGTGGTTGGTCCACTTGGGATAATATAAAGAATAAACCTTTGGATCCATCTTTATATAATGAAGGTATATTATGGTTTCAAGATTTAACTATACCTGATTCAATGCATGTTTTTCCAGTTATATTAGGTGTCATATCATTATGTAATATTGAATGGACCGCTAAAACATTACAATTATCAAGATTAACCAGAAAATTAAAATATAGACCAACTATAATAGATTCAGTGTTTAATTTTTCAAGATTATCAATTGTTTTCATGATGGCTATTTCGTTATATGCACCTGCATCATTGACTGTTTATTGGATATGCTCACAATTTTATTCATTAATACAAAATATAGTAATGGATTTAGTTATGCCTATTAATTATGCACCAAAGTCTAGATTTAATTTAGCAAAGAATAAAAACCCAGAAGCAATAGATATTTGTAAATAGAATTGTATATTTAATCTAATATTTCCAGAGATTTTTTTCAATAAAATTAATTAAGTATTTCCATCAATTTACCTTTAGCGACGGTTTCCTAATTGATCTTACTAAAAGTAAGTTTATAATCAAAATTGTATAAAAAATTGATTATACACCAAAACAACTCATTTTAAACCGAAATTCTAGATTTAAAAGTATCATAGATAAAGAAATAAAATAAATAGCACAAATATCAACAGTAAATACAAACATAGTAATTGTACTAAATTTCCTATTTAGTTATTTCCATTCCAATTCTGAAACATGAAATTGCACGACTATTTTTTTACGAGTTCGTATAAAATTGACATCTATCGTCAATTTTTTATTTTTTGCAACCAATTATTAATTATATGTTATAGGATCAACAATTAATTAAATCTTCTCATACTTTATATAATGACGTTGTTGAAACTTTAGGTTCTCAAATGCAAGGTTTACGTGGTAAATTTGATGATTTTACCAAAACTTTTACTCAATTTGATAAATTTATTTTAAATGATTTAACACAACAATTAAAAGATAGATATTCAGATTTAGGTCATTGTTAATTAACTAAAGAAGAATTATTATTATCTCCAGCTAAAAAATCAAAAAAATATGAAATGAATATTTATTAATGCAAGTAATCCTGTTACTCTTCCTCTTAAACATTTTCCAAATTCAAAAGTATAAATCTTTCATCCTCTTTTGATAATTTTTTCAAATTCTTGTTTGTAGACAGTATAATCTTATTCAATTTCTCTTTTAATTTATCTAGTCCTATTTCTTTATTTGATATTTGTGACTCGAGTGACTTCTTAATAGTATTAAATTGTTTTAAATAACAGTTTAAATCAAATTTGAAATCTACAAATCCTAAATTTGTAGTTATTTTAACACTTGTAGGTGTGAAATTCTTTTCAAATTTCAATTGATTTATTTTAAACCCAATCATTGGGTATACAGATGATGAATTATTGAAAAGATTGTCTTCTGAGTTATTTGAACTCAATTCTTTCTCATTTATAGCCTTTACCAATATTCCATTAAGTGTTATAAATATTGTTTTACTAATATAATTAATTCCGCAACCAACAACATCTGTTTTATAAACTTTCTTAGTATCTTGAGTCACCATACTTGTTTTGAAAGGTATTGCCAAGTCTATTTTCCCGTTATCTGATTCATTAGGTCGACTTAATGTACCTAATCTCCTATTCATATTTAATATCTGAGCTCTTTGTAATGATTCAAAAGTTTTAAGTGAATTATAAAATGTAGAATCTTCAAAACTAATTGCAAAACTTCCTTTAAAATCACCAGGTCGAGAACTTAATAAAATTTTCAAATCATTTAAAAATTCATCATTGATTTCATTAAGATATAGATCCTTTTTTAATTTTTCTAAATTAATTTTACCTAATGAGTTGATATTATCTAAATTTGAAAATTGTTTAACATAACCTAATGAAAAATTAATTGACAGATTTGAATTTATTGAATTATCGTCCATGGATATGATTGGTTTGAATTTTGTTGATTCGGTGGTAGTTTGCTCTATCTCTACTTCATAGTAAAATATCCCAGTTGTTGATTCAATAGGTTTATCAGTTATAAAATTATAAAAACGGGAATTTGTCAAATCTTCAACTTCAGTTTTATAATCAGTTGCATTAAATGTGATATTTGAATGACCATTATTTTCAATTTTCATATTGAGTCCTTCTGTTAGATATTCTAAATAATCTTCAGTAATTAATGGGACCCAACTAATAGGTAAGTCATAATTGAAAAATTCGGAATTTCCGAAATTGACAAAACTTGGAGGTAATTTATATTTATCATTTGAGTTAGTGAGTAATAATAATTCTTTTAGACTCATTTTTAGATATTTACTATATTCCAAAGGGTAAGCTTCTTCTGGAATTTGAACTTCTCCTAGTTTTGTCAGGCTGAATATTGATGAGGGTTTCTCTTCATTTATTAATTTCTTCTCAGGTTTATCTTGTATAATTCTAGATTTAAAGATTTCAAATAATTCATAAACATAATCATCATTATATTGAGTAAATTCCATTGGATTTGAACCTAGAACACCAATAATTGCTAATTTATAAATCAATTTGTCTTTAATGATTTGATTAAGATAATAATCATTTGAAAATAAATTTGTTTGTTTAATTGGATGATAATAATATTGTGAATTGGTATCTATTACATTTAATCTAGCTAACTTTTCATCTTTAATTTTTGATTGTAAATGTGAACCAATTGATAAATTTAACAAATATGGTGGTATAATATACGATAACATTTAAATGATTCAAAAGATCAAAAAAAAAAAAAAAAAAAAATTGGCCACTACCAAATGAAAATAACCAAAGAAAGTGAAAATGACTGAATCTTTAATATCAACACTTGAAGATAAAATACCAAATATTAAATTAAATTGTATATCACAAGGCGCTGAAGCTTTAGTATTTGAATCGGATACTCATCCATATTATAATGACTCAAAAAATTGTATTATAAAATATAGACCATCAAAACCTTATAGACATCCAAAGATTGATTTACAAATTACTAAACAAAGAACAATTGGTGAGGTTAAATTTATGTATAAATTATGTAAATTAGGTATACCTTGTCCTAATATAATAACCACAGATTTTCCAAATGGTATAATATGGATGGAATTTATTGGTTATAAATTAGAAAATAATGAGATTTCAAGTTTTAAAAATTGGTTATGGTATTTAGAAAAAAATGGTAATGATCATGATCCATTGAAAAAAGAAGTAGAATTTGTATGTATTAAAGTTGGTGAATTGATTGGTAAATTACATTTAAATGATATGATACATGGTGATTTAACATCTTCAAATATGATACTAGTTCAAGATGATGTACCACATCTTATAGATTTTGGATTATCATCATTTTCGGGATTACCAGAAGATAAAGCTGTTGATTTATATGTATTAGAGAGGGCCATAATGAGTACTCATTCAGTATATGCAGAATCATATAATCGATGGTTATTAAAAGGATATCAACAAGGATATACTAATAAGTCAAAGTATAAAGAAGTTATTAAAAGATTGGAAGATGTTAGATTAAGAGGTAGAAAGAGGAGTATGCTTGGTTAATTGATAATAAATGTACACAATATTTCTAGAACGAGTTAATGGTACTAGCTCTCGCCTTGAGTGGGATCTTTCTCGGCCGCAGTTTCGTCCCAAGTCGGCGGTCAGAATTTTAGATTATCATTAGAAAAATCAAAATATATAATTCCATACATTCTTTATATTTTGCACTTTTTCGCAACTATTGATTAGAACCAAACATGTTTAAAGCAACCAAATTATTTACAAGATCTTTGAGTCAATATAAACCTAATCCACAAATTTGGATCCATGAAGTTAAACCTAATTTATATAAATTTTCATTGAGTAAAAATCCAAAAGCAATTGATATTGGATCATCATCAAATGAAAAACCACACCCTGATAATTTTAAAAATAATGAAGAATTCTTTGACATATTACATAAGACATTTAAAGATAGAATTTACGATGATTTTACATTTATAACTGAAGCTGGTACTTTTGCAAATGCTTTTATGCCAATTTATGATTTTAGAGGTGTTCCAAAACATGCGAGAACTCCTTATATTGAAGATATTTTTGGTTATGTTCAAGTTGATGGTAATGGTAAAATTTTAAAAGATACTTATCAAGATAATGAAATGTATCAAGTATGTAGTGGTAAAACTGGTTTACCAATTTTTAGTGATTTTATGATTGAAGAATTAAAAAAGGAAATAGAATAGAGATAATTTAGCTAATAACAACATCATCATCCATTTACTCTAATATATTTTTAATAAATCTAATAACATCATCATCCATTTACTCTAATATATTTTTAATAAATCTAATAACATCTATTAATTCTTCTTCACTTGCACTATGAGCAACACCATCATATTCATGAAATTTTAAGTCTTTAAAACCCCATGATTTATATAATTCACTTGTTTTTTTACCATAATCAAAATTTACAATTGGATCAACTGTACCATGGCCTTGAAAAATCGGAGTATCAAAATTGGCCAGGTTAATTTTTGGTTTTAATTCATCTTTAACTGGACAAAATCCAGATAATGCAATACAACCACCAATTTTAAAATCTAATAAAGATATAGTAGCTAATGATACAGCAGCACCTTGACTAAAACCACCAATTATAATCTTTTCTGGTTTAATATCATATTTATCAATTTGTTCTTTAATTAACAGCTTTAAAACATCACAACTTTTGAAAAAACCTTGTATATCTTGTTTTGCATTTGGATTACCAAATTCATAAATATCAAACCAACCAGGCATTATATAACCATTGTTAACAGTAATTGGAATTGAAGGAGCATTTGGAAAAATATAATTAATTGGTTCTTGTACCAATTTAGTTTGTTGTATAACTTGAGGTAAAAAACTCCAACCATTACCAGTATCACCTAAACCATGAAGGAAAATAATTGCACTTTTAGCTTGATTATTAATTCTAACAGCTGATAAAGAACTCATCATTTGATTTTGATAAAATTTAAAAGTCGTGTTCATCTGTTCAAACCTTAATTTTCATTTTATTTGGTGTTGCAAATTTATTACATAATCAATATAAATATAAATTTACAACCAAATCCACTTTTTTAAAATTTTGTCCACCACTCCCTTTTTATATTTTATCAAAATGACTGCTAAAGAATCAGCATCAATCGCTTTACGTGTTTTAGAAACTATCTTTGCCATTGTTGTATTAGGTTTAGGAGCTGGATTTTTATCAAATATTGATGATAATTATGCAAGAGTTTCATTATCAGTTGGTACTTCAAGTTTATCATCAATTTATTTATTATATGTTGAGTTATGGGTTCCTGTTGTTTTCAGTGGTAATTCACCTTCTGTTGTTTTATTAATTTGTGAAGTTGGGTTTTCAGTATTATATTTAACTTCATGGGCTGTTTTAGCGGCTATTGTTCCAAGTAATTGTACAGCTTTTGTTGATGAAATTGATGCTTCAAATGGTAATGCAAATTGTCATATTATTCCAGCTTTAATTACATTTAATATTTTAGATTTCTTGTTTTTTACAACTACAATGATTTTATTTTTAGGTTATTGTTATATTCCAGAAGTTGTTGATCAAGGTTTCTTACACTCTTTTAGATTTTCCCCTTTTGTTTGGGGTTGTATCTTTTCTGAACCAGATGGAAGACGTGGTATATTTGGAAAACATCGTCATACTGTTGCAACTATTCAAACTAATCCGCAGCAACCACAACAACAACCAGCACCTACTACTCAAAATCAAGAAGAAATTTTACCTGTTGATGAAGAAGCTCAAATTGGTGATGATGAAGATGAACAAAAATTTGTTGATTCGGAAGAACCAGAACCTGTTAATGATAAATAGTATGTTTGTTTTGCTATAGAATTATTTTTGTAATTATTGCTAATGAATTAATGATTTAATGTTGTTTTTATATTACGAATATATAATTTATTTGAGAAATACATGCATTGAATTCTTTTCAATGTTTAACTTTAATCATACTCAATTTGAAACATTATTAACCTCTTTTTAAATTTCTAAATCTTGTTAATACTGAATAAGATGATTGAGTGTGACAAAATCAATTCTAGCGCTAGCTATAAGGCGACCTCGTACTAATGCTATTGGTTTATCTCTTGGGAACAATGCATTCTCTCGAGATAAAAACCAATGAATTGAAATCAGAAACTCCGAATTATACACTCTACAAGCTTTGAATTTTAAAAATTCAGGTATTAATTTTCTGACATGGATTTGGCACTTTTTTCATCGTACAAAAAAGTTGCAGAAACTGAAAAACGCAGTATATATCCTATTTACGGTCATAACTTCCAATTAAACAACATTTATATGCATTGGACCTTAGTGTAAAGTATTGGACTTAGTTCTAGCTGATTTCGATTAAAATTGAAAAAATTTCAAAATTTTCTCTAAATACGGGGAAAATTGAATAAATTGACGTTACGAAAAATCTAATTCGACGACTAGAATGATAATAAAAACATGGTAAAAGTAACAAAATTTGTAGTACTTGAACTCTATTAAACCTTGAATATTTTTGTGTCAAAGTATTTTAAAATCCAAAAGTAATTTTTCAGAACTGGTTCGAAATTTTTGAAAAAAAATTCAAAATGATTACGGCAAATTAAGAGCAATATCATTGGAGATCTTGATTTGTAATGAACCAAAGCAATATATTACAAGTTGCTAAATGAAGTCTAAGTGTTACTTATAAAACAGAGTTTTTTTCCACTTTTTAATTGAAGAACAAAATCATCAAAATTAAATTCATCCAGCGCATATTGCCATCATTTTACTCTAAATATAGCAACGAAATTACTTTAAATACGATAAGTTGATTAGTGATTGAGTTATATCCAATTTGAATTTCAAAATTCAATATTTCATAACTGCATATAAGCGCAAATTTGTTTCAGAATTGCGCAAGAAAGTATGTATTTTTCAATGCGAGAAAGGTGGTGCGACAAAATAATTTCTCGCGTTATTTTTGGGGCGCAAACACATTGGCCTCTGTGGTATGAACAACACATTCTCAAGAGATAAATCCTATTTATATGAAGTCAAGAGCATTGAAGTCTATATCTCACATAAGTCAAGTCTGAATATTATAAGATTTTTTTTTTTGTAATCTCGGCCCTTTTTCAACATACAAAAATTTTTCAAAAAATGAAAATGAAAAGCACATTTTATTTATGCCCATAACCTTCAAATAAACAACCCATTATATATATTATGTTCCCCATAAAGATGCCTAATTTGATTCTACATTCTCTCCACTAAGATTGAAAAATTTGAACAGTTTGACACCACAATCAATATTCTCGATAAAACCTGATCAAAGAATCTGATATTTTAGTTCCGTCATCTAGACAAACCTTTGTTTTTTTTTTTGTTAAGGTATTTTGAACTCACAAAGTAATTTTTCAAAGTAAATTCGGCGTTCTCCAACCATTATAGAATTATTATTTGGACTTAAATAAATCAAATCAGCTATAGTAGTAGTAGATAATTGAGGTCTATATGTTAATTACATTGCAAAATAGCATTTTTTTCCATTCCTTCAATGTTCTATAAAATCATCAAAATTACATTTTCTCAAGAGACACCAGTATCATTCAGTTTAAATCCTAATGACTAATTTACTGAGGTTACGTTTGAGAAATAAAGCTTCTGAATTGATGGAGATATTCACTATTGTAATCTTGTGCTACACTACTGCAATACTGCATATAGAATATCTTTTGTTTCAGTTTGACATAGCGAGCTTTAGCCTCCTAGAACCGAAAATACGGCGGTGAATTTCTTAATTCAAGGCGAGAGCTACTACCAATTCTCGTGCGAATTTGAACAGTATTGGCTATCACTTCCAAATGTGTCAGTTTACAATATTGTAAACTTTTCAACAAAAACTTGATTGCAGCAATAATCTAAAAAACAATTCCTAATAGCGCATCTTTATTAACTAAAACCATGAATTATATAACCTACGCATTCTAAGGTTAGATCTTCAAGAAAATATTTTTCTGCCGCAAAATAATCTTTGACTCGAAAGCTTAAATCAAAGCTGTCTAATGAATCGAACGTCAAATCAATTATATATTAGTCTTTCTTATTTAGTTGTAGTTGTCTCAGTCTCCTTATCAATTTCACTTCCACTAGAAGCAGGAATACCAACATTAGCTTCTTCATCACCAGCAACAACTGGGGCATCAGTAACTGCAGGTTCTTCTTGAGAATTTTCACCTTCACCTTCTACTTCTTTAGTAGCACTTGCAACCGGTGCAGCAACTAAATAAATACCCCCAAATTCGAAAGCATCTTTGGCTAAAGTTGATTTGAAACCAGCAAACCTTATTTGTGGAACAAATGAATAAATAACAAATAAGGTCAAACTAGCACCAAATAATAACCAATTAAATAACGTAAATGGTAAAATAGCTTGAAATACTCTACATGTTGAACTTGAATCCTCATAATATGAATAATAATAGCTTCCACAATCTGTAGGCATTACATCTGCAATAGCACCCATAGCAGCTAAATAAAATATAAAGAATATGATTTCAGCAACAAATATCCCAATTGAAAATGTTAATTTTTTGAATACAAAAGGAACAAGTACTAAAATGTAAGCGAAATATAATAAATTTAAAATCGAAACAACTAGAGCATAAGTAACTCTATCATAGTTGAAACCAATTTCGCTCAAAAAATCACCACATAAGGCTAATACAATAATTGAAAATATTAATTGTGTGCCTCTGAGTGATAAACTAACAATTGATTTTGACAAAGTGAATGGCATTATGAACTCTTGATGAAAAAAAAATTAAAACTTCGAATTTTAAAGGGATTAAGCCTCAATTTATATTAATTTGATGACTAATTAAAATTTCGTAAATACAATTTAAGGGTCATGTAGAAAGAGCTAAAATTAGATTTTTACGTCTTGGCGTTGGAATTTTAGATTAAAAATTTTTCAGCCGCGTAAACGAGTTTTAAAAAAATAATAAAGTTTAAAGATAACAAAGTCTAAAATTTTAGACCCATGAAATTTAGAATAGAAAACTCTATTGTTTATTGATAGAAAGATTGATGATCATCAATAAACTAAAAGTTAGACATCCACATTTTTCTAAAGAATTTAAAGTAAAAGCTATATATTAATCTGTAACTATCTAACGAAATTGTAGATCAGACCACAATTCATTTTTATTTCGAACCGACAACTTGGTTTTTTACAATATGTGATTTTCCTGTGATATATTTTTTAACTAATAACGTAAATAATATTGCAAAGATCACATTTGGACGCTTCATGCATATTCAGTTGGTTGTTTATTTTGATTTTTGATCTGTTTGACCATCTCGTTTATTTTTTAAACCAATTAAAACGTTTGTTTGCGTGCACAATAATGTAAAAGTTGATGCATGTTTTAAATAAGAATCATGACCTGTCGGACCATTGATTATTGTTAGTTGACTCTGAATAATTGTATTTGAATTAATTGAATTGAATATGAGATGGATAATACGATGAACATGAGCTGATCAAAGTATTAGACCTCTTGATTTTGAGCATGCAGCTAGATAAACAACATTAGTTATCGACTGTGTGTTAACAATGTTTTAGCAAACGTTTGCAATTGATCTAAAGCTTCAAAATAGTGAAATATATATATAGATGTTGAATTCATAAATAATACGATACAATCGATTACCAGAATTTGGTGTCGGGTTTTAATCATTTAAACTTAAATTATCTCGCGCATTCAAGTTGATACAATCTAATAATTTTTTTGCTCAGACATCTTTGTTCAATAAACCGATCAAATTTGTCTAGTTGAACATTTAATATTTATATTTAAAGAATAGATGTTTTAGTTCTACTTGTTCTATTTACTAACTTATTCGTTTATCTAGTCTATAAATCTATTAATTTTGGTAAATTTTTGAAAACAGTTAATATTTTAATTTTTGAATGATCTTTATTATCACCATTTCCATAATATTCTTCAAAATCTGGTTTTGCTTTAATCTTTTCCAAATCTGATTCAACTTCAACATAATGTATCACGTTACCAATACCTAAATTAAAAGCAGCTTTTACATTTAACTCAGAATCATCAATAAAATATTGATTTTCCAAAACCTCTTTATCATATTCCAAATTTGTCTGTTCAAAACAGTTTAAAAAATACTCCTTCATTGGTTTACAAATGATTGGATATTTACTATAATCACAATAAGTTAGGCCAACGAATAAATCACCAATACCTAAAAAGGAAATGACCCTTAATGCATGATTTTTATAAGCATTTGTAATTAACCAAAAATAATCAAATTTTCCAGATTGTTTAATTTCTAATAATGTATTTCTTAATTCTATATCATATCTTAAAACCTTGTGCAAATCTAATGCATCATCAACTTTGGAGTTATACTCTAAAGCATTGATCTCATGATTACGCACGAGACCTTCCAAAGCTAGCCCATAGGTTTTATAATATGTCAAATGTAATTTATTAGCTTCCTCATCATTTAAATTGAGGTTAGTTTTAAAATAATCATGGATTTTAACTTGCATCATTTCAAAAATTCTTGTTGATCTTTGATATAAACAATTATCAATGTCAAAAAAGAAAATTTTCAGATTCTTATCTGGAATTGGACCATAGCCAAATGGTAAGTTGACATGTCTACCAGGTTTAGCATTTTCTTGACTGGTTAATTCCGGATTTATATAAGTGATAACTTGGGATGGGGATTTTTCATTAGTCATTTTGAAATGTCTAATTAATATTCGATTTATTTTTTGAGATTGAGGTTTCCAATAATTTATCATATAATTTAGACCATGAACTATCTATTTTGTATATCTTATTGTGATTATTGAGTCAAAACGTTGTGAAATTGTTGAAGTTTTTCGGTTGCAATTTCATGCTGAAGATTTCAAAACGCTACCAGCTGGAGCCCTTCATACCGGAGTAGTTATTACACGGTCGCGTCCACATTTCCCGATATATGTTCAGATTGAAAAGATGTTTAATTACAGTGATACTTGAAGCTATTAGCAGAATCTTACCTCAGATCATGTAAAAGACTTCATAAAGTCGAAGTGAAATTAAGGTAGCTTTTTAGCAAAATATATTTTGCCTTACGGATAATGCTGTAATCTTATCAATATCTTTGGAAACAAATCGAAAAACAAGTATCTGAGAATACTCCTTTCTAATTTGAGCTAACAAAGAAATAAGAATGGAGGTTCAATCAAGCGAAACTAAACAACATGCTCTCCCTTTGGAAGTGTTCCATTTTGACACATATTGGACTTGAAAACATTGAAGTATTCCCGAAACTGTTACAGAGTTGATTATTAAAGCTCTTTTGTTACACCAATTTGAACGTTTTATTAGGTTAACCAATATAATGCATTTAAATATTAACACAAGTAGATTTCCTTATACCCTTTATTAAAATGTTGAACATTTGCCTAATTTATTTAGTTTTGAATTGGAATTTTATGCTGAAAAATTAGGCCAAGGGTGGTGGGCTACTCATTTTAGAGAAGACTTTATTTATCCAATTGATGAAGAAGTAAAATTCCCTAAAAACTTAAAGGAAATCTTATTCTCAACGGATCTGCTTAGGGTTTATCAAGATGCTGAATTTCCAAAAGATTTAGACAAGTTACTATTTGCTGAAATTCGACTTGAAGATAATGTTTTGGACTTTTCGTGGGTTCCATCAGCATTAAAAGAATTATATATTGTCAAAGCAACTTTTGTTGAAATTGGAGATACTGAATTGTCAGGTGGTTGTAAATTAATTTGGGATAAGAAAGATAAATATGTAAATTAAGATCAAAAGATTCTATTCAAATATATGCTAATCAGAATAAAATGAATCTTTATTAATAAATTCTAAATCAGACTCCAATTTCTTACAAAGATTATTTGTATTTTCAAAGTTTTCAGTAGTCAATTTGATTAAATCTTCCCTTGAATAATCACTTGTACTCGTATTTGCACTACTCAAAATTTTAATAATATCAATTGAATTGGTTTTTAAAGTAGTAAATTTTTTGATCAAAATCTCCAATTCAGTTCTATCATTATAAGGTGAATTAATAAATGGAAGGATCCCGAATCTATAATGATTTAAATACATTTTGTTTATGAATGTTGAATCAGCGTTGTTGAAATTTTCTTTATCTATTAATAAAACTTTTGTATCAAACTGATTCTTTCCAAAAACAAATTTCAAATTTAGTGAATTCAATAGTTGTAATATTTTTAAGTTTTTTGAAAATGTGGTATTTAACAATCTTAAAATATTTGCTTGTATTTCAAACTTATGTCTTTTCAATCTTACTTTATCATCTCCATAAATCTCAGTTTCGATTGAAAATAATTGATTTTCCAATAATTCTACTAAATTAGGACATTGACTAAACAACCTAGTGAATACAGTATCTATGAAGTATAATAATGATGGTAACTCTCTTTTGTTGGCATTAAAATCGGAAATAATTAATAAAAAGTGTCGTATAACTAATTTAAAATCAATTATTTCAGTTGATAAATAAGTATTAAATATAATTGATAATCTCATTAACTGAATATGTGTGAAATTATTAAATCCTTGTATTTTAACAATTAATTTATCAGGTACAGAATCGCAACCACAAGCAGTTAATAATTGTTGAAATTCTTTTGAGTCTATACTACTAAAATTTTTCCCCTTTATCATATCATTAATTTCCATTAATCTATCTGGATTTAAAACAGTATCTAAAACTTGATAAATAAATTTCTTGTAATTTTTGATATTATTCCATACTTTATTTGGATTTTTTTGAATCAACTCTAAAGTAACAAAATTTATGGGTTTAAAATCACCAAGATCTAAATACTCCGTATCTTTTAAATAATAAAAATGTCTTGAAATACCAAAACCATCATTTCTTGACCTATCCAATTTTATCAAATTTTCAATCAAATTAACATCTGAATATTTTTTTAAACCATTTGAACCATTATCATTTAATTCATTAATTAATTTCTCCTTTTCCAATTCTAAATCATTAAATTCTTTAGTTAGTTGATCATTTCTTTGTTGCAAATCTAATGAAATTTGTTTATTTTTCAAATTAATTTTATTCAATTTTTCAGCTTCAATTTTAAAAATTGATGGTAATTCAATTTGGAAATTATCAAGATTATTCTTGAAATGTTGATGTTTTTTAACTGTAGTTTTAGTTAAAAATGAACTTAATTCTTTATCATCATCAGGAGTTGAAGAAGTTGAATCATCAAAAATATCGTGCATTCATATAAATTTATACACGGCATCAATTTTTTTTTTCTTCTTTTCCAATAACCAACTAGCAATATGTCATACGAAAAATTACCATTAGATGAATTTTATAAAACAATTGATGAATTAAAACCTCAATTTATTCAAAGATTAAAGAAAGCAATTGCAATTCCTTCAGTTTCTTCAGATGAAAATTTAAGACCAAAAGTGGTTGATATGGCTCATTTTTTAGTTGATGAATTAAAAGCGTTGGGAGCTCAAGATATTCAATTAAAAGAGTTAGGTGTTCAACCACCTCCAGTTTCAAATCCAAATATCAAATTACCTCCCATTGTTCTTGGTAGATTTGGTAATGATTCAAATAAAAAGACAATTCTAGTTTATGGTCATTATGATGTTCAACCTGCTGCAAAAGAAGATGGATGGGCTACTGAACCATTTGAAATGTATCATGATAAATCTAAAGATATTTTATATGGTAGAGGTACAACTGATGATAAAGGACCTGTTATTGGTTGGTTAAATGTTATTGAAGCTCATAAAAAATTGAATTTAGAATTACCAGTTAATTTATTAGTTTGTTTTGAAGGCATGGAAGAAAGTGGTTCATTAGGTTTAGATGAATTAGTTGCAAAAGAAGCTAATGAATATTTTAAAAATGTTGATCAAGTTACAATTAGTGATAATTATTGGTTAGGTACTACAAAACCAGTTTTAACTTATGGTTTAAGAGGTTGTAATTATTATCAAATTATAATTGAAGGTCCTGGTGCTGATTTACATTCTGGTATATTTGGTGGTATTATTGCAGAACCAATGACAGATTTAATCAATGTTATGAGTAAATTAGTTGATTCACAAGGTAAAATACAAATTCCTGGTGTTTATGATATGGTTGCGCCTTTAACTAAAGAAGAAGATGGATTATATGATGATATAGCATTTTCAGTTGAAGAATTAAACGCAGCTTCAGGCTCAAAAACTTCATTACATAATAATAAAAAAGATATTTTAAAACATAGATGGAGATTTCCAAGTTTATCATTACATGGTATTGAAGGTGCATTTTCAGGTTCAGGAGCTAAAACAGTTATTCCTGCTAGAGTTGTAGGTAAATTTTCAATTAGAACTGTACCAAATATTGAAAGTGGAAAACTTGATCAATTAGTTTTTGATTTTATTACTAAAGAATTTGAAAAATTACAAAGTCCAAATAAATTTAAAGTTGAATTGATTCATGATGGTAATTATTGGGTTTCTGATCCTTTTAATTCAGCTTTTCAGGCAGCTTCAAAAGCAACACAAGATGTTTGGAATGTTGTACCAGATTTTACAAGAGAAGGTGGTTCAATTCCAATTACATTGACTTTTGAAAAAGAATTGGGTGTTGATGTTTTATTATTACCAATGGGTAGAGGTGATGATGGTGCACATTCAATTAATGAGAAATTAGATATAAGTAATTATATTCAAGGTTGTAAAACATTGGGTGGATTTTTACATTACTATTCTAAAACATAATATATAATTAATATACACTTGGTAGCGGATGGGTAATAAAATTTTCATTTCTCATCAGATAATTTCTACTACATTATAGATTATTATTTATTTATTTCCTAATGTCAGAGAATCTAAAGAGAGCAGAAAGTTTATTTAATAGAATTATGAATCAAACTAATGATTCCGCTTCTGTATTGAATAAAACTCCGCCTCAAAAATTAAATATCGAAAAAACCATTGAAAATACATTAATCCAAGTTAAAAAAACCGATCATGTATTACCTTATTGTTGGACAATATGGTATCATTCCAGAAATAAAAAGCCAAAAGAAGAAGAAGATAGTAATAATATAGTTGATTCATATTTACAAACTACTACGGAATTAAATTTTATAGATTTTAATGGAAACAATTTGAAAAATTTTGCATCATTAGAACAATTATTATTAATATTATCAAATATTAAAAAAACATTTGATTTATCAATCGGTACTGAATTTTTAATTTTTAAAACAGGTATAAATCCAGTTTGGGAAGATCCAATTAATGCAAAAGGTGGAAGATGGATTTTTAGATTTAATAGAAATTCTGTTGAAGATCCAATACAATCGAGAAAAAGAGTTTGTATTATTTGGGAAAGATTAGTTTTAAAAACTTTAACAGGTTCATTAATACCAGATATTTATTCATCAGATATACAGAGTTTACTAAATACAGATATATGTGGACTTGTTTTATCGATTCGTAAAGATGAAGATATACTTAGTATTTGGAATGCAAATATTCCAAGTAGTAAAAAAACTGCCAATATTAAATCACGTAGAATATTGGTAGATTCTATATTAAGAATTATAAGAGAAGCCGATGCTATATTGCTGGGTGATGAATCAATAGTTTATACTGATAATGGGTCAACTCAAAGAGTTAAAAATGTTTCATTTGAATATAGAATTCATAGTGATAATGAAAATACATCGAGTCATCATCATAATAGAAAATGTGTTAATAAGTATAGGAATAATAATAATCATATAAAAACAGAATCAATTAAAGAAAGTAAATAGGAATATAAATTAAATTATTTTTGATTTTGTTGTTGATTTTGTTGTTGATTTTGTTGTTGATTTTTTTGTTGATCTTGTAATTACGAATTTTATATATGGCAATTTCGCGAACTAATTAAACATTGACTACTATAAAATTTATTATTGACATTTGGAAAAGAAACTTTTGTGCATAGCCGTCCGTGGCTTGATTTATTACACAAAATTGAATTCTGCACCCCCTATTTAAAAAAAAAAAAACGAACAAAATTAATGTCAAGTCCCCGATATCATTACAATACATAGAAATCATAGAAATCATAGAAAACTTTGTAGATTTACTAAAATTCGTTAAACCTAGAAGTAATAGTACTGAACCAAAGACTTTATTAGTCATAGTTGGTTACGAGCATTAGATTTGTAATAGCCTAACCAAAACTTCATCAACTTGAAACTTTTTCCAAATGAAACTTTTTCCAAATGAAACTTTTTCCAAGTGAAAGTAAGCAAGCATAATCAATTACGTTCTTTTGTAAATAATTCAGGGGTCATATTTAAATATTGCTATCCAAGATAAATGGTTGTCACTTTGAACTTTGATCGTAAATCTATTAATGTAAGTAAAATTAAGTTAAATGGGTAAAACTTTAAATCGTAAGACAATAAACATTCAAATTTCATTATACAAAAATTGTGCACTTTACACGCCCTAGTAGTCAAAAGGTATTGTCATTTTTCCACTTCAATTATATTCACTCGTATTATAATTCACTAAAAATAAAATTACATAATATAAAATATTGGCGCTTATGTAACATTTCTTAATTAAAATAGAAAAATTTTTATTTTATTATATTGGTATCGTCCACGTCATATATATATACTTTATATATTGACTTCTGATCCAATAGTATAATGTATCAACAGAGCATCAACAGAGCATCAATAGAGCATCTACAGAGCATCAACAAGAACATATACTAGTGCTACATCATTCCAATTTTAAGTATTAATGAATTAATTAATTAATTCAATTATTTTGTATTGGCGTATAATTTTTATCACACTGGGGCGTGTACTTTGCAACCATTTTTGTGACTTTATAATTAATTTTTTTTTTTTTATTTTTTTTTTTTTTTTTTTTTTTTGTTTGAGATAGAATCTCATCTTTTTTAAAACAATTAGTCAATACATATATTCAAATTATCAACTAAATACCAACATTTCAAAGGTTTAATGGACTCATTTAATCATAACGATTTTCAAAGTGATCTTTTTGAATCTGAACCATCCATTAATGAATTATTAACATCTGCTAAAAAATTTTTAAATTTACAACCAAGGTTAGATAATAGACATTTAAGAAATTCAAATTCGCAATCTCAACTTAATCATATGATGAATAATACAAATTATAAAGATTTAATATCACCGCAAATATTGTCAAATAATCATGATAAAGTATTAGATTTATTATCACCATTATCTATGGATGAATTGAAAAATAGTGCAATGACTAGTACTACCACAACTACAACAACGTCAAATAGCTCAAATACTAAATCATCTAATTCTAATTACACTTCACCGAAAAAAACTTGCTCAAATTTAACCAAATCATTTCAAAACACAAATAATTCCACAAATAATTCCACAAATATTACCACAAAATTAACCGAGTGTCATAATTGTGGAACTCAAAAAACTCCACTTTGGAGAAAAAATAGTGAAGGTCAAACTTTATGTAATGCTTGTGGTTTATTTCAAAAATTACATGGTAGAGATCGTCCATTAGCTTTAAAAAGTGATGTTATAAAGAAGAGGAATTCGAGAAAAATTACAAATAATTCAAAGAGTTTAAATTCAAATCAATTTATAAATACTGGTATTAAATATGAAAAATCTAAACAACCTGCTCCTTCATCATTACCCAATACACAACCAACCTATAAACAAATTTTACCAAAGATTACACCAACAACAACCACATCCATACCAATTCCATCGAGGAGTAGTCTTTCATCTTCTCCACAGCCTTTTTCTCCATATTCATCTTCATCATCATCATATACGATAAATAATAATCAACCATTTAAAAGGAAAAAATCTGAAATTAACCTAGAAGAATCTGGAACTCCATTATCTTCTAGGTCAAGACAACAATCTACAACTTCACTTTCGAGTATACCTCAACGTAAAAATTCATATATCAATAGAAGAACTTCAGTGCAAAATTCATTTACATCAAATAATATGAGATTCCCACAACAACTGACTTATTTTGAAAATCCAATACAACCATGTATATCAAGACATAATAGTACTCAAAATTTTGATACTCCAAAGTCGTATAATTCTACATCATCATTATATAGAAATGAAGATGCTACTCCAAATTCAATACCTGCAACTCCAAATGTTGCTGATTTATTGCCAAGATCTAGACAAAAGAATAGTTTAATTGAAGAATATAGAGCAAGTAAACCACCAATTATACAATATCAAGGTATTGATGATGAAATGTTGCTATCTGAATTTAATTTTAAAAATATAGAAATGAATGATGATGATTTTTTTAAAAGTTATACAAGTTTACATCAAGAATCTGAAATGGATGATTTTATAAAGAAAGAACCTGCTATAATCGAAGGTTTTGAAAGTAATTTTAATAAAGAAGATAAAACTGATTATAAAGATTTGGATTGGTTAAAATTTGAAATTTAGTATATAATGATTTAATGATTTAATGTTTATAAGTCAATTTTTATTACTTCTGTATTTAATGTTTCTAAATCAAGTATTACAAATTCACCAGTTTCACTAAATTTAGGTAAACTTATTAATCTAATTTTATTATTTTGATATTCCAACATTTCTGATTCATATTTTTCTTGATTTCCAACAAAATAAACATTTGGTAATTCTTGAAATACAAATGGATCTTCATTTTCATATGGATAACAATATAAGGTATCAGGAGCAGTTGGTATAAAATTTTGCCAATAGATATTTGACTTCATTATTTGTAAACTTGAAATTTTAGAACAATACCTTTTTACATCATCAATATTCTGACCACTAGTCCCTAATATTTTCAAATTATTAATTTCAAACCATTGTGGATTAGTTAATCTTTGTAATCTATTTGTATCTAGAAACATTAAATTATTTTTAAATAATGATTTATGTAATGGTTGTTGTGGTAGACTTATTTCAGCTGGATCATTAACACCTGGCATAACCATGACTTTTAAATTAATTAATAAATCCGTTAATAAATTATCCAATTTCTTCAAACTATCTGAATTATATTTTGATATATTTTTTGAACCATAATTATTACTAGTTATAAAATTTTTTAAATCATTTTCTGCTTCTAAATTTTCAAAAGGTAATATTGAATTACCTGCTATAATTAAAGACTCTATCTCACTATTAAACTCTTTATCATCATTATTACCTAATTCACCAATTAAATATTGTTTTAATAATTCAATTCTTAAATCATCTTCAAAACCAATATTTAAACCCGATATTAATGCAATTTTACCTGAAGAATTGACTTGATTTTGATTTTGATTTTGACTTATAGATTTAGGATATGCTATATCCATAATTTCAAATATACCAGCTTGAATTTCAATACCTAAAATCGCCACAATACAACCCGTAACTAATAAATTTTTATTTAAAAAAGATTCATCACCATGTAATATAGCTCTACCTGATTCATCTTCAATCATTACAATTGAATCTTTGAAATCTTCTAAATAACTACTAGGTGTTATAGGTAGTATATCATCAGTTCCTTTTTCAACATCACTTAATATATTTAATTTAAATGGATAATCACAAAAAACTGTACCAACAACCCAACATAATTGATTACTAGTAATATCTAATATTTTATCTTGTTTAATTATAGTTTGACCATCAATTTTTTTAGTACCATCACCCCATTTTGTCATGGCTTGTTGAATAACACGATCTTTTAAAATATTTAATCTATATTGATACATTGAAAAATATTGTCTATCATATTTTCTATTACTTGGATTAAGAAAGAACTCATTCCTTTTAAACTCTAGTTTGTCAGATCTTTTAACTTGTATATCTTCAATATTGTTATTCATAGAGATGAGATGGTTTTCAAAACGCGTAAAAATATATATATTCAATTTTTATCTCTCTTTTGTTTTTTATGTTTTTTATCAATAGATTTTCCACTTGAACCAATTGATATATTAACTTTGGGTGGTATATCAAATCCGAATGATTTACCAACTTTAACTAAATCTAATTTATCTATTTGGTAAACTGTTTTTAAACTATGTGATGCGTAAGCTTGTAAATAACTTCTATAACCATCTTTTGCTGATTGATGTAATAAATAATTTGTCTTTATTAATTTTGATAATTGATTTTGAACATTGGCTATTTTGTTTGTTGGAAATTCATATTCATTTAATGGTACATTTGATGCTTTTAAATATCTTAAAAATCCTAATTCATTTGGTGTTAAAAACATTAATGATTTACCTTTACCATTTGTACCTCTTGCTGTTCTACCAACTCTATGTATATAGTCTCTTGGATCATCTGGTGGATCAAATTGAATAATCCAATCAACTGATGGAATATCTAATCCTCTTGCTGCAACATCTGTACATACTAATATTCCTTGTTTTGCGTTACAAAATTCAAAAAATGTATTGGTACGTTTTTGTTGCTTTTGTTTACCATGCAAATCTAAAACTGGTAAATCTATATAATTTAATAATTCTGAATAAAATTTTACACAATTACATGATGATAAAAATACTATAATTTTCTTTTTAACATTTCTTTTAAGAAATGAAAATAATAATAAAAATCTTTTATCGGAATCACATACAACATATCCTTGTTCTAATCCATCAGCTGTGGATATTTCACTTTCTGTAACAACATTTACATATAATGGACCTTGTCTTAAAGATATCCTTGCTAAATCTTCAACTTTTGTAGTTTGAGTAGCTGAAAATAACATTGATTGTCTATTTTCATTTGGTAATATTTTTATAATTTGTTTCATTTCATCTTCAAACCCAATTTCTAAAATTCTATCAGCTTCATCTATAATTAAAGCTTTTAAATTTGAATATACAAAACCTTGAGTATTTTTTAAATGATCTAATAATCTACCTGGTGTGGCAACTAATAAATTTAAACCTTTTTGTAATTTTGTAGCTTCTTGTCTTCTATCAGCACCTCCAATTACAATCCCACATGTTTGTGAATGAAATTTCATCAACTCTCTAGCTACTCCAAAAATCTGTAAAGCTAGTTCTCTTGTTGGTGTTATTATAATTACAGTAGTACCATTTCTTGGTTTTATTTTAAGGGAATATAATAATTCAATTGCTGGTATTAAAAATGCCAAAGTTTTACCAGATCCTGTTTTTGCAGCTCCCAAGACATCTCTACCTGCTAATAATGGTGGTATTGTTTTAGCTTGAACTTTTGTCATTTTTGAGAAACCCATTTCTTTTATAGCTTTCATGGTTGGTTCTGATAAATTAGCATTTTCAAATAAAACATCTTCCTCTATAGCATTTGTATTTAACTTTGTAGGTATTGCCTTTGGTTCAACTTCTTGTTTTTTCTTTTTAGGTTTTTCAGGATCTTTAATGTCTTCACCAAGTAAACCAGCAATTTCATCAAAATCTTGATCTACTTCATTAACAAGTTTTTCATTATCACTCTCACTTTCTTCGTGTGATCTTTTCTTATCTTTAACCATAGTTAGATGAGATGGAAAATAATTTATCTCATCTTAAAAAAAATAAATCGCGAAACTAGTAAGGATCCAAACAAAGAGTACAACAAAGAAGGATGTAAGTAAGAATACAACAAATATTATAATGCATCCTACTATAAATTACATGTCTATACTGGTAGTTGATTATTTATACCTGCTAATTTATCAATATAAGGTGCAATAATTGGATTACTTAAAACATCACCAATATAAGGTATACTTCTTAAAAATTGAATAATTGTACCAAAGAAATCACCAAATAATCCTAATATACCAAAAAATTCAATTATAAACCCAATAAATGAATATTTAATTAAAATTAATAATATACCTAATATAAAACATATTGTACCTCTAATTTTTGTAGGTCTTGTGAAGAATGATATAGTTCTTTGTGGTCCAATGATTAATATTAACCCAATTATGAATAATATGTTACCTAATGCTAAAAAACCAGAATCAAAAAATGTGAAAATTCCGAATATGAAAAAAAATATCCCACCAGCAGTGAAACCAACTCCAAACTCTTAAATGTGTTAGTATGATTATTTTTTATATTAGTTTGTTACATACTTTGTCTCTCTGATAACCAAATCATTGTTTAAGGTACTGCTTTATCTTTTTTTATTAAATTTGACATGGAACACTTTTTCAAGTCCTGTGCAAAAAAAAAAAAAAAAAAAAAAAAAAAAGGTCACGTGAAAAGCGCGTATTGAACTGCTGCAAAATAATGGCTGCAAAACAAATGACTGCAAAATAAATGGCTGCAAAATTAATTGCTGCAAATATTTATTCATTTAGTTGCTAGTTAAATTTTGATTCTCTACTTGTTGTAAACCACTAAATGAAATTTGATCATGGGTAATATCTGGACCCAAACCAAATCCTAATAATGAAGATAATCCTGCTTTGAAATAATCCAAAATTGAAGGAATTACACCTGGATATTCAAAATTATCACCTCTTTTAGTATGAACACAACCGTTTACGGGTTCAACACCATTGAATCTATTAATTATCCATGTTAAAGCGGCGGGAGCTCCAACAACAATTTCACTGATATGACCATTACTTTCATCTTCTGCAAATTCTGCACTTGCAATTCCTGCTTCACACCATTGATTAAAAGTCTTAATTGCACTAGGAATTGGAACAATACCATCAATTGAACCATGATATATAAAAATTGGAACTTCAGGTACTATGTTTGGATTTGAGACTAAATCAATCTCATCAATAACAGATTTAAATGGTTCTTGAGTTAGTAAATCCCAACCTGGAATGATAAATCTGAGTGGGCCCGAAAACCAACGATCATAAAAGAATACTAATAAAGCATCAACTAAACAATGTTTATCTCTTCTATCCCATTTCCAATTAAGTAAAGGATTGATTTCAGAATTTAATAAATCAGCATATTGTTCATATTCTTTTGCTAGTCCACCAAGTGCATTTGCAATGATACCACTGAATGCCAGGCGGTCGGTTGCTTCAGCAACCTCAGTGATATTTGTCACTAAACCTCCTGCTGCAACACCAATAATGTTAGGTAATATTGAAGGGCTATGAACTGAGATTAATCCGCTAGACCAGACAGAAGCAATGCTTCCACCCGAATAACCCCAAAGAACACATCTGGCATCCTCTGAAATACCTGTTGTTTCACCACTGGCAAGTGCGGCTTTTATTGAATTCAAAGTTGCATAAGCAGATTGATAAGAAGCAGTGAATGCGGATTTTGGACCTTCATAATCTGGAATATTGACATAGTATCCTTGATTTAACAATGCTATAACAAAATACATCTCTGCTTGGGTCAGTATTGTGTTTATAGGTGCTTTAAATTGGATCGAAAAACTTGGGGCACAATTTTCAGAGGCAGCATCTTCAAAAACTTGATAACTAACAATTTTTTTGGGATCTGCATTATAAGGTTCAATTATAGTCGTTACGATGGCATTCAGATTATTAAAAGTATCTTCAGACCTAACTAAAAACTGCCAACAATTCTTGACATTAACTGGTGTGAAAATATTAGTTAATGGATTTGGACATGGTCTTGATTTTAAAATCGCACCATTTGGTTCATTCTCGTAGCCCTCTGGTGGGTTGTAGAATTCGTCTTCACCTGGAGGTGTAGGTGGACCAATAGGACTAGCTAAAATAATAAGTAAATAATAAAATAATATTAAAATCATTCGTTAGAAATTTTAATAGTGGTTCAAAAGTTGGTAGAATCATTTCATTACTTATACTTCTTTTGACGTATTTAAAACAAAGAAGCAGTTCAATTCATGTGAGTCGAGAAGTTTAAATTACGATATTTTGAAGTTTCAATAAACAATGGTATGAACTCCACAAACTAGACTTGGAGTCAAGTAGTTTTCTTGAATCTTAAAGCTTAAAGTTTAGTTTAAAATTACCATAATTAGTCTTATTGTTTTCTTGTCACATCAATATAAACTTTATTTGTTGTTCCGCGTAGAGTGAATAGTTGAACCGATTTATAAACGTTTCATTTGAGTAATAAACTTTGAACCTGATTAAAATGTGGAATTATAATTTAGAGTGAAGTTTGAAAATGAGCGTAATCTTCAGATTTTCTTGATATTAATTAACAATCTTGTGAGTCTCTCGTATAAGCACGCATTTATGTTAATCTTAACAGATTCAAGATTGATTCTGTTCTACGAGCTGGTTACTAATCTTATGAAATTGCCCTTAAATGATAGTAGAGCATGTTTCAATTACAATCTTGTATATTATCATATCCAATTAAACAACAATTTGTCTATTATCAAATTTTATTAAACTTTAAATTTTGAATATTTTGAATTGCACTTAATGAAACTTGGTCTTTTTTTACATCTCCTCCTAAATTTAAACCAAGTACTGCATCAAAGGCAGTCTTAAAATAATCTAAAATTGATGGAAGAATATTTGGATATAAAAAATTACTTAATCTTGTTGTATGTTGACAACCTTTAACTGGAAGAACACCATTGAATCTATCAATCAACCATGTTAAAGCGGCGGGTGCTCCGGTTATTGCCTCCGTAATATGCCCATTAGTTAAATCTTCTGCAAATTCTGCACTTGCTATTCCTGCTTCACACCATTGATTGAAAGTTTTAATTGCACTTGGAATTGGAACTATATGATCTAATGTTCCATGATAAATAAAAATTGGAACTTCAGGTACTAAATCAGGTCTATTAACTAATCCATTACCATCAATTATACTTTTGAATGGTTCTTCTTGCAAAAGTGACAAACCTTCTGGAAAAACCCTTGGAGTTCCTTCAATCCAGTGAACTCCAATGAATGAGGTTAAAGCATCAAATAAGCAATGTTTATCTCTTTGATTCCAAGTTGAATTTAATGCAGGGTTTACTAATGAATTTGCCAATGTTGTATATTGACTATATTCATTAAGTAGGCCACCAAGAGCATTAGCTGCTATTCCGCTAAATAGACCTCCGTCTACTGCCACTGCCACCTCAGTTATGTTGGTAACAAAACCGCCTCCTAAAAATCCAATTAAATTTGATTTTAGTTCAGGGGCAAATATGGGCTGTATACTGGCTGCCCAGAGAGAAGCAAGACTACCTCCTGAGTATCCCCAAACTGCCACTTTAGCATCATTGTCAACACCTGTAATATTTCCACTTTTTAAAGTGGCACGAATTGAATCCAATACAGCATTACCATTATTTACACCAGCACAAAATGCAGATTTAGGTCCTTCATAATCCGGAGTAGAAACATAATAGCCTTGATTTAATAATGATATAATAAAGAACATTTCAAGTTGAGTCATTATAGTTGAGCCGGGTGAATTTACCTGTATTGCATATGAAGGGCTGCAGCGTATAGACCCTGAATCTTCAAACGTTAAGTAGCTAACAACTTTACTTGGATCAGCATTAAAAGGTTCTAAAACAGTAGTGATCACGGCAGTAGGATTTCCAAAAGTATCTTCAGAACGAAACATGATTTGAGTTGCAGCTTTTATCTTTACTTGGTTTACTATATCAGTTAATGGATTTGGAACTGGTCTTGATTTTAAAATAGCACCATTTGGTTGATTCTCGTAACCTTTTGGAGCAGAATAGAATGGATCTAAATCAGGTGGTGTAGGTGGAACAATAGGACCTGCCAAAATTGTAACAAAGCAAAAAAATAAGCAAATAAACTTCATTTTAAAGCTTGATAGATTTTAAATAAGAACTGGAGGATTCAGCAGGTTTTAAATACTTTATTTATTTTCTTCACTATCACCATCATAAACAGATAAAGTGCCACATGCTAACAATACTCTTATAATTTTTTCAACTGTTTGGTGAATCAAATAATAAAGAACAATGGAATGAGAAATATTTTTCCATATTCTAATTGTTCATTTTAATTGACTGTGATGATCTTTTATTGTTTCAAGCAAAATATCAACAAAATGAAACGGTATCGTGTCGATCCGCGAAATTTCATTATTACCGAACAATAAACGGTTATTAAATCTGTCAACTTTTAGAAAACAAAAGTAGAATATCAAACAATTGTTTAAGCCGAGTTTAAACATTGTTTTGATTCCGATTTGGGTGTGAGCACTAGAATTGCCGAATTGATGTTTGCATTTTTTCGAATCGAACAGCAAATTCGGATTTGCAATAATTGTTTAAGTCCGATCTAGCGTCAGCATATTCGTTTAGATTCTATTGGCTTGGATTTGGGTGTGTACGACGAAATTAGTGAATATTATTTAACTAAATAATCAATTCAAAAATGTAAGCCATTCGTTTTGCAATCGAACAACGTTTCTTCATTGTTCTAGAAATTAAACTAAGCTTTCTGATCTGCAATTAACATGTTTATTTCAATTGCCTATGGATTTACAACGGTTATTGTCATAGAGCAATTTTTACCGTAGATAAGAGATTTACCCCTTAGTAACTGAAAGGATCAAAATCGTTACACCCTGGAATCTCCAGCACTAATCAGGTAGGTTAAATGGAGAAAAAGGTGTTAGAATTCATTTAGGATCTTTTGCCTAACCTCTAGTTTGTTTCAAATGATCCATTAAATTACATTGATTTAAAATTCATCATTACATTCAAAATGATTTGAGTAATTTCAGGATCAACGCCTTTTTCAAGGTTCCGCAGACTGTCTGGTGCAATAACAAATCGATCAATGATTTTGAAGAAGTTATCAAGTTAATCATCTTATTTTTTTTCGTAAAAAAAAAAGCGCAAAATTTCCAAATTAGGCAATCAGTCCCTATGTTCATGTTTCAGAATTTTGGCGTAAAGCCGTACCATTACCTAATAGGGTAGTTTTCTTTTTATGAATCAGTCAAAGTAGATCAGTTCAAGGTACAGGCGATTGTTTCATAAGCGAAGCCTAATTAATAGCTATATAATAGACTCTATGTTCGTGGTTAAACAATAAATATGATATATATTAAATAATCTTCAATTGTGATTGAAATTTAAATTTATCAAACCTTGTAAGGCACCAATTGAAATTTGATCTTTGGTTACATCTCCACCCAACTTCATACCAGTAATTGCATCAAATGCTGATTTGAAATAGGTTAAAATTGATGGTGCAATATTTGGATACAAGAAATTGTTTAATCTTTGAGTATGTTGACAACCTTTAACTGGAGGAACACCATTAAACCTATCAATAATCCATGTAAGTGCGGCAGGAGCGCCTACAATTGTCTCCGTAATATGCCCATTAGTTAAATCTTCTGCAAATTCAGCTGACTCAACACCTGCTTCGCACCATTGATTAAAAGTCTTGAATGAATTAACAAATGGTACAACTTGATCTATTGTACCATGATAAATAAAAATTGGAACTTTTGGAACTAGTTGCTTTTGATAAACTAAACTGTTTGATTCTAAAATTGTTTTGATTGGTTCTTGATTGATTGTTGCCCAACTATCTCTGATATACCTAAATACACCCAGAATGAAATGTTGATTGAAGTAATAAATCAATGAATCAAGTAAACAATGTTTATCTTTCAAATTCCAATTAAATAGTAATAATGGATTTATTTGTGAGTCGTAAAATGACTTAAAAGCTGGATATTCATTTGATAATCCTCCTAATGCATTCAGAATTATTCCGGCGCAAAATTTACCATCACAAATTTCTGCAGTAGCTGATATATTACTAACAAAACCTCCTACAGCAACTCCAATAACGTTCGAAACTATATCAGGACTATATGATGAGATCAATACGGATGCCATACTGCTAGGAATGGTTCCCCCTGAATACCCCCAAAGAACGGAGCGTGCCATATTCGAAATACCTGTTGTTTCACCACTTGCAAGTGCAGCTCTAATTGAATTTAAAGCCGCATAACCAGATTGATAAGCCGCGCAAAATGCGGATTTTGGACCTTCATAATCAGGAATATTAACATAATACCCTTGGTTTAATAAAGCAGCAATAAAGTAAATTTCAGACAGTGTAGCTAACGTATTAATTGGAGAACCTGACTGAAGGGCATATGAAGGAGAACACTGAATACTTGCAGAATCTTCGTATACCTGATAACTAACAACTTTTTCAGGATCAGCATTAAATGGTTTTAAAATTGTGGTAACTATAGCATTTGGATTATTGAAAGAATCTTCACTCTTAACTAAAAGTTGCCAAGCACCTTCGATCTTAATTGAACTAATAAGGTTTGTAATTGTATGCGGAACCGGTCTTGATTTTAAGATTGCGCCATTTGGTTGATTTTCATAACCTGATGGAGGATTATAAAAATCATCATTGTCAGGAGGTGTGGGAAATAAAGAGGCAGCAGAAGCTAAAAGTAACAAATAGAACCAAGTGAAATTAACCATCATGATTGATTATTGAAATTTGAATGGGAAATTCTACTCTATTTATACCCAAGAATTAATTGACAATCCCTTTAATCAAAACAACGATAAACTCATAATCATGTTTCATTTTAATTGGTTAGTATCTCCTCCAGTACATCTCAAAATTCTTTCTTTAAGGGCTTCCAATGGTTGCAAATTACAACGCGTAAAATTTTGGAAAAAAAAAATAAACGTCGTGAAACAAAATTAGAAACATTGAAAATTTAAAGCTTTGTCTAAAAGCATTAGCTGCAAAGGGGCTAAACTCAATGAAGTCTTCTCTACAATTGTTAATTTCGTAAAAATTCAAAAGTTCATCTCGTAGATAATTATCAAGATCAATTCGAAGATATGACAATAAGTTAGAAATATGACAATAAGTTAAAAAATAGACCTTGTGGTTCATTTTACACACATAAATCGTTGAGCAAAAAGAGGTAGAAATGGTTAATGTAAATTTCAAAATCATGTCAAACGTATTGAAAACACCTCAAAAAATAACCAGTTTGTGGGGTTTCGGCCAAATGAATATTTTAATCTCCCGAGACTTTCCTTTTAATTTGATTATTTGACGTGGCATCAATTTACTAGAGAAGATGGATATATGACTTGATATGAAACTGAAACAATAGAACTAAATTTCTTGGTATTATTATTTACTAAAAGTTTTGCGCTTTACCTCGATTTCCAATCAACGTTGTCGATCAATTGGCTTAATCTGGGATTAAGATTGTCATTTTAGTTGAGATTCATGAGCTTCTAGTCAAGAACAAGCTTGGTACTGGGAGACTCAAATGCAGTAACACTCATAAATTATAATAAATGGAAAAGTCTTCAAACTACAGTCTTTTTTCCTTAACATCGATTGCAACAAAAAATTTCATTTTGGTTACGATACATGAGGGTAAAATTTCATATAACGGCATCAAAGTTGATTGGTCGCATTAAAAACTCGAGTAATGTACTGTTGTCAATTGGGAGTGTTTATAGATTGTATATTACGGGTAATACGTACTTGAATTGCAATGTTAGTGAAAATAAATTTGCAGTCATTTATTTTTCAATAGTGTAAAATGAGTACTGTACATAATTTCGATCTCTAAATTTATCTCCAGTTCTTAAAGGATAACAAGTTAAAATTATGGACACCAATTCAAAAAATGATTTACCACCAAGCTATTCAGAAGCTATAAACAGTCCTCCAGTACAACCTCAAAGACCCACTCCAAGTGCAACTTCTAGTCTTGTTCCACCTCGACCCCCACAGGCTGTGCCATCAGCAACAACAGATGATCTTTATACTAATAATCCAAATTTACCGTTTAAATTTCCAAAAGGTTTTTTATGCCCCAAATGTAAGAATACTGGTTATAAAATTAAAAAACATAATTTAACAGGAAAACAATGTTGTAAATCATGTTGGGATAAATTTTATTTTTCAAAAGGTTATGCTTATAATCCAAATTCAAATAATTTATCATTTAGATATCCAAAAGGTTTTTATTGTGATAAATGTCATAATTCAGGTTTTAAAACTAAAAATGGTTTAAGTTGTAAAGATTGTTGGGATTCATTTAGTCCAAGAAATTCATATAATTCAATTAATCATAATTTTAGTCCAAGTTATTTTGGTTCTACTACATTTATACCTGCTGGTGGTCAATTTAATGGAAGTGGTCCTCCTTTAAGAGTTCCTCCTGGTGATCCAAGATTAGGCGGTGGTATGTATCAAAATTTTAAAATTTAATTTTGTACTAACTGTATTTAGTGTTATGTGGAAAATGTAGAGGTCAAGGTATGGTAAGATTTCTTTTAGATATGGAATTATGTCCTGTTTGTTCTGGTTTAGGAAGAGTTGTTAATGTTAGACCTTCTCAACCTCAATTTCAACAACAATCTTTTGTTCCCCCTCGAAATTATTATGAAAAGAGATGAGAAAATTGTGGTGGTGTTACGTCTATGATAAGTATTAAGGGTATCAAGGTTTATGTCGTTGTTAATTCAATTCTTACATGAGTTTTATAGTTTAATAAATTTGATTTACTACTTATATTCATTCAAAAGTTTTTGTAAAATTACCAAGCATTCATCTTCAAACAAATGCTTCGAAGCTCAAATTTGAGAAATGTAAATCATATAATTTAAAGCTCCTAATCCTATTTATTCGTTTTTATCTCAAGACAATGTGTACTGCTAGTGACATACAAGCCAATATTTGTGGTATGAATCGCCCTAAACCTCACGCGAACAAATACTCCGATGGCATTGTGTTTGAGCGAAGATTACATACTATAAAAAATTAAACCATAAACACCTATATGCAGTCTTCACGCAGTTAATCTAACCTGAGATTGTAAATAACTCCGTCAATAGTCAAGCTCAAATTGTCAACCTATATTTGTTAGGCCTTCAGCAAAATTGTATCTGAATTTCGTCATTAATATCTGACAAGATATTGTTTTGGTCACGAAATTGGTGACGTAAAAAATGGTAAAAGACGCTTATTTGCTAAATAATCAACACTCAGACCTCATTTGACAAATTCTAACACATCTGATACGGTTGATTCAATCTCAAACATCCTGTTTGTGACGGTCTTAAGGCACTATATTCATTTTGAAAATTTTTCAAAAATTTCGATTGACCCTTGAAAAATTACTTTTCCAATTTTCGACTACCATAACATAAAAATATCTAAGTCATATTAAAGTGCAGAAGCACAAATTTGAATAGTTTCAACATGTTTAAGTTTGAATATTAAATGTAGTATCAGATCTTTTGTAAAGTCAATTTAAGTGATTTTGCTTATACTTAAGGAAAAATTCTAATATCTATCAATCTTAATTAGGACCAAGCAGAATGTAGTCTAGCAACTTGGCTTGAGGTATAATATATATAAACCGTGGTTCAGTTGAAAGTTATGGACCTAATTAGGAACATACATGGAAACCTCATTTTTGATGAAAATTTTATATGGTGAAAAAATGCCAAAATGACAAGTCAAAAAAAGTATTCAAATTTCAAGATTTGACATTTAAAGTATATAATTAAAGTTTCTTTATTTAAAAAAAAAAAGAATTGGTATATATCTAGAGAAATTGTTTTGTGTACAACCTACGAACCAAAATAGTACGAGTCGCCTAAATTGAAGGTGAGAAATAGTTTTGACGTACCAGGTTATGGCGTCAAAAAATGCATAATTTTCAAGATAATATTAGGGGGCTTTAGGGGGCTTTTTATCGAAAATTGGATTATATGTATTTTGAGTCACTAAAAAAGGTTTTGTCAACTAGTATCGATCTGATTTAATGAATAAGTGGATTAAGATATGTTGCTTGGGTATTTGAAGTCCGCGATTTCATAAAAATTCTCTTTAATACTTCTCATTGATACAAAACGAGATAAAAGACTACCAAAACCAGCTTTATCGTTAGTACCTGATGTTCTACTACCACCAAAAGGCTGAGCGCCAACAGTAGCTCCTGTCGATTTATCGCAGATATAGTAATTTCCTGCGGCATATCTTAATTTATCAGTTGCAAGTTGAATAGCTTTTCTATCTCTTGCGAAAACTGAACCAGTTAAACCATATTTTGTAACAGAATCAATAGAATCCATAATAGATTCATATTCAGCATCAGGATAAACATAAGCAGTTAACAAAGGACCAAAGAATTCTCGTTTCATAAAATCATGATTTGGGTCATCAGTTCTAACTAAAGTTGGTTGTATAAAATATCCAGTTGATTTATCAAATTCACCACCTGCAATAACTTCTAATTGAGGATCAGCTTTGGCTTCTTCAATAGCATCTTTAACTTTATTGAATGAAGCTTCATGAATAACTGGTCCCATAAATGCATGTAAATTTTCAGTACAGTTACCAATTGTGATTTGTGACATTTGATTATTTAAATTTTCTGAAAATTCAGGCCACAAACTTTCTGGAACATATAATCTTGAAGTTGCTGAACATTTTTGACCTTGATATTCAAAAGCCCCTCTTAAAGTACTTAAAACTGCATGATTTAATGAAGACGATGAATGTATCAAATGGAAGTTTTTACCACCAGTTTCACCAACAATTCTTGGAAAATCTTTATATCTACCATTTGCAACATTTGTATTAATTTTGGAATATAACTGTCTGAAAACATCAGTAGAACCAGTAAAATGTAATGCACTAAATTCTGGATCATTAACAACAATATCAGTAACTTCAACTGGATCACCTGGAATAAAGTTTATAACACCCTTTGGTAAACCAGCTTCTTCTAATATAGTTAATAATAAGTAATTTGATAATGCTGCAGTAGCTGATGGTTTCCAAACAACAGTATTACCTAATAATGCTGGTGCACCAACTAAATTACCAGCAATAGCAGTAAAGTTAAAAGGAGATACAGCATAAACAAAACCTTCCAAAGGTCTATATTCAACTCTATTCCATACACCTGGTGCTGTAGAAATTGGTTGAACCCCATACATTTCTTCGGCATATTTAACATTATATCTGAAAAAATCAGCCAATTCAGCAACACAATCAATTTCGGCTTGATAAACATTTTTACCTTGACCTAACATAGTAGCAGCCAACATATCATATCTATATTTAGTTGAAATTAAATCAGCAGCTTTTAGAAAAATTGCTGCTCTATCAACCCATGAAGTTTGAGCCCATTCTTTTTTAGCCTTCTTTGTTGAATCAATTGCTAATTGAATTTCCTTTGGACTAGCTTGTGAAACTTCAGCTAAAACTTGTGAATGCTTAGCAGGATTTACTTGATTTAAAGTTTTATCTTTATATATTTTTTCACCGTTGATAACTAATGGAATTTGTAATGGTTGATCAGAATCGGTAAATTTGGTAATTGATGCTCTTAATAAATCCCAATCTTTAGTATCATTAAATGAGAAATTTTTAACTGGTTCATTTGTTAAATTAGGTGGAGTTTTAAAATGAGCTAATTGAGCAACTGATCTAAATTGATTCAATCTTGATGATCTGATTATTGTTGGTTTAATAACATTCTTTGCTAAGCGTATAGTTCTTGAAGTTGATCTCAACATTATTAATGATTAAAGAAGAAGACATTTGAAATTTAAATAGTGGAGGGTAGTCTCTGCATAGAATATTACGCAGAGTAATCGTAAGCGATGGCGAGCCTCATTGAAAAAAAAATAGTAATTTAAGCGAGATCTTTATTTACCTTAGTACTTAAATTGTTCAATTTATCATTAAATGATTGTAAATTTAACTTATGACTCTCATCAAAGTTATTTAGATTATCGTTTAAATTAACTATTGATTCATCCCATTTTGTTAAATCAGTTTTAATGGTTGATATTAGTTCATCTATATTATTTGATAAATTTATGTTATTTTCCATTTCATTATATAATATAGTCAATGATTTTAATCTAGTTGATATTGTTTCTATATTCTCTTTAGACATTTCTAATACTGAAATGTTCTTATAAATTTCATCAATTTTCTTATCATCATTCTTTTTAATCTCATCATCATTAATATTAAATATCTTTTTATTTATATGTAGCTTCTCCATATTTTTAGTCATTGATTTAATTTCATCTTTTATTATATCAAAATTAAACTCTGGATTGTCAATTAATGAAAACTTTCTATCTAGATCATTAATTTGTAATTGAATAGATGTTTTATCACCAACTATTCGTTCAAGTTTATTAATTTTGTCATCTAATTCAACAATTGCCTTTAAATCTCTTGATGATGGTTGAAGATGGGGAGCTAACTCTATTGTATCTCTTGTGATCACCACTCTTTCTTGATGTTCTGACTTTCTCATTTGATTTAAAATCTCTTTCAAGTGCATAGCCTTTGGTGATCTGTCATTTGCTTGACCAATCTCTTCCAATTCCCTTTCTATCCTTGCTAATTTATCATCTGTGGTCTCATCAAGCTCACTAATGTAATAACCTCTTGAATTGATTATATTCCCCAGAAAATCAAATGTATCATTTACTATATCAGTTTTTGAAAATTTTGATTTACTTTCACCAACATTTATACTTTCATTATATTCTATTTCATTATTAACAAGTTTAACCTCATCTTCTATATCAGAAGATTCAAATATTTCTTGACCATTTGTATCAATGTCCATTAATGTTTACGCGAGACTAAAATGCTACCAATTCATAAATATTTATTACAGAGTTTCATTATTTTGTAACTATTTGCACAACATCTTCATCATGAACTGAATGATTCAACCCACATTTCTGAGGTGAATGTTTTGCACTTGAGCCCCAAACTAGAGCATATTTAAATTGATTTTTCATATCTCTATGAATTGAATCACAAACTTCTAAAATTGTACTTTTATTTCTAACCACCATTGGTTCATCAAATTTTGGCTGTATACCTCTTCTCTTTGTATATAGCCTTAATAAATTTAATTGTCTCCATATTTCTTCTTTTAAATCTTCTATACCTAAGTCTAATTCACATGATATAACCACAGTATTTGGTTCTCTAGCTAATCTATCACATTCTTCCAAAGAAACAGCATCAATTTTATTATAAACATATAAACATTTGATATAAGAAATGTGTTGATCATTTATCACATCAATAAAATCATCAATTGTAACATTTTCATCTCTTATCAAAACATCGGCATTATGTATTTTATAATCTTTCAATAAAGCAGTTATAATTTTTTCATCTAGATTTTTAGGTGGTGTTATTGAATTCATTTTAACACCTCCAGTTTTTTTACCTTTTATACTTATATCAGGTTTTGTTTTATTTAATCTTATACCCATTGACTCCAATTCATTTTCTAAAATTGATCTTTGATCTTCTGATTTTGTTGCATCTAAAACCATTAAAATTAAATCAGAAGTTCTTGAAACTGCTATAACTTGTCTACCTCTACCTTTACCTTGAGACGCAGCTTTTATAATCCCTGGTAAATCAACAATTTGAACTTCAGCCCCATGATATTGTAAAATTCCACCAACAGATGTTAAAGTTGTAAATTCATAACTAGCAGCTTCAGATTTTGTATTTGTAACTTTTGATAGAAATGAAGATTTACCAACAGATGGAAAACCAATTAATGAAACTCTTGCATCACCAGCTTTTGCAACTTCAAAACCTTGACCACCTCCCCCACCACCTTGACCAGGTTGAGGTTCTAATAATTCTCGTCTATACCTTGCTAATTTACCTTTTAATAAACCAATATGATATTCAGTAGCTTTATTCTTTTGAGTTCTTGCCAATTCATCTTGAATTTGGGCAATTTTCTCCAATATACCCATCGTATATTATTATCAAAAAAAATAAATTTTATCTCATCAATGCCTAAATCATTAAGAAAAGGAACTTCAATAGATACAAATTCTACTGCAAGAATTAAAAAGAAGATAAGAGATATAAATCGTTTATTAAATAAAAATCATGATAAATTATCTGCAAATAAAAAAATTGAATATGATAGACAGTTAAAAGCATTAAATATTGAACTACAAAATAATCAAATAAAATTAAAAGCTCAAAAGAATTCAAAGAAATATCATATGGTTCGATTTTTTGAAAAGAAAAAAGTCATTCGAAATTTGAAAGGATTAAATACTGAATTAAATGAATTAAAATGTGCAAATGCTGATAAGAAAATTTTGAAAAAGCATAGAAGGAAGATTAGACATGCTGAAATTGATTTATGTTATGTTTTTTTATTTCCAAAGACAGAAAAATACATTTCATTATTTCCAAATATAAAAGAAGAAGATAAAAAAGATCCAAATGCTGAAATTGGGTGGAAGAAAACTGAAAAGCAAAGATTAGAATTCAAAAAAGAAGTGGAAAAGATTTATGAAGAAGGAAAATTACCATTTAAAATAGAAGATGTATTGGTTGGAAAAACTATAAAGATTAATAATGCAAAGGCTGTAATAAATGAAGAAATAGATGCTCCACAAGCAAAAGTTGAAGAAGATGATGAATTTTTTGAATAAATGTATTAAAGTAATTTTATTTTCTTCAGATATTGAATATCTAAACCATCATTGATACAATTAATGTAAACTTCTTTACCAAATAAATCATCAGGTATATCTAATTCACATTTGACCAATCCCTTTTTACCTTGTAATATTGGACTAGCTCTTTTAAGTAACAATAATTCAGTTCCGTCATGAACTATTATAAACCAAGACTCTCTTTGTGATTTTGGAAAATATGGTGTATAAACTTTAAATTCATTATTTAATGGGTAGTTATCATGAACTACCGATACATACAAAACATCTCGTTCTTCTTGATTGATATTAAATTTCCCAGTTGGTAAATGAGATGCTATTCTTACAAATTCCTTGTCACCTCCATGATTATCTGCAAATTTATTCAACTTTTCAACTCCCATTTGACCTAACTGATTTAATGAGATTGATTTTCCTGGTTTTAAAATTCCAAGTAATGCACTTACAGGATCATCATCATACCAATATCTTTGTTTTATACATTGCATCAATAAAATAAATGTAGTTACAACTTTATAATAACCTAATTCTGCTGATGCATCAATATAAGCTTGTAAAATACGTAATGATTGATCTAAAACTGAAATTGTATCTTGTGCATAATCAGCAATTGGTAATTCAACTCTACTCATAAATGCTTGTATTAATAAATATGCTTTAACATGAGGATCCCATATAAATTCACAATTCATATCTTCAGCTTGATACCTCATTGCTTGTGACATTTCTAAATTGATCAATTCTTCTCCATGTCTAGTTGCTAATTCATTATATTCAGTTGCTTGACATAATAATTTTAAGCAATCTCTAAAATCTGAATCTTGTTTTATAGTCTTCACAAAATTTCTCATTGTTAAATGTGAAAGATAATAATATGATGATATATGTAAAAATGGTGTTGCCTCTAATTTATCTGATCCACTTAAATAAATACATTGGGATTGTATTAAGTTTTCAATTGTAGAATCTATTAATTTAGCTAAATATTGAGAAATACCATACTGTGATAAATCTTCAATACCATAATATGTTGGATTATTATGAGTCCTTCTATATAAAAAAGTCCATGTTAAAAATTCCATTGCTTCTTGTCTTGTTGTAATTGTACCAGCAGATATTTCAGCACCAATATGATTATCTAAAACTTTATGTAATGATGACTCAACTGGAAATCCTAAATTCAAAAAATGTTTATAAAATACCTTTTTAGATTCTTTGGTATATACAATTGCAATACCATTAATATCATAAGCTGGACGACCAGCTCTACCCATCATTTGTAAAATATCAGTTAAATCCATATCTCTATAAGCTTCAATTTTAGCATCAAAAAATTGGGTACCCTTGATTATAACTAAATGAGCTGGTAAATTAACACCCCAAGCTAAAGTTGAAGTTGCAATTAAAATTTGAATTTTACCACTTTCAAATAATTTATGTGATATTTGACGATCACTTTCAACTAAACCAGCATGATGTAAACCCATACCAAATTGTAACGATAACTTCAATGTATCATCTTTAACATTTTCTAAAATTCCTTCTAATTCAAAATCATCAATTTTTAAAAATCTTCGAGGATTTGATTCTATACCACATAAATGTATTAGATCTAATGCAGTCAATCTTGTTTGTCTTCTAGATGCAACAAAAACTAATACTGGTTTATCTGGTGAATGTTGTTTTATAGCCATAAATGCTGGTTTATTCATTGTTTTCATTAATGGACAAAATGCAAGATTATCTGGGAATCCATCAATATACATTTGTAATGGAACAGGTCTAACTGATTGTGGAAAATTGAACAAACCATCTTTAACACCTAACCAACTTGCCATATCAAAAGCATTTGAAACTGCTGTAGACATACCTAATAATCTAATTGGCTTTTTAGTTTGATTAGATATATAATTCATACGAGATACAATCATTTCTAGAATTGGACCACGATCACTTGCTAATAAATGAATTTCATCCATGATAACTAATGAAACTTGTTGAACAAATTTTCTTGTTTGCCAATTACGTGAAATTCCATCAAATTTTTCAGGTGTTGTAATGAGTATATCAGCTTGTTTAACTTCGGTAATTGAAGGTAATGAATCACCAGTTAATTCGACCAATTTATGATTTGTATTTGAACAAATTCTTTTCCTCCAATCATCAACTCTTTCTCTGACTAATGCTTTCATTGGTGCAATATAAACTATTTTTGAAGATGGGAATTCATTAAATGCATGCCATATAGCTAATTCAGCTACAACTGTTTTCCCAGATCCCGTTGGTGAACCAACAAATACATTTGAATTTGAATTATATAATGAATGGAAAATCATTGTTTGCATAGGATTAAAATATTTAAATTTATAAATTGATTCAATTTCGGGATTATGTAAAGCTGTGGTTGGTAATGGTTGTAACCTTAATAATTCTGTTTTCATTGTTTCATTTGAAGGTCTAATTAAATGTTGAAATGAAATTGTGTGAACGGTTTCTGAACCAATCCATAAATCAGAAACAATTTTAACAACAACTTGTGGAGGCAATGGATCAGATAATGGAATCATAAAGTCTAAATCATGATTCAATTGTTTTTTATTTATAATAACTTTTTCAACATGTAATATTTCAGATTTATCGGATTCTTCAACTGTAAGCCAAAATATTTGAGCATTACCATGATATCTTTCATCCCATACAAAATCAGGTTGTAAATTTAGATGAATTCTCATTACATTTGTTGTAATTGGAAAAATTTCCAGATAAACTTCAATATAAGGGAATTTACCAATTAATTTATAAAGTATAGGACCCATCAGTTTATTATGAACTAAATCACCCAACTCTCCAGATTCCATATCTCTCAACATTTCAATTGAAGGATTCTTTGATCTTATATCTCGTAATACTGGTTCAGATAAATCAAATTGACATAATGGATGTTCAAATGACCAAATTCTTTTGTCAATAGACTTACAGATGGATAACATTATATTCATTAATTTACCCCATTTTCTATTCATTGCAATTAAAAATAAAGCACGACAAATTCTAGCTGAATTTTGAGCAACATAATTTGAATCTGAAATTAAAGCAGATTCTTTGATATTAGCTTGGGAGATAAATGCTTGAAGTAAAATATTTGTTTTGCCTTGGGATGAATCTATATCACCACCAACTTGACATGGTGCATCATCTTCTAATAGTTGTTTTAATTCCTTACTTTCTTCTTCTCTAAATTTAATCCCATCAAATTCACTACTCATACTTATCATTGATAAAATATCAGCTTCAGTAGCTAATGGATTAATCATTTGATTGAAAATTTCAACTGAATTACTTAATAAATAAAAATCTGATGCAATTCTACCTAAATCTTTTGGTGTAAATGAACCAGTGTCTTCATCAAATATAATCATTTGTAGTTTATGTAACCTTTTGGCACAAGTAACTATCATTCCCCTTCTTTTTTCAAACAACATTGGATCTTCCTGAATTTCTTGCCAGGACATAGCATAAGCAAATGGATTTTTCTTCATCCTGGTAATCATATAAGTATATCCCAACCATTGTACACCTTCATCAACATTTGTAACTGAACCTAAAGAAATTTCAGCATTTAAATTATCAATCAATTTATCTCTAAATTTTGATTCAATTGGATGTTGTTGAGTTAACAAACTTGTATAATGATCCATCTTGTCACTAGTTGTACATAGTATACCAGTACCGAATTTTTCATATTGTGGTCTACCAGCTCGTCCAAAAATTTGAATAACATCAGATATACCTAAATCACAAAAGCCACCAGCTTTTGAATTATAAACTTGGGTACCTTTTATAATTACAACTGCAGCTGGTAAATTAACACCCCAAGCTAATGTAGCAGTACAATAAAGTACTTTTATAGCACCACTTTCAAACATTTTTTCAGTTAAATTTCGATCTGATCTTAACATACCAGCATGATGAGTACCAAAACCTTTTGGAAATAATTCTTTTAATTCTCTTGATCTATTAGTTCTCATTGCTTCTTTACTATATTTTTGAAATGATTCATTTTCAGAACAATCAAATAATCCTAATTCATTATGATCTTGAGCTAATTGTATAAAATTTCTAGCAGTATTTACAGTTTCTTTTCTTGAATGAACAAAAATCATAACTTGTAAACCTTGATTAATATATTCAATCAATTTTTCATAAGCTATTTTATCTAAATTTTCTCTAGCCAATTTTGAACCTGCCTTGCCTCTAACACCTAAAACTTGTTGTTGTAATGGAACTGGTCTAAATGATTGATCAAAATAAAACATACCAACATTTCTATTTACTCCTAGGAAATCAGCAACATCCATAAAGTTAGGTAATGTAGCAGACAAACCAATAACTCTAATCATCAGTTGTGTGCTTTCAACTTGTCGAAGCGTACGTGCTACTAAAGTTTCAATAACTGAACCTCTATCTTCATGTAATAAATGTACTTCATCTATGATTAAAAGTTTGACCTTTGCAACTAATTCACTATCACCATTTGATTTTCTAGTAACAACATCCCATTTTTCAGGTGTTGTCACTATAATTTGAGTATTCATAATTTCTTGTCTTGTTAATTGCATATCACCAGTTAATTCTCTAACCGATATACCTAACCATTTTAATTTCTTCGAATATTTTTCAACAATTTCACTTGCTAATGCTTTCAAAGGAGCAACATAAACAATTTTAAACTCATCATAATCTATATCTATAGTTACTTCATCTCCTAAAGTTTCAGTCATAAATTGATTAACAGTATGTAATATAGTTAATAATGCAACATCAGTTTTACCAGCTCCAGTTGGAGCACAAACTAACATATTCTCATTTGTATTATACGCAACTGGATAAATCAAACTTTGCATTTTATTCAAACTTGTATAATTTTTAAAAGTACCTTGACATATAAAATCCAAATCTTTAATCTTGACAAGTTGATTTTTATTTATCCATTTATTATTCGATTCTTCAGGGTACGGTATAATTAATTCTTCATATACTGGATATGAAGTTCTTGTAGTTCCCTTTGATAATGCCAATTTTTGACCTGGTATATTCGGTATATCAACTTTGTAAACATGAGGATACTTTTGATTTAATGATTTTGGAGCCAATTCTTGATTTTTAGTTCGTAGTCGATTATCAAAAATTTGTTGTACTCTATCTTCAGCAGTTAATAAACCAGTATTTTGTTGAAACGAATGTTTATTCTGGATTATTTTGGAAATTAATTCAAATTTGTCAAATCCTAATATATCAAATAAAGAACTTTGTAATTGTTCATCACTTGAATTATCAAAAATTAATGATTTAACCATGGGAAAAGTTGTGGGACTAATTAAATTACATTCTGTTTCAATTTCTTGTATGGTATTTGCAACATTAGATCTATCTATTGAATCTAATATCTCTATATTTACATCTTTGAATTTATTTAATATTTTATCAATTGGTGTAAATTTTGCATTTTCTGAATCTATATTTGGAACGTTTGACTGATTTGTTTTGAATTGATTCAATGCTTCTATCATTGGTTGCATTGCTTGCATATATGATTTAGTGGATGATACGGTATATGATGCCATTTTGTTATATCATTTGTGATCTATATTTGATGAAAATTTATAGGCTGGTATCTTTTTATAGCAAAGAAAAAAAAAAGATAGACTTTTGATCCGTGAGTAATTTTGAAAAGTAAACAAACAAATGATTAAACGAAAGTCTGAGAACTACCCTTGGTTTTAAAATACCATACATTTATAAATGTGGGTTGGTAAAAACCAGTATAAGTGTTTACCACCATAGATCTAATTTGATGAGATTATTGCACAAAATTAAAATAATTGAAACACGACTGTACCAAACGAACTATATACATTTTTTAGCAGTTCGAATCGTGGCATAGATTTTTTTTGAAATTGTAGTGTAAATTTGATATTTGTTTCAGATTGTGCGGCTCAGATCTTTAAAATTGCCAAATCTGGTAGATTGCGTATATCTAAAAAAGCAAAGAATTCCGCGAATCTACTTAGTTTATTGGTAGCTTCTACAATGATTAGCTGAGCTTAATCTCGCTACTTGGATTATACTTTACAATTAAATTTGTCTATGTAGAAGTTCTTAATTTGATGCGATAATTTCCAGTCATATAGCATGAAAATTTTTTCAATTACGGTTTTAACATTTTTACTTCTTCCTTTGTTACCACAACTATCATACCCATGATTATTAGCCCCATAGAACCAACCATTAATTACCTAAAAAATGTGTTAAGGTAGACACTGGGAGGTGTTCGTCTCGTGATCCATTTTTTGGGTTATTATAAACCCAAACTTTTTATTTTCAACATAACCAATTTAGCATAGTTGCAATTTAGTTATTTGTTGTCCCAGATAGTTTAGTGGCTAGAATTACCGTTTGTCGCATGGTAGACCAGGGTTCAATTCCCTGTCTGGGAGTCACGTTTTTTTTTGCAAAACTAATAGCTTTCAGCGAGAAACATCAATGAGTGATAGCTATATTAAGTCATAACAAAGATAGAGAGTTTGTAAAAAAAGCCCAAAATTGTAGATCTTGACGAAAATCTTTGATTGTAGATTTTATGAAAATTTTGTAAATTTGATGAAGTTTTTAAAACTCAACGTGGACAAATATTAAATTCTATGAGCATACAATTATTTACTTTTGTCCTGAATCATAATCTGGCTGAGACCGCCAACTGTCGGGAACTAGTGTATGATCATTTACAAAACCTTGATAATCTGATTCAAGAAGAATTTCGTCACTACCTCCATTAAATTAAACGCTATTAGTTTAAGTAATAGTACTTGATTTCATGCTTTGAGCCTATCAAGAACTCAAAGTTTCAAAATAGCATAAGGTTGCAAATACGATTGTTAGTCTCTACATACCAAGAATTAAAATATTTAAAAATAACCATAAAACTTTAATTAGACTAAAATCTTAATTAAACCTTGAGTTTTAGCTTGGAATTCAGCGACTTGTAACCACAATATCACGGTCCGATACTGAAATCAGTACAAATTGCGTTAACGGTCAAAATTGGGTGACATAATGCATGAAAGATCTAATGTACAAAACTGAAGAATACGGAGATGGAAGTGTAAAGACAGAGGATTTAAATATATAAGCATTTAAACATGATGTCAATTGTCTTTGAATATTCTTGTTGTTTATATCTTTGTTGAGATGAGGACTTAAAAGATTTTTCAAAAGAATGTTTTGATTTTCCATAAGTAAATTGTGTAACGTATATCGGATTAAATTTAATGCAACGTACAATGTATAAAGTTTATATGTAGCTCATAAATCCGGGTTTAAGGGATTATTGCGGTTTTAACTTTTCCGGATAATTGTTTAAACGAATATATACAGATACAAAGAAGTTTGTAAAACGATTTTCATTAGCAGAGCAAAACTAAAATTCTATCAATATTACAGTTGATTTATTATGGTTTGTAAAATCGTCTATTTAATCAAAGGTACATATAACAATATGGTTGTAACTGAAATTTTCATGCTTAGCCTCTTTACTGTCACTTGACTCTATATACTCTTGTCATTGAATAATGATGTTATATGATAATGATATTATCATACTAAACTATCTAATTGATGTTGAATTGGTATTGTAAACTCAAGTAGATTCAAAAGACTTGTAACTACTAAATCAATCAGTATCATAATAGTGTTCAGAAACCATCTTTGTCATTGGCTTCAACACTTGAAATGAGTGACAGTCATAATTTAAATCATTTGTAAATTATATTTCCATAAAAATCTAAAACGGTCTAACTTCTCCTTCACTTTTTTATCAATCTAAAACGGTCTAACTTTCTTCTTCACTTTTTTATCAAACATAAAATTTGAGCCCTTCCTCACACTTCTTAGTTTGTTTATATCTTCCTCCTCATCATCAGAGTCATCTTTTATTACTTTCTTCCTTTCCATCAAATGATTATTTTTTATCTTGATTCTATTTGAATCTCTCAATTTATTCAGTAAAGCATTTAAACTCTTGGACGTAAACTCTTTTCTTCTTGATGATTGCATATTCTTCTTGTTTTTTGAAATGTCTTTTGAGTTTAAAAACTCATCAATTGTCTGTATTTTATCATCTTTCTTGGATAGACTACTTAAATTTGAACCTTGAGGTATGATTTTCAACTTTAAAAAATCATCTTTTCTTGACTCTGTTATTTCTTCTTGTTGTTCTTCTTTTCTTGTAGGTAGCCAATTCAGTACATTCTCATTTTTTTCCTGTAGTTGTATCTTGAAATTTGCTATTAGTTGTTCTTTTACTTTTATTTCATTTCCTTTACTCATCGATATGAAAAATATATTTACCAAAAAAAAAAAAAAAAAAAAAAATTAAAAAAAAAAAATAAAAAATAGAAGAATTAGAATTTTAGCATGACGTGCATATTTTACCGCTCATCAAAGAGTAATATATCAATCAATATATATATATATATTACTCTACTTCTATCAATTGTTTATTGTTCAGGTTTCGTTGTTTCCAATTTTCTCTTCTTTAAAACGTCTTCTTCTGATGATGTTGAATTTCGTTCTTCTTTAATCACTGATGATTTATACAATGGTTCATTATTTGAATTATCATCAAGTAAAGAATTTACTGAAACTTTTTTACTATTCTTCATCGTCAAATTTGGTGGTGTTTGAGATCTAGGACTTTTTAATCTTTGAATAGGTGATGTTACTGTATCTAATTCATGAAAATTTGTAGAAGGTAATTCATGGGGTGCAATTGCACCTATTGATGTTTTGGATGAAGAAGATGTAAGATTGTAAATTGATCCAAAACTTGATGTTCTTTGATATGCAGAGATTGAACTTCTATTTGAAAAAATTGAACTTGAAGATTGTGAACCAATTGAATTATTATTACTATTACTTGATCGATGATTATTGTTTAATTTATTTATTGAAGAACCAGCTCCATGTAATTCAAATACTGATGGTCTTAATCTTTCATGAAATAATAAACTTGGTTTTTTTGTAGTTGTGGGGGCATTCATTTTTGGACTCGATGGAGATGAAACTGTTGATGATGATGAAATACTTGCATTACCAGTACCCGATGTTGTTGTAGTGGATATACTTCTTGGATGTTGTTGTGGAATAGGAGAAATAAGGGAATCAATTGTATTTTTTCTTGAAATTTCAGGTTGAGTTGGAGATGAATTTGATGTTGTTGTAGGGGTTGATGATTGTAAAACTGAACTATTGGTTATAATATTTAATGAACTGGGCCTATGAACTAATGAACTTGGTCTTGGAACTACATTTACATTAGTAGTTGACGGTGGTGGCAAGGAGATATTACTAGTATGTGGTGATGGATTTCTTTGAAGTTGATGATTTATTGTGGTTGGAGTTGAAGCTAATGGATCAAATAATAATGATGGATTTCTTTGTCTCAGACTCAGACTAACACCATTATTTTCCCAAATTTTTCTAAATTGTAAGTTTGATGAAGGTGAAATAGAACTTGAATGATTTGAAGTAGGTGTAGGTACTGGTGATTTTGATTTTTCTGTAGGAGGTGGTGGTAGTGGTGGTAATGGTAATGGTAAATTATTTTGTTGAATATTTTGACTAGGTGGTAGTTGAGGTTGAAAATTTCCTTGTTGATATTCAAAAGGTTGTTCTTGATGAGGTGGTTGTGGTAAATGATTCTGTTGAAATGGAGGTGGAGGTTGTTGTATTATACTAGGGGGGTGATGATGTTCTATATGTTGCACTATATGATAAACTGGTTGTTGTTGTTGTTGTTGTTGCTGAGGTGGTGGATAAGGATTATACGGCGTTGGTTGTTGATTTGGTTGTATTTGTTGACCTTGAGGTAGTAGTATTTGAGATTGTTGTTGTGGATTTGAATGAGGTGGTGGTGGTGCATAATATATTACATGACCTGATGGTGGAGGTGGTTGTATAAATTGATTATTATTTGGTTGATTGGGTATAAAACCTTGATGATGAAATTGTTGTTGCATTTGTATTTGCTGCTGTTGTTGTTCATAATTGTAATCAACATTTTGTTGAATCTTCATATCTTGTTGTTGGAATTGTTGATTTGAATTTTCACCTGAATAACTACTGTTTCTTGAACTATTAGAACTTGATCTTCTCTTGATATAAATTAATGAATTTTCATCACCTTTTTTAAATTTACCACTTGAATGTTTAAATTCCCAAATTGGAGATTGATCCTTTTCTAAATTATTATTTACAGGTAGATTATGATTGTTATTATTTGGATTATTTGGATCACTTACTTTATGAAAACCATACATATGTAATTGTCGCACAAAACTAGCAACGTTACCATGTTTAAAATATTGAGTAAGACAATTTGCAAACTCTTTACCCGGATGCAAAGCAAACGTATTTTCTTCAACATTATTTTTGGTCCACCATATTAAATGTGATATTTTTGGATCATTTAACATTTTAAATAATTTATGAACAAACGCATTCTTCTTTACTTTTTGGTCAGTTGGTGGATTATTCGACAGGTGTTGTTGATTATTTTGTGGTTGTTGTAGTTGTAGTTGTTGTGAAATCTTTCTAGTCATAGTAGTAATTCAGTAATTATAGAATGAAAATAATCTTAATAATATTAATACTTAAAATATGATTCCTTTTATAAATTGAAAAATTCATACAATATAAATATCGAAAGTAATCAAGATTCCTGTTAATAATAATAATAATAATAAAAATAATAAAATTAATAAATCACTTAAAAGTAAGGAGTAATAATAAATTAAACAATAATTCAAAGATTCCAATACTCGTTTTATTTGATTCTCAATAATAAATATTATTATAAGTTGAAACTTGGGTTGATAAAAAATTAAATTATTAGTATTGTTATTAAATTATTAATATTATTATTGTTGATATATATAATAATTTATGGAGTAAGGTTGAAATAAAAGTCAACTAATTGAAAATAAACATCAAATTATGAATGAAAAACACCGAACTGAATGATATGAAGTTTAATATAATTTTTGAAAAAGAATGTAAATGGAAAGAAATATTTTAATTTTTTTTTTTTTAAAAAAATAAAAAAAAAAAAAATAAAATAAAATAAAAAAAAATAAAAATAAAAAAAAAAAAAAAAAAATAAAAAAAAAAAAAATAAAATAAAATAAAAAATTAACTATGCAAGCACTAATAATTTTGTGTAATTAAACGTTATAAAACCTTAGTATTCAAAGTATTATGATTTATTTATTATAATAACAAACAAATGTATTCTTTTGGAATGGCTTGCTATTATACTTTTTGCTATTATTTAGTTCTATCAAATGAAAATTGGTTTAAAATAATAGATTCAATAATGATGATTTTGAAATATTTAGAAAGTTTTTCTGATGATTATGAATAGTGTTGATCTTTAGACAAAAAATTTTCATCTACAATCTCATCTCTTCAATCACACAATATTGTGTGTTAATAATGTTTTAGATTACAAAACTGAATGTTATTTCCATGAAATATATCTAAGACATCTTCTCTTTCTTTCTCTCTTTCTTTTTTTTTTTTTTTTTTTTTGACTGTATATCCAAATTTTTAATTTCAACGTTTCAAAAGTTAGTCATTTTCATTTGACATTATTTTCTATTCAAATATTTCTGTTTTTTATGCTGTATGGTCTATAGTTCAAATAATAGATTAAGACTTTCTACATTTTATACGTGATACACCATCTCCACGATAATAATAAAAAATATTTATAGTGAAAAATTTAGTCTTAGTCTATAAAATTTTCTTAGCTTACACTATCTTTTAATAAAAAATGCATCTTTGATGTAGATGATTGATGATTGATTGATTGATTGATTCTTATTTAAAGTTATGCTATTACTAAATTCGAATCATAACCAATATAGAATTATAATACAATAAAATGATTAAGAAAGTTTAAATTATGGAAATATATTTATATTTCCTTATATGATAAAATTCAAGAACCCTTCAACTATCTTCTTGGTCCTTCAAGTCTGTTCTTGGTCCTTCTGTAATATGTACATCAGTTAAAAAAAAAAAAGAGAAACGCAATAAATAAATAAATAAATAAATAAATAAATAAATAATGCAAATAAATAATACAAATAAATAATACAAATAAATAATACAAATAAATAATACAAATAAATAAATAACACAAATAAATAAATATTAGAATACATGAAAATCTTTTACTACACGATACAATTAATTTTATCCTATTGTCAATTGTTAATTTTTGTTGAGAGCCCTTAAGAATTTGGTAGCTCATGAGTAGAAAAAATAAAATTTATTATATATAAGAAAAAAGAAATAAAACCGTTAAGATATGCTAAAAATGTAAAGTTTAGTAATATTGCAGCTGGTTGTTTAATAAATTATACATATGAGTATATTTACTAAATTAAGTATATAATTGATTATTTCACATTTTTATCATATATATATATATATTTTAATGGTCAATGTCACATTTTTTAATTTCATATTATGTTGACCTATTGACTAATGTTTTTTACAGAAAGTAGTTTCGTTAAATAAAGTCGGCTTATACGTTTTGCGTTTTGCTAACTTTCTCGGTTAATATCTCGGAGTTCGATACGATACAGAAATAAACATTCGATTTCAAAACATTTCTTTTATTTAAATTTTTCTTCATTCTTCATTCTTCATTCTTCGTTCTTCACCTTCCATATCAACTTTTTTTTTTCCATGGGAATTGTGATATATTTTCTATTAATGATGCAATAACTGATATGGTTTCCCGTAATAAATAATTTTATTATCTTGCATCTAGGTACTTCTAACGTTATCTAGTTTTTTTCTCCACACTTTGAATTTGGTGATAATAAATCTGTCTATTATTATTATCTTGAAATTACGAAAATCTATAAATATTTCCCCATAATAATAATACTTCGCGAAATAAAATCGCAAAATAATGGAACATTTTTTTTACCAAAAAAATATCGTTTATGCAAAGAAACGCTCGATATTTTAAGATCTTATTAACTGTAACTTTAATGCTGCTTCATGCATGAATCAACCAGATCCCACGTAAAAATTTCTACATTGTTTCTGTACGAATATGGCAGGTTGAATAAAATCAAGAAATTCTTGTCTAAATGTAAAACGTTCGCCGTTATGAGATTGGATAGTAACGAGATACGAGATTTGTAAATCTCGAAATGTTTCACTTTTGTCACTTTTAGAAAAACTTTCCATAACATATACAAAATTTCTTTATATATTTTTTTTTTTTTTTCAACCAATTTTTTTAATCAATTTTATTAACCAATTTTATTAACCAATATTTTTCTTATAAATTCCTATTTCAATAAATTTCTATTTCTATTTTTAAAAAGATCAAGAATAAGAATAAGAATAAGAATGGAAATGGAAATGGAAATGGAAATGGCTTGGTTTAATTAGTATCAGCCAATATCCAATGACAAAAATTGTTCTTCAACATTTAATCATTCAGTCAGTCTCTACTTTATTGTACTTCAACATTTAATCTTTCAGTCAGTCTCTACTTTATTGTACTTCAACATTTAATCTTTCAGTCAGTCTACTTTATTGTACATTAAAGAAAATTATAAAAAGCAAATAAGTAATTTATTTTTTTTTTATTGATTTATTGATTTATTGATTTATTGATTTATTGATTTTGATTAATAATCTTTTTCTTGTTTAATTAATAACAGTTTACCACTCAACATATCTTCAACTTCAATCATATCTAACCAATGAATAGTCTTACCTTTTCTTAATTCAACATTAGCTTCTGATTCATATAAATGTCTTACGCTTGTAAATTCACATGTATCTCCATGAATACCAATTACCACTTGTGAATGTTTTTCAAAATCAACATCATCTATAACCATTTGTTGTTTATCATGACATCTATTCCATTCTTCAATAAATTCCAAAGCTTTTAATGTAAATTTAACTGCCATTACTCTATCATTTCCAGTTGGTGTAAAACCTTGTTGAACATGACCTGGTATTGCTGTTCTTGTTTCAAATCTACCTTTGGCATTTTCTTTTATAATGTCTGCAATTAATTCTGTTGAATATACTGATGATGCTTGTTCATTTCTAATAATTAATTTTCCAGAATGATCTTCACCTCTATCACTCTGGAAAACTTTAAATAACAATTCAATGTCTCTTTGTAATTCAATTAAATTAATTTTTGCTTCTGGTGTATAAGTAGCAATACTACCGGTGATAAGACCACAATAACTTGCTACATAACCAGAATGTCCACCTTGTACTTCAACAACAAATACTCTTCTTCTACTTGAACTTGCTGATTGTTGAACTACATCACAATAGGTGACGAGCTCGTTAAGACAAGTATCTGAACCTAATGAATATTCAGATCCAGGTACATTGTTGGAGACAGTAGCTGGAATAACAACCATTGGAATTTCAAATATTGGATAATTTGATTTTTGTTCATATAGTTCATGTAATGATGTAAATGCTTCAAATCCACCAATAATAATTAAACCCTGTATACCCTTATTTTGTAAATGATATGCAATTTTACCAAAATTTACTGACGGTAATGAACGATTGGTACCAATTTCTGATCCACCTTTATTATGCCAACCTTCAACGTCTATCCACGTCAAAGGTTTAATCTTTCCCGCAATTAAGCCGCTGAAACCATCCATTACAGCAAATAATTTGTGACCTCGAGAAATACTATATAAAACAGCAGCTCTAGTTGCAGCATTTAAACCAGCAGATGCAGCACCAACATGAACAACAGCTATGCTTAATTGTCTTTCCTTTATTACCGACTTGGAGCCATCGTCGTAGTAACTAATTGACTTATAATATTTATAAGCATCATAAAAATTAGCATCTCTTAAACTCATTGCTTTATCAAAATCTTTATTTTCAATATTGGTAGCAACTGCTTTTGTTTGTTTAACAGCATCAACTAATGGATATCTAACAATTTTATTCTTAAGTATACCAATCATTGGTGATGGAGTTTCTGGAGTTAAACTTAAAACCGCTTTTACAGCTTCAACACCTTGCATTGTAGCTAATTTTCTATCAAATGCAACTGCTGTACCACCTCTTTGTACATGTCCTAATATAGTTGTTCTTGTATCTAAACCTAAGTCAACTAAAACATTTTTAACTTCATCCGATGAAATTGGATTTAATTCATCATCTATAGCACCTTCAGCAACTATAACTGTAGTTTTTCTTCGACCATATCCTCTATGTCTGGATACAATTTCCTTTAATTCATTTTTCCATTCATTGGCTTTTGGTGGTCTTTCAGGTATAAAAATATAATCAGCTCCTGTTGCAATACCAGACATTAAAGCTAACCAACCACAATGTCTACCCATAACTTCAACAACAAAAGCTCTAGAATGTGAACTAGCAGTTGCTCCAATATAATCAACCATTTCGGTAATTCTTTCTAATGCAGAATATGCACCAATTGTAACATCAGTACCTGACATATCATTATCAATTGAACCAACTAAACCTACAATGGTTAAATGTTGATAAGGTTTTACTTCTTCTGCAGTAAATTTATTTGTATCAACTAATTCTTTAACTAATGAAGGCCATTCACTTCTAAATAAATCAGCACCTGTTAATGAACCATCACCACCACATACAACTAATGCATCAATACCATTTTTAATCATATTAAAAGCACCCATTAATCTACCTTCTCTTTCTCTAAATTCTTTACATCTTGCAGTACCAATAGCAGTACCACCCAATGATAAATAAGATCTAACATCTTCCCAATCTATTTTCTTCAATAACTTACCACCTTTAACTAAACCTTCATAACCTTCATAAACTGCAAAAACATCACATCCATAATATATACCAGCTCTAACAACTGCCCTAACTGCAGGATTCATACCTGGAGCATCACCACCAGATGTCATTACGGCAATTTTCTTCTTTTTATTAGTTCCATCAATCTTTTTGTCTTTTTTCTCTTCAATTACAGTTTGAACTTGAGATTTAACAACTCTTTGCTTATTTTGTTCCTTTTCTAATATTTCTTTACTTGTTTTTTCAATATATTCTTCTGCTGAATGATATTTAATTTTTTCCAATACATTTTTACTATTTGTAAATTTCAAACTATTGCCCAATGGATCTTGAGAAATTATTATATCATCATTTAAATATTCATAACAATCTTCTTCAAGTAAATTTTCGATTTTTTTCAAATTTGTTGTGAAAAATATCAATTTCTTACTTAAGTCATAATGACTAATTGGTAATTTTTCATTTGAATATCTAATTTTAATAACTGTTGATTCTGTCAATTTTTCACAATTATCACCATTATAAATTTCCAATTCTTGCCATGGCTTTAAATTTCCATTTGAATCTAGATTTTGTAAAGGATAACTTTCTAACCAAACTTCACGTAATGAATTTTTCAGAATACCTAAATGTAATTGAGGATTATTAGCAGCTGAAGCACCATCGTTTGAAATTCTTGAAAAATTTTTGGTTAATCTGAAACCTAATTTATTATAAAATGAATAAGTTTGTAAAAATTTATCTGAAGAATTTGTAATTAAAGATATAAAACTAATTCTTTCTAATTCTTCTAAATTAGACATGATAATAGTAATATAAATAGAAGTAGTAGTTGTATAAAAATTGTATTCTAATTAATTTGTATATAATTAATTAAACTTTCAATTGCGGTGATAATCAATAATTTTTATAATTTAGCGGCCCATATAATTAAATAGTTGGAACGAAAAAAAAAAAAACTGGAAGGGAATCAGTCGGCCAGTCGGTGGTATTAATTTTTGTACTAATCATCACCAGACGATGGAATGAATTGAATTTAAAACGGGTCACGTCATACTAAATAAATTCTCGGACTACTGTTGTTACAAAATAATTTTATATGCAACATCACACTACTAATTAGAAAAAATAGAATATACGACGGCAGTTGCTGCAAAATATATTTATATCACACAACAAGTAACAATATACTGCTAATAACTGTAATTAAAGGGCCAATCTGATTACTTTCTGATCTGAATCTTTTATATCTTACTCTTTTTTGGAACAAACTGTCATACTCAGTCGAAAATTGTCTAAACTCATTGAATATTGATTCTTCACTCCGTGGTCTATTCTGTTCGTCATCTTCTTTTCCTGATATGAGTTCTACTTCTTCATTATCAGTTTCATCTTGATCATTTTGTGGTACAACTATATCAGACCCTGATTCTAATAATTTGAATTTCTTAATTTTATCTTTAATTATTGTAGGTATATTCTTTTTATCTTCTTCTACCTCTTCTTGCACTTCTTCACCTTCTTCAACTTGTAATGTAGGCTTACGTACTGGTTTAAACTTTTTTCTTATTTCAATTTCATTATCACCATATATATTCCCACCCAAAGCTTTCAATTCTTGCCATTCACCATTTGGTAACCAACCATAATTATATGAATCACCATTTGAATAATTTATTGCTTTTAAATTCTTAATATTCATTACAAATGGTCCCATTTTATAATTTGTTTCACCACCTGCCCATGCAACAGTACCAAAACTATTTGTATCATCACCACCACTCCATAAACTAAATTTAACAAGCATTGGACTAGTTGGAAAACCATATTTATTCTTATTGCCCAATTTTCTAACAATTTTATTATTTAAATACCATATAATATAATCTGGTGTCCATTCAATGCCATATTTATTATATTCATCTAATGGATTATTTGATAAATGATGATATCTACCTCTTTCATAATCTGATATATTTCCTTTTATAAAATAATTTGTCTGAAATTCATATTGATCACTTCCAAAAATTTCACATATATCAATTTCATCTAAATCATCACTTTGCAAATAAAATGAACTAATTATACCTTGTCCGTTAGACCCTTTAATTTCGGCTTCAACTTTACCATACATAAGATAAAAACTTGATACCAAAACAGGATTATCATACTCCTTTGCAATTGTTAACAGTAAACCATTAGGACTAAAATTAACACCTTTTCTACAGCTTGCAATTGAAAAATATTTTGTACCATGATAAAATGTTTCAAAAATTGATGAACGTAAAGCTTCATTTGCAACATGACACGTTGGATTCTTCAAGGGATTGCACCTTACTATTTCCACTTCTTCTTCTGTATCACTATCTGATAATGATATACATAACCCAATTAATAGAAACCATATTAGTAGCATTTGCTATAAAATTGATTTGTTTGATATTTTTTTTGCTGCATAATTTTGTTGCAAAATAATAATTTTTTTTTTTTTTTTTGTATGCATTTTTGATACGCGTTTATAATGGAATCAAACATAACTTATGATGAAACAGATGTTAGAAAAACTTTATTAACTTACATTCGTTCGGTGAAAATTATAGAGCAAAGCAAATTATTAACTGATTTTGGTATTATACTTTTAAAGTTAGGAATTGATCAAGAAGCTAGTATTGAAAATTTAGATAATCAAATTTCAATTCTAAATAATCAAATTCAACAACAAGGTTTCAAGATTGATCGTAAAAATCATGAGATTACAAGTAATTTATACTTTATATTCATCAATACAATGATTGATTCAGTAATCAAACAAAGTTCGCCTTTTCAAGTACCTGAATTAAGTACTATTAAAATTTTAATTGAAGAATTGATTGATTCTTCGTATCAAGATTATAAATATTGTATTAATAGGAGTCAAGCACAGCAAATAATACGACAAAATATAAGTAGAACATTAGGTGATAGTTCTATATTAATAGATCGACTAATTGATGATGGTTGGTTTAATTTAACATTGGATGATAAATTAATATTATCAATGAAGACCCTATGTGAATTGAAACAAAATCTTTTAGACACATTTGAGGAGAAATTGCTAATATGTAAACAATGTAAAGAAATTGTAACATTGGGATTTATAAATACAAACATAACACCAGTGGAACCTTTTCATAGAAGGTGTTTTGATGTTTATCAACGTAATCAAAATTCAAATTTACAAGAATCGGATTTAATAAGAGTTGGACCAGATCCATCGACTATTTAATCAAATGAATCCATATATTCAGCTTCTACTTCATCTAATAAATCCCAATACCATTCTTCAATTATTGATTCATCATATCTATCACTTAAAGGTTTAACAGGATGTGTAACTGGGTACTCAAAATATGGTCCTGGATTTAATTTAACACATCCGTATTGAAAAGATGATAACATTGGATAATAACCTAAACTACCATCGTTTGTATTTTTGTAATTTGGATTTTGTTGTTGTTTAATATTTGGACCCAAATTTATATCTTCATTATCTTCAACATTAGTAGGCAAAAATGAATATAAATCAGTAAATTCATCTTGTTTAACACCATTTTTATAAAATGTAATTTTTGAATTTTCAATAATTGGTATATTTTTCGTTTTATCGTCCATTTCAATAATAGCCTTTTCACCAACCACTGAAATTGGATTTAATAAATGATCCATAGTTTTGGTTGAGGAATATTCGTATTGCTCATAATATAATGCATTTTTATATCGAATGGGTATTTGATCTCTTACAATGTTTCCAAATTCATCAAATTTGATGTTTTCCTCGAGATCTACTTTCTTTTTAGCCATCTTTCTTTTCTTTAATTTTTGGTGCTTTAATTCCTCCTTCTTGACATCTTCAAAATCTTTTACCATCTTTCTATGTTCTTCTAATGATGGTAATTCAATTAATATACCAATAACATCACCAGTTTCAAATCCGTTTTCAATTACTTGTTTTTTCCTTCTACTTATGGACATTAAATATCCATCAACATCTCTAATTCCATATCCATAACCATCAAACCCTACAGGTGCTTCCAAACTAGCTTCTTTTCTACCTATTCCAATTCTAACATGAGATTTTTCATTAGCTTGTAAAATTTTAAATTCAAAATAATATGAACCTTCATCGATACCTACATTTGTCCTGGTACTTCTCCAGCCTTGTTTTGTAGTTATTGTAGACAAATCTTCATTGAATAATATACCACCACTTCTATCAAATAAACTGGTTGTGATTTTAAATGGTTCAATTTCGGTAGTTGAGTATAAATTTGATGAAAAAGTTGGATTAGGTCGACATAATTTATATTTAAACCCACGCCTGTTTAATGGAGTATCTTCACTTTGAAAAAATTCAATTCCATTTATTTCGATCTCTTTATTTAGTGTAGGTAATATAGTGGAATTTAAATCTGATTCTTTAAACGGTACTGGTTTTAGCCTTGGGTAAAGTATAACATTATGTTGTTTTTGTTTTAATTTAGATTCATTAATTTCTTCTTGCTCTTCTTTCTTTTCTTTTGAACTTGTAGAATAAGAATATGATCCACTTTCTTCGACTTGAGGTTGATATGATGGTTCTTCTGAAATTGATTTATCCATGGTAAAAAAAAATCACTGTCTATAATTTCTCAAAATTGGTAGTTACGCAGAAGATATTAACAGAACACCGAAACAAGAGTTAATAAGATAAAACAGTTATCAAGACAGTCTAATATTGAGATAGTTATTGTAATTAAACTTTAAATGTTCTTTATATTGTCTAATCTCTGCTCAAAATAAGATGTTAAACCAATTTTTGTCAATTTTTCACCACCATGATTGCTTCTTCTTTTGTTCTTCAGCATTTATTCTATTTGTAGCTCTACCAGTATCATGTAATAATGCAGTACTTTTAACTAATAATTTTCCCTTTGCATTTTCAATACAACTTTCTAATAAAATTGTTTTTTTATCTTTACTATCTTCTTTCAATCTGGTCTTTACAATTAAAAATTGATTAGCAAATGTTGGAAATTTATAATTTATAGTCAAATTTTCCACTCTAAAATCATCTTTTAAATTTGAACTTGTGAATTTAGATAAACTTGCATTTCTTTTGAAAGTTTCATTTAATAAAGTTGCAATTATACCACCATGAACTATAAATGGATATCCACATAATCTATAACCCACATGTAAAATAGTTACACCTTCATCAGTTTCTATATTATGAAAAATTACAGGTTTAATAAAAATCCCCCCTGGTTTACGTAATGTTTGGTTTGTTAACGTTGGTTCCTTATATCCATCTTCATCTTTTATACTAGCAACATTATCTAATACATTTCGATCCAAATTTTCCCAGCTACTTAATTTGTACCATTGATGGGTATTGTTTGGATGGTTCAACTTTTGAAAAATAGGTAGTTGTTTTAATTTATATTCTAATTGTCTTGAATACGACGTTGAATAATCTGATACTGTGTACTCTTTGTAAGTGTCATATAAAAATTCATTATATGAAATATAACTACCCGTTAAAAACATTATTGTTGTTATTTTCCAATTGATAAAGGAAGACTTTGAACCTTTTGATAAGTGAGCAAACGGTGAATCATGGGAAAATCTGGTAGAATAGAATCTAAAATCATTAAAACGTGGCCGCACTAATCTTGATGATTTGATTAAATACATAATTCAAATTTCACTAATATGGTTTTGTTAATCTGAATTAATTATTTTGTATATGATACACTACTTATTTGATTTGAATATTATACACGACTTGTTTTAATTACTATATAAGTAGATCAATATTTCCCACCCGAGAGAAAATAATTGACTTTGAATTTTGTTGTTTTGTGAATTGAATGTGTCACACCATCTGAACCAGGAACAAGATTTGATCTGTCCAGTGCATTTGCTCGGATCCCCTTTGTTGTGTCATCTTCCGACATCGTCGATAATTCTACTGTTGATCAATATTAGAAAAATGGTTAGACTTTAAAAGATTCGATCAGTTTATCAATTCAATTGGGTTATGGTGGTCGGATTAAACTGAAGTTAGTTCGAAGAGGATATGTTAAATTATCTTGTCAGTTCATTACACGTATTATCACTGGCAAAATAGTTGGTTGATCAACCTAGAAATGGTCTATTGCTACCTCAAGTGATTGATTCTTCTTCATTCTTATGATTGGCACTTTGAACATATCATTGCTTAAAGATGGTACTAGCTCTCGCCTTGAGTAAGATATTTTTTGGCCATGGTCTCGCTCCGGCTTATATACAGTATCTCTGTCATTAATCTTGAATTTTAAAATGTAAATAACTCCTTCAATAGTCAATCCCTTTATCTCGAAGCTCTTTCATGAGACACCCAATCACTTTTCTACTATGTTTTCAAGTCGCTAAAATTGTTTTGAAAATTTTGCAAAAATTTGATTCACATCTGAAAAATTACTTTCCTACTTTCTGATACCATAACACAAAATTATTTGAGGATTATCACGATTCAAGAGTTACAATATTAGATAGTTTTACTATTAAATTGTAAATTGTGGAGTTGAATTTTTTGTTAGTTCAAATTATTCAATTTTTGCCATGCTTAAGAGAAAAATTTGAAATTTCTCACTTTTACTTTTGGTGAGTTCAAATTACGCTAACTAGCTTATGTGGCATTAACAACGCATTTCTTTGCGATAAAGTCCAGATTTATGAAATCGGAAATCTGAAGACTTAAATTACATACTCTACATATTTTAGTATCTAAGGTCCAAAAAGTTCTTTTTCATTTGAATTTTTGGCAAATTTTTAATCATACAAAATTTTGATAAAAAATAAACTCATAGTATGTTGTAATTAGGACTACAACTTTCAGTTCAGCAGCAATCTACATCTAAAATTAAGGAACTGAACTTGATTAAACTAAAATTATGAAAATTTAAATATTATCCCTTATGTATGGGAAAAATCGAATAAATCGACATTACAAAATATCTAATTCTACAATCAAAATTGTGATGAAAACATGATAAAAGCATCAAGATTTGTAGTTTTTTCACATTAATTACTCTTGAGATTTTTAGTGGTAAGGTGTTGAAAACTGGATTATAAATTTCTCAAAATTGATTCGAAATTTTTGCATAATTTTCAAAGCGATCACGGCGTCCTAAAAACATTATTCAAATGATTTTTGCGGTTTAATAAACGAAACCAGATATGCTCGAAGTTATAAAACAAGGTGAAACTGTTAATATCTCGTTGTAAAGCGTTTTTTATCGGTTCTTTAAAGACGAATTTCGTAATTCAATTCGGTTTCCGCTTCAAAAGTAAGTGCCTGTCTACTCTAGATTAGCTGGAGATTTCAATGAATCAAGTTTAAGATTGAAGCCTTGAGTACTGAGAGAGTTAATTGCAAATCAAATTTCGGTTTTACTATTATAAGACTGCATATAAGTTGAATTTGTTTCAGAATTTTGCGGCAAAGTATATGATCCTCCCCCGAATTTAGACCCCAGAATAACTCGCGCTATATTCAGGGCGACCCCACACTCAAGGTATTGGTTTATGTGGCCTGAACAAAAATTTTTCATAGTATTGATGTGGATTAGGGGTACCGAATTTCTGTGTGGTTCGTCTAACGTATATAAATCAACTATAAACAGGCTTCACTCAACTATCGTTACCGTTAATCTCTTAACTATCTATCGGAACTAACTATCATAACCACTAAGTGCTTGTAGAGAATTTCGATCAACAAATCTACGTTGAATGATCATAAATAATATTACGTCATTGCATGGCAATAATGGAAACATTATATGACTTATCCAATTGAATCAAATAAGAAGAAATCAAAAATCGAACAAATTTCATCATCTCCACTTTCGATACGAGCTCAAACAAAAATTCGGTAATTCATAACCATTACTAAACTCATCTAAACCAATTGATGGAATTTACGTGACAGTTTAATAAGACGTGGTCAGATTTATGATGTAACAGTAATGTTGGTTATGCCTCCAATTTTAAACTATTCCATTCTCAAATATTCTAGTATTGAATAATTCACCAACAATTTTATTAAGTAAGATCCATATGCTAGATCACTTACATAATGAAGTATAGATTTTATTTGTAAACGATTTGAAAAAAATTTATCAAGATCAAAAAAGTGAAGTATTTAAAAAACTTTAAATCGGATAAATTGCGCAAAAATCAATTGATTATGCTTAATCGAGCTTCTACTATCGTTCGAGTTTCCATGCTGTTATACAAAGTATAAATGTAATACCGAATCCATTGCTGCACTTTAAATTCCGAAGACGATCCAGAATCAGTGTATTTCATTATGCGATACATCATTTTGATAATCAATTGAAACATGCAATATTACACCTTTCGCATGAAAATATACTTGAGAAAGTAAAGAACAACAAACACAACCCAATAAATATACAAAGTCTTCTACATGAAGCTCAAACACAAACCTAATGTGTGGTATTAGTTAACAAATGAACTGGTCAATTCAGCTGATAAATTAGTTTCATATTTTTTTTTTTTTTTTTAAATCGCAAATTAAAAAAAAAAAAAAAAAAAAAAAAATTAAAAATTGATCACAAAATTGAAAAATTATTTATTTATTTTATCACTCAATTTAATTCAGACAAACAACTTCTATTTCATTTATTCATTCATTTACTAAGCATTCTTATGTTCGAAATTACATTCTTGGGTACAAGTGGTGGTCCGTTAGAGTCTTTTACTTGTTCTTTAATAATTAAACCAGAAGATATAACTTATGAAACATTAAGTATAGATGATCAAAATAATTTAGATAGTTTAATTTGTATTGATGGTGGAAGTGGAATTGCTAGTTTAACTTCAATCATATATCAAGAGAGTAAATACAAGACTTCAAAATGTAATTTACTTGACTATTACGATGATTCAGAAGATATACAATATTATTATAATACAAATAATTTAAAAATCACCACCCCATTTATAAATTTAAATCAATTACAATGTATTAATTACACTAAGAAATTGTTTAACAAATTGAACAACTTCTTAATAACTCATCCACATTTAGATCATGTAAATGGAGTAGTCATAAATTCAGCAGGTTATACAACAGAGAAAAATTATATTCCAAAATTAATATATGGTTCAAAATATACAACTACATCATTACAATCAAACTATTTTAATGGGATAGTATGGCCTAATATGCCAAGTTTTAATGTTGTTAATTTGATTGAACTTAAATTTAAAAAGAAATATACAATTGGTAATTATACAGTCATAATGTTTCCTTTATCGCATGGTGAATTAAATATAATTGAAGATTATCAACGTAAAACACATACTGACAAAAGAAGTTCAAGTGTAACTACCATCCCACAAGGTATAAATTTAAAAGATTTTAATAATGCAAGAAAATCATCAACTGCTTCACAATCATCATCTTTAAATGAAGATAATATGGATATAAATGAAGTATCAAAAAATCATTATCTATCATCAGCATATTTAATCGAATTAAATTCGTCATTTTTATTAATTTTTGGAGATTTTGAATCTGATTTAATTAGTCAATTGAATTATAATTTAAACATTTGGAAATTTATATCTCCATTGATAATTAATAAGCAATTAAAAGCTATTATATTAGAATGCTCGAATGGGTTAGAAACTAATGAAAATGAATTATATGGTCATCTCACACCTAAGCATATTATTGAAGAGTTAAAAATATTGGAAAAACAATGTAAATTAATTGATGAAAACATAGAGAAACCCTTAAAAGGGTTAAATATTTTAATTAATCATGTCAAAGAGCCTATATTATCAAATAACGATGAAAATTTTAAAGATCCAAGGAAACAAATATTACAAAATTTATTAAAATTAAATGAAAGTGAAAAATTGGGAGTTGATTTCTCAATTGCATTAGGTGGTACATCAATAATAGTATGATAAGGGTGACAGCCTTTTCTTAGCTCAGTTCAATTCATTTCATTTTTCTCCGTTCAATTCAAATCCCAAATTTAATGATTTCTTATCAATTCAATTCTTCAAAATTTATATAGATTAATATTCAAGCATTGCATACGTCTGTTAATAAATTACCTTGATCTTTTCTATTTTTTGTATTTCATACTCAAGAATAGAAAATACGCTAAACTAATAATTAAAATCGGTTTACAATAAATTTCACAAAAGTGGTTTTATTAAAATATGCAAATATCTTATTCATCTATTCAATTATATAATTTTCAGAAACTAAATTTGAATGTAAATCAAATGGTAAACTTTCTTCATCATCACCTTCTTTATTTGAAACAACATCAAGTATTGAAACACCACTTACAGAAACAAAATCTCCACCAATTAAATCACTATTATAAGAGTCAAAACTTAATTGTAATGGGAATAAATCATCTTCTGATTCAACAGGTACACTAAATTCAAAATTACCAGAACCATCTTTAATTGATAAAATATTAAAAATAGTTCCTTGATCAGGTATAATATCATAACTTACACCTTCTTGTTCTTGTAAATTTAAATCTTCAGAAGCTATAGGCATTAAAATCTTCAAATTTTCAATCTTTAAATAAGGATTTGTTGATTCAATTTCTAGATTGACATTTATTAAATTCTCTTCCATATTACACCAACTAGTTATAACAATTGGTACTAAATTTGAATCTTCTTCTTTACCTGTAATTCTCCATTTTAAAACCCCTAAAGCAACATCATTACTTGGGAATGATTTATTTCTATCTTTCACAGTTATAATATTTTTATTTTGAAAAATTGATTTATCTACATTTGGATGAGTTTTAAAATTCTTTTTATCTGCGATATTGTTCATTAAAATCTTACAATTTGATAAATTTGAGTCATTAATTCTTAATTGTAAATCACCTTTAATTTCAGATGAAATTATTGAACCTTCTCTTGACAATTTTGCATTAATTTTTTCAACTATAGTGATTAAGATACCATTATTTGGTACTTTAGGAGTTGAAGGTATTGGCGAATTAGAATTTGATTTTCTAACTGACTCTGGTGCATGTTGTTGTGTATGTCTATGAAAAATTGGTTGTGTATTTGAAATTAAAGGTTGATTCACTGTTGAAGAAATTCTTGAATTTTTTTTAAGGTTTAAACCAACCCTTTTATTTGGTGTTAATAATTTACTAACTGGTTGTTGCTCTTCTTGATTTGTTTCAATAATTGGGCTTGGTTGATATGTAGGCTGATAAGATTGTGAACTTGAACCAAATCCACTAATATTTCTCTCTGGCATTTGCATTTCCATATTCTTTCTTGCCAATTCTTTTCTTTGAATCTCTTTTGCTCTTCTTTTTCTTTCTTCAGTAGCTTCTAATTCTTTATTTCTTTCAATAATTTCTTGAATTTTTTCCTCATGTGAATCCATTTCTAAAAATGTTGAAACTTGACTCATTGTTAAATTTTCTTTATAACCTAAATTAATGATTTCATCAAAAGCATCAATAATATCAAATGAAGAATCAAAAATTTCTCTTTCATCGATATTTCTTAACATATTTGTAATTGTTGAACTAAACAAATGTAAAGTATCTATATCTTGTAAAATATTGGAACTTTTATTAGTAATCAAAACAATATAAAATTCTTCTAATGGTTGATAAACATATCTAACATTTGCTGAATCATCTTCAACTGAAGTATGTTGACGAGTTGAATTTGAAGAGTCTGAATTAATTAAAGTTGGGAAATTTGATAATAATAAAGTAATTCTATCTTTTGATATGTCAATAAATTGTCTAGATAACAATGGTTTACCACCACGAGTACAAATTGAAGCAGATAAAACAACCATAATTTAATTCGATTGTTGTTGATTTTGATTTAAACTTTGAAAAATTATAAAATTCACCTTGCGTGTCAAAATTGAAAAAAATTGTATACAATTCGTGTACTTACCAGATTTGTTTTTACTATAAATTAACTGGATTTCCCAGTAATCAATTTTTATTGAATTAGTTGGTCGTTGATTAAAAAGTTTGGTATTCGAACTGTAAATTTTACTATCCATTCTTCCATTGGAAATTGGGTGGTAGGAATTATAGAAACTAGTGTTTTATCAAACTGGTGATGAAATACGAAATTAGATTTATCAGTTTGATACAAATAGAAGACCAAATTGATACTTCGCTCACTTATTTCATTATTACTTTAATGCATTTTAGTTTATGCAGATGTCATTGAACTGTATTGCATTTATGTAGTTATCGATATAGTTTCTGATTAAATATAGAATCTAAATCAGTCTAACACGTGAGTAAAGTCAAAGTAAAACAATTAGTATACTAACTAGTAACTCCTTAGTTATAAACTCTTTGAAATGAAATATTTTCTTATCTAATGAACAATTTATGAGACTTTTTTTTAGATCATATTTGGCTAAAATTTTATGTTGTTGAAAGATTGATAATCCCAACTCTTGTAAAAATACACCTTCTTCTTTTTTTTTTAACTGTCTGTAGTATTTCTGGTTTTTCTATTTGTATAATTTCATAAATCCAACTCTCTAGTTCTTTTTCATCTATGATAAACATCTTTATATTTTGCAGAATTAAAAGCATTTGCAACTTTAATAATTTCTCCTCACTATATTTGAAAAAGGACGATGATTTATATTATACCAATAAATAGAATTTATGACTATGTTTCTTCATTCCTAAAATTTGCGGAAGTTGTTGATTATTTCCTTGTAGTAGGTATTCTGATTGAAGTATATAAATACCAGTAGTACAATTGACAAATATATCTATATTACAATGACTATTCATTTCTAATATAACTTAAATAACCTTTCAATGAATCACAAATTCTGAATTGTCGTTGAATAAATGATTGATTTACTGAAACGTAAGAATTTGGAGGATATTTGAAATATGGCGAATTCAGAAATATTTCAATCTTTAATTCTTGACTGTCAGTTTCTTTAACTGGAGTTTTAATAGGTTGTTGTCGTTGAGATTCTAAAAATTGGAGCAGCTGTAAATTAGGTGGTAATTGATCAATTTGTAAATTTGTAAATTTGTAGGTGTTTTTTTTTCTCTTTACTAGTGAAGTTAAATCATTTGTGTCTAACATAGTACTAGAATTATTTAATTTGATTGCTCTTTTGGAGCCAGTGTCTGGTATTAACGTTATTTCTTCATCAAATGACATGGTTTTGAAAAATGCTGCAAAAAAATTAACGTGTGAAGGTTTATGCCGCATCAACAAAATCAGAATATCAAACATCAAGCTTACCAAAACTAGAAGTTTAAGCATATTATATTGAAGTAAGTAGAAGTAGTTTAGATGTTGTAGTTTTAAATTAGACAGCATGACTCGTACACTTTTAGACAGTTAAAGTATGGGGTATTAGTTTGAAATTTATCAAAGCCAAGGGTCAAGATTCAAAGTATTAACTTTTGATTACATCTTTACAAATAACTTAAGTTGACTAAATACTTGAAAATCTCAAGAATGTAGCCCCTGTTCACACAAACATCCATTGAGCCTTGTTACAATCAATGAAACCTAAGCTCTGAACCAATTTTAAAAACGCATAAAATACCAAATATTCAAAAGCTGCATTATATTTAAACTCTGCTCAAGTGTGGGCTTTTTTAAGCCAGTAAGTATTTCGTTAGTAATATATGCACATATCGCTATTGTTAATTGCAAATAACGCGTCAAAGGAAGTTGGTTATTGTTTTTGAAATTAACTTTTAAATTGTTCAACATTCAATTAGCGAAAAGTTTAACATGACGATACTAATAGCACAATAGAAATTATGTTTAAACTAGATGCCAAAGATTTGACTAATTTGGAATGTCGAAATCATAACAAAACTTAAATTATTGATAGTAATGAAATGACGTAATGATGAATGTGATTTACACGAAAAATTCGAAAATTTTTTAGGGGTAATTTTAAGTTTAAGCGATTATGCAGCTTTAATTTATATTTGACCTTTTTCAGGCACCATATTTTTTCAGGTGAAAATGCTTAACTTTGAATACTGGTAGACTTAGAATCATCAGAAAAAGAAAATAGATCAAAGTTTAGCTTAAAATTGGCTTGGTTGAATTTAAAAGTAAGTAAACGAAGAATCAGTCCAGCTTTAATTCATCCTATTATGTAATAAATTATTGACCCTGGGTCCCCTGAAAAATTATTTGTTTATTATTTTTATTTTTTTTTTTTTTTTTTTTTTATTTATTGTTTGACAAAAATTTTTATTTGATGAATTTCAGTTTGTCCAGGGGTAAAAATATTAAATAAACAACAAGATTTTTTCACCTATTCAGGTACACACACTAACAGATTTCGTGATATATAAATTAGCTAATTTTTCTCTATTATTTTGGTTTAATTTTTTTTATCTCAGCACTTTTTCATTCTTTCTGTCATTAAATTTTTATCATTCATTATGTCAACTTCTTCAATACCAAATACACTATTATTAGATACTTCAATATCATCTATTCATACTCCCACTGTTACTCCATCATTAACTGATTTACACATTGCCACAATAGTTCATAATAATATAGGAGAAACTGATGTAAATTTAGATGCAGCATCATCAGTAAGTGGTATATTAACAGATAGTGGGGATTCACAAAATGATATTGGTTCATTTGCAACTAGTTCAGATGTCAAGACATTAACATTAAGTTCATTAAGTTCATCAAGTTCAGCAGGTCGAGGAGGAAATGGTGGTTTAGATTCTGCGTCTGCAACTAATGAAAATTATGGAAATGGTGTTTTAAGTTTAAATCCATTAAATAAAATAGATTATAAAAGTTTAAAATTTGGTTTAGTTTTAGGTGGTTTATGTTTAGGTTCTATATTTAGTTTATAAACGTTATGATTTAATTATTATGATTTTCAATTCTTCAAAAGATTAATTTAATATATATCCATTTATTTGTTACTTATTCTTCAAAAGATTAATTTAATATATATCCATTTATTTGTTACTTATTCTTCAAAAGATTAATTTAATATATATCCATTCATTTGTTACTTATTCTTCAAATCATATACTTATATATTTAATATTTAATTCAAAAATTTATCATCTAAATAAATTTCCATTTCATAATCAGGTTGAAATTCAGTATATAAAGTTTCTGGATCACCATCATGATGTTCACAATAAGCAGCTTCTTCATCACCAATAATATGTAATTTCTCACCATTTTTTAAAGCTGCTTTAGCAATTAATTCAACTTTACAACTTTGTTCCATTAATGTAAACAAATAAGCAGCTTCATCAACAGTACTACCAACAGTTAATAATCCATGATTTTTCAAAACTACACCTTTTCCATTTCCTAAAGCATTAGCAATTTTCTTACCTTCTTCAATTTCCAATGCAACACCTCCAAAATCATGATAAACAGATTGAGATTTATAAAATATACAAACATCCTGATTGATCATTTCCAATTCTTTTCCTAAACAACTAAAAGCTTTACCATAAGTTGAATGTGTATGACATGCAGCATTTACATCTGGTCTTGCTTCATGAATTGCAGAATGAATAGCAAAACCAGCTGCGTTTATAGCAGTTTGAGCACCGTCTGGTAAAATTTCACCTTGTGAAGTAACATGAACTAAATCTGAATATTTAATTAAACCGAAATGTTTACCGAGTGGATTAATCCAAAATGTATGTGGATCAATTGGATCACGTACTGAAATATGACCTGCTGTACCTTCACCAAAACCTTTTCTTGAAAATACCCGAAATGCACCTGCCATGTGTTGAAGAATCCACTTTTGATGATCCTTGGGATTGGTAAATTTAGGTAATTGATAAGGATGTTGTCCTCCTTTTGCAATATTATGTGAACCACGTTGATTCATTGCATAACCACGAGAAGTGGAAGTTGCTGTAGTTTCTGTTATAGTTGTTGATGGGGCCATAATGAATAAATAAAATAAAACAAATTTGTTATGATTTTTAAAACATGTATTCTTTCTTTCTTTTATCTTATTAATATATATTTTAGCGGCTATTGGATTCGAATTCCGTCTGATGCCGCTACCAAATGAGATTATTTTTAAAGGTAATTGAAAACGAAGATAGTGTGGAGATGATAAAAGATTTATTGGTCGTGTAAAAAAAAATATTATTAAGGGTTGCGAAATATATTTGGTTGCAAAACATTATTAAAATCTCTTGATTTAATCTTTCTTAGCGCGATCTAACATTGTTGGTATTAAATAGGGGAGTCACTTTGTGTTTTAGATTTGGGAAAGACCATCTTTCAATAATTAATTAAAATGGCTTCCATAATTAATTAATAGATCCCGGTTTCCTTTCAATATCTAACTGCACCTGCTTGAGTAGTTGGTTACTTTATTGAAATATAAAATGAAAGTCAATACTCTAGTCAAACACAGAGTCAATTTGATAAACATATACTGATATAAGCTTGACGAGAGAAATCTGAATTCTACATCTCAGATTTTTTACTGACTTATGAACATTTTTAGCATTTCATTTCTTAGTATAGTTCAACCATTAAATTCCCTTGATTAGCTTTCCTGAACGTGATTTCATTAATTTAATTGATTGAATAACTAGCTTGATAACAACAATAACAGTGTTAACATGAAAAAAACACCTGGAACCCAACACACATGCATATACCCTAATATTGGCCTTGACAATTACCAACTGTACTTTGGAAACTGTAATTTGAAACTATAGAATGAAGAATACAAAATTCTCAGCAATTTTTTTTTTTTCTTTTATAGTTTGTCACTGGTCAGACCCCCTAAACGTACTTGATCATAAAATTTCCGGACAATAAAACTTTTGACTTTCAATATCAAATACAATTCGACTTATGATAACCTAAATATTAGAGAATTATAACATACAGCTCTCTGGGCTCTTTCACGGCTCAAAATAAATATTAGAGAATTATAACATACAGCTCTGGGCTCTTTCACGGCTCAAAATAAATATTAGAGAATTATAACATACAGCTCTGGGCTCTTTCACGGCTCATAATACTTAAATATTTTTAATTTTTGTGCTTACCCACGAAATTGTTCTGTTCAATTAATTTTTTTGAAAAGATATAGACCAGGCATGAGTACTACGAACTCCGTGACAAGAATCTTATAGTACTTAAAGTTTTGCAATAAAGATCAAATGATCAGTTATCAATCCGATTCAAGTTCCTGCTCGAAATAGAAATGAATCACACGTTGATCAATCAGATAATTTCTTTAAAAACTATTTTACTCTCTCATGAAATTCTGCCACTATTAGTGGATTAATGGACTATGGAAAAAAATCTAGACAATTATTAAAATACTAGAATTTTTTAATTTAAATATTAGACGAAGAACTAAACTTTAAATCCACAAAATAAATAGGAGAAGTCAAATTCGAACTACATCTAGAGTATTTTTACAATTAGTAATTAATATCCATTCCAGGAACTGAAAATCTTATGCATTGCAAGAGAAGCCTTTTGCAAGTCATTCTTAAAAATTTTTATTATATTTTTTTTTTTGTCAATAGATCAGCATAATACCAAACGGAATTCCATTTGAAAAAACAACACAACACAGATGCAGATTATTTGCATCATCAAAGAAACTGAAAGATCACAAATGTAAATGCAATTGGTTTATGCAATTGGTTTATGCAATAAGAAACCAATCCTCAGAATTTCAAATTAAATTTTCGAGCTAAAATATCTAAGTTGAGCAGAATGAATATAATGATATCCTTCATCCTTAGGTTTCGTCCCGTGCTAAAAGATCTAAACATTGATCAATTCAAGTAAGTTGAAAGGTTAATAAATTTCGGCTTTATATATCTCTTTCTTGGCTAAACGAATTTCCGTATAAAATCTCAGCATTTTTACTATAGTTGAGGCTCAGCTAAAATATTTGATTTATATACACGCTTCTTGATCATGCATATAAATATAATAAACGAGAGCTAAAAAGATACATCAAAGATAAAATATATGTTGAAAGTGATATATTGATTTAGAGAGACTCAATTAATTTTCAACCATCAAACCAAATTATACTATTATGTTAAGCAAATTAAACGTAATTGGTTATGATACTTAGCTGGGACATGGGACATAGGCCATATTATATACAATTAACACTAGATTTTACATGTAAATTGTATAATGAAAGTACAAATATATAATAATATTTTTAAATCTCCAAATCTCCAAATCTCCAAATCTCCACTGCTCAACATATAGTTTATAATAATTTTGTATTATTGTTTGTTCAGTTTTGAAACTTGTTTTCCTTTTATAATAGAATTTTTTATTTTATAAAACAAAATATAAAATAAAAAAAAAAAAAAAAAAAAAAAATAGAATTTAATTTAAGTTTCAAAATTCATTATATTTCAACATCAACCACAACATCCTTAAATTATAGTACAATACTAGAACTATAAAACTTTATTGGTATTCCAATATTTACTACCGTTATTACTATTTATATTGATATTAAGGTTTTTTAATTATAATTGCTATATTTCCATTCCTTCTATTATACTAAATTTTAACCTTAACCCTACCAGATTTTATAATTATATACTATTATCAATAATATGTCAGATTCATTAATTACACCTCCCGATTCAAATACTTCAATGATAACTAAATTACCTTCTAAGAAAAGAATTAGAAGATTACCACCTGAAAAGAGACAAAAAGTATCTACTGCTTGTGATACTTGCAAAAAACGTAAATTTAAATGTTCAGGATCAAATCCTTGTGATTTGTGTAACAAGAAGGGTTTACAGTGTTCTTACACAATTATAGATAAACGTTCTTTGAAGAAAGTAAGACTAGAGAAAGAACGTAGGGAAAAAGAGCGTAGGGAAAAAGAAAAGAAAGAAGAAGAAGAAGAAGAAGGAGAAAGACAAAAGTTGCAACAAGAATTGGAACAAAGAGATCAACAACAACAACAACAACAACAACAACCTTTACCCGGTCAGTTGTATCATCAACAGTCATCAAATTATCCACAACCACAACAACAAGTTGCTCAACCACCACAAGCTGCTCAACCACCACCTCATGATTGTAATCCAAATTATCAACAGCATTTTCAACAACCTCCATTACCATATATAAATTATCGACAACTTCCACAACATCAACAACCTTCTTATCATCAACTACCACATCTTTCATCACAACCACAACCGTTACAACCATCACCAAATTATCAATCTCCTCATCAAGTAAACGCGAATGGTCTCAAAATGGAAAATGGTGTAATAACGCCAGAGATGACTCCTACTTCATCTTCAAATAATCAAAATAATAGTCATTATATACCGAAATCATTACAACCATTACTATCTCTACCTTTAGGTACTAAATCTTCACACAAAGGTTCAATGCGACCGGAAGGTATCGAAGAAGATATAAAAGAAGAAGAAGGAGATATTTCGGAAGAAGGAGAAGAAGGAAGAACTGGTGTTTCTAATCAAAGTGGTAAAAGCTCAATCTTATTAGTGGATAAGTCTGGTACTTTTAGATACATGGGAGAAACAAGTCCAATGTCATTATTATACGAAGCAAGAAATATATTTTATCAATACGTTGGTAAATGTAAATTAACAGAAGATTTAAGAGGTTGTCCAGTTATTGATAGACCGTTAAAATTAAAAGGAAAACAATTGAAACCATTACCAGACGATGAAAGAGTTAGAGATTTATATATATCCACATTTAAGAAAAATATTAATGATGCCTTTTTAGTATTTGATATGAATCAGTTTTATAAAGATGTTGTTGAAGTTGTATATGAAGATCCAAGCGATGAGGAGAGCAAAGAAAAGTTGATACTACTTTATTTTGTATTAGCTATTGGCTCGACTTATCACGATTTTGAAAATAAAATACCTGATGCTAAATTAGGTTCTGAGTATTTTGATTCTGGTTTAATTTTATCAAGAGAATGTATTAAAGATAGTACAATGTGGTGTGTTCAAAGTCATTATTTACAATTTCATTATTATCAAGCAATTTTAAAGAAATCAACAGCATGGATACATTTGAATTTAGCAATTAAATATGCTCAATCCTTGGGTTTACATCGTAATTTTGTAAATGAAGAATTTTCACAATTTGCAATTGAAAGTGATTATAGAAAACGATTATTTAGAAGTTTATATTCATCAGATAGAATCAGTTCAGTATTTATTGGTAGACCATTAACTATAAATGATTATGATTGGGATGATCCAACAAGATTTAAATCTTCAAATTTATTAGTATCAAATTTAGATTTCAATTCAAAATGTCAAATTGAATTAGCAAAAATTTCAACAATGATTGGGAAAATAGTGGCAAATTTTTATCAAAACAAAATTATAGACTTGAATAGGACAAAGAAATTAGCCATTGAATTAAAATTATGGTCTAAAAATCTTGATCCACTTTTAGCTATCGATAATATATTGAAACCAAATGAAATACCCAATAATGAAAATCAAGGAAATAGTTTTATTTTACTAATGACTCATTTATTACATTTATATGCTATAATGTTGATTAGTCGTCCATTTTTCATGTATGAAGCTGTTGGTGCTTTGAATGCAGATTATAAAGATCAAATACAGAATAAAGAATTAAGTAGACAATTTTGTCAAGCGGCTACAAAAGCCTCAATATTGGCTATAAAATTAATGAATCATTATATAAATACAGCTTTTAAGAATTGTAAAAGAATGGAATGCTATATCATCATAACTTGTTGTTTTTATTCTTCAATCATAATTGGTATCAGTATATTGAATAGTAATTTAGAAGAAGATGGATATTCAGAGAATGAATTGATCGAATTATTGAATAATTCAACTTATATTCTTCAAAATTTTTCAACTTGTAATAAAGGAGCAGAAAGATACGCAGAAATAAATATTGATTTAATTGATGCTGTAATTAACAGACACAAGAAAAAGTCAGAATCAGATATGCAACCTAATAATTATGATGATTTTGAAAAAGTCTTGAATGATTTTAATTTTTTAAATGATCCAAATAATAACTTACAATGTTTGATTGAATTTCAACAATTTTTTGTATCTCATGAAGCTGTACGTACTACTGGATCTTCATCATTGCCTTATGATTATGGGAATTATGATTTATTTTTTGGTGATAAATTGTAAGTAATTTACTATGCATCAGTACCCCTTAATGCAAATTGTTGCAAAATATATTTTCTTTTTTTTTTTATTTTTTATTTTTTTTTTATTTTTTATTTTTTTTTATTTTTTTTTTTTTTTTTTTTTCTCTTTTTCTTCATCTTCATGATCAATCTATATTTAATTTTCTTAATTTCAGTAGTAATTGGGTCTCCAGGTGATAATCTATATGCTTTCCTGGATTGTTCATATCAATGTAATGAAATAACATGTAAGTTAAATCCATATCATATCCTTGAAAGTGAAAATTTATATGAATTACCTCCAGATTATCAATTTCATTATTATAATCCCAATTGGCAATTTGAAAAAATGCCATTGCCGTTGCATTTAAAACTCATGGGTTGGAATTGTGAATCAAACTGTGATTATCAATGTCAAAGAATTATAACAAGTGAAAGAAAATCAAAGGGAGAAGAAATTTTACAATTTCATGGCAAATGGCCATTTTTAAGAATATTTGGTATTACTGAATTTGTTAGTGTTTTAATGTCAACTGGTAATTTTTTGGTTACTTTTATGGGATTTAACAAGATTTGGAAAATTGTGAAAAATCCATCAGTTCCATCAAATTTAAAATATCAATTTGTAAATATTTTAATAGTATTGGTAATTACCATGTTTGCTTGGTTATTTTCAGCTATTTATCATTGTCGAGATTATCTCCTAACCGAACATTTGGATTATTATTTTGCTGGATTAACTATCTTATCTGGATTTCATGCATTAGGCGCAAGGTTATTCAAGTTATACAGACATGATAAGAAATTACAAAGGTGGTTATGGTCAATCTCATGTATTCTTGCATATTGTTATCATTTTCATAGGTTATATACTGATTGGTCATATACTTATAACATGAGAGCTAATGTTACACTTGGAATATTTCAAAATTTATTCTATTGTTTATTATGTTATCAGCTATATACAAAATATTATAACATTGAACAAGATTCAAAATTTACAAATTTATCACATTTGAACTATATCAATTTGAATAGAATCATCCTACCTTCATTTTATACAAGATCGGCAAAATTATATTCATCATATCCATTATTATTATGTACGATTGTTTTATTAGGTATGTCTTTGGAAATACTTGATTTCCTGCCATTCTTTTATGATTTAATTGATGCTCATAGTTTATGGCATTTAGTTACTATATTTCCAGCATTTATGGGATGGTATGATTGGTTAATTTGGGATACTTTTGAAAATGTATGGGATGAAATTAAACCAAAAAAGGATTAATCTGAAAATTCTTCTTCTTCAGCAACATATGGTGGTGGTTTGAAAAATTCTTGATCTTGGACAACTTGTTGTTTGAATAATTCTTTATCATTTACAAATGCATATAAATATTCTAATTCTAAGTCATGAACTTGTCTACCTAACATTACTAAAGAGTGTAAAGGTTCTCCAGAATCATATTCACTTAATTCTTTTAAAGTACCAGCTCTAAAAGTCTGAGTTGGTGAACCTAATCTTGAAATCGCAACACATGGAGTATTTTCAGTATATGCTTTTTCTTTTCTAGTTTCTTCAATTTCAATCAATTGTTGACATGCAGTTGCAATATTCATATACCTTGGAGGTTCATAAATTAATCTACCTCTAGCCATATTTTCAATACCTTGTTCTTTAACTTTAATATCTAATAAAATTAATGTATGTAATCCAGCTTTTCTATTTCCATGAATTTTATCATAAAATGAATCTGGCTTCCACGAATCAGTGAAAAATACTAATGAAATAGTTTGACCAAAATTATATAATTGTAAACCACAAGCACCAACAGCATTCATAATTGAAGCATTATGAATTGTTTCAACTTTAATACCTAATTCACGAGCACGAATGACTAAATCAGTATGAGTTGTAGCACCAAATGGATCACCAACTACTAAAAATGCAATATCATCAGTATCAGCATTTACTAAAATTGAATCAGCACCAGTTTCAACTAATTCTCTTTCTGCTAATATTATATCTTTTTGGTAAAATTTTTGTAATGATTCTTGATTAGCAGCCATTAATATTGAAGTATAAGCTTCTAAATAAACTCTTTTACATTTTCGAATTGTTTCTAATCCACGCACAGTTATATCTGTTTCATGAGATAATCCTAATCCAATAAGGTACAACATAATAAATTGATAAGGTGAAAAATGAATATTTTTTTTTTTTTTTTTCAATCAAATCTCATCGTAAATTGATTTGAATAAATATTGACCAATTGAGCAAAATAACTCAATATGACCAATGATAGATGGTGGTATAAGTAGCATCCAGCATTGTTCTCAATAGTTTACCGTGAAAAAGTGTAATTTGTTAAGTAGGTATTGTTTACAGCTCCATGGAAAATTAGCCACGGCCGAACCCTAACCTAATTAGCTGAAATGGTTGTCATTGTATAGTTTTATGTCCTCAAACACTCTGTAGTACGCTATACTTTGATTTTAAAGTTGATTCATACAATGAAGCTTTGTACCTTTTTTTTTTTTACGAGAACTTCTAAAATAACTTTGAGTTTTATTTTTACCTAATTGATGAATTGAAAAATGTATTGGAATTCTATCAATTTCTAATATTCAATGCTTCAAAGCTCTTTAGAACTAAATTATCACGATAGAAGAATTTAAAGGTCGTTGAAACTAATTTGCACTTCAATTATGCTCCTCCATGTTCTTTATATCATCTAAATCATCACGAAATGCATAATTAAGTATTAAACCTGAAATTTGCTCTACATGTTTACATTTTGATAGTTTTATAATCTCATCTTTGTATTTATTAATCAAATCAAGATTTGAAGTGATTTACTCACCTTTAGTATAAAATCTGAAGGTAATGAAAAATTGTAATTTTTTGAAACATGATTCGAAGCTCATAACAAATGAATGAGATAATTTTTATATGATATTCGTGAATTTTGGATTCTAGCATGAGTAAAGTTTCGTAATACTTTAAAATATTTTATTTGGGCATTAAAAGTATGCAGTTGGTTTCTCGATGGGTCGTTATTTACTTCAGTGCAGTTCTAATTCAGATAGGATTTATAATATTCAGAGTGCTTAGAGATAGGAAAATACATATGATATATTTAAATATTAACCTAAGAAGCTATGGGATTTTTCATAATAATATTCAACTCCAAATCAATTGAATAGCATCATATATGAACAAAATTCTAATATTAGTATCCTTCTCAACTTTATATCAATTGGTGTATATCCTTTTCTTTCCGATTCATCTAATGGTTTAAGGACAAATTTGTGCTTGCCATTTAACAAAGCTTTGATCGTATCTATAAAATGATGCCCTACTCCATCTTCTTGAACTTTAAAGTCTTGAGTTGTAAATTGTGAAAATATTAACTAATGAAATATTACTAGGTAATAGTTGAAGTGGTTTGTTAAGATTATGAAGATTTTGAAGATGAATTTTTTTCTTGTAGCTGCAATTTAAGCGCGGGTTCATTTTGCAACCGTATTTCCTATTTAGGAAACAGCTGATTTGATGCAGATTTTAAATATTAATTAGATTTGGTACCTTAAAATTATTATAAGACCAAATACCGTGGTAAATGTGTCGACTTTAAATAGTATACAGTCTGACATACAACAAACAAATGTGAACCCTAAGTTAAAGGATACTTCTGAGAATAGCTTCACATATTTAACTTGTAAACTCTTTCAATAAATAACTGGATTGTTGACCATTCAATGGCATTATTACCCAATTGATCGTAAATTAAATTTAAACTTTTGATCTCGTAAACAAGAAAAATTAATTATCAACAAAATAATAAAATTAATTAATCAATTTATTCACAACAAATTTCATCAACCAAATGTCAAAAGGTGATATAGTCTGCATCAATGTAGATCATAATTTCAACTCAGCTCTACCGACATTAGACAATCCTCATCATGATTGTGAATGCCATAAAAATGAACATAAAAAATTCAAAATTACCAACAGCATTTTTTTCTGAAATACAAGTTGTTAAAAATCACAATTGGGTTCTTTTATAAGTATAGTTTGGTATATAATTGTTTCAGGTTTTTATGGTTAATTAAACAATCATTTCCAGATAATGATAAAGAACTAGAAAAGGTAATTAAATTTATGGATGATGAAAGTTTAGCTTTAATTTCCCATGATTATATAATTAACCACTTCATACAAAGAGTTTATGAATTTAAGGAGGAATATATGCTTAATGATACTTTTGAACTTGTCTTTGAGAAAATTTTGAAATGTTCATTGGATTATACAGTTGCAAATAAAGATGAGATTAGGTTCAAGAATCACATCATTTCTTCAATTTTGAAGAAAACAGAAGCTAAAAAATCACACTAAGTAAATATCAAAACTTTACATTCAAAATGAATCAACATTCATCAGGTTTTTGAATTTTACAAATAAGATAATTGAAATTGTGAGAATATTCAACAAGATCATGAATTATAAATTGAATCAGACAGACAAAAATATTCAACCATGAAGCTTGAATTTACCGAATTTGATAAATTGAAAAACAAGTATTTAGAAGGTGATATTAAGAATTTAGCAAATAAGGGTGTTTTAGATTTGGCAATTTCTGTATTTTTAAATTGGTATGAGTATATTCAAGATTTCTGTGAATCTTATTGTAATACAGTACCAGGTGAGAATGCAAAATATTTTGCTGAAATTGATTTTTTAAAAATGTTGGAAGAGCATATAGATAGAATTAATTTATTATTGGGATTTATTAAAAGTGATAATCTTAAACATTCTGATGATATACTTATTAATGATAAGAAGATTTCAATATTTGATGATTTAAAAAAAGAAGTTCAAAAAAGTTTTATTAAATTATTAAAGTATGATGTTGATGTTTTAAAAATTGAATCAAAAGTTTTAATTGATTTGCAGGATGAAATCAATAAAAGTATAATGTCTATCGAATTTAAAATTATTGAAATTGGATGATGCTTAATTTGAATGCACAAAATTGGTCGAAGTTTCTAAATCTCTTGGACTTTTCACTATAAAGGATAATTTGATTAATGCTTGTATATACATAGTTACTGCTGCTTTTGGATTCAAGTTTCCAGAATCGACACTTTATCTTCAAACTTCTTTGCTTTTGGTTATTTTCTGTCCCAGTATATAAATGGACACGAAATTTAAAAAAACTGTTAGAAAAGGCACAAGAGGTTGATTTAGAGAAAGCACAAGATGAAAATTTAGAGAAGGAGCAAGTAGAGGCAACTGCTGATAGTGTATAACTAACACATACCCAATATTCAATGAAGTTGTTTATGATTTACATAAAACAACACCAAATTTCATGAAGTAATCATATAGACCCTCATAAGAGCTTATTATCGCTGAGTTTATAAATTCCATCATAGTCAATTTTCTCTGATTCAATTAAAATCATCAACCTTCGAGATGACATCGTAGTATTTGACGCATCTCTCGCATTAGATTTGAGCCCATATATTTTTTTCCTCTGGCCACACTTAATACCATGATCGATTCAGAGATCAACCCGATTTTAACTACAATAGACTTTGATGGCTGCAAGACTGCTTAATTTTTTACAACCGGTTACATTCTTGAAAATGATGAAATTATCTTAATTTTTATTATAGTCAATGTTGAGTATAACTATTCTTTGGGTCATTACAGTATCTATAATAATAACACAAGTAAGGAAATACTTACAAAAACAACCAGTCAGGCTTCCTATTTTTTCACAAGCTGTCGTTTGGTTCTTTTATTCCACATTTTTCACATTTCCGTATGATGCTGTATTGAAAGCTTATAATAGTTATATAACTGCAAGTCATTGGACAGCTTATGTTGATGATTCCATAGCTGCTTTTGGTGCTAGTGAGATTTTTATTGCTTTATTTTTGGTGATTTTACATTTGTTTGATGATCCTAATCAAAATTTAAGAAGTGGTTTCATTGGAGTTTCTGTATTGAGTGCTACTACTGTTTTTGGATTCCAATTTCCTGAACTACTTGAACATTTAAGATTAGTTTTCAGTATGGGTTTTGGTATCTGTGCAATTACAATTGGACTTTTAAAAATTGTTTAGATTGAAGAGTGAGCTACAAAGGTTTCAATTTGATAAATCCATAAACTTAAAATTGAGACTAAATTGGAGGAGTAAAAAGTATAAGTAGATACCGATGATATAGACAGATGTAAACTTGAAAGACTGATTTAAGCAATGCCAACTCAAATGTAGATGCCAATGGTAATTTCTGATTTCTCTTTATTTAATCTAAACATCTATTTAAAAATTGAGATATTTTTATAACTCCAAAAAATTCCTCTTGGTTTAAACTATTAATATTTATATTTGGATATTTTCTAATTTTACCAATTATATGATTTTCAAAAAACAATGAACTATCATGAACACCCCAAGGTTCAACTACAACTTCAACTTCACAACCAGATAAATTACCTTTATACTCATGTATTTCCTTATCGAATTTCCCACCTGAATCTCTATCACTTTTTCTTAACGGACATTTTAAAGCCCATTGACACCAATCTAAAATATCATCCCTGAATACTTCATGTTCACCTAATATAACAAACACAGAAGAATCTTTGTTCTTGAATGTAGGTATTTTTTCCCAATCTTCAAATTTATAAGGTAAATAATTTCCAGGACTTACGATTAAACTTTGCCATGTTTTTTCACCCATTATTTGTTGTTGTCTATCTTCTTGTTCCATTAAATGATATTGAATCATATCACGAGGAGAATTATCATGATAGGAATAACCTGGAGTATTTCCTTGTTTTTTATCAGGATGAATTTTAACCCATGGAGAAATTAAAATTAAATGTTTAGGATAAGGAAGTTCCAAATTATGTTGTTTCAAATATTGAATGAATATAAGACTTAAGTTCCCACCTGCTGAATCTCCCATGAAAATGAAATTATCATTTCCTTCCTTGACTAAACTTGTATAAGTCTCTAATAATTCATGTAATTGAGTAGTCATTTTATATCCTCTGCTTGCTAATTTATAATCGAGTAATAAGATGGAAAGATTAGAATTTTGCTTCTTTTTAGTATCTAATAAATAGTAAATTGATAATAATGATTCTAATTGACTTGGCATAGTTTCAAAATAATATCCACCACCATGTAAATAAATCAAAATTGGATCTGATGATTTTCTAGTTTCTGGTTTAACAATCCAATAACTTTGTTTATCGTAAGATTTACCATAATTTGCCAATGGTTTAATTAAATTTGGATATAATGATTTTAATAATTTATTAAGTAGAAAATAGTTGGATAGGATAGATAATATAGATGAATCAAGAACTGGCATACTTAATGCAGTTCTACAAAGCATCAATTTTAATGAATTCTTCAAATCATTTTTAAATTTTTCATTTAAACCACCAAAGAATGGATACTTAATAAGTACTAAAAGTAATTTTAATGGAATTGATAATAATATAATGAATCCTCTAACTGATAACATGATGATTGGAAATACTTTCAATTGACCATATCTTTTCTTTATATATATAATTTGGTTTGGTGGGGTTTTATTAGTCTAAAAAATATTTATTTGATAGTTCAATTTTTCACAAGCTATCTTAAACAATGCGAAAAATATAGAGAAGATTTAAAACGGATGTAGAATTAAAAATAAAGATAAAAAACACAAAATTGAGAGTTGAAGTGAGCCTAATATCCGCTATCCATAAGACAAGTAGACAATTGAGTAGGAATAGTAGTAATGGTCATTACTTCGTTATATATGATAGATAAACGAAAGAAGAAAAAAAAAAATAAAAAAAAAAAAAAGGATCTCGAGATTTGGGAAAATTACTTGATTAGGTAAAATGTTAGATCTTGTAAAATACAAGGGGTTATAATGTGTTGATAAGATATCAAAATAAAGTTGTATGATGAAATGAATGATGACAAACATCTAAGGAGACTTTCAATGGTATAGATTTGACCGTTTACTTGAATTTTATGCTCAAGTACTACATAATTAGCGCGTAGTAAAATTTTGTACTGTAAAATGTGGGTGCAAAAATTTGGCTGCATAATTTTTGTAAAAAAAAATTAGTTAGTAAAATTTTGCAACCATTTAATTAAAAAAAAACATGAGCTAATTTATACATCCCATTAAACAACAAGATGAAGATGTCTTACAAGTAGAAGAATAATTCTGTAATCTCAATCACTGTATAATCTATTGGACTCTATAGAGTTGTTTTTAACGAATTGAATTGTATACAACTTTAACTGTTTCTGCTAATCAGAGTACATAAAAGAATCATGACGATTTGCGCACACAGTGAAATGTTAACTAAGCTCACCATTTGCTGTTAATTTATTTTGGTGGCACTTCAATCGTGTTCATTAATAATATTACATATTGACAGCTTGTTATTGGATATATTGATATTGACGCGGTACAAAAAAACAATAATGAAATACTCAAACTGATATATGCATAGACGAGCAAATTTACGAGATAAGTACTTGAATCGATTGTATATTTGACTTCCGTCGAGACTCGAGGATGATAAGTTGCAATTTGCCAATTTTCAGGAAATTTATGATCGCAACCGGAATAAAATTAGGCACAAATCCGTCATACCAAGCACTAATGTTGTTATTCCATTTAGTGATGTAACGATCAGGAAAATTTTCTGTCAAAAATGACTTTTGTGATATAAAATTAAACACTGTTTAGCCAACAATGCATATTTAGAAACATAATCAACATCATATTTGTTTCGGAAGTCCCTATATGGTCTTTAATTGCTATAATACGTTAGGAACAAGAACATTTATGTACTGGTTCATAATCAAGATGAATTATCATAATATCATCATAATATCATCATAAGAACAAGGATGCTTCTCTTTAAAACTCAATACGTATGGAAGTAGACTATTTATTATTTCGAAACCCGAGAGAGCGAGCAAAATTGCAAAACAATACCTATCAATAATGCATTAAAAATGAGGTAGTGAAAATCGAACAGTTTAAGATTTATGAATACGATGTAAGGCAAAACTTTTAAATCTCGTTAATATTTGCTAAAGATAATAATATTACACGTTGATGGAATATTAAGTATATATAATTGCTATTGTTGAATTTAAGTAATTTAACTTTTAAAGTTAAATTTTACAAACCAAAGATAATGTAACCAAATTCGATCAACAATTCTTTTGGTTATAGCTTCGCTCGATCTTGTATTTCAATAATGATCAGATGACAAGATTATACTCGTAAATGGCAATGTTGCATTGCAATTAAATTATTTAATTTTATATATCGTGTAAACTTATTTCGGAGTTAAATCCCGAGGAATAAAATTAAAGTTTTGTGTAATTAATAGCAACAAAAGAATAAAAATAATATGTAGGGCGGAGATTGGGGGAATTGCTACCGAATGAATGACTCGAGATTACTGCGACGCAAATGGTTGCATATGGTAGCATATGGTACCATATGGTACCACGATGGCCCCAAGAAACATAAAAAAAATATATATTTCATACGTGGCATTAAAATAATTTTTGCAGTAATCATAGAAACTAAAATATGATGTAATGCGTTTAATAAATGTTACATAATTTTTAATTATCAATACAATTACTATCAGGTTATTATTATTTAGATACAATAGAGAATGAACAACTAGTAACAAGCGTCTATTACTCTGTCGAACGTATAAATAAGCATGGTGGAAACCATGCTTCCAACTACATTCTTTTCATCCAACGAAGGAACGAAAGAAATCAACTGAATATAAAGACTATAGTAAACTGTTTGTTTCTTCGATCCTTATTTTGTAAATTAAAAAAACTAACAAAAAAAAAGTATAAATAGAAATCCAATTCTCCTATTTCAATTTTATTTACGACCAGTTTTATTAAATCTCAATTTTTTATTACATTATTAAAATTACTTATAATAGATTTACAATAGATTTACAATAGATTAAATTAGATAGATCATGTCAGAAGGTATAGCAAAAAAGCAGCCAGTTGAAAAACAAGAAATTGTTGAAGAAGATGGTGGTGCTCAATTTCAATCTTATTTAAATAATGATGGTATTGATGAGTTAACACCATTAGAAAGAAAACATCGTGTTTCAAATTTATCATTATCAGATTTAAATCAATGGCAAAATGGTTTAACAAAATTATCTTCATCAACTTCATTAAATAAACAAAATTCATCAAGTAATGCAAATTTAAAAAAAGTTGATTCATTAGCTAAATTATCAAGAAATTCTTCAATTATAAAAAGAAAAAAAAAATCAGTTATTGATCATGAAAGAGTTGCAAGTTATGCTTTTTGTTTTGATATTGATGGTGTTATATTAAGAGGTCCAAATACTATTCCTCAAGCTGTTGAAGCTATTAAATTGTTGAATGGTGAAAATAAATATCATATAAAAGTTCCTTCAATTTATGTTACTAATGGTGGTGGTAAACCGGAACAACAAAGAGCTGAAGATTTATCAAAAAGATTAGGTACTACAATAACAAAAGAACAAATTATTCAAGGTCATACTCCAATGAAAGATTTAGTTGGTATATATGAAAATGTTTTAGTTGTCGGTGGTGTTGGAAATGTTTGTAGAAATGTTGCTGAATCTTATGGTTTTAAAAATGTTTATACTCCATTAGATATAATGAAATGGAATCCTGCTGTATCACCATATCATGATTTAACAGAAGAAGAAAAAACATGTACAAAAAATGTTGATTTTTCAAAAACAAAAATTGATGCAATTTTAGTATTTGCTGATTCAAGAAATTGGGCTGCTGATCAACAAATTATTTTAGAATTATTGTTATCAAAGAATGGTGTTATGGGTACAATGTCTAAAACTTTTGATGAAGGTCCACAAATTTATTTTGCTCATTCTGATTTTATTTGGGCAACAAATTATAAATTAAGTAGATATGGAATGGGTGCACTTCAAGTTAGTATAGCTGCTCTTTATAGAGAACATACAGGTAAAGAATTGAAAGTTAATAGATTTGGTAAACCACAACATGGTACATTTAAATTTGCAAATAAAGTTTTATCACATTGGAGACAAGGTGTATTGGATGAGCATTTAAAGAAATTATCAATTAATGATCCAAATGCTGATGATGCTGATATTCTCATTGATGACTCAGGTCATGAGATTATTAACCAAGCTAAATTGGAAAATTATTCTTATTCAGATTCTGAAGATGAAGAAGATGAAGATAAGAAAAATATTGGGAAAGTTGCTGAAGTTGGTAAACCTGATAAAATCACATTACAATTACCCCCTGCTTCAACTGTTTATTTTGTTGGTGATACTCCTGAATCTGATATTAGATTTGCAAATTCTCATGATACAACATGGCATTCAATTTTAGTTAAAACTGGGGTTTATCAAGAAGGTACTGAACCAAAATATAAACCAAAACATTTATGTAATGATGTATTGGAAGCTGTTAAATATGCCATTGAAAGAGAACATGCAAAAGAATTAAAAGAATGGAATGAGACTGCTGAAGATAATGATGATGATAAAGGTTCAAGATTAAATTTTGCTGATTTAGTTATGACACCAAGTGAAAAAAAAGAAAAAGAAGAAAATGACAAAACTGAATCAAAACCAAAAAGAGTACCTGATGCACCTGAAGCTGTTGAAGTTCCAGTTACTTTAGAACAAGAATTAGAAAAATATCAGGAGAAATAGATTATAATATAAATTAGATTATTGATGTATATTGATATCTCTTCTATTATTTATCTTTTTAATTATAAACCAATACCAAGGAGGTAATAAAAATACAACTAAACAATTCCTTATTAAATCAAATTTAACAACATTATTCCTTTTCATTATCTCTTTCCTTTTTATTCTTCTTTCATCATTTGAATCATAGTGTAAAGTCAGTAATAAAACTTCTCTAATTACCCACCAAGTATGTCCCAAACCATAACTTATTAAATATATCCAAAAAACTGGAAATTTCCAAATTGGAATTTGTTGTAATCTACCCATTTCAAGATATTCTCTACCTCTAAGTGAAACATTTAATATAATATGAAAATAAGGACTATAACAATTTTTAAAATTTATCAATCCCATAAAACTAACTATTTCATTTGGATCATTTCTTGAATCAATATATGTAAAAGTTTCAGATAAAAGTCTTCCTAATTCTAATATTGGAATATTTAATTTATAATAAACTAGACTAACCACTATAACAATTGAAATACCTATTTGTATAAAATAATATAAAAAATCAATTGATTTATTTTTATCAATAAATTTTTGAAGTGTCTGTTTTTGTAATGGTGAAAAATTATCAATGATTGAAGGTAAATTAGAATGAGTAGTTAAATATCTATTTTCAATTCTTTTACAACTATTAGCAATTGCAAATAATGTAAATATTAGATCTAAACTTAATTCATTAAAAGTTATAAATGAAGTTAAAATTCTATAATTTTGATTAGTTAAAGCTTTATCAGGTTTAAATAAAAGATTAAATATCGATACTTTCTTTATAGTTAATAATATTGAAGTAGCTAATACTGAACAACACCAGCCTTTAGTTATTGGAGGTAAACTTGTAATTATGTCCATCTGGTTTGGTGGTGGTATTAAAATTGGTGATAATTTACCACGTAAGATAATTTATGTTTTTTTTCTTTCGGCAGTAATGATTAATATTGATGACATTATTAAACAACTGAATAATACTAGTATTATTGATAAGAACATATTACAACCTTATATATATATTGATAATTTACCATCTAATAATCAAAATATTAGACTGAAGTTTCTAAATGCTTTTAATGAATTATATTTTAAAATTAATAATCAACAATTACTCAATAAAATAGATTCAATAATTTCAATTTTTCATAATAGTTCTTTATTAATCGATGATATTGAAGATAGTTCACAATATAGAAGAAAACATAAAACTAGTCATTTGATTTATGGTATTCCATTAACTTTAAATTGTGGTAATTTAATGTATTTTAAAGCTTTACAACAATCACAATTATTATCAAATGATTCACTAATAAAATTGAAAATTTCAGATATTTTAATTAATGAAATGTTGAATTTACATCATGGTCAAGGTTTAGATATTTATTGGAGAGATTATTTAATTACATTGGATCATTTACCACTGATTCAAGATTATTTAAATATGGTGAAGGATAAAACTGGTGGATTATTTAGATTAAGTACTAGTTTGTTAAATTTATTTAGTGAGGAAAAGTTTGATTTAATTGCAGTTTCAAATTTATTAGGTATATTGTATCAAATTAGAGATGATTATTTAAATTTAGTTGATGAATCATATGGATTAAATAAAGGTATAAAAGGTGAGGATTTAATAGAAGGAAAATTATCATTACCCATTTTACATTGTCTTATTGAAACCGGTAAAAGCTCACCAGTTTATAAATTATTATATGAATTTCAGAATCCAAATAAGAGGAAAGAACAAATGGATTTAATTAGTGAATGTATTAAATATATGGAAGTTGAGAGTTATAGTTTGAAATTTACACAAGATTTGATATTACAATATAAGGAGAAATTAATGTCATTGATATCTAAAAGAGATGGATGGGATAATTCATCATTAATTCAAATTATTAATCATTTATGTAATGTTTAAAAGATTATTTATTTATTTTGCTTGTTTTGTTGTTTATTGTAAATAGGACACTTAATGAATGACACTTTGAATGAATTTTGAATAAATTAGAGTACGTGAAATGGTTATTTCTTATGTTGTCAGGTCCATTTCAAAAATCAAGCTATTTAGAGATGACAAAGAGTCATTATTTCATACTCAATATATATTCAAATCAGTATGACTAACAAAAACCTAACCAATTAACAAAATAAAATCAACTCAACTAAAGCCGATACCAATAAACCAACTCAAATTCGAAACATACACGACAACATAAATTATCACATACCATTATATAATTTATTATCTTCTTCATCCATAATTTTCAAAATTTCAAGATCAGTAATTTCTTCAAAATCGTCCCAAGTTAAATCTTCATTCTTTTTTGGTATTTGACCAATTTTAGGATAATATATCCATCGTTTACCAAATTTCTTAACAATTTGAACTGATCTAGTACTGTATAATTCGTAGAATCATGAATTTTGATCATAAGTCCGTGTGGTATTATGAATTTCCTAGAGTTTCCACATCATATTGAAAAGAAATAGGTTAATTAAATTTCCAAAAAAATGCGAAAGCAGGAAAATGTTGATCTATTTATACTTATGGTCTAATCTTGAAATTGATGAAAAATTAGAAAGTAAGTGCTTATATAAATTTTTAATTTTTCAGCGTTTAAGTTCCTGCATTAAAATTAATTAATCCATTAAATTACACAAAACCGGAAATATTGTTTCAAGATCTCAGATCTTGAAAAAATAAAATCCGGATCTACAAATGTAAATCTGAACAAATTTAGAAAAGATCAATACGAATAGACAAAGAAAGATTATGAAAAATATAGGAAATCTAATTCATCTAAAACTATATGACTGGATTATCATCAAGTATAATTTTTAGTCAATCTTGATTCAGTTTGGTATTAGTGGATATAATTGAGTGTGATCACTTGATGAATAATCAGAACCACCATTTCTAAGATTTTTAAACCATTCAATTTAACCCATAGGTAGTTAAAATTTATCTTAAGTGTATTAAACCAATATTAAACCAAAGGATATACTTGCGCGATGTTTTAATGAACCTCTGTAAGGTCTATTTGAAATCTAGATTTCCAGCTCATAATATCGAAATTTAAGGTTCGTGATTAAAGTTTTGGATATAGCGATATTTATTTTAATACGTAACAATTATTAAACCCTGATTATTTTAACAGTTTTGGAAGAGTAATCAATTCAACCTCATTGAACTCAACAAAAAAAGCGCAAATTGAATAAAACCTGTCTTAAGAAAATTCAGAGTACCGAGTTCGACTTTCAAACAACTCAGATAATAACCGCATCCTTACTAAGGTTCTCGATTTTTTATATTTTATCTAAATCTCTATTAAATAGTACAAAATTAACGTCTTCATTCTTCTCTTTCATTACCTTCTTGTAATTTTTTCATTCTTGCCATTTTTACCAAAGGACTTAATGAACTTGTATCATCAGCTTCCAATATAAATTTATCATTTAATAATTCATCAGCATTTGCACGTTTATTAAAATCGACTTGTAAACACCAACTTAAAAATTTTCTAATATCATAACTTAAAGATTCTGGTTCTTTTAATGATGGAGTACCATTAGTTGCAATTAAATATAATGCTCTTAATGGAGTTTCATTAAGGTATGGTGGTTCACCTTCAATCATTTCAATAATCATAATTCCCAAACTCCAAATATCAACTTTTGGACCATATTCTTTTCTTGATACAACTTCAGGAGCCATCCAGTATGGAGTACCAACCATAGTTGTCCTTTTAAGATTTAATTCATTAATTTGGGCACAGAAACCAAAATCTGTCATTTTAATATTTCCTTCAGTATCTAATAAAATATTGTCTGATTTTATATCACGATGTATAACACCTTTTGAATGTAAAAATTTTAAACCCTTTAGTGTCTCCTTACATACTGCTGCTATTTGACCTTCAGTCATTACTGAATATGTAACTATATCAGTTAATGATCCACCTTCCATATATTCCATAATTACCCATAAATCACCTTTTAATAGATATGAATCAATAAAATTTACTATATTCTCATGTTTTGACCCTTTCATAACTAAAATTTCATTTATGATCAATTCCTTTTTAGGTTGTTGTTCAAGATTCATCTGTTTAATTGCAACTGTATTATGCTTATTTTTAATTTCATGAGCAATGAAAACTCCACCACTTGCACCTTGGCCAATTTTATATAGATCAGTATATAATTCTTTTGGATCTCCTGGATTACATATACTTTGTAATTTGGCGATAATCTGTTGATTTTTTCTCTTTTTATCCTCTCTTTTCTTTTGAGCTAGTAATGCAGCTTGTTTTGTATCTCGAACTGGTTTATCTTTGGATTGTAATTGTTTTTGTTTAATTTCTTCCAATTCAAGTTGTTTTTTATTTTTCAACATTTCTTTAGTTTCTTTATATTTATTCTTTTCATATAGTTCATTTGGTTGAGTTATATCTGCCAATGCTTGAGATGAAGTTTTGATATTTTGTGATGGTGGTGGAGGTGGTGCTCTATGGGATTTAAATTCATTCTTTCTTTGTTTTGGTAAAGGACTATTATCTTCAAATTTAGATGTTTGTTGAATTGGGGCTGTTGTTGATCCATTTTTTTCTTGTTGTTTTATTTGATTGGATAATGAAGCTGAATGAGATTTTGATTTAGGTATTTGAGGTATTGGTGGAGCTTGATGTATTGGTGGTGGTGGTGGAGGTGGTGGAGGAGGTATTTGAGTAAATTTACCATCAACACTTTTTCTTGATCTCATTGATTTTAAAGATTTTGAAGATAAGGAACGTAATTTCATTTTATTTGGTGATGTTTCTAATGAACTTGGTGTACATACATTTGATGATTCTTTATTATTACTTGCTGGAGTTGATGGAGGTTTTGGTGCTGGTCTACTAGGTATAAATTGACTACTTTGTTGAGGAGGTGGAGGTGGTACTTGAGGTGTATTAGGAATTGGTTGCTGTTGTATTGGCGTTTGATTTTGATTTTGTTGTATTGGAGTCTCTTTTTCTTCAATTGATGAAGTAGGTGTCTTTTGTGAAGAATCAGTCAGTGAAGTATTTTTTGGAGTTTGTGGTGGTGTACTTTGATTCGATTCATTAATCCATCCAGAACTTGAACTTTTGTTATTATTTTTAATAGTAAATTTTTTAAATGCATGTTCATCAGGATTATTTTCATTTGAATCTTGATAAAATGCAACTATATCCATTACTGCTTGTGGATGTTGTTGTTGTTCTTTCTTTGTGATACCACTTGCTGATAATAATCTTTCCCATTCAATAGGTAATCCAGTATATGAACCATTATCATCAACACCAACATGTGCTAAATGTTTAGCATTAAAAGGAGTACTTATTTTCATATTAGATTCGGTAGATACATTATTACCCAAATTTCCATTATTTTGTTTATTTTTAAACATTGAAGAAATCGAAGAAAAGAAATGAGTTTTTTTAGTTGAACCATTCCCCAGATTTCTATTACTTCCATTATTTGTTCCAATATTTAAAGTTTCTCTTGGTGAATAATTTGAATTATTTGATGATGGAGTTGGAAATTTTTGTGAATTAAAAATTGGAGTTGATTCAGTACTTGGAGTTTTAAAGATTGGTTTTTTAATAGTTGTTGAAACTGAATTTGATGAAAAACTTCTATTATTTTGATCAAAATGATTAGCTGCTGGTGTTTGATTTACACTAGTTAAGGTAGTTGAAGAAGTAGATGAAAATTCTCTAGGTATTGGTTTTGTTGAATTTTGACTAACTGAAGATTTTGAAGTATTAGAAGTAATATTTATAGTTTTATCATTTTCTTCTTCATTATTTTCTTCATTTATATTTTCAAATTGTTCAGATTGTGATGTTAAATTTGGTGAATCAGCAAAACTACTCGATCTATCTATATTTTTCAATCTTTCATTAATTTCATTTATATTATTTGGTGGTAGATATGTTTTTGGATCTAGTTTTGGTTGATATAATTCTGAGCCTCGATTTGAATTTGGATTAGAAGGAATCTGAACTAGACAATCTGTATGTGGATCAGTTAAAGAATCTGCTGAATTTAAAAAATTATCATCTGATTGTTGTTTAACATCCAAAACATTATTGTCTGCTTGTTGTTGAGCATCTTTAAATTCATTATCTTCAATTTCCTCATGCGCTTTTTCTTCTTTTTCTTCTTTTTCATCCTTACTTTCTATCTCTTTCTCATCAGTATTTATACGTTCTATGAATTGTTTAGGACTATTTAAATTTATTTTAAATTGATGTTGATGTAATTCTGACCCTGGTGTTTCTTTTTCTTCTTTTTCTTCTTTTTCTTCTTCTTCTTCTTCTTCTATATTTTCTTTATTATCTATACTGTCAATTATAGGTGATTGTAATTGTTTTTGATCATGTTGCTCCAATTTAATTTCATCCATTGTGTAATAATTATTTGTTTTTATCTTATGCTGAACCGAAAACCACTTGGTTTCTTGAATAATAAATTTTATTTTGATAAAAATAATATTTTTTTTTTTTTTTTTCAAAAAAAGGGACATTGGGTGAGACATTTTATAATTCTACGACATTGGCTAATATAAACGCGTATAATAGTATACAACCAACATGATTATGCTTGAGCCACTAATCTGAGTTTTATGGTGGGCTAGGGATATTTAGACTGTTTATTCGGAAAATCCACACTAGCATCCTTACCTCTTTGCGTCCATACATAGTTTAATATCGCTTAATAGTACTGCATACACGCATAGCGCATTATACATTAATTTTGAACTCTGTGAATTGATAAGTAGTTAATTCAATTCATATGCCAATAAATAGGAAATATAATCTACGTTGGGTGAAATAATCGTATAATCTACACGTTGTGATAATCAAGCTTATTTTCGTACTTTATATCCTCCAACTTTGTAATTAGTGTTCTATTATTTTTAAAGCCACTTAATTGGACCCAATACTCCAGATTTAATCTAAAATACTAATTGATGTTTCAAAATTAACTCGGTTCAAAAACTCAAATAATAAATATACGACATTATATTTTTGGAGGATCTTATGATATTAGTTAATTTAATGATTAACGAGTCAGAGTTTCGAAATCTTATAATGTTGATCTTTAAGATTAAATCTGTACGTTATTTACATCAAAATCCTTGCATGTTTATATGGTCCCTTGGTATTTCTAGTTCCATTTCTTAGTTTTCGAACCCCCTTTTTTTAAAAAAATTCTATCTTGACGAAAAAAAGGTGTTAAGCTAATTTTGTGTAAATTGGAAATTTCAGATTTTAATCTAGATTAGTGAGATTTACGAATAATGAATAATATGGCTGAAACATCCCAAGCAAAGTACAAATACTTCTAATTTATCTCGATAATTTGAATGTGGATTTTCGATGAGCCAGTAAAAAATCAAACGATTTTCACAATGCCACGGCTGTTTGTCTTTTAGTTGATTTAGCAAAGTCAACTCTAATTTGCTTAATTATACTATACTATTACCTCAAAGACTTGAAGACTTGCTCAGAGACTCCAGAGTAGGAACTCTTGTTGCTTGGCTTCTTCTTGGTATATTCTAATTCTTGATGTAACTAAAATTTTAGTTAATGATTAGGTAAGAATTGGTTTTGACGACAACCGGATGCTCTAGACTCAGTTCTTACCTGTTTGAATAGACTACTAAATTCTACAGTTCTTGAAGGAAGTATTTCATTTTGGCTTCTTAGTCTGTTTCAATTCATGAACTAAAATTTTAGTTAATGATGGGTTAAGAGTTTGTTTATACGATGACTAGGCTCTTCAAGAAGCAGATCAAAGCTATGACTATGTATATTTGTTTAACAACTACCTTACACCTTGGCTCTCTCTTCGATTTGCACTAACTATCAACAGATGTTACATTTATCAGTAGTGTGAGGTTTGATTATTTTTCGGAATTATCAATCAAATTACGAACTATTCAATTGTTAAACCAAAATAGATTAATTTTATGTCAGGTTCATCAGATTTTCTTAATAAAGGTATTGATTTAGTACAAAAAGCCATTGATGCAGATACGGCAACCAGATATGAAGAAGCATATAAATTATATTACAATGGATTAGATTATTTGATGCTTGCCATAAAATATGAAAAAAATCCAAAATCTAAAGAATTAGTCAAATCTAAATTTACAGAATATTTAACTAGAGCTGAACAATTAAAAGAACATTTAGAGAAACAACTGAAATCAAATAGTGCTGAAAATTCCGTAAATGGTTCAACAAAGGCTAAAAAAGCCGGTGGGGATAATAATGATGATGATTCAGATACTAAAAAATTACGTGGAGCATTAGCTGGTGCAATACTATCAGAAAAGCCAAATGTAAAATGGTCAGATATTGCTGGTTTAGATCAAGCAAAAGAAGCATTAAAAGAAGCAGTTATATTACCTGTTAAATTCCCACAACTATTCGTTGGAAATAGGAAACCAACAAGTGGGATATTATTATATGGTCCACCAGGGACGGGTAAATCATATTTAGCAAAAGCTGTTGCAACGGAGGCAAATTCTACATTTTTCAGTGTTTCTTCTTCTGATCTAGTTTCTAAATGGATGGGAGAGTCTGAAAGATTAGTTAAACAATTATTTACAATGGCAAGAGAAAATAAGCCAAGTATTATATTTATCGATGAAGTTGATGCATTATGTGGACCAAGAGGAGAAGGAGAAAGTGAAGCTAGCAGAAGAATTAAAACTGAATTATTAGTACAAATGAATGGTGTTGGAAATGATTCACAAGGTGTTTTAGTTCTTGGAGCTACTAACATTCCATGGCAATTGGATGCTGCAATTAGGAGAAGATTTGAAAGGAGAATATATATTGCATTACCTGATATAGATGCAAGAACAAAAATGTTTGAAATTAATATTGGTGAAGTCCCATGTGAATGTACATTACAAGATTATAAAACTTTAGCTGAAATGACTGATGGTTATAGTGGTCATGATATTGCTGTTGTTGTAAGAGATGCATTAATGCAACCAATTAGAAAAATTCAGCAAGCTACACATTTCAAAAAAGTTATTGATGAAATTGATGGTAAAGAAAAGTTGACACCTTGTTCTCCTGGTGATAAAGCTGCTAAAGAGATAAATTGGATGAATATAGAAACTGATGAATTAAAAGAACCAAGTTTGACAATAAAAGATTTTATAAAATCTATAAAAAGTAATAGACCAACTGTCAATGAAGCTGATATATCTAATCATATCAAATTTACTGAAGATTTCGGACAAGAAGGTAATTAGAATATAAACAAATAAAGTAATAATATCTTATTAATTAGATTATAATATAGTGTTTGTTGCATCCTTACATTAATTATTTATTATCTTTGTCTATATGAATCAAAATTTACAGTCCTTGTAGGTGATCGATCTCTTTCTCTGGCTTTTAATTTATCAGCAAATAAATCTTCTTCTTCATCATCTATGTCCATTTTTTTACGTTTCAAATTATCAGCAAATAAATCCTCATCTTCATCCACTTCAGTACCTCTCAGTTTTGGCCTATATGAACCTCCTCTATCCCTATTATAATGTCTTCTACCATTATTTCTCGGTTTTCTTTCTGGTTCACCATGTATCAAATAATATCGAGAATATTGAGAAGCATTTTTAATTTTTCTATCTGATTGAAAAGATTGTCTTATTTGCAATTCAATATCCGTATCATCTTCATCCATACCCAGGGTCTGAGTATCCCCATTTTCAGAATTATTTAAACCTAATCTATTACTTAAACTTTGTTGTTTCCTAAATTCAATTATTGGTTTATAAGATTTAGCAGCTTGGAAAAATATAGTCTCTTCAACATTGTTTATATTTATATCAGGTACAGTTAATGTTTTTAATGCCCTTTTAGAATCTTCACTAGTTTTAAACACTATATTTATTGATGAATCATCTATCCATTCAACTTTAAATGTCAATTGTTGATCATATGGAATTTGTTCATATATTATCTTTTCTTCTTCCGTCTTGGTTGTATAGTTTAAATAGTACTCAATGTATGATTTGATTTCATCAGTTGATAAAGAATCTACACCTTTTATATAAATTGATTCTGGACGTATTATTTGAGTTTCGCCATCTACATTAACTTCAATTGATTCATCTTTTAATTTTTGTTCATTTAATTTCTCATCTTCTAATGATTTAACTATATAACCACCATAAGGTGCTGGTTCAGACATTTAAACTGATTGTAGATAATCAAGCGACTTGTGAAATATTTTTTTCGTCTAAGAAATTATACATTAATGCATTAAAATTATACGATACTATACAATTACGATTCTTCAACAACTACATCTTCTCCTTCTATAACTTCTTCAACTACTTCAGAATCACCATCTTCATCTTTGGTTTCTGTACCATTTTTCAGTATTTCATTATCTTCCTCATTTAATTCTCTTATAAATAATACATTATTACATCTAATAAATATTTCACCTATCAATTCACTTGACTTCTGTTCTATACCATTTTTCTTAGTGTATATTATCTCCTTCGTCTGATCTAACTGAAAATTCATATAATTATCTGTTGATAATAAAATACCCATATATTCAGTTTTATTCCATTTTAACCTTACTATAACTTCTTTACCTATAAGTGACCTTAAAAACGGCATTGGATTAGTCTGGATAAGTTAGTATTCCCTCATCTCATTCCTCATCTCATTCCTCATCTCATAAATACATACTGTAGACATATTTAATATTTAGTAGTTGTTTCGTGTTTTAAAATAATTTTTTTTTTTTCTTTTAGGTTTAACCAAATTGATTTAAGAATTGGTTGGTGTGGTCAATGAGTAAGTTAGCTCAAGTATTCTTAATTGGAGCTTTGATAAGGTTTATTATACCTAGTTCTATACCATCTATCACAACAATATTACTGTCAACTGTTGAATTATCAACTCCTATAAATTCATTTAAATCGTTATTGGAATCATTTTATTACTTGAATCATGATATAAATTTATATGATGGTGGTGTAAATCATAATCCTCCATTATTAGTCAGTATATTATCAATTATATATAATTTACCATACTCAAATATATTATTTAATGCATTATACACGGTTATTGATTTATTTATTGCATATAGATTAATTTTAATTAATCGATGGTATAATAATTATCAAACACGAAAATTAGGTGAAAAGAAGACTGGATTTAATGATGATTTAATTGCTAGTTTTTATTTATTTAATCCATTGATTGTCTTGGCTAATTTAAGTCATTCAACTACTATATTTAGTTGGTTATTCACAATTGAATCAATTTATCAAATTATAAGTGGAAATTCACCAAGAGGCATGATTGCATTATCTATTTCAAGTTATTTAAGTTATTATCCATTATATCTCCTTCCTTCTATACTATCATTAAGTCATATTTTATCAAAGGAGAGAAATTTATCTAAGAGTTTGGTTTTCGGGGGTTGTATATTTTTAATGCTGTTGACTTTGTTGTTAATGGTCTCCGTTGTAATTACTTCTTCATTTCAATTCATAGATCATTGTTATTTTACAATATTATGTCTTAAGAAAATTACACCAAATGTTGGACTTTGGTGGTATTTATTCACTGAAATGTTTGAATTTTTTACACCATTTTATCTTGGAATGTTTAATTTATATTCATTTATATTTATAATACCAATTACATTAAGATTATTTGAGTTTAAACAAACTCCAAAATTGGGTGATTCATTTTTAGCTATTATTTTATCATATATTTGGATATCATTTACTAAAACATATCCTACAATTGGTGATTTGGGTTTAGCTTTAAGTTTGATACCAATAATTTCATCAACTGTGCTTAAATATTGTAAAATGATGTATATAACAGGTATAACACTCATTATTTCATTATTGTTAAGTCCCATTTTTTATTATTGTTGGATTGTTTTAGGTAATGGAAATAGTAACTTTTTTTATAGTATTAATTTAATTTGGGGTGCTGTTCAAGTAATGATAATGATGGACTTAGTATGGGGAAAACTAATAATGGACTACCTGATAGAAAACAACATCAAAAGTAATGAAATAGGTAAGTTAAACTTAGCTCAAATATAGAATACCTAATATACAACTGGTAGCATTTTGTGGTTTACACTACCATCTCTTACCAATCAACGAATGAGAAATTCAAATTGAAAAATTATTTTACATAACTAGTGAATTTGTTGCAATATGTTATCTCGTACTTCAATTCGTGCTTATAGTTCAATACCAAATTCAATTAAAATAGCATCAAAAGAACAATCAATTAATGATTTAACTTCATTATCTATTAAAATAAAAAATTCTGGTTCTTCGGTTGGAAAATTTGGTATATCTCATTTATTATCAAAATTTGCATTTTTAAATAATGGTGGTAAATCAGCATTAAGATTTGTTAGAGAAAGTGAATTATTAGGTGGCGTTTTTTCATCACAAGTTACAAGAGATGCATTGATTTTAAAAGCATCATTTTTAAAAGCAGATTTACCTTATTACGTTTCAGAATTGGGTAACATTGTATCAAATACAAAATTCACACCACATGAATTTAAAGAAGTAGTATTACCAGCTGCAAATTATGAAACTCAACAAGCTTTAAATTCTTCATCTATTACTGGTTTGGAAAAAATTCATGAAATTTCGTTTAGAAAAGGTTATGGTAATCCATTATATTATAATTCATCAACTCCAATTTCCTTAAATGAAATTGTTCAATTTTCAAAAGATCAATTTGTTGGTGAAAATATTGAAATTTTAGCAGAAGGTGCTAATGAAGCTGATTTAACTAAATTTGTTGAAGAAAGTGCATTCTGTTATTTACCATCTTCAGCTAATTCATTAAAACCAGAAGTTAAATTTTATACTTCACAAGAAACAAGGCATGCTTTACCAGGTCAATCAACTGCAATTATTGGTGTACCTGTTAAAACTTCAGAATTTGGCAAATATGAGTTACTTTCAGCCACAATCGGTACTAAAACATTACCATCTTTAACTACTCCATTATCTAAAATTGAAGGTGCATCATCTCATTTATATAAATATGAAAATGCAGGATTGTTTGTTATTGAAGTTACAAATTCAAGTGCTGAAAAAGTTGCAAATGGTATTAAAGACGCTAAAAAAGTTTTGGAAAGTATTACTAAAGAAGATTTATCTAAATCTGTTAAATCTGCAGATTTATCAATTGCATTACAAGATAAATTTGATGCTCCATTAAATATAAAAGTTACTCCAGAACGTCCATCATTCAAAGAATTTAATTATGTTGCAATTGGTGATCTTGATAAATTACCTTATAAATCTGATTTATAAATATGATTAATAGCATATAGACAAAAGAAATAATATAAGCCACAACACGTAAAACTGTAAGATTGTCTCCTGAGTATTATTAACTTTGATGCATAGATGATTCGGTACGACAGAATAATTTCTCGTGCTAGCTTTGGGGTGAGAAATTTCCTGGAGGTATCCTCATATCGCCTGCTTTGGGGCGAGATTATATTACCATATACATCAGAGCTCAGAACATTTATATATATATGCAGTCACATAGTTAACAAAAAAAAATTAACTGTGGAAATTTTTGGAATTTTTTGGAAAATGACAACATGTCTCAGAATCTCAATTCAATGACTTTAATCAAAAGTTCAGCCAGTTTGGAGCAGGTTTGCTTAATCTTAGCTGCAGAGATTATTTTTTTGACGAAGTTATGATCGAACTAATTCAATTATAACGTCTTCGATTTACTTTCTCAATATGCAAGCTACGACTTTCTTTTTGTCTCATTAGAAACTTCGGCCAATTTGAAGTCAATTTTTGGCTCAGTGTCAAACTCTTGAAGATTTTCTTTAACAAAATTTTTGATTGAAATTTCAACGTTGTTAAAACCACTATTACCTTATTCTATTCCCGATATAAAGCATTAATTTGGTGTCATTTGACCTCAAAGTCTCTATATGCGATGATTTTAACGGACTACATTCAATTTCAATTTTCAATGGACTAAAAATCGTCACGAAAAGTGGTACCAGCTCTTGCTTTGAGTATTAAGTTTTTTGGCTGAGCGCTCGCTCCACGTTACACCACAATATTGCGGTAAAACTCGAAGACTGCATATAAGTCGAATTGTTTCAGAATTATCCATTTTTTAAGGCGAGAAATTTGATGCGACTAGTCTAATTTGCCGCCCTAGTTCTCAGGCGACGTCGTATTGAATTTGTGGGCTTCTTTGTCATGAATACTTTATCTCTTCTTTTTGCACTCATTACCTTATAAACCAGAGTTATAATATGACAACTAGCATACAAGTAAAAGAAACAGCATTGGTCGCAACATTTAAGATGAAATCTTCTCTCGTAAGCAAGCAACTGTTTGATCTTATTATTTAATTCTACAATATCTATCCATTTGCATACATTCTTGCTGATACCAAAACTGGCATATACAAATCATTATAACCATAATTCAAGAATACAGTCTCTAAGTATGACTCCTATCATTATCTTCTCTATTTCTTTATTTTGCACCCATTTGTTTCAGATTTATTGACAATTTTCAATTTTTTTTTTTTCTTTTCGTCTCATCAAAACACCAATATATCTCAATGTCAGATTATGAAGATAATGCATTTAATGAAGTAGCTGAAAATTATGAAGATTTTGACGCACCTGATCATTTTTCAGATAATGAAATAGATGATGGTGGTCAAAATGGAGGAGATGCAGAAATTAAAACAGAAGATGGAAAAACTATAATAAATGGAGGTATAAATGAACAACAAGCACAACAAGTCCCAAACATTAAACCATTAAAAGAATTAGCTATACCTAAAGAGAAAAGAACTACTACTCCATATATGACTAAATATGAACGTGCTAGAATTTTAGGTACTCGTGCTTTACAAATTAGTCTTAATGCTCCTGTTTTAGTTGATATTGAAGGTGAAACTGATCCATTACAGATTGCAATGAAAGAATTAGCACAAAGAAAGATTCCATTAGTTATTAGAAGATATTTACCAGATGGATCTTTTGAAGATTGGGGATGTGATGAATTAATTGTGGATCATTAGATACGGATGTGGTAAGGATGCCAGTATAGATCATTAAAATGTATAAATACTAAAAAGAAAGGTTGTAAAATGTAGAATTTCAATATCTAAGAGTCATGTGTTTATCTTTCATTAGTATATATTAATAATAAGCGTCGAGCCATTTTGAAGCTAAAAATATTTGTTTACCATCGTGAGTGGTTTGAATAAAATTATTAGTTAATTTATCAAATGTACTTCTGGATAATCTGTTATCTCCAGATCCAATTTCACCAAGTTGAACTGAACAACAAGCATCCTTAAGCACCAGTATGTCAATTTGAATTTCATCTTTAAAAGTTTTCAAATTCCCCTTATCTGAAAACACCTTTAATGCATTATGTATAATTGATTTATCATCCACAGCACTCATTTCCTGACTCATCATATTAGAAAACTCGTTGAAATCTAGCCCTTCTTTATTATTGAACATTTCGGATAATTGAGCTTCCCCTGGCGTTCTTAGGTTTAGTGTTGAGTATAATTTTTTTAAATCATCTTTTGTAACTATCTTATCTCTACTTTCTCCATCTATTAACGTGAATGCATTTCGTATTTGTTGTTTTTGAACATTTGATAATGAATTCATAATAGTTTATTTTTTTTTTTTGTTTACATTTTTCGTGTTTTGAAAAATCAATGGATCTTTATAATCAACCAATTGTAATTGATAATGGTTCAGGTATAATTAAAGCTGGTTTTGCTGGTGAAGATACTCCCAAAATACAAACTTCAAATATAGTTGGTCGACCTCGTTATCAGAAAATAATGGCCACGGCACAAACTCCAGATAATAATTGTTTTATAGGTAATTCAGCACAAGAGAACCGTGGATTATTAAAAATTAGCTATCCAATACGACATGGAGTGGTCGAAGATTGGTCAGATATGGAGAAGTTATGGCAACATACATATAATCAAGATTTAAAAATAAATTCTCAAGATCATCCACTATTAATCACTGAAGCACCATTGAATCCTCAGACAAATCGAGATAAAATGTGTCAAATCCTATTTGAAAGTTTCAATATCCCTTGCATATATATCTCAATTCAAGCTGTGCTAAGTCTATATGCTTCCGGTAGGACTACTGGTGCTGTGATTGATTCTGGTGATGGTGTATCTCATGTTGTTCCAGTATTTGATGGTTTTGCATTACCTACAAGTATTAAACGAATGGATGTGGCTGGTCGAGATATAACCGAACAATTATCATTTAATATAAGAAGAGTAACAGGTTTCAATTTATCAAGTAGTTCGGAATTGGAAATCGTGAAGTTAATGAAAGAATCTTGTTGTTTTATATCCAAAGATCCAGCAAGAGATGAGAAATTGTATTCTACTCATTATATAAAGGGCAGTATGACTAACTCAGAATTATTTAGTACTTATAAATTGCCAGATGGTCATGAAGTAAATCTTGGGGTTGAAAGATTTCGAAGTCCTGAGATACTATTTAATCCACAATTAATAGGTAATGAATCAGTTGGATTACATGAATTGACATCATTAAGTATAGCCAAGACCGATCTTGATCTTCGGCCTACATTATATCAGAATCTAATATTATCTGGCGGAAATACATTGATTAAAAATTTTGGTGATCGAATGTTGAAAGAGTTGAAAGATTTACAAGTTGATAAAACCGAGAGTTCAATATGGAATAAGTCAATTTCTAACCTGGCTTATAATACTAAAATGAAAGTTAAAATATATGCCCCAAATGAGAGAAAATATACAACTTGGATTGGTGGGTCTATTTTGGCAAGTTTATCTACGTTCAAAAAGATGTGGATTACTGCTGCTGAATATAATGAAAATCCAGGTATAATACATGTTAAATGTTTGTAAGGATGCAAGGAAGGATGTAAGAATGAAAGGATATAAGAATGAAAGGAAACGAGCAAGCAAGAGTGTGAGGATGATTGTCATTCCTAATTCTAACTACATGTTTCATTACCAAAATCACCCAATGAATATAACGACGTGCATTCCAATGACTATGAATGACTATATACCAGTAACCACACAACAAGCATAATGAAACTTCAAAATACAATAAACAATAAATGTTTATAGACTATATACCAGATATATTGTTTATTAAAGGTTAATAATGGGCTGATTAACATAATTCTCGAGCGTTTATCATCCTATATACCATAATATCTATCACCAAAATCACCCAAACCAGGAATAATAAATTTATTTTCGTCTAATTTTTCATCAATTCCACCAGTTATTATTTTAACTTTTGGATATTTCTCTTGAAATGCTTTTATACCTTCTGGAGCAGCCAACAAGTTTAAAAAGAAGATTCTTTCCATTTTGACACCACGACTTAATAATACTTCAACAGCCATCATTGCTGACCCGCCAGTAGCCAACATTGGATCCAATAAAAATACAAATCTTTCAGAAATATCTTCAGGCAATTTCTCATAAAATAATTTTGGTAATGCAGTTTCTTCATCTCTTTGAATTAATATTTTTCCTATTCTAACTGATCTACAACAATCACGTAATCCCATTTCCATGGATTCACCAGCTCTAACAATTGAAACACCACAAATTTTACCCAAAAATTTAGCACCTTTATATTCGTGATCTCCATGACATTTAATAATACTAGGTTCGACTGGTAATTGATTCAATCCTTCTTCAACTAATAATCTAATTATTCTATCGGAATAAAAAACAAAATCACCACGTTTAGTACTTAAATCTCTAATGATTGAATAAAGACCAATTAATTGATTAGTTTGAGGTAATAATATGACATTATTACTAATTTCATGAGAACTAGCCATGGTGGAAAATGAATTGGAAATTTATAGATAAGACTAAAGAAAAAAAAATTCTGGAGATGTGATGAGAGATGAACTAATGATAACACAAAATAGAATATATATATATATTATGCTTCTTGTTGAATGAATGGATTATCAATTATTTCACTTCCATTTACTGGTGATATTATTAATAATGAAGTACATCTAACTACAACTAATCCTAATTTTCTAGTTTCTGAAGTAAAAACATCATCATCCTCGGGATCTAAAGAACATGTTAGTATGAGTTTGAATTGAATTACATCCTTATCGGTGGATTTGCATCCTTACATACCTCTCATTTGCTCAATTACATCTTCTAATACCAAATTCATCAATTGATCGAATCCTTTTAATATACCTGTAATTTGTCTACCTCCTATGAATTTCACTCTTATTTCTTGATCTTTATATTTGTTTAAATCTAAGATTGCTTCTCTTTTTGGTCCTTCTGATTTATGTTGTTGAGTACCTCCTCCATTTTTTTTATCTTTTCTTTTATGATGTTGTTGTTTATGTTTTCTATCCTTGAAAATGTTAGTATCGCTCTCAATTAATCACATTCTAACTCATTTTTGGCTTGATTGTACATACTTCTGACATTATAGATTATAGTTTGTTTAATATTTGGTTGTCTATTGAAACTGGTTAATTTTTTTCTTTCGCTTTGAAAAATTTAAAGCGGTGTTTCAGAATTTATGAAGGCCATAAATTGATATGTTAAACGAATGCATACCAATTGTTCTGTGGATATTACACCAGAAGAGTTCCAATCGGGTTGTATAGATGCAGAAATTTGATTCAATTGTGAAAACTCAATCCAAAACTTCCGGTTCTAATTGTATATACATTAGTCTATTTACAAGTTTAATATTCATTTCTTAACCACATTTCTTTCCTCTTCTTTCTATCTAATAAATACCCAGGTTTTTCAAATTGCAAATCAACAGAAGGATTAAGCCCACCATTCTTTTTCTTTTTATTTTCACCTTTCAAGAAATATAACAATTTAGGCAATTCGATCCCAAACTCTTTTGAAACCTCATTCACATCGAATTTCCCAGAATTCTTCTTCCTCAAATCTCTTATTTTGTTTAACGTGGTCAAAGTTATCTTATCCTCCTTTAATTTTTCATTTAATGTTTTGAATTGTTTAATTATTGGCATTTCTTTAATTATTTCAGGACTCATTTTATTCATTTCTGCAATTTGTTTTCTTGGATCATTTTCAGGAAGGAATAAATTTGGTGTTTGCATGTATGGTTTCACTATTGCAGCAGGTGGATTATAAATTATGCCTTGGGTTCTTTTTGGTTTGAAATTGAATGTTGATCTGCTTTGATTATATTTGTTTATTGGCACTGGTTCATATGGTATTTTCGTTGATACTCGACGTATTATTAACTTATTCATGATATATATACAAGATTAATGGTTTGATTTATGGTTGGTCTATAGATTGAAAAATTTTTTGGTTTGATTATTTTTTTTCTATGTCGTGTGAAGGTTATAAATTTGGAACCAAATATGTTTGACTGCAAAATATTTGAATGTAGATTGATAATTCGAGATATAGCTTGTTTGAGGGAAGGGTTTCTAATACGATGTTGTTTATCTTGCTAGACTAATAGTTGGATTGTTTGAAACGCAGTTCGTACAAAGATTTCGAAAATCTACCTTTCAAATCTTATTAAAATAGTAATTGGAAGTCAAACTTAAGATATTAGAGCGCTGGTAAAGCATATTGTCAGGAAACGCATGGATTTTACACAAATAATGAACATGTTATTGTTGTAATTGTAAAAGCAAGCCTGTTGGATATAGAATATTTTCAAGATTTTGTGGCAATATTCTCAGTTTGGTTGCAAAATGACTAAAAAAAAAAACCTTGAAACCAAAATGGCAAGAATTAAATAGCTCTGTGATTTGTGAGCTAGTACACGAGAAGTCACGACCCATCGACTTTATAATCCTTCATTCGGTAAATAGTTACGAGTATTTTAACTGATTGAGTTTGACGTGAGAGTTAGCACGAGTTTCAAGATGATTAGGCCGTACAATACCATTTGGTAGCGATATGGTACGACATGTCGACCTCTATCCGCTCAAATCAAAAAATTATCAAAATTCTTTCAAAAAGCATTATACAAGCTCAAAAAACTCTCAATATCAGATTGTGATGATTTTAAATCTTTTGAGAGGTCTAAACCCACATAATTTCAAATTTTGATTATGGGACTGAGTTAAAAATTTGCACCTGATTGTTTTGTGTCAGACTGGTTTAATCAGAAATGTTTCTGTTCAGCAAGAAGCATTTGGCATAGTTTGTCAGTACAACTTGGTACAATTCCGATGTAGTGTAACGGCTATCACGGTTCGCTTTCACCGAGCAGACCGGGGTTCGACTCCCCGCATTGGAGCTTTTTTTATTTGCTTTTTTAAACTTTTATTTTTGACAGCTTAAAACCTGCCTATTTTTTTTTTACCTATTGCCTTTTACTTATTCTTATTTGTTATCCAAACTACAAATAAAGTATCAAGAGATTGAGTTTCAATGTATGTGGCTAGTCTTCACCCACGTTTGCCGTAAAGATAATTAATTTTTTAATCAGCCGCCTCTCATCTCATTGTTTATCGAGAACACTAAGAATAAAAAAAATCTATCAAAATTTTCTTATCAAACTATATTATATTTGACTGCAAAAAGACAGAACTAAACTTATATTCACACCAGAGATTTTCATGATATAGTCAAAATTATATACTCTTCATCATGAAGTTTGCTAAAACATTAGAAAGAACACTAGCTGAAGATATTCCCTCAGAATGGGTAGAAACAGCCATTCAATACAAGGCATTAAAAAAGACAATTAACAAAGTAGTAACAGAATTGGAATTTCTAGGCTTAGAGCAAGATACTTTGAAATTATTGATTAATGAACATTTAAATTCTGATATTAGTGATTCTCCGCCTATTATTGCTGAATATAAACTTACTAAAACAGAGCAAGATAATCATATAATTAAACCAGTTTTGAAAATAACTTTAGATTATTCAAATAAGAATTATTCAGATGATCATATTTATAAAATTGGAATCGAATTAAAGAGAAAAATTGAACTTTTATTGAATGATGAAGATTCAAATTCTGATGACGATAAAATCATTGAATTGAAGGATGACGGGGGCGAGTTAAAAGTAGTCCAAAGTAGAGAAAATTCATTATCTCCACCAACTTCCCCTACTTTAAAACCAGAGGAAAATAATCTAGATGGATTAGTTTCAAATAGTCTAGATTCACAACATGAGGTGTATATAATTTTAAATTCAGATGCTAAATTTTTTGACATGTTGAATGATGAATTAAATGATTTAGATTTATTAAGAGAACAAGAAGAAGATAAAATAATTGAGAAAGTACAAGATATAGCCCAATTGATAAGAAATGCAAAGAGAAAACAAACTGAATTATACAAATGGAGACAGTTATTCAAGATATATTTGGATTCAGAAGTTTATTTCAAGTATAATGAGATATTTCCATCCTCACAAAGGAACTCAGAACAGATAAAGAAGAACCTAGATGAGTTTTTATCCAACGTAGATAAATCGGGAGTAATGACACAACTTAAAAAGAAGAATAGTTTGACTACGTTTAATCAATTCACGGAGATGAATTTCCACTTATTGAAAATACTTCAATTTCAAACAATTAACAATGAAGCACTAAGGAAGATTCTCAAAAAGTTTGATAAACAAACATCACTTAATATAAAAAATACATTTCCAAAATTAGTCACCAATGATCATGTATTCATGAGTGGTTCATCAGTTGCGCAATCCATATGTTTCATAATCCAAGAGAGTATAATACAATTAATACCCCAAATTGATGATTATTCATGTCCTATTTGTACAAACATTGCCTATAAACCAATTAGATTAAATTGTGGTCATTTATTTTGTGTTAGATGTTTAGTTAAATTAAAACAACAAGATAAGACAAATTGTCCAATGTGTAGAAAACCAGATGCTGTTGCAAATGCAGATTCTCGAAATTTAGATTTGGATACAATGGAATTAATGAAACGATATTTCCCAATTGAAGTTAAAGCAAAATTGAAAGAAAGAGATAAAGAAAAATTCACAGAATTGAAACAAAATGCAAAGGGTAAACATGGTGAAAAGTGTATTGTTATGTAGAGATGATAAAGCTGAATATAAATGATTTAATGAGTGAACCTCGTTTAGCAACTTCTAATATAGCTGATTTGGCTCATTCACTACCCCAACAAGCTTTTGGATTATGCTTTCAAGGCGCTATATGGCGTTGTTTATTTGAGAGAATTAAGGCCCTTAATCAATAGAAACACCGATCCACATTTTTCGAAATATTTTGTATGGTGAAAAAAGCCCAAAATGACAAGTCAAAAAAAATGTTTGATTCCTTAAGCTCATAGGTAGATAATATAGTTGAAGGCTCTTGATTTCGCATAAATGGAATTGCTCTAACTTAACTTCTCATTTGTTTTGTTTGAACCTTGATCTTTTTGAAGGTTTTGTATAGTCATGACGATTATTCAAGATTCACATTTGGAAATTGAAACATTTGCAAGTCTAGAAAAACCGATAATTTCGAGAAACTTGTCAAAAATTCAAAAAAACTACCAGCTCACAAAGCTCGAAGGAACAAGTCTTCCATCGGCATCAAAATATACTTGATGGTATGAAAGTACCAACAGCTACAAGTCGATGGCAATAAAATGCCTGAAAGTAGGGGATTGCAGTGTCTCAAAGCAGTCACATCAAATAACCGTCTAATTGATGGACTTTACCCCGCTGACAATAAATTTGGTTATCATTGATGGAAACTTGTTCCTATTAGATTCTATTGATACACCATAACAAGAATAGCTCATATAAACGTTTTAACACCTGTAAAGCTATTTGAACTAAAGTTATTACCAAATAGCTGGGATAATGGCTTTTTTTAAAATGATATAAACTATGAGGGCGCATTTTGCTTTTGTTTAGCGCTTTGTTGGCATACTTGTGCATAATAAACTTTCGCACGGTCCACTAGTGTAGTGGCGATCACATTGGATTCTGATTCCGGAAAGCTGGGTTCAATTCCCAGGTGGACCTAAAACAATGCCTTAATTAAAATTTTTGAACTGTTAATCTACGTTAAAGAAACTGAAATTGTTTCTTTTTACTATTTTTTTTACTATAATAAATACATGAATTATAGATTACTATACAATGCTATTGTGAGTTTTTAATTATTTGTTGTACTCTGTTTTCATTTGATATTTTCTTTGGTGGATCTTCTATATCTATTTTATAACCTTTTTCAGAACCTTCTTTACCTGATGGTGGATGACCAACTAATATTTTTTCTTTATTTATTATTTGCTTGTTTCCTTTTCCAGTACCTATTAATTTATCTTCATCACTTCCTACAATTGGAGCTTCATTTGCAATACCACCTTTTGGAGCCTCATTTACACCTAAACCTTTTTCACCATTTGATCCTTGTGCTAAATTACCTGCTAAATCGATATTTTCACCTTCTTTATCTACTTTTGATACATCTATTGAATTTATCATTTTTTTATTATTAGATTGTGAGTTTTCTATATTTATTAAATCTGGATTATGTTGTTTGTTTTCTGATGATTCTGGTTTTACAATTTCATATACTGGATCAGGACCATCTTTTAAATCTTGTGAAATCCAATACATTAAAGTACCAAATAAACAAAACATAACTAAATAACCAATTAATTTTCTTCTTGGAGTATTAAAAAACACTATTGGTTCTTTCATATTTGAATATGGTGATGATTTTTTCTTCAGCGGTTTCATATAATAAGGTCTTGGTAACCCATTATTATTATAACTACCTTGCATTTGAAAAATGGAATGGAAGGGTTGTTAAAAATAAATGCTGTGAAATTTGAAAATAATTTTTTTTTTTCACCAATATTGAGTGATAAGCTGATTCAATTAAAACCGATAAATTAACAGGGCAGACCGTGCTGTTGTATAGGTAGCAATGGCGTTTTTAGAGGTTGACCACCCATTAAAATAGTGAAATCTATAGCCTGGTTGTCTATTGTTCTTTCAAATTTCAAATTTAAACTTTTTTAGTTAGATCAAAGATATATGAGATCAAAAGTATATAAAACACGTCTATTAAACTCTCCAACACTGATATTAACGTTGTAATAATACTCAATTATTATGTGCAATCATCGATTATATATTGTGATTTTTTTATCAACAATTTTTACCAGCGCTTACATGTTTTTCATTTTATTAGTATTTATTTCATTAGTTATTTCAACACCACCTGCTTGTTTTTTAAGTTGTATGAGTGAAATTGCAATTAGTAAATGTTCCAGTTTATCTAATTTAACATGTTGTTGTATTAATGAAGATTCAATAATTGGTTGTTTAATCGATATTTGTCCATATGGCGTATTTTTAAGTGCAAGAGATCATTATCTTGGAACTTGCTTAGAACATGGTAAACCAACAATAACAAATCCAGAACCACCAGAGCCAATATATCCTAAAAACAAACCAAATAACATAAGTACTACCAAAATTGAATCAAAACCAACTAAAAAATCATCATTACCGCTTGAATTAATATGTGAATGTAAATCAAAACATCAATTGACCAATTTTGACGAATATTTTATAATTAGAAAACCAAGAAATGAATCAACTTTTCATTTTATAAATGGTGATAAAAAGAAAATATTCATTAATAACCAAATTGATTATTCAAATGATTCATTAATTTTTAAAATTGAAGATTTGGATATAGATCCCAAAATTAGATCATCAAGGGATAAATTAATTAATTAAATATATTCTTATGTGTTTTAGTATCTATTTTTATACTTTCTATTGTTTCTCTTGGAATACTAACTAGTCCAATTGCTCTTTGATGTTTTTTTGAATTGTCAATTAAATCTTTTGAAGTTTCATAAACATTAGATAATAATAAATTACCAAATGGATCAATTACAGTTAATATACCTTGAAATAATCTATTATCAGTTAAACTGATGTATAAATTAGCACCAATAAACTTATCTGGTGAAATATTCGACATTGGTTTGGTGATAATCAATTTTTCACGACTATAAAAAGCGACAACCAACCAAATGAAAAAAATTTTTCTTCTTTTTATTAACATCAATCGCAGATTCATCCTTACTAATAAACAAGTTAACTTATTCAATAAGTTAGGTTGAAGGATTAACCGATGAATATAAGCGTAAATAGACCAATCAAGTTTGGAGCACGTTTCTGGGCGCCTGGTGTTGACATAAATAATGGAACACTGGGAATCAGTTGTGACTACATCTTACATCTTGTAATCTAACTTACTCTATTGACGAGTCTCTACTGTATTTTACTGTGTTTATTTATTGTTCCGCTTTCCATTTTTATTCATCGATGGAAAAATATCAAAAAATTCATGAATTGACAGTGTTATACGATGAATACAAGCATTTCTTTGAAAATTGCAGCTTAAAAGACGATGAATGTTATATAAAGCTAACTACTAAAGAGAATAACACGTTTAAAATCTCCGTAGATCTTAGGGGGTGGTTTATAATTGGTTCGTCTCAACATTATGAAACATTTGAAGCATTAATGAATAATAATAGCCCGGGGTTTCAGCAAAACTTTGGAGACTCTCTAATTAGTAAACTAAATCAATTACAATAATATATATACATTAACATCTATTTACAATCATTTCTTATCATGTTTTTTAGCTTCTAATTTCTTTACAAATGTTTCAACATCACCAACATCTTTATTTGTACCTCTAATGTAATATAATTTATGTCTTGGTAAGTATTTTTCTGGTTTATGTAAAATTTCAATATTTCTTATATTTGGATTAAACAAAGGTATTCTAATTTCTGAACCAACTTTATTTAATTTTGTACGTATTAAAATATTATGACCCAAATTTAAATTACCTCTTTTTATAGCTAATACAGAACCTATAACTTCTGTTCTATCATTATATGTTACTTTTATAATATCACCTGATCTTAAACCAGTTTCTCTGTTAATTAATTTTGTTCTTGTTCCCAATGGATCATGTTGTGCTAACATTTGTTGATGAATATATTCCATTACTGGTTTACCATTTCTTTTTGGTTGTAGTCCTTCATAAACGGTAGGTAATTCTTTCTTGAGGTATCTAAACCCTCTAATGGACTGTATTATACTGGATTTTATTATTGGAGAGCTTGATTTAAGCATTAATGATTTGAGATTAAAATTTTTTTTTTTTTTCATAATTTTTCACTTTTACGATTCAAGAGATTAACCACAAAATCTTCCATAAAACCATTAAATATATATTGTCATTACATATAAACCAATAGGTATTCAAAACCTTGGTCTTCTTTTTCTTCCTGTAAATTTTGAATCTTCAGCAACTGTTCTACCTCTTCTTCTCATTGTTTCTTTCTTTCTATTTATAAATTCTTTTCTTGATTCAGCTAATTTCCTCTTCTTCTTGTTCAATTTTGATTTACTTTCTATTGCTTCCATTTCTGCACCTTTTAAATTTATCAGTCTTTCTGTTGTACCAGCAGTTAATACTAAATAATATTTTTTATGTTTTTTCAGCTCTGGATCATCTATAATTAAACCACCACCAAATCCAGCTACTTTAGCACATGACATTATAGTTTCAGTTTGTGAATCATTCATTGGATAAAATTGTGCAACAAATTTACCACCTCTTTTTAATGAAGCATATAAAGTATTGAAAAACCACATTATTCTTTTCTTTGGATCAACTCCACTTTGATCCGCATTACATAGCCATTGTATAGCAGATATAGAAATTGCAGCATCAAAAGTCCCTGGTCTAAAAGGTATACCATTACCTAAATCAGCTAAAAATAAATCTCCTTCAACATCTCTATCTAATCCAGTAGCTAACATGCTTGGTGATATATCCATTCCTATCCAATTATAACCTTCTTCTGTCAATATTTCACCTGATAAACCTGACCCACAACCTAAATCTAGGATAAAATGAGGAAAATCAGGTTCTAAATTTAATAATTCTAAAGCCCGTAATGTCATTTTTGCTTGTATATGCTGTACACGTGTTGATGAAGTATATTTGAATGATTCAGTGTCATTATAAAACACTTCTGGTGGTGCTAATTCTTCTGGTCTTGACATGGTATTATTTGATAACGATTATTTATTTTTTTCCGCGATGATTAAAAGAGTTGCAAAAAAAGAGGCAAAAAAAAGAGTTCCAAAATTTGACTGCAAAAAATTAAAATATGTACATAAAATCATTAAACTTTTATTATTATTAATAGAATTAAAAATGAAATTCGGATTCGGTATCCAATTTTTCTTTAGTTGGGTATGGGGCAGTTGTTTTTTGTGCTGGTGTATTAAATTCAAATCCATCATCTTCATCATCATCAAAAAAGAATTCGTCTTCTTCTTCTTCTTCATTTTCAAATTTTGTATCTTCATGTTTTGACATTTCTTCATCTTCATCTTCAATTTCTGATGTATATAATGATTGTTCAGCAGTTACTATATTTCGAACATCTTTTGGTAATCTATCTGGTCTATAAAATCTTAAATCAACTCTACCAATTATATATAATAAATTAATTATAATTTCAAAAGCACCCCAAAATACATACATAACTGGTGCTTTACCAACATTTGATGTAAAATATTTCATTCTTGCTTGAAATACAACAACTGCTCTTAATATAGAATCAACAAATATAATTATGGTTGTAATTGTAACTATAATAATTGAAACATTATGAGTTAAAGTACCTCTTTGATTAGTTAAACCTTTAACTTGTTTATGATGATTATGAGTAGCTGCTATAACTCTAATTGCATGACGATGATTATGATTACGTTTAAGGAATGAAGCAGCTGCAATTTGTGGTTCACCTTTTTTAACAAAATAAGTTGGTGCAAATGATTCAATCCACCATGGTTGATAAGTATATAAATTTTCGTCATTAGTTGTAGGTTTTAAAAAATATGCCAATGCCAATAATGATATAGATGTTAACGAATAACAAATAATTAAAATTGAAGTACACATAATAACCTTTTTATATCTTGCAAAATTTGGTTCACCAAGCAAATAAATATTAATACCTGCTGATGCAACAATTGTCATTGCAACAACACCAGCAACAACAGCATATAATGTCAACATTAATGCCCAAAATATTCTACATGAACCACCAACTGGATGTCTCCATGTAAAAATTCTTTGTGCTAAAATTAAATTAAAACTGACAATTAAAACCGTAGGCACAATTAAAAACACTTCAGATGTTATACCTATTGCAGTTTGAGTCAAATCATAACTCCAAACTATTCTTAATGCAAAACCAATCATTCTACAAGCTGCGTAAAATACCCAACCTAAAGATAACCAAAAATAATGACCACGAGAATAATTTATAATAAAAATTGTCAAATGTAGTAACATAACAATAGCAAATAATGCAATAAATAATGCTGATGGTGCAATATCTCTATGATCTGGATAATCACCAAATAAATTCATTTGAGTAGCTGTTGAATATTGAACCATGATTGGAGGAGTATGAGGTCCTAACAAATTTCGAGCTTGAGCAGCAAGAACATGGGAACCAGTACCATCTGCTGGACCATTATTCTGATATGCTAATAATCTCATTAAGCCTTTTATGGCAGTATATTCATGAGGGTTTGGTAGTTCAGTCATTGTGATTAAATGGATTTTGGAATAAATTTTGAAAGCAAATTTAAACTCTTGATATAGACTCAGCGGATCAAACTATTTGTTTACAGTAAGATATAATTAATGAGTGAATGTGGTTTGAAAGAATGAATTAGTTGGCTGATAGTGCCTTGAAAATAAAAGAAAAGTGATGAAAGATTAGCGATTAAATTTTAATCTTTTGATCTCTGTAAAATTTCTTGTTCTATTTTAAAAAGTATCGAAAGTTAAATAATCAAATTACCGAAAACCTAGATTATTGTTTCTATTTTAATTACCTTTTATACGAAATGATCATCAAAAGAATTGCCAAAATAGGAAAGGTTACTCAAATTTTTTAACGCACGACCATTTTTTGCAGCAATATCTTAATCAACAATGGCATACTAATATTGATTAAATTTAGTTCTACTCAACAAATAAGCCTTTACGATTTCAAACCTTTCATCGAAAATGCCCCTCCGTTAATGGTTAGATTCTTTGCGTAACGGTCGTCAATCATCTAATTTAATTTTTATTTTTTAGATTTGAGTTTATATAATATTTGACACTTCATCTATTTAAGAAATCGTAAAAGCTTAATCGAATCAAATATAATCTAGAATTTTATCAGAGGAGAGTCGTAATGCAACGTTTTAACTGAAAATAGTAGTAATGTACTATATCAAATCACACAATTTTACTTATTAGTGATTCCAAGTCTTCAAATACAAAATTGAACTGTTTAAATTATGCAAGTATCGGAATTATAACTTAAGAATATAATTATATTCATTTTGTGCTAATTTAAGTATTTTTAAGTAATTAAACGCTTATTGTGACTGTTTCGGAAAAGGTCGTGTATCTTTCCTATTTTCAACACTTTGTATTTCCATTTTCGCGTTTTATATTTAATCAATGCCAACGGCTAAAATTGATTGTAGATCAGTTCAAAACTTACAATATGATGGTAATATAATAACCACTCCATATGGTTTAACATTGTTAGAAATACAAGGTGAATTGAATCTACCCGATAAAGTTGTTGAGAATAATGAGAATTTTATAAAGGTTGATGAGATTTATGATGCTGTCAAATTTGGTAATTTAGTATTTGATCAGAAAGAAACCAATAAAGTTATTTTGTTTATAGGTAATAGTCAAAGGCTATTAGGTACAATTGAAAAATTAAATACTCCATTGGGTGTTTTAAAAATACCAGTAAAGAATGATGATAATATGGAAATTGAAGAAGATATTAAAATGATTGATATTGTTAAACATAAATTAATTTTCAAACAACGTCCATTACCAATTATGTAAGGACTTGCACTTGATATGAGGAAATATGGAACTGCTTAGAAGTAGTTAAGTTTAATTCAAAGAATGGAAGGTGATCAAATAATTTATCATTAGATGTCCATAACTTAGTTCCGAGAATGTACACAGGTTTCTAGACAGAATGTTCTTAATACACATGTAACCTTGAATAGAGAGTTTAATAAAGTGCATTTTTACTCTGATTTAATTTCTGCGTATAGATTCAGAGTTTTAATCGTCAATAATTTTTGATTCATTCATTTTCACACAGTATGTCACATATTAATGTTACTCACTTTTCAGTCTAATTTCCAATGACACTACTTGAATACATATATTCTATCAAAAGTTTTGAAAGTTTGATTTATTGTAGAAATTTCCATTGCATCTTTCAAAAGTTTTAAATTTTAACGTTTGGATTTACGATCAACTAGCAAGATACTGCATAAAACCTAAAACAATTTTTCAATAAAAGTTCGTTGGAAGTGGAGCGAGTACATGGCCAAAAGAAATTTTAGTTCATGCGATAATCGAGCCCCTTGATTAACTCACATCCTGTCAAAGGACCAATTAAATAAAATACAATAAATAAAGTCTATTAATTTATAAATAACTTTAATTTAAAACTTTGCAGTTTTATAATTTCTATGATCCCAATTTATTTGAGAACTAACTTCAAAACCAAAATCTTGTGGATCTAAAACAATTATGTTTTCATAAATTTTCAAAATATCTTCTTGACTAAAACCCAATTTATTTTTAAAATAATTTATAATATTATCATACTTTTTTAAAAATAATTCAATTGTAGCCAACATTGCTTCATATCTTGAACTAACTAAATTTTCAAAACCATCATGTTCAATATTCCAATTTGCTCTACCTTGACTTATAATATTTTCAATATCACTTGAATCACCACCCAATTTTTCTCTTAATTTACGCACAGTTTCTTGAAATTTTGATTTCAAAATTGGATGATCAGGTTTTAAACCAATTGTAGTTAATTCATATTCTTTTGCAATTGTATTTTTGTCAACACCGGCTAATAATAAAATTAACATACCCAACATACCAGTACGATCTTTACCTGCAGTACAATGAAATACAAATGGTTTATTTTCATCTCTAATATATTCAAATACTGTTTTATAAGCACCAATTCCCATTTCTAACATATCTTCATAAACATTAACATAAGTTGACCAAGAAGTCATTAAATTAGTATATCTAATTGCAATTGCTTGTGGTGAATAATCATCTTTTGAATAAACTGGTGCATGAATTCTTTTTATACCGAATTTTTCTAAATTTTTTGGAAATCCATCTTGTTGGATTTCTCCGTCTGATCTCAAGTCAAACAAGGCTTTTATGCCAAGTTTTGACAATGAGTCAGCTCCTTTCTCAGTCAATTTAGATACATTTGCACATCTAAATGCATAATTTGGTTTAACATAACAGATTAAATTTTCATTAGTTGGTGACTGGGTTTTAAAAGTTGGATTAGCTACTCGCCAACCACCAATATCTCTAAAGTTGGTAACACCGTCGACATGTTTCCATCTGGAAACTCTCCCTATTACATTACTTGATTCTAAAAATCTATTCAATTCATTTTCTGGTAACAACCATTCTATAATATAATCAGTAACTAAAAAATTATAATTAACTTTCTTTCCCTTTAAAGGTAATTCATGAGGATTAAGATCTTCATCATCATTATCCGGGTGAATTTCTTTCGTTCCAAAAAATGCATGATCAGCATCAGGTATCAATTTTAATGTATGTGTAAGGTGTCCTCTATTTAAAGCATTTGCAAAATTCGCAGGATCATATCTTGGTATAATTTGATCTTCAGTTCCATAAATACTTAAAACTGACCAATCAGTACTTAATTCATTTAATCTTGAAAGATCAGGTTTTGATAATGTTATAATTTCTCTAGTTGCTAATTGAACTTCTTGATATTTACCATATCTATAAGCTGTACTTGGCATAAAATCATAATCAGTAAATGCATAATATCTTTCCAAAACAGTTTCACTAGAAAATCTAGCAGCACAATTAATTAAATTAGGTACAATAATTGCCTTTGGATCACCACATTTTAATAATTCATCCATTTTTTGAGCCCATAAAAACATGGCCACTCCACCTCTTGAATGTGAAATAATTGATGATAATGTTAAATTTATTCCTAAGCCATTTTTTTCACCATCACTTATAAATTCAGCAGATGCTTGAATATCATCAACATCTTGATTTAAATGTCTACCTTCTATTTCAATTTCATTATCAGCTGAATCTCCACAACCTCTAAAATCAATTCTTAAAGTAAAAATTCCCAATTCATGAGTTAATCTATGAGCTAAAGTTTTTTGATAACAATAATTTCTATGACCAGCTTGACCATGTAAGATTAATGAAGCTTTATGAGTAAAAGGAACTAAATTTTCTTCAAATGGATTTTCTGATTGAAATGCAGCTGGGATTGTTAAAGTTCCTGAAACACCTTTACCAAATCTAACTTGTTTTTCAATCGGTATCTGAGGATTGTATTTATCATAAGCCATTTTATCTATTTTATCTATTGTATCTATGGTAATTGTTAAAAAGAATCTTGATTGTATAAATATTTATATTTTGAAATTCTAGGTCCAACAGAAAACGAAAATCACATTTGCTGAGGGGTCGAGAAATGGAGATTTTAGCCGAACTTTTGCGCTAAACGACCAGTACATATGTATCTGTCCAAAAATAAACTTTATAAATGACAGAATTAGAGAAGGGATTTGCATTCAAAAGTTTAATTTTAAACCCATTATCGTCTGACAATATAAGAACGTGGATCATATGGAAAATTTAAACTTTTTAACATTGTTTTCTTTATCGATACGCTTGGTATCATATTTTGATTTTTTTGTGGCGCTTAAACGGTAATTGACATGAGAGCGCGTCTTTCATTTTTTAACACGTGACTAGCCATGTGACTCGAATTATTTTTTATCACCATGCGATAAATTAAACAGATTATATATATTTCAAATTCGTTGCATTTGTTATAGCATGAATCATGATGAAAATAGAGATGCTTATATACAGTTAGGTAAATTATTAAATCAGAAACATTCAGATCAGTTATCTACTCAGTTACAAGTCTTTCAAAATGCTTTAATTAATTTTGCTATTGAACATGGAGATGAAATTAAACTGAATTCAGAATTTAAATTAAAATTTACAAAGATATGTCAACTGATAAATATAGATCCATTAGATTTATTAATTTATACAAATTCAACGCAAAAGAAGAGGAGTCAAAACTTTTATATTGGCTTATCTGTCAAAATTATTGAAATTTGTCAATCCACAAGAGATTTAAATGGTGGATTAATATCACTTAAGGAGTTAATTTCAATAATAAATGAGTCGGAGATAAAGATAGATGTGGATAAAAAAGATATTGAAAAGTGTCTAGGCCAGTTGAATAAATTAGGTAAGGGATTTGAAATTCTAAATATAAATGATAAACTACTACTAAAGTTTACATCATTGGATAATCTAAGTAATGACCAGATTAAGATTTATGAATTATGTAATTTTATGGGTGGTGTTGTTACTTATAAGCTACTAAGAGATAATTATGAATGGGATAATATACGATGTAAGACGGTAATTGATGAAATGATAATGAATGGGTTTTTATGGATTGATCAACAAGGTGATGCAAATGAATGGCAATATTGGGAACCATCATGGATATCACATTAATATATATAATTTCTATTTAACTATATTTCAATGATTGTTGATTCTTTATTTCTCAGCAGCTCTTTCTTTTTCAACCATCTAGCGTTAATCACTTCATAACTGTCACTTCTATCACGTTTCTCCAATGGTATATAATCCTTAAATCTTCGTCCAACACCGTCTCCTACATTCATATATTTTGTATCATCTTCATGTAATTTATATTTCAGCAATAACATCTCTTCCATAACTTCGCTCATTTTAGATTTAATTTGTAAATCATATTCAAACCCAATGAATCTTTTAATGAGGTAATTATTCTTGTGTAAATCTTTTGCTTGAAGCCACTCCATTTCTGGGAATATACAATCATATAAAACTAAAGGTATATCATTGGCCATTTCATAAACTGGTTTAGTTGAAAATTTGTCAATATTCATGAGATCTGAGACAATCTCTGGTGATTCTAGTTTCTGTCCAACAAGCAATAGTATTCCAATCATGCATCGTACTTGATGCCACAAAAATGCATTACCTTGTAAATTAAAATAATAATAATCATCGATTAAATGGACAATCTCAGACTTAAATATCTCTCTAGTGAAGTTTGTCAACTGTTTTGATCCATCTAATTTACAAAAGTTTCTAAAATCATGAACACCCAAGTATGAATCAGCACCTTTTTGCATTAAATCAATATCCAAATCATTCTTTTTGAAAAAATATTTGTAATGTCTATATTCACAACTAAATCTAGCATCGAAATCCTTTGGTGGTCGGAGACAAATTTCGTGTATCCTTATATCTTCAGGCAAATTTGCGTTTAAAATTGAAATATAATCTAACTCTTTAATATCATTTTCTGGTTTCATTTGTTCTTCTGGTGTTAAATTTGATCTCAAATTTATTGAAATTACTTGATTTAATGCACTTACTCCTTTATCTGTCCTACCACATTTTGAATATGTAACTTCATCAATTGGATCTTTAATTAATTTAACTTTAGTCATTGCTTTTAGTATAATTTCTTCAACTGTAGGTAATGGAGTTTTTTCTAATTGTAATGCTAAACCATTATAATTCCAACCTAAATATGCGAATTTAATAGCAACAAATCTAAAATTGAATTTATCCCAATTAAAAGGCTTTACTTCTTTTAGTTTCTTCTTTGGTTGTTCGAGTTTTTCCAGCACCACAGTAGTTGTTCCATTTATACCATTTTCTAATTTCTCTATATGTTTAATTAGCTCCTCTTTTGACCAATCATTATAATTTATTTTTGTAGTCATTGATCTTTTCATACGTTGAAATAACTGTATCATATAATATTTTTCATTTAGATGTTTCAGAATTTTATATTTTTTTTTTTTTTATCATTTTGTAATCTAATTTACGAAGAGATGCAAAAGAAGGAAGAATCTTTAAAATGGGAAAATTTAAGATATGATTTACATCAGTGGCTAAAAGAAGCTATTATATCAATGGGATATCCTACGATGACTCCAGTACAAGCATCTACTATACCTCTTTTATGTGGAAATAAAGATGTCGTAGTTGAAGCAGTAACTGGATCAGGTAAAACACTTGCATTTTTAATACCAGTGTTACAGAAAATATCTACTACATTATTCGAGAAAGATGAAGACGGAATGATTCAACCTTTAAAAAGAGGTCATATGTTATCTATTATATTATCACCAACTAGAGAATTAGCTAAACAGCTACAATTAGTATTGAATCAAGTACTCGAATATTTACCAGATGATTTACCCAAGATTAAAACACAATTACTTGTTGGTTCATTAGGTAAAGTAAGAGAAGATGTTGAATTTTTCTTACAAGAACAACCACAAATTTTAATTGCAACACCAGGTCGTATGCTAGATTTTTTAAGTTCTCAATATGTTAAAACTTCAAGTTTGGAAATTGTGGTACTAGATGAGGCTGATAAATTATTAGATTTTTCATTTGAAAAAGATGTGGTCAATATACTAAAAAGATTACCTAAACAAAGAAGAACAGGATTGTTTTCAGCAACTCTATCATCTGCCGGGGATTCAATTTTCAAGACAGGTATGAATAATCCAGTTAAAATTCAAGTTAAATCAAAGAATTCAAGTGGTGAAATAAATCAAACTCCACAATCTTTAACGTTATCATATATGATGATTGATCCAGAATATAAATTAACTACATTATTACAATTATTATCAACTTCACAATTTAAAAAATCAATAGTTTATTTTCCAACATGTACTTCAGTCAAACATTTCTACCATGTATTCCAAAAGCTCAATCCCGATGATAATCTAGTGTTTTTTTCATTACATGGTCAATTAAATACAAAATCAAGGATGAAAACATTGGAAAAATTTATAGAAGGTGATTCAAATATGAATAAATTTATATTAATGACCACGGATGTTGCAGCTAGAGGAATAGATATACCTGATGTAGATTTAGTTATTCAATTAGATCCGCCTACTGATCCAAATGTATTTTTACATCGTTGTGGTAGAACAGGAAGAGCAAATAAAGTAGGTACAGCCATAGTAATGTTGAATAATAATAGCCAAGAAGAAGATTATATAGGATTTATGGAGGTTAAGAATATAATTATGGGGAAATTAAACACTCCAATACTGAAGAAACATAATTCATTTCAAAAGAAGCTAACATCATATATGCTTGAAGATAGGGCAAGACATGAACTAGCTGTAAAATCATACGTTGGTTTCATAAGATATTATTCTAAACACTCAGCAAGTTCAATTTTTAGATTGGCAAGTCTTGATTATTTAGGATATGCTAAAATGTATGGCCTAATTAGATTACCTAAAATGCCAGAGACGAAATATATTGATAATGATAAAATTCCAGAAGATGGTTGGCTTATAGAACCTATATGTATGGACAAATATGCATATTTAGATAAAGCTCAAGAGAAATCAAGATTAGAGAATTTGGAAAAAGAAAAAGAACAAAAAATAGCTGATGCTAAACGAAGAAAAGATCTAAAGGTTAAGAATGAAGCTTGGTCAACTAAAGTGGAAAAGAAAGAAACTAAACAAGAACGTAAGGAGAAATTAAAAAGAAAGAGAGAATTAATTGAGAAACAATTACTTGAAAATCCTTCATCTGATGAAGAAGAAGTTCAACAAGATTGGAAAGAAGAAGTACGAAAGAATAAAAAGAAGAAAGCAAATTCAGAAATGCAAGGCTCATTTGACGATTTATAGATTAATGCATGATACACTTACGATATAGCTTTGGAACTCTAAACTCAGTACTTTACGGATTTGAGAGACATCAGTAATTAGATTAATGCATTACGTACATATATGTCTATGACTTATATAATTAAAAGTATCATAATTAATATTCAATTTTGAATTTTTCACTACTTGATTCAATACCATCAAATACAAATAAATTATCAATTGGTACGTATTGACCAGTACATAATTTTAAAACTTCTTGACTTACAACACCACCCATTAGACTATTTAAATTTGTATAATTTCTCGTATTATGACTTAATAATTCTTCAAAAACTTTAACATCAGAACCAGCTAATGTTGTTGAATCAATTTTTTCATTATATAATTGAATAAATTCTTTTAAATCTGATAGTTCAGGCAATCTATTATGTTCATTTATAAAAATATTAAAAGTTAAAATACCAAAATATATTAGATATTTTTTAATTTTGGATTGATCTTTTTCATGATTAAACTGTTCAATAAAATGAGAGCTAATAAATTTTTTAGAACCAATAGTGACAAATAATAACCTTGAATTTTTACAAAATGAGGCTATTGAATCATTATTAATTTCATCTTTTGATCTTCCAATTGATTCCAATACTGATTCGACTTGTTCAGTGAATAATTTTTGATCCTTCTTTGCTTTTTCCTTGTATATGTTTTGTAAATCAATATAATTCTTTGTATCTGATGCTAAATCGGGTATTGTGCCAGGTAATGGTAAAACATCATTATTCAATTGTAAAAATTTTGATAATGCAGCAATATAAATCCAAAAAATTGATGAGTTTTTAGTTACAGGATTTTCTTTTGATATTTTTAATAATTGTTTAACACTATCTGGTAAATCAGTAATTTGAAAAGCACGATGACTTGAAGAAACAGCTTCAGCGAAATTATTTTCCAAGACTATATTTCTTGATAATAATTCAACATATTTTTTAAAATTCTTCTTTTCAGTATATGAAACCCATGGAGGTTGACCTTCATGAGTTTTTATCCACGATTGCAATGCTTTTATAAAGATAATTATACATGGAACATGAGCATGCTCTTGATCATCTAAATTATCTAAATCAAATGAATCCGCAAATTGTTGTAATTCTTCCCATGGTAAATCAATTCTTAAATCATATAATTTTGAAGGATCATGAGTCTCAATAACCGTCGTTTCACTAGTTAATAAATTAAAACTTGAATAAAATCCCACGGTATTTACAATCATTAATGGAATTTGTTTTGACCATAATATATCAATTAGTTGATTAAGCTTAGGAGTATAATCACTTATAATAACAACACTAAATTGTTGCCAAAAGATTTCATCATTTTCTTCAATTAATAGATCTTGAATTGATTTTTCTATGGCAAAACCTTTGACTTCGGTGTTTAATTCATTAAGATTTTTAGTAGTTACAGTTGCTAAATTTCGATTAATTTCATTATTTTTAATAAAGAAATTACTTGATAAATCTAAATTTGATACTTTTTTATCGTCAATTATTGTAAATGATCCAATACCAGGCAATATTAAATTCTTTAAAATTTCACAACCTGTAGATGAAGCATTAATTAAACATATATGAGACGATTCCAAATTTGATTGACCAGTAGATGCCCATAATCTTAATTGTCTATCATATTTAGCGTCTTTATCAATTGTCATAATAAAAGTATAATTAAATCACAAAAGTTGAAAGAAGATTAATTGATCAATGATAATTTAATAATTTTTTTTTTTTTCGTTTAAAGCAAGGGCCAATTTGGTTTAATCAAAATAAACTAATTTATTATTTTCGGCCGCGTAGCTCATACGACAATTAGACATGTTGGGGACGAGATATAAAGAGGTTACATTGCTCTTACTAAGATACAAGCACTCCAATAGACCCCAAAAATAGAATCTCTAGGGTTGAAACTTATGAATACAACTTTTAAGGGTTAAAGAAAGTTTTTAACGTTGAAACTTATGACTACAACTTTTAAGGGTCAAAGAAAGTTTTAAACGCTGAAACTATTGCTAATGTTAGTTTATGTGACCTTATCGATTGAGAATGTAGATCCATACCAAATTAAGTTATATGTAGAACAGACAATTTGAGACAAATATTAAGACAAATATTAAGACATTATCTCAAAATGAAAGTACTCACGAAAAGCATATCAAATAGAAGACATACATTTATACGACAATTTTGATTTTCAAATACTACGGTGCTCGTGATTATTTTTGCAGCAATTAAATCGAATGACAATTGAATGTAGGATATTACCAAAATAGGAAGTCTACGACATATATGCACGTTTCATATTTTGATTACTTAAACAACTCACCTAAATGGTTATCAACTATAGAATTCACCAAATTATAAGTTGAATTTTCCATAACAATTGTTCATTTGTTCGTTCAATTACTCAATCAATTCTACAGCTACACTTTTCAATTCCTTTCTATCATACATCATACGTATGATGTACAATAATTAACAATTAATACCATTTATTATATAAATTCAAGATGAGATTACATAACACAAGCGTTAAATTTCTTTTAGTATGTGAGATGGCATAGATTACATTTCACTATTGATGTTTGGGCGCAATCTGAAAATTTTTTTTTTTTTTTTTTTTTTTTTTTCAAATAATAACTCTGATAATTTTTATAAAAAACTTCTTCTTTTCCTTTTTCCTTTCTTCTTTTACTTCTTCACTACTACAAGTCAGATTAGGAAAGGAATATGTCTGCTGCTAAAGAAGAATCAAGATATTCTACAGAAGTACTTTCCGAATTATTAAGCAAATTACAAGTTGCTGATAATAAAGATGAAGCTGCTTCAAATATTTCTTCATTTTTAAATTCATCAATTGTTGAACATGATGTTCCAGTTGAATTCTTTAAAGATTTAAAAAAACAAATTACATCAAAAGACGGTAATACTTCAATTGCTGCTTTAGAAGCTTATAAACATATCTCATCATCAAATGGTTTGACACCATCAGTTGAACCTTACGTTGTTGAATTAGTTTCCGAAGTTGCTACCAGAGCTGGTGATAAAGATAAAAATATTCAATCAACTGCTGCTCAAGCTTTATTAGCTATTGCAAGTGCTATTACACCAACTGCTGTTAAACAAATTTTACCAAAATTGATTGAAAATTTAAAATCAACCAATAAATGGACTGAAAAAGTTGCCATCTTAGCTGCTATTTCACAATTAGTTGACACTGCTAAAGCTCAAATTGCATTAAGAATGCCTGAATTAATTCCAGTTTTATCAGAAACTATGTGGGATACTAAAAAGGAAGTTAAAGAAGCTGCTACTGCTACCATGACTAAATCAACTGAAACCATTGATAACAAAGATATTGAGAAATTCATTCCAAAATTAATTGAATGTATTGCTAAACCAACTGAAGTTCCAGAAACTGTTCACTTATTAGGTGCTACCACTTTTGTTTCAGAAGTTACCATGGCTACTTTATCAATTATGGCTCCATTATTATCAAGAGGTTTAGCTGAAAGAGATACTGCTATTAAACGTAAAGCTGCTGTTATTGTTGATAACATGTGTAAATTAGTCGATGATCCACAAGTTGTTGCTCCATTTTTAAGTACTTTATTACCAGCTTTAAAAGCTAACTTTGCTAACATGGCTGATCCAGAAGCTAGAGAAGTTACAAACAAAGCTTTAAATACTTTAAGAAGAGTTGGTGCTGTTGGTGAAAATGATAAAATCCCTGAAGTTTCAACTGCTGGTGATATTGAAGTTACATTGGGTGAATTAAACAAATTATTAGCTGATCAAAAAATTGCTAAAAGATTTGATGTTGCATTAACTTATATTGCTGCTATTGCCGGTGATTTAGTTGATGAAAGAGAAATTCAACCAGAAGCTTGGTTATCAAACGTTTTACCATTTGCTACTATCTTCTTACATGAAAAAGAAGCTAAAGATATTATTGAAGAATATAGAAAAAGAGCAATTGATAACATCCCACAACCACCATCATTTGAAGATGAAGAAGATGAAGGTGAAGACTTATGTAATTGTGAGTTCTCATTAGCTTATGGTGCTAAAATCTTATTAAACAAAACTCAATTTAGATTAAAAAGAAACAGAAGATATGGTTTATGTGGTCCAAATGGTGCTGGTAAATCTACTTTAATGAGAGCTATTGCTAATGGTCAAGTTGAAGGTTTTCCAACTCAAGAAGAATGTAAAACTGTTTATGTTGAACATGATATTGATGGTACCGAAGCAGAAACTTCTGTTTTAGATTTTGTTATTACTGATGGTGACGTTGGTTTAACTGACCAAGTTGTTCGTGAAAAATTAACTGAATTCGGTTTCTCAGAAGAAATGATTGTTATGCCAATTCAATCATTATCAGGTGGTTGGAAAATGAAATTAGCTTTAGCTAGAGCTGTGTTGAAAAATGCTGATATTTTATTATTGGATGAACCAACTAACCATTTAGATACTGTTAATGTTGCTTGGTTAGTCAACTACTTACAAACTTGTGGTATTACTTCAATCATTGTTTCACACGATTCAGGTTTCTTAGATAACGTTTGTCAATACATTATCCATTATGAAGGTTTCAAATTAAGAAAATATAAAGGTAATTTGTCAGAATTTGTTAAAAAATGTCCATCAGCTCAATCATATTATGAATTAGGTGCTTCAGATTTAGAATTCAGATTTCCAGAACCAGGTTTCTTAGAAGGTGTTAAAACTAAACAAAAAGCTATTGTTAAAGTTTCAAACATGAGTTTCCAATACCCAGGTACTTCAAAACCTCAAATTCAAGATATTAATTTCCAATGTTCATTATCATCAAGAATTGCTGTTATTGGTCCAAATGGTGCTGGTAAATCTACTTTAATTAATGTTTTAACTGGTGAATTGTTACCAACTACTGGTGATGTTTACGTTCATGAAAATGCTCGTATTGCTTATATTAAACAACATGCTTTTGCTCATATTGATAACCATTTAGACAAAACACCATCAGAATATATTCAATGGAGATTCCAAACTGGTGAAGATAGAGAAACTATGGATAGAGCTTCAAGACAAATTAATGAAGAAGATGAACAAAATATGAACAAAATTTTCAAAATTGAAGGTACCCCAAGAAGAGTTGCTGGTATTCATTCAAGAAGAAAATTCAAAAACTCTTATGAATATGAAATTTCATGGATGTTGGGTGAAAATGTTGGTATGAAATCAGAAAGATGGGTTCCAATGATGTCAGTTGATAACACTTGGTTACCAAGAGGTGAATTAATGGAAACACACGCTAAAATGGTTGCTGAAGTTGATATGAAAGAAGCTTTAGCATCAGGACAATTTAGACCATTAACTAGAAAAGAAATTGAAGAACATTGTTCTATGTTGGGTCTTGAAGCTGAATTAGTTTCTCACTCAAGAATTAGAGGTTTATCAGGTGGTCAAAAAGTTAAATTAGTTTTAGCTGCTTGTACATGGCAAAGACCTCATTTAATTGTTTTAGATGAACCAACCAATTATTTAGATAGAGATTCATTAGGTGCTTTATCAAAAGCTTTGAAAGCTTTCGAAGGTGGTATCGTTATCATTACACATTCAGCTGAATTTACTAAAGATTTAACTGAAGAAGTTTGGGCTGTCTTGGATGGTAGAATGACACCATCAGGTCATAACTGGGTTCAAGGTCAAGGTTCAGGTCCAAGATTAGAAAAGAAAGAAGATGAAGAAGATAAATTCGATGCTATGGGTAATAAAATTGCTGGTGCTAAAAAGAAGAAGAAGTTATCATCAGCTGAATTAAGAAAGAAAAAGAAGGAAAGAATGAAGAAAAAGAAGGAATTAGGTGATGCTTATGTCAGTTCAGATGGTGAAGATTTTTAAATAAACTGAACAACCTTAATTTGTAATGAACTATTAATTATCCATTTTATCGTTATAGAATTTGTATAGTTTTTTGATAAAATAAATAAAAATATCTAAAAACTGTTGATCTCGTATTATTTTGTATGTATCTCGCCAAAAAGTAATTTTGCAACAAAATTAATGAAGAATGTTATACTTATATTTTATATATTTACAGTAGTATTATGTGCTTATACAAATCAATTGAATGTTAGTCAGTTGTTGTTTAAGAATTTCAGTCATTCAGTGAAGCAACCGAATTGGAATTTATCATATGCTCCATATTCTGTTTTATGTCCTGCAACAAGTTTAATTAGATTGGCAAATAATTCATTATGTGACGAGGAAGAAGATTATATAAGAAAAAGACATAGTTTAACTGAATCAGTTCTTAAATCGATGATTAAAATACCTAATTTTGACGTGGAAGAGTTTTGGAAAATGAAATCGGAACCAATAAATATTGCAATAGCGCTATCAGGAGGTGGTTATAGAAGTTATTTAACAGCTTCAGGAATTATGTCAGCATTAGATAATAGAAATTTGATTAGTTCTTCAGTAATGGGTATTTTACAAGCTACAAGTTATATTGGCGGAATTTCGGGTGGTTCATGGTTAGTTTTAAGTCAATTTATTAACGATTTTCAACCAATTTATAAACTTAGAAATAAAGGAGGATGGAATTTAAAAGATTCATTATTAGAAGGAGTGCCAAATTTTGATCCAAAAATGATAAATATGATAGTAATAAAAAGCAACCACACAGTAAAGAAACAAAGTATGTTTAAATGGCTACTAGGAAACTTTAAGAGTAATGAAAAGAAATGTGGTACTGAAAAGACATGGGTATCAAAATTCATGAAAGAGGATACAAATACAACCATTGAAAATGTAAAGAAATATATTAATTTTTATAAGGAATTAATTATCGAGGTCAAAGATAAAAAGAAAGCTGGTTTTCATGTTAGTTTAACTGATTATTGGGGCAGAGCATTATCAAGAAAAATATTCGGTATATCAACAAGAATACCTGGTGTTACATTTACCGCAGCTACTTCATTTTTGGAAAGTTTCAAAACTTATCAACAACCATTTCCTATAATAGGTACAATTGAGAAAGATCCAAGTTTTGAAAATACAAACTTGAATTCCCATTTATTCGAATTTACACCTTTTGAATTTGGTAGTTGGCAAAACCAATTAAACGCATTTATTCCTATAAAGTTTCTAGGATCAAAATTAAATGATGGTAGATCTACTTATACATATAATTCAAATCAATCATTTTGTATTTCAGGGTTTGATAATATTGGATTTATAGCGGGTACATCATCTTCATTATTTAATCATGTATTTATCTATTTATATAAGGCTTTGGAATCATTACCTAATGAAGTCAAATTTCTTATTGAAAATGGATTAAAGATGTTTGGATTAAGTTCAGAATGGAGAACATTAAAGAAACCACAATTTCACCCTGATTATGCATTATACTCTCCAAATCCATTTTATAATTTATCAACTACTAAATTTAAAAACTCAAGTATATGTGAGAAACAAGATTTGTTTTTAGTTGATGGTGGTGATGATGGTCAAAATATTCCATTTGGTTCATTATTAATTAAAGCTAGAAAAAACGATATAATATTTGCTTATGACATGAGTAACGAGTTAAATAACTGGCCAAATGGAACTGTTTTATTAAAAACATATCAAAAGTATACTCAAGCAAATAATGAAGTACCTTATTTCAAATTTGACAACCAAATTAAGTCAGTGTTTCCAAAAATTCCATATCCCGAGGAGGTTATTCAACATGATGTCAATTATCCAATTGTTTTGGGTTGTGATGCAGATAAAGATTATCCAACTATTAATATAGCATATCCAGAAACAACTTATGAAGATTATTTACCTCCATTAATCATTTATACACCAAATAGAGGTTATACATTCATGTCAAATACTTCAACTTTTAAATTAAGTTACACACAAGAGGAAATTGATGGTATGATAACTAATGGATGGAATTTAGCAACTTACATGAACAACCAAATATTTGGAAAATGTGTATCATGCTTCATTCTTAAAAGACAATTTGATAAATTACAATTTACACCACCTAAATTTTGTCAGATTTGTTATCAATCATTTTGCTACAATTGGTAGCAACTTTAAATTGCAACACCATAAAAAATTAAAGGGAAAAATATTTGTTCAATTTTATAAATATTATATTAGAATATGGCTGGGATTAGACAGATTAGAATTATAGGATTAACAATATTAGTTTTTGCTTTAATATTCATATTACATAGAGCTGGATCAAGTGCAGCATCATTAGTTCATGCACAAGCATCAGATCAAATTGCAAATAAAAATAATCAAGAATTTCAACAACAAGAATATAAATTAAAAAGTAACAATGGTGAAACAGTAGTAAGTAATAATATAGTAGATTCCAAAAATGATGAAAAAACAGATGCAGAAATTAATAAATCAATACTGAAGGAAAAAACTGAAGAAGAAGCTGAATTAAATGAAGATAATAAATTAAAATCTTCAACTCAACCAAAAAAGCAATCACAAAATATTAATTCAGATTCTTCTGTTGATTATGATGCAGCTTCAGATTTAATTAAAATTAGATCTCTATCACCAATGACTATTTTTTCAAAAACTTATTGTCCATATTCAAAAAAATTGAAAAATTTATTATTAAGTAAATATTCAATTATACCAACACCAAATGTTGTCGAATTAGATAAACATAAAAATGGTAAAGCGTTACAAGAATATTTATATGAAAAATCAGGTAGATCTACTGTTCCAAATGTTTTAATTGGTAAATCATTTGAAAGTAGAGGTGGTTCAGACGAATTTTCAATTTATGAAAAAGAACAAGAATTAATTTCAAAAATTGAAGAATGGGGTCAAGGTAGAATAAAAGTTACAAAAAATGATGCACCATCAAATGCATAGAGATATATAGTGGGATAAATATACAATGGGATAATTTCTAGTTTCTTTCTTGACCTTTTTTTAATTTTACATTAAAATGTATATATATAAATTACTATACAGATGAGATTTATTGGTTTAGTTTAAAATTTTGAGAATTTTTTTGATTTTGAAACTGAAGCAGCAACTTTTAAGACGTTAAATCTAACGGTTTTTGATAATGGTCTACATTGACCAACGGTAACAACGTCACCTTCTTCAACTCTGAAAGCTGGTGATACATGAGCCGCAACATTTTTATGTCTTTTTTCGTATCTGTTATATTTTGGAACATAATGTAAATAGTCTCTTCTAATAATAATAGTTCTATGCATTTTAGTTGAAACAACGGTACCAGTTAAAATTTTACCTCTAATTGAAACTTGACCAACAAATGGACATTTTTTATCAATATATGAACCTTCAATGGCAGCTTTTGGGGTTTTGAAACCTAAACCAACATCTTTATACCATCTTTTGGTTTTTCTGTTAGCTTTAGCTTTTGGGTTGGTGAAAATATGTGGTTGCTAATTATTTAGTTAGTATACAAGTTCAATAGTCTATTTTGTAATACAATAACTGGAGATCTCTTTGATACTCTATTTATTTCATGATAGTGGTTGATGTATAACTTAGAACTCTGCCTTTCGATACTTCGTAATCCATTAATTTGATCAATATCTTGTTTTATAATTTGCTTCCTTATTCTCCAGTTGTATTGTCTAATAGTATTTATTTCAATGTACAAACCTTTTGGAAAGCTCTTTCTGATTGAACAGTTAATTCAGTTGCCATGATGTATCTGTTTAATTACTTTGGTAAAAGATTTCTAGTATGAAAAAAATTTTGATAATTTAGATTTTGTTTTAGTGTGTGCGAACCTAGAATTTTTCAATCTGTACTGAAAAATTAAGACGGATGGAAGCGCGCACCTTATTTGGTACCACTTAGTATGACCTTAATACGACGATGGCTTGCGATGCGCGCGAAAAATGAAAAACTTCGAATTAAATATTTCACGTACCTGTATACAACAGATTTTATAGCCCTAATTATTTACACGTGAGCTTTTTATTGTCGTATTAATGTCGCCGTAGATGTAGATAAGCATACTAAAATACGAACGGCTCAATCCATTATAGACGTAATTGGGAAGTTTATTTTAGATCAGGTAAAGGTGTAGCTGTTGAAATAAGCTCTTGGTTTAATCATAATCTAATTATAGGGGGGTTGAGCTGATAGTCGGACCATCTAGAAGTGCTTTTTGATTATTCTATCAACTACATGCATCTAACAGGTATTTACGAAGTTGTATAGACAACAATTGATGGAATTCACGGACTAGTTAAAACTCCTACGCTTAAACTTTCGCTAATAATTTAACAATTTGAGGATCTTCATTAGAAAGATGATAATTAGTTCGTTTCAATTTCAATTTAACAAATTCACCAACTTTGAATGCACACTTATCATTCTTCTACTCTTAAACTCTTCAACGTTATACCATCATTGCAACATCGAAGCTTCCAATTTGATTAAATGGTTGCAAAATAAACAGTTCAAAGTGTGTGTGTACTAAATACCAAAAAATTCTAAATTAAGATAATAATTTACCAAATTGAGTGAGACGCAAGCAATTTAAAGTTAGAAATTAAAATTGAAACCTGAAACAAGATATATAAACAATACAACAATTAACAATACACAAACGTAAATATAAGTTTAACCAAATGAGATTACATTAAATTTATTATGCATACAACTACTAATAGTTCAAATAATAATAATAACAACAACAATAATAATAATACCATGTATTCAACAGCTACAACATCATCAAAATATAATCATTTACCAAAATTTAATAATCCACAACCTAATAATAATCATCGGTATATTTCAAACGATATTGATCATCATCATACATCCATAAACTCATTACCTTTCAATCGTACCATTAGTTCATCATCATCAATAATAAGCACCCCAAGCAATAATATACGAAGATTTCAAAAACAACAACATGAAAGACAACTAGAAAAGGAGAAAGACAAAGAAAAGGATAAACATAATAAAGAACCATCAAGTAGTCTAACATCAAAAGGTAGATCAATAAAAACAAGATTATTAAATTTACAACAATCTCAAAAACATCAAGTTAATAATAATAAATCACAACAACAAGCTTCAAACTCCAAAAATAATACACTCCATCATATACATAATACTAATGAAATCCCACTACTATCTACAAATGCAAATTCCAAAACCAAAATACGAAATAATAATAGCAACAAGTTTATTAATCCAATTTCTTCAATTTATGATTATTCAGTGTTTACTCATCATCCAAATTCAAGTATAAAGTCAAATGAAGTGAATTTACCATTTCTTAAAGAGTCACAGATAAAAGCATGGGAATCAGCAGAATCTACGAGTGCTATAATATTTCAGGATTCTAGTGATGATGACGAAGATGACTATAATTGTAATCCTAATCCTATAAAGTCAATACCTGGGTATACAAACTCAGAATTGGAATTCTTGTTTAGTCAAAAGAATCATAATTTGTTATCGAAAGAACAAGAAGCAAAGCTACTACAAGATTATAAAATAAAAGTTAATCTGTTAAACGAGTCTGGTCATATTTTTAATGGTCATAATCATACTCAATCAATGTTAAATCAAAGACAACGACAAATACTCCAAAAGAAGGAAGTTTTACTGAAAATATTTGGAAATTATAATCCATTAGATCTAGAGATGGGTAGTAATGGTATTGATGATGTATCAAGACTTTTAAGTGAGGATGACGAAGAAATGAAGAATTTATTAAATTTAGATGCTGATTTCAAAATAAAACAAGAAGATATGAAAAGGAATTTATTTAAAAAGCATAATTCATTACAAGATAATGACTTGGATGAGGTTAATAATAATAACCATAATGTTGATGATAAATTGTTTGATGATTTTGATTATGAAAAGTTTAATAAATTAACACATAAGAAAATGAATAATATATTATCTAGATTCATTAATCAATATGAAGAAGATACAAATAATGATAGCATGTATAACAATGAAGATGGTTATAATAGTGAGAAAAGTCTAAATAGTGATGATGTTTCAAATATGGAATTTGATGAAGAATTATTACAATTTACATTAACATATTTGAAACAAAAAGTCAAAGAAGAAACAAATAATTTAGATGAATATGAATGATGGTATTATAAACTAGTTATATAGTAAGTTAATGATTAATAATTAATGATAATTCAGACCGCCTTTACTTGTTATTTCTTGTTATTCGTCGTTGGCCTAAATAATAATTTGGGTGCAAAATAAAAATTACTAAGCGCGCATAAAAAATAGCTGCAAAATAATCAACGGACGAATTTTTATTTATTGCTCATCATAATCAACTGTGGTAAATCTGGGTTTGAATATTATTCAATTGAAATATATAAATAGCTGATAGCTGATTTCTTGGTTTAAATACATGTTCAATAAACAAATATTAAGAACTACTACTCAAAGATTACAATTATTAAACAATCAATTGTCAAATAATTTTTCAACAATGGCTCCAATTAATCAAAAACATTATGATTATTTAGTAATTGGCGGTGGTTCAGGTGGTGTTGCAAGTGCAAGAAGAGCTGCTAAATATGGAGCAAAAGTTTTATTAATTGAATCGAATTTTAAAAAATTAGGTGGTACTTGTGTTAATGTTGGTTGTGTTCCTAAAAAAGTTATGTGGTATGCTGCTGATATGGCTCATAAAAAAGATTTAATGTCATATTATCAACTAGAATCAAAAGATCAAGCTCATGTTAAATATGGTGATTTTAATTGGCAACATTTTAAAGAAAAAAGAGATGCTTACATTACTAGATTAAATGGCATATATGAAAATAATTTAAAAAGAGAAAAAGTTGATTATATTTTTGGATTTGGTAAATTTATTAATTCAAATGGTGATGTTGAAGTTACATTAAGTGGAGATCAAGAAATTTCATTCCTTGAAGAAGGTAAAACATTTAAAAAAGATGAAAAATTAACATTTACAAGTGATAAAGTATTAATTGCAACTGGTGGTACAGCTATTATCCCTCCAAAAATTGAAGGATCAGAGTTAGGTATTACTTCAAATGGATTTTTTCAATTGGAAAAACAACCTAAAACAGTTGCTGTTGTTGGTGCAGGTTATATTGGTGTTGAATTATCAGGTGTATTCAATGGTTTAGGTTCAGAAACTCATTTTATAATTAGAGGTGATACTGTATTAAGAGCTTTTGATGAAACTATTCAAAATACAGTCACTGATCATTATGAAAATAAATTAGGTATTAAATTTCATAAACAATCATCAGTTGAAAAATTGGAAAAAATTGAAAATGGTAAAATTAAAGTATATTTAACTTCTGGTTCAACAATTGAAGTTGATGAATTTATATGGACAGTTGGTAGAAAATCATTAGTTAATATTGGTCTTGAAGAAGTTGGAGTTAAAACAAATGATAAAAATCAAATTATTGCAAATGAATATCAAGAAACTTCAAATTCAAAAATTTATTCATTAGGTGATGTTGTTGGTAAAGTCGAATTAACTCCAGTAGCAATAGCTGCTGGTAGAAAGTTATCAAATAGATTATTTGGTGGTGAAGAATTTAAAAATGATAAATTGGATTACAATAATATTCCATCAGTTATATTTTCTCACCCTGAAGCTGGTTCAATTGGTTTATCTACAAAAGAAGCAATTGATAAATATGGTAAAGATGATATTAAAATTTATAATTCAAAATTTACAGCTATGTATTATGCAATGATTGAAGATGATAAACAAAAATCTCCAACTGTTTATAGAATTATATGTCAAGGTAAAGATGAAAAGGTTGTTGGTTTACATATAGTTGGTGATGATTCAGCTGAAATTTTACAAGGTTTTGGAGTTGCTATTAAAATGGGCGCAACAAAGAAAGATTTTGACAATTGTGTTGCAATTCATCCCACTTCAGCAGAAGAATTAGTTACGATGACATAGGTAAGACAAATGTAACGATGCCTTGTAAGATTTAGTTACTTATATATTTAATTTATACAATTTTACTCGTTAATACGAAAATCCATAAAAAGGACTCCAAAGCAGCTTTTATCTATAAATAACTTAGCAGCACATCAGATTCTCATCTTTATAACTCCTTTATCAGTTTTCCTTTACTACCTTTTAGTTCTTTTTGGTGGTGGACCTCTAACTGGCGGTTTTGGTTTATCACCTGGTTTCATATTTAATAATGGAGCAAATCTTAATATATCAGGTATACTTATAAATCTAATCATTGAACCTCTTACAAATACTTGTTCCATATGTGATACTTTACCAGTTAAACCTTTTGTCGTGGTTACATCATATAATGATAAATTCATATTATCTTCATTTTCTAATAATTTACCTCGATATGTATCTCCATTATTCAATTCAACAGATATTATATGTCCTTGAGCTTCATTTAAAAGTCGTACCGGTATACCTGGTGGTGCCATTATATTAATTAATTATGATTTTATCTGGTATATTGTGAGATTAGATTGGGTCTAACTTTTTTTTAAGATTATTTCAAAATAAAATTGAAAATTTACACGACGAATAAAAATGGCTGAGAAAAATAATTCAAAATCTTTAACGAACACAAATTCACACGATAGCTTTAATCTCAGCCATTGCAGCTAAAATTGCTTTGATTAAAACCCATTGTTGTAGTCTGAGGGAATGCTTTGTCCATGATGTAGAAGCCAACAAATTTAGCACGGGTCCCCCAGAGATATCGCGAGAAACTATTTCATCGCGCCAAAATCATGGCATTGAGAAATATCATACTATAGAGAATAATTCTGAAACAATTTGGCTTATATGCAGTGCTGTAGTAATTAATCTAAAAACTTGAACTGTGAATAACTCCATCAATATTCAAGCTGTGTTTGTCAAACTCTTTTTATTAAGATTCCAGATAATTTAAGTTAAAGGGATAAGCTATTTTTTGAAAAAACTCGATTTTGATTAGTATATTGTACATTTAAAAAATGACAAAAAAAGTTATTTTGCAAGGTAATTAATACCTAGACTTCATTCAACAACTTCTAATAAGCAAATTAGGTTTATTAGACTCCATTTACTATTGCTATAAAGTTTCCAAGACGCCAAAATTAGATTGAAATTATTACAAAACTTTCAAAACACTCTTGAAAAAATACATTTTTAATTTTGAATACAGAAACATAAAAATATCTGAGTTATGTTAGCATGCAGAATTCAAAATCTGGATAATTTGATCATATTTAAATTCCAATATTAAGTTTGGAGTAAGATTTTTCTTGAGGTCAATATATTCAATTTTCCCCTTACTTAAAAGAAAATTTAGAAATTTTTCAATTTTAGCTTTGATCACTAAAAGTTATATCCGGCACCTTATTTCAGGGATGAATACATTTGATTTGTTGTTAATTGGAAGTTATGGCCCTAATTAACAACATATAATGAATTGTATTTTTTCAAAAAGTTTTGTATGATGAAAAATGGCCAAAATGATAATTCAAAAAAATACAAAAATTTGATTTTCAAATTTTCTCGTATCTAGGGTATACACTTAATGTCTCCAAACTTTGTATGAATACTTCTCATCCTGGGAAAATGTGTTGCTCCTCTAACATATAAGCCAATGCACTTAGTGCGGGTTGCCCTAAAAATTGGGCGATGAAATATTTTTTTTTTAGCGCCAAATATTCGCATTTAAAAATACATGCTTTTTCGAAACAGGTTGACTTATATGCAGTGTCTCCGTAGTCAATCTTGAAATTTAAATGGTAATTAATTCTATTAGTGATTATGGGTTCACGCTATATATGCTCTGATATTGCCTAGGGATGGGTTGTTGTGGTTTAACTTCTGAATTTTGTGATAAAGATAAAAAATGTTTTTCTAATTGTGGATATGGTAATTTACATGGTGATACAAGAGGTGATTTAGAAAATATAGCTTATTGGATGGATTCTGATGGTTTATTAGCTTATGATCCACATAAGTTAGATAATGAATATTCTAGAGTACATTATGCATTTGTTAATATAAATTCTGATTTTAGTATAGACGATAATAGATTTAGTCAAAGTGAATTTTTGAATATAAAACCTAAAAAAATTGCTAGCTTTGGTGGAAGATTAGAACACATAGTGACCAAATTTCGTTTCTAGTATAGGTTCATTCACTAGATTTAGTTACGTTTGAATTTGTCTCTTATGCATTGAAATTAATGGCACCTGTTTGTGTGATTTTGAATGGATTTTAATAAGTTTAATTCCGTATCTTACTACAAAACGAGAAGGTTGAACCTTTAGGGATCGGATGTTAGATTTTGTATCGGAAGGACCCATAGAACACATAACCTTCATCTGGAAGTCTTTAACATATTCTAGGCTTATTTTACACTTAAAGCCTAATTTTTGAAGTATATCAATATGTAACTAAAAAAGTTAATTCTAATATCAAATAAATGAGTTCATCATGAGCAAATTTTAACTCCAGTTTTGGACTATGTAACCCAGTTTACGTTTAATATCGTGAAGCTTATTAATAGAAAAAAGATCCCACGGCATCTGAGAAACACATCAAAAAAGTCGGAGGTTCAAAAATAACACGGCCCGATTAGGTAAAAGCCTTTTGTGTAAATGAAGTTACATTCCATGATGCAATATTAGAAATCTAGCTTTATATAAATGCATTTCATGTACGGACAACTTTGCATCCTTCCGTTCAATAAACTTTTTAAAACTTGAACTTCAAAGCCGATAATGCCAAGTCTTGTTTACAGCTTTATAAATTTTATCTAAAAGATCTTCATTCTACTTGGTTTTTAAATTTAAGGTTGCAATATTATAATTGGTTGGAATTATCGGTTTTTCATGCCTTCCTGAAAAATTTTTAAGTAGGCGCTTAAATTTAGTTAATAATACATCAATCAATTAATATTATCTGAATATTTAGACGATGTATTTATCTTATAAATCAGTTACACAAAAGTTGTTAGCTGATAGGTCTTATGTCACCTTAATATATGAAATAGACGTATGTTTAGTAATATAGTTTCTCTTTTTCTTGATCAAGTTCGAAAACCAAGAAATAGAAGACTTTAACCAAACAGAATTATAATTACGGTCCGAATTTAATGGCTGCTAAGACGTCAAAGAAACTGTTACAATGGACCACATTTGAAATTGATCAGACTTAAGAGATTCAGTATCTTCTATTTACATTGATTATGAACCCAAGGTCTAATTTAAAAAATATAAGGTGTTTTGTTTCGTATTGAATTTCTCTTTTGTTTGTCGTTTTTATACATTCAACATATATAAACATCGAAACTTTAAAATCTAATAAAGGGTTAATACCTATTTAAGTAAGGAACGTAATATATTCTCTAGTTATTCGTCGTTGTCTTTCGTGGTTTAATTTTGCAGCTAAATCGATAATACAAAAAAAAAAAAGTATCAATAAAAAAAAAAATATATTAAAATAAAAATATCCCCCATACCAACCAATTTGTATTCATTTGCCAGTTTGTTCGAGTTTTATACACATTTCTGCAACTTTGTGTCCCATAATTCAATAACAGAATAAATTCTCATTTATACAAACCCACAATAGTTCATTTAATTGTAGGTTTTTAATAAAATTATTAGCCAATTTTGTACCATCTTTATAAAACTCAAAATTTGATTAATTTAATTCGTAATATTATTAATGATAATATTAATTTGATTTTACAAAATAACACAATTATCTTTTTAAATTTTCAAGTTGGTACATTTTTAATTCAATTATGAGTCCTATTGAAGCAAAAGATATTAAAAATAAACCAAAACCTAAACGAAATAGAGTTCCAGTTTCTTGTCTTTCATGTAAAAAAAGAAAAGTTAAATGTGATAAAGCTAAACCTTCATGTGGTGGATGTATCCGAAATGGTGTTGGTCATTTATGTCAATACATTGATCCACCATGGTTAGATAAAGATCATATAAATAATGTTCAAAATGGTCATAGTGTATGTACTTCGGTAGTCTCAACTCCAATTAATATTGTACAAACTGAAGAGTATAAACTGTTGAAAAGTAATAATGAAAATATAATTCGAAACCAAAGGAAAGAAATTGAGGATTTAAAAAGACAAATACTGGTTATTCAACAATTGTCACCAAAAGATTCATCAAATAACTTAGCATCTCAGGTATTATGTAAGAGAATCACAGTTTTGAATAAACTAAGTCCATTACCCGCAAATAAAGAAAAGTTGGAAATTTTAAACGATTTTACTATTTTGGCACCCTCATCATTATCTACCAAAGCACAATATATTGATACTTATAGTTGGATAAATTTAATCAAACTAGATCCACAATTGACTACATTATGGTTTAAAATTACAAATTTACAAAAAATTTATCATATGTATAAAATGAATATTCTTAAAGATAATACAAATACAAATACAAATTTAAAACCAGTTGCAAATGGAGCTACTAAAAAGAATTTTAAAATTAATGAAATTGACTTCACGTATTCCTTTAATTCACAATCTAGTCCGTCACCAAATCAGACTCCACAACCACAAAGTAAATGTCCAGTTATAGAATGTGATTTTAATTTTATGGTTGAAGATGCTATTTCAAATGCAAGTGATTCTCCATTTAAACAAAATATAAACACAACTACACCAAAACCAAAAGAAGATGAAACAGTTCAAATTTCACCAGAATATTCTAATAATTCATTAGTTTTACAAAATAAATTGATTAAATTGTACGAAGTGATAACTAATATAACGAGGGGTCAAAAATTAAATTATAAACAAGTTACATTTTTACTAGATTATTATTTCCATTCAGATTTCGAATCAAAGAGAATATTATTATTTTATAAATCTGAGATCCAAAGCATTTTACATAAAGAAAATGATGAGATACAATTGAGCTTACCACAAGATGAAGATAATTACCATCAATTGAAAATTACAGGAATGTATATTTCAATGTTGGCTATTATAGTTGAAGAAACATTAGATTATTTAAGAAATTTAATTAGAAATGAAGAAGAAGATAATACTTCATATATAAGTGAACAATTTAAATCTCATTTCCCTAATGAATTAGTATATTTGAATCTTGGTCCAAAACAAACAAATATTTTATATATGGTACAGGATTTAATGATTAATTTTATAAAGAATGAAACTAATTCATTATCTGCAATTGCAATAGTATTAACATTATTAAATAAAGAGGTAGATGAGTATAAAAAACCAGGTTCAAGTATAATTGATACAAAACTGTCGTTTACTTTATTATTTACAAATTTTTTACAAATGTTATTGAATAAGAATACTATTGAAATATGGAAAGATCCTGAATTAATCGATTTTAAAGAATTTTCGCCACATCAAAAGATTAAAAAGAGAAGTAAGCATTTGAAGTTACAATTTTGTAATTTATGGACTGATATTGTGAGATTAACAAATTTAGTTACTTTTAATCTTGTTCCATTAATTGATCACAATGAGAATTTGGATAAACTATTAAAAGAAATTTATTATAAAATTCAAATATCAGACTCTTTACAATCTCATTTGGGATACTTAACAAGTATTGGAGAAAATCAATTAATTATATCGTTACATATTCATTATTTAGTTGCTAGTATTTCGTGTTCTTTATGTTATGGTATTAAAAGTATTGGCCTTCCAAATTTGATAGTTGATAATTTACGTACACTTATTAAGCAATGTCAAACATGGTCAAATGATGTTGGATTACAAAGAATCAATGAAACTAGAAAAATTGAAATTGTGACAATATTAAATTATTTAAAATATTTCATGACTTATATTCTAATGTTACAAGCTGAAGAATCAATGGATTTAGATTTATTACAAAGTATAATACCTGATATTTTTATAAAATTGGTTCAATTTATTGATCAATTAAAAATAAGTGGATTTACAACAAATGATCAAAGTCAGTATATTTATTTAATGATTACTGAATTATTAACAAGATCAATTCAGTTTATAATTGGATTATTAATGAGATTAAAAGACGATCAAAATAATTTAATCAAACAGTATAGTAAAAATATAACCACTGAGTTTGGTAGCATTGATGATTTAATGAATAAAATTATCCAGAAAATAACTCAAGAGATTGAATTTCTTGAAAAGGTATTAATTAATAAAAATAAATTAACTAAATTATCCAAATTATGGAAATTTTATTTAACATTTTTACAAAATTCAAAACAAATGAATTATGCAAAATTACATGCTGGTATACCTGAATTTACTAATACTGGAGCAGCAAATAAATGTCCAGTATTATCTGAATCAACTACAACTTCCACAAATTCTCCGATTTCAATCAAGAAAGACTTTTCAAAATGTCCAATATCACAAATTACGACACCTATGGATGATGAAGAGATAAAACCACCAATTAAAAAAGCTAAGAAATGCCCATTTGATCATACGTCAATGATTAAACCAAATCATCATGTATTCAATCCAATTGAATCTAATATTAGACAAGATTATAAAACACACTCACCAAGTCCTTTGTCTATGGTTGAATCAACACCATCTCAATTACAAAATCAACCAGTAAATATACAACAACCACCATCAGCAGCAACTCCACAATTACCTCAACAATTACCACCACAACAACTGACTAATTTTTCAATTTCAGCTACAAATTCAATATCAAATGAGTTAGAACCTATCGAATTTGATATTTTAAATCAATTTAATGATTTTGATTTTAATTTTTTAAATAATGAGAATTTATTAGAGCATTTTAATATGGAGAATAGTAATAGTATTAATAATGTAGAAGGGTTCTTTCAATAGTTTATAGTTTATAGTTTAAATGGAAATGGTTTAATGATAATAAGAAATTTTGACGATAAAAATAATTTATTTTTTCGCAGCAAAAAATCTCATGAAAAATAATCAAATCTCGTATCAAGCACATAACCATCGGGCCCATTTTAATGAATAGATTTAATACTTATGTGAGGTCAAGTAATAATAGATTATTACGGACAAAACTACACCAGAAATATTTTATAAATAATAGACTATATACTACAACAAATACCAATAAAAAAACAAGTTATTCAAAATATTTCAAATATGGGGTGGCTATTGGTTTAACTTCAACTGTTTTATATTATACTTCTGATAGATTCAAACATGAAATTTTAACTATAGATCGAGTAAATACCGTTACTATTGCCATGATTAGATGTTTTTGGTTATATAAACAAACATTAGATAAGCAATACCCAACTCAAAAAGAACGTAATGAAGAATTATCCAAAACTCATCAAAAAGCTGCAAATATAACATTAAAAGCTTTGGAGAAAAATGGAGGTGTTTATATCAAATTAGGTCAACATATCTCTGCATTAACTTATTTATTACCTAAAGAATGGACAGAAACAATGATTCCATTACAAGATAAATGTCCAAGATCAAGCATGGAAGAAATTGAAAATTTATTTGAAACTGATTTAGGTGCGAAATTAAATGAGTTCTTTTCTGAATTTGATCCAAATCCAGTTGGTGTTGCATCATTAGCACAAGTTCATATTGCTAAATTGAAATCAACTGGTGAAAAAGTTGCTGTTAAAATTCAACATCCAAGTTTAAAAGAATTTGTACCATTAGATGTTAAATTAACAAGAATGGTATTTGATTTAATGTATAAAGTTTTTCCTGAATATCCATTAACTTGGTTAGGTGATGAAATGCAAAATTCAATATTTGTGGAATTAGATTTTACAAAAGAGGCAGAGAATTCAAAGAGAACAGCTGAATATTTTAAAAATTATCAAAAAGAAACAGCTTTAAAAATACCACAAGTTATAAATGCAGAACCAAGAATATTAATAATGGAATATGTTGCTGGTGCAAGATTAGATGATTTAGAATATATGAAACGCTACCATATAGACACTTCAAAGGTTTCATCATGTTTGTCTCATATTTTTAATAATATGATATTTATACCTGGTGTTGGTCTTCATTGTGATCCACATGGTGGTAATTTAGCAATTAGGAAACTAGATAAAAGAAAAAATGGTCATAATTTTGAAATTATCTTATATGATCATGGATTATATCGAGATATTCCATTACAAATGAAAAGAGATTATAGTAATTTTTGGTTAGCTGTCTTGGATAATGATGTACCAAATTTGAGAAAATATGCAGAGAAATTTGCTGGAATAAAAGGTGAACAGAAGTTTCTTATATTTATGAGTGCTATAACTGGACGATCACCCGAAAATGCAATAAATTATAATATAAAAACAAGAAGATCAGAAAATGAAATAAATGAAATACAATCAACACTAAATGAAGAAAAAGGTGTGCTTGAAGATCTAATGGAAATTTTGAGTTCAATGCCTAGAATAGTTTTATTAATTTTAAAAACGAATGATTTGACAAGAAATCTTGATGAAAATTTAAAAAGTTCATTAGGTCCAGAACGTACATTTTTAATAATGGCAAATTATTGTGCTGCGAGTGTTTATGATGAAAATAAAGAGTATATAAATAAAACTTATAAAGGTATTTCATGGTTACTTCATCAATTTTCAAATTGGTGGCAATATCAAAAGCGACTTAGTCAATTATATATTTATGATGCTTCCCTCATGTTTAAAAGATGGTTTATTTAAATAGATTGTTATATAGTTTGATCATTTTTTATTATTATTTATTAATTAGATTGTATCCCGTTATATACTCTGATCATTTTTTATCTTATCTAATAGATTATTTATTCTTGGTCCCATTAATGGTTGACCCTTTTGATTTGATGATTGTTTAAATTGATCTTTTTTAAATTGTCGTTCTCTATTTTTAGTCTCTATAGTTTTCAATTTATCTTGAATTTTTTCAAGTTGTAACTTACGATTTTCATCCTTTCGTTTTTTAGCAATTGCTGCTCTTTCTTGAAAATTTATTGGTTTTCGTTTTGGTTGATCTTCATGATCATTTGATTCATCTTTATTTCTTTCTTCATAACCTTCAGTTTTAAGCAACTTGAAGTAATTCTTTCTTATTCTTGCTCTATGAGTTAATGCTTTTTTAATATCTCGTGATTTTTCTTCTCGACGATTTATATATTTCTTCTTATCTGATGATGCCATGGTTAATTATTGATAGTGATGAGATAAAAGATAAAAAAAAATAAATGGTCGCAAAATTTATACTATCAAAATTTTGCAATCAAATCAAAAACATGCAACAATATTGACTATTGACAGATGACGGTTTCTAGACACTTTTTAAAGGTTCTAGGATGTTTAAAGCTAATTCATGTTCATAATTTTTGTTTTAATTCTTGATTGATTTTGAGCAATAATAGATCGAGAAGATATATAGAAAGATCTAGAAATATAAATATTTTATTATATTAAAAGTATTCTTTCTATCAACGAATGAACTTTATAAACATACTCTACAGTTTTCATCAAACTCTACCAATTCAGACTGTTGTATGATCCAGATTTTTAAGTGTATAAAACTAAATTATATGGTTTGGTGCGAAATCATAATTTCTCGCCTCAATTTTAAGGCGACTCGTACCAAATACGTTGGCTCATGATCCTGTTCACTTGTGACAGTCAAACAAACTTTAGCTCATTAGTTACAATCAAACTTTAGCTCATTACTTACAATCTATCTAATTCTTTAATTGCTTTCAGTAATGCATAGCTAATATCCTTATTGAACTAGTTTGATGTTACAACTGGTAGTTCTTAACTATTTAATCCTGTATATAGTCACCACCATATATTTTTAATTCTCACTTTATAATTTTGTTCACTTTAATATTTGCCATCTTCAATTAGTAGACCTTAATGAATCACGATCCATATTATTGGGGACGTCCATCAGACGAAGTTTATGGTCAATATAATTACAACATAGCCAATGCCAAAAATGTGGAACAACATAACCAAAATAATTCCAATTTTCCAAAAATGAATACTCAACAACCGATTATAACAGGTACATCAGTTATATCATCAAAATTTAAAAATGGTATTATAATTGCTGCTGATAATGTTGGTTCATATGGATCATTAATGCGTTTTAATAATATAGAAAGATTAATTAAAGTTGGTTCACAAACTATTGTTGGTATAAGTGGTGATATTTCAGATTTACAATATATTCAAAGAATTTTAGATGAATTAGAAATTCAACAAGAAGTTTATGATAATGATGGAGGCGATTTTTTAATTGCTCCAAATGTACATGAATATTTATCAAGAGTAATGTATAATAGAAGATCAAACATGAATCCATTATGGAATTCAATAATTGTTGCTGGGTTTGATTCTGAAAAAAAACCGTTTTTAAGATATGTTGATTTATTAGGAGTTACATACCATGCATCTACAATTGCAACTGGATTTGGATCACATTTAGCAATTCCATTATTGAGAAACTTAATACCTGAAAATAAAGATTATATAAATGTAAATGAAGAACAAGCAAAAAAAGTAATTGAAGATTCAATGAGAGTTTTGTTTTATAGAGATGCTAGATCTGGTGAAGTTTATTCATATGCCGTTATAAGATTAAATGAAGAAACTGGTAAAATTGAATTTGAATTTAATAAGAAAACTAAAGTTGAAGATCAAAAATGGAGATTTGCAAAAGATATAAGAGGTTATGGATCAACTCAACACTAAATGTGTATTAAACTGTTTTTAATAAATAACTTCGGCACCACCACTAATAATATCATCGATTTCTTGATCTTTTATTGCTTTATATCTAAATCTTTCTGGTAATTCACTTCTTGAAAAACATTCACCATCTTTTGGTTTAATTGAATTAGGATTATGATATGGAGTAGAATTAGAAGATGATGATGAACCTTGACCTGGCATCAAGCCATTTGGAGCGAAAGGGTGAGCTTGAGCAGCATGAGGTTCTGAAACATTGTTAGTAAGACTCCTTATCTCACTGGTATTGACATACTTGGAGTTGGGTGTGGACCGCCAACAAATTTAATAGATTGTACATGTTTTAATAGTCTTGTAAATGCTTTCATATTGAATTGTATTGTATTAGTTGTCTAGTAATATTTTTTAAGCGTTGATATTTTTTTTGATTGGTTGTGGTAAATACCAAAAAGTTGCAACCAATTATACGAATATGGTTTAACGTGGAACGCTAGATCTGACTGGCACTAGATGTCGCTTGAAGGTACGGAAGGTACGAATTGTGACACTTGTTATGCTGAGAAGGTTTTGTCAATCGGTATATCCAATTTTGTTAATTAATTTATTTTTTTGCAGCCTAATGGAATTATTAGATTTACCAAATAATTTGATTGCAAGAATCATATATGAAAGATGGAAGATAGATAGAAGCTTCAATAACATTATACCATTATTATACACCTGTAAATATCTATACTACACTTTCAATTACATGTTATATACTTTAAAACCGTATTTAATTTATGATTTTGCAACATTACAAAATTTACTAACCAGACAACTTTGTTGTAAAATTAACACTTTGGTATTGGTCGTTTCAAAATTCAATGCTATAAATCAGTTGAAAGTCTTTTCAAACTTGTCTAGGTTGACTCTTCAACTAAGGACAAATCAGTTGAAATTTATAAACCTTTTACCAAGTACAATAAGTCACTTAAAAATAGTTTTGGTCAAATATGACATACTCGCACCAAAAGTACAACTAAATATTAAGTTCAAGCTTAAATCTTTGAAATTTCAAAGTAACTGCTATTTAAAAAAGTCATTTATACCACTTAAGAGAATAAACTTAAATGTAGCTGAGGAGAAATTCCACACTAAGAGATCACCAGTAAGAACCGTTCATAACTTCATATCCTTATTAATATCACTCAACTCAGACACATTGACTGAGTTATATTTACAAATGATTAGCTTGACGCAAATTTACTATACTTTGAAAAAATCAAATGTCAATTTACCAAATCTCAAGACAGTTAACATAGATCAAACTACATTCTATCCAATCCCATTCTTATCAAATTGGTTTAAATCATGTCATAAAATTGTCTACACCAACACTTTTTTGAATTTTAAAATAATTTTTCAAAAAGATCAAAATTCAAATTCAATAATTGAAGAAAAATATTACTTGTGAGAAATTTAAGCCATGGACAAATTATCAAGAACAATACAACGATTTCAAGCCAAAATTGATTCTGGATCATTTTATGAAGCTCATCAAACGTTAAGAACAATTACAAATAGATATGTTAAATCAAAACAATATAAAGAAGCAAGGGATTTATTATATCAAGGTACTACAATTTTAATTAAAAATAAAGAATATGCATCAGCATCAGATTTAATCAACTACCTTATTAATATTTATGAAGAAGAACAAATTACAATTGAAGATAAAGATTCTAAATTTAGATTAATTGAATTAATTGAAAAATTACCAAATAATGATCCTTCATTAAATGATTTAGCTAAAAATAGTATATCTTGGTCAACTAAAAATAATTCAATATGTAACAAATTTGGTGATCCTGATTTACATCACTTATTTGGATCAAAATTTTTAGAAACTGATGATTCAATTGATGAAGAAAATAAAGTTAAGGTATTTGCAATTGCTGAATTACATTTAGTTTTAGGTACTTCACAATCAATACCATTATATATAAATTACTTGATTAGGTGTTCAAAAGCAAATTCAGATGTTGATCCAGGTGTGTTTTTGAGTAGAGCTATTATAAATTATTCATATTTGAAAAATATAAATTTTGTTAAAGAATCCCAAGAATTATTTTTGAAATCTGTTGAAGGTGGTGAAGAAATGGGAAGTATTAGATTTTTTGAACAATTTCCATTGTTAAACTTTCTTCAATTATTAGTTTTAACATTACAAGTTGAACCAAGTACAAATAGTGCCAAATTTACAAAATTATATTCGCAATATAAATCAATACTTGAAAAATATGAAATTTTATCATCAATTGAATACTTAGGTTCATTATATTTTAATTTGAAAATTGGAAATCAAAATCAACAGAGTAATATGTTGGCAAATTTCATGAGTGGGTTATTTAAATAATATACATTAATAATTATCTATATCATCTTTTTTAAGTGAACTTGAATCAAGAGCACTGACCAATTCTAATCTTTTCAGTTTTATTAATTCGTGTTTTGCTTCCAGGTAAGTACACCATCTTCTTTGTCGTTTTTTCATTTCCGGCCATGATTTACTCAATTCATCAACTTTCATTTCAAAAAAATGAAACTCAGTTTTCGGAGTTGCGACATCTGGATGAAACTCACCTTTGATTACTGGAGCTTTTGAACCTCTTGAATCTTGGACGATTGGTAATATTTTTAAAATTCTACCTTCTATACCTGCTTCTTCCCAAGTTTCTCTAATTGCAGTTTCTTCCATAGTTTCATCTAGTTCATTACCACCTTTAGGTAAAATCCATCGATCTTTATGTTTTGATGAAGATATCATTATAACCTTATCTTTTGATTCATTTAAACAAATACATCCACACACTATTCTAGCACTATTCTCTTCATTATACCTTTGATTATCTCTACCGACTCTTGCTTCTGTTGACTTGTTAAGCTTTTGACTCATTTGACTTGTGGGGTGTTACTGTCTATTTTAAAATTGATAATAGAAAATGTGAAAGTTTCGTTTCAGGTTATATGCAGGTGGTGATAATTTGTTGATAATCGAAAGATCCCGAATTTTGATAGCAGAAAGGAAACTGATCAATGTTTAAAAGCTTCAAGTGAGTAATATGGTTCTTAGCATTGTTGTTATGTGAAAACTTTGAGCGTAGAACGATTAATTATATGCTTTCATTTACAAAAAAGCCTACTGGTTTACTTATTCCATCGTGTAAGTTTCAATAAACATTAAAGTCTTTAAGACATGAAGATAGTTTAAATAACCTTCAAAAGCTAAATTGAATGCTCTGTATCTTGTTTTCTTGACGTAGTCTATTGGTTTTAAATGGCTGCAAAATATTCATTTGACGCGACACGACACGACACGACACGACACGTCGTGCAATTTTTTATTTATCAATACGCGTTATTTACTTTTATCAAACTATCTTTAGTCCAATTGATTTATGAGTGATATAGAACAAAATACTGAGAATTATCATGATACAGAGGAATTTGATGATTTTATAGAATATAGTGAAGATGAACTACAACAAGAAAACAACGAAGAAAGTAAATCAAATCAAGAAGTCATTGAAATACCTTCCGATGAACAAGTTCAAGAAGATAGAATTAGACAATTAACAACTACATTGAAACCAAATGAAACTGAAACTCAAAAAGTTTTAAGAGCTCATATATCCGTATTAGTTTCTGCTTTAGGTGGTCCAGATCACACTTCAACTTTATCACCACCTCCATATAGATTAGGTCAAGATGCCCTAGCATGTTTAAAAGATTTAAAAAGATGGATTAAATCAGTTGATGAAAAGAAGAATTGTTATGATGTCGCATTAGCTTGTTTTACTACTAATTTAGTTACAAATGATTTAATTGTTATATTATGTCAATGGGAACAAGATATGTCAAATAAAGTTGATATAAGGAATAAAATAACAACTGAAAAAATTATGCTTTCATGTTTAGAATTATTAGTTTTATTAACTTGGCCTGTTGAATTTAGTAATGCATTATCTGAAGATCAAAAATTGGAATATGCAGAAATAAAGAAAGCACATTTAGTTTATAAGAAATTTCTATTAAATTATAATAAGGGTCAAGTATTAAAAGCATGTTTAAGATTGGTTAAACCAATCATAGTGAAATCAAGAATGGACAGAGAACCAAGAGATAATCAAATTTTGAAACTTGTTTTATATTTATTTAGAAATATTTTAGCTATTGAACCTGCAACATTATCAGTAGCTCAAAAGGCAAGTAAATGGATAGTTGCAAGTAAAAATTTACCTTCTAATGTCACTCAAGATGAAATATCAATTAATAGTTTATTATCAGTATTTAAGAAAAATAAAGTATTTATGTTAATACTTACAATTTCAAGTAATATAGGTTTTGAATTTGATAAGGATATATTTGGCGAGATATGTTTAGAATGTGTTTATTTGTTATTGAAAGGATTAGAATTAAAAGATATGTTACCATTACCACAAAGAGATTCTACTTCAATTGATAGTACTGAACCATTGCCACTAGTTTCAACACTAACTATGCAGTTGGAAGATTTAGTTAAAAAAGAAACTAAGTTGAAAACCAAACAAACTCAAAATATCTCAACAAGACATGGAAGATTTGGATCTTTACTTTCAATTAGATCAAATGATGCAAATACATATGTGATATCAGGTCAAGAAGCATTATATACGACTGATTCATCATTAGATAAATTAGATAAATCAAAGAAGTGGACAAATAGAAGTACATTTAAATATGATTCAGATGAATATGTACTGAAATCATGTCCAGTTTATCTTAATATTATAGGACGTGATGTTTTAACTGAATTTCTTGATCAGTTTTTATCTGGTGGTTGTTTTAATAATTTAATAGAATGTATGGCATCAAAATTAACAAGTTCATCTGATTTAAGTACGCTTGATGAATTATCAATGGCTAGTTATTTCTATACAATTGCTTGGTTTTTAAAATATGAACGTGAAAAAACTGAAAAAGATTCAAGTTTAAATTATGGTTCAATCGGTGGTGCTTTAAGTGAGATCAACTTTATCTTGATTATTTCATATTTTAGAAAATCTTATGAATTGAAAAATTGGAATTCATTACATGTTGCCATGATTTGTTTTAGAGAATTATTACAAATTTCAAATTCAATATTTGGTAAGAGAAGAGATGAAGTTCAAAATGAAATAGATAGAGAATTAGCAGAAGGGATTATGAGGAAATTGTTTTCATTTAATGATATTTTAAATATTGTAGTTCATATTCCACAAACTGCTTCAAAACATTCACCTAACTACTTAAGAGTTTCAATTTCGGTGGTTCATATTATATTGAAAGCTTTTGAAACTTTTGCAAATGAAGATATTCAATTATATATACAAACAAAGAGAAAAAGGAATAAAAATCATAAAAAGAGAATTAATGATTTGGATAGAGATACTGAAAATATGTTACGTGATGTAATTGAAGGCTCTGGTGATGAATTTGAAGATCAAATTAAACAAGTTACAAGAGAACGTAAAATAAATTATAAAGATACTGAAATTAGATTCTTTCATCAATCAATAGTAACTACTTATATTGAATTTTTATCAAGGTATGAAGATTTAACAGATAAAGAGATCAAAATGTGTCTTTCTTATTTTCATAGAGTGTTTATCAAACGAAAAGATTATTCAGGTTTATTTAGATTAGATTTTATGCAATTGTTACAAAAATTAAGAAATCATTTACAACGAGGAAGTAGTTTAAGATTACAAGTTGAAGAATTTATCTATCATTTTAATAAGAAATTTAAATTGGCATTGGAAAGATTTCCAAATCCTATTGAGATATTGTTCCCAAGATTTGAGGATACTGCAAGTAGGATATTTTTATCAACTGGTGAATTATATGAAAAACCAGAGGCAGAAACTAGAGGTCCAAGATTAGCTAAAGATTTAGAATTTGTAAGAAGTTTTGATTTAGATAATAAGATTAAAATATTAATTAGTCAATTACATTTACAACAAAAACAATTACTTATTAAATGGTTAATAAGTGAACTAGATAGAATTATCAATTTAAGGAATTTAGATTCTGAAGCAATTTGTGAATTATATCCAACTAGAGAATATAGAAGGTTAATTATAAACAATGGTTATTTAAGATTATTAATAAAAATGATTGGATTTGAATTACCATATACAATGGATGAGAATCCAGAATTAGGTAAAACAGATGTTGCAAAACTAGCTGAAATTTATGAATTGATTAAAAAATGGGATTCTTCACAACCTGTATTATTTGAGGATGATAAAGAACCATCATATTTCTTACGTACAAAAGAATCAAGTTATGATGAAGATGATAATGAATATGAAGGCGATTTTGTTGTGCCTCAAGAGACTGTAGATTCAGATAATAATTCAGGACTTGAAATAACTAAATTAGATCAATTGGAAGAATTAGAAAAACGATTATCAAATTCTGAAAAAGGAAGTAGAGATAAGGGCAAACCTAAAAGAGTGAGTAAACCAAAACCAAGAAAACCTGTGAAACCTCGAAAAGAAGGGGAGAAAATTATACGAAGAAGATTTCCAAAATTACTTGAAGATGATTCTCAACCTGTTAGATCTTCTGAATTTATACATGATTCAGATAATGAATCAGATGATGAAAAAGATAATGCATTTTTTGAAAGAGAAGAAAGGTTAAGAAAATTAATTAGTGAATCTGGTGGTATAGTCAGTGCTGAACAATTAAGTGAATTCAAAAAAATATGGTCTAAATTGGAAAATTCAACTAATAAATCAAAAGAATCAGTTGCTTATGCTATGAAAGAAGTTGCATTATATGCTCAAAATGAAGATGATAAGGAAAAAACTTTAAATGAAAAAAATGCAATTAGAGAAACTTCAGCTAAATTAAGTGATAAAGATGCTGAAGAAGAATTTTCAGTTGATCCAAGTGACAAAGATGTATTACTACAAAATGAAAGTGATGATTCAATTCTCAGTGATAATGAAGTCTCATCAAATACATCAATTGAATCAAAAAGAGAAGCAAGAAAACGTAGTATAGATGAAGGTTTAGACGAACGAATTAAAAGGAAAAAACGAATTATAATGGATGATGATGATTAATCTACTACACAGTGATCACTATCTTTTTTACCTATAGATTGTCTAATAGTCATGATTGATGAAATAAACATAACTGCAATTCCAAATAATACACATAAAATACTCGGTATACCTTTAAATATCCAAAATCTCTTTTTGTCCTTTGGCATTGTTAGATTAGTTTCATTAAATGATAATTTAAAATAACACAATGGTGGTATAATATATGCCATTAATGAAGCTGAAGTAGCACCTATTAACTCTAAAATCAAACCCAAATTACATGTAAATAATGATACAGACATTGAACTAAATACAAGTATGGTAGTTATAAAAAAATGTTGTTTTGAACTTAATTCTAAATCAGCTATACTTCCACCAGTTGCTTTCCTAACTAGTATAATTTCCTTTAAAACATCTCTAACAACAAATATTTCCAATGGGAATGTAGTTAACATATTTAAACCAAAACAAAATCTTGCTAAATTTATCCAACCATCATTACTTTTAAAATTATTTAATATATTCCCCTTTGTTATATCACCAAAATTAACTAATCCATTAATTCCCATAATCATGCAACAAACCATTGATACAAAACATGATATATGTGTTAGTTTTGCAAATTTTGACATTGTTGCATTTTTCATTGATTGATAAATAAACATTGTGTTATGATGACAAACTAATGCAAAAGAAATAACACTAATACCTTGAAATATATCTATATTCACTGTCCATTGTTGAACTGTTAATGGAGATCTTAATTCTTTTGCAACAAATGGTGCTCTAAAAATTGTAATCACCACTATAATTAACATTCCAATTAATGCAAATCCAGAAGCTTTAGCTAGTTTTGAAATATCTCTATTTAAACTTAATGGATATGATATACATGTTGTAAATAGCACAATAATAGTATTTCTATAAAATAACCAACCAATTACTTTATTATTTGAAATTGTTTCAGGTATGAAAACTTTTAATACATGAGGGATAGTATCTCCAATTATAACACAAAATGCCATACAACCTCCATATGCAAATGAACAAATTGAAATTAATAGTACAATTTTACCAGATAGTCCAAAACAATGATTTACTGTGTCTTGATACGATTTGGTCTGAGATAGTATTGAATTTTTCACAATTAATCTTAATGTCCAATCAATTAGTATAGTTAATAATATCATCACTATTATACCTCCTATTAAACCACTATTTCGAAATGCATATGGTTGACCTATTATACCTGCTCCTAATATTGAATTGGCCATATTCATAAATGCCATTTTCATATTTGAATTCCCTGTTTCTTCAACTTCCTCAGTAACTTCATAATCTAATTCATTTAATGTCTGTAATTCGAATTCTTCAGCTTCTTGATCATCTACTAATGTATTTGCTGATGTAGTATCATTTTGAGGTAATGTACTATATTTTTTAGGTATCGACATAATAGATTTTGTGTTCAGATCTCGAAAAAATATATATTTAATCTACATAAAAAAGATTAGCGAAATAAACAATAATACTACGTAAGTACTGAAGATTATTGTTGAAGAAGCTTTATTGGCTAATTCAAGAACTTGTGGAGTACTTGTTGGTTGAGATTTGACAATTTCAGCTAAGGAACTTTGAGCAGCAACAGCTTGTTGAATATTTTGTGAAGCTTTAGATATATCTGATTCAACAGATTTTTCTTCACCAGTATGTGTAGATTTAATCTCTTGAGCTAAAGATATTTGTTGGTTAGCAGCTGTTGTTTGTACTTTAACAACTGATGATAATTCTAAAACATATGAGTTTAGTGTTTTATTTGCATTTGATTCAATTGATGATAATGATGATAATTGAGATTGACAACTTTGAATAACAACAGTTTCTGTAGCTGTAGTATAAACTGATTTAACTGAAGAAATTTCAGATTCACAAGATTCAATAACTGTGATAACTTTTGAAATTTGTTCATATACTGTTGATTGAACTGATTCACAACTTTCTTGAACAACAACTAAACTGGTAATTTGAGCTTCAGCAGGTGTAGTATTAGAGGATGAGTAGTTTGATGAAGTTGTTGAACTAATTAAAGTGGAAACGGGATTATTAGATACACTTGAAAGTGATTCGTCATTAAATTGTGATGAAAATGAAGGAATTTCACTAGATTGTGGAGCAATAGATTGAATCCTTGAATTAGAGATCGGACTTGACTCTGATAAGCTTGATTCAGGAGCAATAGATTGTATGCTTGATTCTGAGGTAGTAGATTCAAATGTTGATTCTGGTGCATTTGGTGCATTTGAATTCAATGTTGATTCTGGTGCAGCTGAAGATGAGTCTGGTGCAGTTGTAGATTCTACTGATGACTCTGGAGTGATTGATGATTCTGGTGAGGCTGTAGAAGTTGTTGAATCTAATGATTCTGGAGTAGATGATGATTCTAAAGTTGAACTTTCGGCTGTAGATGAAGATTCTGCAGATGTTGGTTCTAATGATAAAGATTCTTGACCTGCTTCAGCAGCTAATAGTCTATTGTTTGTTTCTGTAGAAATCCACCATTGTAAACCTTTACTTGTACAATAATCATTTGCAACTGATGTAGCACTTGAAACATCTTGGCCTGTACAACTACTTGCAATACAATCTCCAACTGAATCAACAACTGAAAGCATAAAACAATAACAATTTGGAGCATCTGAAGCACAATAAGTTTGATTAGTAGATTGTTGAACGCAAGGTTGAGCACATGATGGCATTAAATCATAAGTTTGATCAATAAACACATTTCCTGTTGGTGTAGTTGCTTGAGTTGTTGAATTTGGTGTTGGACTTGACTCTGTTGAACTTGATTCAGTAGTTGATTCTGCAGTTGGTTCTGAAGTTTCACTTGAGCTTGTTTCACTTGAGCTTGATTCACTTGATGAACTAGACGCAGGTTCTTGAGCTGCTGCATCTAATCTATTTTGAGTATCAGATGAAATCCACCATTGCAAACCTTTACTTGTACAATAATTTGTTGCAACTGAACTAGCTGAAGTAACATCTTGACCGGAACAATTTTCAGCAATACAATCTCCAACGGAATCAACGACTGAAAGCATAAAACAATAACAATTTGGAGCATCTGAAGCACAATAAGTTTGATTAGTAGATTGTTGAACGCAAGGTTGAGCACATGATGGCATTAAATCATAAGTTTGATCAATAAACACATTTGAATCAGCTCTTGAAACAAGATTTGAAGTAGCAGTTGCTGCAGCTACAGCAGCAAAAAGTATGAATTTCATTTAATTTTTCATATAAATAAACAGCATCTTTGTTTATATAAATATTGGTGTTTTAACGTAAATGAAAAATTTAGATTCAAACCAATCAATAATACGCATTGTTCACGGATTAGGTCATAAAGATTCAAAACCATTTTGTTTATTCAATGAAAACTTATTTGAACTAATTCTGTGCCAAGTACAATTATCATTAAAGAAGATATCGGTGACACCTTTGTTTACAATTATAATTAACGCGTTTCCAGATATATCAAATTAGTATGTATACTTACCTAATACATATTTTAATGAAACATAGACAATTTTTTAGTACAATGTAGCATCGTTAAGTAGTTCAAATCTATCTTTTGATTTGATCAATCTGATAAAAAGCCGAAATCAGCGAACGAAAAAAAAAAAATGCTGTATGTAATATTTACGAGGTTTGTTTATTGAAATAGTGAAAAAAGTGGTTTCATTGGTTAACATCTCTTTGAAAACATTACTAAAAAGATTATCAACAACAACACTTAATTGAATTGCAATTTCATCAAAAATTTTTTTAAAAAGTAACCCAATTGGTAGAGTTACAAATTTTGCAGCCAATTAAATTTTGAATAATTCACCTGTTCGAACTTAACTTTTGCCATCTCAAAGGCCATAAAATGCTACAAAAATTTTGCATAGGATTCTGTCAACACATGAAATGCTTCCTGTGACGTTTTGGGAAGTCTAAACGTAATTGCTTAAGAAATAGGCTATTAATTTTTAGATCAGGAGATCAACTAACAGTCTCAAGAAAAGTATTACATGCTTAAATCCCAACTGTACAATCTCGTTCACTGGGGTTAGTAGTTTAGTGGTATAACGTTCCCTTAGCATTTGAGTTTGGTTGTAATTCACCCAAAACGTTTAGTGTTGGCTAGAAACAACTACTACATTGGGAAAGGTCAGGGGTTCGATTCCTCTCTAATCCATTACTTTTTTTTTTGCATGCTGAAACAGCTATTGTTTTGATATGATCTATAATATTTCTTATGTTGAAAGAAAGAAAGATCCAATAAGAGGTTGCAAATTTTTTGCAAAAATTCCGATTGTGATGCTCGCTCCAAAAAAATTGGTCGTCTTGAAACCATGTTGTGCGCTACCGAATGTGTGTCGCTGATTTTAATATGTATGTTTGTCTGATTCATGGCAATAAAGATCTTAATTAAAATTATCCACCATCAAGTTTTGATTTATAACTTCTAAAGAGTCTAGTAATCAACTTTAGCTTTGTCTGTACGGCTTTGAGATTTCTTAGGTTTTTTACAAAATTTGACAATAAATCATATTGGCTTAGAAGTCAAGTCGATAACAAAATATAGTATTGCTCAATAGAAGATGTAGTATATACGAGATGGATTTAACTGGCAGTATCTATTTTCTGTCTCCTTACGAGTAAGTAGCTGACAATCGATTATACTAAAACGACAGAATTTATAGGAAGTGCACCTTGTAAAGCCCTAAGCGGAGCTTTATAATCAATAGGATCCAGGTAAGCAAACATTGAGACTGCTAAGAGCTCAAATACTAGTATAATTAGAAATAAGTCGACTCTGTAAAGTCTAAATTTGTTGCAAGTAAATATCCTCTAAATATCTTTCAATTTATCCCTATTTAGCACCTTTTAATATCAAAAGTGAGTCTGTTTCAACAATTATCTGAAGATTAGGAGTGGGCATGATTCAAAAAGGAAGAATTTAGAGTTAATTTGATTGCATACAAGTCAAAAAACTTGAGGGATTTCATCTCGTAAAATAATATGTAAATTGACATTACACAAACAAGCAAAAAGTCAATTAAAGATACTAATTAATTCATTACAATACTTACATCCTAATCTCAGGCATATTAAAAGGATAGTACAAATGTTTAAAATGATAACTTTGGCATAAAGTAATGTATATTCAATCGTAAAAATTGTAAAATGTTGAAACACAAACGTTGAAAAGGTACTCGTGGACTATGAAAACCATTCTTTTTTTCTTTCATTACCCTCCATAATTATACTTCAGATTTAATTGCTCCCTTTTCAGCAAGACAGTCAGTTAATCTTGAATTGATCACACATTCTCATGGTATGCACTTCTCCTATATTTAATGAATTTATTAAACATTATCGTACTCAAATAACACAATTTTTGCTAACTTGACCAACTGTGACCCTTCAATTCTTTCTGTAAAAAGAATCACTTCTCAACCAATAGTCCAGAGATTGCCATATATAAATACAAAAGACTTTCTGATAAGTATTTGATTAAATCATTATAGTCAGAACCCTCGTCTTTAGCCTTTAAGTTGAAACGAGTTCTAGGTATGAGTAAGCATATAGTCTCACAGATGTTTTGAAGAATTACCCCAATTAGTATCCAAGTCCTGATTTTAAATATGAACTCCATTCTCCAAAAATATAAAAGTATCCGCATCCACTTATTATCCGATGAACTGCTAAATTACAGTCACTACTCATTTCTTCTGAGATACCTGAGATCAAAACTCCCACAAAAAGTAAATTCACAATCACATCTGGCACCTGGTTGAAATCATTCAAGTTTTGTTTTATTCTCCATGTCAATGCATGGTTGCAAAATTTGAAACACTACCAAGTGTATACAATCATGAGATACAAGGACTGACTTACCATACTTTAATATCTTAGATTGGCTCACTTTCTATTAAATATGGCTCTGGTGTCTCATACCAAATTTTAATTGTTACGATAGCAATAAGTATTACCCAAAACCAAAATGAACTTGAACCACTCAATCTTTTCTCCTTTTTAACTTTCTTCTTTTTGTTTTCTTTATCAGTTATTGATTCACCAACTAACACCAGCACAGCCAGCAAATAATCAATACTACAAGTATTTAATAAACAAAATTCATTATTTATAGCCTTTTGCAATACGTCTTCATCATGTGGAAAATATTTGCCAACTTCAGCTATTTTCAATCTAATTAAAAAGTCTGGAATGTTATACGTGTGTTTATAAACCATCATTTTCTGATACCATGCTAAATAAGTATAATGATCAACTATGGTTTCACAGCTTGGAAAATTTATAGTTCGAAAATATTCAAGTCGAGGTAAGTATGACGAATCATAAATTGATAGCTGAATTAAGGTGAAATAATACTTATCATAAAATGAATCCATGTATTTATTCTTTGTCTTTATGAAATTGTCAATATCCGTAAAATTACTTTTCCTGTTGGAAATTTCATTTACTATTTCTTCATACTTTTGTTTAGCTCTGTCATACTCAGTTTGCTGAGAATCTGAAGCTGAATCACTTACAGGATCGTAGTTAAATGAATGATTCATGTTTAATGATCATTAAGAAATAAATTCTACTCGAGATAATCTTACGGATAACGTAATTTATAATACTCTGCATTAATATGCATATTGTATATTGATGATTACTCAAATTTAGTTTCTTTGAAAGTATTTGATGATTTTACTGGTATAAATGAAGCATTAGGTTACTTGACAACTTATTCACATTAAATCTTCATTTCAATAATTGCTTTCTTGGTGAAATAGTACCTACTTCAACAGCTGAATTAGGATTATCCATTCAATTGCTAGCTTTAACTTTGGGTTATCGGTAGAAAGTTTAAAGCTTCAAGATTGTATATTTCCTTATGTTTGATGAGGATAAAGTTTTGTTGAAATTGAAAAGTCTTACGTATGAGGTTGATGATGCCACCTTGCACGATGATACAGATTCTGAATATATATGGGGAATTTTTGGTCAGAAGTAAAATTTCCCATCAACTTAAGAAATTTAACGATATATTGTGTTGTAATGATGTTAAGAGGATCTGTTCAGTTTCCAGATACCTTGGAAACATTAAGATTAGAAATTTTGAGTCACCAAAAAGAGTTTGAAAAGGTTAAATTTCCAAACTCATTAAAAGTCATTGAGATTTATGGTAGAAGAGAGGCTGAAGATATACACATCTAGAATTTAGATTTGTGTAGATTTAAATCTAAGTTAAAACTAATAAAACTTGGTATGATCTCCGAAATGCCCAATGAGCTTACGGGGATAGAGCTATTAAGAGTTGATAAATTACTCACGCATATGTAAAATTATGGATGTGTATTCAACTAAATAAAATAAACAAAAACAAAACAGCAAAAGGAATAATTGCAAGGTAAGTCAATAGTTTGAAAACATCGAGTACCATATACGACCAACAACTCTCCCTCATTTTCTTCTTCTTCTCTGTAACAACCTTAGAAGTCAATGCACTAATTACTGAGAAATAATCGATTGGACTTGGTTTCAATATATCAACTATATCATTTACCAAAAGTTTGATATATTCATCTTGGTAGTCAAATTCAATTAACTCAGCTATTTTAAGTCTAATTAAAGTATCAGGGATATTAAACGTATGTTTGTACGTCAACATATTGTGAATCCAAGCCAAAAATGTTTCATAATCATGTACATTTGAACAATTCGGAAAATTATTAGTCTGATATTTGTCAAGTTGGAAAACCAAAGACAGATCAAGCATAGAATACTTAACGATCGCCAATTGGTAATTTTCATAAAGTTGATTGAGCACATTATCATTTATCGCAATAAATTCATTAATATTAGTTCGATTGTCTTTATACTTTAAAATTTCATCTCTCAAAGTTTCATAATTTGCTTTCACTGCATCATAATCAACTGGTTGTTTGCTTTCAGGTACTGACTCAGTAGCATCTTTATATTCTGGATCCATTGTGATTAAATCAAATGATCAAAAAGTGTTAATTTGTATTTGCAGAATTTTGCAGCCAAAAAGAGTCCAATCAAAAAAGTTATAAATCGAGGCTGTTATAGACTAGAGAACCAATCAATTGAGATTCATATTATTATATACCATAAATTTGAGCTTCGTTCTTATTCCCCAGAGAAATATTCTTGATAAGAGCTTGTTCCTTGTTCACCCTCAACTTCCAATTGTTGATTCAAATGATCCAAAATCATTTCATAGTTAATAGGTACCGTTTTTTCATTAGCTAATTCCCAATGAATCAATCTAATCATCTTTTCATCATTCATCTTGTACAAGAATTCTTTGAATTTAATCTTGATCAAATAATCAGGAATGTTGTACAAATATTTGTAGTTTAACATTTTCTCAAACCAATTCAAAGTCAATAAATCATTGTTAATAAGTGATGTAGCTGGGAAATTCTCAACATTGAAACGATCTAACAATGAAATTAATGTTAAATCTGTCGTTGATTCTTGAATCAAGGCCAAATAGTTATCATTAAATAGCTTTTCTAATTTTGCATCTGATTGTTTTGTCAATTGTGACGCTGTATAATTTTCACATTTATATTGATATAACTCTTGTGAGATTTGTTTGAAGTTTGAAGTCATTGAAAAAAAGGATGGTTGTTTGCAATTGCATATTTTTACGTAAGAAAATGTTTGATTTTTAAAGGAGAAAACTATCACCAAGTTTTAATCAACACACATTTTGGCACATTGAGTAATATTATAAGTATGAATAAATGAATTAAAGTAACAAACGTGCTCTTAATATTATATTTAAGTTTCGACACCGTGATTCAAAAGCTATTAATCTGGCTTGTTGCACCTTTTCACTGGGATAGCTATAAAAAATATTCGTGACTCGAAAACTCAAGCAATTATACGGGGTTGCAATTGATGCAAAAAAGAGTATCAATGAACATATGGTAGCGACCCATAGAAAGTTTACAATCTATATTTACGTACATTAAACATTATGATTTCTTCAATCCAATCTTTTGCCAAAACAGTTTCTTCCCATTTTTGTCTGATTCATTTGAAGATACTGAATTTCCTCTTGATTTCTTCAATTGTTGACTTCTCCTTCTCTTTTCTTGCTGCTTTCGTTTAACTTCTTCCTCATCTTCGAAGCTAATTAATGATTTAACTTTATATATATTATTATCTCCTAAATCATCACTTGAATTATTATGATTATAACTGCTGAAACTTTGAGATTTATAAATTTCATGTATTTTATTATCCAATTTAATACTATCATCCTTTGAATTTACTGCTGATAAATAAATAGTTGATTCACTAAATGAATTATCTGAAATTAAAGATATAAGATTTTGAAATTTATCTTCATTTGTATTTGGTAATGATTTTAATTCTTTTAATTGTTGTTTATATCGTATTTTTTTACTTTCTTCTTCCGTTAATTCCTTAGGTATAAAAGATTCAACACTTTCTATAGATGAAGAACTATTATTTGTTGTGTTTGGAGATAAATCAGATGTGAATTTAATTTTTGGAACATCCTTATTTACTTTCTTTTTCGTGAGGTTTTCATGTTGTTGTCCTATTAAAATGGTCGGTATTGTTGAATATTTGACTATATATGAACTTAACTTGATTAGATACTCATCAGATGATTTTACTTTATATTTAAAATTTAAATTTGATGATCTATTTCCTATTATTATCAAATTTGGTTGATATTGATTGAAAACATGTTGAATCATAAACTTATTTCCCTTATTATCACCATCTAAAACAAATTCAACAGTCAATTTCAATTTTAAATTAAATTTATTCATATAATCAAGTAGATAATTTAGCAAATTGTGACATTTGAAATATAAATACTCCGTCATTGTACTTTTCCTCTTCTTTTTATTATTATACTCTTTTATAAATTGTTGGGGAATCAAACATGAAACAATTAAATAATCACCATCAATAAGAAAAGTTTCATCATTCTTTGAATTTATATTTAATAACCAGTCTATTGAATTCCATGAATGTTTTCTACCACTTATAATAGTTAACAAAGTCCTTGAATATTTAATTGTATCATAATCATCATGTTTTATAGTTAAATTTATAGATTTATAATTATTTTCATTAGAAGTTGGGTATTCTTGTTTTTTAAATAATGTAGGGGCTGTAGTTACCGAAGACCTTCTATTATCCGAATAATATGTCTTTTGATTGTCAAACTTGAATTTATCAAGGTTGTCAAAATTTGATTTCTTAAACTGTGGATCTAATGCCAATAGTTCTTCATTGGACATTTCGGAATAACTTTTCCTCCTTGGAGTAGACACTAATGGTTCATCTTCCTCCTCTTCATGATAATTTATAGTTGCATCTTCAATGTTATCATATAGATTATTATACTCCAATTGTTGTTGACTTACTCTATTCTTTAATATTGATTTCGAAGGTGGATCAGGTAATTTGAATCTCTTTCGTGGTTTATAATAAGCATTTGAAGTTGTTAACATATCCGGTATTGAAACATGATACTCATCACTTTTAGGTTTGGTTGTTGTATAATTATTATATAATGGTTGGGTTGTATCTATATTAATATCATCATCAGAATTTAAATTGTTGAATGAAACCCTTCTTGTATAATGATTTTCATTTAATGAACTATCTTTTACTGCAGTATTATTAAATGTTATTAAAGTAGTCATAAAACATAAAACGATTAATCAAATTATAATTGGCAAATCTCCATATTTTTATATAATTTTATAAAATACGAATTAAAAGAAGCAACGCATGGAAATTTTAATCTTCGACCCCCGTAATTCAAAAATCATACTATTCAAGATTATGGGCGCGGACCTAAATTTTAGTCCAGTTTGTACCATTTGGTCGTATGTTACAATAAATGGAACAAGAAAATTGTTTAAGGAAATTACTGCATATAAGACGAGTTTAAAATTTCAGCCAAGAAAATAAAAATTTGATGATGAAAAAAGAATGCTACCAACTTTTACATTAAACGACACAGCCTTAAGCGGTTGCTCTTATCAGATATGGCTAATGAAGTACAACTTAGATTAGGTATTTTGATATAACTATTGTCGAATTTAATATATTGTTCATCTAAAAAATAGCTACAGAAGCAAGTGAAAATCAAGCCATTCTTTTGAATTATAAATCGTAAATTCATCGTGTCTTAAATAATATTTGTAGTCTTATCTGAAGCACGTGCATCCATTGCAAAGTCATAACCGTGTCAAAAATCGACACTGTCAATCGATAAGAAATTACAAATAGTAATCAAGTTCCATTTTCTTAATTCCATAATATTTTGTTCGTTTCTGATTTACAACGTTTCATTTGAAACGTTTAGCAAATTTAATGCTTATCTCATTTGAGCATTCTATTACTTATCTTCTCTCCACATATTTATAATTCAAAACAGACAAAAGTGTATGTTGTTAAATAACCCAATTTGGTAATGTAAATAGTTAGACGTGAATTTGACGACTTAAATCGGATTTACTATAAATATGTGCGGCAAATTGCTAGATATAGAAATACGATCAGCATATTTTATTACCCGTCTTACATAAGATCTGGCTAAATCTTACATAATTACAGCTCGAGATTTTCATTAACATGTCAAAGGGTTCAGAAAACTATTATCGATATCTCGAGAATAAGCTAATATTATTGTAGTATTGTCTATATATCAACCTTATTTTATTTTGTATTATAAATTAATCAATTCTCATTTGTTGAAATATCGTGCATGTTATGAATCATACAATTATTTTTTTTTCAGCCTTATCGGGTTTAACAATTTTTTCTTCGAGTAAAAATAATTAATTGCTATTTATATCTTTATTTGAATAATGAATGGTTCTGCTAATGGTGGTATAAGTCACGGTGATAGTGAATGGTTTCAACCTATTCCCATTGAAGAATTTCAAAAAATTAATCAATTATCAAGAGAAAATGTTCCAAAATCAAGACCAATTGATGATACTGATAAGTTTGGTAGTCATTTGATTACTTGTGGACCAATTTTAAGATTAAGTGGAACATTAGAGAATCAAAATAATTATAGAGGTTCAATTATGTTGGTCACAAAAGATTCACCTGATGAAGCTCCACAATTAACTTTTAAAATTGGGCCTAGCCAAAAATCTACAAATTCAAATTTCAAAACTGGTGAATTTTTGTCTACTAAATATTATGAACAAAATGGCTATAAATTCTTTAGATATGAAGTTAATCTTGAATTGGCTGAAGTTGAACAAAAAGTCGAATATTTCATCAATAATAGTTTTAAAAAGAATTTTCAATTTTATATTCCAGCAGTTGATGAATCAATGAATGTAATTTCCTTTTCATGTAATGGTTTTTCATTAGCTTGTGATGCATCTGAATACAAATCAAGTTTATGGTTGGATGTTTTAGATAAACATAAAGATCAACATTATCATGTTATGTTAGGTGGTGGTGATCAAATTTATTGTGATTCTATAAAGTTACATTCAAAAAAATTACAAGAATGGTTAAAAATTAAAAATCCACTCAAAAAAAGACATGCACCTGCTGAAGCTAATGTTATTCAAGAATTTGAAAGATATTATTTACAACATTATATGGATTGGTTTGGTAAAGGTTATTGGAAAGGTAAAAATAGTTCAGTTTTAGAATCTTTGTTTCCAATTACAATGTCTCAAATTCCAAGTGTTAATATTTATGATGATCATGATATTATTGATGGTTTTGGTTCATATCATGATTCAACAATGTCTGCACCAATTTTTGCATCTGTTGGTAATGTTGCATATAAATTTTACATGTTATTTCAACATCAAATGAATCCAGATGAAAAAGTTCATTTAAACGATCCTTCATGGGTATTAGGTCCAAAACCAGGGCCATTTATTAAGCAAAAAAATCATTCAGTTTTTATGAAATTGGGTAAAGAAATTAGTTTATTAGGTTTAGATTGTAGAACTGAAAGAAAATTGAAACAAATTGTGTCTCCAGATACATATAAAGTTGTATTTGATAGATTAAATAAAGAAATTGAAACTCAAGGTGATACAAAACATTTATTAGTAATGTTGGGGGTACCAATTTTTTATCCTAGATTAGTTTGGTTGGAATGGTTATTAACATCAACTGTATTAGCACCATTAAGAAAATTAGCAGCAAAAGGCGTTATAAACAAAGGTTTGGTCAATGAATTCGACGGAGACGTCGAAGTCCTTGATGACCTTAACGACCATTGGTGCTCAAAATACCACAAAGCTGAAAGAAATAAATTAATTAGGGATCTTGTTGAATTTGGCTCTTCAAAAGGAATCAGAATCACCATATTATCTGGTGATGTCCATTTGTGTTGTATAGGTAGAATCAAATCAAAACTTCATCATCATGAAACAACTCATAAATTGGTTAAAGGTGATGATATTAATGAATTAAATGAAAAAATTTTAACTCAACCAGAAAATGATCCAAGTTTAATTTTTAATGTCATTTCATCAGCAATTGTAAATGCACCACCACCAGATGCAATGGCTACTTTATTAAATTCAAGATCAGGTATTCATAGATTTACTTCTAAAATTGAGGAAGATATTGTTCCTATTTTTCAAGATTATTCAAATCATCAATTTTTAAATAAAAGAAATTGGTCTGATTTAATACTTGCAAAACAATCAGTATTATATAGAAATGATGTTGATAAGGGAATTACTAAATATCCACAACCTTTAATCGTAGATTTTAAGATTGATGAAAAAATTGATAAAGTTGATGATAGACATATTAAATATCCTTTATATGATGATTCATTAGTTACAACAATTAGAGTTGAAAAAGATAAAGATAATTTAAAAAGTGAGTCTGTTGGTTATGAAGTTTTAATTCCAAGATTAGAAAAAGCTCAAAAGATTAAAGTATCTCATATTAAGCATGTTGATATTTGATAAATAAAAAGTTTAATAAAATTGTTGATTTCTTATCGAACCCTAATTATCAAACTCTTATTGTCAAACTCTATTCAAACTCCACTATGGTTTTATGTAAGAGTCATCTCGAGAACTTTTATATGTCTTTGTACTTACTGATATACGGTTTTTTATATTTTTTTTACTCTATATTATTTTGCTTCTAAAAATAGATGCGCAATTTAGCGCGATTTGCTAAAGATCTGAGATCTGAGAAGATCGATCTAAATACATTAAAGAAGCATTTATTAATTCATTTACAAATCATTCTATGACCAAAAAAACTAGCTTATTTTGTGGTATCTAAAACATATCTACCCATGATTTTACCTTCTTCCATTAAATTAAGGACTTCTGGTAATTCGGATAAGCCAATAATCTTAATTGGACATTTAATTAGACCTCTAGCAAAGAAAACAATAGCATCTTTACTTGGTTGTACTGTATTCAAATCAATGGGTTCCTTAGTTGAAATAATCAAAAGATATAAATTTATTTCCAAAATTTTATGCACTACAGACTTAGTAGCCGAAGATTTAGAGTATCTTAGCATTATTAATAGTATTACTTTAATTCACATTATCTGGCTTGATGACTTTGATGGTGTTATCAACAATTTGAACTTATTGAAAACAAACTTTACTTTATTCACGTCATATTCAAGCAACCAGGAGTTGATGTACGTGACCAAGGCTACTAAATTAAGTATGGTGATTTGTTATGCACAATCAATTTATTTGGAAGTAACTCAAATTTGAAGCATTTAAGAGCATGGAGATGTGAGACATATCAACAAAGCATTAAACTATTTTATTAATTTAGCAACACTTGATCTTGGATTAACTGAAGGGTCCAAATCAGAAATAGGAAGATTAGAACCAACTTCAACATCGAATTAAATTTGAGTAATGAACTACAAAATTTAAGCATTAGGTATTATAATTTGAAGTCTTACAGTCCTTGAACTAATGACCAATTTGAACATCTTGACAATATATCATAGTTCGTTTCCTTTTGATTTATTCAATGTATCTGGGATCTTGCTAATTTAAAGAGATTCGACTACAAGATAAATCCTGACCTTTTTTACAACGATAATGCTTATGAATATGAGAGATCAGTTGATTCACGCATTGAGTTTCCAGCCAATTTGAAAAATTTAACAATCAATTGCAATCGATTGGTTTAAAAGGGTCCCGTTCAATTTCCAGATAAATTAAATCTTTATTTTTGGACGTTCAAATTTGCAACAACCAAGAAATTAAATATCCTGAATCATTAAAGGTCAAGGAAATCAAATACAAGATTAGAAGATTCTGAATTAGAAGATCTGGTGGTAGAAGACTAGTCATATTGTATAATAATTTGTATTAGTCGAGTTTATCTTTTGAGCTCTTATTTATTTTAATTTATTCACCATTGACAAAACAAACATTATTTAATTACTTCTACAACTTCATTTGGAATATGAGATTACAAAGTTTGATGTAAACTACACACCTCTGAGGACAATTTAAGCACCCACAATTTCAAAATCAAAAACTAGTTTAGTAATACAAACTTTTATTCATTGTTTTTGTAGATTCAACCCAATAATGTAAACCAAAATAAAACAACAATTGGAATAATTGCAAAATAAACCTACACATTAAAAACATTGAAAACAACAACCAACAATTCTCGTTCCTCTTCCTTTCCTTTTCTGTAACCTTGGGAGTAAAAACACGAATTAGCAAAAATTAATGGATTGGAATTGCTTTATTATATCAGTTCTTAGTGATTACTGTAGGAGATTTTATTTAGAGTTTTTTCATATGCTTCGTGCTTATTGGTTTTGTTTCTAAAATTAAACACCCAGATCTGAGACTATACACTTAGACAACTTACTTGTCTCAAAAACACATTTATTAATTCATTTACACATTATTCTATACATAAACAAATCAATCAGTAAGCTTATTTTGAGGTATCTAAAACATATCTACCCATGATTTTACCTTCTTCCATCAATTTGAAGACCTGAGGTAATTCAGATAAACCAACAATCTTAATTGGACATTTGACTAAACCTCTAGCAAAGAAATCAAGAGCTTCTTGTGTATCTTTTCTATTACCAACGTAAGAACCTCTAATACTGATTGATTTAACAACAGCATCGAAGACAGATGTTGAAACTTTGGAATGAGCAGGTAAACCAACTAAAACGACAGTACCTAATGGTCTGACATATTCACAAGATTGATTAATGGCAGCTTCTGAGACTGAAACGTTAACTGCACCATGTGGACCTCCATTGGTAGCGTCTTTGACTGCTTTAACAATATCCTTATTTTTTGTAAAATCAATGAATGATTCAACTCCCAATTCTTTTGCAAATGCTTCTTTGCCTTCACCACCATCAATTCCAACTACTCTGAGACCCATAGCTTTCGCAAATTGTACCGCCAACGCCCCTAAGCCCCCACAACATCCTGATATACAAATCCATTCACCAGGTCTAACTTTTGCATTCTTTATTGCCACATATGTCGTAATTCCCGCACATCAACAAGCGTGGTTAGTATTTTATTCTTAAAAACCATTTGGTTAGCCATATTTTGCAATCTGTTGATATTTTTCTTTTTACAGCCAAAAGGGAAGCGGTCGTGCAAAAATCAAATTGCAAATATACCAACCAAGAATGTAAATACATACAATATTGGAGCAACTTCAGCTAAGTTAGTGCCCTTCGGAATTTTAGCAGCTTGAACAGCATCAGCAGTAGCATATTGTTGAAAAGAACCATCATGAGTATAACCACTTAAATCAGCTTGAGCACAATTAGCTTCACCACCTTGCATACAAAATTCACAGCTTAAACATGATCCATTTAACCATTTAATACCAGCTAAATCACCAATTTGCCAATTTTTAACATTTTCACCCATTGCAACAACTTCACCAGCACCTTCATGACCACCAACCAATGGTAATTTAGTATCTAAAGGCCAATCACCTTTCCAAGCATGTAAATCAGTATGACAAACACCTGAATATTTAACATGGATTAATAATTCATTTGGTTTTGGTTTTGGAACTGGAATATCTTTATATTCTAATTTACCACCATTTGTTTCAAAAATGACAGCTTTTTGAGTTTTTGGAATTTGAGCCATTTTAAGTAATTAAGTTTAATTTGTAATTTGTAATTGTAGTTTTAATTGAATTTAAAAGTGATGAAATAAAATTTAGGAATTTGTTGAAAATTATCAACTATTTATATTAAAATTTCGGAACTCATTCGATTCAGTTTGTGGAGATTTACTATTGACAAAAAATGAATAAAATTGAAAGGATGTAAGATGATGCATGATTGAGTAAAAATAGGTGTAGTGGGGGTATTCAAATTCTTTAGCGTTTTAACACTTGCACCATACCACCCAGAATTTTTCAAAAAAAGAAAAAACGAGGACAAGCTTTTCCTTATCGTAAATGAGAGATTTAAAGTCCGATCACTTGTGTGACTAATTAAACCTTATTAAACTTTGAAACATACGATAGTATTCAACTAAAAAAGTCAATTTGAAGATTAAATTGTCAGAAAGAATGAAGAGAAAACGTGTTTTATTGAATTTAATTTTGGTTCTAATTGACACGAAATTTCGAATTGGCTGTATGTCATTGCTGTAAGTCTTCAAACAATACGAGTGGCTCGATTAATCATTCTTTGCTTCTGAATCTTTGATCTCGAAATGCGAATAACAACCGCCGTTGATCGTAGTCACCTTGTTTATAAACCAATCTCGTGTATTCATAATTCCAAAATCCTGATTATAATTGAAAATCAATCAGTTGATTATTGATACCAACTGATTGATCCTAAGATGACACAAAATTGAATTATAGTACATCTCCTGATGATTATGTAATCGGGCTTATTCTCGCTCTAAACTCCATTTCTCGGACTTAAATCGATTATGGGGCTACCCAAAGAATATACTTGCAAAATACAAGATAAATCGAAACAGGAGAAGGATTGAAGAAGTAGAAGCAGAGGTCTCATGCAAGTGTCATTTTTACGATTAGATCTCGCTTAATTTAGATTCAGGACCAAAAAATCTTGAAAAAACCAAATTATAGTGGTTATTATCATGCAAGGAGTCTATATTTATTGTTGTTGTTTGCAATATACGAGTAAATCACCTTTTCGTCTATCATCCCAATGAAAACAACTATTAAAATATCGATTACATAGTTTATAATCTTTTCTTTTATCCATTACCTCTTTTAATTCTTGAAATATGATAATTTTATCAGCATTATAATTATTGATATATTTTTCTGGGTCACTATAAAACACATCTGATTCATCTTGGTATGCTTTTATTTCTTCTATTGTTGGTTTATCTAAGTGTAGTGGTGGTTCACAAGTTATAAAATAACCATTTAAACTTGGATCATGAAAATAACTTTGCCAAGGAGTTGAATGGCATGGCATTATTAATCCAAATGAAGAATTAGAAAGTTCGGGTAGTATATCCATTACACCTCTTTCATTAATTAATGTGAAAAATAATGCAATGAAAATGTTCAATATAACAACTGCAATTTTGACCCATTTACTAAATTGAAATTTATGGTATCCCCTTGCTGTGTAGTATAACATTATGGGTTGTAAAGGAAGAATAAATCTGAATTCTTTGTGCTGTATCAATGAAAAACCAATCAAATAAACTAAAAACACCACAGTTGCAACACTTTTCTCAACTCCATAAATCATCAATGGTAAATAAATCATCATCATCAATGGTATTGCTTGAAATATATAAAAATGCCATGGCGCAACTCCATAAAATATTGACAAATTTTTAAATACATTAAACTCGAGGAAATTGTACAATGGAAATGTCAACTCTTTGTAAAATGAGTAATCCAACCCAATATTAACTATTAGTAACCCGACAATTTCAAAAAAAGACAATATAACAATTCTAACTGTAAAGAACCTCTTAAATATCAACCAACTACCTAAAGGAATCCATATCAATACATTTGTTGGCCTAAGTAAACAACTAGTAAATCCAAAACATAAACTTTTATACCAATTAAACCCAGTTTTCTTCCATGGCCAATATCTCAAAGCCAAAATAGTCAATACTGTCTCCAAATTATTTGAAAATGATCTAGTTGAAACATACCAATTAAAAGGATTTAATAATGATAAAATTAACGTAGTTTTCGCCAATCTTTTACTAGAATAAATTTCAACAAATTTGTATAAATTATATTCTCCAATAGTTGCAATTATAGCATTTATCAACTTAGGAACCAATCTAACCAATCTCTTATCATAACCAATTAGAAAATAACCCAAGGCATAAATTAACGGATGAATTGAAGATCTTAAATTATTTTTCCATTCCCATGTTAAATAACCGTAACCATATACCAAATAATGAGCAGGTTCTAAAGATTGATAATATTCATCAGCTTGAAAGAATGTATTAATAGTTAAAGCATTAATTAGTCTAATTATAAATATCACCAACCATATTTTTTTCAACTTGGAAAAAAACATGAATCAATTCTTGAATTATATTGATGAAACATTTATAAATTTATCGATTGATAATAACCAACAAGCAAAAAATAATTGTTTAAAGGCTATAAAACTATTAAATGGATTAGTGAAGGATACAAAATATTTAAAATGCTTATCTGAATTTACATTAAAATTATACAAATTGAAATTATCAACAAGTGAGAAATTGGCATGGCTAAGTTCAAAGAATTATCATCCAATAGTTGATTTTGGTGAGGTTACATCACATAATGAGATATTCATAGGTCTGGTGAATGATGAAATGATGCCAATGCCCGATTTACCAATTGATTATAAACCAATAAATATTGATTCCTGGGATACAGATTTAAAAGATATTTATCAAGATATACTACCCAATTGTTCATTCGTATCATCATTCCTAGCATTAAATGACAAATTTAGGTTAATTGATTTGATAACTCCACATCATCCATCATCCTCATTTTTTGTAAAATTAAATTTCAACGGTGGTGAACGAATAGTGAAAATTGATAATAAACTACCCATAATTAAAGACTCAATGAGAAATCTTATTATCAAATCATTAAGTTCCGATATTTATTGGCCTGCGTTGATTGAAAAAGCATATTTAAAAGTTATGGGAAATAGTTATAAATTTGAAGGTTCAAATATGGCTAATGATACGTATATGTTGAGTGGTTACATACCAGAAATAATACAGATAAAAAATGGATTACTAGATTTACCATATTTGAAGTCAGTAGATGCTGTGTTAGGTATTGGAACTCGAAAATTGAGCTCACAATTAGCATCTCAACTTAATTTAATTAGCGAACATGATTATGTGATTGAAAAATTTAATGATGATGGTAGCATTGACATTAAAAATCCTTGGTCAATTGACAATAGAACTAATACAATTCATGATTTTACTCATTTCAGGTTCATTTATATAAATTGGAAGAAAACTCTACCTTTCAAAACTCATTTTATTAACACTTCAACTCAATTTAAGGTCAAGGGATGGATATTACTAGAGAAACATTTGCCTGTTGAAAATAATTGGATGAGCATAACTATTTATGACTCAAAATTCAAAGTTTTAACGGAAAATGAGTATAAAAAGATTAATTATATTGACACAAATAATAGATTACAATTAATCAAATTACCGAAGACATGTACAATCAAAATTAACTCAAACCAAAATGGTATATTTACATTATCATCAGGTTATGAAATCGAGAAACTGAAATATGAGTATAGACACACGTCAGAATTGTCAGGAGAGTGGAATTCTCAAACTAATGGAGGGAATTGGTCAATGTCTACATATATTGATAATCCACAATATAAAATGGAGGTAAAAGAACCTACTAATCTTAAAATTGCACTACATAGTAAAGGATTAGTTAATTTACATTTATTCCACGGTGGTGGAAAAATTGAAACTTTCACAAAACCTATAATTAATGAGAATTACAATCAAGATTATCAATTAGGAACCTTCCAATTATCCAAAGGAAGCTATACATTAGTCGTTTCAAGGTATGACAAGTCTATAGAATCATTTAGATTAATATTTAATTCAAGTTCGGAAATAAATATATTCAAACACTCAAATTATCTTGGTTTATTTAATAAAACTGTTGAGTTTGACTGGGACAATAAAAATAGATACAAGTATGTGTTTACATTAACAGATCCTACTTCAATTAAATTTAGAATCAACTATTTCAATTTAAATAATTCATTTGAAATTCATTCAAATTATCGACCTGGCTTACGAGCTTCACTTTTCAAAGATAAACAACCAATATTAATAAATAAAGAGTTTAATGATTCATTATTTGGTATTTTCTTAACTTGCGATTTATCACCTGGTGCTTATATATTATTAGTTGAACGTTTTGAAATTGGTTATGGTAGTTGCAAAATATTTATAGGATCAAATAAAAAAATAAAATAAAAAAAATATATACTCGTGTCAAATACTCGACAATGAAAATATTAATATTATTATTACAAATCATTGGTCTATCAATTGCATTATCAAATAATCAGTTGAAATCATTAGTTCAATCTAAATCATCAAAATTGATATCTTTAACTGATGAAAATTTTGAATCAATTTTACAAGGTAAAAGAGATTATCATATAATTGCATTGCTAACATCATCTTCACCTCAAATTAATTGTGTTTTATGTAAAGAAATAGGTCCAGAATTAGAAATAATTGCAAATTCATGGTTTAAAGATCATCCAAATGGAATAGAAGATGATTTCGATTTATATTTTTTCAAATCTGAATTTTTAGAATCAAGAAAATTATTTGGATTATTTCAGTTAAATAACATACCAAAGATATTTTATTTCCCACCAACTAATTCAACAGCTAATAGAAATTATGTTTCTGAAAAAGTTGAATATCAATTTTATCAAGGTGATCATAAAGATTTAATGATTCGTTGGTTTTCAGAATTGACTGGTTATAAATTTAATCTTTACATCCCAGTAGATAAGACTAAATTGGCGATTCATGCTATACTTGGATTCACTAGTGTTTTCCTCCTTAAAAGATACAAAAAGTATGTTTTCAATGTATTAAAATCAAAAAATACCTGGGGCACATTATCTTTAATTTTAATATTATTATTTACTACTGGTTATATGTTTAATCAAATTAGAGGTAGTCCATATATTATTGAACATCAAGATGGAAGAAGAGAATTTTTCTTACCTGGTCAACAAACTCAATTAGGTATTGAAACTCAAATTATTTCATTTGTTTATGGGATTTTAAGTATTTTGTTGATTGTATTGATTAAAAGAGCACCTACTATTAAAACAGATTCTATTAATTTATTATTAGTTTCAATTATATCTGGTTTAATATTTGTAATGTTTAGTACTTTATTAGCTTTATTTGGTTTAAAAGGTTTAGGTTTCCCATATAGATTTATAAGATTTATAAAATTTTAAAATATACAATTTGAAATTATAGATTAAAATGACTGCGCTGTGATGCACTGATAATACAATAATGATGATATCAGATATGTAGTGGTATCATCAAAATGACGAGATATTGCAACGTCAAATATTTCACAATCTTCAATAACAGGTTTACCCTTGATACACTTAAGCTTTAAAATCAGACAAATTTTAATGATACTAAGATACATTGATCAAAAGTTCTAAGATTACTCATTAGTTGCGTTGGTGTACTATACATTTTCAAAAAGTGCCGTTATTTGATCAAAAATAGGTTTTGCTCAGAATTCCAGGCTTCAGACAACTCCAAATTTAATGACGTCCTATCGAAAAAATTTGAGGATTATACCTACAATATTGAGGGAACTATCTTCAAATTAAGTTTGAGATTGGTTTTTATAACACTGCATACCATTATGGAATAAATTTTTGACTAGACGTAACAGTTGGCCTACGCGAAACGTAAAATACGGTAGAAAAACTTTTTTCTTAAGGCGAGAGCTGGTTCCATCACCCGTGCTGTTCAAACCTCTCCAACAACACTGAGTACATGACTTATAGACTTTAAAATTGGTTTGGCGTAGAATTGCAATCAATTTAGCAATACATCCAAACTATAGAAAGCAGAAGCTACAGATCTATTGAATTTATGTATTCAATGTCCATGTTTACGGACAACAATAATACTTAGTTTCAAAATCAAGCTAACGGTAACAGCTCCGAGAGTATCAAAGTATAGAGGACCTGGTAGTAGGTACCTAATGAACTAAGACCTGTATGCTTTAAAAATTTCGGCAAATACCTAGAATAGGTATTATATACGTTAATATTTGGAACTTCAACAGTAGTTAAGAAATATGCTCTACTAATACGAATTTTTTCCAAATCCAAGTTAACTGTAGCCATCTGGTTCGGAAGCAGGTATAGAACTAAGCACCTGTGAATTAAATCCCCAGTTTTTCAGATTTTGTGGTTTTTTTTTTTTTTTTGCAGCAATCTGAAAAGAACAACAAAAATATTTCATGGCGAACCAATATAGAAAAGACGCTACCAAATATAATTACACTTTTGATGATTACTTTTGACTGATCCCAGATGAGTGTCCAAAATTAGGCAATCTTGTTATATATACTCAAATCTATACTTTCTGATAGTTCTGGATCGGCACCGCTGAATTTGAGTAGATGATTTGATATTTATTTTAACCTGCAATTTTAAAACGTGAAACTGTAAAATTGTAACATCACACTTATCTCACTTTGTCAGATCAGTGTGGTTCATATTTTAACAATAATAAGTGGGGAAGAGCTTATAGTGTCTGGGTATCATAGAATTAGTATCTACTTTGAGAAAATGCGTTATTCGTGGCATGTAGCCAATATTTGTGGTACGAGGTTGCCTGAAATCTAACGCGAGAAATTTTTTCTGTTGCTCCAAATTATCGCATTGGAAAATACATACTTCGTCGCATAATTCCGGAAAAAAAAGCTTATATGCAGTCGTACAATAGTTAATCTTGAAATTGAAATTTTGAACAACTCCATCAATAATCAACTTCTCTTTCTCAAACTTCTTTTAGTACAAACTTCAGCCCAAACAGGGTTAGTCGATGTTAGTTTGCACAGGATATACATAAGTATGATGGCTTAATTCTTTATTTAAAAAATGATAAAAAACGCTATTTTGCGAGATAACTGACACTTAGGCATCAATTAGCAACTTCCAACATAGCTGATTTGGTGTACTTTATAAAGTGGTTCTTATTACGGGGTAATTTTTAAGCACATAATTTTTTTGAAGAGCTCTGACTGGTCAATCTTAAAAATAAAATTTTTACGCATTAAATCTACGAACCGTCTAGCAGTTTACTCGATAAAGCAACGAGAGGTCAAATTAACATGAAATTCATGGTTAGAAAGCCACTTATGTGCTATATACTGCTCTTTACGAATTTTCGTATGTTAAGGGGTATTCAATCGGTAGCGTTAAAGTTTATTTCCGACATTACACTTTTAAACTTTGTTAAACTCAATTAAGGCCCGCCTGTGTACTTTGAGTCGCTAGATATATTGATTTAAAGCGTTTAAAGGTCCGTAGAAACACAAATACATCAACATTTTGTGAACTTTAGTAGTAAAAATAAAGTTGTCGAAGTGTATTTGTCATCAGCCGAAACCTTAGCACATGGGATATCTGAGTGTTGGATAGAGAAATCAAATCAGCTTTTTACTTTAATTTGAATAGAGTTGTTACAGCATATTTTGTACAAAATATCATAAATTCACTGTATATTGTTGAATTTTTGCACTTTATTTTCATCCTTGAGAATACTGCTAAGTAAAAATTGGATCCCGGGCTCTTTGATATATTTTGGAGCAAGTCCAGTTCAATTATTGTGACGATGATTGACGTGCGATTTTGCATTTTTTATGTCAGATTTCATAAATTATTGTCTAATATGATTTTACGACTTTGGTTAATGACTTACTGATTTAATCTAACTTATTTCAATTGATTAGGCTGGATGTATTTGGGCCAAAGTTTGTTGACGACCGTCCGAATAACCAAAAATCTTAGCTTATACTAGATCACTTCATTAAACCACACTTAAAACATTTAGAAAGCCTACTTCTCATCTTATTTCTCGGGTATCTAACCATGAACTACCTTTAATCCATTCCTTCTTCCAATTTGGCCACTCGTTTATCTATTTTATCCAATTTCAACAATACAAATTCCAACCTCTTCCTTAATGATTTGATTTTTTTAAACTTTTCAGTTAATTTTTTCTCATTTATATAATTATTACCTATCAACTCTTTAAAGTTATTCAATTTTGATTCAATAATTTTTAGCCTTGTCAACAATATAACTTGAGATTGATTCAACATATTAAAATTTTCATTTAAATTTTCAAAACTTCCATTTAATAAAGTATGAGCTGTCAATTCAATAGGATGTAGACCTGAGCCTGTACTAGTATTCATGTAATAATAATTTGTTATTCTTATATTTGGTTCGGATATATTTGGCTATTTTTTTTTTCACATGGAATAATATAAATTCATATAAATAAAAATTAGCCACTATGAAAGATTTAGCGGATAGCAGTATATTGTTAAATAATATGTCTGATAGTTTATTATTCAGACAATTGAAATCAGTTAAAGCTGGTCAAATAGAAAGGTTTAAAATTGAATATAATCCTCATGCTGATGGTGATGAAATAATTATACCTCCCAATTTATATATCAAAATTAAGAATTTAGAACCAATAAGTAAAAGAGCAATATATTTAGCTGGTCCATACATATTATATGTTGATTGTAAGCTGTGTGACTATGATTCAAATCAAAAATATTTTGTAACTGCTGATCATCCAAGTTTTGAACCTCAATTATTACCTGGTCAATCATTTTATGTTCAATTACTGTGTCATACTTTGAAAAAACATTATTGTTGGGAAGTAGATGTCATATCACAAATTATATTTAATAATACTATTGAAATTGATTTTGAAATAACTATAGGAACATCAAGAGAAATACTACATGATTCATCAAATGCCGAAAATTCAGATAAAATAGGAACATTTCATCATTTATTAAAAGTTTATTATCAAGATACATTAGATTTATGGAATTTACCAATACCGAAACAAAATAAACCAAGACATTTAGTTATTTTAACCCACGGCCTACATTCAAATGTAAGTGTTGATATGTTATACCTTAAAGAACAAATAGACAAGTTTGCTAAAGAGAATGAAAGTGAGGAGGAGATAGTTGTAAAAGGATATTTTGGTAATATAGGTAAAACAGAACGAGGGATTAAATATTTAGGTTCTAGAGTTGCTGAATATATTATAGAGTTAATTAATGATAATGAAAATTTAAATAATGGTCAAACTACTAAAATTTCATTTATTGGACATTCGTTAGGTGGTTGTGTACAAACATTTGCTATAGCATATTTAAAAATTAACTTTCCATGGTTTTTCGACCAAATTAAACCAATCAATTTTGTTACCGTATCATCTCCTTTACTCGGTGTTGTTAATGAAAATCCAATGTATGTTAAACTTGTATTATCAGCTGGATTAGTTGGTAAAACAGGACAAGAAATGGGATTAAAAATTTTGGAAAACAATTCAAAACCATTACTTTTATTATTACCAACTGGAGCAACTCATCAAGTATTGAAAAAATTCCAAAAAAGGACAGTTTATGCAAATGCAATAAATGATGGGATAGTACCTCTACGTACATCATCTTTATTATATCTAGATTATAGAGGCCTTGCAAAAATTATAAATTCTGATGAATTAGCAAATAGTGAAAAGACAGATAAAGTACCGAAAAATGTTGAGAAAGTTAATAAGTTCCACTCTGTACAAACATTGCTTAGTTACTTTATGCCCTTTCAAAAATCAACTGAAGATAATCATAAAGATGGTTATTTAAGAGATCAATTAACAGGAACAGATATTGAAATACCAAACAGTACATTTTTAGATTCAGCTGCTAGTATAATATTACCACCTGTACCTTCAATAAAGCTTATAGTTGATCCATCATCAAGAGAAAATCCAATAATTCATGATAAAGTATATTATGAAGACGATTTACCACCAGTAGATAAACCAAACATAGAAGAAACAATAGCAAGAGAATATCATAAATCAATGAGCTGGAGAAAAGTAATTGTGAAATTGAAACCCGATGCTCATAATAACATAATTGTAAGGAGACGTTTTGCAAATGCGTATGGATGGCCTGTGATACAGCATTTGGTAGAGAATCATTTCAAAGATTCTGAAGTTAAAGAATTACCGAACATTTCCTCATTAGACTCATTAGATGAAGAATTAGATTTACTGAAGATTGTTTCAAGAGATTTAATAGCTAAACAAAATAATGAAATTGATCAAACTACAACCGAAGAAGAAATTTCATGGATAAATTCAAAAGATAATAGTGATTCAGTATTTGCTTTAGGAGTTACTGGATTAATTGGAGAAATAACTGGTATGATGGGAGATTTTAGAGACCAAATTTATAAATATTCTTTAAATCCCCCTACATTACCTATAATTGGACAAATTCCAATACCACAATCATTAGCACCAAATGAAAAACCAGAAGAAAATAATGAAACTGCTATGAAATTAATGAATGATTTTATATAGATATAGATGATACTTACTCCATCTCGTCGTACAAATTCGTTTATTTCTCTATTTATTACGCTTCCATTTCTTGGTCTTCTTCTTCACCTTCTTCTTGTTCTATTGGAAACATTTCATTAATTTTCCCTAGTATAGTTTCACAATTCTCAATACCTAACCTTTCTTCACATTCTTCAATTAAAGTAAATAGCACAACCATAGACCTTGGTAATGAGTTTATAATTTGCAATTTTTCAACCTTCATTAATTCAAACTGGTTCAAAAATGACATGAGTTGCTTAAATTGGTCTTTATTAGTGATTTGAGCACACTCACTGACTTCTAGATTCGCAAGGACATCTTTAGTTATAACTTCTAAATCAATACCACAGCTTGTGAAATGTTTATGTTTTTTCTTATGATTATTATTGTTCTCTTCACCATTGAAATCCCAATGATATTTCTGTTTTAACTCTTTTAAATGTTGTGATACTTCATAATTTGATAAAAATGAATCTCTTTCAGATAAGATCTTCATCGTATTCGCATATTAATTTTTAATTTTTTTTTTTTTTTTTTCTAATGACAAAATTGATAATTGTACCTGGCGAAATCAAAACATTGAAAAATGATACTAGAGTAAGAATACTTTGTCAAGTTATAGATTATGTTGTTCCATTATTGACTGTTGATAAAATTCCAACAATACAGGGAAATTCAGAAGCTATTACGATAAATATTCATGATTTATTAAATGAAGTCGCTTTTGAATGTTTGCAAATTGGTAGTTTAGTTGAAATAGAAGGGTTTTGGAATAGTGGAGAGTTATTGCCTTTTGTTATTGAAGAAATTAATGGTTCTAATTTTAAATTTGAGAATTTGGAAGTGTTAAGTTCCATTCTGAATTTGAGTAACATTTCAAAGAGGAAACGATTTAGTTAATTTCATTGTTTCATGATATTGGAGAGATACTGCCTGTTACGGCTAAAGACACCAGAGGTGCTTACATCAAAGTCGGAAATTTGGAAGCACTGAGTGCTATAATAAATGCTATTTCGAGAAATCAAATAAAAGTTCTGGCAAAATGATTTGATCAGACAGAAAACTATTGGGATAATCATAGAGGGGAAGCTTTAATTAACGTCTATTTATTTGGTCGGGCTAGTCTATCTATTAGTAAAATATTGGTCCCAAATTTTTTCATTTGGTAAATTATGAATCAATTCAAATGTTTTTTCACCTTCACGATTAGTAGGTGTAGTCCCCTCAGATTTATTCAATTCATTGAAAAATAAATCTAAATCACTATCATTCCACTCAATTTGAATATTTTCAACATCATTGGGTGCCAGTTGCATTATATTTGTATTCACATTTTTCAATGGATTGAGATGGTCTAGTTCAGATACCAAGTGGAATAGGTTTGAATGTACATTACCACCATTTATATCATATAATGACTCTTTTGAAATTTCAATCACTGAATTATATTCACCATTATATTTTAATTTTATAATTACTTGAGTCAATTTTTGAAAAATTTCATAACATGGTTTCGCTGCATCACATCTGTCAATCAAATTATATAATATGTACAAACAATTTTGAGATATTTTGGAAACATCACCTATTTTATAAATCTCCCTAATTTCAGCTGAATTGTATAAGGCATATAAGAATGATGTCCCAGCCAGGAATAGATTATGTACTCCAGCCCATGTATAATTTATAGATTTGCTTAACAATAACTCTGCATAAGACTCTATTATCTCTTTTGAACTTAATGCGACTTGCTTATACTCCGCTAACGTCAATTTATAATTCTTGGGACATAGACCATTAAGATATAATAACGTATGATGATAATTCAATTTAAAAAACACGAGGTTAAAGTCACAATTCATCTTGTTCATATCAGGTAATGATTTATACCAATTCTCTAATTCTTTATTAATATATTCTTTCCAATCAGTTAGACTATTGAAAGCTCTAGGTATTTCAGCTGATGTATATAGTATCTTTGTTACTTCACTTTGTATTTTACGTATCTCGAAAAACGCCAAACTTACATTCTTATAACTTACCACATCCTTTGCATTATAGTTTGTTATTATATCTCCAGGTAAAATATTTGAATCATCTAGTAAGCATGGATATGGTGTATTTATACTTTCATCAGGTATTCCAAATGGTCTATCAAGATAAAAACAAATTTGTCTATCAATTGAATAACAACACCAAAATATTCTTCTTCGTTTATCTCTGGTAAAATTATCAATATTTATCATTTGTTTCAGTTTGGTGATTTTTTCATTCTGCAAATCTAAATCAACAGTAATTCGTAATACTTGACCCATAATATACCAAATTCCAGGATTTGTAGGTCTCATAATTGAATAATAAGCATATAGTAAGATAGCAGATAAATTCTCCAATGCATCTTCCATTTCATATTTGTACTTCATGGCTGATATCAAAAATGAATTTGATATTTGCTTCGGATATTTTAGATGATGTACACTGGAAGCTATTGCAAATACTAAATTGAGGAAATACAATGCTTTATAGTACTTTCTTGGTGGTGTTATTTGATTTGATATTTTTGGAATACTGAGATTTTCATTTAAAAGTTTTTGAAATTGAATTTTATACGAATCAAACCAACATTCATTAGTTTCAAATTTTGATGTAGTTGACTTGTTATTTGATGCAAGGTTGGTCTGATTTAAATCTATTGATCCATATATCGGTATAAAATAATTTTGTATAAATTCTTCACGATGAAATAAAGGTAATTGAGAATTACATTGATGAAAATAAATTTGTAAAAATTGTAAAGCAGTATATTTTGGGGGTAGTACAGCCGGCAATGAATCGTCGTCAAGCACTTCAGACGGCACTTCTTTATTATCCGATACTTTAAGAGCAGTTGAAACTAACTTTGAAAATGTAATTGAATTAGACCCTGGTGATTCTTTTTCAATTGGACTAAAATGTGATTGTGATTGTGATTTTGATTTTTCAATTTCTGTAACATTACCACCCTCTAGTAAATTCAATTTGTTTTCCAAATTCTTGATCTTATCTTCCAAATATACGATGTAACTTCTTGGAATTTCTCGTCCTGTAACTGGATCAACTCCAATACACTCAACATTATTAATTTGACATTTAGTACATTGTGGAAATTTTTGATCACACTTAATTTTCTTACTTCTACATCGTTTACAAGCTGAAATTGCTCTTGAAATTTTATTCGAACTTGTCTTTAGTTTCTTCTTTGGTTGAGAATTATCCTCTTTATCTTTATCTTTATCAGACATGAATTGGCATTTGATAAGAAAATTGAAAAAAAAAAAAAAAAAAAATCTCGGAATTAATTTTGCAACAATTTTAATTATTCCGCTTTAAAAATTGGACTGGTTGCAAAGAAAATTCTTCGCGACAAGCTTAGGGGACCATATTGAGCTTATTAGTTTATATCTCATGAAAAACGTAGTTTCTTGAGAAAAGAACTATTTAAAGAAGACTATAGGCCTTTATTTCTGTATCAATATCTATGTAAAAGTCTAATATTTAAACGTTTTTTTGTTGAGTTGTCATTTCGGCCTCTTTTTATCATACAAAAATTTTGCTAAAAATGACTTCTAGTATACATTTTTTATTTAGGGCCGCAATTTTCGATTAAGCAACGGAATTTTCATATTAGACCTCAGACTAAATTGCCAAACCTGTTTTTGAATGCTTTAAATCAAGATTTAGAAGTTTCAAAATTTTTCTTTAGTATGGGAAAAATCGAATATACTGAGTTTATAGAATATTCAATTCCACAATCAAAATTGTGATAAAAACATAATAAAACTATACAATTTTGTAGCTCTACATAGCTGTTAAACCTTGGAATTTATTGATTTTGGGTTCTCAAAAATGGAAAAGTAATTCTTCAAACCGATTTTGATCCTTGCGAAATATAAACAGTATTATATTAGTGGCCAAATGCATCAAATCTACTTTATTAGAAGTGGCTAGATGCTTTCTAAATGTTTGTTTTCTTGTAATTTAACGTATATTTCCAATTTTCGAATGTATAACACAGTGATTAAAATTAAGTGTTGTTGAAAGTGGTTGAGACCATGTCATTTCAGATTTACTGATATATTAATAAAGAAAGTTTGACAACTGCAGCTCAAATATTGAGGGAGTAATTTAGAATTTAAGTTTTATGATCAACTACTACAAGCCTGCATACAAGTCAAATTTGTTTCAGAGTTTTCAAACTTAGAATAAAGCTTTCGAACGACATGAAAGGTAAATACGGTCGAATTTTATTTTTAACAAAGTGAAAGCCGGTACGAGAACGCTTTTACTTTGGGCGATCTCGTTCAAAGGAACAGGCGAATTACAAAGCAATATAGAGTGAACATATTTATGTATATTTATATTAGTTCATTTAAATCAACATCAATCAACCCTTCAAATGAATATTTAACATCCTTAAATTTATTAGTTGTCGGTTGCCAATTCTTCAAATCTTTAATTAATTGAATCAATAAGTTAAACTTCTTAACATGTTTATATTTTAATAACTCATGAATCAACGATCTTAAATTCCATGGTAGCAAATTTAAATCAAAGTCATTCATCTTCGTCTCATTTATCTGTAATTCTCTCTTGTGTATTAAATTAGTACTTTCCAATGAAAATTCAATAGCTTCTTTATAAACATCCTCAATTTCATAAATTTCCACATTTTCTTCAAAGTTAGATAAGTTCGAAATTAAATTATAATCTGTTTCCAATCCAAGATTCCTCAATATCAAAATTATATCAAATAAAGTAGTTATGAAATTTGAATCTTGACTTATGAAATTTCGATAAATGTTTGGATGATCGTATTTCATTCCTAATTGATTATATAGCGGTACAAAACTATCATTTACATTCCCAGTGAAGATTATCTTCACATTCGAGTCTATTAGTTTCTTCATTGATTGATTTAACGTGATTGACAAGTCACTATTCGCTTTGTTATACTCAAATATTTGTCGTATTATTTCATTTTCATATTGCGAGTATGCCCTGTTTATTAATTTAGATTCTATATCTGAATTGGGACCAATATAAGCATCAATGTTCAACAAAGAAACTTTTTTCAAATGTATTGATTCTACTAGTTTAGCTAGGAGGTTTATTCCAATTGGTGTTGAGTTTGCAATTGTGCACATGAATAACCAATCTGAATTTTTGATTATTTCTTTCCAATTCATGAGAAATTTATAATATTCCTCCACTGAATCTTCAATTTTATTCATTCCTTCAAGTTCAATTGTCTCTATATTTAGCTGTATGTCTTGGTTTTGAAAATATTGATGAATTGCTTCTTTTGCTTTATTTATAAGTACACGAGAATTACCATTCGATTTCTGTATGTTGACTCTTGTGAATTTTATAGGTAGATAATTATGAATTGCAATTATAACCACATAGAACTTGCCTTTCTTACTGAATTGTTTCTTATATAAATGATGTTCAGTTTTAAGACCACATATTAGATCCTTACTTAGTATTCTTAATAAGGAACTCCATGTCAAAAATCTATAATTTTCCTCAAATTTTGGATATATTGTTCCTTTGTCATTCTTTTTCCGTATTTGATTCTCTACGATTTGTAGATTCAGTTTTATTTTCTTTTTAGGAGTATATATCACTGGTGCATTCTCTGATGGTGTATCAAATACAGATAATTCACAATTATGTATTGATGATTTAATAGCATATGATAATTTTGTATCTTTTTGGATCTTGAGTTTTAATTCTTTAAATAGTTTATTATCATTAGATAGTTCATCATCATCTTCTGGTTGCATTGTAGTTGTTGTACTAGTGAACCAAAACCAATTTAGCCATGACGTAGAATCATTTTCTGTAGTTGATGTTTGACCTTGTTGTAGTTCTCTAATTTCTTCAATATTACCACCTTCTTGATCTGTAGTATATTTCAGTTGTTGTGACCATAGATATGATAATAATGGTTGTGATTCTTTTGACATGAATCAATTGATAAATTATCACAACTTTTTTTTTTTTTTTTTTCCTATTATTTCTTATCATAACCAAACTATCAACAAACAAAAAACAATACAAGATAACACTATAAACTACAAGTGGTAAATAGGATGTCATGGGACGAGATAATAAATCGATTGGAAATTAGAGATGCTGAAAAAGAAGATAGTAAATATTTTAATGCTTTTCATCAACTACAAAAATTAATCAATAATAAAGATAGACAACAAGACAAGGAGAAAGAAAGTATAGAGTCAAGTTCACATATAGAGATAGGTCACCTAAAAGAAGAGAATGCAGATTTAATAACGAATCTAAATAACCAAACATTAATCAATGAAAAACTAGAAAATATAATTAAACAACACGAGAAGAGGATAAATCAACTAGAGAAAGATAATGAAAAACTACTAAACAAGATAGATAATTTGAATTTAGAAATCAAAGAAAAGAATAAAACTATTGAATTGATAAATGATGAAGTATTAACTAGTAATATTCAAATAACAGTGCTACAAAAACAATTGAAAGAAAAAATATAAATCAGCTCACGTTGAATATATGATTTGAACATCTGATAATTTCAATTGATCACCTGTGAACTCTCAATCGTGTTTTGAAATGTAGATAACCAATGATTATACTAATTTATTTAACTAGTGATAACTAGACACTATATAAAAAAAAAAGTATAAGCGCGCACTACCAAAAGTAGTAATTTTGAGGCAAAAATACCTGAAACATAACTAGCGTTTAACCAAATTAGGAAATACAAGCGCCGCAAATTTTTTATTATGTACCATATGTACCATATGTACCATCAAAACAAAATTCTGCAAATCACAACTAAGATGAAAGTTGCAACATTTGACACTTGGTATAAAGTAAAATGAGACCAAAATAACCAGATTAGAAATGTTCGAAGCTCTGTATGCTTATGCTCTTTTTTAAGAAACGTTGTCATAGTTTACATTGATCAAGGTTAAATCGATTAATATTCAGCCAATAGTAATTAAGATTTAGATTAACAATGCCTCACAAGTTGATCATCTAGTTAGCATAGCATTTTAGCATAGCATTTTAGCATAGCATTTATACCCAGTAGGAATCATCTTTTTGAACTTGTTATCAGGGGAACATTATTTAATATCAAACGTTTATCAAGTTGACAGCAACGAAAAAATAAAAATAAGATGTCATTTGACATTGGAACAAAAAAAAAAAGACATGATTAAAAAGATAGGACCAATTCAAGGGGAGGAAGAAACACAAGATTAAAATTGGAGAACCTTAAAAGATTCACTTGGACTTAAATCAAACGTTCAAAAAGAAACCTTATGGATATGTAGAAATAGGAACCCAGGACTCAGATTCTGATTCAGATTCTGATTCGGAAGTCAAATATCCAGGTCCGCCTCAACTCAATCAGCTTAGTGTTTGTAGTATCATAATCTTCATCATCGGTTAAACATTTTTTCAAGTTCATCAAAAAAAGAAATAAACAATAATAGAATAAGACAATACATGCTAAGCTAAAATAAATAATCTATTGTGTACCTCGTTTTAAATCACAAGAAAACAAAATCATAAATCACAATCGATATCCAACAATGGAAATATTTCATCTTTCATAATTCCAACTTTGTGATGTGTTGAGATTCAAATGTAATTCAATCTTGTGATGTGAGCAAATACTTCAACAGACCTTTTTTTACGAAATTTTTTATTCCAAGAGTCTGAACACTAGTTAGTTATACGTTGATCAGCTATGCAGTTTCATAAATGTTATGTAAATCCTAAAAGTAAGTATAAGCGCAATTAAGTGTATCGTCAGATTACCAAATATGGAATACTCGATGCAAAAGATCTATAAAATACTAAATCCGATTTTTCAGATTTAGCCATTTCGTAAATCTTATTTTCAATAACAAATTTTTTTAATTGGTCAATGAAAAAAATGAAATTGTATCAGAAGAGAATGTTGAAAAATATTAAGCAGCTTGACTTATCTTTTACACCCTTTATAAAAGCATCGTTTATTACGGCATTTAATTTAATTTTATTTTTCAAATTATAGGAAGTTTTAACAGTTGAAAGTATGGAATGAAACCCAATCACATTACATTAACTTACACTACAACCAGATTTCAATGGTCTTAAAATAAATAGCTTGCACACTACCTTTTTTTTAATGTATGGGTCCATTTTATTCAATTTTAGACGATATACATTTATATTATATACATGGACAACAATAAAATACAATAAGGTAAAGTTTTGGTAATAGGCAAATAACTTAGATTATAGATCGTTCGCTTGGCTATTGTTCAACCAACCCTTGTTGATCTTCTGATTATTATCTAATGTCATAAATTCAACAATTTTCACGACATTGGCTAAAATATCCTAATTTATATATTGTTTTTAAACATTATACTTTAAAAAATAATATTTCGTTTTAAGTTTACACAAACTCTACTACTTTTGTACCATGTATCTTCCAACCCGGATAAATGCTGAAACATCAAACAAGAACATAGTTTCTGAGAGATATGATCATTTTTGAGTTAATTAAAGACAATCTGAAATAAATTTAGATTATCTTTTAGATTTTCTCTCGTTACTAGCAATTGAATTAGCTAAACTAACAAAAAAGAAATGACACCAGAATGAACTATTTTAGATTTAACAGAGAAGACCTTGACTATGAATGTAGTAGACTAAAGTTAAACTTTACCTTATTACTATTTTGAAACTTTAGTTCTCCTTACTTTCATAATGATATGATGCCGTATGAAAGAAAAAAAAAAAAAAAAAAAAAAAAAAAAATTATAAAACATATACAAATCTATCAAAATTTAAACAGTTTTAAGTAAAAAAACCCAGTTCATAGTTTATATCCCCTCCATATAAGTTCAACTGACATCATCTCTTCTCCTTGTGTTTGAATTTCTGTTAGGGACATCTGGTATATTCTGTATGGATCTGTGATGAGAATTAAATTGTACATGTGTTGCAAACTGATAAATTTATACACCCCAGCCTAGTTCAACTTAACCCAGTCTTTTTTTCATACTTACATACGTCCAGCTCTCTATTATAGTTTCTTATTCTGAGTTTGCTTTATTGTGTTTTCGTCTCAAACAAAGTCGATTCATCATAGTATCGGAATTAAATATGTAAGATGGTTAATGCAACACTTCTTATGTACTATAAAAATAAGGTTTTAGTTTGGTAATTATATACACTACTTATAGTTTTAGGCGAATGCACACCCTTGATTTTGTAAAAGATATAAAAACCAATTAGAATCTTGTCACTTTTTTCAATTCCAACGATTTTTTGACACTTAGACAAATCAACAATTTACTCACTTTTCATTTCATTTTAGCTTTTCACTTCCTCATTAGTGATACTATAATTGTAGAGATTGATTCTTTATAACTGATCATTATTGCCATATCATATTTATTTAATTCCTTTTTTACTTCATTATTAATTAGTCAATCAAATTTACTAAAAAGCAATACTATCTGTATTACTACAATTTTCATCAGTTCATTATCTATTCAAAGTCTACACTTAAATTCAGATTATCAATACTATCAATACTATCAAAATTAGACCGATTATCAATAAACCACCAATCTACGTTTTATTTATTATCTGTTCATCCAAAATTGTGAAACAAAATCTGAAAAAATAATTTTTTTTTTTTTTTTTTATTTTTTTTAAAATCTGAGATCTTAAATTTTTCAATATTATATTATATTATATTAGAGTATATTATATTAAATTCAATCAACAATTATGAGTTTTACTTCTTCTCCAAGTTCAACAAATTCATCATCACAACCTAAAAGAATAAGAGCAAGTGGTGAAGTACTTGATTTTCTTATTTCAGAATTTGAAAAATGTTCAAATCCATCACCAGATTATCGTAGATATATTTCTGATAGATCTCAGATGAGTGAAAAAGCAGTTAGAATCTGGTTTCAAAATAGAAGAGCAAAACAAAGAAAATATGAAAGAAATCAAAGACTGGAAAATAAGTATAATAATAATAATAATAATAATAATAATAATAATAATAATGATAATAATAACAATAATATTAACAACCAAACTACTAAATATTATCTTCCTCCTTCACATTCAATTATTGAAATTAATGAAAAATATTGTTTTATTAATTGTAGTTCATTATCCGTGGGTTCATGGCAAAGAATAAAATCAGGATATGTCGATGATGGAAATTTAATCAGTTCATTAATTAATTTATCACCATTTAATTTGAATAATGTAATGACTAACGTTGATCTATTAGTCATATTATCTAAAAAGAATAATGAGTTGAATTATTTCTTTAGTGCTGTGTCAAATAACAATAAGATACTTTTTAGAATTTTTTATCCATTAAGTTCAATCAAAAGTTGTTTTTTTCATGAAAATATAGATGAAGATGCTGTTGAATTACGTATTAATTTAAATTTTATTCCCAAATTTTCAGTATATTTTTTCAATGGTATAAGTTCAACTTCAAATCAATGGAGTTTATGTGATGATTTTTCAGAAGGTCAACAAGTTAGTCAATCTGGTGTTGAAGGTGTTGAAATTCCTCATGTTTTAGTTGGTGATCGTAATTCATTACAATATTTGAATTCTTATATTTCAAATCATACATATCAAGAAGAAAAAGTTGAAAATTTTGGAAATACAATTGATTTATTAATGAATAATATGCCTGTTCAACAAAATGTTCTAATGAATAATATTGATGTTAGTCCAATAAGTCATCAAAATGTACATATTGATATACTGGCATCTTTAAGTCAAGAAGTTTTAAGTCAAGAAGTTTTAAGTCATAATATAAGTCCAATAAATCAAGAAATGCCATATAATAATAATCGACAAATTTCCAATCAAGAAGTACCATTTCATCAAGAATTTCCTAATGTAACACCACATAATCAAATTAATGAACCAATTAATTATAATCAAGACTCTTCTCCGTTTAGTGTGCATTCGAACAATGGATATAATAATAATCAACACAATTTCTACCAGTCTGATACTCATAACTCATCAATTTCACTCAAACAACAACAAGCTCCTCAAAATGCAATAAGTCCTACTCAAACATCACCTGATTATTATACGACAAGTAAAGGTACTGATTTTGAAATAGAAGCACCAATTGAAAGTCTTGGTGCTTTAAATCAAAATATTTCCAGTCAAGGTTTAGGATTGAGTGGTTTCAATTTTGATAATAATAATGTGAATCATGATTCACAATTTGATTTGGGGTTAGGAATAGATTTAGAAATTGAAAATAATCAAGCTGCAATTTGATAATCAATAAGTTTAATATTGACATACAACCATCATATTTGACATACAACCATCAAGGATACTATTTCAAAGTACAGATAGAATAAAAGAAGACAACTTAGTGATAGTAGTAGCTTCAGTCTAACTTCAGGGTACGATAAATTGTCAAATAGAGAAATGTTCAAGCAAGCAATAGTTTCAGTCCAAAGATTAATAAAAGTTTTTAACACTTCGTAATATTATAATAGTAAGTTTAATAATTAATATATACACAATCATGTGCAACATTTATATATTCTGTAACCTTATTAACAAACTTTTAATATCATAATTTGTCAATTGATTTAATTTATGATCATACTCTCCTCTGAAATCACCAATATTTCCATCATCTCTATATTTCAGAACATCAACATCTTTCAAAGAATCCAATAAATCAATAGCTTGAACTAATTTAATATACTTGATATTGTCATCATTACTAAACTCACCACCACCATTCAAATATAAACAACTACTCAAATTTTTAATTATATAATTGAAATCAATAACAAGTTGACTAACTCCAAAACTGTTAAGTTTATTATTTGTTAATATATACTCATATATCAAATCACAAAAATTAGATAAGATGGAACTTGTAATTATATAATAATCGAATTGTGAAATGTTCTTGCTTATAAAACTCAAATAATTTGGAAATATGTCTATGAAATTAGCAAGTTTGACATTTGGACCATTTGTTTCGAGTAGTATCCACCTACTTGAATTTATATAATTTTTTAACAAATTCTTCATTTCAAATTTCAAAAAAGATATAACATTTTCAAATATAGTATTGAAAAGTGAATCATATTTAACTATGAGATAGTCTAATAATGCTGTGTCTGTAGTACTTGGATCTAGTTTTTTATATTGTTGCCAGAGCTGAATGTATATCAATTCATTATTCCAACACTCCATCTCATTAATCATAAATCTCAAAGTGCAAAACATCTCAACTAGACTTGTGAGACTATTGAATATCTTTGTCTCTTCTCTTTTCTCATCGTGCTCTATTGAACCAGGAATAAGTGATATTTTCTTAAAATTTAATGTTGATGAAATGTCCTTATACCTTTCCTGTATGCTTTCGTAATATGTTTCAAGTATGTGCATTTGTATCTTAGATAAATATTTCAATTGATATTTGACAAGCTTCAATTCCTTCACTTTACCATTCAATATCGTAATTAATTTTGAAATTCCATAACTTGAGTAACTTGGCCTAACACTCCCTGGTTCTCCTTTATAATCTACATCTATCTGATATGCTTCATTAGCGTTTGTAATCTCGTGAAATCTATTCAATGACATATCAAGTTCAAATTTGATTATATTTTGTACTATTGAATCATTTGATAGTAATATATCTGATGTTAAACTATGGTTGTATTTATATTTATTAGATATTCTTAAATCAAAATTGTTTAATTCGTGAATTAAATGTGATAATAACCTACCTTGCTTTTGACTATTATTTATATTTTCAATTGAGTTTATAAATTTTGAACGAAGGGAAGCTAATAAACTGGTAATAATTTCAAATGCACCTATTAGATCAAACTTGCTAAGTGAGTCATCTACTATGAATTGTAAAAATGAGATGTTTTCTTCAAGGAATGATTCTGTAAATTCTAATGGCCATTCTGGTTTACTTAATTTATTAGTCTGCAGATGTGAAATAAAATGATATTCAAATTTCAGAGTGAAAACAGGATATAATAATAAGTCAATTGCCCACCATGTATTTGGATATTCTAGAATACCATCTATTTCATATTGTAATTTGATTAATTTATCAAAAGTTGATATTATTTCATTTAAATTCAGCTTATCTTTTAATCCATTTGATGAATGTAGTACTTGTTTAAATTCTGATTCCAATTGATCTCTTTCTGTACTACCATTGTATATATCACCATTCTTCGGTACTGTTTCATTATTTTCGCCTTGCGTTGATTCCATTTTATTCGAATCAATAATTTTTTTTTTTTTTTCTTTCAGCTAAAGAAGTTTTCAAATTCAAGATGCAAGCACCAGTTGTATATTTAAACACATCAACTCAAAGACAAACTGGTAGACAGGCTCAAGTTGCAAATATAACTGCAGCAAAAGCAGTTGCTGATATTATTAGAACTTGTTTGGGTCCGAAAGCAATGTTGAAAATGTTATTAGATCCAATGGGTGGTATTGTATTAACAAATGATGGACACGCTATCCTTAGAGAAATTGATGTTTCTCATCCTGCTGCTAAATCAATGATTGAATTAAGTAGAACCCAAGATGAAGAAGTTGGTGATGGTACAACAACAGTTATAATTTTAGCTGCTGAAATTTTGGCGCAAACTTTTCCATATATTCAAGAAAAGAAAATTCATCCAGTAATTATAATTAAAGCATTAAAACAAGCATTAAAAGACTCCCTTGAAGTCATTCATGAAATTAGTAAACCTATAGATTTAAATAATGATGAAGCAATGTTAAAAATTATCCAAGCTTCTATTGGCACTAAATATATTAATAAATGGAGTGAGAAAATGTGTGAATTAAGTTTAAAAGCAGTTCGAAATGTAATTGTAGAAAAAGGAAATGGAGAAAAAGAAATTGATATTAAAAGATATATTAGAATTGAAAAAATTCCAGGTGGTGAAATTACCGATTCAGAAGTTTTAGATGGTATTTTATTAAATAAAGATGTAGTTCATCCAAAAATGAAAAGAAAAATTGAAAATCCAAGAATAATTCTTCTTGATTGTCCGTTGGAGTATAAAAAAGGTGAATCTCAAACAAATATAGAAATTACTAAACAAGAAGATTGGAATAGAATTTTACAAATTGAAGAAGAACAAGTTAAACAAATGTGTGATCAATTATTAGAATTTAAACCTGATTTAGTCATTACTGAAAAAGGTGTTTCTGATTTAGCTCAACATTATTTATTAAAAGGTGGTTGTGCAGCATTAAGAAGAGTAAAGAAATCAGATAATAATAGAATCGCAAGAGCCACTGGTGCTACAATAGTTAATAGAATTGAAGATTTAAAAGAAAGTGATATTGGTGTAAACTGTCATGAATTTAAAGTTGAATTAATTGGTGATGAATATTTTTCATATTTATATAAATGTGATTCACCAAAAGCTTGTACAATTATATTAAGAGGTGCTTCAAAAGATATATTGAATGAAATTGAAAGAAATTTACATGATGCAATGTCAGTTACAAGAAATGTAATGTTTGAACCAAGTTTATCCCCAGGTGGAGGTGCTATTGAAATGGCATGTAGTGTTAAATTATCCGAGAAAGCTAAAAAAATAGAAGGTATTGAACAATATCCTTATCAAGCTGTAGCTGATGCTTTTGAAGTCATACCTAGAACTTTAATTCAAAATTGTGGTGGTAAGCCAATTAAAATATTATCTCAATTAAGAGCAAAACAAGCCGCAGGTAATTTTACATTTGGTATTGATGGTATTGATGGTAAAGTTGTCAATATGGAAGATTATGGTATTTGGGAACCAGAAGTAATTAAACAACAAAGTATAAAAACTGCAATTGAAAGTGCTTGTTTATTATTAAGAGTTGATGATATCGTAAGTGGAGTTAGACAAAATTGAATATATATTAATCTAATTTAGGTTTCGTACCTTTAAATTTATCTATTATTCTTCGAATTGTAAATGTGAATAAAGCAGAAGCTATAGCGAAAGGCGGAAATAAATCAATTAGATACCAAAAAACACCAGGTCTAACCTCTCTAATTACATTTTCAACAGACACTTCTAAATCATTGATATCTCCCAGGTTATCTATGATATAATCACTTCTGTAATTCTTTTCATCATTCGACATTTGATTATTTATACGATCAATAGCGTCAGATTCACTCAATTCTGTATTTCTTTTAAGTAATCTCTCAATTTGAAGTTCTCTAGTACAACTTACATTTATTATCGATCCACAGATCAAATATAAACCTGATTCAAATAATAAAGGAACATCTAAAATCACCAATTTTTCCAATGTTAAATAAGCTTTAATTATTCTTTTAAATATTTCATATTTGACAGCTGGATGAACAATTGAATTAAGTATCCTAACTCTAGCTTTATCTTTAAATACATATTCTCCTAAAGCCGTACGATTCAATGTCTTATCGTCATTCAATAAATTAGGTACATCATTTCCAAAATTTGCAACAATTTTATTATAAGCATTAGTATTTGGATATACAACTTCTCTTGCAATTAAATCAGCATCAATCACAACCGAATTACATTTTTTCAACTCATTTGAGACTGTTGATTTACCACAAGCTATACCACCAGTTAAACCAACAATTAACATTAGGAAAAAAAAATATATTATATGTCTACATCAAAAGTATATATATTGGGAGCAGGATCAATTGGTTCACTAATTGCATATGAATTAAAGAATAATAAGAATATAGTACCAATTATACTAAAACGACCAAATTCAAGATCAATTGCACAAGATATAAGTATAGTTCGAGATGGTGTGGCTGACCAGGTGAAAGTTCAAACAATAACTACAAAACAACTCAATAATGAGATTATAAACAATTTGATAATTTCTACAAAGACATACCAAACTGAATTGGCACTAAAGCCAATTTTAAAACACTTGAATCAAAATTCTACTGTGTTGATCTGTCAGAATGGGATTGGGATGAGTTCAAATTTAATTTCAAATTATTTTAAACAAAATCCACCGACATTTTATGAAAGTATAATAACTCATGGGATATATAAAAGTGATGAGATTGTGTTTAATCATGCTGCGAAGGGTCTGATGCTAATCAGTAAAAGTCATGGTAATAACCAATCTAAAATGATTGATGTTTTAAAGACGACGAAAGATTTGAATGTTGATGTTGTTCCGTTTAATGAATTTCTCATAAAACAGATTCAAAAATTTATAGTCAATTGTTGTATTAATCCATTATCGGCATTATATGATGTCCAAAATGGTGAATTGTTGTATGGGAAAGATACATTATATTTATGGAAACTAATAATAAAAGAAGCAATGAAGGTGCTAAATGTGAAATATGCTTCTGAGTTTGAAGCTATACCTGAGTCTAAAGCTTTGTTAAATGATGAACATTTGTTAAGTTACGTGATTGAAGTTTGTCAATTAACTTCTGAGAATAGTTCAAGTATGAGACAAGATGTTAGAAATTTAAGAAAGACTGAAATTGATTTCTTGAATGGTTATGTTAATTTTCTTGGTCGTAAACAAGGAATATCTACTCCTATTAACCATATGATTGAAAAATTAATTAATACGAAATTATCAATTGATCAAGGTATAGATAAGGCAGCAATGAGTGAATTATTAAAATAGATACATGTATATACAAACTAACAATCTATATAACCTCTACATGTCATCTTCTGTCAATTCGTATTAAATTGTAGATATCTTCAATGCATTAAGATAAGTATTCTTGGATGTATGACTTTGCAATATCGTTTCTGTTTCTGTATAAGTCTCCAATCACTTTCTTTCTTGGAGCTGAATCAAATTGTAAGTGCTGGTTTTTCTCATATTCGAATATAACTTCTTCCAAAATCTTCTTTAATAAATGTTTAGATAATCTTTGATAAATTACCCCATCAGTGTATCCATTAATAAAACTTTCCAATTTCTTACTTTCTTCTGGATTTGACTCTTGTATGACAGCAAGAACAACCTCTGTTCTAAATGATAAAATTGAATTAGTCAATGTATAAAAATCAAAATAATCAATCTGTTTCAAATATTCAATCTGTTTAGGCTTCAAATAGTCCATTATATAGTTTGAAATATCTAAATCATTCCATTTATTGTCGTTTATCATGAACCCATACTCACAAAGTAAGAAATCATTATTATGTGGACCATAATTAAGATAAATTTGTGAATTTAAAGTATATTCACAAGTAGTTATTATTTTGAAACCCTTAAAGTCTATTTTTAATTTACAATGATCTTCATCACTATGATTTATAAAATCAACAAAAGGAACCATTGTGAAATTATCACTTGAATTATGAGATGTTGATAATTTCATATATAAACAACGTGAATTTATACATAACCAAGATAAAAGCACATCTTCACGATTCAAAATACCTAGTTCATCCAGTATTACTTTATAGTCTTTCTCAAATCTACTTGTGATTTCCTCATTCATGAGCTGAGTTGATATTGGTAATTGTTTGACTAATTCTTGATTGTTCCACGTCATTGGCGTTAGTTGGAAGTCGGACATGGTTGGTAACATATCTAAAAATGGTTTCCACCAAGATTGAACACCTCTATATCTTTCAATAGTTAAATAAAATGATAATAATTGAAATGATGATAATTTTAACAACTCATCTTTAGTCAAATGACTATAATATTGATCTGTAAATTTGTCTGACGTATACTCATGATTTATATTATTGAAACTGAACTCAAGCAGCATTTTATTATACTTTGATATATGATACAACACAGTTTTGAAATTGAGTAAATATATCGATGGGATATTGATTAACAATTGATCCTTCTTTATCTCTTCAGTGGCATAGATTCCCCTACCTGTATATTTGTCATCTTTAACACTGATCCCTTTATTTATATAAGCACTAAAATTTTTATTTGTCTCATCTTCACTCACGTTAATCCATTTCAACAATCTCTCCAATCTCTTCTCGAAATCTTTCATCAGAGAATCAAGAACAATAAAATTTTTCATTTATTAAAACATATTTAATGTTAAAGTATTTGCAATTTTTTGAGAATCAACTGCCTTTTTAAATTCATCAAAATTTAATTTCCCATCACCATCTAAATCAGCTTCCATCATTGTTTTATCCACAATTTGTTGTAATTCTTCAGCTTGTAAATTTTTACCAACCATCATCTTCATCACAATAAATAATTCTCCATTTCCTATATATCCATCTCTATCAATATCATAAATATTAAATGCAAATTGTAACTTCTCTAAATTTGAACTCTTTCCACTAAATGCAGATAATCCAGTTATAAATTCTTGAAAATCAATTTGTCCATCTCCGTCTTTATCAAATACGTCCATTAATCTAGTTGCAAGGGGATTTGATGATATACCTGGTATTGATAAAAATTCTTGTTTATCAATTTCTCCTGATCCATCTTTATCTAATTTCATAAATCGTTTACGTAATCGATCTATTTCTTCATAATTGAAATTTGTATCTTCCATTAATCCATTTAATATACTAGATTGTTGACCCATATTTATATGTGTTTTATATGATTTGATTAGTATTGGTATATGGGGATATCTATTAATAGTTTTGAAATTAAAAGTAGTGTAGATATTTCCAAATTTTGATTCAGCTGCAAAATGATTCACCAACTGAAACAATTAAATCGATCTAGATAGAAGAGTACTTGTCAATCCAAAATGGTTGTAGCTTATTAGCCTGGGTAGAGAATGAAAGCAAGGCGCAGTTTGGATAAAACAGCATTGATTCAGCCCAGATTAGTGACTAATTGCTTCTGATGCCTTTCAAACTTGAATTCAAGCTTACTATTTCCATTTTAGATCTCTAACTGAATCTAATTGTATGGATTTCATCAATACTTAATCAATTAGGTCGTTTTCATCAATTCCTTTTATTAATAAATTTACTGGTCACAAAAACGCGCCCTACGAAAAATACTTCGCGACGTGTAATACCATAAGCGGTATCACCATCGCCATGGACTAAAATTCAGAACGAGACCTCGTTGAACTCTAGCACGGGACGTCGCCTTATCGCCTAAATATCCGCGCTTTTCAAATTATCAACAAAATAAACAACCAAAACAAAAGCAAAGAAAAAAAAAAAACAACGTTCCATTCTTTATTACTTATCAATAGATTAATGAATTACGGTAGAATCAATTGTTATGAATATAAATTTAGATACTGCAAAGGATATACTTTGTAAAAATATATTAATTTATGGTTATTGTAAATTTGAAAATAAAGGATGTGTCTTTAATCATAATAGACAACAACAAAATAAAGAAGAACCCAAGGCTAATGATACTTCAATTGATTCTCATCCTCATCCACCTTCTTCATCGGATGGTAAAAAAAAATTTAATTTAAATACTCCATCCTTTCAACCAAGTAATAATAATTCAGTTTCATCATTAACTAATAAATTTTCAAATTTAACATCACCGAAAATTAAAGATTTACCATCATTTAAACCGGAAACGTCAAGTAATAATGAACCATTTGGATCTAAACGCTTCAATATTAGCACTCCATCGTTCACACCATCGTCAAATTTTGATTTCAATTCAAATACATCAGCATCACCATCTATAAATAATTTACCCCAGGTACAACAACAACAACCACAACCACCTAATTCTGCATCATCATCTGCTATATCATCAATCCCTCAACAATCAATACATGTACCTCCTCAAGTATCTCAAGCACCTCCACCTCAACCTCCACATCAAGAATTTTATAATCCTCAAATTCCATTAGGTGCCCCGTTAGCAGCAAGAGTGGGACCAGGTCAAGTTCCTCATCCACCACCACCACAAGTTCAAATCCAACAAACTAATCAAACTCAATATCCATTACAATATCATTTATACGCACCTACACCTCCACCAAGATTACAAATTCCATTGCAAAAACATGAAACAAATAGTTCTATATTATTTATACCTAATAATTTAAGGGAATATTTACATAAAAAGAATGAATCAAGTTTACAAATTCTCAATCATTCAAATTTACCTGATCATATAAATTATTATCATTCATTGGTACCAATAGATAAATCATATGAGATAAAACTGAAAATATGGAATAAAAATAGTATAATTTTTAAATGTTATTCAAATCTAGATGGGAATTTATACGTAATGAGGAAAATAGAACCAGTTGAAATATTATCCGATAAGCCATTCAAAACAATTAAGAAATGGATATCAAGAATAAAGGGCAATTCCAATATAGTTGAATTAAAAGATTGTTTTACAACTATGAATTTTGGAAATTATTCCAGTTTATGTATGATTTATGATTATTTTCCAAATTCAATTACAGTATATGAAAATCATAAAAAGGGATTGAAATTGGAGCCAGTTACTGAAGATTTATTATGGAATTATTTAATTCAATTAATTAATGCAATTAAATTCGTACATGAGAATAATTTGGCAGTCAAGAGCAGTTTAAATTTAAGTAAGATTATAATTACAAATAAAGATAGGATAAGAATAAGTTCAATTGGAATTAGTGATATTTTAGAAAGAGAAAAAGATAATAACTATGAAGAAAGTAAAGAAATCATAGAGAAAAGTCAATTGGAAGATATTCATAATTTGGGTAAATTGTTATTCGATTTGAGTGTATTATTATTACCTATAAATGTAAGAAACTTGATGAATTTAAATCTAATAGAATTAAGACATTTCAATCAATTAAGAAATCTGACTAATTTATCAGAATTATGGTGTAATACATTAGAAAAATTGATATATGCAGATGAAACATTCACCTTATCTGAATTTAACACATCACTAACTACTCCAATGTTATCTACCATAAACAACTTACAACAATCAAACGACTTTTTTGAGAATCAATTGATGACAGAACTTGAAAATGCAAGATTGTTTAGATTAATGACTAAAATCAACTTTATTATATTTAATTCTACTAATGTTTCCCAAATTAAAATATTGAAATTATTTCAACATTATTTGTTTAATACATATGATATAAATGGTAAAAAACAGATTAATTTGTCTAAAATATTGATAAATTTGAATAAATTGGATTGTGGAATTGATGAGAAAATATTATTGGTTTCTAATAATCAACAAGAATGTATAATAGTAAGTTATAAAGAAATTAAAGAATTGATTGATAGTCAATTTAGATTAATGAGGGAGTAATTAGACTTATCTATAAAATATATAGAAAAAAACATTAATAAACATTAAAAAAATTTGTAAAATAAAGCATGATACTACAATAACGATGATGCAATCCTAATTTAGTGATATGATATATATTAAAACTATAGAAGTCTTTATTTAAGAATGGGTGATATTTTTCTCTTCCAAACTCTACAATTAAGAGGTATTAGGGGGTGGGGGGTTGTTGGGGGTTAAAATCAAATAATTATACATAATAATACAAACAACTAATAAGCAAACAAAATTAATAATGCAACATTTTAATAATATTAAAAAGGATCAAAACGACTATAGTCAAGATCTTCATCTGCAATTAAAAATGGTTCATAATATGGATCATCTAAATCAACTTTATTTTCACGTTTCCAGAATTTGAACTTATCTTTAAATCTATGCATTGATGCTTTAAATTTATCTCTTTTCCTTTCTTTAAGCTCGTCTATTGAACCTTCATCAATTGGAGAAGTTGGATCATAATTAACCATCTTAATTTCAAATTCAAAATTCACAACTTTTTCAGCATTTTCTTTTCCTGATACTGCTTCATTTTCACCTTCTGGTTCTTTTTTTCTTGCTTCTCTCATTTCATTAATTGATACTTTTTTTATTGTGAATTGTGAATAATAATCTTCATATTCTTGAACTTGATCAAAAAAGTTTTTTAACCTATTTATTGTTTTTGATTTCAGAGATTTCTTTCTTGATTTTGAAAATTTATCAATTTTAATTGTTCTTGTATTAAATGTGCCGTATTCTTCATCTGACGAATAATCTAATAAAATCGTAGATGGTCTGATGGTGCTATATTTATGATTTTCAATTGATTCCATAGGTACAAATGATGATTTTTTGAAATTTAGTGGATCGATGCATGCTACTTGTCTATTTCGAAATACTGATTCATCATTTACATCTCTAAATTTTGATGTTGTTGTTAATTGATTTTCAAATTTTGTTGTTGGCAATAATTCTAAAACATTTTCATCTGATTGAATTTCATCGATTAATTCTATTTTCTTGATAAGATGTGATCTTTGCAATAAATCAATGTCAGTTGGTTCTACTTTCTTCAATGGGGATAATTGTATTGATATTTCTCTAACAGATTGTGATGACTGTGGTGACTCTAAAATTTTAGAAGGTGGGGCTAATAATGTTGATTGAGTAGACGGTACTAATTCTTTTAATAATCTTTCTACTTGATTAATAGATTGTGATATTTGTGATAATACTAAATTAATAACTGCAGGGGGTTTGCATTGTATTGATTTGTTTAATAAATTTTCAAGTTGATTAACAGATGAAATTAAATCGAATCTTGTACTAAGCACAGATGCCAACTCTTCAAACTTAAACAACGGTAATTTATTAATTAGCCCAGGTATAATATCAACTTTGTTAAATTTGATAGGATAATAAATCTTGATATTGTAAAGAAAAGGAAATAAATAATTTGATTCAATAACTTGATCAACTAATAAAACTTGAAGACATCCATAAAATGTATCAAGCAATCTAGGATCAAGTTTAATTGGAGTTGGTGTTAATAATCCATGAAATATATCAAAAAATTCAATTGAATTAAATGGTGATGTAGATACTAATGAATTTGGTGTTGAAACAGTAGTTGCATATTCAGATGATGTCACTTTTTCACATTTAGCTGTTTTACGGAAGAATGATTTAAATTTATTAATGACATTGGCAAACATATTAAGTGTTGACTATTTATATAGTTTTCGCAACCACAAATAACCGTCTTTTCGTATGCTGCAAATCAAAAAATAACAAAAAATTATAAATCAAATAACTTGCACTGCCAATATGACCGAGATATCAATCAAGCTCTGGTCCTTGATAAACAACCAGTATCACTAAGAAAGTGGTAGTAACGCATTTCAGTATTACCTCATAAAATTGATCTAAGCATAAGCACCCTCCAAACATTAAATCTTGAGCTGTAAATATTTCAGAATTCAGCTGATTTAAGTCAGCAAATTAATTCCATGTTATGAAGCAATTCTCTGTTAAATAGCTTAGATCCGACCTTTTACATAAAATGACGATTCCAATCGTAGAAATTTTCAAGCACTTGAAATCCTTGTGGAAAACTTTTAAATCACCGTATAAATCAATATGAAATACTTTTTCAAGTAATCACATCACATAAACCAACTCCGTGAAACAGTAAAACCCATACGATGTCAAATATAACGAAACGATCCAACCAGAAGCCATATTCAGAGCAGCACGTAAAGTTAATATTCCCTCAACCTTTGAACAATTATCAATTGAAACAACAGAAATAACATAACCAGTAAATCAATCAATCATCGTAAAACAATCAATCATCGTAAAACTAGTTCGACAACAATAAATTTGCGATAACGGCAAACTTCAAATACTGAATTCCGGGGCGACACTGTGAAAGAAAAAGAAATTCTTGGGCATAAAATGGCGGTGGCAATTGTAATTAATCGCCTTAAATTTTGTTTGGTCACGCGGAATAATTCTATGCGTCATACGAAAATTACTCATTTCGTATTGCACGTGACTAATGAGTCAATTTTCGCTTATCGAACAATTTTGTGTAATATATTTAGTTCTTAGTGTCCACAATTTTGAAACATTCTATCATTTCATCTTACTTTCTCATCAGTTTATGAATCATTTCTATATTTGATTTATATATAAATAGAATCGCTTCCATAAATAGTTTTAGAAAGTTTATCATTTAAGTTATCTTCAATCAACAACTGGTAATTTAATTATTTTAAAGTTTTAAATTTTGCATCCATTTTTATTCACGGTTATTAGGTTCACGGTTTTACAAGTTCAAGTTTTTTGATTTATATTTAGTTTTAGGTTTATTCAGTATTAGTATTAGGTTAGTCATGGTTTTCACTTCACAATTATAAGTGGGTTATAGTTAATTGTCGTTGTTTTTTATATTGTATTTAAGTAATCGGGTTATTGTACAATTTATATTATTGGATAAGATTTAAAGTTTCATCATTATGCAATCACCAAATTATTCGCCAAAAAGCTCAAAAAAAGAAGTCTCATTACCTTCTAGAGCAACATTTCAATCTCATTTATTGACACCCCCAAATTCTCAACCACAACCAAATTTATCACCAAATAATTATAATTATTATTCACCTTATTTAAACAAAACTCAATTCAATTCAATCTTGATCAATTGTTCATTAAATTTATTAAAGATAGTTTTCAATGATCATGCATTCAATTCCAATTCAATTAAATTATTCATAATTGAAATTTTGAAACGCTCAAAAACATCAATTCAAACATTGCAAGTTCTCAATTATTACATTTTCAAAATTATCAAGAAGGGAATTAATGTTGATCTTGATGTTAAGAAATTATTTCTCGGATTGTTGATTATTGCTTCTAAATTTAATCAAGATTGTAATTATTCGTTCAGAAATTGGTGTTTGATATGTGGATTGAAAGAAGATGGAAATAAGAAAAAATTAACAGAGATTGAATTCAAATGTTTAAATTATTTGGATTATGAATGTTATATAAATGGGAAGAAGTATGATGAATGGTGTAAATTTTTAATTATATTTGGTTATGACTTTATTAAAAGTCAAAAGATAATTAAAAATAATGAAGAAATAACTAATGTTGAAATTGATTGGGATACTGATATTACTGATAAATTGAGTAAATGGGAATCATTCTTTAAGGTATTTACTTTTGATCATTTTGAATTTTTGGATATTAATTTTGAAACTTATTTCAATGCACAATTGGATAAAAAGATTTTTATTCAACAAGGACAACAATCCAAAAAAAGACAATTTGTAATTGATACCGTTCCAATTAAAAAAATAAAAGTATAAAATGTATATTATTCAATGTAGAAACATCCATCACTTCTCCATTTGGAGTCGATAATCGATAGTATAAGCATCCATCATTTCTCCGTTTGCCTTGAATATTCATTGGTATGAAACCAAAGTTTTTTAAGACTCTGTTGTAGTTCCACCTAAAGTATTTTATAGTTGAGGCTACAGAAAATTGTCACCCAAGTAGGACCGAAATCTAATACCATATTCTGGCGCCACATTATTATTTTGTCGTCCAGATTTTGGTACCACCTCGCATGAATTTTCTTCAAAATGAGATATCTTCAATTCGGAAACAAATGTCTTATATGCAGTCTTATAGTAGTGAATCATGACTTTTAATTTGTTAATAATCTCGTTCAATATCCAGGTTTTAGTACTCGAACGAGCTTCACTAAAATCTCCTGCCAGTTAGGAGTAGACTAGTGCTAAAAGGTCTTTAGAAAACATAATTTTGATTACTTTATTCATCATTAAAAAAAACAGCAAAATACGTTTATTTTCGAAATAACCAATACTTAAACTTCCTTTTGCAACTTCTAATATAGCTGATAGGTTTATTCAGCTACTGAAAATTCACCTATGGCAGTTTCAAGTTACTGGATAGGTTTTAAAAAAAGTGCAAAATTTCGATTCACCTTTGAAAAAGTACTTTTCCAATTTTGAATACCTTAACATAAGAATATCTAACACATATCACAGACCAGAACTACAAAGCTGGATAGTTTGATTGTGATATAGATTGACCATTTAATCAAAAATTAGGCTGGGACCAAAAGTAAACGAGAAGACGGCCAGAGAAGTTTTTTACTTCGGAAGAAAGCTAGAGCCATTCCTTGGGCGAGATCCATGCAACAACACCATAAAGTATGGTGTATATTATTAATTGTATAAACTTCCACTACTTTCTCATTTACAGTAGATATCTATTTACATGAATTTCGATTCGACATTAAACTCTCCAATTTATTTCCTATTGTTGTTGTATCGATTATATCTTATTGTTGAATGTATAAACATCCATCTCTTCCCCATTTACCTTTAATGTCCACTGGCATGAATCCATTATTATCCTTAGATTCCAATTTATTATCTATTGTAGTTTTACCAATTGTATAACCCCTAATTGATAAATATCCATTAATTAATTTAATATCAATACTTTGAAAAATACACCCAAACAAATTACTAAACTCTCTATAATCGAAATAATCAGTAAGTATAACTGGTCCAACCATATTAAAATACCCAAACTCTTTTATAATTCTGCATTTATATGAAATTCGTAATTTATTCAATTGTGATGGTGAGAATATTGGTTTTGAAGATATGCTGTTGTTTATATACATGAGTCTTTCGTTGTTATATGGGTACTTGCCCAATTTTAATAATTGCAATAATGGTGCTTGCCAAAATGATGGTTCTCTATATGGTAGTTGCGATTCATGAAGTGATATAATATCATAATCTGGTGAAAATTTATCACCTATCGTAATTTGACAATTTTCGATCATTCCTACTAATAATTTAGCTATGAAATTTAATATTTCTTCATTTGAGCCTGTTTTCGGTGGAATTAATAACATTGTTTTATTTTTGAAATTGTATGTTAGGGGGAGATGTTTTATTGTTGATGCAATAGCACTAATAATATTCAATTGAGTAAATTCAACCACTTTATCACCACTGAATCTCAAAGCAATACCTTTATCTTTGTCTGGATGATATTCATTTTCAAAATCGAGGGTATTTTTATAATTAGGTATTTCAAATCTTGTACTTTGTGATTTTGAGAACTGTACCGGAATTTGATTAAGGAAACCATATAATAAAACAACTAACCAGTTTAAGTCAACACTAGATGACAATGGCAAATTTATTGTTTGTTCTTTAAGTTGAATATTTTGCAATATTGAATTCAATTCACCAAATTTGACCAATTTTCCATTTATAGTCAATCCCCTGTCTCCATTCTTTCTAGCATTATTCAACACAATTTCCCAAACATCAAACAAGTTGCCATTTCTTAATTTATATGAATCATATCTAATATCTAACCCACTCCTTAATCCGAAATTTTTATTTGAATGATAAACTGAGCTTTCATTTTCCAATCTAACTGGTTCAATTATAGATTGTTCATTAAGATATAAATCAGGAACATCCTTAACCAATTGAAATATCTTCCCAATAACATAAACAACAACAATCAATAGTAATAAATATATCAATTCATTATCAACCATTCCAATTTTTCACTTTAAACGAGAAAAAACGAAACACGAAAAAATAAAAAACTGTCAAATGTTTAAATTGAAGAATGTTCATCATTTACTGATTATTATTATATTAATATGGATTATTACATTCTATTTACAAGAACGATATATTACTAAACTAACAATACATAAATGTAATTGGTCAAAACTAGAGGAGAAAGGAGATCAAAAGAATATTTTAATCATTGCTGATCCTCAATTGATCGATAATCATACTTATCCTGGTAGAAATGAATTATTACTAAGTCTATCTAAACATACAGTAGATCAATATCTTAAGAAAAACTACAATGTATTAATTTCACATTTGAATCCAGATAAAATTGTATTCCTTGGTGATTTATTAGATAATGGACGTGATTCAACTGATTCATATTTTAAACATGAGGTAAAGAGATTTAATGGGATATTTCATCCTGATGAAGATATGATATTGAATGTGCCAGGTAATCATGATATTGGATTTGGTGATTTAATTAATCTAAAAAACAGACAACGATTTTTTGATACATTTGGAGAATCAAACAGGGTGATGGAATATAATGACTGGGATCTCATATTTTTAGACTCACCTAGTTACTCATCAACAAAAGAAGAGATCAACACCCAAGCTAGACAATTCATTTCCAATTTTCAAATATCACAAAATCCTAGAATTTTATTTACTCACGTTCCATTGCAACGTGAATCATCAATTTGCGGTCCACTAAGAGAGAGCAAAGGCTTAGATATAAATGGACATGGATATCAATATCAAAACACAATAGCAAAAGAATTATCAGCTCAAATACTAGACAATTTAAAACCAAATTTGATTTTCACGGGTGATGACCATGATTATTGTGAAATAATCCATAAAGAGACAGACAGTAGAGAAATCACAGTTAAATCAATCAGCATGGCAATGGGAATAAAATACCCTGCTGTTCAACTATTATCAATTAACAAATCAGAATATAGTACTGTTCTTTGTTATTTACAGACTCCATATATTAATGTTGCAAATTATATCATACTAGCAATCATTAGCTCAGTACTTATATTTTATTTCAATTTGAAACAGAGATCTGTAAGATACAATTATACTTCAATTTTACCTATGTCTACGGTCACTATTGGATCTGAACATTCTAAGAAGATACGAAACTTTTTGAAAGCTCAAGATAATGATGATGCTGATTCTGATGGTATTTCTACTTATTCTTTACCTTCACTGATTCCACAATACACATTTACACAAAAGAAAGAATCATTCATTAATTCAAATTCAAGATTTGGAAGATTGTATATATTGAATAAGAAAAGGTTGATTACATTCTTGAGGAAATGGAATTTAGTGGCTTGGTTTAAACAAAATGTTATATTGGGTTTTATTGTTATTGGTATATATTATTTTGGATTTAGTTTGACTTTATAGATTTGAATGGACAAATTCTAGATATAGAACGACTGAGTAAGAGGCAATTTTACTACTCTGTGATACTCTTCAACCTGTTGGTATAGATGCCGTGGGTAGATCTCGATCTGGTTTTTCTTGAGATCTTTGAGACCTGTGGCGAAAAAGAAAAGCAGTATTCTTAAATATTATTAGATAGCACTGCCATTAAGTACCTTTTTTTCAGATCGGATGGTTTAAAGCCTGTAATATTTGTTGTACTTGCTAGATCTGAGTTTTTTGGCTTCAGACCCTTGATTAATATTATATAAGATTTACGAGATCCAGATCTTAGATATGCGCTACCACCCCTGTCGCACTAATTAAAAAAAATTTCATCGTATATGTTTCATCGTCTATTTTATTAATTTTCTCCAGTTTTGTGTGCCTTATTATTCGACATGTTAATTAAAATGGACCCTTTTAAGTTTATTAATTGTTAATTAATTAAACTAACTAAGGAAATAAATTTCAAAATTGTTGTGATTTTTTATTTTTTTTTTTTATTTTCAACACTATAGTAAATAAGTTTCAAAATTTTAATATTATGGGTTGTTCTACTTCAACACTTTCAGATGTATCTGATCCATACTTTCAAGATAAATTAATCAATGATGCAATTGAACAGTCATTGCAGTTGAATAAACAACAAAATAAAAATGGTATTAAATTATTATTATTAGGAACTGGAGAATCTGGTAAATCAACAGTCTTAAAACAAATGAAATTATTACATAAAGGAGGATTCACCCAACAAGAAAGATTACAATATTCAAATGTTATATGGTGTGATATAATTCAACAAATGAAAATTTTAATTATCCAAGGTAGAAAATTTAAAATCCCATTAGATTGTGATCAAAAAGAAAGTGAATTAATCAAATATAAACATATAATTTTAAGATCAGATGGGTTACGACAAATAGATACTGGTGCTGCTGGCGGTAATGATTTTTTAAATGATTATATTATAAAATATTCAGAAACTACTAAAAATAAAAGAAAAGCTGGTCAAACTGGTATTACCTCAATTATTGGTAATGAATCAGAAGAAATTATAGATCAAAAACAAATTAATGAAATTTTAAATCAAACTAAACAACAAGCTCAAGATTATAATTATACAAGATATGAAATTGCAGAAGCAATATCTAAATTATGGACACTTGATAAAGGTATACAAAAAGTATATACAAGATCAAATGAGTTTCAATTTGAATCATCATCCAAGTACTATTTTGAAAACATTTTTAAATTTGCAAATAAGAATTACTTATCTTCAGATCAAGATATTTTAAACGGTAGAATCAAAACTACAGGAATTACAAAGACTAATTTCTTGATCAATTCATTTCAATTCAAAGTCCTTGATGCTGGTGGTCAAAGAAGTGAACGTAAGAAATGGATTCATTGTTTTCAGGATATAACTTGTATTTGCTTCGTTTTGGCAGTTTCCGAATATGATCAAATGTTATTTGAAGACGAAACAGTTAATAGAATGAAAGAATCAATTATATTATTCGATACATTATGTAATTCAAAATGGTTTCAAAATACTCCATTTATATTGTTTTTAAATAAAATTGATTTATTTAAAGAGAAATTAACAATGAATCCATTAGGTAATTATTTTTCAGATTATAAGGGTGGTAATGATTTTGAAAGTGCTATAAAATTTTTTGAATCAAATTTTACAAGTTTAAATCGAAGTAATAGACCAATTTATATTCATAGAACTTGTGCAACTGATCAAAATTCAATGAAGTTTGTATTAAATGCAGTTACTGATTTGATTATACAACAAAATTTGAAAAAGTCTGGAATGATGTAGTTAGGAAGTAAAAACATAGTAAGGATGCCGCAATTGTTAGAATGTTAATTAGAATGTAACTTAAATATGTGAATATGTATATTAACTATTTGTCTTTTTATATGTCTTATTTGTTTACCATCTCATCATGGCCATTTCATTTCTATTTCTATTATAATCAAATAAATCTTCAATTTGACCAGTTGCAGAAATAACAATATCTCTATCCCAAACTTTAGATTTACCCCATTCTTTAACATCATTTAATTTAATAGAATCAATTTTTTCAAAAGATTCTCTTATTGAATTTCTATAACCATTTAATAAAATTTTTGAACCAATATCATTTGTAATTTCATTTGAAGTTGATAATTTTGTTAAAATTTCAGTTTTTAATTGATTTTTAGCTCTAACTACTTCAGCTTCAGAAATTGAAATAGATAATCTATTCCATTGTTTTAATGAAAAATGAGCAAAATCATCAATGGTAAATTTATTTGAAATTTCACAATAATAACCCCATAAACCGGAATCACTGAAAGATTTTGAAAAATGTTCATATGAATCAACAATATCATATTCTTGAACAATCGAAGCTAATTTTGGTGATGTATAATGTTTAATAGTTGAATTTGAATCATAATTTCCAAATATTTTAGCTGCAACTTGTGCAATATAATAATTTGGTGAATTAATACCTTCTCCATTTACAGCAATTGCAAAATATGCTTTTGGTAAAGTATCATCTCTCATTCTAACTTCGGAACCAAGGAAAGAAACAGGTTTAATTTCAGGTTTTATAGATTCTTTAATTTTTAAATTTGATGATTCAATTGATTCAACTAATTCTTCATGGGAGAAATTACCAGAACCTGCAATAACAATATTATTATTATTCAAATTGTTATTTAAATGTCTTAATGAATCTTCAACTTGTAAATTTTCAATTGATTCTGGAGTACCTAAAGTTGGTAAACCTAATGAATAACCTTGATAAGCAGTTGCTTCTAAATGACTTAAAACTTTTGATTTTGGATTTGATTCTAAATATTTAACTTGTTGAGTTAAAAACTTTTTATATAATGATAAATCAGATTTAGTTATAATTTCTTCAGCATTTGATACAATTGATGATAATAATTTACCTGCATTTTTAATATTATCATTTGTAGTTTCTGCAAGAATACCATTGAATTCTTTATCATTTTTTGATGAAATCAAAATACCATCTTGTGTTGAATGATTTGATAATAAATCTGTAGTTAATGCACTAATACCATTATTATAAGGATGTTCAGTTCTAGAACCACCACCAATATATAAACCTATTGATGAATGTTTTGCTTGAGGATTTGATTCACTAGCAATAGTAATACCGTTTGATAAAGTAGTATATTTGGTTGCACTGCTTGTTGTTTTTGTTGATTGTAATCTTAATTGAGTTACTCTACATTTATTCAATTTTGAAATCATTGAAGATCCACGAATCATGATCAATGGGTGATATCTTTTGGTTGTAAGTATTTGGTTGTAAAATTGAAACTTTTTTTTTCACTACTAAATAAAAATTGAACCAATAGAAAATATTGTAAATTTAATTATATAGTTATACACGACTATTAATGCTACATCGCTACCAATTGTATTTTGTTGATTTTTTTTGCAGCCTATTTATAATACTTATTCTTTGCTTGTTGTAAATTAATTGCAAATATATCATCATTTTCATTATTTATTTCGTTACTTGTTGGTGTATTATTTCTTGTAAAATCACCACGAATATTTGTATTATTGATGATTGGAATTGAACTTGAACCAGTTGATAATCTAGCAGCAGATAAAGAAACATCATTTAATACCATTTTCCAAATTTGTGGAGGTTCTTTAACAGGTGGTTCTTGTACTTTTTCTTCAACTAATGGTGTAGTTTCTTTTTCCGTGGTACCACCTTTTAATTTATTCATATTGGAAACAAAAAAATCATATAATTTATTCTTTGGCTTTTCATCTTCTTCATCTTGATCATTTACATTCTCATCATTGCTTATTTCTACATTTAAATCAATTTGAAAAGTTGAAAATAAATTTTCTTCATTTAAATCTCTAGTTTGGTCTCTTATAATTTCTTGATCCCTTATTGTTCTAGTTACTTCTTCCAATAATAAATAATCTTGTTGTAAAGTAGATGAATTTTTAAGAAAGTTTGACAGATCTTTATATTTTTCTTTTGGATATGTTCGTAAACTAATCAATGATTGATCTTGTTGTTTTTCTTTTATAATTCTTGGATTATCATTGAGACTATAATGTTTTAATCTTGATTCTATCCTATGAATATCAAATTTAAACTTTAGATCATGATAAAATTGATTCAAAGACATGAAGTTAATTGCAAAATGTTAAATGATATGAATTGAATTTATCTGTATATCTTTTTTTGCAGCTATTTTGTTATTGCAAAATTTGATATGTTGCAGTTGATTAGTGGTAGACATCTCTTATACTGTCTGATAAGTCTCATTCTTTGTAATCCTAATCCTGATATCAACCTAGCTTGCACGTCAAATTTTGTAGAATACGTAGTCAGAATTTGACTTATATCATTAATATTTATATTATTATTACTATTTACAATTGTATATAAGCTCTTTGTTGAGTAGCCAATTTATGCATTTGAGCTTTCTTATCATACCCAGAAGATTTACCCATATAAGCATTTATAATTTCTTCAGCTAATCTAACACTAAAATCATTACTTTTTCTCAGTTTTGAAGCTTCTAAAATCCAAGTAATTGCAAATCTATTCCTTTGTCTTTCAGTCATTGGTTGAGGCACAATTTTCTTCTTTGCAAACCCAGTAGACATAGATCTAGTTTTGACAACTGGTCCTAATTTATCCAAAGTTTCTTTAAATATTTCAATGGGGTCTTTTCTTAATTTCATTTGTATAATGAAAAAAGCTCTATTTACAACCTTTCTAGCGAGATTCTTTTTACCATGTCTCATTATTAAATTTACTAAATTGTCTACTATTGGATCATTCATTAATGGGATAGCTTTATCTGCATATTTCTTACTTTCTTCAATTTGTTTCAAACTTGGTTCAAATGATTTCTTTAAATATTCTTCTGAATTATTTACAATTTGATTAAGATATATTTCCTCCTTGGTGTCAAATATTTTCTTACCTTGTTTGAGGTTTTTAACTGCTTCAATCCATGAGTCTAAGTCTTTATCAGTTATTTCTGTTTCTGAAATAGGATAAATTTGGGTTAAAAAATAATTAGACTCCACTTTTTTGACAGGTTGAGCTGTGGTAGTAGTTGAGTTGTATCTTATAGTTGGTGATATTATACTCCTTGGTATTTGTCTATATATGAGCCTAGATGGTATCATTTTGGAACCGACTAGTATAAAATTTTTCAATATTGAATTTTTTTGTTGATAGTGAAACAAAATTTACACCCAAACATCAACACAACCAGAGTTGAATGGATTGTAATAAACAAGATATTGATCAATTGATAAATAATAATGGTTATGACAACTTGATACTGAATTGGGATATATATTCAAAGTATACACGTGAGAGATTGGTGAAGTTAGCTACTACTGAGGAAACAAGGACAATTAAAGCTATAATTGATAAACATATCCAATCGAAGGGCTTTGATAAATTACCTCCATTTACCGCAATCAGAATACTTGAAATTTTATCAGATCCAAAATCTAATGGCTATGATATAGATGAGAAAGATGGTGCTGGTGTTGTTAAGTTACTTAATGGTATAAAGAAATTGTATCTTGTTGATTCTAATGTTAATGAATTTCCGCAACCTCATAAGAAAATAGAGTCTGATAAGTATCATAATGATATTAAAATGAGTAAAATAGAATGGTTAAATGATGCTAAGAAGAGATAATTGGATGAATAAAGGTACTGGCGTGAATAAGTTATTTTACGTGTTGAAGAGTTTGTTAATTTCCGATGCTGATCAAGTCGCAAATGACATACTGCATTTGAACTTAGGTAAGCATCATTATGGTGTTAACTAGAGTAAAATTACATGGTTCAATGAAGCTAAGAAAAGAAAGTTGATGTTTCATTGTAAAATTTTGAATATTAAGATACATTTAAAGGAAATTTTAAGTTGAAGTATCGTCATTCCCATGGGAAAATAAGTTAATTTCATGATCAACTGAAGCTAATAAGAGAAAGTTGAATGAATTGATTACAATTACATATTGAAATCTGTCAAAATTATATGAATTTCGAAAGGAGAAGAATTACATGGGTAAATAAATTTGAAAAAAAATATTATTACAATTGTATATCAAAATCTTTGCGGTGATCTAGAAGGAGATCTTGATCTTCTACCAGATTGATCAGGTATATAAGAATCAGTTTTACTATTAGTACTTCTAGGAACATAAGAATCTCTTTGCATGGATCTACCAGGCACATAAGAATCAGTCCTCCCACCACCACCTCTTTGATATCCATCACCTCTATTACCCCCATATCTCCTATTATCATAAGTAGGATACCTTGATCGATTATAATTATTATAGTTATTATAATTGTTATAGTTATTTCTAGGTTCATATTTTGGTATATATCCCCCATTTAATAACGTATGACTAACTACCATATCTTTATCCTCATCATCACCACTTCTATTTTCAAATTCTAATTTCCATTTACCATTGCGTGGACCTCTATCTTCTTCATAAGTCCATTGATTAATTGCCTTAACCGGGATATATTCGACATATAATGGTAATCTTTCCACGTTATATTCTCGAGGCTCAACTGGTGATTCAATTGACTCCTTCTCTTCAGCACTTAAATTTTCATAGTGTTTTAACTCTTCTTCATATCTTTCTATTTCCTTGTTTTGAAATTCTTCTTTCAAGACAGCATCTTCTTCCTCAGTAGGATAAATACTATTTAACAATTGAGATCTTAAAAACTCAGCACCGGTTTCATTATTGACTAAGATTATAGCATGACTTCTTGGTTTATTTAACCAACATCTTTCAATATGTGCATTTACCTCACTTGATTTGAGTAATTCTTTTAAATAAATTTGGATTTGTCCTGCATTGATTGGTTTTCTTAAATTTCCGACAAATAAAGCTCTAGTTAAATGAAATGACGGTTCGTCATTAACTTCATAAATTACTGGTTCATCATCTTCATTTTCATAATGAGGTAAATCTAAACCAATATGATCTATTCTTCTAGAGTATGAATTGTTTGAATTATTCGGTAATTCTTTTTTATCTATTGGTAAATATGGTTCTGGTCCTCCATTCATATTGGCCCCGGTTGTAGTTTGATAATTTTTCAAGACGTGATTTTTTTTTTTTTTTTTTTTTTTTTATTTTAATTTTTCAATCTTGAATTTACGAATTTATAGAATAATCAATAACCAGTCAGTATTTGTACGAGTTTTAAGGGACTATTACTATTCTAATTACGTGTTTATTAAATAGATATTGGACTATATACAATTGATACTGGATGAAGCTTAGTTATTTATAGTTTTGACCATTTTCAACATCAGATTTAAATGTATTGAGCCTCATGTAAGGATGTAAAGATGCTCAAATCTATGTAAGGATAGAATATAAAAAATTGAGGTCTAGTAATCTTAAGCAGTCCATAACTTACTTATCAAATCAAATAAGCCATTATTAGCAGTCTCCATAACATAAATACCATAAATAGAAACAAAAGTACCCACTCCTAATAATTTCATAGCGATATTATGCCATATTCCATAGACTCGTTTCGGTATATAATCAATAATACAACTTTTAAAGCCAGCATTACAATGAAACAATAAAAGTGTAGAACATATTGAATCAATAATTGGATATTCTACACCAGCAATAAATGGAGTCATAACTAATGGTATCATTGCAACTGTGACTGCTCTTTCGTATGTCCAATGAAAATTCCCATGAAATTGATCTGGATCAGGTGCGATATATGCATCATTAACTGTACCAACTATATAACCAGGTGGTTGTGGAATTTTGTTAAATTTTTGTAATGAAAATTTGGGAATTAATCTGAGATTTCTTGTGAATATTCTTTGAGTATTACTATTTATCAACCCTTGACGTATCATTATTGAATATATTTTGATTTGATTTAATTTAATAGTTGATGTTTCAGAATTTTTTTTTTTTTTTTTTTTTTTTTCAATGGATTTGGTTATGAAATTGAAATTGAATAGACAAATTGACGAATAAAAGAGATATAAAGCGAATATAGAGACTATTTTGAAAATGGAATCAGCTTTTTTCCATCATTTTTATATAGTAGTTCAGTTCGGAGGTGATCTGAGTCGAAAAGAAGCTCATTTTGTAAGTTTTTTAGTAAGCGAAAACACGATTCAAAGTTAATTCTTACATTAATTCATTATATATTTACATCAAGACTCTATCCAACATCCTTACCATGAAGCAACCTTAACCCCCGGTATTTGACCAGCTAAAGCTCTATTTCTAAATTCAGTTCTATTTAATTTAAAATCAGTTATGACAGATTTTGAATTCCCAGAAGCAATACATCTATCTCTTATTTGTGTAATTGATGTATATTTAGGCATGGTAGCTAATTGTAACTGCGCTTCAATTCTAATTCTTGAAGGTAATTCTTCATTTCTAATAATATACTTTAAAGCATTACGTGTGACTTCATGTTGTGCAAAATTGATTCTTTTATGTTGATCTCTTAATACTCTTGCGTTTACATGTACATGTTTAGGTATTTCAAATTTAACTGGAAATCTAAATGGCATAATGGAAAATGTATTGGTGATAATGAAAAATTTGAATTGGAGTGAAAAATATTTTTGTTGCATTCACACGCACGCCTGGTGATAATTTATGAAACAATTTATATACGATTAATACTGTCGATGAGGCTGGTATTGAGTTAGAGATGAGATGTAAGAGGTGTTATTGAGTTAGTGAAGTCAAATTGATGTTATTACCTCTTGAAAGCGTGGTTATAGATTTAATTTTGGCTATTTGGTCCAATTTTACTCATATAAATGCGCTTCTTTCTTCAATTCGGAGAACAATGGCATTAACTGGTGTAGATTTCCATTTTATGACTGTCCTCCTGTCTCTGTTGTTCATTTTACCGTGTTATTTATTAATTGGTTGTAAAAATCTACCAATTTATATGAGATCGGAAAATCTACACTATTTATTAATTGATTATTAATATATAGGATCTTCAATTTTACAACAAGTCATCATGTTTACAGGATTAATTGAGACTATAGGAACAGTAACAGAATATAACAAAAACGATACTTCATCATCTGGTGGAAATGGAGTAACACTAATCATATCAGATTGTTCTCCAATACTTGAAGATGTACAATTAGGTGATTCAATATCAACAAATGGTGTCTGCTTAACAGTTACTGAATTCGACCCATCCAAAACATGGTTTAAAGTAGGTATAGCCCCAGAAACTTTAAGAAAGACAAACCTTGAGTCATTAACGAAAGGATCAAAAGTTAATCTTGAAAGAGCAGTTACTGCCAATGTAAGACTTGGTGGTCATATTGTTCAAGGACATGTAGATACAATAGCTACAATAACCAAAAAGGAATCAGATGAGAATGCAATAAATTATACTTTTAAATTAAGAGATGTTGAATTTATAAATTATATTGTTCATAAGGGATTTATTGCAATTGATGGTACTTCATTAACTGTTACTAATGTAGATAATGAAAAAGCAGAGTTTTCAATTATGTTAATTAGTTATAGTCAATCTAAAGTTATATTATCTAAGAAAGAAGTTGGTGATACTGTTAACATTGAAGTTGATTTGACTGGTAAATTAATTGAAAAACAGATAGAGATCAATTTACAAAAACATATAAATGATGATTCAAGTAGCTTGAATCAGTTGATTACTCAATTAATAGAAAAGAAGTTGAAAGAAAGACTTGATTGAAGTCAGGATGCCATAAAATAGAGATGGCCATAATGTGAGGATGCAACAAACAAACAATATATATTACTGTTCGTACTATTGAAATCTCTATATTAGATGGCATTACTGTTACGTATCCTTACAGCTGCATTGTCATCATTTGCATCCTTACCGTTCGTATTGATCTCTTGATAATTTTCAACAAAAAAAAATTAACCAGTGTAAATTTTTGATAGTGGCAAAAAGTTTATATATATAAAAGGGTACTTATAGGTTATTATGGATATTATATTAGGTATTAGAGTATCAGATGCAACACTAATTGCGACTTCAAAAGCAGCTACTAGATCAATTTCAATATTAAAAGATGATGATGATAAAACAAGAGAATTAAATAAACATAATTTAATTGCATTTACTGGTGAATCTGGAGATACAACACAATTTGCAGAATATGTACAAGCTAATATTCAATTATATTCAATGAGAGAAAATGATATTGAATTATCACCAAAGGCAACTGCATCATTTATAAGAAATCAATTAGCAACTTCAATAAGATCAAGAAAACCATATCAAGTAAATTGTTTAATTGGTGGATATGATACAAAAACAGGAAAACCAAGTTTAAATTGGATAGATTATTTAGGTACTCAAGTTGAATTACCTTATGGTGCTCATGGTTATGCTGCCTTTTATACTACTTCATTATTAGATAAACATTATAGAGAAAAAATGTCAATTGATGATGGTTTAAAATTAATGGATATGTGTATTGATGAATTAAATAAAAGAATGCCAATTGATTTTAAAGGTGTTTATATAAAAGTTGTCGATAAAGATGGTATAAGATTAATTAAGTAAATAGTTTATATTTACATTACACTCTACAATTTGATATTTCTAATACTAATATATCACTTGCTCCTTGTTTCTTTAATTCATCCATTACATTTCCAATTTCTTTACGTTTAACCATGGATGAAATAGCTACCCAATCTTCCTCTTCTGGTGAATGTTTATCTAATGTTGAAACTGTAGCTGCACGTCTACCAGGTGTAATATTTAAACAATTTGATAAAATTGATTTTGGTGCATTATAATTACATAATACATATTCTTGTGCCGCTAATACCCCTTCAATTCTTTGTCTTATAGTTTTAACTAAATCTGGGAATTTTGGTGTTTTTGAAGATATTAAATGTGCTGAAGTTTCTAAAATTGTATCTATAGCTTTTAAACCTGCTGCTTTCATAGTCTCTCCACTTTCAACTAAATCGACAATAGCATCAGCAACTCCTAAAGCACAAGAAGCTTCAACTGATCCTCCAACATATCTAATATTAGGATTAGAATCACCTAATTCTTTAAAATAATCAGTTGATAATTTAGTAAAACTAGATACAATTTTTTTACCTATCAATTGTTTACTTTCATTAATTTCTCCAGTTGCAGGTACTTGAATTTGTAATTTACATGAACCAAATTTTAAATCTAATAATGATTCAATATTATTAAATTGATCTGCTTCTTTAATTTGATCTAATCCCGTAATTCCTAAATCACAATTACCTTCACCAACAAAAACAGGTATATCAGCAGCTGGTAAAAAAATTAACGCAATTGGTAAATTTGTAGAAAGGGCAATATCTAATCTATTTGATCTTCTAAATTGAATATCAGCTCCTGATAATAAATTACAACATTTTTCATATAATCTTCCTTTTTTAGGAACCGCAAATAATAATCTGTCAGGTAAATGATTAACTAAATCCATAATGAATACCTAAAAAGCGAGTGGTAGTGATCGGTACCTGTTAATTTTTCAAAACGTTTAGACTGAAAAAATAATGAGTCAAGATTTCAATTTTGTGTAACTTAGATTTGACACACGAAAAATGGTTGCAAAATTTTAAATGAAGTAATGAATGCAGCATAATCGACCAACAAACTGATAAAATATGTTGATGAGGTTGATAACGTTGTCAATAATAGTAACTAAGAGCTTGTTTAGTTTCCAGAGTGAAGGGTGGAATTTTTTTAAACGTCTATAAAAATATATTAATTAATCTATAAGATTTTACGAAAATTACAAACTCTATCTAACGAAAAAAACTAGATATCCTTTCATTTCTCTAAGTCAGTCAGTTGTTTTAATGCTTCATTAGCTCCAATACCAACACTTTGAATAATATCCTGAATAACATCCTGAATAACATTCACAACATCACCCAATGAAGTAGGATTCAAAGTAAAGAAATCAACAAACAATTTGGCAATATCAGGAACAGATAAAGCAAACACATTAATCAAACTTGATATAATACTAGGCAAATTTAAAATTATAGTGGAAGCTGAAACAACACCAAGAACTTTAAATACTTCATTAACAATCTCTGCTAAAAATGCCTACGCAGGATTATTTGAAACTGAAGGTGGAGTAGTTGTATTATTAGTTTGAGCAGCATCAATAATTAATTGAGGATTGACATCTGTCAAACTCAAACTTGATAGTACGGAAGGAATGACTGTTGAATATGAATTTGGTGATTCTCCTAATGCTTGGAAAATTATTGAAAGGACAGTCGGAATAATATCAGTTAATCCATCTAGTATGTGAATCATCAACGACTGAAAAGTCACATTTGATTGGACGTGGATATGTTATATTTCTTCATTTTGAAGGTAAATGAAAAGCAGAAGTGAATGTAAAGAATAAAGCAACAATAGTAAAGACGGAATATTTCATTATAAATTTAAGCAGCTAATGAATGAATAATCTTAATTGCAGAAATAGAGGTAGAAAATAACGATATATAAATAATTTTGAATATTATTGACGCTGTGATAATTCGAAATTCAAATTTTGATTACCCCCCCTGTTAATCAATGGTGGGATTAAATGAAAGAGTTTTGACGCCATGAGTAAATTATTTGGCCCTTTTCAATCAAGCATTTGACCCAGTATCAAAATGCAAAATACAGACTCATATTTTCATTGTTCATTATCCATGAGTGATGAATAAATTCGCAGCCTTTTGCAACCAGAAGTAAAAAATTTGATAATTGATAATGAAATTTCAGAAATGAGTGATTTTAAATCACTGTTCCTGTTTCATTAATTACACCTTGCATAGTTTCAGTATTTACAATTTCTAATTAATCAAAGATAGACATATAAGAAAAGGTACATCTGTGGTTGAATAATAGTTGATAAATTGAGGAATAGTTATGAACTAGCCGTTTATGAAAGAAATTGAGGAATAGTTATGAACTAGCCGTTTATGAAAGAAATTGAGGAATAGTTATGAACTAGCCGTTTATGAAAGAAATTGAGGAATAGTTATGAACTAGCCGTTTATGAAAGAAATTGAGGAATAGTTATGAACTAGCCGTTTATGAAAGAAATTGAAATGGGAAATCTAGACCTGAGACATAATTGATCTAAAATAATGGAATCAAAGAATCAAAATAGAATCTAAGCTATTCTATTATAATAGTATACTGTCAGATCATTATCCACGTTGTTTCAAAAAACGTTTTTAAAGAAGCTCTATGCTTTTATTTATTTACACGATCAATTTTTTTACTCGGTTCTAATTCTATAAAATATGGTACAAAACTAAGGCGAAGAAATTTTTCGTTCTCGCTTAACAAAAAACAACCGTAATCGGAAAAACTAAAAAATCACAATAGTGGAATTGTTTGAATCGTAAATGTCTCTAAAGAAAACGCAAATTTTATCTTTGCAATTAGATTCCAGATTCGAAATGTGGCGTACATCTACTTGAACATTATTCCACCTCGGACCCGATCTAGAGTTGAAGAGGTGAGCTTTATTGTGATAAAAATTATGAGGATATTCTCTATGTTCACGATTATTTTATGAAGCTTTAGAAGCATTGAACTTTGATTGAAATTCTGACGTATATACTTTCTTATCATTCTAATATAGACGATGTATATCCATAAAGTCAATGACTTTAACTATAAGGTTCTAAGTTTAAGCAAAATCGAATTGTCTAAGTTTTAGAGATTTTTATTTTGGCTGCAAAATCAAAATTAAAATTGTGAACAATTAAAAGTATAAAGCAAACGACAATATATATTGTCTATAACAACATAGATACTATACTAATATCTCTTTCAACTTCTAAATTTAAGATAAATTAGAAATGATTTGTTGAATAACAGTGATAGCTTCTTGGAAACCAAGACCTAAATCTTGGACAACATCACCTGCAATTTTAATAATATTAAGAATTGATAATGGATTACCAGTCAACAAACCAGTAATCAAATGGATAATATCAGGAATAGTTAATTGGAAAATTTTAATTATAGCAGAAATAATACCTGGTAAATTTGAAATAATAGTTGAAGTAGAAACACCCAAAATTCTAAAAATTTCTGAAACAATATTAGCAACGAAACCGAATGCAGGATCACCTGAACCACCTGAAGGAGTAGCAGTTGAGTTTGATTCAGCAGCTAAAATTAATGGTTGTGGATTAACTGAAGTTAAATTTAAATTTGATAAAACACCTGGAATAACTGTAGCAAATTTATCTGGTGATTCACCTAAAGCATTGAAAATAATAGAAGCAATAGTTGGAATAATTGTTTCTAAACCTGAGACTAAATCACCATTTGAAGCATCAACAACTGGAGCTGAACGTTTAACAGTATCCAATTTGACTTCACCTTTTGAAATAGCAACAGCAGTAACGTAAGTGAATAATAAAGCAATAGCAGAGAAGATTTGAGTGAATTTCATTGTTAACAATTAATTGATTAAAAGATTGAATTGATTGTTGATGATTTCAAATTGAAAACTGGAAAAATTGGTTGATATTTATACCATTTTCGAAAGTATGAAGTTTATAATACTCTCTATTCGATCCGTTTTGATATTTCATAATGAGTAATAATCAATAGTTGAATATTTGGTAATAAAGTACTCGGTGGTGCACCGATTGAATAATCAATTTCATTGTTTGAATTTTAATGGTTTAAAGTTTTGCAGCAAAAGCATTTGCCTGAAATTTTCCACTAAACTCCACAATAATAATCTAAATTGATTTGAAGTTTCAGGTCAGAATGAACTTAACCCCACCCACGCAAAATAAGACATGGTACTTGTGCATGGAAAAATCATCCTTACTTATGTTAGAAGAAATTTTACCTGCAAATTGCATTTTTCTGAGGTTCAATAGAAAATAAGCTAGTTAATTGACAAATACCTTCTATATTTAATGTAGGTAAATGTCGAGAGAACGTTCATGATGATCCATATGGCTAAAACATTTTTCAGCCGTATAAGATATTATTCTAATCAGATAATTATAATATTGCAATTACGATTAAGGATTTACAAATAATGTGCAATTACGAATAAGGATTTACAATGTTTAGCTCATCTATCGAATCTTACTGGTCAAACTTTTCGTTTATCAACGTTTTCGTCAATCAATGAGATAGAACAATAGACTAAAAACTTCTTTCGGTCTTTAGAACTGATCACCGTGGTTAGGATTTTTTTTTTCGAACAATTTGACACATATCGTTATCGTATCATTTTTTTAAGCGAGCCACGAGGCAAATTCAAAAATGCCCCTGTGTTGTTTTAAAAAGAATGCAACAAAAATTGTTTAATATTCGTTGTCTACTAGTTCCAAAGTATGGTAATAGTGAGCAGTCTCTATTCGACAATATCATAATCAAGTCGTAAACCGTTCCAAATAGAGTAAATTATGTGGTGTGATTTTGAACAATGTAAAAGGCATACGATACAATTAATCAAATCTAAATAACAAAGTATTGTTTGGGGAACGAGCTACAAATCTCAATCTTAATCAATAACAATCAAAAACTGTTTTGTATTTCATTTCCTAATAATTATGTAATTTCATATCAGTTTATTCTTATTGTCGAATTTTATTTTAGTTACTTTCGCACAATTACCTGAATAAACAAAGGATGCATTCCACGCAAATTAAAGTAACAAAATTAGAAATGGTCTAATTTTGTAGCACATAAAATCCGCATATTGCATATAGTGAACTTGATATGCAATCCACAACTAATCTATCAAATTGACGAAGTTCTGAGCTACAAGTCAAACTGCGCTTTGTAAAATAGCTCTTGAAACGAACATAGCCGAGGATAATCAACATTGATCAAAGTAGTACTTTGGAAATTTGATTTCCTATGACATTTCCGATATTGTGCAGCTAATTGCAAATATTTCGATAATTTGTCAAAATCTGTAAACTCTTTTTACAATTCCAAAAGTAAGTGACGCACTCAAAACAACACGTAATTTTGACATGTGGTCCTCAAATAATAGAAATAGCAAATTTGATAGTTATTGAGATAACACGCGTGAATGTAAAGTCTAAATATCGAATTCAAAAAGCCGGGCATTTTCGAATAACTGAAAAATTAACCCGGGGCAATAAACTATGGCTAAAGAATCAAGAACATAGCATATAGGATATTTGGTAATCCATTAACTTAGTTTGAAACACTAGTCTGGATTTAATTCATTTGGTAATTTGATAGTTTAACATCCATTTTTCAATCATTATTTTAAAAGCAACAGAAATTATACACCATTCAAGAAACATTGACTGATTCAGTCAATAAATTATGACTAGGTTTAGCTCGAAAATCAAGCTGATTTAAGTTCATCTCAAGTTAAACAGTCGAATCATGTTCTAAGTCATGATAATTTGAATATTTCAATACCTGACACATGGTAGCGATGAGGTGGATTTAGAGGCAATTACAGAATTACAAAATGTTCTACTTGAATCAGATAACAGCTATTCTACTTGAATCAGATAACAGCTACAATCTGAGATATAAGTCTTAACATTGCGTATCTATTGTTATTAAACACATGATAGACAAATATATATCTGTTTTAATTATATTTCAAAATGAATTTAATTCTTGTCCAAAAATAGAGCCACAACAATTTTTTTTTCGCGCTATCTTTAGGGCGGCTCGTACTAAATTTATTGGCTTATATGTCATGAGCAACAAATGCTCACGAGATGAAGACCACTTAGATGAAGTAAAGAGCATAAAAATATATGTATCTGATATTTGAAAATAATGAATTTTAAAATTTTTTTTTGAACTTGAATTTTTGGGCTTTTTTCATCATACAAAATTTTTTCAAAAAATGAAAATACAGTCTATAATTACGCCCATAACTTTCAAATAAACTATGAGTTATGTAAATTATATATCAGATAAAGGTCTTGGATAAGGTTTCGCTCAATTTAATCTAAAACGGAGAACCAAAATTTTCTCATAAATACGGCAAAATTTGAATAAATGGACCTTGAGAAAAATCTTATTCCACAACTAAATTTCAAATTGGTCCATAATAAATCTGTTCAAGTTTGTAGCTCCTGTAAGCTCATAAACCATGAGATTTTTTGTGTCAAGATATCCAAAATTGGAAAAGTAATTTTTCAAAACCGTTTTGAAATTTTTGAAAAAAAATTCAAACCAATTATGGCGCCTTAAAACCATTATAGATTGAATCTTTGAATCTAGGCAAACTGAATCAGACGTTTCAAGAGTTGCTATACAAGGTCTAAGTGCTGGTTAATTGCAAATTACAGTTTTTATCCATTTTTTAAATGACGGATAAATTGATCAAAATTATGTTTTTTCAAGGAATATTACCATCATTCTGTTCCGAGATTACTGAGGTTTTAATAAAAATAGTTCGGGTACAATAGCTTGAATGTTGTGGGAGTTATTGTAAATTGAAGTCTTATGATTCGCTACTATAGGACTGCATATAATTCAATTCGTTTCAGAATTTTACAACTTTTGGGGTATGATGCTATCGACCGAATTAAGGGAAGAACGTGGCCACAAAAATTTTGCAATTCAAGCGAAAGCTGGTATTAACGCCTGTGTTAATTTCGAATCTAATGCCGAACGCCAAGATATTACAAAAACTATTTTACCCAAAATATGCATAAACGCAACGGATTTCAACTATGTAAACTGGTAAGATCCAGTGCAATTTAGCATTAAGAGCACTGATGAAGAATTAAATATAACGTATATTTTAATTTGATCTAACGTAATGAATGTAATGCTTTTAAAGTGAATGTCTCATTCTAAAATGAATAGATTATTAGTCAACGTAGTTACTATGTGTATCATTATCCTCGCACTCGTTTAATTATGATTTGAAAGAGTGCCCAAATGCTGAATCTATTGTTACTTTATTTCAAGATATCAGGTTTAGTGTCCATTGTCCTATCATATTGCTTTTGTCATCGTATACTCATTATCAGATGTTATTGTTTCATCTTCCGAATCATAATATGTATTCACAAATTTTGAATTCTCATTAGCGTACCAGTATTTTTCAAATGCAAAATTTATCAATATTTTAATCATATCCCAAGGTTTAAAATTAGGCCATAATTGATTTATAAACACTATTTTGCAATTTGGTGATACGGCCTGCCATAACATAAAATCAGATAATCTATAAGTTCCCGAAGTTCTAATCAATAATTCCACTGGTGGATTATCTTTAGTATATAAATTTGACTCTATTAAATTTTCATTTATTTCTATAGTTGGATTTCTCATAGTTTCTTCAACTACATTCTTTATTGAAGTTGTAATTTCATCTCTTGAAGTATATGGGAAACAAACATTAAGTACAGCTCTAGTATTATTTTTAGTTATTTCTTCAGTTTCTTTCAAAACAACCAACACATCATCAGGTAACATTTTCAAATTGCCAATTATTTTTATCTTTACCCCATATTCTTCACAAAGAAACCCGTGTTGATTTATTTGATTAAATTTTGATTTCGCGAGGTCCATTAACCATTGAACTTCAAATGAAGATCTTTTAAAATTTTCAATTGAAAATGCATATACTGTAGTTACTTTTACTCCTGATTCATATAATAATTCTAATATATTAGCCATAGTTTCAAAACCTAAATTATGACCTTCTTTAATTTCAATTTTATGTGATTTTGCATATCTTCGATTTCCATCCATAATTATACCAACGTGGGATGGAACAGAACCAGTTGAAATTATTTTACCTATGATTTTTTTACTTGCTGATAGAAGATTCTTATAACCTGGGAAAGTAGATATCCAATCTGACATGGTATATAATATAAATGTGATAATGTGATTTTGCTATTAGTTGTCAATTTAAAGAGAATCTAAAAAAAAAAAAAAAAAAAAAAAGATCTAAAAATTTTGATCAATTTTGGTTGTGCGGTTCAGGTAGATAAAACTGCAACACCTCAATATAATTGCTTATATATGGGTTTGAATTCATATAAAGTGGCTAGAGGTGTTGTGGAAGCTGTAGTAAGAGTGTAGAAAATTGCTTTAGCCTGAAATAAGGTGATATATCACATGATAATAGGTTTCAGAGATGAGAACTAGCAGCAGCCCTCAAATTAACCTGTAGCTATTCTTAGGCGTTCAAAGTCTATAGTAAGATCTTTCAGTTCTGTTAAGTCGACGTTAATAGGAGTTTAGATGGTCTTTTTCAAAAAATTTGCAGCCATTTATTCCAATCCTGCATATTTTTTCTCTCATACAAAATTCTCATCTCATCAATATATTTATCCATTAGTAATATTATAATCCATCCTTAACTAATAGACCATGTCACAAGAAAATATAGATAATAATAACATACCGCAAGATGAAATAGATAATAATCACGATGAAGAAGGATTTATAAATTTAGAAGAAGTCCAGGAAGAAATCATCGATGATGATATTAATAGACAACCACCGAATGATGATGATGAAGAAGATATAGATATGGATCATGATCATGATCATGAAACGTTAGAAATTGACATGTCTAACAATTCATGGACTTATTTCGATCAACATAAAGATTCCATTTTCACAGTTTTCAAACATCCAAAATTTCCAATGGTTTTCACTGGTGGTGGTGATAATACTGGATATTTGTGGACTACACATACTCAGCCACCTAAATTGGTTGCCGAAATTGAAAATCATAAAGAATCAGTCATATCTGGTGGTTTTACACATGATGGTAAATATTTAGTATCTGCAGATATGAATGGATTTCTTCAAGTTTTCAAATCACAAAAAGGAGGAGAAAAATGGGTTAAATTTAGTGAATTAGATGAAGTTGAAGAAATTACATTTGTAACAATACATCCAACACAATTATATTTTGCATTTGGTTCGAGTGATGGTTCAATATGGGTTTATCAAATTGATGAAACTACAAAACTGTTGGTTCAAATCATGTCGGGTTTCTCACATACTTTAGAATGTAATGCTGGTGAATTTATAATAAGCAAAGATGAAAATGAATTAACATTAATTACAATTTCAGAAGATGGTACAGTTGTAAATTGGAATTGCTTTACTGGTCAAGCTAATTATAAATTACAACCACATGATGATTTCAAAGGTATTGAAACTCCATGGGTTACTCTAAAACAATATGAAAATTTAATTGCAATTGGAGGAAGAGATGGTCAATTATCAATTATAAATAATGATTCTGGGAAAATTGTAGTTTCATTAAAAACATTGGAAAATGTAGATGATTTAGCTGAATTATCAATTGAAGCATTAGATTGGTGTAAGAATAAAAATATAAATTTATTAGCTGTTGGGTTAGTAAGTGGTGATATTTTATTATTTGATACTTTACAATGGAGATTAAGAAAGAATTTAAAAGTAGATGATGCAATAACAAAATTGGAATTTTTAAATGATACTCCAATCTTAATTGGTTCTAGTATGAATGGTAAAATTTATAAATGGGATTCAAGAACTGGTGAAGAAATATTTACTGGTGTTGGTCATAATATGGGGGTATTAGATTTTGCAATATTAGAAAATGGTAAGAAATTAGTAACAGCTGGTGATGAAGGTGTTTCATTACTATTCCTAGATGAGAAGTAGAGACAGCTATTTATAATAAACATAAACACTTATTAATTTTGCAACAAGGTGCGCTACCGATTTTCAAAACACGTCTTGATTTTTTTTTTATATTATATTTTTATTTACCTTTCGTTATCGAATTATCGAAATGCCAGTGGAACAATTTGAAGATGAATCAATCAATAAAGGATCTAAAAAACCTTCAGAATCAGATATGTTATATTATTATAAACGGTTATTACCATTTAGACAAATTTTTCAATGGTTATCACATTCACCAAAACCAACTAAAGATTTCACATTTAGAGAATTTGCTTATGAACATAGATCAGGAGCTTATCAACGTTATAATTCATATACTTCATTAGAAGATTTTAAACAAACAGTAATTAATGCCAATCCAACAAGATTTGAAATTGGTGCAGTTTATAAAATAAATCCAAAAGATCGTAAAAATTTACCAAAATCTGTAATGAAACCAGTTAGTAAAGAATTAGTGTTTGATATTGATTTAACTGACTATGATGATATTAGAACTTGTTGTCAGGGGACTGATATATGTTGTAAATGTTGGAAATTTATTCAAGTTGGTTCAAAAATTATTGAATTTTCATTACGACAAGATTTTGGTTTCCAACATTTAATTTGGGTATTTTCTGGTAGAAGAGGTGCTCATTGTTGGATAAGTGATATTCGAGCAAGAAATTTAGATGAAAATTCAAGAAGAAGTATTGTTGAATATTTAGATATACTAGGTAAAAATGGCAATAAAAAATCAATTAAAAAACCATATCATCCACATATTGAAAGATCATTTGAAATATTGAAAAATGAATTTAATAATATAGTATTAACTGATCAAGATCCTTGGTTTACTGATTCTACAATGTCATCAGATTCTAAAAATTGGAAATGTGTAGATGATTTATTATCATTCATACCGAATAAAGAATTATCAAAAGAATTAAAATCAAAATGGCAAAAAGATATACATTCAACATCTAAAGATAAATGGGAAGATATAAATACGATAGCTTCAAAAGTATTAAAATCAAAATCTGAAGTTAATTATTTAAATGATGCTAAAAAGGATATAATTATATATTTCATGTATCCGAGATTAGATATTGAAGTTTCAAGGCAAATTATTCATTTATTGAAATCTCCATTTTGTATTCACCCAGGAACTGGTAATGTTTGTGTTCCATTTAATCCGTTTAAAAATATAAGTGATAATAAAGAAGATGATGAATATGGTTTTAATCCATTAAATTCACCAAATATAAGAGATATTCAAAATGAATTAGAAAACTATAATAAAGGAAATAATGAATTACATGATTGGGAAAAGACAAGTTTAAAACCATATATTGAATATTTTAGTCATTTTGTAAATGAATTAACTAAGGAAGAATTAAAGAAAAGATCAAGAGATAATGAAAATGAAAATAATTTAGAATTTTAATATATAATGTATAAATTAATGCAATTTTTTATGTAATTGGACATTGTAATTGTCTACCATCCATTTTAGCTTCTTCTAATGATCCACTATTATTTTTAATTATAATTGTTTCTGTCATATTATCTTCATTATTATTTTCATCATCATCATGATGCCATTCAATATATTGTAATTCTTCATTATATTTAATTGAACCAGACGTTAAATAAATATCACCATAATCTAAAAATGGATAATGCCATTTAGGTACAAAGATTATACTTGGTTTTTTAGCATTTTTAATATTAATTTGTAATGAATATTTTACAGATTTAATATCAAATTCTTGGGCTACAATTTTACCAAAACTTGAAACTAAATAAGGACGAACAACTGCAGAAATTGCTCTAACACCATCTGGTGAAGGGAAACATTTTTTCAATTGTCTTGAAAATACATTTGATGTAGTTGATGATATAATTGAAGAACAATCTGATTCATATTCAAAATTTTCAGAATCTGCAGTTGATCTCAGACTTAATCTTGAACTTGTTGAACTTGATTGTCCCATTTTTGTGGCTTTACTAATTAATCTTGATGCTTTTGAACTATTAATTATTAAATCTTCTTCAAATGATAAATTTCGATCATCGGGTGACCAAAATGAAAAATCTTCATTATTCCAATTATCTCCCCATTTATGATTATTTGAAGAATTATAACACCAAAAAGTATGAGACATATGAGCACCTTCAAGGGCATTTATAATTGCATCTAATGCAGCAGTTTGTGAAATATATTTACCATTACGATATGATCTTTTTTCATCCATATCAAATGGCATACCAGTTTCAGACATTAAAATTGGAATCTCACCTAGATTTTCATTACATTCTTTTCTCATTTCAATAAATTGATTCTTGATACAGTTCCTGATTGCACGTTCACCAAAAACAATACCTAATACTGGATTTAAATATTTACATCTCATAATACCCAATGTATCAACATTATATTTTGTATTCCAACTTTTAAACATTAATGATAATCCATCATAATAATGTGGACAATAAACTGTTTTTTCATCTATAATTTTTCTTGAATCTCTTCTAATATTTGGTGGTAATTCCAAAACTGGTACTGATAATAATACAAATGCATTGGGATTAATTTCCCTTATAACATTCTTAAATTTAACAAAATGTTCAACAAAATTACTATTCACAAAATATTCAGTATCAATAATTTTTGGTACCGGACCAGTAAAATTTTTAAAATATTTTGAATCACTGAAAAATTTGGGTTCTATTAATTCACATTTTGATGTAACTTCTAATCTTTGTTCTTGAGTTAAATTTGGTAAATTATTTAAATTTAATTTATGATTCCATGTCCATATACCTTCATTTGCAAAAATACAGTTACCAATATTCCAATTTCCACTTCTTATAAAACCATATTTTGCATCTAATTTTTTAGCTTCTTCTGGTGAAAGCCATGCTTTTGTGCCTTTTGGATCAACAATTTTAGTACCATATTTTCTTGGACCAGTAACTGAAATTCTATATTCATCAACTTCAACAGTAAAACCCATACCTAATTTCATTGTTTCAAATGCAGTTGGAGTAGTACCAACACGTAATTGTTGATAATCAGGCAATACACCTAAATCTGGATGACCTATTAATCCACAATTTGGTTCATTCATTGATTCAAAACCTAATATAGTACCATTTTCAATTAATTCAGGTAGTTTTTCATTTATTGTCTTCCATATAATATTTATAGAATTAAAAAATCGATTTTGTAAATAATCTTGAATATTTTCACCATTAATTAATAAATTTGGGAAATAGTTATTACCAGCATAAAATAAAGTAAACATAACTAATGAAGCTAATCTTTTATAATTTGAAGTCCATAACATTTTATGATAAGTATCTGAAGAATCATGAAATCTTGGATCATTATGTAAAATAGCAGCTTCAGTTTTAACAAAATTTTTAGGATCTAAACTTGCAGCATAAAAAGTCCACATTGGAGCTCCACTACCACCACTAAATCTTGACCAAACATCTTGATGAAATTCTAAAAATACATATAAACCACCAATTTCACCAATTATTTTTAAAATCTCTATAGTATAATTTATAAATTCAATATCATAGATTCCTGGACCTTTATGTTCAATGGCTTCCCAAGTAATCAAATATCTAATCGTATTATAACCCCAATTTTTAATTCTTTGTAAATGATCTTTTGCTTCTTCAATTGGAAATGGTCTGCCTATAAATGAAACATTATCACCATCGAAAAATATATTATTTGGATCTGAGGAATCACCTTCATACGATGGCATATATGGTTTTGTCGGTATTTTTGTTTGAGAATCAATATTAATACCTTTTAATAATATTCTTTGTTTGGTTTTTGAATTTATAAAATGACCTTGACAAGTTTCTAATGGAACACATTCAATTATTGATTTTGCTTTATTTTCAGTTGTTGGTATCAATTCAGTATTTGAATATTTTCTTCTTAAAGGTTTTACACCGTTTATTGAAATTGATGATGACGTAGAATATAATGTTAATCTATCATGAATTGCTTCTCTAGCATATTTAGCTGATTTCATAGTATCATGAATCGCATACATCTTGTGGAAAATCTCGTTACTTTATATAATATGGGGAAGGTCGTATTAGTTAACGAATGATTAAATGACTAAAATTAGATAAAATTAGAATTTTCAATTTTGGTTTGAAACGTTTGTTGACCTAATAAATATGCAATGAATGATGATAAATTGAAAACTGCCCAAGGTATAAATTATAAAACCGTTAATAGTCAACCAACTACTAACTGAATAAATAATCTTCGATCTGTCTCCAGTTGCCTAAGAATAATAAGTTTACGATAAAATGATTTGATTTTTTTTCTTCGCTAAGAATTATTATTAATATTATTAGTATTATTATAATTATTTCCTTTTTTGGCTTGTCTTGTCTTGTATTGTCTTGGTTGATATATTCTTTTTATCGAAACGATCGGTCGCAAGTTTATTCTATTTTTTTTCATCAACTGAATTTTCATCGAACGTATTACTCTTGCCCCACATTGTATGATTTATAATCATGTTGCGATATGTATATACTCTACACACATATCATAACCAACAAATATTGAAACCTCCACACATATTATTGAATACGCTAAAGAAGAGACAAATTACATTAATTCCTTTTCTTTTATTAGTATTATTCTATGGTACAGATTGAAATAAGATGGTTTTCTAATGACAGATCTACTGGTGGAAATAATGTCAAAAACGGTCACATAGCTCAACTGAGTTTTTTCAGCAATTATGCGAGTTAAAGAACTTTATATACAATTTATAAATTGTTATAGAATGATATGTTATTGCTTGGTGGTCTTTCTATATCTTATTTCCAATAGTGGAAAGACCCTAACAAAGTAACAAAGTCTACTCAGGGCATCAAGGTAAACGAAATTTATCATCAACGCTCTAGTATATTTTGTTTGTTTGAATTAATGCAATTTTGGATGATGTAAATGGTAGCGCCGAAAATAACTTTAGGTTGAAATGAACTAAAACTTTAGTCGAATTTCATCAAATTTTCAGTATACTCTTGATAATGGCTGTACTATTTGATCTGCAACCAAAAGGCATGCTCACGTATAGCTGATCCTGATAATAGTTACTTTAAAATAATTTTAAGCTTTCTGATTGGTCAATTAGATACGAAAACCACAAAACTTAACGCTATCAATCATCTATAACTGAGATTTATTAGCACTTGAGTTCTAGTCTAAAATTCTATAGCTATATCTCTATCAAACCTTCTAGTTCGTGAGTTTAGCTTGGTACGAGTTGCCCTAAACGTAGCGCGTAGAAATTATTATACCGGCGCTAATTTGGGCGAGAGTAGCACAAAACACTGAAATAAATTTAATTTATATGCAGGTTTATAGTACCTAATCATAAAACTTAATAATTTGCAAATGAAACTCAGTCAAAATTCAAGTGGCAATTTGCAATGGTCAAACTTTTTTCATTAAAAACTTCAGCGGGCTTAAATCAGACTGATGTTAGTTTCCTATGTTAGTTTCCTTTGATAAAATTCAAATTTGATCTTTCTACTACTCATTAAAAACAACGAAAAAAACGTTAAATTGCAAGATAATTAACACTTAGACTCCATTTTGCAACTTTAGTATACCTGATTTGGCTTATTCAATTTCGAATACTATTTGTACCATGTTTTGAAAACGTTAAATTTAGTTGATTATTTTTCAAAATTTTCGAACCACTTTGAAAAATGCTTTTCGAATTTTGAATGCCGTTATACAATAAATTTCAAGCAATACCCCAAACAGGAACTACGAATCTGGGTTACTTCATCATACTCAAATTTGAATAAGGAAAGTGGAGTTAGATTTTTCGGGAGCAGGTCAAATTATTCAATTTTCTCCATTGAAGGAAAAATTCTGAAATTTCTCAACTTTAGTTCGGATCAGTTTGAAATAACTTCAGCGCTTTATTTCGAGGTATAATATATATAATCCGTTGTTTAATTGAAAGTTATGGCCGTAAATAGAAGATGTTCTGCAATTTAATTTTTGACATATTTTTTGTATGGTGAAAAATGCCCAAAATGACAAATCCAAAAAAAAAAATGTTTAAAATCTAGACCTTGATGAATAATGTAAAGTATGTAGTTCAAGACTATGAATTTTGATATAAATAGCTCTGAACCCGATAGAGTTTGTTGTTCATGACTAATAAACCAATATATTTAGTACGGATCGCCCTAGAGTTAGCGCGGGGAAATAAACCTGTAGTACCAGACTTTCGCATGACAAAAATACACCCGAGTACCATACGAGTTTGGATTGAGTGTCCCGATTTTTCAAATCTTACTATGTAAGACAACCTTATGATCCAGTTTTTGAATGGATCTAGAGCACATTTCTCAGTTTGTAATATCATAACTTCATTATATATTCGCTTCTATAATCTCTCTATAAATTTCGTTTTGTACTTAATCTCCAATTATTTTTATTATCATCATCTTTTTTCATTTGACTTGATCTATCAAATAACGGTTGAATTTTTTGTTTCTTTTTATCTGATAATTTAAAATATTTTGGAGCATATTCATATAACCATTTAGATTCAACAATAGTACAACAATGCATATATTCTTTAGTAGTTAATAGCAATGAATGGTAAATTAGATACTCTGGAGCTTTGCCGAATAAACTTGAAGATGGATGTAAGTAAACACTTGTCTCTGATGCATTAATTGTTTTATATGAATTGTCTCCTTGGTTATCTCTCCTTGATGAATTTTTAAAATATCCACAACACAAAGTCTTTCTAATTAAATTTATATCATTACCACAAGATTTAATATTATAATTATATTTCAACATCATTGAAGTTAATTGTTTTCTAATATCCATTGCCTTTCTCATTGATCTTTCCTGAATGAAATTATCCTTACACCAAGTAGGATTCTTCAAATTTTGAATCCATTTCTGATATACATTTAATAAAGTTAAATGATCACCATAAGAACTATGAAATTTTGCCTTTCTTTGATCTGATTCTTGTTGTTTATCCTTTGGTCTATAAAATATAGATTGAACAGATAACATAGCAACAATAGTTAAAATCTCTTCCGTGCAATCAAATTCCACCGACTTTATTAAAGTTTTAGCTAAAGCTGGTTCCATTGGGAAATTTGCCATTTTTTTACCTAATAAAGTTAAATTTCCATCATTATCTAATGCATCTAATATATACAAATCTTGTAATGCATTTAAGAGGGTATTCATTGATGGTGGATCCATAAAATCAAATTTTAAAACATCATTTATCCCCATTGCTTTTAACATTAATATTGTATGTGATAAATTTTGTCTTTGAATTTCAGGTATTGTATTAGGTAACATTTGTGTCAAATATGCTGATTCAGTATATAATCTATAACATTTACCGGGCCCAGTTCTACCTGCTCTACCTGATCTTTGATTTGCTTGTGCTTGAGAAATTGGTTTGATTTTTAATGAATCCATTCCTAATTTTGGATCATATGCATTTAATTTAACATAACCTGGATCAATAACAAAATATATCCCATCTATAGTAATTGAAGTTTCAGCTATATTTGTAGCTAATATACATTTTCTTGATCCCGTTGGAGTTGGTTCAAATATTCGACTTTGAATTTCTGAAGGTAATGATGAATAAACTGGCAAAACAATTAATTCTGATGTTGTTACATGTTTAAAATTCTTCATACGTTCTAATAATATATCACAACTTGTATCTATTTCATCTTGACCCGTTAAAAATACTAAAATATCACCTTGTGGTTCAGATAAATGAATTTGAAAAACTGAGTCTAATGCAGCTTTTAGATAATCCATTTCGGGAACTCGAGTATATAAAATTTCAACTGGATATGTTCTACCAGGAATTTTTAAAATTGGACAATTATTGAAAAATTTTGAAAATTTATCTGAATCTAACGTAGCTGAAGTTACAATAACTTGTAAATTTGGATTATTAGAACAAGCTTTTTTTAATAATGCAAATAATACATCTGTGGCAATTGTTCTTTCATGTGCTTCATCAAGCATTATAACTGAATATTTACTCATTAATGGATCGTTTAACGCTTCTCTTTCCAACATACCATCTGTTAAATATTTAATTTTTGTTTTTGGAGATGTATTATCATCAAATCTAACATTATAACCAACAATATCACCAACTTTACAACCAACTTCTTCTGCTACTCTTTTGGCAACAGAAGTAGCTGCAACTCTTCTAGGTTGTGTACATCCAATTATTTTACCCTTATTTAATTGCTCTTCATATATATATTGAACAATTTGTGTAGTTTTACCTGAACCTGTTTCACCAACAATCACTACAAATTGATTATCTTTAATGACGTTTATTAGTTCTTGTCTCATTGAATATACAGGTAGACTTTTCCTTTGTTCTTCAATTGGAGTTGTAGTTTTCTTACCAAACGATAGTTTCTTTTTTAATTCGTCTTGATCTATTGTTGGTTTTTCTTTATGAGTTTCTTTATATTTTTTAGCAAATTTAGAACCTAATGTAGCTATTTTATCTAATGAATTAGGATCATCTTGTATGACTTTTTCAATTCTTACAGCTTCTGATTTAATTTCCATACCTTGAAGAAAATTAGGTTTAATTGTACTTTGTTCAATTTCGGCACTTCCAATTTCTTCTTCATCATCTTGATGTTCATCTTCATCCTCCAGTAATTCTATATCAATAGACGCACCTGATGCTTTCAATTGTTTTAATTCCCATCTTTCAGGTGATGTTAATTTTCGTTTCTTTAAAGTCCTTTCAAAAGATCTACCTCGTATTTCAGCTTCTTTTTCTTCTTCTTCCTCACCAGTTTCTTGATTTATATTTCTCATAGATAATGATATCTTCAATTTAGGTCGATCTATTATATTTATAATCTTACAATATACTTGTTGATTTTTTGAAAGTAAATCATTTGGAGAATTTATACGACTACCATTTTTTGAAATTTGAGAAATATGACAAAGACCAGAATAATTATTAAATCTTATAAAAGCACCATAATCTGTAATTTTAGAAACATAACCAAGTATAATCTCATTAATTTCTAGTTTAACTGAATCATCTCTTAGCAATTTATAAACATCATTTATAAAATCATTTGAAAATTCACCATTTTTTTCAATTGCACTTTTAAAATCATGATAATTCTTATTATCTTTATATAGACTATTAACAAAGTCCCGAATTAATTGTGTTTCCTCATTTGATGTTATTTTCAAGTGTTTTGTTATAATTTGGTTCATGAATTCATATATGAATTCTGTTGATAATGGGATGAGGTACACGAAAATAAATATTCACTACCAATTTTTATTTTTCAACACAACTATTAATTTGCCATCATACAATAAGAGTATAGAGTTTTTGACATGTCTAGAGAAGATCCAATTAAAGCAGAAAAAGATTTCTCAGCTACTTTAGATGAACAATTTCCATTAATTGAAAAATTACCTGATTATAAACAAAAATTGGATAAATATTTGGTATTGGAAAAACAAACTAGACAGTCATCAGATTTAGCTTCTTCAAAAAGAGTTATCGAAAAAATTGTATCTACATTAATAAACAATAATGATTGGGATTATTTAAATGATTTAATTACTTTATTATCGAAAAAACATGGACAATTAAAATCGTCAATTCAATATTTAATTCAATTAATTATTGAAAATTTAGTAAAATTAGAAAATATAGATTTAAAAATTAAATTAATTGAAACTATAAGAACTGTAACTGATAAAAAAATATTTGTTGAAGTTGAAAGAGCTCATGTTTCAAATGAATTGAGTGAAATCTATCTTGAAAAATTTAATGATTTAGATAAAGCAGTTGAAATATTATGTGATTTACAAGTTGAAACTTATTCATTAATGCCATTTCAAGAAAAAATTGAATATATTTTGCAACAAATTAATTTAACTTTACGTAAAGGTGATTATTCACAAGGTAAAATTTTATCGAGAAAAATTTTATTAAAATCTTTAAAAGGTTTTGAAAAAGCAAATGAATATAAATCGATATATCTTAAATATTTAATTGATATAAATACTTTTGAATATGATTATATTGAAATTGTTAAAAATTATTTATTATTAATTGAAATTCCAAACATTGAAACTTCAGAAGATTATGAAAATTATTTAATACTGATTATATATTATATAATATTATCGCCTTATGATCCACATCAAAATGATTTAATTTCAAAAATTAAATTAAATTCAAAATTTAAAAAATTAGATTCAAAAATTGTTAAATTATTAGATATTTTTACAACTGATGAATTAATTCATTGGTCAAATATTGAATCAATTTATAAAAATTATTTTAATAATAGTGCTGTATTTAAAGATGAAAAAAATTATAAAAATCTTCAAAAAAGAATAATTGAACATAATTTAAGAGTAATTAATAAATTTTATCAAGTTATAAAATTAGAAAGATTAAGTTATTTATTACAATTATCAATTGAAGAATCTGAACAATATGTTAGTGAATTGGTTAATAAAGGTATGATTGTTGCTAAAATTAATAGACCTCAAGGTATTGTTAAATTTGATAAATTTAAACATATAGAAGGTAGTGATCCAAGAACAAGTGATAATCATATCAATGCTTTATTAAATAATTGGTGTTATGATATTGATAAATTATTAGAAGAAGTTGATTCAATTGGTCATTTAATAAATAAAGAAGAAATGATGTATGGTCTAAAACAAAAAGCATGAAACCTTTTATAGTTAAATAAAAAATTTAATTATTCAATTGAATCAAATTTTCTTTTGATCTTTGATCGTCTAAATTTTCATCACTCTTCTATAAATTATCATATTGACTTCCCCGGATTATATACGTACTTCTATCAAACGTTAATGGTGGTGTATATTGAATAAGTGCGTTAAAATAGTGACGTACCATTTTCATTCCAGTTTCGACTCAAAGTAACCCCGAATTCACACGATATTCGGCGTTTCGCGCCAAAAATTATTAGTAGTCTTTGTTCCATTAGCTGACGGTGACCTTTTTATTTTTTCGCGCCGGTAGAGAAGAATAAAGGTATACAGTTGTTTATGATAACAGGGAATTGAATATAAATTTTAGCAGTTAAAAATTTAGTTGCATATGTAATTCAAAATATGTAATTCAATAGACTATCTAACGATCTATTTATTCAGATTTTGAAAATCGTAATTGAATAAAAAGTTGTAGTTCTTCGATAAATGACGAAAATTGGAGAAAACTCAATTTCGATTGACGAACTACTGATCAATTGAATTGCTGAACCGCTAGAAGATACAATGATATTGGCTTTTATTTACCCACAAAATATCGTTTATTATTGTATATCTTTATTAGATCTGGTTTCGTATATTTGGATCTTGATCTAAAATATGTAAGAGCTTATGTAATATATTACACAAAAGTCTAATAATATTTTACGTGTTTAGAAAAAAAAATAAAAACAATATAAAAAACGAAAGAAAAAAATTTGGAAAACTTCGATCTTAACAAATCAAAGCAAAATCTTCTTTGATTAGTTTATGATAAATACTTTCAATAGATATAAATCCAAATTTAATTCACATTTTTCCAGGTTTTCAATGTCAACTTCAACTAGACCAATTGTTATTTCAGGTCCATCAGGAACTGGTAAGTCAACTTTATTAAAAAAATTATTTGCTGAATATCCGGGTAAATTTGGTTTTTCAGTTTCAAATACAACTAGAAAACCAAGAGATGGTGAAGTTAATGGAAAAGATTATAATTTTTCAACAGTTGAAGAATTTAAACAATTAATTGATGAAAAAAAATTTATTGAATGGGCACAATTTTCAGGAAATTATTATGGAACTACTATAAAAGCAGTTAAAGATGTTGCAGATAAAGGAGTTATTTGTTTATTAGATATTGATATGCAAGGAGTAAAATCAGTTAAAAAAACTGATTTAAATGCAAGATTTTTATTTATAAGTCCACCTTCAATTGAGGAACTAAGAAAAAGATTAACTAGAAGAGGTACAGAAACCGATGAAAGTTTAGAAAGAAGAATTAATGCTGCAAGTGACGAAATGGAATATGCTAAATTACCAGGTTCTCATGATAAAATAATAATAAATGAGGATTTAGATAAAGCTTATGAAGAATTTAAAAAGTTTATACTTGAACAAGAATAGAGATATTAGAATAGATACTTAATACTTAATACTTAATGCTTAATGCTTAATGCTTAAAGCTTAAAGCTTAATGCTTAATGCTTAATGCTTAATGCTTAATGCTTAATACTTAATACTTACTATGTACTCTCTTCTTCTCTCTCATACTTAATCCGTTGATAGTGCGCGCAAATTATTCATTTGATTTTAATTTTCCATACAAAGCTATTCACTTATCATATTCATTACAATAGTCTATTTTGTAATAGACTATAACACATTTATTACATATCCATATCACTCGCATACAATATAAATCAAAATATAATCATGTCTGGTCTTCCATCTTCTGTCAGTTTTGGTGATGAGTATGTTGTTTTATAACGGTTTCTACGACAGTTTTTCGGGGTTTGAATACTAACGATCTATAATCATTAGAGATCCAACATTAATGCAAAAATTAGTTCAAAAATCAAAAGAACAACCATTAGTACCTCTTGGTTCTATAGCAACAGCAGGTGTCGTTGTTCTAGCTGCAAAATCAATGAAAAGAGGTGAAAAATTAAAAACTCAAAAATATTTCAGATATAGAATTGCTTTTCAAGCTATTACTTTAGTTGCATTAGTTGGAGGTGGATTATATCTTGGTAGAGAAACAAATGAAGAATATAAAAAATCAAAAGAAGATTTATTAAGAGAAAAGGCAAAACAGAGAGAAAAATTATGGATTGAAGAATTAGAAAGAAGAAATGATATAATTCAACAAAGAAAGAAAAGATTAGAACAAAGTCAAGCTGAACTAAGACAATTAGCAAAACAAGGATTTATTGAAGAAGAACTATTGGAAAAGAAAATAAAAGAAGCTGAAAAAGAAGCTAATAAATAGTATAAAACTTTGTATTTATGTATATAGGAAATTTTTATCATTAACGATCAAAAGTAACTTTTTCATTATAGGAAATTTTTATCATTAACGATTAAATGTAACTTTTTGATTCATTTGTAAATTACTATGATATATTTTACCATTATATTGTTCACGCTCTAATTTTGATAACATTGGAAAAGACGGTATTATAGCTTGTGTATTTCTTTGTAAATGTTGATTGAACATTAATAACCTATTATTAGCAGACATGATGAAGAATTAAATAAACCAACAAAGCAAAAAAAGACTTGAAAGATAACTGATAAAGAAATGATGCAATTTCGGAGTTTTTATGTATGAAATTTTGCAGACAAATTACCATCAAGAACGTGACTGCGCAAATTAAAGTCCGAAATCTGTACATACTATAACGAGTCTATTAACAACTGTTGTTATTTGAAGAACAAACGAATCTGTAGATACTTGAAACACTAAAATTAATCTGATATTGAATATTAATTGAACCTCAGCTTTTCTAATAACTTGAATTTTTTCTTATTAAGCATTGTGGCGAATTAAAATTATTTAATTTGAAACATTATTTTATTTGACGCGACAAAACAATTTCTCGCGCCAGCTTTAGGGCGACACGTACTGCTAAATATATGATAACGATGTTGTAGATTTGTCCAGTTGGCAAAGTGGTTGCAAAATTAAGACGTAAAAATAAAGATACTGATGTCCAAGATTTGTCAAACTGGCAGGAGATTCCAAAAAATATGTCTGTATCACCATGTTGAAGCTTATCAAATTGTATCCCATGCTTAATACGAAACTACTTCAGTTATACTAGATGAAGACCGAAAGATTAGACTCAACTATGTTTACTCCATACCATCACTTTTATATATTGTCACTTATTATTCATCTGCATTACTTAATTTATACAATTTTATATAATCGACATCTAAATCATGCATCATTTCTATAATACCATGATTACCAACAGATTCACCATCTTTATCTTTATTTTCTTTTTGATTTATTAATTTATTTGGAATTTCAGAATATGATGCTTTTATTGAACTTTCAATTTTTAGTAAACCTTCCCATGCAACTAAATCAGCATAATTAATTAATAAAAATGGACTAAAATCAGAATACCATCTATGATTCCAAACTAATAATTTAACAATACTTTCTAAAATTTTTTCATTCAATTGATTCATCAACTTTGAATAATTCTGAATGAAACCAGAAGAATTCAAATGTGATGAACTATTGTTGTTGTTGGAGGTGGTGGTGAACGTGGTGGTATTTTTATTTATCAATTTATTCTTTTCCATTAAATAATATTTCAACATTTCAGATTGAGATTTTGCCGAAAATCTACCACTTAATGCATTTGCAAAAGCAATTGACCCTTCTTTAAAATGTTTTAATCTGTATGCAATAGATCCAAGGATTTCCCATTCTAATGTAGATTTTTTATATTCCATTTGTTGAGCTTGGAAATGTAATGATTCAGCTTGCCACATTGTATAAGCTCTTAAATCTTCGTATAAAAGCATAAATAAATTATCTAACCATCTTTCACATAATCGTTTTTTCCTAAATTCATCTTGAAATTCTAAGTCATTTATTTTATCAGTTGATTCTGGTGATTTAATACCAATTGTTGATGAAACATCTTCATTATTATTTACTGTTAAGGTACTTGTTGAACTTGTTGAATTTTTCTTTATATGACCATTATTTTTATCTTTTCTATATTCTTCTTCCATTACAAATACTTTTGCTCTATATTTTAATAAAGATTCCCATCCTGTTTTTATAACTATATCAGTTAATAAATCATAAGCTTTCAGAAATGTTGATTTTAAATTTGTTGCTGGTAAATTTATCAATTGTGGATCTAAATTTTTTTGTTCAAAACTAATTTCATTACTTTGTAAATTTGAAACATCATCTAAGGTAACATCTAAAGGACTTGGTAAATGTAAATCATCATTTGATTTAATTGGAACTACTCTTTTTAATTGATATTTTTCTTTATGTGAATTCATGGGGCATGAATTTAAAGTTAATAATGCATTCTCAAAATCTCCCAATTTTGTATAAACTTTAACTAATAAAGACCAAGTTTTAAAATCTGAAGGTGAAGATTTTACAGCTTGCTTTGCTAATTCTAATGCTAATTCTGGTTTTTTTTTATTTAAACAAAATTCAGCTTGTAAAATTAATAAATTTGAATCTCTTTTATTTTGTAATATACCTAAATTCATAGTCTTTACAGCTTCAATTTCATCTTGTTTTAATAATTGTAATTTAGCAATTAAGGATATAATCATTGGTTCGGTTTTATATAATCTATTTAAAATTGTGAGTCCACGATCATAACTTTGAGTTAATTGAATAACTTTTAGAAATCCATCAACTAAGTAGTTATTTACAATTGTAGGTTGTGGATATTCAATATTACAACCAAGTTTATGACCCTGGAAGAATAAAGTTTCAAATCCAATTAAAAAGTTGTTAAGTAATTCTTTTGATACAATTCCATTATTAAATGGATTGATTTTTCTTATTTCCACTAACCCACCAATTTTATTAAAATTTTCATCTATACCTTCATCATTTTCTAATACAGCTCTTACAATTGAAGTTATAAAAGTTTCTTGCCATAATTTATCTAAATCATTTGATGATAATTTTTCAATTTGTAAAATTTTACCATCTTGATTAACAATTTGAATTTCAAATTTACCAGGAATATGAACAGTAACTCTTAAATCAATTTTTGAAAAAGCATTAAATGTACAATAAGTTAATTGAGGTACTTTCCAATGTTTTTTTTCACCAAACCAATATTGCAGTTTTGAGGTCATTAAATTAGATAAACTTTGTAAATGAGCAGCTATTGAAGCAGTATTTGAAACATCAACACCAGTAAAATACAAAAAAGTACTAATTTCAGTTTTTGATGATAATGAAATTTTTTGAATATTACATAAATCTGGTGCACCTAAATCAACAAATTGAATTAATCTAGCAGTTCTTTCAACTAAACATTGACCTGAATAATCTTCTTTTACTTCAGGAATTGAAGCTAATAAAGGAGGTAGCATTGGAATAAAACTGTATTTGGTGGCCGTGATTAATTCGTGTTCAATAAATTCGACTTTTTTTTTTTCGTTGATTTTTAAGAATCAACAATTTCTTGACTACTAGTAACAAAGAGTAAGAGAGTAAGAGAGTTGTAGAGTAAGAGAGTTGTAGAGTAAGAGAGTTGTAGAGTAAGAGAGTTGCAGAGTAATAGAGTTACAGAGTAATAGAGTTGCAGAGTAATAGAGATGTAGAGTTGTATAGTTGTAGAGTAATAGAGTTGTAGAGTAATAGAGTTGTGCAGTTGTAGAGTAATAGAGTTGCAGAGTAATAGAGTTACAGAGTAATAGAGTTGTAGAGTAATAGAGTTGTAGAATTGTAGAGTTGTATAGTTGTAGAGTAATAGAGTTGTAGAGTTGTAGAGTTGTATAGTTGTAGAGTAATAGAGTTGTAGAGAAGACTCGTGTTTGTTACTTCCTTACAGTGATTGTATATTTATAGCATCCTTACTTAGTCCTCATCTTCTTCTTTTGTTGTGCTTGTTGTGCTTGTTGTTGTTGTTGTTCTTTCTGCTCTTTTTGTTGTTGTTTATCAAATTCTTCTTCTTCTGGTTCATCATATATATCATCCCAATCTCTTGCTGTTAAACAATATTTTTCTGGTGGTAAATATAATCCCCATTTTGGTATAATTGTTGGTAATGGTTTTGAATTTCTTTCTTGTGCTAATTCTAATAATAATTCTTTTGGTGGTACTGGTTTAAATTGATAATTTGATCTTGCTGCAATTGCTAATCTTATATCATCTGTATTAATTGATGTATTTTGATTTGAATTTAAATTTGTATTTGTATTTATTGGTTTTGTATGATCATTATAAACTAAAGCATCTTTTAATATTGATTTTGTATATCTATGTGCAAAATCCATTAATTGTAATGGTACATGATCTTGATAATTCTGTATACCTTGTGTTGCAAATATCAAATGTAATAATCTAACATCTCTTGGTACAATCTTTTCTTTCTTTTCCGATACATTATTACTCGTAATTGTGTTATCAGTTGCTGTCTTTTCTGTTATTAGATTATTATTTGATCCATTAGATGTGGCTGTATGATTACCATTTTCTTCTGTACTCATGATAAACTGAAACCACTACTTATTTACTGTTGATTAATTTTTTTTTTTTTTTTTTGCTCTGGTTTAAAATTTCGATACGAAAAAACTCGCCTTAGTTCTGGCACTAATTCTAATGCGAGCCGGCCCTAGTTTTGGTACCAATTCTATACGAGCTGGTCCTGGTTTTCATACGACCTCTTAAACGCATAATTTTAGGAAGATTTATCTGATAAACAATTGTTGATTTGCAGTCAACAACTCCTATTTCACATTATTATGACATTGGATAAAGATAATGACCAAATAATAGAACAACCAGACTCATTAGATATTAAACAACCAGAAAATATTGAGGAATATCATCTTATTAAACCATTTAGTTTTCTAGTTAATGATTTAAATGATGATTCACATAAAGTATTATTAATATTAAATCAATTTATTAATGTCGATCTAATATCAATTTGGAATCATTGTACATTAAGATTATGCGCAGATGCTGGTGCGAATAGACTATTTCATTATTTTTCATCCGATGAAGAAAGATCAAAATATATACCAGATTATATTGTTGGTGATTTCGATTCAATTGATCCTGAAACAAAATCCTATTATGAAAAGAAAGGATCTAGAATAATTTATCAATCAAGTCAATATTCAAACGATTTTATGAAATGTGTATATACAATTCAAATACATTATCAATACCAGAAAAATCCATGGCCCGAAATTGAAGAAGAAAAAGGTGTTGAAACACTTTGGAAAAGTGAAAAACAAAAGCATAATGAAGAGATTAAAATATTTGTTCTTAATGCAATTGGTGGACGATTTGATCAAACTATTCAATCAATTAACCAGATATATATCCTTCATAAAACAGATTTAAATTTAAGTATAATTTTCATTACGATAAATGACATAATATTTTTATTATATAAAGGTAAAAATTATATAAAGTATGATTCAAAATCTGTATTTAATAAGAATATTCAACCTACTTGTGGATTACTTCCACTCGGTGATAAACCTGTGATTTTAAATACTTGGGGTTTAAAATGGGATGTAAGAAATTGGAATACTAAAATGACTGGTAAAGTTAGCTCGTCTAATCGAATTAGTGGTGATACTGGATTTATAGTTGATGCTTCTGATGATATTGTAATGAATATAGAACTCGATACATGAACTTTTTTACCAATATACAGCATTACATCTAATATCGTAGATTGTCAAGCGAACACTAGCATTCACTCTATTTTCACATTATATCAGCTTAAAGAAGAAGCAAATTTACTTTTTTGACAAGGAAATTCACTATTTTACCATGCTGCAATTTTGTCAAATTTCCAAAAAATTGAAAAAATGGACAATTTGGTTAGACTGAAAAACATCCATCGGTGTTGAACTACAGGGAAATTAACTAAATAGCTCATTATTAACTTAATTACGCCCTCCATAATAAAATAGATCATTAGGGTGTATCATTATTATCAGTTTATTTCAAAATACAATTGGTAGCTCTCGTGAATAGTCGTGCGACGAATAAAATCAACACTTTTGAAAAAATTTGAAACAACCATTCGCTTTAATCAATTAACATTACATCAATTAACATTCAATATATCAACATGTCTAATATAATTGATCAAATTAATACTGCATTGGCAACAATGTATTCCAATGTATCACAAGATGAAAAAATGAAAGCAACTCATTTTCTTGAAGATTTTCAAAAATCACAACTGGCATGGGAAATCATATTTCAAATCTTAAATGATTCAACTTCAAATTCAAATTTACAATTAAAAATCTTTGCATCACAGACATTACGATCAAAAATCATTTATGATTTATCATCACAATTATCAGAGACAAATTATCCCGAATTTAAAGATAATTTATTATCTTTAATTACGAAATATAATTCACCTAATGAAAAATTAATAAGAACTCAATTATCTATTGCCTTATCACATTTCAGTTTACAATACTTAAATTGGAAGAATGCAATCAATGAAATTATAGATTCATTATCTTCTGAGTCTTATTTACCTATTTTATTAGAATTTTTGAAAATTTTACCTGAGGAGTTGTCAGATGTTAAGAAAACAAATCTAACTGATGAGGAGTATAACACAAGGACACAGGAGTTGATTACGAATAATATCGAATCTGTTTTAATCATATTGAAGAATTTAACTGAAGGTAATAAATCTCATGATTTAGTATTAAATTCTACTATTTTAGATTGTTTAAATTCTTGGATTAAAGAATGTCCAATAGAATCAATACTACATATTAATTCACTCACCAATTTAATTTTTGAAAGTTTAACCAATGATAAAACATTTGATAGATCAATTGAATGTTTAGTTACAATTATTTCCGAAACTAGAGATATTGAAAATTATGAAATTATAGATGCATTATATCAACAAATTATAAAATTGAATGAATTTGTAATTTCAAATCCTGATAAATTGGAAGATGGTGAATTTGTAGATGGATTAACTAGATTATATGTTACTTGTGGTGAATCATGGCATGTATTGATAGGAAAAAATCCAAAACATTTTAAATCATTAGTTTCAATATTATTAAATTGTTGTAAATACGATGAAGATTTAGATATTGTTCGGTATACTTTCCAATTTTGGAATTTATTGAAACAATTAATTACATTACCAAAATATCACGAAGCAAGAAATGAATTTAATGATATCTATTCCCAATTAATACAAATTATAATTAAACATTTAACCTATCCAATTGTTGAAGTTTCTGATTTATTTCAAGGTGATAAAGAACAAGAAGATAAATTTAAAGAATTTAGATATGAAATGGGTGATGTTTTAAAAGATTGTTGTTCTGTGATTGGTGCTCAACAAGCTTTACAAATTCCATTTAATCAAATTCAATCAATTATATCTAAATCAAATGGACATTGGCAAGATCTAGAAAGTGCGTTGTTTTCAATGAGAACGATGGCAAAAGTAGTTAGCACAAAAGAATCAAAAATTTTACCTACGATTATGTCGTTTCTTGTTCAATTACCAGAACATCCAAAAGTAAGATATGCAGCAACATTAGTATTAGGAAGATATACTGAATGGACAGCAAACAATCCGCAATTTTTAGAACCTCAATTGAATTATATTACAAAAGGGTTTGAAATTGCAAATGATGATAAAGATATAATTTTGGCTACTTCTCATGCATTAATGTATTTTTGTCAAGATTGTTCTAAATTTTTAGTTAATTATTTAGAACAGTTATATATGTTATATTCACAAGTTAAATCAAATATAGATTATGCTTCAAATTATGAATTAATTGACGGATTAGCACATGTTGTAAAACAAGTACCGGAAGGAAATCAATATGAAATGTGCCAAATGTTTTTAGAACCAAGTATAGATAAACTACAAGAATTAAGCATAAGTTCCCAAAATGAAACAGTTAATGTTTCAATTGCTGATGAAGTTGAAGTAATAAGGTATTTCATTGAAGTGTTCAAAATTAATGAATTTGAAAAATCGGAGTATCCAATAGCTACATTTTTCATTAAAAAAATATGGCCAATTTTAACTTCATTAATAACTAAATTTGGTATCAACTCCCTTAAAGTTTCCGAAAGATGTCTTAATCTTATAAAGACAGCCATAATGTCATTTAGTTCATATTTAAACGATATTCTCCCAACTATTTTGAATTTATTACATCAAGGATATAAATTAAGTCCACAATTTGGTTGTTATTTATGGGTTACTGGAGTAGTAATTAGAATATATGGAGATGAAGAATTTAACAACCCAGAAATTTTAAAAGCAGTTTATGAATTTAGTTTAATTCAATGTGATTTGTTTTTCAATTATATTTTTAACCTATCACAACAAGAATTACAACAATTACCAGATTTGATTGAGGATTTCTTTCGAATGATTAATGATTATTTAATGTTTTTTCCATTCCAAATAATACCAGACCACAACCTCCTTAACAAGATTGTAAAAGCTTCAAATTTGACATTAAGTTCCTTAAATGAATTCAATCCAATTATTTCGTGTATTCATTTTTTAATTGATCTCGTCTCTTGGGGATTACCAAATCCTCCAATTTCATTATTTGAACAAAAAGATACCACAGCTTTAAAGAGTTCAATTCAACAATTTTTAATATTGAATAATCAAGGCGGTGAAATATTAAGAATTTTAATAAATGGAATCATTTTTAAATTTCATGATGATTTATTACAAGAGGCAAATGATTTATGTCTTAAGATTTTGGTAGTTGTTCCTAATCATGAAGTTGTAATCAATTGGTTAAAGAATATTGTATTACAATTACCTAATGTTAATGAGGTTGAAATTAATAGATTGATTGAGACTGTTAATGTTGCTTTAATGAATAAAGATAATCGAAGAGTAAGAGTTAGTTTAAGAGATTTTATAAGTTGGTATAAAAGAAAGAATGTAAATAGATCTGAATTCTAAAGTCACGATGCATCAGGATGTGGATGCAAAGAGAGTATTGATTTTAATAATAATATATATACAACAATTTAATATCTTAATATAAGAAATCTTTTCAAATCACATGACATGAATTTTGGACGATTCGGAGATATGCTCCAGAATAGTCGAATAGCCGAAAAGTAAATAAAGACACGAAAAGTTTGTTGTTTTGGTTTAGTTTAATGCATACTGGGCTAAAATTTTAGATTTTGTACCTTAAAATGTTTTCAAAAAAAAAAAAAAAATAATAATTAGAATGGTTGCAAAGTAATGAAATAAACACAATAGATACTTAGCAACTAAATGCAACAAGCTTCTAAAACTGCTAGGAGTAATCGATTAAATGAACTGAGATTGTAATCCAGCTCTCAGGTTCAATCAGGCGTCTAGCTCTTTTTTTCATCCGAAGAATTTAAAAAATTTTGTTGATTTAAGAAGCGGCACGTAAAAAGTTTAAATCTATTTTTTTATATTTTGACGATAGATTAATTCAATTCTTAGTAAATAACATAAACAATTACACAAATCGTAAGACAATAATTATATTAATATTGGCGGTGATGTTATTGTTTTGACATTGATTAGAGTTTAATTAGACGGAAAAACTTTTAAATCTAGACCAAGCTCAAAGTCAATTTAATAGCCACTGTCAATTGGATGCTTGGTTATTTCTTTGTACTAGACCCTCTAAGGAACGATAAATCGATAACAGTAATTATGTTGCAGTATTCTAGATTCAATTCTAGATCACACGTTATTAGAAATTACTACTCTCTCCCCACATACAACACGAAAATAGTCACATTTATTATTATCAACATTCTCTTTTGTGACGAATTGCTTCAATAGTTAGCTTTTAATTGTTTTGGGAATGTATTGGAGAATGTATTGAAGGCTAATCGATAATGCATCATCCTGCATATAGATGATTTTTTTTTTGCAATAATTGCAAAATATACCAAATGTAAACAAACCCATTATTCAACTAAAGATATGAAAAATTTTAACAGTTAGAATTTTGATATAAATATGGGTAAATTATTCCCTTCAATTTTTAAGTTTTTATTTTCTTCTTCTTTAGATAATCTCAATCCCAACTATTAGTCTTTCGCTTATTTTATAATTTTATTAACAATGCAATTTTCAATCATCGCTTTATTTGCTACTGCTGTTTTCGTTGACGCTGCTATTACTACTGTTAAATCAGAAGTTGTTGCAACTATCACTTCATGTGGTCCAGAAGTAACTAATTGTCCAGCTGCTTCATCAGCTCCAGTTATTGTTGAATCATCATCAATTGCTCCAAATGCTACTGCTCCAATTGCTAATGTCTCAACTTATGAAGGTGCTGCTAATAAACAATTTGCCGCTGGTGCATTTGCTTTAGCTGCTGGTGCTTTATTATTATAAGTTTGTTAAATTTGAAAATAAAAGTTCATGTTTTGATAATATGAAATTAACAATAGAATGGTTTATTTCGGTTTTATTTATTTAGAAATTTACATAGCTTATAAGAGTAATGGAACATTAAGTGCTAATTGAAAATTAAAAACACCATTATAAATCTCTTAATTTTGATTTATAACTTCTATGCGAAAAGCAGTTTATTGTTGAACAAAAATAAAAGGTCTTATTAATTAAAAACATCATTTTTGCAATTAATAACTCTATTTTATATCTTTTAATTTTGACTGTAAAGTGATTTGCCAAAATTTTATCTACTCATTGGGGATCAGTAAAGAAGTGTTTATTAAGGATATCATTTATTAAAGTTCTATTAAACTTATTTGTGTTTGACTTTCAAATCTCTCTTTTAAAGTTGTTGGTGGTTGAGTATTTGATCTAATCAAAGATCTTTTTAAGTTTGGAGATGATGAATCAACAGTTAATTGACTCTCATCTTCTTTTAAACTATCAGATTTATCATTACTACTTAATCCGCTTTCATAATCATTTCCATGAAACCAAAAATGATTTAAAGTTTGTTCAACATTATATCTTTCCTTTGGATCAACAATTAATAAATTAGAAATCAAATCTAATACAATATCATTTATATCATCCCAATAAGGAGAATAAAATGCATATTTACCTTGTAAAATTTGTTCTTTCATATTTGGTGGACCTAATTCATCACTAAATGGAGGAAATCCACATAAACAAACATATAATAAAACACCGCTTGACCATAAATCTACTTTTTTATCATAATTTGATTGATTATTTAATATTTCTGGAGCTACATAAGCTGGTGTACCACATAAAGTATTTGTAAAAAATTTATCACCAATAAATTTAGCTAATCCAAAATCTGCAATTTTAACTTTTATATCTAGTTCATTTTTATCCCATGGACCAGTTTGAATTTGATTTGAATTAGTTCGAGGAGTAATATCAAGTAAAATATTTTCTGGTTTTATATCTCTATGAATTATATTCTTTGAATGTAGATATTGTAGTCCACTTAAAATTTGTTTAAAGAATTCTTTAGTTTCAGATATACCCAATTTTGATTTATTTATAATTCTTTGAAATAATTCACCAGAATTCATTTTCTCTAATATTAAATAAGTATTTGCAGAATATGGATTTATTGGTTCAACATATCTATCAACAAATTTTACAATATTTGGATGATTAATAGATAATAATAAATCCATTTCTTGTTTTAATTTAATTTCTTCTAAATTATTTTTACCTCCAATTTTATTAGGATGAAAAATTTTAACAGCTACTGTTTTACCACTAGTTTTATTTTTTGCTTCTTTGACAATTGCATAATGACCAGAACCTAATCGTTTTCCAAGTATATAATCATCAAAAAATGATTTTCTTAAATCAATATATTTGAAAATAAATTCACCTCCACTAGTTGCAAATGATAATTTATCACCATTTTTCAATATTCTGCAATTATGAATGTTGTTGTTTCCTTTACCTAATTTCTCATCATTTATGAATAATCCATTTGAACTTACATCAATTATGTTTATATATTTTGTATTATTAACATTGATGATTTGTAACTCACAATGTTTGGAAGATACATCAAGACCAGTTATTTTAATATCACAACTTGAACTTCTACCAATGGTAATTGTAGATTGACTGGGTAGATTTATAATTGATTGATTATCAATGATGGAATATAACTTACCTATTATTATAGATGGTTTTTTATTGGGATCTTCTAGATCATCGGAGTTTTTCTATTGATAGTGTTAGTTATTCAACCATGAACCAAGTCTATTCAATACTTACTCTTTTTCTAACGAGTGACATATGGCTGATGTTTATTATTATTATTTATTTTTCAAAACGCGATTGAAAAACGAAAAAAAATGAAAAATATTTTGAATACGAATCGCCTGGTGATTATTGATGCTTTCGAATAACTAGATATATGTAGTCATTAGTCAACAACCAGATCACTAGAAATGAATGTTGGGGCCCATATTCAGGTAAAAATAGTCACAAGAGTTTTTAGTTTTGTAGTGAGCTCATTCGATGATTTATACTTGTAACTTGAACTATTTTCTTTCTATGTATCACATACGTGTTTCTGATCATCATTGTAGATAGCGATCTTTATTTTCTGTATCGATCTTAAGTGAGAAACAAACTAAAAGAATAAGCCAATGACCATTCTAATGGTTTTGACGTCAGCAATGGGTGCTATCTATAACTTTCAAAATTTCAAAATTAATTTTTATTTCTTAACTTTGACAGCGGCAATGATTAATATGTCAAATAAGTATGTTTCAGAATTCAATTTTCATGTTTGACAACGCTACTGACAATTACCAATCGTAGCCAAGAAGATTTGAAACAATTAATCAATGAATTTATCAACATACTCCAAGAGCTATACTTCCAAAATAATAGAAAACAAGACAAACAAGAATTAGTTTTAAAACCAAATAGTATTTCAAGAATTAACACCTTCAAATATGAAGCCAGTGTTTCTTTTACCAGTTCCAGGTCAGAAACTTCATCATTATCAGGAACTGAATCTTCAATTACTCAAAATTCATTAGTAAATTTACTTCAAAATGATACGAAAAAGAAAGCTAATAATGATAATGACTTACTAGAAATGGAAAAAATTGCAAATAAAAACAAAGATGGTAAATATATGGATTTTTATAAGATTCTTATTGTTAATGGTGAAACTAAAAGAGAATGTTTATTATGTCGTAAACAATTTGCAACTACAAAGTTTTTCAATCGTCATTACGGTAGACAACACATAAAGAAAAAGAAATGATCTTTGGGATGGTTAACAAAAGATTTGATAGTTGATATTTTAGGTATAGTTGATGTTTCAATGGTACTTGAGGCTTAATGTATAATTGTATTTATAGTAGTTTCATTATAGTTGTCTCCGACCATTTCCGACATCCGATAATCACCGTCAATCTACGACAGTCGCCGCGTATCACCGAAAACTTCAAACCGACAAAGTAGAAATCAAACCAAAATTATATTTTAAAGATAATGAAACAAGTATACAGAGTATTTATCAATTATAAAAACATAAAATTTTGTATATTAGGCATAAATCAAATATAATATTAAAATAGAAAAAGTATTAATAAAGGTTCACAATAATTCAAACAACTCAAACAAAAGAAGCATCACTCTCACTCTCTTTCTGTTTCTCTTGAACTCTTCAGATTCAATACAATCAATTCACATAGTTAAAGTCTTCATCAATTCTATATTTTGGTCTAGGTCCATTCTTAGTCAATTTATCAATATCATTATATTCATCGTGTTGCCTTTCTAATTGTTCATTTTCTTCATGTTCAATCCCATCATCTCTTTTATTCAAATCAGATATTTGCTTCATAATATCACCAATTGTAATTACTCCATTTTCCAAAAAGCCAGGAATCATTTCCAAAATCAACAAACCTAAACCTTTTCTTGTCTCAGGATCAGTTAAAGCAAATTCAGCAACATCAATAGCAATATTATACTTCTTCAAAGCCAAAAAAATATCATCCCAAGGTAAAACACGAGCTTCCAACAATGTAATAGTAATATCAACCAAATTTTTTCGAACTTTTTCATCAGTCAATGAAAATTTGATAACATCATTAATTAAACCAGACTTTTTCAAAGATTCAAAAACTTTATAAGACACCCCATCAACAGCTTTTGAAATCAATTTTCGTTTATCAACTTTAACATTTTCATCATTATTAAATTGTGTAACTTCTTCAAAATACGCTTCTACATTCTCATCGTTCAAACCATTGCGAAATAAATTAGAGCCTCGGAGAATCATTGAGATATTCTCTTTTACCCCCTTTACCCCCTTTACCCCCTTTACCACCTTTACCATTACCTTTACCATCACCACCTTTTCCACCTTTTCCACCTTTACCCATCATACCACCAAATTTTTCTTTCAATCCTCCAAATTTACCCATTTTTCCTCCATCAGTTTTACCATTATTTGGTTGTTCTTCTTCACAATCTTCTTCTTCAATTTTTTTACCGTTTGTTTTATCATTTTTACTTGGTGCTTCAGTTTTACCATTACCACCATTACCACCTTTACCACCTTTCATACCACCAAATTTATCTTTAAAACCTCCAAATTTTCCACCCATTTTACCTTCTGGTGCTGGTGCTGGTGCTTCAGTTTCTTCACAATCATCAAATTTTGATTTTTTGGTAGTAATAGTTGGTGCTACAGTTGGTTTAACTTTTGTAAATGTTGGAGCAACAGTTGCTTTACCATTTCCACCTTTACCACCTTTACCACCACCTTTGCCACCTTTCATACCACCCATTTTTCCTTTCCATTTACTAAAATCAATATTTTGAGCTTCTAACTCAGATTCTTCTCTTTTATCATAATCTCTATCTTTATCTTTACCTTTACCTTCTCTGCCTCTATCCCCATCTCTACCTCTACCTCTATCCCCATCTCTACCTTTTTCATGATCTTTCAATGGTTGAATTTTACCAATTGGTGGACGATTTGGCCAATCTGGTTTAAAATACTTTGGTTTTCTAGTTGGCCATGATTTTTCAGTTTTGTTAGTTGTGGCAGTTGTAATTTCAGTTAATAAAGTTGTTTCAGTAGCCAATGAAGTTTCAGTTGTTAAAACAGTTTCAGTATTTGTAGCAGTTGGAACGGTAGTTAAAGTAGTTTCAGTAATAATTTCAGTTGTTGGAATTGTAACTTGAGTTGTTGCTGTTGGAACAGTAGTTAAAGTAGTTTCAGTTAAAGTTAAAGTTTCTGGAATAGTTTCAGTCAATTGAGTAGTTGCAGTAGTTAATTCAGTAGCAGTTTCAGTAAATGTAATATTTTTTGATTTATATTTCTTATGATCCCAATCTGGTCTACCATTATGATCTTTACCATTATGATGATCTTTACCATTATGATCCCAATCTGGTCTACCACCATGATCTTTACCATTATGATCTTTTCCTCTATCATGGTCTCTATCATGATCTCTGTCTGGTCTACCACCTTTTCCATTATCTTTTCCTCTATCATGGTCTCTATCATGATCTCTATCTGGTCTACCACCTTTTCCATTATCTTTTCCTCTATCATGGTCTCTATCATGATCTCTATCTGGTCTACCACCTTTTCCATTATCTTTTCCTCTATCATGGTCTCTATCATGATCTCTATCTGGTCTACCACCTTTTCCATTATCTTTTCCTCTATCATGGTCTCTGTCATGATCTCTATCTGGTCTACCACCTTTTCCATTATCTTTTCCTCTATCATGGTCTCTACCTCTATCATCTGGACGTCTTCTTCTATCATCTAAATGAGGGTTACCTTGTTTTTCACTTTCAGAAGCACGCTTAGCAATTTCTTCTTCAACATCTCTAATTTGATTATCAATAGCTTGAGCAACTTGAGAATCTTCAATAGCTTGATCAAAACCTTCAAAGGAAGCAATATGAGCTTCTTGATTACTCCCTAAACCACGTTTTTCAACCATATCATCAATACCATATTCATCTAAAATACTATCTCTTTCAGCTTTTAAAGCATTAATTTCTTGTTCAACTTCATCAATTTCACGTTGAATAATTTGAGCTTCTCCATTTTCAGCAATTTCTTCTGGTAAAGGAACAGGTTCAACAGGAGCAACTTTTTTACCATTACCATTTGGAACAGGTTTACCATTTTTACCATTTCCATTTAATGCTCCATTTCCATTACCGTTTAATGCTCCGTTACCATTTGTTTTACCGTTTCCATTACCATTTAAACCGTTTCCATTACCATTGGTTTTGCCATTTCCATTTCCGTTTCCGTTGGTTTTACCATTACCATTACCGTTACCATTTAAACCATTTCCATTTCCATTACCATTGGTTTTACCATTTCCGTTTCCATTTCCGTTTCCATTTCCGTTTCCATTGGTTTTACCATTACCATTACCATTCAAACCGTTTCCATTTCCATTACCATTCAATGCACCATTACCATTACTATTCAATACACCATTTCCATTACCATTCAAGGCACCATTTCCATTACCATTGGCTGGTTTTTTTCCATTTTTACCATTACCATTACCATTTAATGCGCCACTTGTAGGTTCAACAGGTTCAACAGGTTCAATTGGAGCAACAGGTTTAGTTGGTTTAACTGGTGGAATATAATTTCCATTTCCATTTCCATTTCCATTACCATTACCATTTTTACCATTAACTGGTGGAACAACTCCATTACCATTCCCATTAGCTGGTGGAACAACACCATTACCATTTTTTCCATTAACTGGTGGAACAGCACCATTACCATTTCCATTGATTGGAACACCATTTTCATCACAATCTTCAGGAACACCTCTTTTACCTTTTCCATTTGATTTACCATTGGTTTTACCATTACCACCTTTACCAAATTTACCCTTTAAACCACCGTTGGTTTTTCCACCAGTAGATTTACCATTTTTATCATTAATTGGTTGGGTAGGTTTTGGTTGAGTTCCTTTTTTTGGTGTAGTCTTGTTTTTTTCTTCATCACAATCAGTTTCATCATCAGTGGTCCAATCTTCTTTAACTTTACCATTAGTTTTACCATTAGTTTTACCATTAGTTTTACCATTAGTTTTACCATTATCACCTTTACCACCTTTACCACCTTTCATACCACCCATTTTACCTTTCATTCCACCCATTTTACCTTTCCATTTACTAAAATCAATATTTTGAGCTTCAACTTCAGAATCTAACTCTTCACGTTTACCCAATAATGAAATTTCAATTTCTTCAGCTTCATTATCTAATTTAATTGTTTTTTGTTGTTTATCATCAAATTGAAAATAAGTTTCTGGATTTTTAATTTTAATATTATCCAATAAAGCTAAAATTTCCTTCAAAGTTTGAACTTTATCCATTGTAATTTCTTTTCCAACAGTTAAAATTTGCCAAAAAACATCAGAAAAACCTTTAAATTCTTGAGCTTGAACAGCCAATTCATCATGATCAACCAATTGATTTTTTTTGCTAGGCGCTGATTGATGTCTAATTCTAATACCTTTTGAAATTGAATGCTTAGTCTTCATTGAATCACCACCACCTAAAACCGCAACATCAGTTGAAGTTGAAGGGTTTAAAGTTAATCCATTAATTGCTGTTAAAGTCGATAAAATTAATAAGTAGTTAATTTTCATGACGGGAGTGTCTAATAAAAAACAAAGAAAAGAAAAGACCAAAAAAAACCAACTATTGATTCATTATTTATATCTCTCAATCATATTTGTAATAACTTCCTTGATAATTCATAATTCTTGTCTTAACTTTCGGTATACCATTTTTTGATATACTTATTGTTTCATCTCGCGAGGAAAAAATACGAACGAGTTTCCTTAAAACGCGCAATTTCAAGAAAAAATAAAAAAAAGTAGTATCCCGAGAAATAAATAATTCAACGTGGCGTATTAAAATAAATACATATTATACATTAAATAAGCTCTATAATTATACTCACCTTCCTGAAATTAATTCATATTCACTATTACTTACCAATGTGGTATTTCTATATTGACGCCTTAATAAATTCCCACTAAAATTAACTCTATTTTTTCTTTTTATATTTTCAAATTCTTCCCTAGTTCCATTTTTTAAATTAAATTGATCTTCGTCATTACCTAATTCGTAATCTCTATCTTTATTAATTTCAATTTTTGGTGCCTTATAATTTTTCAATAAAAGTGAATTAAAAACAACACTTAATGAACTAAACATCATTGCAATACTGGCTGCAACTGGTGGTAATACAATATTTAAAGGTAAAAAACAACCCATAGCAAATGGTAACATTAGAATATTATATAAAATAGCCCATAAGAAATTTAATTTTATTCTATTAAATGTCTTGTTTGAAATTTGTAAAGCATTTACAACCCCCATTAAATCAGATGATAAATTATTCATTAATACAATATCTGCACTTTCAATTGCAATATCTGTACCTGATGAAATAGCCATACCTATATCTGCTTTAGCTAATGCTGGTGCGTCGTTTATACCATCGCCAATAAATGCAATTGATGAAGTTGGAAATTTGGTTTTTAAATTTGTTAATACTTTATCTTTATTAATTGGTGAAACTTCATAAAATATATTATTCTCTGATATACCAACTTCTTTACCTATTTTAATTGCAGCTCCTTTATTATCACCAGTGACCATACCAATAATATAACCAGCATTTTTAAGATAATTTATGACTTCCCAACTTCCTTTTTTTAACGTATCTGATAATTCAACATAGCCAGAATATTCATCATCTATAAAAACATAACATAATGTATTTGATGAATCTAATGATTTTATCTCTAAATTTGGACATTTCTCACTAATCAATTTATGATTTCCAACTGTTACATTATACATTTTTGATCTAATTTGAACACTACCCTGAATTCCTAAACCAATCATTATATTAACATCCTTGATTACTGTATTGACTGTTTCATCTTCAAAATCAATATTTAAATTTTCTTTTGCAATTTTAGTTAATGCTTTTCCAACTGGATGTTCAGAATTTGTTTCTAATGAGCCGATCAATGTCCACCAATCAGACATAGATAAACCATTAGGCAATTTTGGTTCTTGTTTAACTAATGACATTTCTCCTGTTGTTAAAGTACCTGTTTTATCAAATAATAAAATGTTAATCAGAGTTGATTTTTCCAAAATATCAGCACCTTTAATTAATACACCATTTCTTGCACCAACACCAGTACCTACCATTACAGCAGTTGGAGCAGCTAAACCTAAAGCACAAGGACAAGCAACTACAATAACTGAAATTGCCAATTTTAAACAAACAAAAATTTTACCATTTTCTTCATTTTGAAAAACTTTGGGCAATTTATCTGGATGTAATGTATAACAAATTATAAACCAGATTGTAAATGTAATTAATGATAAGATAATAATTGAAGGTACGAATCTAGCAGCTATATAATCTGAAAATCTTTGAACTGGAGCTTTATTAATTTGTGAATCTTTAACTAGATTGATTATTTGTTGTAATTGAGATCGTTTACCTGTATGAGTTATTTTGAGGTGTATTAAGTAAGGTCCATTTATAGATCCTCCAATAACTACATCTCCTTTTCCTTTATGTATTGGTAATGGTTCACCAGTGATTAAAGATTCATCAATTTCAGTCTCACCAAATACTATAATTCCATCAGCTGGTATTTTACCACCTGGTAATACCATAGCAATATCATTAGGTTGAACTAAATCTATTGAAATTGTTTTTGTTTGATAAACTTTATTTTCTTCAGTTTTTTCAACATACTGTTCATCTATAATTGTACATGTTGAAGGAGTTAATGATAATAAACTAGATAATGCAGTTGAAGTAGCTCCTTTTGCTTTATTTTCTAATAATTTACCAAATGAAACAAATGCAATTAACATAACCAAAGTATCAAATAAAACTTTTGGTGGTTTTTCAGACTTACCATACCATACAGAAGATACAATTGAAAGAACTGAAAAAATGTATGTAGTCATTGTTGAAATACAAATTAATACATCCATTGAAGCACCTTTGAAACCTTTAGTAATAAATGAAATAAATTTAATTAAAAATTTCCAACCTAATGAAAATTGAATATATGTAGAAAGTACCAATTCAATTAATGAAACAAGATATAACCCCTTGAATATTACTAGGTTTTTCCAAAATTTTGAATCTTCACTATGTGATAAAATAACAACAGGTATACCAAAAACTAAACAATGTATAAATATTTTCGTCCAATATTTTATTTCTTTTACTTTTGATAATAAATTCATTTGTGATTCTGATGATTGATCAATTGAATTAACTACTATGTATTCAATTGAATCTTCAATATTTTCTAATCCATCAACAATATCTCTTATTCCAATAATTGTTGGATTATACATAAATTTTAATTCATCATTTAATTCAATTTCATCAATAATCATAGCTGTTGATTCTTCAGTTTTGGATTGTCGTAATTTGATTTCAAATGTGGATATACCAGGTAATGAATTTAAATAAGCTTCAACATTATATCTATAATCATTAAGATCCAAAGAATCATGGATTCCAACAATTTTTAAAACAACTTCTTCTAATTCTTGTTGTTCATTCTTTGCTTCTTTAATATAAATTGTATTAAATCCACAATCTTCAATTGTTTCTTTTAATAAATCAATCACTACAGATTCATCATGCGTTATTAATGCTTCTTCAGTAATTAAGGAAACTGACACTTTGTTCACACCTTCAATTTCTTCCAATGCATTAGTTATAGAACTTGAACATGCTCCACATGTCATACCTTGAATTCCAATAATTGTATCTATATATTTCGAAGTACTCTCTCTCTTTTGTATTTTGGCATCAAATCCACAATCTTCAATTATTGAAATTATCTTTTCTTCAGTTAATGCTGGTGAATGTACAATTAATCCCATTTCCGTTACAAGTGAGATTGAAACTGAAAATACCCCGGGTAAATCTTCTAAATTATTTGTAATTGAACTTGAACAAGCACCACAAGTCATACCGGAAATTAATACCGTAGTTTTCACATCTGACACAGATGTAGATTGTAATTTTAAATCAATGTTACATGATTGTTTAATATCATTTATGATTGAAATTTCATTATATTTAGATATATTAGGTATTTCAATATTTAATATCTCATTATTTAAATCTATAATTTTCAAATCTGAATAGTTATTAACCAAATAGTCTTTCAAATCTGATATCTGATCATTAGCAAGCTTTGATTCAATGATTTTATAAATTATATTATTAGAAGCAGCCATTTTTCTTAACTCTATTTCTTTTTACACCAACTAGATCATGAAATAATTACAATTTCCTAGTTTCTCTTTGTCACACAACTACTAAACCAAGAAAACAGATGAAAATCTTTTGTAAGGAATTTATAAAATTGGTTGTAAAGTATTTGGCTGTAAATTGATATTTAAGGAAATAATTATTTTTTTTTTCTATTTTAATGATAGAATAGAATCCGCTTATATGCAGTATTGAGATTTATCTATTCCATCTATTATTTGACAGATGCTATCAAATGCTACCAAATGCTACCAAATGCTACCAAATGCTACCAGATGGTCCATAATATCGGATATTAAATTATGATACCGACCAATTACAATTAAGGAAAAATATGAAAAATTTTAAACGGTTATTATAAAATTTATTAATGAGTATATATTAGTTTTATATAATTTTGCCATTTAGATCTTGCTTCTTATTAGCTGATTTTTTATTTTTGTTTAGCCCTGTTCCATGATATTTATGACTTAAGTGTTTATATGCTTCTTTTGCAGTATTTAAAACTTGACCTTGATCATTTTTATAAATTAATGAAACTCTGGGGTTGTATGATTTAAAATGATTATTTATTTGGTTGTTATTTTGTCGTCTATTACCTCTTGGTTGATCTTTAGTTTCAGGTATTATGTTTTTTTCTTTTAGTATTCTATCTAGTTGCGTATCGAAATAGTCTTGTTTTTCGTCCTTGGATAATTTGATGTATTGTTTATCTTTGGAGAGACTATCTCTTAATATTCTGTCTTCTATGTCTATTTTAAGTTTGATTAATTCTGATTTACTTGATAATTCTTCTCTTACATCTTTGGTGGTGGTGGTGGTGGAGGTATTATTGACTATCTTTCTATCTTTAAGGAATTTCAACGTATCTGCAACACTCATTGATATTTGTTCTGGTTCATTAACAACAGTCTCGTTATCTTCTTCTTGATTTTCTTCTTGATCTTCTTGATCTTCTTCTTGATCTTCTTCTTCATTTTCCACCTCGTCAATACTTTTTCCATTAGGTACTTCAGCTTCAGAAACTTCACCTTTTTCTTTTACTGTATTTTCTTGTTTCTCCTCCTCCTCCTCCTCCTCTTCTTCTTCTCCATCTTTATTATTACTTAATTTATTTAAAAATCCAATTGTGTCATCATATACATTACTTCGTAATTGTTCATCTTCAATTTGTTTCTCCAATTCAAATCGTTTAGTTTTTAAAATTTCTTGAGCTAGTTCTTCAGATGTTAATTTCTTTTGAGTTTTGACTCGATTTGAATTTATAGAATTAGCCAATTCTAATTCAATATCATCCAAGAAATCATCTTCCAATTTTTCACTGATTTTCACCTCGTCACTTATAACCACCTTCTTTCTATCCTTTTTAGCGTCTTTCTTCTTGATCTTTTTCATTTTAATTTTCTTTACTTCTTCTGATCCATTATTTTCTAGTTCTAAATCATCAAATAAATTTTCAAAAGTAGTTACATTTTTCTTGTTCATTTCTTTTACTTCTGGTTTAGGTAGATTGACCTTATTTCCTTTAATGACTAAACCTTCATTAACTAACTCTTCCTGTTCATCTTCCTCTGCTTCACTTTCAGTTTTTTTATAATGTCGACCATTAAATTTTATATTTTCAGCTTCTTTCTTTTCCTGTAGATCTTTCGTCAATTTAGCACTATTAAGTAAGTTTTCATTAATTAATATATCCTCCTCATCTCCACTTGCATCTATTCGAGTATCTTTAAGTGTAAATATTTGATTTCCAGCCATACCTGATAACTCTTTACTCTTATGGCCTATTTTAATCTGTGGATCATCATTAATAATAATTTTATTCACTATCTTCTGCTTTTTAGTTGATGATTTACCTAACGAATCTAACCAAGAATCAGTATCCACTGCTTCATTTTCATCATCTTCATCATCTTCAAATTGTAATTTTCGTTTTTGACTCGATTTAAACTTAGCAAGTTCTATTCTTTGTCGTAATTCATCATTCTTCTGTAGTTTCAATTTATCATTTTGAAACTTAGTAAAGTCTTCAACATGATCATCTTTAGATTGAACAGGTATGGGCTTTAAACCAATTTTAGCTCTTAATTTATTAGTCTCTTCTATTGATAATTCCACAACATCTTCCTTTGGTAGTGGTAATGGTTTTAATCCTATTTGTTGTCTTAATTTATTAGTTTCGTCTATAGACAATGATATATCATTTGACATACTCTTCTTGTTCTTCTTTATATATCAATTTATTGCGCTACCTACTCCATAAAAAAAAATTGTTTGTTATTGTTTCAGAGTTCATTATATCGTATTCAGCCAAATGCTAGTATGAATGCAGAATTGAAGAGTATTAGTAGTTCATTACCATTATCGTCACCACCAATATCACTAAACTCATGTAATTCAAATTTAAATTGTTCAATTTCTGAAATTGTGGGGACATCAGCTAAATCATATCAACAATTCACCGTTCAAGATAATTTAATTGCATATTTATCAAGTGGAGGAGTAGTAATGTGTGAAATAAAAGAAAAAGAAGTGATTAGTCAAAGATTCTTTAGCTCAAACATCAACTTCAACTTTGACTCAGAGAGACAAGAAAGAGACAATTATGGATATTTAATCAATTCTGAACCTATTGAAATTTATGGTCCTTCATATACCAAAGAACCAGAAGATAACTCACCGTCAAAATTAAAAGATAAAGTCTCAATACGATCAATCAACTGCATTACAGTAAGTAAAAATAAGAAATTGCTTGCAATTGGAGAAATAGGATATCTGCCGCGTATCTTAATATTTAGTCTAGCTTCAAATTCGACTAATAATCCAGTTGTCATTATCCATCATCATTCATTTGGTATAAACATGCTTGAGTTCTCACCAGATTCAAAATATTTAACAAGTTTAGGAATAGTAAATGATGGATTTATAAATGTTTGGAAGATTGGTAATAATGTTAATACCACGAGTTTACATTCTTCAAATAAGTGTTCAAATGTGATTAATAGAATGGTATGGCATGAAGAATATATTTATACTTTTGGGTTACGATTTATTAAAATTTGGAAATTTGAAAATCATAATGAAGGAAAACAACAGATCTTGAAGGGGAAAAATGTATTGCTTGGTAACTGGATTAATTCAAATTTTGTTGATTGTTGTGTTTTGAATGAGGAGGAGATATTATTATTGACTAGTTTGAATCAATTAATTTTATTGAAATGTAACTATGATGCTCCAGAGTTAATACAATTAGATAATCCAATCGACGAAGATATTAATACTATTGTTTTGGATGGAGAGAATGAAAAGATCTATTGTGGGTTAAAGAATCATAAAATTAAAGGGTTTAAAATTGATGAATTGAAGGAAACTACGAGACCTACTTCAGCTAGTAATGGAAAGTTAGTGACTCTGCCATTTAAAGAATCACAGCAAAAGTCAATTATAAGTATGAAGAATTTTTTGAGGTCAAGTTTGGTTTATTTGAATGATATTGAAGAAATTAAATTTATAAATAAGGAAGATTTAGTAGAGAAAGTGTTGACTACTTCATTACTTAAAGATATAAATGGAGTTAAACATTCATATACAAAGGAATATTTAATATTTTCAAAGAGTGGGTCAGTTAAGGAATTGAACATGGAATGTATTTCAAAAGTGGAAAATGTTGTTGACTTTAAATTACCTAATAATGAAGTAATATCAAATACGTTAACAGCAGTTGAGGAATATGAAGAAGATCATGTTGTATTAGGGGACAGACATGGTAATTTATACATTGTAAAATTAACAGAATTGTCATATGATGTTATATTTCAGATTAAAGCACATTCATCAACTATAAATGATATTACATACTTCAAAGTAGAAAATATTGAAATTATAGTCTCAATTTCACGAGATCGAATGATTCAAATATTTACGAATTTGAAGAATGATTGGAATTTACTACAAACTATACCTATCCATAATGGAAACTTATTAAAATTGATTCATCATGATAGTAAAATCTACGTATCATCATCTGATAAAACCATATCGGTCCATAAATTTACAATACAAGATAATCAAATGAATGTAATTCAAGAAAAGATCATAACTTTAAAATCAATACCAATAGACATGAAAATTTATGATATTGAATTAGTGATATCTACAATGGAAAAGAATCTATACATTTACGATACTTCTTCATTTGAAATTAAAAGACAATTTAAGTATTACAATGATGTTAATGAAAGTATCTCAATTGATACATTCATCAAATATAAAAATTTATTAATCATTTGGCTGACTTCAGACAAATCATTCAGAATGTATGATTATTTCACAGGTAAATCAAATGGAGTATTTTATGGACAACAAGCATCTAATTTAGGTTTATTTATGATTGATGAAAAGATAATTTCAATTGGAAATGATGGTTGTTTATTTTCATGGTGTCTAAATGCCCACAAAGAAGAAGAGAAGAAACAAGTAGATGAAGAAGAAGTTAAGGAAGCTGTTACTCCAATCTTAATGGAAGCCAAAGTTGCAAGAAAGATAATTCCAACTCAATTTCCAAGTACGTCCCCAAGTAAAAGCGACAAAATACCAATTCAACCATGTTCTTCACCTCCTAGATTATCAACAGCAACATTAAAACGAATAGAAAGTAGAAATTCATCACCTACCAGAACTCAAACTCAAGCTTCACCAAGTAGATCACCAAGTCGAGCTAATAATTTGAACACACCTACTTTGTTACCTAGTGGTAAACCAACATTGAATATAACTACTCAATCACCAAGTAGTAGACCATCCAGTAGAGCTGGCCATTTGAACTCACCTACTTTACCACCAAGTAGTAGATTAAATAATTTACAATCACCTTTGAAATCTTCACCAAATAGAACTACAAATATATCAAGACGACCAATGGTATTACAACTGCCGCAATCACGACCAAATACAGCTAAATCAAACATATTTACAAAATTAGATGAATTGAAGAAGGAGATTATGTATTTAAATGAAGATGAGAAAATGTTAACGAAGAGTAAGTTATTAGATATTGTTCATTTAATAGATGATAAAGAAAACTACAAAGAGAGTGAAATATTAGAAAAGTATAGTGATAAATTAGTCAGTATGTTTCAAGAGAAACTATCAATGGAGCTAAATAATAAATAATAAATAATAAATAATAAATAATAAATAATAAATGAATGTATATACAAATGTTTAATGTCTTGGTTTGATATTTATATTTGCTTCTTCAATTGGATTCTTATCCCTTGTTTCATCACCTGATTTCCATGGATCTTCAACTTCTTCTCTTAGTTTAATATTTACACTTGCTTCTTCTATTGGATTTTTATCCCTGGTCTCATCAGCCAATCTCCATGGATCTTCATTATTCTCACTTTGTTTCTCTTGTATCTTTTTATATTCTTCATTTTCAATCTTCGCTTTATCTAATTCATTCTGTAATTTCATCAGTAGTTCATTTTCCAACCTCATTTTTTCATTTCTCCATTTAACATCAGCCTGTTGAGATAATATTTTTAATCGTTGTTGTCTTAGTTGATCTTCAATTAATTCATTCAAACTTGGAGGTCGTTCTCTTGTCCTTCGTAACCATTGTAACCATTGCGGAGGAATATTCTTAAAATAATCCACTTGGAATAATTCTGGTTTATAAGGTTCTGTCTTTCTTCGAAGTCGTGATAAATTCCCATCAATAGTGAATTCCCAATAAGTATTTCCATATAAATCATAGCCAACGAACCATTTCCTTCTGAATGGAACATCCCTCCTTGCTTGAAACTTGAATTTTATTATTTTCCACCATGGGTATTTTGATTTAATTATATCCATTGCAACAACATAAAGGAAAAAAAAAAAAATCAATGAGTGGGACTGGTAGAAGAAATACGTTAGTACAATTGAATAAAACATTACCAATCCCTATACAATTGAACAATGGAGAAAGTATAGAACAACACAAACTAAACCATTTATCTCATATTACAGATGTTTTAATTGGTGAATATCATTTGATTAAGGGTGAGAACGGGAATAGTTATATTGTATGGACAATTAAAGTAATTATAAATGATTTAAATTTTAGTCTGATTTTACTATATAAGCGATATTCCGATTTTGTTAAATTAAAAAATGATCTAGATGATTGTTTTACAAATGAGAGTGTTAATATTCCCGAATTACCTGCTAAGGATTCATTTAGTATTAGTAGGTTAATGTTAAGTAAATCATGGTTGGAAGAACGAAGGAAGGGGTTACAATGGTTTTTGAGTAATGTGCTATTGGATCCAAGGTTGCAAAATAGTCAAGTTGTTAAAGATTTTGTGCTAAAGAAGTAAATTTGGGAAGTTTTGATATTTGCGTATATGAAAATTACAAGATTTCGTAGTTGCTTTTGGGGATGAGCTGAGGTAGTATTAGGTCAATGTTTAGTTTAGTTGTTAAAGCTGAAGACTTTTATCAGATGAGGAGAGAGAGAGAGAAGCTAAGGCCGTTGGAATTAAGTGATGAGCTCAAAATGTTGAAAATTGCTTACCAAGGTCAACATTACAAGATCTCTGAGTCAGAGTCAATAGTCCGAATAAGACCTGGATTTATCATGCAAAAGGTTAGATATAGAACATTAAAGAGCTCTAAAGAGCTCACTGGAATATCAACAAATTGGACCAAGAATTCAAGCTTTCGGAAAAACAATTATCTTCAAAGACAAGATCAGGACTAGAAAATTCGGAGTTGAAGTTTAGATTAAAGACTTATTCCATCATGTAACAGTGAAAGCTAGATTTACAAAGCTTTTGAAGTTTAGATTAAAGACTTATTCCATCATGTAACAGTCAACATTACAAGATCTCTGAGTCAGAGTCAATAGTCCGAATAAGACCTGGATTTATCATGCAAAAGGTTAGATATAGAACATTAAAGAGCTCTAAAGAGCTCACTGGAATATCAACAAATTGGACCAAGAATTCAAGCTTTCGGAAAAACAATTATCTTCAAAGACAAGATCAGGACTAGAAAATTCGGAGTTGAAGTTTAGATTAAAGACTTATTCCATCATGTAACAGTGAAAGCTAGATTTACAAAGCTTTTGAAGTTTAGATTAAAGACTTATTCCATCATGTAACAGTGAAAGCTAGATTTACAAAGCTTTAACACTTAATTAAAAAAATGAGTATATGAAGCTAAAATTGAAATATAACCGTGATATTAATTATTTAGAAGACAAACTAGACAAACTAGATATCTAATAAGATCGGATGATTTTAATTTGATTTTATAATTTACAGAGAATGTATAATTAGTGAGATGTGACTAGTAAATTTCTTGTCTAGTATGTCTAATAAATAATGTTAATCTAGATTATTATTTTGCAACCATATTGATGCTGCTTAGTAATTTGGTAGCACCAGTGAGAATCCAGCCTCGGACTGTTTTGTAAGCAAGCACGTGACTTGTCACGTGCTGATTTTCTAGATCTACTTTTTTCTTAATAATTATTTTTCAACAGTTGACTCCATAAAAACGCAAGGAAATTTCCATCTCTTTCTTTTTCTTTTCTTTCGTTACAAGTGTTTAGTTTATTAAGAAAAGCTTAATTATTATATATATATCATGGTTCATCATAAAGTTACAATTGTTGGTTCTGGTCCAGCTGCTCATACAGCTGCTATTTATTTGGCAAGAGCAGAAATTAAACCAACATTATATGAAGGTATGCTCGCAAATGGTATTGCTGCTGGTGGTCAATTAACAACAACAACAGATATTGAAAATTTTCCTGGTTTCCCAGATGGTATTGGTGGTACTGAATTAATGGAAAAAATGAAACAACAAAGTGAAAGATTCGGTACTGAAGTTATAACTGAAACTATATCAAAAGTTGATTTTTCTGCAAGACCTTTTAAATTATGGACAGAATTTAATGAAGATTCCGAGCCAATTACAACAGATGCTGTTATAATTGCTACTGGAGCAAGTGCAAAAAGAATGCATTTACCAGGTGAAGATAAATACTGGCAACAAGGTATTTCTGCATGTGCAGTTTGTGATGGTGCAGTACCAATTTTTAGAAATAAACCATTGGCTGTTATTGGTGGTGGTGACTCAGCATGTGAAGAAGCTTTATTTTTAACAAAATATGCATCAAAAGTTTATATGTTAGTTAGAAGAAATGTTCTTAGAGCTTCAAATATAATGCAAAAAAGAGCTCAAAATAATGAAAAATTGGAAATTTTATGGAATACTGAAGCTTTAGAAGCAAAAGGTGATGGTAAATTATTACAATCTTTAAAAATTGTAAATAATAAAACTAAAGAGGAAAAAGACTTACAAGTTAATGGTTTATTTTATGCAATTGGTCATATTCCTGCTACTGAAGTTTTTAAATCTTCAACTTTAGAATTTGATGATCAAGGTTATATTAAAACTAAACCTGGTACTGCTTCAACTTCTATTCCTGGTATTTTTGCAGCTGGTGATGTTCAAGATAAAATTTATAGACAAGCTATTACTTCTGCTGGAACTGGTTGTATGGCTGCTTTAGAATGTGAAAAATTTATTGCAGAACAAGAAGATTGAATAAGTAAGGGTGCAATAAACATTTTATAGAATTAAAATTTATAGATAATGTATTATTTACGATTGGAATAATTAAAGTAACCCTACGCTAATCAAACTCTAATGAAACCACTTCTTCATCCCTTTTGTATGGTTCTCCGAGATCGTTTTGCAACCTTTGATTCGGTTTGAACCAAATACACGACTTTGGTGATCTCTTGCATTCTATATTTCTTTTCTTCGATTCAAAGGTAGGATATCAAATTTACTAACCTTGGACATTAATTAGTACATCCAGACCTACCATCTTGCATCGGTACACATCGGTACACATCCTTACAATGTCATTTAATAATCCTTTTGAAGATGATTTAGAAAGACAAATATCACACAATTCAACCAGGTATAAAGATTATCCTGAATTTGACACAATTTCATCATCAATTGAAAATCAACTAAATTTTATAAATAAAACACAGCTTAACAACTTGAAATCTCAACTCTCAGAGTATGAACAATCAAAAGATACAGAGCTAGCGGAATCGCTTTCAAATAATTTTAAGAAGACAACGGAATATTATAAGAAATTAAACGATTTTATCAAAAAGTTAAACCATATAATTAATGAATTGAATTTCCAACACGAAGATATTGAAGTAATCAACTACTTCAAACAGAAAGAACAAATTCAAATCAAGTTAGTAAAAGACTCCTTATCAAACTTTAAAAATCTCCAAAAACGATACGAATTAAATCAACAGAATAGTATATCCCAATCTTCTAGAAAAGAGGAGTCAGAAAGTCAAGGTCAGGTTCAATCACTGGTTCAGATCGAGTATGAGCCTGTTAATGCCGAAGAATTGGAACAACAGACACTACTTATACAAGAGAGGGAGAGAGAAATTCATCAGATTCAACAAGATACTCAAGAGATCAATGATATTTTTACGAATTTATCAGGTATTATAAATGAGCAACAATTTACCATTGATAATATTGAGAATAATATATTTAGTTATAGTTCAAATGCAAAACAAGCTGTGAGTGAGTTGAGAAGTGCTGAGAGATGGCAGAAGGGTAGTAATGGGAGAATGTTATGTTGTTTTATGATTTTATTGGGTGTTGCTGCTTTATTGGTATTAATTATGGCTATTTTTTAGATATAATGTATTTATTATAAGGTGTAATTGATTAATCTATAACTAGTTTTATCACTATTTTCTATAATGATTAACCAATATCATGAGCGACTGTAATCAATATCTCTATAATATTTATATATTCAAATAAATAAGAGATCATTAGCGGTAAATTCATAAAAACCTTACAATTATCAGCATCCTTACAATTGACTGCATCCTTACTCATCCTTGCACTTCCCAGAAGTTGATATAACCATCATCACCAGCAGTTATTAATATTTCATCACCTTCAATAGTATTAGCCCATATAATACTATTAACTTCATAAACACCATGACTAGCCTCTTTCATATTCTCAATTTCCCAATTCCCATCACTTACTTCCTTATATATAACAATTAAACCATCAGAACCACAAGTTGCAATTTTACCAGTTTTATCAGACCAAGAAACCGAATAAATAGGATAAGAATGAGCCGTAGGCAATATACAATCCAATTCCCATACTAATTCCTCAGATCTATGTTTAATTGAACTTGGTAATTCACTCGCTTCTTCATTCTCTTTATCTTCACTTGACCAAATCCTAACTGTTAAATCATCAGATACTGAAACTAATCTAATTCTATTTTCTTTAGACATTGGTGAGTCTGGATTTTCAAATTTAGAGCACCATACTGTACCTTCATGACCATTTAATATTCCAATAGTACTCCAATGATCATCATCATCTACATCCTGTTTATATATACGTATAGTATCATCATATGAAGAACTTGCAAGTATGTTTTTTGTTGGATGCCAAGTTACATGTTTTATATCCTGTCCATGATCATTCAATACACAAATACATTCAAATTCTTCAAGGGTTTCTGAATCAGTTTCCCATATCCAAATAGTTTTATCACGAGAACAAGAAGCTAAATATTTCCCACTCCAATTCCATGAAACACTTTTGATTTCATTCTCATGACCTTCTATAATTGCAATTAGATTCCATTCATTCGAGGCATTAGTAAGAAGTTCCACCTCATGATTTGATATTTCTGATTCATCTATTAAATCAATGTTTGAAGGTTCATCTATTCCCCAGATTGATATTGTTGAGTCAAATGAGCCTAATGCGAGAGCAGGTAGGTCTACGAAACTTGGATCTGCGCTGTTTTTCACTGTTGGTTTGAATTCTATGGCTCTTATTGATCGTTTATGGGTATCTTCTAAGACTGTTAATTGTGGGAAATTTTGTAATGAACTTAGTTTGAATATTTTTGATGTCTTATCTGTTGAAGCAGTAGCTAGAAGTGGTAATGTTGGATGTGAATTAATATTCCATACCTTGTCATTATGTGCTTTTATTGATTTAAGTAAACTAACCATTCCAGCTTTTGGTGGTGATGATAATTTTTCAATCTTTTATTTTTTGCAACAATAAAAAATGTTAATACGAAGATGTTTCAGATTGAACTATAGACAAATAACAAGTATACGGTTCAATTCCACTAACAAGGAAATCTTAAAGAATGGTAACGATGCAGATAAGAAAGTCAGTGAATTTAACATCAAATCAGAGACATCAAAAGCAGCTCCAGCACCTTTTAATACACCGGGCATTGAAAAATTATTAAAGAAAGATAATAAACCATACATTCCAAAATTAAATCATAAACGACTTTCATTTGAATATCCATCATTACCAAACCAAGATCAATATAATAACCTTGTGGAAAAACCAAGGACTCGAACAAGATGGTCAAGATACATTCCAAAAATATTAACAGTTATAGTCCTAGGGTATTCAGTTTATATGATTAAAATATGGTTTATTGATCCAGCTACAAAAGAAGAAGGAGAAGATTCAAATGATTTATTATCACCAATTGAGTTTCATAAATTTATAATTACACATAAGTTACAAATCGATAATAATCATTATTTAATTGAACTTAAGCCAAAGTATTCAAATTGGATGTTATCGTTCAATGTAAATCCACAGGAGAAGAGTCTATGGAGTGGTCAGAAATTATGGAGTGTTGAAGTGAAACATCCAATGATTAATATTGTAAGAAGTTATACTCCTTTACCTTTATACTTTATGAAATCAGAATATACCAGAAGCGGAGAAAAGGAACCATTATTAAAAGTGATTAATCCGGAAATTGACGTTAATGATAGAGAAGGGACAATGGTGCTCTATGTGAAAAGATACGATGATGGAGAAGTTTCAAAATATATAACTAACAAAGAGATAGGTGATGAATTGGAATTACGTGGTCCAGATATTGACTACAAGTTTCCTTACCATCCATTAAATAAACTCCACTCTCGTCCGATATTCAAGGATCTACCAAGTAAAGTTGAACCAGATAATTTGAAGTCAATAGTTATGAAGGAGCATAATTTATCAGATGTAGATAATTTGACTTTTTATTGTGGTGGGACTGGAATTTCACCAGCTCTTCAAATGTTATTTTCGAAAGAGCCAAGTTTGGGATATACGACAATTCATTATTCAGCTAGATCTAAAGGTGAATTAGGTCCATTAGAACGATTTTTGTTCTTCCTTGAAAAACTAGATAGAATCAAATTAGTTTATCATATAGATAATAGCAATCCAATCACAAAAAAAGACATTACAAAACCAGAAGAGTCGAACTATATAACTCCGAAGAAGATAGATAGTAAAGATTTGAACAATGATGAGAAATTGAAATTGAGAATGGCTATGATGAATCAAGACGAGAAAACGGTGGTTGAGAAAAGATTGGTTAGTAATGAACTTGAAAGAGGTGAAAGGTTTGAAAGTGTTCTAGAACAGGCTCAACATACATCTAAACAAAAGAAGAAAGGGTCGTCTTTGGCTATTGTTTGTGGTCCTGATGGATATGTTGATTATATTGCTGGTTCTAAAGATTTGATAAATAATCAACAAGGTGAAGTCAAGGGATTATTGGGTGGTAAGAAATGGGATAATTCAAATGTATATAAATTGTAAATAGAATGGAATGTAAGGATGCAATAGAATAGATTGAATGTAGGGGTGGAACAGAATAGATTAAAAAATGTAAGGGGATGTAAAAAAATAGTTAGAAATTGTAAGGATGTAACAAAATAGCTAGAAGCATGTAAGGATGCTGTAGAAATTGCATTAGAATTTGGTGCTTTACTTCTATCTAAGCAATAATAGTGTATAAATTGTAAATAGACAACCATCAAAAATAAAGAGTCAATGAACAACAAAGAGAAAGTATATTAACAAGCAAGCAATGGGACCGTATATTCATTCAATCAAATTCAATTTCTTACTAAAATGAATTAAAACTCTTTGACAATCTCTAAAACCAGAACATAAATTAATAACCTCTTTCAATAGTTCTCTCTTCTCAAAACCACAAATACTTCCCTTCCACCCCTCTCTATAATCATCATTATCGGGCCCATACAATTCCAGACAAATTTCAAACAATTTAGTCTTGAAACCTAATTCACAAATTCGTTGAATATAAACAATGAAAAATTTATGAAAATCAGAATCTTCTCTCAAAATCTCAGCACATAAAATCCTATTCTCTAAATGACTCAACAGAATCGTATTCTCCAAAGATTCAAACCCCTCTTTCATGATCATATTTTTCAGAATCTTGTTGAAATATTTACCTCGACCAATTCGAGTCTTCCTAATCACTTCTTCATTTGTCTTATATTCCAACAACTCTATGATACTCTCCTGTCCCTTACCAAAAAGATCGGTAGTTTGTGGCTTTTCATTGCTGTTCCAGTAATGAGAGCCAAAACACCACCATGATTCAGATACACTTTGCCATGTCTCAAAGTTTGAATTGTATAAGTATCCACTCCCGTTTGATAATGTGACTAATGGAGTTCCAGAAGATGTGATGGCACACATTGTAATATTGTCACCTTTCAACAATCCATCATCTTGAAATTTATTACCCAATTCAAGTATTGTCGAAATAGAACATTTCAAAATAGATTTTTTGGTGTTGATGTTCCAAACTTGTAATTCTCCAATTGATGTCACAGCCATAAGAAATTCTTTATTAGATTCTAAAAATGACAAAGGTGAGCCCATTATAATTGGTGGTAATAGACGTTTTCCGGAAATCTGTGAATAAGTTAATATTGTGCCATCATTAGTTGATATTGCCCAAAAGTTTGATCCTTCTGCAGCTAATTGAATATATCTCGGTATGAAATCACACCATACTTCTTTATCCTTTTTAAAATATGTAATACGAGATGGTTTGATCTCATTGCCTGAACCATTCCGAATATCCAATACAAATAACTCTGATTCGTTTTTCGATTTTAATTGAAAACTGAAGCGGATTTTAGGAATAGCTAATCTTAATTTTGAAAATGTTGTGTTTGGGTTTAAAATGACTGATCCTATAAATTTAATTGGTTCCATTTCACGTTTTGATTTCTTTGTATGACCATTTTCGTCTATGTTTTTCCTTTTGTTTGATTTATGAAAATTATCTGATACTGAATATGATGCTTTTTCGAATTCCATTGTTGATTTGTCTTGTGGTTGTGGTGTGGATGAGGATTGTTTTGGTTGTTGTTGTTGTTGGGTTGAGTTGTTGTTGGTCGATAGTAACATTGGTTGTACTCTTTTTTTACCGTCTTTTGTTGTTATTTTTTGATTTTGTAGTAATTGTCTTGTTGAAGTTTCGGTGACGGTAATTGGAGATTGTGATTTCTTCTTAACCGAATTAACTTTTGGTAATGGTTCTGGTTTTTCTGGTTTTTCTGGTTGTTGTTGATGATTTTGGTTAGTTTCTGTGAGATCTAACTTTGGTAGTGGAATTGTTTCGGGTTCAATACTTCCTTTTTTAATAGATATAATTGGTTCTATTCTTTTTGTTTCTTCTTTGACTTCCTTTTCTTCTTCTTCTTCTTCTTCTTCACCTTTCTTTTTAGTTTCTTTTGGTAGGTTATCTATTTTTATAGCATCTTTTTGATCAACATATTCAATTTGAGGTAATGCTCTTCTTAAATTCCCTTGATTTAGTGACTCATAATCATATCTAAAATTCAAAGGTTTAACCAACACACTTTGTAATTTCTTCAACTTGTCCACAGTCTCCTCATTTGCAATATATCCTAATTCATATTTTTCAAACTCAACAAGACAAAAATGACCATTGGAAGTCACGAAAATTATATTATTCCCCTGGTTTACCCATTTTAAATCTAGGATTTCACCATCTATACAATCTTGAAGTAATATAATTGGTGTAGTTTTCGATGTATTCCATATACTTAATGTTTTATCACTTCCACCTGATGCAATCACAGTGTATAAATTTTCATCATTTTCAGTTTCACTATATATGTTGGGACTGAATCTCGTTACCTCACATGTTAAATCATGACCAACCAAACTTATTTTATTATTCCAATTATTTGATTTTGAAAGTAATGAAATTAAAGTTGTTTGAGATTTGGAAGCTGTCGGTATTGTAACTAGATCTGAATCGGGTGACCAACTTATTCTTTTATATTTAACATTAAGTGGGTTCTTTGAAAATAATTTCTCAATCTTGTTGATCAATCGAAATTTATAATTTCCTTCTTCTATTACGTATTGAAATAGGTTAATTTGAGTATCATCACCAATTGAAATCAAATAATTATTTGAATTATCGAATGAAATAGATCTCTGTATAATTAACTCTTTCTCTGGACATAATTTCGTCAATTCTTGAATTGTATTACGAGTTAAATCCATAATGTGGATTTTCCCATTTGATAAACTAAAGGCAATAAGGTCATTAACTATAGATAAATCAATTATTCTACCTTCCGGTTCTGTAATTGGATATATTTTCTTAGATTGGTTACTTTCTATATTTGTTGTATATATATGACCTTGCGTATCACAAGATAAAAAATTTCGGGGATTGATCCATTTGACGATGTGTGGAAGAGACATATGATGTGAATATGAAGTAATCGGATGAATTGAATTTATTTGATCTATGAAATCACTACTCTGGTTGTTGTCTCTATTCAAGTTTGATATTGTTGTAAATTGGGTAAGATCCCATAGATTAACCAATTTGTCTTTACCTGAAGTTAACACTTGTTGATTCTGTTCATTTATATCAATACAATGTATTTCACCACCATGGAATATCTTCGGAATAGTAATAAACTTCATAGTATACCACTAGTTTTGGTTAATTGGTGGTAAAATGGTGAAGTGTAAAAATAACCAAATTATCAAAACAAAAAAAAATTTATACCAACCAAATTGAGAAGGGCCATATTATCAATCACCATAATATATAAGGGAGTATTACTGTTGCAATCAAGCATTCAACAGACAACGGACGCATAGATTACATTAATATATTATAAGAGTTAGTGTGTTACTTGTTTTTGCAGTCAAATTCCATTATTTATTAGTTTATTATTTATTACAACCTTTACGTATATATATATATTTATATATTTAACAAGTAACAACCAGGATCCTTAAGCAAAATCGTTACAATGGCTAATGAAGAATACGTAACAGATTCATCCTCCGACTTCACTGAATATTGGATTGATTTATTTTTAGGTATAAAAGGAAATGAATATTTTTGTGATATTGATGATGAATATATTCGAGATAGATTTAATTTAACGGGATTAAATCAAGAAGTTTCGAAATTACCAACATTAATAGATATAATTACAGATGTAATAGATATCGAATCACAACCAGAAGATCATAGAGATGCTTTAGAGCATAATGCAAGAATATTATATGGTTTAATTCATGCAAGATATATATTAACAACAAGAGGTCTTAATAAAATGTTTGAAAAATTTAGAAACGGAGATTTTGGTTATTGTCCAAGAGTTCATTGTCAATTAAATCCTTTACTTCCTATAGGTTTAAATGATCAACCAAGAATGGCTAGTGTTAAATTATATTGTTCAAAATGTGAAGATTTATATAATCCAAAACTGGGTAGACATTCAGTAATTGATGGTGCATATTTTGGTACTAGTTTTCCAGCAATGTTTTTTCAAAATTTTCCAAATATGGTTCCTATACATTGTAAAGAAACATATGTACCAAAAGTTTTTGGATTTAAATTACATGAATATTCAAAATTAAATAGATGGAGAGAATTACAAAGATTAAAATTAGAATCTAGATTAATTAATAATGGTATACAAATTAATAATGTTGTTGGTGGGTTTACAAATGATAATAATGGAAAGGTGAATAGTCAACAAATAGATGAAGGAAGTAATAATGAAGAAGAATATAATACAAAGAGTAATAATAGTAATAATAATAATAATAATAATAATAATAATAATAATAATAATAATAACAATAATAATAATATTAGTTTAAATTCAAGTATAAAAACAAATTCAGCAATATCGCTACAACAGAGGTGATGATCAGCAAACACTAAACTACCACTGCATCCTTTACCAATATAGCATTTTTACCTCGTCCTTACCATTAATTATAATTAATATCAATAGACATAATTTTTTTAATAATACTTCTTCTTATCGTATTGTATCGTATATATTTTTATCAATGCGATTGGTGAAAAATTGAAGTGAAAAATTCTGAAACACTATATAATGAAACTAAAAAGATTATTATCTACAAGTATACAAGAAATACGAAATTTTAATAATATACCATCAGATTCAAGAATATTCTCATTAATACAACCAACCGGTAAAATACATCTCGGTAATTATCTTGGTGCTGTTAAAAATTGGAAAACTTTATCAAATTTATCACACTTGGAAAATAAATGTATATTTGGAGTAGCGGATTTACATGCAATTACAATCCCAAAACTAGCGACGGAACTTAAAGAATATAGATATCAAGCTATTGCAAGTTTATTATCGAGTGGTCTTGATGACTCACAATGTATATTATATTTTCAAAGTTCTGTGCCCGAACATACTGAATTAAACTGGTATTTAACTTGTATTACATCCATGGGACAGTTAAATAGAATGACTCAATGGAAATCAAAAGCTAAACAGGGTGAAAATTCAACTATAACGGATGATAAAGTATTGGAAAGTACTAAAGCTGGATTATTATGTTATCCTATATTACAAATTGCAGATGTTTTAATTTATAAATCTACTCATGTTCCCGTGGGTGATGATCAATCTCAGCATTTAGAATTATGTAGAGATGTAGCAGAAAGATTTAATTCAATTTATCAAACTGATTATTTTCCAATACCGAAAACTATCTTAACTTCAAATAAGAAAATTTTAAGTTTGAAAAATCCAAATAAGAAAATGTCCAAATCTGATCCAAATCAAAACTCGTGTGTTTATATAACTGATAGTCCAGAAGCAATAAAAATGAAGATTAAAAAAGCAACTACTGATTCAATACAAGGACAAATATACTTTGATCCGGAAGAAAGACCAGGTGTTTCTAATTTGATTAATATTGTTGCAGGTATTAAAGATTTATCTATTGATGAAACAGTCAATGAAATGTCACATTTGAAAGATCATAAACAATTGAAAGATTATGTTAGCGAGATTATAATTGAAGAATTTACACCAATGAGGTTGAAATATAATGAGTTTATGAATAATAAAGATTATTTAACTAGTATTGTAAATAAGGGGAAAGAACATGCTAAAGAAATAGCTGAAAAAAATATTAAAGAAATTAGAACAAAAATAGGAATGGATTAAATAGAACTTGTAAATAAGATAGACTATAGACTTGTTAATTACTTGCATCCTTACCTTTTTTTTCATATAATCAAGCTTTAATTACTTGCATTTATTACCTTATATGTTCCTTAAAATTGAAATAAATTTCTACCGTGTTTGTACTACGAACGCAACGACATTTAATACGAGAACTCGGTTTGACGTTTTTTGCTGCAAAAATACAACTGGTAGCGCTGGTGATACGATGTTTTCTTCAGTTCAGAATTTCGCGTTTCATGAAATCAAAACAACGCCAATTTTTTATTTCTTTATTAGCAGAAGTAGTTTGTTTCAAAATTGTTTATTAATTGATGTTACAATTATTATTGGTTTGATTTCATTAGTTTCAGTTCATTGCATTTCAATTTGATAGTGTCAAAGTTACTAATTCGCTAAACATCACAAATAAATTTATTTTCTTAATCAATCATTTTTTTTATTTACAACAACAACAAAATACATTTCCATCAACATCAGGTTACAAGTTATTTAATAGAGTCATATCATATCATATCATTGTCGCTTTATCAAATCATATCATATCATATCATTATCGCTTTATCATTTGCATTTACTTTTTCGAAACACGTTATTATAGTCTAATTTATTATTGCATTTATCATACATTTCATTTTTCATATTTTTTACCGTGGCATAGCATTCAACAACAACCAATTAATTAATTCATAATGAATAATGAGTCATCTGTTTCACAGATGCAAATTAAAATATTATATACATTTAACAATCTAGAACAAACTTATTTATCAAGATCAATTGATTCATATAATATTAAAACTGTTAAAATTCCAATAAATGAAGAATCAGAAATTACATTAGGAGCAATAGATTTAAAAACATGTTTATTACAAATTATAAAATCATCACCCGATCATTTTAAATTAAATATTGAAGATTATGCAGTTTATTATAAAGATTTAACTGAACAACCAGATGAACCATTTGTAAGTAATGGTATATTATCAAAACTTATAAATAAAGAAGATATGGAAGAAAATCTAATACCTGGGAGGGTTTGTCAAAATCTACTGGCTAATTTTTTATTTGGTAACAACTCAAAATCAAATCAAACATTAGAAATAAGATTAAAATTAAATACAATTGAAAAAGTAATTGAAAAAAAACTGATAACTCCCATTGTTAAACGTCCACTGGGTCCATTAGCTTTAAAACATCCCATTCAATTACAATTAGAAAATTCAAGGAAAAGATTATATGAAGAACAAATGGAAAAGGAAAAGGAAAAGGAAAAGGAAAAAGAATCAATTCAACATCGTCAAAAAATAACTAAAACAATGTCAATATCAAATAATATACCAAAAGCAACTAAAACTTTGTCAACTACTAATTTACCACCACAAAAAGCAAGTAGAACATTATCATTACCTGCTTTACCAAATATAACAACTATTCAACAAGTAGACAAGAATTTAAAAGCAAAATATAAACAAGATCAACTTGATAAAAGGTTTAATTTCATGGAAAAAGACAAACCAAAAATGGCTGCAAATTCTCAACAGTGCTACCAGTCAACTAACAATTTATTACCACAAAGAGCTAAACGTACTAGATCAATGTATACAAATACACCATTAATGATATCATCACCAATTAATGAAGAAACTTATTCATCAGATGATCCAGAATATAGAGATGAACAAATAAATATAGAAGAAGAAATTGAAGAAGAAGAAGAAGATTTGGATGTTGATCAAGATCATGCTGTTACATCACCATATACACCACAACAACCACCATATATTCAACAATCTGAAAAATCAATTTCAAAATCAAGTTCTCCAATAGTTGAGTTACCTGAAGATTTCGATTCAAGAAGAAGTTATGCAATTCCAAATACAAAATTAAGTGAAAATCATGGATTAATATGTATAAATACTTGTTGTAAGACTGAGTATTCAATTGCTTGGAGATATTTCGAAGGTGATAATGCAACCGATTCAGAACAATATGCAAAAATAATTAGGGCTAAAGAATTTGATAAAAGGTTATATGAAGATATGGTTGGTCCTTTATGTAATGCATGTTTTTTATTTTACAAAAATAAAGGTTTTATGAGACCTTTACATGTTGTAAGGAAATATAATCAGCAACAAAGATATAATGCAAAATTAAAATTAAAAGAGAAGGAAATAGAAAGAAAAATGAAAGAAAGAAATCAAAAACAACCACCACCACCACCACAACAACAACAACAACAACAACAACAACAACAACAACAACAACAACAACAACAACAACAACAATCACAGCAACAACAACCACATCAAAATCAATCACCAGCAGAAATAAAACAACATCAACAACCTGAATCATCACCATTTCCAACACCTACATATACTCCAAGTGCAATAAATCAAAAAATTAAAAAACAACAACAACAACAAAATAACTATGATGATCTTTTAGAAATGAATATTTTTGGAGGACCAGCAACTGACCTCGACCCCCTTCCAACAAATTCAACCCCACCAATGATAGCTACTAAATCAAACACAAGGGTAATTAATCTCGAAGAATCAGAACCAGAATCAACAAAAGCAAATAGGAGTAACACGCGGGTAATTAATCTTGAAGATAAGGAAAATCAACCACCAACTACAAATGTAACAAATGATGATTTTGAAAACATGTTAGCATTCGATGATAATGAATGGATGAATTATCTATCAAAAACTCCCGTGGATCAAATTGAAAAATCTCAATCTCCATTGAAAGAAATTAATATAAATACAGTAGCAAACTCCAAGTTGAAGAATAAAGAATTGGCTTCGAGTCCTTATATAAATGATGATATTGAAATAGATGATGAGATTAATAAATTAGTTAATGGAAGTCCGTTTATATCGAGTCCTGAAAAAGCATATAGAAATAATACAACAATGTCAGCTAGGAAATTTGGAAGTTTACTGAGTCCAAATTCTGAATTTTATAATATTGATGAAGTTGATGAAAAATGAATCTAATATATAATGATTGATAATGTTATTGATGATACTCTGTTATAAGTTGTTGTTGCATCCTTACTCCGAGATCGCCCTAAAGCTAGCGCTGGAATATATTTTCGTCGCGCCAAATAATCGCATTGAATAATATACATTTATACAAATAATTCTGAAACAGATTCGCTTATGCAGGCTAGCAGGAGCTAATTGTAGAATTTAATTTGTAAATAAGTCACTCTATATTCAAGCTGTACTTATCAAACTTTTTTCACAAAATTAGCAGCAGATTTGGATTAAATTGATGCTAATTTCTTTGAGTGAAACTTGACTTTGATTACGTTCTACTTGATTTAAAAAACGGGAAAAAACGTTATTTTGCAAAAGATACAACACTTAGACCTCATTTTGCAACTTCTAATATAGCAGATTCGATTGAGACACCTGTAGAAATTATATGTATGATATTCTCAAGACGCCATAACCAGTTCGAAAATTTGTAACGTTTTCAAACCACCGATGAAAAATTAATTTTCCAATTAATACAAAAGATTTTAAGATCTATGAGCCTGCAAGAGCTACAAATTCTGATAAGTTTATCAAGTTCACATCGCAATTTTAATTGTGGAAGCTCATTTTTTGTAAGGTCAATTTATTAGGTTTCCCCCATACTTAAGAGAAAATTTTTGAATTTGTCATTTTCAACTTTAATAAGAAAAAATTGTACCAAGTACCTTATTTTGAGGTATAATATATATAAATCGTTGTTTAATTGGAAGTCATGGCCGTAGATGAAACAGAATCTGCATTTTCAGTTTTGGCAAATTTTTGTATGGTGAAAAATAGCCAAATTGACAACTCGAGAAAAACAAGTTTGAAACATGAAATCTTAAGTATATGAAGTATACAATTCAAGGTCCCGATTTCATTAAAACTATTTTCATCTCAATAGAATTCGTTGTTCGTGACCTATAACCCAATAAGTTTAGTAAGAGTCGCCCCAGAGTTGGCGCAAAAAAATATTGATTTATCACCAAATCCGGGCGAGAATTTTGCAAAAACAAATCTGACTATCTAAACCATTTCTAGACTGTAGATTTTATAATTTAATGTAATATGTATATTAAATGCCTCCTTACTTTTTATTTAACACCAAAAGTTATATATTCTAACAAATATTGATTTTTCAGCCAATGCAGCTTTCTCTTCTGCAATTTCTTGTTGTAATATATCAGGATCAATATTAACTCTACCAGTATCAATATCAATATCACCAGCTCTAATAAACAATCTCCAATCATTTTTCCAAATTTTATAACCTAACCAAGACACAAGAACAACAGGTAATCCCAAATAACCTAAAAAAAAATCATACGCATTTGGTTTCGTACCTAATGGAAACAAAGCAATATAAAACTGAGCTACTAAAAATAAAAAATTCAATATGAATCCATACCATGATCCCCAGACTCCAACTTGTGAACGGAAAGGTAATTCAGTTATATCTCTACCTTGAACTGACATTGCCCTTCTAAATCTAATATGTGACATATTAATACTCATCCATGTAAAAATAGAAGAAAGACCAGAAAGAGCTAAAAGCCAATTGAATGCAGCTTCTTGAGCATCGTTCTTCGCTGCTATTAAAGCAAATAGGCCAAATATATCAGAGATCCAAATCGCTGCAAGTGGACGACCTGCTCTATCTATATAACCTGTCCATTTTGGTGCCATTCCTTGTTCTGCTAATGAATTTAATGATCTACTTGTTGCATATACTGATGCATTACCAACAGATAAAACTGAAATCAATATAACTGCATTTATAACTGATGGTAATCCCTTAATTCCTCCATTTACTATTGCTATTGTGAATGCACTTGCCGTTGCATCAACTGATGATTTTCCAAATAATCTTGAATCATTATATGGAACAAGACAAGAAATCATAATAATTGAACCAATATAGAATATTAAAATTCTAAAAAACACTTGTTTTATGGCCTTTGGTAATGATTTTCTTGGTGAATTCGTTTCAGCAGCTGTTAATGCTATCATTTCAGTACCTCCATAACTAAAACTAGCAGTTACAATAACTGACAATACACCTTTGAATCCATTTGCAAAAGGACCAGGATTATGCCAATATTTTCCTCCGACAAATTTATGATTTGGACCACCACCACAAATTAAAACAATACCTAATATAATAAACCCAATGACTGCCAATATTTTAATCATACTGAATACAAATTCAGCTTCTCCATACCATGAAACTGGCAAATTCGTTAATATAACGATAACAATCCAAAATATAATGACAAATACATCTGAATTTATGGAATTATTCCAATATTTGACTGTTATTGCCCCGGCAACTAATTCCAATGGTAATAATACAAAGAATTGTAAGAAATAATTCCAACCCACGGCAAATCCAATACCCGGTTCTAAAAATTTAGAAGCATATAAATTGAATCCACCAGATACTGGGAATGTGACTGCTAATTCACCCAAACCTTGCATTGTTGCAAAAACAGCAGTCGCGGTAATTATCCAAGCTATTACAATACCGGCTGGTCCACCATTAGCTAATGCTTGACCTGTACCTACAAATAAACCAGTTCCAATGCTTGATCCAATTGAAATCATTTGAAGATGTCTTATTTTTAATTTACGTTGTAGATTTGTATTAGCTGCATTTATATTAATTCTCTCGATGTCGGTTAATTCCCTTTCATCTTTTTTGGTGGTTGTTGTGAGGTAATGTTCATTTGGTTCAAGGGCAGGTTTGAATGAATTTTTGAAATTTTGCCATGGTGATGATGGCTGTTCTGATCCTGATGTTGTAGTTGAGAAATTAAATCGTTCGTTTTCTACTTTTGAATGTTTATCCAAACCCATATCCAAACCCATGATGAAAGAATAAAGTGTAGATTAATCATTTTAAAAATCATCTGGAGCAATATGATTAGATTTTGCAACATTTAGATCTAGTACGAGATTTAAAAGGAAAGCGACAGATCTATATAGGCAAAATGGATTAAAATTGAGTCATAATAACTCAAATACCGAACATGAACCCAATTAGAGCAGTTGAAAGCGGTTCATTTGTCATGATAAAAATGCCCTACTTAACCACGCAATAGAAATTTTTTAGATCTAAAAAGCCGTTGAGAGATTTAGATATAAGCAGCCGTGCGTCAATATACTATATAAGATAACTAACACCGTCTGACTACATTAACTTTCTTCTCTTGTTATACTTATCTTTTTCATTAGTTTCATTAGTTTCATTAGTCGTTTTATTAGTCGTTTTATTAGTTGTTTCATTAGTGGTTTCTTTAGTTGTTTTATTAGTTTTATTTGTTTCATTCCTTTCAATCATTAAATATTTTAAAGTTTCAAATAAATTTTCGAGATTAATTATTCTTGGTGTAAATTTGCCCAAAAATTCATTAATTAAACTAATATCATTACTTTGATTCGTAAACTTATCATTCAAGACTTTGACACTGTCACTTATTGAATCCAATTGCGACTCAATCTTAGTTTGTTTATCCAAGGTGATTTTTAAGATTGTATGATTGTTATTTGATATTGTAGTAAGATTAGTTATCAAATCATGAAGATTTAAAAACACACCCGAATTAGATTTCAAATCATTAAATAACAATTCTACAACCTTATCATTATTACCATTCCCATTTTTCAAAAAATTTTGAACTTCATTATTTAAAGTGTCTAATTTTGAGTTTATCAGTTTTATATCTTCAACTGGACATGATTTTATCAATTCTGATATGGTGTTGATGTTATCTTTTAATGTAATACTTTCAATTTCTAATTTAGCAGCACTTGTAATTAACTTATTTGATACTTTTTTTTCTTTAGTTTTGTTTACTGTAGTTAAAGTAGTGAATAAGTCTTCAGCATCATCACTTGAATAATCAGTATCTTGGTTACCTATACCCTTAGTTTTTCTATCCATTGTATAGTATAGTTAATTGTATAATTTTATATTTTGCAACACTTTTCTCAAAATGTGAAACAAACAAACAAAAAAAAAAAAAAAAAGATAGCCATGTCAGATTTGATATTCTTCAAATCAAGTATGTACTGCTACTATATAAAAGAGAGTAAGTAAGAGAGAGAGATTGAGTACTAACTATTGACTAGAACGTGTTGCTGTTATTACTTCCGACGCTAGATTTTTTGAAGGAATTTTAGAAGGTTATGATAAACAAACTAATATAATACTATGTAAATGTAATGAAATAATTATAGAACAAAATGATAATGAGGATAATCAAGTCATTGAATCTGGTGTTTATATTATACGAGGTAATGAAATTGTGTGTATTGGAGAAATAGATGTTGATAAAGAAATAGATTGGTTGAAAATTAAAGGTTGGCCTTTGAAAGGTACTAAAAATCCATTAAAATAATAGAATTTACACATTTTTTACTGCATCTACACCACTTATTAAACTAAGAACTAAAGTAGTCATTATCAAGGAGTGCAATGAAACTACTGAGACGCGGTTAGTTTAAAATTTTTTCATTATTGAAACACATTGTCACATTTATCTATCTATATATTTACTGGATCCTTAAATAAATATTGCCTACCGCCTCCCCCACCATTCAAACAAACTCAATTTAGAATAGTCAAATATTACTATAGAATCTAATCGCATATATATATTTACTCATTTGTAACTAGTTTAATATTACTCATTTTCATCTTTATAGCCAATTCTAATAAATAATCAATAGCTTCATTATAAACTTTAGCTTTCCAAACAGTCTCACCCCAAACATAAATACCATGTCTTCTAACTAAAACAGCAGTACAACCAGGATATGATTCAATTGCATCTTGTAAACTATCAGTTAAATCTTCTTCATGAGGAGTATTTTCAATAATTGGAATAACCAACTTGTCAAAATACTCTAAATTACCAACTTTAACCACTTTACCATCTTTCTTCTCTAATTTTGGAATAGCTTTAATTTGTTCAATATGAGAAATCGTAAACTCTTTTTGATTTTCAAATAATAATGTAATCATTACTGCATTTTGAGAATGGGTATGAATACAAGCACCAGCATCTCTTAATTTATAACATGACATAAATAATGGAGTGCATGCACTTGGTTTATACTTATAACTTTTAGTCAACTCTTTTGGTATATCATTTGGAGATCTTAATACTTTCTCATCTGGTAATTCAACTAGAAACATTTCCCATGGTTTAATTCTTTCCTTTTGGACACCTGAAGGTGCAATATAAACTAAATTTGGATTGTTGTCAACATCTCTTATCGATATACCTCCACCAGTTCCAGTTACCCAATTATTATCATAAAATAATCTACATAATTCACAAATTAAATTTGCTGGATGATTAGAATCTTGAAATTGTTGTTGTAAATCTGGTGATAATTGTGAATGTTCAGTTATTCCATTTGATTCACCATGTTTACAATGACAAGGAGCTGACATGATAATAATAAACTGTTGGTCTTAAAATGAAAGAAAATTGGTCTGTTTAAATAATTTATAATTTTGCAATTGTTCACGTGGCGGAAATTAGAATGGCTTTTCACCAAACACAATAGAATTGCCTACAAAAGCTTAATTTTGTGCACTATATAGCTTATCTACTTACAATCAGTTATAGAGTATCATAGTTCGTAATCGCCTATTTCGTAGTTCTTTTTGATGTAACATTTTTCAGTTTGGTAATTTTCACCAACCGAAAAAAAATCGTTATCAATTATCAACACTTTTATAACCAAAATGTCAGGTCTTGAACAATCATTATTTCAGTTGAAATTTACAGCTAAACAATTATCAAGACAAGCGGCAAAAGCACAAAAAGAAGAAACTCAAGAAAAGGCAAAGATTAAAAAGGCATTGAATCAAGGAAACGCAGATATAGCTTCATTATATGCTCAAAATGCAATAAGAAAAAAAACAGAACGTATAAATCTACTTAGGTTGAGTTCTCGTATTGACGCGGTTGCTTCTAGAGTTCAAACAGCAGTTACAATGAGATCAGTTACTAATAATATGACTACTGTTATTCGCGGTATGGATAAAGCTTTACAAACTATGAATTTAGAAAGAATAAGTCTTGTAATGGATAAATTTGAAACTCAATTTGAAGATATGGATGCTCTGACTAATTATTATGAATCAAGTACTAATAATGTAAATGCTTTAAATACACCACAAGATCAAGTTGATGAATTATTGAATCAAGTTGCTGATGAAGCTGGTATTGAAATGAAACAGGGGTTAAATGCAACTAATGTCGAATTAAAAACTCCTGATATTGTATCTGAGGAAAAGGAAGATAAATTGGCTGAAAGATTAAGAGCATTACGAAATTGAGAGTGATTTGCAAAAGATGGTTCTAAGATTCTGAAAATTTATTGTTTTGCAAAGAAAGAAGACGTATTAGCAGGATGAAATGCTTACGACACTTAAAATATATATATATTAGATCAGATTAATGTACGGATTACTAGTTTTTGACCTTCAATCACAATTATACGGTACTATATCCACGAAAGGAAACAAGCTAATGGAGAGAGATTGAAGATCTAACTATATTTGCACTATCGGTATAGAATGACTAGCATCCTTACGAGCATCCTTACATAAAAAGCTCTAAAATATATATATTAGTTAATGTACAATTATCTATAGTAAATATCTAGTTTATCTCATGTTGTAAAATTCATATATGAAACGGATCTCGTATCAGAAACCTTCGTATTAATGAACAATACATCAATTATCTAGTTTTTATTCTTATTCTTTTCCTCTTGTTTAATTATATAAGAAACAATATTAACAAACCCACCAAAACTCTTCTCACTCCCTTTTATTTTAATAACATGCAACAGTGAAGAATGAATCAAATCAATAACTTCAATCCTAAACTTCAATTTAGAAAACTTAGAAGGAATAGTACCTGAAATCAATCCAAATTCATCATCAATTTCCATTTTTGAAATTGTTCCCTCTATTTTTTTCAACTCTAATTGATTCTTAATTATTCTGATTAATTCAGCACTCGTAAGTTTACTCTCTATGATTCTCACATCTTTACTATTTGTGTTTTTACTTTTCGGGGTCGATAAACTTTGAAAAAATTTCTTAAACCAATTTGACTTATGTGTTTCAGATTTCCCACTTGTTCTTGAAAATCTATTATGTCCTTTTGTTGATTCTAGTTCTGGTAATGGAGGTCTTGGAATTTCAGGAGCTTGTCTTTTTGGATTTAAGGAAAATCTTCTAAATAAATTCGGTGAATCTATGATGGGACTACTTATAATATGATCCTCAGTGATAGAGACCTTTTTCTTTTGATTTTCTTGTGGTTGTTCTTTTTTCTCTTGTTTGATTGATGTTACTCTTGGAGATCTTGGAATTTGAGCAGTTGAGAATATTCCTGTTGAATGTCTACTTTTCTTTAAACTACCTTGTTGTTCTTCATATCCATTTGCTATTGATTCTTCCGCAATTGAACAATTATCATCATCTTGAATATTAGCCCCAAATGATGATCTATCATCTTCCTCTTTGACGAGTGTTTCTTTACTTATTGATTTAGTTAATGTATCCTTTGAATCTACTATATTTGGAATTTGAGTGTTTAATTTTCCTATCTCTGCTGTTCTAGATGATATCACTTCAAAATTTGACATATCGTGATGGTTTGTAGGCATTTCTTCACTATATTCTGTATCATCAGTTGAATCAGATTGAAAATCTTCAAATTCATAATTTGGATATGATTCTTCTTCTATTTTACTTTGTGGTTGATCTCTTACTTTTATACCTAATCCAAAAAATTGATTCAGTTTCTCTGATATTCTGACTACTGTGTTTGAATTGTTCAATTGGTTTAGGATCGTAATGTCTCCATCTTCATTTGCTATTGTGTTTGATTTAGTTAATAACCCACCAAATGAAAATCTAGAAAACCTTGGATTAGGAATAAGTGAAATATTGGAAGTATTATAATCTTCTTCTTCCGCTGATGGTAATTTGACAGGTGTATTCTTGGTCTGTATCTTGTTTTCATCTATATTATTCAACATTGATTTATAATATGAAGATTGATCACTATGTCTTTTATTTAATGAATTTTTTGAAATTGAATTTAATGGATTTTTTTCAATTTCATTATATTGATCAATACTTAATCTTTTATTTGCATGATCTGATTTTTCCAAATATTCAGATAAGTTTTTTGAACTTGATGTTTTGATTACTGAAGGAGATGAAGGTAATAAAGTTGATAAATTTTTCGAACTTGATGTTTTAAATTCCCTTGTGAATGTCTTTTTAGGCTGTCGTTGTGATTGTGATTGTACTTCTATACCTAATTTATGTAACACCTTAGATGTATTATCATTTATTGATTGGTTTGAGTTATGTTTTAGAGGAGCTCCTAATGTTCGTGCCCTTAATAATGACGTTCTTGGATCTAATGAACTAATAGGTGATGGAGAAGGTTCAGTAAATGATCTGTTACTACTTGCTAATTCTTCAAAATCATTTGTGCTTTGTCTTTTCTTCAATTTCTCAATTGCTATTCTTTGATTCTCTTTAAGTTGAGCTTCTTCTTGTGTTAATTTTAACCGTTTTTCTTCAATTCTTTTCTTTTCTTTATCTAATGCTATTCTTGCCTCTTCTTCTTCTTTAATTCTTGCTTCTCTAATTTCATTTCTTTCACGTACTTGTTGTGCCAATTCTCTTTCTTTTCTAGCTAAGGCATTTTCTCGCTTTCTTTGAGAAGCAGTTCTTTGTGGTTTTGAATTTTCTTTATTCTCATTGAATACTTGATCAAACATCAGTTCAAAATTTGTAGATTTTGATTGTGATAATTGTGGTGGATTTAGTATTGGTTTTGATTTCATTGGAGTTGTATTTATTTTATTATTTGATGAATTTGATGATTTTAAAGATTTTGAACTTCCGTTTCTTGATTTATTATATAATTTTGATTTTTTAAATGAAGTTGATGCTTTAAATTGTTTATTATGATTTTTGTTTGTTATATTAGATAAGACTCCTGGTGGTGTATTTGATTTTGATCTAATTAATGATTTATTAGAATATATTGAAGATGATTGATGAATTTTTTCAAATGTGGTGATTTCTTGAAAAGTTTCTCCTGTTATATTATCCGTTATTGTTGTTTTTACAATTGAAGTAGATCTAGGAATAGATGTCTTATTTTCTAAATTTTTAAGACTCTCATTTGATTCTGATTGTGTTAAATGTTCATTTCTATACTTCATTAATAAATAATAAAACATCTTTTCGGGACATTTAGAAGTTGATAATAGTCTTGAAATTAGTGTCTTTTCATCACAATTATGAAATAATACTGATAAATTTTTCAATATTTCTTTATCAATTAATTCAGCCGATTTTATTGGATTAAAATCTAATTTTTTGATATCCAATGTTGTTGTTTGATCAAATGAAATCAATGGTTCCGGATATTTCATCATTAAAGGATGAGTTAAAATGGCATCCATTGTAATTCTGTCATTTGGATTAACTTTTAACATTTTCATAATTAAATCTTTTGCTTCCCAACTTAAATCATGAGGCATTGAAAATTTACCACTTTGAACTTTTAATAACAATTTTCTTATATTTTCATCATCAAAAGGTAAGTGACCAGTCAATAATGCAAATAAAATAATTCCACATGACCAAATATCAGAAGGTGCACCATGATAATTCTTACCTGCTACTATTTCTGGACTTGCATAATGAGGTGAACCACATGAAGTTTCTAATAATTTTTCTTTAACTTCTAAAGCAGCCATTCCAAAATCAGCAATTTTAATATTTTTATTGAAATCAAGTAATAAATTCTCTGGTTTTAAATCACGATGACAAATATTAAATTGATGAAGATAATTTATACCATTTAATATCTGCTTAAAATAGTTGAGTGCTTCACTTTCATGTAATTTCCCCTTTTTTATTAAATAATCAAATAATTCTCCACCTTCAATATATTCAAGAATTAAATATAAATCATTTTTATTTTCCCAAACATCATATAAACCCATAATATTAGGATGAGAAATTAATTTCATGATTATAATTTCTCTTTCAATTCCATATGGTAATCTATTTGCAACATCATCTGAATTTAAATCATCTTTAGGTCGTTTATATTTAGGATTTTCCAATTTTTTAAAATTTGATTTGGGGACAATTTTAACAGCAGCTAATTGTCCAGTATTTATATTTTTAGCTAATCGAACCCTTCCAGTTGATCCTCTACCTAAAGTTCTACCTAATTTCCATGGACCTATTTTATTTTGAGATTTACGTTTTTTAGATGAAGAATTTGTATTTGTTGAAATTTGTGATAATCTTTTAGTAGCATTTGTGACAGATTGAACTACTTTATCTACATTTAATGAAGATGGATAATCTGAAGATGTTTGACTATATCTATTACTGGAGTTTAATTCAAATTGTGAGCTCTGTTGAACAACAGTGGCCATATTTAATTTTTGTTATTGATTAATCAATTTGAAAGTTAGGTTAGTTTAGTTTAGTTTAGTTTATAAATTGTAATAAAAGAATGAATTATAGTTGGTAATAAGAATAAAAATTAAAAATTGACTAATAAATCTGATGAACCTGATGAACCTGATGAACCTGATGAACTTGAACCTCTGCTAATATAACAGTAAAAATGATCTAATTAAAATAATTTAAGATTTGATAATACCCCTTCAAAAATAATCGTTTTAAATTGGATTAAAAATATGAATTATTGTTAATTAACTAATTAACTAATGCTAAATAATAACAAATCAGTTATAAATGATAATAAAAACACCTAAAAAAACAAATAGATTCGATGAATATATAAGATATGATTATATTGAATCAAATTCTTTGAATTGGTTGTAAAAAATATTGAAATGTTAAAACTTTCGTGTACTTTGGAAAAAAATAATAAAAAATAAAATAAAATAAAATCAAATCAAAACAAAAACAATTACACAAAACCAAATTAGATTTTTTTACGTGTTTAGTTATAAGTTAAGTTGACAGTCGCTACCAAGTGCATGTTGTATAGGAAATTACTAACAAGATTTAGTTGAACTAGAGAGCTGATTTTAAACAGGTGGGTGGTAAAAGGAGTAGAAAATTTGTATACCTTGGGTTAGAATAATATGAGCAGAGATCTTAGAATCTGGACTCGGGACTTTTCATTTCGAGTTCCCACCCCTCCCCAATCGCCCCCCTACCACGATAGTTACGATTTCAAATGAGGTTATTTTGAGTATATAGCATCTTCAAATATCATATCATATCAATTATGTATTAGCCCTTTGTTATAGATGCTATTTTCCTTAATTCATCTAAATTTAGTTTAACTCGTTTTAAAACATCTAAAACAGAATAAAATTAATACTGACGCGACTTAAAAATGGCTTCACATTTTATCATCATCGCCTTTTCTAAATGAATTTAATACATTCTACGTAGAGTTTTGGACGACGATCCTCATCTTTTGATTTTATGTAATTACATATAGACTATAGATCATCTTATAATTACTTCCAGGTACCTACCAGTTAGTAAAACACTTTCATGGTTTTCTATAATTTTTTATGTTTCTACTCAGTTCAAACTACAAGAAATTATAAGTCAACTCATGCATTTAATAGTCAGTCCTACTGGTTATTCAATTCAACAATTCGGTTTATGTCAATCTCTTCTGGTTCTATTTTAATTTTCCACACGTTTTTCGTATATATGTATATAGCCATGATTGGTGTGAAATATCGCGGTGGACAATGCACTACCACAATGCACTACCAATTGTCCCCTTGAAAAAAAAAAAAAAATCAATTCGCTGGAACCATTGGAAAATTTTTCAATTCTCTTTTACAAAGTTTTTATAAAACTCAATTCCCGTAATATTTATAATGTCAGACGAAAGAACTTTTATTGCTATTAAACCAGATGGTGTTCAAAGAGGTTTAATCTCTTCAATCTTAGGTAGATTTGAAAATAGAGGTTATAAATTAGTTGGTATTAAATTAGTTCAACCAACTGAATCATTATTAAGAACTCATTATGAAGATTTACAAGAAAAACCATTTTTCCCATCTTTATTATCTTATATGTTATCTGGTCCAGTTTTAGCTACTGTTTGGGAAGGTAAAGATGTTGTTAAACAAGGTAGAGCTATTTTAGGTGCTACCAATCCTTTACAAAGTGCTCCAGGTACTATTAGAGGTGATTTTGCTGTTGATATGGGTAGAAATGTTTGTCATGGTTCTGATTCTGTTGAATCTGCTAAAAAAGAAATTGATTTATGGTTCAAAAAAGAAGAATTAGTTGAATACAAACCAGCTTTATTTGGATGGATTTATGAATAGAAATAAACGATGCAATCTAACTAATCCTAAATTACATTACACTTAATATATATTTATCATAATCGATTGAATTGTGTTTTTCACTCTAAGAATCTTGAATTTTTCACTTCACTCGTAAAAAAAACAAAAAAGAGATAATGAAAAGGAAAAAAATATTCCATTAAGTGGTAACTGAATAAAATAAATTTACAGCATGGCTTCAATTGAACAAGATGATATATTTAACGTAGAAGATGATGATATGGAAGAAGAAGAAGAAGAAGAAGTACCTCAACATGTTGGAGATTATTCAATTGAAGAAGTAGATCATCAAGAAATAAATCGAGACCGAGAACAAGAAAATCAAGACCATCAAGAAAATAATAAACATTATGATGATATGGAAATAGATGATGATGAAGAAATGGAAGAAGGTGAAGAAATGGATGAAGATGAGGAGGGAGATGAGGAAGAGGAAGAGGAAGAGGAAGAGGAAGAGGAGGAAGAAGATGAAGAGAATGAAAATGAAAATGAAAATGAAGAACAAGAACAAGAACAAGAACAAGAACAAGAACAACCAGCTGAACCTCAAAATAATCAAGAATCAAATGGAATACAGACTGACCAATCTACAATTGGAGAAACTACAAGAGAACGAGAAGAGTCAAAAGTAATAGAACCAACAAATCTAGAACAAAATAAGGACAGGGCCCAGGGCACAGAAATTGAAAAGGAGGAACAAGATAACAAAGAACAAATTGAGAGTGATTTAAAAGAGTCGGAATTAAAAGCACAAGATGATTCAATAATTTTTAGAAGAGACATAATTAAAAAGGCACAATCAGCAACTGAATTCGACATTGTACCACAAGTTGCAATTCCATATTCTACTCAATGTCACATAATGGCATTCTCCCAAGGTCCAAAATGGATATTAACAGGTGGTGAAGACGGATTCATTCGAAAATATGATTTCATTGCATCAATTCAAGGTAAATCCCCATTAACAATGGCTCAAAAACATAATTTATCAGATTCTATAACTAATGCCGGTGTAATTTGTTCATATTGGGAAAATGAACAACCTATGACACGACAACAATTAATGAAACAAAATTCAAAATTAAAAGATTCTGATTTTTCAACGGGGTCTGTCAGTTATGAACCAAAGACAAATCCAGTATATGCTTTAGATGTAGAAAAAAATGGATTTTGGTGTTTGAGTGGGTTGTTATCTGGTGGGATTAGTTTATATACAATGAGACATAATGAAGGTTCGATACATCATTATTTTCATCATTATGTGAAGGATTCAAAATATACTAATGGTCATAAAGATGCAATTTCAAAAATTGTATTAAATCAACAACAAGATAAATTTTTATCTGGAAGTTGGGATAAATGTATTAAATTATGGGATTTGAATAAGGGAGAAATCGTAAATAATTATTATGGATCTAGTGGTCAAATTTCAAATATTGAATATCGACCAATTGGATTAATAGATTTAACTATTACAATAGAACAAGACGATGAACAAGAGATAGAAGAAAAAGAGAAAGAAGAAAAAGAAGATGATATAGATTCATTATTTGGCGATGAAGAAAATGAAAATGAAGAATACAATAAAGATCAAGAATCAAAGGAGCTGAAGAAATCAAATGGAGCACAATCAAAAACATATTCAAGTGATAATATATTCATGTCTTCTAATATAGATGGGACTATAAATATTTGGGATTCAAGATTAGATAAACCAGTTATAAAATTGGGACTTTCTGAAAATACTCCACCTTGGTGCATGTCTTCAACTTGGTCAAATGATGGGAATTTTATATTTGCAGGTAGGAGAAATGGAACAGTTGAAGAAATATCAATCAAAAAACCAATAAAATCAAATAAAAACACCCCCAATGTTTCTAAATTACTACAATTTCCTAAATTATCTGGTCCTGTTTCTGCGTTATCAACTATGCCTAATGATGATTTTTTATTATGTGGTTCTAATGATAATATAAGATTATATAATTTGAAATTATATGATGAATTGACTAATACTCAAGTTAATCAAAAGAAACAAGCTACTCCATTTTTATTAATTCCTGGTCATCATGGTGGAATGTTGAGTCAATTATATGTTGATGAGACTGGTAGATTTATGGTTAGTTCTAATGGGTATAGAGGTTGGGGTCGTGGAAATTATACAGATACCGTGTTGATTTATGAAATTGATTTTGAATAGAATTTAAATCATCAAGATCTGACTGTGATGATGACATAATGACATAGACTTTAAATAGAATTAAAAAATTGTATATTTGAATTAATGTATTTTATGAACCATTAAACGTTCTTAAACCAGAATAAACCGTATTTCTTAAATTACCAATCCCAATATTATTAACATGATCAAATGAAAAGAACTCCTTTACATTTTCTAAAACAATACTTGTATGTTTGAACATATCACTATTTAACATTGAATTTATAAAATTGTGAATCTCATCCTTTATTAAAAAATGTAGTAGAAATCCAATCACACCAATAGTCAAACTCAAACGATAGAAATTCCTTATGTACCAATTTGGTCTTGATATAACCTCTTTACTTTCTTTATTAAATAGTTTTTTAAATATCGTGGTTGATGTTAATTTATGAATTGATGATGAGGTTATGCTTGTATGTAATGTCAATGAAGATGATAATGAATTAGAATTATCTGATTCATTGAGTGACAGTATTGAATTACCTAATTCTTCTTCGAGTAATTCTTGTTCTTGAATTTCATCTATTATTTGTTTTGATATTTGATCATCTTGATCTTGAATAAGTGAAGATAATACCTCATTTGAATATAATTCTAAATCACTGTCTCTGTTATTTATGTTTGAAGTATTGCAAAGCACTGATTTTTTGTTGTATTCTAAAAACCATTTATTATATGTTGATTCACTGTTGTCTAGATTATCAATTGGACAATTTTCAATTAAACTTTTAGCTTTATTTAAAATTTTTATCAATGTTAAATCTGATAAATTTTCAAATAATTGAGTTGGAGATAATGTAGTATGTGATAATGCTGAATCAACTGATGTAAAATCATCATCTTCTATATTTAATGTCTTCCAAATCTTAGGCTTTAGTGTTATTAAAGCAGCAACATATATATAAATAGATACTATTACTGAATCATAACTAAGTAAAAAATCCCAAATTTGAAGTATTTGAGACAAATTAGATATATCATGACTATAAATTGTGATTATACTAGATATTGCCTGAAAGAATTTATAATCATAATTCCCATGACAATTTGAATTTGATTTAATTAGGTTGAACAACTCAAGATCTATATTTTCTAGTAGGGTAGGTATTAATCTTAAATGATTAACAGTTAAATTTATATCAGTTAACATAAAATCTCTCAAATGAAATGGTGTCAATTTTTCAAGTATTTTAAATGCCATATCTTCATTAAATTCACTCAATTCGGAATCATAACATACTAATAATACAATACTACTAACATCATGAAATCCTTGATAATAATTCAAATTTGGATACTTTCTCAATATCTTAATAATCAAATTCGACAATTTATTCTTGATATTTTTCACATCGGAAGTACTTAAAATAGTGGAGTATGAATTTGTAGTACTCGATTTTAATGATTGTATATGATTAAACAATGTAAATGATCTTTGAACATCCAATTTGACCTGATCTTCATCTTTATGAGGTGGTAAATCTAAATTATCCAATTGTGAAAGTAAATTAGAAGAATCAGATAATAAATTAGTTTTAAATTTAGATTCCATGTCTATATTTAATAAAATTGGCCATATCACCTTTCGCAACTCATTCGATATTAACCCATCAGTACTCCTAGCTGCTTCAATCAATATATTAATGTCCTTTTCTCGATTATATGACTCTAGCGATCCATAAATTGTTCTTATTTTCATATTTTGAATTTGTTCAGTCATTGATTCTTCATTATGAGATAATTTATCCATTTGAACCCATTGATCATGTATCATAGTTGTAAATGATGAGGAATTGTTTAATAATTCTGGTCGTTTAGTTGAAAATGATGACGATCTTGATTGAGATATTTCTGATGTGATCATTATAATATGTTATGTTTTTGTTATTGTTGCCCCAGGTATTTCCAATTAGACCATCTAAGATCTATTAATTGTAAGATGTTAGCAAATTATTAAAAATAAAGTGAATGTTAATAGCTTTTGGTGCTATCACAGTTGATTATCGGTTGATAAATTATCAAATGTGATGGAATGTGTCTTTATTTTAGAATAATGAAATTTTGTGTAAGAAATTATGTAATCTCTTTCGATAAAAAATGAAGGAGATAAAGATTAGCATCGGTTGTAACACTACTAAATAGTGGGCTACCAGTTGCAATTTGACTGCAAAAGTAGAATAATCGATATTGGAAGGTTTTAGGACGAACCATTGGCGGCGACACATTAGGGAGTTTCGTTTTGTTTTTAATTTGGTTTTCTTTTTGTTTGGTTGCAAATCTCGAACATAATTTGATCAAGAGATAAAATTGGTGGATATTCAAATTGAGTATTAGCTTTAGAAGGTTTTCGGACGAACCATTGGCGGCGACACACTAGGGAGTTTTGTTTTGGTTTTAATTTGGTTTTCTTTTTGTTTGGTTGCAAATCTCAAACATAATTTGATCAAAAGATAAAATTGGTGGATATTCAAATTGAGTATGAGCTTTATTTTGTTCATCAAAAAGTAGTTGAATAGATGGAGATTCAACAGTTGAAGTAGTTTGAATTGACTTAATTGTGGTAATGAACAATTAGATGGACTCAGTTGGCGAATAGTTTAACAATTTTAGTAAAAATGTGACAAAATTAGCAAAACTATGCCAAAAATGCCAAAAATGCCAAAAAACACTGATCAGCGAAAAGGTGTTGAATTTTAGCAATTGACATTATTGAGCTTAGACGCTTTAGCCTCTCGATATCTGAGCTAATTGCATTAATATTGATGGTACCAATACATATTATAGTTGTTTGATCTCAGCACACGCAGTTTTGCAACCTAAAAAAAAAGTATAAATAGACAATCACCGCCATAAAAAATATTCTTTTTATATATATCATATTTGGTTATTTGCAATAACTCTTAGTAATATTTTAGCGTCATCTTGAGTTCCACTCATTAATAGATACTCCACAATACTAACTTGGATGCTGGCTCCAGACCAATCATTGACCACCTTTGATATCTACTTAAGTAGAATCACCAACTTTAAATTGCAAGAAAAATTAAACATAGTTTAGACATAGACATAGACATAGTATTATGTGTAAATAACGGTAAGTACTGCAGTATTATATTTCTTTTCAAGTTTTATTGTTTAGTACAAAGTATGATCAAATAATTATTATTTGAAAGATTTATCATAGCGGTTAATTTGAAAAAACTGTTTAATCAGTAATTAAAAGTAACAAGACAAGTTTGAATTAAGAAAATATTAATCGAGTAAAAGTATACTAAGCTTATATTTTAGATATTAATAGATTTGATGAAGTTGTAAGCGTTTCATTCGTTATAGTTTACGCTTTGATGATCGTTAAAATAATAATAATAAAAATTCATATAAGATAACAAAAAAAATTGCTAAACATGTAACGTAGGTATTGTGTCAATTCTGTACAGATCTCTGATATATAATTCGAGTCATTGTCTTACTCTACTGGTGCTCTAATGGTATTAAGCGTAGTATAATCAATGGTATGGGGTTGCTGTTGAAAGTAATTAATTTGGTTGCAAAATTTTGAAAATACACTTTTTGAAAGTAAATCTCTTATGAGCTATAAAAGTCTCATATATTGAGATTTGAAATTAATAGGTTAATCAACGTAATAACTCGATCATTCTGTTGTCTAGAATTGGAAAATTAAGCTGCTTAAAACCTACATCATAAATCAATATATAATTGTTTATTCATCATCATGGTATTACTATTTATTGTTTATATCAAATGAATTATGCGGCAGGCTAAATTAATTTTCATCGACGCAAATCGTCTTAAATTCCGGACCCATTCAATTTTTTGATTCGACTAAAAAAATTCAAATTTTTCAATCCCACGGTCAAGAATCACTAATGTCTAAAATTGAATTTACAACACCATTAAATGATACAATTGAAGTTAAATGGTCAGATGGTAATGTATCAAAATATCATAATATTTGGTTAAGAGATAATTGTCACTGTTCAAGTTGTTATTATTCAATTACAAAACAAAGATTATTAAATACGTCAAAGATAAATTTACATATAAAACCTAAAGAAATCGAGATACAAGATGGTAGATTATATGTAATTTGGGACCAAGATTCACATGAATCAAATTATGATTTTGATTGGCTCTTCATCCATTCTTATAATCCGAGATTAATTCCAATTTCTTCAAAATTAAAAGATCCAAAACAATTATTAAAGAGAAAGTTATGGCAAGTTAAAGATATAAAAGATAACTTACCTCAAGTTGAATTTGAGACTGTCATGAGTGCTACTGATGATGATGAATCTGCAATTTTAGATTGGTCATTGAAACTTCATCAATACGGTTTTTGTTTCATTAATAATGTTCCTGTTACTCCAGAAGATACAGAAAAATTATGTGAAAAGTTAAATTATATTAGACCAACCCATTATGGTGGATTTTGGGATTTTACCTCTGATTTATCTAAAAATGATACTGCTTATACTAATTTTGATATAAGTTCTCATACTGATGGTACTTATTGGTCTAATTCACCAGGATTACAATTATTTCATTTATTATATCATGATGGACAAGGTGGAACTACTTCATTAATTGATGCTTTTAAATGTGCTGAAATATTGAAACAGAAATATCGAGAAAGTTTTGAAATATTATCAAAAATACCTGTTCCTGCTCATTCTGCTGGTGAACCTAAAGTATGTATACAACCAGATGTCCCTCAACCAATTTTCAAACATGATTTGAATGGAGATTTGATTCAAGTTAGATGGAATCAATCAGATCGTTCGACAATGGATCACTGGGAAAATGTAGATGATGTACCTAAATTTTATAAAGCTTTAAGGGACTGGTGTGAAATTATAACTAATAAAGATAATGAAATATCCTATCAATTAAAACCTGCTCAATGTTTAATATTTGATAATTGGAGAGTTTTCCATCTGAGATCCGAATTTACAGGTAAAAGAAGATTATGTGGTGCTTATTTAGAAAGGGATGATTTTATACTGAGAACGAAAATTATGGCATTAGGTAGACAACCTGTATTAGATAGTATATAATGAGATATGGAAATTTGTACTAGATCTAGACCATCTTAATTACGACCATCTCTTCAATCCGATGGCGTTTATTTTCTACTTTCCATTTGGTGATCAATCAATTTGTATATTTCGGAATGAACTGCTATTCGAAATGTTTCACAATAATAATTCCGCCCTCCTTTCTTACAATTTTGTGTAATACATTTTGACCCTTCGCTTTGATTGTGCCCCATATTTTTTTTTCACCGGTCGAAATATAATAGCAAGCGAAATTAGAAATCTATAAATACCAGTTGAATTCGCAAATTTGTCAATTTCAATTGTATACTGTTTATTGAACAAATAGTTTTATTATCATGGTTGAACATATTAAATTAAATTCAGGTCATTCTATGCCACAAATTGGTTTTGGATGTTGGAAATTAGACGAATCATCAGCTAGTGAACAAATTTATAATGCTATAAAAGAAGGTTATAGATTATTTGATGGTGCTGAAGATTATGGAAATGAAAAACAAGTTGGTCAAGGTATTAAAAAAGCTATAGATGAAGGTTTAGTTAAACGTGAAGAATTATTTATTGTTTCAAAATTATGGAATTCATATCATGATCCAAAAAATGTTGAAATTGCATTAGATAAAACATTATCAGATTTAGGGTTAGATTATTTAGATTTATTCTTGATTCATTTCCCAATTTCATTTAAATTTGTTCCAATTGAAGAAAAATATCCACCTGGATTTTATTGTGGTGATGGTGATAATTTTCATTATGAAAATGTTCCAATTTTAAATACTTGGAATGCTTTAGAAAAATTAGTAAAAGCTGGTAAAATTAAATCAATAGGTATTTCAAATTTTAATGGTTCTTTGATTTATGATTTATTAAGAGGTATTAGATCTCAAGGTGGTATTGAACCTTCAGTTTTACAAATTGAACATCATCCATATTTACAACAACCAAGATTAATTGAATATGTTCAAGGTCAAGGTATTGCCGTTACTGCATATTCATCCTTTGGTCCACAAAGTTTTATTGAATTAGAATCGAAAAAGGCAAAAGATACTCCAACTTTATTTGAACATGATACTATTAAATCAATTGCTGATAAACATGGTAAATCTCCTGCTCAAGTTTTATTAAGATGGGCCACTCAACACGGTATTGCAGTTATTCCAAAATCAAATAACCCAAAAAGATTAGGTCAAAATTTAAATGTTAATGATTTTAAATTATCAGACGAAGATATCAAAGAAATTGCAAAATTAGATATTGGTTTGAGATTTAATGATCCTTGGGATTGGGATAAAATTCCAATCTTTGTATAAAGAAGAAATTAATATACGTTGATAATTGAAGGAAAACGCTGATTAGCTGTTACTTTTTCTTTTTTTACACCCAAATTCTATAGGAGACACTAATAATAAATCCAATCAAAGCATCTGCTCGTTATACTAGAGTAATTGTTGATGAATAATCAATTTGGCGTCATTTTGTAATTAAAAATTCGTGGACGGAAAATAAATTGAGGACTCAGAGTACCGATAGAATACACATAAACTAATACCATATCTTAATTGTTGATTATATCTATTACATGAACCGATTTATAAGATCTGAAAAAAAAACTTAAACGATAAACACCCAAACTTTGCCATAAACTAAATATTAACAACATAATATCAAACCATAATCCTTAAATCAATAAACTATTCAAATTCATACACTTCTTTACATCTTTAGCTTCTTCTCTTTTAGGTACTTCAGGTTCCGGATAATCCTTTAATGATGTAAAACTTAAAACTGAACGAATAGGAGGTAAAGCAGTACCTGAAAGCGCAATACTTTGTGGTTCTTCTTGTGGTTGTAAATGTGGTGATTGACTTGGAGTTTGTAATGGAGTTTCGTTTGGTGAAATAATAGTAAAGCTAGTATTTGCTTGTAATTTCGGAGAATTTGGACGTGATTTCTTTGCAACATGACCTAATCCCATTTGTTGTTGATTATAGAATTCTAAATTTAAAGACGTTGATGATGGCTGTTTTGGTATTAAATTTGTTGTTCTTTGTGATGTTGTTGGTTTTAAAGGTGTCATTCTTTGTAATCCTGATAAATTTGTATCACCTGAACCATTTCTAATTTTGCCACTTAATGAGCTCAGTGACGATGAAGATGCATCGAACATTCTAGATCCATTATTTTGATTATTTTTGAAATATTCATTCAAGTTTGAAAACGAAATTGTTGCTTTATTAACTGGTGGTGGCATTGAACTTGAATTATTTGGTGATGTACCTAATGATTGTAATGTTGATGTTGAACCACTGAAAATTCTTTGATTTACTGAAAATATCAGTGATGTTGATTCTGATTTCGATATATTTTGGTTAATTATATTTCTTTGACTTTGATTTGGTGGAGAATTTGAAGTTGAAGAATTATTCGAATGATTACTATTATATGGATTATTATTGTTATTTAATGGTGGTAATCTTAACGCATCTGACGATATTGTTCTTGACATAACAATAGGACGTGTAAAGTTTGAACTGAATTGTGGTTGTTGTGGTTGTTGTTGTTGTTGTTGTTGTTGTTGATACAGGGTAGGGGAGTTTGGAATTGAAAATACAGCACGTCCTTGTTGTTGATAATGAACTTCATTTGGTGGAACAGGTACAACCATTTGCTGTTGTGGTTGTTGAGGATGTACTTGAACTGGCATTTGTTGTGGTGGACCTTGTTGCTGAAGGATTGGTTGAGAATAAGTTCCATTTTGATGTGGAATAATATAAACTGGATATGGTTGTTGATTCGGATAATGATATATTGTTGAAAAAGGAAGATTTGCAGGTACAAATTGAGGATTTTGTTGATGTTGAATAGGTATTGGTTCAGATTGAGAAACTTGTTCTTGATTATTCATTTCATTTTGCTTATTCTTTCTCTTTCTTGAAGTTGGATTATTATGAATTCTCAAATGTCTAGTTAATTCATCAGATCTTGAAAACTTCTTAGTACAATTTGGAAACGTACAAGCATGAGGTTTTTCACCAGTATGAGTTCTAATATGTCTTGTTTGATGTTCTAATCTATGGAAAGCTTTTTCACAAAATGTACATTTATAAGGTCTATCGTCTTTATTTTTCTTTTCCGTAGGACGCATAATGGATAACTTAACTTGCTTAATGGAAATGAGTAGATTATATATATATTGAAAAGAAAAAGTGTTGTAAAAAGGATAGTAATTATAAACTATTGATAAATTATTATGGAGTAAAAAAAAAAAAAAAAAAAAAAAAAAAAAAAAGAAAATCTAAAAATAAAAAAAAAAAAAAATATTTTTTACAGTTTTGTGTAATTTATGCATCAAGTTAATCCGAAGAAGTATTAAAAAACTGTAAGCAGTTTTAACTTTTGTTGGCATTTCTTATAAACGAAACGATATTATAGAGTTTGACTAATTACAACCCGTTAACAGTCTTGTCTTTGACACATTTACTCTTTAAAAAAGTTTAAGGCAAATGAAATTTGAAAAGACTCCTTAACCTTAATTCTAAGCCAGCTTATAATAGAGATGGTATGACAGGATCTTATTATTAGTAATTAAATGCAAATCTGAATTTACTCGGTTTTAAAATATTCAATTCTCTCATAGTCATCACTTTGTTCATTCCACCATTATTTGTAGTGATGAAAATATTAATTTATAAAGCCATGTATGTATCTAAGATCATATACACATAGAACTTGAAGCAATGAAGGATAGAAGGATTGAACATCATACTGTATTGGGGTGAAAAAGAAGTATTGCTCCCCCGATAAAGCGGTTGAGATGCAAATTGTAAATAAAAATGGTATGAGAATTTACAAGTTCAAATTGTAAATGGCCATAAACTATTATTAAAATTTAAAATTCTATTCATATTTTATTTGTTTCATGATGGCTTCAGTTTGAATATTGTGTTGAACCAAAAATTTAATGAATCTGTCATTTTCAAGATGGAGGCATATTTGGGGTAAAAAAAAAGATCGTTTAAACAATAAACGCCAGTCGTTTCTTTTTAATCAATAATTTTTTTTTCAGCAGTTTCTCCGAATGTGTTACACAAAATGGAAAGAAAGCTTAAAAACAAGAGAACAATGAATAATACATTTTACTTAAACTACATCATCTTATACAGATGTTATCTTAACGTAAATGTAGAATTGACAGAATTGACAGAATTGACACATTGAATATTTAACGTTGACCAAGTAAATTAGAGGAAGGCAATTACAATATTCATTAAAGAAAGGAAGCTGGTGATTAATTTAAATTTCGATTCAAATGGTTAAATTGATAATTTAGATTTTTATTTAAATAGAAGAAAAAAAACTGAACTAAATTTTAAGAGATTTTAAATATTTTGAATCCACGTTTATTATGATTTCGATTCTATCTTAGTTTATGAATTTTTTATCCCTTAATCAAACAAATTTCATCCCCAAGGAATGTTGTTGTTCATTCTTATTATGTTGATATCCTGTTGTATATCCAAATGTACTCACCTAAACTGGTGATCTTTAAACTTTTAGTTTACTTTTATTTGTTTTTTGTTTCCTATTATTACCGAACAAAGAATTAGAGATTTAAGAAATAATAGGGACAAAGGATGATTCAACAAATAGATAGATTAACAATTGACTGAATTAAACAATAAAAAAGATTAGCCCATGGGGTAAATTAAACTATCAAGTTATGCTATTTTAAGTTAATTGTTTGTTTGTTTGCTTTAATCTCTGTTATTATGCGCTCTATACATGAATTGATAAAAGATCAACATAAATATCAAAACTGTGGAGGTTAATTTGATTAATACATAAAATAAAGTGATTATGTTAATTTGCTAATTTACTATCTATTTTCATTTCTAGACCAATCCAATTCAATTGTTTTCTTGATATCAATTGGCTCTTTATTTCTTTTACAACTTTTTTGCTATATTTTCTTTATTTTCTTTCTTTTCATTACTATAAAGACCCTCCTTATGCTTTTGATTTTGCCGTCGCAGTAGTAACTGCTATTTCAATTGAAAAATATGGAGAATTTTCAAGTCCCCCAATGTTACAATTATGATTGTTTTCAAGTATATTGAAAGAAATGTAACATCGTTATACAATGCAACATCACTAATCCAGGTAGTGTATTTTGTGCCAACTTTTAAACGAAATCTTAATTTTTAGTCGTGTAATTTTCTTTCATCTCGGTAAGACTTCCATTTTGAAATATGCTCTTATAATCATTCCACTATATTGTACTGGCTTCAAACCAAACTTTCTTGAAATGTAAAACGGCGATTGAAAAATAATCTGTTTGTCATATATATGAAAGTTTTGTTCTTTTTTGAAATTTTTTGTTCAAAAAAAGGGAGTTGTCATACCTTATCTGATTCAAGTATCAAGATCAGCATAAACAGAATGTTTGAAAATAGTAGACCTTAAAATAGAATCAAAAAAATAAATATTCTACCTGAATCCATAGAAAATTTTGTGGTTTTGGCTAAATCTTTTCGCATAAATTTAATTGTGCGGTTTGGAAAATACTAAATTCGAATTCAACAAGTAGTTGGCTTTCGAATGATACCAAATACAATATATTTTCAATCAAAATAGTGTCACTTATAGGTTTACGAATTTTGAAAAAACTTAGAGTTTTTTTTAATTGGTTTTATGTTGTATTTAGTTTGCACCAATTTGGTATATTGTTTCAAAATTAGTCGCGCAATTTTAGATCTAATCAGCGACATTTATCAGCAAAACTTTTTTGATTTTGACGCACGTCAATGATGCTACTACTATACAGTGCAATTCAATATAAGATCTAGTCTCAGATTGAACTACTCGAGTCGGAATTATCTCAATTGAAGGTTGTCTGCCCTATATAGTGAGTTTGGATAAACTAAAAACCTTATCATACATAAATTGCAAGAAGAACATAGTTAGCAAAGTGCCGCTAATTTATCACAAATACAAGGTGAGGAGTCAGGAGATGTTAGATAATGTAGAATTTTGATTTGTGTTTTCATTACAGATTCATTTTTGATTTATTTTTCATACTTATACTTATAACAAAAGTAATTAAAACTACACCAATTCTTTCAGGGACTACCAGAATAATACATTAATTGAAATAGGTAAACTCTATTTATTCACAATAGTAAACATTACAGCATTTGATGAAGGTTCGATTGAATGTTTTTTCATTTATGCTTATTTTGCTTACGTCATACTAAATTAGCCGAGCTGACTTTCCGTCTCATATTATGCTTGTATTTTATTACGCCAATTGATCTTAATTAAAATTTTCCTTTATGATTAGCGCTTGTGATTAGATTCGTATTTGTACTGCACGTTGACTTAAATTTTCCTTAGCGAAAACTATTATTATAAAAGTGGATCAAATTAATCTTAGCGGTAATGATTCAAGAATATCCACATGTTAATCTTATGCAATGTTATTCAGGTTTTGGTCTTGGTTTTTTTCAAGCTTGTCAATTGAAAGAATTTTAATTTTGCAAAATGTAATCGATTCTTGGTATTTGTAAGTAATCAGTCCAGCATTTTTCAGGCTTATCTCTTATCTCAATATGAGGAGAATCGTTGATAATATAATGGTATAACCAACTAATTTAGAGATACGTCACTTTGATCTCGGACTTAAGATCTCGAATTTTTAGATTTACGAGATTATTTTTTCAAAAAATGTGGAGTATTATGGACTTAGAAGCAATTAAATAAAGCAAGAACTTGGCGTATCTATAAACTATATATAGAGATGACAATAGATTCATCAACAAACAAATTCAATTCAATTAATTATGGCTTCAACATCAAGAGAAATACCAGGAGAAGGTTTAAGTAATATTTTATCCAATAGATCAGGGCATATTAGATACATTGATCCTACAAATAATGCAGGGGATGAAGATTTATTAGCTCAAATTGGATACAAACAAGAATTGAATAGGAAATATAGTACTTTACAAGTGTTTGGAATTGCATTTAGTATTATGGGTTTACTTCCAAGGTATGAATCAAAAGCTCACATTTTGAAACTCAATAGCTAACAGATTTTAGTATTTCTTCAACGGTTATTTTAGGTTTAGAATGTGGAACTGGTGGGCTAGTCTGGGGATGGCTTGGTATGTATAAAAGTAAAAAGGCTATGAGAATGCAGTACTAACTATTGTTTCAGTCGCCGGTCTTTTTATATTCTGTGTTGGATTCAGTTTATCAGTTTTAGGTTCAGCTATTCCAACAAGTGTATGTAAATACAAAGAAGAAAATGATTCTGTTACTAACTTTTCAGGGTGGTTTATTTTATTATGCTAATTATTATTGTCCTGAAAAGGTAAGAGTACCTCTTTCATTTATTGTTGGATGTTCAAATACATTAGGTCTTACTTCTGGGTTCATGTCAATTTTATACGGTTTTAGTGTTCAAATTTTAGCCGTTGTTAGCATTGCACTGGATGGTACATTTGAAATTACGAATCCAAAGATTTATGGTGTTTTTGTTGCTGGTGTTGTTTTTGCAACTGTTATTACTTGTATTTCTACCAAACATGGAGCATGGTTGCAAACCATATCAATTGTAGTCAATGTTTTCTTAGTGCTTTTATTCCTTATTGCTGTTCCAGTAGGTGTATCACGTCGAGGTTATGGTTTTAATAATGCAAGTTTCATATTTGGTAACTTTGAGAATTTTAGACAATACCCAACAGGTTTTTCATTCATTTTGGCATTAACTCCAGCAGTCTGGACTATTGGTGCGTATGATTCAGCTATTCATTGTGCTGAAGAAGCAAGAAATGCTCAAAGAGCAATTCCATGGGGTATATTAGGTTCCATTACTGCATGTTGGGTTATTGGTTGGATTATTTGTATTGTATTTGCTGCTTGTATTCAAGACGGTGATGTATTAAGAATGATTACAACAGATACTGGATCACCTGTTTCACAATTGATTTATGATGCTTTGGGTAAAGAATGGGCTATGGCATTTATGAGTTTAATTGCCTTTGGACAAATGTTAATGGCTATTTCCATAATGATTGCATTATCAAGACAAGTTTGGTCATTTGCAAGAGATGATGGATTACCAATTGTTTATAAATATGTCAAATATATTGACCCAAGAATTAAAGTTCCAATTAGAGCTTCAATGTTTGCTGGTTGTTTAGCAACTGCAATTGGTATGTTGATTTTAATTCCTGGATATGCTGGTGCAGGAGCATTATTCAGTTTAGCGATTATTAGTCAAAGTTTGTCATTTGCGACTGGTGTATTTTTAATTATGGTTACTAAACATGGTGCTAATGTTTTTAAACCTGGTCCATTTTATTTTGGAAAGAAAATTGTGAATACAGTTCACGTAATCACGTTGGTTTGGACAGCGGCTATTGTTTTAGTTGCCATGTTTCCAGATGATGTTCCAGCGAATAAAGAATCAATGAATTATGCAGTTGTTGTTAATGTTGGTGTTTGGATACTATCATTTATTTATTATTTAATACATGGTCATAAAGCATATAGTGGGCCAAAATCAAATATAAGTGATGAATATCTTGCTGAACATGATATTGAAATTAGAGAAGAACATCATGTTGAAAAAAGTTAGAATATAAGTAGTACAATATAAATTAATTATGCCTATATATCAATCCATTGATCAAACCATTGAATATTTCCTAATAAATTGTCAATCTCTTGTGAATTATAATTGTCTATTGGATTAATATTATTGCCATCAACATTTATATTATTAAAATCCATAGATGAAGAATTATCTGAAATTGGCGTATGATTATTATGATTTATTCGTTGATTAATCATATCTTGTTTTTCTTCATCTGGTAGATCATCTGGTTCAACATAATCTTCTTCCTCTTCTTCTTCCTCTTCTTCTTCCTCATAATCTTCATTTCTGTACAATTGTTTTTCAAATATTTTATTAAATTCATTAGATTTGTTTTCATCATTAGCATTAGTTTTAGTTTTCTTGTTCTTGATATTATTTGAATTACTTTCAAGTCTACCCAATTGCGAGAAAGTTTGTAAATTTACATCTGAAGAACCATGATCAATTCCAATATTATTCAATGCATTAATATCTTCTTGTAATCTTAATGTCAACATCTTATTAGCCATTTTTAAAGCCCATGTACATTCTCTAGCCATTTTAAATCTTTCCCTAAATATCAATTTATTTTTATCATTTCTAATTGGCGACTTCTTAAGTATGTTTAATAACCTAATTGAATTTTTTAAAATTGTTCTTGATTGCTCAATAAAGATACCACCATTTATAATCGTAATTGAATTAACACCAATATTAAACAATAATAATAAATTAGAATACCATGGTGTATACAACAACCCAGCTTTATTTGTTTTATCCAACACATCAATTACTCCAAAACAGGAATCAATAACCAATTCAACTTTTAATCCATGACTTGCTATTCTTTTACCAATATAATTGAATAATACTTTACCATGAATACACATAACTAAATCATAGTAATGTAATTTAACTTGTGCTTTAACTAATGAACTTATAAACTTAGCAGTATTATTTTCATGATGATCTACTTTATATAATAAATCATTTCTAAACCCGATTTCATTAAACCAATCATTTAATCTAACTAATTCAGTATTTACTTGTTGATATTTTATCAAATGTGGATTGTCATTAGGTAAAGTATGGATAAAATTTGAAATTTTGGCAATTTGAATCAATGCTAAAGCCGGCAATGTTAACCAATCATCTTTTAAATTTTCTTGATTAAAATAATTAAAATCAGGAAAAGGTCTAGTAGAATCTTCATCTCGGATACCACAATATCTACCAGTTTGTAAACCAAAAATTCTATCAAATGTAAAAACACACCAAAATATTCTTTTGGCTTTTAACCTTTCATAATTTGTGGATATTAAAATTTTTGGATTTTCTTCATCAAATCCTAATCCCATCGATTTAGTCATTATAATAGCTTGATTCAATGCATGAGAACATGAAGTTTGTCTATGTGAAATTCTTAAATATAATGAAATTAACAACCAACTTTGAATTAATTCAAATGATTCCCATTCAAAACTGAGAATCGAGACAACTTTATACCCATATTTAAATAAATTTTCTTCCAATTTTAATCTATCAATATTTGGACCTTTTGGTTTTTGAAATTCATGAAATCTAATAGATAAAGCTAATATTAAATATAAAATAGCAGAAAATAATTTAGTTTGATTTGTTTTTGAATCATGTTGTTGAGCATCTACTTCCTTCTCTTTCTCTTTCTCTTTCTCTTTTTCTTCTTGTTCCAATTTCTTTAATTTTAGATATGCTTCAAATTGTTCTCTGAAAACAGTGTCATGTATGATTGCAAATAATGGATTAATTTCTTTGAAGAAATAATCTATCAATTGGTTTACTTCTTCTAAAGTTAAATCGTTTTCTGGTTTATTTGGTAAGTCATCAATTTTAATATAATTTACTCCACTCATATTCCATCCAAAATATTGAGTTCTTGGAATAGTAACCAATTTCTTCAGTTCTTCACTCAAGTTAGAATACATTGATCGACATAATTCAACAATTAATAAATTTTGATGTCTTCTTGAAAATCTCCATTTTGAACTAGTTGAAAAAATTGTATTTATAATCGAATCAATTTCTGGTTCTTGTGTTTTTGGTTGTTTAAATAAATTGTTTGAATTTTCAGTTAATAAATTTTCCAAATATTGAACTCGATTTTCAAGATGAGAAATATAATCAGATTGATTTGTTTTGTCCATTACCGGTAATCCAAAAGGTTCAGTTTGTAAAGGTAGAATTCTTTGTCTTTTGAATGAAGACGATTCATCATTACCACCCGTGGAAATATTTGCTGCTTGACTAGTTTTTGAAAATGTACATTCTTTCTTTTGACGAAGACAAGTTGAGCATGGATTTGTACCTGTACATTTTATCTTATGAGTTCTACATCTATCACAAGCTCTTGAAACTCTTAATCGCGATTTAGTTGCTTTCTGCTGTTTTTGTTGTTGATCTTGTTTTAATTGTTGATCAACCATGGGGAGCTGAGTATTTTGAATAGAATTAGGATTATTAAAATTTAATAATGATGGTAGTTGTTGATGATAGTGATGTGGCAAATAATTAGAAGAAGTAGGTGGAACAGGATGTGCATGTGAATGTGGATGAGCTGAGTTTCTCACATTCGATTCATTTGATATGTAATTTAAACCACCTAATGTGTTAGCATTCGATGTACCTGGTGTTGATGTAGATGGTTGTTGTTGATTTGACATTGAATCAGTACTTGGTGATGTTGATTGGCGTGGTTCATAAGCTTTGGAATTATTCTCTGGTCTAGCCATATCACAGATATTTGATGATCAATGGTTGTCAAATTCGAATATGGTTATGTTTTTTTTTTATACCAACCTCAATTGCATCCTTACCTCAAGCCTATAGTTGATTATGATGAAACATTCGACCAAACTATTTTGTTGTTTCAGAATTAGTGACGAGTTGTGATTGGCTCGCTTATTTATTGCGCATAATTTGCGCGTTTTGAAATTAGTCACACAAAATTGTCATCGCATTTTGCAGCCATTTTATTTACATGCAGTCTCACAGTATTTAATCTAAATACTTTATTTGTAAATAACTCCATCAATATTCAGGCTTTCATTCTCAAAAATTTTTCATAGATATTAAGACCAAGCTACAGTAAAATAAATCTAGTCTCCCATTTAAGCATACATTTTTGCCAATTTATTATTTGTTCAAAAAACATAGAAAAACGCTAAATTGCGAGATATATAAGCTGATAATTTTAGTACAAGAGTCGCGCTAAGGTTAGCACGGGAAATTAATTACGTCGCACCAGAGATTCGCACTGAAACTTCATATTATACAAATTGGAATTATATGCAGTGTAGAAATTTTTGAAAAAAATTCAAATCAATCGTTTCGTCTGCAAATCATTATATGAAAATAAAATATAGTATTTTGCGCTGAATGAGCAGAATCGGCTATGTTAAAAGTTGTTAAACATGGTGTAAGTACTGATTTTCTTGTATTTCAGCGTTTTTTGCATTTTTTGAATGTAGTATAAAGTGATCAAAATTATGTTTTTTGAAAAAAGAGTAACACCATTCTATTTCATAACGTTTGCTGTATTGATGAGAAAGGTTTGATAACTAGAACTTGAGAATCCAGAAAGTTATTTACAATTTAGGTTTGATGTTTCACTAATCCAGGACTGTATATAAGTCATTTGTTGCAAATTATATATTTTTAAATGAGATTTATTGGGGCGAATAAAAAAATTTCTCGCGCTAGCTGTGGGGCGATAAACCGCTCCAAATGTCGACTCAAATCGGGCGGTAAATTTCTTTTTTCTGTCGTTCAAAATTTATTTTTCTTCTGCTTAGAATTATCAAAATTATATGATCAATAGAACAATACAGTATCATATTCATTATGGACTTTGATTTTGACATTTTCAGAGATTTAAATACACCATTAATAGAAATCTTTCAAAGAAATCAAATTCATGCACAATTACCACCTCATCAAAGAGCACAAATTGATCCTAATCAATTACATCAAGATATAATAAATAATAGAATACGAATAAATGAACTACATCAAAACAACCAATTCAACCTTAATAGATTCATATATATCAAGTGGTTTTTCAACTACATTTCTTTACTTATTTTGAATTATAGATTATTATGGAACAATTTTACATTTTCAAACATTTATAATCTTGTGATTCAGTCCATGAAGATATTCCTACTTTTAACATTTAAGATCATTAGATTCGGGACTTTTATAATTGCTTTTTGTGCTTATTTTCATGGGATATTAATGAGGTTTTTTGCATTCTGTGATATTATTACCTTTTCGGATAATTTCGTCAATGATACAATTACATACATTTTCAAAGAATCAAGTTCAATTATACAAGATAATTATAAAATAAATCAACATAATGGAGACATAATGTATTTTTTAGATTATGCAGAAAGTGAAGATTATAGTCATTTAAAAATAACAATATTAACTATATATAATATGTTTGCCAAAATGATTGCAACGAAATGTTGGAATGAGAAACAAAACGGATTAAATGGGGATTTGAAATGTGAATTATTGACTAATAGTTTGATATTTAAGATACTGAATGTGTTTGAGTCTAATATGCCTTATTTATCTGATTTTAGTTTGAAATTTATTACTATTTTTGTTTATTTGAGTTATGCCATGATTGGAAATTTGATATGTTTGAATATTATGATGTTTTTTATGTATAATTTGTTTAATAGATTGGCTGGATATAAACTGATTATTGTTAATATTAAAGATGTCGTGTGTAGTAGTTTTAAGATGTTAATATAAACATTATGTTTTTATTTATAAATGCAAAATATTGGCGTGCTGATGTTTGAGAGTAAAAGAGAAGTGTTCTAGTAGTAGTACCTTGAACTTTCTATCATGGTTCAAACGTGAAAGGTGATTTTTTGACTTATAAATTGACTGACTGGCTCAAGGTTTATACCCTCAAAAGCTACTCTATGACAAAGACTGATTGATGCCTCTAGCTGAAATGTCAATGAAGGTCACTTCAAATAGGATCTAGTGAATAGATCTGCTGATTAGAACCTTATTAAACAATGTTCGTCCATAATTTTCATTATCGCGTTTAATCTTGATTCGCTATAAATTCTATAAATTTTTCACTCCTTATTGCTAATATTCTTTTTGAAATTTTAACATTACTTATTTGTTGTTGATCTTCCAGTTGTTGTGAACATTTTAATAAACTTCGCATAAATTTAAAACATTTTATACATTCATCTCTTGTTATATTTAGGTAGTTTTTCAAAAATCCATCGGGTATTCTTAAATCAGGACCAATTTGAGTTTGTCCTTCCATTGTAGTTATAACCACACAAGTAGCTAAGATACATCTCATATTATAACAAATTATTATAGGTAATGCACTTAAAACTTCAATTAACCCAGTAGTCATTTTAAATACATCAGCTCTTTTTTCAAAAAATAATAAATTAGAACAATTTTCAATCTTAAGATTGATAAATATATCTTTAAACATATATGGTAATATTAAATTCAAATCAAAATTTAATTTTCTTAATATTAATTCTTCTCTCATTAATATTTGATCTTTCCATTTCCAATAAATAACCGATTGTTCATCAATTTGAATTTGTGGATTTGGGTTCCTGATTTGACAACTTACAAGACTTATTCTATCTGGTGGTCTATAATTATCATTTAATTTACATGATATACAAAATGCTGCCAGTGCAACATAATATTTTGATGAAGTTATTGGTAATCTCATATAATAACGATGTAAATATATAAAAGTGGCTAATATAGTTCTACCATCAACATGCAATTTACTACCCAATTTTATAATAAAATTAAACATACTTTCCTTTAATTTTAATTCTTGTTGAATTGTAGCATTTTGTTCTCTAGTTGGAGAATATTTAAAAAAAGCATCTTCAGGATATAACCATGAATCATCTGGTGAAGTAATCAATTCTTGTAGATGTGATGATAGTTGCGGAAATGTATTGGTTGTTTCTGTACTGGTGCTTTCCGTATTGGTGCTTTCAGTATTCGAACCCATCATTCGTCATTAATCCTATTGATAGTTTTGTTTATTAAATATTTACTATGTTCCTGCATATAAATTGATGGTTTTTATTTTGGAACTGAAAAATTTTTTTACTTCAATTAAAAACGAAGAGTGGAACCAACTGTCGGTATATATAGATATAGAGTATAACAGTCAATATGTCAAGTTTCATGCATTTAGTAAGACCTAATGTATTAGCGCCAGCAGTATCTTCACAAAATACTGGTCCAATTAGTGTCAAAATTCATTCATCGGCTTTATTAACCATGCTTGAAATTGTTTCAAAACAAGTTTTAAATAATAAAAGAGTTCTTGGTAGTTTATTAGGTTATAGAAATGAAGATGGTTTATTAATTGAAATAAGAGATGCTTTTATGGTTCCAATCAATGAAAATGGAGATTCAATAACTATTGATGAACCAATACATAAATCAATATATCAATTATATAAAAAATCACATCCAAAAGAAATGGTATTAGGATGGTTTGGTTCAAGTAATAAGATTGATGATAATACAAGTTTAATTCATGATTTTTATAGTAAAGGTGTTGATAGAGCTTATCCTCATCCGGCAATATATTTAAATATTGAATATTTAAATGAACAAGGTCAAATAATATCACCAAAAATAATGACATATATTGGAGCAAATATTGGTCAAAGAAGTGGAACTACTAATGTTTCAATTGGTTGGAAAACAACCACAATCAATAATTCATATATTTTTACACCAGTACCAAATGAAATTATAAATAATACCATTAGTGAAAAAATTGCATTTAATAAATTTACAAAACAAAATATAACAAATAATACTAGTGTGAGTTCTGAAGTATCAAACTTATCACATTTAGAAGAACAATTAAATAATTTACAAGAAAATATTAAAATTATGATTAAATTTATAGAATCAACCAATGAACAAGATAGATCAAAAGATGAAAATATTGATTTAATAAGACAATTAAGTAATTCAATATTAAATAAACCACAATTATTAACAAATCCTGAAAATTTAACTAAATTATTTAATGATCATAATCAAGATGTTATAATGATTGAATATTTAACGAAAGCGATAAAAGATCAAATTGAATTAAGTTCAAGATTAACAGCAGCAGCAGAAGCCGGTAAGGATACAAGACAAATGTAAGGATTAAGGATTATATATTATATATTATATATATTAACTGTAACACTGGTTTATAGTAAACTGTGGTTGGTTATCTCATCGGTATATCTCTTTTCATTTTGTGTAATATTTTTCTGATGATGTTTCAAAATTTTAAATCAAAAAAAAAAAAAATATAAAAGGAGAAGAGATTGAAATACTATACGTTATTACTATACAATACTTGTTATACAACTATTCATTTATATATATACTATTACAATAATACTACGACTACATATAAGCTATATATTAATTACCATAGATGAGTTATGGTGGTAAAAGAAAATTTAGTATAGCCAAATCTACTTCTTCTAATTGTTCTTCATCAGAAGATAATAATGATAATAATCATCATATAATACATTCAGATTCCGATAGTTCTTTAACTGATATAGGAGATAGAAAATTATTAATTGGTAAAAGATTAAATAAAAAATCTCCATTTAAAGGTAAAAAGAAAATTCCCCTGGGTGGTAAAAAATTACCGAAGAAAAAATGGGTAAATCAACAAGAAGAAAGTGAACAAGCGGATGATAATGATAGTGAAGAAGATGGTAGTAATGGCTCAGATGCAGATGATGATGCCGATGATGATTTAACTGGTTTATTTTCATTATTAAATAATAAAAAACAAGGTGGTAATTCAGATGAAGAAAATAATAGCTCTTCTGAAGAGGATTCGGATGACGATGATGAAGATGAAGATGAAGATGAAGATGAAGATGATTATGATGATGACGTTGATTTTGTAAAATTACAAGCTCAGAAGAAAGTCCAATCTTTGAAGAATGCAAGAGCTTTAAAAGGTTTAAAAGGGAAAAAAAATATGTCTACATCAGCTATTGAAAGTTCATCAGAGGAGAGCAGTGACAATGAAATTGTTGAAGATATTGAACCACGACTGAAACTATCACTGAGAAGAAAAAGTTTGAATAATAAATTTGGTAGAAGAAAATCAAATGCTGCTTTACCTGATATCAAATTTGAGTTTAATCATAAAGATTCATTTCAAGATGAACCAGATGTCAAAATTGAAAATAAACAACCAGAAGAAGAAGATATGGGTGAAGAAATCAATTTATCATCTTCAGTTAGTATGAACAATGCCACAACTCAATTTGATTTTGAATTTGATAATCAATTAATGGTAGTACCTAAAATTAATGAAGATGAATTAAATTCAGATGAAGATTATGAAATTGATGATAATGAATTATTAGCTACATTACAAGCAGAAAATGATGTTGATGAATTTTTGCCAGATTTATCGACAACTCATGATTATCATACAACTTCACAACCACATATAATATCAGAAGAAATAAATGAAGAAGAAGATAATGATGAATTCGAAGATGAAGATGAAGATGAAGAAAATGATCCATTTTTAAAAGAAGAAGAAAAATATTTAGTTAATGAATTTGAAAATAATGGATTTGATGAAGATGATGAAGATGATGAAAATTATTTTGACCTTGATTCTGATTTTTCAACATCAAAAAAGATAAATCATTCATTTAGAGGAATAGGAGAAGATAAATCAAAACCTATAAAGACATATGAAGATAATAATTATTCAAATTCAGATTATGATGAAGATGATTATATCAATTTAAATGATTTTGATATTCCATTATTTGATAAGAGCGATAATGAGAAAGAAGAGAAGAATAAAGAAACAAACAAGAATAAGTCAAGTAATAGGAAGAGGAAATCAAATTTGAAAAATTCAGATGAAGATGATGATGATAGTTATCTTTGGAATTATTTCTTTAGTTCCGATAATGATTCATCATCAAGTGATGAAAAAGAGATAAAGAAAGAGAAAGAATCTAAACAACAACAAGTTGATGATTTATTCAAACAGATAGATAATGATAATACATTCAAGAAAAAACTAAAGAAACGAAAAACAAATGAGTTTCTTGGTAGTAGAATAGATTATAATGATTCATTGGATGAAGATGAATATAATGACTCGTCTGAATCAACAGACATTGACGAAAATATTCCAAAAAGTAATTCATCAAGAAATATAGGTGGTTTGAAAAAAGCAACAGAAGTATTATCATCAAAAACAGCAGATTATAGACCTCCAATTTTGGGATCTTGGGTTACAATTGATTCTAAACCATTTGGCATAATTGATGGATTATCAACAAGGACTCTCCAACCAAAACAAAAACAACAACAACAACAAGGACAAGGACTACCAAATATTCCAAATAATATACCTAGGAAGAGTATATTTGTACCTAATGATGATTCAGTAGAAATGGGTCTAGATGAATTATTAAATATTTCGGAATTGGATAATAATGATGAAAATGATGCTAAAATATGGAGAGATTTTAATAATCATAAAAAAATCCCCCTTGGAGCGTTTAGAAATAAATCAATACTACAGCAAAATACAAATCAAGGTGAATTTAAAAGAAGATATTCGAATTCAAATTCAAATTCAAATTCAAATATAAAGAAATCACTGCCTAAATCTGGTGTTAATAAGGAAAGGAGAAGACAACAGAGTATACTTGAAGCAGTTAATGAAGGTTATAGACCCACTAAATCTGGTTTATTTAGTGAGAATGCATTGGCTGATGTTGAAGAATTATTGGGTGATGATAATGATATAATGGCTTTAATTAAAGGTTTGTAAAACACTGGCAGGATGTTGCAAAACCTAACGATGCAAAACCTAAGAATACAAAACCTAAGAATGCAAATTTAAATTTACTTCGTCGTGTAAGAATCATTACAACAACTGACACAAAATTTTCCATGGATTTATGTATAATTCTAATTATTAAATATATTTTGGTTTATAATATACAGTTAATTGGTGTTTTAAAATGATGTAAGTTTGCATATAATGACGGAATAATTTTTTTTCTATGATACCAAGGCTTAAAAACTAATATGTCGAACAAGAACAGCCGAAAAAAAATTCAATAAACACATTATTTATTGGTTGGAACATAGTTGTTTACGTGCCATGTAATCTCCATGTATAACTGATAAAGTTTAAAGTTAAAAGTTAAAAGTTAAAATTTTTGTATGAGATCTGGATAATTTCCCAATTAGTAAAATTACACAAAAACGGGATAGATCTGAATTTAAGGGGTAATTTTTCTTGTTTTTTCTTGTCCTTTCCATTTTTAGATCAATTATTATTTACGCAATTACACCCCCTGATTTCAGTGTAGAATGAATAATATAGTCATTCATAGAGTAGAGTCATTTTTCAGTTTCAGGACCCTAGTGTTTTCTCAATCGATTTTCTTAACAGGAACAGTAACTTAACTTAAGGTAAGAGAAAAGTCTAAAGAGCTAAGAAATCCGATATATTATGCAGTTACCTGATTGTTCTATCTATTTTCTTTGTGTGCCTTGGTTAAATAGAAACATGGCTGTGAGTTTTTTTCTCAGCAAAAATAAATTTATAATAGTTTTGAACTCAGATGAATTATACATTATATAGCATATAATGATATATTACCGAATAAAGTGAGAATTAATTACCAATTACTAGTTTTAATTTCTGAATTGTCAAATTTCAACAAGTTTTTATTTATTCAATTTCCATCTTTGATTTAATTAATTTCCATCTCTCATTTAATTAATTTCCATCTTTCATTTGCATCCATTACCTTCCTCACCTTCCTCACCTTCCTTACCTTCCTTACCTTCCCCTGATATGATATAATAAATCGCCATGGTCAAATATAAGAAATATAAACAAAAACGAATATTGATAACTTCCATAATTTCAATTTGGTTATTTTCAGTACTTATATGGATTCATTTCAATTATACAAATTTTCAGATCTCAACCACTCCAGCAACATACTCAATTTACAACATATATGACAATCCCCATCTACAAAAACCACAAGAATCAACAACAGATCAAAATCATAGTTATTTCAAACATAATTTCGCATATCAACATTTCAAAAATAATCTTACGTTGGATATTAAAGATAATTTATATTCACAAGTCTATGACTCTATATTTTCAAGCCATGAATTTGAATCAATTTTAAATTTGAATTATCAAGATCGTTGTTCATTATTTTTTAAAAATTTGTTTATTATGGATCAAAATTGGATATTCAATCCCAATGAAGCTTTTTATATCGATTATTATTCTAAAGATTTTGAGGTATATTTCCATCGATACTATGACGAATTAAAGAGCAAGATTGGACCTCAGAATTTGAAAGAAACGATTAGTGAATATGAAATTAGATTGATTAATTATGCAAAGAAGGAGTATAGAGAATACGCAGTTTATCAAAAATTGATAAATCAATTAACTATTGCACGAACATTTAATAAATGCTATTTAAATGATGATAATGAGCGACTCAAGGTTGATTTTTTGAATAAACAAAAACAGTTTGAGAATAAGACAGCTTTTGAATATACTCCACATGAATATTTAATTGATGTCAATGACGGGTTTGATTTTGAACATCGCGTGTATCCTTGGCTCTCATTCGAAATGCCAATTTTTGAAAGATGGACAGGTGAATCATTCTACAAACCTCCCAATATGAGAAAGTTATTAAATGATAAGAATCAACCACCGCCGAAATCAAAATCAGAATCAAAAAGTTTCCTCAAGAACTTTAAGAACTCATGTAATGGGAAGGGAATAGTACTATCGATTGCAGATAAACATGTTGATCACACAGTTAATTTAATTCACTTATTAAGAGCGCTAAATAACAGACTACCAATTCAAATCATATATCATAATGATGTTTCAACTTCAACTAAATCTAAATTAGTAACTGCTGCCCGTGAAGATTTCAGTCATTTACCACAATCATTCTATAAAATACAAGATAAATTTCCTCAAGATTATTTACATCCAAAATCAAACGGACTTCCAAAACAAGAATTATGGTTTATAAATACAGCAAATACAATTCATGAGAATTATAAATTCAAATTTAGGGGATTTTCAAATAAGATCTTAGCTAGTTTATTTAATTCATTTTCTGAATTTATATTAATTGATGCAGATACAGTAATGATGCAAAATCCTGAATTTTTCTTCAATTTACAAGGATATAAAGACACGGGGACGTATTTTTTTAAAGATAGAGCAGTATTACAAAAACGTTCAGCTAATGATGGAGAATTCTTCAAGAATATGGGACCTTCAGTTATTGATAATTTAATGTTTAATATTCCACTAATGACAAACTATACTATTCAAAGAGAGTTATTCAAGGGGTTGACTCATTATATGGAATCAGGTCTAGTCGTATTGAACAAAGATTCTCATTTCAGTTCAATTTTAATGATGCAAAAGATTAATTTCTTCCCACCTATAAGTGGTAAATTGTACGGAGATAAAGAAATATTTTGGCTTGGTTTTGCAATTAATGGTGATGAAAATTATTATTTTAATCAATTTAATGCTGCTTCAATAGGTACAATCACAAATGACAAGGAAAGAATAAAAGAAAATGGAGAATTGCCAAAACTGAAAGAATTGTGTTCTCCTCATCCTGGTCATATAAATGGAGAAGATGGAGTAACTTTACTTTGGATGAATTCTGGATTTAGATATTGTCATCAATCAGATCAAATTAATTTTAATAAAGAAATTACATTCAAAAGAAGATTGAAATTTTTATCTACAATTGATCAATTTAAACTGTTTTATTATAATCCATTGAGAATCAAACAGGCAATCATACCTCCATTTCCATCTGATCTCAGAGCAAGGAATAATGATGAATATGAACCTAGTTTAGGTTGGTCAATGGATCATGAATATTGTGCAAGATATTTATGGTGTGCTTATTCTAGTATTGGAGGAAAATTTAAATATTCAAAAAATGATAATTTGATAAATGGTAGGTTTATTGAATTTAGTGAATTTGAACAAGATTTATTTAATTATTATGGTGATATTTGGGTCGGATTAGAGTAAATATTTTATAGAATTTAATATATGGCCTTGTTTTGTCGCTTTAATTCGCCTCGCCTTATTCGGAAATGGACCTCGGCGTTGATTTCTTGCCGACGACAATTCGGACTTAAACACAAATTTTTCTATATCGGTGTGAATTGCCGATTTGAATTTGTTATGTTTGTTCGGTTATAATTGTACTGAAGTTGTATTTAAATCTCCGCCGTTAACCATTTCTCGCTTATTTTAACTCTTGATTATGTCAACTCCGAAATAATAAACTATACTATACCAAACCAGTGCAATTACAATGCAATCAAATACACCACTTTACAATACAAACTAGTAAGCTCGGAATGTCACAAACAATGCCGTATAGAAGAGATGCAACACTAAAACAGTATATGGTAGCGCATGATAGAGTACAAATAGTATATATTGTCATCTCGCTAATGATTACTCTAATATGTTTTGCTCGTCTAATGTGGTTTATTTTTGTTATCTAAAAAGAAGAATGATGAGTATAAAACTGTTGCATTGGGAGTAAAAGATGGCTTATAAATATTCATACCAATCACTTTATTCTTATTCCATTCTTTATTCTTTTCATTTGTTTGTTAAATGTCATTAATACGATTTAATAATTTATATAAAACCAATTTATCAAAACAATTATTAACTAGATCAATATTAACTAGATCAATATTAGCAGCAAAATGTTATCAATATAGAGATTTCCACGATAGTATAAAATCCAACAATACAACAACATCACCATCGTCAAATCAATCAATTATACCACAATTAAATCAACCAACATCTCCTTCATCAGTTATAGAAACTCCATTAACTCAACAACCAAAACCATCATCGATTGAATATTTATCTGATTTCAATAATTTGGAAATCATTTCGTTTTTCATGATTGGTTTGTGCACTTTAAATAAACCAATTCTTAACCTTTGTATCAAATTATTTCCATATGTTCCAATTTCAATTATTAAGAAATTAGTTTATAGAATTTATTGCGGTGGTGAAACAATTGGCGAAGTTAAACAAACTGGATTAAGATTACATGATCGTGGAATTAATAATATGATGATTTCATTAACAATTGAAGATTGTGAAGGAAATGGTGAAAGTCAAATAGATACAGATTATATTGTAAGTGAAACTTCGAAATCAATTGAGAAAATTTTGGTGCCACATACTTTAGAAATGATAAATCAAGCTGCTGATATTAATGATATTCCTCCTGGTTATGTTGCTTTAAAATCAACAGGATTTGATAAGAATGCAGCTGCAACTTTAAAAGATTTTAACACTTCAAAAAAAGCTGAATTTGATTCATTGGTTGAAAAAATCTCGTCTGTTTGTCAAACAATCTACGACTCAAATGAAAAATTATTCAAGAAATATAATGATAGAACATCTCCTTTTGTTGTTGGTGTAATTGATGCTGAAAAATTTGAATTACAAGAAGGTGTATACGAATTACAAAGAAGATTATATGAAAAATTTAACCCCTTGAATAAACCAATTAGTATAGTTGGAACATTACAAATGTATTTATCTAATTCAGCGTCATTGTTAACATTTGAAGAAAAATTTGCAAATGAAAAAGGATATAGACTTGGTTTGAAATTAGTTCGTGGGGCTTATTTACATTCTGAAAAGAATAGAGATGAGGTAATCCATAAGACTAAAACAGATACAGATGTAAATTACAATAAAGGAATTTCATATTGTATTGATTCAATTTTAAATCAAAAGGGAAATGAATCAATTATTGGTCACTTAGTTGTGGCTTCTCATAATTCAGAAAGTTTAAAATTGGCAAGTAATAAAATTTTTAATGAATCTACAATTGGAAATAATAATAAATTAAATGTTGTTCTTGGTCAATTATTAGGTATGGCTGATTCAGTCACTTATGATTTAATTAAAAATTTAAAAATTAATAATGTTATTAAATATGTTGCTTGGGGTCCTCCATTTGAAACAAAACAATATTTATTAAGAAGATTAGAAGAAAATGGTGATGCTGTAAAGAATGATAATGGTTGGCCATTGGTTAAAGCTTCAACTGCTATTTTATTCAAAAGATTATTAGGTAGAGCTTGATATAGTTTATGAATATATGTTAATTAAAAAAATTAAAAGTTTCTTATTAGTACATGTCTATACTGTTAAAGTTAGTTTATCTTTGATATATCCACTAATTAAATATTGAATAGCCAAGCGTTTTTTTGTAATTGTAGCATTCTCAACTTTTTAATTAATTGATTTATTGCATATCCTTACCAGTTTATGCACCCTGATTTATGTTGCATTATTACCTATACATTTATCGTCAACATCGGTCTATCATCTCGAATATAACCACTAATAACACACTGAACAACCCATTCCCAATTAACAAATCTCAAATTGACCCGTTTCCCTTTTTTCCTTTTCGTCAATTTCTTCAATTTCTCTTCTGCCAGGTATCCATCATTTTCATAAATAAGTACATTTGATCCACTTTTCATTAATTTTAAATTTTCTTGTATTTCTACTTCATTTATAAATGTTAAATCAATAGCTCCAAAACAATAAAATATAAATTTACAAGTCTCCAAAGATTCATTATTCTTTCGAGAATTTATAATTAAAATACGATAATTGTTTAATAGGTGATTATTATTCTTTAATTGATGAGATAATTTAAAGCCCTTATCATAATTCAATTTAAATTGGAAAATATCTAATGATTTAACACAATTTAGGTCTTTTGATTCTCCACTTGGTAATAAATAACAAGGCCAATTGTTGAAAAGTTGACCATTTTTAATAACATCTATTATAAAGGAGTCGGATATTATAGGCCATCCTAGTGCTAATCCTTGTAGATATTTCGGACTTCGACAGTAGTTGTTTGAAAGTATTGCTGCAAAATCAATATTGTTGAAAAATTCCAATCCTTCGAGATACCAAGTTTGATATTTACAAAATTGAAACATTTCGTATAATTCTTTTTCAATTACAAGACCACCGTTTGATTCAATTAGAGATTTAATATAATTTTTTCGTTCGTTATCCACATTGGTAATACAGAATAACTTCCCATTGAGTGTCTGTGACTCGTCTCTGAGGTTGAGTTTCTTATTTGGACTAATCAACTCATTAGTTTCGGTCCTGGTTAATTTTTTAGGTGTTGATTGAATAGTCTCTGTCTCATCTATGATTTTATATTTTTGTTGATGGATTACCCAGTCACTCAATTCCATAAAACATTCACTCAATGATTTTTTAACCTCTTTTGATGTTCTCCGTGTTGTTTTTAAGTAGACGGTGTTATATCCTCTAATACATGGAATGGAATCTTGATTTTCTCTAGATAATCCAGTAACGATATATTTTGTAGTGATATTCAGTTTTATATGTAATGTGTCACCAATTCTAATATCCAATAAAAATAAATCTTGATTCTTGATTTCATAATTACCTTCGTGGAATTCAATAGTTGAATAATCATGGAATTTAGTTATTAATTTTCCAGTATACATTTTTAAATTATATGATGCCCATACTGAATTACGATTCTTTATGTCTTTGAAAGTAAAGATGTCTGATGTTTCTTCTCGTAAGATTGGAGTTGGTGAAGTTTGTGATTCTATGATGTTATTTAATCTTCGCTTCTTGAGCACTACTACTTCAACTTCTGAACCTGAATCATCTTGAGTTTGTTCTGGAGTAGGTGCAATATTATTATCTTGTGTTTGTTTAGGCGTTAATACTTCAAGATCATCATTGTTTGATATTACTTTTTTAGATGTGAGTACTTCTAAATTGGAGGTGGTTCCAAGTTCATTATCAAGGTCATTATTTGTTATTTCTGGTTCATCTATTTCAGAAGCACCCAAAGAAAAATCTTTACTTATATTATGATCATTATTTTCATTTTCTGGTGATGATGGAGGTATCAATTGTCCAGCAACTGTAGTATCAATAGTCAAATCACCTTTTTCATGATCTAATTTCTCATCACCAGAATATTGGTCTTGATTCATTTGTTGTTGTGGTGAAGAAGAGGCTAATACTAGTGGAACACTATAATTTCGTTTCAATAATGGTTTTGATGACATTGAAATTTTACCTAATCCAACGGTATTACCCCTTCGTAAATCAATCTTACCCTTCGTTAATATTTTTTGTTGAGTTTTTTTATGTTTGATTTGATGAGTCAATAAACTATCATCATATCCATATTTAAAATCTTCAATTTCTTCAATTTCTTCATCTGATCTAATTTCCAAATCCTTCGTGTTGTCAATTATATCATCATTTAAACTTTCTTTATTTTGTGGATCTTCTTCTTCTTCTTCTTCTTCTTCTTCTTCTTCGTCTTCTTGAATTATTCCTGATTGTTCTTGAGTGTTTATAACTTGTCGTTTTGATATCTCTGTATCTTTAGGTATGACTTGCGTGTCATCTAATTCCAACTTTGGGATAATTTGAGTATCATTTTCATTAATTTTGGATATAACTCGAGTATCGTTAATTTTTGGAATAATTTGAGTATCTTGGACAACAACAGCTGATTTTGATATAACTTGAGTATCTTTTAAGTTATCATTTGATTGTTGTTGTTGTTGTTGCTGTTGCTGTTGTAGTTCTAGAGTATCATTAACTAAAGTATCATTTTCATTATCATTATATTGTATATCTTGAGTACCAATATCATTACCAAATACCAAACTTGAACTAATATCATCTCTATGCTCATTTGTATCATCTATAGTCTTATCAACTTGAGTTGTAATATTATTCATACTATCATATTTAATTAAGCGTGGGATGAGTTTTTATTTTTCACTATCAAAACTATATACATATTAACAATATATATTACTAACTACTACTAACTACATACTATTCATTACTGCATTATTACATTCATTATGATAATTGTGATAAGATATTCTGTAACGCATTATTCTGTTGTGGTTGATTTTGAGGGTTGTTATAATCTTTCTTAGCTACATATACTGCAAATAAACCTTTTATTGGTTCTTGTTTATATTTATTAAGATAATATGGTAAATCTTGTTTGGAGAAATCAACAGCCATTATATATGCATCTTTAACAAAACCTGGTTTATCATGTAAGACCCCAACTCTTTCATGATTATAAAAATAATCCAATAATTTAGAAAAACTTTCACTTTGATCGGGGGTAGTTGGTTCTAATTTAACAAATAATAAATCTCTAGTTATTAAAACTTTATTTAAATAATCATCAGCTATTTTAGTTTGTAACCTTCCTATAACTTTATATTTTGAATGATATAAAATTTCTTTTATGGTTTTTATAGATGCTTCTTTTGATGAATTTGTAGTTGAATAAAATTTTCCATTTAAATCACAACTTGAAATTGGTTCATAGGTTATATTCCCGGACCATAAAAGATCTGAAACTGAATCATTATTGTTTACTTCTTGTTCATCATCATCATCTGATATATAATCTGGATTATATTTATCATCTCCTGGTTCTTGCTCAATTTCTTCTTTTTTAGTTTCTTTTGTTTTCGGTTTCGGTTTCGATTTCGGTTGTGTTTTCAATTCTGATTGACTCTCTTCTTCTATTTCTGGAACTGTTGGATTAAAATTATTCAATACTTTTTGATCTTCACTTATTATATTTGATTTTGAATCGATTTCACTTGAAAATCTACGATGATCTACTTTTCTTGTGCTTATTGAATCATCAATAGTTAAATCTTGTTGCTCATTTTCATTTTCTTTTATAATTTCACCTTTGTGAGTTCTTCTTATAATTTGAGATTGATCATTTTCAATTAAAACAATATTTTTAATATTTTCTTTATTTTGTAATTCAATTTTTGCAATATCTTCATTAATTTCTTGTGGTGTTTTCTTAACAACATCTTCTAAAGTAATAGTACCAGCAAATAAATCTTTTGTAAAATGTTTCTTTAATAAAAATAATACCCTACGAGATTCAGCTGTATAATTTTTTTGACCTGGATATTCTGAATGAATAATTTCTTCAATTTTTAAAGTTAATTCAAGGGCTTTAGAATCTTTAGTTTCTTCAGTTGCTTCCTTATCATCTTCGGGATATGACTTTTTGAAGAAGTTATAAAATGCCTTGGCTGTACTAATTCTTAAATCATCTTTTAAAGCTTCAATTGGATTAGATAAATCATATTTAGATCTTGATTTCGTTTTCTTTGGAACAATTGTAGTTGATGAAGTCGATATTTTTCTTGATGATCTTGTTGCTATAGGTGGTTCTATTTTTGAATTATCTCCTAAACATAAATTACATAAATAATCAGATTTTGGAGCTTTTTTTAAACCCATACATTGTAAATGCTGCCAAGTTTTACATTTTTCACATTCTATCATTTCTCCTAATTCATCATTTTCTTCATCATAATTATCTTGATTTGCACCACAGGGAGTACATCTTACAATTTCATCACCAGTAAAATCTTCATCTTCAGATTCAAAATTATTAAATTCTTCAACATCTTTATCTGTCTTCTTTTTTTTACTTTTTGGTTCCTCATCACTTAAATCATTTAAAAATGTATCGAATTCTCTTCTTGAATGTTGACCTTTATTTGACCTTGAGCTACGTCTAGTTTCAATTGTTGATGAACTCATAATAGAACAAAATTAACCGGGAAATAAAAAAAAAAAAGCCAATATTACTTAAGACCTATCTGCTATTGACAATTATGTGAATATTAATAGATTATGTGTTGTATTAACCGATTAATCAGTGTGATTGTTATTATTACTTGTTGATTGTAAATGAATTATTGTTTATAAATAATTTTTTTATTTTTCGAGACAATGTCATATTTTAATTTTCAGTGTCACACGACATTGAAAATTAGACGAGTAAAGAATTAGACGAGTAATGAGTAATGAATTAGACGAGTAATTATATATATATATGAAAGAGGAGGCAAATACAAGGTATAAAAAGAGTTTAACAGGCTCTAAGTTACATCTAGGTATCTTTAAAACTGGCATTTGCATGTAAAAATGAAATAACAGAAACACAAACTGAAACTGAAACTGAAACTGAAACTGAAACTGAAACTGATTGTCACTGAAGGTTCTAATATTGCGAAAAAGTTTGTATTGGGAATACAACTCTTGATCTCGAGTTTATATTAAATTAGGTCCGTGATTGCTGGAGTATGTGAGTGCCAATTCAACTTTAAATTAGGTTTAAACGTCATTAATAAATCTTATAAATGGAAGAATCGAACGGCTGTTTGCTTTTTGATTTAAAAAGTTTTCATTCGTCTAAATGATGCATTAGGGTAATTATAGAAGAACTCTCATTCGCGAGCTAGTCCTAAACTAAGATCATAAGCAAATCAGAGAATAAATGGAGATTTAGAGACAGATGCTATTAATAAAGCTATTCTCGATTATTATTTCATAAATATATATTAGATTTGACCTATATTAGATTTGGCCTATTTTAGTTTTGACCTATTTTAAGCCAAAGATCATTAAGTCATTAGCCAGTTTTTGATTTTTCAAGTTCTTCAATATCATCGCCCTATAACTTACAATCAGCTTCCATATTCTGTGTTGATCTTTACAGTAATTCGATTTCAAAATAACTGCCATTTCATATTGAAATGGTAATCTTAACAATACTTATTATTTATTACTTATCAAGCTAAACGTAACTAAAGTCCCTCAAACTAGTACAATATGACTTTCTTAACCAAAATTGATGAATAATTTAACCTCCAAGATGTAAGTTATTTTGCAGCATTTAATGCTGCAAATTCAATTGGTAGCGTTTTCATCGAATCTAAATTTTTCATTATCATCAAAAACTAAAAACAAGTTGCAACATCATATACAAGTCATAACTATGAATCGATATACAATCAAAAATATATATAACTGCTGCCATTTTCGAATACGAGCGTTTGGAACATCAACAATCCATAGAATAGATCATGACATCTTTGAAGATGAAAATCAAAAACCGAAAGGGTCCAACAAAGTGTATCTATCATATAACGAACTCCAGTCACGTAAAAAGAAGTACAAGGACAATACAACACCTTTAAAACCAAAAATTCAAGATTTAAATAACAAGTTAGTCAATCTCTTACGTGATGAGATACCTACAAATTCTCAAGATGATATAATTCAATCAATAGAATCATTCAAGCCATTAGAAACAGCACTAAGTTCAAAGAAATATGACGATTTGAAAAATAATCTTAGTTCTTCATTCACAAAATCTCAATTACGAAATTATGCTAATTTACAACAAGGTGAAACTCTTACTATAAAAGAAACAAAACATCAGCTTATAAACTACATATTAAGCAATATATGGGAACTAGAGAGATCTCAAAATTTAATTAACATCAATAGTAATATGGTGTTTCAATTCGAAAAGTCGGAATTCAAATTAATATTAAAATCTAGGAAATTGTTCAGTTTATTAAAATCTCATGGATTAAATTATGAAATCCTAAGTAAGAATAACCAATTAGCTATATCGGGATTAGAATCGAAACTTGGAATCATACAAAATGAGATACTATTAATCAAATCCAAAATCAGAAGTGACGAGATAGATCTAAGTTCGGTTTTCGAATATATCGTTGGTGAGAAGCAATTTATATTGGAACAAATTGAATATTATTCCAATTGTTATTTTGAATCCAAGGGAGACGGAAAATATGTCGTTTGGGGATGGAGCGATGATTGTATATCTAAAGCTAAACGTCTACTCCTTTGGTGTTTAAAAGATAATCCCCATATCAAAATGGAGACATTCAATAGAGATAAATTGGTAAATTGTGAGTTACAACCATTAAATGCTGATGAATTACCTTGGAATGAACGGAGTAAATTATATTTTTCTGTATGGAAGGAGGGGTTGAAGATTAATAAAGAGAATGATTTCTTATTTGATAAATTTGATAGAATCAGTGATTTAGAAGTAATCCAACAGAATACGGATTTAGAATTGATCGATTATAGATTCAAATTAAACGTTGAAGATGATAAAAGGACTGAGATGAATGATGATAAGGAATCTGACTTTTTGAATTTATTTGAAAAGATTGGATTGGGTGAGGATGCAAGTAAGGGTCAGGATGCATTCTCAGGAGATAAAGGGATGGAAGATTTAAAGAATGATGATTTTGATTTTTTGAAACTTGCTAATGATTTAAAGAAGGATGAAGAGAAAGATTTAAAGAATTTTGAATATGATGAGTTTGATTTCCTTGATAATGATAATGATCTTGACTTCCTCAAGGCAAATGAAAAGGAAGTAAGTGATGAGAAACAGTCAAAAGATAACTTTGATTTAACAAAATTAGCAAATCACAAAGAATCAGCAAATGGTCAAGAATTAAAAGATGATTCATTAAATGATTTACGTACACAATTGGGATTATTTGAAGATTTAGATACTAATGAATTTCCAGATATTGCTAAATTATGTGAAGATATAGAAAATAAATCACAAGATGATCATTTAAATGAATTAAGAACACAATTGACTAGTACCTCAACATTCGACATACCTGAAGAACCTAAAAAAGAACCAACTTTAGTATTAAAATATTTCACCAATGAGGAACTAATTAAGTTATACAACAATTTGAATGAAAACTTTACTGCCTCCTTACCTGGAGTAACTAATAAATTTACAACATTTACAATTCAATTCGGTTCATTAATCACCCAAAATGAAAATAATAAATTGGTCACTTTTGAAAACATACCGAAAATCACTCCCAATTCAATTTTTAAATTCTCACCAAAAGCACCATTTATAAATGATTTAGCAACTTCATTACCAAGTAAACTGAAAATACCATTCACAAGAAAATTTCAAATTAAACTCCTACCTTCCATCACTCAATCATTATCAAGTGGAGATTCATTAGATTCATATTTGAAATTTCCACCTGTTGAAATTCTTATTGGAGAAACTGGAAATAAGAAAATAGATTATAATTCAGTTGAAATTGTTTCCGTTGAGTCAATGAATCTTCAAAATATTTACTTAGAAGATCAATTTTCAGATTTACAAATATCAAGACAATTAATAGGAGATTTGAATATTAATGCCCAGCCTAATCTCGATCAATTTTTGAATGAAAGTCAGCTTAAATGGGGCAAATTTGAAAATAATATTTCTAATGAAATTAAATTATTAATTAATGGGAAAGAAGTAAAATATTCATATGTTGAATGGATAAATAAGACTGAATTTAAATTTAAATTTGAAAATAGAGATATTATACTAAATATGATAGATGGTGGAGAATTAGGAAATAAATCAATTGAAGTAATGATGGGAGAAGGTCAATTAACCAAAGATGAATTCGTCCAATTCTTTAATGATTCATTGAAATTTTTACAATTAATAAAATAAGATAGGTAGGGTTGCAATTAAATGCTAGAGACATGTAAATAAATAACTATATATATTCAGTTTTACTATTTTCTTTCTTCCAATGATTTAATATGTTGTTCTAAATTTGAAATAGAACTTTGTAAAGCTAAAACATCAGAAACAACAACAGTATTTGCTAATTTATATTGTTCCAATAGATAATAATAAGAGCCAATACCAGTAGTAGTTACACCCAATAAAAATCCAATAAATCCACCTCTAAAAGCGCCAATTTTTTTAGGTTTAGCAACAGGAGTTAACGGAGTGGTGGTTGTAGTTGATGCAAATCTTTTATTAGTTATTCTTGTTATTAATTGACGACTAAACATAATGTAAATGGAATAGTACTTGGTTATAAAAGTGTTGATAATTAACGATTTTTTTTTCCAGTGTAATTTTTCATTTGCTAGTTTAAAATTTGCACCCACGGAATAAAGATGTTTAAGAGGATCATATTACAACGGACTAGAAGTCATATGGCTATACGATGTGGTAATGGAAGGATGGTACATACTAGAAGTAAAGTTCAAAGGAATACTGTGAAAAAGTTGGTGGTTCCAAGTGTGATTATTGGTGCTACTGGTGGTATCATATATATTATAGATAATACATTATATTCAAGTTTATTAACAAGATCAATTAGAGCTATATATATATTATTATGGATAGCTTATCAATATGGTTATAACATTCAAAATTATGCATCAATCGAAGAATTACATGAAATTGCATCGGAATCGTTATTACAATTACTACTTGAAAATAAAGGATTATATATTAAAATAGGTCAAGCAATAGCTAATCAAGGTGAATTATTTCCAATAGCTTATCAAAAAAGATTTCAAAGATTATACGATAATGCACCATTTGATGATTGGTATAAAATAAACTCGACGTTATCCAAAAACCTCGGGGTTAATTATGAAACTCTTAAATTTGAATCTATTGATCATAATCCAATTGCAAGTGCATCCATAGCACAAGTCCATAAAGCAAAATTAAAAAATGGTGATTCTGTAGCTTTAAAAGTCCAACATCATTATATTAAAAATCAGATAGTTGTTGACCTATATGTTTATAAATTGATAACCAAGGTATATGAGAAAGTGTTTGATTTACCATTAAGTATGTTGACTGAATATGTTTCTCAACAATTACAAAAAGAGACTGATTTTGAACATGAGATGTCTAATTCAATTAAAATGAGTGATATAATTGCCTCTGATCCAGATTTGAATAATATTAAAATACCTAAAAATTATCCTAGTCTAACTACTAGTCAAGTATTGACTGCTGAATGGATAGATGGGATTTCATTAGTAAATAAGCAGGACTTAATTAACAATGGATATGATATTAAATTAATGATGAATCAATATATTAATCTCTTCAATAAACAAATTTTTAAATATGGTTTTATTCATTCAGATCCACATCCAGCAAATTTAAAAGTAAATAGGAACTCAAAAGGTAAACAACAATTAGTATTATTAGATCATGGATTATACATTCAATTAACACCAGGTTTCCGATTACAATATTGTCAATTATGGAAAGAAATATTTAGTTTAAACACCAATGGAATTTCAAAAATTGGTAGGAGTTGGGGTATTAATTCAATTGATTTATTTGCAACTTTGATTTCAATGAGACCTATAAATATTAAAAATGGTGATATTAAATCAGATACTAGAGATATTTCTGACTTATTAAAAAACTTCATTAGTGATGAATCTAAATTTCCAAGGGAGTTACCATTTTTAGCTAGGACAATGAGAATGATTCAAAATTTAAATCAAACTATGGGATCACCGGTAAATAGAATTAATTTATTAACTAATGAGGCTATAAATTGTTTATTTAATCAAAAACTATTATCATGGTTTGATTATTTTGATTTAATTAAAATTAAAATGAATCTTGTTATATCCAATTTGGTGTTTTATCTTATACGATTTAAACAATTTATATATAAAGATAAGAAGAATGTTAAAGGATTAGAAGATTATATAGAATTATATATGGCTAATACTGCCAAATCAATTGGTATAAATTGGATATGAAAATAGACGATGAAAAATGCCACCACGAAGTCGCCCTAGATTTAACACCAAACATTTCTCTCCGTGCCAATCTCGCCTGAATCTTGCACGAATAAATATTCGCTTTCAATATATACTTAATTTTTTTTTCCGATGCTCTGCTCTGTTTCAGAATTCATACCATGGATACATTAAAAACAACTTATAAATATCAAGAGTTTGATCCTATTTTTATAGGAGGCACAAGTGCTACAATATCTCTGAATGGTGAAATATTAGCAACTCCATTAAATGAAGATATAATAATAACGAACTTAAAAACAAATGAAATATTACATAAAATAGAAGGAGATGGTGAAACAATAACAAATCTTCAAATTACACCAGATGGAACAAGATTAGCAATAAATTCGTTATCCCAACAATTAAGAATATATGATTTAACCACCAACACACTTATAAAATCACATAAATTATCATCTCCAATCTATATGTCTACTGTTGATTCAATGTCTACTATTTTTGCATTTGGTGGTTCTGATGGTATTATAACAATATGGGATATTGAAAATAATTACATTACTCATAGTTTAAAAGGACATGGAAGTACAATCTGCTCATTGAAAATTTATGGTGAGTTGAATAATTTAAATAATTGGAGATTGGCAAGTGGTGACATTATGGGAACTGTTAAAATTTGGGATCTAGTAAAAAGAAAAGCTATTCATCTGTTGACTGATCATAATACGGCAGTTAGAGGATTAGATTTTAATCATGATGGAAGTTTATTTTTAAGTGGTGGTAGAGATTCATTTTTAATTATATATAATACGAAAAATTATAAAACGTTATATACGTTCCCAATTGATGAACAAATTGAAGCTTCAGGGTTTGTTGAAATACAAGGAAGGGAATTTTTCTACACTGGTGGATCAAATAATCTACTTAAAGTATGGGATATTGAAAGCGGTGACTTAATAATGAGTTCGAAAACACCATTGAAAACAAATGAAGAAATATTAATTAGTGATGTAATAAAACTCGAAAAGAATAATATGTTTTTAGTGCTTAGTGATCAAACACTCGTTGAAATGGAAATTGAAAATGATTCGGTGGTCGTTGTTAAACGTATAGCTGGAAATCAAGGTATTATTGCAGATATGAAATATTGTGGTCCTAATAAGTCATATATAGCAATGGCTACAAATTCACCAGCATTAAGAATAACAAATTTATCAAAACCTTTGGAATTGAAATTATATGAAGGTCATACTGATTTATTAAATGCTTTAGATGTTTCAAATGATGGATATTGGGTAGCAACAGCTTCAAAAGATAACGAAGCAATAATATGGAAATGGAATGAAAACATTTCCGACTTTGAATTATATACTAAGTTTCAAGGTCATGCTGGTTCAGTTTCTGCTATTAGTTTTAATAAATCAACTCAAGAACCTAAATTTTTGATCACTGGTCTGAATGATTTAACTATAAAGAAATGGAAAATACCAACTACCAAAACTCCAATTATCAAATCTTCAATTTTTACAAGGAGAGCACACGATAAAGATATTAATTCAATTGATGTTTCTCCAAATGATGAATATTTCGCAACTGCATCATACGATAAAGTTGCAAAAATTTGGAATTTTGATTCGGGTGAAATTTTAGCAATTTTAAAAGGTCATAAACGTGGATTATGGGATATAAATTTTTTCAAATTTGACCAAATTGTAGTTACTAGTTCTGGTGATAAAACAATTAAAATATGGTCATTAAAGACATTTAAATGTTTGAAGACATTTGAAGGTCATACAAATTCAATACAAAAAGTTCAATGGTTCAACACAATAAATAATCCACAGATAATTAGTTGTGGTGCAGATGGATTAATTAAAATCTGGGATTATAAAGCAGGTGAATGTGTTAGGACTTTAGATAATCATGATAATCGAATTTGGGCAATGGATGTGAAAACTGATGAAGGTGATCAATTCATAACTGCAGATGGAGAAGGTAGGATTAATTTATGGGAAGATAATACAATTGAAGAGATCAAACTCAAAGAATTAAAAGAAAAGGAGAAAATAGAACAAGAACAAACGTTATCCAACTACATTAACTCCAATGATTATCAAAATGCATTCCTTTTAGCATTAAATTTAAATCATTCTATGAAATTATATAATATAATTCAAAAATGTATCGAACAAAACACCGACAAGGATTCAATAATTGGTTCATTTCAATTGGAGAATACTATAAGTATGTTGAATAACGATCAGTTGATTTTGTTATTTAAGAAAATGAGAGATTGGAATATAAATTTTAAATTTTTCGATCAGTGTCAGAAACTAATGAGTGTTGTTTTGAAAAGGAAAGAGATGAGTGAATTGATTGAAATTCCTGGTTTGATTAAGGTTATTGATTCTATTATTCCTTATAACGAACGACATTGGGGTCGAGTTGAAGATATAGTTGAGAATTGTTATATTTTGGACTATACTGTTGAACAGATGAATAAATTGATTGCGTAAGGATGCTGTCAGGATGCTGAAATAGTCAGGATGCAGATAAAAGTAAGGATGCAAGAATAGAATCAGGTAAGGATGCCATGCCAAATCATTCATGACATTTAGACAATGTAATTAGAAATATATACTAATCATAATCTAACTAAAATCTTATACATACTCTGTTCATCAAAATAATTATTCAACAAAACAGTAAGGATGCCAACAATCAGCAACCATCAGTTTAAATATGATTTGAAATATATATTCATCATAATCTAACTAATTTCTTATACATATTCAGTTCATCAAAATAATTATTCAATTCATCTAGTGTAACATTCAATAAAACCAATTTATTATCCTCTAACAAAATATCTTTATTCGCAACAGTCTTACTTTCCATTTGAGCATTTAACATTGTCGAGTCAGTATTATTCCCAATTATAGGTACATCAACTAAAATACCCAAATTATATAATTTTCTCCAACTTTGAATTAATAATTTATTGGATTGGATTTTTTGACCAATATTAACTTTCATTTCAAAATTCAACGGATTATAATTTGATATATTATATTGTTTTAACATTTCTTTGTATTCTCCTAATGTTAAATTGAAATTAATTTGATTAAGCTCGAATTTTTTGGTCCAACGAGCTGCTGCAATGACTAATAACATTTCAATATGTGAAAATGATTGAATTAGATCTTGGAGATAATCATTACTACTTTGTTCTATGAAATTATGAAAATCCAATGGATTTAAAAATGGTTGATATTTTGATAGTTTCTGGACTGTGAATTTAAAAATGTTATTTAGTTGTTTGTAGTCTTTTATTGTGTAGTAATTTTGAAGTACCACCTTTTTTAAGAAACTTGATGGCATGTTATACAATTTATCTATATGATTATTCCATTCTTTGATATATTTCTGATCTATTGAGGTGGAGTTGACGAATAAGTTGAGTTTCACGTTGTTCCAGAATGTAACTAATTCATTTTCATGATTGATTACTATTATTCTTTGTGAGAATCTTGAACTTACTCTCTTTTCCAAAGATTCTCTTGCTGTTATTTTTGTAGTTAGTCCAATCACACATATTGGTGCTGAGCTATCTTGTGATAAATCTAATAAATTATATAATAATGTTTGTCTGTTATTTATTGTAAATCTGTCAAATTCATCAATTACGAAAATTAGTGGTACTCGATCTTGATCTCCTGATTTATTTAATACTTTTAAAATATTTGAGAATGTATCATTTATGGATTTTTTTTCAAATGCTGATGTGGTAGTTGAAACAATCTCTTCCTCCTCCTCTTCTTCTTCTTCTTCTTCTTCATTCTCTTTTGCTTCCTCATCCTTTTCTTGTACGTGATCGTTTTCATCTTCTTCATCTTCTTCTTCATCTTGTTCTTCTTCATCTTCTTCATCTTCTTCTTCTTCATCATCTTCTTCTTCATCTTCTTCTTGGATTTTAATATCTAATTGTCGAGCAATTTCTCTTAATGCAGAATTATCACTAGAATGAACCAAAGAATTCAAATAAATATAAATAAATTCATCTTTATACTCATTATTTAATTTTTCAATCATGTGGTTTATAATTGATGATTTTCCAGATGACCTTGGTCCAATCAATAAAACAGAATGAGATTCTTTATCACGTACTGTTTTTTCAACTAATGAATACATCTCTTGAAATTTTGAAGATAGGGTTGATTGATGTAGGTTTTTAAAATCTCCGTTTAATTGCCTTAGGATTTGTTTTTGCAATTGCAGAATATCTGATTCTGTATATTTTGGGCTGTTTTGATCTTGAAATGCTGATGTTTGTAGAATTGTGGATGATGGTTCAGTTTTAGTGATGTTTTGATTAAGTTTTGTTGATTCTGTAGTTACTTGTTGATGATTTGTAGGATCTTTTGAATTGGTAGTATCATGTTGATAATTTGTGGGTTCGTTTGATTTTGTAGTTACATGTTGATGATGATTTGTAGGTTCTTTTGTATTTTTAGCTAAATTTTGATTAACAGTACCATCTTTTGACTTTTTAGTAACATCTTGATCAAGTATATCATGATTTGAATTGATATTCTCAATTTCGGGAAGTTGTAAATCTTTTGTAATTTCATTCTCATTATTCAGATTTGAAGTTTTAATTGATACTTTAGTACCCTGTGGCCTGGTTTTTTTAGCAGGACTGGCTTTTTCTCTTCTTGGACTAAGTGATGATAAATTTCGATCAAGAAATTTAAGTCTAGATGGTGATGAGTCAACTGAAGGTGGATTAATCACGTTATTTTTGACTTTATTGTCGTTTTCTTCATGATCGACTGTATCAGCTGTTGGTTTCCTAGTAACATTCCGATTAATTGTAGCTGTAGTTGACTCTGTAGTAACATTTTGAACAACAGTTGCATCGTTCGATTTCGTAGCAACATTTTGATTATTCGTTGATTTTGGAGCAGTATTTTGATGAACTTTATGATCTTTTGATTTCCCAGTAACATTCTGATCTACATTATCAACTTTTGATCTGAGATCTTTGATTTCTGGATGTTGTAGATTCTTCGTACCTTTACTTTCATTATTATTAGTCAGTATTGAAAACGGATTTGGTATTTTAGGTGAATTAGTTGAATTCAGTTGTTGAAAAGTTTTAGTAGAGCTAATTTTTCGCCTTTTAGGACTCAATGATGATAAATTCAGTTCAAGAAATCGAAGTCTAGATGGTGATGAATTAATTGAAGGTGAATTTACTTTACCATGACCATTGTTTGAGTTGTTAGTGGTATTATCAATTGATTCAGTTTCTGCATTCTTTAATTTCTGCAAAAATGAATTATTATTCGGCTTGGATCTCTTGTTATTATCATTACCATTACCATTATTGAATATGTTACTTTCATTTTTATGTTTAATGCCTTTCGTGGGTGTTGAAATTGGTGATAATTTGGGAGGTACTATTTTAGTTTGAGCTGAGTTTAATGAATCTTCGTTATTTTTATTGTTAACTTGTTTATCATTATCACTGATTCTAGAATCTCTCATTTATATCAATTTAGCGATATTTTCTAATTCCATAGAATAGTTTAACGTGAAACAAATTTTCAGAATTATTATGTAATTATACCGCTTCTGATTATATAATTTATGATGTCGTGTAACGCTCGCTAAATGTTTATATGCAGTTCACCATTCGCAAATGCACACTTCAGGATCAACACTAATATAATACTATTTAAACGAGGTTAAAACCTTATTATACGATTAAAATGACAAGTATCATCTGTTTAACGAAATATTGGTAATCTAAACGTTTTATGCAGAATCATCCATCAGGCATTAATAAAATTCCAATCTAAAACTACACAATTTTATTATTTTTCACTAAATTAGTAATTTGGGACCTGTTGTTGTAAATTAATGCATCAAATTATGCATAATTTTAAAGTTTCACGGATTACAAATAATTTGAGGTACAGAAAAATTTTAAACGAAAGAGATATAACGATATGCTTCGTATTGGATTACTTTTTACAACTACTTACTAATCTAGAATTGAGGATACTATACAATGTGATTAAAATCTGAACAAAAAATAGATCTAATTCAGGGTCCCCTTTTTATTTCTTTTAGATTCAAATCTCAAGATACGAGATTTTAAATCTCAACAATAAAAAAATGAGAAAAAAAAAATAAAAAAATGTGACTTTTTAACTTTGATGATACACATTAATTAATTCATGTGTAAAGATGATTAAATATTTATCATTACGAAATTGTTTATTTGTTTATATATTTCGTTTGAAATTTAAATTCAAAGACAATTTGTTTTGATTATGTCGAAATCTTCATCACCATCATCTGAACCTTTTACTTCATCAGATTCCCCATGTGTGTTACATGAAATTGTATCAAATAGATTCAATCGTACTACACATGGTAATATTTATGAAAAAGATTATAAAGATATATTTGCAATTTTGATTATCAATTTAAATTTAAATTATAATAATGATTCATCAAATACTTCACCGGAATCTACTAGTAGGTTAAAATTTAATAAGTCAAATAAATATCCATATTCATTTCATTTATATTCTGCTATTAATTGTATGAAAGATTTAAATTTAACTATTGAATTAGTTAAAACAGTAACTTGTATTTCGTATAATTTTAAACCTGAAATTTCATTATCATTAATTAATCAATTTTATAATTCAAAATTTTTGCATTCACCAGCTGATAGAACAAGAGATGAACCAAAATCAAATGTATTATTGCAACCTACTCCAAAAGGAATTGCCATAGTTCAATTATTTTGTGAAAGATATGGTTTACAATTTACAAATTTACCTGAAATAGTTTTACAAAAAAGTTTCAATTCAATGGATTTATTCACATTTGAAAAAGATCCATTTACTGATAAGATTTTATATTCTGAATATTTTTTACATTTATTGTTTAGTAAATTAATGGGACCAAAACCAAATGTCTGGAATTCTTCAAATAAACCAGATCAATTAACTAAAGTATATAATTTTCAAAAATTAAACAATTTAGAAGATCAATTAATCAATGATACTTTTTCACTTACATCTACTAATAAAACTATAGTTCAAAATAACAATAGTCTTAGTTTTAATTTTTCAGAATATAGAAATTCAACTGATTTAAGTAATCCCCCAGATATTTCAAAATTAAGTTTAGTGAATAAAAATGAAAGTGATATTAGTCCTTATCATCATAGATATTTTACAAATCCAGAATCTGATTCTCATATTCAATATTATACTTCATCAGTTGGTGTTAGATTGTTGAAAAATAAAACATTTCAAGTTGAAGATGATAAATTTAGAACAGTTGATTATTGTATGAGTGGTAAAGCAATATGTCAATGGTTATTAGATTGTACTGATATAATTAATGCAAAAAGAACAACTGAAATATGTGAAGTTTTACTTAAAATGAACTTATTCAAATCAATAAATAAATCAAATACAGCATTTAAAAAAGATCAATATTATGAATTAACTAAAGTTGGTTTGAAGATTTGTTCATGGGGTAAAAGTTCAGAAACGACCAAAACTAAATTTCTTTCGCCCGATTCTAATTATCAAATTTCAAAATTAACCTTGAATGAAATTGTTCATGATCCAGGTCTAAGATTTCAATTTAAAAGGTATCTTGAGGAAAATTTCTGTTCTGAGAATTTAGATGCTTATATTAGTTTGACTCAATTTGAAAAGAAATTTGAACTTTGGGAATCATTATTTAAACAACAACAACAACAAGATGAAAAAGTAATTGATGAGCAGAAGTTGATAACTTTACAAAATATATGCATGTCAAATGCATATCAGATATTCAATACTTTTTTGAATAATGAATCTCCATTTATGGTTAATATTGATCATAAATTAAGAATTAAAATTATTAAAATAATGACAAATCATAAAAATTTTGAGCCTTCACAAGATTTGGAAATTGATAATTCAATATTTTTGAGAACGCCAACTGATGATATCATAGTTGAAGAAGAAGAAAACATTATTGAGAATAAACTTGACTATAAACTGAATCATGTATTAAAAGAAGTTGCTGAGATTTTCCTTCAAATATGTAATCATTTATATCGTTTGATGGATGCTGATTCTGTACCAAAATTCTTGAGTAAATTTCGTTAAATACATGCTATGTTGTATATTCATGATATAATGCAAAATGATTCAATTTTTCGTTCCTTCTATTACACATTACCTTTCTATTGTATTGGTTCCAAAGTTGTACCTTTTTTAATTGTAGCCCAACCTATTAATCGCCAATGTTTTTCAATTCTTCTTGATAAGGCAATTTTTTCATTAATTTCTGTACATGCTGGTGATGTCAATTGTAATCTAGCCATATCAGCTTTAACAGCAACAACTCTAGCACCAGTTGCAGTTGAACCTATATTAACCATTATAACTTCACCAACTTCTAATTTACGAACTTTAGCGCCTTGTTTTTGACCTTCAGTTTTAACACCTAATAATCTTCTTAATAAAAAGTAATTAATTTCAATATCACTATAAATTGATGGTAAATTACCTTTTGCTCCAACAACTTGACCAACTAATCTATCTCCTCTACATAATGTTGGATCAACTTTTGTACCAATACCAATTAATCCACCAGGAACAGCAAATTTCAAATCATTATGTTCTGCCAATAATGAAACAATATTTGAAAAAATTGGTTTGCATTGAATTTTACCTTGTTCATCTTTTGTTACAATACCTGGTCTAATTTCTATTTCATCACCAATTTTAAAAACACCAGTTAATATAGAACCACCAGCAACACCACCTTTTAATTCTTCAATTTCAGCACCTGGTTTATTAACATCAAAAGATCTAATAACAATTAATTTAGGTGATGCTTGAAAATCTCTCATTGGTACCGGAATTGAATTTACAATAAATTGATTAACTGCATCAATATTATATTTTAATTGTGCAGAAATTGGAACTATTGGTGCACCATCAGCAATAGTACCTCTTATAAATTGAACAATTGATTTTTGATGTTCTAATGCCGATTCTTCTCTCAATAAATCAACTTTATTTTGTAAAATTATAACATGTTTTAATTTCATAATTTCTATAGCTGCTAAATGTTCTGAAGTTTGTGGTTGTGGACAACTTTCATTTGCTGCAACTAATAATAGAGCAGCATCCATAACTGCAGCTCCTGACAACATTGTACTCATCAATATATCATGTCCTGGACAATCAACAAATGATACATGTCTTAATAAATTATAACGACCATCACAACCTGGACGTTGACATTTTGGATGAACTTCTTTATCTGATTTGAAACTTCTATAACAATCTGGTTCTGGACATTCTTCATTACTACATTTATAAATTTTTGCATTTGCATAACCTAACTTAATAGTAATATTTCTTTCCAATTCATCTTTGAAACGGACAGTTTGAATACCAGATATAGCTTTAACAACAGTTGATTTACCATGAGCAACATGTCCTATAGTACCAATATTTATAGTTGCTTGTCTATTTATGATTTCTGGTGATAATGGAGTTAATTCATTAAAATTTGGATTTTCTGGTTGTTCAGGTAATCCGCCACCTTCTTCAAATTCTTTTCTTGCTAATTCTTCTGCTTTTTCATTTTCATCATTTAAACCTGCAAATGCAACTGATTTTTTGGTTTTGATATTATTATCTTGTATTTCTTCATTATTTTGTAATTCATGTTCATTTTCATTTTCACTTTCTATTTCATAATCTTCTTCTTGATCATCAATAGTACTTCCAATTACAATATCAGGAGTAGCATTTTCAATATCGTCGTATGACATATTTAAATTATAGTTCTATTAATTATAATCTTAAAAAATTTTTCAAAATGATTCAAAAAAAAAAAAAATAGAAAAATTTGCACGACGATTAAATTCTGAAACATTTATTAACCAGATACTGTGAATAACTACTCCCTTGATAATTAAGCTCTGGCTTTAAAACTCACTTCATCGTAATTTTCAGCTAATTTGGAGCTTACTGATATTAGTAAATATTCAAAAATATATAATTCTGGTCGCGTATCCACTTGTCTAAAAATTGAGAAGACCTGTTCAGTTAAAACATAATCAGCACTTAAAGCTCGTTTAGCGACTTAAAAACATCTTATCTGCTTTTGGTGTCAAAACCGCTATGAATTATGCTTTATTTAAGTTCATGACGTTTGTTATTTAACGAGCAATGGAAGATTTTAGTATTTTAGAAGATGATTGCAAATTACAACTTAGATAAAGCCTTGTAAGCTCAGTTAAGATGCCAGCAGTTCTTCGAATGAAAGCAAGATAACAATTATAAGCAATTTGGGTACGTATATACATTAGTTTGGAAAAGCTCAATTTGACCTGAAGTTATTACAATTGAAAAGTTAGCTAATTTTACTGTGTAAAATGCTTACGATACAAGTTAGGCAGCTGTCAATCAACGTATTTAAGATCTAAGATAGAAGAAGATTGGATAATTCTCTTAATTCCCTTATCTATATTTGCAACACAACAGTGTTGACAAATTCACAGAGTTGATTCAAGAAATCATTAGAATACTAAAGTTAAGAATTGATCTTGTGATAAATGGTTATTGAATTCTAGTCAAATTAAAGTTCAATTTTCGAAATTCTGTGCGTTAATGGATTTTCATTCTGGGGATGATTAAACAACGTGGTTTGTTGCGTATCATGAAATACTAGAGGTTCAAGTATATAATACAAAATGGCAAGTTTGACTGTCCAAATTTTGATAATTTTATTTAAATTTAAATAAAACTGTCACTATTTGTATATGAACAATAACTATATAGAAAAAAGCCATTGTGTAGAATATACGCATTTGATAATTGATGATTACACCGTGTTGAAAGCTCACTTTTCGAATTTTAGGTACTGGTATTAAAATTAGCACGGGATCAACACCGGCTTCGCCCTGAGTGAATAAACATTTTAGCCGAACTCTCACTCTACGTAGTTGAACGTTTACCGATCCAATTTAGAAAAATTCTGCAAGATTCAAGACTTATATATAGTCTTATGCCAGTTTATCTCACATTTAATTTGTTAATTACTCCCTCAACAGTCAAGCTGTAGTTGTCAAACTTCTTTTATTAAAACTTCATTTGATTCGGATTAAACTGAAGTAAAAATATATGCTGATCTACTTATTACTTAGATAGAAAATGGAGAAAAACGTAAAATTGCAAGATAATCGCTGCTTAGAGTTCATTTGGCAACTTCCAAACTAATTCATCTGGCTTATTATCTCTGAATATGCTTTGCGTAATGTTTTTAAGAAACCATAATCGTTTTGAAATTTTTGCAAAAATTTCGAACCATATTTGAAAAATTAAATTGTCAATTTTGAATACCTTAACACAGAAAATTTCAAGATTTATCAGCTTACAACATCTACAAAATTGGATTGTATTGTCTTGTCTCTCTTTTTTCACGAATTTCACTGGAGTTGAATGTTTTGTAAGGTCAATATATTCGAAGTTCTCCATACTTGAGAGATAATTTCGCAATTTCTCGATTTTAGCTTATATCAAATTTAATTAAGTCAAGTACTTTATTTTGAGGCGTAGTATATATATTCCATTGTTTAACTGGAAGTTATGGCCCTAAATAAGATATACTCTTCGTTTTCATTTTTGGCAAATTTTTTGTATGGTGAAAAGAGCCCAAAAATCCAAGTTGAAAAATAATTGTCCTAAATTTGTTACTTGAAATATATAGAAGATATAATTCAAAGGTCCTGATTTCATTAAATTGATATTTTTCTCGAGAAAAATCCGTGTTCATGATATATAAGCCAAAACCAATTGAGTTTAGTACGAGTCGCCCCCAAAATTACGCGAGAAATGATTCAGTCACGCCAAGTTAATCGCTTCGAAAAATATCAATAATAGATCTTTTAATTTGTGTTATATATTTAACTATGTATGAAATCCAAAATCATTCATTACACTATCAACATCTCTCCATAGCATATCATGATCAAATTGATTCATATCTAAACTATCCAACCCCATTTGATTCGGAGATTCAGTAAAATTATAATTCGACTGACTAGGTACTTGTTGATTTTGATTCTGATATTTAGGTAAATATGAATTAAATTGATATATAGGCTGTACATTTGAAACTTGAGGTTGTAGGAAATCAGTCTCAAGATTAGAAACAATAGGTTCATTTGCTTTTTGTTTCGATTCAATTTTATTAGTCATTGGGGAATTACTATTCAGTTTAAATTGTGGTGATGAATCATTTGAAGAATTAACAACTTTAAATATTGAACTTCTTTTATTTGAATTAATTGATATTGGTTCTGGATCTAATGGAATCGTTCGTATAATTTTCCTAGCTTTTGATTCTGCATCAATTGTATTTGATAAACTTCTTGTTTTTCTTGCCCTGCCGGAAGATGTAGTACTTGCGGGAGTTGATTTTTGACTTGATACATTTTCTTCAATTTGTTTCTCAATTTCTTCTTCTTCGGATTCATTTATTGCGTTTTCATCATTATTTTCATCTTCAATATCATCATCTACTGAATTTGATTCATCTGTTTTTGTATTCAATTTAGTCATTCCTACTTGAGTTCTTAATAAATTTAAACAATCAAAGAAAACAGAAGCTGACATTCTGTTCCTTATGTCTATGCTTAAATTGTTTACTTTCATTTTATCCAAAGTAATAAACAATTGCCACATATTTTTCGTAATTCCACTTGATCTAAATGCCATATCGTGTTTGAGTATTGATGCTTTAGCTGTTAGATTAATTACTGCTTCATAGCTCAGTTTTCCTTGTGTTGTATTTATGAAATTTTTCAAATTTGAATGAGTAAGTTTCCCAATTATAACTCCAGCTTGCCATAAATTTAATAAATGGACCCCTGGTAAATATTTAACAAATTTGACATTTTTAGATTGACAAAATTGCGTATGTTCAATCAATGTAATTGCGGCATTATATAATTTAATTAACCCATTTTGTAATTCAAATTTGGGAACATTTGACGAATCCATGAAATAATAACTTAATAAATGAATTCTCGTAGAATATATTTCAAATTTTCTAAAACCCACATCTTGTTCAGATAACTCAGATTGATATTTAATTTCCAATTCATCTAATCTTGATCCTAATAATTTTAATAATGGTAATCTTTCATTTGAATCAATTAATCCACAAGGATCCACGGGGTTTGAGTTTAATGATTTTGACATTTGATCTTCGAAATGGGTAATTTCAAGCATGATTTTAAGATTCTTTGGAATTTTTATATCACTACCTGGTCGATTATGAAATAATATACTTGAATCAAATTGAACACATGCAGGAAATCCAAAAGCAGTTGCAATTGTTTGACTTGCAATATTACAAACAACCCAAGTTTTAATCTGTTCTGTTATCATAGTCAATTGTTGTGGGGTTTTATTTTGTTGTTGAATAGATAATGCCATTGAATTATGTTTATGTGACATTTTAAAATTCAGTAATGGAGAATGTAAACCAATTCTAATAGCTTGATAAAATGCAGTCCCCACTGTATTATATGATGAATCTGCACTTAATGAAGATGTAATTGGTGGCCAATATGAATATAATAAAAATGCTTGTACTGAATAAACTGAAGAAACATTGAAGATCGGTTCATCTTCTTCTGTGGGATTATATCTTGTTATTGGAGATATCATAATTTCAGCCAAGATTCCTTTTACAATAGGTGATAATTGAATTAATAATTGTTTTGACGTATCTTCCTGAAATCTACGTAATGAAATAAACATAATTACCCAAAATAATGCAGGACATAACTTAAAAATACGTTCTGGTCCTTTTAAAATATCAACTACTGGTAATATAGGATGATACATTTCAACATATTCAAGATATAATGATTTTATAGTTTCAGATGATAGGGAGATTGTGTCGAGTGATTTTTCTTCACAGTATAGTATTTCTTGAGGTAGATCTTGTACTGAAGGTATTGTTTCTGTAACATTTTGCTGTATTGATTCTTTGATTCTATGCGAGCTTTTAGTTTTAGGTTGCGATAGTGGTTGTGGTTGTGGTTGAGGCTGAGGTTGAAAATTTGGATTATAGTTTGACTCAGTACCTGGCGCTTGCTGTATTAAATGTTGTTGATTTACTTCTTGTTTTATTTTACTTAAATCATTTCTCATTGAAATTTCATTATTTGCATTGGCTAAAGAAGGAAATTTAGCCAATAACTCGTCAGCTTGTTGGTGATTCAATCTCTTCTTCAATTCTTGAAATTCTTTTTCAATTTGAGCTATTCTTGCCCTTTTATAAGTTCGTTTATAATCTGATTTTAAATCACATTTTAATCCCTTTTTCTGACATCTTGTACATGGATTAGGTTGTTTTTCAAAAGCATCACACCGAGATTTTTGTTGTCTACATTCAACACAAGCCATTCGCTTGGATTTAACTGATTTTGATGTCTTTTGATTTGAATTTGAAAATGGGGATGGGGATGAAGAATTTGCAACCACGGGATCATTTGAATTTAACATCATTGGAGACTGACTGTTAACTTGATCATATATATTATACAGTAAATTGTTATTATTTGAATTTGAATTTGAATTTGAATTTGAATTTGACATATTACTTGCAATTTGAACAAGGCTATCTAATGAGCTTCGATGTTTTTCGGTTTCTTTTTCCGTAAAATCTAGTAAATTGTTAGAAGGTAAAGTCATATAATTATTGAGCTACTTTTACTAATAATAAAGCTTGATATGATGATAACTGTAATGTTTCGTGGATATTATTGATGATTATTTGTTCTAAAACGGCATTAGTTTTAAAACCTTCTTTTATTTTTTTTTTTTTTTTTTTTTCTTTCCTCGTATAATTTGTTACTATTATATGCAACACTTGTTTTTTGCACCCAATACCAATATTGTAATTATTAAGACTTTAGAACATGTTGGTCGTAATAGTTGGGAATACCAGTAAAGGCAGCTTCATAGAAGTGCTTATATTTGCTAAATTTAAGCAAATCGAACTAATTCTCTTGATTTTTGTTAAAAATTGACGTATTTATGATGAAATCAGAGTGTTCAATATAAAATCCAATCACAATCACAGTAGTATGTATTATAAACTATATCTAAACTTTTTATTTGTCTAACCCCAACACCACATACCATTAGATATCCAATCCAATTCATATTCAAAACTTTTACTACCAAATTTTTTCAACATTGGTAAAACACCAACTTGTTTAGCAGCATCAGTTATTAATTCACATCTATATTCTTTTTCTTGTTTTTCATTTTCTTGTTTTTTAGCTTCTTTATGTTCTTCCGAAGCATAACTTGAAAAAGGTAAATAATTGATAAAAAAATCTTGCATGATATTATCTGGAATTTCATCAGGTAAATCATTTAAAGAAATATAAACATTATTAAAAACTTTACCTCTATTCTTTGCATTATATAACGCAGCACTAATTAATAAATCTAAATCTTGAAAATTGTAACCTCCAAGTTCATTTAAGCCAGTAAACGAAGAACCTCTTCTTCTATAATTTCCAGATTGATTACCTTGATATTGAATTTCACCCATTCCAATAATGAAAAATTCTCCTTTCAAACAATTCCATAAAATATAATGTGATTTTTGTTGTAAATCATTAGTTAAAATTGCTCCTTTAATATTTGAAAATTTTTTAGCTGTTTCACTTCCAGCCATACCATTTTCCATAATTGAATTCCATTGATAATGTAAAAAATCAGGTTTAATTGAAAATTTAGAAATTGTTTGATTTTGAGCTGATGATTTACGTGCATTACCTTGTATATTTGGTTGATTTGATTCTGTAATTGATGATAATGCATGATTAGAACCCAATCTAGACATTGACAAGATTGTAGACATGTTAGTTAATGAAGTACTTGATCTTCTATCAGATTGTAAATCAGAATGGAAAAGTAATTTATTTAATTCAGTCAAGATTTCTAATTCTTTAGTTTGAAGTATGAATTTAATTATATTTAAATCTTCTTCATTATCACTTAATAATAATTTCAAATGTTTACCATGATGTGAATCTGGATTCTCTACTAATTGTTTAATTATATCTTCTTGACCTTCAGATAATAAACCAGTTGGAATTTTATAAAAATCTAATGGATAAGATTTAAATCCAAATCTTTCATAATATGTATTTACCCCAGAATATAAATACCAAACATATTCTTTAGATAAATAATAATTAGCCAATTGAGGATCTACATGACCTGTAGTTTCATCAATACACATTTTTTTAAAATTATCATCTCCGAGATCTAAATGTTTCTTGATTATATTTGACTCAGTAGATTCGATTGCTTTAGATACAACTTGTCTAGCTAGTCCTTTAGATCTATATTTTTCATCAACAAATACAAATGAAACTAATAATGATGTAATATGTTTAATTCCAAATGATGAAGGATCTGGTACTGATGAAATAGCATGCAGTTTATCAGCAGGTTTAAACAATGATTTTTGATGTTTAATAATTGTAGATGCTATAACCTTATTAGACGATTTTTCAATAATACAAAATGTTTCACTAATTCCACCTTGTTCTAAATAGTTTAAATGATTGGAAGTACATATTTTACTAAAATTATCAGCACCTAAAGGACCACTCCATTGAGAACCACATAATAAATAAACTTGTGATATAATATTTGAATCATTAATAGTTGATTTAAATTCAAAATTAGCATCAAGCAGCATTATTAATAGTCAATTGTTAATAGTATTAATAGTCAATTGTTAATAGTAGCAATACGAAAGACGAAATGTTGCAATTGGTGATAAATTTATACCCCATACATTAATATTACGTAATAGGTCATTTTATATCGAGCACGTGATTTCACCGTATACTTGGACCAAGAGATCTTGTTTATACTACTATTAGACGATCATACGATTGAATGCATAGGAACTTTGATGATCAAATTAGGTTTAAAAAACTGTTCAACTTCATTTGATAGCTTCTACTCTTTCTCTTTTACTCGAAATGTAAATCTACCGCACTAGAAACCGCTCCGAGATGAGAAAAACTCGAGATAACTGGTATCAGTCAATAGAGTTAGTATATACTTCTTTTTATATAAGAGAACAGCACTCACACAAACTACTTTGGTTGAAAGTTTAATTGTAGTTTCATGAACAATATAAAATCGATTCCGGAAAAGTGCAATTGGTAGCGAAACGAAAATAAAAAATATATCAATACCATATTGGAAAATAATCGTAAATTACTGCTCAATTGATAATGTCAAATAATAGTAATAATAACGAAAATGATAATAATAACAACAATCAAAAACCTGCATTATTTGCAATACCACAGTCTAAAAGAGGAATAAATGCGGTACAGATAAATCAAGCGAGAGAAATGGTAAAAATACATACTCAAGCTCGACTCCCCATAAATAAAAGAGATCAGCAATCACAATCTCAGCCACAAGTTCCTAAACCAGCTGGTTTCAACAATGTATCTATTCCAAATCATGAATCAAAATGTAATAATCCTCAATGTGATCATTGTGGACAAATAATTATCCCTTCGCCACGCTCATCATTCCCTATCCAAGATAAACCATCGATTTGTATAAATGATTGGGAAATATATACAATTAAAAAACCAATTTTAAATAGTGTTGAATTGGATAATCTTGAATCAAGATTTGATTTCCCCTTACCTGAAATGATATTTGGAAACAACTTAGTAAGAATTATAAATAAGGAAAGTAAGGAGGAAATTCATTTTAATGCTTTAGATGCGTTGGATTCATTAGATTCGGAATGTGAATTTAAAGTTTCATATCATGAAGAATGGTTAAAGAGTAGAAAATCCCAAAAAAGTAAAATTAAATCCGAAACATTAAATAAAAAAGATTTGAGTGAGTTTACGGAAAATTTAGACATTGTAAAACCATTCGATTGGACATATTCTCCAAATTACAAAGGTACACTCACGAATCTAGTGTTGAGAGAAAAACAGGGGTTAGAAATACCAATTTCAAAATTGACTCAACCCGATCCTATTTTATTTTTTGATGAGAGTATATTATTTGAGGATGAGTTGGCAGATAATGGTATTTCAATATTTAGTACTAAGATTAGAGTTATGCCTACTTGTTTATTATTATTAAATCGTTTCTTTTTAAGAATTGATAATGTTATTTTTAGAATACGAGATACGAGGATTTTCATAGATTTTGGTACGAATGAATTAATTAGAGAATATAAAGAACAAGAATTAGAATATGATAAATTATTAAAGAAATGTATTAATTGTATTAATTCAAATGATCCAAAGAAATTATTAAGAGATTCAAATTGGGTTTCTCAAAATATCCCGGTGATAAAAAGAATAATAGAAAGTAATAAATGAGAAGACTAATAGAGAATATATATTCAACACAGTCGATCTTTTAACTATATATATCTTCTTTCTTTATCAAGCTCTTTGAACTTCCATGTATAATTGGTAGCATTTTTTATTTATATCTGCGCTACCTGAATAAAAATTTTTCAAAATCTATCTATAATAGTATTCAATGTTTAAATCAATAACTAGAAATAGTCAACGAATAAGGATTAATTCCAGATCAATACATACAATTCCAAAATTAGAACTACATGATCAATGGAAAACCAACGGACTCTCCAACCTTTTTTCATCTCAAGGTTATACTGAATCTTGGATAAATTTTCAAAATTATTTACTTACCAATTTAACATTATTAACAAATGGGACAGGAAATGAAACAAAACATCCATTTCAAATATTATTAAACACGGCGAAGCAAAGCACAAAACAACATATTTTTCATTTTGCAAGTATGGCATTTAATAATCATTTTTTTTATCAACAATTAACCAACCAAGAAATAGCAAAAGAGACAAAACCATCAAGATTCTTAATGGAGAAATTAATACATCAAGATATTGATTCTTTAGAAAGTTTGAAATTGAAAATGAATAATATAATTATGAACTCTAATGGTCAGGGTGTTTTATTCTTAGTCGAATCTAAAGATAAATCATTACAATTTTTAAATTGCTCTAATGATGGTACTCCTTTCTATTATGGAAAGAATCAAATTTTAGATTTGAATGGTGGGATTGATGAACATACTTTTAAACAATTGGAAAATTTAAAACAAAGGGTAAAAAATGGCGATTCTGATTTTAATTTACCTATTTTGGCTATTTCTTATTGGGATATTATGTATATTCATGATTTTGGAATTAATGGTAAAAGTGAATATTTAAATAAAGTTTGGGATTATATAAATTGGGATATTGTAAATAAAAGATTATTCCAAGTGTAAATAGTAAATTCAATAGATAATAATAAATCTTCATTTGTATATGTATTTGAAATCTAAATTACTCTAGTGTCCGTGATTGATTCAGATTTCTGTGCTATACGTAATAGAGCTATTTGTAGACACTTATTACTAGAACAGAGCTGTTGGTCTTCCATTATACGACACTAGTATCAGGTGGCCATAACGCTAAAGCGATAATTTGTTTTGTCCCGCCAGGTCATCGCATTAAATAACTCGAACTAAAAAATATAATTCTGAAACAAATTTCTCTTATATGCAAACTCACAATGGTTCATCATAAAACTTAAATTGCAAATAACTCCCTCAATTCTCAAGACATAACTGTCAAACTTATTTTGATACAACTTGAGAAAATCCATATTATATTGACATTAATATATTGTAATAAAACTCAATACTGATCAGTTTATTACTCATTGAAAAAAAGCAAAAAAACCCAAAATTTACAAGATAATCAATACTTAGACCTCATTTTGCAGCCTCTAACATAGCTGATTTGGTTTATTCAACCTGAAATATCTTTTTATTGTGTTCTTAAGTTGCCATATCCGTTTTGAATTTTTTTCAAAATTTCCAAACCACTTTTGAAAAATCAATATTCCATTCTTTAATACCTTACCACAAGCCAATTCAAGGTTGTCAGTGTACAAGATCTACAAATTTCAATACTTTCATTATTTTTTCATCTCGATTTTGATTGTGGGGCTGGATTTCTCGTAAGGTCGATTTATTCAATATTCCCCATACCTAAGAGAAAATTTCGAAACTTCGAAATTTCGAAATTTTTCAATTCTAGCTGAAACCAACTGAAATAAAGTTTAGTATCATTGATTGAAGTACAATGTGTAATATCCGTCGTTTATTCGAAGGTAGTGGGCCAAAATAAGAAGGTACATTCATTTTTTGAAAAACATTTGTATGATCAAAAATGGCCAAACTGACAACTCGAAACAAAAATGTTTAAATTTTTAATATTGATATATGTATTATATATAATTGAAGAGTCTTGATTTTATATGAATGGTCTTTAGTTCGTGCAAATTAAATGATCATGAATTATAAGCTAATGAGTTTAGTACGAGTCGCCCTATAGGTGGTGCGAGAAAATATTTTGTCGCGCCAGTTCTTATGCATGGAAAATTTATTAGAAACAATAGTGAAAGATTCTACTAAAACCGTAAATAAAACTGAATGACATTACATCACCATTTATATATTCTTTCAATTCTCCTTAAATCCTAGTCTCATGTTTAAATAGCTAAGTCACAATAATTAATTAACATTTATTTGCAAAGGCTTTTAAACTTTGAACTTTTCCAGGTTCTGACTAGTGTATATCTCAATAGTTAATAACTATTCCAGGTTCTGACTAGTGTGTATCTCAATAGTTAATAAACTATTCCAGGTTCTGACTAGTGTATATCTCAATAGTTAATAACTATTCCAGGTTCTGACTAGTGTGTATCTCAATAGTTAATAAACTATTCCAGGTTCTGACTAGTGTATATCTCAATAGTTAATAAACTATTCCAGGTTCTGACTAGTGTATATCTCAATAGTTAATAACTATTCCAGGTTCTGACTAGTGTGTATCTCAATAGTTAATAAACTATTCCAGGTTCTGACTAGTGTATATCTCAATAGTTAATAAACTATTCCAGGTTCTGACTAGTGTATACCTCAATAGTTAATAAACTATTCCTGGTTCTGACTAGTGTATATCTCAATAGTTAATAAACTATTCCAGGTTCTGACTAGTGTATATCTCAATAGTTAATAAACTATTCCAGGTTCTGACTAGTGTATACCTCAATAGTTAATAAACTATTCCTGGTTCTGACTAGTGTATATCTCAATAGTTAATAAACTATTCCAGGTTCTGACTAGTGTATATCTCAATAGTTAATCATCTCTTGTTCCCATCATCTATTTCAAGAGCAGCTACCACTTGAAAACAATTTATATCTCAATGGTTAACAATTCTTTATTTGTATAAGCTTTCAAACTTTCATCATTTAATATCGACATATAATATTCCAATTTCTGATTAATTTCATCCGATCTTTTCATAATTTCATTACAATCTTTATCAGTATACCAATTAATAGGCAAACTTAATATCATCAAAGGTAACAAATGACATAACTTACGAAGATATCCCCATTTTTTCACAAGATTCATAAATTTTAACCTCACACCAACCATTGTTTCTTCTTCTTCAGGGATTTGCAGTTCTTTAAATTCGATATATTCATGATTGAGCTTCGTCAACTCTTTGGATAGATTCCGACTAGTCTCAATTAAAGGTAGGATAGTCTCATTTATGATTGAATAATTGTCATATTCGTAAATTGGTTCACTTCGTTTTTTTAAAATTTGAAACAATAGACCCTCTTTGAGATCATACATTTCATTCAAAGAATTTTGTATGTTTTTTTCTGACGAGTTTAGATTATTCTGATGGATTGATTTTAATATTGGTTGACTAATTAATAAATAATGATTTAAGAATTTATTTATTTTAATTTCATTGTTTTGAATAGTTAAAAAATTAAATAATTCTTCTGAGTTGTCTATATTCATTTCTTGTTTTATTTGTGATAATTGTTCATCTATTTGAGTTTGAGGAGTAGTTGATAATCGTTTAATTTCTGTAATATATATTAATTTGTTTAATTTATGAGTTAATTGACAATATAATTGATAATATTTTGATTCTAATTGATCTATTTTTGGATGTTTATTACTAGTTGTTGTTGCTGCTGTTGATTGTATAGTTGGTATACCATAATTATGATTTAATATATTACTCGTTTTTAATAGTTTATTACATTCATTTGTTAATTGGTCTGACATGGCCAGTCCTATCTCTTTCTGTTTTGATTATTCTGAAACATGAAAAAAAAAAAAATATATATATTTATCATCAACAAATTAACCAAATAGACAACCAAACAACATATACCATCAGAGTCATTATAGAAGAGTTATAAAGAGAATTATGTCAGTTAGTTATCCATTATTAAAGAAGAAATTATTGTTAATTGCTTCATCTGGACAATTTGCAAAATTTACATCACAACAATTACTCGACACATATTCAGAATTAAATCAATTTTTATTATCATATACTTCCAAATTAGATTCAATTGAGTTATTCAATTTATATGAATTAAATTTTTATCTTGCAATTTTAACTAAGAATGAATCAGATGCAAAATTAACCTTAGATAGGTTAACTGATCAATTTGGTACAAATTCACAACGTATTAAAATATTACAAAGTATATATCAAGAATCAATAGGTAATTTAAAAGCTGCAGGTGATTATCTCACTGAAAATCCAGATGAATTACAATTATCAAGAAGATTAACTACATTGAGTCGAGATGGTAAATATATATCCAATTTGATATATTACATAAATTTACAACCTGGTGATTTAATAGCCTGGAGTGAATTAAGTTCTGAATATGCTAAGATTGGAGATTATAAAAAGGCAATTTTCTGTTTGAAAGAAATTATATTGGTTGATAAAGTCGCATATCCGATACACTACAAGATTGGATTGTATTATTATTATATATATTTACAAGAGAAGGAAACTACCAGATTGAAAAAAGAGAAATTAATTGAATTAGTAACGGAGTTGAAACATGCAAGGGATTATTTTTTGTATTGCATTGAGATTAATGAAGGTTATGGTAAGGCATGGGTTGGATTAAATCAAATACTTAATTTGGATATACATAATAAAGCTAAAGAAGTAAATGATAAGGATATCAAAAAGATCACAGAAGATAATGAAAGAATAAAGGGGATTGTTAATGATAAAGTAAAATTATATATTTAATAATAATATTAATAAATTAGCTTGTTAGAACCTTATTTATTTCTTTGAGGCACATTTACATTCTGATTCTGATGCACATTTACAATCAGCACCACAATCGCAACCTTTTTCTGATGAATAAGTAATAAATTGTTTAACCATAATGAAATAATAATAAATTGTTAATGATAGAAAGAAAAAGTCGGAAGGTGGAAATCTTGATTTATTTATAGACAGATTTCGATTATGTAATTGTATTGTGGGGATTACATAAAACAAGCGATTACATAATACCGTTGCTAATTAAAAATCATGAATGGTCCAATGGTTGTATGTCCAAATTAGGAAATTACCGAATAGATAAGAATAAAGTAAGAATAAAGTATCACACGTTTTCTAGTATTATATTGTTTAACATTGTAGAATGATATCAATTCAATCAGGTTTATTATTTATATATTTACATTAACTTGTTACATTCCCTTAAAATTCACCTTTATAATTTAAATCATCTCTGTTTAATACGTCATCTAATATTCCTGCTGATGCTGCAATTAATCCTAAAAATGGTCTACTTGGATCCAATACTTTTGATAAATATTCAGGATGATATTGAGTACCAACAAAGAATTTATGATCTTTTAATTCAATAATTTCCATTCTTTTACCACTTTCATCTTTACCGATAAATTTTAATCCTTTATTTTCAATTTCTTCAATTAATAAAGGATTAACTTCATATCTATGTCTATGTCTTTCATATACAGCATTTGAATTTCCATATAATTTTTTCAAAATTGACCAATTTGAATCTTCAACAAATTTAGTTTCATGAATACCTAATCTCATTGTACCACCTAATTTGATTTGATCAACATCGGGCATATAAACAATTGAAGCTTCTTCTTCTTTAATTGAATTATCAAATTCCATTGATGTTGAATGTTCAACACCCAATACATTTCTAACAAATTCAATAACTGCAATTTGTAAACCTAAACAAACTCCTAAATATGGTATATTATTTTCTCTTGCATATTTTGCAGCTGAAATCATACCTTCAATACCTCTTGATCCAAATCCACCAGGTATTAATATCCCATCTGCTTGACATACATAATGCCATGCTTTATGATATTCTGATAAATTTTTTGTTTTCATTTCTTCCTCAAGATTCGTTGATTCAACCCATTCAATTTTTAATCTTCTGTTACATTTCATTGATGAATGCTCTAATGATTTTATGACTGATAAATAAGAGTCATGTAAATGAGTATATTTCCCAACTAATGCAATGGTAACAGTTTCAAATGATTTATCATGTTGGGAAGTTAATTGTCTCCATTTATTTAATAATTTTTCACCACTCTCTAAATCTGCCTTTGGTAATTCACCAATACTTAATTTTTTAGTTAAATAATTCATTATTTTTTGTTGTTTTAATAATAATGGAACATGGTAAGTTGAATTTACATCATGAACTGCAATAACTTGATTGGGACCAACATGACAAAACATTCCAATTTTTTCAATTGTTTGATGATGTAATTCTTCTTGACATCTACATGCAATCATATCAGGAGTTAGTCCAAGACTTCTTAAATCTTTTATTGCAGCTTGTGTAGGTTTTGTCTTTTGTTCTCCATGTATAACAGGAACTAATGAAACATGAATTAACGCAAAATTTTCACTTCCAACTCTAAATTGAAATTGTCTTAATGCTTCAACAAATGGAGCACTTTCAATATCACCAACAGTACCACCTAATTCAATAATACAAACTTGTGGTTCTTTACCACTTTCATCAACTGGAATTTTTGAAACTTTTTCAATCCAATCTTGTATTGCATTTGTAATATGAGGAACAACTTGAACCGTTTTACCTAAATAATCACCATTTCTTTCCTTTTCTATAACATTAGAATAAATTTTACCAGTTGTAATATTATGATTTTTTGTCAAAGTAATATTTAAATATCTTTCATAATTACCTAAATCTAAATCAACTTCACCACCATCATTTAAAACAAAACATTCACCATGTTCTAATGGGGACATTGTACCAGCATCAATATTCATATAAGGATCAATTTTAATTGAAGTAACTCTTAAACCTAAAGTTTTAAAAAGTAAACCTGTTGAAGATGCTAAAACACCTTTACCAATACCTGATATAACACCACCGGAAACAACAACGTATTTCATAATGAATAAATAAACTGATTAAAAATTAGAGAAGGGCAACAATAAAATAAATAATGAAAAAACACGTCTGAATAAATAAAAAGACACGTAAAGAATGAAATAAAAACCAATTGAACTTTTGAAATCTGAACTCTACTTTATGATAACAGATCACTATTAATAATGAACAATGCCCTCTTAAATGATATAATTTAAGCGGGAAGAAGAAAGAAAAGAAGAAGAGGTAAAAAAGAAAGAGACATCAAAATAAAAAAAGAAAAAAAAAAATAATTTGATAGATGAGATCGTATTTGTAGACTTCCTAATTGGGTAATAACTGTTAGCTAATTCATACGCCAATAACAATATATATCAACTGGTATAATTAAAGAATGATATACGGTACCTTGATTAGCTTTTAAGTAGTTTATTCTATGCCTTTATAATATCTTTGTCTTCTTTACTTTAAGTAATGAAAACTAAAGCCACGGCAAATCAACCATATCTACAATTTCAGTAATTTCTAATGTTGTTTATCATTTATTTATACAATTTTAACACCTCCAATTTCATTATCTTCATTAATTAGCAATTGGGCTTTTCCTTGTTTAACCAAAACTTCTTTAATAATCTTAATTAAAAATTCGGTATCTAAATTTTTTAATTCTTGAGGAATATAACCTTCCAGGTCATCAGGTTGTGTCAATTCATAAATTGTCAATATTGCTCCACGTTGTCCCGTTTTATCTACATATTGATATAATAAATCACTCCAACCAACTAAAGATCTCCAATATATATATATTCCCAATTCTGGTTTTTTCTGATTTATAAATTCTGCTTTATGTTGATGTATTAAATGTTGTAGTATTAAATGTTTGAATTCAGAATTACAATTACGTTTAATTTCATCATTTGAAAATATGGGGGGTAGGGCATTATTCTCCTCTGTTGTGGATTTAAACTTCGGTATTCCATCAATTGATAAACTTGTAATTTTATAAAATTCACAATATGTTAAAACTATATTCATCCATGATTCTAATTGTTGGTTTAATATAGTCTGATTTGGTTGTTTTGTATAAAATGGGGGAAATGAATGAATTTTGGGGAACTCAAATGACTTAGACATAAAACAATTAATTTAGTTAGACGAAAAAAAATTACGAAATTGATAAACGGATATCAGAATGTGTTGATAATAAACAACCAAAAGTGAAAAAAGTAAAATAGAGGGTTGTTTACTATTAAATTTCTTTTATTAAAAACTTACACATTTAAGCTTCAGCTAATTCTCTTAAACGACGTATAGTTGATCTAACTGTAGCAGCAGCAGCTGTTGAAACGGTATAAGCACCACCCGCAACAGTTTTTTTACAAGCTTTACATTTCCAAATACCTGTAGCACCTCTTTGAACTGTTCTTTTACCACAGAATGAACAATCATATTTTGCATGTTGTTGAACTTCCAATTTTTTGGTTTGTCTTCTTAATGATGAACCATATCTAACACCAAATTTACCGGTGATACCAACCTTCTTAGTTCTTTTAGTCCTAAAGAATAAATGTTAGTAATTGAATTTTTAAAATGACATAATTTCTGAATGATAAATGATATAGAATAACACTAACCTTGACAACACTTGCGTTTAACATAATATGAATAGTATCAATTTCCAGTTTCTCTTTTAATATATAATTTGAATTCCTCCATTATATTGATTCATAATTTTTCAAATCTCATCCTTGTTTAATCTTCAATTTCAAGTGATTTCCACTGGTTGAATTCATTTCTTCAATAGATGGCTTTAATATCAGTCCATTCCTGTTTAATCATTCATCATTATCAACTTGATTTCTTAATTTATAACATACATTTCTATTAATTTAGTTGTATAAAAAAACCAATATATAAAAATTATGAAAAACTTTTTTTTTCCATAGAACTGAAAAAATTTGGAGAGGTAAAAAATTGTATAGTCTTACACGACATACTTAACGCACCAGGCGAAAATATGGTATAAACTGTGGCGAAAGTATTAGGCGAACGCTGGAACGAGAAAAACAAATTTTGAGTCGTAGAAGAACGCATTACTTTCGTGCGACTGTTGGCCATACATCAATATTAGTATCACGTGTAGTAGGGCTACAACCAACTTTCATATTTCATCACTACGTAAATTTGATTGATTACTATTTAGAACTATATTAGCTATAACTTGATAGTATTATAATTGTAATCTTTCTAATTATTTCTTGGAAATAGATCAGCTGCTTCCATTTCTATATCTTCATCATCATTAATTATTGGCAAGTTTTGGTGTTGTTGTATTGGTTGTTGTCGTTGATCACCATTTGGGAATACTGGTGGTTGTTCAATTTGTGGTGCATTTTGTGGATCTACTATAGTAATATTTTCTCTAATTCTTTGATTTCTTGTTTGATCTAGTTGTTGTTGTTGTTGTCTTGCTCTATTTTGACCTTCTAATGTTCTTCTTTGTTGTTGTTCTCTAATTACTCTTGCAAAATGTTGTCTTAAATCTTCTGGCCCAAGATTACCTTCATTTAATTCTCTAAATATTTCTCTATTAATAATCATTTCTTGATTCATGTTATCATTTAAACCAAAAGTTTCATTATTATTATTTAAATTTGGAAAACCTAAACCAACAGCTCGTCTACCCCATATATTATCCAAAGCTAAATTAGCATTATTATTTTCAGTATTGGTTTGATTATTGTTGTTGTTGTTGTTGTTGTTGTTGTTGTTGTTGTTGTTGTTGTTATTATTATTATTATTATTATTATTATTCTCTTCATTTCCCATCTCTATATCTTCTCCATTTGCAAATCTTCTTCTTCTTGCATCAAATAATGCATGCATTTCATTTTGATCAATTTGAAATGTTCTTGCCTCCATTACTTGATTTAAATAATTTCTTAATTGATTAACTCCATGTCCACTAAATACACAAAATAAACTTTTTTGATGTTCATTAAAATCTGGTGGTGGATCTCGACAATATTGTGTAATTTCTCTTCTCAAAAATGCTGATATACCAGTTAATGATAAATGAGTTAATTTTGGACAATTTTTTAATAATAAATAAATTGGACCAACATTTAAATTTGTACAATATGATAAATGAACTCTTTCTAAACAATCTTGTTCACCTCTTCTTCTAACTAATTCTAATATACCAGAATCAGTTATCATTGAACATTTAACTAAACCAATTCTTCTTAATTTTGGTAAATTTGCCAATTCAACTAATGTCCAATCTGTTAATTGTGAACAACATGCTAAATCAATATATTGTATTCTATGACAATATCTAACTAATGCAGCAACTCCATAATCTGTTATTAAACCACAATGACCTAAATGTATATAATGTAAACTTCTACCTAATTGACTTAATGCTCTTAATGATGCATCAGTAATTTGCATACATTTTGATAATACAACATTTCTTAATCTTGGAGCACATAAAACTAATTTTTCAACTAATTTATCAGTTATTGCGTTACAACCAGTTATATCAATTATTCTTAATTTTTCTAAAATATAACCGTCGGGAATTAATTCAAATAATTTATCAGTTATACCAGGTGCATTACTTATTCTAAATTCTCTTAATTGAGTTAAATCTAAAAAAATGTTTTTTAAATATTTATCAGTAATTTCTTCACAACCATGTAAATCAATTTCAACTAATGATTTACAATTTTCATACATTGTTAATATACTTTCATCAGTTATATTATCACTTGAATTAAATTTTACTCTTTTTAACATTGGACAAGATTTTAATAAATTTTGAATTGCAGATTCACTAACATTACCACATCCAGGAGCATAAAGACCTTGTAATCTTGAACAATTTTCAGCCAATGCATTTATAATATCATCATGAATATCAGTAACACCAGTTAAATCAATAGATTGTAATCTTTCACAACCTTTTAAAACTTTTGTTATTGGATTTTTAGTTAATCTTGCACAATTTACCAACGTTAATCTTTCCAATTTGGGGCAACCAATAAATAAATTTAATAAATCATCATCAACTAATTTTGTCATAAATGATAAATTTAATCTTTTTATGTATTGTCTATAATCCCAATGAGTTTTATTTTTAGTAATTTCCATAACTTGTTTAATTTTTTTAAATGAAGTATCATTTTGCATATTTGGTCTAAACCATAACATTTCAATAATCAAATCAGCAATTTCTTTACATGTTGATAATAATGAATACCAATCTTTTCTTTCTAGATAATGAAAGATCTGTAATAATATTTCTGTTGGTAATCTTAATAATGAATTTGTATTATAATTTTGATTATAATCAATATAAGGTTGATGTGGACGTTTAATACTTGATAATCTTCGTTTAACAATTGTTTTCCTCAATTCTTCGTAATCGCTATTATCATTATCCATCATAAAATCATCAGTATAAATATGATTATTAATATTACCATTACTATTATTATTATTTTGATGTAAATGTAAATTATTATTTTCAGAAGATGATTTTATTGACTGATTTGCATCAGGTAATTGATCAAAATCTTCAATACTAGTTGGAGAACTCATGAAATAATTTATGGTTTAATTATATTATATGATTTAATTTTGAACTATGATTTAATTTTGAAATATGATTAAATTTAAATTGGGTGATCAGAGTATGTGAATTTATCAATTGATGTAAAATAAAATAAAATAAAAAAAAAAAATGAATCAAAATGTAAAATGATAATTGATAAATGATTTATCTATGTAAGCGTGCAGTTGTACCTTTTGTTGATCTTGATGTATTTGATTCTTGATATAATAATAAATAATGGTAGTAAAATTAATTATTACTTAAATTGATAATCTTTATTTTTTCTGTTTCTATTCTTTTGTATCAATTATCAACGACTAGTATACATACGATCTATATACAACAGAGGTAGATAACGACTTTATATCTACAGGCTAACAAAGAACTAATACTATCTATACGAAAAGCAGCTTCATATAATGATATAATATACTCTCTATACTATTATTGTTGTTGGCGGGATTATACCAAATTTATCACCAAACTTTATTTGGTCTGATCAGCCGACATTATTACACGACTATTATCATTAAAGATGTTTGGAAAATTTGGCTGCAAATTATATAATTATTCAATTTATTGACCCAAAATTTATATTCTCATTGGTATCAACCTTTTAGGTAACTTATTTACATATTGAGGTGAGTATTTGTATGGTTTCCCCATTAACTTTAGTCAAAATCAAGGGTAATTCGCATAATTATCATGGAATTTAACAATTATGACTATCAATTAAGCGATAAAGGACTAACCATTGGCTTGTAACATAAGTTGCGCTTCGCAAACTAAGCTGTTTAACACATCTGTGCTCTAATACCATGTAATATCGAAGTTTGAAAATTTATGCTAAAATCTGAAAGAAGTAGAAAAAGTGATTAGATCATCATCTCTAATGACTCATGTCCTTAATTCTCAATTAAATGCTTAGCTTGAATTTCAAATCAGCATTATATATAATTAATAGCACTTTAATTTGCAAGAGTCGGTTTTATTTATTGAAAGCGTTGAAAAGGTATCAAAATATATATTTGATTACCGTCCCAAAACGCCACGTAGCTTTTAGAACATGTACACTAGATAAATAACTATATTAATTCGCAATTTTCTCTGTTGATGCTAAACCCAAACCTATATTATAACTTTGTTTAAGATGATCAAGTGGTAGCGATTGAGAGTGACAGTGTGTAACAGTTTATACACCGGAAAAAAATATAACAGTTAAAACACCGACCTAAATATAATAGCATTCCATCAAATTTTCAAAATATATTAAAAGATGCATGAACTAACCTTTGAACCGAGCCTAAACTCTAAGATCTCTTAAATTACAAAGAATTGGCAATTTTTTCAATTTTTGCTGAACTTAACTATTGATGTTTTATGCTTTGTAACTGTAAAAGATAATGAGTCGGCTTTCTGATTGGTCAATTAGACATGCTAGATTTTAAAATTAAATCTATTCATAATTTGATGTTATTAAATGATACATTTAATTAATTTCAATTATTTACACATTGACCACCATTATTTTCTATAAATAATTCATCAAATCAAGAAATTAAATATATAAAATTCTGCATAATCATTTTAAATCCTAATCTATTTAAGCCCACTGACTATGCGTTGATTTCTCTTTTTTTATTTGTACTTTAACTTTTACGTATAAAAATTCAAATTTCCTTTTTGGGACATTTGAAACACTAACAAAAAAATGCGAAATTGAAAAATATCAGCCAAAAATGCTGTACAATCAAATATTTGAAAACTGATTTTAAACTCAAATACATCGAACTCAGATTTCATTTTCACATTATTGTTTATCTCAATATTCATATGAAAGTGATAAAATTCGATTTTCCTCAAAAATCCTAAATAAATGCATTAATGGGAAAACATCGAACTATCCAAACTAGAAATTATAGTAATACACAATTGATAGCATAGGTAATGAAAGTTCAATTAAATTCAGAACTTTATCTCCGATATACTATCTAGGTATAGGATTGATAATATTATTGAACTATTGGATGAAAAAACGATTACAAATCCAGTTCATTATTCTTTTCTTCCCTTTCAAGATTTGATTGGATTCATATAATGATTTTTATGATGGTTATATCAAGCTATACACGACATATTCAATATACAATTGTACTCTTTCTTTAAACAGCCAGCAAATATTGACATTTTCATCAAATTAAATAGTTTTTTAACTTCATAGCTGGACGTGGATAATTAAATCCATGTTATAATTGCATAAACTTTTTATTGGAAGTCAATTGGTGGAGCTTGAGGAAATTCTCGTAAGCTGATTGGTCAGTTAAGCTTCAGAAATCTCAAAACTCAATCAGTACGCTAATCAATATAAATATTCAGCAGGCCCAGACCTGTAGTTTAGCACTACATAGTTGATCTTTTGCTAGGTCTTCTAGCTCGTGAGTTATTTCCAATTATAATTTTTATCAGCCCCATTTCCTAATTCACCCACATAAGCCCCATTTCCTAATTAGTTTTTTAACTTTGGTCCCTCAGCAAAACCAATTTTCGTTACACAAAAACACAATCCAAAATTGACAACTTTTCTTTTTGCAACTTTTATGTAAAACGTAAATTACTCGAACATGACCATCTTTAATGCTTTTGAATTTATATACGCGTAATTGTATTTTGCTCAAATTTGTTTCATGTGAAAGAAGTGTAGTAATGTCTTCTGTTAGCTTAGAAATTCAGATTAATTCAAAATTTTGATATTCTTGAGGTAATAACGATAAGAGGAGTCCAATCGCTTCAAAAGAGAGTAAATTTGAATTCTGCAAGCTTCAAGAGTCTAGGAAAGATTATCATTTTAGTAGAGGTGTGGTATTCGTAGAGTTATTCGCCTTCAACAATACAAGTTTCACAAATACGTTTCGCTCACTAAACATACAAAATAATCAATGTGTACATTTGGAACTACTTTTCTTGATATACTTTAGCCCCAGGAGTTTAGATTTGAAACCAGTTTGTTAATTGAGCTTAAATTGCAAAAGAAACTGAATATTTCCAGGTTGTAATTAAATGATTAATGAAGGATCGAATCGCAACCTACTACCATTTTTTAAGAAATAATTCTTAACCTGGTTGTTATTTAGAAGTCATGCTATGATTTTTATTACTCTGACATTCTTAAATTGGTAATAAAGATTTCATTTGGTAATACTAGTCATTTTGATTGAAAAATACGCAAAATATTGGTCGAACAAAAGGTCTAGAATATTGTTGACTAAGATATCGATTTGAAATCAAATCAGTAGACTAATTTGAGGAAATAATCTCCAATTTGACAAGTATTTCGAAAGTCATCGGCTTATTTGCTTGATATTCGGTCTATTCAGATGCAACAATCTTCGTAACTTAATATCGCTCAGTCATATAAAACAGAAGATGTTCATCATTAGTCTATATTGTTAGTATATCATTCAACTGTTTTGAAACATCTTGGTCAATAAATAGCTCCAGATTTAAAATTAAAAAAAAAAAAAAAAAAAAAAAATAATAATAAAATATCAAATATTAATCAATTAATATTCATTGAATATTTATATAACAAGCTACTTATAATCATTTTAATCATTTTAATCATCTATTAATCAAGACAATTTGCACATGTATAATAGTAATCAATTAGCAAATTATATTCAGACTTTTACTCAAGCTATACGAACAAAAGATTGTGAAAAATTTAAATTATGTATTACTTTAAACCCTGGGAAAGAAGAAGCTGAAATACGGTCAAAATTTAATGAACCAAATGAAATAGATTTATATGATATTAAAGATGATAAAGAAAGATTTAAACCAATAATTTCAAATCATTTAAAAGTGATTAAATCAGTTTATATTACGAAATCATTAGATGCAACATTTCAAAATTTAAATGAATTAATATTAAATTTAATTAGAGCTAGTGAATTAGAATCAAATTGGATAATGCCTGCTTTAATATCAAGTTTTAATGAATTAATTCAAGTTTATAAAGTTCAAGAAGTTAGAGAACCTGAAGATTTAGATTCAATTATGGAACTGGATATGGATTTTGTTGGAGGTAATCAAACAATTAAAAAATCAAATTTAGAAACTTTAATTAATACATTACGTAAAGGTTTTAATTTAAGTTTTAATGATAAAAATATTGATTTTTCAAAAAGTAAAAGAAATGATATATATTTCTTTTTAGGATATTTGATGAAATATTGTTTTAAAATGAGAAAAAATGAATTTGCAAAACTGATGTTAAAAGTTGTAAAAGGAGCACAACAACCATTGCCAAATATAAAACAAAGTAAACTGATTGAAGTTAAAAAATATGGTATAATTTATTTATATTATCAATCATTAATATTATTAGATGATCAAAAATATTTAGAAAGTGAAAATTTACTTAAAGAAGCATTAGATGTTATATATTTAAATTATAAAGTTAAAAAATGTAAACAAATTCAACAAATTTATTTAATTTATTTACCATTAAGATTATATAATCATGGGAAATTACCAAGTAAACAAGTTTATAAAAATTATCCAATTTTAAGAATATTATATCATGATAATATTTTTAAAGCAATTAAACAAGGTAATTTAAATAATTTTGACAATGTTGTTTATAAATTTAGAAATATTTTATTAAAACATCATTTATATATATTAACTGAATCGTTAAAACAATATATTTATTTAAAATTAATTAAAAAAGTATTTCAATTTACAAATGAATTAGAACCACCGCCGGATAATAAAAAATCATTTTCTGGATTTCAATTGGCAATTGAATTATCAAGTTTAAATGAAGAACAAATTAAAAAAATTGATTTTTCAAATCATAATTATAATATTGATACAAATGAAGTTGAGTGTATCTTAGCAAATTTAATTACAAAAGATAGAATTAGAGCATATATGAGTCACAGTCAAAAAAGTATAGTCTTTTCTAAAAAAATACCATTCCCAGCGTTTGGTTAAGATTAATATACGATTTTTCTTTTAATCTTGTTTTCTACTCTTATATTGAAATGGAGGAGACTACGTATTTATACTATAGATGTATATAATTTTTGATTGAAATTTGTTTAAAATTTGTTTAAAATTTGTTTAAAATTTGTTTAAAATTTGTTTAAAATTTGTTTAAAATTTGTTTAAAATTTGTTTAAAATTTGTTTAATATTTGTTTAATATTTGTTTAATATTTGTTTTGTCTAGTATATTACTCGTTTTTTTACTTATCGTCTAATTTCTTAGTAGTTCTATAATTTATAAAGTGTTGAAGCTATATATTTATTTCACCAAGTTTTGACTGCAAGTTTTGACTGCAAGTTTTGACTGCAAGTTCTGACTGCATGTTCTGACTGCAAGTTTTGACTGCCAGTTTTGACTGCCAGTTTTGACTGCTAGTTTTGACTGCCAGTTTCGACTTACTATGATGTGCGCATAACCATTAAGGTCAATCCATTTAGGTCAATCCATTTAGGTCAATCCACTTAGGTCAATTGGCACGCAAGACTGCACCTCATGTGTTTTAACCGAATATAAAATGTTATTCGTGTAAATGGGTTTATTTAATGGTGAAAATTCATACTAGCCATCCGTAAATTAATAGTTTTACTAAGAACCAAATCTACTTACACACTTAATTTTTAGTCCTTTGGAGGATATTCCATCTTCTTGTTATTTTGTCAAATTTGTATTTTCAACTAATTTCGAGAGTTCATTTTTAACTCGCTTGAATTTTTAAAAATTTTGCAGCCGAACGAAAGATGCGAAATTACAAATGAAAGTAAGATGCACTAGTGTAAGAAACCAATTACGAAATAATAAATAAGAAACCAGAAGTTAGACGAATAATCGCAATTGGAATGATACTGGAAAACATTATAGGATCAAAAAAGATGTTAAGACTCAAATAATGACTACGAAAGTAAAAATATCGCAAATTTCATCAGTAAATTAGGATTAGGCTCATGAAAATGCTAGCCTAAATGCTAGCCTATTGAATAACAAGTATAGTATTATTCTATAAACCCCTAATCTACTTTAAAATATCATTCTATAAACCCCTAATCTACTTTAAAATATCATTCTATAAACCCCTAATCTACTTTAAAATATCATTGTTTTGGTGTTGAAAATTTTGAGTGGTTTTTTTTCAAATAAAATAGCCTTTAATTCCGATCTTGGAGGTTAGTACGAATATACAGACGCAGAAATCAGAAATAATTTGAATAATCTTACTACTAGTGAACGTTGTGAGAATTTAATTACTAGTTGTTTTTAATGAAGTAAGGAATACTAATAACCAGCAAATGTCTAATTTCTATACCATTTATTACGTTTTAATCTCTTAGTACCAATATTGCAACCCAATTCGAAGAAAAACGGTTTTTTCTTTTGCAACCAAGTCAATTATAGATCGTCTCTTCGCAATTTCTAAAAGAAATACACAAGAGATTAAACGGTCATAATTCTTTAATCCCAATATTCAAACATACTGGCGTCTGAGCTCTATCAATTTCAGAGTGATATCAACTTCGTATATTACTGGTCAAACTTCCCTGCCCCTATTTTTAAAAATTGATGTATGAGATTTTTTTTTTTTTTATTAGTTGAAATCTTCGATTTATATTTGTCCAGTACACTACCCAAATACAATTAGTTTACATATTCTGACAACCAATACTTATTATTAGCAATTACTTACTATTGATTCATAATTTATCAGGTATTAATTGCATATTTTACTATCTATTGCACCTTCAATTATAACTCATCACAGTTAGTTTCTAATTATTAATTTAGTTTCAATTCCCACTGTCAATTTTTATCCATTCATTTCATTATATCATATTACCACCTGGTCATTATAATTCTTTGAATCTATTGTTAAAGCTCCATTTCATTATATCATATTACCACCTGGTCATTATAATTCTTTAAATCTATTGTTAAAGCTCAATTCATTTCATTATAATTCTTTAAATCGATTGTTAAAGCTCAATTCGCATAGATTACATAGAGTGTTCCTGACTTAAAGTATTATTGAATTTAGTTTTAAATTTGTATCCAAAAACTAATGGACTAATAATGAATAATTTTTTATCAAATTCTTTCAAGAGTACAAATTCCAATAATTTCGACAATAAAAATAAAGATGATGCAGGGATAATTAATAATAATCCAATTGATTTCAATATATCTCCTTCATCACCCATTAATTTAAAGTCATCAAATATATCATCTGCAATTTCCATTCTTGAACCATCGCCAAAATCTTCAAGTTTAAAAGATAATTCAACAATGTTAAATAATACTAATAACAACTCAAATCCTATCAAGGATGTCGAAAATAATAATATTACTTCTTCCAAATTAAATTCAAGAAGTAGATCGGGAACTTTACCATCATCATTTTTACCATTTGATCTTAATTCCAACTCAGTTCATAGTAATAAAACTAATGATGACCATAATAATAATAATAATAATAATACTAATAATAATAATAATAATAATAATTTTAATGTCTATGGTAATGTTAATCGAAATGGATCATTATCAAATTCTCCTATTCATATAAATTCAGCTAACTCCGATTCATTAAAATTACCATCAATGGATTCAGTTTCATTTGGTTTATCATCTTCTCCAATTTATCAAAATTTATCAAATGATTTTTCAAATAATCATTTAATTACTCCAACATCAAAAAGAAATAGATCTGGCTCTTTATTTTCAACAAACTCAATTTGGAATGATGATACATGTCATAATAATCATAATAATCATAATAATCATGCTATGTCTGCCTCGTCATCTCATTCAAATAATAAGAATAATACTGGTAGTAATACTTTTCTAAGTCCATTGATTGACACTTCAAATACTAATCCACCAACAAATGATTCTTCAAATCAACCAATTCAATCTAGAAATAGATCTTATACAACTACTTCTGCAATTCCAAGTCTCAATATCGATTCATTTAATAATCAACTTCAATTTTCAACTAATTCACAACAACCATTTGATTTTAAAGAGTCATTATCATCAAGTTTAAGAGTATCAAATTCTCCTTTTATATCTGTATCTAATAAAACTAATGATATGAATTTGTTATTAGATAATTTTTTACTTAACAATCAACAACAAATACCTAGAGTAAGATCTCAAACTTATAGTGGTACTCCTCCCACAATTCACGATAATTTAGTATCAATGAACCAACAACAACAGCAACAACAACAACAACAACAACAACAACAACAACAACAACAGCAACAACAACAGCAATTACAAGATGCATTACCACAACAATTTGCACAGTTTTCAGATTATAATCAACAACACCAACAAGAACAACAATTGCAACAAGTAGCCCCATTTCAACTTTCGCCAAATTCCTCACAAAAGCCTATTTTAATCGATGATTGTGATTTCACTCAAATGGTTATTACAACAAATTTTGAAAATCCAAATTTAGGTCCAACTTCTTGTTTATTATTTGATAATTTACCTTTATTCATCAATTCATTTAAATTATTTTCACTTTTAATCAATTTTTCAACTCAAAAATCAATGTATGGTAATATTAGTAATGTTAAAGTTACAACCACTTCAACATCCAAATTGGCTTTGGTTGAATGTTCAAATATAGATGCTGCTATGACTTTAAAAGCAAATTTCAATCATTTTGAAATAGTACCAGGTAACACATTATACGTTGCGTTTGCAAAACTTGATGAAAAACAATTACAACAAGATCAAGAACAACAACCTCAACAACAACCTCAACAACAACTGCAATTACCTACAAGAAGCTTATCCATTAATTCAGATTCAAGACCTTGTTCACATTCTTCTGATATTCTTTCAATAAAGGATAGTTTAAAATCTTCAATTAAAAAATTATCTTCAAATTGTGATATGACAAAAATTGATTCATTGATCGAAACATGTAATAATTATCCAAATGATGCTTATCAAGATGATTTTGGTTCATTACCTGATCCAATACCATTACGTCAATTCGATTCACCATCATTAAGGGAATTACGAAAGATTTTAGAGAATAATGAAGCAAAATTATTAGGTCAACAAATTGATAATGAAAAAGAAATTATGTCAAATCTTGAATTGGAAGATTTAGCTTTGGCAATGTTGGATGAGTTACCTGAATTATGTTATGATTATTTAGGAAACACCGTTGTACAAAAATTGTTTGCGTTGATTGATTCATCTTTAATTAAATTAATGATGGTCAAAGAAATTATTCCTTATTTGACTCAATTAAGTATTCATAAAAATGGTACTTGGGCAATTCAAAAGATTATTAATTTATGTCATTCTGATTTTCAACAAATGTATTTAATTGGTGCAAGTTTCAAACCTTATGCAGTAAAGTTATTTAATGATCAATTTGGTAATTATGTTATACAAGGTTGTATAAAATTTGGTTCACCATTTAATGATTTTGTTTTTGAAGCAGTAGCTGATAACTTTTTGGAAATTTCATTTGGTAGATTCGGCTCAAGATGTATTAGAACCATATTGGAAAGTAATAATAATAATCATGATTCAAATTGTAATAACAATTATATTTCAAATGAACAAATTTTATTAGTTGCAAGTTTGATTATTGAATATTCAAATGATTTAGTAGTAAATTCAAATGGTTCATTATTAATCACTTGGTATTTAGATACGTTTAATGATTGTGATTCTAAAATTGAATTATTAATGAATAAGTTTTTACCACATTTAAAACATTTATGTATTCATAAATTGGCAAATTTAACCATTTTAAAAATTTTAAATAATAGAATTGATCAAAAATCAAGACAACTTATATTGGATTCTATTTTCAATAATCAAGAAAATTTAGAATATATTTTAAGAGAGCATGATTCAAGTAATAATAATAATTCAGCTGGTCCTTTGTTTATTTATAAGATTTTAAGTAATCCTATTCTATCAGATTTAGTATCAAATTATATTCCAGCTATCAAAAGACATTTAATGGATGTTAATATTATTAATTTTCAAAATTACAAAAAATTAATGGATGAAGTGGGATTATCAGGTAATAGAATTAATAGAAATGGGGGTAATTATAAAAGAAATCATGTAATTAACAATAATAACTCAGTTAATAAAAATGCAGGAAGATCTGGATTTAAAATTGATATTTATTCACATCAACAACCACCATTAGTTTACGCTCAACAACAACCACAACCATATCAATATATTCCATTAGGACAACAAGCTCCTCAACCTTCATATGTGAATCCTCAAATGTATATGAAACAAATGTATGCTCAGCAAGCTGCATTAGCTCAACAACAACAACAACAACAATTTCAACTCCAACATCAACATCAACAACATCAACAACAGCAACAACAGCAACAACAGCAACAACAACAGCAACAACAACAGCAATTACTGCAACAAGATTTAGCTGTTATGCAACAATTAGAACAATTATCATTGACTTCTGCAGCATTAGGTTATAATTCTAATCCAGGTACGCCTACAATTTCAAAAAGTCAATATCAATAAATATGTACATAGACGAAACTAATTTGAAAAGGAAGAAATTTTTACAAATTTAACGAATTGCTTATGATAGATTATTAATAAAACAAAATAGGATTAATTATGGTAAACTTTAAGCATATAAATTATTTAATAAATTAATATATAATTGATTGAAATTGAACAATTACTCTTCATACTTCTCTAATGTATTTTGGATCTTCGGTTGGTAGCGTTTTGGTGATCTGAAAAAATAAAAATTTTCAAAATATAAGTTGGAATATTTTAATGGCAAATAATCATATTTTAGTCAATATTATACTATAATTTATATCATTTACTCAGTTTAAAAAGGAAATTATATTAAAATGTCATTCATAAATATATGTAGGGATAATACAGATCCATTTTATCGTTATAAAATGCCGCCTATTCAATCAAAAACCGAAGGTAGAGGTAATGGTATTAAAACAGCCATAATGAATTTAGCTGAAGTTGCAAGAGCATTAAATAGACCACCATCTTATTTAGTCAAATTTTTTGGTTATGAATTAGGTGCTCAAACTCAATTGGAAAGATTTTTAGTTAATGGTGTCCATGATTCAAATGAATTACAAGATTCATTAGATGGTTTTATTAATAAATTTGTTTTATGTGGATCATGTAAAAATCCAGAAACTGAGATTGTTTTAAAAGGTAAAGATACTTTGGAAAGAGATTGTAAAGCTTGTGGTAAAGTTACAATGATTGATCCAAAACATAAATTATATTCATATATAGTTAAAAATCCTCCTGATTCAAAAAAGGGTAAAAAATCAGCAACTGCTCAAGCTAATGTTGTTGGTGGTGGTAAAACTATTTCAGAATTAGCTCAAGAAAATCAAGGTTTAAATAATGAGAATAATAATGGTGATGATTTTGATGATGACGATGCATTATCAAAAAAAATTAATGCTGAAGCTGCTCAATTACAACAAGTTGAAGTTAAAGATGATGATTGGGCTGTTGATATGTCACAAGAAGCTATTGCTAAAAGAGCTAGAGAGTTGGAAGGTTTATCAATTAATGATAATAAATTTAATGAATTTGGTGAATGGTTATTAAATGAATCAAAAGATTCAAAAGATGATTTACCTTCAGACGTTGAAATTTATAAAAAAATTGTTGAATTAGAAATTAGTGAATATCCAGAAACATTACAAGTATTGGGACAAGTTTTATTTGATGAAGATATAATAAATCAAATTGAACCACACGTTGGTTTATTGGCAAAATTGATTAACAATGATGAAGAGTTTGAACAAGCTTTATTGGGTGGTTTAGAAAGATTCTTTGGTTTAGAACAACCTGAGTTAATTCCACAAATTCCAAAAATTTTACATTCATTTTATGATAAAGATTTAATTAGTGAAGAAGTTTTAATTAAATGGGGTTCTAAAGTTTCCAAAAAATATGTTCCAAAGGATATATCCAAAAAAGTAAGAAAAGCTGCAAAACCATTTATTAAATGGTTGCAAGAAGCTGAAGAAGAGGAAAGTGATGATGAATAGAGAATTAGTAACCGAGTATAGCATTTATTTCAAAAATTATATAACATATACACAATTTTACCTGTGATAATTAAATTTACATAATTTTACAAAACCTAATTATTCTTTATCTTCTGTGATAATTTTGTGGAGGAGGAGGTGGTGGTGGATATGACATTCCAGGAGGTAAGTTTCCCATCGGAAATTGAGGCATATTTGGTGGCATTTTTCCAAAATTAAATGGCATATTTTGAAATTGAGGTGGTATTGGCGCAGGCGAATTGTTTTTATTATTCATTGGACTTTGGTTTGTATTAGTATTAGATTGTTGAATTGTAGGTGGTGGCAATTGCCCTGGTCCTTTCATAATATTTGCCATAATCTTTTGGGGATTAAATTCTCCTCTTAATTTATCTTGTTTATGACAATAGGCTGTCCACGTAATTTCATCAAATCCAAAATTAAAATAATCTGATATATTTGCCCCTGGTGCTCTCCATGGTTTTACTTTTAAAGTTTCAATATCTAACTGAGTTAATGGTTTTCCTTCATACTCCGGATTTGCATTTATATTTATTGTTGATGATTTATCTGTTATTGTAGTTCTTTGGTTTGAATTTTCAATATCTTGTTTTTGTTGTTGTTCAGCTTCAGTATCAACCATTTCTGATAATATATCATTTCCAGGAACTTGATTCAGTGTTGATGTTTTTGATTCAGTACCTCCTATTATAATGTCTATATCATCATCTGAACTTTCTTCTTCCTCTTCTTCTTCCTCTACTTCTTCGTCTTCATTATCTTCTTTAGCTTCTTCCTGTTTGTCAGTTTCAGTTATCTGTTTACTTCCTTTCTCAACTCCTTTTGCCTTTATATCCTCTGAAAATTTCACAGTTTTTTGTCTTTTAGCAGCTGGTTGATCATTTTCTTCCTCTGACCCGTATAAAAAAGCATCTTCATCATCTGATTTAGCCATTATTAAGAATTATATGAAATGATATTAAGTTAGTATAAATTGTTAATTGGAGATAAAAAAAAAAAAAAAAAATTATGAAAATAAAGGTAGCGTTGTTCAACTTATTGAATGAAGCATCAATGCATCCTATTATTTGGAGTAATTAAGACGATTAATGAGTTTGAATTAACTCTTAAAGACATTGTATATTAGTAATTACAATTGGTGCCAATATTATAAATTTATGTTTAATATAAATTCATTTCTTTCATCATTAAAATGACCCAAGGTTGTCTTCTAAATCTATTTCTATAAACTATCGATTCTATTATTTCAATCCATTGCTTCATTTCTTTTCTATTTGGAGCTCCAAATTCAATAATTTCACCATTTAAAAACTTTATTCTAAATGAGTTTTCAACTAATAAAATATCTGAAAAGTTTCTGTATTTATTATCTGCTCCTGATCTATTCTGTTGATTTTCGTTATCAATATATTTAACATCGATAATCTTTGATAAATTGATTTTGGCTCTTGTTTTATGATTATATTCACTATGAGCAATTAATGCATTTCCAAACAATTTAAAAAACCTACGTTTCCAAGTTTGGCAATCACCTCCTTCTTGATGCAAATAACCTTCAAAATAAAAGGATTTTTCATTTAATAATTGTGTCAAATATTCATCTGCTGATCCAATACTTGTTGGTAAAACTTCCATTGGATCTGATCTAGGTATATACAACATTTTAACTTCCAATTGTGCAATTTTATATGGTTTTAAAGTGATTTTCTGTTTTAAATTTTGACCTAGTTGTACGCTAGTCTCCCATTCATTAAAACAATTTAAATCAAAAGTTAATGGTTTACCCGTTATTTTATGTTCAAATTGAGATAAATCAATATAACATCTAGCAAATGATCCATCAATTGCAAATTTATTTGACCAAGAATCTTTTATATCTTGCGGTACAAATCTTGTAGTTGTAATCAAATCTTTTGATCCAAATAATCTACTAAATCTATTCTTTGATTTAACCAATTTTCTTTCTTTAATTTCCATCAAAGTTCCTTTCGGTTTTTCATATTTCATCTTCATAGTAAGAATAAATTCCAATGTTTCATTCACAGTTAATTCAAATTCGTTATTAATTTCAATATTGTTTGAATTTAAATCATAATCTGGGGTTTTAACACAATGTACTCCATTATCTAGTGTAATCGAAAAATTACCTTTATGATCTTTGATATCTGGTAAATTAATATTTTTCAAACCAACAACTCTGAAAAACAATCTACCACGATCTTGCATGACTAGTTGTTGTTGATGTTGTTGTGCTGATTTATTATCCTCAAGCAAAACTGGATCTGATTTAGATCTTTGATGATGATTGGAATCTGAAAATTCAGAAGGTACCGACACTGTACTTGGAACATTTTGTTTATCATGATTTATTGTGTCAGATTCTCTTACTTTATTGTTTAAAATTTCATTACCTTCAAATGATGGTTGAGATTTATGTCTGTCTGGTGAATCAAATTCAACTCCGGTAACTGAGCCATTTTTTTTAATTAATCTAACTGGTGACCCAATTTTAATTGGACTTTTATTGGGTTTTTTAATTGGTGGTGTTTTTATTGGTGTAGAGGGTTCAATGGATGTCAAATTTTCTTGAACATGAGCTCTTGTTGGTGAAACATCCAAATCCAATTTAAAATCTGGCTCAGGTAAAGTTTTATTTTGCACTCCTGATTTTTTATTAATTTCTTGAAAGTTTATATCATTAAAAATATGGTTAGTGGACATTAGATCTTTTGGTGATTTCTTCAATTCATCAGCCAAGTACATGAAATCATTATAATCAGAGTTAATTCTATTTTTCGGTAATGGACTTGATTCAAAAGTAGCTGCATCATGTAAAGATGCCACTTGTTGTAATTCATCGTATTGGTTTTCTGGTTCATTCACAACAGAATTTTTCTTTGGAATTTGATTATTCAACTTCACATTTTTATATTCCTCTTGTGTTATACTTTTTTTAGCATTTAATATACGTTTGACATCATCTTTGTCCATACTAGGTAAAGTTTTCATACCTTTAGATTTAATTGTAGGTGGAACAATATCTTCAAATATATCATTGTACATATTTCTAGGAGATAATAAGGAATTTGATCTTTTAATTTCAAATGTTGGAACTCTAAATTTAGATCTTTTTGGTTCAGATGGTGGTACTGGTACTTGAGGTAAAATGATTTGATTACTCGATGACCTTTTGACATGTAAATCGTTGGATTTCTTTGGTTGTGGTGGTGGTTCAAGTATATTAGGATTATTATCAATATTTGATAATACATTACGAGTGGATAGTCCTGAAATATTCCTATTTTGTTGTTGTAAGTTGGAATAATTTGCAAATTGTAAATTTTCAAATCCAGAATCTTGAGACAATTCAGGTAGGAATTGAGAAATATTTAAATCATCAATATTATCCGGACTCACAATTCTTCTAGACATCACATTTACTTCTTTAAATTTCCTGACATTGTGATTTAAACTATTTGGTATTTTGACTTTTTCAGTTGATTGATCATTTTTAATATCTGCTATAAGTTGCTTAGTTGGAACTTTATGGATTTGTTTCTTTTTCAACTTTTCTTGCTTATGCCAGATTGTTATGAAATTAATTGGAGCATTAGGATTTCGATTCTCTTTATCATGTTCAGCTGATAATGATTCTTCAAATGATGAATATGTTGAAGTTTCTAGATTTTTTGTTATATCTTCCAATGATGAATAGTGGTTGGATTCAACAGGAGGTAACGTTATATCAGCTGCAACTATACTAGATGAATTTGCTAAAATATTATCTTGAGCATCAATTGAATTATTATGTTGATCATCAACCATTTCTGCATCAATTTTTGGTGGTGCTAAAGTTTTGATGGATTCTTGAGAAATTTCTGAAGAAAGTATTGATTTATCCAATTTTGAATATTCATTATCATTATCTTCTTTATCACCATCATGACTATCCTCAAGTTTCCAATCACTATCTACATGGAACCGTATTGACATCTTAGTTGACAGTTTTGAAATATCAGATTCATCATCGTTTTCAACAGATTCTTTTGGTAATAGTTGATCAACCTCTTCTTGTGGAGTCAAGCCCGTGATTTCTGATACATGAGCATTAGATTCTGATTTTATTACTGGATTTGCTGATAATTCTTGTTTGATATTTGGAATTGCAACTGCAACTCTAACCAGATTATCAATTGCAGGGTTATCTTCTTCTTTTATCAATTTGTTTAATGCAACTTGAGAGCTTGAAGCACTTTTCAATAAATTTAATATTGATTGTTCGGTATTGTTATATGATTTATCAAATGAATCTAAGTTATCGTCTTGAGTCACCTCTTTCTTAACCTTTATTTCTTTTATTGACGAGATATATTCATTTGATTCATCTCTTGGTAATAACTGTTCAACAATTTCATCACTCAAACCCTTGATTCCATCTTTTAACTCTAAACCTCTGTTTAGTTTGGTTGGTGATCCAGGGGTACTTGATAATTGTCGATTATCATCTCTCAAACTTTGTAACGATGAAGATGAGCTACCTGACGACCTTAGTTCTTGATGTTCGCTATCATTTATCAATGATTTGAATGGATTTTCAATTTTATCATTATTATTTGTACTTTGTAACAGAAAAGATAAATTGTGTATATCATCATTAACTTTTTCTTTAAATGACTCATCCAATTTTTGTAAATGACTGTCCATTTCTGTTGATCGCTCATTCACTTGTTTATTCAAGTATAAATCTAGTTTCTCATTTAATGATAAATTGCTAAAGTTGTTGTGCTTTAATAGTTTTAATTGACTAATTTCACCATTTTCGAAATCTTCTTCCTCGTCTGTTCCATTTATATTTCTAGTTTCACTCTGATAGGTTCTCACTAAGTCAGAATATTTTGGTTTTGATGTATGTGGTGGTGGTGGTGGTGGTGGAGTTGATGTTAATTCGTCGTCTGATTTTTGAAAACTTAATTTGGGGAGGTCCCAACTATGCTGAATTGATACAGCTTCTGCAATAGTCTGTTGTTGAATGTCTTCCAAGGAGTCTGATGAAGAATCATCGTTATTGGTTGTTGTATTATTGTTACTGTTATTAGAATAATGATGAATTTCCGGATTTGATTGAGTGAAAACAACATTCTTCTTGATTGGAGATGTATTAGCAGATTGAGTATTTTTTACATTAATTTTATGCTTCATTATGGATTTACTTGGTGATGTATTTATATAATTTTGTTGTGATTGTGGTAATGATTCCTTTTTATTGTTCAATAAATCAGTTGTCGAAGTCATAGGAGTTTGAAATGAAAATTCATCAACTTCATCCATATCAAAATTAGATGTTACAATGTGTTGTTGTTCCTGATTGTTGCTATCAATTGTTTTTTGGATATCAAATGAATTATCAACATCAAAGTTTGCATTAAATAACGTATCAATTTTGTCTTTATTACTTGAGTTATTATAGTCTTTATCGCTGGTATAAGTGTCCGAGCTAGAATTTGCATCAACTAATGGCTTTGGAATTGATCTTGGGAAATTTAATGGTTTGGTAGGCGATGAATCAAAAACAGAGGAAACAGAATTGGATTTGTCATGACCATTCAATAAAGTAATTTTGTTTCCTGAATTGGTCGCTATTGAATATGTAGGATCATCGTTTATGTCATTTTCTAATTCGTTATTGTACTCAAGTGGATTCACATTCATTTCTTTCAATAATAAGTCAACAGATTCGTTTTCATTTTTAAAAAAGTCATCTCTAGGATACAGATTGTAATGAGGTTGTGGATGTGAGTCTAATTGGTGTTTGTAAGGAGAATTGTTTGCTGATAATTGTGATGTATTATCAAGTAAGGTCTTGGATTCTTCTTCAATTGACATTAAATTTTTTTAATTTTAAATTTTAAATTTTAAATTTTGAAAACTTTAGTTTTGATATAAGTGTATATATAATGAATGAACTGGGTGATAGATGATACTCTACTGGACAATATAAATGAGGCAAATTATGTTTTTAAAAAGCGACTGGTGAAAATTCAAATATAAGTCTATAATAATTGTCTATCGAATTAAAGTCAAAAAAATAGCTTTCAGTGTATTTAAATTTAGCGCTCTTCCAAAATGTGATTATTCAATGGTAACGGTTCTTCTATTGACAGGTTGATAAGTTGATAACGGTAATGATTTAAAGATTCGATATGTTTATAGTTGTTTATTTTTTGTTTATAAAAAAAGAAGCCTATCTTGTTATATGCAGTATTATATTTATCATTCAACCAAATTAGGAAATAGTACTACTTTTATATAATGAACCATTTATTATTATTGCAACGACATTGGTTGCTTAGAGTTATAATAATAAATGAGAATAAGTGATAATCACGGTAGATTGAAAGCGTGTGAGAAAACTGTTATATCAAATCAATCAGATATATAGATTGATTGTCGACATGCACAAAAGTCGATTACATCGTTAAAATACGTTTTTAATAAGCATCAGATATGTCTAACAATCTTAAACACGTTGAATACGAGCTTTTTATACTTCTGAAAATTTTAACAAGAAATATCTCCATAGTATTTGTGTTGATGTGCTGTCAGTTTCGGATGGAAACATATTCCACTAAAAACTGGTGTTCACTTTAGCAGACATTATAACCTAATTTAAAGATTTTTATCACTTCCAATGGATGTTATAATTGTATAAATGTTAAAAGAATTTGGTTGCAAATCTGTTGAAAATTAAATCAAGAAAAAAAGAAAAAAAAAAAAATTGCGCGTCATTTGCACGTGACGGCGTCCAAAACGATCAAGATAGGAATCTATACGAGTAGAATTGAATTTAAACTTTCATTACAAGACTATTGGTAAAAATCTTGTTCTGTTTGGATAAGAATTGACGACAGAAATTTTTTTATACAGTTCAAGCTCTATATATTAATAATGAGTGTTCTATTTTAGATATGATTGAATCTTGTATCTTAGGGGGTAATTTTTTAAAGACTTATTTGGGATAAAAACGAGTGATATTGCAAATAATATTATTAGTTACAACGTTAATCCTACATGAGTTTGCATTCTTGTATTATTTTTTAAATATTATATCTTAGAGAAAGTTAAATAAATGCATTAATTATATATTTTATATATCAATCGCTTGGTATTTTTCTTTTTAATAAATATTTCTAAGACTATAAATTGAATTGATTTCTCGACAGTTTATAATTTTGGGGTATTATTTACTTTCTTTAATTGGTCAACCTATTCTAGAGTATTTGAGAGTACACCGTCTAAACTTTGATTAATTTGATCATCAAAATCAACAATAAGATTAATTTTTAGCTTTAGGTATTTCCATTATTGATATTTACAACATTCCAAATGTATTCCTATATCTTCATTTCATTGGTTTTTCTGATTGGCTTTTCATCAATTATCAATGCTGAAACAACATCTTCAACAACAAGTTCTTCATCCAGTTCAACAGCTACTGATTCTTGCTCATTTTCGAGAACTACCTTTTCTTATTCAACTGATGTTTCTCAGTTGAATACTTGTACAGCTTTAGACGGTGATATCACAATAACAAATAATGAACTTAGCATAATTGATTTATCAAATATCAATACGTTATCTGGAAAATTATCGATCATTAATTCACATAATGTCAATTCGATTAATTTAAATAGATTGGCTGAAATTGAGGACTCACTTATTGTCAACAATTTAACTTCATTAAATTTGATTGATGTTCCTCAATTAAGTCAAGTTGATGATTTACAATTGATTAGTTTACCAAGCTTATCAAACTTGAACTTAAATACGAATAATATTGTTAATAATAATGTTAGCTCAAATAACTTATCAATCAATAGGTTAACATTATCAGATACTTCATTAACAAACTTGAACAATTTAAACGGTATTACCAACATCGGTTATTTAAATATAAACAACAATAACGAAATTGAATTAGTTGAACTCAATAACCTAAGAACAGTTGAAGACGCATTGGTCCTTTCATTCAATGGTGATAATACAATGGTCCATTTAAATAGTTTAAACTGGTGTTCAAATTTAACAGTCCAAGATGTTATGCATTTTGAAGCAAATAACTTAACTTACGTAAACGGCTCATTACAGCTTAGCTACAATACTTTTGAAAGCTTGAACTTATCTTCATTAATTTCTGTGGGATCAAGCTTAGGGATTTTTAGTAATGACTTATTACAAAACTTATCACTCGGTTCATTAACTGATATCAATGGTGATTTAAATATGTTTAATAATAGTGAGTTGGTATTTATGAATTCCTCATTTGAATCAATAGAAAATATAAGAGGTGCAGTTTCAATTTCTGGAGCGATTGCAAATTTAGAAATGCCAAATTTAGATAGCATTGGAGGAGATTTCAGAATAAACTCTACCTCAGAAAACTTCAGCTGCCAAGAGTTTGACAATTGGAACTCGGATGGTCAAATCGAAGGTAATAATTATGAATGTAATCATCTTAACGAATTGAATGAAGTAATTATAGACGACGATTCAGATAATAATTCAGATACTGATTCAGGTTCAAATTCAAATTCAAATGAAAATGAAAATGAAAATTCAGATAGAAGCTCATTGGGTTCTAGATTAATGACTCCAGATTTCTCATTAACTTTATTGATAATGATTGCTTTTACTTTACTTACCAATTAGAAATAAAAAGCTTAATAGTTTATATAGATACAGCGTCTAAATTAAAAATGAATATGACATAATAAACTGAAACTGATTCTATAAATAGAAACAATCAACATATGAAGATATTATGTAATATTTTATGTAATAAATTAATTCCCAATTAGGCAAAAATTAAAATATTTAAATATAAAAAAAAAAGAAGGAAGATCAAAATATTTTCTTTTTCCATTTTAACAATCAAATCAGATCAAAATCGAAGGTCAAGATTTGACTAAATCATCGGTTGTTTTTGCATTTATTCACTCTGGAAAATCATCTTTAACTTATTTATTAGCTTTTTTTTTGGTTCATTAATTCATTGTTGATTGGTATTCCAACTTTTCATCAACGATTGCAAAATTTTTATCAACAAGTTTTAAATCATTTTAATTAAGACTTTTTCATATTTTGCTGTAGTTTTCTTGTCATATTTGTTGTCATTCAATTATTAGTGAGATTAAACTGATCTAGCATATTTTTCATAGGATTCACCTACTATCACGCAGGTATAATTGTCTATCATTTCAAAAATTAACTTTGGCTGTAACAATTTGAAGCCTTTTTTCATTTTTTAACTCATTAATACAAATTTTAATTTTTTACAATGACAGTTTTGTCAAATCAATCCATTATTCAAAAATTTGAGGAGGCAAATCAATCTCATTTATTCAAATATTTTGACTCATTAAACTTTGATCAACAGAATCAATATATCAAACAATTATCTCAAATCGAAGATCCTTTGAATCTAATCAATACTGTTCAACAAGCTATAGAATTTTCACAAAGTAATTTAACAAACACCAATGTGAATGGTACAGATGAATCCACACAATTAGATGAAATCTTTACTCAACTTCCAAAAGATCAAACTGCTTCAAAATTAGATATTGCGAAATCAGCTTTGAATCATTGGGAAAGCTTAGGTTTTGACGCAATTGGTCAAAATCAAGTTGCTGTTATTTTGATGGCTGGTGGTCAAGGTACAAGATTAGGCTCCTCAGATCCAAAAGGTTGTTTTAATATAAATTTACCTTCAGATAAGTCATTATTTCAAATACAAGCTGAGAAAATTTTGAAAATTGAGGATTTGACTAAAATAAAACAAAATTTGAAAGAAAAACCAACTATCAATTGGTATATAATGACTAGTGTCCCAACAAGATCACAAACTGAAAATTTCTTCACTCAAAATAACTATTTTGGTTTAAATAAAAATCAAGTCATTTTTTTCAATCAAGGTACTTTACCATGTTTCAATCTTGATGGTTCAAAAATTTTATTAAATACAGAAAACTCAATTTGTGAATCACCAGATGGTAATGGTGGTTTGTATAAAGCTTTACAAACTAATGGTATACTTGATGATTTAATAGCAAAAAATATTAAGCATATTCATATGTATTGTGTTGATAATTGTTTAGTACAAATAGCTGATCCAACATTTATCGGATTTGCAATTGATAAAAAGTTAGATTTGGCCACAAAAGTAGTTAGAAAAAGAGATGCAAATGAGTCTGTAGGTTTAATTGTATTGGATAAAAAATTGAACAAACCAAAAGTTATTGAATATTCAGAAATCTCATCAGACCTAAGCTCAAAATTAGATCCACATGATGAATCAAAATTATATTTGAGAGCTGCAAACATTGTCAATCATTATTATTCAGTTGATTTATTAAAAAATTCAACTCCTAAGTGGTTAGATAAAAATTCTAAAATACATTATTTACCATTTCATATTGCTAAAAAAAAGATTCCGTATTTTGATATAAAGAGTGGTACGAGGGTTGAAAAACCCTCCAGTCCAAATGGTATAAAATTAGAACAATTTATATTTGATGTTTTTCCTTCGATTGATTTAAACAAGTTTGGTTGTCTCGAGGTTGATAGAGAAAGCGAATTTAGTCCATTAAAAAATGGAACCGGTTCACTGAATGACAATCCAGAAACTTGTAAACATGATTATTTAAAACGAGGCACAAAATGGATTTTGCAGAATGGTGGTATTGTCAAAGATAATGCATTGGTTGAAGTTAATGTATTAACTTCGTACAACGGTGAAGGTTTGGAGTTTGTTAAGGGTAAAACATTTGAGGATGGAGATATAATTTAATAATTTGAGTATATACTTTGATAATTTATAGATTTTGTTTTTATTGAATTATTCACAAGAGAAAGACAGGCTATGTGCCATCCATAAATATACTTGTTCAAGATTTACCGATCGACTTTTATAGTTTTGATTATTGTAGACTTCTGTTCTTATTAACCATATCAGTTAATATTCTCGAGAGATCAAGGGAAATTTGAAAGGTAAAACACTACTTGAGGCACCGCTATTAAGATCATGGAAAGCCAAACGTTTGTGAAAAAAATTACGATCAGTAAGTTAAAAATCATATCTGAATTGATGTAATCTTTCTCATTCGAAAGGTACCAACAACAACAAGTTTTGAATAAAAATTGGGCATGTTAGAGTAAGTCAAAGTTTGATGAATTTGATGAATTTGACGAGGATTTTTCTTCGATTTCGTGTCATTTAAAGAATTCGCATTTTCAGTATATTGTTTCAAATTTCGTCGCGCTATTTAAGCTCTAATTTGCGCTCGATTCTGTTCAGGTATTATTATATAATTACTTACCTCTAGTATTTGAACAACTTGAAACTGGCCACATAACGTCTTAAAATCAAATAAAGTCATCTTATGCCTGCTTATAACCATCAACCGATGCTATCAGTTAGATTAGACCTCAATTGTATGGCAAGTTATCACTATCACATACTTTCTGTACTCAAGAACTCAAAAATCAATTACTTGACGTCAATCGAACAAATATTTCGCGATGATAGAATAGTTTTATACCATATTTAGAACAAATCTTAGTTGTTAGAATATGCTTTAAAGATGAGATTGATTATACACCAATCAACTCCTAACAAGGGAAGGTATGAAGTTTTGATGGAAAGTGAAGGAATGACAATACATGAAAGGTAATCAGCTATTGTCCCTCGCGATTTCCTGAATCTAGGATCGATAAATTAGCAAAGATTAATCAAATAAAGTCAAAGGCAAAACCATAGTTAACACTATGAACTTTAAATGGACCTACGAGTAGCTAAAAACGAGGAATTGTATAAGTTGAGAATTGAGTGTAAAAGATTTAAAGTTAAAGTTACACTAGGGCTTAATACAACTTGTTTTATTATGTAACAATCAGTTAAACAGAATTTTCTATTATTTGAACATTTGTTTCAAAGTTGAAAGCACATAATTTGATTTGTATCTTATTATAAATATATCCAGAATAAAACTGTCGATATATATTCAGTGACTGAATTTTTCCTAATTCGTCTATCCAATTGAGTTGAAACTCGAAAATGAAAATTAACGTGTCTTTGCTTAATTTTATATGTATAACTTCTTAAGTTTATCCCGCCTTAGTATAGTAAAGTCGTCAGCACACTACTCTCCTTTTTGTCTAAGTACTTCGCTACATAATTTGATACCGATTAAATACCATATAGAAATAGATTGCAACATATGAGTAGAAAAACGCAAAGATCAAATATTATAGAGTCAATGTAAGAGCTGCGGAGATGATAATGTTTTTTTGTTTGGAATTCTAAAGCTCATACTATGATTCCGTTCTTTCCTTCGTGATTAAACGCACGATAATTGAAAGTTTTGTGTAACTATGTTCATTGATAGTCATTTGGTTTGACATGAAATTAAGCAGGAGACTTGTAGCTTGAACTTTAAAAATTCGAACAGAACAAATTCATTCTGGGTGAATGATTTTTTCGAAATAGTGTGTAACTAGTATTATTAGCACTGTGGTTTATTCTAGCATAGCTTTATCGAGTGATCTCGAATGACCCCAGAATCTATTTTCAAGCCTACATAATCTTCTTTTAGATGTACTCATCTCCAGAGATGTGAATAAGCATTTGAATTATTTAAAAAAGTTTAAAAATAGACTCATAAAACACGTTTCCTTCCAGTTCTAACAAAGGGGGTGTAATAAATATAGATAGGTACCACGTTACTCACTGATTTTCTCATTATTTCAAAGTACGTAGACTTAAAATCATCATTTTGTTTTAACAATGTAAATATAAATTATAAATTACAAATTATACACAGGATATTAATTAGTTAATTTTGCAAATAGTTGCGGAATTTTCATAGTATGTATATTCTTGATTACATAGTGTGAAATCAAATATGAATGATAGTATGTAACTATCGTAGATTAAAAAAGAAACAGAGTATACTAAATTCTTATTATTGATTGCTCGTCTTCGTCATACACCAATGTGTGAGGGTGAAAAACATTTACACTTCGATTATAAATTTATTCGATATTATTGTTGTCCCTCTGTTTACGTATTATGATAATTGTTGGTTTTCCTTGAAACAATAAAAAACACGAGCATTAGATAATTCGATAACAAAAGTCACAAAAGTATTCACGATCTATTAAATTATGTATTATAATTCCCAAACGAGTTAAACTGATTTTATCAATATATCCTTCAATTATAGTTCTATTTGATTGTTTAAATAATAATTATTAAACTCACCCGTACGTTTTATATCGTACTGTATATAGTAATTAATCCGGAGAAATAATAATAAAAAATAATAAAAAGAAATTTTCTGAATCTTTCCAAGAGATCTAAAGATCTGAGACTTCCATGCGTTTTATAATACCATAGTTAGACAAAATGTATTAAATTATACTTATTGTAAGATGATATATGGATCCAAATTGCATTGTCGCGTAATTCATTAGATAATAAGAGAAACAAAATGTTTAACTCTAGTCATCGCTGTTAACCTAAAATTTTTATAAATAAATACTGTGCCAACCTTAAAAAATAATTTAAAAGTTTAATCCAAAACAATTGAAACGAATACTTGACTCATATTTAATAATCCATAGTTAAGAATAAATAAATACATTTGTGTAACTTGAGTGTTGTTGCATATTTGCTCATTGCTTTTTTGACATTAAATTTAACCCAATTGGGATAAAATTTTAGATTATAATTTTGTGTATAATTGATTAAATTCGTTAAAAATAATTATATTTTTGGAAAAGAAGGCGAAACTTTTAAGATTTTCTAGAAAATTCATAAAGGAACACGTGAGATAATAAAGCATTATATTGTATAAAACCACACATTTTTAATTTAGCTTTTTAGTTAAATAATTCATGGTGTTCACGCTTGAGGTTGTGTTTGATGAGTTCATTCATTCACTTTTAGTTTGTTGTTTGTTTTTTTTATTAAGGTCTAAGCCTCTCAAATCTCTCATCTTCTTTTTGGTATTTCTTTTTCTGTCTCCTAATTTTAAGCCAACGCTGGTTATTGATGGATTTTGTTTGCCTTGAAAATATGTATTCTTGACTCTACATCGTCAAAAGACTACTTTTCTGTATTATGTTCATTTTACATTATCGAAATTTCCACATATTTCTTTTTTATACAAATATAGGCGATTTTATCATTAATTGTTGTTTACTGCACGATAGAAATTGCTTACATTGTCTACAATTAATTGTCATTTTCAGTCTTATAATTGATCAATTAGCTCACTTATTACAACACCAACTATAGAACTCATACAGTTTAGTATAATTAGACATACTGAGCAATCGCAACTCATATACATTCTCTTCCCAATACTCTAAATTCAGTTCAGAAATTGAGCTAAAATTCAACACGGTCAATTTTTTTTTTTTTTTTTTTTTTTTTTTTTTTTTATTATATTTGCGGAATTTCACATTCTGCATTTTTTCCTTTTTATTTTATTTTATTTTTTTTTTTTTTTTTTTTTTAAATTTCTATTTATTAATTTTCATTAATATTGAATTTTTTAAAAATATATAAAAGGATTCATTTGCCTCTAAGTTTTCATATTTTCTTCTCTTCTTTTCTTCTTTATCATTAGATCCATCCAAATTTATTTAGCAAATTTCATATATTAATAATGCAATTCTCAAAAGTTTTAGCTTCATTAGCTTTAGTTGCTTCAATCAACGCTAAATTCCACAACGATACTGATGGTGCCGTTGTCTCAAACTCAACTGGTGCTGCTGCTAACTCAACTGGTGGTGCCGGTGCTGGTAACTCAACTGGTGGTGCCGGTGGTAACTCAACTGGTGGTGCCGGTGGTAACTCAACTGGTGGTGCTGGTAATAGGTCAGGTAATGCTGGTGCAGTTGCAAACGCTAACGTTTATGGTGCTGCTGCTTTAGTTGCTGCTGGTGTTGCTTTATTATACTAGATTTATTGAATAATTTTACGATTTTCATATTGTTTTTTAATTATATTATTATTTATTAATACTTGTATTATAAAGTTCATAAAAGGACCTAATCAGAGATTCATTTAGAATTTCGTCTACAAATCATACATTTTATCTTATAGTTTCATTTTTTTTTTATATATTATTTTTTATTTGGGTTTATTTTTAATAAAAGGTACATTTAATTTATGATTAAGTATCTGTTTAATTTTGTTTTTTAATTATATAGACTATAATTTAATAATTTTTCATTTGTTTGAAATGGTTTATCTGGAAAACGTGGTAGTGTCTTCTTTTTTAGACTCGGTCTAAAATATGGTGATAAATTCAGTACTTAATGTCTGTCTGAAATTGGATCGGTAGGAAGCTTTATAATCTCATGACCATCAAGTCAATAATCTCTGTAATGATCGCACTATAAGTGATTTAAGCTTTTACTTTATTGTATTGATCTCTTGTCATTCTTATGTTGCGCTTACATCAAAGCTTAAATCTTGGAAAAAGCTCAATTTATTCACATTGTGGCTTCTCAAAAAATAGTCTCTTTACGTAAGTGAAACCATTAAAGTTGTATTCAAGAGGGCGCAAGTTACCTGTTTTTTCGCTTAGGGGTTCACTTTGACAGGATACTGGATCTAACATAATATCACATGTACTTGCATTAAATAATAATATATCATATACAACTATAAGTGCTGATAGTAGAATCAAATTCTTCTTTTGGGTTAAAAATGTTTTGTAAGTCATTAGCAATATCTTTAATGTCTATTAAATCATTTTTGTTGAATTTATAACTTGTCTCATTTCTTTTCAAATGCCCGTCTTTGTGTAAAAAAGTTCTTCTTATATCTGCTAAAAATCCACTTAATTCATATTTAAATGCTATAATTTCGGAATTTCTTTCATTAATCAATTGTACCAAATCAAAATAACCACTTAACAACTTAAAATATTCTATTTGATAATTATTTACTTTATCTGAAATGTCAATTGTATGAGTCGATGATGGTAGGGTAGCAATATTTACCTCTATTAATAAATTGGATACCAAGTCCAATTGTTTGATCAATATGTCATTATCATCATCATGTTCAAACATTGTTAACGTATTATCGCAGATAAATATATTTTTTTGGTATATAAATATCAAAATACATCTGGCAATCTTTCTATAACATAACTATGACCACCAACACTCATAATTGGTATACCTGGTATTTTTCTAATTCTTCTTTTTAAATCAGCATCATTAGTTGCAATAATATAACATTTGTGATGTAAAACACGATTCACTAAACAGTCATCAGCATATGTACCTTTATGACTACAACTTAATCTTTGAATTCTTGGATCTTTAGCTAATTTTAAAGCAATTCTATATTTTGCACCCAATTTTTCTAATTCAGCCATTACACAATCTGTTATTATAGGTATACATTTTGCCATTAAACAATCCATTAGACCTCTGACTATATCGATTTTTTTTTGAATTGAAAAATTTATAAAATTTGTATCTATAAGAACTTGATATGGTGGTTTTATAGATTCATTGTATTTAAAAAATAAAGCAGATGAAACTTGTGGTACGGATCTTGTTAATTCTGGATCATCATCTTTTTTAGGTTTTTGAACATTTGTATTATTATTTGCTCTTGGATCTTTCTTTAAATTTGATGTACGTTTAACAGCTGCAAATTTTCTAGTTTTCTTAGCTTTACCCATGATTATATCTGTATTTGTTGATGAATTAAATTGTCTCTAATGTATCAAAATTTTGAGATGAGTTTGACCTGTCGTTTTTTTTTTTTTTGCTTAGTGTTTCAGAATTTTAGATAAACAAAAAATATTTTGCAACCAAATGATAAAATGCCCTTGAAAATGAACCTAGATGAAAGGTTAGAATCAGAAACTCAAAACTGGTAGTTTATTTCTATGTCTAACGAATCTTATGGATCCAAAGTGAAAAATGTAAGAGACAAAGTATCTCTAGGCTTGGGATTTTTTTTTAAAATTTTCGTAAAATTATGTAAAAACTTACTTCGAAAAGAAAATCAAAGTTAAACTCTAAGTTTTGGAAACTCTTAATATAGATTCATTTATTCGGGGTACCACAAAACACGAGTCTCGGTTTTAATATGTTTCTTTCACTGGAGAAACAACTTACATCAAACTGACTTGAATCAGGGATTCTCCTCGGCTATTTCAAGGTCACAGAGCATGCTACAAGTGTTTGCTTCTAATTTATCCTTAACGTTCGATTGGAAATCTGAATTTATATACATGGTATTTAGCTCATGAAAATGTGCTGTTCCTGGCATACACGCCTACGCGTTTAGTTAGAGTCGCCCTTGAACTACCGCAAGAAATTCTGCAACAATTATCGCATTGAAGAAAACACGTACTTCACAACATTTTGAAACAAAATTGCTTATACTTTATAAGGAGCTAAATAACCAGTTGAAACAGAGAGAGCTTACTAGATTGAATAAAATCAAGCCCTAGGATCATGTTCCAAAAAAACTTTATCAATAGAGCTTCTTATTCAAAAGATTTCAACAAAATTCAAAACATCATTTTCTTACACAGTGCAAAATCATTCAAGTATAAGGTGTATATTCAACGGAAGTATCCAAAGATAGCAAAACCATAACTTAAACAAGTTTCTATTAATTATTGGTCTAATTTCTGTCTTGAAACTTGTCTCAAGTTAAAAGTTTCAGAAAAATGGATAGTTTCTCCGTTATTATACCATTTGATGAATTAATTGATAATCAAAAACCTGTAAATCATTTTCATTCCTTTTCCAACTTAATAATTTCTTTGAATTATAATCAATTTCAAAAATTCGAACTTTTCTAATAAAATTTTTATCAATTTTAGTTATTCCTGAATCTCCAGTAATACTATTATAACATAACCAAATAGATTCCTTTTTTTCATTGTTTTTTTCATCATCATTGTTATTCTTTTCCAGTAATATACAAGCATCATTTTCATGTTCATGGCCAACACTCAAAACATTATAATTTAAATTAATTAAATCATCATGAAATTTTTCATTTATTTTTGAATTTAATAAATGTTTTTCATTATATGAACCAATAATTTTAAATTTCCCAATTGGTCTGAATTGTGGAATTGGATTATGAAAAAATAATAATTTAAAATGATTTTGGACGTTATTATTATTGTTCTCACGATATAAGAACGTGATTTGCGATTCATCAATGAATTGTGACTGAGAATCAAGGATTGAAATTTTGGTATGTATATCATTCATTTGAATTTGATAATTATAGTTTGTAAACCCATGAAGATTTAAATCCTTAACATAATTTAAACAATTGGGTAATGTTGAAACAAATTCAATTATGGTTTTTTTATAAATTGATTTTCTCCTATCTGGAATTTGATTAAATTCATCACCAAATGTAATTATAAAAAATTTATTCCTTTGCAAAATTGGTTGCAAAATTTTCAATATTACTGATTTAAAATCAATAACTCTATTTAAATCAAATAAATCACCATTTAGAATTATTAAATTTGGATTTTCTAATTCAATAGATGACTCAATGAATTTTAAAGTTTTTAAATCTGATGAACATTGAACATTTCCGTTACTTTCATAATTACAGTTGCCTAAATTTTGACCAAAATGTAAATCAGTTAATTGTAAAATTTTAAACTTGTTTTGTGAAGTAATAGGATTTAATGAAATTAAATGATCTTGTTTAGTTAAATAATTCTCTTTAGTTAATTGTTTGAAAATTTTCTCATTTTGAATATTCATGAAATTTAATGATAAAATTGGATGTATTTGATCATTATCTTGAGTTTTTAAATCTATTGTTTTGTGATATTTTCTTGCATCATTTAAGTCTGATTCACCAAATAAGACATTAATAGAGCGTAAAATAGGTGAATGTGATAATAATTCATCATTATTGCCATTTGGATCTAAATTGACTGATTTGATATACAATTTATAATTAAAAGTTGTTGGAAATTCATTTGGGTCGGTCAAAATTTTATTTTTGTAGAGTTGTAAGTTGATTAACTCATATGAATCATCACTTTTTTCTAGACTTATATCACCAATGATCTTTTTAGAATGTTGGACATAGTCTGATTTATAAATTATGTAATAATCGTTGTTGGAGTTGAAAAATGTATTTGATAGGTATTTTAAGATGTTGAAGTTACCTTTAGCGTGAAATGAGTTTTGTTCGATTGAATACCTAAAGTATTGATTGTAATTCAATTGTGGTTTCAATTGGGTATAATCATTGGGTATCAATTTTTGACATGATAAAGAAAATGTTGATGGAAATAGTAGTTTTCTTAAAAAACCTTGACTCTCATAATCATTACACTTCACAATTCTAATATCTGTTATGATTTTGTTCTCTGATAATTGCTGCAAATTATTTTGATAATTTAGTATATCATTTAATTTATCCACTGTCTTGATATCTATATTTACATTATTATTTTTGACATTATCATAATCTATTGACGTCTGCGATAATGTTAATGATACAAATGAAGTTTTATAAATTGAACTTGTAAATAAGATTAATAGAATAGTTACTATAATAATAATAAACTTTTTATAATAAAATTTGTTAATTTGTAAAATTGAATTTAGGGATTTTATTCTATTATTCATTTGATTTGATATTGTTTAACTTTCTTAGAATAAACTTCACTTTTACGTATAATAAAATAAGCACAATTTGATATTATATGTGATTTATATTATCATACTTTTGAATTTTAATAAATTTTGAAGGTACTGATAAAGGTTTTTCTCGATAGGACTTGGCAGTTGAGTAAAAAGGGATCTGATATGTTGGATTTTGATACCAGCAAAAAAACTTTCTAATATTAGTTTAAGGTAAAACCTGAAGTATTGGTTGTAAATTTTCAATATTAGGGGATCGGTGATTTTCCTTGAAAATTTAAATGGTAGTGTATTCTTTGATAAAATATGTAAATTTTTCAAGGCGGTTAAAACTATTAATAGAATAAAAACTAAGAGATCCTTGTTTAATTGTAATCTCCTATTTTGTAAGTTGTAAGACATTCTAGAATAGATAACATGTCAGCATATTGTGTGAATTTATTAAGTAGTGACTTGTTAAACATGGTGAATGTTCAATCACTCTATTATACACTACACTGTAAACTACTGGAAAAATAAGAAGACCCTTTATCAAAAGAAATGGAAGCAAGGCTGAAAATTTTATTTTATTTCTTTTTTTTTTTTTCCGCAATTGCCTAATTAAGCGAAATCAGAGATTTAGATCTATTTATAGATCTCATATAATACATATACATATACATACAACTATTTCAATATCCTCTTCTTATTCTCTTTATACATACAACTATTTCAATTTCCTCTTCTTCTCTTTATACATACAACTATTTCAATTTCCTCTTCTTATTCTCTTTATTTTCTTTCTTATCATCAGTACCTTTAAAATTAATTCTTTTCTCAAATTCTTCTTTAGTCTCACCTTTTCTCCATCTTAAATTATAAGCTGGATGTGATTTTAGTAAATATTGTGGTTCTTCTTTGTTTATATCACCAAATAATTGTTCTCTAAATGTTAATTTATTATTTGTATTTTCATTTGTTGATTTTGGATAATCATTCCATACTAAACCTCTTTTTTGTAATTCTGGTACTAAATAATTAACAGCATCTTCAAAAGTACCAGGTGTAATTGCATAAGTCATATTAAAACCATCTACATCTGATATAGAAACCCATCTTTCAATTTCATCAGCAACTTCTTTTGCAGTACCATAAAATACTGGTCCTAAACCTCCAACTGTAATTTGTTTAGCAATGTATTCCCTAGTTTTCTTTGTACCATCAAATTTAGATTTAACATCTCCTTCTTTTTGATTTTCTTCATCTTCATCGATACCTTTATTCCATAATTTTAAGAATGAACGAACTGCATTTGTACCTGATTCTTGGATATCTTCATCATATTTATATTTACCAATATCAACACCTGTCCATCCACCAAATAAAGCTTGTGCACCTTCTAAATCACCATATTTTTGAAATTCCAAATATTTAGCTTTTGCTTCTTCATGTGTATCACCAATAATTGGTGTAATTAATTGTAAAAATTTTATACTGCCTTTTGGTCTATTGTATTTTTCAAAAGCCAATTTTTTAATATCTTTAATTTGTTTACCTAATTCTTTAGGTGAGAAGGTTGTTATAAATACAATTTCTGCATTTTTTGCAGCAAAATCTTTACCTTTACTTGAAGTACCTGCTTGTAATATAACTGGTAATCTTTGTGGAGTTGGTTCTGTTATATTTGGACCAGGAACAGTATAATATTTACCTTTATGATTAATTTCTCTAATTTTATCAGGATTTGAAAAAACACCATTTTTTAATTCAACTGCATCATCTGACCATGAACTTAAGAATAATTTATAAATAACTTCAATAAATTCTTCAGCTTGATCGTATCTTTCATCATGTGGTAATAAATTTTCTCCATTTAATAAATTTCTTGAAGCACTGTCTAAATAAGAACTTACAACATTCCAACCAATTCTACCTTGTGTCAAATGATCTAATGTAGCTAATCTTCTTGCTAAGTGATATGGTGCTTCACTAATTGTTGAAAATGTAACTCCAAAACTTAAATTCTTGGTAACAGCAGCCATTGCACTTATAGCAGCACTTGGTTCATTAACTGGAAATTGAGCACCTGATTTAGCAGCTGGTGCATAATTTCGTGGACCATTGTAAACATCATATGGACCTAAAACATCTGCTAAAAACAACGCATTAAATTTACCTTTTTCTAATAATTTAGCTAAATTAACCCAATAATCTAATTTATTATAATTTCTTGATTGATCATTTGGATGTTTCCATAATCCTGGTGCTTGTAATCCACTACATCCCATATCAAAAGCATTTAAAATTAACTTCTTTTTACCGTAAGTAGTTCCATTATCATTTTGAACAGGAGCCATTATTGATAAAAGAATAGATAGCCAAACTATAGTTAAATTAGTTCATTTATATATTAATACATTTCATATAATTGTGGGTATATTTTGTAACCATTACACGTGAATTTGTCGAACCGAACCCTTTTATCGATTTCAATAAACTTCAATAAAAAGAGCCTACCCGATAGAAATTGAAAAAGTGTGGCAGAAAAAATATTTGAATCGATCGTCAGTTAAACTTACTACTCCATTCATTAAAAATCATACGTTACTATAAAAATTAAACTACTATTTACACATTTAAATTCATTCAATATCGTTTCATAGATTACTCCTCAGTATTTGTTACATCCTTACGTCCTGACCTGTCTTATAATCTTTCCTCTTTGAATTCATAATTATTACTTTTAATAATATTATAACCCCAAAATCCAATAACATTTAATACACCAACTCTCCAACCATTAAATAATCCTAAAGTTTTAATCTTTCCCCAAAATGTTAAATTTTCATGAATTTCGTCGTTTATATCATTTATATCAACAATTAAATTTTCATTTGAATTTTCAATTGTAATTACTTTTTTATGGTCTTCTTTTTTAGGGGTAATTAAAAATTTAATTTGAGCTTTTCTTAATAAATTTTCAACTGGTAATTTTACAAAAAATTCTAAAATTAATGAAATTAAATTAACAAATGTGAAAAAATTTGGAGATGAATATGAATCAATATTAAATTTAATAAATAATAAATACGGACACATTTTTCTAAAAATTGAAGTTGATAATTGATATAAAGTAGTTAATAATAAAATCGAAGATGATGGGTGGATTAAATAATGTATTGGAAAATTTTTAATTGATTCACGAACTGATCTTGTATTTTGAATGAAAGACTCTTCTAATTCTTCAATTGATTCCGATATATTTTCTTCTGAATGATTCTGTTTTTTTATTGAACTTGATGAACTAAATTGTGTAATCATAAATTTTATACGTATTAAATCTAATGGCATTAATATTACACCTGTTAATATACATGCTGAGACTGATAACCATAAAGACTTAAATGGATCATTAGAATGAGTTAAATCCAAGAAAAAAGGATCAGGTATACCTAAAAATGGTGATATAAATCCAGTTATCCATGCTTCAATAGTATGTGATAATGTTTGATAAATAAATGATGCATTAATACCTCTAAATAGAGCAAGTGGACCATCTTTATTAACAATTGATGATAAAATTTCAAGGGTATGTAATGACTTTGGTTGAATTTTATTAGATCTTAAAGATCTTCTTTTAGATTTGGGTTTATTTGATTTATTCAGTTGTTGTGAATTAAAATCATTATTATTATTTTCATTATTATTTCTCCATACCAGTTGATCATTTTGAGATTCAAAATAATTAATCGTCTCTTCATCATCAAATATACCTATTTGTTCATTATAAGTATCATTTTCTTCATTAGTCGTTGTTGTTGATCCAGTATCATCATTTAATAATCTTTTTGATTTTGAAATTGATTCTTTCTTATTATTACAATTAAATTTACCAACTTGTAAAACTAATCTAACAATTTCTAAAGGTTGAGATAATAATACTTTTATATAACTTTTAATAAAATTATAAATTAAATTCTTCATTGTTTCTATTAAATTATTATAATCAAAATATTCATTAAATTCCAAATCAGATAAGAAATTTTTATCATTATTTGATGAAAATGAAGATTGATTTAAACCAATAGGACCACCTTTATTAAAAGTTCTTCTAATTAAACCTGGTGATTTAGATGATATATTTTCATTTATAGTTTTATCAATTAAATTTGATGATAAATTAGTTGTTATTGGTTTGCCAGTTTTAGTATCAATTAAACCCACACCTTTTTTATAAATTACTGAATAACCAGCATCAAAAGTATCATGATTATAATAAGGTCTCAATTGCAGAGTATCCAATCTATTTGAAGATGAAGATGAAGATGACATTGTTTAGATTGATAATCCAGTTTTTAATTTAAAATAAAAAGTAAAATTAATTACTATGAATTATATAATATATTACATAATAAGTTATGCATTGAACATAAATTTAATAACAATACAGTATATGGCTACATTTGGTAGTCTACAATAGGACAGGCTATTAATATTACATATTACTAAATTAGGTAGTCTAAAGAGGTACTCAATTATTGATGAAGTTGCCGGTGTACCTTATTGATTGTTCAAAATAGTACTTGGAGGATTAATTAAGGCACCTAGAGTTGCATTTAATAAGGTAGAAGCAAATAATGAAGCCGATGTAGCAGTTGAGCCTTGATTACAATTTACCTTGATTTCCAATTGATCTTGATTTCCAATTGATCTTGATTTTCCAATATTGACACTATATATCGACAAATTTTGATAATTTTATCGAAACACATTAATTTGATCTCTCTCTTTCTTACGTTATTCTATTACTTTTGTAAACTCTAGATTTGTAATTAGATATTGATCGATCAAATATACGATTCATTCCATAAACTTTTCATTATTAGTCAATTGGTAGCGTTTGGTCAAATTTCGCCTTCTGATTGGTCAGTTCAGCACTGAAAATTTCAAAACTCGATCAGTCAACTAGTTAGTATTAATAATCAGTAGATCTTGAGCTCTAGTTTAACACTACATAGTTGTACTTTCACCAAACTTTCTACTTTGTGAGATATTTGCAATTTTAAATTTACAGCCTCCCTTCCTCATTAAGTTAATAAGCCTCTTTCCTTATATGCAATTTCAGCCCTCATTCCTAATACGGTTTTAACTTTGGACCATCAGCAAAACCAATTTTTCACTAACAAAAAAAAATCCCAAAATTGACAACTTTTCTTTTTGCAACTTTTATTTGAATTGTAAATTACTCGTACATGCCCAATTTTAATGACCAAAAACACACTGATTTGCAATTACTCGTAACTCTAGTTTACTTTGTATGAAAGTAGTTTGTAATAATTGTTAATCGCGTCGTAATTTAGGTAAATTCAATATTTTGATATTTTTAAGGTACATATGTTAGGAGAGATCCGATTGTTTCAATTTTAGTTGTAATTGATTCTTCTGAATGTTCTGATTTTAAAACACTAGCTTATTCTGAAAAAGTTGGTGTATTCGTTAAGTTATTTAACTTTAAGGATTAAATTTCACAAAAGGAGTCTATACTTCATAAGGGGTGCTTCAATCAATTGAAACCTTAAGAACTTACTAAATTGAATGAAATCAAGCACCAGGAATACCTTTTAAAAAATTCTATGTCAATAGAGCCTTATATTCAAAAGATTTCCACTGAATTCAAGATAACGCTATTTTACAGAATGTAAAATCATTCAAATTTAAGGTATATATTCAACTGAAACATTCAAAGATAGCAAAAGCACAACTTAAACAAAATTCTATTAAATTTAATCAATTTTCTGCATTGAAACTTGACTTAAATTAAAAGTTTCAAAAACATGGATAGTTGAACCATAACAAAACACACTACTTTATACAACAAATGACTTTGAGGATGCCTTTAATATTGAATCAGTCCAAGGATGCAATAAACACTTCAGGTTACTATATCCACTAATCTATTTTTCAGTTTGTTTCAATTCCTTTGATTTATTTATCAAATACTCACCTAAATATTTTAATGGATCATTTGGTTTTAATTTTCCAACTTCTTTTAAACCATTTAACAATTCTGTTGTTAAATGTTGATTTAAATATCTTCGTATTGATGAACCTCCAATAATTTCATGAGTTGGTTTTAGATTCATAGCAGATTTATAATCATCATTGCCATTATTATTATTATTATTATTATTATTATTATTATTATTATTATTATTATTATTATTATTGTTGTTGTTATTATTATTATTATCAATTGATTGATCTTGTTCTTGATGAAATCCATTTGAACTCAGTTCTTGATTTATTATTATCAGGGGCTCCTTTTTATTTTCATTTTCTTGAACAACTGAGTCATTATTATTGGTTTCTGCTTTATCTTCTACTATATTATCTTGTATAATACTCAGTACATCCATATTCGATATTTGTTTTTCTATGTTGATATATTTTATTGAAAAAAAAAAGTGTGCTCAAAATGGATCCATTTAATGAAGTTAAACAAGATGCTGACAATACTAAAAATATATTACAATCTATAATAGACAAGAAGAATAACTCATCAGATATAATCCAAGACTTTAATAATAATTTTCAAGAATTAGAAGAAATTTATGAAGATTTAAAGCAAGCATTAATAATAAGTGAATCGCAACCTTCAAATTTCAACTTATCATTAGATGATATTGCAAATAGGAAAAATATATTAAAAGACTTAAATAATGATATAAAACGATTGAAAAATTCATGGGAAGACAGGAGAAATGTCAAATTACGAGATGTCACAACTATGTCAAATAGAATATCACAAGAATATAATCAAGCTGGAAATCCATTTGATAATGGGAATGGTACTGGGATTACTCAATATCAACAACAAGAATTGATTCAAGAACAAGATTCTCAATTAGATAATATTCATCAAACTATGAAGAATTTAAATTTACAAGCTCAGATCATGGGTAATGAATTAGAAGATCAAGGATATATGTTAGATGAATTAGATTATGAATTAGATAATGTAGATAATAAATTAAATCGTGGTTTAAAAAGAATGAATATTTTTTTGGAAAAAAATAAGGAGACTGCTAGTAATTGGTGTATTGGTATTTTAGTTGTTATACTATGTATTTTATTAGTGTTGTTAATTATAGCTTAGTGATTTTCATTGAATGAATAGGTGCTTGCTAAAAGATCAGCATTATACGCACCAGTATTTGCATACTGTAATCTTAATGTATTTTCTCCAGGTAAAACTCTAACCTTATGACCCATCATTGAAGCTTTATCCAATGTAGGTTGACGTTTCACAATAACACATCGTTATTTTTGATATGTATAATAACTTTTTGCCAACTACGGAATTTGTTGAAGATAGAGTTAATAATCTATCTGCAAAGTTTTTCTTCGTCTAAACTCTTGCCCATTAAATTTATTAACGATTTATCTTCATCTTGAATTTGAACTGCTCCATGCCATTTGTCTGGACCATTTGCTACTGCCCCGTCTTAATGCTGCTGCCATATGCACTGTAACTAGTTCAGGATATGTAAATCCTTTAGCAAAAATAGCATTTATAGTGAAAATATGATTTGAATTTGATAATTTTATAACATCTTTTTGATATTTTTTAAGTATGTTTAAAGGGGCTTCATATTTGTTGGTATTTAATTGAAATTCAGGTGATAATTTAATTTTATCTTTAAACATGAAGATAGTTTATTATAAATAAATCAATTAATCTTGTAATAAATTTCCAATTCTTTAATTTGATAAATAAATCAAATATTGAAAAATTTACTGGGAAATTTGTTAATCTTGACGATTCTTCAATTGAATAATTTAATTTGTTAATATGATGATGTGGACAAGAACATTCATGATGAGAATCATTATCATTTGTTAAACTTTCCAATGTCAATTAAAAGTTTTGATTTCCTTGAATATCAAGAAATCTATCTTTATAATCAATAAATTGTTTAAATTCATCAAAATTATTAAAAGTCTTATTCTTAATATTTAACATGGACCAAATAACCAACTAACCAACTAACCAACTAGCCAACTAGCCAACTAACCAACTAACCCACTGACCAACTGACCAACTGACCAACTGACCAACAAGCAACAATTTCTAGTAATAAATGTATTGGATATGGGGCATACGCCAATAGATATAAATTGTGTTGCAATAAAAAAAAAAATATTATCAGTCAACCAATTACCAATACACTCTCCAATACACTATCAATTCTAATAACTAATATACAAGCAATGTCTACTAATACTACTGAAAAATTACCTCAACTGGTTTTAAATTTATTAACTTCAAGTAGATTTATTCATTTGGCAACTTGTTTAAATAATAAACCTCATGTTTCTTTAATGAATTATACATTCTTTCATCAAGATAACACCAACATAATTATTATATCAACTCCAAAGAAAACAACTAAATATGACAATATTATATCAAATCCAAATGTTTCTATATTAATTCATGATTGGATATCTGTTAAAAATACTCCAGAATCAACAAATGAGACAAATAATGACAATGATAATAATGATAACAGACGTAATTCTCTTTATGAATTGCTTGCTAATTTTAATAAAAATGAACTTAGTAGAGTTTCTGTTATGTTGGATGGTCAAGCTAAAGTTATTGATAAATCAAAAGATAAATCTAAATTTGATTTTTATAAATCATTACATTTAAATAATTGTAAAATTGATCAATTACAAGCTAAAAATTATATTGAAAATGATGATAATGCTTTAATATTAATTGAAATTAAAAGCTGTAAAGTTACTGATACTGATAATAACGTCGAAGAATATTAGGTCAGGATGCAAGACATATGTCAGGATGCAAAATAGTAAGGATGCAGCACAAAACTTGAAACTACTATTTGATAGTACGATTTATGTTAAATACTATAGCTCATTTCTATATATTGATATCCCCATAGTAATATTCATCTCTTCGTAAATTAATAGAGAAAAAAAATATATACTGTCTATACAACATAATACCGACTCCCATATTTTCATATATTTTACATAACCAAATGGCTAAAAAAGGTATAGTAAATGATTCTATAGATCAAAAGATATATCATTTAATTCATCAATTATTAGAACTAAAATCTGAGGAAAATAAAAAGAATTTAACAAATGATGATGATCATCAAGATCCATTCAATTATATTGAATCTGCAAATAATTTAACAATATCTCAATGTATTACTTTTATTCAACAAAAAGACTTTCAATTAAAAAGATTAAAAAGAAATAATCTTGAAAAATCAGTTGGTATAGTGTTAAAATTAATTAGAGATGATGAATTATTGGAAATGGGTAAATTAAATAATGAAAATTCAGTAAATGAAGAAGAGTTTGACAATGATAATGATCATGATGAAAATACAGATAACACTTATATGGAAGTAAAAGATTCAAATGAGTTAAATAAATCTGTTGTTTCTTTATGGAAACAAGAAGAAAATGATGAAACTATACAAGATGATAACCTTGTTAAAGGTAGTAAAAGAAAATCTAAAGATTCTTCAAAATCAATACTGAAAAAGCAAAAACGAAGATTAGATTGTGCTCCACCAAATACTAATTTATCATCATTAGGTGGATTAGAAAATATTACTACTCAATTACTTGAAACTATTGGTTTACCAATATTACATCCTGAAATTTATATAAATACTGGTGTGGAACCTCCTCGCGGTGTTTTATTATATGGTCCACCAGGTTGTGGTAAAACTACAATTGCTAATGCTTTAGCTGGTGAATTACAAGTTCCATTTATTAATATATCAGCACCTTCAGTTGTATCTGGTATGTCTGGTGAATCTGAAAAAAAATTACGTGAATTATTTGAAGAAGCAAAAAATATGGCTCCATGTTTAATATTTATGGACGAAATTGATGCAATTACACCAAAAAGAGATGGTGGTGCTCAAAGAGAAATGGAAAGAAGAATAGTTGCTCAATTATTAACTTTAATGGATGATTTAACTTTAGATAAAACTAATGGAAAACCAGTTATAGTAATAGGTGCAACAAATAGACCTGATTCTTTAGATTCTGCACTTCGTCGTGCTGGAAGATTTGATAGAGAAATATGTCTAAATGTTCCAAATGAAGAACAAAGAATATCAATTTTAAAAACAATGACTGCAAATATTAAACTAGAAAATGGTGATAATTTTAATTATAAAGAATTATCAAAATTGACTCCTGGCTATGTTGGTGCTGATTTAAAAAGTTTAGTTACCGCCGCTGGAATAGCTGCAATTAAAAGAATATTTGAAACCTTGAGTGAATTTGAAGAAGAGACGAAAAATTCAATTGGAACTGATTCTATGGATGTGGATTTAGGTGTCGTGAACGAAGAGAAATTAATAAAAAGTTTCAAGAATAAGAATGAAGTTGAAAAATTGTCAACCATTAAAAGATTTTTATTAAAACATCCAAATCCTTTAAATAATGAGCAATTGGATTCATTGTCAATTACTTATCAAGATTTTCTAGATGCTTTACCTACTATACAACCTTCATCCAAACGTGAAGGATTTGCAACAGTACCAGATGTTACTTGGAAAAATGTGGGTGCTTTAAAAAATACGAGAATGGAATTACATATGTGTATAGTACAACCAATTAAAAAACCAGAATTATATTTAAAAGTGGGTATTGCTGCTCCAGCTGGTGTATTATTGTGGGGCCCACCAGGTTGTGGGAAAACATTATTAGCTAAAGCAGTGGCAAATGAATCTAAAGCTAATTTTATATCGATAAAGGGTCCCGAACTTTTAAACAAATATGTAGGTGAATCTGAAAAAGCTGTTAGACAAGTTTTTCAACGTGCAAGAGCATCAGTTCCATGTATTATATTTTTTGATGAATTAGATGCTTTAGTACCAAGACGTGATACTACTTTATCAGAATCTAGCTCAAGAGTAGTTAATACTTTATTAACAGAATTAGATGGATTAAATAATAGAAAAGGTGTTTTTGTTATTGCTGCAACAAATAGACCAGATATGATAGATTCAGCAATGTTAAGACCAGGTAGATTGGATAAAACTTTGTATATACAATTACCATCATGTGAAGAAAGACAAGAAATTTTAAAAACAATCATTGGAGCAAATAATAGTCCAATTGCCAATGACGTAGATATTGAAAGTATTGCTAAGGATATAAGATGCAGAAATTATTCTGGAGCTGATTTAGCATCATTGGTTAAAGAAGCTGGAATTATGGCTTTAAGGCGAAAAGTATTTCAAGACACTCAAATAGAACAACTAGATCGATCTGGGTTTTATCAAGAACAAAATGACCCTTACGATATTCAAATTTATATGAATGACTTTGAAACAGCTTTATCAAAAATACGACCAAGTGTCTCCGATAAAGATAGATTAAAATATGAAAGACTAAGTAAAAAGCTAGGGTGGAGTATTACTGATGATGATCCAAAATCTGTGTCCAGTAACGTAGAAGACAACATGTGATCTTATAGAAGTAATTAATGCTATGCTGCTGTAATCTAATAGTAAGTGATATATATTAGTTTTTTCAGGTTTATTTATTAACTTATTTATAGAATAAACTACGAATTACTAAACAAACTAACCTCTTGATTGCTTACAAAAATTGAATTTAGAATGACGACGAACCTAAAACATAGAAAAAATAATCCTAGCATCGCAAGGATTTTCAGTCTGATAAACTCGCTCTGTCATACTCTTTATTTCATTGCAGATTGACTTTATGACTGGCAAAAATACAAGAAAGGGGTCATTCAAATAAATCTAATTTAGCGAGAGAAAAGGCGACAAAAAAATTTTAAAATGGCCTAAGACTTTGATCATTTTGAACTCAACACCATTCACGCAATTTCCAATAAAAACACATTTTTCTTGGGCTCATTGGAACGAGAGATTTCAGATCAGTTCAAATCTGATAGTCATAAACTGCTTTCTTTTAGTTTTTTCTAGCAAAGTGTGATTAAAAAAAGTTCTAAAATCCAAAATGTTAGCTTATATGTAGTTCTACAATAGTCAATTTGAAATTTTAATTTGCAAGTAACTCAGCCAATATTCAATCTACCGCTCTCATTCTTGATTCAATAGATTCCTTAATTGATTCTGAGAATATAAATTACAACAGCTTTGAGTAATAATTAATTTTGATCACGTTATCCTTCTTTTAAAAAATGCAAAAAACGCTTCCTTGCAACATAATCATTACTAGGACCTCATCTAGCAACATCTAAAACGTCTGATATGGTTTACTTCACCTTAAATATCCTAACTGTAACGATTTAAAGCCATAATTGTACTGAATTTTTTTCAAAAATTTTTGAACTACTCTAAAAATTACTTTTTCAATTTTAAATTCCTTAACAAAATAGATTTCAAGAAATACCTCGAAGAGGAACTACAAATCTGAGTTGTTTTATCATGCATGAATTTGAATAGGGAAAGTAGACTTAGGTTTTTCATGAGGTCAATTTATTCAATTTTCCCCATACTTAATTTCGAAATTTCGCAATTCTAGTTCCCTTCACTCCCGATCGTGTTCAGCTCCTTAGTTTGAAGTATAGTATATAAAAATGGTTCTTTAATTGAAAGTTATGGTCGTATATTATAAGATACATTGCATTCTATTTTTCGCAAAAATTTTGTATGGTGAAAAATTGCCTATATTGCAAACCGAAAAAAAAAAATTTTTGAATTTTAAGAATTTACACATATAATGGTACTGAGAACAAAGACACCTGGTCTCATTTAAATAGCTCTTATCTCGAGAGACTGCATTTGTTGAAGATATGAGCCAATACTCATAATACGAGGTCGCCTCAAGACTAGTGCGAAAAAAAATTTTTCGCCCCCAACCATCAAACATCATATCATATACACATTTGAGTATAGCAAAAACAGATATACAAAAAGGTAACGCATATTCTGTAATAACAAGTACGTGCTATTGATTATCATTTCGCAGATGTTGGCGATCAAGAACTTTATATTGAAAATTCTAAAGTTTTTTAATTGACACACTTGGTACCATATATTAAATTTAAATACATATAATACTATAACACAAACATATATACAAAAATGTACCGCATATTCTGTAATAACAGGTACGTGCTAATAAGGATTATATGTCAGCTAAAATTTGCTGTCTAATTATAATTGTAAATATGTGCAATTTTGAACAAATTACTAAATGTAAGTAGATGCTTTTACTCAAATCGTATTCTATGACCTTGATTTACCGAGTTTAAGGCTTTATCTTGTGATTGTATCAATTCATCATGAAATACAGATGGTTTTGCAATTTTGTTTTCTTCAAAAATCAAACTATCATCCCAAACTAAGCGTAATTATGTAATGCCTGAGCTATAGTTTAATAACATATAGTTTGATCTTCGCTAAACCTGCTAGTTCGTGAGATATTTGCACTTTTTAAATCTTTCAAGCCTCGTTTCCTAATTTGGTCATTTAACTTTGGACCATCAGCAAAACCAATTTTTGTTACACAAAAACACGATCCAAAATTGGCAACTTTTCTTTTTGTAAATTTTATTTGAAACGTTAATTACTTGAACATGACCACATTTGATAGCCTGAGAAGAACCATTTTATAAACTTTGATAGCTCTAGTTTATTTGATGTCAAGCTGATGCGTTAATAATAGTTAGTGGTTGAGTAAAACAATTTAATTCGTAATTTTGATATACTTTATATAAAGAACGAAAGAGGGGACCAAATGTTTCAAAATAAGTTGTATTTGACTCTTCTTAACTTCCTGATCCTAAAGCAGTTAATTGCTTTTGTAATAGTCTTGTATTTGTAGAGTTATTTCACATTGAAGATTATATTTTCAGAAAGACGATTCATGTATCATACACCAAAATATCATCTAGCAAAGGCAAATAAAGTTTCACTCTCTGTTCTATAAGACCTGAACCTACCACACTTGCACTTTTATACCCAGAGAGCAGCGTTCATTAGTAAATATTTGGATAGTTTTACAAATTTTGTGATTTTGTGAAACAACTCAATGTCTTATGCCGATGTAGTCTCTAGTTTGACATCAGAAGTATGTTTAAAATGTATTATTACCAATATAACCTATATTATATTTACTTATTTTATCTAATTTGTTATTTTCTTATGCTGTTTCTCTATTTTGTTATTCTGATTCACTATTTTGTTATGCTGTTTCTCTACTTTGTTGTGCTGTTTCTCTATGCACTTCCTCAAACCAACAAGTTCTAATCTAGGTATTCAAATCAAACTGGTTATTCTAAGGCCGTAGAGATATCGATCATCCGAAATCTATCCGAGATCTGGCCTGCTTTCACATAAATCAGAGATTCCCGAGATCAGGCTTGGGATATATCAGAGATTTCAGAGATCTGTCCGAGATCTGGTTAGAAACCCTGATCTTTACACCCTAACTGCAATACTATTTTTTGCCACAATGCACCCTTACCGCAATACTTAATATGACATCCTAACCTCAAAAATCATATGATGGCGCGTGTTCAACTTTGCTTTAGAACGTAGTGGAACACGTGATATCAGACGACTTTTTCAATCCTAAAAGTTGATATATTTGGTCATGTGATGGAAAATTATAATATTTTACACATTCTAATACTATTTTACCGTTTTTGATTGGTTGAACGTGACGAGACAAGAAAATCTTATTCATTTTGTTCAATTTGAAGAAAAGATCCAAACACCAAAATTTTCTTTTTTCAAATGTGACACGTGACCAATTTCTTTAAACAACTTGATTATGAGTAACTACACGTGACCGGGGAGCCTGATCAAAATTCATATATCCGGAAAATCACGTGTTAATTGATGTTAGGAGCTTTTATTTTGCATAGAGGTTAACGTGTCATTTTAAGTATTGCGGTAAGGGTGCATTGTGGCAAAAAAAATAGTATTGCAGTTAGGGTGTAAAGATCAGGGTTTCTAACCAGATCTCGGACAGATCTCTGAAATCTCTGATATATCCCAAGCCTGATCTCGGGAATCTCTGATTTATGTGAAAGCAGGCCAGATCTCGGATAGATTTCGGATGATCGATATCTCTACGGCCTTAGAATAACCAGTTTGATTTGAATACCTAGATTAGAACTTGTTGGTTTGAGGAAGTGCATAGAGAAACAGCACAACAAAGTAGAGAAACAGCATAACAAAATAGTGAATCAGAATAACAAAATAGAGAAACAGCATAAGAAAATAACAAATTAGATAAAATAAGTAAATATAATATAGGTTATATTGGTAATGATACATTTTAAACGTACTTCTGATGTCAAACTAGAGACTACATCGGCATAAGACATTGAGTTGTTTCACAAAATCACAAAATTTGTAAAACTATCCAAATATTTACTAATGAACGCTGCTCTCTGGGTATAAAAGTGCAAGTGTGGTAGGTTCAGGTCTTATAGAACAGAGAGTGAAACTTTATTTGCCTTTGCTAGATGATATTTTGGTGTATGATACATAAATCATCTATGTGAAAATGCATCTTCAATGTAAAATAACTCTACAAATGCAAGACTATTACAAAAGCAAATCAACTGCTTAACAATCAGTAAGCTAAGAAGAGTCAAATACAACTTATTCTGAAACAATTGGTGCCCTCTTCCGTTCTTTATATAATGCATATCAAAATTTCGAATTAAATTGTTCTACTCCAACATCCACTATTATTAGCGCATCAGCTTGACATCAAATAAACTAGAGCTATCAAAGATTATAAAATGGTTGCTTTCAGGCCATCTAAATTGGTCATGTTCTAGAAATTAACGCTTTAAATAAATTTTGCAAGAAGAAAAGTTATCAATTTTGGATCGTGTTTTTGTGTAACAAAAATTAGTTTTGCTGATGGTCCAAAGTTGAATAATTGAATTAGGAAATGGGGCTTGTAAAATATAAAAAGTGCAAATATCTCACGAACTAACAGGTTTAGCAAAGATCTAACGATATATTAATAAACTATAGCTCATGAATTACAGAATAATGCTTAGTTTGGGATCATAGCTTGATTTTTGAAGAAAACAAAATTGCAAAACCATCTGTATTTCATGATGGATTGATGCAATCACAAGAAAAAACCTCAGACTGGGTGAATGAAGGCTATTAAATACTGATTGAGTAATGGTGTCTACTTAGATTTAGTAATTTGTTCAAAAATGTACCTATTTACAATTGAAATTTGATAGCAAGTTTAAGCTGACATGTAAGCCTTAGTAGCATGTACTTGTTATTACAAAATATGTGGTACATTCAGTTTATATTTCTTCATTATTAATATGAAATATAACTATATAAATAGTGGAAAGCACGACAAAGTACATCTCCACAAAAAGCAATATTAATACCCACATTCGAATTTATCTGAGGTTTCTGGTTCCAATGTGTCCGAGAATAATATGTTTTGGATCGAAATTGAGTGAATGGTGTTACGATCGAAATAATCAAAAACTAATGCCGTGTTAAAATTTTTTTTGTCGCCTTTTCTCTCGGTATACTACTTTTCTTTCAAAAATATACCAGTTTTCATTTTGCATTAATCTAGCCGTACATGTCACACATGTAATGAGAGAGAGTCATAGTCATACCAGTCCAGACATATCTCATCCCTACCTCTATATATGTCGAAACAATTTTAGTTTTCAAATTGTGGTCTGTATTGATTTTTAACACATGTATGTAACTTGATGAAATTTATTATACACGCCAGATTTTCAATCACTAATCAGTAATGGGTTGTTTAAAAGCAATTGGCTATGAATCTGTTAGATTTGAGGCAATTTGAAATCTGGATGCAAACCTCTACTGAACTACGGTACTTTTTTTTTTGACTTCTGGACAAAAATAAAAAATGAAGGGGTCGTCAAATCGTCTCGAGGGTATCACCATTGTAATCATTGGATCTTTCTGATTCTAAATCTGTTGTTACTTTAGATCGTGTTGTTGAGAAGTTATTTAAGTTATTGCTTTATTTTTCGCCTGTAGCGCTTCAAAACCAGTACCATTGTTACCATCAAATTGGTTCGATTGACTCGAAGATCTTAAAAATTTACGTTTGGGATGTAGAGCTTGAATATTGAAAAAGTTATATTCAGATTAAGTTTTAAGATTATCCATGATGAGACGGAATATGAATCGAAAATTAATTATTACGATACTGCGTCATATTTTGTTTAGTATGTATTTTTCAGTGCTGGTGCGACGTAATTAATTTTCCGTGTTAGCCTTGGGGCGACTCGTACTAAAATTATCAGCTTATCTCGGATGAAGCTTTCTCTCTAGCTATGTATCACTTATATGAGTTCTTAACACATACACCTTATATATTCAAGTGCTCAAATTTCAAAGTTTTATTTTCTTGAGTTGGCATTTTGGCCATTTTTTGCCATAAAAAAATTTGCTAAAACTGAAAATGCAGAGCATAATTTATTTACGGCCAAAACTTTCAATTTAACAACGGATGATATATAACATGCCTCAGATCAAAGTACTGAAATTAATTCTAGTTCACCTAGACTGAAATTCAGATATTTCATTTAAGTATGGGAAAAATTGAATAAATTGACCTTACGAAAAATACACCTCCAGAATGAGTATCAAGATATGATAAAAGTATCAGGATACGAAATCTCCCATTCTGATATGGTTTCGCTTTTTAAGGTTAAGATACTCAAAGTGGAAAAGTAATTTCTCAGTAGTGGTTTGAAATTTTTGCAAGATTTTCAAAATGGATATAGCAACTGCAAACCATAATTTAAAGTATTCTTGAGATTAAATGATCCAAATTATGTATTCTAGAAGTTGCAAAATAAGGTCTAAATGTGAACCTTTTCACTAATTTGCCGTTTTTCTCATTTTTTGAAAAGCTAATTACTTGATTAAAATTTAGTTCTACTAAAAGAGACTACCATCGGTTTGTATTGAATTAGTTGGAGATTTATTGAAAAAAGTTTGAAAAAGATACATAATATATTGAGTAAGTTATTTACATTTCAACATTTTGACATCAATTACAAGACTGCATGTCAGTGGATTTGTAATTTTGTACTTTTTTCAATGCCATAATATTTGGAGCGAGACAAAATAATTTCTCGCGCCAGCTCTAGGGCTACTCGTACTAAATGTTTTTGTTTATATTTCGAAAATAACGCAATCTTTCAAGATCGTTACCAATTTCACAAAATCAGGAACCTTGATTTGTATATGCGAGAGACTTCAAAACTTCAAGTTCAAAGATATTTTTTTTGAGTTGGCATTTGGGTCTTTTTTCATCATACAAAATTTTTCAGAAGAATTAAAAGTCAGAGATGGCCTCAATAAAGCCACGACTTTCGATTAAACAACGAATTATACAAATGATACCCCAGAATAAAGTATGAAACGTAATCCTAGATGCATTTGAAATTCAAAAATTGCAAAAATCTCTCTTAAATATGGGAAAATTGAACAAATTGACTTTACAAGAAAGAAAGCTCCAGAATCAAAATTGTGACCATAGTTTAATAAAAGTATCAATATCTGTAGTTTCCCATTCAAAAATAACTTAATTTGTTCTATGTTAAGGTATTCAAAATTCAAGTCATCCAATGCGCATTGCAATCAGTTTATTCTAAATAAAGCTGCGGTTATAATAAATCTAGTTTGAATACGAAAACTTGATTATTGACTGGGTTATATCCAATTTAATTTCAAGATAAACTATTACAGGACTGCATACAAGCAAATTTATTATCGAATTTATATGCATTTTTGAATGCGATGAAAGTGGTACGACAGAATTATTTCTCGCGCTATTTTTGGGGCAACTCCTACTAAACACATTGACGTATGTGTAATGGACAACACATTCTCATGAGGTAAATCCTATTTATATGAAATCCAGAGTATTGAATTATATACCTCACATAAGTCAAGTCTAAATATTACAAGATTTTTTTTTTGAGTTTTCATTTTGGTTTTTTTCATGCAAAAATTTTGCTAAAACTGGAAACACGAAGGAGAATTTATCAACGGGTAATATAAAGTATACATCAAATCAAGTGCTGAACTTAATTCTAGCTGACCGAGACTGAAACTGAGAAATTTCAAATTTTTCTCTAAGTATGGAGAAAACTGAATTATTTGACCTTAAGAAACTTCAGCTCCACAATAAATACCAAGATGTGATAAAAGTATTAAGATTCATAGTCTCCTATTTTTATATGGTTTGGTATTTTTTGTGTTAACATATTTTTAAATCGAAAAGTAATTTTTTGATTGTGGTTCGAAATTTTTGTAAGTTTCAAAACGATTATGGTGTTTTAGAAACATAGTTTAAAATAACCGTTAAATTTTTTTAGGAATTTCGCTTTGAATTAGTAGAATTCGACCTATGTTGAAGCGAGGAAATGACCGGTGAATTTTTCATTCAAGGCGAGAGATTGGTACCAGTTTTCGTGCGAGCAATTTCTATTTCGCTACCAAGTGAATCACTTTAATAGCAGTTAGGTTACCATTACAATCTCTTGTTCTGTTTCTACACGTACTTGTTAGAGCAAAATATGTGGCACACTATTATATATCAATTAATGCTACAATTTAATATACATATGATTTGATGATTACAGCGAGATAATAATATGGATTGCTTAGAGATTAGATTTTCAATTTATGAGACTCAGATAAATGCTGTAAACCAACCAAAAATAGATCAAAGTAAGATATTCAAGGGTAGAAAGTAGTTCTAAATATCTTGCAAAGTAATCGATATGGAACAGACCACAATTTGATCAGAAATAATGATAATGATTTGGTAGCAACTAAGTACAAAAAATAATAATGGGGGTGAATTATAATGTACAACTAACTAATTGTTGTATAAATACGGAAATAAATAGCAATCATAATTGAAAATGATTTACTCTATTGTTTGCTTATGGTGCCATTTTAAATTAGTATAAATACCGTAAAATATCCCCAATGATATTTGTTCTTTTTATATCTTTTAGTTTTTATTAGAGGACTTTAATTCATTTAACCAATAAATAAAAATGTCAGACGCAGGTAGAAAAAACGTTTCAGATAAAATCGGTGAAGGCTTAAAACCAGATTCAGAAAAATCATATTTAGAAAAAGGTAAAGAACAAGTTACTGATTCTCTTGATAAATTTGCTGCTAATACAACACCTGATAATCAAAAATCTTTTTCTCAAACAATTTCAGATGATGTCCAAAAAGGTCATGATGATGCTAAATCTGCTGTTAAACAAGATGCTCAAGCTGCTGAAGGTCAAGGTTCTTCATTAGCTGAAACAGCTCAAGAATATATTAATGTTGCTAAAGAAAAAGCTTCTGAAGCTGCTGAATATGTTTCTGGTGTTGTAGGTGGTGCAACTGAAGGTGCTAAAACTGGAGCTGAAACTTCAAAAAAATAGAAACCCACATAGTAATTTAAATGAGGAATATATATAAATAGATATACTAAACTTTTTGATCATCTGTACTTTGATAAGTAACTACTCTTGAATCCCATAGCTTGTAATATAATACAGATATATTGTAACAATTTTACGACAGTAAAAATTAAGTTGTACGCTTCTTTTTTTTTTTTTTTTTTTTTTCTGAAACATATATTTATATCTCATATCTTTTTATCTTTTTAAGCATTAAATGATGGTTAACAAGGATAAAATAAAATTAACAAATGATTCAGATGATTTTGAGGAAGATTTTCAAAGTGAAGAAGAATCAGATGTAAATGAAAAAGTTTTTAATTTCAAATTAAAAGCAAAAAATTTGAGTACTCCCCATGCAATAGATGAGGAAGAATTTAGCATAAGTGAGGATAATGATGATGAAAAAGAAATTGAAAGAGATGGAGATTATGCTGATGAACCTTCTGGATCTGAAAAGAGTAGAGAATCTCAAATTTTCAATGATCAAACAGAATTTAATTCCAATGAAGAAAATGATGATGAGCTTCTGAAGCCTCATAAATTAAATAAAAAGCTTAAAAGATTCTCTACCGAAGAGCTTGAGAAGGAAAAAAAACGTATAAGAAAAACAGGTGTTTGTTATTTATCAAAGATTCCTCCTTATATGAAACCAGCAAAACTTAGGTCAATTTTATCAAATTTTGGGACAATAGATCGATTGTTTCTCAAACCAGAAGATTCAACTACTCGTCATAAAAGAGTTAAATATGGGGGAAACAAAAAGAAAAATTTTACTGAAGGATGGGCTGAATTTGTTAAAAAAGGTGATGCAAAACTTTGTGCAGCTACTTTGAACGGGAATAAAATTGGTGGTAAAAAAACGTCGTATTATTATGATGATATCATAAATATAAAATATCTACCTAAATTTAAATGGATTGATTTGACTCAACAAATAGCAAGAGAAAATGATGTTAGACAAGCAAAATTGACAATGGAATTATCACAACAAAACAAATTGAATAAAGCATTTATCAGTAATGTTGAAAAATCAAAACTAATTTCTAATATACAGAAGAAAAGAAAGAGCAAGAATGCAGTTGATAGTTCTTCTGAGGATCCAATCAGACGAAACTTTAAACAAAGAAAAATTACAACTACCAGGAGTGATGCTTCAGAAATAGAAAAGAGAGACTTTAAACCCGATGAAAAGTTGTCAAAAGCTTTATCTAATGTATTTTAATAGAAATTGTTTAATTAAAATATCATGTCTCTTTCGATTGTCACTATTTATTTTGATTCATGAATGTTAAAAGAAAATCATATCTTGTTTTCAATTCTTGTTTTGAACCACATTCTAATTCCTTCATTAATAAGGAGCTATTTATTGCTTCAACTCTTCCAATTTGATTCAGAATAACTATTTTTTTCAATTTGGCCCATTTATGAGACGGCCACCATATAAGATTTGATTCGAGATCTGCACTTGAAATATTTTTCAGGTTTGTTTGAAAATTTGCCCTAGTCGGTGTATAAGATGGAAAAATAGAACTCGATTTGTCCTTAATTTCGGGCTCTTCCTCATCAACAAAATCTAAGCTTTTAGTATTCACATTTTCGTGCTCAGACTGCGGCTTTATAGGCTCTAATGCTGTTTTTAAAGTTAAATTTATTCTCTGGAATAATTGGTCTCTTGAATTATGATCTACATTATTGTCATTATTTTTGATAGTAGATGATACAACAGGAGTAAGTCTGTTCTTATCATTCACCTTTTGATTACATCGTAGACTATCTTCATGATCTATGTTTTCTTGAAATTGGCTATTGAATTTAATATTGGATGGTGATGAATAAATTGAGTGTGGGATATTTGTAGTGGGTCCATCCTTTAAAGTTTGATTACTTCTGAATTTTGAAAAAGTTGGTTCCAAATTATTTAACAATTTCTCAACTGGTAAGTATGATTCTATATCTGTATCGTCGAATTCTTCTTCATTCAACTTTGGAGATTTTAAAATCATTGATTTTTTTATGCGCAATGCGAAAAATTACTTCAACTAATTGACATATATTACTTTACTATATATTAGTTTAATAAATCATTAAGCGTGTCATTGATGAAGGAATCAATGCTTGGATTCTTTAAACTATACCTTCTTTCGTAACTAATTAAACTCAATGACTCAAAATAAAGTCTTAATTGAGTAATCAGATCAATGTTTTTAATTCTACCTAATAATGGTCTCAATTCACTTGTAGTTGATTGATCTATTGGTAATGGATCATCCTTTAAAATTGTAAAATCATGCAATGAAGCAATTGTATCTATTAACGAATTTGAATTTTCAACATTGACTTCCTTAACCACATTAGAACCAGTGCTAACAAATAACCATCTACTCAAATTAAACTCATCAAAACTAAACAGCAACAACTGATCCAATAGTTTACAGCCAAATAAAATATGTTTCAAATCTTCTTTGGGTAATGATAAAAGTTCCTTTAATGATCCAGTAGAAAGTGGTTCAAAAACAGATATCAATTCATGAACGATAACAGTCCACTTTGATAACAAATGTATTTCACTGAACTTTAATGTAATAGCCTTAATTAAAGTCAAAATTGCCGACTTGATACTTTTAGGACAATTTTCTCTTAAAAGTAGATCAATTTTGTTAAATAAAGACTCAAAATTATTCAAAAAAAAATCATTAGGTTGTATCAAAATCAAATACGAGATTCTTTTGATTGCATTAATTCGTGCTTCAATTTCAGAACTCTCATTCCAAGTAAACAAACCACCGGGTGAAGCACTCGAAGATGCAGTAATTTTTGATATCAAATCAGTAAACTTTTCCTTATCTGACGTTATCCAACAACTAAAAATAGAATTCCAAATCGAATTTGTATATAAGCTAATAGCAAACAACTCGTTACTCGTGAAAATATCTATTATAGCAAGTTTCCAACTTTTGGACATCATGTACAAACCTAAATTGTCCAACAAGTGTAATTCTGCATCATTTAATTCTGTAATTTTTTTCAGTTTGACTTTGGGAAGTATACAAGTGGATAATATTGAGTTTGATAGCAGATTAATTTTCTCAGGATCTTGCAATACTTTACTGACCAATGGAATTATTTCAGAAACTTCTTCAAGTGTATTCGTTGCTTCAACATCAATCTTTGTGCTAATTGATGAGATTGTCTGCAGAAAAAGCTTGTAAAATATATCATGTAGATCCTTCTTCTGTTTCAATTCATTTGATTTGTTTAAACTTAACTTGGATGCAATTCTTTGACTTATTTTTAGACTATCAATGCAAACAATATCAAAATTTTCAGAATTGTTAATAACACTTTTCAAAAAATCGGTGGTTGATTCCCAAACATCCAAGATAACATCATTATCCACATATTCAAAAAAAGCAACTAAAAAGTTGGATACATCTTTGGCAGATAGTTTTGAGACTAATAATGTATTTTTCATATGTTGTGCCGAATCTGATTTGCATCTTATAATTATGGAATTGTATAAAGAAACTACAGTCCGTTGTGATCTACCACCATCCAATATATTTAACAATTTAATCGTAGACTGATTGAATTGTGTGACTTCAATTAATGTTTCTGTAACCTCACGTCGTTCAAGACTCATTAAACATTCTAATAGTTTTTTAGTTCTAAATTTAAGTTTATGTGCAATATAAATCATGGATCTTTCTGAATATAATTCACTATTAATTGGTAATGTATGGTTTGAATCTGACCAAACCCAAATTCTGTAACTTAAATCCACAGCATCATGAATAGCCATTAACACCGAATATAAAACGTTTTGATCATTATTTTGCATTGTTGGAGACTCGATTTGAAAAACACCTTGAATCATTGTATTAAGAAATCCATTTTCATGATTATTTTGCCTTTCATTTTGATGTTTATAATTGGAGCTTAATATATAGCTATGACTTATTGACAACAAATCCTCTAATCCATCGAATAAAATATATATGGAATTTTCAAAATATTTATCATCATTAAATGCTTCCCAAGATGATAGCGTATTGAATAACTTGGACAATTTTTTAAGTAAAACTTCATTCAAGTTGAATAAAACACTAAACACTGAATCTTCAAAAAGATACAAACATTTGATAAGTAAGGATATCCAGTTTTGAAGCAATTCTGAAGTTACACATTTATCAATCCCCAAAGCTATTAAATTAATCAAAATAGGCTCTTTTTTCAGTTCTTCAACGTGCAATAAATTTAAATTAAGTTTTAAATTATGAGCTTTTTCTAATAACACAAAAATGACACTAGTAGACTTAAGTAGTATATCTTCATAGACAACTGCTTCATAACTTGATTTCAAAAATTTAACACAAAATCCTATTAGCTCAATTAAAATTTCCATGAAATTTTGTTCTGTACCCGTTGTTATCAACAGCAAAAGCTCCAAACAACTAGATAACCAATGAGAATAGCCTGAGTTTAACTCTTGCACATTCAATTGGTTCGGTAAATCCATACCCAAAAACTTTTTTATAATGATATGAAGTAAAGCTTTGAAGTTGAGGTCCTCTACGTTTGTGGTTGCCAAAGTTTGATCAATATCAATTATCATGATTTCATTGCTAACTTCATAAACAAGACTTTCTCTTATCATTTTTTTGTCCATATTTAACAATTTAATTAATATGTCTAGCTGATATGCAAAATAATTGAAGTCATTATCAGAAGTAGCTATTACATTAAACTTCAATTTTGAAAAAGGATTGAATAGTATTTTCCATAACCTATCAGCTGTTCCACTTTTTATAATTTCCCTTATAAAATTTACAAGTGCCGCGTAATTGAGTTGATCATCAACTGAAATTCCTTCAATCATTAACTGAATTGGTTTTTCAATAATCTTGTCACTAAATGTATCACTTTCGGAGTGGATCCACAATCTTTTTAAGCTAAGGACTTGTCTAGACTTTGGAGTCTCCATGAAAAGCTCTGAAATAGCTGCAATTAATTTATCAACCGGGAAACATTCTTTCAATTCAAGTATAGTCTTTATTGTTTCAACTTGATAATTTGCTGGATTTAATGACAGTAAAGAAAACCACATTTTTGTAAGCATAATTTTCAAAAGTTCTTCCAATTGACTATTGTTTAGAATTTTTATCAACTTATTCATAAATGAACTCACACTCAATGAGCTAATAAGTTCTGATTCTTCAGATTTCAGTTTCCAAATTGACAAAATTTTTTCAATAAATAAATCGGTTCTCCAATTTTGATCTTCAATCGATAATTCTGACCATAGATTGGATAATAACATTGCAAATGGTATACAATATGTTTCATTATTAATGTTATCAAGGTAAATATTTTCAACCATTCTTAAAATTATACTAGTAATTACTTCTTTTGAATACGGAATTTCTGGATCTTCATTTTCAAGTTTAGCACTATACCAACGATCAATGTGTTTCAAGACATCTGATTGATTTAAGTCAATTTCTTGTAATTTGATTATATAAAGTTGTTTGGGAATAATTTTTATTAGCATTTGTATTAGCTCAATCTTTTTCGATGTGATTTGAGTGTTGGCTAAAAGTGCAATCATTGCAAATGGAGCATGTAAAACTACCAGATCCTCTTCATTTATACTAAACTCTTTCAAAACAAATTCAACAATATTCAACATATTTTCGTCATCATTTAACAAAGTTTTAAATATATCAGCCCAGATATAAAATGGCTCAATATCATTAAAAAAAGACAAACCAACGGCCATTAACTCTTCATTATTTGAATTATGAAATAATGAATTCAATAAAGGACCATAAAGTTTCGGAGTTAATATTCTACTAATTTCCCATTTATCCATAATCAATGGCAACGATATTTTAAATGCAACAATTGATTCCTTTATATCATCTGAGCAAATAAGTTTTAATAAACTTTCAATTAATTCATTAGCAGCAAATTTTTCAAAGTATTCACTTTTTGTTAAACTTAAGGAATTGCTTTGATTGTCAGGGCCTAAATAATAATTCCATAATCGCCTATTCAAGCTCATATCCTTCTTCAAGGAAATTTTACTACATGACATGATTAACAACTCTTTATCTTTGGGTGTTATTGTAGATTTCATAATTTCAGAATCTAAAGGAATATGAGATAATAATAAATCAAAAAAACCTCTCACTACAACCACATCAATAGTTCTAAAAGGATCAACTGCAACTGAAAATGACCTAGCCAAAAGACCAGCCTCTGGTGTCAAACATAATTGTGCTTCTGCTGAAAGTATAGCATTACCATTAGAATCTTTTGTTGTAATGAATCGAGGCAATCTTCTGCTGCACCAATTAAGAGCACCAATACGTCGCTCAGAATTGTTGATAATGCAAATAAATATATTTTGCCAAAATTGTGAATCGTCATTAATTTTCTTTTTAAAGTTATCGAGTAACTCAAAAACATCGTCAAATACTTCTGAATTTTCATCATCTAAACCAGAAAATAAGCAAAGAAGAATAGGTTGTAAAATCCTTTTCAAAGAATCATTATTTAGTTTTTCAAATAGCAAGTGTTTGTATAATTGTAATATTTGAGGTTTTACCAGTATCGACGCATAAGATAACAATGGCAATAAACCATTTAACCATAAATGGATTTCTTCATTTAATAATTCATTAGGTAGATTATTAAAGATATATTCATAAATACTTAATGCTTTTTGATGAACACCATTTGGAAGGTTAGGAGATACACATAATGATAATTTAAAAGATACCTGATCAGAATATGGAATATAAAATGAATCTTCATTCTTTGATTCAGCTAAATATTGCAATGATTTAAATAATTTTGACAAGAATGAAATATAATCTGCCCATTCCTCTAAATTTTCAAAAGAAGTTAAGGCTTTTTCAATTTGTTGATAATACTTTTTATCTCTAGATGACAATTGAGAAGTCTCTTTTCTTTCTTTGATTCTTTTAAGTAGTGAATTGGTTTTCCTCTTTGACATTGAATTGAAAGAAGTCTATTATTATTGACAACAAGAATATTCGTTGAAAATGGTTCCAATTCAATTCGAACTATTTAATTTTTTTTTTTGTTTGTCTGTTTCATGAGCCCAAGGCCAAGAGAGGAATAAAAATGGCACGAAGTTAAAATGGCATTACAACGTAATATATAATTCTATTTACATACTATTAATTTAATATAGTTTGATTATCGTCATTTTTAAAACCAAAATAAGTTAATATTCTATTCCATTGATCTTTTTTATGTATCATAGCTAAAATTAAAACAGCGGGTAAATGCCATACCGAACACCAAAATAATTTTTTAGCATATATACCAGCCAATTTGATTCCTTCACTATTTATTTTAATATTACTAGGTTTATAATTTATTTGTTGTTGTTTCCAAAATTTAAATGCTAAATAAGTTAACCAAGCATTTGCAATTGCCGAATCAAATGGGAAAACCCAATCAGTAACACCAAAATAACTTAATCCAAAACAAAGTGGAAACATCAATATTGAATAACGTAAAGCTACTCTAGCATTTAATTTTGGATTTTCAGCAGCAGTCATTACATAACCTGCCAGTTTATATTGATCAGCTATATTATGTGATAAAGCATTAAAATGTGGAAATTGCCAAGCATATAATAAACCAGCTAAACACCAAGCACCTGGATGCATTAATGAAGAAGAAGCTGCCCATCCCATTAGTGGTGGTATTGCTCCAACTATTGCTCCTACCCAAGTATTTAAAATTGATTTTCTTTTCATTGAAGTATAAATCCAAGCATAAAGTATAATATTTGAAAATCCCAATATGGCAACAGTAGGATTTACTCCAAACCATAGTGTTAAACAACCTAATGTACCAGTTAAACTTGCAAATTTATAAGCTTGTTTGGGAGAAATTAAACCTCTTACAACAGGTCTTCCAACAGTTCTAGGCATTTTTCTATCAAAATCAGGTTCTCTTCCCATATTAATTGCATTCGCAGCACCGGAACATAAAGCAGTACCAGAAGTTAAAAAAAGTAATTCATACAAAGTAACAGATAATGGAGAAATAGCATATGAACAAATTGCACTTAATGTAACTAAAATTGTTAAATTTGGTTTAGTTAATTTAATATAAGAATTTAATGCCACTCGAAATTCCGATTTATTTTTAGGAATTGATAAAGTTTCAATTTTATTGTTGTTTCTTGACAGTTTTGGTGAAATTTTAAATGGTAAACCTTGAGATAATGAAGCTTGTGGTTCTTGACAAGTTAATACTTTAGATGCAACCTTTTCTATAACTGAATAATTTGTTGAAATTGGGGAATTGCATGACGAAATTGAATTTAAATCATCTTTTAATGAATTTTTAACATTTTTAGTTTGATGATCTTCTTGTTTCAATATTGGAGTTTGATTTTTACGAATTAATAATTGATTACTTATAAAATTTCTATCTATTACTAAATTCTTTGTAGTATTATTAAAGAAATAGTTGAAGTTATTAATTGTATTGTATTTTGAAAAATTCACTAGTTTTGATGATATCATGATGAAATCGTAGTGAAAATCTACTTCAAAATAAATTTTTGTTTCAGAAAACAAAAAAAAAACACTTGGTGAAAATATTCAAAATCAATAACATAGAGTAGTAATACATTAACCAGAGTAGTAACACATTAACCAGAGTAGTAATATAACACATTAACTAGAGGTATGGTTCATGAGTCATTGTATATTCGTAGCTTATTTAACTGCAATTTTATCTTCACCTATCTCTAAATTTGAGTTTGTTACCTTTTTTTCATATATCAGTTTATTTTCTAATTTATTTTCAATTAAATCATGAAATGCTATTATAGCTCTAACTAATGTACTTATATAAAGAATCATTAATTCATCATTAGTTTTTACTGTAAATGCAGTAGCCAATGGATTATTATTTGAATTATTATCATCATCATCATCATTATCATTATTATTTGATACAGAATTTGATGATAAATTTGGTAATAAATTAAATACATTTTGTAATTTACCTAAAATTGTATGATTAATTGGTAAATTTTTATGATAAACTTTATCTAAATAATTTGCAATTTCTCTTAATTTTTGATGTAAACCTAATAAAGATTGATAAGTTTGAGTTACTCTTAATGATAAATTACCAGCAGCTTGATCTCTTATATCTCTTAATAAATGTTCAACACCAATTTCTTCAGCCTCTTCTGCTTCAATTAAACTGGGTACATGAACAAAAGTTTTTTCAGCAGCAGATCCATCATTTTTAATATCATCAACAGCATAATAAGCATCAGTTGGAATGCCAACATTTCTAGGTTGAACGTCAACAATTAATAATAAAGGATTATCAGTATATCTTTTAAATAATTCATTAATTTTCAAATCCGAAGATTTTAATTTTGGACCAGAATGATACCAACCAATTAATTTTTCTTTCGCATTGATTTTTTTAAACATTTCACCCATTGAATCAATAAAATTATGATCTAAAAACCAAACATTGGTGTTTTTGTCATCTTCTTCAAAAGGAATAGCATAAGAATTTGTAACTTTTATAGTGTTGGACGTTGACTTATCACCTAATATAACACCAACTACTCTTTTTTTAGTATCTTTAGCAACTCTATTAAAATGATCAACAACTGATAATAAAACCAATGGCGAAACAGATACCGATTTATTTAAGAAGGTTAATTCATTAATACTTGATGTGGCAATGGACATATTTGGTTCATGTAATAAATATTGAATATCTTTTAACTAATAAAATGTAACTGGTGCTGTACTTCCTTTATTACCTTTCTTGTTATTACGCGGTGGTGGTGAATATAAAATTTGCCATTCGAATTGAAAAATTATTTGGTGATAAAGAAAAAACACATCTCGTGTATTAACCAATATATATATTGTATACTGAATCGTTTGAATACTAACAAAGGTATATTATGTTCGGTCAAATAGTAATAGGACCACCAGGTAGTGGTAAATCTACTTATTGTTATGGTATGTTTCAATTTTTATCAGCTATTGGTCGAAAACTGTGTATTATAAATTTAGACCCTGCTAATGATAATTTACCATATCCTTGTCAACTAGATATACGAGAGTATATTAATATTGAAGATATAATGGATCAATTAAATTTAGGTCCAAATGGCGGATTAATGTATGCTTTGGAACTGTTAGAATTAGATGGTATGAGCACATTTGTTTCTAAAATTGATTTATTAATTAATGATAAAAATTATTTATTATTTGATTGTCCTGGTCAGATTGAATTATTTACTCATCATCAATCATTATTTAATATATTTAATTCATTAACTACTTCCAAAAGATTAAGATTATGTGTTGTTTCATTAATTGATTCTATTTATTTAACAAGTCCATCACAATATATATCTATTTTATTATTAAGTCTAAGATCCATGTTACAATTAAATCTTGCACAAATTAATGTTATTAGTAAAATTGATTTATTAAAAAATTATGATAATTTACCGTTTAAGTTAAATTATTATACTGAAGCTCAAGATTTAAATTATCTAAAACCTCATCTTGAAAAAGAATCAAATTCCATATTAGGTAAAAAATATGTTAAATTAACTGAATCTATTGCTAATTTAGTTGAAGATTTTCATTTAGTTTCATTTGAAGTATTATCTGTGGAAAATAAAAATAGTATGATAAATTTATTAAGTGTAATTGATAAAGCAAATGGTTATAGTTTTGGTAGTGAAGTTGGTGGTGATTCAATATGGAGTGAAGCAACTAGACAAGGTACTCATGAAGGAGGTTATGCAGATGTAGATATACATGAAAGATGGATACAATATAAAGATGAATATGATGAACAAGAAAATAAATTGGAAAAAGAATTGCAAAAACAGTTTCAAAATGAACATGGGAAACAATTAACAGAAGATGAAGAATGGGAGGCAGCTATAAATGAATGGGAGAGTAATCATGGTGGTAAAGGAACATTTCTGAAGTAAATGATGAACTTGTAAATATAAAGCTCTCTAGTTTTCCTCTCTGGTTTTCCTCTCTGGTTTTCCTCTCTGGTTTTCCTCTCTGGTTCCTCTCTTGCATCCTTACTCATGACTCTAGTTTATCAAATCTATTGGAAGATATGGATATAACAAGCTATTGTAATTGATTGTATAAACCATTTTGGCATCTTTACCATTCCGTGTTTCAGAATTTTGATCTAAAACAATTTTTTTTTTTTTTTTTTTTTCTGGTTTTTTTCGGTTTTTTTCGGTTTTTTTCACCCTACGTTTCTGAATATAATGATATGATAGCATCTTCAACTAATAAAGATACAATTATTAAAAATGATAAAGATGAATTTGATGAAATAAATGATCAATTTGATAAAACATTACAGAATTTACAGAGAAAGAAGGATCTTTTATCTTCTCAAATGAATGAATTATCTAATATGAAACAGTATTTAATTAATTTGTCTTCAAATGATAATAAACCAGTCATGATAGAATCAGAGCCTGGTAAAATGATGAAAAAAACACGTAATGAAGCTATTGAATACATAGATGAGAAATATATTGAATTACAACTGATTTATAATGATTTTGATGAAAAGATCAAAAATGCAAATATTACCAAAGAAAAATTACATGAATTTAAAGATTATATTACTGAAAATGAAAATAATACTGATCAGAAGTTAAATGAGGAAGGATTACCTTTTATGGATATACAAGAAGAATTTGATGATGATGGAAACATTACAAATGTAAAAATTAATGATAAAAAGCAGGAAATACCATTATTACCTTCTAACATTGCTGAGGAAATCACTGGTAAAATAGAAGATGAAAACCATGATAATAAATCACTCATTGAAATACCATCACAAACTAACAATAACATTGCTCCACACGATCAAACTGTTGGTCAAATAGTGGATAAAAATCAAGATAATAATCTGTCTTTTAATGACAGTGAAATGGATGAATTAATCAAGGATATGGAATTATTTTCAACGAAAAACATTCAATTAGATCAAGAAGAACTATCAAATCGTATAGATAATTTAAATATCTCAGAACAAGATAAATTTAATTTAAAATCACTATGTGTCTCGGAATTTCAAAAATTAAAAGATGAAGAAAATGTTTTAGATGGATTTCAAAGAGGTGAAAATCAAATTAATCTCGATTTAGACAAATCAAATTTAATCGAATTGGAATTATTAGCTGATGAATTTTCAAATGATGATATTACAGAGAATGATAATTTTAATTATGATTTTGAAGAAGAAGAAGATGATTTTGAAGAAGATGATGAAGAAGATGATATTGCTGATGATTTATTATATGGAGCTACTCGAAACAACATGGTTGGGGGGAACTCTGAAGCATCGAATAAATTGTTTTGGGAACAAATTCAAAAATTAAGAGATTCTAAAAAATCAGCTATTGAGAATCCAATTGAAAGTAATAAAAGAGCCAAAACTGTTAGATTTGCACCTAATGTACAAATTAAGGAAGTTGAAAATGTAAGTGAAGAATTGAAGAACATACCAGTTAGTAATAAAATGTCATTATTTAAACAACAAAAGTACGTAAATGATCGTGGCTCAATAGATAAAGTATTATCTGAGAACAAGAAAGACAGGACTGGCGGTGGAGGAGAAATTATTGAAGCAAATATAATTGAGGATATAGTAGAGAAAGATGATGAGAATGTAAATCGTATTATAGAAGATGAGATTATAGAGAAAGATAAAAATATTGAAGATGACATAAATAATTCAATTGAAAGTAATATCAAAGAAGGAGGTTTGAAGAGTGTTTCTAGATTTAAGTCAATGAGACTAGATCAACGTCATAATTTATCAAGAGGGTTTCATAATGATAAAAAGCACAAACTTGAAGATAAATCTGAAGAAGGAGAAAATAATAATATCAATGATATAAACATCAAAGAAACTAATGTCGATTATCAAAATTTACAACAAGATAATGATTTAATGGCAAAGGCATACGTTTTAGGAATATATGATGATGATATAATTACAGAAGGTCCAGTAGTAGATAAACTAAAAGATTTTGAAGAATTAAATAAAATAGTAGAAATAAGAGATAAAGAAATCAGTTCTGAATATGATTCAAATTTGAATGAAATTGGAATGAATGAAATTGGACTGAATGAAATAGAGAATGATATTGATGAACCTATAATGACTGATGAAATCATTGAGAATGATCTTAATGATGAAGATGATGATGATTATGATTATGAAAATGATAATGATGACGATATATTAAATCAAGAAATTCGCGAAAATTATTTTAAATTACGTACAAAATTAATTAGTGAGTCAAATGGTTATAAAAAATCAGAAAATGAAATTGAATTGGAACCAATTGATGAGGATGGAAATCCAATTAAAATAAGTAGATTTAAAGCGGGAAGATTTAACAAATTTGGTCAAATATAAAATAAAATAAAATTATATAATATAAAAAACTAAATAAAAATTCTAAATCAGATTTCTCTCCTCTGTTGTTCAACGAGAGTTTACGTTTTATAAATTAGATTTACGGATTCGAGAGTAAAACCTTAATGATTCACATCTCCGAGAGTAAAACCTTAATCAACATATTAGGAACTCAAAGTCGGATGATCAAAGTAATATAGTTGGAATAGACGAAATTTTACTTTAGACGAGAAAAAAATAAATAAGATCAAATTTTCATAAACGTAAGATCCATTTTATCCAAGGGTATATGCAAATGCAAATGCAAATGCAAATGCAAATGCAAAAATGCAAAGAATTTTAAGATATCATGTTATGTTATGTTTTCTTTTAGTGCAATATATAACATAATCTAACATAACATACCATATTAAACTATATATTATTAAAATATAATTTGCATGAAAAATCTGGAGAAAACTCCGGAGTAAACTTACGACATTTTAAAAAGGTTTGAAGGTTAGATTGAATATCAGCCAGTAAAATGTTGTTATTCTTATTATTGATAAACCGTTTTTTTTAACGTATGAATGAGCTGTTCTCAATAATTTGAAATTGTGTATCTACCTATATATATATATATAGTGTATATATAAATTATATTTTTAAATGAAATCGAATGTAACATCATCGATATATTTAAAATTAAAATCACTGTTGTAAACCGATTCGCTTGTTATTAAGCTTGATTAAAAGTCCGACTATATAGTATTTTAGATGTAAAACGCGTTTACTGTAGTATTAGGTCATTATGTAGCATTAAGTTAAGTTATCCATGGAATTGAAGAAAAAAAAAATATTTCAAATTTTCTTAACTGATACAAAATACAAATAAAGTTGACAAAAACCAGCTTTTTTATTATATAAGAATAAAGTCTAGATGATCGATGAAACTAGATTTGTTATAAAGATCAACTTTACCTAGGTCAAGAAGATGAGTAAAAGAATTTAAAAGGAAGGAATCAAGTGGTCAACTTTAAAGTTGTTCATTCATTCCATTATTTAAATCAGTTAAAACATCAAATTATATTAGTCTTATATGATAAACTCTTTCTTTCTTTCTTTCTTTCTTTCGTTTTGTGTTTCTTTCTTTCTTTCATTCTTTTTGTGTTTCATCTAATTTTTTAGTGAATCAACGGTTAACGAATCTTTTTCGCTAATTTTATTCGGGTCACTCAAAATCGGTTTCTTTTGGATTGAAATTTTCATCAGCAGTAAAGTAAAGCATTAGATTTCTTTTAAACAAACAATTGACCTTTTTATATTGGTCAATTGACTTTTTTATATTGGTCAACTATTTTTCTTTTAAACAAACAATTGACCTATTTATATTGGTAAACTATTTTTACTATATATTAAAAAAGATCTAAATTTAATGTTGGGGCGGTGGTCGGTTCAATTTCGTCTTGGTCTCAACACACTTGGTAGCGCCACAATGGAATAAATTTGATATATATGATGAAAATGATCAATAAAGAGATATAAAAATTCAGGTTTAAGTTGATAATAATTTTATAAAGAATAAGATTTTCAAAAGTTTAGATCAAATTGAAACTAATTAAACTCAAAGTTTTAACTTTTAAGTTTAACAAAAATTAATACCATTAAATATAAAATGTTTGATCTTTAATATTTTTGTTGGTTAAAATTTTAAAGTCCCAAAATAAAATTGTTGCAAAATAATACGAAAAATAAAATGTCAAAAATATAAGGCTATATAAAAAATAATATGTTATGAGTGCAGAAGAAAGACAATAGAATTATCTTAATACATACAATTAATAAGAAAAGGAGTAACTAGATTAAATTTCATCTAAAATATGATAATTAATATTGAATAGACAAATTAAGTGAAAATAAGTGAAATTAAGTGTAAAGAGTTTTTCAGTAAAACATGATAATATGAATTTGGTTTTACCATTCGTATAAAAATGGTCTTATACAGTAGTTTTAAAACCGGAATAATTTTATTTTAACTGGTCGTTCGTTGATCAAAATAAAAAAAATAATAATAAAAATAAAATAAAATAAAATAAAAAAAAAAAAAAATAAATATCAAAAAAAAAAAAAAAACATCGGAGGGGAAAAAATAAATAAACGACATAAATATATAAACGACATTTACCATACAATATATATCGTACAATATATGTCGTACAATATATGTCGTACAATATATATCGTACATACTACATTATTACATACTACATACATACATACATACATACATACAAACTATGCATACATACAAACTATGCGTACATACATAAATATTTATATCCGTATATAAAAAAAATTAATATATAAAACGATTGAAAAATAATTTAGTTTAATAATAAATTGTTTTAACTTGATATTGGTATTTCTTTATCAAATATAATATTAATAGTAATATAATATATTGGTTATTGGTTTATTGGTTTATTGGTTTATTGGTTTATTGGTCAATAGTTAATAGTTAATAATAATTGATAGTCAATAGTTAATAATAATTGATAGTCAATAGTTAATAATAATTGATAGTTAATAGTTAATAATAATTGATAGTTAATAGTTAATAGTTAATAGTTAATAGTATCGTCAATTAATTAATTAATCAATTATTAATCGATTCATTCATTCATTCATTTTTAATTCATAAATTTTTATTATTATCATTTTTATCAATTCCATAATAAAATTTTAATTCATATATATATTTATTTATTCATTTCATAATTAATTAATTACTCAAAAACTTTAATCAAATGTCTTCAATATTAAAACAAAGAGTTAGATATACTCCTTATTTAAAAAAATTAAGAACTGGTGATCAATGTATTGATTTATTTAAAAATGGTCAATATTTAGGTTGGTCTGGTTTTACAGGTGTTGGTGCTCCAAAAGTTATACCTCAAATTTTAGTCGATCATGTTGAAAAAAATAATTTACAAGGTAAATTAGGTTTTCATTTATTTGTTGGTGCAAGTGCTGGTCCTGAAGAAAGTAAATGGGCGGAAAATAATATGATTTTAACAAGATCTCCTCATCAAGTTGGTAAACCAATTGCTGCTGCAATTAATGATGGTAGAACTCAATTTTTTGATAAACATTTGTCAATGTTTCCACAAGATTTAACTTATGGTTATTATACAAGAAATAAAACTGATAATCCTTTTTTAGATTATACAATTATTGAAGCAACTGCAATAAAAGAAGATGGTTCAATTGTTCCTGGTCCTGCTGTTGGTGCTTCTCCTGAAATGATCACTTATTCAAATAAAATTATTATTGAAGTTAATACTAAAACTCCTTCTTTTGAAGGTATTCATGATATTGATATGCCAATTAATCCTCCTTTTAGAAAACCTTATCCTCATATTTCAACTGATTTTAAAATTGGTCAAAATTCAATTCCTGTTGATCCGGAAAAAGTCGTTGCAATTGTTGAAAGTACAACTGGTGATAAAGTTCCTCCAAATACTCCAAGTGATGCTCAATCAAAAGCTATTGCTAACCATTTAATTGAATTTTTAGAACATGAAGTTAAATTGGGTAGATTACCTGAAAATTTACATCCTTTACAATCTGGTATTGGTAATATTGCAAATGCTGTTGTAGAAGGTTTAGCTGGTTCTAAATTTAAAAATTTAACTGTTTGGACTGAAGTTTTACAAGATTCATTTTTAGATTTTTTCGAATCTGGTTCATTAGATTTTGCAACTGCAACTTCAATCAGATTAACTGAAGATGGTTTTAAAAAATTTTATGATAATTGGGATACTTATTCAAAAAAATTATGTCTTAGATCTCAAGTTGTTTCAAATTCTCCTGAAATTATAAGAAGATTAGGTGTTATTGCAATGAATACTCCGGTTGAAGTTGATATTTATGGTCATGCTAATTCAACAAATGTTATGGGTTCAAGAATGTTGAATGGTTTAGGTGGTTCTGCTGATTTCTTGAGAAATGCAAAATTATCTATAATGCATACTCCATCTGCTAGACCATCAAAAATAGATCCAACTGGTGTTTCTTGTATAGTTCCAATGGCTCCTCATATTGATCAAACTGAACATGATTTAGATATTATTGTTACCGATCAAGGTTTAGCTGATTTAAGAGGTTTATCTCCAAAAGAAAGAGCTCAAATTATAATAAATAAATGTTCACATCCTGATTATAAAGATCAATTACAAGATTATTTTGATAGATCAATTCATTATTGTACAAAAAAGAAGACTTTACATGAACCTCATATTTTGAAAGATGTATTTAAAATGCATTTAAATTTTCAAGAAAATGGAACGATGAAATTAGATTCTTGGGATCAAAAATTTTAAATGAAACGAAATTACTTGAATTTTGAAATAGTGTCTATTCATTAGGTATCAAAACTTAAAATAGGAATTCTATATAGATTTTGCATAATACATATGTTATTAGTAAATGATTACTACTATCTTACTCCTTATTCAGTTGAATTCAGCTGATAACTTTCGAACTAAAAAAGCTTACATTACATTTCTGAAAACAAGCTAATGAAAAAATTGAAAGATTCTACTGATGAGAGAGACGTTGGATATTAATGACGTTTATTTATGGTTCCAAAATTTTAATTGTTTGGCTAATGCATATTTAATAGATTTAAATAATCCAGCTGAAAAAATTCCCCTTATACCTTGTTTTATGGAGCTAATAATTATAATTCGACTAATTAAAGATGTTATATGGTCAGCTAATTTTTCATGTTTTACAATTTCTTTCAATGATTTGTCTTGAAATTTTTTATACAATTGAGTTCTAAATTGTAAAGGTAAACAACTTATAAGTTTAATCTTTTGTGGAATTTGTAAATTCTTTTTAAATAAACGATTAACAGGATCATTATTTACAATAATTAAATAATTTCTATGAATGAAATAATTTATAATTGGTTCATATAATTTTTTAAACTGTTCAAATTGTTTTGAAACAATATTTTTAACTTTATTTGGATTCTCTCCTCCGACATACATTCTAAAGTCTCCCAAGTATGATAATTTAGTTATTTGTTCGTATAATTCTTTTTCTGAAAATTCATTTGATTTAATTAAAAATATAGCTATAGCCATGGCATTTTTTAAATTATATTGATTCATAAATTTCACCATTGGATTTTTGTCAATTATAAAATTGACTGGTTTTTGTAATCTGCCAGCAAAATAAAATGAATTCCATTCACTCAAATCCATTAAAGCTGATTCAGTTGAAATTATTCCATATTTAACCAATTTTTTATTAATACTTACAAAAGGATTAAAATAAATTCCTTCCCTACCTTGTATAATGTTTACAATTCTTAATGACTTTATTGAGTAATGACGTAGATTTTGATTTAGATTCTTTTTATGGAATTGGTGACAATCTGGTACCAAATTAATAAAATCAAGTTGTTTTTCTTCATTTGAGTTCTCCTTATATCCATTTTGAGCTAGAATACCCGAGCCATAACCTATTGACACTTCAATACTTGCATCAATTGAATTTACTATGTCTATCAAATTGTCTTGGTCTATAATTTCATCATCATCTTGAACGAGTAACTGATTATTAGCAACAAAATCCTTAGGAATGTTTAATTTAATAAATCCACTGGCACCTTCTGATATAATTGGTTGATAATACTTATCTGAATAAGGAGTATTTGAGGTTGAATATTGTCTACATAATAATTTATTAGATTTGATGATCAATGATTTAATTGAAATAAATTTATGAAATGAAAATCTTTTACTATATAAACATAATGTTCTATGGCTAAAGGTAAATCTGTGAATTTGTAAAGTTGTCAGTAGACATTCTGTTTTCATAACTTTAAACTAATCTTCTAAATCAAATTTGTACGTATATATACACCTTGGGTACTGTTTATAGATTTTTCTTCATTTTAAAAAAGAAAAATATAAATAAAAGAATCATTACATAATAAATTACATAATAAGTAATTGTAAATTGATAAAAGTAGCGAGACATTAAATGAACTGCAAAAGAACAGACTATGTGTCACTTGTGCCTTAATTAGGAAGTCTACATTTTTATATGAGTCAATTTTAATTTTAATTTTGCAACACATTTTTTTTTTTTTTTTTTTTTCAACAGCCAGTGGCCAGTCAATAAAGTTATATTATCATAATATGTCATCTTGTCAAGTTTATAGATCAACTCGTTCTTCTCAGGAGGAGAATTTGTCATTTGAAGATGTTGTTATGACTGGTTTAGCTCCAGATGGTGGTTTATATTTACCTTTTAATATACCAAATTTATCAAAGGATGTTATAAATCTGTGGACTGATTTATCATTTACTGAATTAGCTTTTGAAATTTTAAGATTATATATTAATCCAAAAGAAATACCTGATCAAGATTTAAAAGATTTAGTAAATAAATCTTATTCAACTTTTAGATCAGATGAAGTTACACCTGTTAAACAATTGAATAATAATTTATATATTTTAGAATTATTTCATGGTCCAACATATGCATTTAAAGATGTTGCATTACAATTTGTTGGAAATTTATTTGAATATTTTTTAACAAGAAGAAATGCTTCTAAAAAAGACAATGAATCAAGAGATATTATAACTGTTGTTGGTGCAACTTCAGGAGACACTGGTTCAGCAGCTATTTATGGCTTAAGAGGTAAAAAAGATGTCTCAGTATTTATTTTATACCCAACTGGAAGAATCAGTCCAATTCAAGAAGAACAAATGACAACTGTTGAAGATGCAAATGTTCATACATTATCAATAAATGGAACATTTGATGATTGTCAAGATATTGTAAAGTCAATATTTGGTGATAAAGAATTTAATGATAAATATCATGTTGGAGCAGTGAATTCAATTAATTGGGCAAGAATTTTAGCCCAACAAACTTATTATTTTTATTCATATTTCAAATTACAAAAAATACATCCTAATAACAATAATACCAAAATTAGATTTGTTGTTCCTTCAGGAAATTTTGGTGATATCTTGGCTGGTTATTATGCTTACAAAATGGGTTTACCTATAGATAAATTAATTATTGCAACTAATGAAAATGATATCTTGGATAGATTTTTGAAATCAGGTGAATATGCTAAACAACAAGATACTGGAGTTAAATCAACTTATTCTCCTGCAATGGACATTTTGATATCTTCAAATTTCGAAAGATTATTATGGTATTTAATTAGGGATAATTTAACAAATGGTGATAATAATAAGGCTGGTCAGTTATTATCTGATTGGATGAAACAATTAAAAGAAAGTGGTAAATTTTCCGTTCCTGAATCAGTATTAGTTGATGCAAAGAAAATATTTGATTCTGATAGAGTTGATAATATAGATACTGTTAAAACTATTAAAGAAGTTTATTTAAATAGTAAAGATAAATATGTTATTGATCCACATACATCAGTTGGTGTTACAACAGCTTATAGATTTATTAAAAGTGATGATGATGAGGATATGCAATACATTTCCCTTTCCACTGCACATCCGGCTAAATTTTCAGAAGTTGTAAATAAAGCTTTGAATTCATTTGATGGTTATTCATTTGAAAAAGATGTTTTACCGGATGAACTTAAGGCGTTAAGCAAAAAAGAGAAAAAAATTAAATTAATTGATGAAGCTAGTATTGAAAAAGTCAAACAAGTTATAAAAGGTGAGTTAAAGTTTTAGAGGTGTTTACATAAAAACAATATAAATGCACAATTTTTCTTTGCAGATCAAATGATCGACATCGTCTCTTTCTGGTAGAATAAATAAAAGTAGTGATCTCATAATCGAAGAATTGATTTCATACTAATATTGGAATCAACTCCATATAATATTGGAATCTACTCAGCAGCTTCATACAAAGTTGAAAAGCATTTTTAAGTAAATAATTGAATCTATACGGATGGCATATTTTTAGGACTCTACTACCTATAAAACCAGCTGATTTCTTGACTATGGACACGTTTCAAACGTAGATATATTCATTAAGTTTCATGCATTACAATTGCAAATCAAGCGCAAAATAGATCTGAGATTGCGCGATTAAATGTGAAACAGTATACCTCAAGTGCGAATTCTATCAATTACACAAAACTAGAAAAAAATACCCATGCTTTTGTTAGAACTTCAATTACGTTGCACATGCCATGTTTTCGAGTAGTATATAATACATTTGGTATCATTCGAACGAGAAAAAATCGATCATTTCAAATATGATATTTTCAAATTTACTGCTCTTGATTTTCTTGATAGACTTTCAATTTCTGAGCCCACTGAGAAACCATATGGTTGGATTTGGCGAGAATAATTCGTTTATGGTTTAAATATAATATGTTTAGCTATCATTCACTGTTGCTTACTATTTACTTTGTTCATTCTGTGGGAATAACTGTATTTCTTCAGTTCAAACAACTTTGTCACGAAAAGACAGCATTGCAAAAAAAGAGCGCTACCAATTTAAACACAACGTTTCCCCCTTTAAAGTTTGAAAGTTTGATGATTATGGTGCTAGTTTGAAGTGTACAGGGGATCTTATTTATACTTGAGGCTTATAAACGTTTTTTTAAAGCTCAGGTTATTTTAACCTTTAGGTTTGATGCTAGGGTTTGAGATTTTGAAGACAAGATTAACATTCTATTAACGGTAAAAAACCTTATATAAACTGAATTTAGACGGCTTTTTCTCTCAAGAGAAGAAAAAAGACTTTTATTTTGGTTCTATTTGAAAACTACTGAATGAATGTGTGTTCACATTTGAGCTATTTTAAATTCGAGTCTTCTCGAAATGCACTAGAATAAAAAAATCATTACTAAAATTCCCTTTGTAAAACACGTCATACAAACAATGAAACTGCTTAAACAATACTATCTCAATTTCGTTTCATGAATAGTTACTCTGCTGAAACTTTTTTATTTGCAAAAAGTTTATTCACAACTAAACACGTTTGAATAGTGAAACCAATTTTTTTGCAGCCAAATTAGCATATCAAAAATTACTTGCTTTCAAACTTTGAAAAAATATTCCTTTTTTCAACCCTGATATTGAATAATCAGTTTTCTTTGAAAATACTTCAAAAAGAAGAATTCATAATTGTATGAATCTAATTTTCAATAGTGTGCATTTCTAGATGATTATTGATTCAGAAATAGTAAATGGTGTTATCAACAATTGCAATTATTCATCGGATTCAATTAAACTAACTCCAGTTAATTCAGTTAAAAAGAAACCAACTTTAGCATTGACATTACCCAAAGATATAGAATTACTCAAAATTAATGATTTGGAGTTTTCAACAAATGGTACTTTAATTAGAAAGAAGAAATATGAAAAGAGTGCCAATAATAATAATAATAACAATAATAATAATAATAATCGTCGACTATTAAAGATTTTGAATAATAATTTTATTGATAATTTGAGTGAGGATGCTTCATCTTTGCATGAACAAATTTTAAAACCAACTGATTCAGTAATTCCAAAGATTAAAACTAATGAAGCTAAAAAATTTTACCATATTGAATATTCATCATTAAGTGGTACCTTAACTGCTGAACAAGATAAAGTTAGTTCTTATCTAACTGAAGTTGAAGAGGAGGAGGAGGATGAAGAAGTAAAAGAAAAAAAGAAAGATTTGAAACGAGATGTAAGTTGGTATGTTAAAATCAAAGAGAGAATAATCCGATTATTAGTGAAAAATATTGAACAAGATAAGAACAATACAATCCCAAGCAGAAACAATACAAGTACTTCTTCTTCATCAATCTATATTCATGAAAATTTAGTTTTAAGTGATTTACAAAAATTTAAATTGATTGAGCAACAAGGTACAGAATGCACATCGCCGAGAAGCAAGATACCTACACCGTCTGAAGTTTTAAATTCAATTGAAAATAAACAATTTGAAGTTTTTGCAAATGATGATGAGTTAACGGGGGCTTTATTGTATATTATAAATGAAAAAGATGAAGATAAAAAACCGCTTAAAAAGATTTACAATAGGGAAGCTAAACAATTCAATATATTGAAAAAACTTCAATTAATAGATGAAGAAAGTTCAAATGATGGTGATGATGAATATAGTGAAATTGAAACTAATGTGATTCAATTGAAGAAAAAGAAGCAAAAACAAAGATATAAGAATAAAAGAAAGTTGAATAGAATGAATAGTATTGTTTATACTGAAAACATACATCAATTAGACAACCGTTTATAGATGTAATATATAATTTAGATATATTGTAGTAATTATTGAATTACTGAATCCGTTCTGCTCTCTTCTTTCTGTTTTTAGATTTTGACTCAGTCAATATGTTAAGTAGTAACACATACATCTATATCACATCTCTCTCATCAAACTCATCAATATTAGTTAAAGTTCATAATCGTACTTGTTTGTATATTTCAATCAACAGTTGCAAACTAATATATTTTTTTTTTTTTTTTGCCCATTCTTAAAAATCATCATTTAATTTAAAGAGACACCACAATAAATTATACTATAGATTGAAGACACTCACATATAAATACTAGATTATGGCTTATTCTACAGGTAGAGGAGGTGCTGGTAATATACATCATTCAAAAAATAAAACTTCAGAAAATAACATAATATCTCCACAATCTTCATCAAAATTAGTATCACCTCAAAATTCCAACCAAGACGATGATGATCATCATCATAATCATCATAATCATCCTAATAGCAACAGTCAATTACACAAAGTAACATCAAATGGTGCTAATAAAAGAGTATATTATTCTACTGGTAGAGGTGGAGCAGGTAATATTCAAGCATCAGATCAAATTCCAAGTCCAAAATTAGCACCGCAAGGGTCAAATACTCCTCATTTAACAACTTCAAAAGTATCGACAGGACGAGGTGGTTATGGAAATATGATAAATAATGATGATCCAGAATTGACAAGAAAATTACAAGATGTTGATGGTAAAGATTTATATCCTGTTAATTCGAGTAAAAGTTTTAGCGTTGGACGAGGGGGTTTTGGTAATGTTATTTCAAATTCAAAACTGATTGAAAGTAATAATGATAATGAACATCATCATCAACAACAACAACAACAACCAAATTTATATACAATTTCATCACATTCTGATAAGAAAAAGAAGAATGGAATACTTTATAAAATTAAAGAAATATTTAAATAACAATACTTAAAATTTTATTCATTCATTTAACAAGTAATTTTTAAGTTTATCTAATGCTTTAAATCTATGACTTATTTTATTTTTTTCAACTTTATCCATTTCAGCGTATGTTTGATTATAATTTTCAGGTTGAAATATTGAATCCCAACCAAAATTAGTAGGACCTCTACTATCAACAATACTACCTTTAGTTATACCTTGAAATAATTCAACTTTTTCATTTGGACCTTTACAATAACCAAAAGTACAAATTGCATTAGCTGATTTATTTTCAAAACCACTTAACATTTTAACAATACCTTGTAAACCTAAATTTTTAACGAACCATTTTATATAAGGACCTGGTAAATTATTAAATTCTTCAAAACCTAAACATGTATCTTCTACTAAAACAGGACCATTAATTATTTGAGCAGCAGATTTTGCTTTATGAATTGTAACTTCTTCAATAGTACCCTGAATCTCATCAAGATCTAAAGACTTATTAACAATTGTAAATTTACCAACTTTTGAATCATTAGGAGAACCAGATAATATAGCTACTACTTCTTTCAATTTATTTTCATTACCAGTAACAAATGTAATTGAATTTGACATTTTTAAACAACAAAAGTTTTTTTTTAAAGAGGTTATTTCAAGAGAATTGATTTTATAAAGAATATTGATACAATACAATACAATACAATTATAGACAACAATCATCAATCATAATTGATATATACAAATTCAACAATATAAAGATGTTGATTTAATTTAATTTAATAATTTAATTTAATTTATATACATAACAAGGAAGGGAAGTAACATCTGTATCCATCTTCATCTATAAATAATACAAATATATTCTACAATTTTCCTAATCTTTTCTTTAATGATCTTTGAGCCCTTCTTCTTTTTCTAAGTTTATGTTTTTTCATTTTTAGTCTTCTTTTTCTCATTACTGAATCTGTATAAATTGTTTTATCATTGATGTTATTTATGTTCTCTAATTTCTCTATTATGTCAATTTGATCATTATTTATTTGATTGAAAAATAAAGTATTTTGAAATTTAGATTGGGGGACTGGTAATGTAACTGAGTTATATGGTTTAAATAATGATGATGCTAAAGTTGAACGTTCAACATTTATAGTTGTTAAATTTTGTAGTACAACTTTTGATGCAAATCTTGTTGGAATGAATATATTTGATTTAATAATATTAGGTTTTATCAATGATTTAAGCATTATAGTCAATGTACTAATATACTAAATATATATATTTGATGATAAATCTAGCTATTATCGAATGAAAAATATGAAAAATCGATTGAAAAAAAAAAAAAAAAAAAAAAAAATAGATCAAGAAAGTCGTGCAATTAGTACGATTTAATTTTCTGTAGTAACTGACTATATGTATTGAATTTATAAAGTTGTAAAGAGGCATGTATTATGTATAGAATCAGACGGGATGCCATCATTTGCTAAAAATCGAAGTCTAGTTACAAATAATTAATAAATAATTAATAAATAATTATTGTTATAGATATTTAACTAATTATATATATATAAATATATATATATATATACCATTTTTTAGTCTAATTTAATTTCACAGGTTTTTTAATGGAATCACTTGTTAATAAATCTTTAATATATTCATAAACAGTAAAAGTAACAGCTTGACCAGGAGCAACTCTCATAATTCTTGGAGTTATACCTTTATATAATGCATTTATACCTTCTTCTTTAATTAATTGTTTACCAATTTTTATAATTCTAACCCAACCACTTTCATTTGAAGCATAAGAAGATTTTTGTAATCTAGTTTTAATTGTATCTAATGGAGCATTTGATAATGGACCTAAAGCACCAGAAATTAAACCAATACCAGAAGTTTGCCAAGAAGGTAAAATTTCAGTATTTTGACGTTCTTGTAAATAAGCTTTCAATTTTGAATAAACAGTAAAATTAACACCTTGATTAGTAGCTTGTCTTGCACAAGTTAAAGAAACACCTCTATATAAAGTTTTAAAACCTTCTTCTTTAACAATCATATAAGCAGCATGAGGAGCATTTCTATATTTTGGAATATCTAAAGGATCTTTCATTGAATGATGTTGAGCTTGTAATCTAATTTTAACAACTTCCATTGGATTAACAACCATTATTGATTCTGTAATACCCGCACCTACACCAGCCAAAAAAGTTTGACCAGTTGTAATATTACCATTTGAATCATAAAAAAAAGATCTATAAAATTCATATGAACTAAATCTTATAGCCATTTTTGGAACAATACCAATAACAACAGCACCTAAACCTTTATATAAAGATAAAAAACCTTCTTTTTGAACAATATTTACCCCAGTTTTAACAAATCCTGGAGGTTTTTGACCGGATTTTCTATATAATTGCATTCTAACTTTTATAGTATCTAGAGGATGACAACATAAAGCTTCAAATAAACCAGCAACACCGCCAGCAACAAAATCAACAGCACCTCTTTTAGTTTGTTTTTTAGCAGCACTTTCACCCATGGTATATATATAAAATTATAATTTCTATGTATGTATGTGTATATGAGTATATGAGTATGTAAATTAAAGAATGAATTGAAGATAATTTAAGATAAAGGATAAAATTAACTAAATTAACTAAATTAAATTAAATTAAATTATATTTTTTCCAATCGAATAAATATTAATGAATGTGATAATGAATATGATCGATAATGATGAATTGAATAGATAGTGATACTAACAAGCAAATAAATAAATAAATAAATAAATAAACCAATAAATCAATAAATCAATAAATAAATAAATAATCAATTACAACAACAATAATTTCAAATATATAAAGTTGTTGTTGATTTCGGTTTTCAATTCAATAAATAAAAATGAAAAAGAGGAAGAAGAACAAAAAGAACAAAAAAGAACAAAAAGAATAAAAATTATGGGAATGAAAATCTATTTATATATGTATATATATTTTCACGTAGTATATGAAAATTTTCATAAGAGTTATACTAATAGTAATAATAATTATAAGAAATTATTATTATACTAATACATTATACACAATATACTATACAATATTACACAATACTATACTATACAATACTATACAATACTATACAATACTATACAATACAATACAATACAATACTATGGAATACAGTACTATGGAATATAGTACTATGGAATACAATACAAAACAACTCTCGGTCTTTCATTACCATTATTTTTTTTCCTGGGGAAGAAAAAAAAAAAAAAAAAAAAAACATTAATATCAAATAATCATAAATAGGCAATTTCCGTTTATCCAGTACTGTATAATATTGTATTATATTATATTATATTATACTATATTATAGTATATTATACTATTAATGATCCAGTGATATTATACTATTATTAGATAGTTCTTATATACTCATCTAGTTAAGAGAATTGATCTATTTTGTTCAATTAACCTGTTGTAGTTTGATTGAGTGTCATTTTTTCCAACCCCACAAAAAGTCATATTAAAAAAATAGAAAATATCAATATCAATCTAACCAAATTTCATGATGAACTTATACTATTTATTAATTATTATTTAATGATTCATCTCATCTCAATATTAATATTAACCAATCATTTCTTCTAATTCTTCGGGTCCATTAAAAAATATTATTGAAAAAATTAACGGCTTGACTCAAGCGATTCATTACGTAATCGGCACGCCCGTATTTTTTTTTTTTTTTTGTTTTTATCACAAGGTAATAGTAATAATATTACGATCTAGCCTGTATAGAGCTCGGATGAAGAAAAACTGAGATTGTCATGCGAGTCACGTGAGTAAATTTTTATTTTAAATTTTTTTTCTTTTTCTATACCATATATTCACTAATTGTAAAATTTACATAATTCAATACTTCAAATAATGTATTTAAATAATCGTAAAGATATGAAATTAACTTCTTGATATAATGTTTATATACTGTAGTTGGCAAATTTGTACTATTTAAATAATCTGATGTAATTTTTAACATTTCCATATAATATCGTAGATTTAAATCAATCATTTTGAATTGGTTGCAATTGTATTCGTGAGTGTATTTAAAATAATTTTTCAATTGTAAATGTGTCTTCAAGTATAAATTTAAGTTACATGTTGTTAAATAATTATCATATTTCAATAAAAATAAATCTTCAATTAATTCAAATAATCTATAAATTTCAATCATTAATTCAGTAAATGTCAATTGTAACATACACAAAGGAATTATACTATAGTGTTTTCAGATTAATTAGATTAATTAGATTAATTAGTATAATTAGATTAATTAGATTAAGTTTATGATACACTTTGGTTTGGATTTGGATTTGGATTTGGATTTGGATTTGAATTTGAATTTATTCTTTGTATATTACTTTTTGTTCGTATAAATCATATCAAATGCAAAAACATAACTAAAATAGAATATTTTTTTTTGCAGCCATTTCTGATTTTCGTAAAATTCAGCCTTGCGCACGAGTAATATCAAAACTACCACTTTCAAGAGTAATATCAAAACTACCACTTTCAATTATTCATTAATATTGAAGAATAATTTAAAATTTTACCACTCGTTATTGCATTAATACTTTTGAAACATCAATAACGATTTTTCGAAAACAAATTACATTATCATATATATTAATACTATTAAATCAACATTAATTAATTAGCAATTTTAATAAGCTTAGGTACTAGTAGCATTAGTAGCAGCATTAGTAGCAGCATTGGTAGCAGCATTAGTAGTACCAGTACTAGTAGTAGACTCATTTTTCTTTGCTTCTTCCTTTTCCTTTTCTTCTATTTTAATACTTGCTAATCTTTTAGCTTCTTCATGAACATCTTTAACATCATTTGAAAATTTTTGATAATATTCATTAATTTTTAAACCAATTGTTGATTTAGCTGCAGCATCAAAATATTTAGATAATGAACTTTTATAATAAGAATTTTCAAGACTTTTCAATTGTTGATTAACTTTTGATTCTGGATCTTGTGAATGAATATATTTCTTATCTAATCCATTAATGAAACTTTGAAATTGTTGAGAAATTCCATTTTTTTTATCAAATTCAATTCCTTTTTCAATTATTGGATCACTAATTACATAACCATCAGCTAATAATTGAGCAAAAATTGCATATTTAGGTTTCTCTTCTTGTGCAACATCATCATATGATTTATCACCAGAAATAATAGCATCGGATCCCGAACCAACTTTTTCTGTAGTTGCAATTCCTGATTCAGGAATCACTTCCTCACCACTATCATCTTCATCAACACGAATATATGTATTATCTAATTCTGCATCATTTAATAAGAGAGCAGTTGATACTGCTTTTTCATTTGTAAATACAACTCTATATTTTTTAAAATTACCTGTATCTTCAATTGGGATTATATCTTGAATTTTACCACAAAATGAAAAGAATTCACGAATCTTACTAGGTGATACTGTTGAAGGTATATTGGATGCAATGACAGAAGACATAACTTGAAAATTGTGTTAAATGCTAAATTAAATGGGATAATAATAAAGTACTTGTACAATGAAAATTTAAAAATTGTAGCAAATCTATTTCCTATTTATACTTTTCATTTTTTGTTCAACAATTAAGGGATGGAGTAAATAAATCATTCTTTTTCATTCTTTTATATAGCAAGGCTAATGCATTCGCTACCAATTGTGTACATATATTTTAATTATTATATATGATTATTATTGTTATTATTATTATCATCATTATTATTATCATCATTATCATCATCATTATTATTCTATTCTATATTCTACTCTCTATATTCTAATATAATAACTTCTTACTTTATAATAATGTTTGACCTAAAGCACATCTACCTATTGCACATGCTGCTGATACTGTATCTAATACATTTTCTTCAGTTTCTGCCAACATTGGATTAGTTTCAACAATATCTAAAGATTGTAATAACCCAGTCTGAGCAATTTCTTCAGCTATAAATAAACCTTCTCTTAAAGATAAACCACCTTCAACTCTAGTACCAGTAGCTGGAACAAATGATGGATCAATCGCATCAACATCATAACTTAAATGAATTGGATTTTTTCGATCTGGATTTACTTTATCTAAAGCCATTTCTACAACTTTACCAATTCCATATTTATCTATATGATACATTGAAAAAGCACTAATATTATAATCTTTTAATATTTTTTTTTCACCTTCATCTACATCTCTAAGTCCGATATATACTAATTTATTTGATTTTAAACACTGAGGTACCCATGAAAATTCTTTTGGATAACTTTCTTTATTAACTCCTAATAAAAAACTTAAAGGACATCCATGTAAATTTCCTGATTCTGATGTTTTAGGTGAATTTATATCTGCATGTGCATCGATCCAAATAATACAAGTCTCTGGATTATATTTTAAACTTGCAGCACAAGTAGCCATACCAATAGAATGATCTCCACCAATAGTTAATGGAAGCGAATCATTATTTAACGTATTATATACTGAATCATATAATATTTTACAACATTCACTAACAATTTTTGTGTTTTTCACACCATATTTATCTTTTTCATTTGATTTTAACTTTTCAAATTTTCCAACTTCTTCTTTATCATTTAATGGATGTAAAACATTAGTTTGCCAACCTAAATTTGAAATTTGTTTTTCAAAACCAGCATTTAATATATATTCAGGTCCTAACTCCACTCCTCCTTTTGGTTGACCTCCAGAAAAAGGTGCTGCAATAATTGTACATTTTTTATTTGAATGAAATTTGTAATCAACTGTATTAAAGTTAGTATTAAATCCTATTAATAATTCGTGAAATATTAACATACTTGTATCATTTGACATGGTGAATAATTATTTATAATTAAAGAAAAAAGAATGAAATATTTAAATTTAGTTGGAATAATGAATGATATTTAAATGATAAATGATAAATGATAAATGATGAATGTTACAATTTTTGATCAATCATTGGAGATAAACTAAATAAATCAAATGTATTAATGGCATTTAAATGCGAAATAAGTCATTACGTATGGAAAACTATGTTAATTAATATGAAACTTTAATCTTAACTATACATTTTTATAAATGGATACTGAAACCGATGGCTGGTCCGTTTATAACCGTTAGTATACTTTTTCGCGTTTGCTTTCTGTTTATATCGGTACCACCCCCCTCCTTTTGATTTAGGTCGAGAAATTGGTATGAAAATGATTTAAATATTGTAATGCCATATAAGTATTTGTTGACCTATTTTTTGACTTGTGCTTGAGTTTTGTTCTCAAATAAAAAAATGATGACTACAAAAGGTAAATTTATAGTTTGAATTTGATGATCAATGATATAAAGATGTAATAAATCGATAGCTCCTCTATAGAATAAAGATAGAGTCACGACAACAAGGAGAATCAAAAGCATTCAATTTTGGTAACAGTCTGACTCTTTATAGCTTTTTTAATTAGTTATAATATCAGAATCACTTCACCGTTAGCACATCATACAATTACCTATTCCTAACCTCAAGTGATTACAGAAATATCTAATCAGAAAATATAACTTTCGTCAGTTACGAATAATCATGGAGCAGTATTTTATAGATTCATATAGACTTGCAAATTTAGATGACGGCAATACTTGTAACACAAAATTTTTTTTTAAAAAAAGCTGCATCTAACTATGCTTCTTGTTAATTGTAATTTGTAGAGAAGGAACTAATAATTGCACGCTGATAGCTTGACTGTGCTTGAAGGATTTTTTTAGATATTATCAATGATTCTCGAATCTAATAGATTATATTTGGGCCGCAGGCGCGAGATAATATTTTTTCGCGCCAACGTATCACATTGTGTCATATCGCTCAATTTATCGCCTTGAGAAATACGTACTGTACTATCTTGCATAATTCTGAAACAAATCTGCTTATATGCAGTCCTAACATAGCTAATCTCGAAATTTAAATTGTGAATACATTACTCAATATTCAGGTTTTCTAACTCAAAATATCTTCATTATCATTTTATAATCAGATGGAGTAAATTGATGTTAGTTTGCATCGAGTAAAACATAATTTTGGTGACTTTATTCATCATTTAAAAAATGGAAAAAAACGCTATTTTGCAAGATAAATAACCTTTAGATCTCATTTAGCAACTTCTAAAATAGCTGATTTGGTTTGTTTTGCTTTAGTAATTATAGCTATAACGCTTTCCGGACGCCATATTCGGAAAAATTGCTTTCCTAATTTTGAATACCTTAATACAACAAATCTTGAGCTATATGAAAAGCAAGAACTACAAAACCGGATACGTTTATCATATTCTCATCATGATTTTGACTGTGGAATTAGATTTTATGTAAGACCAATTTATTTGACTTTCCCCACACTTCAAAGAAAATCTCGAAAAATTTCAATTTTAATTGAGAACATAGAATCAAGATTGGAATCTTTGATTGAGGCTAATATGTATAATCCGTTGTTTATTTAATGATTGTTCGCGCAATAAAAAAGATATGTAGATTTTAATTTTTCAAAAAATTTTTGTATGATGGAAAAGGCCAAAATCTTCTTCTTAGAAATAAAAATTCTAAGATTCAAATTTGATTTATCTACGATATATAAAGTAAAACTTTTAATTTCATATAAATGGTATTTATCTCGTGAAAATGTGTAGTTCATGATATATAATTCATTATATGTTAGTATAAAGTTGCCCCGAATAAACTTTTAATTTCATATAAATGGTATTATCTCGTGAAAATGTGTTGTTCATGATCTAATTCATTATATGTTAAGTATAAAGTTTCCCCGAATTTCGGGCGAGAAATTATTTTGTCGCACCAGATCATCGCTTCAAAGCATACATCCTTCTACAAATTCTTGCATTGAAATCTTCCTTCTTATTTGGTTTGCATCGAAAGGTGAAAATTTTGATGTCATAGAGTGTCATTTGGCATTTTACAAATATGAAATGGGTTGCACATTAGACTGTGTAAATCATTTATAACTCAAAACATTAGGTTGCAGAACAAATTAAACCTACAAATGTGGAGATTGACTTCCAACATTAGACTTTTGAATGTCCCACTTATTTAACCAATAGAGAACAAACACGCGTTTGAAAGTTTTCTCCAATAGGTAAAAAAATCTAGTGTGATTTGTTTAATCGTTCTACTGTATTTACAACGTGGGGGTTTATAATTATGATTTTATACCTCATTCCGTATTACATAATTTCTTACAAATTTATTTTATTTATAACATATTTTGTTTCAGATTTTAGAAACGATTTATTTATCAAGAACATTTTCTTTCATTTCATTTTACAACAACTTATCATTAATATAACTATTGTCAACCATTATAAGTACTATAGGGAGTATCACTTTTAACATATCAACAAACCATTCCCATCGTCACCATCTATCCCCTGGGTCATTATGAAATTTGGTAAAACATATTTATCGCATCAAATTCCAGAATGGACAATTTATTATATGAATTACAAACAATTGAAAAAAATTATCAAATCAATTGACTCAGAAGATATAGATGCAAAACCTACTCAAAATGGAGAAGCCAATGAATTAGATTATCCTGAAATTATTTCACAAATTTTGAGTTCATTTTTTTTTGAATTAGATCGCGATATTGAAAAAGTTGATTCTTTTTATAATGCTAAATTTAAAGAGTATGAAAGACGGTTGAACAAAATTAAAGAGATTCTAAATTTTCAAGAAAATAACAACAATGTAAATTTATCGTTAGATACTTTGAATGAGGTTGAGATTGAAGAAATTATCAACATCCTTATGGAATTAAAACATTTATTTCGTAATTTGAAATGGTTTGGAGAATTAAATCACAAAGGTTTTATAAAAATTTTGAAGAAATTGGATAAAAAATTAATTAATATTATCAAATATTCCAAAGATGATTTCAAAACTCCTCCACCTGAAGAAATTTCAATTAATAATAAGGAAGCATATTTAAATACCAGAATTGATGCTTTGCCATTTGCAAATGGATCAGAAATTTCAACTTCATTAGATTTGATCCATAATTTTTTATCACAATTGGGACAATTGAATAACAACATCAAGTTGGAAAATTTAAAAATTGGTGGTGATGTAAATAATGACAATGTTAATTTAATGATTAAAGATGATAAAGTAAATGATTTGAAACAACATCTCCAAAACAAATCAAATAAATATATAATTTCCCTACTCAATAAAGCTACAATTTTAAACCTGATTGGGTGTATTGATGAGATTTGGTCTCAATTAGCAAATTTATACGATTCAAGTGATATAAATGGTAGAAACTTTTTCCATCAACATATTATAAGTTTAGGTAAAGAACAGTTCATAAAAGAAGAAACATTAACCCCTGGCGAAACTTCAAATTGGTTGATCGGATCTTCAAATGGTCCAGATAATAATCATATTATAAATTTTCAAGGATTAACTTATATATTAAAGTCAAAGGAGTTTGATTTTGATTTGGCTTTATTAATTTCCAAAGATCATTATAATAGAACTCCATTGCATTATGCTGCTCAGTATGGATTGAGTCATATTACGCAAATAGTATTGGACTTTTTATCAAAATACAATTTAATTAATAAGGAAATATCAATTGACGATATTAACGTTTGGGGTGATCAAGAAAATTTAACTCCTTTACATTTATCAATAATTGGTAAACATCCTAAAACAACAGAGATTTTATTGAAATTCAATCATGGTCTCAAATTAAAATGTCCTAGTTTATTATTATTAGCAGTTCGATTAAATTCACCACAAATTTTAAATAGTTTAATCAATGATGGAAATATAGATATAAATTATACTGATAACGAACATAGAAATGAAACTGCTTTATACATTGCTACAAAGTTAAATTTATATGGAGTTGTTGAATTTTTGCTTGAATTAAATGCAAATACTGAAATTGGAGAATCAATATTTGGATGGACACCAATTTTTATAGCTTCATGTGAAGGATTTTTATCCATAGTCAAACTTTTAATTGAGTTTAATGTTAATTATGAGATTGTTGATGATTCTGGTTGGTTACCTATGGAGCATGCATGTTTAAGAGGACATTTCGAAGTTGCAGATTTATTAATTCCTAGAAATAAAGATATGTTATTATATGATTGTTATAATCAAGAGAATAACATCAAACGATTAGTTTCTGAATCTGCTTCTCCAGTGTTAATGGCTAATGATGATTCAATAGTTTCGAATTCAAGTATTGATAAATTACCAAAAAATCATCAAGTCACAATAAATGAATTCTACAAACAATTGAAGAATAATTCGCAAAATAATGTAACTAATTCAAGATCATCATCACCTAAAAGGAAAAAGAAGTATAAACCAATCAAATCATTCGGACATAGATATCTTAATGAAAATGAATCATTAATTTTAATAACTTTGGGTACTACCGATTTAAGAGATGAAAGTTTACCAATTGAATTGAATAAAATCTCACTTGCAAAATCATTTGAAACTGAATTAGATACAGCTTTATCTTTATCGATTTGTTGTCGTCATAAATTAACGAATTTGCCAATTGAACCACCAACAATTGTTGATTTGCCATTGGAAGATTATCATGGGAGTGCAACTGATCCAATTACATTTAAATTGATGAATAATTTGAGTATCGATGATATTATAATTACATTTGATTTAATTCCTACTTATCAAGTAAATAAGAAAATTTTAGGTAGATCAATTGCAATTTTAAAAGACTGCTATACAAAAGTAGGTCCCAATTTAAGATCATTAAATAATAATATTACCGTACCTATAATTGATTCAAATAATTTACAGGTGTTAGGTCTAATTCGTTTTGAATACTTACAAGTTTTACCTTTTAAGCATAAAGAAATGAATATTACAAGATCAGACACATATTGGAAACAATTAGTTTCAACAAGAGTTATTGGTCATCGTGGTTTAGGTAAAAATGAAAGTGATCGTAAATCATTACAATTGGGTGAAAATACTGTTGAATCTTTCATTGCAGCTGCTTCTTTAGGTGCCTCGTATGTTGAATTTGATGTTCAATTAACTAAAGATTTTGTCCCTGTTGTTTATCATGATTTTACAGTTGCTGAACTGGGAGTGGATATTCCAATGAATTTGTTAACATTGGAGCAATTTTTGGGTTTGAATAAAACAAGAAAAAAAATGACAAAACCATTAGACGATGAAATTTTAATCAGATCCAAACCAAGGGCAAAACTGTCTTATAATTTATCTCCCAATATGGAAAAGAATGATTACATTTTTGACCAAATTGACAAAGAATTTGAGAATCAAATTAACGAAAGAATGAAATTGACTAAAACTTGGAAGAGTAAAGGGTACAAAGGAAATAGTCGAGGTTCTTCCGTTGCGTCAAATTTTGTAACCCTTAAAGAATTATTTGATAAAATTCCAGAACATGTAGGTTTTAATATTGAATTAAAATATCCTATGCTTGATGAAGCAGAACAGGAAAGTATGGGAGAAATAGCAATTGATTTAAATTTATACCTTGATACAATTTTGAAGGTTATTTACGATGAAAATAATAAATCAACAAATCGACACATTGTATTTTCAAGTTTTCATCCTGATGTTTGTTTATTGCTATCTTTGAAACAACCGACTATGCCAATCTTATTTCTTACCGAAGCTGGAACTACTCCAATGGCAGACATAAGAGCAAGCTCATTACAAAATGCAATTCGATTTGCTAAAAAATGGAATTTATTAGGTATTGTATCTGCTGCTCAAACATTGGTTAAATGCCCAAGATTGACTCAAGTTGTTAAAAGTTCAGGGTTGGTTTGTGTTACTTATGGAGTTGAAAATAATGAGCCTGAATTGGCCAAGATTCAAATGAGAGCTGGAGTTGATGCTGTGATTGTTGATAGCGTTTTAGCTGTTAGAGAAGGTTTAAGAGAACATAATGATAAGAGAAAAGAATATGAGGATTCAAATAGTGATTAGAAAAAGATATACAATATTTAGAATATAGATTAGATATGAATAGAAGTATAAAATGTTACATGTAACCTTATTTTGATTGCAACTTGAATGCTTTAATAGTTACACTGGTGTAAAATTGATGAAAGTATAGAATTACGAGTATCTAAGTCAACTATTAGGTTTCAAAGTTGGATATAATATTTTGCAACTCACTTTCGATTTAAAATAGAAATTCTATAAGAAAATACGAGAAAGTAAGATCACGCGAGATCAAACTTAAATTGCGCACCGAAACAGGGTAAAAATTTCTTTTTCTTTTGGATGTAACTTTAAATATCCAAAAATCAATGGTTTGGCTGCAACTATAGCCAGAGATATAGAATATTTATTTCCTTTTCTTACCAAGAAAGAGGTGATGAATGATGGGGATGCGGTTTATCTCTGCTCCTCAGTAACAAGCAATACTGAATATATTTGAAAAGAAATATTTAACATTCTTTATTTTGTGATTGCGCTTTATCTCCAAATAATTATCGAATTGAAGAAAGTCTTTCTGATTATATCCTATTACATACGTCAAATGCCTTCTTTTAACTATATTTGCCGTATGCCGTAACGGAACTTACACAAGACGACGCCTAAGAAAAAAGTTAATTTAACGGTTATTAATCAAAGCTGGTGATGCAGAGGAAAAAGAAAAAAAAAAAAAAAAAAATAGAAACAATTTTGGAAGTTGCAACTTGAAATGATTCATTTAACTTTTAATAGAAAATTTGCATAAGTTGTAGAATGTATTTGATTATATAAAAGCATTTCAATGTATAATTTATACAATTTCAATTTGTTTTTAATTTTCAATATTCATTAATCATCAATTTTCATTCTTTTTCAATTCATTTAATCATATAACTATTCAATCAAATGATATCGAACTCGAATCTGAATAATCTGAAATCTAATAATATATCAAACTCGAATCTGAATAATCTAAAATCTAACACTATAATCAAGGAATCCAACGATGAATATTCATCGTCATTGTCTAATAACTCAGCAATTTCAAATGGAAAATCAGCAAATGCATGGACAAATTTTAAAGATTCTTTTAAACCTCCAGTAAAAAATAATAATAACAAAGACTTAGAATTTTACAATGATGAAGGTATACGACAGGATGAATCAGCAGCACCTTTAAAACAGAATTTGAAGAAAAGACAACTTCAAATGATTGCATTAGGAGGTTGTGTGGGAAGTGGTTTATTAGTTGCAAGTGGATTAGCTTTACAAAACGGTCCATTAGCTTTAGTTATTGCTTGGTTAATTGTTGGTCTGTTTTTATACTGTACAATGCAATCACTTGCAGAGTTGTGTAGTTATTTACCTGTTTCAGGATCATTTGCAACATATTCAGCAAGATTTATTGATTCAAGTTGGGGGTTTGCAATGGGTTGGAATTATGCATTGTTTTGGGTTATTGTTTTACCATTGGAATTAGTTGCTTCATCCATGACTATTAATTTTTGGCAATCTAATATAAATAGTGTTGTTTGGGTTGCAGTCTTTTACGTTTTAATTTTCCTTTTAAATTTATGTGGTAATAAAGGTTTTGGAGAGTTTGAATTCATTGCATCCATTATTAAATTGTTAGGTGTTGTCGGTTTTAATATATTAGCAATAATTATTATTTGTGGCGGAACAGGAAATCAAGGTTATATCGGGGGTAAAAATTGGCATCCACCACTTCAAACTGGGTTCAAAGGAATAGGTATGTGAAGCAATAAATTTACTCTGATTTAATGAATTTTACTAACTTTTTTTTTTCCAGTTTCGACTTGCTTAACCGCTACATATTCTTTGGCTGGTACAGAGTTGGTGGGATTAACGTCGTCTGAGAGTGAAGAAAATCCAGCAAAATCCTTTAGATCTACGATCAAACAAATAAATTACAGAATTTTGATTTTTTACTTATTAACCTTAACATTAGTTGGGTTCTTAGTACCTGCTACATATTCAGAACTTGCAGGAAGTGGTAGTGCTGATACTTCTTCAAGTCCATTTGTTATTGCAATTAATGCCGCTCAAATTAAGGTTTTACCTTCAATTTTCAATGTCGTTGTTTTGGTAGCTCTTTTGGCTATATCAAATTCTGCAGTTTATGGATTCTCAAGAACATGTATTGGTTTAGCAGAACAAGGACTAGCCCCTTCTTGTTTCAAATATATTGATAGAAAAGGCAGACCACTAGTAGGAATGGGTATTAGTGCAGTTTTTGGTTTATTATCATTTGTTTCAGCGTCAAAGTATGAAGATGAAGTTTTTGCTTGGTTAGTTGCAATCAGTGGTTTATCTACGTTATTTACTTGGGGTAGTATTAATGGTGCCTATATTAGATTTAGAGGTGCAATGAAATATCAAAATAGATCAATAGATGAATTACCTTACAAATCAACTACTGGAGTAATTGGTGCTTATTATGGTTTAATCATGAATATAGTTGTTTTAGCATTACAATTTTGGTTAGCATTATATCCAATTGGTAAACAACCACATGCAAAAGATTTTTTTAAAACTTATTTAGGTGCTGTTATTGTATTAATATTTTATGTTGTTCATAAACTATGGACTCGAAACTGGAAATTATGTCTTGATTACAAAAATATTGATTTAGATAGTGGCAAAGCACCTAACATCGATTTGGTTAGACAGGAAATAGAGGAAGAGAAAGAACTAATCAAAACAAAACCATTTTACTATAGAGTTTATAGATTCTTGTGTTAGTTTTATCAATAATTATTAAGGAAGGATAATTCAATTTATGTGAGTAGAGAAAATTCGATTTATGTAAGTAAAGATACTTTAATTAATAATGTTTCAGATTTTTTTTCTCTCGCAATTTGCCACATCTAATTGACTTGCCACCTCAAAAGTCCGGTTTCAATATTAGTAACCATACACAAAATTACTATTGAGTCTTTCAAAATTCTATAATCATATATGCATTTTTGTTAAATCTATAAAATTTTTGAGCTTATCTATATAATTTCTTTTGGAATTAAACCATGGTTTCCAACATTAAACTCTTTTAAAAAATGATTTGGTAATTTAGTTAAAGCAAAATCTGGTAAATTAACGCCAGTACCTTCTTTGAATAATGCATTTGTTTGTTTTTTATTCAATGAATTTAAACTTAAAGATGAAGAATGACATGAGGATAACAATTCACCATTTGGGCCTCCATATTTTATTATTCTTAAATAAGCCATATTTAATGGTGATAATGTTGTCGGTTTAACTAAGGTTTTATCAACCCATGATTCATCCATAGTTAAAGGTTTGATACAACGTAAACAATTTCTATAATATTTACGTTTACTTATTGGTTTATCATTGGCTGGATTCCATTTATAATCAACATCACTTGAAAAACTTGTGTTATGATGATGACGACGTAATCTTTGTGATTGGAAAATTTCTTCATCAACTTCATCAACTTCATCCTCTTCATCTTCTTCATCTTCTATATCTGAGTGATGTAAATCGGAAAAATCATTTATATCTTCTTGATCATTATCAATTAAACCTGATGAATGAATACTCGTTTCTACTCTTGAACGATCAATTATTGCATTGAACTCTTCATCATATTCATCTGCATCTTCATCATCATCTTGAGAATCATGATTATTATGGGTAGGTTGGAATAAATTAGGAGCTGAATTTGATCTGTTAACAGAAAATAATGAATCTTCTTGACCTTTATGCACAGTATCAACTTCGAAAGTTACAGCCTTAGTATTTGATTTTGATGACAATTTAAATTTTAGTTTCTTCAATGTACCTTTAAATTTTGATGAATCTGATACAGATCTTAATCTGGATATAGTTGCAGAAGATAAATGTACATTGCTGATACTTGGTGAATCATTTCTCCTTCTTCTACGTCTTGGAACGGTCCTATATCTTGGTAATTCTCTATCCGATAAATCTACTGCAACGTCTTTTCCAATATTAATCAGTAGATTCCAATTAATTAATTCCTCAGTAGTAGAAAAGTTTAATAATATTTGTTCATTTTCAATTCTTAATCTTAAAACATTCGCTTTCTTTTTATAGTCAGTTGCTAAACCAATTCTCGAATATTGTAATGAATAAGTTCTGACTAATGATTTCTTAGTAATACTATTTGAATGATCTAATAAACCCAATTCATTTACAAAATTATAAAATTGATAGTCAAACTCATTTGTAAAAATTGAATTTTTATCTTCATTAAAATCATTAGTCTTTAAACTTGAGTTTGTTCTAAAATTTAAAACTTGAAGTTCCAAATTTGATGGTATGCTATAAAAATTTAATTGAGTTGAGTTCAATTCCATTATATAAAATTTCCAACTTCTATTTGTAGACAATTCGTAAGGATTAACCCATTCGACTTTTCGAGAAACAACACCAATTTTGTAAATTGCTGGAGAATATGATGGAGGTTTGATAGAATTTTGCAAATTATATGAATTAGACAAGTCCGATATGCTTGAAGTTGTTTTGTTTGATAATGACTCGGATAATAAGGATAATGGTTGAATTATCGGAAATCTAGGACAACCACCTGGTGGTAATGTATTGTAATTGGGAGGTAAAACAGGAATCGGTTCAATTAATTGCAAATAATCTTGACATTTTTTTGATAAATTTGATAATAATATTTCTATGTTTAATTCATTCTCATTAAAACTAACTTTTTGATCAGAAGCAGAAGTAGTTAATGGATTTGGAGTTGGGGGAGTGGAAACTCTGGTAGGTAAATCGAGATTCTTTTTGTTATTGAGCTCATTATGATCTTGATTTAAAGATAAATCATCCATGGAAGTTGACGTTGATACCGTGGTTGAATTGGATGAGCTGGAACTTGAAGACGACGATGAGGAAAATGAAACACATACATTATTATTGTTAAAATTGTTGATATTTACATTATTATTATAATTATAATTATGGTTGAAATGAACAAATGGGTAAGGATGATTTACTGATTCACTCATTTCTTCTTTACTATTAATTTAATTTTTGGCAAAGTGATAATTTAACTTGGTCCATAAAGATGACAATTCTTTTAAATAATAATAATTCTTTTAAATAATAACAAGATATTTGAAATAATTATAACCAATATATATAAATGGATGAAATGGATGAAATGGTAAAAGATTATAAAAGAGGAAAATTGATAATCTTGTGATAACTGAATATTATTTTACTTATATAATAATATCTCAAAATTACATAAAATATTACACAAAATTAAAAAAAAAAAATAAAAATAAAAATAAAATAAAAAAAAAAAAAAAAAAGATGAAAATTTCAGTTGATCTAAGTAATGTTTCAATTAATGTTTAATTATTGACATTATTTATATATATATATATAATTCTAATGAGTTAAACAATATAAAGAGCAATTAAGGTAGTTTTCAATAATATAGCAAAAATAAGATCAATAGTAAAGTATAAAATTAGTTAATTAACGAAATCAATTAAATACAGAAAGAATAAAATAATAATAGTACAAAGACCAAAAATTTAAATAATAGAAATCTTATTGGAAAATGGAAATGAAGAGACTACATATTTTTATTTACGTTGATAATTTAATCTACTCGATAAGTAGGTAGGCAACTACCTATTAAGCAACCGCATCATTTAATCCATTTCAAAACACACACACAAGTAATGTTCAAATCAATTGATTGATCTATAAAGAGAAAAAATAGAAACATGTTTTTTTCTGGTGATGTCAAAACTCAATTTTGTAACTCTTACACTTCTCAACGGTTATAAAATCTGAAGAGTACTACAACCAATTTCATACAATAGGAAGTCTATTCTATAACCTTATGACAAAAAAACTAATATGAAGAAAGTTTGACTATTCTTAGCTTTATATACCTTATTGTTCATTCCTTTCAACATAAGTTTTTGTGATACGAATGTCATTTTGCAACCAACCCCTTTTTTTTATTAATTTTTTTTTTTTTTTTTTTTTTTTTTTTTTATTTATTTATTTATTTATTTATTTAATAAGAGTATTGGTTGAATCTTTCGTTTAATAACAATAAATCATTTAGCAGAGTTCGGAGTTCGTCACGATATCAGGACTTAATGCTTATACTTTACTAATAATTCTGTTACAAGTACATCAATTAACACACTTTGGTTGTAAATTAATTATAGTAACAAAATTATTGATCGGTAATATTTTAATAGGAGTAAAAAATAATTACCACACGTAAAAAAAGGGGTAATCAAACTAATAGTCAATTCGGCTTAATAGATTAGATCTTTTGTTTCTTGTTTAAATTTAGTTAATATATCCTAATTCTATTTTCCATTACTGATGGAATTTTATGAGAGACCTAAATTATATTTGTCTTGCTTTCAAATGTTTACATTAATCTACATACTAAATTTGCTATTATTTCTGGAACTAGTAAACACTATTTTGAAACATTCACTTACGACTAATTGCGTTAATCAAACCTTATTTTTTTTCAGTTAAGTGCAAAAATATTCTCTATTTCCTAAAGTTCCGAGTTTTTAACTTTAATATGATCAATCAAGTTCTTAAAAGACTAAAGACCATCGATCAATTTCAGATGGTTGTAAGAGGCTACTTATTGATTTATGTTTAAAATTGCTTTAATAATCATCTGCATCGAAGATCAAAGACATTTCTTTTTAATGATTATTCTTCACATATAATCCACGGTTTAGGAAATTGTGCATATACAAGTTTGGATTGATGGAATTACCGCTTTTGGATATCCTTGTACCCTTTTTTTAATCTTCCACACTACTGTTTTCTTTAAAATTTGGCTGCAAAATTTTGGCTGCAAATTTTGGCTGCAAAAGCTTTGTCTACAAGCGTAATCTTGGAAGTTAATTATTTATATATCCATATTTATATATTCATATTTATACAATTCCATCAATTAAAGTTGAAACATTTGAATGTGGAACAGCTGATTTATTTTACTGGGTACTGATTTTCGAAATTATGTTTATAAAAATTGTTTAGTCTGCTAATTATAACTGCAAATTATCCATGTAAACTAATTGTATTAATTTTACTGGTTTTTAAAGCGGTATCATTTTCTTGCTCTCAACATTCGAATATGCTTAGTTATATTGGTATACACGATCAATTTTTTTTGTATAACAAAATTAATTTCAAGAATTTTTTGCAAATACAAATTGCGAAGTTAGATATATAAACAACTTTATTTCATTTTTTACTAAATTTTATCAATGGATGAAGATTATCAAGATAATAATCAAGATTCAAATAATTTAACAATTTCTTTGCCATCAAATGATTTGACCAATTCAATCACAGTTAATGAAAATATTAATATTGAATCAGAATTTAGCCAAAATCAAAATAATCAAAACAACTGGCGTAATTGGGCAAATAATATCTTTAAAAAACCGGGAGAATCAACTGATAGATTAACACCTCAACAATCAAGATCTCAAAGTTTTAAACAACCACATAATCCATTAACAAACTTACCATCACCAAATTTACAAAATGGGAAATTAATTGGAAACAATAATGGGAATGCTATTACTACAAACAAATCAATGAAAAGATCAAAATCATGGTTTTTTCGTCATCAGGGAGCATTCAAAAACGGTAATAATAAAAATAATGAAGCTAATTACAAATCCACTTCACATTCACCAGTTGAGTTGGTCATTTCATCTTCTACAAACGGATCAGTGGTTGAAATTGATGCAAATAATCATGAAAATGACTTACAACAACAATTGATCAAATTAAAATTAAATGATAACTCACCTATTCTATTAGGTTGTTATAATGGCTCACCAGTCTATTCAACATTTATTACCAAGAATGATAATATTTATTTATTTAAATCTAAACTTTTTCAATATGGCTTATTTGATAAATTTGATGAACCAACTTATCATCCATGGAATGTTTGGAAATATGATAAAGACAACTATCAAAAGAAATTAATCGAATTAATTGAATCAAAATCTGATTTTAAAAAATTTTTTAACAGAATCTTTCATTTAAATTTGAAATTTATAATCATGAGAAGTTGTTTAGTTCCAGATTATGGCTTATTTAAAAATGGATATTTGATCAAATTAAAAACAATTCAAGAAGGAAAAAGAAATGATGAATTAATTGCATTTTTCAGAAATTGTTGTGAAAGAATTTTATTTACAAAACTTAATGAAAATAAATTAATGAAAATTACTGTTGTTGGTGTTACAATTGAAAATTTGGATAAAGTATCACAAATTATGTTTTGGATTCATCCAATTTTAAATATGTCATTTGATATTTTAAATCAGACTATTATGTTATTAAAAACATTTAACTTTAATGTCAAATTTACCTCCATTTGTTTAATTGATATTAATACTAACTCAAAATTCAAAATTGATCCTGAAGAAGTATAACATAAATAGTTTAATGAGACACAATTGATAACATTTATCTATTATCTGTTCTATTTACATGTAGTTAACTCAAACTCCATGCTAACTTCAGCTTTCACACAACTCTAACTTGGCCATACGTACAATTATTCTACAACTTTGCTTGACGGTTTTTAAATTTACTCATCATTTCATCTCTCTTCATTTGTTTTAAACGTTTCTCAAAAGCACCAATCATTATTTCAGTCACTTGAGGAGCAAACATGAAACTTAGTTTATCGTAAATTGGATTTTTAAATTTATAATTCAATTTAAAATCAATCTTGCATTGATCTTCATTACTACTTCCTTCAACATTTCTAAAAATCCATTCAGTTTCTAAAAATTCAAATAATTCTAATTCAATTGATTTTGCAGAAACTTTAACGTTTTCAATACAATCTAATTCACAATCAAATTTTTCAGTAATATCTTTCCAACCAACTTTTAAACCTGCATTACTTGGAAATCCTTGGGAATCCCTTGATAATATATATGAATCTTCTACAAATGGTACAAACAATTTATAATTATCAACCTGACTAACAATTTGAAATAATTGTGATGGTGGACCATTTAAAATCTTGGAAATTTGATAAGTTTGTGACTGTGATTTTGCAGCAAAGTTGAAAAAGGATCTAACACTTTCAATTTGACTACGTCGTATTCTTGTAAACATAATAGATCTTGAATCGTGACTGGATTGGTGCTTTCAAAATTTTTCAAATAATTTGCCCAAGGACAAACACAAAAAAATTTCAACCGAAATAAAGAAAGAGATAAACACGATAATAGAGATTCCTGTTTCTTTTTAAACTATAATATACATTAGATTTAATTTATGTTTTTATTTAATGAGTCGTTTATTGAGCACGGGTGTAGATAGCTTGCTTTGAATGTTTTAAAACTGGGGTGATGATACCATCTTCTTCTAATTGTCTTAAAGCAACTCTAGCTAATGAACCACCAATCTTTAATCTATCAACTAATACTGAAACTGAAACATATTTATAAGTTGGAACATCTTTTAAAATTCTGTCATATTTTTCTTGATCTAAAATAACTAAATGTTGAGCTTTATCTTTAACTTTACCTTTATTCCACTTTTTTTTACCCTTTTTACCACCAGCTAAAGCGGCAGCAGCTTTAGCAGCTTTAGTTTGTTGAATTTTTGGAGCCATTCTAAAGTATTGTTAGTAAAAACAAAATTCTAAAAACTGGAGACGCTTTTAGGAAATGTTATATAATCAATATGAGTGGTAAATCTTGCTTTGTTTTGTATTTGGTAATATATGACGATACGTTGATGACTTTAAATGTAATTGAATAAATTGTTCGTCGCAAATTGATTTCAATTTTTAAAACGTAGTTGTATTCTTCAAACTTGATCACCATGTACAACTCTCGTTTATTCCAAACTTGCCATTTAATTTCTGATAATTGTCCTGTTTAACATTTCCTTATTATTAAGAACATACTTTTATTGATGGATAACTACTAAAAATTCAAGAAAGTAAAATTGAAAAACTTCTTTTTTCGTTAGTATTAAAATTTGTTAGTAATAAAATTGTGTAGTGCGAATTTTGATAATTTTTAAGTTAGTAGTGTAATTTGGTAATAACATACTGTGCGCACGTGGTTCTGCTTATACTAAGTCAAGGCTGAGCCCTAACCATAAAATATCTATTGTCGTGTCTATTTTTGAGATTGGATTGAACTTACGACACTTAAACTAGTACATATTACATAATATATTACATAATTCAGGATTGTGTTACTTAAAATTTAAGTTTTTCGATTTATTGTTTTTTCGATGATATTGGAATATATTGAAGATTGAACATTTAACCCTTTCAATTGTATTAATAGATCATATATTATAAATTTTTATCATGGGGAAAAGAGTAGCAACTGATCAAATAACAAAAGATGATTTCGAAAGCAATAGATTTTATGATAATGATGATGATGAAGATCAACATCAACAGCCATCTAAAGCTTCATCAGAAGTAATATCATCAAGAAAAATTATAAAACCAAGGGGTAAATTACTAAATAAATCATCTCCAGTGAATACTAATATCAACAATAATGGATTTAAAGGATTATTTTCAAATTCACAACCATCTCAATCACAATCACCACCTCAAACTTCAATTAAAGCAAATGAAGAAACTAATCACAAAGTACGTGCTTTGAATGAAAATTTCATAGATTCGATAAATAAATTAAATCAACCAAATTCGATTGTTGATTTTACATCAATTGCTGAAAAGTACATTCATTATTATAAACAAATTCATAGTGATTCAAAAGCAGATGTAAAACCTTTTACTTTCAATTCAAATCAAAATCAAGATCAAGTTCCTAGAGCTTCAGCATTTTCATTTACTCCTATTTCACAAGATACAATTTCGAAACCAACTGTGTCTGCACCAGCACCAGCATCAACTCAATTTTCATTTAATCCATCTACTACATCTTCATCATCTAATTTTACATTCAACACAAATAAAACCGCAAGTAATGCATCAACAAATCCAATTTTAAAACAACAAGAAGTTAGAAAAGCTGAAAAAGTGGAAAATATTTCTTCCGACTCAGAATCAGAAGATGAAGCCATGCAGAATAAGAAAGAAATCAAGATTCAAGGTCCTCAATTTACACTTAATTCAAACCCAACTGTTAAATCATCTCCATTTACATTTGATCCTAAAAAATTAGCTAAAAAGAATGCTCCAGATTCAGATGAATCTGAAGATGAAATAGAAATCAAAGGACCACAATTTACATTCAACAAACCTATAAAAGACAAAATTTTCAAATTCTCCTCACAACCTCAAAATAGTGAAGAAAAGAAAGTTGATTCAAATTCTACTGTATTTAATTTCGGTAAACCTACAAGCGAAAACAAACCAACTTCATCGAAATCATTTGGATCCACATCCACAGATAATACGAAAGCAGAAAATCAACCACAGTCAGAAACTAATTCACTGAAACCTTTTGCTTTTGGTTTAAATTCTGTAACAAATCAAGATAGTTCCACTAATAAACCTATTTCTTTTGGAAATAGTGCTACCATCAAACAAAATGAAGCAACTAATTCAAAAACTTTTACATTTGGTTCTAATACATCAACAAAACCAGCAGACTCAACAGCATCTAAACCTTTTGCCTTTGGATCAAAAAACACTCCTGCAAAACCAGAAGAGTCAATACCAATTACATTAACTAAAAAAGATGAGCATCCTACAACAACAAGTACTAAACCATTTTCATTTGGATCTAGTAACACAAAGCAAGAGGAGTCAACAACAACAACAACTACCAAACCATTTACATTTGGAGGTTCTAATACTAATGATAAACTTGGATTCAATTTTGGTACTACATCAACCACTAAAGAAACCGAAGTAGCTAAACCAAGTTTTAATTTCAATCCAAAACCTACTACTGATAATATAGCTAAACCATTTGGCGAATTTAATAATACTCAATCAGAAGATAAACCAAAATCGAATCCCTTTGGCTCTACTGATAAACCAACTTTTTCATTTAACAAACCATCAACAGATTCAACAAACAAACCATCACCATCCTTTTCTTTCACAAATAATCCAGAAACAAAATCAAATGAAGGTCAACAAGCAACTTCTTCTTTATTTGGAAATACTGCTAAGCCAGCTTTCAACTTTGGCAGCTCAACTGAAAAGAAAGAAGAAGCAACAAATAATGCAGGTTTCAAATTTGGTTTCTCATCAAATAACACAAGTTCGGGATTTCAATTTGGGTCTAAACCTGCAACCTCATTTGGTACAAATTTGAATGGTACACCTACATTATTTGGCTCATCATCATCAACGACCACTTCTTCAACTACTGATAAACCAACTTTCAATTTTTCATCTAACAATAATAATAATGCCTTTGGAGCTTCAACAAATCCATTTGGGGGTAAACCAGATGAAAAGAAAGTTGAAGATGCTGATGACGATAAGGTACCAGAAGAAGAAACAGGTGGCGATTTTGCTCCCGTTGCTTCATTGTCCAATGAAAAAGTCTCAAGTGAAACGGGAGAAGAAAATGAAGATTTGCAATTTACAGTAAGAGCCAAACTAATGGAATATAATAAAGAAAATAAAGAAGATCCTTATAAGAATAAAGGTGTTGGAGAATTGAAAATTTTAACAAATAAATCCACAGGTAAATCAAGAATTTTGTTGAGAGCAGATGGATCGTTTCGAGTTTTACTAAATACCTCAATTAGTAAAAGTATAAGTTATACAAAGTTAGGAAATGCAAATCTAATAACTATACCTACAATTGATCCAAATGATACCACGAAATTGATTACGTATGTGATACGAGTACGTAATGCTAAAGACGGAGAAGAAATGTTGAAAAAAATCGATGAATTAAAACAATAAGTACATACTATTATATATTTTTCAATAAATTTATAAATTCAATTTCGTAACCTACATTTACATATGTAAATATTGAATCATCATTATTAGTATTTATCGTTAATAAATTTTTTAAAATTTCATTTTTTGAACCGTACAATTTATGCTGTATCTTAATTATAAAATTCAAAATTATTTTGACAATAATTTCATCATTATTGAAACTCAATAATATAAAATCTAAGATATGATTTGAAATTTCAAAATTAAACAAATTTAAGCCTAAACTTAATATCAAATTTGGTAAATAATCATAAGTAGACACATTTTGAATTTTGAAATGAACAAATAATCTATTCAAATGTTTTTTAAACAAATTTTCGAATTTATAAATTATATAACTGTTTAAAGAATCTTTAATGATTGATTGAGTTTCTTTAGGACCCAATTTATAAGTTAAAATCATATTTGGTAATCTATATTGATATAATTGACATATTGAAACAAAAGTTTTATAAGTATTTTTAAAATTATAATAAAAAATCGAAATTATTTGAATTAAACCTGGGAAATAGTATTGGAAAATACAATCATCATCTTCATTATTTAGCGCTGGAAACTGTTCTTGTAAATATATAATAAAGCTAATTATTGTTTTTATCAATTTATTCATTATTTGATTATCTTGAAAATAATTCAAATCAGGATAACTGTTCAATAAATCTTTGTAAACTTGATTATAAATTTTTACCCAACTTGAAAGTTTAAAATGCAAAACAATTGAATTTAATTCATGTTTAATTATTTCAATATTTTCTTGATTATCATTTAAATAATTTAAATGTTTTAATTTTGACTGAATAATTAGAAATTTATCAAAATAATTTTCACAAAATGATTCATTAAATAGTTTATTATGTTTTAATAAATTAATTTTCCACCATACATTGTTTCTAATCTCGGGTGAAACTCCGGTAAAGATCATTTCATTTAATTTATCATAATCAATTTGGTTTTTATCTGTTAATTTTAATAAATTTGAATCCCATTTCGATATATCGTGCTTTCTTTGCTTCATATTTTTATTTAATTCAATTAATCTTTTCTGTTGTAATTGATTCTCTTTGTATAATGCATTGTATAGTATATAATCTGCATCTTGTTGATGTTTTGATTTCTCATTTACGGATTTTGGAGGTAACCAAGTTGGTCTCGTAAAAGTGTGATGTTGATTACTCTCAACTTTATTATTTTTAATAAGTTGTAGATTTTTAAAATTTGATAATAGTTTTCTTTTTTGAAAACTTTCCTCATATATTTGAGAAAACTCATCTTTATTAAATAAAACAGTTAATTCTTGAGCTTCTTTTGATATTTTATTAAAATCTTGATTTGTCAAATTTGAGTGATTTAAATTTTTATAGAATTTATGTTCATTAGGAGTTATTGGTGAAACATCTTCAAATCCTATTGATGAAACTGAATCATTGAAACTAACATGAGATATTATTGAATTTGTTCTTGTTGAATCATTTGTTGAAAATGAAAAAGTTCTTGATTGATTATCAAATAAAAATTTATCTCTTTGATTTATAGAGGTTAATTCTTGACTATAAGGGACATTGAAAACATAATCATCGATAATTTCGTCTTTATCATCTATTATTACACCGCGTTTTTTGTTATTGTTATTGTTATTGTTATTATATGACATTTTATTCCTATTTATATTTGTTTCATCAAATTTAAATTGAGCTATCGAATTATTCAAGTTCATTTTTCTTAATTTCAATCTTTGCGATGGTGTTAAATAACTTGGAGTTCTATTAAGTTTGATAACATATTGGGATGATGATGATGGTTGATCATTAGCATTCAAATTCATATTTCCACTTGATTTATTTGATTTAACTGAACTTCTGCTCTGCATTGATGAAGATCTAGTTAATTGATTTTGTAATGGAGAGGGTGTATATATTTGAAGATTTTTATTGTCAAGATTTGAAATTTGTGACACGAGATGGATATTAGATGAAATATTTACTTGAGATGATGATGTATTTGATATTAATGATGAAGTAGGAGAACCAATAGAACCAATATTAGGTAATTGAGGCAAAGATTTGGATTTGAATTGTTTTGAAGCGATATTTTGCTGAATTTGATTTGGAACGCTAATTTCTTGGTTATTATTATTATTCATGATTTATTATATTTACCTAAATCTATAAAAGTGGAAGTATAATAATGAACTAATTTATAAGTGATGTAAACGAGTGTTGATAAATTGGTCCTTTGTAATCTAACAAATAATAGTTTGTTTATGAAATTAGTATATTAACGATTATACGTATATATATATAAATAGCTTTTGTTACCTTAGTAAACAATAAATTGAAAACAAAAAAAAAAAAATTATACGCTGAATAAATAAATAAATAAATAAAAATTGTATATATGAAATGGAATTATGCGTCCAATACAAACCACAGAATAAACAACATTATAATGAATTGTGTACCTATTGTGAAGTATAAAATCTAAAAAATCAACTCCAAAATAAACCAAAGAAACACAACATTTGTATTGTAAAACACGTAAAATTTTCCTCGATTTTAGATTAATACGAATAAGGAACAAAAGATTGATTATTCTACATCTCTTGGAGATAAATTTAATAGTGGTCAATTCAATAGTATCCACAATTGATCTAATTTTAAACTAAATTGAAAGGGTTCTTTTCCAAGTTTATATTTACTTTTCTTCAAACTAGTGAAAAATGTAAACAGAAAAATTTCAAACGACAAAAATATTTATTTCGCGTTTGACACAAAATTAATTCGGCTGCAATGTTTTGCAGTCGACCGAATTTCATATCATGATCCCAAATTTCGGTCCACAATAGAACGAAAGTAGCATATACAGCAGATATATATTATTATTCATTATATTTACACAGTAGAACGAAAGTAGCATATACAGCACATTTATATTATTATTCATTATATTTACATTTGTAAAAACTTATATTATTAAAATTATTCTATAGAAGATTTGAAATATATATACAAGATTTTTCGATTGTCGATATTTTGAGTTTAATTATCGGATTTATTAGTTTTATTATGGTCAAGATTGAAAAATTTACCTAAAACTTTACCAATTCGAGCTAGTTTAGATGGGTGTAAATCTTTTTCATCATAAATTTCATCAATATTTTCATTAGTATTTTTATCATTATTAGTTTGACCCCAATCTACATCATTTCTTTTTGCGTTTTTGTCATTAAATGCATCTGCTAATGCTTCTAATAATGCTGTTTGTGTTGGTGTTTCAGGTATCAAAGTTTTAACTTTTAATTCAACTTCTAAATTACCTCTATTGTTGAGATTTTTATTTATTGGAACACCTTTATCTGGTATTATCAACTTTCTACCATTTTGAACACCTGGTCTTACTTTTAATTTAATTTTTTGTCCATCTAATGTTGGTATTATAATTTCTCCACCTAATGAAGCTGTAGTCATTAAAATCTCTTGATTCATTAGTAAATCAGAAGTACCTATCCTTTTGAAAATTGGATCTCTTTGAACTGATATTCTCACTATTAAATCTCCATTTCGAGTTACGTTGTATGCATCTTTAGTTATAAATGGTGCATCACCACCACCAGGTATTCTAATTCTTGAACCATCAGTTATACCAGCTGGTATATCAATAGTTTTTGATTTTGGTATTTCTTCCACTCCATGGCCGTGACATTTGCCACATTCATTTTCTTTAGGTATTATAACTCCTGATCCTTGACAAGTTGGACATGTTGATGACATATGAAATCCACCCATTATATGTGTAGTTTGACCAGTACCTTGACATGTCATACATGTTTTCTTTTTTGCATCTTTTTTCAATCCTGAACCATTACAACTAGTACATGTATCAACAGCTTTATAATTAATAGTTACTTTTGTACCAAATATAGATTCTTTGAATGGAATAGATTTCAATACTTCTATATTATCTCCAACATGTTCGGTTACAAAACTTCTTCCACCACCAGAACCACTTCTTCCTCCTGTGAAAGCTTCTTTAAATAAATCTTCAAAATCAAATCCCATACCAGCAAATGGATTACCACCACGACCGGCTCCACCTCCGAAACCTGCAAATGGATTACCTCCATTAGCACCCCCGGCAAACGGATTAGCATTACCATTTGCATCAAATGCCGCAGAGCCAAATTTATCATATTGAGCTCTTTTATCTTTATCTTTCAACAATTCATATGACTCTTGTATTTTATGAAATCGCTTTTCAGCGTCTTTTTCTTTATTAACATCTGGATGATATTTTTTAACCAAATCATAATATGCTTTTTTAATTTGTTTTTGATCTGCTGATTTGTCTACTCCCAAAGTTTTATATGGATCAAAATTCAACAAAATTTTGTTAGAACTGTGAAATAGTCTCTTACAATTATGAACTTGATTTATATAGTTGAATTTGGATGATTTGCATAATACTCTTGTATTAAAACTTGTTTTTAATAGAATTGTAGGTAATCTCATAACACTGATCAGTTTTATTCTTTGATCTATCTTTATCTATTCTCTCTCTATATGTTCTGGTGTTAAAATTGATGCCTGTGCTGCAATTATTGATTAGATGAAAAATTTCTATAGCATTCTATCAAAAAAAAAAAAATAAAAAAATATATTCTACTATTACATAATCAAGATTCACTATCAATCGCTACCATGTTCCATTTCATAAATTATACCCTGCCAATTTTTAAACGTTTCTTGATAAAATTTAATACCAATACCAACATCTTTATATCCCATTATACTTCTGATCGAGTGCATACTTAATATCGGCAAGCCTACGTCAATTATTAATTTTGCTCCATTTAAACCTCTATTACCATCAGACATAATTGGACCAATTGTTCCACCAGATCTTGAATCATTTCTAATATGAAAATGTTGTAATTTGATATTAAATTCTTCATCTATACGGTCAACAACTCTATTGAGAAATTCCCAACCTAAACTGTCACTTAATACATGAGCATTTGAATCAAATTTGATTGAAGGACCAATGTTTGGTAATGGAAAATTATTATCTAAATAAACATCCTTAAAATTTGGATTGAATGCGTGTGTAACATCTGTAGATAAAAGTATTGTACTCTTGATTAAATTAGCCAATAATTCATTAGGTACCTTCTTCTTCTTTTGATTTACTTGAGTTGATATTATAGATTTGAAAATGTCAACTAGAAAACCACTTTTTGCACCTGTTCTGCTTTCACTTCCTATCTCTTCATGATTTGCTAAATAAACCCCATTGAAACCTGAATAACTTTGAAGTTGTTCCTTTGTCAAGGTGTGACTAAATTCAATCAATGCGTATACTGAATCAAATGCACATAATCTATCATCCAAACTTGACAGATATATAAATTCCTTATTTAATCCACCACGACAACTTGGTTGAACATCAACTAAATCTAAATCCATTTGAAGTATTGAAGGAATTGAACTTTTGGATAATCTACTAATATACCTTAATAATTGTAATGAGTGTCTACCATATAATATACTGTCTCTTTCCTCTTCAGTAGGTGGTTCAGCATTTTCGTCATTATTAAATCCATAAATTGGTACTGTTTGAGTTTGTAAATTGTAATCAAATTCACCCAATCCGAAATGTGGTGCAATCGGAGGTATGAATGCAATTGGTTCAGGATAACTATTGATCAACTTTCTTTGAACTTTACCAGTTTTAAAATCTTTAACCAATATTGATCCAGCTATTCCTAAATCTCTACTAAGCCATAGCTTATTTAAACTTCCAGAATATGGAGCTACACCTAGTAAATTATACCCGTTTATATCTTTTTTGATCAGTGAACCTGGATTAATTTTCACGCTTAATGCATCACAATGAGAACAAATGAATAAAGAACCATTGATTGGTTTCCAATTACCGCCAACAACAAAAGCAGCTAAACATAAATCATCTCTTGTAGTATAATAAAAGCCAGGATCCAATTTTTCTATTATCTTATTTGAGGGTAAATATTTAAAGCCGTTGGATTCTAATAATATTCTAAAATGGGTGATTACATGATAAGTAGTTGGATTTCGATTCATAAAATTAATAAATTTTGATGAGTATGATTCATAGTAATCTTCTGCATCATCATTGATATCTATTGAGTTGCTTGATGTCTCAGCATCAGAATAATCAAGTGAAGAAGTTTCATCATCATTTGGCCGAATTTGATTGACTAAATTATATCTATCTAATAATTCAATTTCTTCTTCTTCTTTTTCTTCTTCTTCTTTTTCTTCTTCTTCTTCTTCAGATGTAGTCAAGGATATTATACTGTTACTTCTATCAATTTGTTTGTCATCATTGACCATGTTAGTAGAATTATTTACAATTGAATTTGATAATTTTTAAATCTTGAGAATTTAAAAGATTATGTAATAAAAAACAAATAATTTAGATTAACCAAACAAATAAATGAATCAACCACACAGAACTGGGATAAAATTAAAACTTACTCAAGTGCAAAGTAGACTAGCTAAAATATACGATCATAACGATGTTTCAGGTACCGAACTCTGAAAATTTCAAATGTGTATACTACATAATGTCTGATGGTTGTGTGCGAGAAAAAAAATTTCGCACTAGCCTTGAGGTGACTCGTAGTACGTACATTGGCTTATATCTCATGAAAAATGCAGTGTCTCGAGATAAGAGCTAATAAAATGAGACTAGGAGTCTTTGTTTCTGTACCATTATATGTGTAAAATTCTAAAATTCAAAAACGTTTTTTTTCGGTATGCCATGTTGGCACTTTTTCACCATACAAAATTTTTTCGAAAAATAGAATGCAAGGTGTTTTTTAGTATGCGACCAACACTTTCCATTAAACAAGCGATTCTATATACTATACTTCAAACTAAGGTGCTGAACACAAATTGGATTGAAGGGAACTAAAATTGAGAAATTTTAAAATTATCTTTTTAGTATGGGGAAAATCGATAATTTGACCTTACGAAAAATCTAACTCCACGATCAAAATCTTGAAGAGAATATGATGAAAGTATCCGGATTTGTAGTTCTGGGTTTTTATAAAGCTCAAAAATTTTTAAGTTAAGGTATTCAAACCCTGGAAACCAATTTTTCAAGAGTAATTCTTAATTTTTCTTAAAATTTTCAAAACAAATATGGCGTCCGGAGAATGTTATAGTCATGATTACTAAAGCAAAATGAACCAAATCAGTCAGTTTAGAAGCTTCTAAATGAGATATAAGTGTTGATTATCTCGCAAAATAGCGTTTTTCCGATTTTTTAAATGATGAATAAAGTCATCAAAATTATGCCTCACTAGAAGATATAAGCATCATTTAACCAAGAATTAACATGGGGTTTCAATAAATGTAGTTTGAGTATTATAGCATCAATAACGTAAGAGCTATTTGCAAATAAAATTTTGAGATAAGGACAACAAGACTGCATATAAGTTATTTTTGTTTCAGATTTACGACGCAAGTTTATTTCCGTGGCCATTTTTTTAGCGCGAGCATGTCGCCAAAGAAAATTGTTCTTGAACTTAGCTCCACAAAATTTAAAGCGGAATGGCCTTAACTGTTTATTCGAATAGCTTGGAAACTAATCAATAAATTAATTTCATTGTTCTCAGTTCTATCTCAGAGATTAGTTGTAGTGGATTAGCTCAAAGTTAAAAGCATCATTTTATAACGAAAGTAAATTTTGATCAATACAAATTACATCTAATTTAATTACATATTGTTGAACTACTTATCTACTTTCTTTTTCATTGCCACTTTACCATCAATAATCTCAACTTCGTAACCCACCTCATTTAAAACATCATCATCTAAAGTTTTTTTAGCTTCCAATTCAGCCACAAATTTTTGATTTTCGGGATTTTTATTCAATAAGTATTTCAAGCATAATATACTATATTCTTTAATAAATGGATTATTGTTATCAATTGAGCAATTAGATAACACTAATGCCAAACCTCCCAATTCTCGAATTTTCTCTTGAATTTTAATATTGTCATGTGTTAAATATGATAATATCAAAACAATGTTCAATTTTGCATTTGGGTACTTTATCTCTGCAATTTTATCTTTTATAGTCACTGGCTTTATATTCTCATGTATGATTTTAAATGTTTTAATTAAATTATTCAAAAATTTAGAATCTGTTTCGTTCTTCAAATATTGAATAAATATGTCATATTTGGATATGTAAGAAAATATATCTAAATTGACAACTATTATTCTTTCAATCTCAGTATCATTCACGGTTGTTAACTGAGTCGAAAATTTGTTGAAAATTGATAAATTCGTTGATATTAAAGCAACTAACTCATAATTGTTCCATTCGTCTTTTGTCTGAAGTTCTGAATACGTCAATTCTAACCAGTCCGTTATTACTCTTGGTGATTGATTGTTTATCCAATTTTCAAAACTTTCATGTGTGATTAAATCATATAATAAATGAATAAATAATTTGGCATCATGATCAATAACCTCAAAATTAAGATGCTGATAAGTATATTGAATGAATGTTAGTATATTGTTATTGTTTTTTAATTTTAGCACCTTTAGTAGGTTCTCGTTCGTGATCTCTGGATCTAAAGTTGATAATTGTCGAAATAAAAAATGTATAATTGGTTTAATAAATTGGTTGTTATTATCAAAATTAATCCATCCAAATAAATCATTAATTTGATCCATGCTACCATTAATTCTTTTGAAGTTGGCTAATGTTTCCCAATATACTTGTTTGATTTTATAAATCCAATTTGTTTCTAATAATTGATCAACATGATGAAAACTATCAATACAAACTTTCATATATTCCAGATCTAGTTCCAGTGCAACATTTCGAACAACTAATAACAACCCTCTAAATAGCCTTTCATCTTCAGTAGACCTTGCTGTATCAAGTTTATAATTCAAGATTTTATCAATTATACTAGATTCTATCAAGTTCTCATTATTACCACTCGTTAATTGAACAATTTCAGATAATTTGGCTATATCAGTATCAAAAACATAACTAGATTTAATTAGATTATTTAATATTCCATTTAATTTTGTATTCACTTCCATTTAAATTTGAAAAATTCTGAAACACGAAAAGAAAAAAATTTACGAATTATATCATATTAAATTTTGTATTAATTATACACTTATCGATTCTGCTTTTACATTAGATGATCCTACTTGTATCATCTGATTCATTTGTGAAGTAGTCAAACATTTTAGGGGTAAATCTTCAGAAAATGATGATGGTGGAGTTAAACCTTTTGATGGTGGACGTTTTAATCTTTTATTTTGTTGTTGTTTTTGTTGTTGTGGTCGCTTTCTTTTCAATGTTGGTCTTCGTTTTTTAGTAGGTGTAATTGGTGGAGTTAGGATATTATCCTTTATGTCTTCATCTGTTTCATCACCATTTGTAAAAACTTCCGATTCAAATTGTACATCATCAGAATCTTCTATTTTTATATTTATTTCATTGTGTTGCTGCTTTACTGTAGTATTTCCCTTTTCTTGTTTTCTTTTTATCTTCTCTTTCTTTATTATTGGATTCTTTGTTATTTTTCGTTCTTGTTTTATCATTACGTGATTAAATTTATTTTTCAATTTCTTACTATCTATTTGTTCTTGAGTTAAGAATAAATCTGGTATTTCTTTCTTTAATATTTTTACAAAATCATCACAATCACTTATTATTTCATAATCAATGAATTTTTCCCATTGTTTAGACAATGGAGTCTTATTTATAAATATAACTTTGCCATCATTTTTTGAATTTTTAAATTCATGTATTTTATTTGATAAACTTTTTACTAATTTCTTAACTCCATCTACTTTTAATGAAGTTCCCATTATAATTAATAAATCAGGTTTTAATTTTAAATCTGAAGATAAACCTTGACTTAATAATTCAGATTGAGGATGATTTTCTCCATATAATACAATATCAGGTCTTAACATTCCGATCATATTATTTGTTAATCTTTTACCGGAATATAATCTTTTTTCATAATTTTCTAAACATTTTGAACATTCTGGATTTAAACCATCTGATAATAATTTTTGAAAGTTTTCATTCCAATTAAAATTTGAAAAACAATTTGTACACGATAATTTATGTAAATTACCATGTAATTGTATAACATCAAAATTCTTCCAATCTTCTTTAAAACTACTATTACTTGAATCTGATGATAAACCTAAGTTTAAATTCATATTTTTTTCTAGACAATCTATATTCTGCGTATAACATCTTAATAATTTATTTTTATCTTTTAAAGTCTTAATAAATTTATGAGTTTCTGTTGGTTTGGCTAATAAACTTGCATTATATAATGATTCCATAAAGGTACAAAATATAGAAAGAGATTGAGAATCTCTAAACAATGAAATATCAAATAAATCTTGACCTTTAACTAATGCTTTAGGATATTTTGATTTAACCATATTGTACAAGCCATCATCAGATCTAAAATCGGGTATTCCAGCATTACATGAAATACCAGCACCTGTTAGTATAGTTGTTTTTTTGGATTTGAAAATATATTTAATAACTTGATTTAGTTGAATTGAAGATTCTGATGATAAATTTTCATTTAAATCTATCGTTATCATTCTGTAAGTTATAATGTGATGATAGGATGATAATTTATTAATTAATTATAAGTTATTGCTTTAATATTGTATAATTGTTGAGATAATAAAAAATGTTGCAATAATAAATAACTGAAAATCGTTGCAATTAAAATAAATACTTCGGAATATAAAATTAAAAACGTTGATTAATAAAAGACTGAAATATAAATCAAATAATTGGATTCAATTATATAAGTAATAATCTATTGAATATGATAATATCAATTGTAATAACCAAACCTTCAACAAAGAAATGAATTCTCAATTTCAATTTAAAGCGGAAAAAAAAAAAAAAAATAAAAAAAAAAAGAACCAATATATAAATTATTAAGTAATAATAAATAAATTATTAAGTAATAATAAACTAATTATTAGGTAATACTATACTAATTATTAAGTAATTATAAACTAATTATTAAGTAATAATAAATTAGTTAGTTAGTTTATAGTATATTAAATTAACTGCATTGAACGGGTAGTGTATATTTGATCAATTTAAAAACCTTGGAATAGGTAGTGTATAATTAATCAATTTTAAACAGCCTTATATAAAATTGATTTAACTTAATTAGGAATATATATAAACAAACATTTAAGTGTCACAAAATCAATATTATATTGAAAAACTTTTAAAACACGATATTTATATTATATTATACTGTATTATTCTTACCCACTTTGACTATTTACTGCTAATTCCATAATTAATCTCGTTGCTAAATGCAAAAATGGATATGCTGAAAATGAACCAACTTCATCTAAATCTTGTTTTACTTTAAAATCATTTAAACTTGAATTACTATCATCATTTATATTCTGAATTTCTCGATTAATTATTGATTTTTCCCATCCATCAAATTTAAAATCAACTAAATAATTATTTGGTTCTAATTGAAATAATTGTATTTGCATTCTCATTAAATTTGGTGCTTCATTATCCGTTACATTTGTTGTATCATATTTCCATCTAACTCTAATTGTCCATAATTCTTCTTCTGTTGGTTTTGCCCATTCAGCTCCTAAATTTTTTAAAGCTCTATAAATTTCTCCCATTACATCTAATGGATATGATCTTGACCTTATACCAAAATGCCATCTTGTTTTTGATTTTTTTGTTGGTTGAGATTGTTGTGGTGGTAATTGTTGTTGATTTATTCCTTTTTCAATCATATAAGCTCTATGTATTGAAGGTAAACTAGATGGTAATATTGCAATTGTTGAATTTGGTAATGTTGACAAATCTGGAACTGTAGCCAATGTTTGATATGTTAATGATTGTTGAACTCCACCTGAACCTGTATTTGTATTTGTATGGTTATTATTACGATGATGATGATTACCATTTGCATTATTTATAAAATTTGTTGAATTATTTGAAAATGTTGAAGGTGGTGGTGATTGTGATAAAAATGAATCAACATGATCATTTTGTGATTTTTTTAAATCTTTAACTAAAGAATGATTTTCTTTCATTAATAAATAAGCATCTAAAATTTCATTATTATTTGGATTAATATCTTGATTTTTATTAATATTATTATTATTATTATTATTATTATTATTATTATTATGATTATCTTTTGTTTTATTATAATTTTCAATAATATTTATAATTTCATCTCTATCATATCCCATTGTCATTCTTAAAGCTGTAATTACATCTTCATCAATTTCAATTTTATCATGTTTGATTTTTGATAAATCAGGTGGTAATAAATAATCAGCAATATCAATTTTAAACCATTCATCTTCCATGATTTCATGAATAGTTATTCTATTTAATGGATTAACAACCAACATTCTAGTTAATAAATGTTTTGCACCAGAACTTAAATAATTTGGTAATGTATAAACACCATTACTAATTTTTTTAAATAAAGCTGGAATAAATTCATCATCAAATGGTAATCTACCACATAACATTACATATAATATAACACCAGCTGACCAAACATCAACTTCTGGACCAGCATATAATTTACCACTAATAACTTCTGGTGCAGCGTAATTTGGACTACCACAACTTGTTTTTAAAAAATTACCATCTGTCATAATATTTGATAAACCGAAATCGGCAATTTTAACGTTTAATTGATCATCTAATAATAAATTTTCAGGTTTTAAATCACGATGAACAATTTTATGTCTATGACAATATTCTACAGCAGCAATAATTTGTTGAAAAAATCTACGAGCTTCATCTTCTGGCATTTTACCTCTTTGAACAATATAATCAAATAATTCTTTACCAGCAAATTCAATAACCATTATAATTTCATCTTTTGATTTAATAACATCATATAATTTAATAATATGAGGATGTCTTAACAATCTAAGATAACTTATTTCTCTTTCGACTCTACCTTGCATATCACTTTTAGCCAAAGTTTTTTTATTTATAATTTTTAAAGCAACTCTTTGACCAGTACTTAAATGTTGAGCTAATTTAACTTTACCAAATGAACCTTCACCTAAAGTTTTTATAACTTGATATTTACCAATTCTATTAGCAGGATTTACATTTGGATCCAATGGAATGGCAGGTTGTTGTTGTTGTTGTTGTTGTTGTTGATCATTATCATGAGAATGATGATGATGATGGTGGTGGTGATGATGATGATGTGAATTATCCTCCTGTTGTGGTTGTGGTTGTGATTGTGGTTGTGATTGTTGTTGATGATGTTGATCCGACATATGAATATAGATTAATAATAATAATATGTGTTAATAATTAGTTATATTTAATATTTGTTGTAACTTTAAACTCCTTTTTTTTTAATTTTGATTTTTTTTTTTTTTTTTTTTTTGTTAATTTGGTTTCCATTTTTATTATACAGTATTTCTCTATTATTACTATTATTTATTTAACTATGTATCTATTTATAGGTTGATTTATAGTATATTGTTAGGTCTATACATTTAGTATTAAACGTTAATGATCAATTCTATACATACATTATGGAAACTAAACTGTTTGACTTGTAAATCAACTTGTAAGTCAATTTTTATTACGTTTTACCTTGTCGGTTTTGACTAGATTTAACATACAACATAGATCTAATTCATTACTAAAGATTATGAGCATATTCTGTGAATCAATTGGATTACTTTGTTTTCTTTAGGATTTTACAAATCAATGGTACTGAACTGTGCAAAAAAAAAAAAATATACCTAGTCATAATTTCATACGTTTACTTCATAATTCAACGTTCTATTAAGAATTGGTTATTACAAACATTTAATACCCCTTCTTTATTACCTCTTTCTATAATTATCGTGAGCATAATCTCTTTCAGATCCAATTCTGTACTTTGAAAATTCATGCTCTCTTTCTCGATCTTGATTATGATTGAAATTATCATCTTTTCTTTCTCGTCGATCTTGATTATGATTGGAAATATCATCTTTTCTTTCTCGATCTTGATTATCATTGAAAATATCATCTTTTCTTTCTCTATCCTCTTTATTATTATTTATTCTATTGTAATTTGTTTTCTCGTGATTTGCTGATCTATTGTAGTTTGTTCTCGCATAATTTTTTCTTGATCTGGTATAATTTCTTTTTACGTTTTCTCCTGGTTTGTTGTAATTTTGTCCTTCAAAATCCTTATTATCCGGCTCTCTTTTATCATGATAAATAACTTGTTTATCTTTCTGTATAGTCAATAGCTCCTTAGCAACACCAGTTTCACTCGACTGAGCCTCAATCAACAATTCATATAAGTCTAAAACAAATTTGATTGAATTTTCTTTATTTAAAAAATCAATTAATTGGAAATATAAATTTTCTAAATTAATTTCCTCGTTTTCATTTAATAATTCAAAAATATATTCCAATATTATATCATCTTGTTGTTCTTTATTATAGTCTAATATATTATTTATTTTATAACTTATCCATGGTTTAAATTTGAATAATTTAATATTTGAGTTAATAATTAAGGTATTGTTTAATCTTTTAAGTAATTTTTTCTCTTGTTTCTCTAAATTTACCAGTTTATCATTAGTTACTAAGTGTTTCTTATCAATTGCCATCAAAATTAACCTAGATTTAAAATATATTTGTTTCAGATTTGAAAAATGTCTTGACATCAAAAAAAAAAAAAAAAAAAAAAAAATAATAAAGATCTGACGGTCCTGCATATACGAGATTTGAATATAATTTATATATACAATAATCAATCAACAATCAAATAGAATTTACACAACATTTAACTAACCTAACTTTGGGTTGTAAGTGTATAATGACTAGTAAACTCAAAAATAATCCTTTAATTAGTATTAATTTGAAAAAAATTGATAATTATACATGTTACATAATATATTATATAAGCACCAAGGTTAACATTCTAATTTGAAACAAATACTCGAGAAATGTTAATAAATTTAAAAAAGTATATAAATATATAAATACATTGAAAATTCCCCATAAATTTCATTTCTATAATCATTTTTTCATTCTTTATTGTTTTTCCTTTTGATTAATTATTATTGATTTATAGCATTTAATTTCCATCTTATTACTTTTACTCGTATTAAATATTTAAATTACACGTCAATTCATTTAATTAATAGTTAATTTTACAACCAATATTAATTTAAAATCAACGCATTATTAACCAATGTCATTTAATTCATCATATTTTAATAATGCACCTACAATAACCCCACCTCCGAGTTTATCATCATCGTATAATACCAAAAATGATTTTAATAATAATATGAATAATATGAATAATAGTGATTCAGGTAGTGATAATGATGATAATAATAATGCAAATAATTACTTCATTCCTTCTATTGATGATATTTCCATTTATTCAAGATCTACCACTGGTTATTCAAGCAATTATTCATCTTTATTCACTAATAATAATAACTACAATATTGATGTAAATAATAATAATAATAATAATATTAATAATAATAATTCATCAACCGCCATCCCAATTAATTCAACTAATACTACAAAATATTGTACTCCAAGATCATTATTTACTGTTCAATCAATTGAATCAGAAATTGATAATATTCCATTAATTTTCAAACAAAGTATTTGGTCAACAACTACAATAACAACTAAAAATTATGACAATAACAAAACTACTTCTGCACCACCACCACTACCAGTATCAGTACCAGTATCAGTACCACTACCACTACCACTACCACTACCACTACCACTACCACTACTACCACCACCACCTCCTCCTCCACCATCAGCAACCACAAGTACAACTGAGCAACAACAACAGCAACAGCTCCAGCAAATACAAGAGCTCCAACAATATCAACTTCAACAATACGAGTATCAACAACAACAACAACAACAACAATACTATTATTTAGATACACCTGTTACACCAATTGATTATCAATATTATGACAATCCAAATTTTCAAAATTTTTATTATCAACAATTTCCACCTTTTTACAATTATAACTTTCCAAGTAATGAAGAAATTTATAACAAATCAAATTCAACAGATTGCTTATTTTTTAAATCATTTAAAAACGTTGCTTACACCGTACCTAAAAATTCAAGATTTTTTATAATTAAATCATATAGTATTTTAGATGTAACTGCATCATTTATTCATAATGTATGGACTAGTACAGAATTAGGTAATAAAAGATTAAATAAAGCGTTTAAAGAAACAACTACAGAAAATGGAAAAATCTTTTTATTTTTTTCGGTTAATTCCCTGGGTAAATTTTGTGGAATTGCTCAAATGAAAGATGAAATTGATTTTAATAAAACATCTGATATTTGGAATGAAATTAGTAAATGGAAAGGTGAATTTCCAGTTGAATGGATTTCAATTAAAGATGTTCCAAATAAATATTTTAATCATTTAAAAGTACCAATGAATGAAAATAAACCAGTTACAAATTCAAGAGATACACAAGAAATACCATTTGATGTTGGAATATCTATGTTAAAGATTATAACAAGTTTTAAAGAAAAACCATAAACAAACTATTAAATTTTGCAGCCAAAATAAATAAAAAAAAAAAAAAAAAAAGCTACCAATATAATATTTTTGACAAATATACACATTTTAATTGTTTCAATTTTTTCATTCTATTATCTTACGATTCAATAGATATTGATTAACATTTAAAGCAATGAGTAAACAATATTTTATACGTCAGTTTTCATCATCTATTAGAAATTATTCAAGTGCAAAATTAAATTCTTCTCAAATTCAATATGGTCCATTATCTAAAGCTCAACAAGCATTTTTAGATAGAATTATACGAGTTGATCAAGCTGGTGAATTAGGTGCTAATTATATATATATGGGACAATATTTTGTATTATCTTCAAAATATCCACATTTAAAACCAGTTTTAAAACATATGTGGGATCAAGAAATTCATCATCATAATACATTTAATAGATTACAAGTTGAAAAAAGAGTAAGACCAAGTTTATTAACTCCTTTATGGAAATTAGGTGCAATTGGAATGGGTATGGGTACTGCTTTAATTTCAAAAGAAGCTGCTATGGCTTGCACAGTTGCTGTTGAGACTGTAATTGGTAATCATTATAATCAACAATTAAGAATATTAATGAATCAATATAATGTAGATTTGATAAATAAAGAAACTGGAGAAAAAGTTGAAAAGGATGATTTGGAATCAGTCAAGTTGAATACTTCACCAGAATTGGCTGAATTGAAAAATAATATATCCACATTTAGAGATGAAGAATTAGAACATTTAGATACTGCTATTGAACATGATGCAGAAAAGGCAGTTCCTTATATACTATTGACTGAGGGAATAAAATTGATTTGTAAAGGTGCTATTTGGTCAGCTGAAAGGGTTTAGCTTAGAAGAATCATTCAAATAGTAAACAATTACACACTTTGTTTGCTTCAGATACAAGGTAAATGACGCTTATAAGCTTAACTATTACTGATAGCTATTTTAATGACATTATGATGAGCTGGAAGAAGCCAGAAATGTACTAAATTGCCCTTAAATTGGATTAAATAAGGACATAACAGTCTCCCCTTTTGATGAAATATACACATTAGAAGTGCGTAAGACATCTCTTATTATTGACGAGTAGATTTCTTTAATAATTCAGGTTTTCTTACCATTTATTCGTATTTAGGTATTATTTATATAAATTTCCTAAATTATACGAATCTGAAATTTTGTGTCACAACTTATGTAATTACTTACATAATTTGATGTTTAGTTTTTATCCTAAAAAAAATAAAAAAAAAATCATAAATATCAATTTATTTTGATTCAAGAATTTACAATCAATTACCATCTCAGTAAGATTTTAGTTAGAGCAAAGGTTATGTATGATGAATAATAGTTCTATGCTATTAAATACTCCTACAAAAAGATTAAAAAATCTATCATTATATTCCCCTGAGAATATTAATCACAATATCAATTATAATTCATCAAATCTTCAATCATCACCCGTGGCTACATCAATGCTAGATAAGGGATATTCACAAAAATTGACAAATAATGTATTGAATGAGTTGAATTCACGAGCTTCTCATATACAAAGTCAAAATTTCAATAGTAATGATGCTAATATAATCAAAAGAAGAAATAAACGGTATTCTGGTGTTCATATGTCTCGATTTAAAAATATGGATAGCATATCCCAACATTACTCCGTACTAAATAACAATATTCAAAATAGCAGAAATTCAAGTACTCCATCACCGCAGAAACAAGAGTTTATGGGAAATGGAACTAGTGATATTCATGAAGAATCAGCTTCAAAACGAAGAAGAACCATAAATAAGAATGAGGAAATTTCCTTAGCCAAAATTATGCAAGATAGTAAAAATCCTAACGTGAGTGGAAATGATAAATCAAATTTTAACTCTTTCAGTCCAATTAGAAAAATTTCACCATCCAAGGGTTCAATCAATTTAAATTCAATGTTGAGACAAACTACTAGTACAGGATCACCCAATAAAGAAAAACAGCGTAGTGATAAATTTATAAAACCATACCCACCAAGTAATAAATTTAGAAAAAGCTCATTGGAACTTGCTGGTGTTCAAAGTCATCAATTACAAAAGAAATCAAGTATACCTCAATTACAAAGAAAATCTAGTATTCCACAACTACAAAAGAAACCAAGTATACCTCAACTACAAAAGAAACCAAGTATACCCCAGCTACAAAAGAAACTGAGCATATCGCAATTAAATCAACAACAACAACCTCAATTACGTAAGAAATCAAGTATACCCACATTTAATAAAATTGCTCCTAATTCATCCAAATTGAGTACCTCAAAATCATTAATTTCAAAATCGCCAACTACATCCTCAATGAACACTATAAATGTAAATTCCAAAATTTTACAAAATACAACTAATATTCCAAATCAAATTCCAAAATCTAAGTCTGTAACTATTCCACAACCATTTTCATTATATAACAAACCTACAATATCGTCATCACAAAAATCGTTAAATAAATTTCATAAATTCAAAGAGAAATTTAGTTAACATCTATTAAATTTGTATATTAATATATATTTGCTTGAACTTTAATTTCACCACCGGTTGAAATTTCTTGAGATGCATTCCATTTATCTTTGGAATTAAGTAAAATCATTGAATTTACATGACCTGGTTCAACACATAACATATTTAAATAACCATCTTTTGGTTCAAAATCAGCCATACCTTCAGATTTTTTAATCCATGGATTCCAAACAACTGAATCGGGTAAATTGGTTCTTTTCAAATTGTATAACACCTTTCCTTTATCTACTATTTGTAAGATTTTATCTTGATTTACATTTTTATAAACTCTATCGAATTCTTCATGAAACGATATAACTGGTGCTTTTTCAACATATTGTTGATTTACTAATTGATCAAAACACTGTTGATCTACTAAATTATTTACTAATGTGTCAGTAATATCAGGAATTTTATAATATGTATGAAACAACCAATTAAATTCAAAAGCTTGAGTTCCAGTATTTTCAACTTCTATTTGTGTAACTAATTTGTCTTCATGTAAACTAACTGAATAAATTAAAGTAAAATCATATGGCCAAATTTCTTGTGTCTCTTTGTTTAAATTTTCAGGACCTAATCCAAATTGAATAGTGATTGGAGATTCACTAGTTTGTCCTAAAAATTCCCATGTTGAATTCCTCGCAAATCCATGTTGCGCAAGTTTAAAAGTTGGATGTTTTTCATCTTTTTGTTTTCCAAATATAGGAAAAACTAATGGGATACCACCTCTAACTGCTTTTGAACCATCAAGTTTTGCACCGGAAGATAACCATAAACGTTCTTCGTTATTTAATTTCCATGAAATGATAGAAGCGCCAAATTTTAAAATTGTGACCGATGATGAACCATTGACGATTAAAACTTTGTCATCAAATTCTTCAACACTCATTTTTTAATTATAATCCAATTCAATTGTTAAAATATAAATTGCTAAATAATAAAATTATTTACCTTGTTATTAATTTCCAACAAAATTTTATCCATTTCTTATGAACGAACTTTAATGATTTGCATTGTTGCAACATTCGTGTAAATTGATCAATTTATATAATATAAAAAATGGTTGCAAAAAAATAATAACCATAACAATAATTTACTAACAATTTGGAATACGTTCAAATACGATTATTAAATCAATTTAACGGATCTAGATTGGTTTAAAATCACTCCTATCAATTATAAGTGATGAATTATAAACATACACATTAATTTAGGATTCATCGGGTATTAATTATCTTTAGTTGATTTTAGAGTTTTTTACGATTTTCGCAGCTAAATTACAATAATACTAATAACCATACCAAATGTATACAAAAAACATACCAAATATATACAAAAAACATAACCAAATTATTCAGTCATAAACAGGATTAATAGAATTGTGGACTTTGATCAATATTCAATATTTGATAATTCAGTTTGTAAATAAGATCAAAAGATAAATTGAAATAGTTTGGAATTTCTAAAATCTTCCCCTATATTTTTCAATATCGGTTATACAATATTTTGCAACTGTTTCATAGTATTTAGTCAATTTCCATTTCTTTTTAGAATCTTACATAATTCAGTATACAAATATTACATAATTTTTGCTTTTGCTTCTTTTTTTTTTTTTATTTTTTTTTTTTTTTCTCAAAATTTTATTATTTTTTTTTTTTATTATATTTATACAATACACAATATAAAACTTACAACCAAATTATTAACCATCGCATTTAACTACAAAGAAAAGGGTAATACGATTTATAAATCATCTTATAGTATTTAGTGTATATTGATAAATTCATAACATCCACTTTTTTTTCAAAAAAACTCGGAAAAGTCAAATTACGAATATCATTTCAATTTTGATTATCACCACCCGTCATCTAATATCATTCAACACACCACTTCAAACTTATTTGGTATCATTTTGTTGTCATTGTAATATCAACCAACTGTTTCATTTTAATATCAAGTACTTGTCTCATTTTCAATAGAAGATCTCGGAATATTTTAAATTTAACTATTCATTATTCATTAGCAACAACTAAGTTAAATTTACATATCTTCCATATCACAATTACAATATGTCTTCAATAATACAGAAATCATATCAACTATTCTACAAGTATTTTTTACTGGAAAAATCGTCACAATCTACTGTATCAGATTTAAATTTTAATACAAATATAAATATTAATATCAATAAATTAAAACATCATAAGTTTTCAAAAGGAGAAATAATACATTATGGATTTCTAACATCAGTTTTAACATTTGTTTTTTTTTTAAATCCAGCCTCGTTTTTAATTAAATTACCAATTGCTTTATTGTTCATCACTTGTTTTTTAATTCCATTAACATCACAATTTTTCATTCATGCATTGCCAATTTTCACTTGGTTGGCTTTTTATTTTACAAGTTCAAAAATTCCACATTCTTGGAAACCTGCAATTTCTGTAAAAGTTTTACCAGCAATGGAAACTATATTATATGGAGATAATTTATCAAATGTTTTAGCGACTATAACAAATCAACTATTAGACATATCTGCATGGTTACCTTATGGTATATTCCATTTTGGTGCTCCATTTGTCGTTGCTATTGTTATATTCTTATTTGCACCTCCAACCTCATTAAGATCATATGGTTTTGCTTTTGGTTATATGAATTTATTTGGTGTTTTTATACAAATTTTATTTCCTGCTGCTCCACCATGGTATAAAAATTTATATGGATTAAAACCAGCAAATTATTCAATGAAAGGATCTCCTGGTGGTTTAGGTAGGATTGATGAATTATTAGGTATAAACACTTATACACAAGGGTTTTCAAACTCTCCGGTTATATTTGGTGCCTTTCCAAGTTTACATTCTGGTTGTTGTATAATGGAAGTCTTATTTTTTTGTTGGTTATTCCCCAATTTCAAAATTTTGTGGTGTTTTTACGCAAGTTGGTTATGGTGGAGCACAATGTATTTAACTCATCATTATTTTGTAGATTTAATTGGTGGTGCAATGCTATCATTAATTGTTTTTGAATTTGTAAGATACAATTATTTACCAAAAATCAGAAGTGATAAGTTTTGTCGTTGGTCATATACCAAAATTGAATTTATCAATATTAATCAGATTAATCCTTTATCTAATCATTATGTTTCAATAAATGATGATGAGAATCAATTTTACACAAGATTGAATTATATAAATCCTCAACAAATAAATCAGCAATCAATTCCATTACAATCACTTAATCAACAACAATCACAACAACAAGAATCTTTTGAAATGTCAAATATGCCACGTGCAAGACAAATATCAAAACCATTTGATCCACTTGTAATTAATAAAAGAAAAGAAGACGAAGAAGAAGAAAATATATCTGCAACCTCAAATACCCCATCAGTTTTTGAAGAAGATGGCCAACAAGTATATGTGAATTCGTCAGCTACATCAGTAGATGATTTAGATTTGGCAATGAATAATAATCCGTCAAGCAAACAAGCAAGAGCATGAATATCAATCACGTCCAATCATTTTTTTAATGTCAATTTATACGTATTACTCCCTTTTCATAGTTTATTTTACAGTTTATAATCTATTAGATTTTGATTTTTCAATTATGTTCTAATTTTTCATACCGACATACTTAATAATTAATTTAATATATAATATAGAAAATTCCCATTTTGTGTTTAGATTCGTATCTGGTCTGGCAATTTGTCGTAAGTTTTAAGCTACATCGTGTTTCAACGATATGTATATAACAAAACAAGAGCGTGCGCCATTTCATTGCAATATTATTTTTGAATTCATCAAAGCATGAAATTGCATGAAAATACATAGGATCTTTCAGAACCAAGAAATTCACAAAATCATTTTATCTGAAAATATGGATTGGATATCAATAGCAAGTAACAACAAACAAAAAAATGGTTTAAATATGGTACCTTCAATTATTAAGCAATTCAATTGAAGTCATACTTCTGTTTAATTCAAGTAAGAAGATCTCACATACAGATCTAAAGTTTAAATTACTATATCCTTGGCATCAACTCTATACGTACATGGTTTTACTCATTTGTTTTGACTTCACCTGCAGTTTAACACTAAATCTTACGTAGCGAATTATTATTACAATAATATTAATATTATATTCAATTATGGTTTGTTTTGTTTATATTTTTTTGCAGCCAAGATTTTGTTTTCAATTGTTGCAAAATAATATTCACGACCAAGGTCAAATTTAAGTATGGCATGAGCTTCTTACCCATGTGCCAGCCCCTTTTACCTTAATATTTAACAAGGTCGAGGCTCCAGCCTTTTTATTTTAAAATTTTAAATTATACCAACTAAAGTTTTTAATAATGAAATTCACTCGTTTATTCAATTTTTCAATTTTAACTACTTTAACCCAAGTAACTGCTTTGGTTATCTCAAAAAGAGAAGAATTAGTTGAAGGAAAATATTTTTCAATCGTTGATCAATATTCAAATTATATTACTACTTCCGATAACAAATTAGTTTTATCAGCAGCTGAAGAAGGTTCACCACAATCTTTTATCTTTCAAAATGGTAAATTAATTAATTATGATCTTGACACTGCTATTGTTGGTGAATTAGATAATGTCTTACAATTTAATACTGAATTAATCACACCTAATGAATTAAATTTTGCTATTGTTGGTGATTCAATCTTTGTTGATGGTTCAAGTTTATATATCTGTTCTTTGGACACTTCAGAAATTTCCATCGATACACCAGAATGTGATTTAATTGAGTTAACTGTTCAAGTTCAGGGAGATATTGGTCAAGCTCCAAATACAGAAGAAGAATCAGAAGAAACTGAAGCTACAAATACTGAAGAAGGATCAGAAGAAACTGAAGCTCCAAATACTGAAGAACAACCAGAAGAAACTGAAGCTCCAAATACTGAAGAACAACCAGAAGAAACTGAAGCTCCAAATACTGAAGAACAACCAGAAGAAACTGAAGCTCCAAATACTGAAGAACAACCAGAAGAAACTGAAGCTCCAAATACTGAAGAAGAACCAGAAGAAACTGAAGCTCCAAATACTGAAGAAGAACCAGAGGAAACTGAAGCTCCAAATACTGAAGAAGGATCAGAGGAAACTGAAGCTCCAAATACTGAAGAACAACCAGAAGAAACTGAAGCTCCAAATACTGAAGAACAACCAGAAGAAACTGAAGCTCCAAATACTGAAGAAGAATCAGAAGAAACTGAAGCTCCAAATACTGAAGAAGAACCAGAAGAAACTGAAGCTCCAAATACTGAAGAAGAACCAGAAGAAACTGAAGCTACAAATACTGAAGAAGGATCAGAGGAAACTGAAGCTCCAAATACTGAAGAACAACCAGAAGAAACTGAAGCTCCAAATACTGAAGAACAACCAGAAGAAACTGAAGCTCCAAATACTGAAGAAGGATCAGAGGAAACTGAAGCTCCAAATACTGAAGAACAACCAGAAGAAACTGAAGCTCCAAATACTGAAGAACAACCAGAAGAAACTGAAGCTCCAAATACTGAAGAAGAACCAGAAGAAACTGAAGATACAAATACTGAAGAAGAGGAAGTTGAACCATCAATTACTGAACAAAGTGAGATAACTGATGCAACTTTAACAACTTTTACAAGTGAAATTGTCACAACAGTTATTGAAACTATTACCGAATGTAATCCTGTTTGTTCAGAAACAACGAGGGCTGTTCCAACTACAATTTTGTCAGAAATTGTCGCTGCTGCTTCAGAATCAATAGAAGCTATTACCGTTACCGTTACATCATGCTCCGCTAAAGATGTATGTGATGTTCATACTAAAGTTAGATATACTACAATTGTTACCTATTGTCCAGTTAGTTTAGCAACAGACGAAACTGTTGCAGCAGTTACAGAAGATGTCACAGTTACACTTACAACTTGTGATTCAGGAAATTGTGTTGAAACTACATCTGTTTCATCAACTACTTACACAACTACTACGTACTTAACTATCACCGTTTATACCGAAGAAGCAGACGAAACATCACAAGTTATTGAAGATCAACCTACTGCTATTGCTGGATTGGCTAATGAACAACAACAAGAAGAAACAGGAGAAGTAAAAGAAGAAGAAACAGGAGAAGAAAAAGAAGAAGAAGAAGGTGAAGCACAAATAACTCAAGAAGAAACAGCCGGAGAATTAATTGAAGAAGATGAAGTAGTTGAAGAATCTGTTAAAGAAGATGAAATTTACGAAGGTAATGCTAATAAATTAACATCAGTTTCTACTTTAATGGTTGGTTTATCTTTATTAGTTCCATTGATTATTTAGATTCAATAATTTAATATTGATTTTATATTTTATTGTATTATATTAAGTATTTTAATATTAAGTATTTTGATCTACTCAACCTTTATCTATATTTGACATGAATAAGCTCTATTGATTTAATGTTAATCAGTGTTAAAGTAATAAATAATAAACATCAACAAAAAATGGCTGCAAAAATTATTTTTAATTTAAACAAAAACAAAAAAAAAAAAAAAAAAAAAAAAAAAAAAATTAATCAAAATTTCATTAAATATTTATTCAATTTTTATATCAACAAATTCATCAAATTATAAACCAGTTATTACAATTAATATTCAGTATTATCTATATATATCTAGCGCTAAAAAGGAAATACGGACTAACTCACTATTATAATTTTCAAACTTTCAAATTGAACAATATAATTTTCATAATTTCACTTATATGATAGCCGTGGTTAAAAATTTTTGAAGTTTAAAATATTGAACCTAGATTATAAATCAGATTTTAAAACGTATGGATATAATACTATTACAGCTTGATATTACTATCTCAATACATGATGAGTGATAATAACGATCAACTACTGCTACTATTAAACAAATTACAAATATTTTCTTCTTCATTTCAATCATTTAATATATCAAATGCAACATCTATAACGAATCAATCATCATCTAGACTAAATCCTTTATCAATCATAACACTGCTATCTTCAAATGTAATATCTAAAATTTATTCACGAGAGTATAGGTATAATGACTCAAATCAAATTGAAATTTTTACACAACACCAAGCTTTTGTACAACGAGTAATTGCAACATCATCATCATGTACATCAATAGCAGCTGTTTTGACTGCAATGTATTTTTTCCTAGCTATCGATCCAAGAAGATTAGTTTTCAGGCATCATTTAGTTTTCTTTTTATTGTTTTTTGATTTGTTAAAAGCTTGTATTTTACTAATATATCCAACAAGAGTTTTAACTCATTCAGCTGCTTATTATAATAGAAAATTCTGTCAAGTTGTTGGATATTTTACAGCCGTTTCTATTGAAGGAGCTGATATTGCTATTTTAGCATTTGCAGTACATACTTATTTATTAATTTTCAAACCATCATTAAATACTAGAGTTCGAAATTCAACAAGAATTGAAGGTGGTCTTTATAAATTTAGAATTTATGTTTACATTTTAAGTTTTATAATCCCTTTAATTTTTGCAAGTTTAGCATTCATAAATGGTACCGGTTACACATCATTAGTTTGTTGGTGCTATTTACCAATGAGACCAGTTTGGTATAGGCTAGTATTAAGTTGGGTACCTCGATATTGTATCGTCGTCTTGATATTTTTGATTTATGGTTTAATTTATATTCATGTAATTAAGGAATTCAAAAGTTTGAGTGGATTATTTGTACCACATAGATCCAATCAAGAACAACATAATGATCGACCAACGTTTTTTTCATCGTTTAAATATTTTTATCAATCTGTTAAAAATAACATATTACCAAAAATTATTATAGAAGATGAAACTAACAAGTCTCATAATAAAGAAGAGGACAATGATGATGAAGAGTTACAATCAATACCATCAATAGAGGATGACTTGGAAGATTCTACATCAACGGATTTTATTGAATCACCGTTACCAAAAAGTCCAATTAATAACGGATCAAATTTTAATGAGCATAATTTAGAAAACTTTAAAAAGAGACAAAGAATAATTCAAAAGCAAATGAAATCAATTTTTGTGTATCCATTTGCATATTGTTTTTTATGGTTATTTCCTTTTATTTTACAAGCTACTCAGTTCAACTATGAAGAAAATAATGGTCCGATATATTGGTTAAATGTTTTAGGTGCTTTTATGCAACCTTTCAATGGAACTGTTGACTCTTTGGTGTTTTTTTATCGTGAAAGACCGTGGAAATATACAACTATGAAGAATTTTGAAAAAGAACATAAACAAAGAGTTGATAATATAATATCAAACAATTTACAACATAGAGTAAGTGAAGGGCATGAATCAATAATAACAATGGCGACAAGTGCAAGAATAGCTAAAAATTCATTGAGTGCAAGTGATGGATTAATTGATATGAGCAACTATAAAACATGGAGAAGGATATTACACAAGCTAAAATTGCCGCTATATAAATTACCGTCTGAAAAGAATGTTGCAAGATTTCAAGAGAAATATATTCGTTCAAAGTTGTTCAAAGAAGGTCATCCAACTACTAATAATAATCATAATCATAATAATCACCACACGTTATCAATACCTACGGACATCACAGAAAAATATAAACAAAGACAGTCCTATAGTGCAGGCACAAATCAAACAAGATCTAATTCTCATGATTATTCGAACGTATTATCGGGCGATGGAATATCTGAATTTAAATCAAGTTTAGGAAAATTTAGTTTCAATAAGAGAGCAAATTCGATTCCACTTCCTTTAACAAGAAAATCAAGTACTGTAATTCCATTAAATGATAATAGAAAAAGATTATCAGAAGTGGAAGATCCAAGAGCAAAGAAAACTTTTCAAAGTTCAAAAGATTTGGATCAAGAAGATGGCGAATTAGATTTTTTGGAATTTTTAAAAAGAGGACCATAATTTTATTCAATTCATTATATTTTAATAACATATTTTAATAATACAGTTTTATTTATTACAAGTCTTTTCCTAATTCGTTTATATATCTGTTTAATAACTCATTCAAAGATTTTAACTTTGAGTCCATATCTTTTATTTCAAGTTCAAAATTATTTTTCAAGATTTCAGTTTCATTTTGTAAAGATGATATTTTATCCATTTGATTCTTATGATCTATATTTCTATTTGATCTTTCTTTTAAAATTTCATTAAAATAGTTTGTCGATTCATTTAAATTGTTCTTTAACAAGGAAACTTTTTTATCCAATTGTTGTGTTACATCATTTAACTTTTTATTTGATTTATTTAATTGATTTTTATATAGTAAAATCTGATTTTGTAAATCTTTACTTTGATTAATAAGTTTCTTTGAATTTTCAAGTTGCTGTTTATTATTAGATTTCTCGTTTTGTAAATAGGTTAAATTATTTAGTTGATCTTGACTAAATTTAATCAAATCTTTTATTGAAATTTCATTAACTTGAATCGAATCAATTGTTATACCTAGATTATTAAAGTTTGAGTTTAAAATTTGAAATTGATGATTTAATGATTGAAATTCATCTGATAAATCATTAATTATTTTATTTAATAATGTTAAATCAGTCTCTAAATATTTTTTTAAATTATCCACCTCATCTTCCACCTCTTGATACACATAATCCAAATCATAAATTTTTTGAATCAAATTAGTCTTTTCCAATTTATAATCTTCATGCTGTTTTGTTAGTTGTTCTTGATTTATTTTTAATTCTGTCAATTTAATTTCTAATTTTTTATTATATATTTGAACCTGTTGTAAGTTTGCCCGTTTTTGATTTTTATCATCATATTGTAAATTTTTATTCAATTCTTCAATTTTAGCTATACTTGATTCATTTTCAAATTGTAGTATTTTAATTTTATCCGATAATGATTCTGATACTTTTGCCAATTGTTCAAATTTATAACTTTGTTCTTCTCTAAATCTTGCATAATTTATAAAAGCAGAAAGAATCCTTTTTAATCTAATTGATTCTGGTTTAGTTATATCCATTATTGTTAAATCATAAATTCCAATAGATTGAAGAAACAGATATAAATATCTATGTAAGGTTAAAATATTTAATGCACGCAAGGTATCAGCTTCAATTTCTTCTTCTTCATTTTGCTCTTCTTCTCTTTCATCTTGATGCATTTCCTTTTTCACCAAATCTTTACTCTTATTTCGTATTGTACCTATTGGTATGCCCATGAATGTATCTAATAATTGTTCAAATAAATTAACTACAAAATCAAATGTTGGCTTGATTATTGCTTCTTGTGTCACATTAAAATCTAATTCAGTTAAACATTCTGTAATTTCTTTGACATCTAATATAGGAAATAAATCTTTTTTGATCTTTAATCGTCGCGTATTGAATAGCTCATAATTTTTATTCATTATATATGGATTGAAGTAGTTGTTGTGTATGTTTATTTTTCTTTATTTTGATTTTGAGTGCTACCAAAAAAAAGAATAAAAAAAAAAAAAGCGCGCTTAATTATTTAAGCGTGAATTATAAGCACTGAAGCTCATAATACTGGTTTAAATCATCCATCACTTAAGATGTGTGATATACGAGCTTTCATTAAGAAATACCTTACAACAAACGAAGATTTCTTGTTGGTTCTTAAGCATTGTGTTCTTTTAAGCTTGATAACGAAACCCCCAACCCCCTACCCCCCAACGTGATTTTTCTTTAATTTCTTTCACTTGATCATCCTATGCACCTAAGAAACGGATTGTACACTTATCTTAGGTGGATATGAAGCTGGGGCGGGGGGGGGGGGGCGATCAATGAGCAAAGAGATAAACAATAAAGGACAAAAACTAGAAACAAAATTAGGGTACTAGTTTGCAAACCCTTTTTGTAAAAAGATATTTACTTTAAAAAGCAGTTGACGATTTAATAACTCATGATATATTTCGTAGATGTTGTTAAACAAATATTCTAATAGGTCAAAAGACTTTAAACATTCGCAATTGTCATCGCTTTTTTTAACTTTTCTAACTCTTGATACAATTCGTAGATGTTGTTAAACAAATATTCTAAAAGGTCAAAAGACTTTAAACATTCGCAATTGTCATCACTTTTTTTAACTTTAGAAAAGAATGAAAGATAGGAAATGCAAAAATGTACAATATCTACTATTAATTGCGCATGCCTTTAGTGAAATTTTTTATAACTTCGAAAACTTTTAGAGAGAATTTTTGAACCTTCTTCGTCGAAGATTCATTTACAAATACTTCACTTCATTTTTTCTATGAAATACAATTCGATTTCGCATGATTCGGTGATCACAAATAAGTCATTCTCAAGTATTTTTTTAAAGTTAGAAATAAAGAACCATTTGAAAAGTACGGATCACTTGGAATAAATAAGTCTATTGAAACTTTCAATAGTTTCAATCAAACATCTACATTGCAGCAGTACGATTTTTGAAATAAAATATTCTGTTTTAAATTAAACGCCGCCACACTATGTTCTGAAACAAATTATGTAAGACTTTAGCATCCCGCCCGAAATATAATCCCGCCCTTAGTCTTACATAATTTGTTTCAGATTACAATCTGATGTAAAAAGCAACAAAATATTGAATCACGTGCAAGTTCACCATTTCAATAAATAAGATACTCTTAATATTTATTTTATTCTACTTGGCATTAAAAGTCAGTAAGGGTTTTTAGTAGTGTATGTAAATTTCTCACGTGAATGTTTTCCTCGGTTAACATTAAACGAGTAATAAATGACGAAGATCGACGTTGATTGCGATTGTGGCTAAAGGAATCAGAAGGAGATAAAGTAGGATAATTGTAATAATACTCTTGAACATTGTACCGTAAATTAAATTAAATCAAATCAAATCAAATCAAATCAAATTAAATTAAATTAAATTAAATTCAATTAGAATTAAATTAAAAGTTCCAATTATGCAACTCGGATAGCAAAACTTCGTAAATGTGCCATCTCTTCAAATATCGTAGTATAGACTATAGACCTACATCTTCATACTTGAATTATCTACTAAAATTAGAACACTTCAAACTACCATCTTAAAACTGTTAATGGAATATTAATTATATTAGTTTATAGATACGATTATTGACTAGCATTTTGTCACACATTATAATTGCATGTCTTTTTTTCAATATAATTGTATGTCTTTTTTTGATTATCATTATTATTATAAGTAAATACTTTTAAGTAAAACAACAGTGTGCTTATGTAATCTTATGTAATCTTATGTAATCTTATTTTTTTTTTTTTTTTTTAAAAAAAAATTTATGGAGTAATTTCGGAGTTTTTTTTTTATTTATTAATTGATTTTCACTTGTGAAAAGTGATGAGATAAATATCTTTTAACTTAGTGTTCTGTTATAAAAACATGTACACAGCATGTAGACATGTAGACTGACAGCTCATAGATATATCTCTCGATATTGATTTGCTATTATTAAATATAGAATGAGTGTAACAAAGTATAAATTTTCAGCCTTTCTTAATCATCGGTTAATAATAAAATATGATTGACAATGTGAAATTTTTTTTTTTATAGGTTGACTCAAGAATCATCTTCTTTTTCAATTTTGTGGGTTCGTTTAGATTTTTAGATTTTTAGATTTTTAGATTTTTAAATTTTTAAATTTTTAGATTTTTAGATTTTGTGTAATCATTCGGATTGAAGGAATTAACTAATCGACGGAATGAAAGTCCGAGTTTTCGTTTTTTTTTTTTTATTTCTTTTTTTTTTTTTTTTTTTTTTTTTTAACAGTATAATTTAATATCAAAGCTCGGTCTAGTATAAATTTAATATTTCCATTCACCATTCACTACTAAAAGTAGTAATATGAACAATTTGGATATTAAATTTTATTCAAAAAGCGAGGATGTCAATTAAGTTGATTTAATTGGTTTAATTGGTTTAATTGATATAATCTCGGTAGATTTTTATAATAGCTTAATGAAAATAATAACATTATTTATTAATATTTATTATATACTTTCAGTAATATTTCAATCAGCGTATAAAAGATTTTTTATTTATTATAGTGTGAGATTTAAAACCAATTAGACGATGAATTTTATTTTATTTTATTCCGTAATCATCCTTAAAAAACTGAGTCTTTTTTTAACTATGAAAATTACTATAATACTATAATACTAGAATTCAATACTACTACTACTACTACTAATTTAATATAAAGATTTGTTATCATCATCGGATGTTTATAGTTTTTTTCAATGTAATTCATTTTAATTCATTTTATTATGTGATAAAGTTTCATTCTTCATATTCATATTGAATTTGAATTTGAGTTTGAGTTTGTGTTTGATTTTAAGTAAGCTCAATTTTTATTATCATTTGACCCCTCATAATTTTTTTTTTTTTTTTTTTTTTTTTATTTTTATATTTAAATCTTAAAGTTGCAAAATATAGAATAGAAATAAATATATATATATATATATATAGAGTATCAGATAACTTTTATCCATAACTTTTATCCATTTTTATTAGATAGCTAGCTATTTTTCTAGATTGTTATCAACGGTTATATACATTATATACTTTTAATAATCATGGCAGATTTATCATCTTATTCAATTATGAGTACAACTATTCCATCAAAATCATCAAATCAACCTAATTATCATATAAATAAACAAAAGGTTTTACTTCCTCCACTTTCTTTAACTAATTTATCTTTTAAAAGTTATAATAGTAATTCAAATAATAATATAATATTACCTCCATTAAATTTCAGTAGTAATGATAATGAGTATTTTTTCAATAGATCAATTATGTCGCATAAATCAAATTCATTTTCATCCTTTTCATCGAGTTCAAGTTCAAATTCAAGTTCGAGTTCTGGTTCTAGTTCATGTTCTAGTTCTTCATATATATCAGCTACTTCATCTGTATCTCCTACCTTATCATCTTCATCAACTGTTACTACTATACCTTCTTATCAACAATTAACAGAATCTAATTTATCAAGATTTGACAATTCTAAACATTCTAATGGCTTAGGTTTATTATCAACAGCTATACTATATGATCAACAGGACAAATCAACAATACAATCTGTTCCATCTTCATTAATTTCTGCTTCTTCGTCTGTTACATCAATTTCAACTCCAAATACACCCGAAATTACTCATGATGAGATACAGAAAATTGCTGCTACTACTACTACTACTACCAATACTACTACTACCAATACTACTACTACCAATACTACTACTACTACTCCTCCAAATACAACTTCCAAAAGAAGACAAAGATTAGGACCATCTTGTGATGCTTGTAGAATTCGTAAGGTTAAATGTAATGCTGATATCTCCATAATATCGAAAGATTTAAATCATGTTATAAATTTATTTAATTTGACATTTCATCAACAAAATATATTAATTAATGAAGATTGTTTACAATTTCCTGATTATTTCATCATATTTCATAATGACAAATTTATAAAATTTAAATCTTGCAATTCATGTGATTCAAAAAATTTAAAATGTAATTTCTCAAAAGGTTTTACAAGAGAAGATATTATGAATAATAAACGAAATACAAATCATCAATCAATGACTGAGAGTAGTAGTAGTGGTTGTAGTAGTACTAGCAGTAGTACTAGTAGTACTAGTGGAATTTCAAAAAAACTAGTAAGGAAGAAAATAAATGACAAGAAAGAAATACTAGATTCTTTTCGCAAATCAAGCTGTTCAACTTGTAGGAAAAGGAAGATAAAGTGTATTTTTAATTCTTCAATTAACAAATGTGAAGCATGTAATAAAAAAAATAATGATTGTATTTATGAAAAAAAATAGAAATAGAGATGTCTGGTTAAGTAAAAGAGCTGATGTAAAAGAGAGCTGATCAAGTTAAGCTTCAATGAGTTTAATTTTCATCGGTTTGTTGTTTTATATTACTTTTTTGTGTCAAAAATATACATTATTAATGTACCCTCTTTGCTTTTAAGACTATTTTGAATTAATCGGTTGCATTTTGCTCTGGTCTCTAGCTCGTCTGGAAACCAATTTATTGATGTAACGTAAAGTCTAATTTTTTTATCTTCCCCATATGAATGAGATATCCCGCATTTTGTGCATAATGTTTTGTTTTTCCTTCAACTTATTACTTAAATTCAACTCTTTGTATTTGTACTGAATCAAAACAATTGTACTAGATTTTCCACGCACATCTCAAGTTAGGACTCAAGATGATGCCTGAAATTATAAGCGAATTAAGCCTACGAAGCACTGGTTTCTGGTTTCTGGTTTCCGGTTTCTATAGTAGTGTAAAAGTTTAACAAATCTCAGATAATCATTCAAAACAGTCCAATCCTGAATAAATCTTGTATTTGATTTCGCAATGACCATAATGAATTTAAAGACTGTATTAAAAATCTTTTGAGTTAAAAATGTTTTACATCATCTTTTAAATTGCATTCTATAGAGCGTATGTAATCATCAATAGTGTCCAAAATTAATGCAATATCGTTAGCCGGAGCCAAATAATAGTATTGACTGACTCAAATTATCAATTTCGGATCAATTAATATTGGGTCATACGATAATGATGTAAATAACTTATTTTCATACTCTGAAGCTTTTTCTCCAAATCTTGTTTTAATTTGGGTTACTTTGACCAATTAACTTTTTGGTAGTTGTATCATTGTACTCGAGCTAATTTAAAAAAAAATTTGGTTTAAAATTAGATGTGATTATTGCGTTTTGATTAAGAAATGTACTGAAGCTGAGTAATCGTTTCCTTATGTAGTTGTTGATTATTATCTGTCGGGTTAACAATTTGTTAAACATCGTATTGTCATCTTCATGAATTACTATACTAAATTTTGTTTCGTATTTTATTTTTTTTTTTTGCGTCTAAATTTCGAATGGCACAAGTATTATGGAATTCAGATATAAATGTATACGATAAAGATATAATACCATTACTGATAGCTAAAACAATTGCTGCTTATTTATCAATACAAGATTTATTAACTTTTTCATTGGTGTCTCGAAATAGTCACAAAGCCATTAATGATCCAAAGATATGGGTTTCAATGTTAAAAACTATGGAAGTTTGGCAACATGCTATTCCAATAACAAAAGATGATTTAAAGAAAAATAATTCAAAAATTGAATATTTGGAAAATCCTTTAACTTGCTTAGATTTTGTTTATAAATCTTCAAAAAATGCCAAATATCAAATTTTAAAAATTCATAAAAATTTATATCCATATTATAGTGATTTATTAGTAAATAAAAGTTATAATAAATTAAAAATATTCAAAGATTTTCAAACACCTGAAGATCAGGCTAAAATTTTAAATAATTTATTGATTTATAATAGAATTGATTATGTTCAAGAATCGAGAATTATAGCTCATGATAAAATTTGTGAATTAATTGAAATATTTGAAAATGCATTATTAAGAGAGTTGGAAATTCATTTTGATATTGAAGATTATGAAAAGACAAGAAAATTTGTTTTAATTCTAGTATCATTAAAAAATCAACAAACTTTAATTGATTTTTTTTTACAAAAAAGTATATTTGATGAAGATAAAGATTTGTTTAACAATTTTCAAGGTGACTCGTATTTTAAAAGTGATGGTTTGAATCTCGATGCATTTGATCAACTAATAAACGACATTGCTGAGGTTTTTAATGAACAATCAACTATTATTGATCTTATTTTTCCTCAGTCAATTCCAATGATGTATAAAGTTTGTGAGGAGTTAATATCGAATCGATTGAATGAATTGTTAATGTTGCTCATTGAATCATCTAAAAAGATTAATTTATACGTTATTGTAATACCATTTATGTATGAAAAGTTAGTAACAGTTTTTATCAATCGATTAAAGCCATCAATCAATTTAGGAAGTAATTACCAACATTTAGTCAATGAATTAATAGATATGCTGTTTGAATCCTTTGCTGCCGAATATATTCTTGAAGAAGTATCTACTTTTAAAATTCATACAAAGGAGAAATTAATAGGATGGAAAAATTCCATCTCCAAAAGAGAGCAAGAAACAACCGCCAAAATTTTGGATCAAGTTAAGGTTGAATCGAAAAAGGATTTTTTGACAAGTTTTAAAAATGTATTTTCAAATAAAGTTGAACTGCGAGATGATAAATTTTCTGAAATTCAAGCAAAAGCAAAAATCTTATCTGAAAATATAAAGACTCTTGATAAAATCTTTAGTCCGGAGTTAATTGTTGAAAGTTTGAATGATGCAAAGCTATCTTTGAATAGGCTACTAAAATTTAAAAATTATACAATTGCATCCTTGAGAAATGATATATCACAAAGCGTTCAAGATATTTTTGTTGAGGTTATGGATATTATAGGGTTGGAACATCTAAGACCAGGTTTTGAAAAAGCATTAACTTATCTACAAACATACAATCCCAATTCTCATACATATTCAACCTCACATAATGAATCATTTGCAGAACCACTAGTATTATTTTTTGATTTAATTAATATGGCTGATATTATTATTCAAATGATTGATTTCTTTTATAAAGAAGAATTACTAAATACACAAATTATTAAATATGAAAACTCAATTTTGAATCCATCTTTGCAAACTAAAAAGAAATTAGAAGGTCTTGTCGATCGATATGTTGCTGATGGTTTGAATATAGGTATTGAAATTTTAGTCGATCAACTTGAATCTGTTTATAAAGAAAATTTGTTAGATGCCGATTATAATCCAACTGAAGCTACAATTTTTGGAACTACTAAAGCAGCAAATAAAGCTGTAAAAATTCTTGAAGAGAATATGAATTTATTGGTTGACAATGCTGAAAAATCGGTAGTTGATGTTTTTCAGCAAGAAATTGCTGAACGATTTTTTCAAATTGTAGTGAAAATTTTAAAAAAGCAAACTATTTCGGTGAATGGTGCTCCAAATTTGATATCCGATCTAAATTTGTATTTTGAATTTATCAGTTCCAATATCAAAACTAATAAGAAATTGGTGTTACCTTTATATCAAGCATTGAAAAAAGTCGGTAATATTTATTTAATTAGTGGCGACGATTCGAAAGCAATTGGAAAATTAGTTAGTGATTTAAGTAAATTCAACGGTATATTTACACAAGAAGAAATTTATGAATTTGTTCAAAGAAGAGAAGATTGGCCACTAATTAAACGACATGTTGAAAAAGTTATGTATGGTTTTGGTCTTGGTGATTGTAAGGTAATGTAGAAGAGCTACCATGTAAAGAGTCGTGTGAAAATTTTTAAGATTATGTATATGTTAATACTACGACAGAGATGTTATTCAACCTTTAATAAAGTCAACACTCTTTATGAATGGAATATAAATTCGAAATTGAAAATAGTATTCGAGAACACAAGAGGTAAAGCTATACCAAAGAATGTCAAGCTGAGGAAGTCATTACTGAAATCATTTACAACGTCATGTGTAAAGTCTAAAGGTGATTCAAAACAGGTCTTTAGTAAACTTAAAATTCCAGCAATTCAAAGAACTAATGCAAAATCATCAATACAAACTCTGACCGCAGTGATACAGAATAACCTAAAGGAAGAGTTTTTACACAATTGTTATTCGATTTTGCAAATATTCGCAACATCTGGAATACGAAATTCTGATGCTAAAGATTTAGTAAAAGCCATGTTGTTTTTGACATCGTCATATCATGGAGCTTATTTTGCAAACATTTTATTTAACCAAATTCAATCAAAGGGAATATTGAATAAACTTCATAAGAAAGATCTTACAATTGTAGTTAATTCATTAGTAGCATGTAATAATGACAATTTAAACTGGGTGGAAAATTTCAAAATAATTTCAGACTTTGACTTTAAAGTTGTACCACAAGATTTTAAACAAGAGTTTTACTCCAATGTAGAGAACTTTGTGAGATTATGTCCGGATAAAAACAAGATTTACAAAATCATTCAATTAATAGACCAATGTGAAAAATATAAACTCTTACCGTTTAAATTGGATTTTTTTGCATCTTATGATAAGGGGTATTTTAAAGATTTAGTCAAAAATTTAACTAAGTTAGATAAGTCTATATTAAATTCATTATTAATTTCATTTTTAAGGTTAAGTGATTTACATAATTTTAATAAAATAAAAGAAGTGATTCTCAAAAAATATGGCTCACTTGGTTCTAAAGAAATTGGATCCATTATGGAATATCATTTGAAAAACTATACTGGAGATACATTGGATTTTATTAAAATTACAAACTTAATCAAAGCAGAACATTGTCTTATGTTGTGGGTTAAATTCTTTCCCAACCATGAGGTCCAAAACACCGTGTACCTGGAGTTATTGAAGTTAAAAAGATCTGACCCTACATTTAAGAAGTTCACTATAGAGTTAATAAATTACATTGCAAAAACTGATGTCCAAAAAGCGGTTAAATTCTTTACACATTTCTCCAAAACCACTGCATTGATGGAAAATTATCAAAAATTTGATTTTGAAGCGGTTGGTCTCATAAAAGAATTCAGTGAATTTGTCAGCCTTAATCATCAAACTAAAATTCAAAGCTTACATGTTATAGTCCAACATGCTTTACGTGATAAAAATGATTCGGTCATTCTATGGTGTGTCGATGAATTAAGATCTTTAGGTTGGAGCTTGTATAGTATTTTCAACTTGTTAAAATTTTACAATGAATCTTACTTCAAGGAAATTATAAATCCTAAACTAAAAAATGAATACATTTAATATTTACAAAACTATTTACCTTTTCTTCTTTTAGTTTCCGCTTTTTTATCATATAAATTACCACCACCAACAATTTCTACAGCATCTTCTCCCATCATTTCAACTAATTCCTTATCTTTTTGTCTAGCTCGTTCTTTTTCTTTGGATCTGAGAGCTTCTTGCAGTTCTGGAGTAGAATCTTTCTGGTTTGCGACTTGTTCACCTTCAAATTGAGCAAATTTAGCTTTGAATTTACCAATTTTACCAGCAGCAGTCAAATCTGAAGTGTCTAAGTCTGACCTATGAGGATTCCATTTGATACTATTTCTTTGATCATTAATCATTCTTAGTTCATCTTTAGGAATTTGAGATTTTCTTTTAATTACCGAACCATCACTTAATTCTATAAATTGATCAAATTGATAAAAAATAGCAGGTCTTGCTTTACCCATTTGAATTTTTTTCATAACTCTTCTATTTGACAATCTTACTTCATCTCCTACTATTGTTGCTTTGTTTCTTATGAAGTTCCTTATTGGAACCCATTGATTAAGCATTTTAATGAAAAATTTTGAAACTTGTAGTGTAAAAAAATTATATGAAAGAAAAAAAAAAAAAAAAAGTTCAGTTCCAACATCTTCTGTCATGGCCTTTTCAAATCAAACTCCAACAATTGTTGTATTGAAAGAAGGTACTGATACATCTCAGGGCAAAGGTCAAATATTAACTAATATTAATGCTTGTTTAGCTATTCAGGATACTTTAGCACCAACATTGGGACCTTTTGGGTCAGATATTTTAATAGTTGGATCAAATGGTAAAACTACCATATCAAACGATGGAGCTACTATATTGAAATTATTAGATATTGTACATCCAGCAGCTCAGATGTTAGTTGATATATCTAGATCACAAGATGCAGAAGTTGGTGATGGTACTACATCAGTTACAATATTGGCAGGAGAATTATTAAAAGAAGCAAAAGCTTTTATTGAAGATGGATTATCATCACATTTAATAACAAAAGGCTATAGAAAAGCATGTGAATTATGTGTTGAAAAAATCAATGATCTATCTGTTGATATAAAAAAAGAAGATCCTGAAGAATTTAGATCATTATTAGAAAATTGTGCAACTACAGCTGTGTCTTCCAAATTAATAAGTCAAAATAGTAAATTTTTCACAAAAATGGTTGTCGATTCAGTTTTAAGCTTAGATTCGGATTTAGACGAAAAATTAATTGGTATAAAAAAAGTACCAGGTGGATCGTTAGAGGAATCATTATTTATCAATGGTGTTGCATTTAAGAAAACTTTTTCATATGCCGGATTTGAACAACAACCGAAAAGCTTCAAATCACCAAAGATACTTTGTTTAAATGTTGAATTGGAATTAAAAGCCGAAAAAGATAATGCAGAGGTTAGAGTAGGACAAGTTAAAGATTATCAAGCTATAGTTGATGCTGAATGGCAAATCATATTTGATAAATTGGAACATATTTCAAATTCAGGTGCGAATATAGTATTATCAAAATTACCTATTGGAGATTTAGCAACACAATATTTTGCTGATAGAAATATATTTTGTGCTGGTAGAGTAAATTCTGAGGATATGGAAAGAGTCATTAAAGCTGTAGGAGGTCATACTCAATCAACTTGTTCAAACATAAAGTCAAGCGATTTAGGTAGTTGTGAAACATTTGATGAAGTACAAATTGGTGGTGAGAGATTTAATTTATTCCAAGGTTGCCCTGAAGCAAAAACTTGTACATTAATTTTAAGAGGAGGTGCTGAACAAGTAATAGCTGAAGTTGAAAGGTCATTACACGATGCTATAATGATTGTGAAAAGAGCGGTAAGTCATCATACTATTGTTGCTGGTGGTGGAGCTATTGAAATGGAACTATCAAAATATTTAAGAGATTATTCAAAAACTATTGCTGGTAAGATGCAATTGATTATTGGTGCATTTGCAAAAGCATTAGAGGTTATACCAAGACAATTGTGTGAAAATGCTGGTTTTGATGCAATCGAATTACTTAATAAACTTAGATCAGCTCATGCAAAAGGTGAAAAGTGGTATGGTATCGATTTTCAATTAGAGAATATCGGCAATAATATGAAAAGTTTCATATGGGAACCATCATTAGTCAAAACTAATGCAATTGAAAGTGCTACTGAAGCTGCAACACTATTATTATCTGTTGATGAAACTATAAAAAATAATGAACAAGAAGATGCTCAACCAATGTCAAGAGGTAGAGGAGCTTATTAATGTATGATAGGTATTTATAGATTAATTGATTGTAGTTCACTTTCGGTTAAAAAATTCGCCTCTTTGCATTAGCCACAAATAAAAGATCTAATTTGCCACTTTTCAGCCTGCGCTACCTATTCTTTTTTTTTTTAGTTTAGTATGTATTGATGGATAATTAATAGAGGAACTTATTAGCTGCTTCAGCTTTAGTTTACATAAAGCCTTATTTCTCGTTGTGACCGTTGTTTAGATTTTTGTTTAAGTCAAAAAATGGATCCTATGCAAAATGGTTCTTTTCTAGAATAAACTGCAGTATAAATCCAAAATCTATTTTGAACTAATGTAAATTAGGTAATTTCATTCTTCAGCATATGCTAGCCGTCTGAAAGCTTTAAATCTTAAGATTAGATTTTGATAAACAATTTTACAGATTTCTACAAAAATAATCGACATTAATTTTGTTCGTTTTTTACATAAATATCAAAGTAAAGTATAAAAAACTAGAGTTGGAAGAAAAAAGCTAAAAAACCAATGTCGCATTTTAATAATAATTAATAAGTTTTTTTTCGAAATTATGACTGACTTTAATATGAGATTGGAAGCCAATTTTTTGTTACGTAAGACATATCTAACCCAATGATTTCTACCAATCATCATATTTGTGGTTGGAAAAAAGTGAAACATCCTGCAGCATGATAAATTATTAATAAATGGAAGCAGGTTACAAAAAAACAATACAAATAGTTCGTAACGGAGAAATAACACACAAACACGACTTAACGGTGAATGCAAAAAATGTTAAATGTTTCTAACCAAACAAAAATAGAAACAGGAAAAAGTCCTTTTGATATATGGTTTGATGCTTTGAGTTTTTGACTTATTCGCCGTGGCAAAAAGTATTATTGTCTGAGTAGTATTTTATAATTATCATCATATCTCCTACCTTTGATCGTTCTTGTACAAATTCTTTATGCTTAATTATTTCGAAGAAAAACTGTGATTACTCAAAAATACAAGTCGTAAGTTTATTCATCTCATTCCTCTTCGATCTCACCGAATGTGTTTTGATCTTCCTGTAATTATTGTTTTGATCTTTCTGTAATTATAGGTAAATTCAATAGAATCCTTCTATTTAATACACGATTCACGTAAAATTTAATTTTTTCGCTAGTAATAATTACATAATTTGCACCTAATTCTTACATAAGTTGTTACCAATTCTTACATAATATGCAACCAATTCTTACATAAGTTTTTACTATATTTCTCGATTCGCGTCAAATTTTTTTATTTTTTATTTTTTATTTTTATTTTTTTTAATATTAGAGTCCCCTTTTAAATTTAACAATAAGATGATATTCAGTTTTAAACATTTCAAAATACGCATATTCAATAAAACCACGATAATAATTAATTCACAGAGAAGTGTATACATCTATATTCATTTATTTAATCAATACATATAGATATATTGGAGTTTTATTATTATTTTTTATTTTTTTTTTTTTTTGTTTTAGATAAAAAAATAATAATAAATAAAATTTAAAACACAAGAAGTTTTACAACAATCCTTTGGAAAATACAAAGTTATATATTGATTAACAATTTTCATATAAATTTATTGTTCAATTCCTTTTAATCAAATATACTAAATTCCTTTTAATCAAATATATTGAATTTTCATTAGTTTTGTTGTCATTTGAAGTAACAAGTTTCATTATTTGCATCATTTTTATGTTTAATTAAAGTTCCATAACTTTCATATATTCATTCATTCATTTAGTTTACTTATCAAAAGTATTTTGCATAGTCTATTTATTCAATAATTCATAATCATTTCACTTATTCATTCGTTTAACAATCAAATTGAAATTAATGTCATTACAGAATCAAATTAAATCTAAATTCGGTCCCCCTACTAGAATAAAACCTCAACCATATAGTATAATGTTGGAAATGTTGGAGAACCAATCCAACAGAATATTAACCAATGAATATTATACAGAAATTGTTCAAACTTTATCAAATTTAGAATCGCTAACATCAATTAATCCTTCAATGATTGATTTACAACCAGAAATTCAATGGTTTATGAGACCATTTTTATTGGATTTTTTACTTGAGCTTCATTCAAGTTTCAAACTACAACCACAAACCTTATTTTTATGTATGAATATAATTGATAGATATTGTTCGAAAAGAATAGTATTTAAACGTCATTATCAATTAGTAGGTTGTACTGCATTATGGATTGCTGGTAAATACGAAGATAAAAAGTCCAGGGTTCCAACTTTAAAGGAGCTAACCATCATGTGTAGAAATGCCTATGATGAAGAAATGTTTGTTCAAATGGAAATGCATATTTTGAGTACTTTAGAGTGGACAATAAGTCATCCAACATTAGAAGATTGCTTGCAATTATCAATAAGAACACTAAACGTAACTAATTCGAATATAACACCATGTAAATATAACAACAATCAAGCAAATAATTCAACTTCAACATTAAGTGCAATTACAGCTGTTGGTAGATTTTTATGTGAGTTAAGCTTATATGATAAATTTTTCTTATCTGTTCCAACTTCATTAACTGCAATTACATCAAACTTATTAGCTTGCTCAATGTTACAAATTCCGACAGCATCTATAAATTTCAAAGAATTGATCACATCTCATTTCAATAATAAACATAATCATAAGAATAAAATCAAAAAAACAAATTTGGAAGAAGCTATTGACTTAGACTATGAAACAGATGAAACAAATGAAGATTATTTTTATGAGGATACAAATGATACAACTTTTGATGAAAATATTGAAAATAAACAACCAGAGATTGTTGGTGCATTTTTGAGTGGATTAGATGATTCGTCTTTAAATAATATTAAAAAAATTGCATTAATGCTAATAATTCAATTAAGTAAAGTTACTGAAGTTTTAAGTAAAAAATATGAGATTTTAGGAGTTATTCAAGTTATAAATAATTTCCATTCAAGAAACACAAATCTTATTCAAACAATTTATGAACAACAAGATTCAATTATCAACGATTCTTTTAGTGATTTATTAATTCAATCATCAGAGATTTTATTGAATTTTCCTAGCCTAGAAGATGAACCCGAATTTGAGTCAGATGAGGAATCTTCAAGTTATTTGAATACTCCAAGGTCCCCTTATCCATTTTCAACTAGCTCACTCAGTTTAAATACCAATTCATTTACAAGTGTACCACCAGTGACTCCTCCCTCAGCAACATCACAGTATTCAGTATTCTCTAATAAAAGATCAGGCGAAAGTGTCGACTCAAGTTGTAATACCCCAACTTATGTCGCAATATCATCATTTGCACCACCTCAACCACCTCCAGGTTCTGAATTAAGAACAAAATCAAAAATTAGGAAAAATAGTGGTAAAAATCGAGGAATTGATCAATTTTCTCCAATAAAATCAACAAGCACAAATAGTTCCTTAACCACAAGCTCACCATTGATGAATCATAATTATTAATGTATTAAATATTTTCACGTTCAATTCTTTATAAAATCTTTTATAATATATATTTATACCATTAAATAAATGCTGCATATTACATGTAGAATGATTTAAGTAACAGAGACTGAGTTATATTTTTTGGAATAAGATATTTCGATTAAGTATTCTTATTTCCTTTGATATTCTCATTATTAATAGTAAAATAGTTAGGTACAATATTAACATGCCGTGTATCTAAGGCGCTTAAATATATTCCCGAAAAATAGTAATCTATCAATATTCCCCGGAAATAATAAAAACGGCATCATTGCCTAATTTGGTGTGGTTAGGCGGTAATTTTTTTTTTTTTTTTTTTATTTTTTACTTTTTAATCAAAAGAATATGTTTTATATTTCAGTACAGAAATCATCAAAATCAAACTGAATATTGCATTTTTTCTTCTAGTTTTCACAAATTATGACCTCGATCACTGATGAAAATCTAAAATCTAAACGAAGTAGCATAAATTCGTCAGATGAGTCACAGGATATAGCAAGATTACCCCTGAGTGATCAGCCAATGCTGTACAATGAAGAAACTATACATGAAATTAGGTCAAGAGGAAGCTATTCATTATCTCGTTCGAAAACAAATCAAAGTGAATTATCTAAAATTATATCAGGTATTAAAGACGACCAACAATTAGACGAAGAAAATAAAAATTATGTTGGAACCGGAGAATCTGAATTTATACTAGCTGAAGAATTGAATAAATTCACAAGTCGTGGGAATATTAGTAAACAACAATCGCAAGTAGATTTAGAACAGTCTTCAGTTGAGGAAAAGGTCATTGATGATGATAAAAATTTAGACAAAGGGTTTGCTTGGGTGATTGCAATTTGTTCAATGCTTGCAATGATATCCACTTGGGGTGCTAACAGTAGTTATGGGGTGCTATTACTGTATTTCATGAATGAGAATGTATTTCCAGAAGCAACAAAGTATGATTATGCTTTAGTGGGAAGTATAGTTGTTTTTTTAGCTAATTTTTTATCTCCAATATCAACAATAGCTTATAAAATCTTTGGTTTCAAAGCTGTTGCTTTCTTTGGATTATGCTTTCAATGTTTAGGTTGGTTTGGTGCTAGTGGAGCTACAAAGATTTGGCAACTTTATTTATCAGAAGGTGTAGCAGTTGGTATAAGTTTTAGTTTTATTTTCATTCCTGCAACATTAGTATTACCAACATGGTTTCATCGTAGGAAAGCAGCATCATTTGGGATTTGTATTTCTGGTGCAGGTTTAGGTGGTCTTATATTTTCATTAGCTATTAACAAAGTAATCGAAGAGGATACTCATAATCAAGCTATGAGAATGGTTGGATATGTAACCTTATTTTGTGTTTTAATTGTGATACTTGTAATGAATCCAAGAAACTACAATCCACCTCCTTTAAAAGAGAGATTAAGTAGAACGTTTATAATGGAATCATGTAAAGCTATTTTTGATACTAGTGTTTTGAAAAACTGGGGTATTATAATTATTGCGATTTGGTTTAGCATTGCCCTTATGGGTTATACATTGATGATATTCTCATTATCTGCATATGGTTCAAGTATCGGTCTTAACCATAGTCAATCAACTAATTTAATAGCGGCTCTACTGGCTGCACAAGTCGTTGGAAGAATTGGTATGGGTTTTACTGCAGATTTCATGGGTAGATGTAACGCCACTAGTATGTTTTGTTTAATCAATTTTATTTTATTATTTGCATATTGGATAAATGCAAGAACTTATGGAAGTGTGCTTGGGTTTGCAGTATTAATAGGATTAGTAATTGGTATTGGTTCAACAATGGCTCAACCATTAGCTGCAGATGCATTACAAGAGAAATTTTATCAATTACCTTCTGCTTGGGCTTGGATTAATGTTACTGTTAGTTTTTTCTGTTTGGTTGCCGAATGTATTGCATTAGCTTTAGTTAGATCAAATAGTAACAGACCATATTTACACACGCAAATTTTTGCTGGATGTTGCTTTTTTGCTAGTTTTATCTTGATGCTTTTATTAAGAGAATTTTTAGTACGAAAATTATTACAAAAAAGATTAGCTTCATCATTAGAGAGATTAAACTATATTAGAAACGGCGAAGCTACAAAAAGTGGATATTTGAAAGAAAGAGACGAAGAGATAAGCGAAGAAGAGGAGGACTTACTTGAAAATAGAATTGATCGATATGATACTTTGTTACTGTCAAGTTTATCATCGTTCTTTTTCCGTATTGGATATCCAGTTAAATTATAGAAAATAATACACATTAATTAGTTTTAGAAATTCTTTTTTTAACTTTTTTATCTTTTTATATTATAAATTTATACATGTTTTTAAAAAACCTGATTGATTGTATAGCAGCATACAGTGAGGATGGAAAAATGGAGTGATATATGATAGATTGATTAACGGTTTGATTTGGCAACTCTTTCTAATTCATCTTTCTTTTTGATAGCATATGAAGTTGAAGAACCTTTAGCAGCATTAATTAATTCTTCAGCTAAACATTCAGCAATAGTTTTAATATTTCTGAATGAAGCTTCTCTAGCACCAATAGTAATTAAAGCAATGGCTTGATTAACTCTTCTTAATGGAGAAACATCAACAGCTTGTCTTCTAACAGTACCTGATGAACCAATTCTTGTTGAATCTTCTCTTGCACCTGAGTTGACAATAGCATCAACAACAACTTGAACTGGGTTTTGTTCGGTTAAAACATTAATAATTTCTAATGCATGTTTAACAATTCTGACTGCTTTTAATTTTTTACCATTATTTCTACCATTCATCATTAATGAATTAGTTAATCTTTCAATAATAGGACATTGAGCTTTTCTAAATCTTTTAACTGCGTATTTACCAGCAGTATGGGAAACAAAGACTGGTTGTCTAATTTGAATATAGTCAACTAATGAAACATCTTTGATTTCAACATCTTCAAATGACCATTTATTAAATAATTTAACTTCTCTTTGAGCTTCTTGAACTTCTAAAGGAATACGAGTAGCTAATTCAACTACTTGTAATTCTTCTTGAACAACTGGTTGTTCTTCGTATTGTTCTTCAACGTCTGACATTATATCTATTGATTATAATAATTAACTAGTAGTTGATGATTTAAATTTCAAGGAAAAATCTGAAAATGAAAATAATTTTTTTTTTCGTATACAAATTAAAACCGCACTGAAAAAAGTGTGAAAAAGCGACCATAGCCCTAATGCACGTGATGTATATCAACAATTACCAATAACATGGTATCTATCTAATAAAGAAGAGATGTTATTGAGAAAGATTACTCTACTACAAAACCATACTGAAACTAACTGATTAATCCAATAGAGGGAGGAACAATATGTGTTTTTTCCTAAATAATTGTATAGTCAAATAACATCAAGAACATGAACGTATAGTATAGTAGTTTCAGCACCACCACCATTTGAAAATAGAGATTAACTAATATTTAATCCCGATTTGGTAACTAGGAAATTATCTTTTTCAGAAAAGATGTAGATCTTCCAATTAAAAGTTTCCTTCGTGTAGTAACACAAAACGTATGTTAAACATACCGATACTTCTCAACCAGAAACCGTATCAAATTACGCTTTGAGAAAAAGCCTTCTTTAATTCGTATGCATTATTCTAGTATGTGACTTGTCAGATCTTAGAAGCGAAGGAAACGTGTTTTTATTAAATAGCTGGATGCAAAAATTGTTTTGTATAATTTTTAGCCGCGTAACCTGGACAACGCACAATGTGTAAAACCCCACAGAAAAAATTATTAGCCTTTACCGGCATTAGTCATATTAAATTCATATAAAAAGCTAAGTGATTTTCAACAAATACAGAAATTAACAATGTCCGATAAAATGAAAGAAGCAGAATATGTTTCTGATTTAAGCTATGAATCAGAAATCAGTCCAGAAAGTCGAGTTGAAGAATTAGCTCAAGAAATGGGCATCGACCAAAAGAAATTGATGTGGAAAATAGATCTATGGGTAGTTCCTCCGTTTTGTTTATTGTATTTTCTTTCATTTTTAGATAGAGTTAATATTTCAAATGCTAATGTTTATGGATTATCTTCCGAATTAAATTTAACTGGTACTCAATATAATACAGCATTAGTTGTATTCTTTGTCCCATATATATTTTTTGAAGTGCTTGCTAATTATGCTATAAAGTTTATAAAGCCTCATATTTGGTTATCAGCTTTAGTTTTTTCCTTTGGTGTCGTTTCCATAGGAATGGGTTTTGTTACAAATTTTGGAGGTTTAGTCGCATGCAGATTCCTTATTGGTGTCACAGAAAGTTCTACATTTCCATCAATATTTTATTTATTATCAACATATTATAGTAAAGCTGAAAGTCAACGTAGAGTTTCGGGATTCTTCTCCTGTACTGCATTAGCTGGTGCTGCTTCAGGTGCAATTGCGTACAAAATTAACGAATTAGATGGAAGATACGGGTTAAGTAGTTGGCAATGGATTTTCATTGTTGAAGGTGCTGTTAGTTCTGGGTGTGCTATTATCTTGTTTTTTTTAATTGCCGATTTTCCTGAAGAATCAAGATTCTTAAATGATAATGAAAAACATTTTTTAAAAAGAAAATTGGAGATACTAAGTGGTGTTTCTTCAGCTTTTGAAATAAAGAATACTCTTTCAGATGTTGGCAAATGTTTTAAAGATTGGATGATCTGGTTACCTGCTTTAACCTATTTTGGATTAATTATTCCATCTTATGGATATGCTTATTTTGCAGCTACTATTATTAATGAAATGGGTTATACAGCAGTAGCAGCTCAACAACATTCTGTATATCCATGGGTATGTGCATTTGGGGTTATTAATATTGTTGCATTTGCTTCTGATAAATGTCGAAAAAGAATTCCATTTTTTCTTGGATGTTGTATATTTGCATTAGTTGGATTAGCTATGATATTGGGTGCTTCAGATAACCCTAAAATTAGATATGGTGGTTGCTTTTTAACAGCATCATCCCTTTATACTGCAATGCCTTTAATTGTGGGTCATGCTTCATTGAATCAAGGAAGTCATATCAGAAAAAGTGTAGGAACAGCATGGCAAATTGGTTTCGGTAACATTGGAGGAATAATTGCTTGCTACATCTTCCTTGCTAAGGATTCACCTGTTTATAAACCAGGTTTGGCAACTTCATTAGCCAGTGTATGTTTTGCAATAATTTGTTCGATAGGTTACGTGTTTAATTGCTATAGATTAAATAAAGCCAAGCAGACAGAAGCTTATAGAGTCCAGTTTGAAAGTCTAACTGAAAGAGAGCAATTGAATCTTGGAGATCGAAATCCAAAATTTGTATACTTCTATTAATGATGTTATACCAAACAAAAAGAAAAGCAATAAACGAATAAAATTGAAAGTTAAAATGCGAACAAACAAATTTATTAGTCTATTATCTTAGCAAACCTTTACATACTTTTTAAAGTCTTTAGTGTCGTAAATATCATTGATATTGTTGGATCTTTAATTTACAATAATCGTGTTTCAGAATTTTGCGCTTTTTGCGCTTTATTTTCTTGCATTATATGCACTATCACCAATCTTAAAATTTATAAGTTTCAGATTCATTGGTCTGGAATAATTGATCTCTTCCTTTGAGTATCCTGTCCTATAACGTAGAGAATTCAAAATTAGTTTTATGGAATTTACAAACATTGGATAATGGATAATCATTTTCAGAAAAGTGCCTAAGAAGAAATAAACACCTGATGAACCAAACAGAGTAAATAACCAATAGCCAATCAATTGATTAACAAATCCAGACTTCATCCTCGATGTATCCATAACTAACTAATATTTATCACGTTCCAACAACAACTCATAAGTCTTAACTATTCATTCATATTCTTTCTTCATTCTTGGCTATGGTTAAATTTTATAAACGAGAAAAACGGAAAAAAAAAAAATGATCCTTTAAATAAATTTGTATACTTTTTCATCAATTTTATCAAAAGCTAATTAATTATAAATGTCGAAGAATGAATATTTTAATGCACCGGAAGGAGCACCACCAACATATAATACTAATCAGAATCATCAAAATTCTTATGTTCCACAACAACAACCTTCTTACAATGCGCAAACTCAAGATCGAGGCTTTTTAGGCCATCAACAAGGTTATGGTCAACCACCTCCGCCACAAAATTATGGTGGTTATCAACAAGGAGGATATCAACAATATCCTCAATATTATCAACAACAGCAACAACCTATGTATGTTCAACAACAAAGAACAAGTAATAATGAATCTTGTTTGATGGCTTGTTTAGCTGCTATTTGTATCTGTTGTACATTAGATATGTTGTTTTAATTCAACTTAGACCACCACCACCACCACCACCACCACCACGACCAGTCAACCCATTTTAATTCTTGAAAAAGGTTATAGATTAAAATTTTATATCACCAAATATAGTTTTTTTTTTATTTCGATTTTAATAAAAGAAATGTTATTGTTACAATTTTTTATTTATTCTATTACAACATCAACTATTTTATGTAATTTATGTTTGTTTTTAATACTTTGATCTAGTTGTAAAAAATTAACAGCCAATATCGAATCTGCTAGTAGAACACATATTGAATTGATGAAAAAACCGAAATGTAGTTTATTTTTGGAAGCTAATTTACCGGTGAAAATAGGACCAACACATCTGGCAAATGTTTTACCAACGTTTACGATTCCCAATACTTTTGTAAATTCATCGTTTGGAATTATTGAAGTTAAAAGTAATTGACGAGGAACAACATCCATTGTAGTTGTCAAATAGTAAAACAATAGCAAAATCGCGACAGGTACAAACAGGACACATATTGGTATGAATGAAAATATTAAAGCTGATGGAACTTGTGTAAATAATATCGCTTTTACTGGACCTAATAGTTTGGTCAAATAAGCAGAAGGCAATGACGAAATTGCATCAACCAGATTCGTTATAAAAAATAAGGTACCTAATGTAGTAGCTGAACATTTAAATGTGAATTTTAGATAATAAACAATCCATGCAGATGGTAAAAATCCATAGCCTAATGAATCAAGCATAAATATACCTAACAATTTAAATAATTGATGTTTAGTAGTTTCCGACAATAGTTTATTATTTTCCTTTGTAATTAATTCAGTAGATTCTGAATTGTTTAATTCACATTTATTTGATAAACAACATGATATTAATAAACATTTCGCAAACGCAATTCCTGAATAAACAAGAAATACGATCTTGTAACATACAATTGTGTCATAATTCAAAATTTCATGACAATAATCAACTATAAATCCACTAAATAACAGACCTACAGCAGCTCCTACTGTAGCAAATAACCCATAAAATGCGAAAACTTCAGGTAGATGATTAAATGGAGTTAAATGAGCTATTGAAGCCTCTTCTATTGACTTGAAAGGTCCCGTCTCATCACCAGATGGCGATATTACTCCCAAAATAGCAGCAATCAATAAAATATAAAAATTTTCACAAATTGCAAAGATTATACCCGATATAATCATCATAATGGCACCAATCCCCATTACTGCTTTTCTCCCGATTCTATCAGCATTCCATGTAAGATAATATGATATTAACGTATCTCCGATCAATGTACATGTCATAAATATTCCAATCTTAAATTCATTAATGTTAATCGATTTTAAATATAGTGTTAAAACTTGATTAGTTAAGCCATAACTAGCCATTCTAAATATAACCGAGCACCATAATATTCGAATATCTGAACTAGATTGTATTAATGATTTAATCAAATGCATAAAAGATTTCAAGATCTAATAAATTCGCGGTTAAAAAAAATGTTTTGAGATGAAAATGGATACACAATAAACAATAATTATATATGACAATGATCTCTTTAACACATTCTAATACAAATACAGTCAATCTTCATTATTCGGTATAAGTATTTTTAAATCAATTGTACTTGTATTGAAACTTAGAGTCAATTGTGTGAGAACAACTTTGAATAAGCTTCAATTGTAAATCGTAGATTTCTATGGACTCAAATTTGATTTTATGTCATTGAGTAATGTTTGATTTTAAGAATGATCTTTTTAAACGGCATATATTTACAACAAAGACTAAAATAGAGCAAATTTTTAGTTTCTTTGTTAATTTTCAACCAATCGTTACAAAAGGAAAAGCAAAAGCAAAAGGAAGAGGAAAAGGAGTAATAATACTTATCATTTAAATTCATAACCTTCAAATGAACAATGAAGTTACTCGGTATAAAATTTTAGTTCCATTGTTGCAGAATTTTACACTATTTCGGCCACAATTTATTAATCTATTGGTTGATTTATTCATTAATTATGATTTAAATGTGTCAAATTTTTTGTTTTTGCGCTGCGCATTTTTTTTTTTAAAATAATTTTACGGAACATTGTCAATCAATCAATCCACGTTTGGTTTAAAAGTACATATAATGTCCTACAAATAAATTATATTTAGTCATTATCTATATATCAGAATAAAATGATTATTAATTGGTTACTATTTTATTATTGTTCAATTGTATTTAGTGTTGCTGTTAATCCATTACCAAAACCTCAAAATTTGACATGGCAAGATGTTGATAATCCAATTATTTTAAATATTGATGATTTAATAATTACAAACTTAACAAATAGCTCAATAATTCATCAAGCTATAAATAGAACTTTTACTTCAGTTAAAGAGCTTAAGTGGTATCCATATACTAACGAAACTAAATTTAATTTCAGTGATAATTTTTCAACTTCGGATGCAAAATTATCCATTAATATTAATGATTACTATGCAGATTTACAATTTGGAGTTGATGAATCTTATAATATTAGTGTAACCAGAAATGCTTTGAAAATTGATGCTTCTACTATTTGGGGAGCCTTACATGGATTAACTACATTACAACAATTAATTGTTTATAATGATGAGAAATTTTATATTGAAGGTTCATTAACTGTTATTGATTATCCTAATTATCCTCATCGTGGTTTGTTGATTGATTCAGCTAGGAACTATTTAACTGTTCCTTCAATATTAGAACAAATTGATTTATTATCAATAAGTAAAATGAATTCTTTACACTGGCACATAGTAGATACTCAAAGTTGGCCCCTTGAATTAGAGTCATATCCTGAAATGACTGATGATGCTTATAGTAAAGATGAAGTTTATACTCGTAACGATATTGAGTATATTATAGACTATGCCAAATATAGAGGTGTTAGAATAATTCCCGAGATTGATATGCCAGGACATGCTCGAGCTGGCTGGAGACAAATTGATCCTAACTTAGTTGAATGTGGTAATGAATTTTGGTCAAATGCAGGATTAGAACCACCTCCAGGTCAATTAAATATATTAAATAATGAGACATATATTGCAATTGCCAATGTTTTCAATGAAGTCAGTGAAATTTTTGAAGATAAAGTTTTTCATGTTGGATTAGATGAGTTGGGAAAAACATGCTATCCTCAAGATTGGTTTAATGATAATAAAACTTTGAGTGATTTGACTCAGTATTATTTAAATAATGCATTACCAATTTTTAATAATGCAACAAACGATAAGAAATTGATTATGTGGGATGATGTCTTGTTGTCTGATGAAGCAGTAGACAATTTATCAACTAATATCACTATTCAAATTTGGCATGATCCATCTGGAATAAAACAGTTAACAAGTAAAGGCTACGATGTTATAATATCCTCCTATACTTACTTATATCTAGACTGTGGCTATGGTGGTTATATCACTAGTAGTGACTTATATACAAATAATCCAAAGAACAACAAAGTAAATTCCTGTAATGGTGGAAGTTATTGTACTTATAAAACTTGGCAAAGAGTGAGTAATTCGAAGCTCGTGAAAACGATTTTACTAACAAATGTTTAGATTTATGATTTAGATTTTACTGCTAATTTGACTGAAACAGAACAAAAACATGTTAAAGGTGCTGAAGTTACTTTATTCGGTGAACAAGTTGATTCAACAGTTTTAACAGGTAAAATATGGCCAAGATCAGCTGCACTTGCAGAATCAACATGGAGTGGTAATAAATTTCAGGACGGAAGTTTTAGAAATTATGATTTAACTCAAAGAATATTGAATTTTAGAGAGTTTTTGGTCAAGTTGGGTTATAGTGTATCGCCAATTGCTCCAAAATATTGTGTTATGAATCCGCACAAATGCGATCAATATGAATATTATCATGAGGTCAGTAATAGTTACTGAAATTTAGAGGATCGAAGGAAAAAAGCTAGTTCTCTTCAGTAGCATGAGACTTAGATAAATCAATTTCAACGATTTATAGTACAGAATGTATACTACGTGAGCAAATTATTTTTATGTTAATCTGTTGAGAGCAAGATCGGATCAAAATAAGACTATAGGCGATACAAGTATCTACTGTATTTATTTGTTTTCATGAAGATTATACTACTGATCATGGATCTATTTCTATTAAAAAATAAACTCATTATTCTTTCTGATTTTGAAATGCAATTCAATGAGCTTATTTAAGTAATGATTTTGTTTATCTTACTGTAAAGTTCTATGCGGATGCTTAAACAGCTAGTTTGATGACAGTTGTAACCATCTAGTATACGATTATTGTGATTGTATGCTCTTTTATTATGTAACGAAAAAATAACCGCATCAATATTTAAATTTTTGCCAATACATGAATGTTGATACTAAAATATATGGTGTCACGCCTCCCATATCCACAGCCACTCCTACGTCCAAAGAAAATGAACTCAATGAGTTACTAATTAAGGAACTCAAGATCAGAGGCTCTTTTGAAAGTGAAGCAGCTACAAAAAAGAGAGTTGAAGTATTAAATATTTTGCAAAAAATGACTGAAGAATTTGTTTATAAAGTTTCAAAGAAAAGAAATATGTCTGAAGGAATGGCAAAAGATGCTGGTGGAAAGATTTTTACATTTGGTTCATACCGATTGGGAGTTTATGGGCCAGGTTCAGATATTGATACATTAGTTGTAGTTCCGAAACATGTTACTAGAAATGACTTTTTCGAGGTTTTTTATGATATATTAAAATCACGTCCGGAATTAGAAGAAATCGCACCAGTTCCAGATGCTTTTGTTCCTATAATCAAATTGGAATTTGCTGGTATATCAATAGATTTGATTTTTGCAAAATTAGATACTCCCAGAGTTCCTCGAGATTTGACTTTGAATGATAAAAACTTATTGAAGAATATTGATGAAAAAGATTTGAGAGCATTGAATGGTACAAGAGTGACAGATGAAATTTTAACATTAGTTCCAAAACCTACAGTTTTCAAGCATGCTTTAAGGTGTATCAAAATGTGGGCTCAACAAAGAGCTATCTATGCCAACGTTTATGGCTTTCCCGGTGGTGTAGCATGGGCTATGCTAGTTGCTAGGATTTGCCAATTGTATCCTAATGCTGTGAGTGCAGTTATAGTCGAAAAATTTTTTCACATTTATTCCCAATGGAGTTGGCCACAACCAGTGTTGTTAAAGCAAATTGAAGATGGTCCACTACAAGTGAGGGTTTGGAATCCAAGATTATATGCACTTGATCGTCAACATAAAATGCCGGTTATTACTCCTGCTTACCCATCAATGTGTGCAACTCACAATATTACGAGTTCCACACAAAAAATAATATTAGAGGAATTACAAAGAGGAATAAATGTAATGAATGGTATTATTTTAGGTAAAAAGAGTTGGTCTGATTTATTTGAACGGAATGATTTTTTTCATCGTTACAAGTTTTATTTATGCGTAGTTGCTGCTACTAAATCATCTGCAGACGAGCATCTAAAGTATAGTGGTATGGTTGAAAGTAAGCTTAGATTGCTTGTTCAAAAATTGGAGTCCGTGGATGGTATAGAGTTGGCGCATCCATATGTCAAGTCATTTGAAAATAGTTTTTATTGTAAAAACGATGATGACATTAAGCTGGTTATAAATTCTTATGGTACTTTGGAAGGGGATGAGATTACCAAAAATCTTCCGAAAACAATAGAAGTTGGTACTACGAATCCATTTGAATTACATTTAACAAAATTATTCATTGGTCTAAAATTAGATTTACAAAAAGATGGAGATAAAAAACTAGATATACAGTATCCTTGCTCGGAGTTCTTCAATATATGTAAAGGTTGGCAGGATTTCCAAGCAGAAAAGCATTTTATACAGATTAGAAATGTAAAACTTTATGATTTACTGAATGATGTGTACATTGAGAATGAACAGAGGCCAGTTAAACCAATTAAAAGAAAAAGAACCGTTTCAAAAAATGAAGGAACGAAAAAGCCGAAAAGTTTGAGCTCAATTGCTGCTTAGAGACCAATTAATTGGAGCTGGTTGAAAATTATATATTGTCGAATATTATATATTATACTATTTAAATATATATATATCTTCAACAGACCCATCTTGATGATTTAAAATAGGTTCGAAAGCAGTATCTAGAAATTCAGAGTTCAAATTTATCTTTAGGACATCATTCAACCAATCAATAAATGTTATCTTTGTACCTGGCTCAAGTAAATAGTTGTTGTAAGATTGAGCATATTGATTCCATATGTTTTGGTTTGGTTCTTTCACCCATATACTAGCTAACTTTTTAGAAAGCTGACGTTGATGGTCAGGATTGGAGATTGTTCTTGAATAAAAGGACCTGAAAGCAATAAATGAGTTTATTGGCTTTAATTTTAATTTTTTTGGTTTCGATAATTTATCAAGCGAATACGTCCAGCTAATTTGATTCAAAATATTGTACTCGAACAAAATCTTTTGTAATGCGAAACTTGGTGTAGGAATATCTGGAAAGGAAGTTACCCTAAATCCACTCTCTATTTTTTTAGATACTTTTGTGTTATCTTGAATGATTCTTTTGTGCTTGTCGTGAGCTCGAAATAAAGTAGTATATTCTTTTGGAATAAATGATGGTTTTTTTGAAGTGCCCATAAATCAATTGATTAAAAATTCATTGACAGTGCTGACGATTTCTAATTTATACCCAAATTCTGCATGTAATTATTTATGCAATATTTATTAATGCATGAAGGTCCCTTTAATTTTTGATGTGACCTGACTTTCGTAACTGAGATCCAGATCCTAATTTCGTATATGACACAAAAGCGTTTATTGTCGATAATTTTACATTTTCGAATAAATATATGGATTGAGTTGGCGAAAATTTTAACAAACACTTAGGCTTTCCCTAAATTACCTTACAAAGGTCCTCGAAATCACGAAAGTAGGTAAAACGCAAAGTTGTTCGAAGCTTTTTGACGGGTCCAACGAATCTTTTAAATTAATCTTAGACAAAATGAGCCACATCCAGAACAAGAAAAAAGCTTTTTAAATTTTTATATTTAAGATTTCTTTTTATATTTAAGATTTCTTGCAGATCAACAAAATTTTATTTTCAAGAATTGGAGTAACATCTTGATATTTAATTATAAATCCCCTGAGTGATCATTTGAAATTGATCATATAACCTTGTATACATACTACCAATACTTTTTCCTATTAAGTAATTTTCCACAAAAGAATCTAAATCCTCTTCAGACAATTCGAGTTGCATTCTTTGTTGTAACAAAACACTTGTATTCTCACCATTATTGAAACATGGAAGATTAGAGTCTTTCTGCATGAGCTCCACAATGTTAACTAATTGTTGCCACTCTCTTCTCAATGCTTTGAAACAATCCTTGCAAACACTGACAAAGGTTTGATAAAATTTAGAACCCAAACCGCCCAAAACATCAATATATTCAGTAGTCAATTTAAATGGAGCAGCTTCAAATCCGACACTCCCAGGTGAGTTGGAAAGCAAGAATCCAAAGTCTATGTGTATTATATGACCATCATGATCCAACATTATATTACCATTATGTCTATCCTTGATTTGCAAAACATAACAAATAATTGAATATGAAGCTAAACTGATGGCAAAATTCTCTTGGGCCTTGGAATATTTACTAGAACCAGGAGCACCAAATAGTTTATCGAAATAATCTTGAATTGTAAAAATTCTTCCCTTTGAATTTTCTCCTCGTACAATTGAAATTTCTGTCAAAGATTTTTTAATGGAGTGAATAGACATGGCATTAGTAATAGTCTCAACTAAACCAGCATTTGCACTTGTGATCAAAATTTTCATCCTTTTAGTCCAAAAAGTAACATTTTGTTTTTTCCAAATATTTGATATTATCGAAATAAGCTGACATGCAAAGGCTTCTTGAGGCAAATCATCTCCATTCTTCACAATGACGGAGCAAAGATCCCAATTTTCCAAATGACCAAAAGCACTGGAACTTCTTATCCTTTGTTTTTTGGCTATCCAATCCTCACTAATTTTGAAATCATTCTCCAACTTACGTTGGCCTGCATCTTGTTCATCAGTTTTAAACTCTTTCAAGGTTTCATAATCCATAGTTTCAAATTGATCTTGCAAAGATATCATTGATTCAATTATTCTATTCTTTATTGCAATAAATTGAGGAGTATTTGACTGCCCTGAATTTTCAAGTTGTTGGAGCATGACTGAAGCAATTCTCATTTGATCAGCAAGAACCAGAGAATTCTCTTTGTTTGCAATTGGAGATATGTTCTTTGAAATATGAGATTCGTCTGAAGCAAGTCTTGAAAATTTTGTTTCAATATTTGAATGTATTAAATTTTTATTTCTAATCAAAGATAACTCACCCAAATCGGTTTCATCATGAATAATATTACTCGTGTCTTGCTTACTACTAAAATCTTTTTCTCCAGTTAAAGTACTGTTCTTTTCGTACTCATTTTGAACATATTTAAAGCTGAAACTTGAATCATTTATAATCCTTTGGTTATATTCAGAAAATGGATTGAAATCTAATTCATCATTTAAAAATTCAATGAGCAACAAGTATGGAACTCTTTCTGCTGAATTTAACACACAGGCTTCTGTAATATTTAATTTCAAAATTCTATGATATTTTTTATTCTTGCTGCTCGTAACTGGAAATAAACAAGGAATGTCAATCTCTGATGGCAAAAGTGCTTCATTTAAGATTTTCAATTCAGCTCTTAAGGCAGATAGCCTAGCTGCTTTAGGTACCAGTGACATTCTTAAAGATATTTCTTGTAAAGCTATCATAAAGTTTGTCTCCTTCTTCGTGTAATTAACCTGTAAAATTCGAAGCATTTCGTTATAGCTTTTATTCTTATTTGATCCACTTTGTGATCTGATACGTCTTGAGATTGGTTCCTCTGAGTTTCGTGAATAGTTTATGGTAGTTTCTGATTCAGTGGAATACAATTCTGGTCTATTTTTCAGCTTGGATAAATCTGGTAACGATTGAGCACTTCGATTACTGGAAGTCATCATGAACGAAGAATTCACAGGAGATGCAACCTTTATTTTGTTCTTCTTTGATTTAATCACAGTATTAATTCTGAGGTTTTCTTCCACTTGCTTATAAATTTTCACATTCGATGTTTTGAGTCCCAACTTGTTATCGTCATCATCAGTGTTATATACATCAGATTCGTCCAGCAGGAATGAAAATCCATTTCTTTGCATAGATCTAGGAGAACCCAAATTATCTTTTATGTCTGGTGATGTTTCATCTGGTACATTTTGATTATCATCTATCGAAAGTTTCTTGTTTTTCAATGTAAGATTTTTAGTTAAAGTACGTTGAAAATTTGCCAACCTAAATACATATGATCTTTGTTGTTTTCCCTGAGTCTTAACTATGGATGAAACATATTCATTTACTAGTGGTGAACCAAATGATGATGCAACAGCACCACAAAGAACTAAAGAAGGTTGAAAATTTTCATGAAATTCGGAAATTTTAGTTTTATCAAATTCTAGATTGAAAAGGATATTTTGCAACTTATTGATTACACTTCGTACAGTTTGAAATGAGTACGAATTAGATTCATTTCTTAATTCGTATAAAAAAGCTTGTAAATTCCAAAATACTATCAAACTAAAATGTGGATACCGTGAGCAGTAAGTGAGTATAAATTCTTCTAATGCCATAGAATTTGTTTCAAAACTAACAAGGAGTTGAATAAGTTGAGGTATAAAAAATTCACATTCATCGTAGGTATAAGTATACATTCTTTTGACCAACATATGATTAATTCCTATATTGTCTCCATTTTTTCTCATTAAATTAATACACTGAAACAAGGTTAGTTCTTTTGATTGTATAACATCCTTCAAATCAATTGAATCTAACATTATACTAAATTTTCAAGCATTAACTGTGCTGAAGTCAATTGTTCTGTTTTTTGAAAACTTTATTTAAATGCAGGATAAAAATTCACGTATATTTATTTAATAACAAAAATATAAAAAAAAAGTAAAAAGTATCTGAACTAAAAGCAAAGTCTAAGTTTACATACTACAATTGTTTTCATTAATTGGATTCATGCTTTTTCCATGCTGGAATCTCAAACTTTTCATTAAAATTTTGACCTGGCAAAATTGGTGCAATAGTTAATAAATCTTGTTTTAATTTATTAGCATCATCATTCAAATTAAAATTCTTGTAAATGATGTATTCCAAGTCTGAAAGTTTTGTTTCACTTTCCTTCACCGCTCTAAAGTATTTTGGAGAAAATTCAACTCCATCATCAGCTCTTTTTTTAGCTAAAATTCTTTGTTCATTTTCAACATTAAATTTTTCTTGAGTTGCAAGTTCATGATCTCTTTCTGCTAAAGCATCTATAGTAGGTTTCCATAATTTTCTTGATTCATACCCTCCTTGTTCAGCTAATGGTCTAACCTTTGGTTTTACCGGTATAATTTGCTTTGTGTCAACTAAAACAACTTTTTTACCAGTTTTAACATTTTTGATATCCATAACATCATTCCATTTCCCTGAGATATGAAATAATTCTTCCGATGCACCAATTTTTCTAACAACACCTTCGATTGCATCATAAGTACCACTAATAAAACCTTTTGTTTTAAATTCAATATCTGCTTCGTAACCAGTTTTTTGACATTTCACTATCATATGGTCTCCTAATTCAGTTTTTAATTTACCAAATAATATTCCTCTACAATAAACATTAGGTTGATTCATTTCATAAACCTCATCATGTTGACCCAATGTAAGATGAGTCCAACCTTCCATAATAGCAGCAGAAGAATTTCCTAAAAATCTTGACTTTGGAATTAAAATTCCATCAATTCTGATCTTTGCTTCTGGAATCATATAAAAATATGAAGATTTAGGAGGATGGTGAGAAGTTTGCTCTGAAACATAATATGCTGAGTGATTATTTGGTAAATTATCCCAATAACAATTGAATGATTCTCCTAATACTGGATTCAAAGGCTTTTTCACAGCTTTTGGAGCAATGTGCCAACTAGCTAAATAAAATGCAAGAATTTGTATAAATCTATCTAAATCATTTTCCGTTTGATTAGCTGCTAGTAAAAGTTCTGGAATTTGAAAGAAATTAGTTATTCTTTCAAGCATTGATTTCTTTTCTAAAATAAATGTGGGAAGAGTGATCTTCGATAAATCCATTCCTGGTCGTAATTGAGCAATTATCCCCATTAATATTGATTGACCTTCATTATCCATTTCATCAATATCATCTGTATCATCCGCACTTGCTAAATCTTTATTTGAGTGCTCATGATCTCCTGAGTCTTTAAACTTAAGTTTTTCCAATTTAGATGTAAGTCCCATTTTATTACACTCTAAGTTGAACTTTTTAGCAGCTTTATCTTAATTTGGAGAATGAATTTGGTGAATTATTTTATAAAACGTGCACTACTTTTTTCTAACCAAAAAAAGAAAAAAAAAAAAAATAGATTACAGCCAAATCTAACAACAAACGTATACAAATTAGTTTGTAATACAGCCTCAAGCTAATTGACTAAAAGTTCGATGAAATAACGAGATCATTATAGGACTTATTATCAGCTTATTGTTTCAAAGATGACTTTAATTGTCAATTCTGAAAATATGATTGAAATTATGGATACTTTTTGGAGGGTTGTAACACATTACGAGGTTTTTGACGCTAAAATATTGAAGAAGATGATAGATCGGGTTATTGTGGCTATTAATGAATTTTCAAGTGCTGATTATTGCATGTCAGAAGCTGAAAATGAAAGTTTTAAAAAACTTGCAATATTGGCAAAATTGCTTCACAATGTATTATACTTAAAATTTCTTCAGGAAGCTAAATTTGGCTCTGAGAGGAATGCTGATAATGGAGGTGGTGATTCAGATAACGCTATATCGAATTCCGAAGAGTCAGGCCCTGTTGAAGGAAAATCTTATCATTTGTTGCGCTACCAAATCCAAATAATGGAAAATTGGTATTCTAACAATTTGCTGGACCCTTATCTTAAAAAAGAAACTATGCAACAGTTAATTAATAAGACTTCGCTTTCTAAAGCTCAACTAAAAAATTGGTACGTTTTTAATATTATTGGTTGAATCAATCTTATTCCGGGATACTAACTGGTACTAGGATTTCAAATAAAAGAAGAAAGGAAAAAGCTTCAAAAATTAGGTCGGATATCTCATCTATATTACAGAAAGATATATGTCTCTAGCACCAATATTTCCATACTCTTATAAATACTGATCTTGACTTATTCAATTCTCGTTCTTGCTCCAACTCAGCCTTGATTAACTCTAAATCAACATCTCTTCTTCCCAGGTCTAAATCAATGTCTTTTAACTTTATATATAACCTCCAATTTTTTGTGTAAATCTTGTGACATAAATAAAAAACAAGGATAACAACTGAACCTAAATAATTTTGAAAAAAACTAGTGGCATTTGCTTTTCCATTGGAACCTAATGGAAACAAAGCAGTCCAGAATTGAACTCCCAAAACTAATAATAGTAATCCCATTGAATAAATTGTACCATAAATTCCTGTAACTGATTTAAAAATCAATTCATCCATTGATTTACCTTGTTTAAACATTGCAAGTCTAAATCTTACATGACATAAACCAATATTAAACCATGAGAATATGGTTGCTAATCCACTAACGGATAATAACCAGTTAAAAACAGTTTCTTCATCTTTGTAAGCTGATAAAAAACACAACAAACCAAAAATTGCAGATATTATTAAACCAACTAAAGGACGTCCTTTTCTATCAACATAAGCAAATATTGAAGGTGCAAGACCTTGAGCTCCAAGACTTTGAATGGTTCTACTACATCCATAAACCGCACTATTACCAACTGATAAAATCGAAATTAAAATACAAGCATTAAAAATTGATGGTAAAGCATAAATACCTCCAGCTTTAATTGCCAACACAAATGGGGATGCTGAAGTATCACTGGATCCTAATAATTCAGGTGAATCTGCAGGAACTAATAAACCAATAAAAGTTAATGATAAAAAATAAAATAAAAAAAGCCTCCAAAAGATTTGACGAACAGCTTTTGGTAAAGTTTTATGAGGATTGCTTGTTTCAGCACTCGTTAATCCTACTAGCTCAGAACCTGCTAAAGAATATGAAGCGGTAATAAAAGTAACACATAACCCCTTGAATCCATTGGTAAATGGAATTTTCCAATTTTTGCTTCCAATAAATTCATGATTTGGACCACCACCACATACTAAAACCACTCCTAAAATAATAAACCCAACAATTGCAATGACTTTTAATATAGTTAAATAAAATTCAGCTTCACCATATCCTTTTACTCCAAATAAATTGATTGCAACAATAAAAACATAAAAAATAGCTACCCAACTTGCAGGATTTATTTTATCATTCCAATACTTTATGCACATTGCTGCAGCGACTAATTCTAAAGGTAAAACAATTAACCACATAATAGCATAATTCCAACCAACTGCAAATCCCCATGAAGAATCAACAAATCTAGTTGCATAAGTTGAAAAAGCTCCAGCAACAGGAAATGCAACACATAATTCACCCAAAGCATGGATTACACAAAAAACCATGGTACCAACTAATCCATAAGATATCAATAATGAAGCAGGTCCACCTTTAGCTAATGCCCCACCAGATCCAATTAGCAAACCAGTTCCTATACTGCCTCCTAATGCAATCATCTGAATTTGTCTCAGTTTTAAAGATCGATGTAAATCATTATTGTTTGATAATTGATTTGCTTTTTCTACATCAGTTAAATTTATATTTGAGTTTGTTGTGTCTACTCTTTTAAAAGAATCTTTAAATTGTTGCCATTTTGAATTCTTCGGTAGACTTGATTCGGTATATTGTGGAGCTGAATTTATACTTATATCATCTTTTTCATTCGATTTCATATTAATATTGACGATTTAAATTTGATTCGAAAATAAAAAAATTAAAAGTATTGAATTTGAATCTTGTAGATTCCTAAAATTAAAGCTGGGGTTGAATGAGTCAAATTTTTCACCGATAAATTAATTAGCCTCCAATGAGGTGACAAGAATTGTATTTAGCTGCAAAAATTTTTATTTTGAAACGGCATTTTGCAGCAAAAAAAAGTGAGTACAAAAATCAACCATTAAAAAAAAAAATTGAAAGATCAATACTTGAAAGTATTTGTAGAATTAACATCATATTACAACTCAAGGATGGATGGATGGATGATGATGATAAGATAAATACACTATTAACCCTCAAAAAACGGAAGATCTAATTGAAGTATAGTCGTGCAAAGTAATTTCCTCTAAAATTGATTAATCTTTACAAAATGTTTTCATTGGCAGAGTTGTTTTAAATACCATATTATTTGACCTTCGAATGTTAAAAGAAGTTAAAGGAAATTAAAGGAAATTAAGGGAAATTAAGGGAAATTAAAATTTCAAAGAAAACAAGTTGTATTTATAATAGAAACGCTTATAATCGGATTATTCAATAATGCCTCACTCATTACCAAATCGAGTATTCATGTCACGTGTATTTTATCCGAGATCAAAATAAATATTTTATTGATATATTATAATAACCATGTATCAAAACTATACATATGTGAACTCTCAATAAAGCACTGACAAAAGTCTCGGATCAATTTAGTAGAGATTGTATTTAATTTTGTATGAAATGAAAATAGTAAGAGGAATTTCGGTATTTCCTCCTAATTCCGACTAAGAACGTTTCAAGACCCAAATTTCAAGCTTTCATTCATATTGAAACTCCACCACAATGATGCAAGAATGATTAGAGTAGATGAGAATTATACGTCAATGACAAGACTGCGATAGACGTTGTAATTGTAATTTCATTTTTATTACTTTCTAATTATCACCATTAGAATAAAATTTCATTTAGTAAATATAAATCTGCTGGTATTCAACAATTTAATTATTAATTAATTCTAAATGAATTGGCGTCTAAATATGAAATTGTCGTGTAAATTTGCTAATTTACAATGTTTTATTTAAAAGCAGAATAAAAAATACCTCTCGTTCAAAATTACTTTATAATCAAATCTTTAATTAAACAATACATATCATGTCATTCAACTTGCAATCTACTCCAAATTATTGGTGTGATGATCATCAACAACAACAACAATCAAATAATAATATTTTATACGAGGATATTTGTGAATTAAATCATGAAAATATTAATTTATTTAATAATCAGCAACAACAGAAAGATCAACTTCAACATCAAGATCCAGATCAACATCAACATCAACACCAACAATCATTTCCTTATTTAAATACAGAATCAATCAATAACGACCTTTATTCTAATAATTTCAATAATAACTACGGAACTAATCTTTATTATGAAAATAATTTAAATCAACAATATCAACATCAACAACCACAACCACAACCACAACCACGACCATTTGTCAGTCATCATTCTTCTTCAGAATCTTCTCCAAATGCTAAAGTTGATCTACAACATTCTTTGATGTCACCTGAAACCTCTGAAGCTTCTGCTCATCATTTAGCTGATGATACAGTCAATAATAAAACTAAAATCGGTGGTAGAAAAGTATCAAATGTTAAAAATAAAAAGCAATTATTAGATGAACAAGATGCTATATTAATGTCAAAAGATGATTCAGAATTAAATGAAGAAGAATTACAATTGAAAAGGAAAGCTCAAAATCGAACAGCTCAACGAGCATTTAGAGAACGTAAGGAAACTAAATTAAAAGAGTTGGAAGCAAAGTTGTTAAAAAGTGAGGAGGAAAGACAAAAGTTGATGGATCAATTAGAAATCATCCGAAAACAAAATCTTTCAATATCATCGGAAAATGAAGTATTACGAAGTGACCCAAATAATTTAGCTTCTTTGGCTATGAATAATCACCATAATAATCGTATTAATAAATTTACATTTCCAAAAACTCAAGATGATTTTATAAAAGGAGTTATAGAAGGTACAAATCATCAGTATAATAATGAAGAAAATAAAAATAAAATTTATGACGATAAGGAAGGTAATAAATTATTAGCGTTAGGTGCTGTATGGGATTATTTACAAATTAAAGTAGAAGAATTTGATCTAGATTTTAATTCGATAGATATAAAAGAAGTTATGAATAAATTGAAAGGTAGTGAAAAATGTCATGGATGGGGTCCAGCTTATGATAAAACATTGGTTGATCAAGCTATACAAAGTTGTTTAAGTAGTATTTAATTTTGGACTGTTTAAATTTAATTTTTTTTACATTATAAACTTTATCGGTGAACATGTATTCTTTGTTCCTTACATTAAGCTCGTATGTATTTATGTAAAAATGTATAAAAAAATTGGTTATTGTTATGTTTTATATCAATTTTCAGTTTATTTGGTAGAATATTCTTGAAGAAAGACCAAAAAAAAAAAAAAAAAAAATATTATACCAATTCAATATAAACTTATAATTTACTGAATTAATCTTTACAATTAAACAAATGACTACTGCAGAAGAATTTAAAGCTGAAGGTAATAAATATTTTATTGAAAAGAATTTTGAAAAAGCTATTGAATCGTTTACTAATGCTATAAATGCTTCAACTGAGCCTAATTATGTTTTATATTCAAATAGATCTGGTGCTTATGCTTCTTTGAAAAATTTTAAACAAGCTTATGATGACGCAAAAGAATGTGTTAATTTGAATCCTAATTGGCCAAAGGGATATAATAGACTTGCTGGTGCTGAATTTGGTTTAGGTAATTTAGAAAATGCAAAACAAACTTATGAAAAATGTTTATCATTAGATTCAAATAACCAACAAGCTAAAGATGGTTTAAAATCAGTTGAAAATGCTTTAAAAGCTAGAAATACTCAAAATGATTTAGGTTTAGGAGCAATGTTTCAAGATCCAAATTTAATTTCTAATTTAAGAAATAATCCTAAAACAGCTGAATTGATGAAAGATCCTGAATTAGTTGGTAAAATTTTGAATATTCAACAAAATCCAAAAGCTAATGCAACTCAACTTTTAACTGATCCAAGATTAATGACTATAATGGCAACTTTAATGGGTATTGATATGGATTTTCCTGAAGAAAACAAGAACAACACTGAACCTAAGCAAGAAGCCGAACAAGAGGTTAAAGAAGAAATTAAGGAAGATCCTAAAGAAGAAATTAAGGAAGATTCTAAAGAAGAAATTAAAGATGAAATTGATAATGAAGATGTTGAAATGACGGATGCTTCTTCTAAAGATACAGCTGATGCATTTAAAGCTAAGGGTAACACTTTGTATAAACAAAGAAAATTTGATGAAGCAATTGAACAATATGACAAAGCTTGGAACACATTTAAAGATATTACTTATTTGAATAATAAAGCTGCTGCTGAGTATGAAAAAGGTGATTACGATGCAGCTATTAAAACTTGTGAATTAGCGGTTGATGAAGGTAGAGATATGAGGGCAGATTACAAATTAATTGCAAAATCATTTGCGAGATTGGGTAATGTTTATCTCAAAAAACAAGATTTAGAATCAGCAGCTAAATATTTTGATAAATCATTGACTGAACATAGAACACCAGATGTTTTGAATAAATTAAGAAGTACTCAACGTGAAATTAAAATCAAAGAAGCTAATGCGTATATTGATCCTGAACAAGCTGAAGAAGCTAGATTGCAAGGTAAAGATTTTTTTACAAAAGGTGACTGGCCTAATGCAGTTAGAGCCTATGGTGAAATGATCAAAAGAGCTCCAGAAGATGCCAGAGGATATTCAAATAGAGCTGCTGCCTTAGCTAAATTATTATCTTTTCCAGATGCCGTACAAGATTGTAATAAAGCAATTGAATTAGATCCACAATTTATTAGAGCCTATATTAGAAAAGCAAATTGTCAATTAGCAATGAAGGAGTATTCTCATTGTATGGAAACTTTGTCTGACGCAAGAAAAGTGGATGTTCAATACAATCAAAGTAAATCAATTAAAGAAATTGATGATTTATTAAATAAGGCAACTTATCAAAGATTTCAAGCTTTGGAAGGTGAAACTCCAGAGCAAACTATGGAAAGAGTTTCAAAAGATCCTGAAATTGTATCAATTTTACAAGATCCTGTAATGCAAGGTATATTGTCTCAAGCAAGAGAGAACCCAGCAGCATTGCAAGATCATATGAAAAACCCAGATGTTGCTAAGAAAGTTAACATGTTAGTTGCTGCGGGTGTAATTCGTACTAGATGATTGTATATAGAAATATTAATTTAAGAACTTGATAGTTTAATTGTAAAGGTCTCCGTTGAGTCGAAGAATAATATTACTTAGGTTGCGTTACCAAATCTATGACTTTGTATATTCGGTTACTTGTTTATTTTGGGTCACTTTGGTTAGTAAAAATATGGTCCAAGTTTGTATTGTACTCATCAATTAATCGTTCAAAAATTCTGATTAATTGGATCATTCAATACATCAGAAAATTTGGAAAATCACCCTGTTGTAGATTTGCCGAGCCTTTTGGCGGAAAATTAGATATGTTGGATGATTCTGACGATACTGATTGTGGCAGCTTTTGATTCGATAGTTGCGGAGTAGCATTATGAGACTGAGATTGATTATAATTTGATTGGTAAGCTTGTGGATCTGCCGACACAGAAGAAGACGATGATTGTCCTTGCTGCTGAGAATTTGATTTGAATATATGTAATGGAGGACCAGCAGAATTTGATGAAGATGATTCCAGTGTTATTCCAAATTCAGAATTGTATGTTTGTTGTTGATGTTGTTGATAATAATTCTCCTGGTTTACATGATCTTCATATTCTTGGGACCTCACTTGTGTCGATAATGACTGAGATATAGCATGTTTTAAGATTGAATCAATTTTTCTTTCCATTATAGCATTTTTTGAGTTATTCAAATTTTCATAAGGCCTAAACCACTTTTTAAACACGTCAGTAGCAGCTTTTATATCAATACCCAATTGTTCAGGGTTTTTATAAAACTCTGGAAATGACGAGTATAAATCCAAATGCTTTTTTAAGTTTTTAAATTTAGCAAATATTTTAGCCGATGTTTCAGGATTCAATTTTTTCATTAACATTTTTAGTACAATTCTAGTTATAAAATCATAAAGGATTTGTCTAATACAATTTCTTTTAATTTTTACCGACTTATTATGAGTGTAATTTCTATAACTAAAATAATTCATACTAACCTCGATCAAAGTTATTATATCATTAGAATATATGCTGTTGTCAACATCTTCCAAAATCAATCCACCCAAATGTAAAAAAGCAGGAAAAGGATAAAATAAAAAATAACTAAAATTTGAAAAATACATTAATTTTGTGTCAAATCCTTTAACAATTTGAAATATAGTTCTTGCGCAATTAATCGATATTAATTTAAATTTTTCACATTTTATAATAATTGATTTATTTTCTTCAATTGGTTTGACATCTTGTAAAGCAACTCTATTAATTGTCATTAAATGTAAAAAAAAACTCAAATTCAAATAGACAATATTTTCATAACCTAATTCAAGATTTTCTATAATCTTAATGACTCTATTTTTGGGTTTGAATATGAACTTTGGATCATCGTAAAATCTGACAATTAATGGCTCCTCTATTAACTCACCGATCCATTTCATATCTTCGTTCAACACTGTAAGATGATTCAATAGTACAGATAATTTCTCCTTATAAGTTTTTGCAGAATATAGTAACTCATAAGACTTGATCCTATTTTTACCTAAAAAAAACATCACATATGAGATACGTCTGTAGATTGCTTTTGTTTCATTAATGTTATTAATCAATAAAGTATCTTTCTTTTTGGATATTAAGTCTTTATTCATTAATGATTTTATTAAATCTGCATTAGATCTAATTACAGCTCGTGTAATAACATCACTTTCTGAATAACTTGATACCTCATCATCTCTCAAAATTAGCGGCTTTCCTTGTCTAAAAGCATAATCACTATCATAATTCTCACAAAACCACCATAATATTTTTCTTAAATGTTGTTCATCCCAACTCAATCCTTCATAAGTTTCGTTTCTGTGTAAACCTAATTCTAATGAGTACCTTATTGCCACTGAAATTGGAATGAAATTTGTTTTAACTGATGAAATAACACATTCTATGTAAATTACAAAAAGAACTAATGCTTGAACTGTTCTAATTCCTTCACCGTACATGCATAATCTACTGTAATAAAATAGCATTGAAAAAAAAAGCTTTGAATCATATTCAATTAATTCTTGATCGGTTAATGAATTCAAAATTTTTGAATTCTTATTTGGACCGTTATTTTTCTTCATTTTAGTAACATTTCTTTCATCTATTATTGCAGATATACACAATGCAATTGAAACACTCATTATCATTAACTCGCTCCACGAAAAGTTACTTTTAATTTTGTCTTTTTCTATTTCTTCATTATTATTATTATTACTATTCTTAATTATGAAGAATCTATCAAATAATTGTTTAACATACTTTTTATCACAAACATAACTCAACATAAATACCTCGTCAAAACGTGATAAAATTTCATTTGGTATATCAAAATTTGCAAATGTATTGCTCAACAAGTCTGTTCTATTCTTTAAACCAACTTTGATTGGTTGACAAATTGAATCCAAAAAAGCTGATGAATAGAACTCAAATATTTTTGTAATAGTTTGAATTGAGATTATTTCAGAATTCAAATTTTCATCGATCGAACCAAAAATCCAATCAATTGATTTATCCGAAAATATATCAGCAACAGAATGACTACCAAAAAAATTCGATTTCGCTTCAGGATTTGCTGCTTTATTATTATTTGTATCTTCTTCATCTAAATCTTCACTTTCTTCTTGTATTTCGTTAATTGAACGGTTTGTTGTATTATTATGACTATTGGATTTAGAAACTATAGTATTGTTGTCATATTTATTAGATTTTATTTCTCCAAGTAGATCTATCAAAACACTCTCTATCTTATTTAATCTCGAATCTATGTTTTGGAACGATCGAATATCATTTTTTGACGAATTTTTTGTGGATGACGCATTTAATGATGCCGATATTGTACTATTGGTTAAAGATTTTTGACTTTTTAATTTTCTTTCAGAATCAGATGAATAATAACAATCATTATTATTGGATTGCCGACAATTCAAGCAAGGTTGTCCACCATCACATTTGATTTTTTTCTTTCTACAGAAATTGCAAGCTTTTGAAACTCTAACTCTTTTCTTTGGATTTACCGTTGTTAACGGAGTAGAAAGTGTAGTAGAATTCGGAGTTAAATTGGTGGTAGATAAACCGGGAGCGGCATAATTGGGGGGGTTGTTTTCTTCATTTAAACTGTCTTGGGTGATTGTACTACTTCCTCCACTACCGTCGATAGTTGAAGATATAACACTTGGGTGTTCGAGATGCAGTTGCGAATGCAGTCGAAGATGCTGATAGATGTGAGTTTGAGCATGCTGATGATTTGTTAATGGCTGTTGTTGTTGTTGTTGTTGTTGTTGTTGTTGTTGTGGTTGTGGTTGGTGATGCGTGGCACGAAGTGGTGGTGCAAATATATAATCCGAATGCGTATGCAGTTGATTATTATTATCTTCATTCAATTTAGAATGACCAAACTGATGAGAATGATCTGACATATTAAATTATTACTTAAAAGTTGCAACTTTTATTATGCCGAACACCGCTTCGATTAATACCTTTTTTTTTTTTTTGGCTGGTAGTTTAATAAAAAGTTGTCTATCAATGAAAAACTTTATTTAATAATAATTTTTTTTTTTTTTTTTTTTTCACTATTTTAAACCAGTTTTGCAAATTTACTGCAAATTTTTCCCATAAACTAGTATATATATACAAATACTAGCCGATGAACTTTATATATTAACTTTTAGGATGCGAGTAGACTTGATTCTGAGTGAAATTGAGAAACAAAACTCTTTTGACATATACCTAAACATACATAGATACGAAAACAAGAAAAAAAAAAAAAAAAAAAAAAATAAAAAAAAAACCCTTTTAAATCTGGTAATAACAACCGTCAGTTCTAATTGTATAGAATCCAATGCTTACAGTCTGAATAGGATGCTACAACCTAATTCTGTAATTCTATTCTAAACATCTTTTTATATTTAATTGTTAAATTTTTACAACTTAATCTCTACAATTCATTATAAATAAATTGCGCTTTTTTTTTTTTTTTTTTTTTAATTTGCCATAAAGAAAATTCGTGGATAAAAAAAAAAAAATAAAAATAAAAAAAAAAAAAATAAAATAAAAAAAAATAAAAAAGTATCGAGAATGTAAATAAAAGAATACCCAAAATAGACGCTATTCATAAATTAAATTCCATGGTTGTTATGCACTCTAAGCGTCTGAGCCCAGTAGTAGACAATCGAAAGAAAAGATACTACCGTTTTAATTGGACCACAGATTAGTATATGAAATTCTATCTTTTTTCTGCGAATTAGTAAAAAAACTATAACAAGTGAAGTAAGTGAAGCAAATGAAACAATCAGGAATTCTTCCATGATTGATGCTAATAAGTTTTAGTATCAATTTCTTGACTAGAATGTAAAACTTTTTATTATTTCTATTTCATTTGTCAATATTGAGGAATTCACTATTTGAGAATTTACTAATAAATATTCATCATGTTTTTAAGCGGTAATTATCAATTTCAGATTAAAGACGTGCAAAAAACCATTTTCATAACCAAATACAATACTAAAATATGCTTTTCAGTTGGCTCGTAAAGATTCGACAATAAACTACTTCGCTTTTACCTTCCAAATAAAATTGTGATTTTTATCCATTTTTATCCATTTTTATCCGATTTTATCCGATTTTATCCGAGCGTCAAGTGTGTTAATTACTAAATAAGATTGTAATTGATCTTGCACTGTGGACTGTTACATCGTCTTTTTTCGGTGATTCATACATTAACAAAGAATACCTTAAATTTTAAAATATATATTATATTAAACACCTAAGTTATTATCAAAGAAAAAGTTTGGCATATTGTTCATTTGATTGAATATTCCATTATCAATTGTTAGGTATTCAGCAAATAAATCGACATTATCCATGTTTACTAATGGACTACTATTATTGTTATTATTATTATTATTATTATTATTATTATTACTATTATTATTATCATAAAAAACTGGAGTTTTCATACCAGGAGGATTAATGTTAATACCTTTAGCTTTTGCTTCGCCATTATTGTTATTATCTAAAATATTTGATAACGAAGGATTTAATCTTGGGGAATATGGTGATTTTTTATCTTTATCAGAATTGGTGGAACTAAATGGCGAAGCTCCAAAAAAGGTTGATAATTTTGATTTAAACTCCTTATTGTTGGTATTAAAAATTTCCGGTAATATATCTTCAGTTTCATCTAGGTGGTTTTTTAATTCAACGTAATCTTTGAATTGATTTGAATTAACTTTTAATTCATAAACTTTTATAACCACATTCAAAACTAGTCTAATAACAATTTCAACTGTAACATCTTTTGATGATATTGGATCCTTTACAAATGATGATGACGAAATTACAAAATTTTTATACGAACTGAAAAAGTTAATTGATGAATCAATCAATAAATTGATATCATTTAAACTATCAGGAAAATCTGGATGATTTAAAATTGCTGCAGACAACACAAAGAATGCCGATGCTGGATAGAATAATATCCAATTGTAACATGTTGATGTAGTGTTTTCCTTATTTATTTGCTTGATTAAAAATAGCACAGTTCTAGCTGAATTTAAACTTATATTTCTAAATTTTAAAATTCTTTCACTAAATTCGAAATTGTTTGTTTTGACCATAAATGGAAATCTATTAATAATCATCAAATGGGTGAAATACGATAGTTGTGCTCCTAATGAACATTCTCTTTGATCTAAAGGTAAATTAGGATCCATAAACTTAAAATGTGGATCATTGTAGAATCTTGGTTTATATTGATTATGTGAATAAGTTGCTAGTTGAAACATCTCGGAATTCAATTGTTCTAAAGTTGTTGATAATGAATCTAAATCTCTTGTTTGAGCTGATGCAATGAATAATGAGTTATAAGACTTCGATCTAATTTTGGTCAAAATTAAGGCAAATATATGATAATACATTGTGAATTCAGTATTTGTTTGACTAATATATTCCAATAATGATAAAGTGATCGGCTTCGATGAATCATTTAAGACCAAACTTTCATTAATGAATCTTGCACATGATTGATCTTTACCATCGATATTTGAAGATTCTAATGAAATTAATTTACAAAACTGAATCATATCCTCATCACTATTAGTTGTAATATCGTTTATATTTAATATTGGAGGCTTACCACTTTTAAAGCACATTTCAGTGTCAAAATAGAAGCAAAACCACCAAATTCTTCTTTTCCTGGATTGTTCCGCTAATGAAATATTCTGATAACTTTCAGCTCTATGTAGCCCCATTTCTTGTGCATATCTAATCACAACGGATATTGGTATGTAATTAATATGACTTGAAATCCAATCGCATTCGTTATATATGATAAATAATAATAATGCTTCGATTGTTTCAATTCCATCACTAATGACGGATAGTCTATGGTAATAAAATATAGCATTGTTCAACAAGTCATTTTGTAGATTATTCAAAGTCCCATCATTCATCGAAAAGACTTTTTTTTGTAAAATATTGGGGACTTCATCTCTATCAATTTTGGCATTTAAAGCAATCAATAAAACACACGTCATTGTTAATAACTCACTCAATTTAAACCTTCTTCTTTTTGTCATATTTGGTTCTAGTAGGTTATTATAGTAGGCAACAAATAAACTTCTAACATATGATGAATCAACCAACACATTTACCATGGTAATCTCTTTATAATATAAATCAACCAATTCCAAAACTAATGAGGAATCCAATGAAAACGGCGTTTCCAATAATTTTTTTCTTTGTAGTTTGTCAACAGCTGGTGGATCAATCCATTTCATTAAATAAGACTTTAGTTTTGAATAATAAATGAATGGAATATTTCGAATTGGATTTATGTATCTTGCTCCTTTGTCTCCGAGTGTATTCTCCATCCAATCTAATGAATCTTTAGAAAATATGCACATTATAGAATGGACACCAATGTATTCATCAAAAGTAACATTCGAAAGAACATTTCCTGACATCTTTTTGTCTTCATCTGATTCTTCATTATCTGAATCTGTATCAATCGTTGAAGTTGCCCCTGGTACCTCTTCAAAAGAATGAGACGATAAATTCAAATTAGGTTGAGGCTGATTTCTATTCTGCTGGCCTAAGGTTTCAATTGATTTTACCAAATGCGATATAATAGATTCCATGTTCAATAATCTTTGATTTAAATCAACTAGCGTTGTTTCATTTGACTGACCAAGAACATGATTACTTTCAGTTCCATCTTTGAATTTTTGTTGCTGTTGTCGTTGTTGCTGTTGTTGCTGCAGTTGCTGCAGTTGTTGCAGCCTTTTCTTCTTTTTTATCGGTCTTTGTTCGTAATGACATTCTTGATGATCTTTTCCATTTAAACAATTTTGACATGGATAATTTCCATTACATTTAATCTTCTTTCTTCTGCAATTATCACAAGCTACTCTTATTCGTTTGCGATCCTTGTCATTAGGATCATTACCTGTTAAAGATATAAGGTCGGTCTTGGAATTCAATATATTTTCATGGAGTTTATAATTATCTTGAAACTGATTACTGTCATTTTCTGAGTTATCATTGGGTAAGTTTGAACTTTCAGAAGGATTTATTATATTCATCTATGCTTTAAATGTAATAGTCTTCCTACAATATCCGTACTGAAAGATTATCCGAAAGTGAATTGGTTCTTAATATTTTTTTTTTTTTGTTTCCTATGAAAAATAAATTATCAAATATCTTACCGTATATTAAGTACTCACACTTTACATATATAAACAGCATTACTAAACTAAAACCTATTTAATTTATAATTTCATTTGATAAAAACCCATTAACATTATTTGAAATTGGTATCTCATTGAAATTTGAGTTCCAAGACAATTCCCCATAATCATTTGAGTTAATATTATTTATAAATGTATTATCTAAAGCATATTGTGATAGTATTTGATCAACATCAAAGTCAAAAGCATTAAAATCGTTTGATATACTTATATCATTATGACTTATAGGACTAGGATTTGAACTTAATTGTACTATTTTGTTATTATTATGAAGTTGTTCAAAAAATGTTTGATTTAAAAGCAGTTCTTTTGTATATAATTCTAATAAGTCTTCATTTAAATAATCAACTTTATTTACCAAAACTTTAATTAAAGCTCTCGTTATATAGTCGTAGTATAATACTTTACTATTCAAATAATCAATTTCCTCCTCAAATTGAAAAAACTTTACAGATTTAATCAATAATAACCCATCACTATGACTTGATTTTTCATTCGAGAACATTAAACAATTACCTAACAAGCTACAAAATGCAATTAATGGATAAAATGACAAGGTTGTTCTACCAGAAACACTTATTAAATCTTTATTAATCTTGTTGACTAAGTTTAACAATTTTCTTGAACTATTTAAAGATAAATTACCATATAGTAGTAGTCTAGCATCTTCAATTTTGAAATTCTTGATAAATGGAATTCTATTAATTGAAGATAAATGAGCATAGTACGAGCACCTCAAGTGGATCAATTGATAATTATACATATCTTGTTTGCAGGAAAATGGATTCTCAGCCGGAATTAATTCACAGTCGTCTAATTTGGTACCTTTTAACATCAAATTATTCATTTTACTAAAATCCTCATTAATTTCATTTATGATGGTCAAAATTCCTTGAATATTTATACTTGTAGGTATTTTGGAAAATAGTTTATTATAACTTTTCATTTTTATTCGTGTCAACATTAACCCGAAATATGCAAAATAATAATGATAACCATACTTTTGTGCATTTTTAAAAATATTATTGGCATTATCTTTATATTTATCGTTATAAAATAGTGATTTTGGTATGGACAAAAAACATTTATCAAATTCAGTCAATGTTGTTACGTCTTCCATATTTATCAACATCGTCTTGCCACTTTTGTAACTAACTTCACAAGCAATATACTCGCAAAACCACCACAAAATTCGCTTTAACATTGCGGTTTTATGATCCTCTTCTGCATCTATATAATCAATTGAATGTAGTCCCATTTCTTTAGCCATTCCAATAAGATCATTAACTAAGATATAATTAACATGAAAATCAGTAATTAAAGTTATTTCAATATAAATAATCAATAGTGATATTCCTTGAACTGCTCTTAACCCTTCATTAGATTTTGAAATCTTTTTGTAACATTCCATTGAGTTGTTGAACAATCTATTTGCAAATTCAACAATGTTGGTCACTTTTGACAAATTGGGAAATTTAACTGAATCAATATCTTGACCCTTTTTCCAATTTATAAGACATAACAAAACAGATGTATTCATAATTAATAGCTCACTATAAATAAAATCTTCTATTATACCAATATCATTGGATGAGTAACCATAAAAATAAATTTGAAATAATTCTCTAACTGTTGAAATATCACAAAGAAATGGAGCTATATATAAATCTTCATAGTAATACTCTAATATTTCAAAGATTAATGCTTGTTCTTCCAATCTGAAATACATTTTTTCCTTCTCAAGTTGAATTGAATTTGGTTCTGCAAGTAAGTTTGTAGATGTTTTGATAGCTGCTTTAAAAGCAATTGGCAACTGTTTCAAAGGTGCAAAAATATCATCATCATTTCCCTCTCCACCAATGATTTTGCTTTTAATCCAGTCTAATGATTTTGCTGATAATATATAAAAGATTGAATGCGCTCCAAAATATTGCATCATTTTGCGTTTGATATGCAGTGTTAAACAATTCGGTTCACTCGGAGCTAACATATCTTTCATTACTTTTGGGTCTTCTATTGAAACTTCATTTTCAGATTCCTGGGATTCCAATTCTGAATCCAATTCCATTATAAAATTACTTTCTTTACCACTACCAAGCTCTTCAAAATGTTCTTCATCGTAACTAATACCGCTTTCAAGATCATTATTTGTCTCTAAAAATTCAGCTTGATCCTGTGGATCTAATTTACCTATTAGTTTACCAAGTAGATTTTCCAAGACATTGATTCTTGAACTCAACTTTTTTATTGTTGCTTCATCATTACCGTTATTAGGTTTCACTATACCTTTATGATCTCTAGTTTGTTGATTTTTGGTGGTTCTTTTCTTTCTTTCCTTTTGGACTATAATGTATTCACATTTTCTACCTTTTTCTTTACATTTTGAACATGGATTACCACCATCACATTTACTTTTTCTTTTTCTACAAGAATCACAAGCAACTCTAGTTCGTTTTCGCTTCTCACCGTATTGTGTATGTGTAGGATTTATCAAATTATTTGACATCAGAAAATAAAATAATACTTAAACTTCTTGACTTAATATTATGGGATTTGTAAATATTGTTTAAATTTGCCTTCGATTGATTGTGTTGTTAAATATCTAAATAATCTAAGTGCCTACCCTTTTTTTTTTTTATTTTTTATTTTTTATTTTTAATTATTTTGAAACAAATCTGACTTATATGCAGTCTTATAATTGTAAGCTTTGAAGTTTAAACTGTCAATTACTCCTTGGATATGCAATTTCTCGTTTCCAGACTTGTTACATTGAAAGTTCCAATTACTTCAAAGTAAACCCCTTTTATTAATTTTAAAAATACATATTTTTGATCATTTTATCATTCGTTCAAAAATCGCAAAAAAAACGCTAAATTGCAAGATAATGAACATCCAGAGCTTGTGCAGCAACTTCTAAGATAACTGTTTATGTTCATTTAAGCCCAACTTTGATATTCGTTATGCTTTTAGAACTCCACATCCATTTTGAAAATTTATCAAATATTTTGATTCATTTTTGAATAAATGATATTTCAAAGTTTATTAAGTTGATGGAACTACAATTTTTGATGTTTTCGTCATATTTAAATTAAGATTTTAATTATGGGGTTGGATTTTTAGTAACGACAGTTCTCAGTTTATTGTTAATATTATTATTATTAGTACTTATTGAGACTGCATATAAGTCATATATGTATATATATCTATCTATCTATGATATAAATGTATCTTATTTTGGTAGCGCTGGTCTGTCACATATACGGAAAGTGAGTAAGCCATTATGTAAGCATTGGTGATAAGGTGCGCGCCAGTTATTTATTTGTTTACGCACCATATTATTTTGGGAGCATTCTAGTTTATTCTTACAGTAACGGGGGTTGATCACATATACTCAGCCCCCCTCCCCCCTTGGTTAAAATCCACGTAATTAGAAGATAATCATACAATTAGTATAATAATATCAGAATTATTTATTTATAAGTATTTCTAAATGCATACGACTACTTGGTGCTACAAAATTATTTCTTCGCGCTATTTTTAGGGCGATCCGTACTAAGCTTATTGGCTTGTATATCATGAAAAACACATTCTTACGAAATCAAAACCAGTTATATGAAATAAGGAGCAATAAATTATATCTCTCATATAAGTCAAGCTTGGATAATTTAAAAATTTTCTCTCACGAAATTTTCAAACTGATTAAGAAATCTTACAAATACCATAGTTAGAATTCCAATTATTAAATGAACCAAATCAACTATATTAGAAGTTGATAAATGAGGTTCAAGTATTTATTATCTCGCAAAATAGCGTTTTTTTCCATTTTTTAATGAAAAATGAAGTCACACACATTATATTTGACCAGCGCGTATTAATATCAATGTACTCTGATTAGATTGATGATCATAATAAGAATAGTTTGAGAAAGCAAACTTTAGTATTGACGAAGTTTTTCACGATTTAAATATCAAGATAAACTATGACTGGCCTGCGTGCAAGCTCATTTGATTCAGAATTATCTTTTATATGACTGGCCTGCGTGCAAGCTCATTTGATTCAGAATTATCTTTTATACTAATTTATCGTCATATTACTAAAAATATGATTCAACAATTGCAGAAAGCGAGTGACTGGCCTCAGCTACTTATTGCTATTAATAGCTATTGTATGAAAAGCCACCAGAGTGAAAGACTACCTTTAAAAATATTTACTTTAAGACTTTCTTCTACAAACTCGATTGTATGATTTTTGTCCCAATTACGACCTGTGCCATGCCCAAAAAAAATTGGTGTGCAATTCGAGAAAATGAAGCGAGAACGTGCGAAAAACCAAATTTAAACTCGGTTTGTTTTAAACCAGCTTCGGGCCATATTCAAGAAACAAGTCGTGTACCAAACCCATTTCGTTTATATTTTTCTGTCACAATTTATAATTTTTCAAATCGAAATTTGATAATTGAACAAACATTAGAAATGGTGGTTGGTAAAAAAGGAATACCAATAATTTCAAATAAAGAAGATGCAAATTTCAGAGAAGCCTTGAAATTATTCGACTCAAAACAATATAAAAAAGCCTTAAAATTAATTGATTTAAACTTAAAGAAGAATTCAAATCATGCGGAATCATTAGCTTTAAAGGGAAACTTAATTTTAAATTTACCAGCTAATGGGGAAAATAAAGAATCAGATTCTCTTTCTTATATAAATAAAGCTATCGCCAAAGATTCTTCAAATTATTTAGTTGACCATTTGATTGGGATATACTACAGATCAAAAGAGAATTACTTTGAAGCTTCCAAATGGTTAAAATTATCACTTGATAATGGATCCCCCAACAAGGCTATTCTTCGAGATTTATCATTCATGCAGGTTCATTTGAGGGACTACAAATCTTTAAAAGAAAGTAGACAAATTTATCTTGAACATCAACCTGGATATCGAGCAAATTGGACTGGCTTAGCAATTGCACAATACCTCAACAACGAATTAACAAATTCTATAAACACGTTGAGTAAGATTGAAGATATTATTACTCCACACTTGAATGCCTCCGATTTATATGAACATAATGAATGTACATTATTCAAGAATAAAATATATGGAGAATTGAAAGATTATTCAAAAGCATTGGAAGTTTTAGAAGGTGATGAATCTAAAATATTGGACAAATTATCATATTTAGAATATAGAGCCAAATATTTATTAATGATGGATGATAAAAAATCAGCTTCAAAAATTTACCGAGCATTGATTAAACGAAATCCAGACAATGTTGCGTATTATAATTTATTAGAATTAAGTTTAGATACGATCAATAAACCAGTGGAGACTAGGGTTAAATTATATGAAAAATTGTCCAATTTTTATCCAAAATCTGATCCACCCAAATTTTTACCGTTAACGTTCATTCCATCAACAAATCCAATTTTTGAAACCAAAGTTAAAGAATATTTAATTCCTCAATTAATCAAAGGTGTTCCGGCACTATTTGTAAATGTTAAACCATTATATAAGAATCAATCAAAATCTGAAATTATTGAAAAAGTGGTATTAGAATTTGTGGATAATGAACTACCAAATATTCAAAATCCAACAGTTTCAGTATGGACCAATTATTATTTAAGTCAACATTATTTATATAAAAAGGAGTTGATTAAAGCTATGGAATATATTAATATTGCAATTACACATTCTCCTACATTGGTTGAATTATATATCATAAAGTCAAGGATATTAAAACATGAAAATAAAATAGCTGAAGCTATGGAAGTTATGAATGAAGGACGTGAATTGGATTTACAAGATCGATTTATAAATTCAAAAGCAACTAAATATATGCTTAGAAATAATTGTGTTAATGAAGCAATTGATACAATTTCATTATTTACTAAATTAGATGAGGGGACTATTAATGGATGTAAAGATTTACATATAATGCAAGTAAACTGGATATTAATCGAAAGTGGAGAAGCATACAATAGACTCTACTCACATTACAAGTTACAATTAGAATCACAAGAAAACGATACTGATAAAGAAGAGATTCAAGAGTTAGTCGAAATCTATAAAGGATTATCACTTAAACGATTTCAATCAGTTTTAAAAAATTTTGAAATTTTTTATGCTGATCAATATGATTTTCATTCATATTGTATGAGAAGAGGAACACCTCGCGATTATATAGATTTAATTAAATGGGAAGATAAAATTCATTCAACTCCAGTATATATAAGAGCATTAAAAGGGTTGACGAATTTATATTTTGAATTATATGAAGAACAAAAAGGAACTCCCCCTACTGATGATGACATACAAGTCAAAAAGATAAATAAGAAACAAAAGAAAGCACAAGTACAAGCAAACAAAAAAAGACAAGAATTTGCAACGAGAGTAGAGAGTGAAAAAGATGATAGTGATCCATTTGGAATTAATTTGATAAATAACTTGTTGTCGGATGATATTTTGACTAAATTATATGAATTATATAAACCTTTAATTGTTGAAGGTAAGGATTTATTATTGACTTGGGAATCATTATTTAAAATTTACTTATATCAAGGGAAATATGTATTGGCATTACTGGCAATTAAAAATTTTCATAAGTTATTGAATAATAATGGTACTACTACTACTACTACTAAACATTGCAAAATTATATCAAATATGTTGATTGCTTTATCTGATACTTTAAATTCTGATATTGATGTTAATCCTGCAATTAAGAAAGTTGTTGAGAAGGGGATTATTAGTTCTTATCCAGATTTTGAAAAATAGAAACAAATTTATAGATTAGTTGTATATAGTTTTTTATTCACGTATATCGCATCGCATCCTTTATTATTATTACCTATGTATTTATCCAATTATCTACTTGAGATCTAGCTACATTTCCAGCTAAATTTAATGTCTGTTTACCCAAGGGAAAATAACTAACAGTATACCAAATAGCACTAATCAATTGTATAACAGCGAATATAATCGATAATATAACTGATTTTAAACCAAGACTACTTATTAAAGTTAATATAATTGAACTTACAAATACAATTGTAAAAATTATCCTAGTTGAACTAAATAAATGAATCATATATTCTTTAACACCCTGTAATACTCCAAAACTAATAATGAAAAATATAGAACCTAAAGACCATAAAATCGCAAATTTTCTAGGTTTTAAAGATAAGATAGGAAATAAAAATATACAAATTAACCAACAGCACAAAGAACCAGCAAAACATAAAGCAAAAATTAACATTCTATCCCATCTTGATAATTCAAAATAACCTGGCGTTGAAGTTACGTAATTCTCGTCATCTTGTAAATAAATCGATTGAGATCTAAAAGGATTCAATGATTGTAATTTCAGTTTGAAAGTAGATGTAGATGTATTTGATTGAGTTACTGGTGGTGGTAATGGTGCTCCATCCTCATTATCATCACCATTCTGTTGTTGTATTGGTTTATATTTATTATTGAACTGTTTGAAAAAATTCATTCTGGAGAAAGGAAAAAAAAATTATCAACAAATATTACTTACAACCAATGTCAGTTATTACAACAGAAAGACAATTTGTTAATACTTATATTGAATTAATATCATTATCAAATAAACAATCATCAATTGATATAGATTATAATAAATTACAATCTTTGGGTCCATCGTTACCAAAATATAATTATAAATTTCCTCCAAGTACCGCGAATAACGGTGAAAGTTCGTATTTATTGAAATTCAAATCCATTAAACCACCATTTAAGTTCACTACAGAGTTAAAAATAACATCAAATGAATCAATATATAAAATTAAATCATTATTAATTGATCAATTAAATTTGAAAAAAGAAGGAATATCTCCAAATGATATTAAGTTTTTAATCAAATCAAAGGTAGTTAATGATTCGATAAATATAGATAGTTTAGGTTTAGGGTCAAATGAAATATTAATTAATTGTATGATTACTCCTTCAACTAAACCAATAGAAGAAGATCAAGATCAAGATCCAGATATAAGCGAACCATTGACAATTAGTGAAGATTCATGGAATAAAATATATGAAATTATACAATATAACATTAAAGATGTTAATAAATCAAAAGAATTGATTGAGAAGTTTAAACTACAAATATGAGTAACGATGTCCAAAAATATTATATAAAGTAATATATATATATATTAATCTTTATTTAACCAATTTGAATATCTTTTATAAATTAATTCATTTAAACTATGACCTTGAGGTCTATTTACTCTCTTCTCATATAGATAATAAGATATTATACCTATTGAAACACCAATTATCGGATCAGACCATTTTGAAATTAAATAAGGATACTGCATTTTAAAGGATGGAATTAAGGAAGCACTAATACACTATAAATACTCTTATTCTTCTTCTTCTTCTTTTTATTCTTCTTCTTATTCTTCTTCTTCTTCTTCTGTTAACAGTTGTTGATGATAATTTAGTATGGTCGTGTTAAATGTCTTCTCTTCTTCTGTTAAAATATTGAAGTGTCGATTTTTCAATTTTAGTAAAAACTTTTTTCATACTACAATCTGTTTATATTAATAGGGTAACAGTAACAGTAACGGTAATACTAACAGTAACAATAACAATAACAGTAACAGAGGTTGAGGTTTTATAATGGGCGAGTTTCAAAGAAGTTGTTATAAATGTGGTGAGGTTGGTCATTTAGCTGAAGATTGTAAACAAGATGAAAGATTATGTTATAATTGTCATAAAGCAGGTCATGAATCAAATAATTGTACTGAACCAAAACAAAATACTACTAAACAATGTTATTCTTGTGGTGATGTAGGTCATATTCAACTGGAATGTCCTAACCAATCTCAAGGTGCCAAATGTTATAATTGTGGTCAATTTGGTCATATTTCCAAAAATTGTAATAAAACTAATACAAAACCATCATTTAGATCTTCTAATGCTTCGTCATGTTATAAATGTGGTGGACCAAATCATTTTGCAAGAGATTGCCAAGCTAATTCTGTTAAATGTTATGCTTGTGGTAAACCAGGTCATATTTCAAAAGAATGTCATTCTTCAACTGGTGGTGGTGCTTCAAATTATGGTTCTAAAACTTGTTATAATTGTGGTAAATCTGGTCATATATCAAAAGAATGTACTGCGTAATCAGTCACGATGCAAGCAAGCAATTTTTGTAAAAATTGATATATTATAATTGATTATTATGATTTTTTGTAGTGATATAACACGTCTAATGATCTTCTTAATGTCACGGTTCAATAAAATATATATATAAAATAAGTTCTGTAATACTGTATTTATATATCTCTTAAACTCAGTTAAATAACCATTATAGTTGGTTTATTGTTTATTGTTTAATGTTTTTAGAGAACCACTATTGTGTATTATTATGTATTTACAACCACTAAAGTACCAAAATATTAAACGTTGATTAGCGTATAACCATTTTAGTGATAAATCAACCATTTTAGTGATAAATCTTACATCTAAAGGTCTCAAAGTATTTATATCCATCTATTACAAGACGGTTGAAATTTCGGTTTTCCATTTACATACATCTCAGTATCACTACGCACTAACGTACTATACTTAGGAGTATTGTTACTACTGTAGATTTAATAAAAGTTTTGATCCTAATATTTGTTTCATCATAATTCTAACATTTATTCAAAAGTTCGGACTCTTGTTGAGTGCTTTCTTTTATATCAATTTAGAGCAGGTGTACATATATTTAGAGTATCAAACAAAATCAATGAAAATATTCACTCCATGAAAACATTTACTCAAAGTTTTTAATATCAAACAAGAATTATTGATGTATTTTTATTGAGCAAGCTTCAAGTAAGAGAAACTGTACTGCATTGCTAAGTTCGCTTAAAAACCCTTTCAGAAAACAACAGTTGAGACCTTGACCAATCGAATTCGAACTGTGGTAATTTCTTCTCCTAAAGAGTTTCAAGTACCATACATTTAGCATAAAGCCTGGGCGTGTTAGAACTCAATATCAACAGTTAAATGAGAGTTTTTTTGGATATCATTTCTATGCGCTCCCAATGTACATAAAAAAAGAAAATTTTAAATTTACGAACATAATCGCGCTATTTTACGTCTATTTTGCGCTTGTTCCCAAACGCAAATAAAGTCAATTTATTTTTGTTACAATGTTGTTATTGTCAATTAATACAGAAGAGTTTTCAATATACTAATACTGTTATGCAATTAATTATTTCAAAGCCATGTAATAAATAGTACTACAAGGACATTTTCTATAAAAACAAGTGGTAAAACAATCATGATTGAAACGTTCCTGATAAACCTGATTCAGACATGTTTGTTTGCCCGTCTCAATAGGATTTGCAGCATGCATCCTGGTCTTTTAGATGTTTCTCAATAAAAATATGAAGTAAGCTCTGTTCCAAGAGTTATGTAATCGAATGTTCTTTACAATCGTACCTTTCAATTAATTATTAATCATTATTACATTAATTTTATCTATATACTCAGGTCATATAATATTTAGGACCATCACCACCTTCAGGAACTTGCCAATTAATATCCTGAGCCGGATCTTTAATATCACAAGTCTTACAATGAATACAATTTTGAGAATTAATTTGAAATTTAACATCTCCTTTATCATCTTTTAAATATTCATAAACGCCAGCAGGACAGAATCGTTGTTCAACACCTTTATATTTTTCCCAATTCATCTTTGAATGACGTTTTAAACTTTTCGATTTTAATTGTAAATGACATAATTCATCCTCATCATGAAATGTACCCGTTCTACTAACAGATGTCAAAATATCAAAAGTTAATTCATTATCTGCCTTTGGATAATTAATAGGTTTATAAAGTTCTGCATTTTTTGTTTTTGCATAATCTGGTGTTTTGTTATGTAATGTCCATGGTTCATTCCCATTCGTGATCATTGTTGAAATACCACTATGTATTAACCCACCAATTAACCCAAATTTCTCAAATGATGGACGAACGTTCCTTACCTCATACAATTCTTGATAAGCCCATGATTTCTTGAATTCAGTTTCATATTCAACTAAATCTATAATTTCTTGATCCTCAAAGTTCTCCTCGTCTACTGAGTCCAAATGTTGTACTTTTTTGTATATTTCTTCAGCTGCTATAATTCCTGATTTAATAGCCGTATGAGTTCCTTTTATTTTTGGAACATTCATAAAACCAGCAGAACAACCAATTAAAACTCCACCTTTAAATGTCAATTTTGGAATTGATTGATATCCACCTTCATTTAATGCCCTTGCAGCATATGAAATGCATTTCCCACCTTTCAACACATCAGAATAGACAGGATGTTTTTTCAATTTTTGAAATTCTAAATATGGAGAAATATAAGGATTTGAATAATCCAACCCAATAACTAAACCAATTGAAATTAAATTATTTTCAAAATGATACATAAACGCGCCTCCATACGTATCTGAACTCAAGGGATATCCAATTGAATGTAAAACTTCACCACGCTTAAATTTAGAAGGTTCAATTTCCCAAACTTCTTTAATTCCAAGTCCATAAGTTTGTGGATCGCTATCCTTCCTCAAATTGAATTGATTAATTACTTTTTTACTTAAACTTCCATGACAACCTTCAGCCAATATAGTAAATCTTGAATAAAATTCCATACCTGGTTCATAACTATCTTTTGCAACACCATTTTTGTCAATTCCCATATCTTGAGTCACTACTCCAATAACACCATCTTTATTCTTATTGTAAATTACGTCAGATACTGATATTCCAGGATACATTTCAACACCGAGTTCTTCAGCCCGTTCAGATAAGTATTTTACAACATTATTTAAACTAACGATGAAATTCTTGTTTTTGTTCGTCATTTGAGGTGGTTCGGGTAGACTATAACTAGAATTCTTGGTTAAATATAACATATGATCTGAGGTAACTTTAGTAATTAAGTCAGAAGGTAACGCAATACCCTGGGGATTGATTTCATTTGGAAATAATTCATTAATTGATTTAGGTTCAATTACGGCCCCACTAACTATATGGCTACCGAAATCTGATGATTTTTCAAGAATCATGACCCTGAGACTATCATTTTGATCTAACTGTTTTAATTTAATGGCTGTACTTAAACCACTCGGTCCACCTCCAATGATACAAACATCTACAAAATCTTTAACTCTTTCAACTGGAATACTATTGAACCTTTTCGGTATATATTGAAATGTCCATCTAGATATACTTCCCACTTGTATCGAAGTGAATATTCGTTTTATCATAAATTGTAATTAATATGACTCTATAGAGTGAAAAATTTCAATACAAAATACATCAAATGTTACTAACGTTTTCCTGCATATAACCAGATTCTATTATCAACAAATCATATCAACTAGATTAATAAGGTAGAACAACATTGTAGAAATATGAATGATTTAGTAGTTGTCTGTTGAGAGAATTGTTTGAGCTCTGTTTGGATACGAGGAAAGTGTCATAGGTCAGACTGATTTGAGGATTCTACTTTTCGAATCGTCTTGGTTCGATTGAAACTTGATGATTATGAGTCATGTTCAATTTTTGTGACTCTTTGGCTTACCTTTTTCTACAAGATATTGTCTAATATTTCTAATGTTCATATACTCATCACTTAAGTGTTAATAACACAATTGTCTCTAATTCTAACTCTAACTCTAAACCTATTCATCAATTCTATGATATCCAAAGTGTTAATTCTTTCAAATTTAATTCTTGTAACATATCAATAGCTAAATTCCAATCATCATTTGAATCCATTACAACAAAATCCCCATCTTCATCTTTATACCTTAGTTTATTAATCAAAATATCATCGGTTATTAAATTGCTATTGACAATTTTATTACTTATTTTTGAATATAATTCATTAAATTGTATTAATGAAAACACAATTAATTCATCTTTGAGTTCTATTGAATTATATATTATTTTAACCGTGATCTCAAATTGTGACGGTGGTATTATATTATTTGAACTTGATGGAGTAGTACTTGATGATGAAGATGATAATCTTGAAGTTGATGATAAATCACCAGATTTAACTCTAGTTACATTTTTCATCATACTTAAAGTTGAAGAAGATGAATGATGTCTCGAACCGGAATTTTTAACATCTCCATTGTTGGAACCATTCCCTGTATAATCATAAATGTTTGAATCATTTGATGAATTCAGATTTCGAACCTTTTTATTCATAACTTCATTCATTTCAATTGTTTTTAAATTTCTTAATAAATTTTCCCATTGATTTCTAGTTTCTTCAGTTCTATATTTTAATGTAAATGATCCAGATTCCTTTTTACCACTCCATGATATAATTAAAGTATATCCTAATAATGAAGGACTCGAAATATTATAAATTTCAGATATGTATACCCTACCTTTTAATTCCAATGGAGATGTTTTATTTATTTTATTAAGATCATTTAAATTTGTCGAACTGTTTGAATTTGAAGAAGATGTTGATTTCTTTCTTGAAAATTTTAATTTATTCTTATTTGAATCTATTTGATTTTGTAAATTATCTATCTCAATGAAAAAGAATATAATTTTTTCAAATAAATAAGCAATATATTCTTTTTCAGACTCTGAATCTTTAACTAATACTTTCCCATGTAATAATAATTCACCTTGATCTTTTAAATTAAATCCTCTCCAATTATTAACTCTACCAACTAATAAATTAAAATTTTCAACATTTTCAGATCTTCTTTGTGCTTCATTTACTTGATTTGCAACTTCTTTCATTGAATTTCTCGCAATTAATAATTCATTAAATGTTGAATAATTTTCATCTTGTTCAATTTGAGAAGTAGTCTTTATTAATTCTTTTAATAATAATGGATATTTACATAATCTTTGGATTGGTTTTAATATAAATGATTGTAATTCAAATCCAGGATCAATTAAACTTGAAGATTTTTTTAGGTTCTGAAATTCTTTTTGGATTAAAGCAATTGCCGTTAATTGTCCAGTTGTCCATGGTTCATAAGCTTTAAAAGGGCCCAAACTAGCATGAATAAAAGCACTTCCTATTCTACTATATTTAAATGGAACATTAATATTACATTCTAATGCATTAAGAAACCTTTTTTGAAAATCAATAATTTCGTTTATGTTTGGAAATAATTGATCAATTTGTTCACTTGATAAAATTTCCGCATCAATTAATTCATTTCTATAATTTAATAATAAATCTAAATCACTTACATATTTTCTTTCAGTTTCAATAATTTCTCGAAAAACTTTTGATCGTTCATCTGTAATTTTAATATTTCCAATTAATTCAGTTTCACTATCACTTTCTAATTCTTTTTTATTTATTAATAATCGATTTACAACTTGTATTATTTTAATTAAATCTTGACAACTATCATTAAATACATTAGAAATTGTAAACATTTTTTCATCATCAAATTTAAGATAAGTCTTTACTGCTATTAAAAAATCATAAACTGATTTCTTGCATATTCTTAAATCATCTGAACTTATAATTGGTATTTGATAATCTTGATAAATATAATTAAAAATTATACATAATGGAGCACCCATTTGAAATAATTTCCATAATTGAGTTGCTGGATCAACACTTATATTAGCAGGTAAAATACCAGCAGTGAATGTTAATAAATGTGATGTAGCGATCGAACTTGAAGTTGATGTTTTATTTAATGTATTTGATGATGATGAATTAGTTGACTGTATAGATAATCTATTTAAATCATTATTTAAATCACTAAATTTATTTTCAATTTTATTTTGCTCTTGAGCTAATGATAATGCTTGTTGTTCGCTTAATTGTTCAGCTTGAAAAAAAGCTTGATCTAAAAATGGTTGTAAATTGGGAATTTTACTTAATTTACGTTTTAATATTTCACATGAATAAAATAAATGATCTTTTGATGATGACGTTTTATTAAAATTTAATGATAACTGTGATGAATTTGTTGAAAATGATCTTAACGGTGGAGGAGGATGATTCATTTTTTGTATAAAAACAAATTATACAATTGAAAAGTTTGAAATAGGATAAAAATAAAGTCTAATTGAGTATAAAACAAACACTAATAAATCAAATCTATAGTATTCAACGTTAAAGTCTTGTTAAATGAATTGGTAAATCTTGTTGATAATCTAAATTCGATTTTTTTCTTTTGATTTTTTTTTTGTTGTGTTTCGAAATTTCGAACTGAAAATTGATCAAAAACTGAGAAATAAACGAAACGGTGAAGTCAAGTTGATGCGTAGAGTATATATAATTCAATGCTCCTGATTTGAATCAACCTGTTTATAGTTTGAGAGAGTGCATAGATCACGACTTATAAGCCAATATAATTGCTACGAGGTCGCCCTATAGCTAGCGCGAGAAATTATTTTGTCGCATCAATCTATCGCATTGAAAAATACATATTTTCTTCAATAATTCTGAAACATATTTTTATATGCAGTCCTGTAATAGTTAATCTTGAAATTTGAATTGTAAATAATTCCATCAATAATCAAATTTTCTTTCTCAACTAATCCTAATATGAGTGTCAGTTTATTTAGAGTAATTGATATTGATATGCATTGGATAAACTTAGTTTTGATGATTTTATCCATCATTTAAAAAATGGAAAAAAACGCTATTTAGCAAGATAAAAAACACTTAGACCTCAGTTGTTAACTTCTAATATAGCTTATTCGTCTATTTGATTCTTGAGATTAATTGTATAATGTTTTTAAGACGCCATAATATGTTTAAATTTTTGCAAAAATTTCGTTTCACCTATGAAAAATTACTTTATCAATTTTAATAACTTAACATAAAAATATTTTAAATATATTATAATACAGAACTATAAAGTTTGATAGTTTTACTATACTCTAGTTTGAGAACTCAATGTGGAATTCGATTTTTCCCATAGTTAAGAAAAATTTTTGAAATTTCTCAACTTTAGTTCAGGTCAGCTAGAATTAAGTTCAGCAGTTTGATTTGATTTATCTTATATTGAAACCGGTATTTAATTGAAAGTTATGGCCGTAATTAAATTATATCCTGCTTTTTATTTTGGCAATTTTTTTATATGATGAAAATTACCAAAATGACAACTCGAAAAAAAAATTTTTCAAATTTGAGTATTGAAATATGTGCAATATATAAATTATGGCTCCTGAAATCATTGAATTGATCTTTATTGCGTGAGCTTGCGTTGGTCAAGATTTATAAGCCGATCATTATAGTACGAGTCGCCCTAATGCTACCGCGAGTAACATTTTATTGTGGCATAATTTTAAGCGAGGATTCAATACTAAAAAAAATTCATTCTGAAACAGATTTCACTTATATGCAGTATCATGTTACATAATCTTGAAACTGAATTTGGATATAACTCCGTCAATATAATATACAAGCTCTTAGTGTCGAAGTTAATTCATTGAAAGCTTCAAAAATTTCAGGTCAAGAATACATCAGTATAGTTTGACAAGACACAGACACTTTTCATTTAAAAAATTGCAAATATAATTATAATTAATAGTATATTCAATTAAATAGTTGTTGTTACAATTTATATTAGAATTCATATGGTATTTATCGATGATTTACAGTAGTTTTAAGCATCACTGTTAACGTTGTACCATGATTACTACTATAACATAATGAAGTTTTATTTGGAAACCATTTAACAATACTATATGTCATATTACCACTTGAAGTATTTGGTATTTCAAATATAACTTCACTACTTTGATAATCATATAATTTAATATTAGATGATTTATCATATGATATTCCAATATATGTTCCATCTCTACTAATATCTAGATTTGCAATACTTTGATCTACATCAGAAATATTCTTAAGGTTAAGAAATTCTTGAGTATTCCATATACTTACAGAACCTTCTTGTGATCCACAACAAAAATATGAACCTCTTGGATTAATTGCAATTGAAGTTATTGATGATTTATGACCTAATAATTCTTTTTTCAATATCAATTTATCCAATTCAAATTCAAATTTAAATAGTTTAATTATACCATTATGTAAACCACATATAAAATAATCATGATTTAAATTAAACCATCTAAGGTCATAAACATAATCTTCTAATTGAATTTTATGTATAAATTTATAATTTTTTGAAACATTAAAGAATGAAATTTGTTTTTCATTATCAATACATGAACAAATTTCACCATCATTTGAATATTTAATTAATTTTAAGCCATTAGAATTAGTTTTAATTGAATTTTCTAATTGACCATTTTGACCTTTCCAAATTTTAATATATTCATCTTTTGCAACCGTTGCAAATTGACAATCAAATTTTGGATTAAAAGCAATACTTTCAATTGTTTTATTATTACCATGAGCATTTTCTATAGTAATTGTATCTCCAATTCTATCAGGATAAGTTTTCCATATTCTTATAGATTTATCAGTTCTTGATAAAACAATAGTTGAACCAGTTTGATTAATTTGAATTGTTATAATTTCTGAAGAACTAGTAGTATGACCGTAAACGGGTTTGTCAATTATTTGTTGAGGTTTAATATTTTGAAAGAATGATCTATTCTGAATAGCATTGGACATATCTAAGAATGCAGTAAGGATGTACTAAGGATGTTATTAATCCTATATGCTATATAGTATTCTATATGGTCTATAGTATATTGATTCGTATATTGATATTTTTTTTCAGCCAAGGTGAAAAATTATCAATCCATCAATCAACGTATAACCAATACGAATAGTAATAGTAAATGTCTTCATCACGACCTCCTAAATTAATATCATTGGATGCTTTTGCTAAAACTGTTGAAGATGCAAGAATAAAAACTACAAGTGGTGGTTTAATTACTTTACTTTGTGTATTTGTCGTTTTATTATTAATTAGAAATGAATATATTGATTATACTACAATTATAACAAGACCTGAATTAGTTGTTGATAGAGATATTAATAAACAATTGGATATTAATTTAGATATAAGTTTTTATAATTTACCTTGTGATTTAATTTCAATTGATTTATTAGATGAAACTGGAGATTTACAATTAGATATTATAAATTCTGGTTTAACAAAATATAGAATTATTAAAAATAGTGATGATAATATAAGAGAAGAAATTGATGATTCTCCTGCTTTAAAACCTGATATTTCTTTAAAAGAAATGGCAAAGGGATTACCTGAAGGTGATAATTCATATTGTGGTTCTTGTTATGGAGCTTTACCTCAAGATAAAAATCAATATTGTTGTAATAATTGTGAAACTGTCAAAAAAGCTTATGCTGAAATGAAATGGCAATTTTATGATGGTGAAAATATTAAACAATGTGAAGATGAAGGTTACGTTTTAAAATTAAAAAATAAAATTGAATCAAATGAAGGTTGTAGAATTAAAGGAACAGCTAAAATTAATAGAGTTTCTGGTCAGATGGATTTTGCTCCTGGTGCTTCTTTTACTAGTGAAGGTAGACATGTTCATGATTTATCTTTATATATGAAATATAAAGAGAAATTTAACTTTGATCATAAAATTCATCATTTATCATTTGGTAATAAAGAAAATAATAATAAATTAAATCAATATTTTGATTCAATTCAACCTTTAAATGATTATATTTTTAAGAAAAACTCAAAATTTCATCAATCAACTTATTATTTAAAAATTGTAAGTACAAGATTTGAAAGTTTAGATAAATTAAAAAAAGATGAAACAAATCAATTTTCTGTTATAACTCATGATAGACCATTACAAGGTGGTAAAGATGATGATCATCAACATACATTACATGCAAGAGGTGGAGTTCCTGGTGTTGTATTTAATTTTGATATAAGTCCTTTAAAAATTATAAATCGTCAACAATATGCAAAAACTTGGTCTGGTTTCATCTTGGGTGTTATTAGTTCAATTGCTGGAGTTTTAATGGTGGGTACTTTATTAGATAGATCAGTATTTGCAGCCCAGCAAGCAATAAAAGGTAAAAAAGATTTATAAAATTAAACGTTATTTACATTAATAATAATAATACTCTATTTACAATTTCTATACTTCACTAAATAAGTGTTCAATTTCGTTAAAGTTTGGTAGATAAGTTTTCAACTCTTCTTTTGTTAACCATTTATAGTCATTCTTCTTATCTTGTGGTTCATAAATACCTGATAATATATGTGATTTGATAAAATATTCTTTATTATTATTTGACTCTTTTACATGACATGGTATTCTTGAAACATTATAGTAATTTATTTTATCACCACCAATTTTATATAATCCAGATTCAGCTAATTCATGTAATGAAGTCAGATTCTTTTCATTCTCAAAAGTTGGTAAAATCCATGAGTCATTTACTTTTATAATCAAATATAAAGTTCTTTCTAATCTTCTTTCTAAACTTTTATCATCCTTATTTAAATCAGCTTTTGTAACTCTTTGATTTGGTATAATTTTTCTAGTTAAATCATCTTTATTAATTAATTCTTCTCCATTATTTTTCAATTTTTGTTCTTCTATTTCTTTAATTTGTTCTTGACTTAGTTCATCAATTTCTTTATATGGCTTTGGTGCTTTTATATATTGTCTAAATCTACGATCTCTACCTTGTTTTAAATCCGGTATACCTCTTGGATATAAAATTTTTGGATCATATGACATTGATCCTTTATTTAATTGTTTATAACGCAATTCAGCTAAAGTACCTTGGTTGAAATAAAACCATTTTGGAAATGTCCACATTAATCTTCTCCATAATTCTTCTTGATATTTATAAAATAATTTTTCAAATTTTGATAATTCAGTTGTTATAACTGGTAATCTTGATAATATCAAAGTCAGTGAAATTTTGGGGATATTATTGGTAGTTGACTGTGAATACTTTCTTAATATTCCATTGGATAAATGTTTATTCATTCTATTCTATTGCAAAGGTAAGGTTTTTGATTTTGAAAAATTTTTAAAACTGATACCAATTTTTTTTTTTTCGCATTTCGATTCTTCAGCTCTACAAATCATTAAATCGACACGATAATTTCTCGCGCTAACTCTGGGGCGACTCGTATTAATCTCATTGGCTTGTATGTCATGAACAACACATTCTCTCGAGATAAATACCGATTATATCAGATCAGAAGCTCTGAATTGTATACTGTACATGGGTAAAGCTTGGATATTCTATTCTTGTAAAATTTTTTTTTCGAGTTGTCATTTTGGGCTTTCTTCATCATACAAGTTTGTTTCGAGTTGTCATTTTGGGCTTTCTCATCATACAAGTTTGTTTCAAAAAATGTAAATCTATATATCTATTAATTTAGGCCCACAAATTTCAAATAAACAACGGATTATACATATAAAGGCCTAGTAAAAGATGCTTGACTTGATTCTAGACGCCCTCAACAAAAATTGAGAGGTTTCAATTTTTTCTCTTAACTATGGGAAAAATTGAATAATTGACCTTACGAAAAATCTAATTCCACATTGAGTTCTCAAACTAGAGTATAGTAAAACTATCAAACTTTATAGTTCCGTATTATAATACATTTAAAATATTTTTATGTTAAGTTATTAGAATTGGAAAAGTATTTTTTCATAGGCGAAACGAAATTTTTGTAAAATTGTCAAACTGATTTTGGCGCTTGGAAAACACTATAGGTAATATATTTGAAACTGAATAAACTAAGCAAACTAAAAAAACTATGTTAGGAGTTGCTACATCATATCTAAGTGTTGGGTAACTCCCAATTTAGCGTTTTTTCCATTTCTTAAATAATTAATAAAATCATCAAAATTGTGTCTTTATGGACAGAAATAACATCAATTTACTCCAAATACACTAAAGCTTTCATGCAAAAGAATACACTGAAGCTTTCATGAAAAAAATTCGACATTTGCAGCATCAATATTGAGGCTGTTATTCACAAATTAAGTTTTGAGAATGACTATTGTGATACTGCATATAAGTCAATAAATATTAGACCTACGTGCAACGAGCTCTCGTGCGAAGAATTCTTTTATCGTAGGCGAAAGCTTGCACTACGGTTCGTTCCAATTTCGAATAACAAGATTGTCGACAGTAGCAGATTATAGACGTGCAAAAAATGTTTGGACCAAGTTCTAAAGAGATCTATAAAACGTTTTATAGGTGGATTGAGCATATTGAGCATATCGAGCTGGTTAGTAGGGCCAGTCATCTATATAGTTCATTCTTCAATTTGGTGATTTCAATTTTCATTTTGTAAACATCTATAATGTTCAATGGAGCTTATTATTGTACCTATCTAATTACTTACTTTCTTTTTTTTTTTTTTTCATTACTACATTATCATTTACAATTCTGTACCACATTAATAAATTATCATCAAATGTTATCAAATGTTGGATCAGCTTACAATTCATTCAAGTATTGTTTGTTAGTGACTTTTGCAACCAAAACAAATATAGTCGTGTACAATCTCCCAATTTCACCAATCATGAAAATCAAAAATCAACAATCAACAGTTTTTCAAAATTTTTTTTTCTTAATAAACTCATTGCAAATAAAAGTTATATTGTATATGAACATACTTAATTAAATATTACATTTGTATATATATTAATTAAGAGTTCCGTTATAAAAAATAGTATATCATTTACCATTTAACAAAGAAATATTATCCATAAAGTAAATTTATCTATTTTTGTATAATTGTTGACATTATCACCCTTGGTTAAATTTCGTATAAAAGTAAAAAACATTTAATTTAAGTACTACTACCACTATTACTACTTCAGCAATTAAAAAAAGTCTAGTATTTATTTAAATTATTGTCTAGTAAATTGTTTGTTCAAGTGTTTTAAATAATTAGAGAAGATAATTTTCAAAAGTCAAATTACAACAAAAATACATCAATTTAAAAAATAAAAAATGTCAAATACGGATCCAATTAATTCTTTTAATACTATTCTTAAAGAACTTCAGGATTTACCACCTCCTGGTGTTTCAGGCTCTAGAATTAAAAAGCTAACAGATATAGCTTTACAAAATTTCAATGAAGATAATGAATCAAAAATTGTAACCTCATTATATTCAAATTGTAAATCAATTAATTCTAAAAATAAGTTGGGGATGTTATACGTAATTGATTCAATAGTTAGAAAATATAAAGATGAAGCAGATAAAAATAACTTAGAAATTTCCAGTAATAGTGAAGAAGGTACTTTTGCTTCTGCAGTTTTTAAAATTAGTGAATTGATCGAATCTATAGTTGATGATGCTTTAGAATTTACTGTTGATCCTGCAACAAATTTAAAAATTAGTAAATTGATTGATATTTGGGATAAATATGAAACTTTTCCATCTGATATTATTAAAAATATTAAGATTAAACATTTTCCATCTTATACTCCACCTGGAACTCCTCCTAAAACAAGTGTTGAACCAATTAAACCAAAAAATAATGCTCAAAATGAATCAAATAGTATATTAGCTTCTTTAGCTTCTTTAGCTTCTTTAGCTCCAAAATCTTCAACTCCACCATCTGCTCATTCAGATGTTAATCCTAATCCATCTCAACAACAGACACAACAGCATAAAAACGTGGAAACAAATAATATTTTATCTCAATTATCTGCTCTTGCGGGTAATAATAATACTACTACTACTAATACTAATAATAATAATAATGAACAAATATCGTTACAACAAGTTCAAACCGCCTCACCACCTGCAGCCAATAATGAACAATTGATTTTAAATATGTTACAACAAATGCAAGGTCAAAATGTTGCTCAATCTCAAGTACCAGAAAATAATTATCGTAGTTCTCGTGATACTTCAGTTGCTAAAAGAGACAGATCTAGATCACCAAGAAGAACTTCAAGACCTGCTCCAAGTCCATCAATTGCCAGTTTAAAACAAAATCTACAACATTTGAAGCAAATCAAGGCTCAACAACAACAACAACAACAACAACAACAATTTCCAGCTGTGAATCGACAAAATTCAATCCAAAACTCACCACCAATTCAAAATCAATCTGCGTTTGTTTCACCTCAAGAAATGGGTGGTGAATTAAATTTGCCAGGTACTGCACATTATAGACCAAGAGATGTTGGATTTGATCCAAGTTGTGCACAAGGTGCTATAAAAGTTTTATCAAGAACATTATTTATCGGAGGAGTACCAAAAGGCATGGATGAAAGAGCTTTAGCTCAGGTTTTAAGACCGTTTGCTGAAATTCAATCCGTTATTTTAAATAGTGAAAGAAAACATGCATTTGTTAAAGTTTATTCCAGACAAGAAGCTGAACAAGTTATATCAAATTTTAATAAGGATAATTCATTACCATTAAGAACTAGGTGGGGTGTTGGGTTTGGACCAAGAGATTGTTGTAATTATCAACATGGTATATCAATAATTCCAATTCAAAGATTAACTGATGCTGATAAAACTTGGCTTGTGAATTCACAATGGGGTGGTACTGGTGGTCAACCAATTTCATCAGGTATGTGTGTCGTTGAACCTGAAATACAAGTGGGTGCTGGGTTATCCAGTAAAGCTTTAAGTCAAAAGATGCCAACTAATTCTTCAAGAAATGGTCCAAAATCTAATAGACCAGGTGAACCAGATGATCAATATGTTCAAACAACTTTATTAGGTTCAAATAATATTCAAATGAGTCATGGAGCTCAACCCGATTTTAATACTTATCAACAATCAAGTATAAATCCATTACAACAATATAATCAACCACAACATCAACAACAACAACAACAACAGCAACAACCAAATACTTTACCACCAAATATATCAGAAATATTAATGCAAGCAATGCAAGGTCAACAACAACAACCCCAACCTCAACAATATCAATAATCAATAATCAATATATATATAGCATAAGTGAATAAATTTTGCAACCAAATTTTTCGATCTCTCTCTCTAAAAAAAAAACAAAATTGTATATAAATAAACAATTAAAGATTAACAAGTTCGTATTATTAGATGTCTCAAACTTCAAACCATTATGCAAGTTTAGATCCGCGTCGACTGCATAGCAGAAGCTCAACTGGTTCAGCCAAAGGAATTACAGTTCTTTCAGATAGTTCTCGAGCTTCAGATGTTAGATTTAGCCCCACGAAAAATACAATTAAAACCAAAACGTACAAAAGAAAGAGAATTAGATATCCTGATGAACCAAAGAACAAGAAAAAGATGACGTTAAAATCTAGTTTGGATAAAAGGGAAAATAACAATGTTTTAGAAAATGCAAATATAAAAAGAGTCAATAATTATAATGAAATGAATTTATCATCACATAACGAAGAAGAAAGTGACGACGATGAAGGATTTAAAACAATAGATATATCTAAAATCAATTCTCCAACAAAAAAACTTAAAAATACTCCATCACCTTTTGCGCTGAAAAATTATGATTTACAAATCCAAGGGCTTATAGATATAAGTGATGAAGAAGAGGAGGATAATCAGATTAAAAGAAAGTGTAAAGATTTTAACGTGGATCCAACTAATATAATATATTCAATTTTGCAAAATTCCAAGAATAAGAAAGTTGAAATCACCAGGAAGTATAAATCAATGAAGAATTTAAACCTACCGAAAATTATAAGATCTGCAAATCAGTTATATACGAAAGCAGAAAAACATTTTGTAATTATACCAAAAATACTATCAGCAGAAGAATTTCCTAGTATTTATTATGCATTAGCTAAGAAAGAAGCATCTAAATCGCTTCATGAAACAATGTCAAATAATGATCTTAAGAAAATTGATTTAATTAAGTTTTGTGGTGGATATTATGGTTTTAAAAGACAATCAATTATCGGATCATTTATTATGGAAAGATATAAACTGGAACTTAATAAATATAACAAGAATAAAGTTATTCAATGGTGGACGAAACAGAATTTTGCAACTTATGTATTAGCTAATGAAATTATAATACGAATGATTATGGAAGATTTAAATTTTACATTTGAAAGAGCTGAAAAATTTTGTCAATTATCAATTGATTATGGCACAACAGTAGCTGATACAATTGATGTTATAGATGATAAAACAGAAGTTAATCCATTAAATGTAGAAGATATAGTAATTGAATAGATATACTACTACTACTACTACTACTACTACATTATACGTAAGTCTTACTACTACTACTACTACTACTACTACTACATTATACGTAAGTCTTACTACTACTACTACTACATTATACGTAAGTCTTACTACTACTACTACATTATACTTAACTCTTATTTTATTTGGTGATGATCATCATCAAAAAAACTACCAATTGATATTTAATATTTCCAAAATACTTTATATCAACAAGTTAAAGTCGGTTATTAATCCGACTAATAAAGTCAATTTATATAAATTTTTTTATTATAGTAATACGATGTTTAATGATATTGTTTTTACAAAAGATATTTCATGTTTTGCTGTTACTGGTAAAGATGCATGGATGAGACCCAACCCACAACCAATTCAAATTTCTGTTTATTTAAAAACAAATTTTCATAAAGCTTCATTACTGGATAATTTAAAATATTCAATAAATTATGCTATTTTAACTAGAAATATAACAGATTTTATGAAATTAAATGAACATAAAAATTTTAAAAATTTAACAAATATAGCTGAATCAATTAGTCAAATTTGTTTAGATAAATTTAATGGTGGTGGTGGAGGTGATATTGTGAAGGTATTAATTAAATCTCCAAAAAGTGAAATTAGAGCTGAAAATGTCGAATGTATAATTAATAGAAATAATTTAGGTAATATTAATCCTTTGAATGTTTTTAAAGTAAATAAATTAAGGTTATTGACAATTATTGGTGTTTTCACTTTTGAAAGATTAAAAAAACAAATAGTGGACATAGATTTGACTTTTACAATCAAAGATGAAACTAATCTCATGATACATTCAACTATAGAAGATATCATTACATTTGTTGAAAATTCAAATTTTAAAACTGTGGAGGCTTTAGTATTCAAAATTGGTCAATTGATTTATCAAGATAATAGAAATCGAGGTATTCAAGATGTTAATGTTGAAGTTACTAAAATTAATGCATTTAATCATGTTGAAGGTGTGGGTGTTTCATCATTAATGACCATTGATTCTTTTAAAGACTCCAAACCAATCACTTTCAGAAAAGAAACCAAGTTATTCAATATGCCAGTTGAAGATATTGTAAACGATTATAGAGGATATCATACAGCATACATTGCATTTGGTTCAAATGATGGGAATCAAATTGAGAACATAACTACAGCATTAAAATTACTAGAGCAAAACAACATATCAATTGAGTCAACATCATCATTATACATATCTAAACCAATGTATTATTTGAACCAACCAGATTTTTTTAATGGTGTAATAAAAGTCAATTTCAAAGACCTTTCACCTCATGAATTGTTGAAAATTTGTAAATATATTGAGTATGATCAATTAAATAGAATCAAGAAATTTGATAATGGCCCAAGGTCAATTGATTTAGATATAATTTTGTACGATAATTTACAAATCAATCATGATGATTTAATCATACCTCATAAATTAATGTTGGAAAGAGAATTCGTTTTACAACCATTATGTGAATTACTTCCACCAGATCAATTACATCCAATTAGTTCTGAATCATTTCATGATCATTTAAAACAACTATTAAATAATAAATTAATTGATGATCAAAATAGTAATTTACTACAATATGTTCCAATTCCAAAATTATCACTAAGTAAAAATATATTGAAATTTGATCAAACAAATTTTAAATCACCTACTTTAATAATGGGAATTTTAAATATGACACCTGATTCATTTAGTGATGGAGGAAAATTTTTCAATAATAAATTAGATGATATAGTTAAACAAACAGAAGTTATGGTTGATCAAGGATGTCAAATTCTTGATATAGGAGGTGTTTCAACCCGTCCTGGTAGTGTTGAACCAAGTGAAGAAGATGAATTAAATCGAATAGTACCATTAGTAGAGAGATTACGATCAACATCTAAATTTAATGAGACTTTAATATCAATTGACACTTATAGATCTAAAGTAGCTGAAGAAAGTTTAAAAGCTGGTGCAGATATTATAAATGATATTTCTATGGGACTTTATGACAATAAAATATTTGATATTGTTGCTAAATATAACTGTCCATATATAATGAATCATACAAGAGGTTCAGCTAAAACAATGTCAAATCTTACTCAATATGATTCAAATACAAATGATGATATTATTGAATTCAATATTGATCCTAAAAAAGGACAACAAGAGAATTTATTACCACAAGATGAAAAAAATTTATTAAATGGTGTGAGTAGAGAGCTATCATTGCAAATATTCAAAGCTATGAAAGCTGGGGTTAGAAAATGGCAAATTATACTAGATCCAGGAATAGGTTTTGCTAAAAATTCAACTCAAAACTTTCAAATTATTAAAAATGCAAGCTTTTTCAAGAAATACTCAATTCAGTATAATGTTGATGATAAACATAAATATCTTAGTTTTAATGGAATGTGTTTACTAATTGGAACTTCAAGAAAGAAATTTTTAGGTGCATTAACTCATAAAGATATTCCAAGTGATAGATTAATGGAAACTGCAGCTACTGTTACTTCATGTATTCAACAAAATACAGATATTGTTAGAATTCATGATATTAAAGAAATTAAAGATACAGTAACAATTAGTGATGCTATTTATAAATCCGTATATTAGGTTTACTTCTTTTTATGACTACTTAATTTTTTCCTAATATTTTTATTCCAAACCATTCCACTCATTATTGATCTATTAAACCCATAAATATCATGAATATCATTACCTATTAATGTTTTTTCTTCATCTGTCATTTCTGTAAGACTTTTATTTTTATTCTTTTGATTAATCTTTTCTCTTTGTTTAGAAACAAATGATCTACATCTATTAATTTCATCTTGTGATAGCGATCCAAATCCATAACCACCAATTTTTTTGAAACAACAGTCAATTAATAAATTTGAATCCAAGAGCTTTTTTGGAAAACTTTGCATAAATTGAAATAATTCAATTTGTTCAGTTTCTGATGATCCATTTTGAGAATTCATTTGAAAATCAGGTGAATCTAAACATAATTTAAAAATTGTTAATGAAAATCTAAATATTGTTTTAGAACCTTCATACCATAAAATATCCCAAATTCTTAAAACAGTTTCAATTGGTAAAATTCCAACAAATAATGACATAAACCAAGAAGACGTAACTAATGTAATTGGTGGTAATCTAATTAAAATTTTATCTTCTTCTAATGGTTCACCATCAAAATTTTTCCCCAATATATTCCATAATGAAGGAATATATTCTTTTATACATAATATCAATACACCTTGATCTGTATGTACACCTTCCAAATTTTGCAGATGAACTTTTGGTATTATTTTTTCAGTTAATATAACCAACATCCAAAATGTTCTTTCTTCAGTCATGAATATTAATAAAAGTCCTGCTAAGAAATTTAACGATTGACAATAACCAATTTGGGGTTGATAATGTGCAAATGCAATTAAAACTCTTCTTAATGATTTAATTAGATTTGGTTCTTCTTTCAAATCAGTATTATTTGATAGATTTGAATTGAAATAAATATTATCAGGAAATGTTCTATTTAAATCTCTTTCTATAACTTCCGTGTCCTTATTTTTAATCCCTCTTGTATTTGCAACTATTTTCTCATATACTCCAGTATTTTTATTTAATTTATCATAACCTCCAGCATAAAAAAACCATGCATTACCTCTCCAACTTGAAGGTATACCTTTTCTAATCATTTTTTTAACTTTGTCTGATCTAGGAGGAAACCTAGTCGGTATGTATTCTTCATTATTATTTTCTTCTATTTGAAATCCATGATGCTTCATTAATAAATGCCATTTTTTAAGCTGACGAAGTTCAGAATCACTATAAATATTAAACCATTCATTGTAATCTTCCATGGTGATGTTATGCAAAGTTGATCCTTTTTTAAAACCATACCTATCAAAATTTGATTTCAAAATTTCCAGCTTTGATGCCATATTGATTGGTTGTATATAATTTTCCCTGTGTTCTGAATCTAACGATTTCAGGTTATTTATCACATCACCATCTGCACATAGTGTATCATCTTTGAGATCCAAAACATCCAAAGAAGTTGAGGGATCTATCGACTCACTTTCTGTATCTAAACCATTGATTTTTTTAATTGTAGTTGAACCAGAACTAATTTGAGGTGGTGATTCGGCTCCGTAATAATCCAAAAAAGAATAACTTCTTGAGTTTGAGCTTTCATTTCTTTGATGACCATTTAATTTATTATGCGAATTAGGATTAAGATGGACTTTTGAAGTATTTAAGGATATTGTTGATGACTCTTGATCCGTCGGCATTTGAATAAATATTTTAGATGCTCGTTTTTTATAATTGCCAATTCGACTTGAACTTGAATTTACTGACTCATTTAATTATAGGAGTCTAAATATATAATCTTCTAAATCTTCTAATCTATTAACTAATTCAAAGAATAAATAAAGCTTTGTTGGTTGTATATTCTATTCTTATTCTTTTAATCTTTTTATTTGAAATAGTGAAATTTTCCATGCGCTACCAATGGAGTTGTAAAGCCTCATTCCGTATTTGGATTTTTTGTTATAATTTTTTTTATTTAATGATTGATTTTTTAAAGCGAGAAATTTTAATCAATAGTGTGAAAGAAAGAGGTTTGTTGGATTCATATGGTTATCTCATCTTTTTAATTATAATAGTTAATCTTTAATCTCAAATGTATTGGCGAAATACGTGGTGGGAAGGTAAAATTTATCCTTCTTGTGAAGATATTACGTTAAGTGAAGGTATGCTTGTTTCACATAATTATGACGCTCCCGTTCAATATATTCAACAAGCTATTTACAGACAAATATGTTATGAAAATAGTATACCAGTATTAAATACAAATGTTGGATTAGTTATTGATAAATTTTCTCAACCATTACCTTTAGTAGCTGAAAGTTGGGTTCAATTTACAAGACATTCAATTAGAGGTACTTTTAATTATAGTGTTGTTTCTATAATTTATGCAATAAGTGTATCGGCAGTTATAATATGGTTTTTGACTATTTTTGTTTTAACAAATTATACGGTAAAACCAACTTGGTTATTAAAAATGTCTACTTTATTATCAACAGTTTATATTGCTGTTGTTGTTATAAAATCAATTATTATTTTACATATTCAACAAAGAGAAGGTTATTTACATGGTGCTAAATTGTTAGATGAGATTAATAGTAATAAAGCTGTTAATATTATAGATTTGATTGTGGTTTTATTATTACAAATAAATCAAGTACAAGTTATCATGAGAATATTTCAAAGACAAAAAGATAAAAGATTAACATTTTTCGTTGGTTTAATTGCATCATTAACTTCACAGGTAATTTGGGGAGTTTCACAATTTTATTTCTTTGATGAAAATAATGAAGCTGGTGATATTTTACCAGCATTTATTTATTTGGTTAGAATTGCAATGGCTTTATGTTATGCAGCTATTATTACAGTTTACTTTATCAGTAAAATTAAAATAATAGTAGCTAATAAAAAGATTTGGCTTTTAACTTTATTAACATTTATATTAATTTACCTGCCTGTTGCTTTTTTTATTGCTGATGTTTCCAATGCATTTGTTTACGAATTAAGTGAAATATTCTCAGTTGTTAATTATGTCATTGGGGTAGTTATACCATGGGAATGGTGTAATAAATTTAATTTAATTATGAAAAAGCGTGAGAAAGAAGGGGTGTTAGGTAGAAGATTTTATGAAGATGAACTATACGAGCTCGATAGATTTGAATTATTTGTTAAACAAGATGAAGAAAATCACAGCAGCAATGACGACGATGATGATAATACTTCAACTCCAAAGGAAACTGATCTTAGTAATAAATTCTTAAGTACAGTTGAACGAACTAAACATGCATTTTTAGCTTTAACAGATACAATTATTGCTGCTGGTTTTGCAATTCCTAGATCTGTTTCTGTTTCAACTCAATCATTAAAAAATAAAAGAGATGAAGAATTTAACAATCAAGAAACAAATCAACATTTAAACAAAATTGATAATGCAACTATGAATCAATTGGTTAATACTGATTCTAGTACTGTTGCCACATCAGAAAATAATGTCACATCAATTAATACTCATAGTCGAAATAGAAGAAATGTTTATGTTTATGCTAGAAAAGAAGTAGTTTTAGAAGATAGTTCAAGTGAAAGTTAATGTACATTATTTAATTTTTTCATGTCCCTTTTTTGCAATCTTTATACAAATATCTTCATAACCAGGTATATGAATATATTCAATATTTTTATCTTTTAATAATTGATAAGATGAATTATTTTTCACAAATACATCCGGTTCAACAACTCCAACATAACATGTTTTAATATTTGGATACTGTTCTATAATTCTATTTACACAAGGTAAATTCCCACTCAAACGATATGAACAAGGTTCCATAGTTGTATAAAGTTCAGTCCCTAGTGGTACTTCATTCTTTCCAGTTTTTGTAAAATATTTAGCCAAGGCATTTTGCTCAGCATGTGTATTACCACTCAACTCTCGAGAATAACCCGTTGATATAATTTCACCATTGTTCACCAAAACACAACCAACATTAAACTGAGTTTGAGTTTCGTCACATTTTTCTGCTTCTTTGATGGCTAATTGCATGAATTTTCTTGCATGTTCAATTGACCATTCTGGAAATGATGTTTTATAAGACCAATCGCCATTTTTATTTTCATAACAATATGCATGAAGCCATAAATCTAAATCATTTGGACCAGGATCGGAGTATAATTGTAATCCTGTAATTGGACAAATCTCTTCCATTAATCTTTCACCATTTTCTTCCTTATTGAACCAACTTGATGCTGCTTTAGTCTTACCAATCTTATCCAAATTTGCTATTATTGTCTCATTATCATTTGAATTGTTTTCTCCCCAAATAAAACTATTTGAATAAATTGGATCATTTGCAATTGGATGACCAAGATATTGTAAATGTACTCTGATTTGATGTGTTCTTCCCGTTAATGGATGACATTTAACAATTGATGTATTGGTAATAGGATCATAAGAAATCCTTTTAAATTCAGTTATAGCTTCTTTACCATTTTTCTCATCTATAATATTTAAAGTATGCTTGGGAGATACTGTAAATAATGGTTTATCTACTGTAATATCTTCAAGTGGGAATTCTCCTTTAACTCTAGATATGTACTCTTTATGAACATTCCTATCTCGAATTTGTTTCATAAATTCATTTGCACCTTTAGACGTTTTTCCAAGGAACATTAAACCTGAAGTTAATCTGTCTAGTCTATTACATGGATGTACCGTTTTACCCATTTCATACTGCATCACTTTTGTGATAGTATTATATCTGTATCTACCAGTTGGATGTACGGGTATTCCTGATGGTTTATCAATAGCAATAATTTCATCATTTTCATAAACAATTTTAATTGGTGTTGAAGTAACACCTGGTTCTCTTCTAAAACTTCGATGAGTAATAAGATCACCATTTTTAAGAACGGAATTTAAATCTGCTGGTTTTGAATTTATACAAACTTGACCTAGTTCAATAGCTTTTCTATATTGTTCAGGAGTTCTATCTCTAAATTCATCAATAAAAACATCAATTAATTTTCTATCAAGCCATCTTTGCTTACAATATGTCATATATGTAAAATAATAAGGTAAAACTCTTCTTAATCTACCATCTATAATCCATTTAGTACCTTCCATTTCTTCTTCTTCTATAGTTTTACCCTGTACAATATCAGGATTATTTGCACCATTCAATTCGAAAGCTGTTTTAATAGATTTATCAATATCTTGCTGTCGAAGTTTAAAACCTGATTTATCTCTGACTGCTTTTGTTGATGAAAATGGTCTTTTAATTCCTTTTGATTCATTCATTTTTGGTAAAAATTCATTCACCATTGAAAAATTATACGAAGAGCAAGTAGCTACCATGTGTATATTTCAAATTAATCCTTGTTTTTTTAAATCTATATAATCCTTTTCACTCATAACGTTACCATCTTTATCTTCAACTTCAACTATACTTTCTTGTTTAAATTTCTTGGTTTTATTATCTTTTGAAATTTTACTCCATAACCCTTCAACTTCTTCAATTTCACTTATATTTTTAAAAAGATGAATATATTCATCTTTTACTCCAAGTAATTTAAGACCATTTTGATGTTTTGGTAAATTGAAATGCATTTCAAAATTTTTCATACCTCTATAATTCATGTTACCACAAACTTCACAATTATAAACTTTATTTAATCCTTGTAATTTATATAACCAAAATGGTATAGGAGTACCATCATTACCAAGTGGTAAATGTTTAAAATTATCATCATCATCATCAGATTCGTAAACTTCTTCTGAATCAGAATCATCCTCAATTGATGTAAATTCTTCCTCTATTGCTTTTTGCAGTTCAATTTCTAATGCTTTTTCTCTTTCTGATTGATTTTTAGATTTTTCGTAATGTGATATGGTAAATTCAATGTTTGTTTTTAGTTCCTTTGTCAAACAAGATATCAAACTTTCATAATATTCTGGTTTACTATTTTGATCCTGTAAATTTTTCATATGTTTTTTACCTTGTAGATGACCTTGATAAACTGAACTCTTAGTAAACCATTTATTACAAGCTTTACAAAAAACTTCACCTTTTTCATTCTGTTGTCCATTGGTATTACTTCCACTATAGTTAGTTTGAAAAGACTTCAATACTTCTTTAGTGTTTTTCAAGGGTTGTAAAACTTTCAAACGTTCAACAAGATACTCTGATAAATCCTTTAAATAATTCAAATAATTTACTTTATTCTCAATTTCAAATTGTGAGTTATCATAGAAGTTGTACAAGTATTCAATAAAAGACATTTCCCGTTTTGTAATTGATACATATCGGTCATAAAATGGTTTTAAATCCAAATATTCAAACTCATCATCAAGTTCTGAATAAAGATGCGATGATATTGAACTTAATAAATACTTTCTTTTAACAAGAGTTTTTTCAGACCCATTTTTTTTACCAATTTTATATTTAGTTATATCTTTATTTGATGAATAAGGTTGATATAATGCTGATAAATTTGAATTGATTTCATTTTCAATTGGAATTTTCATAATTAATTTATCAAATTGAGTATAATCATTATCTTTATCTTGTAGCAGATCAAATTCCAAATTAAAAATTGATGACTCTTTGTTTATACAATCTTGTAATGATTTTAAAGTTTGGTTATAATGATTAATGAAAAATTTCAATTCATGTTGTTGCAACAATTTTAATTTATTAGTGATTTTACTATCAGATTGACCATTTAATAAATATGGAAATCTACTAAGTCTTTGTGCAATATTGTATTCTATTAAATCTAACTCTTCTAATGCTGCTCTTTGAGCTTCTATAAGTTCCATCTAGTATATACTGATACTGATACTGATGATGATGATGATTTTTCGATGTTTCAGATAGAAAAAAAAAAACCGAAACATCAAAAGATAAGAAAGAATATATCAAAATGACACAACAACAACCAATTCCCATATGTTTATTCACTTATAATATAAACAAACAACCTATAAATGAATCGCTATTATCAGATAAATTGATGGACGAACTACCTATAAAATTATCAGATTTATATTGTTTTGGTTTACAAGAATTCTGTTCAATTTTAGATGGTTGTTTCCATTCAAATGCAAATCAAATACTCATTAATTTTAATTCATTTTTGTTATGCTTATTAAATGATAAATATGGTGTTAATTTTCAAACTTTAGCAATGGATCATATTGGTTCAACGGGTATTATATTATTATCTCCTTATGCTTTTAAATTTCAAAATATCAAAATTGGAAAATCATCAGTTGGTTATTTTAATAGTTCAATGAAAGGTGGGGTTGGTGTAAGATTAACTTATTCTCCAAGAGGTAAATATGATACTCAAAAGGTGGAAATTTCGATTTTATCATGTCATTTAAATGCTTATGAGGGTGAATATTATTATAATTTAAGAAAAGAAAAGTTAAATACTATTATTAGATCGCTTGATTTTAAAGATGGTTATGGTTTAATTAAACCATATAATCATATATTTATAATGGGTGATTTAAATTTCAGGACAGCAAAAGAATTTAAATCCGATTCAGTCGAGACAACGAAATTATTTGCAATAAATGATCCCAGTATGCTCAATGGAGAAGATAATATAATTAGTTTAAATGAGGAACTTGATGAACTAACAAAAGGTTTAAGAGAAGGGGAAATTTTGGTGGGATTTAGTGAAAGTGAAATAAAATTTCAACCAACTTATAAATATCATTTAAATACCCTGATTTATAATTCTAAAAGATCTCCAAGTTGGTGTGATAGAATTTTGTATTTGAATACTTATGAGACTTCAGATATTGATGATTTCAAATTAAATTTAACGAAAACTAAATTACCAAAACATGAAATTTTTCCAATTATAAACAAATATTCATCAATTGATTCAATATTATTGTCAGATCATAAACCTGTTATTTTAGATATTACAATACCGTTCAAACCACCAAAACTGATTATTAATGAATTATCAGGATGTTTACAGATTTTACCATTAAGTTTAAATAATGAAGCGAAATTTAATAATCTTGGTAGCTTGAAAAGCTTATCACTTGAAGAAAATGTAGCAAATGGTCCTACAACTATTTATTTAAAACCAACCAAATTAGATTTTTTGGTTCAAAATATAAATCGACCAGTAGTAGATTGGTTATTGGGACATAGTTTGTGGTTGACGACAACTCAAAATGGTAGATTATTAGTATTCATAATTTTGTTAATGCTTTGGAGTGTTTGGTACGTTGGTGGATCTACGTAGTTAATAATCTTAATATATAATGAAACATATTGAACGTAAAATCAAAAAACTTGAAGTCTACAAGAAATTTCCCTACGCTTACAATCAAATAGAGTTTCAAATTTAAAACAATAATACATTGTAATATTTAGCTAAAAAATTTATCTAAATCAGATAAGCTTGTATCTTCTGGAGCACCAATATCTTGACTCAAAAAACCAGATCTTATAACATTTAACCATTTTTTATTTGAACATGAACCAGCAGTTCCAGTTTTTAAAGTCTTTGGTGTATTTGTATTTGTTGATGAATTTTTGTTTGTTGAATTTGTTGAATTTTTGTTTGTGATGTTTGGTTGAACAAATGAATTTGCTCTTGAAATTGCTCTTATTGCTGCTGCATGTAAAGCTGCTGCTGCTGCTGCTGCATCTGGAGAATGTGAACTTGGTGCTCTTGAAGCTCTTGGTGCTGCCGCTGCTGCTGTCAAAACTTTTGATTTTTTATTATTTAATGATATATAACTCATTGATTTTGAACGTTTACCATTTTTTTTAATTGATTCTACAAAATAATCATCTTCATCATCTTCTGAATCAGCAAAAACACCTTCAAATTCTTCATCAAAATCCATTGAATTAGAGTTATTTGTAGTGGTAGTTGAATCTTTTTCATTGATTGTTAATTCAGTTAATGATGCAGTTACAGGAGCTGATGAATAAGGAACAAATAAATTGATTTTATCAAACCCAGTGGATGAAATATCATTAAATGTATTTTTAGTTATACCTAAATCAAACATTGTTTGTCTTCTTGGCTTTGACAATGTTGCTTGTTTACCAGCTTCAAGTGATTCATCATTATAATTAAAATCTATGGATGATGATAACTGATTTGTAGTTGTTGAATTTGAGTAATTTGAATTTTTCAGTTTCGGTGAGTCTGGTTCTTCAGATTTAATGTTTGAAAGTGGGTCATCCTGGTTTAAAGATTGATTTTGTTCTTCTTCGCCTCTTTGTTGTTTTAATTCATCCATTAATTTTTTGGCAACCACTTCAAACCCTGGAGCTAATATACCACGATAAACATAAACCATTCTCTTTGGTGATGCATCAGCCCAATCTCTACTAATTGCATAATTTAAACTTGTATCACCTTTTTCAACTCTTTTAACATAAGCATTTAATTTTGCACTTACTAAATTTGAAGTTTTTGTTGATAGATTTGCCATTTCTGGATGTAACTCTGATAAAACATCACAAATTTGTTTAACAGTCATACCTTCACCTTTTGGATCCTTTTCATATAGGATAACAAAAATAGCATATAAAACATCATCTTCTAAACTTGCATCACCTTTTTGTACAGGTTTTGGTTTTTCACCAGTAACTGGAATTGCAGTTGAAATACCGGTTGCAATTGGAGCTCTTGAAACAGGTTTTGATTTTTTAACTTTTTTTAACACTGAAGCAGTACTTGCTGTTATAGGTGGTTCAATTCGTGAAGAATTATTGTTGGTTTGTTGAGTTGATGATGAAGATGGTGGTGAAGAAGTTGAAGTAGGTGGAGTTGAATCTCGTGTTATTTGTTGTAAATTTTGATGGTCTAAAATAGAATCAGGTGAAACTGATCTACTTGAAAGTAATTGATTATCATCATGATAGTCGTCTGAATCAGAAGACTCAATCTTATCTTGAGTCGATTGAGATTGAGATTGTGATTGTGTTGAGTTTTTACCTGTTAAATTTAAAGTTTTTGGATTAAATGAAGGTGAAGTAGGAGTTGCACCTACTGGTAAATTTGAAATTGGTCTTCTATCAGCTGCTAATGCCATCTAAAATATCAATTATAAACTGTTTTTATATTGTATTGGATCTAATTTTGCACACCTTAGTAGTTATAAATTTTAGAATTAAAACTTTTAGTTATTTTAAGTCTAATACTGTGAAATAAAAATATTTATCAGCGAAATTGATAAATATGATAAATTCTATGAATATAATCTAAAATGGAAAAAAAAAAATATTAAAGCCTTAAAATGAAAAATACTTTTGAAACTTTATGAAGTGAAAATTTGTAAATGGTCGTAAGTCGTTGATAATAATTGATAAAAAAATCTATATGATAATACCCCGATTTAAATAATAATAATAATAATAATATGAACCCTAAATAAAAATTGATAAATATATAAAAATTGAATTCAATATAAAAATTTAATTACAAAAATGATTGATGAAAATGATAAAAAAAAATTGGTCGTTAAATTCGTACTAATTCTATATGTGATAAATGTTGTTAACTTTATCTCTTGAGTAATTGGGGTGGTGATTGATTATTTATTTCTAGTTCATAAAATTGATTATAAATAAGTTTAGCAAATTATACGTGATTATGTAAATGAGTGGTGGTACAAATTAATTCAATCAAAAGTATAACTAATTTGTGTAAGTTTTGTTATTGATAAGTATTGTATAATTCTTTTTTGATAAGTTTTTTTTTGTGCCCAAGGTTTATTTTTGTTTTTGTTTTACTTATAAAAGTATAACTTTATTGGATTTTCTTTTCTAACTTTGACTCTTGTGAATTTAAAAAGTATTAATGGAAATAAGTATTAATGGAAATATTAATTAATACTTATATCTAAAGTGATTTATAAATTTATTGTAGTTGTAGTAAAAGATAGTTGAATTATGATATGATATGTTATGAAATTGAAATAATGATATCAAAAATATCTCAAATTTTGTGACTGATAATTAATTTAATAATAAAAAAATGAGATGATGTGTTATCAAAATTAATAAAAATAAATTATTGTATTTTCTAGTTGATTAATGAAATATAATAATTGATATTTTGTTTTAGGTTGTAATTTACAATAATAAACTGTTTTGAAATAAATATAATAATCTGATTAAATTTCGATTCAAATTTTTGTTATGTAAAAAAAGAAAGGTAGTGCACTTAAAATCAATGGAAAAAATAACACTGGAATAACACTTGTCTTCTTTAATCTTCTTATCTGCAGGATATAATTATCATATTAATATTTGAAATTTACAACCAAAATACAATTCATATTGAAATGTTTTATAAGAAGCATTCAAAATCAATAAAATCAAATCATTGAAAAAGGTTGGATAATACTTGATTTAATCCATCTTTTCAATTTTAAAAACCTTCATTTTTGAATGGTATTCTTATAAACACAACAATATTACATTTGTATTATATAATCTGGTGACATACTATTAAATACTATTAATTAACTCTCTTCAATTTTCAATTTTAGTTCACCGAAATGATATATAAATCAATGTATATCAATGATAAGTTAATTCTTTTCTATATTAAATCTATAATTATTCTTAAAGAAGGTGGTACGCTTGAAAGATTGTAATTATATATGCTCTGTGAAAATTACTAACAAAAAAAAAAAATAAATAAAAAGGAATTAAAGTAAGAAACGAGTACAAAACTATTTATATTTATATATAGTAATAAATTAATCGTATAAATTTAAAATAGGGGGGTGGTGCTTTTGAAAAGTTAATAAATCTTTTTGAACGTGATACACGACTAACTGATTGTTTAAATTTGATAATATGATGCCTTTTAATTTTGTTATATACAGTATGCAACCAAATTATTAAGATCAAGAAAGATAATCATCATAGCCTTTAGAGGTTTAGACCTAAATTATGTTTGTATGTTTGTATGTTTGTATGTTTGCTACAATATTAATGAATCATTAAATTTTAGCAATTCGTACCTTTTCGTAAATGATTTCGTTTGACCCTTTCAATCTTCTTTAAAATCTATTTGATTGTTAGACATCATCTTATCTTTCGGATTCTATTTTGTAAATTAAATTTAATAATTAAATCTTGATTTTGTAACTTTAATATTGTGAATTGTTTAATAAAGTGATTGTTTCATCTTCAGTAACTTGTTTGTCACCCCCCCTCCCCTTCTCGCCCCCCCAAAAAAAAATTTTAAAGGCTAATTAATTAAAAATCAAATCCCCTTCAAAAATTATTTTCTTAAGTGCTTTTGTTTTTTTACCGATATCGCTCGAATTATATTTATTCTAAATTTACTTATTGTAGAGAAGAATGTATAATGTATTAAAAATTAATCCGCCTTTCAGGTAGGTATTTGCGCTTGTAATATATATTGATTTGCCAAACAATATTGATCTGGCTCAGTCACTCTTAATTTAAAACAATTTATCAAAAGGCATTTAGATTAGTTTGTCAATTGCCTTATCTATAAGATAAATATTGAATTGTATTTGAATTCAATGACGCAATATGGAAATATTTCAATTAAAAAATCCTATCTAAAGAATCTTAAATATTCTTGTTTTAATGCACGTGAGTTAAGATAGGGTTTGCTGGGTTTTTTTTTTGTTTTTGTTTTTTGTTATTTTTTTTGTTTTTTTTGCAACCATCTTATTTTTTGCAACCATTTTATTTTTGCAGCCATATTTTTTTTTTTGCAACCATATTTTGTTTGCACGCTATTTTCAAAGCTACCATGTAGTTTTTTAAAAATATATTATTTCATATTAATGCTGTCATTTAGACTGTTAAATTAACATTGCAATTCCAATTTTCTTAAAAATAGTTGTATAGTTAAAAATGTTCAAAATTCAACTAAAAAAAGGAATATTCAAAATTATGATATAAGTATATGTAATTATTTAATTTGAGGCTTCTAATCTGATACAACCCATTTGATTGAAAGAATGTATTGCTCATGACTTTCAAGCAAATAAAAATTTAGTACGAAGCCGCCTTAAATCTAGCGCCATAAATAATATTGTCGCACTGAATAATGGCATAGAAAAATACATATTCTATTGCATAATTTTAAAACAAATTTGCTGATATGCAGTCCTATGATAGTTAATCTTGAAATTTGAATTGTGAATAAAACTCGTTTTCGATATTTAAGATTTCTTGCTTAAACTAATTGCATTGAAAACGTCAGCTTATTTGCATTTGATTGAGGTTGATATGCTCTGGTTGAACGCGAAGCGAGAGTTTTTAAAAGGTCAGTTTATTAAATTTCTCCTCCTACATAAGAGATGAATTTTCTTAAGTTCACTTTGAAATGTAAGATTTTGTTCAACACCTAAGTTCGAAATATAATATATATTCTTTTGCTTGATAAGATTTTTGTTCAACACTTAAGTTCGAAATATAATATATATTCTTTTGCTTGATAAGATTTTTGTTCAACACTTAAGTTCGAAATATAATATATATTCTTTTGCTTGATTAAAGGTAATGGATCTATATACTGCCGCTAGCATTTTTGGTTAAGATTGGAATTTTTTATAATCATTCTTGTTGATACATTAATTTCAATGACAATCTATACTTATGATAATATACAATACTTTTACCACCACATCTTGACCTTAATACAATGTTGTGGTCATGTGTTATTTCTCAATTGAATATAACCTTTTTATATGTCTTTACATCAATGATAGATAATATTTGATTTGAGCAACTGAAGCTTGTAAATTCGCCCTTCAATTTTCATAAATCCATACATGTCTTATCCCAATCTTCTTTCCAATAATCATCTTTATAAATTTTATTAAACTCGTTATTATTAGGAGGAATAAACCAATAATTAATAGCAATATGTGGTGAATTATCATCATCACTAAAACTAGAAACTTCATGAAAATAACCAGCTGGTAAATATAACATTTCACCTTCATTAAGTAAAATTTCACATTTATTTAAATTTAAAAACCCTGGAAAATGAGTATTTGCAAATGATTCAAGTTTTTTTCTTAAATTAGGATTTTTTAATTCATCAAGATGAAGTAATGCAGGTGGTATTTTGGAAAAACTTGGAGGGTCAGTAGAATTTGATGTTTGATTACTTTCATTTCGTCTAATTTCTTCTTCTAGTTGTTGAAGTAGGTCTGCTTTCTTACTTGTATCCTTTTCTTTATCCAGCATCCATCTCAATACATCTTCAATAATAGCCCCATCATCTCGAACATGTTTCCAATCATATTTATAATCGATAACACCAGAATTATACACACGATAAATTTCTCCAACTGTAAATAACTTCAAAGCATCATTTGGAGAATATATAGTGAATCTTTTTCTTCCAGAAATCAATATATATAAATTATCAGCATGGTCATGATGCAAACCTGATGAATTACCATGTGGAATTTGTTTGCCAAGCCCCAAATCTGATTTGGTACCATCTATGAGAACTGTATTATTGGAGTTGGTATTGTTGCATGAACCTAACCACAAATTTATCTGTTGTGGTATTAGATTTATAAATGAAGGTGTTAATGGTAAAATTTCTGGGTTGTGTACCAAATTAGTTAAGGGCGGTTGAAATAATTCTTTTATTCGTGAATTGATGTCTATTTCAGATTCTGAATCTGGTTCTTCATAGTCATCGTGAAGGTAGTTCATGTCGATTGAAGATGTATCAGATAAATTATTAAATCCTGATTCGAATCCACCTTCTTGATGTTCATCTTCATCTTCATCTTCATGTTCATCTTCCGAGTGAGATATAGACCGATGAAGTTCATTGAGGTTTGTTTCATCTTCTTTTGAGTCATCATATTCATCATCACTCACGTGACCTTTTTCATATTCAGATTCACAACTCCCATTTTTATTTTTTAAATCAATACTTTCTTCTCCTTCTGAATCGTGTAAAACTTCATCTGAAACATTCTGATTACCAGTTCCCTCATCATTGATATCATCACCTACGTCAGGATCATCAAAATCATATTGAGTAGTTAAATAAAACTCATCATTACCACCTTTTATTTTATCAACAAGCTCCAGAAACCTCATCTTTATTCTTGAATTACCATTACCAAACCCACCATTAATTTTCTTTTCTACTTGCAAAGGTTCATCATATTTTAATGTATTTACAATACGATCAATTTTGAAACAATCACTATTTAGGATTGAAAAATTAAATTTGCATGGCTTTCTAATTTTAATATACTCATTGAAAAACTCTCCTCCAGATGGTTCAATTTCAATTAGTTCTATAGTTTCATCTTTTTGTATAGTATGATTTTCATATTGATTAATCTTAATCTTCTGTCTCTTTTTCAAACTCATTGATTAATTTTATTTTATTTATTTTTTTTTTTTTTTCATAATTTGACAGACATGATTCGCACAAACGTATAACTATAGATTTACAATTTGAATTAACTTTTTTTAACTTGATTGAGTTAGAAACTATAAAAATGAAAGTTTAAGATTTAAAAACGTTTAGATTTAAATCCGAGATGGAGTTTCTTGCAAATCGTCAACTTTATTTCTAAACGATTGAATCATGTTAGTCGAATATAACCAGGATTAGATTGACTGTATTTATCCTGAAATAACCTCTATGGAATAGCCACATTGACAATTTGAAGAGACAAAATTTTCCCAAACCTATATAAACCGAGCTTTTTTGCCTTATCAACATAAAAGTTGAGCCATTCTGAAATAAATCAATTTATTTGATTGACTCAAAAGGGTGGTCAAACTTAAACAGTATCATAATCATATTCAGACAGAAAAAACAAGAGTAAAATTTTCATAATTTCTTTGTCTCAAACTTACATATTATGCTTTTGAGCCATACAATCGTTGAAACTTTAAATTAAACAATAAATTTGAGGTATTCTAGAATCAATAGATTGGATTTTAGTCCCTACTTTAGCCCTGCGTGTTTCATTCTGGTTAATAGCCTATTGTTATAATCTTGCGATTATAAAAGGTTTATAACAATAGTTCATAATCTTACGATTTATAACAATTAATATAGCGTCAGAATGATAAGGTAAATAACAATCAAACTCGCCTCAGTAAATGGTCAATACGTAATAATAGTTTTTGCTTAATTTTTTTATATTTTTTATATATAGAAGAAACTCTATAATTTAAACTACTCACATTAAACAATTTTTTGATCTCTTTAACCAGTTAAAGATTCAAAAATGAATTAGTTTTTTCTACTACTTGGGATAAAATTGAGTTATAATTTATTATCATTATTTCGTATTTTGTCGTTAATTTCTAATATGGGATATAAAACATATTATTTGTTGAACTTGTATTTGTAGTTGATTTAGATCTTTTTAATTCAAAGTCACCATTAATACCAACATTATTTTGTTGATTAATTAATGATTGACAAATTTCAATTTCCTCGATACATTCAAAGCTTCTTTTTCTACCAACACCAACAGGATTACCTGGAGATGTTCTTGATTCTGGAGTGACTAATCCAGCACCAACACCAACACCAACACCAACATCTCCTTTAGCAATCATATTTGAATTAATTTCTCTTTTTGGTGAGGTACTATTTGAAATTGGAGTTAATGGAATACCAACCATTTTATATTTTGGAGTTGTAGTAGTTGTTGATGTTGTTCTTGTTATAACTTGTTCCTTAATTGGTTCTTGTAAGATTAATAATGATTCAGTAGCTAATATAACTAATTGCTTCATTAGTTTATTAAATTTGGAACTATTTGAAAAATATTTAATTTCTAAACTCTTTGGTGGTGATTCAATCATTTTTAACAAATTTTTAAAAAATGATTTATTAAGTAAATTTTGAAATGTTGAAATATTTAAAATTTCATCAATTTGAAACTCTTCAATTATATTAGATTGAAATTGTTTAGATTTAATTAATTCGTTCATATAACTTAATAAATTTAATATATTGATGGGTATTTTAAGAATTAATATTGTTGATAAAATTGAAATTAATGCAATTTGTGAACTTGTATAATCAAAATAAACATTTGGATAAAATTGAAATAATTCAACAATATAATTTGAAAATAATTTAATACGTTGATAATTTTTAGTTATTAATTCAAAAGAACTTAAATAGTTCATATATATATCGATAAAAAAATCAACAGTTGGACTATTAACATTCCATTCAAGACTTTTTAAAATATGTTTTTCCATTTCAATAAATAAATCTTTATAATATGAATCTAAACAAATTTTTTTTAAATCTTGTAATGTCGGTATTTTACATTTTTGATCTAAATTTTTAGCAGCAATCCATAATGAAGTTAAACCTAGCAATTGATAATGTTGTTTTTTAACAATTCTAGTTGAACAATATCTATCTATTAAATTAACAGTTAAAGGAAATGTAGATCTAGATAAATTTAAAATTGTAATGACTTCCATTAAAAAATCTAATAACATTGGTCTCATACTCATTTTTATTTCTGGTTGTTGTTGAATTAATGATAAATTTGGTAATGCTTTCAGTTCAACATATAATTGATGATATAAAATTTCAAAAGAGTATGAATTAATGGTAGTTGCATGATTTTTAAATTCCATTTGTTGTAAATTTAAATTTGAAGCTTTTAAACTTGATTGATATTCTCTAATAGAAACAAATGGATCAGGAGTTTTAACTAACATGATGATATTGATGATATTTGATGATATTGATGATATTGATGATATGGATGATGATGAGTGATAATATCCAGTATTACCTTATAATGCAAATAAAAATTAATATAAAATAATATAAAATAATATAAAATTATATAAAATAACTTAGATTGATGATGCAATGCAAAATAATGAAAATTAAGAGTAAATCAACTTTTTTTTCCAAATTTTAACCAAGTAAAAGACAATGCAATGCAAAAAATGAAAAAATGAAAAATGAAAAATGAAAAATGAAAAATGAAAAATGAAAAATGGAAAATGAATAATGAAAAATGAATAATGAATAATGAGTAATGAATAATGAATGAAAAAGGAATGTAAATGACTTTAAATGAATTTAAATGAATGTAAATGAATTTAAATGAATTTAAATGAATGTAAATGAAATAATATGCAAAAATATATGAAAATTATATAAAAAATATATGAAAATTGTATGAAAATTATATCAAAATTATACCAAAATTATATGAAAATTATATGAAAATTATTTAAATAACTTTATAAATGAAAAAAACTCAACTAGATATAAATTTTAAAACGAATGATAGAAATTTATAATTTTGATAAATAAGAATAGTTAGTTACTTACTTATATTATGAGTTAGTTATATTATGATGGTTGATGTTATAGTTAGGAATGGTTGTAAAGTGGTGTGTGTGTGTATAAAATGGTAAGATATAAGATATAATTCTTAACAAATAAAATTAGTAGTAGTAGTAGTAATAGTAATAAAAATAATAATAATAATAATAATGATAATAATAATATACAAGAATGAAATGATGAAGTAGATGATTGATCAAATGGAAATAGTTGATGATAATAAATCCAATATGATTCAAAGATGAAAAGCTGATCTGAATATAAAAAAAAAAGAATAGGAATTGAATTTGAATGAAAGGGAATTTTATGGTTTATTTATATTAAATTGAATTTGATTAATTAAGCACAAAAAAAAAAAAAAAAAAAAAAAAAAAAAAAAAAAAATAAAAAAAAATAAAAAATAAAAAATAAAAAATAAAAAAAAAAAAAAAAAAAAAAATTAACTATTGAATATTAATATATATATAAAGAGAGAATAGTATAATATTAATATATAACCAGATTAATAGTAAAGTATAAAGTATAAAGTATAAAGTATTAAAGTTTTTAGCATAAAATCTACAAAGACTATATATACAACATCAATTGAATATAGTACAAAATTAACGAAAAAAAAAGGAGGGTAAAGAAACGTAAAATATATTATATACTATGTATGTAATATAAATTATTATATACTATGTATGTAATTTAAACTATTTATTAACATTTTGTGTTAAATTTGAAACAAATCACAAACAAATATCAATACTACTACTAACTATTAATTATTCTTATTTAATAAATAAATTACAGTCAGAACAACAACCTTCCATTCATAATTCATCAGTTAATATTTCTAATATATTACTTTAATTACTATTTTGTGTATAGTTTTCATTTTCGTTTTTCTTAACCAAATGGATCATCTAATACTAGAAAATATAAATAATGTACCAACTCATATATACAAAGAAATCAAACTATATAAGCATTAATTAAATCATATTTCATTAAATGATATCTCATTAAATCATTTTTCATCATCTATTAAAAGGAGTAGAGTACTACTAATAATTGATTTACTGTCTTCCTGCATGTAACTGATACAGATCTATTGGAAAAAATAAAACTAAAAACTAAAACTAAAAATAAAAATAAAAATAAAACTAAAACAAAACCTGTTGAAATCAGGATTTTTAATATTGTCAACACGACGAGATTTTTATAATCGTATTATTATAATCAACGACAAAAAACAACAACTTATACTGTTTTATTATTTAAGAAAAAATTATATTTTTACTACTACAAATTCACTTTAGATCTTACTCAATCTAACTCAATCTTACCTCGACAACTAATTCTTCAATTTTTTTATTACTCCTATAAAAAAGTATATATGTATATAATATATAACTTTATATTTGTATAAATTTTCTAAACTACTTTTCTAAACTACTTTTCTAAACTACTTGTCTAAACTACTTGTCTAAACTACTTTTCTTCGTGTCAAAAAATTTAAAAATTATTAATAGTCCTATTGTTTATATGAAATTTTCGATAATCTGTTTTAGTATAAATTATATCAATGGTATCAATTGTATCAATTATTGTTGTAAAGTGAAAGGTTTATTAATTAATTAACAACCTCCGATCCTTTTTCTTCCTTTAAAAAGTTTGTGTAATTATTCTACATTTTTGTGTAATTTTTATACTTGTTGCTAATATTGTGCAAAGATAAAATATGATAAAATATTAGAAACTTTCGGCATATTTTTTTAATAGTGAATGAATGAATGAATGTATGAATGTATGAAAAATTAATTATATAACAAACGAAAATTATGGAATTAAGGTAATATTGTAAATTTATTACAGAAATAGACAATTTTTACCATGAACAAACAAGACATTTTTAAAAATTAATTTTGATTTGATTGGTAATAGTGCTTGATTTATTACCTGTATGTAATGGAAGCACTACAATAAATATTTCGAAGCTTCTACTACATTGTTTTTCGAGTTACAAAATTGGTGAAAATGGCGTTAGAATTATTTAACGTAGTGCGGTTTTTTTTGGCTTTTTTTTTTTTTTTTTTCAGTTAATAGTAGCATATTCGGTTATATTATACATATATATAAGGCATTAAATTAATTAAATTATAGTCTGATGATTCTTCGACACCTTACTATTCAACACCTTACTATTCGACACCTTACTATTCGACACATGCTATTCGACACCTTACTATTCGACATTCACAGTTTCTTCTGATTATAATTGGTGGTGTATCCACATATACAATTTATTTAGAAACATTACTTTTTTTCTAGATTTGAAACTACAACAACTGATCTTGAAATATCTAAAAACTTTAAAATAATCTATATATATACATATATATTATAGATTAACCCACGAGTTCATACATAGCGATTTTTTCACTTTCAATAAAATAAACGGCCCAATGTAAAACAATTGATCCTCATAAAAAAAAAAAAAAAAAAATCAAATACAGTAAAATTGGTTCTGAACTTTGATTTGAAAATTTTAAATTAAACGGAAGAAGATAAACGAAATATGCTGGAATGGCTCAATATAAGAATTAAACAAAGAAATTTAAATTTTGTTAAAAACGTGTAATTAAGAGCCATTGATCGAACGTATAGCCCTTTCAAAATATAGATTTTTTGACAAAGCTCAAGTACAATTAATATTTCTAGTTGTCATTCTGGTTTATTGCCTGTAGTTGTTGTCTGAGATATCAACTTTTCAATTTAATACACAAAATACTGCATAATTTCTTTTCTTTTCTTTTCGTTTTTCGTTTTTCATAACCACTTCTATTTATAACTTCAGAAATTCCATTTAATTAAATTCAAGTAAATCACACAGGTCTTATCTAATTAAACTTTAAAGTTTGAAATAAGTCTAGATTAAACTAGTTTTTTAGATTCTTGGACACGAGACTATAAGAAATGTGGATCGAATATAATATTGTAAGAAACTGGAACCGTTGTTGTATTTGAAATTTACAAGAAAATCAAAACCACAGAGCTTAATTTAGTGTAAATTACCTTGATAGTTATTCAAATAGGAGAATTAATTAAGAAAGATTATATAACAATGCTCCACAAAAGTAAATCAGCAACTCTGATTCTTTTGATCTCTGCTCAAATATCAGTAATAAAACCTATACTACAACTCAGAACTTTCATCTCACCTCAAATATCAGTAATAAAACTTATACTACAACTCAGAACTTTCATCTCATCTCTATCGCTTAAATTCAACTGGTATTAATTCACCTAGGATACACTTTTGTATCACCGACAACAATATCCATCTTTAGTTTTTTTTTTCCTGGCACTATTCTGACTTAATTTACTAGCTTTGTGCAAATTGGTGAAAAATTTAATTTTTATTTTTTTTCTATACAATTGAACAAAGACAGGTAACTACAACAGCTCATCACTATGAACAATAACATGATTGGTGAGATGAATAGTGATGAAAATTTTTCTATATCAAGAGATGACATAATATTAAGGCACAAAAAAGAGCAAAAAGATTTACAGAATACAGTAACCGGTCTTAAGAAACAAGCATCTAAAAAGACTCGAAAATCAGTAAATTCCAAATGTGAACAACTTCAACAAGAACTAGATAGAAAGCATAAGGAAGAACTTACTCAATTTGATGGGATAGAGTCTAATGAAGAGTCAGAGTTGACTCCAGAACAACTTCTTGCTCAATTAGACCTCAAGGAGGTAGAAAATGATAAGCCAAAAGCTGGTCTACAATCACAAGATTCAATACCCAAAAAGAAACGTAATAGAGCCAAGGAGAAACTAGAAAAACGAAAGGCTGAAATAGAAGCTATGAAAAAGGAAGCCTCGCTAGAAGCAGAAAATTCAATAGATTATAGACAAATTGAAATTGATTCATTTAATCAATTACTCAAACTTAATAATTTGACATTATTTGAAATTAAACCAGATGGACATTGTTTATTTGCTTCAATACAAGATCAACTACAAACAAGACTCAATATTGCTCATTCAATACAAGAATTACGAGATATTTCAGCTAACTATATATTGGATAATCGTGATGAATTTATCCCATTTTTATTTGATGAAGAGACTATGCAAATTAAAGACGTTGAAGAATATTGTAAAGAATTGAGAGAAACTGCCCTATGGGGATCAGATATGGAAATACTAGCATTGGCTAAATTTTTCAATGTTGCTGTTTATATATTCATGGCAGGAGCTTCTACAATTAAAATTAATCAATGTAGTGAAGATAAAATCTTGAATATTGGATATTTCAAACATAGCTATGGGTTAGGAGAGCATTATAATTCTTTGAGAGATAGTGTTGAAAGTAAATAACTACACCATCGAGATTGGAACATCGTTGATTATGTAAGCAAAAATTAATTAAAGAAAATAGACAATTTTTACGAGATCTAAAAATATAATGCGCACGATTGATTATAATTTCCGGATATTAATTTATCCAACGAATGTGTTTAGCCTTTCATTAATTTACAACCAAAATTTTGATATCCTTATTTTCGTAGATTTCGTTGGATGAAAGTTTATTGAATCCTTTTCGTTGACTATCGTTTGATATTCTATTTCTTGACGGAGTTGAGGTAGTTCAAGGTGATAAAAAAAAACTTCTCTTTGTTTGTTGATGGGAATGTGAAAATTTTTTTTCGACGATACTAATTTTACCAATTTAATTTAACCAAATTGCAATAAATTGAACAATCTTAACTCCTATTTCTCACATGAAACGTATATCTGTATTATTATTCTATTATATAACCCCAATTTTTTAATTCTTGATTATCGATATATATTTAAACCTCCCATTATAATTTGCAATGTATGTCTAAATTTTGTGTCTGAGAATTTTAAATTGGAAACATAATTAATATTCTTGCATAAAAATATCATAACCGTTGGTTACTTCTATGCATACTAATTTGTCCGAACACTCGAGCCGAGTTGCATAGAAATAGGAGGAATAGATCGAACGATATGTACATCATCGGACGGCACGATGTTTTACGTTTCGTTTAATTATAATCATCTAATCGCTGAGCCCTCAATTCCAGATGTTATGTTAATTAAAGTAAACCGGATTTATATTCAAGAAATACTTGAGTTTAAATGTTCAAAATTTCCGTTATGTTGAGAAATCTAAAATCTTGTTTTAAAAGTTAAGAGGAGAGAGTTTTAATGAACTTCAGGCTTTTCGATGTAAAGAATTTGTAAACATTTCGACTTGGAATTAATGTAAATCTTATTTGTATTTACTACAATTAGTTAAAATATAATAATACAATGTATTGCGATTATAATAATTTTTGTAAATCCAAATTGTTTTCTATGGTCGTTCGCATATTAAAAATATTTAAAATCGAGAAGCTCAACTTTACTGCTTCACATAAATTAAGCTTTTTAGACACTGATGTAAGCTACGATTGCATTGCCTTATCTATTAGTGCCGTGGTAACCCACGTTTGAAAAATGAAAAAAAGCTTCAATTGAAAATTAAAGATTAAATTTGCAAGTAAACTCAATTGCTGATTGATTGTCTTAGTATTTTAAACATTGAATCTCGAATTGTCTTGACGATTTAAGATATTATTTCAAACAATAAAAGGCTAAATTATAAGTTAACATTCTCTCTTTAATTGTAATTTATAATTCCTGATGAGAAGGTTTTGTATTATGTAATCAACATTGCCAGGGGTAATATTTAAAAAATTTTATCACCAGCAGTTCAAATTGTTGCATTGACGAAGATTTGATTATTGATAATTTGTAAACATACCAGGTAATTGACCAGATAATTGACCCATATGATATTTTCATCATTGTGCTTCAATTGTAGGTTAATTGTACCTCAATTTCCCGTGTCTGCTTGTATCTTCTTGATTTGCTGCTAATCTGGAGAGTATGATCACATTCAATTAAAACTAGAGGGGTTATAAAACACAAAGCATATTTGTATCACCTTGTCTGTACGCCTTTGCTTAAAACTGAAACGTCTCTATAAATACTCTAAAAAACTTATACATGAAATATTTCCCTATTTGGGGTGCAAAGGAATTGAGTTTCATTCACAACTAAGACATTGGTTTATAATTTTTTCATCGTATTTATCGTATTTGTAACAGCTTATGTAAGTGTCATAAAGAAGTTTATTGTCGTGTCGTAAAGTGGGTTATTCTTATTTCTTTTTAATTGTTTTTTTTTTTTTAACTGTTATCAAATCTCATCTATCAATTATATAATGGGTTGGTTTTGGGCCACAAACAATCCAACAAATCATGATCTAGAAACAAGTGCATCTAGTGCTTGTCCAGTAGACCATTCAAAGTATGCAACTTCCAAGTGTCCCGTGCTTACAGATTCATCCGATATCAATCCTTTGAATAATATGCCACATTCATTATCATCGCAAAAAGCCCCTGGACAAACTATAAATTTATCAACACAAAGAACAACTTCAACTATTCCTAGTGCTGACAATTCATTATGGGAATATCCATCTCCACAACAAATGCTTAATGCAATGCTTAGGAAAGGGAAATTGAATGCAGATGTGCCCGAAGATGCAGTTGAATCAATGGTAGAAGTACATAACTTTTTAAATGAAGGAGCTTGGCAACAGATTTTAGAATGGGAAGCACCATACACACAAGATACTAAAATTGAACCAAGATTGAAAAATTTCACTGGAAAACCATTTGATATGTCACCTAAAGCCAGATTTTATTTATTATTGGGAGAATTCTTTCCAGAAAGTTTTAATACTGTTCCTCCTTTTGATAGACATGACTGGTTTGTTTTGAGAAGTTTGGGAAGAGATAAAGGTTGGAAAGAAGTTAGATATGTTATTGATTATTATGGAGGACCTGATGATATTGAAACTGGAATGCCTACTTTTATATTGGACACTAGACCAGCTTTGGATGATTTTGGAACTATGAAAGATAGATTGATAAAATGGGCCAAACCGACTTGGGAAAAAGCAATGGGTGAGAGAATTTAGTGACAATTTGTTAGCTTTTGTATAGGATTTTGAGATTTCAAAACTGTGATCATAGTAAATAGTTTAATTTTATGTATACGAGTAGAATTTTTGAAATCGATACTGTAGAGATTGTTGTCAAAGCCACCAGATCTTATTAAATAAATTATTACGCTAGAATATACTCATCTTCAAAAGCTTGATATCTTAAGTATCTTTAGCTCGTGGAAGAAAAGTGAATTTTTGCAGGTTCATTCTTAGCTTCATTCTTATTAGGTTGGGCTGTTATCACTGGTGCTTCAACTGCTTCATACCATTTAGATACCGTTAGAAGGAAGAATGATGATGACTTCAGGTCAAGCTGTCAAATGTGATGGTGCATTTGACTGTTTCAAAAAGTTGTTGCTGCAGAAGGTGTAGCTTCACTTTTTAGAGGTTGTGGGGCAAACATTCTTGGAGGTGTTGCTGGTGCCGGTGTTTTCTCCTTGTATTACCAACTCCAAATTATCTTATTTGGTAAAAAATTTAAATAGATTGTTTAGTTTAGTCTGTTGCATTTATTTTTAACTAATTAGACGTAAATTATTCATATTTATTCACAACGCTCGTTATCTTTTATGGTTGACTCTCTATGCCTCATAAAAGTTTGATTCAAAGTTGTAGTTCAGATCAAAGCTTAACTAAAGTAGTACATTTAAGTGATAATCCTTTGGTTTGTTGGAAATATGTTGATAAAAGCTTTGATGTTTGAGCTTTCTACATTGATCTATGAATAGTAATTTTCACAGTAACATTTACGTTAATCGTTATTTGCTGATGCTGTGAATTTTAAAGATTAAATTACCCTGGTAATAAGCTGTTGCTTACTTTAGTATATGCGGCACTCGTATTTAAATCTGACACTTTTAGCGCTTAGTTTTGTTTCGGGTAATTTCGCGGCTAGCAACTTTTTTTTCTTTTTCTATTTAATTAGTGTTTAATGAATTTTTTGATTTGACAATTATGAAAGTTTTACCTTGAAAGCTTGTAGTTTGAAATGGTCTTTACAATTCTGTGTTTCTTAATATTGTTACAATCGTTAACTAAAAGTGTTAGATCGTTTTCGTGAATCGTAACAAGTCTAAATGTTGATGAAAAGTAGAACTCGTAAACCAAGGGCATCTTTTGGAAGGTGGATCTCGTAAGCCCAAGGTATTATAGATCAATTCCTGGAACATTTTTAATTAGAGAAATAATTGTTAAACCAGTAAACAATAATTTATTTTTGCACTTATGGAAATTATTTAATGTACTAATTTCTTTGACCTATAAGATGAATTTGAAGTGGTTGTTAAGTCAATTAAATGGCTTCGTGATCAAATTCAAGCAAATCAGAAAATTAAAGTGACGTATCAGCAACGCATAAGAGATACGCATTTGTGGTGTAGAGTACTTTAAAAATGCATTTGCGTATATGCATAATATACCATCGTAGATTCGCTTATTGATTTCAAGATCTGTATGTACAGCGCCAATCTCCACAAACGAAGTCAAAATTGGAAACAAAAACATATAAATTAGCTACACAAAAACAAACATAAACTTTTCAAATTAAAAGTTCAAATAAACTTAATTATACTTTTTCATAATGCAAATAAAATAAATCATGATTTACCAAATCATAATTTACTTTTTCATTTTTTTTATAACCCCATTTTCTGAAAAAACTTTCAGACTTGTATAATAAATTACAAATTGGTTCTGAATTTGATTGAATTAAATTAATTGAGAATCTTGATGGTTGAAATACATCTAAAACTTTTTTTACAATTTCTAAATTTTGTAATGGAACATTAGATTCAAAACTTGCATAACTCCAACCAGATTCAGGAGTGACATGTAAAGTATAATAATAGCCATTATTATCAATTGAATTTGAACTAAAACCACAAGGATTAAATCCAAAAGCATCATGAACAAAAGTTGAAATTGGTTCTTCATCTTCATCATCTGAATTTCTTGGTGAAAGTAAATGAGAAATTTTACTAAAAATTGAATCTAATCCACAATTTGTTAAAATTTTTAAACCAGTTTCATGACCATCAATATGATTTGGATTATTCATAAATTTTTCAGAACATTTTGAATCCAAATCAGTCATTAAAATTTCAAATGATTGATCATTAGAATCATCATTTAATTCTCCACCAACGTATAAATACCAATGATCATCCGAATTATAATTCCCAACAACATATGACTTACCATTAATAAAAAATTTATCTAATAAATTAACTTCACTTTTCCAATCTTTATGTACATGAATTTGTTTATCTGGAAACATAAAAGATCTTCTTGAATAAAAAATTTTATAAATTGATTTTGAAGACATACCAATTAATTTAAATAATTCATCTAAACAAGCAAGTGTAGTTGTTGTACCACAAGTTTTTAAAATTAATTTATGTGGAAATACAAATAATGAACTTTCACTTAATAAATAAGCATCCATATATTTTGAACTTTTCATTGATAAAACTTTACAATTAACCAAATCTAAAATTTTCTTCCAATCTTCTAATTTAATTGATCTTAAACCTTCATTATTTAAACATTCATTTTCTTCATAAAACCAAATCTCTAATAATTTTTCAGGACCTTCAAAGGCAAATGTTGAATCTAAATTAACTGATAATTCATGATCAATGTATGAATCTTGATGATAAGCAGGAGCAACCATTGAAACTTACTCTTATGATATTATATTGAACCGATGAGAGAAGTAGCAAGAAACAGTTTCAATAAATATACTTGTTTTGTCAACACAAGATAGGCAAAATGTTATCCTGGTTCTATTAATTTGTTATATTGGGATAGTCGAGCTTCTTTCGTATTAAGCATAAAACTTTGCAAAAAAAGAAGCTGAAATCAGATTGAACACTTTTGGTAGTAATACCTTTTAACTTTGTATTACTCTAAATATAAATATAACTTTACTTTATTAATTGGTAAAGTTTGGGTTGGCTGTAAATTGCTTGAAAAATGAAAAATTTTTGCGAGATTTTTTTTTTTTTTTTTTTCACTCTCGTGACTTCAAATTAACCCAATCAAAACATATACTTGAATAAGACTAACATCCATATCTATTATCTATATATTATACTTATATTATATTGTACTCATTATACTAAACACTTGATACAATTTCACTTGCATTTCTTAATACTTCAACCATTCTAATACATTCTTTTCTTTTTTGTACTGTTAATTCATTTTCTTTAACTAAATCACCTAAATCAGGATTATTATACATCTTTTCTAATAATTCTTTTTGAATATCATCTTTTGATTTATTTATTAATTTTAACATAATTGCTTTTGGTACTACATCTGCAACAGTTCTTTTAACAATATTATAATATGAACTAATTAATAACTTAATAACTTCGGTTTCCATAGTTTCTCTTTCTGTCATTGTACCTGTTGCTCTTAAAACTGGTGGTGGAGCTTCCATTTGTTGTAATCTTTTCTTATTTTTAGATGAAAAAAACCCTCCAAAAAATCCATTTGAATCTTCTTGAGATGTTGTTGTTGTTGTTGTTGCTGTTTGTGATGGTTTTGGTGATGCTGTTTGTGGTATTGGTTTACCAGTTTTTGGATCTAATTGTACTTGTTTTGGATGGAATTTATCTTCAACTATAGCCATAGCTTGAGAACCTTTTAATAAATCTGGATGTGCTGTATTTACATAAGTTTCTTCAGATTTTATAATATCAGTTACGAAATTATTAGTTGGAATTAAAGCTTCTCTTAAATATTGAATAAAATGTTGACTTAATTGTTCTTTTAATCCTGGGTATCTTGAATATTGTGGTTGAGATATAATTTGTGATAAGATTCTAACCAATTCATCAAATATTAAATTTATACACCTAATACTTGGTTCTTCCATTCTTCTAATTTGTTGTTTGACTAAAACTTCAAAAGCTTGCGTACCAACAAATAATGAAGGTGCTGCACCTGAAGTATTATGCATAATTGTTCTAATATCACCATCTCTAATTTGATCAAATGGATCTAATGCATTAATACCATTTTTATAAATTTCATGGAAAACAAATGAAATTCTAGCACCACCTGATAATTCTTGTGATGTTAATTCTTTAGCTTCACCATCTAGAATACCAGTATAATCTTTTGTAAAATTTGTAATCATATTTAAAGCAATTGATGTTGGACTTTCACTCATTTCAGGACCTAATAAGCTCAATTCTTGTTGATATTTCTTAAGTGAATGTTCAATTCTCATTTTAATATCAGGTAAAGTTCCTTTAATATGTGCTAATAAAATACCATTCAATTTTTTGGCCAAATATGGAGTACCACAATATTGAGCTTTAGCTCTATAACTACTATGAGATTCAAAAAATGCTTTTTCATCTTTTAATGCATCTCTAATAGTTTTTTTTGATTCAATATCTTTTTGACCTCTATTTATAACTGGTACATAACCAAATCTTAATGGAATAACCCTACCAGCTAAAATATCAATAACATCAGTACCTTGATCCATTAAATCAACTTTAGTTAAAACACCAATTGTTCTTGAACCTTCAGGATCAACTTCTCTTGCTAATTTCAAACCATCAGAATTTGCTAAATCAGTATTAGCAGCATTAACCGATAATATAATGGCATTTGGTTTTGAAATAAATTTCATAATCATATCTCTAATTTGTTTTTCAATATCTTTTGGTTGATCACCAACTGGAACTTTAGTTAACCCTGGTAAATCAACCAATGTTAAAGTTAAAACATGTGGTGAATAAATTCTTAAATTTATTGGAACTGGTGATATACCTAAATTTTTACCAGTTTTTGCATCTGTTTCTCTAACAATTTCATTTCTAATATCTTCAAAATTATAAAATTTTTTACCAGGTACATGTAAAAATTCACCCCATTCATCTTGATTATTTTCTGTTTGACCACCATGAGAAGAGGTATTAATATCTAATAAATCATTTTTCTTATCACTTGCTCTTCTATTAATCAATTGTAAAACTAAAGGTCTTCTGGTAACTATACCAGTACCCCTTGGTAAAAAATCTCTACCAACAATATTCTCTAAAACTGAAGATTTCCCAGAAGATTGACTACCAACAACTGTAATTTGAGGCAAATCAACAGGAGATGATGATCCACCACCTAAAGGAGCCAAAGCATCTTGTAATTTATTGATAGTGGCAATTAAAGTTTCATCCATGATTAAAACCGTGTTATTTGTTCGTTGGAAAAGAAGTTGTTGAAAATAGAAAATTATGCACTACCAATTGTAATCTATATATAGTAAACATTTATATAGAATTGGCCATCAAACTTATTCAAAACCAATTCGGTTTCATTCCACGGTATTTGAAATATACCAGAGTTAATTTTAGGCATCGATATTACAATTTTATTGTCAATTCTTTCAATATCTTTTAATTGAGATAATTGTTCATACAAATTAATCATTGATAATTCTGTATTTCTTAATACTTCTTCTTTTGATTCCTGAAAATTACTTGTAAATAAGCATCCAATATATCTTTCTTGTTTAATTAATAATGATGTACCTAATAAATCATCATTATTTTTACAATAATTTGTATATGTTTCATTGGCGATGGGGTATTTTTCCCGAAAAATTGCAGCAATACCACCGCCCCATATTCCTTGAGTATTACAAGCATGTACAAGTATAGATTTACTTTTGAATAAATCACCTTTTATGTATTTAATCATATTTTTATAAATATAGTTTCACTTGGTGAATTATGTTTAATTTCATTAAAGAAAAAACCACCTTCACAACCGCATCCAAATACATTTTCATAAACTTTTGTAGTCATGTCACTACCAGTCGCATAATTAATTTCAATTGGACAACTTGAAAATGTAATACAATCATGGTAATTAAATTGTTTATGTTTATAAGTTAAATTTGGTGGTACCATGAAAAATTCCAATGTATGACCCTTCTGTAATTGTGCTTCATTTGATAATGCAATCATATTTGCTTTAACTCCCCATCCTCCACCACCAGCTGTAACTTTAAACCTTTTCTTACCATCGATTTTAACATATATTTCAGTATCTTTAGATGCTAACGCATTTAATTTTTCATTATTTTCTAAATATTTTGAAGCTGGTTTATCATTTAAAGTTTTTACTAAATTTCCAACACAATTCGTAATTGTAAACTTTTCTTCATATAACGGTTCCCATTGATCTTCAATAATTACTTTTGGATGTTTAATTAACCCTTTTGGTAATTGAATTTTCAAATCACATAAATGTAAACCTGAATTTTCATAATCATTATCAAAATAATATAAAGTTGTAATTTTCCCCGTGGTAAAGACGGTATTTGCTAAATTTAAACAAATTATATTATGATGATAATTTAAATCAATCAGTAATTGAGATTTTATATTAATCCAATTTTTTCTTGCAGTTACTATATTTATACCATCTGATTCTTTTGGTTCTTCATTAATATTATCTCGTTCTTCTAATTTAATTGACTCTTGAATCTTTATTTTTTCATCTAACCATAATTCACTAATACCATTTCTATTATTTAATACTGCGTCTACTCCAGCAACAATAACTTGTATGTTTTTTTCTTGTAATTTAATTGAATCTTGAATAATTTGTGGTAAATTCGATGGAGTTGAAAAAATCAAAACCGATTTTGGTTGAAAATTGGGAGTAATTAATTTAAAATCAATTGAATTTATAATTGATCTTGCATTAGATAGAGTTGATTTAGAAGATGTATTAATGAAAAATCTTTTGAATTGTCTATTTATCAATCTCATCAATTTTTCTTTTTTTCAAGTTTGAAAATTCATTTTTTAAATTAATTTTATATCCATCATCTAGAACTTTTTTTAAAATTGGTGCCCAAATTGATTCATCTTGTTTAAAATGATCCAATTCAAATACATTTTTATCCAATTCCCATTCTGATTGTTTTGTTCTAATTAATTCAACCATATATGCTGATGATTCCATTGCCCTACCTATATCACTAATTAAACTACGTATATAAGTACCTGAACTAACATCTGATTTTAAATGTATCAATGGTAATTTATCTGGTAAATCTTCCGTAATCTTTGGTTTCTCTATTTTTTCATCTTTATATTCTTCATTTAAATATAATGGTGAATCATTTAATGTTGGATTATTTATCAATCCATGTTCTTTAGGTAACCCAGTTTCTTCATCAATTATACTTTCTAATTTCTTAAAATCATGATTTAAAGTTATTGGATCTAAAATTTTTATATCATTTATAGTTACTTCTCTCACTTTTATTCCTTCAGTTGGTAATGGTAATCCTTGTCTTGCATATTCATATAATGGTTTCCCATTTACTTTTAATGCTGAAAATATAGGTGGTGTTTGTTTAATTTTCCCCATAAATTTTAAAACTGTTTTCTCCACCAATTCATCATTTATGTGATCAATTTTAGTTTTATATATTATTTCTCCTTCTGAATCACCTGTTGTTGTACTTATTCCTAACAAAGCTTTTGTTTCATATGTCTTTTCACATCCTGTTAAATAATGTTGCAATTTTTTGGTACCTGATCCAATCCCAATTACTAAAACACCACTAGCTAAAGGATCTAAAGTACCACCATGACCAATTTTAACTTTACAATTTCTAATCTTTTGTTGCATCCTTTTCTTAGAAATTTTTTTATCCCTACTCATATCATATTCAATTTTCTCCTTCATTAATTTTAAATCATTAGCAAAAGCAGATGAATTTGTAAATATAGATTGTAATTCATCAATGAATTTAGCTGACGTTATACCTGATGGTTTATTAACTGCAAAAATTCCATTCATAATTGATAACAATCTTTTCATACATCTTTTTTTTTTTCATCATCGCGGTTTATCAATTTGTATATCGAGCTAAAGTTAAAGTTAGTAAATGTCCCTCAAATTAAAATAGTTTTCAAACATACTGATAAATAATTTGATTCTCTAGGTGATATAAATTTAATCCTTCGATTTTGTTTTTCAAATTTTTCATTTAAGTTTGAAATATATATCTCTAACTTTAACAACTCTCGTTTCGTAAAACTATAGATCGCTAGTAAATTTAGTACTTGTATAAAGAATCCTCCTGTTAATACCTCTAAAATACTTTCAATAAATATTATAAAATTGAATGGGTTAAAAGCAATATATAAATATTGATTAATTTTAGTTATAATTTCAAATAATTCAAATTGTGATAAATTTAAACATGTCAATTTTGAAACTTTTGAATAATACTGATTTTGATATAGTTCTAGTTCAACAGATTTACCTAAATCTGTTGTAATCGCACCTGGTTCCATACCTGGATAATATGTTGAAAATTGTGGTATTAAATCACTTAATTTAATAGTATCATAAATTCTCGGTATTCTTATAATTCTAGTTTGTATGTATTTAGTTGAATACTGATTTACATAAATATTAGGGAAATGATTAATAATTAATGAATAATCTTTGTTTGGTAATGAAATTAAGTATTCATGATAATTAAAGAATATTAATTCTTGATTTAAATTTTGTTGATTATCTGACTGATTTGATAGTTGATCATTAGTCATTAATATATATTGATGATGCTAAAGTGAAAAGTTATGTTGGTAGATGCTTGTTTATTAATAATTGGTTGTAAAATGATTATTATTAATTTTACTAAATTTTTTTGTTATCTGAAAAAAAAAAAAAAGGCTGAAACATTTATTACTAAACAATTGTAATATATGATGATGAATCATCAACCAGTCTATGAAATCAGGGGATAGATGGAGGTATATACATTGAAGTAATGAATGTATATCATTGATTTAGATCTTAGATCTATGGTTTGGTTCGGTAGCAATCTATTAATAATTGACAAATTATGAGCATTAATGATATCATCTTAAATGAGATCTATCCAAGAGTAAATACTTCGATCTTCTTAGATTTAACACAATAATGTAGATTTGATTGTTCAATGTAGGAATTGGTTTGATCTCAAATATCTAATGTTAATTTAGCTATATTTTAGCATTGCTCAGCACAAGCACACGTATACAAACAGTTTTTTAATAATACTTTTAATCTAATCCAGCACTATATATATGTTTCAAATATAATTGTTCAATTCAAATCATTATATTGTTGAAATCTGTTTCTTGTATTTTGCAACAATACACAGTAAAATAATAACTTGGTAGCGGATGGGCCACACATTGGATTTGAATTCTTATTTATTTTTCAATGCGAGGATTGGGCGCAACAAAAAAAACCTTCTCGTGCAATCTTTAGGATGACTCGTACCAAGCTTATTGTCTTATATATCATGAACAACAAATTAGTACCAAGCTTATTCTCTTATATATCATGAACAACAAATTAGTACCAAGCTTATTGTCTTATATATCATGAACAACAAATTACTTCTTATGAACTAAGGAGTCATTATATGAAATCTGGAGCATTGTACCAAGTTTATTGTCTTATATATCATGAACAACAAATTAGTTCTTATGAACCAAGGAATCATTATATGAAATCTGGAACATTGAATTTGATTTGCAACAATATACAGTAAAATAATACAAATAACAACTTGGTAGCGGATGGCCATGGCCACACATTGGATTAAATTCTTATTTATTTTTAAATGCGAAGATTGGGCGCAACAAAATAACCTTCTCGTGCTATCTTTAGGACGACTCGTACCAAGCTTATTGTCTTATATATCATGAACAACAAGTTAATTCTTATGAACTAAGGAGTCATTATATGAAATCTGGAACATTGAATTTGATTTGCAGCTTATCTCAATTCTTAGATGTCTCATTTTTTTTTCTAGTTGTCATTTTGGCCTTTTTTCACCATACAAAAATTTTTCAGAAAATGTAAAATCATTGTACGTTTCATTTAGGTCACTAACTTTCGGTTAAACAGCTGATTATATAAAGCACAGCTCAAACAATGATGCTGGACATAATTTTAGCTGTCCTGGAACTAAAATTGAAAAATTTTAAAATTTGCTCTCAAGTATGGGAAAACTTGAGCAAATTGGCCTCACAAAAATTCTAATTCCACAATTGACAATCTGACTAGAACATATTGAAACTAACCAATTTTGTAGTTCTGGACTTTGATAATTCTTGAATATTTTTGTGTTAAGGTATTCAAAATTGTAAAAGTAATTTTTGAAACATGATTTCGAAATTTTTACAAAAATTTCAAACTGATTGTGGCGTCTTGCAAACATCATACATATAATCTATAGGTTTTATTTAACCAAACCAGCTATATCAGAAATTGATAGATGAGTTCTAAGTATTAATTATCTTGCAAAATAGCGATTTTTTCCATTTTTCAAATGATGAATAAATTGACAAAAATTTAGGTTTTTCTTAAAGAAATTAACATCAGCGTATTCTATAATTGTCTCTATTTGTAATCTTTGTAATGATTTGTAATGAGTATAGTTTTACGATATTACTTCGAAAATTGAAAGAGTTATTTACAATTCAAATTTCGAGATTTTATATATGGTACTGCATATAAGCTATATTCATTGCACTTCTCAAAATATTTTTCAATATTTTTTTTCACCAGGGCATTTTCATTCTTTCCTCTTTACAACGATATATATATATATCAAAATTGTATGTTTAATAAATCCAATTGTTTTATTATATGTTTATTTATAATGATGATACCGAGTCGTTAGGACTCCTCAGCACAAACCCAGCTCAGTTGATATTTTGTTTATGATAAGAATTGGTAAAATTTATTACAAACTGAAAATAAACAATATAATAAACAGAAATTGTCTATTATCATTACTAACTTTATAATTAGCTTGTATAGAATTTTGAATATATATTAATTACTTTTCTTCAATCAAATCCTAAATGTAGATTATATTAAGTTCGTACTTCTCTCGTTGAAAAATTTTTTGTTAAATGATATTATGATTCCATTAAAATCATTAGTATCAAGATCTACAAGATCATCTATAATCAAAATTCGAAATAATGCTAGAATTTCAGTAGCGTTACGTTATAAAAGTACAATTTCAGCAGAACAACCTGTCATTGATTCAAATTTTGTAAAGAGAAATCCTCAAAATGAAAAATTAACAAATATTACCAAACAAATTTCAAATACAATTAAAGCAAATAATTTAAACGAGAGTATTGAAATATTTACTGAAGGAATTCAATTTATAAGAAAAATTCAAAAAGAAGAGAATATGCGTTTCCAATCAATTTGGAATTCTTTTGGTCCATTAGCTATGGAAATAATTAATCAAATTGATAATCCAGAACAATTAGAAACATTCCTTAAAATTTTGAATACTTATGGTGTATGTAACAAATATTTCTATACTAAATTAGCCAGTCTTTATGTTCATCAAGAAAATTATGAAAAAGCATTGGAGGCTTTCGTATTTATGAAAGAACATATAAAGAAACTTAATAGTCATAGAATGTTAATAAAAGTGGGGTCTCGCTCCATTGAATCAAAATCATATCACATTTATAATTTGGCATATTATTCATATATTTTTATGTGTATAAAAAATGGTGGGTATTCACGAGAAAATGCAATGAAATTAATGGGAACTCGTGAAATAACTACCAATGTTGTTAGATCAACCTTAATTGAATTTGGTCTTTATGACCAATCAAAGTTCAAGCTTTTTGCTGGATTTGAATTAAATGAAAAAGCAAAAAGATATGATGTAAATTCAATAATTCATGAAATTAAAAAAGTGGAAAGTAAAGAAGCATTAGATTTCTTGTATTTACAAATGTTAAAAATGGGTAAAGCTAAAGAAATGGTAGTAGATGAACTTGTACTTATCAATTTTATGGAACAATATTTTAATTATAAACAATACGATAAAGTTGTACAAATTTTACAACAAATATTATCTAGTGTTGAAAAACCAAGTATAAAAACATGGAATGTAGTAATCAAATCATTAACAAATCCAACTCAAATTAAAAATAATCGTAATGATTTAAGATCACAATTTGAAAAAGTTCTTAACACAATTAAATCAATGGATATACCATATAATAATGATACATATATAGCTATCGTATCTGCTTATGCTAACTTTGGTGAATTTGATAAAGTGAAATATTATATGGAGAATTTCAATGTTCCTAAAGAAGCCAATGATGGAATTTTAAAAGGTTTAATATTGAATAATAAAATTCAAGATGCAGAGCAAAATTTGAAAGAATTGATTAAAAAAGATTTTATTCCATCAACACAAACAATGAATGAATTTTTAACTTATTATGCTAGAAATAGAAATACTCAAGCAATTAAAGGAATAATCTCATTTATGAAAGATAACAATATCGCTCAAGATATGGCTACTATTACAACACTTTTAAATCTAGAATTTAAATCATCATTTGACAAGGGTAAGGAACTTGATCTTGCACAATTTTTTAAACAATTTCAAATTACACAAAATGAAAACTTTAAATTAAATGAACATATATGCAATACAATACTTCAAGGCTTTATTAAAAATAGATCTTTGGAAGCTGCTAGAGCCTTTTACAATCAAATCAAAACCAATTTTCCTAAATCAACTTGGTTACATACTCAACAAATGGTTGGTGAAATTTCAATTGGTTCACCAATGCAAGGAATTGAAATTTTCCAATATTATATCAAAAATATTAAAGATGAGCCAATTATATGGAATACATTGATTCGAAATCTATTACAAGTAAATGAAGATGATTTAGCAATGGCATACTTCAATAAATTTACAAATAAAACTCATGGTGCTAGAGCAAATCATTTTACTTATTATTTTATTTTACAACATTATATTAAGAAAAGAGATTTGGCACAAATTCAAGCTATAGTTAATCAATTAAGTAAACATCAATTGGATGAATATGGAAGAATTTCAGAATTAGGTTTAGGTAAATTGGGAATAAATATACCAGAAAATTTATCTAATTTAGCAAAGTAAGAAATCATGTAAATAGACAATTAATATATAGACTAATGTTGGATTGTTCCAAGGTTCCAAGGTTCCAAGGTTCCAATGTAAAAATAGTTTCTGAAATAAAGTTTTTAGATCAATTTGCAAGATATTGTTTGAGTACCTGATGCTGGTAATTTCAGTAAACGGTTGGGCACTTTTAATTAACGATTTTGTAACAATATTAAGAAATACAGTATTCTAAAGACCGTTTCAAACTACAAGCTTTCAAGGTAAAACTTTCAAGGTAAAACTTTCAAGGTAAAATTTTCATAATTGTCAAATCAAAAAATACATTAAACATTAATTAAAAAAATAATGAAAAAAAAAAAAAAAAAAAATTGCCAGCCGCGAAATTACCCGAAACAAAACTAAACATCTCAGGTTTAAATACGAGCGCCGCATATATACTAAAGTAAGCAACAGCTTATTACCAGGGTAATTTGATCTTGAAAACAGCAGCATCAGTAAAATATCAAGAATATTTCTATTAAACCAAAGATTATCAACTAAATGTACTACTACTACTTCAGTTAAACTTTGATCTGAAATACAACTAACTCGTTCGAATCAAACATTTATAAGAAATAGAAAAGTCTACCATAAAAAAGGTAACAAGCGTTTTTTAAAATAAATATAAATTATTTACATCTAATTAGTTAAAAATAAATTCAACAGACTAAACTAATCAATCTATTTAAATTTTTTACCAAATAAGATAATTTGGAGTTGGTCGTACAAGGAGATAACACCGGCACCAGCAACACCTCTAAGAATATTTGCACCACAACCTCTAAAAAGTGAAGCTACACCTTCTGCAGCAACAACTTTTTTGAAACAGTCAAATGCACCATCATATTTGACAGCTTGACCTGAAGTCATCATCATTCTTCTTCTAACGGTATCTAATGGGTATGAAGCAGTTGAAGCACCAGTAGTAACAGCCCAACCTAATAAGAATGAAGCTAAGAATGAACCTTCTAATGGACCAACTAAAACAACAGGTTTTAATGAATCATAAACACCAAAGTATAAACCTCTGTAAACAATAATACCAACAACAGATGGACCGAAACCTCTATATAAACCCGCAATACCATCTGAAGCTAAAGTCTTTTTATAAACATCAATTAAACCATTAAATTCTCTACCTTTACCGTCTCCTTTTGCTGATTTAGCATCATTAGCTAATCTAGTTCTAGCATAATCTAATGAATAAACAAAAGCTAATGAAGTTGCACCAGCTAAACCACCGGAAGCTAAATTACCAGCAAACCATTTCCAATATCCTTCATCTTTTTTGAAACCAAACATAGCTTTAAATTTATCTTTAAAAGCAAAATTTAAAGCTTGAGTTGGGAAATATCTAATAACATTAGCTGTGTTACCTCTCCAGAATGAGATAATACCTTCTTGATTAGCGGTTCTTTTGAAACAATCAACGATACCAGCATATTTATGTGATAATCTACCTTGTTTGATCATTTCATCTTGATTTTGTAATAATAATTTAACTCTTTCAATTGGAGCTGCTGCTGTTTTTGAAACGGCAGCTGAGACACCACCCATTAAGAAATCAATTACGAATTTTTGATCCATCTTTGTTGTTCTAAGCTTATTGAATAGATATTTACGTTTTGTTTGGAATACAAAGAAACTGAAAGAAAGAAAGCAAGAAAGAAAGTAAAAAAAAGAGGAAAAAAAATTAAATATATACTGTGAGAGAATCAACGTTGATAGTTAGAAAATTTTTCAACAACAAATAAGATATTAATTAATTTAATTTTTTTGTTTTTTTTTTTTTTTTTTTGTTTGTTACAGAATATATAAAAAAGAAAGAAGAATATGGTATATAACGGAAGAATACTGACATTTGATTGGTCAGTTTCTAATTGAATTGTCTATTATATTTAAATTTTGAACTGGGTACGTTTTTGTCACATTCAAGACATTGGATCGAGATGAGTTTTTCTTTTATATAGAGAGAGATTCACGCGTTTTGAAGTGTTGTAATGAAATTGTAAGATTTGATTCTCTTATTTCATAAATCCATTGATGTTTTGGTTTACTCATTAATTAGGTCAATTGTATGTTTAAAATTTTCTTACAGAAATTCACGTAAATAATAATAATAATAATAATTATTGAAATGGAAAAATTTTTTTGATCTCGATCGGCATAAAAAAAATTTCAGTTTTTAACCGAAAATGATACAAATAAAAAATAATATTCAATTGATTCTTTGAAAATTGATTAAATTTTAATGCTAAAGATAGCGTGACAATAAACAAGAACTCCTGAAACTAAGCTTCCTGAAACTAAGCTGCAAGCTCTAAATTTACAGGCACTATTTGATTGTTTAAAAAAACTGTTGTACAGAGGTGCAGGTGGCTACCTGGTTTTATAAGGCGTAACTTTGATGTAGATTAAAACCCTCATCAATGGACTCTTGGATGATAAAATTTTTATGTAATTGTGATTGTGAAAATCGTGTCTCATGTTTCTCGATTCAAGACAAAAGACAAAAGACAAAAGACAAATAAATTCAGCTTTTATATCTTTTATATGTTGTAATAAAAAAATTCACTGGGCGCTAAAAATTGGCTGCAAAAAAGAAAAAGAAAAGAAAAAAAAAAAAAACAAATTATTTTCAATGGCTGCAAAAAGAAAGAAATCAAATAATAGTCAGTCAATTTTCGAACTCTAGGTACGGAGTCTACGTCGTGATGATTCATGATAATTCATAATGATTCATGATAATTCGTGATAATTCATGATAGTTCATGATAATTGATAATGCCTTCAAACTTAAAGAGCCTACATTTTTTACAAACCTTTGTGAAATTATTGCAAAGTTCGACAATTTCGTGCAATTTTTTCCCAAAATTTGTAGAAATGTTTTGATTCCAACAAGCATAGACCACTTTCTACATTTAACATCATTATAGAAAAATTAATCGTGATTCTATAAACTTATTTTAAATTCTATTAATTATACAGAGAAACTCTTTTATGCTCCTGACTTATTCTAGAAGCTTTTCTTTTGTTATCATTAAAATCAGTCATCGGTATCTCTTCAGTTTGTATCAGTTCTTGAGTTTCATTATTCTGAAAATAATTATCACTTACACTTCTTTTAAACATTGACATCATATTTTTCCTTCTAATTGGTTTCATTATTAAACCTGGTGGTGGAGTTGGTGGTTGAAATTGTGAGCTTCCAACTGTTTGAAAAATTTGTCTTCTATCAAATTCATCAGATGAAGATTTTCTAATTGATTGCATACTCACTCTATTTACAACTTCACTTGAATATGAAGAAATTTTTTGTCTATCTGGATCAGTTGGATCATAATCAAGTGGATATGCATCAAAATCTCCTCTTAAAATACATTCTCTAATTATATCAATATCTTTTGGCCAGAAAATTTTTTGAACAAAATCATAAAAAAACCTTGGAATTAGACAACATAAAACTCCAACAAACATACAAGCCCAAAAACTCGTCATACCAAATACTTCAGGTGCTGCTTTATAAAATTCCTGTGATGAATAAACCGATGTAGTCCAAAGACCTGTCCAAATGAAAATTATCAAAATTGAAAGTGCCACAATTAATGAACTTAACCAATCCCATCTATATTGATGGAATAAAATATAACAATTACATGAAATACATGCAATACAAGTAACTAAAACTCCCATCCAAAATCTATGATCCATAACTTTACCATTCATATGAGGAAATGAAACAACATATAATAAATATGGGAAAAAAAATGAAATTGCCGATTGATAAATACCATCAAGACAATAAATGTAAAACTTTAAATCACTCATTTCATTACGTAAAATACCCGAACGATATAATTGTGGAACCAATAATGAAACTTTTGCATCGACATCTTGATCAAATATACCAAGAAATATAACTGGTAATGAAGTAAATGCTAAATTATAAAACATAAGATAAGTGAATTCGAATAAATAAGTTCCATCGAAATCACAATAGATTCCATACCAAAACAATGCAATATTGAAAATAATATTTTTGAAAAAAAAACTTGGAATCATTTCACTAAATCTTTTATAACTCCATCTACCGTGTGTTAATAAAAGTCTAGCCAAAAATCTAAATTGACCAACTGCATAATCGGATGACATGACAGCTTGTCTACCTTCTTCACCTGCAATACCAACACCAACATCGGCAGCTTGAATCATGGCAACATCATTTGAACCATCACCAATTGCTAATGTCATAACATCTAATGTATCCTTAACTAATTTCACAACAGCTGCTTTTTGACTTGGTGAAACTCTACAACATAAAACTGCACGACATTTTTTACAAAGTAATAAAAACTTTCTCTTTGTTTCAGGATTTAATAATACAGTTTTTAATGCATCACCATCAATGACAACACCAAATCTTTCATCAGGTGGTGAATGATCACCAATTGCAGCTTCTTGTTCTTCAAAACTACCTTCCATATTAAAATGAGTTCTTAAATAATGTGAGATTATAATATCAATTACTTCATTTTCTGAAATACCATTACCAAAGGACAAATTTAATTTTGTCACTTCTTCTTGATTATAAGATGTTTTAATAACTAATAAATCCATATCATTGCCTAATAAATTACACGAGAAACCAATGTTTATAGCAGTTTCAACTTTATCACCGGTTAAAACCCATAATTTTATACCAGCTTCTGCTAAAACTGAAATTGCATCAGGAACACCATCTTGTAATCTATCTTCAATTGCAGTACCACCTAACAAAGTCAATTCCTGTTCAATTGAATCGGCAACTGCTTCCATTTTAGCTTCTCTATTTTCTAATGATGATGCAGCTGCTTGATGACGTTTATTCCACTCACTATATTGATCCCATGATAATTCTCTTTGAGCTATACATAATGTACGTAAACCTTCAGTAGCATATTCTTCAAGATGTTTAGAAGTTGCTTCCAACATTTCAGGATCATTATTTGTTTTTGATAATCTATTGTAAATAATTGAATCTGCACCTTTACAAATCAATAATGCTTTATCACCAATTTTTACAATAGAACTCATTCTTTTTCTTGTTGAATTAAATTCCAAAGTATTTAATATTTGATATTCTTTGGTAGTACCATGTACATCAATTAAAACACCCTTCTTTGTAGTACCTTTGAAATTGAAACCTAATGATCTTGCAGTTCCAACTAATGCAGCTTCATCGGGAGATTGTGCTTTAAGTAATAATTTATTAGGATTCTTTGGATTTTCTTCAGTAATAACTGAATGACATAATGCTAATGCCAACATAAAATGCTCATTTTCTTTATTACCATTGATTAGATCATCAACAAATTCAGAAGAAATAAATGTAATTTCATCATTATAAGTTCTATCCTTATTAATTTCTCCTAAATTCTCGATCATTTTTTCTTTATCTTGTGCAATTAACACTTTTTCTTTTGCTCCTTCTTCTTCAACATTAATACCCATTCTTTTCCTCAATCCTGCTAATGCTTCAGTATATGCTCTTCCATAAGATATACCATTTATAGTACATTTTTTAAATTCCATCACATTTTGAGTTAATGTCCCTGTTTTATCTGAAAAAATATATTCAATTTGACCTAAATCATCAGATATACTCCATGACTTTGGTGTACATGGGAAATCCAACCTAGGATAATACATTCCAACATCTGAATAAATGAAAAATGCTTGTGCGGTCTTGATAATTTCTATTGTAATATATAATGAAATTGGAACCAATGATTGATATAAAATTAATGCAACAAAAAACCCAACTAAACCATTAACAGCTGGTGATCCTGCAATTGTACCAAACTCAAAATAATCTCGTGAAGTTTTTTGCTTTCTATAATATATCCCATTAACTAAACCTGAAATGAAACAAATGACAAATAAAAGTATAAAATTTAATAATACATAATAGTTTAATTCTCGAGACATTCTTGATTGTTTTGTTGGCGTGACACCGGCATTGAGCATAATTTTTGTATCATCACCAGTGAATGCAACTATACCAATGACCCATTTAGTATTTCTTAATGTACAACCTCTAAGTAATAAATTGTTTATAGTTATTGGTTCTTGCGAATCTCGATATCTTAAATTACCTTGATAAGAATATAAATTTGCATGTGGACCTTCAGAATCAATTTGAAACAGACGATCAATTAATTCATCAGCTTTAGTTATCTTATTATCGACTGAAGAATATTTTAATGCTTGTTTGACTTTAAGATTAGTTTCACCATCTAAATTTTTTGTTTCAACGTAACAACAATTGTCATCATCAGAAGTGGAGAGTATGATTAAATCTGCTGGAACTTCATCATTATTATAAATTCTTAAAACATCGCCAACTTTTACATCTTTCCAATATTTCTTTTGAAATTTCATAACTTTATGATAATCAGATTTAAATGGATTATCCATTGATGGTCTAAAATCTGAATCAAACGATTTTCTAGGATCTTCTTGTTCATCGTGAGCTTTCTGTCTCAATTTATTAGCTCTTCCTTCCTTCGTTAAATTTCTTTTTGACGCTCCCCAAAATTTAATCAATAATTTTGTATTCCATTTCTTAAATCTTCTCCATAATGAAACATGTTCGTCATTTACATTTAAATTTTCATAATGATAATCTATATTATTATCAACTTGTGTTAAAATATGTGTAGTTTGATTATTAACTTCCAAATCAGTTACTGTTCTTCTTGAATCTTCTATTGCATCTTTTATAGCTGTTATAATCACAATAACAATTAATGGAACTGCAGCTAATACAGGTGATGGAACACCAAAGATTTGAAAAGCACCTAATATAATTAATGCTAAAAAATAAATGTTGGCAATATTATGTAGAAATTGATTTGATATGTTCTTCGGTAAAAATGAAATTGGAGTATATTTTGTTGTCCTAATTTTATTTCGAGGATATTCAATATTGACTTTTCCCGTACTGGGATCTACCATTTCTTCGGGTAGAGGTTTATTAAATGTTATTGATCTTTTCTCCAGCTTTCTACTTTTAGCATCATTAACTTCAAAATCATTATCGGAATCTGAATCTCGACGATCTGGAAATTCAATTGAATGAGTATTGGGTTTTCTTATTGAATGTAGTTTACTTTTTAATGAATGTTTTGGTTCGAGGATCTTTTTTAGGGTTTTTGACCTACTTACATTTTCTTTCTTTGGTTTACCATGTTTATTTCTTGTAGTACCCCATCTATGTCTTTTTGTTGGTAGATCGGTAGTTGTTTCATGATCTTCATGCTTTGGTTTTTCAAAAACTTCATTTTCAACAATTGTATCATATTGATCTAAAAAGGGCGATTTTGTTTTCGATGATGATGATGGTGGTGTTGGTATATCCTCTTCTGGCAATTTAAATCTTAATGAACTTTGTCTTTGAAAATTTCCTCCGTGATCTAGATTTGGCGTGGGAGGCATTGAATCATCGGAAAACCCATTATTTGAGTCAAAACGTCCATCAATTGGAGATTGTAATACCAGTGAATTCTCAAAACTTTCATCTGGATCTACAAATGGACTTTTCAATGACATTTAACGTTAGATATTTAGGAAGAAGAACCTAATTGAAAAATTGAAATTTGTCTATATAAATTATTATTACTAAGAAAAAAAAAAAAAAAAAAGACAGATTTAATAACTCAAAGGAGAACACGGTTATAAATAGAGTTAAATTCATGATTTAACAATAAACAACTTATAATATGATACAACTTCGTAAATTATATATAAACTCTTGGTATATAACTAACTGGTTTACTTTTTAGTCATTATATCTCGATTTTATCGGTACTCAATTCTTATTGGTTATAACCTACGGCTTTAGTTTGATTAACCCCTAAAACAAAACAAATTTTTAATCAAATAACTAGTTGTTATAAATAAATTAATTCTCCGAATATTCTTTTTTAGATGCATATTTCTCAGTCCATTCTTTTGCAACTTCAATAGCTTTTTTTTCATCTTTTTTCCAGTCTTCAGCTACATCATTTGCTAATGGATCATCGGGATTAGGTGCTCCTAATAAAGCTTGAATACTTAATAATATTGTTCTAATTTGTAATGCAGGTGACCAGTTATCTTTTAAAACATCTAAACAAATTCTACCTAATTTATCAATATTTGGATGATATATTTTAGTTAAAAATCGAACTTTTGGTGCACACATTGGATAATCATCTGGTAAATATAATTCTAAATGAAAAACACCATTTGCATAAGGTGACGAATTTGGACCATCTATAGTAACTTCAAAATATCGAAGATTTTCTTCGGATGGAATAGCTGTAATACCTGGTACTGGATCACTAACTAATCTTTCTGTTTCTTTAATTATTCTTTTTGGTAAAGCGGCCATGATATAGATATTGAATTGATGAAATTATGGAGATTGAAATGTGTTATCGTAATCGTAATCTTTTTTTTGTTTAAGATTAATTGTAGAAGAAATATACTTGTCGTGTGCATTTGGACAATTATATAATTAGTAGTACGTCTGTTTTGATTTTGTGATTATTTTCATTGACTTTTATAACCGTTCATTTCTAATTTGGTAGAACCCTGCGAAATTTTTTAACCTTCTGAACTGAGGCTTAAAATTTACGTTTAATATTAAATTTTCAAGCTATTTCGAGAAATGTAAAATCTTATTTCACGTTGACAAAAGTAGTTGAAGCTAATTGAACAGATACTAGATTTTGAGATATCTTTATTCCAGTAGAACGATGAATAATGCAGATTAAATAAGAATTCATTCTCCTTCATTGCAAAAGAGTAACTATATTATTTGATTTGATTTGTGTTCCAACAATATCAGGATTTTCATTATGTTCCTATCATTTTGATGTACAAAATGCAAAATATGAAAACTAACCGTACAACTTATGAATCAAATTAAAGGAATCCTTCATTTCTACGAAATTAAATAGTATTTCTTTTAATATTTTATAGTACTGATTTCGGGTTCCAACTCGTGATGTTTTTCAACCATTGACAATCTGGAAATAAAAATTACTAGATGCAACCATCGTAATCGAATATGAGAGCTGTGTCTGAATTTCCTTTGCATTAGTCGTGGACCAGCTTTATATTTATCGCACGGGAAATGATCTCATAAGTACAGCTCAAATGAGCGCAATTCAATACGTGTTTTAAAAAGTTGTGTAGTTGTCGAGATAGTTTCGTCAAAATGTCACCAAGATGATGAAATATGAGAAGATTCGATAGTTGTTTCAATTGATAAAGTCCCGATTAATTTTGGTTTATGTTCAGTTGCTTCAGATTGAATTTTGAGTCTTATTGAGGTACTGAGCTATTTTAATATATGTTTCAAAATCCCAATTAGGAAATTTTCGCGATTAGATTCTTCGACAAATTTCATTGGCCAGCTCCTTTTTACCCCTTAATTACAGTAATCGGAAAATTAATTAAGGTGTTCTCAACTCATGAACCAAACTTGTGTAATCCAAGTTGGGATTTTTAAAGAGTTGATGTGTTTTTCTTCTTTTTCTACTATTATCACGGAAATTAAAAACGTAATTCTTTTTATGATGTTCATATCAATACAAAAAAACACGCCATAAAAACTTCATTGACCCCTAGATTTGTTTATAATATTAATAAAATACATTTAAGTTTTCTATGATTTTTTTAAAAGAATAGCCTTCTTTAATTTTATCAAAAGACATTGAATAGATGGATAGCCTATGTTTACTATTCTTAGTATACAAACGCAAATTCGCGCGATTTAAACTAGGTAGTGCAGCTTTTGCAACATCACCAAAAATTTTCCATCAAAAAATAATCAAGTTCAATATCACCAATCGATTATGAGATCTCATGGCTCACCAATGTCACATAAGATCATAGTAGGTCTCATTGCTACTTTTTTGGGTGGTTATGTTACGTATAAAACAGGGTCTGATTTTGAATTTGTTAAATTTGAACCAAGAAGGGAGGAAGAAATTGAGAAATTAAAAAAAGATGGTAAAAACCCTTTTGAAGTTAAATTTTTGGATCAAGTTAGTTTGAATTTGAAACCTGAAGCCGAAGCTAGAATATTGAAGAAAATGAAGGAAGAACAAGAGAGAAAGTTGGCGCTTGAAAAGGAACAAACAAATGGAAATTAGCAATGCAAGGTTATATTGGTAGCTTTTAAAAGTTATAGAACTGCTAGAAATCCAAGAAGCTTGGTTTCAAATATTCAAATCTGCAATCTTTGACATTGATAAAATCAAACACCAGTAATTATAGATCTGATCAAAGATCGTATATTGTAAAATTATTGGACTCAGAGTTGCAAAAAACTTGCTAAAGCGATAAGAAGATTACAAATATTTAAAAAAAAAGTGTATTCTTTAACTGAGTTGATATCACTTCTTAAAGCTTCTACATTAATTGATGTGGGTTGATTTGAATTTGGATACAATTGAATTCCAATATTAAAAATCACCCAATTTGATCAATTGATTACTAAGAAACAGCAGAGTTTGGCCCAATTGATTTTCAATATTACAAGCAATGAAAGAAAATCAAGATAATCAATTTATCATAGAACTTTACAATTTTCAATATTACAAGTAATGAAAGAAAATCAAGAAAATCAATTTATCATAGAACTTTACAAAAAATTTATTATTACTATGAAGTAGACAATGATCTTATAGGAGACAATTCATACGAATGAAATCAAGGATAACCCTTTCACTATTGTTTTTTTTTTAAATCCTTTTTCTTGATACTTAAATTAACAATCTTCATTATTCTTTTTAATAAACTTTAATACAATTAAATTTTTGAAACTTCAAAAACCTAAAATTACCTAAAATTGAGGCTTCAAACTATATACTACTTTCTTGACTGTCAATATTATTTATAAACTAAATATTCAGGGCATCAAATCTGATTTTCTTCTATTTTTTATCAAGAAAATTAAATTTAGTATATGTCTCGTAACATCGGAATTACAAGAATTATAACCATAGGCTAAAATACTGAATTACTTAATAAAATGCCCCACTAATGGAATATCGAAAAGAAGCATCGAATGCTGACAACGAATAGGTTTTTTAAAGAAACTGCTAAGCTCATACCAAGTCACTTAGTGACATATTAATGAAATCATTTTCATGCAAGTAATTAACTAAATTTGCAATTTGATTACTTTGTTGGGATGAATCATAAATATAAAACCCAACAAGGACCCAAGTGCTGATCTCTAATTAAACACAAAGCTTATGTAAATTATTGTTTTATTGTGCAATATAAAAAATTTTTTAAGGCGAAAAAAAAAAAAAAAAAAAAAAAAATAGAATGCGTGTATAATTTTTGATATTTCCATATTCTCTGAAATTTGCAGCCAAATTTTGCAGCCAAATTTTGCAACCAAAACAAATGCACTTAGGGGAGCAATTGATAGTATCTTGAGCTATTGAGTTGCTGTTAACTTCTAGGTTGCTTTATGATAACCGATAACCTTGAACTCCATATTTATAAATATTAGAACATTTAGTCTTTGCTAAATAAAATTAAATAAGAAATTGTACATATAAACTTTTACTAATTAGTCAAAATTTCATTTTAGAAATTACAAAACAAGAAAGTGATAAACAACTAAAATAAAGGAGAAGCTAAATTAAACAGCTAAATTGCTTAATGGTTATGTGGGAGGGACAGTACGCAAAGGAGTTATCTTTTATGGTTCTGAACAATTACCACTTAAATTGTCTTTTAAGCTCACAAAAGTTACAAACTTTAAATTATGTTTAATTGAGAATATTTTACCAAATACTAATTTACTGGAATCAGACTGTCTACACCAGTAGCAGTTCCAATTGAAATTTATTAGTGGGAACTACAGAAAATCAAATGTAACTCTTATCTCAGTGTTAGGCGAATTAAAAACCGTAAATCGCATTGAATTAAATTCTTACCCCACAAATCGAACAAAATTAAATAAATCAATGATACTAAACTACTGCCTCTTAATTTCAAATTTTATCCCTGAATGAATTACAAGAACAAATGAGTTAACCTTAAACGAACGAAGAGGGGAATTCTGCAGTGCGTCTTTTCTCCGAATTAACCAAAGAGTCAAAACGATGACGAGTTGATTGATGGAATTAACTAAAACGAAAGATTTAAACTACAAACCATGGAAAAAGTTTAATTCAGAGCAATGATGACCCTTTAATTTTTTAAGGTTTGAACAACTGTCTCCAATGGAACAACTCTCTCCAACTTTTAAAATCGCTAATAAACTTAAGCATTTATCTTACAGTGTTAAAATTGAGTTCTAACAGACCGAGCATTTTTCAAAATGGTAGTTAAATCGCTCATTTTGTTCACTTCGGTTGAACGTAGAAACTTAAATTACTCTTCTCCAATGGAACTTTGTAATTATTCTAACGGTTTAGTGGGGAGTAAAATATTTTTATTAAACCCTTTTCTTGTTGATTTGACCCCACCCTATATTATTTTCCATTAGTATAACAGTATATACAGTACATTTTGATTGATTTCAATATATTTTGAGCCACATGGTCGTGTATCACAATTTTATATCCGTCATTCGTTTCGTGTTGAAAATTGTTTTTAATTGTGCGTGTGCTTAAACGAGAGATGAGAGAAGAAATCGTTTATTGAATAAGATAATTTCACCATTTCAAATTGATTTTAGTAAAGATGAGCTCAACAAATTTTAAAGATCAAATATACACTGTAAGATGCTTTATGTATTGCTCTGTTAATACGTTAATCTCGTCTAATGACGGACTTATAAATATAATGTCGTAATACTAATTGTAAATGGTTTGAATACTTGATACTTTATTTGATTTAAATATAAATAATAAAGAACAATGAACAATAAATAATATAAAAATGTAAAATTGCTTATAATATTTAAAGTTTTTACTTAATTAAGTAAAGTATCAATATATTAAACAACCTAAAAGAGAAACTTATAGACTGAAATTAATACGATTGACATACAAAAATAGATTATACAAAGTTTATATTTACAATTAACTTTAAAGATTGACAATACAACATTGAACTCAATTTGTTCTCTTGAAATTGTAATCCTTTGATAATGTCAGTACAACTGTCATCAACTAACTAATTTGTTTGGACAATTCCAATAAAACACTTTTCATATGCTTAATTTACGAACTATGCTATGAACCCTTTAATTATGAAATCAAAAGCTTTCGTAATATTTTCTTATAAAATAAAAATTTGCTAAGAAAAAAACCGAAATCTAGTGACAAAATTGGATTTATGTTGCACAGTTTAAAAAATCAACTAGCACACAACGCAGTAATGAACAAACCCATCAACAATAGAATAATAATAATTATAATAATTATTATTATTATTATGAATATTTTTTCATTCGATGGTTTGCGAATCATATTTCTCCACTCTTATATTCCATCGAACGGTTTAAAGTGGAGTTTTGTTTATTATTAACAGCTTAACTATGAAGCGAATAACCCTTAACCCTTTGGAAATAATTATTATAACTTGAGTTTACGATATCTCTTTCCACAGATTTTATTTTTAAACTGTTTATTGCATAAATTACTTATGAGCTAAGATCTGAATATCCTTTTTAGTATTTTAATTACCTATACAAATAAGGCAATTGAAATGAAACTATAGTATAATAAACGAAACTTTTTGTATACAATTATACCTAATAAGTTAAAAAGTGACTCTAATATGTGAAAAAGCGTAATTACTATATCGTTTATTGTTTAAATATGCACATAATTTATCGAAAAACCTAATTAGGCAACCTCAAAAACATTACAGAAAGACTAAAAATCTAAATTCCTTCTATTAAGGACCCCACTATTATTGTTCTCATCTTAAATAACTCTATTATTACTATTGTATTCATAGTTATTATTATATTAAACGCCCAACTTATAATAAATTTTGCATAGTGAAACTTTGATTTTTGTACCCGAAAAAAAAAAAAAAAAAAAAAAAATAATTAAATGATTGAAAAATATACTATCAAATATTATTAACTTAACATTGTGAATTAATTATGATATTCCAATAAAATTACTCTTTCAGTATAATAAATGAAATCTATATAACTTGGTGAAATTCCCCCCCTGAAGTAAAAATTTGAAATTATATTTTATCAGTTTCATTTTCATTATCCAAAATAAGTTATAATGACGACTTCAGCTGTTTTACCACCATCTAATGGAAAGAAATTATGGAGAGTTAAAAGAGTCAATTCAAATAGCTCAACACCACACATTAATAATTCTTCAGAATGTTTAAACAATTCTTTAAGAATAGCTGCTGCTGCTGCAAAATTTACAATTAAAAGACCTCCATTAAGAAGACCAAAGAATAAACCAGGTAAACCAAAAGATTTTGTATTTGTTGATTTATCACCAATAAAGAGTGAAGAAGAAGAAGCTAAGAATGTTGCTAAGGTTAAAGAGGCTATTAAATCGGAAGTTAAAACTGAAGCTGGTACCTCAAACTTCCAATTATCTAGTCCAACATTATCGATTGATGAACAATCATCAATTTTTGATTCTTTAAATTCAATAGATACCTCAAGTACAACTACTTCATTTGAAGATTCAAGTTCAACTCCATTAGAAGATGTCGGTTTAGGTATTAAGAATCTTGGTATTAATTTTGATCAACCACAACCAATAAATAATCATAATCAACAAGTCAATCCACCACAAGATTTTTATTCACAATTATACGGATATCAACAAGCTATGTATCAACAACATATTCAAATTCAACAATTACAACAACAATTGATAGAACAACAAAGAAAAAATGAAAATGCACAATCACAATTACCAACTCCACAATTACAATCACCATTTCAAGAACCAATCACTTCATATCAAACTGCTGGTCAGTTTAGACAACATCAAATGCCATATCATCAAAGATCAGTTTCTGAATCATGTATTAAAAAACCAACAAAACAAAATAATAGAATAAATCATCAAAGATCAATGTCAATTCCAACAATTCCCCAACAACAAGCAATTCCATTGGGTATTTCAGAGTCTGTTTCTACAGATTGTTCAGATGTTTCTTTGGATGATTTTATGATTTTAAATGATCAAATACAACCAACAACTACATTTACACCAATTTTAGAATATTCAGCTACTGATGATAAGCAATTTTTCAATTATGGAATTGATGAATTCTTACAACAGCAAATAAATATACCCCAAGTCAAGAATGATGAGTTTGAATTCAATTCATACATTCAAATATAAACGGATACCCTGACGTTTAATTTCGGTCAATAATTTTAATCACCGTTGTTTATTTATTTATTTCTTTATTTATTCATTTTTTTTTTTTTCGTTTTCGGTTTTAATTTGGGATTTAGTTTTAGAGTAGACATTAAAAAATATACAGTTATAAAGGGATAATACTTCAAACACTACAACTCTTTTAAATTCTCAAGTTAGCAGCATGGATCTCATCGAGTTTTGAAATCTTCATGTACTACATACAATTAATATTTACAATTTAAATATTTCTAGAAGGGAAAATTTAAAAAGTTTAATCATTAAAATTGTTGCAAAATTTAAGTTTAGTTTAGTTTTAATTCATCAATTGAAGAATTACCTGATCAGTTCAGTTAATTAAAGTTTTTACTTGATTAGTTAAATGAGTAAATAAGGTTTATTTTAAAAGAAGCTTAGATATTTGATAAACCGGAGTTAATGATTTAACAGGGAGTACTATTTAGTCTATACATTTAATGGAGAAACGTTTATTGAATTTAACTTTTTCGTAGTGGCTTAAGTATTTTAAGTTTCTGTGGAGAGTATTCTTATTTGGTAATTGATTGACTGTTATTGGGTTATGAATTGTGATAAACCTATAGGTCTAATCGAACTTGAAGGATAAGGACCCTGAATCGATTCGATTTTATTTAGTCTAGAATTGGCAATCCCCTAAAGTGTAACCTTATAAAATATCATAGACTAGTTTAGTTTTGGGGGTTTAAATTAATTTATGGGGTTTTTGATTAGAGATGAAGAAGAAATTATGTAAGTTTTTTGCCTGGAATTATGTAATATTTTTCAATTAATCTAGTTCATCAAGTTATGTATCTTTATGCTACTATTCTTTGTACAAGCCAATAATTGAAACTACAGGGTGACTAATGTTTCTTTGATTGTAGGTTCATTAATCATCTATTGAACCAAGTATTTACAGTCCGAAATTTCTAACAACACTCCACCATTCACTTTTATAGGTGTTGGTAGAAAGATTCTATTTAGTACCCTTTATGATTACTGGAAAACAAACTATACAAGATGAAGCGTTTGAACACGCGTCTCAACTAAGCGTCAAGACACTCACTAATTAAAGCTATACGCAATAAATTACATTTAAGTAGGCCTAGATTAAATATAAATAAAGTGAATAGCATTCATTTAGTTTAGGTTGTGGGATTTTTAATACATGTTAGTATTATCGACTTATTTAAGGACCACGAATGTTTTGTATACTATTCCTCTAAATCTATTTGTAATCTTCAACTTAAATTGACGCATCCATTTCAGTAACAATCACTATATGGAATACAATACTAGGTGACATTTAGATAAAATAATTCTTACGAAAAGATTATTCTATAAAGAAGCTTGAAATAAGACTGCCAAAAGACAAGTCACTCGTATAGACAGCTAGTTTTTGTCTTTAATTCTTTTAAAATTCGTTATAACTCGCTTAGTTCTTTAATTCTTAATCAAATCTTGAATTCTCCCGATTTGGACACTAACAGAAAAGCACGCAAAAACGGCGCAAAAACACGAATAAAACATTCGACCGAGAAAGGCGAGTAAAAATAGACTTCCGTTGCAAAGTAGTGCCTTAACGACTAAAAAAAACGTTGAGAATTTATAATTATAATTATATTTCTTTTTTTTTTTTTTTTTTCCGGAGATTTTTAATAATAAATAACCCATTAAAATATAATCACTGGTGAGCTGTCAATTTGACACCAATGGTTTTACTTTATCCATCTCAGTTTTTAATAGAAGACTAAGATTAATCTTACGTTGATAGGTGTTGCTTGCATTAAGGTTAAAAAATGATTATGATCAAACTTAAGGGACTGGGACATCTAAAATACTTGATATTGCTTAGGTATAAGCTAATTAATATTGATGTAAGCTAAAAACAATGTTGATGATACCGTTTAAATAAGGACGATACACATGTCAGCCTGCTGGTTTTGAATTAAAATTTATTTTTGATGTTCCTTATTGATTTAGATTTGACGCGAATGGCTACATATAAACTCACCTCATAAAATTTTAATGAACAAACTAGAATTATCAGCTATTATCAGATTGTTTTCAAAGGTCAGTTGGTTTTGGCAATTGGACAATATGAGGTTAATTTACGAAATCATTAATCATGATATCCACTCAAGCTTATATTTTCAAATTGATCATCTTATAAATCCACTCAAGCTTATATTTTCAAATTGATCATCTTATAAATCCACTTAAATAGCAAGTGGTGATTAAAAACAATAGACTTGAAAAGTGCTGAATCTAGTTCAATTGAATTCTAGCTTATAAAATTTTAATGCTGAATGTATATTTGCATTTTGTAGTATATATTAACGTATTTTAATGCTTTGATTTGAAAGAGGTCTTTTAAATTTCTCACTTTATTTATCCATTTTTCATCCTTCAGCCTGAATACCTCTAACTTCTTTTGTTAGATTCTGGACTTGCGAAATTGAGATTTAATAAAGAATTTTGTGAATGATATAGTTTGTTTTACATCTCTAGTATATTATAAACGCAGGCTCTAGATTTATGATTTAGCTCTGGACTTGATACAAACTATATTAACCCGTCCACTCTGCATACATCGTGCTTGGTCATTTTAATTAAATATTTTTCATTTTTTGGGACTTTTAGGAATACAATATAAAGTTTAATTACAGTTGATATTTTCATTGCTTAAAGAAATCTTACAAACCAAATTTCCTACGCTTAGATAATGTGAGTTATTACTTATTTCATGGACTTCATACTTTATATATTTCCAAATGAATAGATGCAAGGTGAGAATTTGTGGAAAATGTAATTCATCAGCCCGTGCAATCAAAATTAGACTAAAGAAAACCAATAATAAACAAATATCAAGCTTACCTGAAGCACCAGCTCAATTTACATTCTTTTGCTTGAGTATATTGAATCATCCAGTTGACTAAATGCATCAGTAATAGTTCAAACAAGTCTGTTTCAGCCTGATTAAAAGAACAATTAGAGGAATGGACAACTACCACAATTCCCAGTTTTCTTTGAAACACATTTATCAAACAAGAAATGGCCTGGATTTTTTTCTTCAAGGTTAATTTTCCCATCAGTTTATACATATGTTTCTAAAGGTTTCAAAAAGACAAGATTAAACTAAGTCAAGATCAGAGTCAGAGTATTCAGAAGCCTTACAGTGTAATCATCATACTTCAATAGCTCAATTTTCATTGAATGCATTGGGATTTAGAATAGCCAAGTCAATATATTTAAATTCAACAACAAATTCAAAGAGCTTTTCTAGTTGAATCTAGCCTCAATAGAAGAATTCAAGTATTATCTTTGCTCTCGAAATGTACTGATGTAAGATTGTTCCATGATCATTTTTGATTTTCTTCGTTTATTATCAACTAGAAGATCCCTTTCAACATTACTACAACATTTTTGGATTTCAAGATATGCTTAAACATACTAAAAACAGCATTCAAATGATTTTAAAAACAAGGGTCAAGAACTGCTTGGAAGGAGTGTTAATTATCAAGGAGTAAATGGTAAAAAAATTAGACGATCTATATTGAAATATAATAGTTTCAAATTCAACCATTCAAATGAAAAATGAAAATCATTACTAGTCGACTTTAGTTAATAACTTCAAATTCAACACTTTGATTATTAGAATGTTCATTAATGTTGCATACTGTCATGTTACAGGTACACTCAAAAAGAAAATTCTATTAGCCTACCTGGTAAAACTGTAACTCAATTATATTCACACAAGATCAAAGCAAATATTAGATTCGTGCCACAAACATTACTAAAGTGCTTTTATAACATTTGTAACACAATAATAATACATGATTTGAATCAGCAGTACTAAGAGCTGATTTAGATGTACAATTTTAATCAAGATGCAAAAATCAAGGTCAAGGAAAAGAAAACTAGCCACACTAAATACTGATATACATAATCCAATTCGTTATTCAGTTTCTACAATACTCGAATTGATCCATCTCTTGTATGATATGATGAACCTGTAGGTGACTATGAAACTTGAGTACTTTATTTTTGTATAACCACATATTGAAAGATTACAACCCTTCGTTTTACGTCAGTATACAGAGGTTTGTAAAAGCTTTCATAGCCTTCTTGATATCTTCATGTCAACTGAGCAGGTTTAAATGCAATTGAACAATCCCTTTTAGTTAATTAGCCATAATGTCTTGAATAGAAAGTTGTGGATAAAAGTTAATCAAGTTTGATACATTTCAATTCTAAACAGTAGCAAGAAAACTGTCTGATGAATCCAATCTTTGAATCAGCTGTTCTTTTGCTCTACACATGATTTGAAACTTTGACCATTGAGTTGATGTTTTCATGCCATTTCATAATCAAAAATTTTTGAGACATTGAATTATAAAGAGTCAAACAAAATGATCTAAGGCGGTCACTTCTTATTATATTTTGCCATACAGTTGAGAATTATTGGACAAATTAAACACGTCATTCTATATTAACCAAAGTAGACAATTTGGTTTATTGGTGAAGCTAATTACTTTCAGTTAAAAGATTTTCAAGAAGCAAAATGAGGCAGATCTCATCAACAAAATAGTCTTAAAGGATACAAACACATTGAATCAATGTTCTTGTTCTTGAATGTTGAAGTTTTTCACTATTGAACATCTTTACCAGCATAAATTGATATATCAAACTTAATCAAGTTATTGGAAATATTTAATTACCAAATAAATGGCTCATGGAAACCAAAGTTTAATTCAAATAGGAAAGGAGTAATTGTTTTCAAGTGTTAAGTATACTGATAAACCAGCAAAAATATCAATTAATGACGATGTGTACAATGTTGTTAAACCACTCACATTCATTACTACCTTTCAACAGAGATTGAACAAAGAGATATATCATTAATCATTAACATCATACATTAAATATCATCACTAGCCATTAAAATTAGATAAATGTTATCATATATCATCATCATAATTGATCAATTGCAATTTTATTATTACTTTTCCGTTTTATATTTACAGATTTACCAATTTTACCTTTTTCAACTTTTAAATCTACTTTCCCATCATTTATAATTTCAATATTAGTATCATTTTTATATGTATCACCTTCATAATCTAAATCATCAAATCTAATTTCTTCTTTTTCATTAGGAACATAATCCACATTTACATTTTGATCATTTCCAACAGTAATCAGTGTTAAATAATTATCAGTTTGTTGCTTTGGTTCTGTATAATCATCTTGATCATCAGTAATCATACATTGTTTCTTTGCTTGGATTGTAAAACTAGTAATTTTACAATAAGAATCATTATTTAAATCTCCATCAGTAAATCTATTCTCTAATCTTTGATACAATAAGTTAAATTCAGGTTCTTGATTAATTTTATCTGAAATTAAATGATAAAATTCTGTGTTTAAAGATTTATCTGACCAATTTTCTAAATTATAAATATCTCTTGTTGAATAACCAAATTCCCAAATAGGTTCAGCACCATTATTACCAAAAGTTGCGCCTAATTTAGTATAATAAGTGAATGAATTCATAATTGAAAAACTTTGTTTATCTACTGAATAATATTTCCAACTTGGATTAACAGCTGAATATGGAGAAATTGAAGGCGCTATTAGAGCATGATTAACTGCCTTTTCCAACGATTTTGTATCAGTACCATCTGAACCATATTGAATAATAAATTGATCCTTTTGAGTAAATCCAAAAAATATAGCTGCTATAACTCTTGGTGAAAATCTTTCAATTATTTGTGCAAATATATTTGCTTGTAGTGGTAATGATTGATGATTAGGTGGTAAATGAGCTATAATCCAACATCTTTGAAAATTTCTTTCTGAATCAACTAATTCATTAATTAGCCATTTCCACATACCATATGAATCGATATTTGTAATATTCCAATAATTATATAAATTTTTAAAATTCCAAATATTTGAATTTAATGAAATTATCTTTAATCCACGATCAGTAATTAAAGAATAACCAAATTGAAAATATCTAATTTGTTTACTAATTCCAACATCAATCCAACCTAATTCTTGCCATAAATCAGATAAAAAATCAAATTGCCATTGAAGATTTAAATTAATATTCTTTTGTGGGAATTGATTCATTGGGAAAATATCTCTAATTCCAAATGTTGGTATGACATCAATTTCATCAAGATAATGTTTTAAGATTCTATAAGTTGTTTCTTGTTCTTGTAAATTTTTAGCTTTACTCATAAAACAACGATCTGAATGATCAACAGTACCACCAGTGAAAATTGCAAATTCAAAATCTAAATGATTTTGGTGCAAATCTCTAATACATTGTAATGTTGAATTTAATAATAATGAAGGAGTATCACAAGAATATTCACCAAATTGCCTTGCAGGTTTCCAAGATTGTTGTTTAGTATTTATATTATTTAATGATTTCCCTTTTTCAAAATGATTTTTTGAATATGATGAATCAAAATAACCATCAAATTCATTAAATTCTGGACATTTAAACTTATTTCTACAATGTGGTGAACAACATAAACTTTGACTACAATTGGATTCTGATAAAATTCTATAATCAATTTGTAAATTGATATCACTTAAATGTAAAACATTAAAAACTTCACCACTATTTTCAACAGGTAAATAACTATTTGGTTTTTTAGGCCACATCTTAGATAAGTTAATTAATGGAGTTTCTGGAAGAGTATTACAATTTGTATCATGATAATAACAAAAATAATCACCATCTAAACCTGAAGGATTCATTAAACTTACCATTTTAGTAAAATCATTACCTTGTGTTGAGAAAAAATCAGTTGGATAACCATAATTCATATGACACTGAATTTCATTAAAATTCGATTCAATACACCAAGTTGAGAAAATTTGAGGTAATAAATCAGGTCTTGTTAATGATAAAGTTTTCGCGATTTGTAATCTGGTTTTACACTTTAAACACGGATTTAAATCGTTTGTTGAATCGATATCATGTAATTCTTTAATTGATTTATTAATTATTTCTTCATCAGTTATTGTCAACTCTTTTGGCGCGTAATAAAATAATGACGATAAACAAACGCCAATTAACAAAAATAAAAAGTACATACTATAAATTTAATAATTTATACTTGAATTTGAATAAAATTTTGATAATTAAAAATAACTTGAAGTAATTTTGATAATTTAGAAAAAAAAATTTATATTTTTCATAAAATAATATATATATATAATAGTACAATTTTTATAATACAATTAATTTTTAATTTGAATTCTTCAATATTTCGATAATTTGTTTTTTTAATTCATTCAGATTGTTAAGTAAATTATTTTCAAAAGCTTTAATTCTTTCATGATGTTCTTCACTGATTTGTTTAATTTTTGATTCAAAAACATCATGTTCATTTTGAATTTGTAAATGAATTTCTTTATTTTGTTGTATAACTAAATCAACTAGTTGAAATTTCCTTTGATTTGACTCATTATTATTTGTAGTTTGTTTCATATTTGAAATCAATTCATTTATTTCTTCTTGTATCTGATCTATTGAATCTATGACAAAATCATCTTTTGGTTGTTGTAATTGTCGAGATTGCTGTTGCTGTTGTGTCGATGATGATGAAGAAGAAGATGACGATGGTTGTGGTTGCTTTTGATAATTTACTTTTATTAATGAATTACTTTGTAATTTCAATTGTTTAATTTTATCACTTAATTCATGTAAATCTAATAATGCCAATTCTAAATCTTCAATGGAGCTTTGAGAATTTATATCATTGAAGTTATAATAATCATCATTATCAATTTCAGGTAAAGTTTGTGGTATTACATGTTGATTTAATATAATACCTTGTTGTAATCTTTTCTTTCTATGAGATTCAGCTTTTTTAATTGCACTGGCTAATTGTCTTTGTAAAGTTCTTACAGTTGGAACAATTATATCTTTTTTCGAAATTTGATCATTCAATTTTAAATTATAATATTTATTCTGAATTAATTCCCATTTATTTGTTTGACTTAATGATCTATCACCGACATATTTGAAAGGTTTAATTTTGATGATTAATAATAAAATTGATTTAATATCTTGATTTGATAATTTAATACGATGAGGATTTCTCATTGAATTTGTCATATGAGCTAATGCTTGTGATGCAGTAGATACAGGTTCATGACTTTCATTATCATCATCGATTAATTGATCATCAATTTGATCAGATTCATCGTTATCATCTTTATCATCTTTATCATCTTTATCATCTTTATCGTTTTTATGAAGGATATTGGACGCGTTTAAATTTGAAATATCGCGTCGATTTAAACCTATTGATTGTATATTAGATGATGAAGATGATGAATCAGTAGTATTTTCCGAATTAACTTGTTGTCGTTGAGAATTTTCATTATCTATTTCATCTATAGTATTTAATATACGTTTATCAATTGAGGATGAAGTAGAATGACTTAGCTTTTGATGCTGATGCTGATGCTGATGCTGCTGATGCTGCTGATGCTGCTGCTGCTGATGCTGATGATGATGCTGTATATGCAGTTGATTATGAGTATTAATAGGTGATGATGAAGATGAAGATGATGATGAATTTGATCTATTCAATATATTCTCATCTTCCTTTTTGGATATGGAAGATGATGATGAAGATGACATTTGAAACTTTTAAAACGCGTTTTAATCAATATAATATAATATAATAAAATGTAATAAAATATAATAAAATACAATAAAATATAATATAATATAATATAATATAATATAATATAATATAATTTTAATATATGTTGTTCTTGATCAATTCTTGTTATTTAAATGTGATAATACTAATAACAATACTATTATAATATGTTAGTATTCAAATATAAATTGTTAAGTGGTAATTTATAAAAATGAAATTAAATACTAAATTTTTTTTTTTGTCTGATTTGATCAAACAAATTTTTTTGATCCAATTTAAACTACCCGCACGCACCAGAAAAAATAAAATAAAGGGGGAAATTTGTTTTTTTGTTTATACTTTGATTATTTTATACCCTATTATAATCAATTCTTATTATGGTTGAGTGTTAATGTATATGATGATGATGATATATATATATATATATATGATGATGCAATTATCTATGCTTCTGAATCTTTTCGATTGATTGATTCCTTGTTATTTTATGTAATATGTATGTAATATTCTATATTTTTCTCTTAGTTAAAAATCAAAATTAACAGAAGAAAAAAAAAAGAATTTTAAAAAAAAAAAAAAAAAAAAAACGAGAAAAAAAAAAGAAATATTTGGTTTAATTTATACAACTTTTTATTTGAATCAAATATAGACTTCTTCTTCTTATTATTATGATATTCTGTAACATTGATATTTCAATTTCATGATTTCATGTTTTCATGTTTTCATGTTTTCATGTTTTCATGTTTTCATGTTTTCATGTTTTCATGTTTTCATGTTTTAATATATAATAACACAAATTTATTCAGAGATTATCTTATACTCTTTTTAAATAACCATGGATTTATATACATATACTCAAGACATTTTGATAATTAGTTGTTAACAACAACTGTCCGTCCGTCAATTTTTACTTTGTAATATGTAGTATATATGTAATGTATATGTAATATTTAATACTTGGTTTTATTTATTATTGTGATTGAAATATAAAACAATGCAATTATAATCAACGATTTTTTTTATGTATGGTAGAGATTTACTTTACTTTTTGTCTATGCACTATTACTTTTATTATCCATAAAGTAAAAGAAAGAGGGTGTAGAACAAAATCTAATGAACTATTACATCAAATTTATTAACAAATTTATTAACAATTCTACTAACAATTCTATTAACAATTCTATTAACAATTCTATTAACAATTCTACTAACAATTCTATTATTTTAAACAAGCGCTTAAATTGGAATTTAGAGTTTTGATTTTTTAGAGTGTCCACTTTATATAACCGAAGTCTGAAGTGTAAAATTTAAGCTGTCCTCCTGAATTTTTAGTATATTTGCTACTACTACTACTACTACTACTACTACTACTACTACTACTACTACTACTACTACTACTACTACTACTACTACTACTACTGTCTTAGTATTTATAATTAAAATGCGCTATATCACTAACTGTAAAGATATGATGTTTTAGATTGTTTAGTTTAAGATTTTAGAGATTTAAGATTTTAAATCAACAACAAAAAACTTAATGCAATTTCTCGTGCTTTAACAGAAACAAAAAAAAAAAAAAAAAAAATAAAAAAAAATAAAATAAAATAAAATAAAATAAAATAAAAAAAACGCATAGAAACTAAAAACATTAAGCCCTCTTGGGCGTACGTAATACGCCCTTTTGGGTTTAAAAAAGTAAAGAAAGAAAAACCCTGAAAACGGCATTAAATAAAATCTAATTCAAATACTTCAATTGAGGGGCTAATTCTTTTGCGTCTAAATATCGTTGTAAATTGATGTGAAAGTTTGATAGTTTGAAAATTTGAAAGTTTGAAAGGTTGAAAATTTTGAAAAATTTTTATAGAAAAAAAACAGTCTTTCATTGGATAAAACTTTATCCAAAATTGATGTAAAATTGCAATTTTGAGATATAACGTTCAACAGTTGACCGTAAATCAAATTCACAACTAATTCATGATTATAGTTACTAACACAAAACCATTTGATTTTTAATTGGAAAAAGAGTGTTAAATGAATTATGGATAAATGATTTTTAATATATATTGTTAATAATTTTTTATTGCCGTAAATTACTTGAAATATTACAAATATAGAAATTAGACTAAATTTTTTATTTATTTAGATTATTTATTTTGTTAGTTAAGTTTTTAAGTGTCAAAATAAATTACATCACAATTGATTTGATTTGACTTGATTTGATTTGATTTGAATTGAATTGAATTGAATTGAATTGAATTGAATGAAACAATATAATTATATAAAGATTGAAAAATTAAGGTATTAAACAAAATTTAAAGTTTATATTCCAACAAAAGTTTGTTTGTTAAAAGGTTTGTATATTTGTTGTAAATTTCCTTTTTTGTTTACGGTTTGTTTATAATTCGATTCTATTTGTTTGTAATTCAACATCCATCCAACAATTATAATTGCAAGTAATTTGATTTGTTTACATTCTGCAAAAATAATATTCTTGATTTTTTGATCATTTAGATTTAGATTTAGATTTAGATTTTCTTTCTACTTTTGTTTTTATAATTGTTCATAGCTATTGTATGGATTTTATGAATTTATTTTTAAATAAAACACTATTGTAGGGCTTAAAATGCGATTGAACACCTTAAACCTCACAATTTATTTTTTTTGAGACCCTGGCGGAACTCCACAATTGTTCTAGATTGCGATATGTGAAGAATTATCAAATTTAAAGATTTTGATTAAAATCTGTTTTTTATTATTATTATTATATCTTAATCTCTTGTGTTAGTATTATTCATAGCGAAAAGCCAAACGCCAAACGCCAAACGCCAAACGCCAAATTATTATTATTTTTTTTGTTTTTTTTATTTTTTTTATTTTTCTTAAATTTGGATTCCATTATTCTACAAACTTATTGATTCAATTTGACTATTAGCCCCTTTTTGGGCCTTTCATTCTCTTTATATCTCTTTACATCTCTTTAAATGGCTTTAAAATTGGTTAGTCATTCGATCAGCTGATTTAAAAGCTAAAAATGTAGTGTTAAAATTAAAATGCGCTTCGCTATTATTTTAGGTTTTCGTTTCTTTTTAACTATAAATTTGTACTAAATACGACGCCACGGATTAACTACGACTGACAAATGACCTAAGATTTGAAATATATGCTCTGAGTGGCAAAAGAGGTATTATTTAGGTGAATTTGAAATATATGCTCTGAGTGCCAAAAGAGGTATTATTTAGGTGAATTTGAAATATATGCTCTGAGTGCCAAAAGAGGTATTATTTAGGTGAATTTGAAATATATGCTCTGAGTGCCAAAAGAGGTATTATTTAGGTGAATTTGAAATATATGCTCTGAGTGCCAAAAGAGGTGTTATTTAGGTGAATTTGAAATATATGCTCTGAGTGCCAAAAGAGGTATTATTTAGGTGAATTTGAAATATATGCTCTGAGTGCCAAAAGAGGTATTATTTAGGTGAATTTGGAGGTCGATAGATGAGTTTGGTTGAATCAGACACTTCTTTCATAATCCAAAATATTGATTCAGAATCTAGCTAAAACATAGGACGCTCGTAATCGTTTGATTGTTGATGTTGCCAGCAGGCAAAAGTTATAGAGCTAAAAGTTCAGTACTTCTGTATTTATCACAATTAAGGGGCTGTGAAGTTAATTATTGCAAATTTATGTCAAAACTATATACTATACAAGCTATACATTCACCACATAATATACAGACATAAAGTTCTAATTGTAGGATCCAAGACTCTAAGCTAAAAAAACTTTTCGTTCAAGGTTTTGAAACAAATGGAAATTGCAAAAATCTATATGATGGCAATTAACAAAAGTTTGTTTACAACCTTTTACAAATCCTCAGCCAAGCCATATAGATTAATCTTAAGTATGAATGCATTTATAACATCTTTCTGGCTTTCCCTTAGGCTCTAGTCTTGCTAATATTGATATACTTTGACTTTAAGTAGCTCAATTTTAAACTAGATTCAAAAAATTTTGAGATTCTGCAACTCGGAAAACACTAACGTGAGTTCGTCAGTAATGAAATAGCCTTCAACAGGTCTTGAGGTTAATTAATGCTCCTCTTACTAGAACAGTTGGGTTTGTTCTTTTAGCTTCGATAAATCTCGTATCGTAGCATTAAATCATGAATTATGAGCTGACCAACATTCCAAACCCTAGACCTTCTATTAATGCAGATACATCGCTCATTCTTTAAAGATGATTATTTTTATTAGCTTTTAGCTAGAAGAGCAGTTGTTCTACTGGTTTTTTAAAGCCAACTCTAGATTAAGATGTGCCAAAAAACTACTTTTCTTGAGTTTGACAAGCATCAGCATCAGCATAGGCATCGTTTATAAACTCGTGAGAAAACAATATGTCATGAAGCAAGGCTGAATACCATTTTACATTATTGTGATAAATTTCTTCTGGTGAGAGATTTTGATATATACTTGAAGTAATCAATTGTCCTAAGGAGCTTGTTGTCTCTCTCGAATTACCATTGTCAATACTAAACTAGATTGTAGAATGTAGAATGCAGAATTTAAAATTTTTCATTAAATCGTTTTAACTATAACCAGTCAATTGAGCTAATCAGGTAGTAATCTAGAATTCTTTTCTAACTCTTAACTTTATATGCATATGTAGTTGGTTACTTTACTTGTTTATTTACGTATGGCTAAAAATCGTAGAGAAACCCCAATGTACTTTGAAAAGTTCAATTTTGAATATACCATTCTCAAAATATCAATGCTGGACCTAGTTTTCGGCCTGGTTTTCGGCCTGGTTTTCGTGGATGGGATTATGAAAAATACACATTGAGCATCATGACTATTGCATTAACATTTCCTAACTCAAACAACGGGTTCAGTCAAGATATCAATTTTATCATGGAATGATATTCTAGTTCAATATTTGTAATCAAAAATGATATGATTTACGAAAAACAAATAAACAAAGGCATATTCAAACTACAAACAGGTAATTTTTGTTGATTATTTGGATTGAGTATAGGCAGAGGCAATATAATATCAATCAAGCTTTAGTTACTATAACTGAATTATAGGGCCTCACAAGATAATAAACTATCATTGTTGGACGTAAAATTCAAAGTACAATCCTAATAAAGCCATGGCATAATTGTTTACGGTTTTACTGAATCATGATTTGCGTCGTATCATTTATTTCATAACAGAAGATAACAATCCTTCCTTAACATTGCTTGTTTTTTACTAATGATGAAAAGCTTGTCAATCAGTGTGTGTGGTGAACATCCTAAATTTATGATCGCCTTTGATGAATATCATAACAAACTAATTGCAAAAGAATTATCGTGATCCTGAAGCCATGGTAGCATTAATCGAAATCTTTCAGGGAGATGGGGACGATCAGACTTTCTAGAAGATCAAGATAATTTTTCTCCAAGGGTACTTGATTTATTATATTTTTGTGTTAAGAAATGTTGCATTTTGCAGCATGCTCCTATTGACCCTGTACTAAATTAAGTAAAAAAGAGGTTCCAAATTTTATTGGAGAGGTATCAATAATGCTTTATTAGCTATTCAAATCTCGAATTTGAGAGTATAATTAGATTAGCAAAATATATATATTTATAGTGTTTCAAAAATTTAAATTTAATCCAGCAGCAAAAGAACTTGTAATACTTCTAATATCATCTTCAATATTATCATTACTATATCTACCACCATCAAAACTCTTATCCCATTTATTCAATTTACTGTAAAAATTTGAACTAATTGAATTTATATTATTAAATTCATTGTTTGAATTTATATTATTAAATTCATTGTTTGAATTTATATCATTAAATTCATTGTTTGAATTTAATACAGGCCATTGAGAATTTGATAATTGTTGTTTATTTTCATTTTTTCTTGAACCATTATCATATGATAAAATACTTGCAGAATCAAAATCGGTTGATGTAAAATTAGTTGATGGAGCTCCAAATCTTTTCGAAGTAGCACCTTTAAATGGTTTATTCAAATTACTATTTCGTTGATAATTATTTAATTGAACCATTGATAATTGTAAATTATCCAAAGGACCATCTACCAAACATCCTTTTTCTCTAAAATGAATTAATAAATGATTCCATAATCTATTTCTACATAATGCTCTTGGATTACCCAATACAATTAAACCATATTTTGCTCTTGTTAAAGCAACATTTAATCTTCTTGGATCAGATAAAAATCCAATACTTTGTGCTTCATTTGCTCTAACACATGATAATATAATAAAATCTTTTTCTCTACCTTGAAAAGCATCAACTGAAGTAATTTCAACTTCAAGATAATCATCTTTTCTATCCAATAAAGTTGAATTTAATGACATAAATTGAACTAAATAAGCACGTTGACCTTCATAAGGTGTAATAACACCAATTTGTTTTGGTTTAATACCATCTTTAAATAATTTAGTAATAATTTTTTCAACGTTCATTGCTTCAACTCTATTTAAATATGAATTACCTGAACCACTCAATTCTTCTCTACCATAATTTGCCCAAAACATCATTGGTGAATCAGGTACAGGCCATGGAAATCTTGAATCTTCTATTAATCTATCATTATTAGTAACACCATTTTGTAAACTACCTTCATAAAACATATTACTTGGAAATTCTGATAAACATGGATGCATTCTATATTGGACTTCTAATCTTATTGGAATATGACCTAAAAATACCAATCTTTCAAATAATGATTGTTTTAAACCAACGTCAGCCGCTTTTCTATCTAAAATTACAGGACCCAATTGTTGATGATCACCAACCAATATAATTTGTTTAGCACCTTTAACTATTGGAATTAAAACTTCTGGTTCTGAAGCTTGTGTTGATTCATCAATTAAAACTGTTCTAAATTGAAATTGATTTAATCTTTTATCAGCAGCTCCAACACAAGTACAACAAACAACATCACATTTATTTAAAATTTTAATTTCTGAATTTTTCAAATTTTTATAATAATCTCTTTGATCATCAACTGATAATTCACCAACTTCATTTTTTAATTTAATTAATTTTTTAAATTCACCTTTTGCTTGTGATGCAACTATATTATGTAAAGCTAAATGACTAACTGAACTTTCAACATCTTCTCTTGATTTTGCAGTTAATCTAACAACTTTTAAACCTAATAAATCTAATTTTGCTGCTAAATGATCAACAGCAACATTTGATGGAGCACAAACCAAAATCTTACCTTTATTAAGGTTAGATAAATGATATATAATAGTTGCTGAGGTAATTGTTTTACCAGTACCTGGTGGACCTTGAATTAATGATAAAGGTCTTTGTAAAACAGATCTAACTGCATTAATTTGAGAAATATTTAATTCATTTAATTTTGGATGTGAAAATTTAGTTGGTAAATGAGTATCAAATTCAATAGGATTAACTTCGTGACCTAATAATTTATGATAAATATAAGATGAAACTGATTCTTCATCAGTGGCAAAAGTCTTCATTGAATATTGCATTCTATCATATGAAGTACCTTTCCAAACAAATTCAGCAGTAAAATCATTATTTAAATCAGTTGGTGGAGATTTTTTAAATGGATTTAATTCTAAAGTAAATTCTTCTTGATAGGCATTTGGTAATCTTAATATAAATCCATTACCTTCCCAAGGTTCATGATGTGATCCATTATATCTTAAAATTATTTCATCACCAACAGCAACTTTCAACTCACTTGATTCAAAAGTTGATAAAGTAAATGAGGCTAAATGTTTATTATTTAAACCAATTGACCATTTAACTTGAATATGCTCTAAAGCTTGAGATTCCTTCAAATTTTTGTCATAATCAGCTTCTAATTTAACTAAAGGAGCAAAAGATCTTTGATATTGAAAAGCATCATTATATCTCATTAAAATTGGTAATACTTCTTCTTCTTTTGCATCATTATTCTCAATATCATTAATAGTTGCATCTCTATTTAATCTCCATTGAGCTTCTAATTTAGTAATTTGTTGAGGAGTAACTAATTTTGAATTAATTAAATCATCTTCTGGTGGCACTGTGGCAACCCATGGCAAAAATTGACGATCTTCAATTAAAGCTTGCCAATGATTAGTATCCCAATTAATATCTTTTGATTTTGCACAAGGTAATCTACATAATATAACAACGACATTATCTTGTTTAGCAGAAACAAAACCTAAAACAAATGCATTTTTATTACCGCAATTGTAACATTCTAAATTTGTTTCACCCAATTCAGATTCACCATGAGTACTTACTTGATTGTGTCTGGACATAACTAAATGAGTAACAATGTGACTACTTGTTGAATTAGTTTTGGCATTACAAAACCACTTGTTACAAGTTGTACATTTAATAACTGAACTTGGAGAATGGATACCACAATAAGCACAAGCATGAGATGGTAAATCTTGTGCGTCTAAATTTTCATTTTCATTATTATGAGAATGAGAATGTGAATGAGAATGAGAATGTGAATGAGAATGAGAATGAGAATGAGACTGAGAATGAGAATTAGAATGCGAATCATTATTGTCTATATCAATGATACCTTCTAAATCTTGTTCTTCTAATAAATCATTTGGATGATATTGATTTAATGATGAATAACTCATGACGTTTCGTATTTCTTTTTTTTTTTTTCGTTGTTTTCTAAAAACTTTTTTTAAATAAAATGATAAATTTGGAAATCTATAATCTTAAAAATTCATCTGGTTGAAATGTATAACTATCAAGTAAAATTTATGTTGTTTTTATTGATAAAGAATCGTCTATATGATAATAATTTTTTTTTTTTTTTTTTTAATTCGATTCTATAAAATATGTTAGCTCTATATGCAGGTTTAAAACAATTGTATTGAAGGCTCATTAAACGGTATTGTTTCAGATTACACGACTGAAATTACCGCCTAATATTCATTGAATTGATTTAATATTAATAAAAAATGATGTAATTTGATTAATAAAATTTCAATATTAATCAAAGATTAATGAAAAACTAATCAAATTATAGTGTTTAATTTTAATTATTAGTGTAGTGAAGTGGCGTCTAATTTTATTAAAATTTTATTTCAAGTAATAGTAATCTTAGTATATACAATATTAATATAGTAAATGGTTCTAAATTAAACGAGGCAAAAGTAAGATCTAAAAAAGAAAATAATTTTCAGGGGTACACGCTTTTTCATACTTCTACTAAAGTATATAATACAATGTTATTGTTTATTTGTATTGTTTATTTGTCAGTAGGCTTTTGAAAAATGCATGAAAATTTTTTAGTTCTTCGCTTACAGAATTTAGTTAATACTAGTAAATTTTGAAAGTAAATTAGAGAGTAAATTTGAGAGTAAATTAGAGTGTAAATTAGAGAGTAAATTAGAGAGTAATTAGAGAGTAAATTAGAGTGTAAATTAGAGAGTAAATTAGATAGTAATTAGAGAGTAAGTTAGAGAGTAAGTTAGAGAGTAAATTAGAGAGTAAATTAGAGAGTAAGTTAGAGAGTAAATTAGAGAGTAAGTTAAAGACTAAGTTAGAGACTAAGTTAGAGACTAAATTTGAGACTAAATTAGAGACTAAATGGTTAGTGATACTTAAGAAATATATCACTTGTCTTGTTCATAACAAAAAAATAATAAGTGTATGAAATAAAAATTCTTGTTTGTACTTCAGATTAAGATCAGCATGATCCTTCATTGTTGTTTTTACTTTCCTAAAATCAACAAACTCATACGTTGATCATCTCTCGAATGAGATTACGTAATTTTGTTAATTACTATTTGACTAATTGATAATCTTGTCTGATTCTACAAAATAAAAAATCGTTTAACGCTCAAGTATTCAACAACTTATTGAAACAAAGAGCAGCAACATACTTGATAACTTGATAACTTGATAACTTGATAACTTGATAATTTGATAACACGCTTATAAAATTAACAAGCTAGGTCCATTCTACACTTATAAGTAGCCCGAAAACATAACACCAATTGGTCTAATTTTACCCACATCAAACACGTCAAATTTGTTGGAATAAATTCGGTGATTATTTTTTTCTTCTTTGTTTTTATTTTTTTAATTATAAAAAAAAAAAAAAAAAAGATTAATAACTACCTAGAAATTTTAGAGACTTAAGAATTATCAATTAATATTCCAACATTATTCCATCCCATAACTTTCTTTCATAAGCTGGTAATTATCATAACAAAAGGTGAAACAAGCTGAATCAATTAACTAGAGACGTTTTTTTTTTTTGTAGATTATGGTTTATCAATCTACTTTTCATAAAACTATATTACGAGATAAAGGTTTATTTGATGGTAAAAATTTTTTAATTTCGACTGATTCTATAAAATGGGTGTATATATATTCATTATCAATTACTGAACAAGGTCAGTTATATTCAACGGATCAACAAAATAATCATTATTTATTATTACAATCATTACAATCGTGTTCAATTTCAATTCAACAAAAATCAACCACCCCCAATACAAATTCATCAAGTACAAAAACATCAAAATATTCAAGGAAGAATTCCGTACAAGATAGTATTGAAGATGAACCACCAATTATATTTATTAAAACTTTTGAAAATGATAAATTATACATTAAAGTTCCAAGTAGATTAAATTTTGGAAATTTATTAAGTTCCTTGTTAGTTTGGCAAAATTTAAAACCACAAGGTCTTGCTAAAAAATGGTATAATGAAAATAAAATTAAAAAAATTAATCAAACTATAGATGGTTCGATTCATGAATTATTAGTTTGTAGGTTTAAAGTTTATGGACCACTCCCTAATAAATTTACAAAAAATTTAAATGTTGTTAAAGGTCCAAAAGCTCCAATTTATCAACCAAAAATTGATGATTTAAATGGGAAAATTCCTACTGATTTAAATACTGTACCACAATTGGATTCAAATATAAATGAAGGTTGGTTTTATGCTATGGGTGCATTAAATTCAAATGGGATATTAAATTTTATATCTGAATTGGATGGAACTTTATTATATTCAATTGATATTAAAAAGTTGTTGTCAAGTGAGATTCGCGAAATTCATAATTCAATTTTTAACAGTTCAAATGTTTTATTTCTCGGTCATTTAAAAGAATTAAGATTCAATAACTTAATACGTACTATTAATCATTTAAATGCTGATCAGTTATTCCTTGGTAATCCATTTTTAACAAGAGATGGGAAAATTATAAATTCAAATTCAAGAATTTTTATTGAATTTCCATTACATATTGATTTAGAAGATTGGTTTGTTGGGTTAAAATATTTTGCAAAACGTGAATATATTGGATTATTTGATTCTGACTCATCTAAATTATCAAATGAACCTAACTATAAACAACAATTGTCAGATTTTAATAAATCAAATTTTAGAGTTTCAAAAAAAGTCTTAATTGATATAATTGAAGCTAAATTTGATACTACTCATAAACAAAATCAAGGTAAAATATATGCTGAAGTTCGTATGTGGGGATATCCATGGTCTCGTACTGCCATTGTAAATTTTACAAATAATCCATTTTGGAAAGAAGAATTTCAAACTGATTTACCAATTTCAACTCAAATGATTCATATTTTAATTAAAAGATCAAGTAATAATGATTATTCAAATAATGATAAAATAATAGGTACAGTTTATGTTACTCCTGATATTTTGACAAAACAAGTTAAAACAAGTTCAACAATTATGACTTCTAATGATTCTTCTGGTATCCAAGTTAATAATTCAATTCCATTACAAAATTCATTATCATTAAATCTGAATAATTATAATTATAATTATAATAATAATAATAATAATAATAATAACAATAATAATAATCCAACAAGTTTAGATATTGTAAGATTAACAATTTATGATTTGAATGATATACCAATTGGTAAATTATTAATCCAAGTAAATTTAAAAGAATATCATATATTACCACCAAATTTTTTTAAACCATTTGAAAAGATGTTGATTAATGCACCAATGAAGGATTTGATTAAATTTTGTAATGAAAATGCTCCAAGTTCAGATTTTGAAAGGGTATCGATAGTTCTATTGGATATTTTTCAAAGTTTAAAAGTTGAAGATGCATGGTTTAAATCATTAATGGAGAATGAATTGATTAATATTGATAATATAACTAGAAAATCATACGTAGAAAAAAATGAAGAAAAAAAGAATAATTCAAGTCATAATAATGTATTCAATACTTTATTTAGAGGATCATCTATCTTTTCAAAATCGTTGGAAAAGTATAATTTACGTATTGGTCAAGAATATTTAGAAAAAGTATTTGGTTCATTTTTTGCTAAAATTTCATTTGAACGTAAAAATTGTGAAGTTGATCCAAGATATGTTAAAATTCAAGAGAGGGCAATACGTAAAGGTAAACCTCTAAATGATGATTTATTTAATTTTGATGATGATGATGATGAAGAAAGTTCAACTGATGAAGAATATGATTCTGAATTTGAAAAGGAAAAAGATGAAACGATAAAGAAGATGGTTGAAGAAAATTTTCAAAATTTGTTATCATATGCTGAAGAGATATGGAATAAGATTTATATTACTTCAAATGATTTACCACAACAAATTAAAATTCAATTGAAAAATTTTAGAACTAAAGTTGAATTAGTATGTGATCCAAATGATAAAATTACAAGTTTAAATTGTTTATCTGCTTTTATATTTTTGAGATTCTTTTGTCCAGCTATATTAAATCCAAAATTGTTTTACTTGGCCAAAAATCATCAAACTGGAAATACTCAAAGAACATTGACTTTAATTGCAAAAATTTTATTGAATTTAGCTAATCGACAAGAATTTTCACCATACAAAGAGCCACACTTAGTCAAAATGAACACATTTTTAAGAAGACATCAGAATGAAGTATTGGATTATTTTGATAAAATTACAGGTAGAAAGAATGATTTTAATGAAAAAATACTTGATTTATCTCATGAAGTTAAAAGGTTTGATTTGGGATTAGATGAATTATCTAATGAATTGCCTACTACTCCATACTTAATTGATAAATATCTTAGATTGACTGAGATTATATATTTATTGGATTATAACAAGTATAAAAATAATGGATCATCAAGTTCTACTTCAACTCCATTTACTAGTCCGTCTAAAGATACATTGACTATTTCATCATCACAACAAAATCATAATTATGATTTAGACACAAAAAAGTTGACTGATTTACATTTGAATGAAAAAAATTCATATCAAATAGGTTCATTAGAATTTGAAAAACTGGAATTTTTAGATTTAGTTGGAGATAATGAAACTGAAGGGTTTATAAAATCTTTATGTAAAGGAAATGAGGATATTTTTTCATTTATAAACTCAAATATTACTTTGAAAGATATACAAAAACAATCAACAAAGATACTAAATAAAATATACCAATTGGAGACATTTTTAGAAAATTATGAATTTCCTAAAAACTTTAATAAGGACTTAACATTGTGGGAAGTATTTACAAATGATATATTATCAAGGACGTATTTGGATTTAAGTAGGAACAGTATAGTTGTGTTGGATACATTACCTCCTAATAACAATTATAGAAGATTTGTTGATGATCATGCATTGACAAAATTAAATTTGAAATTTATTACCAATAGTGAAGAGAATGAAAGTAATAAAAACGAACTACAACAGAAGTTACAACAACAACAATCAAATAGTAATTATAGTACTATTGCAAACACTACTAATCGAATATCGTCGAGTTTTAGTAGTAATTCATTGGGAAGTGTATTGAAGTCAAATGGTTCAAAAAATCCATTTAAGAAATGGTTGAGAAAGTAAGATAAGGAACTAACTAAAGAACGATAGTGATAGGTAGTGCAAATACAGATGATTATTCTATGGAAACCAAATGATACTGGGAATCATTTAAATATTGAGAAAGTAAGATAAGAAATGACTAATGAGAAAGTTTATAATTTTACGAATAAATAAAGTGTAATTTAATCGATCTTTCGGTGTTTGAACATGGCATGGAAGAAGACACGTTGATTCTTGATTGCGTAATATCTTTATCATATTCGGTGAGCTTTTTTGATGTTTTATCCCCATTGGGCAATTTCTAATCGCACAGTAGTATATAAATTGTGATCAAGAATTTTTTGACAAAGCACAAAGTCAGAGTGCTGTGGAGATAATCAAGTGCCTATATAGTGTATTCAACAGGTGCGGATTAGGTGCGGATTTGGTTTTAAGGCCTATTTTTCAAGGCTATGTTGTCGTGTCAAAATAGATTCAAATCGATGTAACACGTTGCTTGAAACTGACGACCAGTAATTGAATGACGAATGATCAATGGTAGAGCTCCTACAATAGACCTTTTTGAGAATTTAAGCGCCCCTACAAGAAAGCTATTGTCTTACGACAAGGTAACGTAATTTGAAAAATGGTTGCAAAATGTAACAATATCGAAATTTTCATTATTTAAGCAAGTAGTGTAAATTGCCACCTAACAAAAGAAATTTTACAACAAATAACGCACCGCAATATCAAATTTGGAATTGGTCTGGAACGGAAACGAACCACGTTTCATTTAAAAAAGAAATAGTACGATGCGAATTTTTCCGAGGTGATTAACGAAACCCAGTAAAATGTCAAATAAAGTTTTAAACTATAAACAATTAGCTAAATTCTTCTTAAATCTTAAATGTAAGATTGATTTAAACGTTGTCTTGTGAATGAATGATAAGCTGAATCAGATGCGTAGAGTTATTTTGAATGACTCTTGTGTCATTCGGGGATTCTACGGTTTATAGCAAGCAATAATGCGAATATCGTCTAAAACGCAAAACGCCTAATCCTAAGTATAAAAAATTTTATTGATGATTTACAAACAACGGCCGGTTATAAATAAATTAAACAATAGGCAATTCTAGTGTCGTGTTTTTGAAAAATGACATTAAATAGTGTTGGGTTTAGTGTCTCATAATAAAAATACGACAAGAAAAAAAAAATAAAAATAAAAGAAATAATAATAAAAATAAATTATGTAATCAATAAACATCTTAGTAAATAAATTGAATATATTTCACTCACGAAATATTAATCAATAACTTTTTATTATTTGATTGATTGATTGATTGATTGTATTTGAGACAACCATTTAACATTATTGTTTTTTGTTGGTTATTATCATATTATCATATTAAACTAGATAATTAGTGATTAATTAATTTTTTACTACTACTACTGCCAACCATTACAATTCAATATACCGTCGTATAATCTCATTATACATCATCTTACTTTAGTTTTACCCATATTTGCTTTATCATAAACTTTATAGACTTATTCAATGACTACTACTATGACTTCAGTATCAGAAGAAGAAATTTTAACGTCATACCCACAAATTTGTGCACCAACTGATCAAACTGGTTATACATCAAATTTAACTGAAGAACAAAAACAATTAGTATTACAATTTAGAGAAGAATTAAAACAGTTGGGATATATTCATAGATTAGATGATGCAAATTTATTAAGATTTTTAAGAGCTAGAAAATTTAATTTACAATTATCAAAAGATATGTTTATTGCTTGTGAAGAATGGAGAAAAGATTTTGGTACAAATACAATATTACAAGATTTTAAATATGAAGAAAAACCAATAGTTGCAAGAATGTATCCTACTTATTATCATAAAACTGATAAAGATGGTAGACCATGCTATTACGAAGAATTAGGTAAAGTTGATTTACATAAAATGCTTAAAATTACAACTCAAGAAAGAATGTTGAAAAATTTAGTTTGGGAATATGAAGCAATGTGTCATTATAGATTACCTGCATGTTCAAGAAAAGCTGGTTGTTTAATTGAAACTTCATGTACTGTATTAGATTTAAAAGGTATATCACTTACATCTGCTTATAATGTAATTGGTTACGTTAGAGAAGCTTCAAAAATTGGTCAAGATTATTATCCTGAAAGAATGGGTAAATTTTATTTAATTAATTCTCCATTTGGTTTTAGTACTGCTTTTAGATTATTTAAACCATTTTTAGATCCAGTTACTGTTTCAAAAATTCATATTTTAGGATACAGCTATCAAAAAGAATTGTTGAAACAAATTCCAATTGAAAATTTACCAGTTAAATTTGGTGGTAAATCAGAAGCAACAGATGATGAATTATTATTAAAAGATATTGGTCCATGGAGAGAAGAACAATATATTGGTCCAGAAAATCAATGCCCAAGACCATTTGAATTGTAAACCCTCTTTCAATAGTTATAATAATATATATATACACACACTTATAATAATAATATTTTTGTCTATTGGATCCAACCTGATACACGCATTGCATGGAAAATTTATGTCACCCATACAATGATATTCTTATTTTTTATTATACCCATAGTACTATGTCAAAGTCATATATTTAATTGGAATGTATCATATGTAAATGTGAATCCAGATGGTTTACAAGAGAGGTTAATGATTGGTATAAATAATGAATGGCCTTTACCTACTATAAAAATTAAAACAAATGATCAAGTTATCATACATTTGCATAACAGTCTAGATACAAATACTAGTTTACATTTCCATGGTTTATTTATGAAAGGTCAAAATGGTCAAGATGGTCCTGAATATATAACTCAATGTCCAATAGCACCAGGTGTGAATTTTACTTATAATTTTAATGTGGGTAATCAATCTGGTACGTATTGGTATCATTCACATAGTGGATCACAATATGGCGATGGTTTCAGAGGTTTGTTCATAATAGAAGATGATACTTATGATTTTGATTATGATGAAGAAGTTACATTATCTGTTGGTGATCATTATCATTTACAATCAACAGAAATAATGAAAAGTTTCTTAAGTAGGTATAATCCAACAGGTGCTGAGCCCATACCTCAAAATGGTTTATTTAATGAGACTAGGAATGTTACATGGGAAATTAAACCAGATACTACATATATGTTGAGAATAGTAAATATGGGATTATTTGTATCACAATATTTATACATTGAAGATCATAATTTTGTTGTGGTTGAAGTTGATGGTGTAAAGGTAGAACCATATGAAGTAGACCATTTATACATGACAGTAGCTCAGAGATATGTTGTATTATTAAAGACTAAATCAAATATGGATAAAAATTACAGATTTGTTAATATTTTGGATCAAGACATGCTTGATTTCTTACCTGAAGATTTACAAATTGTTTCAACTAACTACTTAATCTACAACAAAGAGGAGTCATTACCTAAGCATTTACCATATGATAAGTTCTCCTTAATTGAACAATTTCCAACATTTGATGATTCAAAATTTAAACCACTTAATAAAATGATATTACTTCCTGATCCAGATTATACCATTCTTTTAAATTTTTCAATGGAAGTTCTTGGTGATGGTGTTACATATGCATTATTTAATGGTAAAGCTTTTACTCCTCCAAAAGTACCATCATTATATACTGTATTATCATCTGGAGAATTAGCAACTAATGAAATAATTTATGGATCAAATACAAATTCATTTATTTTACAAAATGACGAGGTTGTTGAAATTATATTAAATAATCACGATCCAGGAAAACATCCATTTCATTTACATGGGCATAATTTTCAAGTATTATCTCGAGGATCATCCGAAGATGATGAGAATCCAATTGATTTTGATCCTAATAATTCGTCACATACTACATATCCTGAATATCCATTAATTAGAGATACTGTTGAAGTAGATAGTAATGGATTCATGGTGATTAGATTTCAAGCAAATAATCCTGGTGTTTGGTTTTTCCATTGTCATGTAGATTGGCATTTAGAACAAGGTTTGGCAATTACATTAATTGAAAATCCAGAAGAAATACAAAAAACTCAATCTAAAATTGATGATAGTCATTTAAATGCATGTAAGGAAATACATATGGGTTATGAAGGTAATGCAGCTGGAAATATGGAATTTTTAAACCTTGAAGGGGAGAATGTACAAGTCAAACCATTGCCTGATGGATTTACAACTAAAGGTCATATTGCAATTGTACTTTGTTCATTATTTGCAATTTATGGAATTTGGTCAATTTATAGATATGGAATGGAGGATGTAAATGAAGACAATTCAAAGTTATTAATAGAGAAATTAAAATTAATACTAAGGGAACATGATAATAAATAGATTTTGTGTATAGTATCGCTTATAATATAAAAAAATTTGGGTGGGGCAAGTCCTTGATTTTTAGCGCGCTTAAAAATCTGAGATCTGAAATAATTTTCAACAATATATAAATTGAATCAAGGGTCCATTTCAGTAGTTATGACTAAATTCGTTATTGTAGGGTATGTAAGGATGAAATATGGTTAGAAATAGTTACTAATAACTTCAGTGCTGGTGTTATTGGACTTTATACTGCTTTTGAACTACTCCAACATGGAATATCAGGTAATGAATTAAGTGTTATTGCTGAATTTTCACCTGGTGATGAATCTATCAATTATCCTTCAATGGCAGCTGGTGCTAATCACTCATTAATGAGTGGAGAGGATGACAACATGTTAAAATTTGAAAAATATAATTATTTAAACATGCATAAAATTCAACAAGCAATTGGTGGGAAAGAAAAAGGAATAGATAGATATAAATCAACTGAATATTGGGAAATTAAACCCAGTTCAATGAAGAAGATTGATTCAGTAAAGTCTTATTTTGAAGAATATGAAGAAATACCAGTTTCAAAATTACCAGATGGTGCTGAGTTTGGTATCTCATTTCTTTCATGGAATTTCAATGCACCTAAATTCTTATTCAATTTGTATAAACATTTACAATCACAAGGTGTTTCATTCACTCGTAAGAAGTTGTCACATATAATTCAAGCTTATTCTGATGATACTAAATATGTATTCAATTGTACTGGATTAGGAGCAAAAGATTTAATTGGAGATAAATTAATGTATCCAGCACGAGGACAAGTCGTAGTTGTTAAAGCACCACATATCAAAGAAAACGTAATGCTTTGGTCAAAATATAAACCTCCAACATATATAATAAAACGTCCATTCTCGAATGATCAATTAATATTAGGTGGATTTTACCAAAAAGATGATTATAGATCAGACAATTACAAGGCTGAAAATGATGACGTTTTGAAAAGGACTACAAAATTATTCCCTAAGATATTAAATGGTAAATCAATTGAAGATTTGGAGGTTTTGAAAAATGTTACTGGTTTTAGACCTGGTAGATATGGTGGTGTCCGTATTGAAAAAGAACGTTTTGATGAAGGTAAAATATTAATTCATAATTATGGTGCTGGTGGCTATGGATATCAAGCTGGTTATGGAATGGCTCATTATGCTGTCGACTTGGCATTAAATGAAAGTAAATTATAGGTGTAAATATAAATGCTACTTTGTATGGAAGCTTCTAAAATCAATCAATTATTTACGTCAAATTGAGCATATTAGCATTATCAGATTTGTACGACTGCCAATATTGATCGAAATTATTCAAACTGTAGGGCGAAACCGACCAAAATCTCGTAAAAAATTAATACCAGATTTTTTATTCTTTCGATCAAAATGGTCTTAATTTTGCACGACAAATATACGTAAACAAACGAAGTGCGCGTAACTTGTCTTTTTCGTCTCGTGCGAGATATGACAACAAGTCGCGCTAGTTTTCGCTTCAAAGAATTTGTCATTCGCTCGGTTAACCGTTGTCAGATATATACATCCGATACGAGACCTTTATTAAATTTTTATAAGTAAACTGATTCCAAACCGTTATCTTCGAAAAAAAAAAAATTTGTACTTGATTTTATTACATATATAGAAAATTCAAGGGTTGAATACATCAGATCACAATTTCAAAATTCTAAATTTCTGAAATTTTTACTATCAAAAATTTGATTTGAAATTTCAATTTTTGTGTTGATCAAAATTTGACTTTTGCAAAATATAATGTGTGAATTTTTAAGGTGTTGAAACTAACTATCTCGTATTAGTAGTAATTGCTACCAATTAAGAGTAAATAGAATTTACACTAATAAGTCATAAATCATTAAAGAGCATGATAAAGATTCACAACAAAGTTTATTAAAAAGAATTCACTGAGACTAACTTAACGGCTATGATGTGGTTGTATTTTACGCTTCTTAGGTTTGAATTTAATTCATTGTAAATATCTCTCTACTTGAATGGACAAAAATTGACTTTAGAATCTGACCGTGTAACATACATATTGCTAAGTTTGTGCAGCTATATCAATGAATTATACGGTTACAACATGTTTGCATTTGTATTATTGTTGCAGATAATTCAATTTGATATAATTTTCGTATTGTGTGATATATTTTTTGTTTTGTGTCATTTATATTATATAATCGATAAATTATTTGTTTCAGAATAAAAGTTTGAATTTTATATAAATGAATTTCCCAAAATTAGCTCAATAACAATCACAACTAACCAATATGACTAGAAGTACTTTTAATTTTATTGAAGAGATTACGCGAATTACCATTAGAATTAATTGAAATAATCACATTTTGATAAAGCATCCTCTATTACTTTCTTATATGATCCAATTTTATAACCTCTTGCAATTAAACTTTTTTTTACAAAAGTTGTTGTTTCAAAATTAGATGGAGGTTCAAAGTTCCAGAAAATATTAGAATTATTAAATTACCAACAGATGAAGAAATTGATTTCATTGATGCATTATGTTTTAAAGAATATAGAGTTTTTTACAAATTATTAGAATAATTTAAAGTTATCCCAAAATCGGTTTTTGTTACAAAGTTGCTTGATGATGAGAAATATTTTAAGCTATTGATGAATATCATGCAGAGTATGGTGAAATAGATACTAATTTTTATAGGGAGTGTCAAAAAGATGGTTACGAAGTCATAATGCATTCATGTTATTTTCGTTGACTGAACTTCCGACAAAACTATTTATTGATTTAGGTTATGAAGATTGGATGGCTAGCTATTTCTTGACTGAAGTTTTTGGTTTTCATCATATTCAAATTGATGATTTCAAGAATTTAGAATATTTATATTACCATGATATTAAAAGGATATTTAAAGACCATCATACAGTCATTTGAGAAATTCAATTCTGTATTTGAAATGTGAATCAATTGTTGAATTGTAATGGTTGAAAATTCTTGGGAGGTCTGTACTCCAGAAATTGTTCGAGTTTGCAAATTCCAAGCGTTTAAAGTATTTTAAATTTAATTGTTGTGAATCAACACCTGACGGGCCTTAGCCACCCTTATATTTCTCAGATTCTTTAGTTACTATTTATTTACAAGATCTAGTTTGTGTAGACTTATCAAGTATGCAAGTTTGCAGCAATTTGACAACTTTAACTTTGATAGATTCAGAATTTAGCTGGGAATTATTTGATGGTAACAATTTTCCAAAGTTCAACTATAAATTCGAATAACGAGCTGAAATTTATTCTGTATTCCAAATACTGTATTCCAAATACTGTACCAATTATAATTTAGATGTTCGGAACTATTCTTTTTCATGAATCAGTTTTCTTTCCACAAAATGTCAAAATTTTATCCTTAGAAAATGTTCGATTTGCAAAATCAGTCTTCATGCCTGAAAATTTTCCTGATCTAAAAATTAGAGAATGTTTATTTGAATAATTCGATCTAAATTTGAAGCAAGATTAATTGCTAGTGTATAATAATATTTTCATTCGTAATATCCCCAGAAGTGACCCTCACTTTTGGGCCATAGAAATATTTTCCTAGCCTCATCTAGAGCGAGTTATAATGCGACTTTAGTGCGAATCTAATGTTTCTAAATTATCAAAATTTACTTTTTCTTGCACAAAAAAAAGGTTACAATTTTAATCAACAATTAAATTGCCTTATCATAAAATATATTTAGAATTATCATGTCAGGATTATTTGAATGGGCATTTGGTAAAAAATTAACACCACAAGAAAGACTTCGAAAGAATCAACGAGCTTTAGAAAAAACTCAACGTGAATTATCAAGAGAAGTTACTAAATTACAACAACAAGAAAAGAAATTGATTACTGAAATTAAAAAATCAGCTAAAACTGGTCAAATATCATCAGCAAAAATACAAGCAAAAGATTTAATACGTACAAAATCATATATTCAAAAATTTAATTCAATGAAGGCTCAATTACAAGCAATATCATTACGTATTCAATCAGTTAGATCAAATCAACAAATGGCAATGTCAATGAGAGATGCAACAAGATTATTAAGTGGAATGAATAGGTCGATGAATTTACCACAATTATCAAGAATAGCACAAGAATTCGCCAAAGAAAATGATTTAATGGATCAAAAACAAGAATTTATGGATGATGCAATTGATGATGCTATGGCTTTAGATGATGATGAATTAGGAGAAGAAGAACAAATTGATGAAATATTGGGTAAAGTATTGGATGAAATTGGTGTTGATTTAAATACAAATTTGAAAAGTATACCAAGTGGAATAGAAACAAAGGAAGAAGAAAGAATGCCACAAGCCGTTGGAGTAGATGAAGATGACTTACAAGCAAGATTAGATAGTTTAAAGAAATGATTAAGATATATATTTATGTTGTAATAAATAATCTAAAATTTGTTCAGCTGCTTCTTCAATTGATAAATTGTAATTTTTTACATGAATTTCAGGATTTTCTGGTGCTTCATATGGAGCTGATATACCTGTAAACTCTTTAATAATACCTTCTCTTGCTTTTTTATATAATCCTTTTGGATCTCTTTGTTCTGCAATTTCAATTGGAACATCTATATAAACTTCAACAAATTTTAAACCATCTTTTTCATGTAATTCTCTTGCTAATTTTCTATCTGATTTATATGGACTTATAAACGAAGTTAAACAAATACAACAAGAATCATTAAATAATTTAGCAACTTCAGAAATTCTTCTAATATTTTCATTTCTATCAGTTTCTGAGAACCCAAGGTCTTTATTTAAACCAAACCTAACATTATCACCATCTAATCTATAACTATTTAAACCTCTATTAAGAATACTTTGTTCTAATGCACAAGCAATTGTTGATTTACCACTCGCGGATAAACCTGTTAGCCAAATTGTACAACCTTTTTGATTTCTTAATTTTGAACGTTCATCGTGAGATAAATTTGGATGCCAGGTTATATTAGTAGCCATTTGATACCTTTATTACTTCGTCGTTGGTAAAATCTTTCACTTTACCTAAATCGTAAATATATATATATATTGATTATGTAATGCATACTGTGATTACACATGATATGGTAAATATTGGTTTTGTGTAATTTTTATTATCAACACTTTTGCAACCAAAGCTGTTTATGATACTATTATGAGATGTACAACATTCTGTACTTTGAGTAGTAGGTGGAAGGACTATATAGATGAATATAAATAGCTGTTGAGCTTAATAATCCATGGTTGAAAGATTATCAACGACTGTGGCTGCTTTTGAATTAAGTTTATTGAATTCGGGTTCTTTAGAATTGACTTGGCATGGTATTTCTGTATTAGCTGTTTATAATGCTCCTTATATAGCCTCTGAACTTTGATGCTGAATGAATCTTGCCATGTAGAATTTCAAATTGATCTAAATTAGCCCATAATCATTCAAGCGTCCAAATTAAAGCAAAATATATAAGCAACAAACTTAATTTCGAGTTTCTACTATCAAGGTCCTTCTTTCACAATTAACCGCTGTAATCTAAAAGTATAAAACAGAAACTTTTAAATAAGTCTAATTTACAGAGCACTTTGCAGAAGTGAAGAAGACAGCTATTTCGAGAACAATCAGGCTCAAGCACAAATGCTTCATATAAAAAATGCTCAGTTTTAATCCAAGATACTAACTAGTATTGTCTAATATTTGTATGTTTTAGAATCATGATATTTCGACACTTAGGACTAAAAGCAGCGAAATCAGATTGTGCTGGATCAATTGAGTTCCACCTACCTCATCCAAAAATATTTTTATCTGACAGAAGAATTGTCATAGAATTGCTCTTCATTCGATTGTAAACATTATTTGTTTCACATTCTTTGTTTCAAACTTGATGTATCGAATATTGTTTCGTAATTAAAGGTTATCGTAAAAGTTAATCAACTAGGTGCAATTTTGCGCGAGCAATTTGCTCAGAAAAAATAACTTCATACGAGTTCTTGCGCGACATGCATCCCAATCAGACCGGCTGAATTGTTGAATTTCCTCTTTTAACTCGATTTGCGCCCATTCACTCAAATGTGACTTACGCAGAGAAAACGTTTTAGCAAGAATATTGTTCTTTTAAGTTAAATTTTGTACCACAATCGATATAGGTGAGGTAAGAGCATGCATTGAACTTTGAATCGAGTTTATAATCATACTTCTTTTAAAAGCTGCAATATTTGTATATTCAATTGATAATTAAATTTCATTAATCTCTTTAAATTACTTAATTCTGTTTTCCACCTTCTACTAAACTCAATCATTTTGCAGTAAGTTGCAAATATCTCGAATTTTTTGGCTTTTACAAAACTTCTCAAGACACAAAAGAAATACTCGCCAAAGTGAATAAAAAGCCAAATGTTTGAGCTAATATCACCTCTACGGTTCCTCCAATTCTTATAAGCTGTGTCTTCTTATCAAATATTCATCATATCAATGGCTGCAAAAACCCACTATCATCAGAAAGTAGTGCAAATTTTTACCATTTTTTACCAAAAAAAAAAATTTAAAGTTTGAAAAGTTTTGTAAAATATCAACTTTTACAACCAAATCAGCAAACCAACACATTATCCACAATTTATCACCATGTATTATGAACTATTTGCTATTGCACGTATAACGGATCCGATAAAACCATCAAAAGAAGCACAAAAAATTGCATCAACAGTTGGGAAATTAATCTTAAATAATAGAGGTATTATACGTGATATAACAAGTATTGGTAAAAGACCATTACCTAAAATAATATCAAAAGATCAAGAAAGACATTTTCAAGGTTTTAATTTTATAATGGGATTTGATTCAAGTTCAAGAGTACAGGAACAATTATTAAGAACATTAAGAAATGATCCTAGAATATTAAGAGCTGGTATAAAGAAACATACATTAGATCATAACTTAAATCCTGGAAGTTCAATTGAGAAAGCATTAAATGCAATACCAAAATAGACAAAAACTTGTAAATAGAGATCAATATAACAATTTCCTCAGATTTCCTCACAGTTTAAGACATACCCCGGGCTATCCTCAATCCAATTTCAACTTGAAACCTCTTTGCCATACCTCTCTGTCTTTGCCAGTTGTTCCTTGATTAGTACCAGTTTTCTAGTAGACAGCCACACTATTTACCTAAATAGGAAGTCAACCATTCAAAATCAAAACAAAAACACAAAAAAATTTCCATGTTATAAAAAAACATTTCAAAAAAAATAATAGGACAACAATAAGGACAACAATAAGGACAATCACTACTAATACATGCTAGATAATGAATGATAGTATTTCTAAAGAGAATGATATTACAATATTAACTCAATCAACTAATAAATTTGCATCACCTAAAAAAATGACTACAAATTCAACAATTATAAATTCACAATCTCTATATAATCAAGAAGAATTTAAATCACTAGAAAGGAACTTTGCAGATATAGTTTTAATTAATAAATCATTAAAGAATGAGATAGTGAGATTAGAACATGAATTAAGTTTAAAAATCTCTCAAATTGAAATGAATAGAGATAAATTACAATTTTATGAACAAACTATCAAAGGAATAGAAGAGGAAAATCTACAAAGGGAGGAATTATTGAAAAAAGAGATAATTTCTTATAAATCACTAGTGAAATCATTAGAAAATGAAATAATCAGTCTAAATTCAATTAAGCCTGAACCCACGGAACACTACCACGAGTTATATGTCAAATATGAAAAATTACTACGAGATTATAAAATACTCACAAATCAATTTGAATTGGAAAAGAATCAAAAATTGATATATTTAGATCAACTTGAATTCCTAAGCCTGAAAAATGAAGAATTGATAAAAGAAAAAGAAAGTAATACGAGCGGTGAATCTTCAGCTGCTGATTTTATAACTGAAATAACTCATGCTACAAATCACACGATGAATGAATTAACAGATGAAGAGGATTCATTTGATTTATTAGATCAATCATCACCAATTAAACAAACTCCAAATTTCCAATTCCCACCTTCTCCTGATCCGGAATCAAGAGATAAACGACAATCACTCCCTACTCAATTAAAAAGAATGAGTCTAGTAGATAATGAATTTGTATTAAGTCCTTTTAAATTAACTCCGACTCAAGAACAAGAAGATAAATTTAATAATTCGAATTCAACTATAAAACGTTATTCATCATCAAAACCAACGCATTCAAGATATAATTCTCATGATATAATTCCAATAAAAGTTGAATTTGAAAAAGAAAATGGGAAAAGAAGTGTATCAAATAAAGAAGATTATAGAAATGAGACTCTTTTTGCATTGAATGGATATGAAGAAGATCCAGATTATTCTAGAAATTTTTCAATTGAAACAACTGGTAATTCAAATAGATCTTCTGGAATTTATGATAAATCAACACGACAAGAGATTACAAAATTGAAATTTGAATTACAGAGTTTAAAACTTCATAATGAGAAATTATTATCATATATTGGATTTGAATTACAAAAACAGAAAAAGAACATAAAGAGATTAACTAAAAAACAATCAGAGATAAGTTTGGGAAGTAAGGTTGAGTATTCCGATGCTAAATTGATTGCAAATTCAAAAGATATGTTAATTAATAAAAAAAGAGTGTTACGTTCTGTTAGTATCAATACGATACTAGATAAGAAAAATATAAATTCAATTGGATTAAGACATGACAACTATGATGGAGATGATGAGGAAATATCATCAGATGATAAAATGATTAAAAAATATGCATCACAAGTATTTAGAAAGCATAATTTTGATAATGATTCAGATTTTGAAGATTGGGCGGAAGAAGAAATTGAAGATATTGAAGAAGAAGAGGAAATTGAATCTAGTAGTTCTAGTTCTGAGGAAGAGCTCGGTGTTTTCAATCATTTGAAACATATAGTAATGGGTAAAAAAGAAAAGAAGAGAAAACTTTCTGATGAATTAGTTGATGATGGTTTAAAGTTTAAGTTTTTGACTATTGCTTTAGGTATAATTATTATTTCATTTAGGTTGACTCCTCATGCAATAACGAATACGAATAATTAATATGGACAATATACAATATATATTTATTTCGAGTGTTTGTATTATTCTAATGTAGATTCAAGTGCATCCTTACGTGTTTGAGGCATCCTTACCGCGTATTTTTATTTTTTTAAGGTACGACCGAATATCATCGCGCAGAAAAAAAAGAATTAAGCGATTTGAATCGGGTGCCATGCGATTCATAATAAAATCACACCACTTTTAAGAAATACTATAATATTAACTCATGAGATATCATTTTATTATAATTAAGATCTACGATTTATATAAAAGTGTAACAGAATCCGCTGTCTTGTTTATCTCTGATTTTTGATTGTTGATTTTGATCTTTAGTATTTTCTTTGTTTTGTTCCTATTGGTTGCAAATTAATTTAAAGTTTCGGAATTGAACTGTAACATAATTACAATGGCACTTCGAAATTATTTATATGCTAAACATAATCATGAAAATGATGAAAAAATAAATAAATCAAATACCCCAAAACAAATGAGTAAAGATATTGAAAATATAACTAATGAAATTAAAGAAGCTCGTTTAGATGATGATTGTAAACAATGCACTGAATGTACTTGCAAAAAAGAGGAACCAGTTAAAGACATAACACCTGTTATAAAAGTAGAAGTTGAAAATGAAATAGAAATAACTACAGTATAAAGCTGAAAATTGAAATTGAAAAGATGTTTAACCAGGTTCATGAAGCGGAGTCACAACAGTTGATCATTATATTAGTTATTATTTAAATCTAGCTTTTCTACTTGCTTGCATTTTAAAATATTCATCCAATTGTTGTTGATTATGTTGTAAATGAGGATCAACTCTATGATGATCTTTATGAGGAACAGGCAAAGTAGGAGCACTTTGACGAGATAATAATTGTTGATTAAGATTACTTTGTCTCATAGGTGGTGAATTTTTTGGTTCTTGTGTAGGTTGGTTTCTATTAATAAATGTTTCATTACTACTTTGATTTCTATTATTTATAAATCTTTCATTAAAGAATGAATCTTTTAATTCTTGAAATATTTTATATGTTTGTGGATATTCATATTGATTTGAATTGAAAAAACGATCAGCAAACATGAATATAAACTTTTCGATTTCTTCTGCTGTAGTAGGTTGTAAAATATCATAATTTGGTGGAGCTTGTTTTGGTTGAGGTGGTGGTTGTGGTATTCTTTCAGTTAATATAACTTCATTAGTAGTTGATGCAGATCCCGAATTTTCTTGTCTTCGTATATGATTGAAATTAGGTGGTTGAAATGGTTGTGGATTTGGTGGAGATTGATTTTGTTTTCTATAATTCATTGCTAATACATTATTTTGACTAAAACTTAGACCTTCTTGTGGTTTAAATTGATTTCTCGGTATTTCTGGAGATAATTGAGGACGAGTTGGTTGTGGCTGTGGTTCAGGTCGATTTATTTGAGGTTGTAATATATCATAATTAGTTTCATTAGTTGGTGGTTCATTAAAATCATTATTGTCCGTTGGTGATGGAACATCATTTATTTCATTTTGAGGTTCTTCTTGACTCTTTCTTTTCTTATTTATACCATGTCTTTTCTTAAATTGACTTAGCCAACCATGACTAAAACTATATAATCTTTTTGGATCATCTACTCCATATTGATGAGCATAAATTGACCAATGTTCTCTTAAAATAGGTTCAGTTATAGGCTCACCTCTTTCTAATCTACCTTTTACTAATTTATCCATTGCTTGATTAATCTTTTCATATTTAAATTTCACTTTTCTTTTACTATTTTTTGAAAATTTAAAATCAGCCTGACTATACCTTTTTCTTAACTCATTTTCATTTTTTAGCCATTCACTAAATGATGATGTTGATATTGATATCTCATTTTTAAATTTCTCAACAGTTTCCAGTTGTGGTCTTTCAGATCGATGGAAATAATCTAGAACTTGTAATTTTTGAGCCAAAGTAGCTCTTGGTAATTTACTTGTCATTGACCCTTCCTTAACAAAAGATAAACAAATAAATTCTTTGATCCTGATTAGACAAAGGTGTTCACGACATTGAAATAGACATAAAAACGGACATTGTTACATATTTATATATTCTTAATGAGAACCTGCTCCTCTACTAACTTTTTCTAAAACAGTATCATAAGCAACTTCTGAAAAATCAGTACCTTGAATATCAGCAGCAACTCCGTTTAATGCTCTTCTTAATGAATCTTTTGATGATGCATAAACCATTTTTGCTCTAACTGGTGCTGTATCTGGTGACCATGTAAAAAATACAATTTTTGATCTTTTACCTTCACCACCACCAATTTCATATTCAAAATCATAAACAGCATATTTACATTCATTTTCTGGTAATTTTTCTAAAAATGAATCGTAATCTTGATCTGTTGATGTTGATTCAACTATAATTTCAGTTTTTGAATCATTTAATGAAAATAAAATAAATTTATATTTTTTACCCAATTTTAAATCATTGAATGCAGTAAGGGATTCATCAGCAACGGCGACTCTGAGTATTTGTTAGTATTTCAGGTGGTTGGTTTATTTGTTTAAACATACCCTGATCTTGACTGTTGAATAAGTTAGTAAATAGTCCGCGGAAACTCTCAATTTCTGAAACAATTGAATTGAATTCTCTATATCTCTTTTAACAACATACCATTGTTAATTATATATATAGTTGTTTATTTAAGATAGTTAAAAGAAACTCCTTTTTTTCTTTGGTTGTTTTGTTGACGAACGAAATTTTGAATTTGGTTTTGCCTAGTGATTAGCACACGACACTGTTCTATGAAAATTAGTAAATTATATGGTACTGACTATGAAGTTATTAGGTGCTTTTCAATGAATTAAAGATAGCATTCTACAAGGCTTGATACGTTTCTAAAACTTTTGAGCAGCTAGACCATTTATATTTCCGGATTTTATTGGTAATACTCTTTTCCTGAGTCAGGTGTTTCAAACAAGATAATTCTCGACAATTTGTGTGGTTTAAATGTAAAGCTTTTAGTATACCTTTAAAATACTCTAACTGGTGCTCAAACAGTTATCATTGAATTCATTTTGGGTGCAAATTAAACTTCAAAAATCAACTTCACTCGTCGACGATCAGAGTGCTGTTCAAAACCAGAAGGTATCACTCTTCTTACTTGAATTTTTTCAATTGTAAACATTGTAATACGTCAATTATTTTAGATTTTTAAATTTACAAAACTTGTGATGAAAAATATTGAATGCAATAACAAGTTAAGTCAAGGATAAGTAATGCTTCATTATTAAATTTCTTGAATTCAACTTCAATAAAGATTAATCTCTTGAGAATAACTTTGCAGAGATAATTTAATTAGATTAGAAGTCCGTAACAAGGAAGAGCAGTACTGGCAATACTCCGTGTTACGAGGTCGCCCTAGAGCTAGCGCGAAAAAACTAATTTGTTTCGCCAAATCATCGCATCAATTATTTCGTACTAAAAATTATAATTCTGTCACAATTATCTTATATGCAGTATCATCATAGTCAATCTCCAAATTAATTTGCAAATAACTCTTGATATTCAAAGTATTATCCTCAAACTAATCTCATTACAAAATTCGACAATCATACAATACGCTGATTTTTGTTTCTTCGAATAAAATTTAAAATCCATCATTTTATTGTTCATTTAAATAAATGCCACACGAGATAATCAAAACTTACGACTTGACTAGCAACTTCTAATATAGCTGAACTGGTAAATTTTTCCACTAGAATTATGGTATAAGCGCTATTTGTTTAGCACCCTGTTAAAAACTTATTGACTCAAAAATTATTGTCTATTCAGGAAAAAAATTGCAAAAACTAGTATCCTGGGTTAATTTTACGCGATCTCTCGCTCGGAAAAAAGTACCGTAATGCAAATATTCGTGGGACCATCATATCAGTCGGGTTAGCTGACTTTAATAATCACCGCTTAAGAGACAGAAGTGTTTATAATTTTGATATTTCTCTACGGCAACAAAAGCAAAGCAGCAAATCTCTTGAAAGATCATTTATATAATGGGGATTATCGTCGCTGTCTTAAATTTCCTGAGTAGATCTGTCATTTGAATTTTGTCCAATTTTGGCCAAAATGAACATTACAATAAAAAAGTTGCAAAATTCAACTCTTAACCACACAACAAAATAAAACAATAACAAACAAAGCATGAATAACGTAGCTTACAAAATTTAAGCTTGATATTAACTATTTTTCAGGTGCGAGGCTCTTCATTTTGGTCCTAACATTTTTAAAAACTCTCACAAGATCTGAACAAAATTCTACAATTTTAGCGGTTTGGCCGACTTGAAGTTGCCAAAGACGCTCCAAATGTTGATACGATGCCCGAGCGGTTAAGGGGTCGGATGCAGGCATTGGACCGATAGCAATTCTTCATTTATTGGTATTTAAAGAATTATCTTAGAAGTCCGATTTTCTGGCATCTTCCGATAGGCTTTGCCTGCGCAGGTTCGAACCCTGCTCGTGTCGCTTTTTTGCATTTCGACGTGTGCTGATTGTTTATGTCGTTACTCTGGAGTTGTTTTTGACATTTTTTTATTTTTTCACTTTTTAAAAAATTCGAAATATCTCGAGATCTAAACACCAGCACCTCTAAATTTAAAGTCCAAGAGATAGAGAGTTAAATTCTGCACAAGATACATCTCGTGAGGGTCTATATTTTTTGGTTGTTCTGTTATTTGTGTTGAAACTATCTTGAAAAATTTCATGAGCCCAAGTGAGTTGCAGAATTTCCTCTCGTTCAATTTTAAAACACCGAAAAGCTAATAAAAACCTCCTACATGTATTTAAATATTCAATAATGACCTCTGTAACTAATTATATCAGTTATTTATGAGTTTGTTTGAATATTTAGTAAACTTTTGCACCCATTTTTTCAATTTTAAATTGAAGAGATGCAAGCGGTTTCAGAAAAAAAAAAAAAAAAAACTAAAATTTAAATTGATCTCAAATTACTATGGATGATTTGTATGAAATACTAGGAGTAGAATCTTCAGCTTCAGAAATAGAGATCCGTAAAGCATATAGAAAATTAGCATTAAAATATCATCCTGATAAAGTTAATGAAGATGAACGAGAAGAATCAGAAATTAAATTTAAAGAAATTTCAATGGCATACGAAATATTAATTGATGATGAAAAAAGAGATGAATATGATAGATATGGTACTACAGGTAATGGTTTCGGTAATGGCCCAAACTTCAATGGTAATCCATTTGAACAATTTTATGGTGGTGATAATGGATATTATGATGGTAATGATTTTTATAATTTTTTTAATAATATGAATAAAGAAAGACAACCAAGTAATAAAACAGAAGATGCTCATATAGAAGTTGAAATTACATTAGAAGAACTATATAAAGGTAAAGTTATTAGAACTACAAGTACGAGAAATATAATATGTACATTATGTAAAGGAAATGGATTAAAACTGACAAATGTACAATTTAAAAAATGCTCAACATGCAATGGAGATGGTCAAGTACGAAAGATAAAAAGAGTTGGACCTGGTTTAGTTGCACAAGAATATGTTGAATGTAGTAGTTGTAAAGGTGTTGGTAAGATATATAGACTGAAAGATAAATGCAAATTATGTAAAGGTTCAAGAGTGGTTGAAGAAACTAAAATATTGGAATTTGAAATACCAAAGGGCTCACCAAATCAAGGTGTGATAATAAAGAAAGAAGAATCTGATCAATATCCTGGAAAAATAACTGGTGATGTATTATTAGAATATTCATGTAAAGAGCATAAAACATTTAAAAGGGAACAAGATGATTTATTTGTTAGTTATAAAATACCTTTAGTTGATGCATTAAGTGGATTTTCAGGAGTAATATGTAGTCATTTAGATGGTAGAGGTATAAAGATATCAACGCCAAAAGGTAAAGTTATAAGACCTGGTGATTTCATCAAGATACCAGGACAAGGTATGCCAAAAATTGAGAAATCATGGTTTAAATCAGAGCAATTTGGTGATTTATACATTGAAATAGATATAGAGTTTCCACAAGATAATTGGTATGTTGAAAAGAATGACCTTACTAAATTACAAAATATATTACCGACTCAATTATCAACTAAATTAGAACAATTATCAATACCCGAACCAAATATAGAATTATTTGACATTTCAATAGTACAAGAACTACCAGTTTATGAAAAAGAGAAAGAAGAATCATATCAAGAAGTTCCACAATGTTCACAACAATAACCATGTATATATTAATCCAATAAATTATTTAAATCTTCTTTTGATAACCCAATATTTTCAAAATCTGTATCTTGTATTGGAATTTCACCAACTTCTTCTTCTTCTTCATCATCACCAAAACTTAAATCTAATGAAACATTTGTAGTTCCAATCAGATTGTTTTTTAATAAACTATATTCATCTGAATTATTTGGAGTTGAAAAATATTTTAAATCTTCTTTTTCTGGTATATATTCAATTTCATCTTTCCAATGTTTATTGACTAATGAATCTATTTCTTGTTGTCTTTTTGTAGTTTGACGTTTTATTGGATCAACACTGTAATATTCCATTGGTTTTGCAGGAGCATTTAATTCAGTGTAATTTGAAAAAGTACTTGATAATGAATCAATTGCTGATTTTGGTCTTATCTCAGGTTTAATCAAAGAATCAGTATCATTTGTAATTAAAGTTTTTTGTCTTTTTGCATTTGTATATGATAAATCATCTAATGATTGTGGTATAACTCTTTTTCTTGGTTTTGGTTGTATCAATGGTTTAGAAATGAACCCTAATGATGAATTTGATTTATTAAGTGCTGGTGGTTGTATTTTATTATTTATTGATGATGATGATCTATTTAATGGTATTTTATTAATATTTTGATTTTTACCACCTAATGGAATTCTTTTTGATGATGATGATAATGGTCTTTCTTTATTTGCTATATGTATATTTTCATTGTTTCTTATATTATTTTCTTTATCTATTGGTATATATCTTGACATGAATAAGTGTGTTGTTTATATTTGATAATTAATTTTCCTTCTAAATTCCCGTGATTTGATAAATACGCTACCAAGTGTAAAATATTACATAATATATTACATAGTACTTATTCGCGTACTAAGTAAAAAAGTTACAGCCAAATAAATGTATACCCATGGCTTTTGAATCACAATTTATTACTGTAACTGCTAATTCTGTTATTAAAGTATCATTTTGGATTTATTTGGTCAACTGGGTATTAGCTTTAGTACTTGGGCTAGCTTTTGTCTTTTATTTTCACAGATTATTAGGGTTTATATTTTCATTAATATTCAAATTAGTATTATGGAAAGCATTTAAAATTAGAGTTAATGTTGAATCATTAAAGGTTTCTCCATTAGGTGGTCGACTATTTATAAAGAATTTAACCATTATTACATCAGATTATACAGTTAGTATTTTGAACTCAACATTTACCTGGAGATATTGGCTTTATAGATTAACTAGATTATCAAATTATTTTTATGAAACTAATGATTTAGAAGATTTAACTGATGGGAAATTAGGTGGTATGAATCAAAAACAAAATGAAAAACAACCTTCAAGATTTTTATTAGTAGTTGAAGGTTTTGAAGTTTTTATGCATAATAGAACTTTTGCTTATGATCATATAATGGATATATTAAATGAGAAGGAGAAGGATACGGATCCTGATTCCTCTTCATTTTCAGAAGATTCAAAATATAATCTACGGTATAGAAAACATGCTACTTCATCTTCAATATCATCTGAAGATTCAGTTGATATTGCACCAGGTACAAAATCATTGTACTTTTTATTACAACTACTACCAATCTATGTCAAAATTAAAAAAGGTGCATTTGTAATGGGGAATATAACAACTCCATCCATTCTAGTTGCCTCTTATAAAAATGCAGATGCTACAATAGATATCGCAAAATCTTTAAACAAATTTGATTTCTACCGTTTCCTATATGATTTTGCATTTGATAATTTTCAATTATGGATGAAACCAAATATAATATATGATAATAGAACAACCTCCGAAAAAGAAGAACAAAATTTTAGACACATCAAAAAGTACAAATTATATTATCAATATAAAAGTGCAGTTAATTTGTTGGATCGAACAGTTTCCAAAATACTACGAAGAAAATCATCATTTAATCAACCTGAACAATCTGATTTTGAATGGAAAGGACTAAGGAGATATATAGGTGATAATTCAGATGATGCTGAATTAATGGCCATGTTTAATAATGATGAACAATATGCAAAATATAGTTTAATTTTAGATTCAGTAACTACTAGAATTATATATTATTATGATGCACCAGGTATACAACCAATAAAATCAGAATTAGAATCACAAATACCTCCTGAACATGGAGTTGAAATGGAAATTTCAATGGGTACAATACACTATGGTCCTTGGGCAGATAGACAAAGAGTTCCATTACAAAATATGTTCTTCCCACCAATTGCAAAAGACTCAAAACCAGCAACTAATTTAACTCCTGGTTCGCAAAGAGAATATGATGGATTTAAAATAACAATGATTGTTAAAGATGAAGTTATAATAAGGATACCCACTAGAGAATCAAGTAAAGATAAACAATTGCTAAAATCAGATTTAGGTCAAGCTAAACCTTCAAGAGCATTTGGTTGGTTAGAAATTAAATTATCTGAAGGTTCAAATATTAGTTCATTCACATCATACATTGCAAATTCAACAGGTTTCCCCAATAAATTAAAAGTTCAATTTAATGAACCAGAAGTTAGATCTTCTGTAAATCACGATGTTTTATTTCTAGCTGATCAACATCAAATTGATGCAGATATAGGATTTCCATTGAAATGGAACGGTAAATGTGATTGGAAATTTGATCAAGTTAGTATAAATTCAAAACTTTTTTTACTACGAGAACATACATTATTATTTTCAGATTTATTTACTGATTTTGCATCTGGAGAACCTCAAAAATATGAATATTTTAGACCATTTCTATATCAAATTAATTGGAAATTAATCAATTATAAGTTTTTTCTCAATGTCAATGATTTTAATATTATCAATAATCCATTAGATTTTGAAAATAATAAATACTTATCATTTCAAGGTAGGGAAATTGATTGTAATATAAAAATACCACTTTATGGAGACTTTGCAAAGACAACCACCGTAACATTTGATATAATCACACCATGGTTTGATTTAATTCTTGATACACCTCCATGGCATACTGCAAATGCTTTCCTTCAAGAATCAAAAGTAGTTGGGAAAAGTTCATTGTTTAAAATTAATGGATCATATACATTTTATAATTCAGTTGAAGTCAATACTTCCAATTTTATTGAAATTAGATGCATTGGAGATGAAGTAAGTCTTAAATTTTATGGTTTTGTTATTCGTTATTTATTCACCCTTCGTGAAAATTATTTTGGTGATCATACACATTTTCAAACATTTGAAGAATATACAAATAATAATGATGTTGATAGTTTAAGTACTGATACTTCACAAGAACAAAATTATTGGAAAATGATCAAGACTGAAAATGATGAAGATATATTATTTACATTCAAAATTAGATCTGGATTGATTATTCTACCTTATCATTTATACAGTTGTCAAAAACACATTGGTTTAAATTTTGATATTTTAGACATTGATATGAGATTCTGTAATTATTATATGGATATGCAAGTTGATTTTAGTCCAATTTCTGGAGTACTTGTTGAAAATTATTCAAATGGGTTGTCTGTTTCTGAATATGTTAAATCTTATGTTGGTGTTCCAGACATGTTGGTCGATGGTTTCAGTGCTCATTCTCATAGAATGTTTGGTATCCCACCTAGTGAATTAACATTTTGGTGTAATTGGTCATTTTATTGTGGTGATTGGATTATAGATTCAAATCCAAAATTTATGAAGGGTATAGTTTCAGGGATAAATAATTTTGGTATTGGATTTTCAGATCAGGAGAATGCATTAGATGTTGCATTTCCTCCAAGTTTCGATGCTGCTAATTTTTCATTCCAATGTAGTAAATTTTTAATCAACTTAAGACCTACACCAAGTACAAATATTGAAATTATATTATCTGATTTAGTAGTAGGATTTAATGATATGCCAAATTTAAGATTCTCAAATAAGGTTAGTATAAGTATACCTGAGATATCAGTTAAAGTGATTGAAGATGATAAAATTCTGGCATTTTTAACAACATCCCTAATCTTTTCAAATATTTGTCAGAAAAAGGGTATGGTTGAAAGAAGAGAGAAAATGGAATTGCACGTACGTGATAGTGACGCACCTTTTCATAGAGCTCCATTTGTTATGTTGGATGAATATCGAGATGATTTTTATAATAATATGAGAGGTTGTTTTTTAACTAGTTTAACATTACCTGAAGTTCCATATCCCTTAAATGAATATACAGCAAGAATGATTAAGAGATTAGATTTAGAATCAGATGGAAGTTCATATGATAATGATACTACATTTATGGCACCTACTTGTGAATATGATGATGATGATTTTACACCAAATTATGATGTTGAATCAGATACTGAATATGATAGTTTTATAATTGAATTAGGTGATGTTAATTCATATATATCTCCAAGTGCATTAAACGTGATTAGTCAAGTTTGTGAATTAATGGAAGATAATTCAGTTGAGACATTAATGGATGAAATAGATGTACATGTAGTTAAATTATTAAATGGATTATTAAGAACTGCAAAATCTGTGAAAAATTTCAGACTAGTTAATAGAAATTTACAAGTTAAAATTGGTGAGTATTTATTATCGAATATTGATGAATTGACAGAATTAAGTAAAACAAATCCACATATTACATTACAAGCATCAGATATTTCAATTGCAATGAGTGAATCATCTCATGAATATACTTCCAATGGTGAATTAATTACAGATATTGAATTATCAATGGCTTTACATATTAAAGATGTTGTATTTAGTATTTCTCAGCCGTTGACATTTTACTCAGCTGCTGTTTTAGATTTACAAGATATAGAATTTTGGTTTGAAAAAATAGATAATTCAATAGTTGGTAGTGGAAATGATGGTAATATATCTTTAAATATTGATGATAATCAAGTTGAATGGTTAATAAAGTATATTTCAACAATTACAGAGAGCTTCATTTCAGAATCTACTTGTTTTCAATCATTGGCTCAAAAGAATTCATCCCATGCTAATTTAGTATATGCTTTATCTAAGGCTAGTAGAGATTATTATATTGATCATGATCCAGATGTATTAACTAGACCCGCATATATCCTTCGAACAAAAAAAGAACATATTAGATTTTTCGATAATTGGAAAATAGTAGCTAGGTTAAGACATATTTTACAAACTGTGCCTCCTGAATGGTGTGATAAAACTAGTGATTTATTACAAAATAAGAAATTCAAATTACCTTCAGATGCTTATTCCAAAGTTGTTGAAGAATTTGCTAATTGGAGAGCATGGGAGGCAAATCATTCACAAAGAATTCAAATGCTAAAAGCTATATTTCTGATAAATTCAAATGATGAAGATCTTGAATGTCATTTTCAGGTTTATATTAATGAAATTTTGATTAAATTGGCATCTCAACATCAGACTGATTTTATAAGTTTACTGAAATTATCAACTAGTATAAATCAAGGGAAATTGATTGAAGAACCAATAAAGACTACTACTTTAGTGTTTAATTTGGAAGATTATGAAAGTAAGATCGGTACAAAAGCATTTGATAATTTAAAACATATTATAAAACTAAAAAATGAAGAAGAACCAATACTAAGAAAAGAGCAAGTTAAGGAGGATTCTGATCAAAATTATCATTTCACAATTAATATAAATTCCTTCATTCAACAAATTTACTTTCCTACTTCTACTTGGGAATTAAAATCAAATTCATTATTATCTACAACTACTTTAAATCTGCTGGATCTGATTTCATCTGCATTAAATTGTGGTACTTTAGAATTTAACACCTGGTTTTCATCACAACATGTATTTTCAAAATCAATCGAAAATGCAAAATTCATAATAGGTAAAACAGAAATCAATGAGGCTCTAAAATTAGATTTAGAGATTAAGAAAATCGATGTTCAATTATTAGATAAATCAAAGAATTTTCCATCCATTTTACAAACTGTGATTAATACAGATATACCATACATTGAAAACACATTTAAATTTGAAAAAAGTAAAACGGAAAGTACTCTGTTGAATTTGAATCTTGTTTCTTGTTCAGTTAAATTACGTGAAGTCACTTGGAACATTGAAATTTTGTCACCTTTCATTATTGCTGGTTCTTTAGTAGGTGCAAGTACTTCAATAACAAAAGTTGATGATTCTATTTCATTTGATTTATCATTATTGAGAATGAGGTGTAATTTAGATTTCAATCGTCATAATATTATAGAATTTCAAAGTTCAGAATTTAAAAATTTTGGAGAAGTTGATTTTTCAATTGATGGTTTATTAATGTTGATTATTGATTCTTCAATTGGTTATGTTAAATTATTAGCACCAAATTTAATTTATGCAATTGGTGTAGCTGATAGGAATATACCTAAATTACAAAAAAGATTTGATTCAATTGTGAATTTAATTAGTAAAAAAACTACCAAGAAAAGTGAAACTATTGAAAATAGAAAAGATGTAATTTGTAAAATCAACTTTTTGAATAATAATGCTGAAGTATCTACATTTGTACACAAGACTAAAGTTTCACTAAATATTGAATCTACATCATTTGGAGTTCATAACGTATCCAATAATTTACAAGTACCTGTTTATGGAGATTTTCATGTTCCAGTTGTTAGATTTTCAATATTAGAAAGAACAATACCAATTGGATTGTCCAATTTAGTAGAAACGAATTTTTCAGTTAAATTATTAAATGATTTAGAATCATCTGATACTCGACAATCATTACAATTTGAATCACAATTTTGTAGAATTTGTTTATCTGAACAAGCAATATTCAAGATAATTAAACTAATAGATGATATTCAGAAAGGAATTCCAAAAAAAACAACCGCAGAAGTTAAACAGAAAGATAATATAGATAAAAATTTTGAAAAAATGGTCTACTCCAAAATATCATCATTTCAATTCTTATCTTACAATTTTTGTCTTGGTTGGATATTCAATGATGAATCAAAAGATTATCCTGGTATTATAATTGGAGCTGAACGTTTCTTTGCTGCAACTGAAGAATCACTAGGTAAATTTACATTAATGGAGGCATATTTATCAGTTGCTAATGGTTCAAGATCTTCAAACTTTTACAGTACCCTGTCTGAAAAGAATAATTTAAACAGAGCATTTTTACCTAATTTACAATTATCATATTTAATCGAAAAGAAAGCAAAAAGACACATGAGAATTTCAATGCATGGAGATGAAATAGATATAAAATTTTTATCAACTTCTGTTGCTTCAGTAATTGCAAAATCAACAAAACTGGCTTCAAATTTACAATTATTTTTGGAACGAAGAGCAACTAGTAAAAATTATTATATTGAAGATACCAAACCAGAACCAAAATCTGAGAAAATATCATTAATTCATAATTCATTTGAAGTTATTGAATTTATTTCGACATTTGCAGGGTCGAATGTATTAATTTATAGATTAGAGGATGATTCAGATTATCCTCCAAGTTTATACTTACATGCACCAGCTATGAAAACTGCATTTAAATATATTAATGTGGATGGAATGAAGAGAAAATTAATTGGTGAATTATTAACTACTTCAAGTGATAATATTTTATATCCAAAATGTGTGCCAGTAATTTTGGATGTTATTCAAAGTATGAAAGGATTAATGAGGAAGAAAAAATCAGATAATAAAGAATTAATAATGGAAGAACCTACAAAGAACTCAGACTTCTTTAAGAATCTAATCGAAGATATGGATGTTCATATTGGTGTTAGAATTGAAAGTCAAAAATTATCATTAAGTTGTGAACCAACTGCTAAAGTAGCTGCTATTGTTGGATTAGAAGGTATATTTATACAAGTAAACACAAATGAATCAAAGATACCAACTGTAACAATTTCATTATTATTTGACCTAGTTCAAGCTTCATTACAACATATTTACTCAAGAGATATAAGTGCCAGTGCTAGTATTTCAAGTGTTTTATTATCTAGCGTTTTTGAATTGGGTGAAGTTGCACAAGTTTATTCAACAGGTTCAATTACTGACGTTGATGGATTTATAAATGTTAAACAATATCAAGATGTTGATTTATTTAAAGATATTTGGTTCCCCAAAGATATTTTTGATTATTCAGATGACTCAGAATCCGAATCCGAAAATGAAGATACATTTGCAAATTTAAAATTGGCAAGAAATAAAAATATAAGTTCAAGATTTAAAGAAGTTTCTTCAACTTATGCGTTTCCATGGGTTGTTACATTTATAGTAAGTAATGTTAAATTAGGAGTTCATTTCGGTCAATCGTTAGGAAATTTTACTTTAGTTGTTGATGATTTTTGGGCAGTTTCAAAGAAATCACCCGATTGGTCACAAGATTTAAAAATTGGATTTAATTCAATTAAATTAACAAGTGAAGGTAGATTAGGTGGTAGTTTAATAATTCATAATATTAATTTACATACTGCTATAAGTTGGAAATTAGCAAGTGGTATCACATTAGATGTTCCATTAATTTTAGTAAGTGGTGGTATTGAAAAATTACATTTAAAAATGTCATTTGATTATCATGTTATAGCAATTGCAAATATTGAATCATTTTCAATTGATGTATATAATAAGAAAAGTGAGGTATCCATAGCTAAAGATCATTTAATTGTATGTGTAAGATTCAAAACTTGTGAAGTTTATATGACTTCATTAACAGCATCAAATTTTTTAGATATTCAAAATACAATAACAAGAATGATTTTAGAAAATAAACGATCATATAAAGAAACTTTAAAAGATTCTAGTAGGGGAAAATCAATAAGTACAAAGAAACCAATTAGAAGTCAACCGGATTATGCAATATTAGAAACTCTTAAAAAATTGGAAACTAAAATTCATGTTGAAGCTGGGAAAGTATTAATCCATATCTATCCTTCTTCAATTGATAATTCAAAAGTTTTAGTGATTAAATTGGATGAATCAAGGGCAAATTTCCTTCAAAATGAGTATTCTAATGGTATTTCGAATCAAATTGATTTAAAATTTAATGATTTAAAAGTTTCTTTATCAAATGTACAACTGCCAATAACTGAAGAATTTTTGAATAATCGTACAGTTGAAGAATTTGTTGAAAAAGCATGTAAAACACACGGTGGGACAATTTTCATATTTCCATCTTTTAAAATTTCAATGAGGACATTCCAAAAGGTAAATTCAAATCAAATTGATTATTTATTTCAATCGTCATTTGATGGAAAAGTTGATATAAGATGGAATTTAGGTTCTGTTAATTTTATTAGAGAAATGTATTCGATCCATTCAAAGGCATTAGCTTCAAGAATGGAATATAAACGAAAAATGGAACCTTTTGAAGAAAATATAAAAACAAGTAATATTTTAAAACAACAATTGGATGGACAAGATCCTACCAAAGAAATAGATGATGCATTAAAAGAAACTATTGAAAAAGTGGAATCAAGTTCAAAATTTATTTATTCTCCAATTGCTCAACCTATTATTGAAGCTCCACAATTGAAAGAATTAGGTAATGCTACTCCTCCATTAGAATGGTTTGGATTACATAGAGATAAATTTCCAAATGTAACTCATCAATTAGCAATAGTAAGTTTACAAAAATTGATACATGAAATCGAATTACAATATTCGAAAATGTTAGGTAAAGCATGAAATTTATTAATGAATATGAAATATATACAGTTATGATTTGAATTCCTCTTCCTTTAATTTCAATGTGATAAGAACCATCTTCCTTTTGCTCTTCTTCTAGCTAATACTTTTTGACCACCTTTTGTTTTTCTTCTAGCTAAAAACCCGAATTTTCTTTTTCTTTGAGTTTGATTTGGTTGATAAGTATTACCTCTAGTATTAAATCTGACGGGCATTATAGATATTATTGATGAAAATATATTATTTATTGGTGTTATTGAATTTATACATGATGTAGGTTTAGTTGAAGTTATTCTATTAGTATTTATAACAGTTCTAGTCCCCAGTTTCAAAATACTTGAGAACATTATTTGGTTAAATGTGTTGATAATGAAAATTGAAAAATTTCAAAAATTGGTAGTGCGAAAATTAAGAACCGATTTTTCAGTTCTCATCTCTTTATATTTTGCAACTAGATTATTATCAATGTCATCTTATAGATCAAAAAGAGTGATTCCTAATTCTTTAAATACTCCAACAGCAGTAAGGGTAGATCAAGAATTAAATATAGATGAAAATGATGCTGAAATTTTATTAAATGAATTTATACAAGCTAGTGAAGTTAATGTAACAGGTAAATCAGATCAAATTAATAGTGCAGGATTGAGTATTAATAATGTTGATTCAAGTGCTATATTATCACAATTGAAAAGAATACAAAGAAGTTTGAGAGGATTACCTCCATTAATTACAGAACAACAACAACCAATATCAAGATCAGATACTACCACCACGGAAAAGCCAATGAATAAAAAGATAAAATTTGATGATGATGATGATGATGATGATGCTATAGAGGTGGACAAGAAAGAAGAAGAACAAAAAGAAGAAGTAGAAAAGAAAGATTCTAGTGAAAGTGAAGGTGAAGAAGAAAGTGAAAAGGAGGAAGAAGTTAAACCTAAAACAGAAAAGAAATCTAAAAGTAAAGATGATAAAAAGAAGAAAAGGAAACACGAAGATTAATGGGTTAATAGATGGTATACAGAGTCAAAATAGAAAGGAATTACTGATCAAATCACCAATTCTTGCTTTCTAATCTTATTACATTGACCCCAGGGCCGAAATATGTCTTTTGAACACCATCAAATCCTATTATCTAAAGCTATATCATTATTGTAACTCTTGTTCTATTTTTCTACTTATATTATACAACTGGTAGCACACAAATAGTCGTGTACGACGCCCCAATTTCTCTAGTAATAAATTTTGTTTACATTTTTCTTTCTTCTATTTTGATCTGTTTATTTTGTTTGATATTTTGCAACATTCTAATAACAAATGGTAAAGATGAAGAGAAAGAGAGCTATATTACCAGATACTGATGATGATGATAATAATACATTTATAAATAATAGTGATTATGACAACTACAAAGAAGAAGTGGAAGAATCCATATCAATTGACCCGGTGCAACATAATAATGATAATACAACAACAGATTTCATAAATGAAGATGATAGTGTTATACTAGATCCAGATAACAATAGGGAAACTATATTACAAGACCAAGATGAAGAATTAGAAGATACTACTATTGAAACTATAAATATCAAGAAAGAACCACGTCAGGAAACTCCAACTCAAATCGATCAGTCACCATTTAAACAACCAATATTAACTCCTACTCAAATTGATCAACCAGAAATTAAAAAACAAGATTTAGATGATGAAGAAAATCCATTTAGAGTTAGTCAAAAACCAAATTTAAATCATGAAGAAACTCTGACTCAAACTGACGACTCCCTAATTAAAAATCCAATATTAAAACATGATGTAACACAACCTATTCAATCACCAACTAAAAAAGGAACTCCATCTCAATCACCAATTAAAAAACCAATATTGCATCATATACCACTCAATGATCATATTGAAAAATCACCATCAAGATCAAATTCAGATTATTCTATTATATCACATTCTGATCCAGATACTGAAAAATCTCAAAATGGTAATACATCTTTAGTTAATATTGACGATCCCGTGGTATCAACGCCTAAAAAAACTTTACTTAAACAAGTTCAGATACAACAAGAATTTAACAATGATATCGAAGATATAGGTATTAAAATACTGCCGAGAAAGAAATTATCATTAGCTTATGAAATACCAAAATCTAAAGAACCAAGATTAGTCATTTCACAACTTGTATTAATTAATTTCAAATCATATGCTGGTGTTCAAGTAATTGGACCTTTCCATTCTTCATTTTCTGCAGTTGTTGGACCAAATGGTTCTGGAAAATCAAATGTTATAGATTCAATGTTATTTGTATTTGGATTTAGAGCTTCTAAAATGAGACAAAGTAAATTATCAGAATTAATTCATAATTCAGCGGGACAGAGGTTGGACTTTTGTCAAGTTGATATACATTTTAATATGGTTCAAGATGATGACTTTGAAAATCTGGAAATTATTTCGGGATCGGAATTAATTATATCTAGAAAAGCAACGAAGAATAATTCTTCAATGTATTTTATAAATGGGAAATCAAGTAACTATACAGAAGTTACTAATTTATTGAAAGAGAAGGGTATAGATTTAGATCATAAAAGATTCTTGATTTTACAAGGTGAAGTTGAATCAATTGCTCAAATGAAAGCTAAAGCAGAAAAGGAAAATGATGATGGATTATTAGAATATCTTGAAGATATAATTGGGACGACAAAATATAAAAAATTAATTGAGGATTCAACTACTCAAATTGAAGAATTGAATCAAATATGTATGGAAAAATCAAATAGATTTGAATTCGTTGAAAAAGATAAAGATCAATTAGAAGAAAAGAAAATGGAAGCATTAAGGTTTTTAGAATTAGAAAAGAAATTAGTAAATGCTAGATCTGTTCAATATCAGGTTAAAATACATGAATGTAAATTAAGAACCACGGAAAAGCAAAAGCAAATGGATGATTTTAAATCTGAATTACAAGAAAATAGAGAAACTAACAAAGAAATCCTAGATGGTATTGAAGCTGAATATCAAAAACAAAAAGAAATTGAATCTGCAGTTAAACTATTAGTCAATGAAATTGAAAATATAAGTAAGAGAAGAAAAGATACAAGTAAAAAAGGAGTTTCAATTGATGAAAAAATCAAGAATATAAATAACAAACTTAAAAAAATTCAAAAATTATTAGAATCATCAAAACATGAAGTTTCAAGTTCATCTCAAAAACATTCAAATTATACAGAAGCTTCAAATCAATTTAGAACTGAAGTTGAAAATTTAAATCAACAATTAGAAATTGAAGAATCAAAATTAGATGAAATTAGACAAAGTTTAACTAGTATAACTTCTGAGTTTACTAAAGAAATTGAATCATTACAATCACAATTATCCCCCTGGCATTCTCAATTGATTGAAAAAGAAAATGCTATTAAATTAACAGAATCAAATATTCAAATAATTACAACCCAAATGAATTCAACTAAAAAACAACTTGATGGACATCGTGAAAGATTAGCAAATATTAAAAAAGAAGGTAAAGAAAAAGAAAATGAATTAAGAGAAACTGAAGAAAAGTTAACTCAGATAAATCAACAATTATCACTTGGTGAAGAACAAGTTAATACTCAAAAACAAATTATAGATAAACTGAGATCTCAATTAAATGATTATAGACAAAAAGTATCAGAAGCGAAAAACTCAGTTTTCAATTCACAAAATAAATCTCAAGTCCTAACTTCATTATTAAGATTAAGTCAAACAGGTAGAATTGAAGGATTTTATGGTCGATTAGGTGATTTAGGCTCAATAGATGAAAAATATGATATTGCAATTTCAACAGCTGCTCCTGGATTAGATTCAATGGTTGTTGAAACTGTTGAAACAGCTCAAGCATGTATTGAATACCTTCGAAAGAATAAATTGGGATACGCAAATTTTATATGTTTAAACAAGTTGAGAAAGTTTAATTTATCTCCAATTCAAACACCAGGTGATCCATCAAGAGTTAAACGATTATTTGATTTAATTACACCAACAAATGAAAAATTTTTACCTGCGTTCTATTCAAAAATGTATAATACGTTAGTCGCACCTGATTTAAATGAAGCTAAACGAGTTGCATTTGGAGTTAAAAGATGGAAAGTTGTAACTTTAGATGGTAAAGTTGTTGATACGAGTGGGACTATGTCTGGTGGTGGTTCAAGACAAAGTAGAGGAATAATGAGATTAAATAATTCAGCAAATGTGAATCATGAAATTACTGAAAAAGAATTAGATGAAATGGATAAAAAACTACAATCAATGGAGAATAAATTTGTGAGGGCAAATAATGAATATGAAGAATCTGCATCAATGTTGAAAAAGCTACAAGCATTAAAACCAGAAACTGAATTTTCATTAGATAGATTAAAATTAGATATTAATTCATTAGCTTCAGAAAAGTCAGAAGTTTCGCAAGTTTGTAAAAATTTAATTGCTGAACAAGCTAAAATTGAAGAAGATAATCCATTTGAAAAACAAATAAATGATAAAACACAAGAACTTGAACAATTGAAACAAGAAAGGAAACATATTAAATCAGAAATGAAAGGTTATGAATTACAAATAGCTAAATTTGAACAAAAGATTATGGATGCAGGCGGTGTTGAATTAAAAATTCAAAATTCAAAAGTTGATTCAATAAAGCAACAGATTTCAATAATCCATGAAAAGACAAAGGGTGACAGAATGACAATTAAAAAACTTGAAAATGAAATAAAACGACATGAAAAAATTATAGAAACTTCATTAACTGAACAGAAGGAAGCAGAAGATGAATTAGAATTAATTACTGAATCACAGAATGAAATAACAAAAACCTTAGAAACCTATGATAAGAAATTAAAGGAGTTGGATCAAGTCAAAGAAGAAAAGAATATTGAATTAGAATCACTCAAGTCTGAATTAGATGAAAAACAAGAATTAATTAATAAATTTAAATCATTTGAAATTGAAATAAGTAACAAAATAGAGAAACTCGATATGTCACTTAGGAAACTTCGATCAATAATAGACCAGAATGAAAAGTCATTAAATAGTATAATTATTCGAGACACAACTCCATATATATATTGGTTAGATGAATCAGAACAATCAAAATATAATAGTTCACAAATTGTTCAATTATCAGAAGAACAAATTAATAATTCAGATTTAGATTCAATAAATTCCGAAATTGAAGAATTGGAAAATTATATGAAACATGTAAGAATAGACATAGAAATTTTAAAAGATTACGGAGTCAAGATAGTTGAATATAATGAAAGAAAAACAGACTTGAACACAGCTGTCGAACAACGAGATCTCAAAAAGGACTACTGTGAAGATTTGAAACGGAAGAGACTTGATGAATTCATGGTTGGTTTCAATACAATTTCAATGACTTTAAAAGATATGTATCGTATGATAACAATGGGAGGAAACGCAGAATTAGAACTTGTCGACAGTTTAGATCCATTTTCTGAAGGTGTTGCATTTTCAGTCATGCCTCCAAAGAAATCATGGAGAAATATTTCAAATTTATCAGGTGGTGAAAAAACATTGAGTAGTTTAGCTTTGGTCTTTGCTTTACATACGTATAAACCAACTCCATTATATGTAATGGATGAAATTGATGCAGCTTTGGATTTTAGAAATGTTTCGATTGTGGCTAATTATATTAAGGAAAGGACTAAAAATGCTCAATTTGTTGTGATTTCATTAAGGAATAATATGTTTGAATTGGCTAAACAATTGGTTGGGATTTATAAGGTTAATAATATGACTAGAAGTATATCAATTAGAAATGTTGAATTACAAGAGTTTAAAAAATTGCAATGATGTGTAAGGATGTATAATGATGGGTTGTAAAAGTACGGATGTATAAGTAAGGATGTAATGTATATATATATTTAACTTCGTCAAAATACTATTGATGTTCATCCTCTAAAAATACTAATGTAAGAAATGTGGTAATTTGATAATGTCTATTTTGGTTCTATAAATTCTATAAATGTCATTATTCTTCCTATGGAAAAATACTAATAAATATCCCAGAGGTGAGTCATATTCTCATAATGATTGAAATCATCCTGACGTTTGTTGCATCCTTACTGTCTCCATTGTGGCTCAACAGCAGTTGCAAATCCATCTTCTCCTTTTCTTTTCAATATAAAGTGTTCATCTAGGTAGTCAATCAATTCAATCATATTCTTCAATTCATTAATTTGTCTAATATAAGATTTAGGAATTACATTCTCTAATAATTGAGTAATATGATGTTGTGATAACCCAAAAGGTAATCCATAACAAGTAACTAAATGCATAAACATCTCAACAGCACTCCATGGAGTCTTATCAAGTCCAGTAAATAAAGCAGGATTAGCTAGTATTCCACGAGCAGACATTACTCCATCAACTTTAGCGTAGTCAACTATCCTATCAAAATCTTTCTTGGTAAAACAATCACCATTTGCTATAACAGGTATATTTATATGTTTTCGTAATGTTTTTATAGCATCTAAATCTACTGGAGTTGATGATCTTGTATTTTTTGTCCTTCCATGTATTGTGATCATATCACTCCCAGCTTGTTCAACCATCTTCACAAATTCAATAGTCTCATTTATGTCATTATGTATTCTTATCTTAGTGTCTATGCATACTGAATCTCCATATTTTGCCTTTGCAGTAGATATCATCTCAGCAACGAGTTTCGGTTTTGACATTAATGCTGCACCAATACCTTCTTTTATTTGATCTCTAATCGGACAGCCACAATTTATACCTATTCCATCAACGAAAGGATTAATCATTTCTATAAATTTCATAAAATCAGAAACAGAGTTGACTCCACATTGAACGATAACTGATTTATCTTTATCATTAGTTGTAAAATCTGAATATCTTGCAATATCATTACGTACAAATTCTCTAGCTAGTATCATTGGAGTATATACTATATCCAAATTATAAAATCGACATAATTCACGAAATGGAAGTTTTGAATATCGCACCATTGGACCAGCTATTGTAACATGTCTGCCTTGTTCTTTGCTTTGTTTTATTATATTTGTTGGTTTATATTTTGGATCTCGTATTGGTATTGATTTTGGTGATGGCATCGAAATAATAATTTTTCAGATCAACAAAAATCGCATACCGATAAATAAATTTACGAGATTATCAAATTACTGCAAAAAGAGATAAACAATACCACAACTGATAAAAGATAAAGCTAAGATAGAAAGTAAGGGTTAAGAATGGATTACATATGATATTGAATCGTCATTATATTTCACAAAATTGGATTAAGGTACTAGTACCAATTGGTATAATTTTAGGAATGGCCTATTTAAACTTTGCCATAGGTTATTCATTAGGTTATAAAGAAATATATCTACATCATTCGAACGCATCGGCAATAATACTATGGATCCTAACTGGAACAAACCAAGTCATAATTTTTACATATTGGATATTCATTTTTTTAATTGGCCCTGGAAAATCTCCAAAATTACCATTATTAAACCTATATAACAACGAAGATAAGAATTTAACACCTATTCCAAACTTGTTTTTCTGTGATGAGTTTGGTTTTCCTTATTATAATTCAGAAAGTGAATCAATTAGACTAGTTCGTAGTTTTTATTCAAAAGATGTTGGTTATAATGTTTTAAAATTTGATCATTATTGTATTTGGATTGGTAATTCAATTGGTCAGTATAATTATCTCATGTTTATGAAATTTACAATTTGTTTCATTACCTTCTTCATTATCAGTATAATTTATTTAGCTAGATTTACAAGGAGTTCAATTAATAGAGGGTTAAATCATAATTTCATTGTGTTGTATATTGTTTCTGGGTTTTGGATCATTATGTTGTTTGGTTTGTTTGGTGTTCATTTAAAATATGTGATTTATAATCTAACTACACTTGATGAAATAACAATAAATCAAAAGAAGAAATATGACAGGTGGAAAAATAGAAATAAAAACACTCCTAAGTGTTTGGAGCCTAATGAGCCAAGGAAAGAAGAGGGATTGAGATATGTAAATGTAAAGAAAGATGATATACGGTTAATTGTAAGTTTTAAAATTGATGAACGACCGTTCGACATGGGATTTAAACGAAACATGATCAATTTGGTGTTTAATGGGAATAGAAACCATGGATATCATAACTATACTACTGGAGAGTTTATAAAAGCTTTGTTTGTGTTTATTGTACCGTTGGTTGATATATCATATACTATGAAATCACGGTTAAAAGAATCTCAATTTGATGATGATTCTTATGGTATAATGTATGATTCTTACACTGATACTGTCAATGATAACTTTCTAACAATGGTTAATGATAAAGTAGAAAGTAAAGATTGTTATATTCCTTCATATTTAAATAGAACTACCAATTAATATATAATACATTTTTTTTTACACCCTAAATTATTTTACGATGGATGTTGGTGATATTATAGAACATGATATAGAAATACCAAATGAACCATTACCTCCAATAATACCTGAACCACAAGAGAAGAATTTGAAAGTATCACGATGGAAACAACAGAATAAGGATGCAAAGAAAGAAGAACCAAAGAAAGAAATAAAGAAAGCTGAAACGAAGGGTCAATTATCTGAATCTGAAAATATACATCAAGAGAATCTAGATAAATTATCACAAATGAGTCAAGATGAAATATTACAAGAGAGGCAAGAATTACTTGAAGGCTTAAACCCCAAACTAGTAGAAAGTTTAATTAACAGATCCAAGAAAAGAGAGGATAAACATGATCATCATCAACATGCAGAAGGTTATAATGGTTGGATAGGAGGTATGAAAACAAGTCAAGGAGTTTCCGAACTATCTCAATTGGATAAAGAAGATGTAGATAAAGCATTGGGTATCAACAACTTATCAATGTCAGATAAAAAAGTATCATTCGACAAAGAAGTAAAGACTATTGACATTGAAGATCTCGATGAGTCAGTTCAATTAGATCCAAATGGATGGGAAGACGTCGATGAAATGGATGAAATGATACCAAATAACCAAATTGCCCCTGATGATTTTCAAATAAATCATGAGAATGAAACCGTCCATTTCCTAAAACCAAAAGAAGAAGAATTGGACCTAAATGATCCTGAGTTCTATAATAAATTACATGAGAAATATTATCCAGATTTACCAAAGGAAACTGCAAAATTATCATGGATGACTACACCACGTCCAAAGAAAACAAATACAGAGTATGAAAGTATAAGTGATTTGCGATTTGATTTCAAGGGAAACTTAATCGAACTTGAAGATGAGTCAAATGATAATCTTGGATTACATCATCATTCTGAGTCTCCACAATTGGCAGGGTATACATTATCTGAATTGGCTCATTTATCAAGAAGTACAATGGCTAGTCAACGATGTATTAGTATTCAAACACTAGGTCGAATAATGCATAAATTGGGCCTACACAAGTATAATATAGTCGATGTCGAAGATGAGGAAGTTAATAAGATGATGGAAAATTTTGAAGGTATGATTTGGGGTTTGATTGATGAGTTAAGGATAGTTGAAACGTTGACAGAAGCTGCTGATGAGAAAAAGACAAAGAATCTTTCAGTTAGAAATTATGCTATTGATGCATTATGGTTATATAGATCAGGTGGGGGTAGACCTTAGAAGAAGGTTGAAAGTGAAGAAGAGATGATAATGAATGAAATGAGTAAATAAAATCAGGTTGTTTATTTTGGCATATATCGAAAGAGAAAACTAGAAGAAGAGGTTATAATGAGTGAATGAATAGAAATGTATATAATTCAGAATTAATAATGATAGTCGATATTTTATCATTTAATTAATCAAGTTATTTCTAATATTTTCTCAATTCAAAACGAAATGAAAGGATCATAAAATCAATCAAGACGAAAGATTAATGATTTTGCTAAAACAACTTGGGATCTGAATTATTTGTTAATTTTCGCATATTGACACATTGTAACCGATGGATCTGAATGATAAGTATTAATCGTATCGGACAACTTAAGTTTATGCGGTGAATCACTACAATCTTGTTTAAATTCCAATTAACTTTGTATATTCAAATTATACACTAATGATGTTAATTTGAAAAATTTTTTTCACCTTGGGAAATTTTTTAATCATATGAAACATGAAACATTAAAATTGAGAATGAATTGAAAATTTGATATGTAGATATGTTAGTTTGTTGCAACCTTACGATGTTGCTCCATAATCTTCTGTTCTATTATTATGAACATCTCCACCTAATTCCGCATATGTTGGTCTATATGGATAAATCAGAATTATATAATAACAATGTAAAATAGCAGGAAAGAAACCTAATAATAATAAAACTATATTAATCCAAAAATCAGCTGAACAAAATCCTCTTTTAATTAAAACTGGAATTGGTGGAACTAAAACCATCTAGTTAGTACCAATTTCAACTCTAAAAATCTAATCTCTATTGAACAACATACAGAAGAATCCAAGAAATACCATAAACCAATCGTGACCGTCCATCGTAAATAATCCTCTCTTGATAAAGAACTGGTGATATGTATAATTATGATTATTCGGGGTATTAAATTTCTGGTTATTTTGCTCCTAGTTTATATGCAGTATATTGACATGAGACATAAAAATGGGACACTAGCTTATATACAGTACAATGTCTAATGACATTGAAAATATGACAATCGCCGTAAAAATAATTTACAACTATTATCCATACCATGAAATCAATTACTTGGTTACTATTCATTTATTTATTTAGTTTAGTTAATGGTATACTCATTGATGATGCATTTACAAATAGAGAATATATTAATTATTTATATGGTGGGAAATTAACTGATTTGAATGTATTGAATCATGATTTATTAATTGGTATAAATGAATATAATCAATTATTAGGAATAGATATAATTAATAATAATAAAATACAATGGAAGATAAAATTAGATACCCTAATCAATGAAGAGTCAAAGTTGGTAACATCAAATGATAGAATATATATCTATGGAAAAGATAAAGAAATAATTGAAATTGATTCCCATGGTCAATTAAACTTCATAAACTTATCATCAGTAGCAAAGGTAGTTGAACCTGGCCATGATGGCATATTTGTAATCGATTCAAATTCACAATTATATTACATTGATTCAGAGTCTGAATTTCACAATTTAAATCAAGTTGCGAATAGATTACGTGTCGATGGGTCATATATTATAATTGATGATTCAAAATTGATTAAGTTAAGTGAGTCGGGTTCAGTTTCTTGGTCCATTTCTATTTCATTACCTTCAATTAAACAATTTAAATCAAATATAATCATAACTGAAAATGATCAAATTTTTAAACTTCATAATAAGAAATTAACAAGAATTGAAAATGATTCCTATAAGAACATACACATCATTGATTCCAATTATTTATATTCTGTCTTGGATGACTCAATCAAGCTTATAAATTTAGAAAAGAAAGCAAAAGAAATCAAGACGATAAAATCAGGATCAATTATTGAATTATTACAAACTCCTATACATTCATTCCTCATAGTTTCAGATTCAAAATTGAAACGAATTTACGATTTGACTGATTTGTTAGAAAGTAAATCACCACACAGTATAAAACAAATCTCAATTAAAGATAACAATATGCCTTTTAATTTTATAGGTATTAAAAATGACGAATTGGGATTAATTTCGATAAATAATGAGTTGAGAGGTGAATTTGTAAGTTTATTTAATGGATTAATCATTGATAAAATAACTCCACATAATCAATACTACTCCAAAAATGGTCAATATTTAATTATAGATCATCCAGAATCAGAAGAGATAAAACATGAAGTTGAACATTTGTTGAATTTAGATGATAGACTAGTGTTTTCAAATTGGGTAAAGAGAGTAATTAGACACTTAAGTGAACTAGGTCGTTTCGCAACATCAATAAATAATATTAAGCTGATTTTCAAAAGTTCAGATGAGTCAAATCATGGATTTAATAAGTTGATTATATTATTTAATGAGAAATTCATAGCTATAAATTCAAAAGATGGATCAATTGAATGGGAAACAGATGTTATAAACGACGAATTCATAAAATTTAAGTCTGTGGGAGATGAAATTTATTCATTTTTTAAAAATACAATCGTGATTATAAATTCAAGAGATGGAAAAATAGCAACAAGACCAAATAAGAATTATAACAATGTTATTAACGTAGATGGTAGTCTTGTATTTGAAAATGAAGAACATTTCGTAAGTCCGTCACTAATGAATCGAAAATCATTCTTTAGAAAAGTAAATGAATTTGAAATAACAGGACATGTTATACTCCCCAACACAACCAATTCAATCCCAACATATAATTTAAAATTCAAAGGACCAATTGTATCAATTTCAAACATCCTACTGAATTTTAAAACTGCATCTATTGGAATTCCACAATTTGATAAATCTGTATTATATAAGTATCTTAATCCAAATTTGATATCCTTAATTACATTTGATGAAGTTATGAAACTATACGTTATTGATGGAATCAGTGGTTCTATAATTCATGAAATTGAACATACGGAAACTATAGATCCTAATTCAGTTAATTTAATAATGGATGATAATTGGATAATCTACAGTTTTTTTACAAAACAACCAAGATTAGAACAAAGAATAAATGTCCTTGACCTATTCAATTCAACTATTCCAGATATAAAATCACAAAGTTTTATATACCCTGAAAGAATTAATAAATTGAGTTCAACTAATAGTCTATATGGGATAACGACAAAGAGCGTAATTGCATATACCGAATCTGGATCATTGATTGAAATTCCAAAATATTTGATAAATAGTAAACGACCAAGCACAATAAATGCTCAAGAATTAAGCAATGATTATAGATTAATTCCATACGAGCCAATAATTAAAAAAGATGGGTTCAAGGTGATTAATCATAAATACCAACTCGATGGTAATACAGGTGAGATTTTGTTATCTCCTACAAAGTATGAAAGTACTTCCATTGTTTGCTTTTTCAATAAGCAAGTCCAATTTTGCAGTTTGATTCAACCCAGTTCGTCTTTTGATTTGTTGGGTAAGCGGTTTAATAAGATTAAGTTAATGATTACTGTTGTTTTATTATTTGTTGTTTATATTGTTACTAAACCATTTGTATTTAAGAAGAAATTGAATGCTATTTGGATATAATAGAATATAGAATGAAAATGTATAATAAAGTATAGATAAATCTCTAAAAAGATGCAGTAAAGATACTCAAAATAGCGTAAGGATGCAACAAACATTCGATGAACTATATAATCATTAAAGGTGATATCGAAAGGACAGATTCGATGTATATTAAAATATAGATTCATTGGTACCATTGGTCTCTATATTGTCCTTTTCTGATTCATGTATCAAGTATGTCATTTCATAAACTAAACTACCAACAAGATAATTCTTCATTTTATTAATTAAAAAAAATGATGGTTCATCAGTATCAATATCAACTTGTTTTGAGACAATAAATTCATTATCCAATTTATCAAACTTGTCTATAATCTTAAATAACTTTTCATTCAAGAATTGAAATGGTTCATTCAGTGATATCAAGTCGTATACTTTTTTAAATTGAGTTTTTACTTGTTCATGTTCTTCAATTTCCAATATTTCAGATTTGTAAATTCTGAGAAGTATCAAAGCAGTCAATTCAATTGGAAATTTATAATATATAGACAAAGCAGTATAATTTCCTGAAACCAACAGTATAATTTCAAAACAGCAAGCAATCACTTTCCTAATATAAACTTCATACTCCTGTTTTGTTATTTCAGATTTGGACATGGCATAAATAAACAACTGTAATTTAGAATATTGAATCGAAACCTGTATCAAATTGTTTAAATAGTTGTTATTATCCACGAGTAATTTATTCAAATCATCAATTATAATTTCAAACATGTTAAAATTTATCAATTTACTAGTATTTGCACCTGGTGAAATCTTGACACTGATTAAATTATTCATATTTTCATTCAATTTAGATTGTATCATAGATATCTTAAGCATTGAATTTATAAATTTATCCTCTTTTTCTAGTTCTTGATTGTAGATGTCCTTATTTGTCGCCTTGTTTATAATATAATCATTCATGAATCCATTGTAATTATTATTTGAAATACCCAAATACATAATCCAATAATTAGAATTAATATTAACTAATTTATAAAACCTTTCCCTTATAACATTATCCACATTAATCTTAGTCTTGTGGGAAAATTCAGTTATGAATTCCAATTTATGAAGACCAAACTGCAAGCTAAGACTCTTCATGATTGAAACAAATTTGATAGTTAGATTATCTTCAATGGAGTTGTAGTTCGGCAATGGCCAAGTTGTGAGTATTAACAATGAAGATATAACATATACTGAACGTGGAGTACTCATCCATATTGATTCAACAACTAATGATTTCAAATGTGAGCTTGAAACCTGATACATATCTGACAGATTAGTAGTTAATAATGACGTAGTTATGATTGACCAAAATAATAACTTATTCTCATCATAAAGCTGTTTTAAATCTGATTTGAAAAATTCAGATGAAAAAATGGGAAGATATTGATTGAAATTCTCTTCATAGATTCTGAATAATGATGCTACTTGTGATTCCATTAATGATACCGGTTTAATTTGCACATTTGATGAAATAGTGAATTCACCATGCGTTGAAATTGACGGTATTTCTTCAATAGTTGTGATACATGATTGAATTTCAGAAATGGAGGGAGTTGGTACGATTAATTTAGTTGCAGTTATAGCATTCTTTCTACTTATATAAGAATCCAAAATTTGATTTAATTCACGGACTTCAATATTCAATTTCTCTATAATATCGAGTGATTTTGACCTAGTAATTGGTTTTTTGATTATATCCAACGTGCAGTTGAGGTTTTTCTTGAGACAATGTGAACAAGGTAATGGATCAGTCTTGATTGCGTCACATTTAGTCTTATGAAGTCTACATCTCGAACAAGTTTTTAATATTTTACCATTGGGTTGATTATTTGGTATTATGAGTTTTAATCTATTTTTGGATTGTAATGACATTATCATGATGAAATAAAATAAAGTTGACGTTGATGATGATAAAATGAATAATATTCAATTATATAATAAATCTTGAGATAAGTTTGAATATATTATATTAGTAAACTGTTGGCTATGATTGGTTGATTAATTAATGCGTACTTCGCATTGCCACGAACAAAAAAATAAAAAAATTTGCAACCAACTGATTAAATAGATAAGAACAAATGAAAAGAAAATATAACTATAGCTGATTGTAGAGGGTAATTGTAGAGATGTAGAGCGTTCTCTGTTCGTAATGCTCTTTTTTGTATAAGCTGGCGGTGTATTGAAATTTTTTAAACGCGTAAATGATTAGATTTGATTAGTCGACATGTTTCAAGATTATCGGATATTGATTATACCACATCAAAGAAAATATAATGACACAAAATTGAAAAGAACACGAGATGGTTTAAGATAAGAATTATTAGTTATTAGTTGATTTTGATTCGTCAATGGAAATACATTATTACGGACTTGTGCTTTTGCCCCTTTATTTTTAGACAAATTAAATCTTCTCTAAATGCAAGGTTCTAATTCAAATGTTTTTTAATTCATTCTTAACTGCGGAAAATACTTATTCTCTTGTTGCACTTGATTTGGCTTAATAATAAGCTCCGAATATGGGTTGAGTCTAAAGTCTTTGATGGAACATGGGACTAAATAGTTAGAGAACGACAGAACACTCGTGGAGGTTAAAATTATTATGAGAATAATTCTAGTCCGGCGTTAATTTGAGTTTAAAGCGTCCAATCAAAGCTTTGCATTGTCAATTATTCTGAAATTGTAGAACACGATAATACGATATAATAAATGCAACCAACAAATGCATCTAACCAGTCCTCATGTATACTTATATTACCTATTTCAGACTTCATAAGGATCATGTAACTGATAGGTATCAGGCTCTCCAACTTTTTAATCTCTTTCATAAAAAGTGGTTTGGTTCTCTAATTAATTACTCTACTCGCTGGATTTCGAATAAAATACCGAGAACATCAAAGTAAACAATCAAATAATAAATCAAGCTATTGTGAAACAATTGAGAATTTAGATCTTAAGCATCATGTTCTTTTGAATTAATTCCTGTAATTTAAAAGTGAATTGAAATGAAGAATGCTTTGATTAAGAGTACTAAAAAATATATGGCTCGGTGTAGCTAAAATGGGTTATGCGTTTGCAAATTTGGCAATAGCCATGTTTTGATACCAATAAAATTAGCAATAGTTATTTAGAAGCTATAAGAATTTTGATAATGCGATTTAGATCTTGGATCTAGATTTGATCTCAAGATACGAGACCTGACACAAAACAAAAAACAGAGATTGCGCGTCAAAATATATGCAAAAACCCCTGTAATTTTTGAGATTTTGGATATATATAACTTATCAAGTTCAACCATAAACTAAATTAATTTTGGTACCTTTCGAAAGTTAATGATGTTCCGAATTCATTTCGATTATTTTCTAAACGGCACGTCTAAATTTTCTAGACTAAATATTTCAGAAATAAGCCGTTCAGAGACTCTAACCAAGACCTAGTTCCACGCATTATGGAAATGTGACATTGAACTTCATCTAATTGTTCATTACATACATGGCTACATTCGAAACAAATTAGACAGGATAATCTGAAGAATTGAAGGTACAATCAACTGAACACTAAACACTCAATTGTAGCAGCTCGTTATGATTACATCCATGTGGTATCAGTTTTCGCCTGGATAAAAAATTTTTCGGTCAGTCTCTCGCTTCAAGTTGGGCGAAAGATTCTTTTGGTCAAAAAGTTTGAAAATAAAAATTGCCTTATATGCAGTCATGTAATAGTTAATGTCAAAAAAAAACCTGCAAATTACTCATTCAAAATCCAAGCTTGTATGCTCAAACCTTTTTCATTGAAACTTCAGGCAGTAAAAAATACTCTAATGTTAGTTTAATTTAAAGAAACGTAATTTTGATCAGGTGCTACTTCATTTAAAATATGCAAAAAAACGCTAAATTGCAACATAAAGTACACTTAGGGCACGTTTCGCAACTTCTAGAATAGCTGATATGGCTCATTTAGACTTAAATACTTTTTCTATATAGTTTCAAAACAACAAAATGGGTTTGGAATTTTTTCAAACATTTCGATTCACCTTTGAAAAATTACTTTTCGAATTTTGAATACCTATACACAAGGAATTTTATAGTTTATCAGAACCAAGAACTACTAATCTCGATTGAAATATCATATCTTAGTTTAAAAGTTAGTCGTGGTGGTAGATTTTTTGAGGGGTCAATTTATTCGATTTTCCCCATACTTAAGAGAATCTTTTGAAATTTCTCAATTTCAATTAAGTTCAAGCCAAATTAATTCAGGCACCTTACGATTAGACATATTAAGTAGAATTAACTGTTTAATTGAAAGTTGTGGCCCTGGATAAAGATATCTACAACCTTTTAGTTTTCGGAAAATTTTTGTATGATGAAAATAGCCCAAAAAATTCAACTTCAAAAAAATTGTAACTTTGAAATTTGAGGTACTAAGATATACAATTCATGGCTGCTGACTTCATATAAGTGATTATTAGCTTGGGAAATTACGTTGTTGGTGGCTTACAAGTCATTATATTTATTACGAGTCGCTTCAGAACAAAGGCGAGAAATTTGCTAGTCGAAGTTTAAGTATCGATTATCTTCCAATTTAGCGTTTTTTAGTATTTTTGAGCAATTAAATGATGAAATTATTTGTATTTCCTTGAAAAATAATAACATCACTCGATTTTGGTTTGACTGAGCTTTATAATGAATTAACTTTGACAACAATCTCTTGAGAATTGATGGTATTTTGATGCTTCTATCTCTCTAAGTTTTAATAACAGACTATTAAAACTAATTATCAGATTCATTCTAGCGACCACTGAGATCAATTATCAGTTATTCTAAAATCTCAACTCTTGTTGTCGATCGTGGATACAAAATTCAAGCTTTTCCCCAAACTACACTTTCAAGTCAAACTATTCCTAGAATCCTTATTCCCGCTAAAACCTTTAAGCATAAATACTCAAATTACCCATCAAAATCTTCCAAGCTCTACTTACCTGTTCATTGATCTTCATTTTATTATTTGCAAATTTCTCACATGGTAGCTCCGATCTCATTTTCATGATCAAAAAAATTTCTTATCAAATTCGTTATCAACTATAATTTACCATGTCTAGATCATCAACCCACACTAATACATTCGTATCAGTACATAATAAACTACACACAGAACAATTGAAAACCATACATTTATATGATATAACACATGAGGCTCAAAACAGTCTAATTCCACAATTATCAAATTATTATTCAAATTTATATTATGCAACGGCCGAAAAGAATCAAATTAATATCCCACAAAGTATAGAACAAAAATTTTGTGAAAAATGTTTAAGTTTATTTATTCCTGGATATAACGTAATTATTCGAATCAAATATAATAAAAATGGAGGGAGAAGGTTACGATTTCGTTGTTTATCTTGTCGACATTTACAATATGATGATAGAATACAACAAGGTAATAAAAGGAGAAAGAGAGATAATGATGATTCGAAGTCTGATGTTGAAATTAGAATTCATAGACATGATAGAGAAGGTACTGTTGAAACTGAAAATACTGAACAATCTGTAAATGAAGATGAGAATGACGATGAGAAAATGTTTAGAAGTGAGAATGGTAAGGTGAAAGAAACGGAGAGAGAGAAGAAGAGAGCTGAAAAGCTTAAGGTTAAAGAACCAATGAAGGAGAAAGAGAAAGTTGAAGAAGTTAATGAGAAAAATTTGAAAAGTAAAGAGAGGATGAAGAAACGTAAACAGAGTAGTAGTTTGTTAACTATGTTACAAAATAAAAGGGATGAAGAATCTAAGAATTCAAAATTAAATTCCTTAAGTTTGATGGATATACTTCAGTGATTAGTTATAACTGGATCAAGAAGAGGAAGGAAATAAAAATTTGCCTTGCACTACTGCTAATTGCATTGAAGCAAAATTGAATTGTTAATTTAATACCCAGGAAAAGTATATTTCCATTCAAGCATACTTTTTGAGCTCAGCTTCAAGTAGTGAAACATATTTAGGATTATATGACAATCGATTTAAAAAATGCATGATGTTTTCGCATTTCTTAGTAACGAAATTTGTAGAATTCGTCATCATTTTGATGTCACTACAATTATCATCACATCATTAAACTTATACATTAACCAATTTTATTTACTCTATCTTAACCATTCCGCAAGATGTGAATGAGCTTGAGGTACATCTTTATCTTTATAATTTTCACGAACAACTTTTCTAATCCATCTTCTTCTTCTATAATACTCAGCATCATCAGTTACATTTAAATCATTTTCATTATCATTTTCATTCTCAATAATTATATCATAAGCCCATTTCTCATCGTCATCAATCAATACTAGATCCTTAATCATTAAATCTTTAGTCCATAAAGACACATCCATATCAACAATCCATTTAGAATCTTTTACATACTTATAATCAAGTGGTGGAAAAATATCATTGATACTCTCCTTCACATTCAATTGTAATTTATCTTTATCAGTTTCAATTTCATTATATTTCCTTATTACTGAATTAGCCACAAATGTATCATTTCCAAACCCGATAAATTCCCATATTTTATTCGCCTTATTTAATTTCTGCAATTCAAATATTTCCACGATTTTATAATCTGATGAATAGTCAATCAATTCAGGACTTTCTTGAAATTTTTCAACTTGATTATCATGAATTAAGAACCTCGTCAATCTATCTTCGATTTTATTTACATAATTTTGACAATTCATTCTTGTGTCTTCATTATACACATATTGTAATATAATTTCCCTTGGATAAGGATGAAAAAGAATTGAAATTGTCCATATGAAACTTATTAAACTTATTTGTAATATCCAAAAATTCAAATATAGGAAGTGGACGATGGAGGGAATGAAAAATATATTGAATATTATAAGTATTAGTGATCCAATTAATATTATTGAACTTATTTGTTCATTTTTAAAATAGAAATAATCTGAAGTTAACCAAACAAAGAAATCAAATGAATAAATTTGTAAATTCATGAAATTTTGCGTATCTGTTAAATTAACAAAGAATTCTTTTGAAAATAATGGGGCTGGTTTAGGTATCTTTGGAGGATACAATGGTTGATTGGATATACTTAATTTATTTGATTCTTGTGGATATATTATAAGATAATGAGGAATTAAAGTTCGAATAATCAATAAAACAAAAGGTAGGATGGAAATAAGATACGGTTTTAATATTATATGAGTTACAACTAATAATATCGCAATTGTATAGTATGGATCTTTCCAATTTAAAAATTTCAATACATTATTGAAAAGTATATATGTTTCGGAGTTTCTTTGATGTAACATATTTGAATTTTTTTGCATAATTGCAAAACTTAATGCTGGTCTTGTCTTTTGCCATTCTAATCTATCTTCCATTATTTTAGTCTGTAATTCATCACCAGTTTCATTGGGTATAATCATTGATATAACTTTTTCCATTAATTTATCAGCCATATAAGTATTTGAATTTGATGTAGTTGGAGTAGAAGCAGCAGTTGATGCACTATTATTGTTTTTTGCTTCATTTGGATCATTTTCTTCTATTGATAATAAATTATTTAGGATATTCATTTAATAAATTGAGTAATATAATACTTGTTGCTTTTTGATTAAACTACAAGAAAATAAAAAATAAAAACCGATAAACAAAAATATTATCACTTGATTTATATGCAGGTATATAGTTAACAGATCAACACTCCACGTTTGAAAAACAGAAGAGATATTAACAATGCATTATATATTCATAGCCAGTACGATAGTATTAGTTATTTATTAGCAATTGCATGCTTACCCAGCGGCATCTTTACTGTGTTCTCTTTCTATAACATACATCAGGTTTACGATTTTTAATTACATTTAATGGAACACCATCAAATTTCTTACCACCAAAATCACATCTTTAACTAGTTAATTCAACAACTTCTTCAAATTTTAGTTTTATTGTTTTTCTTTTATGTTTTTCATCTTCTTCACTTAATCTTTCCAATTCTTTCATAATAATATTTGCAAATTTTAAAGGTTCACCTTCTGTTCCATAATCTATTTCATAAGAATATCCATCATTAATTTTAGTTTTATTTAAACTTTTGGACCTGGTTTACCATCAGGACTCATAAAAAAAATTGAGATTCTCCTGGTGGTTTTTATTTGCAAGAGACATCATTTTAGCAAATAATTCATCTAATGAAGTAGCTGTAAGTTCTTCAGTAATTTATCAAGTTTTGATTTCTTAGGCATTAATTAAAATAAAACGAATAAAAATAAAAAGTGGTGAATAAAATTAGAATCAGGGGGGAATTCGATTTATATATAGTAAGTAAATTAGTCACGTGCTCGGTATTTTAGACGATTTTATCAACAAATTTGGTGGTACAAAATCAAACTCAATTAATTAATGCATATCCATCACAAAACTCTAATTTATTATCAAAAACGCCTATCTAATAAGAGATTAAGAGTAATTAATTAATTAATATATATTCATTTTTTATCATTGACTTTTCTCTTTTGCATTTCTTTTTTAACGGTCTTTCTTAATTTATCAATTTCACCATATATAAATTTAGCTTTATCCATTTTTGTTTCTAATTTAATATTCATTTCAAAATTATTATATCTTTCTTTGAACAATTTTTCATTATCTAAATTCTCAATTTTATAAGTAATTAAATAATCACCATTATTCGAAATTTTAACTTTATGACATTTAACAGTACCATTTGCAACAACTTGATCTTTTTTAGTACCATCTTTTAATGCAACTTCTTTATTAATTGAAAATGATTCATCTGGTAAATATTTATTATGCTTAAATTTAGATTTGGATTTTTCTGAATTTGACATAATAATTTATTTTTTTAAATTTCGAAAAAATCGATTTCTTTTATATTAATTTTAAAATAAGGGGTAAAAAATATAAACGACAAGCTAATTATAACCACTTACTATACAAATTTCTGCTCTTATTCATCTTTGATTTCTCCGAATCTAGTTTTCATTGCATCTTCATCTTCACTTAATAATTTAATTGTATAACCATGCATCCTAATGAATTATTCCAAATTTTAATTTCCTTAACTAATTCACCTTCTGGAGTCATAATAAAAAATGGGCGTCGTGCAGGTGGTAATTTAGAATATAATAAGCAATTTGCAAAATATTCTTCAACTGTATGGACAAAACATTTAACAGTTAATTCAGCTGGTGATAAATGTGGTTCAAGAATATGTTCTTGAGTGACAACCTTTGATGGGTCAATAATTTCTTCTTCTTCTTCTTCTTCTTCTTCTTCATTTTCTTGATTGTTATTAACTTCTTGTTCATTGATTGTTGAATTTGTTGGATCTGTTGCAGCTTGTTGAGATTTTGATCTAACTTCCCTTTAGCTTTTTTTATTTCTGATTCTTAATTTGGACATAATAATTAAATGAAATAACTTAACTGATTAATTAAACTAATGATATAATAATAAGTAAAATTGATTGATTGATTAAATAAAAAACTGGTGGGAAAATTTAATATTAATTGGTTGTAAAAATTAATATTTTCTGGCGATAAAAAAAATAAAAAAAATCTGAAACAAAATTAAATTTGTATTATGTAAGCGCTTTTTTTATATATGCGTGTTTCAGAATAAGAATGTTAAAATACCAGACGCAAAAGACTCGATTAGGAAGTTTCGAAAAATAAAATTCACCGAATATCAAGTAGTTAGTTGATAAATTGATGTTTAAATGGAAGAGAAGTTAGTGTAGATGGATTTATATTATAATTAAATAAGTACAAATCAATTATGTACGCATAGGCCAGCTTATTATTTTCTAGCCACCTTTTTAGCAGATTTTTTGACCGGTTTAGTAACTCTATTATCTTCTGATTTTGATTTTGAATTAACTTCTGATTTACCATCATTACAAACTCCAACAACAGCATCTGAATCAAATTTGAAAAAGTCAATTATACCATCAGCGTTTGATAAATTTCTCAATACTTCCTCATTTTCAACAAGTTGCCAATTTTCCAAATCGAAGGATATTTAAAAAGACTTCAGTCCAGCATTCATTCATTGGGAATTCAATTGAAAGATCTTCTTCATCACTAATCAATTTAAAGCTGTGATTGAAAAACGATAGTTGTTTGTAACATTTGAAAAGCAACTAAATATTTCATTGTTCGTTGTTGATTGATTTTCAGTGGTTGAAACAGCATTTTTAACTGCTTGTTCTGAATTAATTACAGATTCAAAAAAACAATTGACTAAAGCCATCATTGAATTTTTTTTTTGATTTGATTTTGAGCATCCATAGTTGAAAAAAAAAGTGATAATTAGTTGATAATTTTTTGAAAGAAGTTCACGTATATTCATAGTTCAATCAAAATAGTGCAACAGAATTACGCATTAATAATCACTATATATTATAACCCTATTTAATAAACTAAGAATAATCATTAATCTTCTTTCTTAAGATGTCTCTTAGCATTTTTTTTATCTTGTTTAGTAACTCGATTTGATTTTATTTTTGATTCCTTTGGTTTAGATTCTGATTTCTCTTCATTAACATTTTCATCATTACCATCAACTTCTCTAACTGCATTAATTGATATAGATGTATCTTCAGTAATACTACCTCCTGAACGTTCCACAATTTGTCTCATAATTCCAACAGTTGCCATCAGTTCCATAATTGAAGGAATTTCCATTTCTAATACCTCCATAACATCATCTACCAAAGGATTATTAATTACAATACCTTCTTTAGCTCCAAGCATCTCAATCATAGTAAGTGATTGTTTTAAATTAGCTTCATTCAATAATTCAAATACAATTAATGCAGTAACTGATGAATCATTAGTAGTTATAGATTTAAATTCATTTAGAATTTGTTTTGATTTTGATGATGATTGTAAAATATGAGATTTAAACCTTTCAAGTAATTCTATTTGATGTTGAATTTGTTGTTGAGCCATGATTAATTGAAGTAAAAGTGATATATAATTGAAAAAAAAAAATTACGAGAGTTTACGCGTATTTATATAACTAGCATTTATTAATTAGCAATACAAACAACTATATACACACTAATTCTTCCTCTTGACTTGTTTTTTAGCTGGTTTTGGTATGGATTTAGTAACTATACTTGATTCAGCTTTTGATTCAGCTGTCGGCTCAGCAACTCAATCATTTTCAGCAGCTTTCATTGATCTTGTGATTCTTTTATTTGAAACTGTAGCAGCAGGTGTAGATGCAGCCTTTGGTTCAACTTTTGGTTCATTTCTAGCTGATAACCTTGAACTTGTGATTCTTCTCTTAGCAAGTCTTTTATATCTAAGTACTGCCAGTGATCTTGTAGCATTTTCATTTGGAATTGTAGCAGCAGGTGTTGGTGCAGCAGCTGCCCTTGCTGCACGTAATTGAGCATTTTACCTACCTAAAACAGGAACATGAGGCAAATTTGGATTAGGTCTTGAAACCACAGCTGGATTACGTCTTAGAATCATAATTGGATTGGTTGGCGGATTTATAATTCGGTTTATATGCATATTCCAGTTTTCATTTACACCTTGATTTAGAATTTGAATTATATTTGGATTTATATGTTGAACTGGAGCCGGAATTACAAAATGAATAGGTAGAGGAGTAAAAACTTCTGCTCTTGAACATAATGCAATAAATAATCAATCTTGAACAATTGAAAGAATTTTAGTTTTAATTTCATAAATTTGCAAAAGTAAAATCCTAAAACGATATAAATTATAACCCCATTCTTCTTGAATATCAACCGCTGGAAAGTTTAATTGAAAAGAAAAGTTATATGTAACTTTGAAAAAAAAAATTATGATGGTGTTGCATATTTTTATTATAAATTTATGAAATTTTCAATTAAAAATTCGATAGCAGTTATAGTCTGAAACATAGATCTTAGTTTTACACACATATGGCTGAAAAATATTGGGCACATTTTTATATAACTTAATTTGTTATACTTTAATATGAGTATAATTTGATGCCGAATGATTGAAAGCGAGAAAAGGAGTTTACAATTTACTATGTAATTCTTCAAATTCTCTTTCACTTTGAATATCCATAGTTAATGATGATAAGTGAATCCCGAAGTACAAACGAATAATGATTAATTAATTATAATTTCGCGAGAAATTAGATATTTATATACTTTTTTCACCCGGCTTAAATTTGAGATCTAGATCTGAAAAATACAATGTCAGATCTCAAACCAAAATCTACAATTCTGACCACAATAATAACGAAGAAAATTAGTATATTTATTTTAACTGTGGATTATTTAGCAACATAAATAGTTTCAATAAACCATATCTATAATTTAAGTAGGATACTTGTAAATTTAACTTCTGCATCATCTTTTTTACCACTATTACCAATACCAGCATTAATATCAATATTTAATTTAGCAATGTTTGTTTCTAATTTAGTTATGACAGATTTAACCATTTCATGAAGTGTAGAATTCCTTATTTCATTAAAAGTTAATCTAATTGATTTTAAATTGGGAAAAACAACTGGAATTCTAGCTTTAATACTCATTCGTCTAAGACTATCAAGATTACCTAAAAAACGAGATTGCATAATTAATTCAAATGTAACTGAAGGTAAAATTGAATATTCATTTGTTGCGGTTGAACTAATTTCTTTTAAATCTTTTAATGAACCTAATAGACTATATAAAAGAATGTTTCTACTATCAATCATCCTTTCTGTAATGCTGTGTATATCTGGATTCATTATTGAAATAATGTTGTTGAAAAGAAATAGTGATAGAAATTTGAAAAAAAACTTTAGGGGGCTGGTACGCATTTATATAATTTAATATATAACGAAAAATATAATTACAGATTCAAAGTATAATTTATATGAGAGAGTAGAAGTGTAATAAATTAATATATATGTAATAGCTATAAGTTATAAGTTATTTAGCAATACAATTAGCTTCAGACATTAAACAATTATCGATCTAATTTAATTTAAGATCAAATTTTATAGAATCAAATGCTTCATCAACTCCAGCATCACCTTATTTATCGTCATTAACACTTTGCTTCTTAGTAACTCTTTTTAATGAAACATCTTTTTTTTCAAGTATTTCATCAATGTCAGCAGAATCGATACAACCAAATTTTCTAAACATTTCAGATTTTGAAGGATTACTTCTTGTCATCAGCAATAATGTTTTCCATTTCTATTGGATCAGGGATATTGTTTGGAATACCATGAAGAGCACTACATTCTTTAGCTGTATTAGTTTGGCGTTCATAAACAATTTGATGATACGCATCGTAAGGAAGTGAAAGTAAATCTGAAGATTCATCTCTAGCTTCTCCTATTAACGCTTTTCTTTGATTCGGATAAAGATTTTACACGATCTTTTGTAAATTCTTTATATTTTTTCTTCATCAATTTGTTTTTGTTGATCCAGGATTAAAATTTGTTGCAAAAAAAGAGTGGTAAAGAAATTGAGAAAAAATAAAAATAGTTAGGAGGTGGTTAGTATCTATATATAGCACCTCAATGAACCATTATAAATCAGAAGTATAGTTTGAAATCATTAAAATGATTCAACAACTTCATTTGATTTAACAGCTTTGGTATCAGCTTCATTAGCATCAATAACACCAGTATCAGATTCTGATTTGATTTTCAAAGCGGTTTTCAACGCATCAAATTTAATCAAATCTCTATTGACAATTTCGCCAATTTTAAGACCTTGATAAAATTCTAAACGATTTCTTTCTTCATCAACATATAATTTAAGTGATTCTAAATCAGAAAAACCAACTCCAAAATACCACCTCTAAAACCAACATTTTTCATAAAATCAAGTAATTGTAATAAATCAGTTTGAACAAAATATTTCAAAAATAATTGAAGGAGAAAAAGATTCATCTTCTGTTGTTAATTTAGCATTTTCCATTGATTCTGATGATTCAAATAATGATCTTAAAAGAACATCTCTGGTTTGTTCAATTTTATCTTTAGGAATTTGATCTTGCGAATCCAATATTAATAAAAAGTGTTGCAAATTGTAAAAAAAATTAAGACAATCATTGTAAGACTAGTCCTATTTCAATTAGCTCAGATACATAAAATAGCAGCATACTATAGTCCATAATTAGCTCTTGATTTGTAAGAGTCAAAACTGATCTGTATAATGGAGTTTACAATAGCGCCATGACTTCAACCAGTTTTCGCGGTAGTTGAACTTATGAACGCTACCATTATGGCGACAAACTCAAACAAGTTTGGGCTGGTTGGTGAGTGCTTTTGCTACCAAGTGCTAAATTTAAATCATCCAGCTGTTTATCAGTATTTGAATCTCTATCGTCTCTCATGAGATGCATAGCATCTGGCTTTTGAAACTCTAATGATTTGGTTTTCGTAAATTTAGAAGATGTAGAGGATGCAAATACTATCATACATTACATTTTATTGTAACTTTTCCAATTCATTTGCTAAAATATCTTTCAAGTTTTCCTGAATAATGGATTGTTGTTATTCATAATGAAAACTGATAACAAAAATAAAAAAATAAAAAATGCCTGAACCACATGCGTATAAGTAGTATTAAATAAATCACCATATATTCAAATAATAAAAAACGGTATCGAATTTGAATCTAATAATACCTTCAATCTTTATTCATTACTCATATTAGCAGTTTTTATCTTTGGTTCAGTTTCTGATTCACGATCATTAACTTCTTTATCTTCGCTATCTTCATCATCTTCACCAATTTCTGTATCTGATTCGGAAGAATCGTCAGAACTAATAGAATCAGGATTTTCCATAATATATCTCATAGTATTAACTGCTGTAATCATTTCAACAATAGAAGGAGCTTCTCTATTTAATATTTCTATGGTATCTAAATCTTCTAACTCCGGGATAACAATTGGAACTTTTTCTTTAGAACTGAGCAATTCAATTAAAGTGAGTGATTGTTTTAAATTAACATCAAGTATTAATTCAAGAACAACTGCAACGGTAATTGAAGAATATTCAGGTGTATTTAACCTAAAATCTTTAAGTAATTGTTCAGATGTTGATAATGATTGTAATAAATGATTTCTTAAATCTTCTAATCTGTCTTTTTGATTCTGTTGTTGTTGATTCATGATAAATTAAAAACTGTTGCAAATAAATGTAAAAAAATTAAAGTGAATTTTAATCGTGTTGATATACAGGAAAACTAGACGAAAATTCAAATAATAGTGAAATTGTTTTAGTATTTCAATATACAAAAAGTAAACAATGGCTTTCAAAATATGCTTGTGTATTATCTGCACCTCAAACAAATTGTTTGGACGCTCTTGACTTGTTATCAAAGAGATCTCTCGAAGTAGTTGATAGTTAAAGATTCTGTCACGACACATAAACCAAAAGAAATTGTACTAATCGTTTTAAACTTAGGGCGAAGAATTATTTTGTCGCACCAAGATAATTGCGTTGAAAAATACGTACAAAAAAATAATTCTGAACAAATTGGATTATATGCAGTCTTAAAATAGTTGATCTCAGAAATTAATGGACATAACTCTCTCAATATTCAAGTTAATATTGTCAAACTAATCTCATTACAAAATTAGATAGTTACAAAATACTCTAATGTTTTGTTACTTGAAAGAAAATTAATTTTGAGCCTTTTATTGCACATTGAAAACATGCCAAAAAGCGCTAAATTCGAAGACAAACAGCACTTAGACGTTATGTAGCTGCTTCTAGACTAGCTGATTAGGTTTATTCAACTCCAAGTACACTACTTCTCATGTTTTTGCATCACCAAAATCGATTGAAAAATTTTGCAAAGATTTCAAAACAGACCTAAAAAATTAATATTTCAATTTTGAACGCCTCAACACAAAAATATATAAGGTTCATTAACATGGGGAGCTACAAATACTAATAATTTGATTATACATTGATTACAAATTTCATTGTGACTTTGAAATTTTTGTAAAATCAATTTATTCCATTTTCCCCATAGATTAGATAATTTTTTGAAAGTTTTTAACTTAAGTTTTTATTAACTAAATGATATCCAGGACCTTAAGAGGAAGTATAATTTGTATAATCCATTTTTTAATTGAAAGTTATGGCCGTAAATTGAACATATGTTGAGAAATCATTTTCTGAAAAAATTTTGAAGTATAAAAAGGGCCAAAAATCCAACTTGAAAAAAAAAAAGTTTTAAATGTAACAATTTAATTAGGTATAGTACATTATGTAAGGTTTTTTATTCCCTTTAAATGGTATTTATCTCGAAAGATTATTTTGTTCATGACTTATAAGCCAATATATTTGGTACGAGTCGTCTTGAATTTAAAGCGAGAGTTTGGCCTGTCGCGCCATAATTTTATAATTGTAACATCATCAGACAAAAATTAGTAAAGCGAATGAATGCGCGAAATATCTTTTGATGCTGGCGAGAATAGTTATCATTTTTCGCCCAAATTAAAGCCAAGCAATGTGGTGGTAAGGTACAATTAATATTAAATAAATATATAATTAAACTAACTAATCTTCTACACTAACTTGTTTGACAACTTGTTTTTTAACTGTTTTTTTACTTGGTTTAACAACTTTCGGTGGTCTACCTCTTCGTCTCGATTTTGGTTCTGAATCATCTTTTGGTTCATTCTTTTCTTCAGCAGTACAATTAGAAGTTAATCCTTCATGGGTAATCCTGAACGATTTAGCTAATGGTGAAATGATTGGTTCTGGTAGTTCAAATGTATCTAAAGCTTCAAATGGTGGTAGACTAGTTGGTCGTAATTCTTGACTAGAATTCCAAACTTCATTTAATGGTGATATACTCAATTTTGGTGGTTCAATAGTACTGTATGAATCATATAATGGTAAAACAGTTGGTTCTGTATTGACCAGTACAGTAGAATATTCATTAGTTAAAGCTGTAAGTGGTTGAGAATTATTTTGAAAAGTAGTAGAATCTTCATTAGATGATGAATTAATTTCTTGCAACTGTTGAATTGAGATAGGTAATGCTGCTGGTGATGTTGCTGGTAAATTTGTATCTGGAAATGGACTTGAAGCTAAATTAGTAGGTTGATTATTTCCAGCTGAGTATGAATATTGATTTGTAACATGATTTACAGGAATAGGATGATATTGATAATGGTTGTAATATGGTACATAGTTAGTTACCTGATGTTGATTTTGACCTTGTGAATAATCTGCAACTTGATATTGATCTTGGTGTTGATTTGGTGAATAAGTCTCAAGTAAATCTCTATAATGATTTAAGATTGAAGGTAAAGCCATTGGTTGTTCTTTTGTAACTACAACAGAATCTGACTTTGTTTTTCTTTTGGTCCTTGTTTTTTGTTTGTCAATTTTAATATCTGATTCAAATTTATTAGTTTCTTCATCTCTAAACATTGTTATTGAAATTGTAATTGATTTATATGTAACATCATGAGCAGATTCTTTACATATTTTCTCTAATTCTTTTGACAAAGTATACTTCAAATGTTCAATTAATGAAATATTATCAATATTGGTGGAACTGTTATTCATGGTTGAAAGTGATTAATTAAAAAAAAAAAAAAAATATGGGGAAAAATATGGGGTTTTACGCGTATTTGTATAATTACTAGATCCAGTGAGAAAACACGAAGTAATGCCAATCAAGCAGTTTATTCGCAACCTCATGATTTTGCTTTGAACTATTTTAGTTGGAATAACAACTTTGTCAACCTTATTCTACAAGATTGCAAGAAATCGATACTCAAATGATGATTAATGTGTATTAAATAAATAAAAATAAATAAATAACAACCAGTATCAACATCAGCCTCTATTGTACTTGATTTTTTTTTTAACCAGAACCATGTGAAACTGAACATTCACTATTATTTCTTCTCTGTTAATTGGAGATTCATGACTTATAAATATCAAAAATTTATATAACTGCATCTGTTAAAAACTATATCACCATCTACTATTACAATTACTTCTTAACTATGACCTGTTTATCTAATTGTAAATGAGTCTAATTGTAAATGAATCTAATCGTAAATGAAGTGATGTAATCTAACAATTACAACCCTACCTACTCTACAAATATGAAAATTAATATGATACCTGTTATTTCAACAATAATTTGTACAATTATATGCTTTATCACCAATTTCAATGACAATGATATGAATTTTAAATTAGCTATTGCTGAATTTTTAGTAGTTGTTATTTGAGCTTGGTGTTCCATGATATATCCAAAAGTGAAAAATCTGAAAAATTTTAAAAGAGCGAAAATTATGCATATATATAGTCAATAGATAAGAAGGTTGCAAAGTCAAAACGTTTGAAAAATTTTTATTCAGAGTACAAAAACAAAACTAATCTAATTCTATATAATCGATGTCCTTATCATTACCATCGTTAGTTTCAAATCTTGCAATTTGTTGCTCCTTCTCTTTTCTAATTCTATCGTTCATAATTTTCTCATAATCACTAATCTACATCTTTACAAGAGTTAGGTACTAATTCAAAAGTATATCCAAAGCAACCAGGTGCAAAATCATGTTCAAATTTAATTACTTTATATAATAGTCTTCCTTCAGGTAATAAAAACAATGGTGGACGTTCATCTGGTGATAATTTTGAATATTCTTCTTGTTTTTGCATATATGAAGTAAAATCATGAACTGTATATTTTATAGTTAATTCAATTGGTGATAATTTTTGATCTATGAGTGTTGCTTTATTCAAACGAGCAAGTGAATCTATATCATCATAATATAAATCTCCCTCGTTATTTGATTCATTATTTGATTTCTCATTCTTCATTGAGTAAAATATATTAGTTTTGAAAGATACAGATAATTTTGTGCGTATTTATATAATTTAAAGTTTGGGAATGTTAGACGACGACTTCTAATAATAAATTTTGTGCGAAATTACCTAAAATGGAATTTGGTGTTTCAGAATTGAATGCTAAGAAAAAAAATTATGTGCAGGTACAAATCTGAGAACTAGATTTAAAAAAATTTTAGTAGATCTATAAACCAATAGTATTTAAGAGTGTTTTGATACTAGTTATATCGACCAGTTAGACTATTAAATATCAAAAATGAGTAGTTTTTTTACATGACATTAGTCATCATGCTTGATCAACCCATTCATTCGATTCGATCTAAACTGAAATTCGAAGATATGTGATTAATAACATTGGAAACTTTCTCACTGATCAAGATTTATAGAATGACTTATTATGTATATTTATCAGTACTATTAACAAGTATAACCAGTCATTTATTACGATCATTAACCAGCCCTGTGATATTAAATCAACTTTTTTTCAGTCGACTTCATTTACAATTAATACGTAGTCCATTTAAATGGATTCCACTTTACATAACAGCGTGACCAATAAGTTTAACCAATTCATATTTATAACCAAATATACCATCATCTGTATCAAGACTTTCAATTGTTTAACTAATGTACCTTCTGGTAATTTCCATAATGGTGATGGATCAATTGGTTCCATAACTTAATATTCTGATTTTTTTTTTCTTAATAAATCTTCCTGAGTATGAACACTTAATTCTTGTGGACATAACTCTAGATCAATAATGGTTAAGTTGAATTTCTACTCATTATAATGGAAAATAATGGTGATAATTGAAAATTGAAATTTAAGAGATCGTGTATTATTAATGTTATAAATTTTAGACGCGAATTAAGATTTGAATATTTTGCACGACTTGTTTCAGATTAGAATTTAATGCATGAAATAATGCATAACGAATTGGGAAAATGCTTAAAATAGAAAATAAGAAATACAGTAATAAACTCTATATAAACTTATCTATTCAAATTCAATTAGCAATAATAGCAATGATATAAGCATGATAACAACCACTCAATTATAAACTAGTAAAATCAGAGTTGCTTGATGAAGAACCTTTGGATTTCTTTAGTTTGACTGTCTTAATATCAGAAATAGAACCTTTGACTTTCTTTTTTGGTTTTTTGATCTTACCATGATATAATGCTTTTAATATTTTTCTCTGATCTGATGAATCTGATTTAACTTCAAACTTTTTTGATTCTCGAATTGGAGTTTGAGGAGGTGGAGGTGATGGTGATGAATCCGAATCCATTTCCTTATCAATATTTTCCCATTTGGTTTCTAATTCAGTTGATTTCATGGCTACTTCTCTACGCGACCTTTCAATAAATCTATTCGTTTTACTTTGATCAACTGTATTACGGGCAGATTGTTTATGTAACAATTCAATAAATTTATTAAATTCATCGGGATAAACCAACTTTTTGATAAGGTCCTTGGCCATATCACGATCAAAATCTGATTTATCTTCTATATCTTCAACTTTTTCAAATGCAGAAACATTTAAAACCTTGGTAGTAATTTTAACTTTGTTTAAATCAATGTCTGGATCTTCTGAGCTTAAAGTAGTTTCAAACTCAACAGAATACTTTCTAATAACTTTTGATGGATTCATATTGATAAATTGTTGTAAAAAAGAAAACCAAAAAAAAATGGAGGCAACCAAATTTAATTTATACGGTATCAAAAAAACGACCAATTTCTTAAATTAATTAAAGGACAATTAGAAAATCGTAAACATAAATCAACAGAAATGAATTCATATTAATCATGATTTATATATTGCAATATATATTATAATTTAGCAATAGCTTCAATTCCTTCAACTTCTTTTCCATTTTTACATTTTCTATCATCAACATAAACTGATTTAATTCCCGTCTTCAAATCAATTAAAAATTCAACATATTTAAATTCATTAAAGTCTTCAACATTAACACTGTCAACTTTTGTAACCATTAAAATATCTCCATTATCTAATTTCTTTAATTTTTCAATAACTAATTCACCACTAACTGAAGCAGAACCATCAACAGCAGAAGTTGTTTCAGATTTTTGATAAATGGAAAATGAACCTTTGATGTTTTTAATATAAACTGGATTTGAAATTAAAGCAGCCAAATCTGACATAATTGAATAATGGAGAAAAAAAAATCTGGGGTTAGTCAACAATTTATAGTTTTAAACTTTTGGGGGGTATTAGACGAAAACTTGTTAATATTGTAAAAGAGTGCACGAAACTCAACGATTGGTCGGACTTCAAACTGTGATTGAGCATCACAAACAATCCTTCGTTTTATGTAAAGTGTGTTAAATAAGAATCCAAAGCATTGTACTTATAACTGATTTTGTAAACAACGTGGCTCCAGATGTTTATCTCATTACTTTCTAATTATTAGATCTTAAGGGGTATTAGACGGAAAGATTTTGGTTCCAAGAAATTTACAGCTGCGAAAATCAGAGCTACCAATCGTATAAAACTGTTTGCTTGCAATTAATCTATAACAAAGTTTACCTAAATTTGGAATTGTTGTTATCGTAAATTATGAAAGTAAAAAATTCCAGATTTATAAATGAGATCTATGGCCGCGCCGGCTCAGATCAGGTGCGGCTGAGCTCAGATTTTGTGTAATTTTTAAAGTTATATACCATACATTCAACTCAACAGTATAACTAACTATATAGACCAGTAATAGCTATAAAGTCGACCGTTAATTATCAAAATAGATACTAATTTATGTAGCCATCGTAGTTTAAGTAATCTACTTTAGCGCCTTTGATTTGCATCCTTTAAAAGTTGATCGAGCATTCCAAGAATTTCATCAACTTGTTGTCTAAGCTCTTATTGATTGTTATCATGCAACTGATCCATTTGTTGTAGTGATGATGGTGGTGTAGAAGAATGATGTGATTTTGAATTGAAACTTTCATTTTCAGTTTCTTGAGCCTGTGAGTTATTATATGAAGAAGCGACGTTATTTAAACCAACTTTAGATGAGGATAATGAGCTAGCAGTATCAGTTTTGTTACTATTGGTTGATGTAATTTGACTGAACTCATGTTGAAAGAAAAATGATATATTGAAATTGGAAATTCTACACTTTCAATTTTTAGCTCAAAACAAACAAGGCTTAAATATAAACAATGAAACCTGAGTCGATTTTCTAAGTTATTTAATTTTTATTCGTTATATCAGAAAGATTATACAATTTATAATTTAGATAATTTTTTAATTTGACCATTTTCAATAACCCAAACTTTTCTACCATCTAAATAAACAGCTTTAATATTATTATTTGCATCAAGTAAAAAATCAGCAGTTAAAAAATAGTCATAATCAACATAATTACCATCTTTAAAAACTTGCGCATATTCAATATCGGTATAAATCATTTTATCACCATTATCTAAAATTAAAACACTTTGAGGATCTAATGCAGCATAAATAATTTCTCTTGATTCAGCACCAACACCAATAGATTTAACTTTCATGATTAATGAACCAATATAGGTTGTTTCTCTTGATAAAGCTCCAATACCAATTGATTCAACTTTTGTGGTTAATGAACCAGTCTCAATACCTAATTCAACTTGAAAATTAGACATGGCTGTATAAAAGAAAAAAATATATTTTATCGCCATTAATTTTAATTTATATGGGACTAAATTAAAATACGCACACGATGAGACACGTCTATGAATCGTCTGTGAATCAAATAATTGTGCAACAAATAGAGAGTAAACAGTCAATTTAGCAATAATTACAATATATTAACAATAATACATATTACACAGACCTTATTTTGAACCATTTAAACCAGAGGCAGAATCAGCATTTTTATGAATTTCATCAACTTCTTTAACAAAATTAGAATTTGCAATTTTAGAACTTTCAGAACTTTCAGAACTATTCAACACTTCCTCAATAAGCTCAATCTTCTTAACCGTTTTTTTCTTCTTCTTTTTTTTCTTTTTCTTCTTCTTTTTGGATTCAGGTTGAGTTTGTTGTTCCTCTTCATTTTCCGAATCTAATCCAAAAATAAATAATAAATTAATATTATTAGGTTTATAAATAACATTTTGACCATCAGAGAACAATTGACCAACTTTCAACATGATTAAAATAGATCTTGTTAATTACAATAATGTGTTAATTGATTTGATAAATTTTCATGTCTATTTTTTTGACGCAATTTAGGGGGTTATTTATATTTACACGATAAAATTAAATAATGGCGATTCAAGTAATCAATTAATGCACGGATATATTTGATTAACGCGTGTTTCTTTATCTTATAATGTAGAAATTTGCAAAATGCTTATCTTGCATCTATTTGACTTTTTACTTCTTGAAATAAACCGATTTTTGACTTGAAATTATAAGATTAATGGGCTAAGAACCCAAATTTATTGAAAAAGAATATATTGCATGCCAGCTGTAAAAGATTTCATCCTCTACGCCTAATATTAGTGTACTTAAAAAGCTACCCCTTGGTATTTGGCAACATTTTTCGAATTGTGAAGCTCTTGTCATTTAGATTCCATATTGTAGATTGTTGATCAAGCATATTCTTAGAATAACATGAAGAAGATTAGAGGTTTCAGAGAAACACTATTCAAGTATAGAAAAGACGTATATAAACAAACTAGAAAACAATCAAAAAGGAATATCAAAATCCCTCAAATTATAAACACCATATCTTGTCACCCCAGATTCATGATCTTCTTTAATATAAACCGTAACAACCCTACTCCTACCATCACTATTCAAAATCAATTCAAGTATTTTAACAACTTTCATTTTTTTAAATGAACAATGAGATTTGATTTCCAAATTATTTTTTCGCTCTTTAATTTTAGTTTTCATAATTTTAACTTCAATTAGATCACAATCATGTTTATTTTTAAAAAAATCAGAAACTAATATAATTTGTTTCTTTTGAATTATCATTTGCATTGAATAATCATAATTGAATGATAGTGGGAGTAAAGAATCAAAAATATGAAACTCCATAATGACACTAATTGTGTTTAACTATTTGTGCAGCAAAAAATCAAAAAAATATACGAGAGATTGAATAGATATGCCAGATCTCAAAAAACTCTTATATATTCATATACCATAATATCTATAGTAATTATAGATTTAATTATGCCTATTAAACTTGAATGTGTCTCTATTAGTGACTTTATCGAGTTTGTGATAATTTTACTTAATGTAAATTGTGTAAAGCACATCAACCTAGACTCGAACTAGGATAAATGCATTAACAGTGTATGGCTTTACCCTTAATCTATTGATCAATATTAAATATTAAATCTCCTACTTAGAGGTTTTATCATTATTATCCAATTTTGTCTCTATTTGAGTAGTCCTTGTTTCGATGCAAATTTATCTCGAGTGAAGTCAATTATTAACCGCCATCTCGTGTTAATATACCCTTCAGATATTTTATCCTGCAATGGGTATATCAAAACGAAATTGCGTTCAATTATGGGTGCCTGAAATGGTGCTCAATGTGCACTCGGAGATATTAAGCCATTAATATATTTAGCCAATTAAACCTACTAAATATGGATAAAATAAATTCTCTACGTTTAGTCTCTAGGAAATGTAACCTTGAAAGTGAAGAATAAAATAGACTATTATTTAATTTATATAAATAAAATAAACTTGATAATTATTAGGATGATTACATCAGCATTGAATTCCAAAGCAATAATTCTTGCATGCTTACCTTAGTTTTTGCATCCTTACTACTTTTGATTTCTTCCCCTTTACATCAAATCCCCCAACTTCTTCGTCAAATATATATTTATTCTTAGTCAAATAATCTTTAACAATTTTTTTAATTATTGAAACTCCATTTGATGAATGAATTCCTCTACCAGTAATAATACTAATTGGACCCAAACTTGCCAAATGACCAAATTTATTCATTTTACCGATTAATTCTCTATTTTTAATTTCTTCGTCCCACCAATGTTCCAATACAATTTTAGTTAATCTTAAAGCTTCAGGTACTTTTAGTCGATGTAGATCAACTTCTCCTTTTCTTATATAATTTTGAAATCTTTGATTTTCATCAATTTTTGAATGATTTAAACTTGTAGGTTTTGAATAAAAATGATTAAATTTTTTACTTAAGTTTATAAATGGATCATTTTCGATCGTAGGTGCGAATTTGAAAATTGGAGTTTGTTTGGTGTTATTTTGAAATTCGGGAATGTTGGATAATTCCGAAATGAATTCAATAGCTTTGTAGACATTTCCTTGAAAAAATTCTAATGAATTTTTGACGAATTCGGAATTGAATTTTTTTAAAATTGCATTTGTTTCACATATATCCCATAATTCAACAGAGTCAACCAGTTTTGGATTATATTTATAAGAAGACTTGATGTATTTAAATTCTGTAGTTGGGTTTGATTTTTTTGATGTATTTCCTCTTTGAACTTTAGATCCACGTTTGGTTACTTTTGTCTTTATTTGTGGTCTTACATTCATTACTATTGCTATTATTGTATCATTTATTGAATAATTACATTTCCTAAGCCAAAATGCAACATCTTCATCATTAATTAACATATTTGAATCTAATAATTTATTAAAAAAAGAATTTATTTTATTTATTAATTGACTCGATTGAACCCATTCATTAATAAATGTTTTTGAAGTTGTTGATGATGAACCTTGTGAAGATGTAGGGTTAAATGATTCTGTAGGATTACTTAATAATGTCATTGTTGTTTCTTCAATATTATTATTTTTAGAAATTAAAACTTCATTAATATACTCAAGTTCCAAATTTGGGAAAATTTCAAATAATTGATAAACTTTAATATCATAAACTGGTGCTATTTGATTTTCTCTTTCTTTTTCTTTTTCTTGTTCTATTAATTCTAATGATTCTGTTTCAACCCATAATTCTTCAATTAATTCATCTAATGAATTTGCAATTTTAAGTCTAATTTTGATTTCTGTTTTTTTAATCCTTGGAAACAAATCAGTTAAGGTTTCAATTATATAAATAAAATTTGAATCTAAATCTTGAGAATCAAACATATATTCTTGATAATCTTCTTCATTTAAATTATAAGCTTGTGAATTTTCATTATTATCTTCGGGTTCAATTGAAGTTGGAGGTGAACAAGTTGAATAAGTATCTTCTAAATTACTATTTGATGATGAAATTGGGAATTGTACATTATTTGCACTTGATGGTTGAAAAACAGTTGGTCTTAATATAGGTTGTTCTTCTTCATTTGAATTACAACCATGTTCTGGTTCAATTTCTGATTCTGATTCTGATAATGGTATATCTAAACTATCTAAATCATCTTTTGACAATTCAACTGGTTTAAATAATGGAAACGTAACTTGATATTGTTCCTGGTCTAATTCTTCCACTTCTTCTTCAACTTCTGATTCTTCACTTTCTTCTTCACTTTCTTCTGGTTCTCTTTCTAATGATTCAACTTCAGTATCATCACCTTTAATTAATTCCATATCATGTAATTTCTTTACATCTTTCTTTAGATTAGCCATAATATTATCAGAGACTGGATCCTTACTCTGTGTTTTGGTGGTGATCTCCTTCTTCGGTTTTTTCACTTCTTTCTTCTTCACTTCTTTCTCTTTTTGACAACTTGTGATTTTAACTTCTTTTACATGACTTTCAATAATCAACTGGTACAATTCTTTACTTAATAAACAACAAGTTAACAAAATCAACCCTTCATCTTTCACTCTAGTTACGATTTTTCGTAGTAAATCAATTCTAATAAATTTTAAAAATGAATTATACCGTGCGCTAACATTTCCCTTTTCAGGTATTTTAGTCTCTTTTATTGAATTTTCAACAAGTTCAATTGGGCTTGTAGTACTTAATGATAATGAAATAGTACTCATTGGTAATTTTAATATCCCACATAGATAGAAAATAATTGAATCATAAGGTATACCTTTTTTTAATAAACTATTATAATCTAATTCCATTAATGTATATTTTAAATGTAAATATAATTCTCTATTTCCAATTTTAATACCATTTTTTAATATTATTGTACCTATGTTATTACAATCACGTAAATAATAATATTTCTTATAATAATAAGGATTTGCTTTTCTTAAAGTTTTTAAATCTGATATTGTACCATATTTTAAAAATTTATATTGTGGATTATGAATTGGTGGTTTTAATTTCGAATGTGATAATTTTGTTGAATCTGTAGCATTACTGGTAGACATTCTAATGTTATACTGTTAATATTGGCTGGTTTAATTTGATTGATTTATTGAAAACCTAAATTCTAAATTTAGATTTGATTACTGTAATGCGACTAATACTTTTTAGTATATGGACTACTTATTGATTCATGGAGAAGTGGATTATTAGTACATATATTACATAGTATAAAGTTAGAAATTAGTACGTATTGATTTCTATAATACAAGTTTCATATTGAATCAAGTTTAAGGGCTTTTTCCGTGAAAAATCGAGTGAAAAATTGAATATTTTGACACCCTTATGATTGAATTGTAGTTAATTAATGACAGCAATTCCACCGATGACAGGCAAGCTCGTTGTAATGTTTTTGTAGTATCTATGTATGCTGACAATACCTGAGAATGAGAAGGGACTAAATTAAAATTAGTGATCCATATTGAAAACAAATTCCCAAATTAAATGCCTTTGGATATCAAATATCAAATATCAAATATCAAATATCAAATATCAAATATCAAAAGTTGTCAGTTTAAATAATGTGTCAGAGAGAATCTCTTGACTCGTAATTACTAGATCTCTAGTTGACACTTGCTGTGAGTAATCATATGAGTTATAAATTAATTAATAAATTTAAATTTTAACTAGTTTCAAATAACATCATTTCCAGCACACTCTTGGACTGGAACACTTTACTGTACTGGTTTCCAGCACACTCTTGGATTGGAACACTTTACTGTACTGATTTCCAGCACACTCTTGGATTGGAACAACTTTACTGTACTGATTTCCTTTTTCTGTTATTCATAATTGCAACTTTTAATCCACTTAACCATTTAGTCAACTCTTCTTCATCTTTTAAACTTAATCTTATTCTTTTTTGAGATGTTATAATTAATAAACACCATTGTCTATTCTTACTCAATTGATCAATTTCAATAACATCATTAATATTATCAATATCAAACATTTTATAAACTTCATTTGAATTTTCTGACTTAAAAAAATATAAATTTAAATTAGATAATAATAAATATAATCTTTTCCAATTTTGATTATACTTTTTTGAGCTAACTTCAACATACCCCTTTTCAATTAAGAATTCCCTATTATTTTCTCCATTTTCATAATATCTCTCCTCATCTATTTCTTTCGGTATATCTAATTTCACAAATTTATTACCATTTGTCGGAGTTTGAAAAGTCGTATTTCCAGAGCTAAAATCGTCATCTGAAGTACATGACTCTAATTTCATTAAATTTGAATTATTTATAGAATGAATAGGTAAATGTTCCGTTGGTAAATGTTCCGTTGAAGATATACTTGACGCATCTGAAATAATTTGACCCTGGTTTTCTTCATTATTGAAAAATACACGTAATTGTTGTAACCAATTTTCGTAAGTTTTTAAATCACTAGTTTTGAAATGTAAGGTTTTTTTATGCGTATATATTGCAAAATGATAATTATGAAATTTTTTATTTTCAATTTTTGAATAAGATAATAAATTGGTCTTATTATATACTTTTAAGGGCTGATGTTCTCTTGAATCTTTATAATATGATAACTGACATTTACGAAGGACAACCCATTTTTTTTTCCAAGATTTAGTAGTTGATGATCTTTTCGAAAGTATGGAACCAATTAAAATTTGATTTTCAAAAATTGTTTTATCCATGCGATGAGTTAATAATGTTGTTGGTGAAGTATTTGATGAATTTGGAGGTGTAATTAAATTTGAGTTTATTTGTTGTTGTTGTCGTATTGAATTTGAAGACGTCATAATTGAATATTAATTTAATGATAATTTTTGATAATTTTGCTGTTATTATTTCATCATATTTTAATGATTTCAAACCTTCATGCAATTTGAATTAAAAATTAAAATAAAAAAATTTTGTTAACAGAATAAAATAAAATAATATTCTATTATGTGGAAAATGTTAATAATTGAGTAACAGACCAGTCTACCAGTCTACCAGTCTATTTTTTAACGAAATTGTTGACTAAATAAGTAACATACAATGTTTTAATGTAGTAGTAGTAGTAGTAGTAGTAGTAGTAGCATTACAAATACAAAGTTGTTTTTTGTTGAATAATGAGCTGAGTTTTTCAATAATCTGTATTGGCTGCAAAAAAAAAAATCACGTAGGTAGGCATCATTTCTTAATATTGGTAGTGTATTATGGCTTAATATTGGTAGTGTATTATGGCTATGCGGCAAATTATTTTTTATACCAGAATCATGCGCACGACTATTAATTGTGAATTCGCCTTTATGCGATATAAAGAAATGGCTTTATAATAAGCCGATTCGATAGATGAGTAGAAAGTATATATATATTGAGAGAATGGATGAGAATTTATTTATACATTAAGCTGTTCAAAGTATATTATATGTATTATATGTATTATATTTATTATATTTATTATATTTATTATATTTATTATATTTATTATATTGACCTACTAATGTTGCATCAAACTTAACTTTAATTTTGACAGGGTATGTCAATAACCTAATTTGAACATGCTGCAGATTGCAAATTTATAACCGACTTTATGGGTAGCAAGCAGTCTTGCTTGATAAAATAAAAGCCTCAAAAATTGATATATTCGAATCAATCTCGAGGTTTTTTTCTTTAGCAAATCAATTTCTCTGATCAAGGTTAAACTAAAAAAAGGTTTATAGATTGATATGTTATTCACAAAATTCAACTGATTAAAATTAAACTCCACTTATCTCGAAATTTTAAGCCATTATTAGATTAGAAGCATTGCTGTAGACTACTAATTAACCCCATAACCGTTAGGCTACTTAGTTTTCATCAACATCTAAGTAATCACCAATCAAGTATCAAATCAAATCAACTCAACTCTCAACTCAACTCTCAACTCAACTCTCAACTCTCAACTCTCAACTCTCAACTCAACTCAACTCAATAGAAATAGTAAGTAAATAACTAAACGCTAAGAAATTAATCAAAGAACTAAAAGTTCAATTTTTCTGTTGATGATAATTTTTTTTAATCAAATGATTTTACAACCAACAACTTTGATTTGAATAAAATTTTATCAACCATAATCTCAGTTTTTTTTTTTTAATTAGATTCCAAGATTTTGACCGCGGCCAATAAAAATAAACATATTTACAAGACATTAGATATAAGTGATAAGTGATAACTGATAACTGATAACTAAGAACTAATAGCTGATAACTGCTAACTGCTAACTGATAACTGATAGCTGCTAACTGATAACTGATAACTGATAACTGATAACTGATAACTGATAACTGATAACTGATAACTGATAACTGATAACTGATAACTGATAACTGATGTCAAATAATATACCATCTATACAAATTGGTGATCAACCACAATTACATAGAGCAAATACAACCAATTTAAATAATTCAAATAATTCAAATAATCCAAATATTCATTCTGATTCAGATTTAATAGGTGGTAAAAAATCAAATAAAATTTATCAAGTTCAAACTGGTTCAACAACTACAACTACAACTACTTCAGAATCAGAAGTAGACAAATTGTTAAATAATTTATCCAATAAACAATCAGATAATTATCGATTAATTAAATTTAATCCAACAAATGATAATTTACAAAATATAAATCAATTAAAATCTCATTTTACAAAACAAGTTTCTTTTGATAATATTAATATTAAAGAAGATGATGATGATATACCTGATGATGATGATGATTTAGGTTGGAAAAAATATAAACTGCAAAATAAACCAATGATTGGTTATTCAAGAGGTAGAAGTTTAAGTCCTTGTCCTGGTAGTGGTAGAATAAGTCCAATTGCTTCACCAAATAAATATGATGAATTAAGTGGTTTAACACCATATGAATTAAAAAAATTAGAACAACATTTAGAAAAAAATATGGTTCAATATCCAACTAAACCAATTACAACGTCACGAGGTTGTTCATTTACTAAGAGACATAAATTATATGAAAGTTTATATAATTATAAATTATCAATTAGACCTGTTTTACCACATAGAACTATTTTAATTTATATATCTGCTAGAATTCATACTTGGGTTGCTTTAGATTGGATACTAAATAAATTTATAGAAAATGGTGATAAAATTATTATTGTTGCTGCAATTGATGAAGAACCAATTAAAAGAAAACATAAACATACAATCCCTGTGAAATCAACAAATACTTTTCAAAGGTATAGACAAAGAAATCAACCAGAAAATATTTTAACAATTTGTAAAGATATAATGAATTATTGTATGACGGTAATGAATCCAAATATAATAACAAGAATAACTGTTGAATTAGTAACTGGTGAAACAAAACAGGTACTCAAAGATATGTATAGATTATATGAACCAAATTTGGTATGTACTGGTACAAAACCAAATACAAGAACAGGAGCTCCTTTAAAATCATGGTTATCTTCAAAATTAACTGACAGATTAGTTAAAAATTTCCCATTACCTGTTATTGTTGTACCTGCAGTTAATATGTGTCAATTTGAAAATGAATTAGAATCAAATTTAAATGGTAAAACAACAATACATGAAATTGAATCAGATCTGGATTCAGAATCAGATGTTTCATCAATTGCATCTGATGTATCTGATGTATCCAATGAATCTTATGAATCATATGATGAAATTGCAACTCTATATATTGATTTTAAAAAAGATTTATCAAAAGAACTAAAACAATTGGAAGAATTGCCATTAAATGAAAATTATTTTACAAATTTTGCAAAATTAATATCTGATACTTCATTAAATTTATGTGAAGATATTATAAAAGTTCAACCTACATTTACTGGATCTGGTGCAAAATTAGCAAGAATGATTACTGGATCAAATAATTTTGGTCATCAGCCATATAAAACAAAATCATTATTAGCACCACAAGAAAAGAAACCAACTCCAAAAGAACATAAATTATCATTTAAAGAAGTACAAGAACAATTGAAATTAAATAAAATCAAATCAGAAGAAAAAGAACAAGAAGAAAATACTCCACCTCCAAAACAATCATTAAAATTTGTTAATCTTGAAAAACCAACATCAAAATCAAAACTGAATGATCATGCATTAGCCAAATGTTTAAGTTATGATGGTGATAATAGAAAACTGGGTTTAAATAGTTCTAGACTGTCATTAGATAATAAATTAGAACCAAGAAATTCACATCCTGGTTTTATAAATTCAAATCAAACAAGTTCAACTGGTAGCGATCGAACCAAACTGAAAAAAAAAAGAAAAAGAAAATTCTTTGGTTTATTTTAAATAGACACAATTCTATATAATGTACTAAATGAGATTTATATTATTACTCTTGATCACTTCAGTTTTGGCTTTTTATGATTTCAATAGTTCAAATGAAATAATTCACTTAAATTCTAAGAGAAATTCCGAAGGTTTACAAGAATTTACACCAATTAGAGATACTATACTACAGTCGGAGGTAAAATATTATTCATTTAGTGTTAATACAACTTCAGGTGTTGGTGAATTTTATGAATTATTAATCTTTTTATCAGGTAATATTTGTAATCAACCAGATAATTTAGATTTTAACGATACTAGTTTAGCAGTATATTATTCTTTTAATTATACAATGTTTCAAGATAATGAAGTTGGTCAAATGGAATTATTTACGAATGGTTATTTTCAAGCATTAGCTGATTTACCAATAAATCCGAATGATGGTGAAAAAATTTTATATATTGCTGTCAGAGCACCTCAAAACCTAAATGTAACTGCTTCATGGACTTATCAAATTGGTGTAAGTCAATCAGATTTAGTTTTCCAATGGGATGATAGATCTTGGGGTTCTTTAGTTGATTCAGATGACCAAAGTGCTTTAATTGTAACTGGTAATTTAACTTCAAGATCAAATGAAGAAGATTGGGATCAAATAAATGTTACAAATTCAAGATATTTTGTATATATCTATTCAATGGATTTTAAAGATTATTTTAAAGGAATGAATAATTCATGGTGTGCAGTTAGAAATGGTCCAGCATTAGTAACACCAAGAGAAATTGAAAGTTCATATACTACAAGAAATGGTGGTATTCAACAACAATTTTATATTCAAGGTTTAAATTCTTCAACTAAATATATTGCTTATGTTGTTGCTGATTTTTCAGGTACTGATTTTGGTGGAGCTGTTTATCATCCATTTGAATTTGAAACAATGTCAAATTCAGCTTGTGAATTAATTTATGATTTAAATTTTTGTAATCGAGTGGCCTATTCAGTACCAAAAAGTATAGAATTTGATACAAAAGATTTATATGATAATCATACAAGAAATTTATATGTAAATTTTTCAAAAGCATTACAACAAATATCTTGTGATACTGTTCCTGAAGCAATGTATTCAAATTTAAAAACATGTCAAGATTGTGCAAATAGTTATAAAGATTGGTTATGTGCAGTTACTATACCTAGATGTACAACTAAAAATCAAACAGGATATAAATTAAGAAATGATACAAGTCAAAGAAGTGATTTTATATTAGATACAATTAAACCACCATTAGATTATTATGAAATTTTACCATGTGTTAATGTTTGCCATGTTATGGTTAGAGATTGTCCAGCAGATTTTAATTTTATGTGTCCTACAAGAAATGAAAGCATATCGTTAAGTTATTATTGGGATACAAATACATCGAATCAATGGCCAAGTTGTAATTATGTTGGTAAAACTATATTAAATACAAGTGGTAGCGTTCGACTAATAATTAATTGGCTTTTTTTTATTTTTATTTTTTTAATAAATTTTATATAGACACGCGTAATGAATAATAATTTACCATGGTATGTTATAGCTATTTGACTATTGGTATTTACTAACAGTTTAGGGTTGAAAAATATCGTCCAGATTCTCTTTCTGAAGTTTTTGGACAACAAGAAATTGTAGATACAATTAGAAAATTTGTTGAATCTGGTAAATTACCTCATTTATTATTTTATGGTCCACCAGGTACTGGTAAAACATCAACAATTATAGCATTAGCAAAAGAAATATATGGTAAAAATTATAAAAATATGGTTTTAGAATTAAATGCATCAGATGATAGAGGTATTGATGTTGTTCGTAATCAAATTAAAAATTTTGCAAGTACAAGACAAATTTTTGGAACTTCACAATTTAAATTGATTATATTAGATGAGGCAGATGCAATGACTTCAGTTGCTCAAAATTCATTAAGAAGAGTTATTGAAAAATATACTAAAAATTGTAGATTTTGTATATTGGCAAATTATAGTCATAAATTAAATCCTGCATTATTATCAAGATGCACAAGATTTAGATTTCATCCAATTTCACAAGATGCAATAAAAGAAAGAATATCAAATGTTATAATTAAAGAAAAAATAGATATTACTTTTGATGCATTAGAATCATTAATTAAATTATCTCATGGTGATATGAGAAAATCATTAAATGTTTTACAATCTTGTTTTGCTGCTTGTGAAGGTAATAAAGATTCAAAAATTGATATAAATTTAATTTATAATGTTATTGGTGCTCCTCATCCTGACGATATAAAACAAGTCTTAAATTCAATTTTACAAGATGATTTTACAACTGCATTTTTAAGACTAAGAGATGTTCAAAAAAATTGTGGATTGTCTTTGATTGATATAGTTTCTGAAATTATCCAAGAATTAAAAAATTACCAATTAAAAAATGAACAAAACGTTTATTTATATAAATATTTATCTGATTTGGAATATTATATCTCAAGAGGTGGTAATGATAAAATTCAAAGTTCAAGTTTAATAGGAATTGTGAAAAATGGAATGGAAGTATAATTAATGAATAATGGACATTTAATTCAATTTTGTAGATTTACTCAACTCATGGTATTATATCTACTCTACCTAAACAAAATCTAACTTTGAATTTTCAAGTCAATTTATCAGATCAAAGTTTGAACTGACAACAAAATGAACTGAAAAACACAAATATTTTGGATAGATTCACTTAATTAATGAACTTCGAATGTTTCACAATTGAATATATTCTCAACTTAATGTTGTTTAGTCTTGAGAAGACCATAGCCTAAGCTATTACTCTGCTATACACACTATATACAGTTATATATATATGACGCATCATTCGAGACAAATAATTTCGTAGAATCATTTTTCAGTATAGACGGTGAACCTTAGACATTGTGGTTATTGACTTTGTCAATATACACTTTTCAAATGAAATTTTCGAATTTAATCGTCAATCCGTAGTTGAATTTTATCAGACACTATTGAATCAAAAAACCCGATCATGACCGTGCCAATTAATAAACTAAAATTTTATATCAATGGAGATTCAAATTCAATTTTGGAAATATCACATTCTTTAGTGAAAATGTCTTAAAGCAGGTAGATCTGGACTATGTGGTTTAGCAACTCAATCATACAGTGGCTGCCCAGATCTTATTCTTAGTAATTAAGACTTTTACAAGTTACAAGCTCATACGTCTTGATGATAATTAATAACTGCAGATGGAAATTGTTATTAAAAACAAGTCAAATCTGAGTACCACTATTAAATATAATGAAAACATGGTAACCTAACTGCAAATTTGCACTTGATTAAATCACAAGTAAGCGAAAGGAGAAAAGAAGTTACTGAGATTCGACAGATCGATTGATACATCGTGTAAATTCAAATAATACTAAATAACAAGATAGAGAATGATTTATTTACATCTGATGTTGATTTCTCTAGCCCCTTCTCTAGCTCATAATTAGGTTTGGTAAATTCAATCACTTTTCTTAAATGATTATTTCTATCACTATTGATAAAAACAATTCAAATATGAAAAATGCGCCCTTCTAAATTCGAACAATGAATTGTTAAACTTCATAAAATACTTTAACAAACTTTGTAGGAACAACTCGATTAATCAACTGATTTTAGTTAATTGAAAAAATTATCTCTTTCAATTTCACTATTCCTCTATACTGAAGTCCCCAATTGCAGAATTTGTATCAACTCCTCACCACTATCAGCCTAAAATCAATCACCCTTTGCTTGGTTTTAAGCCAACTCCACCAATGACTATTGAAGTCAGATAAAATTGATCTACCTCATCAATCATCAGGTATAGTCAACTAAATGACTCCAAACCAATTCCTACACAAGTACTCTTTATAAATCATTTTTTAAGTAGACAGTTTCTTGTATTCGTGTAAAAATATCAAAAACATTTTGCAGCCAAACAATGAATAGAATTGAATAACAAATAAACTAATAACATACATTAACATTACTTATAAACCACTTTCATTTAAATAAACCCTTTATTCTTGACACCAAATAAATTATTTAAAAATCTTTTGAAATTTGCTCTTTTTGAAGTTTTAAATTGTTTAATTGATGATGAATCTCCATTAAAACTAAATAAATCATTATTATAACCATTTTCATTTTCGTTTTCATCATTTGAAATTGAAGATTCTGTTTCTTTAATATATTTTAAACTATCAGTTGAAAAGATTAAATTATCTGAATTATTATCACTTGAATTAAAATTTAAACTTGATGAATTTAAACAAATTAAATTTGGTATTCTTTTATATCCATTATTATTAATGAATAAATTAGGTAATGATTTTGCTTTATATTGTAACATAATAATTCCTTTTGTAACCGCTATTAAAAATTTGAAATTTAAAATTTTTTGATGAAACTTTATATATTTAATATATTAAATAGCTATAGGACAAACGTAACTCATATAGAAGGCTATTAAACACTTTAAAGTAGACATAAAGATATTTGAGCATCTGCAATAGAGACATGTTTACAATATTTAGTGTTTGGGATCTATTGTAGGAGATGTCAAGGCTGTATATTGGTAATTTTCATGTTTTAAATTAAAGCAGTCAACAGCATCAAAAAGACTAGTAATTCTAGCATTGATTTAAAGTTATGAAATTACTCTACTAATGAATTTTCTAAAAATTTGCTATTCTTATTGATTTGTTTTTATTTTGTAACAATTTGTGTCAACTTCGTCAAATGCAGAATACAAAATAGAATTATATAAAGAATTGAGTTATATGAATTCAGTGCTCAGCTATTGCGGAGATTGAATTGTACCAGTGAATGACTTGCAGCTAGACACTGTTTTACAAAATTTAGAGATGAACAAGTATAATTTGTAATTACAACTATAAACTAGTAAATTCTATATAGTAATAAATAATAATATGTTGAATTTATAAGCTTATTGATTAAAAAACCGATCCTAATAGTTTTCACTTTCGGAATACACTCTTAACCTTTACCAGAACCAAATTTTTAAATTGGCATTCTTCTTGATGATTCTTTCCTTTGTCTTTTTATGTTTCCTGAATAAATTTTATCTAAACAATCACTATTGGTAAGCTTAGCAGCTTCAGTATCAATAAATATATCATCTGACTCATTTTATCTCCTGATACTAATTGGGTATTCTGAAATAGTAGACAGTTTCTGTGATTTTTGTAGAGTTGTTATGAATTTTAAAAGCTTTTTATCATATACTTGAAAATCGTCAATCATTACTTTTATATGATCTTTTCATTTTTGATTGTAAATTTTCAATTCGGAATTTTCATCCATTATGTTTTCAAATTCAGCACTTAAATTTTCATAATCATTTAATAAGTTTTTATATGAAGTTTGTAAGTCGAAGTAAAGATCTTTTAAGTTTTTATAAGACTGATTATCAATTAATTTTCTTAACAGCATTTCAAATTGACTAAGATTAATTAATCTTTTGCATTTTATGTTGATAATAAATTTATGGGGAGAATATGACTAAACCGCTACCAAGTGTTTTTTTGCAGCCATTTATATTTTAATTTTAGTTGTAAACCTGAACAAAATTATAAACCGCAAAAAGTGAAACTCAAACCTACACTAGAGGAAAAAAATAGAGCAATTAACCGAGCATCAATCATAATCTATTCTTATACTTTCTCTGTCTTATCTTAATCTTCTTTAAACTGGTCGATACCATCTTCACTGAGTTGAACAATACCACCTGCATCAAAATCATTATTAGTATCTTTATTGGCTTGACTTAATTTTGTTTCATCCTTTAAACACCTTTCACAATTTCTGAAACAACATTGTCCAAAAATAATTAAAAATCTTTCATGTAAAAGCTCAAAATTAAAATTCATGGTCTTTTCAGTAGTATGTGCTTGAAATCCAATAAACCCATCAAAAAAAGACTTAAGCACTTCCAATTGCTCATTGCTAAACTCTTTATTCTTTGTTAATTCTAAATTCGTGTTTTCGGTAAATAATTCAATTCTTTTCCTTAAATTTTCATTTTCACAATTTTCATAATTTAATTTATCCATTAATTGTTTTTTTTCAATAGCTAAATTATTCATGTTGGAAATCAATTTTTGAGTTTGTACCTTGGAATAATCAATAAATTCAGTTAATGCTTTTTCATTTTGTTTCAACTTTGAAATCTCTAATTGTAATTCATAATTTTGTTCATATAATGATAAACCAGAATCAGATAAATAAGCATTCATTGCATTTAAACTTTGATTTAATGATGAGAAATTTTGATTTATACTTTTCAATTTTTTATTTTCTTGTAGTAATTGATTATTGTAAAATTTCAAATATTTTAATTCTTCTTCTGGTGTAGTTGAATGAATATGAACTTGTGGGACAAGATAATTGGTGGTTGATAAATTTGTCATAAGTAAATAATTGACAGGATAGTAAATGAGATGAGTCTGAATATTGAATTGGTGGTTGACAAATCTGAAACAAATTTAATAATTAATTGACCGAATTAAGTATATCGTGCGGCGGTGCTACCAGATGTAATCTGATTCAAAATTCGATGAGTTTAAAATTACCAAAGCGATTGTGTACTATTAGTTGTTATATTAATGCTTAATGTGTGATTAGTTGCTATAACAATAAATTTATCGTGCTTAAATAGCTAGACTCTTTCAGCACAAGCCATTCAAATTGATCCAATCAAAAGAGTAACGCTATATCATTATATCATGTTTATTCACTTGCTATAATTCTATTGATTTTCTAAATACCTCTTAAGCAAACTATTATGGGAATCGACCTTATCATACACTTTTTTAAACATTTGTCTTACCTTGACACTAAAATCAATATCAACATAATATTCACTTGCAAGCATGTTAATAACTGTAGATGTCAGATTATGGATTGAAGATTTAATGTCTTTTTTGAATTTTTCATAATTGGATAATTCTTCAACCAATTCGAAAATTTTGGCCTCGTATATTCTTTCCTTAGCTTTAAGTTTGATATTTTCAACTTGTAATTCAATATTGTTATGCTCTACTTTATTTAAAGGTTTGTTTAAATCTTCTGTCTTATTATTTTGTATTTTCAAATAATTGATCTCTTTCAAATATTTCATATTTTGTTTCTTTAATAACTTAATTTCTTTGAGAAATAATTCATTAGGTGTAGGTGACATGATAAATAATAACGGTAGCTGTAAATTGATTAGTTTTATGAATGTATTGCAGGAGTAATCTATTTTGATTAATTTGATGAAATAACTTGAAGTATAATACCAATATAAACTAAATTACGCGTAATAACTCACTTTAGAGCTACCAAGTGTGTAGAAAGTGAATTTTTATAATTACCACAGAATTAGACTTAGAAACTTTGTACTGTCTTCATTTCAAGCTAAATTAAGATTAAAAATACTCCTGGCTGGTGCTCAACAATTTTTTTGCTATCTACTCTAGTTCATATTGACTGAAACTTCAATATTGAATGAAAGGACTCACAAAAGTTTATCAATATTATAGTGAAACAATTATCGAACTTAAATTAATTGCATTAACAACTTGTATTAATACTATACAATTAACATCAGCCCTTTTTTAACATAAGCTTGTTACTAAATCCAATCATCAAATATCAACATTTTAAACTTTCGAGAATTTTGAAAATTAAGGTCTGATTGATTTACACTACCTTAATGTGGCTAATTAACACACAAACAAAAACTAATAAATCAATAACCGAATAGGGATGAAGTACTAAATTAGAGTAGAAATGGAAACAGAGTACTAAGTCAGAGTGGAGTTAAAAAATGTAATATCAATTTGAAGTATAATAAATTCACCGTTCATCATCAGTATAAAACTAACTCACATTATTGAGTATTTTCTTCAATTAAAGAACCTTCTTTTTCTTCATATACTTGTGGACTAACAATTATTTTGAAATGAATCATTTGAGAAAAATTGCAAATCTTCAATTTCTCTTAATTTTGATTTCAATTTTTGAATTTCTTCAACTTGGTCTCTTATAGTACATAATAATAACGTATTTTTCACTTGTAGGATTTCGTAATCTATTGTGATATTGTGTTCTAAATCTTTCAATTGTTTAAACTTTTTAAAAAGGGTATGATACTTAACTTTTAATCCTTTAAATTCACAATTAGTTTTACATTCTCTCTGTCTTCCACCTTGTGTCATTTTATAATTTGAATCCAATTAAATGTTAAAGTGATGTTAAATTATTAATTTTTTTAAACGCCAAATAAATAAAAACAAAATGTATTAATTATGGAAATATCTATTTCTCCGAATTTAGAGTAGTTAAACGAGCTCTAAGGTAAATATTCTTTTCTATACGTATTTTCTTACAAGTAAGTACTATTTTTTGATCTTTTTATGGATATAACCATTCACGTATAGTAGCAATACCAGGTAATATAGAAAATTCTAGACATTATGACCTCAAACTTTGTAATTTAGCCACAAAAGCTTCTTTCAATGACCTTTGTATAATTATTTGTTGAGCAGCATCTTTATATTACAATAATAATCCACTAGATGTGAGACTACCAGTATTAATATCGGCTTTTAATCTAAAAATTTCATCTTGAATAAATTCCGAACTAAGTAGTAGAGTAAGAGAGTTAAACAAGACTAGAGTCTTGAATTGATTGTTAATAAATGGTATCCATTACTCTATATAAATGTTCATATAATCCCAACCATCAAACCCATAAATAAATTGTAAATAATGTCTTAAAAATTGTCCTAAAAATTGTCCTTGAAGAATTGAATGTCATCTAACCGTGAAAAAATAATCTCTTTAATATGCAGGTGGTGCAGCATTGTAATTTATAGTTGTACTTGAATTTGAATTATTTAATTGTTTTAATAAATTTTTCAACTCCATTTCTTCTTTTAAAGCAGTTAATTCAATAATTGGATCAACCAAATCATAATTCTTTGGAACTTTAACTTGTAATGGAGAAGTATGAGATGAATTAGATGTAGTAGATGCGATTGAACTAGATGAAGTTGAATGGGAAATTTCTGAATTTGAATATTGTGATTCCACGGTAGTTGAAGAATTGACTGAATTGATTGAACTTGAAGAATTTTGTCTATAATGTAATTGTAATGGAGATAATGATAATCTTTCCTTTGTTTGTTGCTGTTGTTGTTGTTGTTTATATCTTTTCAATTTTTCTTGTTTAATCAATTCTAATTTAATTGGTTCTAAAAATGATTGATAAGCAATACACATTTCTTCATTTGAAACTTTTAAATCCCAATTTAATAAATAAATCAATTGTCTTTCCATTAAATTAATATCTTTAACGTTAAATAACCCATCAGTATATTTTGCCCAATGCTTATTCTTTGGAGATGAATCATTATGAAATTTTGATGATAAAATTAAACAAGTTAATAAAATTCTATGTCTTGTACATGCTAAACCTTGAACATTTTTAGGTAATTTAATCTTCAATTTTTGCAAATATATTAATGTAGCTAATAATGTACCAGTATAAACATTTGTATATTTAATTAATTTAGTTAAAAAAGTCATTAATGAAGGTAATTGTTTAATAGTATTATTTGTAGTAGTATAAGTTGATGACTTAGTATCTTTACAAGGTATAACTTGTAAAGTTGCAACCACTAATTTATGAATCATATCATGAGAGATTGGACCTTGTAAAAAAATTTGTAATGCTTGTAAGTCTAATGATGAAACCATGATGAATGAATCAAATTAATGAAAATGAATCAAATGAATGAAAATTAAATTATTAATTAATTAATTTAATGGAAATTAATTGATCTTTTATAATTTTTCAAAATAAATATAATTAAATAATGAACCTGTTGTAAATTGACTTAAATTGGAGAAATAATTAAGAAAGGAATATAAAATAAAATAAATAAATAAACAAACCTTTTGATATTTTAATTAATTTAGACATTTAAACATTAAAAGATTAAAACATTAAAACATTAAACCACAAAAGGGTAATAAATTATGAAACCTATTTTCATTGAATGCTGGTATTTTTAATTTTAATTCTTTTTCTTATTTACGTTTCACAATTTTATTTTTTTTTTTTTTTTATTTTTTTATTTTTTTATTTATTTATTTTTTTTTTTTTTTATTTTTTATTTTTATTTTTATTTTTATTTTTTTTTTTTATTTTTTTTTTTTCTTTTTTAATACTGAATTAGGTTTAATTTAACCAGCCAACTTAATAGTTTTAAGTATTTTGCAGCCATCATTTTTAATCATTCATTCATATTTCATTCATTAATATTTCATTCACATTTCATTCATATTTCAATCACATTCTCAAATCATTATTAACTACATTTTTTACTTGTAATAAAATTAAATACGTCATATCTCATTCGTTTCTTTAATTTTTCTTCTTCTTTTTAATTACTCAAATCATACATTATTATACTTTACTAAATATTATTATGATATGGGCTTAATTATTAATTGACAACCAATCAATATTTTAAGATCATCTTTAAAATCTCCTTATTAAATAATACTATTAAATAATACTATTAAATTATTAGCGTTTAATATTTTAAACGCGACTATTAACTATACGAAAAACAATAATATATCAAACGTTTAATTTTTCGAAAGGGGCGTGTTTTATATCTGTTTATTTTTTAGGGCCCTTTTTGATCGTAGTTATGGTAGTGCAAATCGTACTAAATATTATTTTTTATTTTTTTTGGTGTCGCGCGCGTTAAATTTTAAATCATTTTTTTTTTTCTTTTTAAAAGGGGAAAAATTAATTATCAACGTTTTTTTTTAGACGTGAATAATCAACAAATATAAACTTAATTGACGTGATTTAACTTATTAATAAAATAAAATAAAATAAAATAAAATAAAATAAAATAAAATAAAATAAAATAAAATAAAATAAAATAAAATAAAAAATCAGGGGTTGAGTTTCAACAATCTTGAATTGTCAACTTTAACTAGAGTATATTGAGTTCTATTACATATTGAAACTATGAAAAGTATGTAAATTCAAAAGTTCAATTAAACTCATTAAACGTATGACGACTTTTCGGTCGTCATACGTTTAATGTTTAATGTTCAATTCAGTTTCATAAGTCACACATTCTCAATTGAAACCGTAAATTACTTACATATCAAAATACGTATTTGGTTCTTTTTTTCTTTTTAGTTCATTTTCAAGATTCTAGATCTCTTGGTATTTTTTTTTATGGTCTAATTTCTTATTGTTTAATTTTGTTTAAATTTACACTAACGCGACAAAATCAAAATAATAAGCGTATGGAAGCTTTCTAGTCTCAATTAGGTATATTAATTATTTATCTATATATCTGGACCTCCTGAATTAAAACCAGGTATTGATTCGGAGTTATAATCATTTGTATTAGTAATTATCCCCTCATTATTAAAATTTTCACCAATTTTACCTTGTTTATAAATTTCGCCATTCCAACAATATTTTTCAAAACATTTTTTGCATTGATCAGATTGTTTTTCTCCATTTCTTTCTTGATTTCTTCTAATCATTGCACATCCAATACATGTATTAAATTCTTTGTCGAGTGTTCCATTTAATCGAGTTGCAATATTATAACCATTTAAAATCATACCATCTCTTTCAGAGTCGGTATATTTTAATTTATAAGTTGATGTATTTGTCCAATATGAAAATGGACGATTTCCAAAATAAACTACTAATGGAACACTATAAATATCTGATGTTAAGCTTGTTAAATTTTTCGCATCACATCCAAAAAAAGTTGGTTTTGAACTAAGATTAAAATATTTAAATGTATTTGTATCAGGCACGTATGGAAATAAATACTCTGGATGAGTAAATTGTCTTTCATATGTTTTAATTAATGAACTTCCATCTGGCCAATTTAACCAATCATTTGAATTATCAAAAGTGAATAAAATATCTAAATTTCTTTTCATTAATGGTTCAATTGGTAAATTCTCACCATCCTCTCCGCCATCAACTAAGTATAACTCAGAACTTGAACTTATTGAATCTGACCCTTCTTTATAAAAAGGATTAGGATATGTAGCCACATCAATATTTAATTTTTCAAATGGGTTAACTAAAATATTGTTAATTAAATCTTTTAAAAAACTTGGTAATTCAGATGTTCCAATCTTTAACATTACTTCATTAAATAATGAACTTGAAGTGCCCATTAAAAATCCATTATTATCAAAATTTGTAAAACAAGTACCTGATTCACTACCTAAATATTTAATATCTATAAATTTACCAATATCATAAGATCCAAATTCAAATGGAGTAAATTCAAAGACTGTAGAATTTGAATTTATAATTATACTATTTGGTGCTCTTCCATCGGCAACTAAGATTGGAAATGGAAATTCAGGATTTAAATTATTTTCATTTGACCAAGTATTATTTAATCCATTATTAGGTAATAATACATAACTTAATAATCTTCCATATAAATCTGTAATTGAAATTGTAAAACCAGCATCTTTTTTACCTTGTATTTCTTTATCTACATCTATCCATAATTTTGCTTGCTCTATAATATCATCTCCATAATAATCAATAAGACTTTTAATATGCCATTTATTTTTTAATGTAGTTATTGATTCATATTGATAACTTACAAAACTTGTCAAAAACCATGCACCACCACTCAATCCAGCTATATAATTTGAGCTTTGTAAAAGACCAGATAAAATTGAGTCACTTCTTTCATCTAAAGCTTCGACAATTCCTGCACTAACTAATGAACTTCGGTACCCACCTCCACTAAAACTAAGACCAATATTTGGAGTATAATTAGTTGATATTTTTGCTCTTTTTAAAAAGTTAGAAACATGAGATTTAGATCTTGAATTTATAAATGAAACTTCTTTATCATTTAATTGTGATTTTGAAGATCTTATAAGATTGGAAGGACATGTAGTTTTGATTGGAGTATAATTTGAGATTGCAAAAGTGCAAAATAATAAAATGACGAAGAATAGTTGTAACATTTGATATGTGATGTGATAAATACCATGTCATTTTGACGTTTATTTAAATATTGATCTAAGCATCTATATCTATTGTTTTTGCACCATGTGGCTACTATAAAATTTTAACTATCATAAACATAGTAGCTATGACCACATTGTGAGTTTGACATATGCAACTGAACAATCTAAAGATAAACATTGTTTGGTCTTTGAACAGTCTAAAGATAATCATTGTTTGGTCTTTGTACTTAAAAAATTTAAATTGATAACCACGTTGCAAATAAACAAATTTAAAATTCATGCCGTGCCTTTGGTAATGTTAACAACTTGAAGTGAAAAACATTCTACTTGAAACTCGATGTAATAATTAAAGCTCTTGTTAAAGCATTGCTAAATCAAAATACGTTGCATGAGGTTCTTAATCATGATAAAATTTGTTCATATTATTCAAAAAGCGAATGTCAATGTCACTAAAAGCTGAAAAATACAAATTTAGAAACAAAATTCCGAAAACTTTAAAACTACAATTAGTTATACAATAAAACCTAATCTAACAAGGTCAGTTCAATATGAACAGTCTAATTAATTAATTTAAGACCGAAAATAGGAAAAGGTCAATCAAGAGTTCAAATAATCAATCGATTCAATTTCAAAGCAAATTTAAAACTCATCAACTTTAAAATATAAATATAAATAAAACTATCAGAAATTTGGGTATATTACTAATCTGTCATGCAGTTGAGTACTCAGACTGGTGCACAGCTAACTTTGTCATCACATTAATTTTATTTATAATTTATATCTTAAATGCCAAAACAAACTATTAGATCTGAATATTAATTACTCGAAATCTCCTAGTTAAATGAATATGAAAAATCACTTGAATTTAGAATCAATTGAATGAAAAGAAAAGTGGTTCTTAATAAATAAAAAATTTTATTTCGAGATGATGAATTTATATAGCACAAATTTACATCCTTACCTCAATACATTATTTTTTGCTGCAAAACTTTTCACATTTAATGCGTTTTGATTGCAAAATTCAATTTAAGGCCTTTGAGAGTATGTGAATTTATCAAATTATGATTAATGAAACTTATATTTCAAACTTTTATTTAAATTTCTTATCTAACATTTGATCCATATTGAAAAAATATTGATCTAAATCATCATTTAATAAATTTGTATTTAACTGATCTTGATTCATTTCATTTAAATCTTTGATTAGATTATCTAGATTATTCTGTGCATTAAATTCATTACTGGAGTTATTACTTTTATTATTTGTAATATTCTCATTATTGTATTGTGCCAATTGCATCCATAATTGATCAATTTCTAAATCATTGATAAAATTTTCATCCTCGTTACTTGTTAAAACCTGACTATATTCCTTAGTTTGTTTAATTGAAGATTCCACAATTTGTAAAATTTCATTAAATTGATCATTTGATAAATCTAAAAATTCAATTAAACTAGATTTATTACTTTCATATAATCCTTTACTCAAACAATTTTTCAATATAAAAGTATGTGCTTTTGATACTCTCCATGCATAATAATATCTTCTAGATAATCTTGACATTGCATTTATACAAATTTCTATAATTTTAATAAACAATTGGGAAATTTTTGATAATTTTGCAAATTTTAATCTATATTCATCATCATTACTTAGATTATAATCATGTAAATGAGAATTTCTCATTTTATAAATTGAAGAATTTATACGAATTAATATTGCAAAATTAATTTGTGAAATTCGATGAATCATATTTTGTATTGTAGGGTTCAATATCAAATCAGCTATAGATCCACCAAAATTTATAATATTATCACTTATTAACTGATGGATACTAACGACAAATTCACCACATAGATTTGATAAAATCTTTTTAAGATAAAAAAATGCAAAATTTGTAGACTTTTTTTCATAATGAAGAAATAAATGGATGAATATATTGTTTAAGAACATCTTCATGTTAATATAATTCTTACATTTCATGATTTTAATGAATGAATACTTATAAATTGTTGAGTCATATGGTATTAATATAAATTTAAGCATACCAAAATTATCATTAAGGAATACTTCAAAATCATTAATTAACTGTGTCAATTCTGAAATTTTTACCAATTTTTTTATATCTAAAGTTGTATTTAATAAATGTAAAAGTTTATAATGATATTTTTCAAAATATGCAAATGTGCCAATTACATATTTTTCCATTTCAATATTTAAAATGTTTTCATTTCCATGTAGATAAAATGGTAATTTTGTATCATAATATTTCTCATCTATATTCAATGGATTCCCAAATTGATAACCTTGAATTAAATCACAAATAATTAAAAAGAACCAAGTTTTTCTAATTATATTATCAATCTTTAAATCTTGTGAAGGTTCTCTATTCAATCCTAAATTATAACTCATTTGTATAAGCATTCCATTAAAGGTTTGTGAATCTCCACCATCTGCACCATCTCCATCTTCAGGTGCAAACATTCTATATAATCTTAATAAAAATGTACATTGAAGTACGATTAAATTTGTTTTCCGATAAATTTCAAATTGTTCAAGACATAATTGTGCCATGTCTATAAGATTAATATTGATTGGATTGTTAAGAAGGTATTTTAATTCTTCATTATTTGACTCAAAATTTTGTTGATTATTTTCATTTTTATTTGAAAATAATGCAAGGTAAGATAGTCTAATTATAATTAACATTATGCCTAAATAAGCAAAATCTAATCTTTTTTCAATGACAACTTGTGGTGGTTCATCCTTATAATCTTCAACTCCTAAAATCCTCTCCATTTCAGTTTTAAATGAAACTTCATCTAATATAGGCATAAATGGGTAAAGTTCCGCAAAAAACTTATTAATCAATAACCAAATGATTCGTTGTTTAGGAAGGGTAATTTTAATCTTTTCAATCAATTTCAACTCTTGATCAATTTTCCCTTCATACATAGTTAATCCTAAAATCATTCCATGTTTATTAATTTTTGTACAATCAATCTTACAATTAAGTTTTGTTCTAATATCACTTAATTTTGTTTTATATAATCTTAAATCATTATATCCATCTCTATCAATTGCCTTTTCACGAAAATGTTCATCAGTATCATTAGCTTTACATTCATCTCGATTTGTTGATACCATTTTCTTTTTATAATCATCACGATAATTTTGTAAATAATTCCACTGCTGTAATAATGCAGGATCCTTTTTAAGTAATGATAGCCATGAAAATGGTCCATAATTTGTTCTTCGAATGACGTCATGTACATGAACAGATTGATAACCATGATAAAAATTGATTACTTCATTATCATCAAGATATGGATTGATTCCAATATATGTAGGATTATTTAAATCATTATAATTTACAGAATTATTCTTAATTGGTTTTAAATTTGACTCAATTTCATCAATTTTCTCTTTTAACAATGATAATTGAGATTGTACATCTTCTGGTGTAGTTATTTTTGGTGATTCTTGTGGAGTAATTTGAGATAATCTTGAGACTGAAAATGAACCACTACTATTTTCCTTTTGATTCCAAACTGGATCAGAATAAATACATTCTTGTTTATATTTTATGCAATTGTTACAAGGACTTGATCTATCACATTTAATTTTTCTTCTTTTACAACTTTGACAGCTTAATGATATTCTTTGACGTTTTTGCTTTTTAGTTGGAGGTGGTGGTTTTTCTTGAATATGAAAAACAGTTTGCATTGATATACCGTTCGTAATATTTTTGAGAATAATTCTGAAACAAATTTGATTATATGCAGTCACAGAAAATTTTACTATATACAGTCTCAATATTAACTTCAAAAATGAATTTGCAAATACTCCCCGATTGGTTGATCAATCATGTTCAAACTATATCCATGGAGATTATCAATTAGATCAAAGTAAATTGATGCTATGTGTTTCAGTGAAACAAAGTTTTGATGATTTTATTTGTCATCTAAAAAATGTAAAAGCACGCTTATTTTTGAAATAATTAACACTTTAACCTTGTTCAGAACCTTTTAATATAACTGAATCGATTTGACTAACCCCAAGGATTTCTTAAATAATGTTTGTTGCTGCCATAATCATTTTAAAAATTTTGCAAAAGTTTCAAACCATTTTTGGAGAATAAATATTTCAATTTTAAGTAGCCCAACACGAAAATTTAAGGTTTATCAATGTGAGGAAACAAAATGCATAGTTATACCATGTCCTCTTGATTTTATAAAAAAGTAACTTTTTGGATAGAATGCGTTTTTCATGAAATATAAGCAAAAAAATTTAGTACACCGCGTCCCAAAGTAAAATATAGGTTGGCACTAATTTCGGGCGAGAATTATATTCTTAATAAAATATAATCTGAAACAAATTGACTTGTATGCAGTATTGTCAAAGTTAGTCATAAAAATTAAATAGTGAATAACTCCTCCAATAATTGAGTTATCGATCACTAACTTATTTCATTCGGCTCCTAATCCGATCTTAGGTGTACTGACGCCAGTTTCCCCAAAAAAAACCTACATTTGAACACTTTATACTTCGTTGAAAAATTGCACGAACACATTATATGGGAAGATAATCAATATTTAGACCTAATGTAACAACTTTTGGAATAGCTGATTCAGCTCATTTCACTGCAAAATAGTTTCTATAACGTTTTCAAGATGCAGAATTGCTTTTGAAAATGTTGTAAAAATTTCGATTTACTTTTCAAAAATTAATATTGCAAATTTGAATACCTTATCACTAAAAATAGAAGGGCTTATCAAAGTAAGGGATCTACAAAGTAGGATTGTTACATTATGTTTTAATTTCATTATTTAATGTGGTGTCAGGTTTTTCATGAGGTCAATTTATTCAAATTCCCCCCACAATTAAGAGAAAATCGAAATTTCTCACTTTTGTGGAATGGAACTATATTCTAATCCAGCACCTTAATTTGACGTATAGTATATATATTTCGTATTTTATTTGAAGTTTATGGACTTGAATTGTAGTATAAATAGTTTTTGCAAAATTCTTGTGTGGTGAAAAGGGGTCAAAAATTCAACTTGAAAAAAAATATTTGAAATCGTGAATTTCAAGTATAAGAGCTATACAATTCAGAGCTATTGATTATATCAAATTATTCTATATCTCGTAAGCATGTTGAGTTCATCTCATGTAAGCTAATAATTTTAGTACACGTCGCCTTGATTCTTGGGCGAGAAATAATCTTGTCGCTCCACTTATCATCGCATTGAGAAAAAATTAATTAATTTGCGCTGTTTTACTGAAGCGTGATTTTATATATTATACATTTAAATCATTATCAAAATCACCAAAAATATTAAAAATTCTCATTAAATCATCATTTGATTTTACAGGATCTATAATTTCATCACCTAAATTATGTAAATTATTAAAAATATTCTCATCATCAAAAAATGATAAATAATTATTACTAAATAAACTATTATCATCAAATATATTCGTTTGTTGTCTTCTTTCATTTTTTAATTTTGTTTGTTCTTGTTTAGCTAATCTAAATTCACCACATAATTTAACTAAATGTTGTAATTCAGCAACTGTGAAAAATTCAATCATATTTGTGCCTTGATGGAAAAACAGTTGATCACTAATTGCTTTTTCAAAAAATACATCAGGATTTTCAACACATTGTCTAAGAACTATAAATGTAATTATATAAATTCTATATGAATTAAGATATGTTCTTGATAATTTTCTAAAATTTCCAACAAATAATTCAGCTTCTACTAAAATCATGGTAAATAAATTATCAATAACTTCTAATCTTGGTATTGAACTTGGTTCTTTAAATACTTTAAATGAAAGATCTTTCTTTTGATGTAATAATCTAACAAAAAAACTTTGTAAAAAACTATGAGTTTTTATCATGTATCTTTCATTTATTGATGTTAAATAATAATCAAAATTTTTCCCAAATATTTCCACTGAATTATCAAGTACATAGGATATTATATAAACTAATTGAACAACTGATTTAATATATATCTTGAATAATTCAATTCCTGCATTCATTGATGGTGTTTGAGATTCATTATATTCGTTTTCATAATGAATTGCAATCATATAATACATTCCAGATAAATTGGTTCTTAATTGAATAAAAATACAATATTTATATACTTTCAATAAATCATATTCAGAAGCTGGTTTCATAATTTCATCTTTAAAAAAATCTTTACCAAAAAAATCAAAAAAAATCTTTTCCAAGTGATTTGTTTCTTTTAAAATTTCAATAACTTTTGGTTTCAAATTGACATTTGTTATTTTATTTACAATTCTTCGATAGCATTGAGTAATTTCATTTAGATGTTGTAAAATGTTAAAGTCAGAATCTGGGATTCTAACGTCGGAGATTTGGAGATTAATATTTAATGACGTACAATTATGAAGGCACGTCATTGCATCCATTATCGATAGGTACCACCATAAATTCCTCCAACTTTTAATTAAAGTTGGATTGTTGCTAATTATCTCCGTGTATTGGGTAGGATCCCTATTCAATCCAATGGAGAGGGCATGTTTTATGGTGGTACCTAATAATATTTGTGAATCTGCTCCACTTACTCCATTCAGATCGTCTGGTGCAATACTTTTGTAATGATATAATAATGTTAAAAGTTGAACCATTTTAAATGTACTTTTTGAAACTATAGTATCTCTAATACATAAATCAACAATTTTTAAATAATCTTGTGATGAAATAGTATGAACATCTTCGATAATGCTAATTTCATCGTCAGAATAATTATTATGAGCACTATCATTATGAATTAAAGTTAAATATCCCAATCTTAAAATTAATAATAAAATCCCAACTACTTTCAAATCATTATCATTTTTAATAATTAATTCATCAAAATATTCTTTTTTAAAACTCGGAAAATTTTTGAATAATCCATTAACTTCAACTATTAAAGAATGTTCATCAATTATTGGTACAAATGGTGAAACATACTTGAAAAATCGACAAAATAATTGAAAAGTGTTAATTTTATTTGGTAATAAATCTAATACTATCTTTCCAACTAATTGATAATAATCAGGTGCATATTTTGATGGAAACAGAGTTGGAATTTTCCTTTCTTTTTTACTATTTGGTGAATTAATAATTTCTTCAACTTTATCTGGAGTAAATGTTGGGGTAAAATTTAATGGACTTAACGGACTTGTACCTGAACTTGTTCTTGGTTTTTTATTTGAATAAACACTTCCACTTGAATTTTTCCTCTTTCTTGTTGTATCAGATTTAATAAATTTAGTCATTTCACCAGCTTTAAATAAATGAACAACAAAATTTCTTAGTATAGTAATAAATGGATCACTTTTAGTAGACCCTATATATGATAATGTACCTTGTTGTTGCCAATATGGACCTTCTAAAAATAATGAAAAACTTGCATTGGTGAAAACATCCATTCTATCTTCTGGATTGACTTGTAATGAACTATTACTACCTAAGGGTATTGCAACTAAACTATTTGAAGCAAAATCACTTGGAGTTTTTAAAGAATAAGATGATGGTGACAGTATAGGATCTCTTGGTGAAAAATCTATAGATTTTAATTTAATTGGTGGTGGTTGTGGTGGTTGTGGAGCAGTTGGAGGTTGTGGTAATGGAATTGAATATGAACGATAAGTTAAAGGAGGCATTCTATAATTTTGAGGACTCAGATATTGAGGACTTTGATATTGAGGACTTTGATATTGAGGACTTTGTATAAAATCATAAGGAGTATGAGGATGAGAAGGTGGAGGTGGTAGATGATGTGGGATATAATCATATACTGGTTGTTGTTGTTGTTGTTGTTGTTGTTGTTGCTTTGACTCTTTATAAAAACATAAATGAGCAATTGATTTTTTAATACAAGAACCACAAACAGGTCTAACTCTATCACATTTTGATTTTCTTTTACGACATACAGAACATGAAGCAGGTATTCTATTTCTTTTTTTACCTGCGGGTGGTTGTTCTTTTGAATCCATTTGTTGATGTTTATTTTTTTCTGCGAGAAATTCAACAGAAGGGGTCCAAATGTTGATACTATTCTTCTTAACAACGGTATTAGCTCAGATTAAACCAGATGGTGTTAAATGGCAAGATTGGCATATGTTACAAGAACATGGTATAGAACAATATGATGCTAAATTATTTTTCAATCTTCATGATTTAGATGGTAATGGTAAATGGGATAGAAATGATATTTTAAATCTTTATGGTTTAGTTCACTCTACAATTATTGGTGATGGTTCCGGTATGGGATCAAGTAATATAAAAGTTACTAGTGATCTACAAGATGATGTTGTTAATAAATTTTTTGAAATATTTGATAATAATAATGATCAAACAATTACAATTGATGAATTTGAATCATTTCATAATCAAGGTAATGAATTACCAGATTTTGGTTATGGATCTGGACATCATTTGAATTTTGAAGATGAATACGAAGAACATCATTGGAATGAATATCATAAAGATCAAGATCCGGATGTTTTAATTAAACATAAAGAAGATATTGAACATGAATTATTACATCATAAACAAGAAATGGAAGATAGTCATGAATTATCAAATGTAAGAGATTATACAAAACAATTTTTATCAAATATAAGATTAAATAATTTATGTAGTAAATATTTAATTTAAAGTATTAAAAGCACATTTCCTTAAATCTTTTAATTCAAATTTACAGTCTTTATTAATTCTTAAACAAGCATCATAAGCTTGTAATTTACCGAAACATTCACCTTGAATTTTTTGAAATGATGGAACACTAGTTTTAATACATTTCGTTAATTCAAATTGTTGTTGATTACAGTTTTCATCACTTGACATACATTGATGAAATGATAAAAATTGTTGAGGACAATTTCTTGCAATGTCTTCTAATAATATTTGATCTAATAATCCACTTTTCATTGTGAGAAAAAAAATAAGATGCACCAAGGGATTAAAACAACACTCATCACTTTAACATGGTTTCCTGTATTATATACATTCACAAATCATATTATACAACCTTATTGTATCAATGGTTTTAGTATGACACCTACCTTTAATAATAATGACATTGTATTGGTTAAAAAATATAATATGAAATCATCAAATTTAACAAAAGGTGATATAATAATGTTTAGAAGTCCCGAAAATCCAGAAAAATTATTAACTAAACGAATAAAAGGTTTACAAAACGAAATAATTATACCAAAGAAAGATTATCCAAAAAATCAAGTGAAAATACCAAGAAATCATCTTTGGGTTGAAGGTGATAATGAATTTCATTCAATAGATTCTAATAAATTTGGACCAATAAGTCAAGGATTAGTGGTGGGTAAAGTATTAAGTGTTATATGGCCATTGAATAGAATAGGAGTAGATTTAGAATATAGATGAAATAAGTTTATGATTAAATATACGAAATCTTATCAAAAAGGTGACAGATTGATATTAGTGCTACATTCGATACTGTTAATGCTTGTTTAAACCATTTTGATTAACTTGTTGGGTTTAATAAACTACACTTGTAAGAAATTCACCTATTCGATAAGAATAAAAGCTTTCACGTGACCGCCTAATTAGGTAATTCGCACCGTGTTTCAGAATTTTACGAGTGCGAGCGCAATTAAAAGAGAGTATATTGACTTTTCTGATATTGAATTGAATGATTTTAGAATTATTGAATTTGTATCTCATGCTAATTTTGACAATCTATCATATTTTAATTTAAGGAATTCGGTAAAGCATTTACAAATTGACAAACCTAAAAGTCATAACCTGATTATATTTATTCAGACCAGAATACTTGGGAGAGTGTAGAATTTCTGTATGGTCACCTTACAGATTTAAACCTAATGCTCAAAAGATGCATCAATTTAAAATATTTAACACTTTATGGAACTTTAACAGATATAGATTCTGGGTCAACATTGTATCTTCCAATGTCATTACATACACTATACACAAGTTATTTTTATGCAATTGATTTGACGAATATTCAAAATTGCAATAATCTAACAAATTTAACTATATATTATACTCCCTTTAATTGGAACTTATATGATGGTATTCACTTTTCCAATTTAATAGATTCAACTACGATTTTGACAGCTATGGTATTATCCATCCATTAATATATGATCATGATGTTTATTTTCCAAATAATTTGTCTTTTATTAGTATTCGTAGTTCATTCAAATATTTTATCTTTAATGCTTCAGTTTGTTTTCCACCAAATGTCAAAACTTTACATTTAAAAGGACTCGAATTTTTAAATCAGCCGTCATTCCTAAGAATATTTCTGATTGCAAAATTACTGACTGTACATTAAATAGTGAAGATAATTATTATACGGATATAGGATTTAATTGCAAAAGTACATCACATTAAGCCAGATTTCTTTGTTTCAAGTAATTAAGTTTAAGATGAGATTTCTTGAAAAAATAATTGCTGATAACTTTTACACTTTGTCAAAACTTTTCTCCATTACCTAAGTCAATTCTACAAACTGTTATACAGAGCAGAATAGACTTATACTGGTAATTTAATGAAACACTACTATGCAAACTTCGGGGTTAATGAATTTAGCGTTTGCTAAAACGTCAGCGACACCGATTAGAAGTCAGTATTATTCTATTAACGCAGCAATTGGGAAAGATGGATTATTTGTGGAAAGTGAGTTAAAGAATATGAGTTTTAAACGAGAAATTGAACATTCGTGGTTAATATGCATATGGTAGCTCTAAAGGTTTTAGAATTTTGACACATATTTACAAGCGCGTGGAAATTAAACAACATGTATATATATTATAACTGAACGTTTAAATACCAGCATATCTAACCTAAATTCAGCTAGACTGATGCTTGATCAACTCCAAATTTCTTTCCTTTCTCTAAAGAATCGTCTTCACTTCCAGTAGTAGCATTAATTTCAAGTTTTCCTTGATCACCTAATTTGCTTATATCAAAATTGTTTGCTTGCAAGTAATTAATAAACTCTCTATCTTCATGATTAATAGCATCTTGACCAATATTAGGTAAGAAGAATAATGCTAAACATCCACTTACACAACAAAGACCTGCAGATATATAAAATGGAACTTGAAGTTCTAGATCAGGTTTATCTGGATTTTTATAATGTTTTTGAATTGCTGGGAATACATAACTACCCACAAATGATCCAATTTTCCCAATTGCTGCGCTAATGGAGTAATACTGGCCTCTAATTGGAGTTGCTGATGTTTTAGACGCTATTAAACCAATATTATTACCTAAAAAAAAGTTAGTAAGAAAACACAAATATAAATGAAGGACGATTGAATACAAACCTGGTCCGAACTCCCCTAATGTAGAAAAGATTCCAAATACAACCACAAACCCAGCTATATGTTTCTTCAAGTCAGCTAAACGTGCACTCATAGCGAAACCTATTACAGCTTGACAAAGAACGCCAACAGCTAGGGTAAGTCTAGGGCCGAAATAATCAGCTGCGAATGCTCCTAAGAAACTTCCTGGCAAGTAAAACACATTAAATACGATATTCCACCCAAAGGTCTTCCATACTACAATTTAAAGTTAGTATTAATAGCTCCTTGTGATCTAATAGGCACATTGATAAAATGACTAAGTTAGTAATGTCAAAACAATGAATGAATGTATAACAAGCTTGAAGTGGTGTGAAACATTACTACTATTATCCCTTAAAATAATTTTAATATGGCGCTACCGGGTTGCAGATAATCAGAAATTAATACATACTTGGTGCATCTGGAATGATTTCATCAATTATAATAGTACTGAAATTACCAAATGAATAAACTGAAAAATCGTAAATAAACCAAATCAATGAAACAATAATAATCCGAAACCAATAAAATTTTATTATCAACATCCATGGGTAGTCTCTATAACGAACATTTTTCATGTTGGTTTTCTTAAAGGACTTGGAATCACTCATTTTCAATCTAAGGAAGAATAAAATCAATGGAGGAATCACACCCAATCCTATCGTAACTCTCCACAAAGCTCTAAGATGTCTGTCAGTAAAAATCCAAATCAAAACGAATGGTACGAATGATGACACAACAAAACCGAAGTCTATCATGAAATTAGTAAACATTGAAAAGTACCTGTTTCTATGACCAGCAGGTAATTGATTTGCAAATTCTGACGCAATTACAGAAGAAGTTGGATATTCAGCACCAATACCAACCCCCATAAAGAAACGCCACACTGTGATAGCAGCAAATTGACCCTGTACGGTTACACCCCAACTACCAACTGCACACATAAGTGTAAAAAATATAAGCATAATGTTAGCTGCCATCATACCTCCTTTTCTAGCGATTCTATCTGATATATAACCAAATGATAATTGACCAACAACAATTCCAACAAAAGCAATAGCCGCAATATTGGACATAGCTCTAGATTCAGTAAATTCATCACCATAGATTCTTCGCAAACAAAACAAAATTGTAGAAGCTGAGTTATTTATGTAACCTTCCAGGAAAAGTCCACTTCCTGCACAAAATGCAGGCCATAGGTTCTTAACTCTGACCTTGGTCTCTACTTCATCATCACTATCCAATAATTCATCATTTTCAATCAATTCTTGCTTCTTTTTGAAAATTGTAATTTCATTTGGAATTCGTCTTGCCCAACCTGTAGTTAATTCTGTAAAATTATGGGGCAAATCTCTTGTAGCCATGATTGATTTTAAACTTCTATACTAAAGAAAATTAACTAATATGCAAAAATGTAGATTTTGAATAATATTAAGGGTAATTAGCGACAAAAATAAATCGAAGAATACCAAGTTGATTTAAAAAAAAAACAGCAGTAAAATATCTGTTCAAAAAGTTTCTAGTTTATTGTAATAATTGAACCAATTGATAATGAAGACTTCTTTACAATGGGAACTCATTGATCTTTATATATGGCCCAATCTCAAAAAAAAAAAAAAAATAAATAAAAAAATAAAATAAAAAAAAATTAATAAATCACAAATTAGATTTTAGAATATTAATTAAACTCAAAGAATGTTATGTACCTCTGTTAATCATATATTCTTCTACCTTTGTTTAGAAACTTCCATCAACAATGTAATTATTAAAGTCACTATAATTATAATTAACATTTGAATTACGATTTGACATGCCAAGGTTCAAGAAAAAATATTCTATAAATAAATGCGACACATAACATTGAATTGTTTAATAGAAAAAGAGAATCAACTTTGTAAGCTTTGAATATGGCTTAACCTTATCAAGATTCAAAACCATAATTAATTAAAGAAACGTGGTTAAATTACTCGTGCGTGAGCTTTCGAACGTTGCTATTGTGGTACTACAGGAGCCTTGCGATCCAATCTAATAAATTCGGTAGTAAACTTTAATTATTACCCGATTTGTTTGTGTTGCATTTTCTTAGGCTGCAAAAAAAAAAACGGTAGCGATAAAATTTTACAACCATTACGATAATTTATTTACTCAAAAGACCAATGTTTAAAATTATCGTCTTTATAGTTAATTGGCTAATTTTCATGTTAAAGTATTAAAGTATTCTTATAAAATTGATCTTTCATCTGCACAATAACGTAAGCTTATCTTATGTACACGCGGCTATTGTCTCCATTTAATTGTATTGTATCCTAAATGAAGCAATAAATTACTCTCACAAGAATCAATATAAATTATTCTCTTCTTCAATTAATAGGAGTAGGCTTTAAAGTAAAGATCTAATTGATTTATTGATTTATTGATTTATTGATTTATTCTACGTAACAGAAACTAAATTACGAATTAGTTGAAGCGCAATTGCGAATTGTAACGTAAAACGTGTATTAAAAAACGTGGATTGTCTTTATCTCCATTCAATCGTATATTTTAAAGTATCATTAGCTTTAAATGGTACAACTTCAATAGATCCATTTCCTATAACAGCAGGTACTTTATTATCCCTTTTAATCAACCAAACAGCTTGTTTATGTTTTTCCAATTCTTTTGTTAAACCATAAAATTTAATACCATTCTCACTAACAAATTTTTTTAAATTTTCCAACTTTCCTTGTTTATCAAATATTTCTGCAACATAACTAATTGCATTATTTTGTGTATAAACACCAGCACAAACACCGACATGTTGTTGTTTAGCATGGATAGGATGTGGTGCACTATCTGAACCGAAAAAAAACCAAGGTTCACCATTAGTTGCAGCTTCAATTAATGCTTTTCTATCATTTTGAAATTTTGCAACTGGTTTACAAAAATTTATTGGATTACCAGCCCAATTATCAATTATTAAATATAAGTGATGAGCTGTTATAGTTGCAGCTATTGTGCCTTTACCGTCTTTATTCAATTCACGTATTAAATTTATAGATTCAGCTGTTGTACAATGTTCTAAAATAATTTTTAAATTTGGAAAATCTTGATGTAATTTTTTAAGGGCAGGTAAAAATCTTGGTTCAGCATTAATAACATTAATATCATCATTATCAGATCCTGGTTTTTCACCATGAATATTTAAAACTAAATTATTTCTTTCCATAGCTTCAAAAATTGGATAAAAAGATGAAAAATCATTTGGATCAACCCCGTATTTTGAATTTGTTGTAACACCAGCTGGATAACATTTAATACCATGAATTAAATCTTTACATTCATCTATAAGTTCTGGAGTTAGTTCCTTACAAAGATATAACGACATTAGAAATGTTGTTTTTGAAGATAAAATATCTAATTTACGATGGTATTCTTCAACTTGCTTTTTAGTTGTAATTGGAGGAACCAAATTCGGCATGACATAAGCTATAGCTACACCACCTTGTCTAACAGTTGGTGTTATTAATTCACACATTGAACCATCACGTAAATGGACGTGGAAATCAGCTGTAATACCTAAATTAATTGGTTCCATTTGATAATTGTTTCAGATTTGGAAAAAAAAAAAAACGAAAAAAAAAAAATTTGATCCAAATTACGATGGTGAGTATTTGAGATTGATTTAATTTACTAATGGTTTATTGATTAATGGTTGGATCAAGATTAGGGTCCCTTTGTTAAATTTTAGAAACTAGATTTAATAAATCAATTTTAGGATTGATCTAGATCATTAAATCCGAAAGATGAGGCTGCTTTTTTTTATATTGTTGTTGTTCCAATTCCAAAGACAAAATTTGGGAGTTAACTGAAATCCTGATGTCAAATTCTTTGGTAGTGAAGCTGAAAAATTAGAAAAAGGTGCAATTATGGCTCACAGAAAATTTAGAATTATTACTTCGTTGCAAAAAATGAAATATTTTAGCTTGGAAGAAAAAGAAACTACTGAGTTTTTATGGAAAGCTTATCCAGAACTTCAATTTTGTTATCTTGATGAAGAAGTTGATGAAAAAACTAGTGGAAATTGTTTATATTAAGCATTAGTTGATGGTAGTTGTATCATTTAAGAAACATTGAAAGAGAGCCAAAATATAGAATTAGATTATCAGGAAATCCAATTTTAGGCGATCGTAAAGCTGAAATTCAAAATCATTCTTTGAGCCTTTCCAGAGGTAAAAATGTTCCATTAGTTGACGCAAATCAAGATAAATATTTGGAAGAATGTTTGAAGAATAAAAGTATTTTAGCTGTGATTGAAGAACCATTAGATCCTTATGTTAATACCTTAGAAGACAAATCTGTAGTTAACTTTTGTATTAGATACGTAAAGTATCAAGTATTTATGAATACAGATCTACAACCAGATGCATGATGCATACTATTTAAATTAGTTGAGTAATAATTGATGACTTCTATGTTGTATTATAAGTAGTAAATAGATGACTTGTATGTTGTATTATAAGTAATACAGGATATTCAAAAACTAATCATGGAATTGAGTCTAGTATTAAATTTTGCTGATATAACTACTTATCAATTGATGAAAGGTAGGTGTGTGTTGTTGTCAAGTTATGTCAATGAGTGATTACATAGTTCTAGTTTATCAAAAATTATCCATCTTCACTCCTCATCAAGCTTTTCCCACGTTACTTATAAATTCCTTTAAATATTAGAGTAACTGAAGTTGAAAAGAATAGTTATACAATGAGTAAATTAATTTTTACATTTGAGAAAACCATATAGCAATACCTCAAGTGAGACAATTTCAAGTTCAAACTTGATTCTACATAAATCAAGGCATATCAGTATATATTCATACTACATCAAATCTCTGTCAAGTACTTTTTTAATTTCATTTGGTTCTGGACCAACAACTTTATCAACAATTTTACCCTTTTTAAAAAATAAAGTAGTAGGAATTGAAGAAACAGCATAATCATCAGCCAATTCTTTATCTTCATCAATGTTAACTTTATAGAATCTAAAATTTTTATCTTCATACATATCTGAAAACTCATCTAATTTTTGATTCATATTTGTACAATGAGTACAACTATCAAAGAAATCTAAAATAATCATATCTTGATCATTCTGTAAAGCAGAAGAGAACTGTTGACTTGATTGAATGTTTTGTAACATGTTTAATTTTGCAACTATTTTTTGCATCTATTTTCGCATCTTTTATAATCAAATCTGTGAAAATATGTATTTTCCTTAAAACATATTAATACATCAAGTATCCTTAATGGGTTCAGTATTTTTACCACATTTAAACACTGCTTGGCACGTTGATCAAGCTATATTATCAGAAGATGATAGATTAGTTATAATTAGATTTGGTAGAGAAGAGGAAAGTCAATGTATGATTATTGATGAATTATTATTTTCAATATCAGAAAAGATTAAAAATTTTGGTGTTATATATTTAGTTAATCTTGATAAAGTACCTGATTTTAATCAAATGTATGAATTGGATGAAGATCCATTTTGTTTAATGTTTTTTTATAGAAATAAACATATGATGTGTGATTTTGGAACTGGTAATAATAATAAACTAAATTTTATGATTTATGATAAACAAGAATTAATTGATATAATTGAAACAATTTATAGAGGTGCAAGAAAAGGTAAAGGTCTAGTTATAAGTCCAAAAGATTATAGTCGAAATATATATTAATTATCTTCATTTTGAGCATAAAAGAAATTAACACTTAATAATTTTGAATTTGGAGCGTTTTTCTTAATCCAATCTCTAACTCCACTACTTGGTATACCTGTACCCCAATTTGGTCTATCTTTTGGAGCTTTTAAATCTTTTACATTTGGATCTTGTTTATATAATAAAAATACATAACGATGTTTACCAGTTTTAGGAGGAGGAGCTGGACCATTATATTCAACTAATTCATTACCATCTTTTGCAAGAATAAAGTGACTAATATCTTGGTTATTATTTTGATCATGATTTAATTTTAAATCAGTAACTAGCCAATGTAAATATTCACTCCATTTATGATCAGATGCAGATGGTGCATCAGGATCAGTCATAACCAATATAAATTTATCATCTTTATCAATTGATTCAATTTTACCATCTTGAGTTGGAGAATTTAAAGTTAATTGAATTTTTGGAACAGATTGAGTTGCCTCGACTGAAAGAAGATTACCTAAACTAACCATATGATTCTCTTTGAATTCTATCAGTAATAAACCTTGTGTATCAAATTGATCAATAACTTCTGGTACAACTTTATGTTTAGTATAAGATTCATCTAATGATTGTGAAATTGTAATTAAAGTCATTTTTGATTGAAAATTATTATAAAATTTTGGTAGTTTATTAAAATAAGGTTGTCTATAAGTGAAAAATTGTCTTTTAATTATATTAATTGAACAATTCTTCATTAAATTGAAAAAGAAGAAAAATTGTAAAAATTATAAAATGGGAAAATTAAATTGCTTTTATAGTTTTTTGAAATCGGCAAATTAAGGGATAATTACATAACAGCTGCTACTTCGTATTATGTAATGGTTTTTGTCGTATTTTTATGGGGGTAATTGAGAATACTACACTACCACCCCTAAATTTGATCAATTATTACAATATCTTTAACTACGTTTTTTTGATCACTACTTGTCTTAGAAAAGGTAAAGGTTAGATCTGCTTATTTGATCTGTTTATTTGAGCATCTTACATTTTAAAGTGTACAAAAATAATGCACATGGTAGCTCTATGGTTTTCTTAAGTAAATTTATAAAGCGAACCGGAAATTTTCAACTTTGTGAAACATCAAACTAAGATGGATAATGATTTTATCAATCCAGATTTTCATCCTGTAGTGGATGAAGCAGAACTACTTGCTGCTCAGGCTGCTGCTGAAGCTGCTGCTGCTGCTCAACAACAAGAACCAGGAGATGTTTTTCATAATGTTGCCCAAGGTTTAAATGGTAAACATAGAGATATGATGATGCAATATTGGCAAGAAACTATAAATTCAATAGAACATGATGAACATGATTTTAAAAATCACCAATTACCATTAGCAAGAATTAAAAAAGTTATGAAAACTGATGATCAGGTTAGAATGATAAGTGCGGAAGCTCCAATTTTATTTGCAAAAGGTAGTGAAATTTTTATAACTGAATTAACAAAACGTGCTTGGATTCATGCCGAAGAGAATAAAAGAAGAACTTTACAAAAGTCTGATATTGCAGCTGCTTTAACGAAAAGCGATATGTTTGATTTTTTAATTGATGTTGTTCCTAGAGAAGAAGAAAAACCAAAAAAATCTTATAATTCAAGATCAAATAGTTATCAAGATTCAAAAGGTATAAAAGTAGAATCACAAGAAGATGTTGGTAATATACCCCTTGATCAAGATCCAAATATGATAGGTTATGATGTATAATATATAATAATTAATGATAACTAGAATTCTGGTAACTTTAATGGACGGCGATTTTTTAATTTCATCAATAGTAATCACATCTGCTTTTTTTTAAATCTACTGGACCAGATCTTCTGATAACAATTTCCAACAGGTTCATATTTTTTGGTAAATTAAATTTGTGCACAATTTGTAAATCAATTGAATGAATTCTTAACCTATCTAAACTATCTGGAAATTCAATATCAAAAAAATATTGCTAGTGTATATCCAAGTATAATGCAAACCCCTTCAAATCTTGAGTAAAGGAAAATCTTAAGTTTAATGTACCCTTTTCCTGATGTTGTTAGCTCTTCAAATGTACCTGAAAATGCAGCTAATTTGCAGCATTCGTATTTGCTAAGCCTTTATAGTTTTCCGCAAAATATTCAATCTCATTATGAGAACAAAATCGAAACTTATTTAGGTATGACATCATTGATTTGGTTACTTCAATTGGAAAAGTTGTTCCGTTCAAGTGATATTAAATTAGGGAGATAATTAGCTGCAGTATAATCAAGTAAATTAGAACAAATAAGAAAGTTCAATTCGTTAATGGTTTTCGGTGATACAAGTTCTGACACACTCTTAATTTCAGTTCGAATCTGTAGAATTTCCAAGCTTTTAAACTGAGTGACAAATTTGGAAAAGTTCAGATTCGAATGCACTCCAGCACGTAAAGTTGTAAAATTATATGGGACTTAAATTTCCATTTGATCAGGAAAATGTGTGGCAATTATGTCGAGGTATAATAAACATGATGGTAAAGTCGTAAGTAAGGATATGTCATCTAAAGAATATTCGTCAGCATTATCTACAGTAAACTTTGTCAAATTCTCAAAACACCTCAAGTTTAAAACGTTATTTACTCTGTAAATATGCATTTCTTTTATTAATTTCAAAGATTTGACAATTCCCTGACAAATTCTTCATCTAAATCCCAAATCTCAATACTGTGTATTTTAACTGGGAGCATTGTTTCATACTCTCCAAGGTGGAAAGCAATATCCTCTATGAAAAATCCACCTACCTCTTATCCAAAGTTGAATGTAACATCAGACAACATTGGGTCTAAGCAAAAATCAGAAAGCTTTTGATAATTTTCACAATCTCTTCAATATCCAATTGTTCTGGGACTCTGTCATATAATTCAATCATAGCAAATAATCCTTCTTCAATTTCGACCAAGACACCATTAAAGCTTGAATATGGCAGCAAAGCATGATCTTTAATATTCATCCTTTTAAAAAATACAGATACAACAATATCTTCAATCCTTTTTAAACTCAAAATCTCTTTAAGCTATTTTTTAGGAACATGATCAATAATCATATAAATAATTTCAGTAGGTCAACATTCAATAGTTAATTAATTAAACGTTGACGCAAAGCTAAAAATTGGTGATGCACTCTATTGTCATTACCCAATTTAGATAGTTAAGGGACAGATACACGAGATCAAATTATAAATATAAGCGACATGCATATCCTAAAAACAATTCACGTATAATCTTCTAAATCTCTATCTAATTCTTTACAACAACTTTTTCATCAAATCTAACTGATTTCCTACGTTCATTATTCATTTCAGGTTCAATTTCAAATTCTTGCTCATTATTTTTCAACATATTTCTAATATCATTCACATTTGGACGTAAATCTGATTTACATTTATCACAAGCACATATAAACCCCCAATTTACTCTTAATTCACGTTGTCTTTGATTTACAGTATGACTTGGATTAATATATGTAGTAGTTAATTCTTCTCCAGCTTTAATATTTTTATTTGCAATTACTTTCAAACCAGACCTATCAGTTTCAGTTTCAACATTTGTATTTGGATTACAATTATGATTTAAATGAGACTGTACCAAATAAACATTTGAATCTAGATTATTAATATTATATGTCCCCATCATGTATAAATATTCTTTATAATCAATTGGATTTTTGGGAAATACTTTTAAAAATTTTTCAAATCCTTCTTTCCATAATGTTTCTTGTTGTTCTTGTACGAATAATGCTCCACCACTCATGTTATCAAATGAACCAGCAGATGAATTTAATGCTTTATATCTAATATCTTGACTTACTCGAGCCATTGCACCAAACTGTTTTTGTTTTGCACCTGTTTTATCTATTAAAATATTAGAATATATTAATGTAATTGCATATAAAGCATTCCAAGTTTCATTTAAACAATATTCTTGTAATTCAAGAAATGCATCTGCATTAACAATTGTACTTTTTTTACCATATACATTATGTTTTAATAAATTATGTAATTCATTCAGTTGTTTACAATTCTTTGAGCACCAAGTTTCATTACATACATGACAATCTAATCCTTTTAATAAAGTTTTAGTTTCATTTAATAATTTTCCACAATATGCACAAGCAGATCCATGTTGGATTAATTTAACATTCGCTAACAGTGGAATGAAAAATAATGGAGCTTCTTGCCATATTACTTCACCTTTTAGTATATCTTTCTTGGCATATAATCCTTTACCTCTTTTTGATGTCATTTGAATTTGTACTTTTGATGGTAATTGCAAATCTGGTGTTAATTGTGATTTAATGTCTTTTGCATATGTAAATTGTTCTTGATTATTCAATAAACCAAACTGTTTTAATAACTTTTTAACTCGTTTTTCATTAACTGACCAATTTGGATGTTTATTTTTAACAAGTTTATGTAATTTTGGAACACTAAAGTTTTCAGTAGATGGATCTTCTTTCCATATTGATATAACACAATCAACAACTTGTCTTTCATGCGGTACTATTGGACCTTCCTCTGGTTGTGAATCATTTATTGATATCACTTCTAATTTTGAAGATATTTCAGCCATGGCTAAAAAAAGAAAAAAAAAAAAATTGATCCGAATCCCGTTAAGGTCGTAAGAGTAATTTGACTAGCTGAAAAATAAAAGAAGCAAAAAGTTGTATAATTGCAAGTGGGTAAAAGTGGAAGCTGATATCAAAATATTGGGGTAAATGTTAAAAGAGATATGTTTGGTTACTTCAAAGTGTCAAAATTAATGGCTGCAACTTATATCAAGATCCCAGATTCCAGGTCCGAAAATAAAAAGATATTAGTGAATAGCTCTTTTTGAACAACATTTGTTTTTGTTGAGTACTCTCCAGTTATATTTTATATTGGTATGTTTCAATTGTTTTCAGGCTAATAAGATTCAATAGTTTCAAGTTTTAAAGCGAATTTTTTTAAAAATCGGAAATTCTGTTATTTTTGTTATGGGAGTTCTACAGCCCCAAATAGTTGAAGATTGACATTTGAAAGTACAAATATATAGCCTAAGTATTACTTTAAACAGCTGAAGCATAATAACTTTGGTAATGAATGTAGGAGAAACACCTAAAGGTGTTTCAAAAGTCAGGCATATATTAAATGGACTGTTCGCTTAATCGAGAACTATCTGGCATACTTTGTCAGGACAGCTTGGTACTATCCGATGTAGTGTAACGGCTATCACGGTTCGCTTTCACCGAGCAGACCGGGGTTCGACTCCCCGCATTGGAGTTTAATTTTTTTTTTTTGTGTTTTACAATTTGGTAACTGAATTATATACAGTATTAGCACCTTGTAATTGCAAAATTTAACTTGTAAATAACTCTCTTATACTCCAGCTTTGATTCTTAAACTTAACTCATGAGAATATCCAAGTCGTTGGTAGTATTATAATGTTAAGTTACTGAAAAGAGATATGATTTTTCTCGTCAAATTTATCGTTTGAAAAATGATGAAACAGGGTCTAATTGTGAAATGATCAACATTTAAACCTAGTTTTGCAACTCTTAATATACTTGATTTCTTTATTTAACTTCAAAGACCCCAAAATTTATGCCTATAAGACGCCATAATCAAAACTCTTTTGTGTACCTTAACACAAGAATGACCAAGCTATAGAGTGCAGATCTACAGATCTAACTAATTTTATCATGTTCAAATTTGAATAATAAAAGTAGAACTAATTATTTTTTGTTAGGTCAATTTATTCGAATTTCCTTATACTTAAAGAGAAAATTTTAAAATTTTGCAATTTTAGTTCTGAGTAGCTAGAATTAAGTCCAGGTCCAGCATCATTAACTGAGGTATAGTATGTATAATTTGTCGTTTATTTAAAGGTCATGGACCTAAATGAAATGATACATAAATTTACATTTTTCGAAAAATTTTTGTATGGTGAAAAAACGCCAAAATTTCAACTTCAAAAAAAAAATGTTTGAATTTTAACATCAAAGGTATATTAAGTGTATATTTCAAGGCTCCTTATTTGATTTAATTGGTTCATACTAGGTGAGAATTTGAGGTTTGTGACATATAAGCCAATATGCTTAGTTCGAGGTCGCCCTGGAGCTTGCGCGAGAACCTTTTGTCGCACCGATTCAATTGGCTGTCACAATCAAACACGATATTTAATGAATACACAGTTGAATTAAGACAAATGTTCTCAAATCTATCACATTTTCTGTTACATAAAGCACGTGCTATCAGGATATAAATTCAAATTGCAGCGGCTGTCTAGTTTTAGCTAAAAACTTTAAAATCTGTAAACTAATTATTCGAATTTTTATGATAATTAGATGGTCATTTTAACATCTTAGTATCTGTATATTTACTTGAATTTCTTTGTTAACATTTTGTGATCAAATTAATTGAATAATACTCAGGCAAGAAATCTAGATCATTAGTGTTCGGTTAGATATTAGTTTGATCATTTGACTTATACAAATAAACTTCAACCTTTACTAAAATGACATCAACATGTGTAAAAGCTGACGATCCTTGAAATTCAGACTAGGCGAAGATGTTCCATTTCGATCTATCTCGGATCGAGAAGTATTACTAACTCCTATACTGCGATCTACAATTTTTAATTCTATTGTTCCAAAATTCAATGAAAAATTTTTTTTGGAGCGGCAAAAATAAGGTACAAAATTAGAGATAAGTCGTAATTACAACGCTCAAGTATTAAAGAAGCATTGAAAGTAATCAAAAGCATAATAAGTCCTAGGAAGGAACTTCTTAACTCGTTGTTCACTTTTTCTTCCCAGATTATCTCTTGATTCTATAATTTTCAATTGTTATGGCGTCAAAAAATTTTCAAATTTAAGTAATTCTGCATTATGCATCCAATAAATTGATAACGTCTAAAGTTTGAAAATTTTAATGCCAGTTGAAAGTACGTGTTTCTCAAGAATGTAAATATTATACCTCATTCATTGATTTTCAAAAGCTTAAATTTCACCAAATTAGAAAATTTGAAATGAATGATCATTGTTTTGCAATGAGTGCTTTTATGTTAATTCCACCACAACATCTACCGAAGAATAGAAATAAGTCTTTGAAGCTGTCAAATAGTCATCATTCAAATTTGGCTTTGGATTCATTCAATAATATTGATTCAATTTCAATTAAACAAGCATTTACACCGTTTGAAAGATCAAAAATTGAGTATAACTATCAAATTGAAAAATTACAGTCTTTGAAATGTTCAAATTTGAATAAGTCAATGAATACTACGTGGAATTCGTTGTTTACAACTAGCAATCTTGAAATGTTAAGGAATACATATTTTCATGAATCCAGAAACAATTCATTAGGTAAGGAATATACATACAGGAATGAATATGAATATCCAGAACCAAATATAGATATTAAACTGTTTACAATAAAAGACCTACTTTCAAGTAAACAGTTTTGGAACAACTGTTATCAAGATATAAAATTTGAAAATTTTCAATCAAGCTTCAATTACTACAACTATTTACCAAATTTAGAATCAATGAATATCTACAAAGAAATCATTACTTTTATTTTGCAAAACTTGAAAGTATTAAAACCAATTCCGTCAGACAATTTAGAAGACATCAAAAGACTACAAAAATATAATTATTTCTACTTTCAAGATTCATCTTTTGAGATTATGCAAGAATTTCAATTGAGTCATCAAAAGCTTTACAAAACTGAGAATTTACATGAATTGCATCAAAAGTTGATAAATTCCATGATTCAAAATTTCAAATTAACAATGAGAGAAGAAAAATTGTTGATTATATGGGAACAATTTTTACAATTTGTTTTATTTGAGTTATTAAGTGAAGATGATGAAAAGACATTAATAGATTTAGATTCACAAAGTACAGAATCTACAATTCTATATAAACCTTATATTCCAAATCCATTTGATCTAATATCTAATCATTATATACAACCAAAGATGAAACATACATCACAAACAAAATCAAAAATCAGTTTGTTCAAATGGTTCAGATTACGAAAAACAAAATTAGCCACAGAATAAGATAAAACACCGGACGAGTTGGTATATGTATTACTATTGCTATTATTATTACCAACAAAAATTTTAGCAGATTTGCAGTCAAATTTATCGAGACTGAACGGAAAGAAAAGGGACTCGTCGGAGACTTTAATTAGTTCGATATAAGACCGAAGATTGATCACCATGGAGTGATCTAGGATTTAGATATCCTTGAATTTGTAGAAATTTGTATAGCTAACAAAAAGTAGTGTACTGTTACTACATCTTAGATTTTGTGTAACTTATATACATGTTTTGATCTTGGCTCAAAAGAGATGATATAAAACTTGATTAGTGAATCTGTTCGATCATATATAACAACACTTGCGAAATTTTATCCACATGTTTACAATGGAACATGACCCGGATGGAATATGTTAATCGTAAGCGTGTGCAAGTAAAGGAGATGGACCTGAATTTCTTTTTCAAGAACATTTCTTTTCTTGGACCCTTTAAAAAGCTTATTTTGTAAATACCAACCAAGTCATCAGAAGTAATGAAGATCAGTCTACGAGGAGTAAGGAGTCATTTGGAAGTTGCTGGCAATTTATAAATAAATATAGACAAACAAACAAAAGTTCTACTGTACCTCGGGTAAACCTTTGTTTAATTAATCCGTTATATATGAAATTCCTCAAATTAGAACGGTTATGATTATAATCACTGTGGATTAAGTTCAACAACATAAGGCTTTATAAGTAGGGAGCTTGAAGAGAAATTATAATCTATTTAGAGAAGAAATTCTACAATCACTTTTTCTGGTAATATGTTGTAAACTAAAAATAGGCTAATAACTAAACTTTCACTCCTTAAATTTCTTACAATAGATTCGAACCTGTATAAGAATTGGTTTTGTGTTTAATTAACAATGTTTATTTATTGTTTATATATATTTTAAAAATAGTAATATTATGATAATGATGTAAGATTGATTAAATATCAGAGATTTTTTAATATTCATCGACGTTTTAGATTAAGAATATAAAAATCTGATGATATCTTCAACTTAATAATTAAAACATGATTCCTTCACCAAATTCAGATAGATCTTTATTAGAAGAACATCAGTTTTATTCAAAATTAGAAAATGAATATTCTCAATGTAATTTTGAATCAATAATAGATTCTATTTCAATTGATTTCAAAAATCTAACAAGTTTCGATTCTTTACTTAAAATTTTTATCATTATATCCATATTTGCATTATTATTTAAATTTATAAAGACTATGCGTAGAAAAAGATCAAATATAGAGAGGAAAGAAAGATTAAAAGCTATTAGTCCGGTATAAGTTTTCTGCATTCGTCATTTCACTTCGTTAATCTATGTTTAATATATATTATAATTTATTTGTTAACTTTAACATTTCTATATCCCAAATATTCCAATCATACCAAATTAAATTTGGAAATATTGTAATAAAATGCCATAATGAATGAGCATCAATATATCTTGCAATTGGAGGAAAATCATTAGTTTCTAAACTTATTCCAATGCATAGTATTAAATTGTTTAAAATGGGGATTAATGTTATCCATTTATTTGAAATTGATAAATAATTCAATTTGTTAAGTAATTTAGTTTCATAAGGTAGTAACTGAATTGAATTGTTATAAATTATATAATTCTTTTTATATTCTTTGTATACTTTTAATGAATGATAAATCCATAAAATCATTGCTGATATACCAACAACTATATTTATTTTCATATTATATGAATAGTCCCATTTGATTTGTAATTTAACAACATGAAGTAGATACAATAGTATCAATAGTATTTGCCATATTATAATCTTTTGCTTGTCAAACTTAAAAACTCTAACTGTAATTGCATTTAAATTTGATAGTATTATTGCAAATGCACCAAAATAATCTAATGTTTCAGTTAGCGAAGTATCTTTATAATGAAACAAGATACTAAATAACCATCCAATACAACTTATCCCTAGTAAAATCAAATATTGTTGATATAGAATTTTATATTCATTATCATTTCTTTTATATTGAAGATAGATTTTCTTAAAATTATTATAATTTACCAATAAATTACCAAATGAAAACAAGGTTGCAAAAAATTCTTGAGCTCCAAATAACCTTTTAAACGGCCATTTACCATAGAATTGTACAATTTTTAAACCTTTTTCAACACGTAAATTTGTTATATATTGTTGACAATAATAATTACAATTTTCATCACAAGTCCAAAATAAATATTCTGAAATCTTATCACAATCACAATTTATTAAACATGATTTAAATTCTGGTAAATTATCACCAATTGATGAAATAACTGGTGTTGCCAATAAAAATAAAATTATTCTTGACATTATATAATAATTTTTATTTTTCGCAATATCTATTTTCTATATAGTTTAGCTTGATAATCTATATAAATCACCGTAATTAGTCCAATAATTAATGAAATACCAATTAATATCAAATTAATAGGTATTGGGTTCATCTTAAAATATGTATGTGTTAATTCATCTAAATAGCTTTGACCATAATTGATAATACCACTAAAACATATTATTAAACCATAAACTGTACCAAACGTTTCAAACCCAAACACTTTTGCACATACATCTGATATTGTAGTATAAAATAATGGTCTATAACAAACAAATAAACACACTCCTAAAATTGCAATTGAAAAATTTGCAAATAAACCAAAAACTCCAATTAATATTGAAATGGTTAATAAACCTGAAAGAACTAAAACAGTTGAACAATTATCAAGAAAGATACCAATAAATGGTATACTTATTATCCCACCTAAAGGTAAAGCCAAGTCAAAAAACTTGTTGATTGACTCTGCAATTTTCGTATCATTGAAAATATATTGATATTGTGATCCAATAGTTGCAACAAAATAATTGATTCTTAACATTTGTATAGTACTAAACAAACAAATTAATAAGAACCAATAAGTTAAGATTTGTTGTTTTGATGTTAAACCATGTAAAATACCAAATACACCACTGTGTTCAACTATATTTTCATCATCATATGTGTGTCTAATTGCTTCACCCATTGAATTACGTCTTAAAGGAGTTGATTCATTAACCTCAATACTTGTCGTATATGATTCATTAGGCATTATAGTTAATTGGGTCATGGTAATAAAAGTCGGGACGATCAAATATATTGCAAAAAACTCTCTTAATTCAAATGATCCCAATTTATTATAAATTAATTGATATACTAAAAATAAAGCACTTGAAGCATCAAAAGCGCCAGTTATAACAGCTAAAATAGTACCACTTTTTTGAGGAAATGAATTTGATAATTGAAATGAAGAAATAAATGCAAATGGTCCACCTAGTGCCAAACATGAATATCCAATCATATAAGGATCAATATAATATTCCAATTGATTTGAGTATATAAATGTAAAACTAGCAATGTATAAGAAAGTTGCACCTATTAAGCCACAGACTTTAGGTCCATAAACATCCAATACTCTTCCAATTGGCAATGCTGAAATATTGGTTAGCACAGCAGCAACAGTAAATATCATATTCAATTTAAGATCCTGTTTTGAACACTTTGCTGAACCTGATGTAACATTCAGGGTATTAAAATCACATAAATTTTCATAAACATGTTCTTTAATTAGAATTGGTTTCAAAGCAGCAAATCCAAAAATGGGACCACCCGAAAACAAACACCATACAATTGCACATATACATTGAGCTAACCTTTTGTTATATGAAACATCAGTTGAAAGCATCACCATTATTGCGATAAAAAATTAAATTACTTTTGCGCGTGGCTAGGAAAGATGAAACGCTTATCAAAAATGAAACTACAAAAACTCAGAGAAAGAATTATCACTTCCATTTAAAAGATATCATAAGGCTCTAGCGAAAATTCTATTTCAATATTGAACGTGTAACGCTATACGATATCGAGGGTTCTGTTGAAGATTTCATGCAGTTCATGTAGCTTAGATGATCAAATGAAAAGCCAAACCAGCAAATGGACTTTAGTAATCTTTAGCTCAAGTATTGACCCAAAATGCTGAATATTTCGTAAGATACTCTCCAAACTGCTCCCAACCAACCCAGCGTGAATCACCTTTTATAACTTCTCCAATAATTAGAGTATTAAAAGTACCGAACGAATAGAGAGAAAAGTCATATATGAACCAGATCAAAGCAGCAATAATCAATCTGCACCAATAAAACTTGACGATTAACCACCATGGATAATCTTTGAAGTTTAAATCTTTCATATTAGTGTTTTTGAATTTATTTGAATTAGCCATTTTCAATCTAAAGAAGAATAAAAATCATAGGTGGTACAGCTCCTAATCCAATAGATAAACGCCACTCAGCTCTAAGGTGCCTTTCTGAAAAAATCCATTATAAAACTATAGGAACAAACGCCGATACCGCAAACCCCAAGTATATGCTTGCATTAGTAGCCAGGCAAAGGCTTTTATATCCAGGAGGCAGTTGACTAGCAGATTTTCGATGCAATTGCTGAAGAAGTTGGATATTCAGCACCAATTACAATTCCAAAAAAAAACCACCACACTGTAAGACAAGCAAAAAAGGCTTGTGTTGTCGCTACCCCCCACTCAGCCACACACACACACACACAATTACTACAACTCAAAGGAGTGTAAATATGGTTTGCATAATGTTGGTTCTGCTTTTCTATCAATATGATCTGATGAGTAACCAATAGCTGTTCCAAAAATTTTACCATTGGTAGCGCAATGGCTGCAAATTATTTGACTTTACACTAGAATTTGTAAATTCTTTACCGTAAATCATTTTTAAATATGACAACACTGTACTAATACCATTATTAATGCACCTGTCACCAAAGGGACCAAAGCCGCTTGAAGGCTGGTTTTAAACTCTTGAAATAAACTTTTCACTTCATCATTGTCGATCCTTGTATTTATTTCAATTCTAATATTAAATATTTATTAAAGTCTATATACTATATACTACATCACTTTTCTTGTCCGACTCATGTTCAAATTCTTCGACTATCACATTCTCAGGTTTATTAAATGCTGTAAATTCACTATTGCTTATTTTTGACCATATATACAATGCTGAAATTCTAATTCCAGCCACAATCATACAAATAACAACACCACCAACTGGAGCAATAACAAAAGCTCCAAATGCACCCCAATCTTCTGGATCATAAATACCATTCCATATTAATAATAATTTACCACCTTCTCTTGCACTATCATAATAAACAGTACCAAATATGAAAACTCCAATTAATGCACCTAAACCACCACACATTATATCAAATCCACGTAAATACCAGAAAAATGTATCTGATAATCCTAAAAATATAGCTGGTATAACAGCTGCCGAAACCAAATCAGCAATCAAATAAATTTGTAAAATATTATTAGCAACTGTAACTGCTAAAACAACAATTGGAACCATAACTAAAATAACTAAACCTCTTGTCCAATTTACATGAATTTTATTTCTAAATACATCATTTGAAATGGTTGAAACCATTGCTGATTGTAATGAATCAAATGTACATGTTGATAAAACAATACAAAATATCAAAACAAATGCAACTAACCATCTTGGCATTTTTGAAAGTAAAATGAAAAAAGCATTTGAACCATCTTCATTACCAACGGTTAAATCTCCAGACCAAACAGCCAAAAATCCTGTAGTTCCAACTAAAGTACAAATAACAAATGTAACAAAAGCAGCTATTGAACAACCTATCCATAAATCTTTATCAGTTTTACTTGCAAATGTTCTAAGCCAAAAACCAGCCATGAAACAATCATTAGTTACAATTGCAACAAATAAAATATAAACTAATTGCCAACCCAATTTATTTGCTTTTAATAATCCACTTGGTCCAACTTTTGATGGATCGATTTCAATATATGATCCCATACCACAAGCACAAATTATCAATAAAAGTAAAACACAAGCACCTTGGAAATTATCAGTTATAAAACTGATTTTAAATCCTCCAAAAAATGTATAAATCGTCGTTACAACACATTCAACTATAACTGCACCTAATGCATTTAAACCAGTTAAAGTTTCTATTGCACCTCTAATTGCTGATAATTCACCAATCATAAATAAAAACATTGTTAAACATGTAAAAAATGATAAATATAAAGCAGTCACAATTCCGAATCTTTGTCTAACCCATTCAGTCAATATAAAACCATCTGGACATTTCTTTCTAATTATAGGACCAAATACAGCAAAACCTACAATTGGTATAGCTCCACATAAAGTATAAACTAGCAAACCATGTAAACCTGAAAGATTTGCAATTTGTGAATAAGTTGAAATAATACCAACACCCATGGCTAAAAGTTTTGTTAGTACAAACTAAATCCTCACGCAAGTTTCAACTTGATCGAGTTCAAACGGTATAATCTCAATCCTCGAAGGATACCCGTTTAGTTTGTCGATATAAAATTTTAACATACCCGAAGCTATAAAGTTTAAAGCTAACGGTATACCTCTTTGTGTACCATTTGAAGATAAGAAATCTTTAGCTGAATGAAATTTCCATGCCAACAACAAACCAGTTGCTAACATAAAAGCATACGAAAGGTAAATAATAGCATTATTACCTTGAGATGATAGTTGAGCCATGATGATAGATGAAGTTGGAAAATTTTATCTTATATATATATATATATGGCATATATATTTTATTTATCGGATGAGATCTATATATATATATGCAGTTAACTTTCTATGCGCTTATGCGACATGAATTCAAAATCTTCTTTTATGCGATTTAAAGTTTTCCACTGGTATTCTGTCACCGCCTTTAACACCAAATTCAGGAATTGAACCATCTTTTGGTGGTAAATGTTCTACAATTAAAGGTAATTTATCACCTAACCATAAAGCACTAGAAGTATGATCAGTTAAATCATCTCCAGTTTGCGGATGAATTAAAACAGATAAATTTCCATGATTTAGTTGAAACCAACTTAAAACTTCTATAAAAACTTCAGGTCTTGCAACATCAGCTTCCCAAAAATGAGTTATATGAGGACCAATAACATGGTCATCAGTATATAATTTCTTAACTAATATTGATCCATTTGAACAATATTCTGGGAAATCTAAAAGTAATTTATTTCTTAAATTAGTAGATTCTTCAACTGATGTTTTATTATGAGCTACATAATAAACATGAAAATCGTAGTATTGAACAGGATATGTGAATTCAAGGTTGAATTTTGAAGTAGTTGCAATTGAAGGGTCTTCTTTTGATAAATTAGTAACGTATTCCATTAGAGAGATATTGATATAGAGTTTTAGATTTAGTATTTATGGCAGAAGTACCTACATCACTTTATCAAATAGAGCCACAGTTTCTAGAATGTTATTTGTAATTAAGCTTCATATATTATTATATTTAATGAAAAAGCCTTTAATTTGACATTCTAAAATTGTGAGTAATTACAAATTTCCAAACAATTATCGACAATGCATAAATAACATTATGTTGTTTAATTTTCGAGTTACCCCATCACATAAAAATCAAAAGATTTAATCAAGAGTAAATCGTTTGACTTTTTTTCATGACTCGTTTCAATTGATTGGTTCAACTAAAAATTGAAAAATTAGATGCGACACGTAAAAAAATTATGCATGGATGTTTTGATGTACAATGTATAAATCAAATCATTACAATGTCGATTTAACGATTCGATGGTATGATGTTACAATTTACTTAAATTCAGTTGAGCCAACTATGAGCCAACTACTGTATCATCACAATGTTGAAGTTTTTGACATTTGATATTTCGAAATTGTTTTAGACCATACTCTTTGGGCTTAGAAAATAAGAACTACTAAACTTGAATTTGTTAACAATTAAGATCTCGTACATAATTGTCTAAAATCTCTCTTGAACAAACGGCACTCTTAAAATTGTCGCAAATTAGATGAAACATGTGGTCTAGAAATTGCTAAATAAAAATACCAGATGTCAAGTGAAAAAAAAAGGTAAACAAAGTCAAATTTAATAGCACAAATACACGTAAATATTTACAATATGCAGTACATTAGTTATTTTCTAGTAGTGAAGTTACCATATTTGGATTTATGCGGCGCACTTCGTATAATAATTTCAAATTTGTTTACTAAAAATGTCAATCATGAAGAAATTTTTTATTTATAAATATATTGAATTTCCATAAAACTTCAATGTTTTTCTTTATGCAACTTTAAAGTCTTTCATTCAGTTCATTCATTCATTCATTCGTTCATTCTTTCATTCCAACTTAGTCTTACGTTATTTATTAAATGTTATCAAATACTTTATTATCAGCAGCTTTATTATCAACAGCTTTAGCAGCAAATAATGTCGCTCTTTATTGGGGTCAAAATGGTGCAGGTGGTCAAGATAGATTATCAACTTATTGCCAAGAAACAGATTTAGATGTTGTTTTATTATCATTTTTAAACGATTTCCCAGATCCATTGAATGTTAATTTTGCAAATCAATGTGGTGCTACATTTGAATCAGGTTTATTACATTGTCCTCAAATTGGTGAAGATATTAAAACTTGTCAATCTTTAGGTAAAAAAGTTTTATTATCACTTGGTGGTGGTATTGGAAATTATGGTTTCAATGATGCTAGTGATGCAGATTCATTTGCTACTACTTTATGGAACAAATTTGGTAATGGTCAAGATGAAGAAAGACCATTCGATGATGCTATTGTCGATGGTTTTGATTTTGATATTGAACAAGGTTCATCAACTGGTTATCCTGAATTAGCTACTGCTTTAAAATCAAAATTTGATGGTTCAAAACAATATTATTTATCAGCAGCTCCACAATGTCCATACCCAGATGCTCATCTTGGTTCATTACTTTCTTCAGTTCCATTAGATTTTATTTTCATTCAATTTTACAATAATCCATGTTCAATTAATGGTCAATTTAATTTTGAAACTTGGCAACAATTTGCTGAATCAGCTCCAAATAGTGATGTTCAATTATATGTTGGTGTTCCAGCTGATTCATCTGTTTCAGGTTACGTTGATGCTTCTCAATTATCACAAGCTATTGAACAAATTAAATGTGATAAAAACTTTGCTGGTATTTCAATTTGGGATGCTTCTGGTGCTTGGATAAATGTTGTTGATGGTAAAAACTTTGTTCAACAAGTTAAGCAAGTCTTAAATGATAATGTTTGTGAAGTTTCATCATCAACTACCGCCTCACAATCATCAACTACTGCATCATCATCATCATCATCATCATCATCATCATCATCATCAACTACCGCCCCACAATCATCAACTACTGCATCATCATCATCATCATCATCATCAATTTCTGCTCCATCATCATCAGTTGCTTCTAATGAACCTGCTACTACTTCAGACGCTGTTATTCCAACTAGTGTCGGTGCTCCAAGTTCATCAGTTTTATATGGTAATTCATCAACTCCAATCACTTCAGCTGCTTCAATTACTACTGGTAACTCAGGTGTTAAAACTATCACTGATATTCAAAAAACTGTTATTACAGTCACTTCATGTTCAGAAAATAAATGTTCAGCTAAACCAACCACCGTTGGATTTGTTACTTACACTGATTTAACTACTGTTTACACAACTTATTGTCCAGAAACTGCTACTGCTGTTGTTGTTCCATGTCCAACTGAATCTCAATCATCAAGTCCAGTTGAAACTAAACCAGCTCAATTATCATCTGCTCCAGGTGTTGTTGCTGTTGGTTCATTATCATCATCAACAGAAGCTTCAGCTACTACTCAACCAGTTGTTATTGAAACCACAAAAGCACAAGAATCAGTTGTTGCTGGTGAAACTACAACTGTTGAAATTGCTATTACTTCAACTATTTATCCATCAACTTCATTAGCTGCTCAATCAAATGGTACTTCAGAAGTTCCAGTTCTTACTTATGAAGGTGGTGCTTCAAAAGCTACCATATATTTAACTCCATTATTATTAGTGGCTGCTGTATTATTGTAATACTTGTTTTTATATAATTTAAATAAAATTCTAGATCTTAAAATTTACGAAGATTATCACGTTTTTTTCTTTTAATATGTCAAAAATTTTTAAAACCCCCCCTACCAAAAAGGTTGAACACGAACAACATATACTAGAGAAATTAGATGATGATATACTAAAAGTAAATCAAATACGGCATGATTTTACTTCAAACTCCACACATTCGTTAGATGATGAATTAAAAATAGATTCAGATGAAGCTGATAAAAATTGGCACATCGCTTCAGAATATTATAAAAATATAGATACGAAAGCTTTTAGACAATATGAATTAGCTTGTGATAGAGTTAAATCATTCTATGAAGAACAACATGAAAAACAAACTGTTGCTTATAATTTACAAGCTAGAATAAATTTTAAAACTAAAACAAGAGATAGAATGACAATATGGCAAGGTTTAGAGAAATTAAATAAATTATTAGATGAATCAGATCCAGATACTGAATTATCACAAATAGATCATGCTTTGCAAACGGCTGAAGCTATAAGAAGAGATGGTAAACCTAGATGGTTTCAATTAGTTGGTTTAATTCATGATCTAGGAAAATTACTTTATTTTTTTGATTCAAAAGGTCAATGGGATGTTGTTGGTGATACATTTCCAGTTGGTTGTAAATTTTCAAAACGTATAATATTCCCCGAAAGTTTTAAAAAGAATCCTGATTATGTTAATCCATTATATAAATCAAAATATGGTATATATTCAAAACATTGTGGTTTAGATAAAGTTATGTTAAGTTGGGGTCATGATGAGTATATGTATCATATTGCAAAGAAGAATTCAAATCTACCACCTGAAGCATTAGCAATGATAAGATATCATTCATTTTATCCATGGCATCAAGAATTGGCTTATACTTATTTAATGGATGATCATGATAAAGAGATGCTAAAAGCTGTTAAAGCTTTTAATAAATATGACTTATATTCAAAAATTGATCAGCAATACAATATTGAAGAATTAAAACCTTATTATTTAGAGTTGATTAATGAATTTTTCCCAAATGAAATTATAGATTTTTAATTTAACTAAATAGTTGTATAACACCGAAATATTGTTCAATACCATAAGGACCTGGATCTTTCCAAAAATCATTATATGTAGTTAAAATAGTAACATCACCACCTGTTTCTTTTATTATTGAATCAATGGCAATTTTTTGATTTGCTGGACTTGGTGTATTTAAACCTAATGTTACACCTTGACTTGGATAACCAGTTTCTGTAATTTCAACATTTTTGTTACATATACCAGCAACTTGATTCTTCTGACTTACTATATAATTACCAGCATTTTCAGGTGAAATATTTTCATTAAAATATGAATGTGGATTAATTCCAATAAAATCAATATCTGCAGAACATAATTCTGGATGATTTATGAACGTAGCTGGTGGTTCACTAGTTGTTATCCATCCATTATAACCAGCTTGTTGTAATTTTGATTTTGTAGATGATATTTTGGATTTTAAATCTGAAATTGAACAAAAATTTGAATTTATAGCTTCATTACCAATTGTAATAAAATCAAAAATATCCCAACCGTTTGATTGTCCATATTTTATTAAATCTTGAATTTGATTATCAATTGAGTCGACACCATCTTGAGAAATCCAGACACCTTGATTGACTTTAATACCTAATTCTTTACACTTTGATAAAACTGATGTTAATGCTCCACAATCAGTACCATATGATCTAATATGTTTAATTCCTTTTGATGCAATCAATTCTAAATCTGAATATATGACATTTTGTTGTTTACAATTACGATCATCAGCATATGGTGAATAAACTATTGAAGAAGGAGCTGAAATATCACCTGATGATGAAGATGTTGGGGATGAAGATGAAGTTGTTTCTGATGTTGAATAAGTAGAAGATGTTGTTGAAGATGATGTAGTAGTTTGTAAAGTTGAAGTTGAAAATGTGGATTGTGAGGTAGATGATTGTGTAGTTTCTTGAGTATAATCTTGAATAGTTTGTTGTTGTGTAGTTTGTTGTGTAGTTTGTTGAGTTTCAGTAGTTGGTTGCGGTGCTTGAGATGTAGTTGGTTCAGCTGCTTGAGATGTAGTTGGTTGGGGTTGTGGTTGTTGTTGTTGTTGTTGAGTTTCACTAGTTGGTTGAGCTTGAGCTTGAGTAACTTGTTGTGGAGTTGATTCAGCACCTTTATTAATATAACTTGTGAATGTAACTGGGTATGTATTCCATTGCGTATCACTTATAGTACTTGTACTAGTTTGTCCATCTATAATATATATTCCGACCGGTGGTAACCAAACAGTTGTAGTTCCTGTAGTCTGTAAAATTGTTTGAGTTACTGCTTCTGCTGTATGTACTCTTGTTATTAATGCAGGCAAAGGCACTGCTGATATAAGTTGTATTAAAAAGAATGTAAATATTATTGAAATCATCTTTGTAATTTATAAAATGAATGTAATTTAATTGATTATTTAACGATTGACTAATAATTGAAATAATTGAAATAATTTAACGAGTGTATAAAATTTGATGTAACGAATGAATTTAACGAGTGAGATGATAAAAGAAAGGAGTAGTTGGTTAGTTTCTAAAATCTTTAGATGGATTCTTACCTTTTTATATCAATTAGATTAACTCTGGCACTCATTCTTTCTTCAAAAGCTGGTTTCTATAATTTTGCAACCATTTTTCTCGAATCTGCGTGTTGCAAAATCCCAAATAGGAAATATGTCAGATCTGCGGCGGAAAGATTTTTATACTATGCAGGAAATACGTATTATATGAAACAATTAAATTGATTGCAAATTGTTTAATCTACCAGCTTGATTTTGGATTTGATTTAAGCCTTGAACCAAGATATTTATTAACAAGGTTCTAGAATTTGCATTGCTCCTGATCTGATCTTGATCTGTGAAAATTAAACTATTTTTAGCAATTTTGTCTAATTTGGCCCTTATCCAATTAACATTTTCGACAAGCTTACAATAGGGCTCATATAAATCCAATTGATGAATCAGTATAGTCTTAGTTGGGTTTACATAGTTTTGGCACCATTAATTAACCAATTCGGTACTCATCGTTGAATCAACCAACAACTATTTAATTTTGATTTAAAGCTCCTGATTCGATTATTACACGATCTGATGTTTCCAAATAAGTCAAATTAGCTTTTCCATACAGATTTAGAACATTCGCCAGCATTTGACGTAGTTTCCATTGCATATATCAATTTGATTCGATTCCATGCTGGTTAGTCTACTCTTTTAGGCGAAACCAAAGAAAAAAAAAAAAAAACAATCAAAAAAAAATCGCATTACTTGCAACGAGACTGAATCAGATCAGAACTAAGATTTAAAAATTAATTTCTACAACTTAACTTCTTTATTGATCTAAAATTACATCATTGTTCGATTATATATTAGTATTACTATCATCTGTCATTAATTAATTTCTAAAATCTCAAAAACCAATTCTAATTTATGAGATTCTATTATTTTTTCATTATTTAAATATCTTAAAATACTTTTAACTAATTGTAATAATTGTGGTACAGTTAAATTCATAATTGACATTTGTAAAATTTTACCAAGATTTATATTATGATTACTGATAAAAGTTTGATAATAAGCATAAGTAAAAGAACCCATTAAAAATTGACAATCCAATCTATCAGTAATACCACCATGACCAGGAATTGTATCACCAAAATCTTTTATACCGAAAGCTCTTTTTAAACCACTTGCAAAAAAACCACCAAATGGAGCAATTAATGATGTAAAAGTAGCTAAAACAGCAGTATGAAAATAAATTGGTTTTATTATAATTTGATCTAAACTTATAAAATTTGATAAAATTGTTGGAACTTCAAATATTTGATCTTGAAAAACAGGATTTGGTACACAAGTTTGATAATTATATAAATGAGTTGATAAATTTTGAGCACGACAAATTAAGAAATCAGATTTTGATAAAATATAAGTTGCAATTAATGAAGCAAATCCAGTACAAATCCAAGCTCCAACAAAACCTTCAACAGTTTTTTTTGGAGATACTTCTAATAACGGAGTTTTACCAAATGTAATACCACATAAATAAGCAAAAATATCATTAACAATGACTAAAGAAGCAGGAAGGAAAAACCATATTATACCATTTAAAATATTATCAATAATCAAATGAGCTTGAAATACAACAAGTAATAAAGTCATATGAGTTATACACAATTGAGCAAATTGAAACTTATAATAACCTTTTTTTAAAGTCCAAACAAAAAATACAAATCCACTAATATATAAAGTATAACTTATAAATTTATGATTTACTACTAAAACAGTTAAAAATTTATTTGAATAAATAAAATCTTGCCAAAATTCAACTAAAGATGGAAAATCTAAATAATACCAAGTTGTAACTAAAAAATACCAATTTAAAGATCTATTATAAGGAATTTTTTTATCTCTTGCTGGTTCTGAAGTTAATGAAATAATTTCTTTAAAAGTTAATAATTGAAAAATTAAAACCATTATAATTAATGCTAAATGACCAGAAGCTAAAGTAAGGAAGAATCCTGATATCATAACAAAGGTCCAAATAGTTCTTGTTATAAATGCTTGTTTTTTCTTCTCATGTTCATTAACAACTGGAGTATTTGATTTTTGACATGTTAGCGAATTGGTTGATGATGAAGATTTAGATTTTTCACTTTCTTTTTCATCAATTGAATTACTCATGATAATTTATATATAAATATTTGTATAATAATACAAAGCAAAAACCGAATAATATTTGATAATTAATTATTAGATAAATCTCTAAAAAAAATTGTTTATAAAATTGTTTATAATTTAAATATCAATTGCTGATTTGAAAATTTATTTTTTTCTTTACTTCAAATTTTGATCTTTTGATCAAAAAAAAAAAATCAATCGATTGATCAAAAACTACTAGAAAGAAAAGAGGTAAAATCGAAAGAGTCAATGATTTTGTCTCAAGTAATTAATAATTAATAATTAATAATTAATATTAATTAATATAATAATTAATAATTAATAATTAAAATTTATTGGGTCAGATTTCAATTCTTTTGTGTAGTTATTATTAATATCTTTAAGAATCGATTTTAAACTAGATAAAACAAGCGTATTAACAAATTGGGTAATACCCAATATTAATTATATTAATTAAGTTGATTATTAAATCACATGTAAAATTATACAAAACCTCAGCTACAAATACAAATTTAAATGGAATAATACATGATATTCAAAATACATGATATTCAAAACGCATCTCTTAATTAAATTAATAGATGAACAAGATAAATCAAAATCACAATATTGTAAGCAAATAAACAAATTCCATTGATTGGGTTTGGAATTGCATTTGACAAATATACACGTATAACTTACCCTGATAGAAACCCACAGAATTGAATCTCACACTACCATAGTTAAAATTGGGTGAAGTCACACCAATGGAAACAAACAAACAAAATAAACATCAGATACACGACTCTATCATAAACAAACAAACAAAATAAACTTCAGGTACACGACTCTATCATTCACTTGAGGTATACAAAATAAACGTCAGGTACACGACTCTATCATTCACTCCTTTTTTACTGTTACTTTCTTTCTTTCTTTTTTTTTATATTTTTTTTTTTTTTTTTTTTTTTTTTTTTTTATTATATATATAGCCAAATAATCATTTCATATATTGAAAAAGAGTATATAAGTAAAGTCAAAAACTTATTCACTTTTAATTTTTCATATTATTAAAACCAAATAAATTCAAAAAAGAAAACCAAAAGGAGTATAAATTAGATACATCTTTTTTTTATCATTGTATGTCAACTATCCAAAACTTAAACGCATTTGATCCATTCGCCGATACTGGTGATTCAGAAGCTCAACCAACTAATTATATTCATATTAGAATTCAACAAAGAAACGGTAGAAAAACTTTAACAACTGTTCAAGGAGTCCCTGCTGAATATGATTTAAAAAAAATTTTGAAAGTTTTAAAAAAAGATTTTGCTTGTAATGGTAACATTGTTAAAGATGATGATTTAGGTGAAGTTATTCAATTACAAGGTGATCAAAGAGTTAAAGTTTCTGAATTTTTAACTGGTCAGTTACAATTACCAAAAAAGAATATTAAAATCCATGGTTTCTAGATTTGTTTTTTTTTTTTCAATCTAATTTAGAAGTCTATAGGGATAAGAGAATAAAGTTAAGTTCCGATTACTTATTAAAGAACTGAACTAACAAAAACTCATTATTATATTGTTTTTATTAAGTATAAGTATAGTTATATATTAATTATATACTTTTTGTATTTCATTATGTATTTCATTATGATGATGATGATGATATCTCTTCGCGCGGTCCAAATATTATTTTTTTTTTTTTCTATTTTTTTATTTTGTTATCACCAAAAATTGATTATTATCAAATACCATAACCATGGGTGGTGATTTAAATTTAAAGAAATCATGGAATCCTGCTTTGATGAAAAATCAGCAAAAAGTGTGGGAAAAAGAACAAGAAAAACTTAAAGAATTAAAATTAATTAAACAAAAAAATCAGGAATTTGAAAAAGAAAAAGAATATTTAGATTTATTAAAATTACAATATGGTGATGAATTTGATAGATCAAAGTTAAGTAAAGATGAAAAATTAAAAATATCTAAATTGAATTGGATGTATAATGATTTACCTTTTGAACCAACTGAAGAAATAAAAGATGAAGAATCAAATGGTTTTATACAATCAAATCAAGAATTTGTTGAAGGTAAAACAAAAGTTGAAAATTTATTAAACGGTAGTAGAAGTTTTAAAAGAGAAGCTGAAAAATCAAATGATAGAATTAATAAGATTATAAATAGTGGAACTAAAAAGTTAAATAATGATTATTCAGATGATCCATTATTAAAAATTATGCAACAACAAAAGAACAAATCAAAAACAAAAACAAAATCAGAATCAGAATCAAAATCAAAATCAAAATCAAAATCTAATCAAAGTAAAGTGAATAAACCGAGACATAGACATAAGAAATAATTGGATATAACATATTCATTGGATATGATAAGTATTGAATGAGTAAACTATGCTTAAGGTGGTAAAGAATTCGTATCAGTTGATGACAATTCAAGAATAAACCATGTCCTAGTCTCCAAAAATGAACAAATTTTTTTTTTTTTTTTTGATTTTAAAAGGGATAGTTGATCATGGAATACAATGAAAACTTTCAAATTCATCTATACAGGCTTAAATAAGTATATGAATGTTCAACTGTCACGCAAAATCATCAGTGTTTGCCAAAGAGCTCAATTTAGGGATAGAAACTTGATTTCAAAGGTAATAGATTATAGACTACTATAAAAGCTTAAAAATTTATTTATTCAGGTTCAAATAAGTATATGGATATTCAAATGTCATGCAAAGTTACTTATGTTTGCTCAAAAGTTCATTTATGGACAGAATTTTGATTTTATAAAGGAATAGCTTACTATAGACTACTATCAAAGCTTATAAATTCATTTACTCAGGTTCAAATAAGTATATGGATATTCAAATGTCATGTAAAGTTACTTATGTTTGCTCAAAAGTTCATTTATGGACAGAATTTTGATTTTATAAAGGAATAGCTTACTATAGACTACTATCAAAGCTTATAAATTCATTTACTCAGGTTCAAATAAGTATATGGATATTCAAATGTCATGTAAAGTTACTTATGTTTGCTCAAAAGTTCATTTATGGACAGAATTTTGATTTTATAAAGGAATAGCTTACAATAGACTACTATCAAAGCTTACAAATTCATTTACTCAGGCTTGAATTAGCATAGGGATGTTCAAATGCCATATAAAATCCAGTTGCTCAACTCCGTTTGGCAAAATGTTCAATAGATGTCCTGAAAATTGTTTTTTGAACGAAAAATTTCGTCATAACTCGCAAAAAAAGGTATTAATATAAAATATACAGCTGAGACATGATTTTAAAAACTCAATTACCCTAAAGCTTCTTTTGTTTGTAGATTTATTCGTGTTTCTTTATCATTCGTACTATAAACTCATTAAACTATAAAGTTAATTTTTTACGCGCATTGTCAAAAAGAGATTAAAAAATTTGAAAAATAAATTATTAGACCAAATTTACCAAACCCTTTTTATCATCATATCATAATAAGATACCCCTTAACGACACCAGTTAGATACATATTCATAAACTAACTTATACGTAATTTAGACTATTTTCACCATTTGTATTAGAATTTTTGTTGCATTATTTAATCATAGTCAATCGTTTTTTTAAATGCCAAATCCAAGATATTTAACAGAATCAGAAAGAGCAAAAGTTCTTGAATTTCAAGATATGATTCATTATAGTCCAAGATACCCTGATGATAACTATGAATATAGACATGTAATGTTACCTAAAAATATGTTAAAACTGATTCCACAAGATTATTTTAATCCTGAAACAGGAACTTTAAGAATTTTATTAGAAGAAGAATGGAGAGGATTAGGTATTACTCAAAGTTTAGGATGGGTTCATTATGAAACTCATGCTCCAGAGCCACATATTTTATTATTTAGAAGACCTTTGAATTATGGTCAATAAATAAAATCGCCCATCATCAACTTTATTATTATTATTATCATCATCATCATCATCATCATCATCATCATCATCATCATAATCATCATCATGTCAAAATTTTTGTAATTAGAGTAAATAATGTGTATATTAATGTATTGTTAGAATAATGTGAGAATTAGACCCTTAGAAGGTGATTTCTTGATTTATTGGAGTTCCGTTTTCTTGATATAACAAGCCCATGGCCATAAAATACATTAATTTAGTTTCACTTTAAATCTAAAAATCACCTCCACTGTCTACCACCGTAGTGTTTCTAATATTACACGTTTGTATATTTTTCAATTTGGTAGCTTCTTTTTGTTTATTTGTTTGCAGCATTTTTTTATTTTCTTTCTTTATTGTATGGCTACTCAAAGTATCAGTTCAATAGAATTATCAAGATTTTTGAATGACATTGAGTTAAATATATCAGATAAAGCAACTGACTTTAAAAAGATTATATTATATTTATTCAAATTTACAAATGAAAAATTAACTGTTATTAATCTAGGTAGACACCAAATTGAAGACGTGGATTTATTAACCAAATTAGTTAAAACAATTGAATTAGTACTATCTAAGAATTCATACTTATTGAATCTACCAATATCTGCTCAAGAAAAAATAATAGAGAACAATCGCGATGACATATTATATGAATGGGCATTATTATATTATTTAAAACGCCTCCCCGAATTTCAAAATACCGTGTTAAATGAAATAAAATCTTTAATTATTAACATTATAAACTTGGTTAACAATTTGAATAACTTTAAATTTATTGCAAACTTAAGAAAATTGCTACTTAAAGAATTAGATACAAATTTAAATGATTGTTTTAATTTTAAGAATGAAAAGAAGTTAATTTTATCAGTCCATTTATTCACCATCATTAATGATTATGATATTTCCAAAAAACTATCATTAAATTCAGGTTTAAAGTTTGAAAATATGAGTAGAAGATTATGGTTCTTATGTGAATCTGATGATTTAAAATCAATTTTATTATTAAATAAATTATATAATGTTGAATTTCTGGTTAATTGGTCCCAAATTTCATTATTATTAAGTTGGATAATTGAAGCTGATCAAAATTCACCAGCTTTAATTTATGCTATCTCACTTTCATTATTAAAAATTTATAAAATTTGCTTTAAAAAGGATATTGTTCAAAATTTTACAAATTCAATCGTGAACATGAAATGTGAATCACCATTAATTGTTAAAGTATTACATGTGATAAGTTGTCACATTGATAAGATAGATTACAACGAACCATTTACTGATTTTGAATTGGAAAATATTAGATTACATTTATTTCCCAAGGTTAAACAACCAGATAATATATACACTAAAATTACATCTTTAAAAGTTGCAAAATATGATGAATATCAAGAAATAGATCCAAATAGACCACTGGGCCCTGCCATAAAAGAATTTATGAATTTAACAAGTCCATTATTATTATCAAATTTATTATTATCAATGTATACTTTATTTGCTGCTTATCAACCAGATATAACTAAATTAGATCTTTTATTAAATCAAATAGCTACTAATAATAATCGAGATGTAAGAATGTTAATAACAAGAATACTTCCATTATATTTAATTAAAAATGAAGATCCAGATGAAATATTTAAAAAGATTTTTCGAAAAATAAGTTCAATTGATTTTACAACTAAAAATAGACGACATTTTGGAGAATCTACAATTAAAGCTTTAGTAAATTTAGCTGTTGTATCTCAAGGTGAAAGATTATGTGCTGTTTATTTCAAATTAATTGATTTTTTAGGTGAAGCAAATGATCAACATGTAAATTATGTATATTGTGGATTTTTAGATATTGCATTTGAGAAATCAGTACCTCCTTATAAATTATTATCACCATTTTTACCAAGTATAGCTGATATTATAATCAAAAAACCAAGAGTACTTGAACGAATTTTACAAATTTCAAATATTCAAAAAAATTTCTTTTTAAATAGAACTAAAGATTATACAGTTCCTAAATTATTGGAATATTATAAAGCTCCATTAATTCAACAAATTGCAAATGCAACTAATTCAAGCGTTAAAAAATTGTTAGCAAATAATTTACCAAGAATTTTGGCAACTTATTTAGTTAAAGGATCAAATGAACAATATATAATAAAGGTGTTGAGCTCAGTTGATCCTCATTATAAATCAATTACTCCTCATGATTTATTTACTCATATTGGTGATATTATATGGTATATTTTATTAGAAATTGATGAAACAAATTTAGCAAATATAAACTATGCAATTGGCATAGTTTCAAAATATACGAATACTCAAATTGATGATCAAGTTTTATTATTAGTTCAAAAATTTAGTGATGTTACATTATCAAGAAGTGCTAAACCATATTTGGAGAAACGAAATTCATTTAATGCAATGAATTATCTAATCAAAACACATTCAAATGCAATTGCATCTGCTCTTGGTCAAATTTCAACCTGCTTACAAGCCACGATTGCAGATCCTGAACTTTATTTATTATCATTAAAATGTTGGTACGAATTAGTCAATAAAATTTCATCAACTAATTTAATTTCATTGATTGATATTATAATTTCGATCGTATTTCAGAAATTTGAAACATTTAATCAAGAGGCAAAAATCATAGCTGTTGACATATTAAGAAAAATTTATCAAACCATCTTAGAAAATGAATTAAATAATTATTCATTATACTATTTATCAATACCTTTTTTAAATTTTAAAATCGATTTTCGGTTATTTGAATTCAAAAAGATTAAGGTATTACTGAAGAAGCAAATATTTGAAGAATTTAACAGACGACTACAAACAAGTAATGAATATATTGTAAAACAAGCATTATATGATTTATTTAATTATTGTCAACAATATCAATTGAACTGTCAAGAAGCTTTTAATAATGATTTAACTTTAAGTGATACAATAACAAATTTAATTAAAACTGTTTTGGATACAGCATCTAAATTTAAAAATTCAGTTTCAACAGAATGTGCAAGAATTTTAGCAGTTATTGGATCATTAGATTTTAATAAATTTAATTTTAAAAGTGTTAAAAAATCAACAATTGTTCATTTCGATAATAATAAAGAAATTTGTCAATTTTTAATTGATTTAATTGAGAATTATATAATTAAAATATTTTGGGCTTCAACTGATCCTCATAGACAATTATTTGCAGCTTATGCATTACAAAGTTTTCTTAAGATTATGGATTTAGATTTAAGAAAGTTTACTGATGTTGCCAGGTCTACATTAACTCCATTATTACATTCAAAATATGCAGCCTCAAAGCCTAAGATTGAACCTATTGAATATCCTTATTTCAAATTGGGTATGAAGTATGAAACTTGGTTAGTTGATATTACATTAGATTTATTAAAAAAGGCAAGTGTATCAGACGATACAAAACATTTAATTTTCCAAACATGTTGTATATTAATTCAAAAAGAACGAGATGTGGCATTATGTGAACATTTATTAAAATATGTTTGTGTTGAGCAAATCCATGATGAATCAATATTGATTGAATTTCAATACATTTTTTCATTAAATTCCAAAAATTTATCATCTGATAAGTCTGAAGTTTTGAAATCTACATTTCAGACTATTTTTTCAGTATTTGATTATTTAAATGAATTGGGAGTACAAGAGTTTCTTAAAAATTTCCCTGTTGATATGATTGCCATTAAATCTGCTGAATTTGATTGTTATGAAAGAACAATTTTATATATTGAAAAATGCTTTAGAAATGGTCAAATTAAAGATAATAAATTGGGAGATTTAAATGTTTCAACTACTTTACAATCAATGTATGCTGGTATAAATGATTTTGATGCATTAAATGGTGTATTACAAGTATTTTCAACTACAAATTTACATGAAAAATTGGAATCTTTTCAATATAATCAAAATTGGACTTTGGCTCATGAAACATTTCATGCTTTAAATGCACCCGAGAAATTATTAAAATCTTTAAATGAACATGGGTTTTATGATGAAGTATTGTCTACATTACCTAAAGATAAAACAGTTCCTTTGGAATGGTCATTAATTGGTTTAAGATCAGCTGTATATACTGGTAATTCTCAAGAAGTCAATCGATGGTTACAAACTACTGATTCAATTGGGAAACCTCAAGATTTAGAATCTTTAGTTGATTATGAGTTGGCAAAATCTTTGAAAATTTTATTTGAAGGAAATCCAAACTTCACTGATTCAATAGAAGAATTATATGGAATTATAGGTAAATCATTAGTTAGTTCAACATCATCTAGTTTTAATAGAAACATCGCCTTAATGAATCAATTACATTCAATTTATGATATACAATTAATTATGAATGATAATCAAGAAATTTTAAAATCAAGGTTAGAAAATGTTAGTCAAGATTTTGATACACAGCGGAAAATAATCGATATAAACAATGTGATTTATAAAGTATTGAAAAAGAATTCATTTATATCTGAAAATCTTCTATATGAAGCTAGTTTAGCCAGAGAGAATAATAATTTTGATTTTGCAACTAAAATGATTGTAAAAGCAATGCAATTAAATAATAAACTGGCATTATTTGAATATAGCAAATTATTATTTAGTAAAGGGAATCAAGCAGAAGCAATCAATATTGTTAAAGAACTAGATCAAGATAGAGATGTTCAATTACAAAAAGCCAATTGGCAAAACGAAACAAATCATTTATCTGTACAACAAATAATTGAAGAATATAATAAGGCAATTGCGTTAGATCCCAATTTTCAACAAGCTTATTATGATTTAGGTAGATATTATATTAAATTATTAGAAAATTCACAAGATTCCTCTGGTCAATTTGAGAAATTAATTGTTGAAAATTTAATAACTAGTGCTAAATTGGGAACAAGATTTATATTTGAAACATTACCTAAATTGTTGAGTATTTGGCTTGATTTTGCTGAAAGAAATAACAAATCAAAATCAGCTGAAGAGAATTTAATTGAAACTATGAATATTATTAATCAAAATGCTAAGCATATTCCAGCATCGTCTTGGTTTACCGTAATTAATCAATTATTAACTAGAATAACTCATTCTCATGAACCATCATATAAAGTATTGGCGAAAATTATTAGCAATGTAACTAAAAAATATCCAAAACAAGCATTATGGTTCGTTTTAAATCATACCAAATCAGATAATTTAGTGAAGAAAAAAAGAACAAAACAAGTTTTACAATTGCTGGGAATCAATAATTTGGTTTCAAGTGGAGAGAAATTATTTAATGATTTAATATTAATTGCATCTAAAACAATTAAAAAATCTAGTAGTAATAAAACTTTATCCTTAACAAACTACTTTAACATTATTTTAGAACAAAGTTTTGATTTGGTAATTCCTACTGAAAGACATTTAGTTATTACAATTCCAAATGGAACAGGTAAATTTAGTAGTTTTCCTATTGAATCATCATTTGAAGGTTTTTTAGATAAAGTTGATGTATTTTTCAGTTTACAAATGCCTAGAAGGATTAATGTGAAAGGATCAGATGGTAAAATATATTCATTAATGTTGAAAGCAGATGAAGTGTCTAAAGATGCTCAAGTTATGGAATTATTAAACACTATTCAACGATTATTAGATGCTAATGTTGATTCAAGAAATCGTCATTTGAAATTAAAGCCATATATGGTTTTAAGTTTAAGTCCAAATATCGGTATTATTGAATTTAAAAATAATACAACAACAATTAAAAAAGTTATTGCAAGTTGTTTTAATAAAATGAATTTAGTATTCAACGAAAAGAAGATATTCATGGATATTCAAAAATTGCAAAAGAAGAAAAGCTTGCAAATGACTATTGCTCACTTTAATGGATTAACTAAAAATTATAAACCTGTATTGGGGGATTATTTTATTGCAAATTTTAAAAATGTTCAAGAATGGTATAGTTCAAGTCAAGAGTTTTCAAGATCGAATGCAACAATGGCTATAATAGGTTATATAATTGGTCTTGGTGATCGTCATTTAGAAAATATTTTAATATTTGAAAATTCGGGTGGTATTTTACATATTGATTTTGATTGTATTTATGATAAAGGTAAAACTTTACCAACACCAGAAATTGTTCCATTTAGATTGACACAAAATATAGTTGATGGATTTGGTATGACTGGCGTTGAAGGTGTGTTTAGAATTAGTGCAGAATTAACTATGAAGATATTAAGAATGAATGAGAATGTTGTCCTAAATTTATTACAAACTTATTCAACATCAAAAGATCAATTAAATACAATTAAACGAAAATTACAAGGATTTGTTAATCATGATGATGCATTACCAATGAGTGTTCAAGGTCAAGTAGATGTTTTAATACAAGAAGCTATATCTACTGAAAGATTGGCTCAAATGTATGGAGGTTGGGCAGCGTATTTATAGAAATCACGAATTTATATTATTAAAACCAAAAATCAACAATATTTTCTGCATCGGTATATAACGCTGGTGCTATACCGATTTTTCTAGTTTCTAAATTATAAGCAGCATAAACAGCTCTTAAAAAGAAATCACCAGCATAATTCTTTGAACCTGAAATAGTTGGAGAAATACCAACCCAACAAATACCAGCTTTATCAGATTGTCTAACTAAACTTGAAAACGGGATATTGATATCGATATCATTAAATTTTAAAGTCAAAAATTTATTTGATGGTTGATTACAATCAATATATTTATTATTAACACCCATTACTTGCCAAATTTGATTAACATATTGTGGTTGCAAAAAAATATCAGTCGATCCAGAATCTAATATTAAATTATCTTGAAATCCAATTGAAACACCATCAATTAAAATATCAGTAGTATTGACACTTACATCATCAGTATCAACATCTAATAATACCAACTCTCCTTGATATTTAGCTTTATCTATTGCATTAAATAAAATACTACTTTCTGCATATTCTGAATTTAAATATAATGAATATGCAATTTTATCAGTTATATTTTGAGCTTTTAAGCCATGGGGAAATTATTATAATAACCTCCATATTCCCAATAATAACTTTCATATATAGGATAATCTATACCTAAATATCCAACTGTATCTTCCGTAGTATTAAAAATTGAACCAAATTGAAATTGTGATAATTTTACACCATTAGATAAGTAAACATCATCTAATCCATAGGTTCCAATAGCATAAGTATTATCCACATAATAATCTTTAATTGGTAGATTTAAATTCGTGAATGAAGTTGAAGTTGATGGATCAAACGTATCTCGAGATTTACATCTATTATTTGGACAAATTGCATTTGGTGTTGGAATCCATAATTCTGAACTACCAGTATCCAAAGCAACTCGAAATTTTTGTAAATTTGCACCAACGGTTAATTCAATCAAATATTGAGTTTGAGTATTTTGTAAATCATAGGATATGTAATTACGTTTCAAATTTGATGAACCAATTTTAAAATCAAGTTTAAATGATTTTGGCTCTCTTTTAATGACCGTACAGGTAGTAACAAATATAAAGTAAGCGAAAGATAGAACTTGAAACATGCTTAGTGAAATTTATGACATTATGGCTGCTATTTAAAGTGAAAATTTTCGACCTCTCTTTGAATCCATACTGTTAAGATCAACGGTTATGATTCTTTTCAGGGCCCGTAATCTGTATACCGTGAAAATCGATAAATATGCTCAATTGTAAGGTTATATCACCGAGAAGGGGCACTATTCATGCGTATGCTTCTTAATGTAGGTGTCTCTGACATAAAGACGGCGATCAAATGATTAAAGGTAACCCGAGTTACTGAATCAAGTTAATTTTTCAAAACTTCTTTCAACCCTTTCAAATTTTACTAATCATACTAACACTTAAATTCGGCTTTAAAACGATAAACTATTTAAATTCTACTAAAATTTTGAGCATGATAAGTCTGAAAGCCTGAAAATTCAGTTAGATACCCATATCTAGTAATAAAGTGTTGATCGTTAAAAGCATAAGATGGTGTTGACTCCATTTCTATGCTAGTTGTTTTTCAGAGATCAATTACCTAAAGCTTTCATAATAGTTAGCGAACTTTCTCAGTTGAACTACTAAAATTGATTCTAGAACTTTGTAATGTAGATCAAGTAAAAATCTTGAAATTTAATTTGATTTAGTTTATTTAAACTATTATTTAGGCTAATATCTTGTTAGTTAGACTCAAAAAGTGTAGTATAAAGACAACAGTTTAGCAAACTTCAAGTACACGTTCTTTGTTGTTTTTTGTAATTGGTTACAAATTACGAAACATGAGGAGCATCATTAAATTTCATCCGATTCGAAACGATGCAGTAGCTAATAATCTTTAGGACTGATTAAACGTAAGTAATGATATGGGCGACAAATAAAACTCTTATATAAGAATCAATGTAATATTTATTAAAACCAGAAATCAACTATATCTTCTTCATCAGTATACTTAGCATTTGCAAGACCAATTTTTCTAGATTCCAAATTATAAGCTACATAAACCTTTCTCAAAAAGAAGTCTCCAACCAAATTTTCCTTTACACCTCCATAATAACCAACCCCAACCCAACACTTACCAGCTTGATTTGATGGTCTAACTAAATCTGAATAAGGAATATCAACTTCAAGACCATCAAATTTAAAAGTCAAAAATTTATCTGATGGTTGATCACAAGGAGCTAACCCATTAGAATTTGAATTTAATTCTTGATATATTTGGTCAACTATATTTTTATCCCAAAAATTAATATTAGTAGAACCACTATCTAAAATTATGTCATCTTGAAAGTTTAAGCTTTGGCCATTGAGTACAAGATCATTAGTTTTTACAGATACATCGTTGGTTGAGATATTAAGAACAACTAAATCTCCGGTATATTTTGCTTTATCAATACCACTAAAAATTATGCTTCCTGTTTCAGCATCTAATTGATTTAAATATAAAGAGTAGGAAACTTGATCAATTATATTTTGTGCTTTTAAAGCCATTGGAAAATTGTTGTAAATTTCACCAGATTGATAACTAGTAGATTCAAAAATTGGGAAATCGATTCCTAATAAACCATGAACATTACCTGAGATATTATTCATAGAACCAAATTGAAATTGATTCAACGTATTTCCACCTGGAAGATGAACATCATCTTTACCATAATCACCAAATGCAAAAGTACCATCAACATAATAATCTTTAATTACCGTATTTAAATCAGTATATGAAGTCGAAGTTCTTGGATCAAATGAACCATATGCTAAACAAATATCATTTGTGCAAACGGCATCTGGTGTTGGGATCCATAAATCTGAACTTCCAGTATCTAAAGCAACAGAAAAGTGTTGATAATCAGAACCAACAGTTAATTCAATAAGGTATTCAGTTTGAATATTTTGTAAGTCATAATCGACCAGATCACGTTTAGTAATACCATTAGCAGTACCATTAACAGCAACATGAAAGTCAAGTTTTAAAGTTTTTGGTGAATCTCTTTTGATTATAGCACCTTGAGCAACAGCAAGAAAAGCAGCAGATAAATATTTGAAGAGCATTATTTGATTGAAAGTTCAGAAATTGTTGATAATTATGCCCTATTTATACTCCAACTAAGTGAATTACATTTTCCATTGTTGACGGGCCGCCTTTATACCACCACAAGATGTTTCATAACCAACAAATTTCATGATGATATAACATATGTTCAGTTTTGAAGTTTAAATCATCAAATATTCTCTTCTAGTGGATATATCAGATTCCATATTGTAAGTGATAATGATTCAATACTTTCAGAACAACCTAAACTCATCACTTAATCACTTAATAGAGGTCTTCACTCAGCTCAGTTATTAAGCAGCTGGTAAAGTTCGTGCCTTTTGAGCAACTGGTAATTTCATTGTCTCATAACCACATTGTTTATTGAAAATCTCACTTGTCAACTGTTTTATTTTGAGCGGGAGATCAGATAACGATTTGACTCTTCTTCCGGAGATCAGATAGCGATCTGACTCTTCTTCCGTCGCGACTCTTGTATTTTTACAGCCATTTCAAAATTTAACGCGAATTTATCTCAACTTAACAATAGAAATCTCAAAATCATTTAGGAAGCCTAATCTGAAGATCGGCTGAAGATCGGCTTTACTGTTCCGATTGAACTGACGTCAATTCTAAGCATTAGTGTATGTTTATTTACTTTTCAATGAAATGTAACGATCAAATCAGACGAACAACAATAAACGTAGAAAACAACTGAATATATTGATTGCTTATACTAGTCTATGATACTAAAACCAAAATTCAATGATATCTTCATCATCAGTATATTTTGCATTCGCAATACCGATTTTTTTACTTTCTGAATTAATAGCAGCATACACTTTTCTTATAAAGAATTCACCAGCGTAATTTGTATCGCCTTGAGTTAACGCAACACCCAGCAATAATCAGGATCATTTGATGGTCTAACTAAATCTGAATATGGAATATCAACTTCGAGTCCTCCAAATTTGAAAGTTAAAAATTTATCCGACGGTTGATTACAAGGAACTGCACCATATTGATTAGCTCCAAATTGTAAATTTTGTCAACTACTTCTTGATTGTTCAAAAGTATATTTGTTGAACCAGGATAATGCATCATAACCACTGCATTTTTAGGAAGGACAATAGATGATAAATTGCCCAACAAATTAGCGGAAAACGGGTCGGATTTTCAATTGATCTTACGAAAAATAGCTTATTTATAAATATAGTCAAAACAAGCAAAAAATAATAACTTACATTGGAAAGTTGTCAAATATTCAATTCCATATATAGTTATCATTTAAACTTTGTCCTTGTGAATGGAGTGAAAGATTCAATGACGACTTTTTCTCTTTCTCATTCATAATTCACATCGTCGTCCATTTTCGGTGGTGGTTTTCTTAAAGTTCTTGATCTTGTAGGTGATGCAAAACCTGATGTTGTTGTAGTTGGTGAAATACCAGATAAACTAGGCTGCGGTGGTTGCAATTGTTGTATTTGTTGTGGTGAAGTTAATCCAATAGTAGGTTCAGATCTAATTGAAGCTTGATCAGGGATATCATTATTTAAATTATTTACACTAATTGAGCTTGATAATGAGTTTGATGTACTTCTTCTTGGTCTTCTATTAGATATCATTTCTGGTGGTGTGTAAGGTTGTTTATCTTTATGGTTGTTGAGAGTTGAATTTGATGTTGAATTCCAAAATTTTTTAAAATAGTTTGTATAATTGGTTGATTCTGTAGGTATTGTAGTTGTTGGGCTTGTTTCTTCAAGGTTTAATGTACTTTGTTTTTTAGCCATTTTCTTGATTGTACTTGTAAATTTCAGTTTAACATCTGATGATTTTAATTCAATATCTGAATCAGAAACAATGGTTGGTGGTTGCGAAATTGATTCAGAATCTTTCTCTTTTGCTTCAACTGATACTTCTGTTTCTTCTGTTTCTTCTTCTTCTTTCTCTTTCCATATTCCACCTTTATATAATTGATCTTTCGTATCAAAAAATACAAGATCATCCCAATGAGGTAACACCATACTTTCTTTGAAATTCTCTTTAAACTTCTTTTCAATTGAGTTTGTTATAAAATTAAAATTTAATGCTTTTGTAGATACTAGAGGTTCTATTTTGAAATTTAAAATTGGTTCTGTCTCATACGTATACCAGATCCTGTTTGAAGGTGGTGGTTTAAATTTAATTAAAATTGGCCCTTGTAATTTCAATAAGGTAATTTTGAGTACAATATCAACTTCCTTTTTATTTGTAAACTTTGTAAATCCACCAAATGTTATATCTAATTTAGTCTCGATTGTTATTGAAATATTCCCATTATATGATATATAAGATGATACTAATACTGTCCCATCTGGATTGATTTCTTTTAAATTAGGGTATGTAAAAAAAGGAGCACTATTTCCTGGTTCAACGTTTGTAATTTTAAACTGATTTAAAAAGTCTGGTCTTTTAATTTTATTCAATTTCTTATTGAATTTTACTTCAATGTAATTTTTAAAGTATGATGTGTCCTTTATACCAAGATACCATCGTCCTATTAAAGCATTTATCCATTTTGTTTGTAAATTTGAATCTGAAGAATATAAAGTCTGTATAAGGTTAATCATGTCTTTGGTTTTGAAATGCAAAGTATTGGCTTCTATATTTGGATTTAAATGACTAGGTATTTCCGAAGTTTTGTTTTTTAATTTAGTTGATCTAATTAATGCAAAATACCAATCTTCTTTATCATAATTATTATCCACATAAATATAAAATGACCCCTTTGAATGAGAGTTCAAACTTTTAAGGTTATTACAATTTATTAAAGCAATACAGGAATATTTGGTGAATAATTGTACATCTGTTAAATCCCGAGGCCATATTGAAACAAAGTAATTGGACATAACGATTACATGTTTAACATCTTTAATTGATTGATCCTTGTATAAGAATAAATTTCCATGTTTTAAAATTGCATAAAATTTATGTTTCTTTGGTTTAACATTTGATTGTTGTGGAGTAACTTCTTCTTCTCTATCATCATCAGTTTCTTCTTCTTTTGCAATTTTATATAATGTTGAATATGCCAGTTTTGTTTCTGATGATTCTGTAATTGATTGCATTGTTGAATTTATATCATCTGGTGATTCAATGTGATCTCTTGTTACTATAATCCATCCAACTTTATAAGTTTCAAGACCGTTTTGTTCTTCAATTTCTCCAGTTTTCACATCATTTGAATCATCTATTTCTTCTTGTTGTTGTTGCTGAGGTAGTAGATAGAATATTACTATGATTAAACTAGGTATGAATGTTAACCCACCAAGTATATAAATGAATAAAAACCATAGAAAGGTCATTGATGCTGAATTATAATTATTATAATGATCCTGCGAAACGGTTGTAATTATAAAAATTCCCTTACGTGTAACTATTTTTAGTAAGTTTGCGCGGCGTGAAAATTACTCAATGAGGAATATGGGCGCAAAATTTAAGGTAAATCGCAATCTCAAAAATTGACTAGTTTCTGGTTTGAAAGCCAAAGCATATTAGTGATCAATTGACAATCTTGTAAGTCATTTAAATGATAGATAGAATAGCTAATGAGATGGGTTCAAATTAAATTTTTAATAAAGGTAAAATATAAAACCTTAAATAAGCAAACTATCACAAACTAGATTGTACAGAAATGTTTATGAACCGTTTACCTGATAACTAAAGTATTTTGTTGCTCATTCGTTTTCCTTCCAGTCTCATTAATTTTAACTTGAAGTTATATTAATAAAATTTAAATACTAAATTTCAATCCATACGCGCTATAATTCTGGGCGCAACGAAATAACTCTCGCGCTATTCTTAAGGCGACTCGTGCTAAGCTCATTGGCTTATATGTCATGAACAACACATTTTCATAAAATAAATCCCATTTGTATGAGATCAGGACCAGTGAATTATCTCACGAACGGCAACTTTGGATATTTGAAATTTTTTTTTTTCATTTGCATTTTTGGCTTTTTTTCACCATACAAAAAAGTTTCAAAAAATGGAATTCTATGTATCTTTTAATCTAGGCTCATAGTCTCCAAATAAACAACTGATTATGCATAATATACGTTAATTAGAGATTCTGGACTTAATCCTAGATGCTCTCGTTTAAAATTGAAAAATTTCGGATTTTTCTCTTAAGTATGGGGAAATTCGAATAAATTAACCTTATAAAAAAACTAGATCCACCATTAATTTTCAAATTTAAACATGAAAAAAATAGCCAAAATCTATAGTTCTGTACTCTATTATAGCTTAGATGTTTTTATGTTAAGGTATTCAAAATTAAAAAACTAACCTTTCAAAGTGTTTGAAATTTTTGAAAAATTTTCAAACTAATTTTGTCATCTCGAAAACATTATCCCAAAAATCTTCATAAGTGAACAAACCATGTCAGCTATATCAGAAATTGCTGATTGAGGTCTAAGCGTTAATTATCTTGCAAAATAGCGTTTTTTTCCATTTTTCAATTGTAGAATAAAATGATCAAAATTGCACTTTTTGAATAACAACTGGAATCAAATTAACTCAAATGTTTTGAAGTCTTAATAAACTAAGTTTGGCATTTACAACTTCAATATTGAGGGAGTTATCAACGATTAAAGTTTTATGATCACCTACTGTAAGACTGCATATAATTAAATTTGTTTTTCATTTTATTTTTTGTAGTATGTAACTTCTCGCCCAAATTTGGCCAAGAATGACGGGCATTTCGTACTAAACTTAATAGGTTATATCTCAAGAAAAACATATTCTCTCGATAAAAAGACCATTTTGATGACATCAGAAGCTGTCGACTATACACTTCATTTATTTCAAACTTTGAATTTTAAACATATTTTTTTTTGAGTTGTCATTTTAACGTTTTTCCATTATACAAAATTTTTGCCAATCATTGTATTATTTTATCTAGGGCCACAACTTCCAATTAAGCAACCAATTATATATATCATTCTCTCATCCAAGGTATTGAGCTCAATCTTAAATGATTTTCGCTAAAATTCAGAAATTTAAAAAATTCTCCTATGAGGAAAACCGAATAAATTGCCTTTGCGAAAGAACTAAAACAACTATCAAAAACAAGATGAAAGCATGTTAGAACAATCAAGATTTGTAGTTTCTCACTTTGATAATCCTTGGTTCTATTTGTGTTTAGACATTCTAAATTGGAAAAGTAATTTTTCAGGAAATGAAATGTAATTTTTGCAAAATTTTCAAAACAACTGTGGGGCCTAGAAAACAGTATATATAGTGTTATTAAGTTTGAATAAACCAGATCAGTTTTACTAGAAGTTGATTTTTCAGGTCTAAGTGTGGAATATCTTGCAATAACGTTCTTTTACTTTTTTTAAAATAATGAATTTTGTTATCATAAACATGTTTCATTGAACAGATTAAGCATAAATTTACTTATAATTAACCGAAGTCATGCTGAAAAAAGTTTCAATACTTCAACACGATTATTGATAGACTTGTTTGCAAAATAAACTTTGAGATTAACTATGATGAGACTGCATATAACTCAAAAGGTAATTTCTATTTTTGAATTTAGCTTTGAACTGTGGTTAAAAGTGAGCTCTAGACGAGAACAGCGCTGGAAATTGTTTCTCAAGGCGAGAGCCGGGTCCACTTGTTTTTATATGTGTTAAACGGCACTAAGCAAAACGAATGACCTGCAGACTTCAAAACCTGTTTACCGTAGAATTGGAAGAAATTGGAGCATAATATACCTAACCCATAGAAAGCTAGCTTCAATGGTCAATACATGCGTATATGTTTTTTATACTTAAGTCGGGTTTTTAGACCAACGACTGTCAATTGATGTGATACTAATTATAATAGCTGAGAATTTAATTAAGTGTCATTTGTACTTGAATCTTTACTGTATTACACTGGAAATTAACGAAGATATATTTTATTCAACAACTGCAAAAAACCGTTGAATAGCGCGTTCTAAATCTACGATCCGTTACAAATCGATAGATACGAGATCTAACGCAAAAAGATATTAAAATCGCGCGCCAAAATATAATCAGAAAAGTCACTAGTTTTTGCTCAAGTTCTATTTCACTACGCTTCCACTTGCTACTTAACTATTATTGTCTTAATACCATTGTAACGAGAATCTCTAGCTCAATCCGAATTTGATGGTTAGAAAATGCCTTCTTTAAATTTTCTTGACAATGTTCAATTTTTTATTATTTTGACCAATCAAAGAGCTGGAAATGACGGAAGAAAATTCAAAAATTATGCTCATTGCCTCATTATCAAAAGCCTAATAATTCAAGCTGACTGCTTGATTTGAAAATGGATCTTTGAGTTTGAAACCAACAGCCAACTTGAAATTAGAACAGGGATTGAATATCAAACACTTTAGGAAAAAATTCTTATTCTAATTATTTCCGCTGACTTGAAAATCTTTCGTTGGTAATGTTCTTCAACTATTGTTACTGAGTTCAAGGATTTTTATTACAACTATCAGTCAATATCAAGTTAAGAAAACTACAAGATTAGAGTTATTATTTAATTTCGTTAAAATGTAAATGGTTCATTCACCTATGTTTCCCAAATGTTACTTAATTCTAATAAAATCCTTATTATCGAATACTAAGCTTGGAAGATTAACCAAGTGAAATTTTTTATTTCAACTTTAATTACAAAAAACTGTTGAATGTCAAATAAATCAAAGGCAAAGTAAAAAAGCCTAAAACTTCTTAAACGCCCAATTACAAAGAGTTACAAAGAATTACACCCTATTACAAAGCATTAAATATAATATAGATTCTTGTACTTATAAACAAATTCATTTTATTAAAAATAGTAAACGAATTACAAAATTGTATGTAATGCAAGATTCGCCTCAAAGTATAAGAAATAATAATTTGCAACTTGATACTTTTTGTTTTGTGATTGATGATTCAAATATACGGATATATTTTTTCACCATGTATCTGAAACCATTGTTTAGATATTAGACGATAAACATCCATACTGGATTTTGGAACAAAATTTCTTTTTTTTCTATAGATTTTTTTTTTAGCCTACCCAAAAAAATTCAAAAATTTATTAAACTTTGCAATCGGAATCACACGAAAAGTATATTGAATAGGTCATAAGACCGTAGAAGTATACAAGATAATAACAAACTTTTTTAGCTAGATTTTTAGTGATTCTTTTCTTATTCGTTTTCCGTAATTGTTCAGCCAATTATATTAGTTCAATACATAATCAAGCACAAAAACTACGCTAATAATTAATTAATACAATGGATTTTGGCTGTAATTAGTCGGTTGCATCTCGTTTAAAACATCAGTTAGACATCACAAACGCATTATGGGTTTCTTTTTCTTACATTTTGCCACTCCTATTCTTTTGTACAACGGAAACAAACAAAGAAATAGAAATAAAATCGGTTTGAATCTGTATGGAACGAACATCAAATTTACAACTCCAGCATAGAATACAAAAAATCAACCTGGCTTCATACCAGTCTCACCTTGATATGCTATGCATTGTTTCAACATATCATTATTTTATAGTAATTAAGCTTTTAGTTGGCATTTTTCACTAAATATATTCTATAAAAAAGCCTTTATAAAATTAAACGAAATATAGAAATAGAAATAGAATAATATAAAAAATTTTTTGTGTCAAAAATCTAAATTTTGGTTTAAATTTTATTGTTTAAAATAAAATATTAGAAAAAATTTTCACTCTAATAAAAGAAAATCAAAACAAAACAAATAACAAATTAACAAATTAAGCTTATATTCAAAAATTAAGGAGAATTTTTGTATAAATTCGAGTAACAAAATTGAAGATTGGATTATGTCTTAGTTTAATTTAAGGGTACCGTAATAACTTTAATCAATTGTAACATTGATCAAATTTTCTAAAAACTAAAATATTGTTGATTGTAACATACTCCATAATTTGGTTGTTTATCCAATTACTCGATTATCAAATGTAATAAGTTATACTTCTTAGTTCTTTTATTTCTTAACTTAACAACACATAGTAAATAATAATAAATATTTTTGCGTCATTTTGGAAAATCTGAAAAATTTTTTTAGGTTTTTTTTTTTTTTTTTTTCATCGTAAAAAAATCTAGTAATATACAGGAAGTGATAAATTTATATTTAAATTTTACTATACAAATCAAGTTTAAAGGTAGAAATCATTAATCATAAAATTTCCAGTTGAAACCATTTCGGAAGCTTTGCCAGTTATTATACAATTCTTATTTAATATTCTAGAAACATCTTGATACTTATAGCCTGAATTTGTATATCGATTGTTAATTTTTGGAATATATAAAGATGTAGATGATGCTATAGGTGAACTTATTGGACTTTCAGGTTCTGATGTGGTGGCTTCTGTTTCCTTTTCTTCATCTTCTCCATATGAAAAATAATCTTCAATTGAATATTCTTTTTTATTATTACTGAAATTTACATTCTTGAAAAAAGGAACTTCAGAAGTTGTAGGTAGTTTTGCAGCTTCCTTAGTTATTACTTCTTCTTCCTTTCTATTTAGTAATGCAAATGAATCTTTATATTGTGAATTTTGCAACTTCTTGAGATAATATTGTCTTATGTTATCTTGTAAAATTTGAGTAAAATTAACGGATGCAATTTGTATTGGTTCTTCTTCATAAATTTCTTCAACTTCAGTTTCTGATTCTAAATCTGATAAAAAATCATAATTTATATTAGTAAGACTGAGTAATTTTTCAACTGGGTCTATTTTATCAAATGAAATCAACTTTTCTTCTTCTTCTATTGATAATTTTCGTTTTTTCTGTGAAGGTTCTTCTGTTTTCAAGTTAGTTGATGCTTTTGGAGTTGGAGTTCTTGTTCTAGTTGACTTTCGTATGGATGACATGATATGCAAAATAATTAATAATAATGAATTGAAATATAAACTAAATTAAAAAAATATACTAATTGGAATTGAAATATAAAAATAAATTTGTTGTTTGTTGTTTGTTGTTATTAGTTAGCCAGCTGTAGGTGATAATTGTTAATCTAAAAAATGTACTTGAATTTTAATACTGATAAGAGAATTAAAGTATTGATAAAAGTGATTGATTAAAAAAATTTTGAAAAATTTGTTTCCTTTATATTTATAATTTTTTTTTATTTTTTATTTTTTTTTTTTTTTTTTTTTTTATTTTAATTTTTTTTTTTTTTACTTTAATTTTTTTTTTTTTAGAAAATTTTTTTTTAATTTTTTTATGCATGATTTATTAATTGATACTTTTTTATTTAAACAATAAACTAACGAATATTTTCATTAGGAGTTGAGCTATGCAGAGAAATAATTCAATGTTCCATGGAAAGCAATTAATAGAGATTACAATGGTGTTATTCTTTAGCTCTTTAGTTTCATAGATAAAAGCTAATATAGTTTACTATGCTTAAGACATTAAGGATGACTTATTATTTTTCATTTTTACATTAATTTTTTTCATCTTTTTATTTTGTTATTTGTTATTCTATAGATTCTTTCTGGAAGTATATAAGCGAAACTTAGAAGAGGATTATAATAAATAGTTGAACCAGTAAAATTAGCTCTATTAGAAGTCGAGAGAAAGGTTATAAAGTACAAAGTAACTTATTTGATTTCTTTTGTTCCTTTAGTTCCATTAAATCTGCTTTATCTTGTCATATTTGCCTTAAAGTTTAATTCAACATGATTTGTTCAACTAAGAATTGACTAGTTTCTTTTTCCATAGTCATATCAAGTTCCTCCATATATTGTTGTTTGTTTGTTTGCTTTAATCTAGAAAAATTCAAATACCAAAGGGGGTTAAAATTGGTCTGTTTGTTTCACTCCACTACTTTTTTCGTTTCTCCTTAAAAAATTTATTTAGTTTGCGGTTGTAGTTAAGGTGTATTTCGATTAATCTGTGAGAGCTTAGATTTGCTCAGTGTGAGTTGAGACCAACGGGGGTCAAACCATACAAAATCTTGCTCTCATTTAAGTTAATGAAAGGAAGTGTCAAGAACAATTTAAATCTGTAATTGAATCTATCGTATATATTAGATTCATTACTACTAAAAATTTTAAGAATTCTAAGTCCGTATGCTTCTAAATCTTATTTTAGATAATTTTGAGTTATTCTAAATTTCAACTCCTTAAAACTGAGTAATTTTCATACAACACATTTGAGTTTTTCTCCTAAATAAACTTTTCAATACGACTGTTGCAGTTTTTTAATCTAAATACTGGTTATAATAACATCCATGTCGTAGTATTAACATATACATAATCTTAAAAATTTTCTCACGAGTACAATCACCAAGACCAAAACCAATAACTATTTCAACATGTCGTTCAACTAGTGGCAAATCTTCTCTTCTTTGAACAAATTCGTAAATTTCTTCTTGTGTAAATATACCATTGTATTTACATAAATCGCTAACTAATTTTCCAATTGCTTTCGAATCATTACCACTAATTACATAAATATTACCAACTTTTTTTCTCATCAATTTAAAATCTTGTGTCAAGTCTAAAAAAGTTTTTAGAAAATGTGGCCAGATTATTGAAAATCTATCAAAGCCTAATTCAGAATGATAGAGCAAAGCAAATGAATGTATATTAAATGATAAAGAAGAATGTACTATTTAAATTTCTTTTGAAGCTTAGATGCAACATGGATCCTCTCGAAACGTGGAGTAAGTGATACTGTTTCATTTCAATATTTAGCAACTTGTTTTCGCAACATAATAAAATCTTATTTTATCGCTATCTTTATCTATAATTGCTTTGGATCGAGAGGTCTGTATAAAAATCATAAATTGATAAACGTTTTTCAAAATAAGTTATACTACAACTAAATCTACTAAAATTTATTGTTATTGTTGACAAGGTGGTGGTTGAATTTTCACACACATGGCTCAATAATAATGGAAATTTGTAGAAAAGCCATTAAAACTATTATTGTTTCAAAGCGTTCATGTAATATCGAAAAATTCTATTCAATGGTTTTTACAATTTTAGGTTAATTTGCCTCAATAATACTTATCATCCTATGCATTTACTTTTTAATCTTTAACTTATATCGGACTTTGGAGCAATCTATTTTTATTTTTTTTTTTTTTTTTTTTAATAATTAATCGTTGGATCATAATTGCGCAATATTAACGCAATACTTCAAATAACAAATAGGAAACTAGTAGTATTGTAAAATCGATTAATTTGTTAATGATACTGTAATATACTGACGTGCTTTAACCAGTCGAGCTATGCCAAATGCTGCGTCAACTGAACACTTTCTTAGGTCGACGGGTGTTATTACCAAGATAGTTAAAAGTATTTGCCAAAAATTATCCAAAATTCACTGAAATTATACTAAATACCAAACACAACGTTTCTGTATTTGTGTTCCACTTCAAAACGAATACAGCCTACTTAACTACTATTTTCTTCTCTCGTTTCTTATTAACCAATTCGCTATTCCACTAATTAATAATAACGGCTTTAGAGAGCAAAAGATAGCATTGTACTACTCACGAGGTGCCTGTCTTTGAATAATCGAAGGTTTGAATAATCGAGGGTCTAAAGTAATGAGCTGGAGTTTGAATTGTCAATATCATTATAGACTTAAATGTTTAAGACGCGTCACTATACATCGTTTTTAACCTTGCATTGCTTATTGATTACAAAATTATCAAATACAGAGTGTAACAAATCGCTAGTTATAACTAACAATATCATATTGTCCTTATATTGGGGTTTGTTTATTTTTATTTTTGTGCATGTCAAAAGTTTATTTAATGTTTGTTTGTAAAACGCGTTAATTTTTTTTTATGTTTACTTTGAACCGTAATTGAAAATGATGAAAATTAGAAAAATTTCCTATTTTTGAATCAGCAGTCATTCATGAATCAATATACACAAATGGATCCACAATGGCAACCACAATGGCAACCACAATGTCAACCTCAATGTCAACCTCAATGTCAACCTCAATGTCAACCTCAATGTCAACCTCAATGTCAACCTCAATTTAGTCAACCATATTAACAACAACCAGAAATGAATACATTATCTACAACTTCAAAATCCCCAAAGCAGTAGCTTACAACCACAATATAATTATGATTTATCACAACCAAATATGATGAATTATCAACAGCAACAACAACAGCAGCCAAATCCAAATTTGAATCAACGTACTAATTTGAATCAACGAACGGCCCATTTTCCAATCATCCTTTTGCATCCTCTACGCCTTGTCAACAACCTAATTTTTCAACTACTCTCAACCTGAGCATACAATTAGATTCAAGCATGAACCAAGTGTAGATGAAATGGATTCAAACTCACTAAACAATCAAATGCAAATGAAGAAAATCAACAAGGAGGCAATTGATCTGAAATTTATATTCCTACAGATCCACATTAACTATGGAACATAATTGAGAAGACTACTAATATGAATGAGCAACTATTGCAAAAGAATAAAAGTTTAAGCACCAAAAATAAACAATTACATGCGGAGGTCGCTCTTTTAAAAATGGGAATGAAGAATGATTATATTACACATAAATTATATTGGAAGATCGAAGAATTGGAAAAAGAGCAAGACGATGATATTGCCATGATCAGGCAAAAAAAAAATTTCAACATTTACCAATTTCATCCATTTGATAAGATCTTTCTTCATAAATGCGAAAAATTCAAATAATCTATAAGGATTTTCTTTCTAAAATATTTCCAAAAATTAATCAGTTTTTCTTTTTTCATTTGCAACTGCACAATTTAATGTATTTTCAGATTGTAAATCTAATGAAATATCTGGTAACTGAAGTTTTACCATATTGTATTTCAATATGATTGATAAATTTACCCTTTTCATCTAAGAGATTAATAAAAGCATCTGAAACTAAATTTTACACCACCCTGTTCTGAAGGGAATATATATAAATTTGAAATTCTCACCTACATCAGCAGTGTTGGAAGTAGCTTCAAATAATCTAGAATTCAAATAATATGTTTCTGCAAGTTTAAAATGTTGCAAACCTTGATCTATATAGTCCTTCCATTTTTTACTTGATAAATCAGTTGGAGGTTAAATACCGTTATAAGCTTCTTTAATTTGATTTTTAAAAGTTGTAATCCAACTGGAATATGCTTTACGATAAATTTCAATCTTATGAGCATTTTGTAATATTGGATCAGTTAAATCTAATTCTTCATCAATCTCTTCAATCACCTCTACATCTTGATTCTCTTTGACAGCTTCTAACTTATCAGTTTTATCCGCTGATTCAGGATTAGTTACTTCACCATTCGCAATTTCGCCATTTTCAGAAGTTTGTTTTTATTCTTGTTGCTGATCTTGTTGCTGATCATTGTTTGAAAAACATCACCCATGATTAACAATAATTAAGATTAAAGATGACATAAGTATGAATGAATGGGTATTGATCAAATATTTAATTCATATATAAAATTAAAAAGTGGTTTTAATTATTTAAAATAAATCTCAAGGGGATCATAAAAAAAAAAAGAATTTACTAATGAAAAATGTCACCACCGCCACGAATTACGTTGAATTTGGTACTAAGGAAGCGGAAATGTAACTATGTAAATTAGGTCCAGCCTAATACGACATTGGCATTGACCTTTATACGATCTAAAAAAAATAATTAAACTATTATGCATTTACGATTACCTATAACGCATTTTTAATTGAAACAATATTAGGAAAAATGACCAATCAGTGAGTTACAATATTGAATATACAACATCATTAATTATTACTCTATTTGGTTAATGCAAAGACAAATATAAGGTATATAGATTTCTTTGTCTACTAAACAACAGAGACGATTAAATCATCAATAAGTCAATAGTAGGATATGTATAGAATTAATAATTTCCAAAATAATATAAGTATATATTACTAATTCTACACGTCAACATTTTAGCTGGTGACCATTTCTAAAACTTAAGAAATCATTAATGGAAAAAGAGACTACTAACAATCGTAGTATTTCAAATTTTGACCAAAAAAAAAGCGTCAAGCGGGTACTGAACAAATCTAAATAAAACCATATATCATCAAATTATTATGTTGTTTTATCTCTAAAGCCATACCATCTGCAAATAAACTTAACATTAGCAATAACAACAGCAAATTTGAAATACTTTTCAATAATTAGCATTTGTATAAATTTCCAGTTGCAGCAAGAGGGTTTTTAATTGAAGAATTAAAATCTGTTTAGACCTCTGTTTATAGTTTTAAAATTATTCCGCCTTTATGGTGATGATTAAACTCAAAGTAATAACTATTTACTGTATGCTGCAATTTTGTTTACCTTCACTACCTTTTCTGGTCATCAAGATACTCTCCAAAAGAATAGGGGTGATACGATTATGGAAGTTTTAGGCTAATGGTTCAGATGCATGTTGTAAAAAAATTAATTAAGTCTTATAAAATACTCAAACTTGTAACACTGAACCTCGAGAGTGTAAGTTTAGAGTTAAGGTTAGGTGAGTCTAGATTGAATCAAGTGCCACAATTAAGTATGCAATTTAAACGATATTAGAATTACAAATTAATGCAGTAGGAACGTTTTCGAGAAATCTGTTAGCTCTATTATATCTCAAGCCACAACTATACATGAAATGAATTGGTTACACCTTCTTCAGATTTGGTTGCAAAACGACTTGGTAGCGATTAATTGGGTAATGTTTTTCTGAAACCAAAAATATTTATCGTCTATAAATTTACTAAAATTAATCCATTAATTGAACCTGAACAGTCATGGTACCACTATTACTTGATTACTATAAATTTGAATTACTTATTTTAATTTCTGTAACACTTGGTAGCTTTCATCTTCAATCTATTGGTTATCCGTTTTTTCGGTAATAAATAAAATATACACGACCCATAGTAGTAACTTGTATGATTTTGTAGATAACGAAAATTATACTATTCAATCTTTTACTTGGTTTTCCATGTTCAAAAATCGATATTCTTTTAGTTTGAGAACTTTCAAAACCTCATCTATACTATTCAAAGATGAAAAGACTAAAGCATTATTAAAAAACCTTGGGCTTGATCTACAAAAAGGAGATATTAATCATCAAAGAGATCATAGAGAAGATGAAGATAAAAATACTAATAATCATAATGAATTAGATACTGAAGATTTACCTAGCAATAATGAAACTATAAATAAATTAAATCATATGTATGATGAATATGAAAGTTTTGCAAGTATGTCTAGTAAAAATTTATTATTTCAAATTGCATTAGATGGGGATGGACCTTTTATGTCATTTGTACTGAATCATTGGTTAGATAGAAAGAAATTATTACGAAATCTACCGAATAAAATTGATGTTTTTAATCAAGAAGATATGGCAAAAGTAGAGCATATATATAAGGAATTATCAAAATTAGATTCTGATCCGAATTTACATGAAAGATATTTAAAAGAATATTTTAATGATTATACAAATATAATGATAAATGCAACAGAAGCTGCAAAATCACTAGATTCAAAATTCAAATCAATAAGAAGGAAAGAAAATTTATTAAGTCAAATGAGGAAAAGTCTAACTGATTTAATTGATGAAAAAATTACAAATTATAATGTTGTTGGGTTTGATAAATCATTAATGGGAATGCCATTGAGAAATACAAGTAAACTACTACCAAAAGAATTAGTTCAAGATCTACAATTTAAGGATAATATAATAGAGTTGAAAAAATTTGACGTTAATGTTTCATTAGGTATGGATCCATTTGATAGATCTAAGAACATTGATCCTAAAAAGAATCTAACTGTTAAAGAAATACAAGAGAAGAATTCAAATGGTATTTACCATCATGATAGTTCAAATTCAATAATTCAACGACAACAAGCAGGTTATAAATTGTTGAGTAACCGACTCAACTTACCAAAACAATTTATCAAAGTGGATAACATAATCAATTTCAAAAGAATCGAAATTGACAGGAAGCTAGTTCAGAGATTAGAAAAAGAAGTCAACATTATCAAAAAGACACTAGAGGATGAAATTAGTACATCAGTTCCAACAAATACATTTTTACTTGAACCACATAAAAACATTTATTTAAAGACTAATGAGTATCTTCTATGTGAATTTGAAAACAATATTGATGGCACATGGTATAAATATAAACAATTTAATTATTTACCAAATTACTCCACAATATTGCCTTTTACAGTTTCAACAAAAAGAAGATTAAAAAATCATTTGATTAAGATATTTTTGATTAACATTCAGAATCAAATTGACACTTTGTTATTATTAAAATATCAGGAACTACCCGAAATGACTAAATTCAAATCAACTTTAATGAACAATATCAAAAATACAATTAAATTCAGATTATGGAGATATTTCTCGAATCAACAAAATCAAAATTCGAAGTTTTATGATGCTATCTTATTCAAACCATTTACCGATAGATGTTTTAAAAGAATTTATTGGGTAAGTAAACCTTTTAAATTTGGATTAAGAAAATCAAATATGAATTTACATTTAACTGAAATTCAATAAGTATAAAATTAACGAATGCATATCAGACAAATATTGACTCTTTATATTACGATTAAACTAACTAATAAGCTTTTATGTCTAGCTTTAAATAATGAATAGAGAATTTCTTAATTTGTATTGTTTCAAATTTGGTATATACACGAAGTCTGAAAAGTATTTTTTTTTTTTTTTTTTCAATTTTATTCAAAAAAAGTACATCAATGGCATATAAAAAAGTTGGACCATCACCTAAAGGTTTACCTTTATTACCTAAATTAAAAGTCAAAAAGCCTATAGTAGCAAAAACTACAAATGAATGTTTTGTTATAATGTCATCATTATTAAATTGTTGGGCATCAAATGGTGAAGGTAATAAAAATTGTCTTAATTTTGAAAAAGATTTAAAAACATGTATGGAAACTAATAAAGTGGAACCTGATAAAATGTCAACTATAAATTATCATGCTAAAAGATTATATCCAAAAATAAGTGGTAAAAAAATAGATTAAATGAATTTTTGGGAAATTACGTTAAGTAAGGAATTAGATAGATTGAGATACTTGTAAATAATGAATGAATAATGATCATACTACAGCCTTATTGCATAGTTGAAGTAAGTACAAATCTTAAACTTGATAGTTACTTTTTCTAAATTTGAACTAACCGAATGTCGATGCTAAATTTTGATTCGAAAGAAGAATAAGTTGTGAAGATTATTTAAAAAATTGTTCAAAAGTATTCGATAGTTATCTATTCTAAATATTTAATCTATTTAAAAACTTTACCATCAGCAATTTCTCTTGATTCACCGTTAACAACAACTGGTTCATCCCAAGCTAACATATTGTTAACAAATTTTTGAACTTCTTCTTTTGAGCCATCTAACTTAGTGAATTCATATGATTCCCAATCTGGAGCAACATCAAAAGCTGGTTTATAATCTTGACCTCTAACTAAAAATGCACCAGTAATACCGTTATTATTATTTTCACCATAAACAACCATACAACCAAACATATATTTAGTTGATGCAGATAATCTGTTAAAGAAACCACCAACCAAGTTGTTTGACATGAATGTTAAAGTTAATTCATCATTATATTTATAATCAACTTTATATAATGACCAATCTTCTGGATCATACATATTTTTCCAAAACCATGGAATAGCAGTTTCTCTAGTTTCTTCATTTGAATAAACTCTTTTCCATTCATCTAATGGAGCTTTTGGTTTACCTAAAGCTTCTAATGGATGTTTTGGTTTTGGAGCAGCAGCTGGTTCTTCAGTAACTTCTTTAGCAGCATCTGGTTTAGCTTCTTTTTTAGCAGCTTGTGGTGCTGGTGATTCTTTTTTAGCTTTTTCTTTCTTTGGTGCAGTATAAGTTAATGGTTCTTTTGGAATAACAAATTCAGCAAATCTATCACCAAAAAATTTTGATTTTGAAACAGTAACAAACCATCTACCGATATTTGGATATTTTTTAACAAATGGTTCACCTAAAATGGTTGATAAAGCAAATGAATAAGCAGCAGCAGTGAAAATATCAGCAAATGTTAATCTTTCACCAACTAAATAAGTAAATTCTTTTAATCTTGATTCTAAAATTTGAGAAATTTCATCAATTTTAATAGCATTTTCATCTAAAGCTTTTTTGTTGTATGGTGCTTTACCAGTGATCATTTTTAAGTTTGGAATGAAAGCTCCAATAAATTCTTGATTAATTAATGATAAATATTTTAAAATTGAAGCATATTGTTGATTATTTTTACCTAACCAATTACCTAATTTTTCTTTAGGTAATAATGAAAATAAATATGATTGAATAGCTAAGAATTCAGTTAATTTGAAATTTTTAGCACCAATAAAAGCTGGAGTTTTACCTAACGGGAAATTAGTAGTAAATTTTTCATCTTTTTCTGAAGTACATTTGATATCTAAACCAAAGTATTTGATTAAATCAACTAAAACGTATGATCTTGGTGAAACATCTAAAGTATATAAAGTACCTTGTGACATGGTAAATTCTATCCAATTCTTAAAAAGAAAAGTCGGGTGGTCGAAAGAAAATTTTAAATGAGAAAATTTTTTAAAGCGTATAAGTTTTTTGACGATGGAGGTTTGAAAATTAAAGATTTCTAGATCTGAATTTACAAAGATCAAGATCTGAGTAGATAAAGAGTGTAATAACTTTATTATAAACCCAATTGAATGATCTCTATTACTATGAAAGCGATAATTAGTGACAATTGATCATTTGTAAGAGAAACGTTGTTAAACCAAATTTGATGGGCGGCCATTTCTGGAATAAGCTGAAATTATGACACGAGGCTCATAACGATATTCAATGCTACCATATTCAATTTTAGATCGAAAGTTTAACTGAGATTTAAGTTTAATTCTAGCACCAATTATAGTCTAAACATAACTTATAGATCATAAATTTAGTCAAGTGCTTAACCATTAAAAGCTCGGTGGTCTTCGAGACTCCTGATATCCATTCATGATTTCAAGGCATTTTGATGAAAAAGCAACGAGTTGAAAGATACATGAATAAGGGGTAATAAACTGATTGGCTATTGATAAATGAAATTTTTATCTTTAAATTTGTCACCTCATTTGATGTTCAGAGCGTAATTGACATCGATTTTCCTTTACGTCGGTTCGTTCTAACATCTCTTTTTCCCTCGTGAAAATTGGGCGAAACGTACCATACATAAGCCAGCTCAGACTACGTCTTAGTTGTATCCCAACAATGTACTTCGAGGGTATAAGTAAAACACAGCCTTTCTCATATAACTGGTACTTAACTTCTGAAAATGTGTCGTTCTGGATATATGTTTAGTACGAGTCGCCCTATACTTAACGCTAAGAAAATAAACTGTTGGCACCAAATTTGGGCGAGAATATTAAAGATTTGATAATTGAGTTATATGTAGTTTTATAGTTGTTAATATAAAATCCGTATAAAATTGATGTAAGAAATTCATGATTCTACGGAATAAAGGAAGAGATTAACTAATAAAATACATTTCAGTTCGTTATTTGTGCAAATTGTTACACGTCTATTATCATTACTCTCTATATCGTTTAAACTCATTAAAAATAATATTGCTTATCTTCTTTTACGTCTTTTTCTTTTAGATTCGATAACTTGTTGCACATCTATACTACCATTAGCCTCACCAATTAACCGACCATCTGAATAACCATTTAAACCACCATTTGTAAAACCATTTTGTAAATTTAAACCATTAGGACCATCTTTCTTTCCATTTATTCCCTCTATATTACATCCTGGACTTCCATCTATATTTCCGTTTATTCCATCAATTTCAACATCGGTAGTATCTACATTATCTTGTATTATTTTCTTTTTCAATATACTACGAATCAATTTCAAATCAGCAATTACTTTGCAATCACCAATTACTTTTTCTATAGTCTTATTTATATTATTTTTACAATTTGAGATTGATTGATATTCTGATTTAAGAACAACTTCTGCCATTTTAAACCTATCAAATAAAATATTATTCAGATTTTCAGATGGTTCTTTTGCAATATCAGGATACTGATCTAATCGTTTCTGTAAAATAGATTCAAAATTAATTATAAATTCTTTTGTAATTCTCTTCATCTCAATCAATTGATAACATTTTTTAAAAATTTTATTAATTTGATTAAATTCAATATTTATCTCATCTTTAATCTTAAGTATAATTGTCAAAATTTGTATCAAAAATATTAGTTCAATTATAACCTGATTATTTTTAAAACAGTCATAAGTATCCAATATTAATTCTATTTTCTCATCATCGTCTTCTTCATCATTACATATCATTTTTATAAATTTAAAAACTGAATTTAAATATTCAACAGTTATATCATATTTTTCAACAAAAAAATCTTTTATTAAACTTATTGGAATTTCGCCAAAATCAAATTTTGAACCTTGAGGTTCTACATACCCATATCTTCTTAATATTTCAGAATTTGGATGATCGGAGTAAGTATTAAAAATTTGTTCATCTTTAAAAATTGGTTTGATCGACTTCATTACTAGGTATTCTTTTCCTTCATTAAACAATTTTGCATTATTTAAATTTGTATCCGCATTAAGTGTATCTGCTAATGGAATCATTGATTTTATGCTTTCCTCCTCCTCCTTCTCCTCCTCATTTTCATCTCCATTTTCATCTTCATCGTCTTGTTCCTCATTTAAATCAAATGAATATGATTGTATCAAAGTTGCGATTATGTTGTATTTTTCAAATGTGAAAACATCCTTATCAAACTCAGGTATTGCAAATTCTTCCATTATTTTCAAAATTTTATCATACATTTCAGTAGCTGAATCATAACCAATTCGATCCAATATACAACTAGGTCGTAAAGATTTCAATTCACCAGGACTCCAAAAGATTAATTGATTAAAATCGGAGATGGAGTCAGGAAGAATCTTGAGATAATTAAACCAAAATGAGTTTTGATTATTTTTGAATTCATAATATAAGACAATAATTAAACTTTTCCAAGGATTTATATTTAATAATTTTGAGTACAATTTTGGATATTTTACAATTAATGAATTATTCTTCATATTAAAAATTATATTTTTCGGAATTTTAAATAAAATTTCATTTGATTCTAAGTTATCAGTTGCAATTAAACCTCTACCTAAATCAATATTTGAAAAATTATGAATTTTGATTTTAGGATTTATAATTACACCATTTTCAATCAACCAAGTTTCAAAATTATCTGTTAATTCATCAAATGTACCCATGTTACCAACTGTTGATAATAAAACCTAATTGCAAAAGATCAATAAATAAAATTGAAAGAAAAAAAAAAAAAATAAAATAAAAAAAAAAAAAAAAAAAAAAATGTGGAACGAATATGGATATATTTATACCACCAAATTGATCCAATGGAGGTGGAAATAGACCCAATTGTAAATTCCTCGATTTAGATTTAGATTTAGATCAAGTGAATAACCAGGATATTTGTCAAATGTCTCAGTTGCTTCTGCCAAAAACTAATTGTATTCGCTAACGTATACGTAAAAGAAGTAGTTGTACGGAAATTAGTCTAAAGTATGGCGGATTTGTGCGATTTATTCAACTAAATAGCGCTGCCATTGCAAATTTAGTGTTCAAAGGTATTTAATTTTGTTTAATTCTCGTGCTTTGCTACCGTAATTGCATCTAGTATAGCATTTTTATAGAAAGCACATCATACACGGATAAAGGAAAGTATGAAAAATTTTTCATTTTCCATCTGTATCTATCTATCTGTATATATATTACAATCAGTTTGATTTAAATTTAGACTCATCTAAAATATTATTTTAGATTTAGTAGAGCGAAGAACAAATTTGAGTTTTGTTAACCGATTAAAGCTAAATTAAAGCTAAATTATAAACTTTTAATCAGCCGTAAGTAAATACTTATTAATCATATTAAGTATTAAACTACACATAGATTGTTTCTCATACCTTTTGAACTTCTTCTCATTTTCTTCTCATTTCCTTGAAAATTTATCCAATTTCTACTCTCGTCTTCTTTTATATATTCAATTTATTAAAAAACTTAGATTACTAATACATAACTATAGAAAAATTTTGAACCCATTTTTACGGACCGAGATTAAAGCGAAATTTTATCTCGAGACTAAAAAACTTTATATTGTAAACAGGCAAATGGAACGTACGTTTTATAATCTATAAGTTAAAAGACGATCAAAAAATTTGATTAGCAAAAGATTTACGGATTTATGACCATTACAGCCAATATCTTTATCTATCTACATTACGATGTTCCATTTAGGTACACGACTCCGAGTAATTGTTAAGATGATTCGGGCGTTTAACTTTCTCTTTATTTTGAACTTGCTGCATACCATATATGATTTACTACATATCTTTATTTTAACCTGAATTTGGTCCAAGAATCGTTCTAGGTTGCTCAATACGTTAATAATTTAGGTGTAAGGCGAGGATAATGAAAAATGTTTCTGGAATTTAAACATCTTCCGAGATTTCATAGTCTAGAGTGTGTAAATTGAGCTTATTTTTATTCTGTCTAAAGTTTTTTAGATTATAATTTAAAAAAAATTTTCAACTAGTTTTAGCTTAGGGGTTTCGAAAATAGATGGAATTAGATGATGATTATCACTTAAAAATTATGTCAAGAATGACTCTTCTCTCGATTACGTAGTTGCTTTTGCATCTACAGTTTTGTTCTTTGATCTTTGACATCTTTGTTTTACTCGATCGTTACATATTTCCGAAAGTAAAACAATGATTTAAATCCAAAAATTTACTTAAACTTGCCTTACTTCCATATTTACCATATTTATATTTTACTGAAACGTTTCATACTTGTGTTTGCTTTATCTCTATAATGTTTTCTCTTTTCCCTTTACTCCTTTGTCTTGTGTCTTTTCTCTTGTCTCTTTTCTCTTGTCTCTTTTCTCTTAAGTCGCGAATCTTCCTAGTTATCCAAAATTAAATCACGTGCCAAAAACCAAATTTGGACTGACAGAAGTCAAAAACTATTTTGACTCTTGTGTTCGACTTGACATTTTGATCTTTTCGCAGCTATCGTTTTAAATTAAAGGATAGTTGTTCAAAGATTGTTTGTATATTATATACTCTTTATATATACCTTTGATGGATTTTTACTATCTTCAGATTGACTTAATCTTCTATTTCTATAATAACTATCATCACTTGTTCCAACAACTAATAAATTTCCATCATTGTTAATTTCAATTTTACTTATACTTTCAATATCATTATCTTGAGTTCTAAATTGTGGAAATTGTTTTAATCTTGTCTTTTTGCCACAATCCCATAAACAAACGTAGCCATCACTACCACCAGTATACAAATAATTTTCATTCTGAAAACAAATTGAATTAACGGGATATACTAAATCAGTATTGGTAATCTTGTCTTGTGTCCGATGACATTTGAAAGTGAATCTCTGGTCTAGGTTTAACTCATTTAAATACTCAATTGAGACTCGACCATCTATCGTCGATATTGCAAATTTATTATTATCTGAATTACATATTTTCAAATCTTTAATTTGATATTTTAATCCAACTTCTCGAATTTCAATTGGAGATGCAAGACCTTTTCTTGAATCATAAATTTCTAATTGATTTTTCGATCTTGTAACAATTACTTTGAATTCATTGTTTGATTCTATGTTAAAAATCTTGCCCTCTTTTTTATATTGTGAAATTATATCGTGTGTTCGAACGTCAATGAGTCTTAAAAGACCGTTAAAAGACGACGATATTATCAAATTGTTTGCGATGTTGCATAATTTGTTAACTCCATTATTCGTATCCTCTGTATTCTTTACAATTGTATTTAATTTATTATTTTCATAATCTATTTCTGAAATTGTACCATCTAATGCTCCAACTATTGATTTCTGATAACTTGGATGATATAGTAGACTTAATGGTGTTGAGTTATCTGTTTTTATCACTTGAAGAGGGCTTAATTTTGGTGGTTCTATATGTGATGATTGTGATGCTTGTAAATATTCTTGACATGAGTATAAATAAATTTCATTCGACCAAGTACTAAATAATAACCTGTTTTCTGATTGCAACTTTAGATCTGAAATAATGTCGAGATCCTTCGTAGTGTTTAATGCTGTAAATGACATAATGATAATTATTAATTTGATTGGTTAATTGAATTAAAACTGGTGAAATAAAAATGATGATTAATTTTTATACGGCAACTACCAAGTGTATTTATATCAACTATAAAAATAACAATTAAAATTGCAACAAAGAATAGACTTTACAACCAATGTATGTTTTTAAAAGGATTGAATTTTATGTGTTTTTACAACCAATATTTCTTTCAGATCCGAAATTTTATAAGAGATCTCGATCTGAAAAAAGGGCCACGGTCAAAATAAAAAAGGCAACGGCTAGAATAACAGTTGGTCGGATCTCAAGTTCTCTCGAAACTAAATTTACTCTTGAACTAGTAATTTTTTGGTCAAACTTTTTAATTGAATATGGTTGCAAAATTAAATCCAATTCAATGTCGTATATTTTAGTGTCAAATTTCCTAAAACGGACAAATTCAAAACACAAACCAAAAAAGTAAGTAATTTGAAAAATAAAAAAAATAATTAAGATTGAAATTAACCAGATCTTAATCTTTAATTAATATTGATTATATTAACAATGTCTTCTTCAAATGATGAATTTAATAATGAAATTGTTAAACCTGAATTGGAACATATTCCTACACCATCAACATCAACAACTACTAATAAATCACCAAGAGAAGATATTTTACCGCCATCAAATTTAACAGATATTGAATCATTTGATGAAGAATCTCATCAGCTTCATCAACAGAATCACAATCTTAAAGTGTTAACTCAAGAGAACTCTAACAGTTCTTCATCATCGATAAATAACCGAATCACAATTAATTTAAGAAATCTTAATCACTCAGATTCTAATCTTAAATTAAACAAATTTCATAATAAACGTGAATCTGTTCTTTCTACATTTTCACAATATAGTGGCAAGGTTGAAACTCAAGCTGCTGTTCCAGTGACTTTGAGTAGACAAGATTCAACCAGAATCAAACATATAAAACCACAACAGGAAGATGAAGAAGAACCAATTGAAAACGATGAAGATGGATCTTCTGATTATGCTCTATCAATAGACACCAATGATATAATAGGAGATGAATGTTCAATAATAATGGGAAAATTACCTACTAAATCTAAAAATGATGATATTCTCATACCCACTAAATCATTCAATACAAATATAGAAGGTGCTATACCTGCCAGATCACCAAATAGACCAAAATCGATGGTATATTCTACTAACACAAAGAGACAAAGTATGATTAATGATGATTTAGATAAATTGATGCTTGATGCTTCTTCATTAAATTCTAAAAATTTTGAAGAACAAGAACAGAATGAGAAAGAAGATATAGTTTCACCACAAATATTACCTAAGAGGAGACAACAAAGTCATTCATCTTCTATATTACCACCTAGACCAAGTCAAGACTCAATTAGAAAAGCAAGAGAAATTTCAGAATCAATAAAGAAACAACAAGAACAAGATCAACAAGTTGTAGAAAATGATGACGATTATTACGATATTGAAGAGATAAAACCACAACAACAGCAAACTCCAAAAAGAGCACTTTCAAAGAGGAAGAGAAACAAGGGTAAGAAAAATGAACTTAAGCCATTCAGTTATAATACGTTAATTTCACTTTTGGAATCCATGAATGGAACTATAATCGGTGAAGAATTTAATCAGCTAGCTATACCAATTAAAGAAAAACAATTGATTGAAAAAATAATTGATTCATTAAGTAGATTAACTTCAGATATGATATTAGATCAACAAAGATACGATATTGGAATTACAAGATTAGAGAAAGCAATTAGAGTATTGGAAGGATTTATGTGATTTAATTATATATTAATACATATATGCTCTTTGATTAGTTTGAATTACATTATTTTATGTTTGTTGGTGTTTTGGATTTTGGTTTGTAGTATTTTATAATTTTCAATAATACATTTTTGCTTGGTTTAATTGATTATTAGCTTGGTCAGTTTGTCATTGGAATTTTAAACTGGTGTAGTTATATAATTGTTCATGTTCAAAAAACTTATAAACACTTTTGTAATTTTGTTCATTACTTCATTTATCAAATTTAAATTAATCAAATAATCGAAATTTAATTTAATTACTCTTTCATTTTCATTTCGAATTGCATCTCCATTTCTATCTATTTCAGTAAGACTTTTAAATATCAATTCAAATAATTTTTTAAATTTTGTTGATGTGGTACTGTCAGTATTTAAAGTATCCTTGAATGATAACTTAAGGTAATGAAAATTTTCTGATCTAAAATCATTAAATATATTTGTTTTAAAAGCTAAAGATACTGTAATCTTATCCTTTTGAATCTTCTTTGTATTTGGCACATTTGAATATATATTGTATACAAATTGCAAATAATTGATTGTGATAAAATTAACATCAAAATTTAATCTACTCAACCCATTAGATAAGTTTATTTTATTTTGGTTAATTAGTTCTTGGGAAGTTTTAATTGATGTTAACACAGGCTGGATTAAGCTCAAATATTTGCAGACTCCAATAATGGAATCATTTTCATTTTCTAATAAATATGAATTTAAATACTTTATGATTAATTGGATATTAAAATTGGAATTTTCTGAAGTTAGTTGAATACTGGTATTAAATAATTTTATTTTCAAATTGATGTCTGATATGAGAATACTTATATCAACCATTGAATATTCAGTAATTGAAATTTTAAAATTATGGAGTTGTTGGGTTATTATTGATAATTTTTTTAGATGATTAAGTCTATTGAATATACTATCCAATAAGTTTTTATTAGATTCATAGACTGCTGAATTTAATAAATTGATAGAATCTTTAATTACAAAAGATTTTTGAAATATACTTAAAAAATTGTCTTTGATATTTTTGATATTTGAATTGTTGAAAGTCCCAAATAATTTAACTTCCATTTGATTATTTTTTAATAATCGAATTTTTAAAAATAATGAAGTTGATGAATTTTGAATTGGTAATAAATCTAAATTGTAAATGATATATAAAGATTCATAAATTAAATCAGCATCAAAATCGTCCGATTCAAAACTTTTAACCAACTGATGATCTTTATCTATTTTTAAAAATTTCAATTTCTTAAATTCTAATTCTTCAACTATCATATGATCAATAATCATATTTGAACATATTGTGGGTAAATTGCTAAAAAATTGAAAATCCAACTTTGGTAAAGGTATATAATTCTCTTCAAATTGTAATTGTTGAACCCATTGAATTTTCCATTCTCCAAGAATAGATTTTACTCTAGCCACATACCAATAAGTATATGAATCTATCGGATTTACAATCGTGATTAAAAACCACGAACTTGGATAATTTTTTCTTCTATAAAAGTTAATGGTATATTTTTTTATATTCAAATTGAATGATTTGGAAATTTCCAGCTCGTTTAATTTTATTAATTGATTGCTCAACCATTCAGTCGTGAACAATCTATAATTAATTTCTCTAACTAAAGTTTCCAATTTCAATTGTATTAAATTATCAACAATTTCTTGAATCATATCACCCTTTGTTGGTGAATTTATTTTTTTAGTGATCAAATTTTGGGTTGGTGTTGGATCAATAAAATAGAAATGCCCACTTAATGGATTCACTGCAAATATGGTAGATTTATATATAGTTAGTTTTAATAAAAGTTGGTGAGGATTGATTAATTCAACATCTTTAAAATGTATAGTTAATTGATCATAAATTGAACTCATTAATAACTCAGCATGTTTATTCACAACCACAAGCAAAATAGATTCAACATTTAAAGTCTTTGTATCTGTATCATTTATAGGATTAAAAATTTCATCTAATTCTAAATTTCTCTCATATTTTCCATTTAAGAACCATCGATAATTTAATTGATATTTTGAATCTATCCCCAATTCAATGAAAGTCTTCCAATTTTTACCAAGATAAAACAGGGACCAATAATTTAGAATGATTAATGATTTACCCATTTGATAATTTATTTGTAGATTATTTCTCCATCTTGAATTTATTAGCAAATCTTTAAATTGTTTTGAAATAAGATAAAGTTTAAATGATATGGTATATTTATGTAATAGTTCGTATAAACCAGGTAAGCCCAGATTTAACAAAGTTTGGTTTGATATCTTTTCTAATTTACTCAATGACTTTTCGGGCAACTTTGTGAATATTTTATCATCTTTATATGTTATTAAATTCGTATCTGGGTTAATACCAAATAAAAATCTGAAATCTATAAAATAAAATGGTGACTTTGTATAATCTGATTCCTCTTCAGGTATGACTTCATTCCCAATAGTAATACTAACTTCAAATTCATTTTTGACAGTGATATATGCCCTACCATCTTTAATAACATATTCAAATCTGGAAGGTAATTGTTCCTCACTCATTAAAGCAAATCGGGTGACTAATATTAAATTTAAATCTTTTAAGACTTCAATTGTTTTCCTTGTGCTTATTGGATTTGATTTCAAATAATTATATGATGGAAATGTTGGTTTTTTGTTATATAATACTTCAATAGATGTTATGATATCACCGTTTGGTAGTTTTGCACCTCCGTAATTATTCAATTGTTGTAGTTGAAATAGAATTTGGTCAAATGTAAACTCTTGTAACCTAAAATAATTCAATAAATCGATGAACTTCGAAACATCAAGGGAAACCTGTGACCATTTACATAGAGTATACAACTTAATGGAATTTGAACGTAAATCGACTATCAACTCCAAGAAATACTTCTTTCTTTTTAAATCTGATTCAGTTTCTAAATTTAATGATAAATTTTCAATCATATTTACTAATTGTTTATATGCATCTTGAGTATAAAATTTTATGATATTTGATAATGGAATTATATTTGCTGTTATATGCGGAATGTTGGGTAGTAGTTCATTATCTTTATTTGACGATGATTGTGCATTTCCATTCATGTTATGGTAATAGAACAATCAATATATAATTACGGTTTTTCAGTTTTTCGTTTTTGAAAAAATATTAAATATATGCCAAGAGTCGTGTCATAAAATTCAATGTCATGACAATGGCTGCAAAAGGAAGAATGAAAGAATAAATTGAACAGAGATACAACTCATGTATGCTATAGATATTAAACACTATTAGTTCGAAATTTTGCCGTGGGCTTTTTCGAAGAGTGGATTTGTATTGTCAACTTGTCTTTTAAGATTGTCTTTTAAGATTTAGGCCATATTAATTGTGTACAATCATAATCAAGATACTTGTAAGGCAATTAAACAGTATTGAATCAGTTAAAACATGAAAAATGAAAACCATCAAAACCACATATGTGCTGATAAATGACTCAAAATAATATAGCAGATCAGAGATCTATAAAACATTCATTACGAAATTGTATATTAGTAGTATTAATTAAATTGAATGATAATCAAACATCAAATATTTTTGATATTTGCTTGAATCCACCAGTGTTAACTGGCGAATCATAGTCATACAAGTTGAATTTGTTTCAGATTGAATTTTTTTGAGTAAATAATTCTCGCCCAAGATTGGTGCCAACATGATATATTCATCGCACTAATTCTAGGGCGACTTGTTCTTAGCGTTTTCATTTATATCACATGAACAACACATTTTTTCGAGATAAACACCAATTGACCAAGATCTGAAGCTTTGAGCTTTATATCCTAAATAATATCATTTCATAAATTTAAATATTTTTTTTTTTTGACTTGTCATTTTGGCCCCTTTTTGCAATACAAAAATTCAATTCCTTACATACCGTGATTTAGGGCCACAACCTTCAACTAAATAACGAATTATAGATATTATAGCTTATATTAGGATGCTGAAGTTTACTCTGAGGGAACAAAATCAAAATTGAAAAATTCCAGAATTTTCTCTTAACTATGGGGAAATCGAATAAATGACTTTACAAAAAAACTAGTTCCACTTTTAGTACTCAAGTTTAAACATGGAGAAATTAGCCAAATTCCTAGTTCTGCACCTTACTATAGTTTAGATATTTTTGAGTTAAGGTACTCAAAATTAAAAAAGTGATTTTTCAGAAGTGTTTCGAAATTTTGGAAAAATTTCAAACTTGGCGTCTTGAAAACATAATGAAAATAATTTTAGGTATTAAATGAACTAAATCAGCTATACTAGAACTTGCTAAATGAGGTCTAAGTGATTATTATCCTGCAAAACAGCATTTTTTTCCAATTTTTAAATGTACAATAAATTAATGAAAATTGTATTTTCTTGATATGTACTGACTTCAGTCTAATCTAACTCAACTATGGTCTTAATGAAACAAGTTTTGACATTTACAGCTTTAATATTGAGAGACTTGTTCACAATTTAAATATTACGATTAACTACTATCAGACTGCATACAAGCCAAATTTGTTTCAGAGTTTATAATTTGAGATACCAATGATTTTAGAACGAGAAAGGCCGAAAATAAGTCTACTTGGAGCGAGCACTAGTACTAGCCCTCGTGCGGATTTCAAATCGTTTTTTCATCGTTCTTCAACTCTCCCACTTGACAAAAAGTCTAGACTGTATCTAATAAATAAGGTTTATATTACATTTCTATTTGGTTCTAATAAATTCTGGTACTGTAGCCAGTATCCAATCAAACTTTTGAATCAATTGCTCTAAAGTCAATCTTTCACTTTTTTTTACTAATAACAATTCCACTAATTTTTTTAAATCCTTTATAATTTGCTTTATCATTACATTTGGTTCATTATCAATGTAATCCTCGTTGATCTTTATCCATTCCCAATCAATCATTGCAATTCTATGAGCTGGTGAATTTTTCTTACTTCTTCTTCTTTTCAACACGCTCGGACTTATTCTATTCTGATCATGATATGAAGAATTTGTGTTACTTTGTGGTTGATTATCAAATGGTAACTTATTCTCAAGGATTGAATAAATCAAAACCCCAACTGACCAAGCATCAGTCAATTTTCCATTATATTGTAACCCCATTAGTATTTCCGGAGCTATATAATCTTGAGATCCACATCTAGTTGATAATAATTGATCGGGAGCTTTTAATCTTTTAGATAAGCCAAAATCACTAATATTAATAAATGCAGTTTCCATGGACTGATTGTTTCCAAATATAGTCTCAATTTGATTCAAATTATATAATAATAAAATATTTTCCAATTTTATATCTCGATGAATTATATTATGTTTATGTAAATATGCAATAGTTATCAATATCTCACAAATTATTCGTTTAGCATATATCCAATATATTAAATTATTCTTTGATTGATTATTTTCGAGTAAAAAATTTAATAAATTACCACCTTGACAACAATTCATAAATATAAGTTGTTCATTATTGTCCATATCCATTATGTCATCAACATTTGGCGAATCTTCTTCTATTAAATCATTTTCAATCTCTTCTTTTGATATTTTTAATGTAATTGAATAATCAATCAACCTGCTTACGCAAGGATGATTATTTAGAAATTTTAAGATATTCAATTCTCTCCTTATAAATGATTTAAAATTATATATTTGATTCTTTGACTCAGTTGGGATACTAATAACTTTAATTGCAATTTCTAAACCACTTGTGTTTTCCCTTGCTAAGATTACAGTTGAAAAATTTCCCATTCCCAATTGTTTAACAAAATGAAATGAACAATTTAATTTTGAGGAATAAAAGATTTCAGTTGTGAAATTTTTAGATATCAAAATTGGTGAAGTTGATGGTGTCAATGGAGATTCGATGGATGATGAGGATGAATCATTTTTTGTTCTACTTTGTTGTGTTGAAACAAGTGGATTTGATACAATTCTAGATTTTAACTTTAAACTATTATGTCTAATAGGCGGTTTATAATCTGAAATGACCCTAGGTGATGAATTATTATTAATTTTATATTCTCTTGGTGGAGAAGATAAGATAGGTTGTGAAGATATATTTGAAAAAGATCCATTACTTAAAATTGGAGTTGGTAATTGAGTAATTTTTTCAAAGGTCGAGTTAGAAGTTGTATTTGTTGATGTTTCGATGTTTAATGGAGGTCCTAATATTGAATTTAATGATTTTATGGATTTATGCTGTAATGGTGTTTCTAATGATTTTGGAGGTGTCTCATTATCTTTAATGGGTATATCTATAGTTAAATTGGGTGGTGATAATTTCATTTTCGTATGTATGAATCTGTAAACTTATATGAGTTAACGTGAATAAACGTACAGAAATGAAAGTTGTTACTTATAAATGATGACTAAAAGTTGAACATTTTGTTGATAAAAATTCAAAAAATAAAGATGGGGTGGTACTGCATATTGACTTGAAAAAGATGACACTAAATAGTGCACGTTTAGCATTTAGTTTAGACATTGATACATTTAACCAAACAAGTATTATTGTATGTTTATGTAAAGCTTAAGAGAGGATGATTCATATGATTAGATTTCATTTAGTCTAAAGCCTTACTCTATTAAATGTACATTACTTTGAAAACAAGAAACCATTTCTTTCAAATGTCGTACTTGATTAAGAAATTTTAAAGTTTTGACATTGATCGAATATTATCTATTGTTCGTATATTGAATATTCTTGGTTAGTAGTGGACCAATTAGGATAAATTCAAATACGACGAGAAATGGAAAGACTCGGGCACTTAAACTAGTGCGAAAAGTTATTACTCTCTGACTAACACCTCTGCAACTATAGAACTAGCTCTGTTATCTTCCACCCAATGACTAATGTTTTGTTTGTTTATAGCTGAATATTATTGTTTTATTATTGTGTAAATAAACTAAAATATGTGAAACAACTAAAGTTTAAACTAATGACGCCAAAATAGGGAAGATTGATTACCCAAAACTGAACCAGCGCTTTTGACAATAACAATACAATACTAATATTTATAACATCAATAGACTATACTTATACCACTCGTTTTTTTAGCTTATGTTATCCCTAACTTATATTTGAACTGCAGCCTCTTTTGAAATCACCGAGATCAATCTGTAACCAACAACTCAGTCAAGGCTAATGAATCTAAAAATGTAGGCTTGTAAAGAATTACTAAATTCATTAGCCATGTCAAAATACATTAAACTTTAACTATCATATCTCTCCTCGCAAAATTTGGCCCTGTTAAGCGGAACGTACTTTTTGTTCTAAAAAAATGTCAATCAAAAAATAATAATGCTTATTTATTACATTATTACAAACATAAAGATATTCTACCCTCCATGTTTACATATGGCTTTAAAATTGGACATGAAAAAATTGGACATGGAAAAATTGGACATGGAAAAATTGGACATGGAAATTTTTACGATTCGTGTGTATTAAAATAATCGCGTCAATGCAAAAAAATAATAGTTTGTATTTTGTGTAATGTTCTAAATTTTATGTACTGGTTCATTATGAAAGAGAAACGAGGGTTTAAATGAAGATAAAGTGATAAATTAAAGATTAAAGGAATGATATGAAGAAAGCTTCAATCATTAAAAGAAAGTTGAGTGCTAGTTTACTTAGATTAGAGTACCTGGCTTATTTGAAACGTATTGTTCTGCCTTGTCGATCAATGACTTTGTGTCATTAAACGCGTCGCATAAATGTATTGTTCAATTCAGTCCTAAGATTTTTGGAAAATCCGACAATGGAATTTATAAACATTCAAAGAGATTTTATAATCAAACGACACTTATCTTTTTTCGATCAAGCTAACTCTATTGGACAGCGTCCAGAATTCTGATTCATATTTTACTTAATATTTTTCTGTTTCATTTTAAATTACATCGCTTATTTGTCCTTCTTTTCCCTTTTTGCAGAATTTAAAAGTAAATTTGACAGTAAATTTAGGAGCAAATAAACAAACAATCGTACATTGAGCCTCTGAATCTTTGTTCAGATACTTCAAACACTTGAAAATATAATGTGTAGTTTTTGATTCCATCTCACAACTTGTATATGTGCTTATTTTAAAGGTATCTTCTATACTCTCTAATTCATTAAAAATGGTTGCAAAAAATCAATTTGGCTGCGAAATTTTAAAAAAATCACAAAAATGCCCTCGGCTCGTTACAATGTTAGGTAATTATACTTCATAATACTAATTAAGATCAGACTTTTTAGTTATTACTCAACCTAGTCAATTGTTGGTATGGTAATTTGTAAATAATATTATACCAATCTTATATAGATGTGTCTATGAGCCAATAATGTTCACTATGTATTACATAATCTTTTTCAACGAACAAAAAAATCAAGAGTTATAATTCAACAACAGATTTACAATATTTGATCCAATTATAATTATTGATGATTTATTAAATATGTCAAATAATAATATAAATGATTTATTTGAGAGTAATGAAGGAGATGGTAATGATTTTTTCAGTTCATTAAATAATTCAGATCACGAAATCACTTTAGATAAAAGAAATGCTGATTTTTTCAATTCATTAAATGAAGGTAATAAGGAAGAAACAAATGTTGAACGTGATTTTTTCAATTCATTAAATGAAGGTAATAAAGAAGAAACAAATGTTGAACCTGATTTTTTCAATTCTTTGGCTATTAAGAAAGATAATGAACAAGAGAAAAGTCAAGAAAAAGAACCAGGTCAAGATGATGATGATGATTTTTTCAATTCATTGAATAATAAGCAAGTAGAAGCCCATGATCAAGTTGATTCAAATATAAACGAAGATCTTCTAGAAAGTTTAAAAGATGATGATATATTACAAGAGGAGCATCAGGAACCAGTAAATCACTTTGATAATTATGAAGAAAATCAAGAAGAAATTTATGAAGATCATAATAATCAGGAACATCAAAATACTGATCATGAACAACATCAGGATTATTATAGAAATTACAACCAGCAGAATTATGAGCAACACCACGTTAATGACGAAAGCTTTGAACAACAAAGTCATGAACAACAACCATATGCTCAATCAGATCATAATGATTATATGTATAATCATCAACAATCTCAATTTTCAGATTATTCATTTCCTCTAAGATCAAAAGATGATGAAAATTCATCAATTGAAGCAGTACTATTAAGTGAAAATACAGAATTAAAACAAGGTTTAATAAACAGTGATAATCATAATGTTGATGAAGATCTCATGCCGTCAACTTCCCAACCTGAAGAATTAATACCTGTTGAACATGAAGAAGTTATTGAATACGAACCATTACCACAAAATTCAAATGAAAATGCTGGAGAAAAATTAGAAACTAAACAAATTGATAATCTATTTCCAGATGAAGAAGATGGTGATTTTTTAGAAGATTTAAAACAAGAAGATAAAGTTATAGATAAATTAGCTGATTTAAATTTAGATGATGATTTACAACAAGAAGATAAAGTTACTGATAAATTAGCTGATTTAGATTTTGATGATGATTTATTACTAGATGAAGAATTTTTAGAAGAAGAAGATATGCCGGAGGAACCAATACAACAAACAAAGAAATATAGTTATGTACCTGATGTAGGATACCAACAACCAAAGCAAACACTGCAACAACAACAACCACAACAATCACAACAGCCAACAACCCAAAATGATTTTATCAAAAAATTGGAAGAATCAAAAAGGAAGAATGATGCTTATGATTTCCCTGATGAATTAGTTGTAAATAAAGTAAAACCAGCTGCAAGACATCATCAATCAAATAAATATGCATCAACAGTTAACAAAACATCACTAAGTCAAGTTCCACCATCACCAAGAGATGTAACACCAACCAATCAGCCTGCATATTTAAATGTTCCATCACCAACAACTTCAAATGTTCCAGTTCCATCTTCAAATTTACCACCTAAAAAACCAACAACCACTAAATCATTTTTTGAAGATTTACCAGGTCATGAAATTGTTAAACCTAAACGTGCTGCAAGAACAGCTACTCCCGTAAAACCAACAATTGGTAAATCAGCTATGATGCAAAATAAATCTCCACAAATTTCAAATTCAGCACCAGTTTTAAAATCAAAAAAACCACCAATTAATCCATATCAACCTAAATCAGGAACTTCACCAATTTTTCAACAACATATTTCAAATACAGGACATTCAGGAATTGCAAAACCACCAATTGTTCCAAATTTATCACCTCAAAATCAACCAATAAATATTCAACCAATAACCGCGTTTCCACCTGTAAAACAACAACAACCAGCACCTGTAAATACAAGATTACCTAATGTTCCATCAACAACTAGCCCTTATGTACCTAATGCTGGACCATATGCACCACAAAATCAATCACAAAAGACTCATTCAAGAGCAAATTCATTAGTTGGAAATAAAGGAAATAATCCATATGCACCAGCTTTGACTCCAGTTATATCAAATAATCAAACAGCATCAGCATCACCACCTATAACTCATGCAGTTCTACCACCTGGTAGAGTAAGAGGTTTTACAAATAATTCCAAAAATATTTATAAAGCAGTTCCAAAAATTACGAATCCAGAAGAATTCAATAAACGTCAATTTCCAATTTTTAATTGGACTATTGGAAATGGAACAGTATTAGTCATGCCTAATAAAAATTTACATCCTGTTATTTCAATAGATTCAATTTCGAAATATTTAAAAGATTCAGATTTATATTTAAATTTCCCAGGTCCATTAATTAAAAATAAGACAAAGAAGAAAGATATTATAAATTGGTTAGAAAACGTATCTTCGAAATGTTTAATAGAACAAGGAAGAACAAATGAGTTATTATTAAATAATATTTTATTAGAATTAATTCATAAAGATGGAGATGTTAAAAATAAAGAATTTATTCAAAAAGTATGTTTATTATTAAATCCAAATATAAATTTAAATACCGAATTGATTTCAACAAGTGGAGGTACTACAACAAGCTATAAATTAGATAATTCAGGATATAACACAATTTTCACATTATTACAATCTGGTAACATAGATAAAGCAATTGAATATTCAATTAGCAAAGGTGATTGGTCAATTGCTTTAGTTTTAGCAGGACCTGAAAAATTTGGTAAAATTGCTTCTGATTATGCTAGAAATACATTTCCATTTGCAAAATCAAATAATAATAAAGTATTACATATTATGCCAATTATTTTAAAAATAATTGCAGGAAATGTAGATAGTGTAATTCAAGATTTTAATAATGTATCTAATGAATCCGAATTTGCAAATGAAAATTGGAAAGAAATTATTGCAAGTATATTAGCTACTAATTCTTACAAAACAAATGAGTTCCTTATTGAATTTGGGAAATTTTTACAATCAAAATCAAATTTATTAGGTGCTGAAATTTGTTTCATTATTACAAATTCTCCATTTAATCAACAAATTAATTTTATGGCAATTACATCGGGTCATAATTCAATGTATACACAAATTTATGAATATTTAACATGTGGAAATTATCCTCATTTAATTTCAATTAAATTAAAACATGCAAGTACTTTAGCTGATTATGGATATATTAATGATTCTCAAAAATATATTGATTTTATAAATTCAAATATTAAAAGTTTAAATAAAAATTCTCCATTTATTACCCAAAACTTATTAACTGAGTTTCAAAATTTAATAATTAGAATAAGCGAATCTGGTGAAATTTCAAATGATCAAAATTCTTGGTTTGGTAAAAGTAAAGTTAATTTAGATAAAATTTGGGGCCAAATTGATAAATTTATAATTGGAGAAGAAGGAAATAAATCAAAAATTAAAACAAATTCTGAAAATGGTGTATTTAGTAAATTTTCACCAGCAGTTTCAAGAAATGCATCACAATTAGATTTATCTTCACCATCACCATTATTGAAACAAGATTCAAAATTTCATCCTGTTCAACCTCCATTAACTTCTTATAATTCAACGGGGACTGACAAATATTCTCCAATTAATAAAGTAGGTAGAAGTCCATTTCAAGCTCAACCATCAACTTTTGTTAATAATTTTGAAAAATCAATGTCTAGTACTAGTCCATTAATTAATAAAGCTCAACCATATATTCAACCAAATTACAGTTCAAGTTCAATTAATTCAGCACAACCATCACATGTTAAACAACCATCAATATCAAGTGTAATTTCAATTGAAAGTGAAGATAATAAAGAAAAAGATAATTTTAAAAAATTATTAAATCAACCTGATACAATTAATGAATTTCCAGAATTAAAAGAAACTAAACCTAATATTGAAATTGAATCAGAAGAACAATTGAAACCACCATTCAAAGAAAAAACAACAACTGCTCCACCTCCACCTCCATTGAAAACGAAACCATCAAAAAATCCATATGCTCCTAATTCACAACCAAAATTGAAACCAAAAAGAAGTAGATACGGGCCACCAGAAACAACTACAAGTCATATTCCTGCTCCTGCTCCCGTACCTATTGCTGCATCACCGGTTCAAGAAAAAAATTTAAATATAGATGATTCATTTGAAAATACAGAAAATACTTCAATGATTGATGCTAAACCATTATTACTCAATTTTGAATCAAATCAATTAGATGGTTTCCCAATTCCAGGATCACCTGAATATACAACAAGAGCAAATTCAGTTTTAGGAGCTCATCCAAATATTTATTCATCAAGATTATCTCAATCTCAACAAAGTGCATTATATCAACAATATGAAGTTATGGATGATACTGTAAGAGATTATATTCCAATTCAAGAAGAAGACGAAGAAGAAGAATCAAAACCAAAAGAACAACCAAAGAAAGAAGAACCAAAGAAAACAATAGTTAGAAAAGAATCCACTTGGTTTAAAATGTTTAAAAAAGATGATGGTAAACCAAAACCAATTAGAGCTAAATTGGGTGAAAAAGTTAATCCATTTTATTATGATGAAAAACATAAACGTTGGTTAGATAGAACTAAACCAATTGAAGAACAATTAAAAGTTGGACAAACTCCACCACCACCTTTAAGTATAAAAAAACCAAAATCACCAACACAAACACAAACACAACCACCACATGCTACTAGTCAATTATTACCACCTAAAGTTTCAACTAGTGTATCTACCCCAACTACTACTGAATCAAATACAAATAGTGGTCCTCCTATGCCACTACCAAAACCGAAAATTTCCAAACCTAAAACTACTTCAAATTTGGCTAATGCTGGATTAGATGATTTATTATCAATGTCAGAAACATCAATTCCAAAAAGAAATAAAAGAGGAATTCGTAGAAATTATGTAAATGTAATGGAAAAATAAACTAATATATAAATAGCATTTCAAAGTTTAATAGGCTCTATTAACTGGTACTTTTACTTTTAACATTAACGGTTATTTTTTGTTATATTGGCATCTTCATAATATATGATTACACGATAAATTTTGAAACAAAATGTTTCAAAATTCAAGACGCGAAAAATTTCAAAATGAGTTTTAATTAGTTAATTTGATGGAGGCCCATGCGATTACAATACATTGGCATAATGATAATCAACCCATATATTCAATTGATTATCAACCTAATTCACAAGATTTTAAAAGATTAATAACTGGAGGTGGTGATAATAACATTAGAATTTGGAAATTTTTAGAAAATGATTCAATTGAATATTTATCAACGTTGCTGAAACATACTCAAGCTGTAAATGTAGTTAGATTCAATCCACAAGCTAATATAATAGCATCAGCAGGAGATGATGGAACAATTTTACTTTGGATTAAGTCAGATACAATTATTAAAGATTTAGAATCTAGCGATCAACAATTTGAAGATTTAGAAAGTTGGAAAGTTGTAACTAGTTTAAGATCATCAACTTCTGAGATAATGGATATTTGTTGGTCAAATAATGGTGAATATTTAATTAGTGGATCAATGGATAATATTTTACGGGTTTATAAAATTGAAGAAAAAAACGGAGTATGGAGTGGTGATTTAATTAATTCATTTAATAATCATTCTCATTATGTCCAAGGTGTTTATTATGATCCAATTGATGAATTTATTGTATCTCAATCTGCAGACAGGAGTGTTAATATTTATAAAGATTTTCAATTATATGCTAAATTTCAAAAATTTAATAATTTAAATTTATATCATTCTGAAACATTACAATCTTTTTTTAGAAGATTATGTTTCTCACCTGATGGTTCTTTATTATTAACTCCAGCTGGTTTGGAAAATACTGATAATGAAAAAGAATCGAATGTGGTTTATATTTATAGTAGAGGTTCATTAGGTAAATCTCCAATTATGAAATTGAGTGGATTTAATAAACCAACAATAGTTATATCATTTAATGAAAGGAAATTTAAAGGTGGTTCTGTTTTAGATTTACCTTATTATTATATATTTGCAATTGCAACTCAAGAATCAATATTATTATATTCAACTAAAGATTTTAAAATTTTGGCAAGTGTTTCAAATTTACATTATAGTTCAATTACAGCATTAAAATGGATAGAGTATAATAAGTTATTAATATCGTCAACTGATGGATTTTGCTCAATTGTAAAGATTAATGATGATTTATTTGGTGAAATATACACAGAATAAGTAAAGATTTAGAGTATAATGAGTTACTAATATATGAATGAACATTAACTTAATAGAATATATACGGATACCTAAATTACGTTGATTCTTTTTCTAATCTTTTTCTAATCTTTTTCTTGCATTTATAATCATATCTTGTCTTTTTTGAGCCAACATTGAATCTTGTGGTTTTGGATTAATTAAGTCAATATTATACTTATCAAATAAATTAATATTAGATACTACTTCTTCAGGTTTTTCATTTGTTGTTTGTTGTTCACTTGTTTGTAGTCTTGGTTGATAATTTGGTGGGAAAGGTAATGAATTATTTTCCATATATCTATTAATTGTAACTTCAACAGAACCAGTATTTTCTAAATCATATCTTATTTGTTCAACCGTTAAAGAAGGAGCAATAGTTTGTACTACTTCAATCATTGAATCTGTAACTGGTCTTCTTAATCTATTTGAACCATTACCAACTGCAGTAGTTTGTCTTTGAGTATTTGTAGTGGCAGTATTATCTAAATCATTAGGAATAGGACTAATCAACCATCTTAAGAATATAAAAGCAATAACAATAGTAAATATAAATATAATTGTTGATGAATCCATAATAATTTACCAGTGGTATATATATATATTTTTTTTTTCTTCTATATAATTTTTCAGTTAGTTAACTATTGAGAAGTCAATTTAAACTCTTTATCTTGATTCTTTACTTTATATAGAAATCCAGTTATAATATCATTTTCTTTAGCAGGTAAACTCATAAAATGATTCTTTGCAATTTTACTAAATTCTTTCTTTGTCATTTTATTACTTAAATCTTCTTCTTTCTCCTTTTCTCTTAACCTTTTTGTCTTTGAATATGTTTTTAATCCAATTTCACTATTTAATATATCATTATTTAATGAATCAAAACTATTTATATTATATTTATATCTTTCTGCATATTTTAATAATATTTTATCATTAAATTTTTCAAAATCTAATGGATCAATTTTTGGCATATCTGATTTACCATTTGAATTTATATGTTTTTGTAAAAATTGTTGTTGTTGTTGTAATAATAATTGATTCTTTTGCTTTTGAGTAGTTTTATTATTATTATTACTACTATCTTTTACCTCCTTAGTTTGTTTTGTCTCTGGTTCACTTGTTGATTCTTTATGACGACTCATAGATGATAATATTGATAAGAAAAAAAAAAAAAAAAATATAATGGCTGCGAAATTAAAATAGACATATACAATGAATAATACGGTACTAATAATACGGTATCAATAAAACGGTATCAATAAAACGGTATCAATAAAACGATATAAACATGGAGAGATATCGAGCAGTACAATGGTAAAGTTGTTAGTTTCTTTAGTATATAAATTTCATTATGTTGAACTATTTACTTATTCTTCTTCTGATGATTCTGATGTTTGATCATCATCATCTGAAGATTCATTATTTGTAATTGGCATAATATTTTGTGAATTATTTTGTTGATCATCAAATAATGCTAATTGTGATCTTAAATTTGCAATATCATCAACATTATTACTTTGTTGTTTCTTTTTTGATTTACTTGATTTATTACCAAATAAAAAATCATATAATTTTAAAACTGTTGAATCTCCTAATTGATCCATATCTAATTCAACTTCTTCTTCATTGGAAATATTTATATCATTTTGAATTATTTTTATAAGTGAATTTAATTTCTTATCTGATAACGTTGGAACAATTTCTGAAACTTGTTTCTTCATTTCATATGTAACAACAGGTAAATTTTGTGATAATTCTTTTGGAGTAGATACTTGTTGTGATTGAAGTTGTTGTTGAGGTGGTGGAGTTGGTACTTGTTGTAATGATAATGGTGGAGTTGATTTTGTTTTTGATCCAATTGATTTTCGTTTATTATTACCACCTTTACCACCTTTTCTATTCTTCTTTCTTCTTCTTTCTGCTTGTTGTTGACGTAATTGTTTTAAATGATCTGCTTTTAATTCTTGTAATTCTTGTTTCATTCTGATAACTTGATTTTCAAGAAATTTAATTGCTGGTATTTCATTCAACATAGCTTCGGTAATTTCTTCTTCATCTGATGATTCTTCATCTGATAATTCAGATTGTGGTATTGGTTTATTTGCCCATAATTTATTAAATGAATTTTCTAATCTATGACCTAAAATATTAACTTCAGTTCCTTCAGGATTAAAAGTATAACAATTTTTAAATAATAATTCCATATCTGAATAAAATTCATTTTCATTATTATAAGTGTTATTAATTAATTTATTTGAAATTGTTCCTAAATCAATTGGATTTTTAATAACTTCATAATATTGAGGATATAATTCTCTTGAAACAGGTTCAATAAATATAAAATTATAACTTGCATGTTTTTTACTCATTAATTCTTTCAATATTTGTTGACAAAATTTTAATAAATCTCTTGTATATTTTGATTTTGGTTTTGATTCTGAATTATATGTTATATCTTTTGATTTTGGTGGATTTATACTTCTTCTTGGTCTTGAACTAGCTACTGAATCTATCTTATGATGATTAGATGAAGGAGAAATACTTTTATTACTTTTATTATTATTATTATTATTAATATTATTATTATTATTATTATTATTATTATTATTGATTAATTCAGAGCTTGTTGCTGGAATATTTAATATATTTTTTTCAAAATATCCTTGTATATTAGTTGCCATTTTGGAAATCGCAGCTTGTGGTCCATTAAATTTAATACAATTATTAACCATTAAATTAAAATCAGAATGAACTTCTTGTGGTGTTGAATAACATTTCTTATTCAATTTCAATTCAATTGTAGATAAATCCATTGGTTGAGGTATTACATTATAATAATATGGTATATTTAATTTAATAACATCAACTGGTTTTAAAAATGGACGGGCATCTTTTAATCTTTTAATTGATTTTATTGAATTTAGTATATATTTTTCTTGATGTGGTGGTAATGGATTTTCAGAAGTAATAATTGGAGTTTCTGGTTTTGGAGCGGGTGGGTCTTTTAAATATGATGGAGTTGATTCGGTAATTTCTGGTTGTTGTTGAGGGGTTTGAGAAACTGATTTGGCATCTGGTTCTTTATTTTCTTGTAAAGCAGGATCAAATGGTTCTTCTGTATTATTAACTTCTTTTATACCTTCTTTTATACCTTCTTCCTTATGACCATTTTCTTCATGTTTGACTTGTTTAACTTGACTTACATCTGAATCGTCATGATCTTGAATATTATTTGATGGTTCTTCATTTATATATGTTGGAGATAAAGAATCTTCTATCTTTGGTTTTTTAAAATCATTATTCTCTTGTACTTCTTGATCTTGATCTAATGGTCTTTTTTCACCAAGCGAATGGCTATTATCATCATTATTATTATTACTATTGTTATTATTATTATTATTTTCTGGTTGTGATTGTTGTTTCAGTAATTCAAATAAATTATCATCTATATTTTGGTTATTATTCTTATGATCTAATGTAGTAGATTCCATAATATGAATTAAAATAAAATTATATTAATAATACAAAGTAAAGAAATATGATATGGTTTTTAATTTATTATTTTCAGTGTCGCAAAAACCTGAAATATAAAAAATGAGACACGACAAACAAGTCCAAAAAAAAAATCAAAAAAAAAAGGTGCGAGACACGTTCTATTTATATTTTTTGATTAGAAATGGCCAATTCCGGGTAAGTAAATGGCCAAATTGGAAATTAAATCGTAACAGAGTAAAAGACCAGGATTAAAATGCTGATATTCTGATGGAGTGATTGATTCTAAATTTAAAGATATCTACAATAGTATTTCAACTATATATACAGTGTAGTATATCATCAATTTCGATTTATTGCTGACTTTTTAAAGAAGTAAAAAATTTTTATAAGTAGTTTTTCGATGCGTTTGTTCGTCAAATAATTATAGTTTAGCTGATATTGAGCAAAAGTACACTACTATGATATGATCCAGTTTTTTTTTTCTGTTGTGGTTGCATATTGAAAAAACAAATTGCAGCCAGCCATTTAGAAGTAATAGGGGAATTAAAGCGCAGGATTATATTAGTTTAATGTATTATGTTTTCATTCATTAACCTTTCTATAAATGTATTGATAATAAATCATTTTGTGAAAAACCTTTATTACAACTTGGACATCTTCTTAATCTTGCTGCTAATCTTTCTTGAGTACAATTTGAACAAAAAACATGACCGCAAACAGTTATAGCAGTATCTTTCCAATTTTTTGTACATACCGAACATTTAGCTATTGATCTTAATGCTTGTAATTGTTGTTCTTCTTCTTCAATGATACCATTAACATTATTAGTTTTATATTTATTTAATAAATTTGATAATTGATTTTTCTTCTTTTCCAATTCTTGTATTTCAATACTTTGTTGATTAATAGTCTTCTTTAATTGTATTTCAGATTTAATTAAATTTTCATTCTTGGTTGTTATTTCTTCAAGATTTTCTTTTAAATTGGAATTATCAATTTTAAATTCTTCCAAGTCTTCATTTACTTTTTTAACTTCATTCTTATTATTAATATTTATTTGTTGATATTCAGATAATTGAGTAGTCAAATTTTTAACTTTGAGGTTCAATTTTGAATTTAATTCAGTTAAATTTGTATTAAATTCATTTTGTTTTGAATTTTGTAATTTTAAAATCTTAATTTCTTCCTTTGCAGCTTCCATTGATCTCATAACTGCAAAATATTTAGATTCTGCTTTTGTTTTCTCAATTGAAATTATTTGTAATTTACCATCAATATCTACTTTATTTGACAAATTACTTAAATATAAATCTCGAGTTTGTTTAAAAGCTTGTTCTATTTCTTGAATTACTTCATTTTCATCTGATTGAGGTTTGGTTAATTGTTCTATTCTTTTATTTAATTCTGAATTTAAATCTAATAATGATTTATTTGTTTCTTTATTATCAAGTTCTTGTTTTATAATTTCAATTTGTGATGATAATTCATCTCGATGAGCTCGAAGACGATTTATCGTTATTTCTTGATCTTGAAATTTATTCTTTAATCTTTCATTTTCTGTTATTATCTCTTTATCTAATTCTTCTTTTAAATTATTAAAAGTTTCAAAATTTTCTGAAACTTTTAAAGATTTTATTTTATTTAATTTTGAAATTTCATCTTGTAAAAATTTATTATTTTTAGTTAGTTTTTGTAATTTTGCTTCATCTTCATTTGATAATTTAGATTTTGAAGGTTGTATTAATGCTTGTTGATATTGTTCGGAAATTTCTTCAAGTTGTGATTTTAATAATTTATTAGTAGATGTTAAAACTTCAATTTGTGAAAGATATTCTGCTAATTTATCTTCTTGAATATTTATTTGTTTTTCTTCTGGTGTTGCTTCTTTTTTAATAGCAGTTTCTTCTGATTTATCGGATTCTTCAATACCACGATTTGCTGAAGTTGCATTTTTTAAAACTCGGGATATTGCAGGTGATTGATATTTTAATAATTCACGTTTTAAATCCATTATTTCTTGTATTAAATTATCTTGATTAACTTCTTTTTCTAATAAATTTAATTTATGTTTATATAATGTCATTTCTCTAAATAAACATTCTTTCTTAAAAATTAAAATATCAGTAGCAGTTAAAGGACCTTCATCCGATAATTTAAGTCTTTTAGCTTTTGATGTAGTTTCATAATCATCATCATTTAATGATCTTTTTAATTCTGTTGTTGCCATGGCATGTAAACTTATGAATTATTAAATGAAAAATTAAATAAAAATAAATTTTTTTTTTTTTTTTTGATAATTTTTTTTTTCATGCCGAATTAAATATTAGACAAATGTTATAATTATGATGGAAATTTTATTACACAACGTAACATTATGAGTTAAAGAATGGTTTGGTAGTTGATATGACCTAATAACGATCAATAGTAACCGCCATACGTCTTTAAATCTCACTCAAATAGTTGTTTTCTGTAGATTTTAACTAATAAATTTGCACCCATCAATGCACACGACCATAATTTATTAGCCTTGAAATTTGCATTTGAGATTAAACGATAAATAATAAGCACAGTCAGCAGATTTTCTAGCATTGAAGATAGATAATTTCAAGTCATTTGCTTGGTGGATACTAGAATCATACTATTAGTAGTCAAAGATCCAATAATTTAGGTTATACAACTTCTAAAATCGAGAAACGTGTCCAAAATAGTTTACATACCATCAAAAGACATTCCAAACATAATATCTTCATCAAATTGACTATTCGCTTCCATCTCAACCTCTATTTCACCTGTTCAACGCGTTGTATCTCTAAATTCATCATTGTTTCGTATTAATGTTTCAGAAAATTGTTCCTCGCAAGTTTTCAAGATTTAATTTTTTTATTGATAATTTTCCTATACAGTATCAAAAATGAATCTATGGTTGATTTTGCTGCTATTTACGTCAATTTTAGCTGTTAAAGATTATTTATTTAAACCTTGTGAACAAAATGGATTCTGTAATAGAAATAAACATTATCTGAAAAATGTGGAATCAAGTCCTTATAATATTAATGAAATAAATTTTAATAGCGAGGGTAATTTTATATCTGGTATAATTCATAAATCATTACCGTCAAGGACAGTAAAGTTGCCATTTGAAATAAGTATAATTGAGGGCAACTTTAGATTCAAAATGAATGAAAATAGACAAGATATTAACTCAATTGTTAATATAAATAGATATGATGAAACTCCAAAATGGGCATTCATAAACACGACTAATGACCAATTCATATATAAGAATAAAGAAATAATATATCGAGATCATAAAGTTGCTGTTCAATTCAATCCCGTCAAATTTACATTTTATTATAAGGGAAAACCACAATTGATTATTAATGATAAACATTTTCTCAATTTTGAACATCAATTATTGAACGATTCAGATCTCCTACCTTTCGAAAGTACATACAATACCAATTCAGATGATTTCCCAGACTCGAAAAATGATAAATTACCATTAGGTAGAGAATCAATAGGTTTAGATTTTACATTATTAGAATTTAATCATTTATATGGAATTCCAGAACATGCAGATTCCTTTAGTTTAAAAGATACTTCAAATTCAGAACCTTATCGATTATATAATGTAGATATTTTTGAATATGAAACAAATTCAAAATTACCAATGTATGGATCAATTCCATTATTAGTTACATCAAAACCAGAGGTATCTTTAGGTATATTCTGGGTTAATTCAGCAGATACATACATTGATATAAACAAGGGTAAAGATTCTTCACTAGTTCATTTCATGTCAGAAAATGGTATATTGGAATTTATTATCATTATTGAAGAAAAACCACAACTTGTAAATTATCAATATGGTAAAATAACTGGGTTTTCAACGTTGCCTAATTTATTCTCACTTGGTTATCATCAATGTAGATGGAATTATAATGATGAAGGAGATGTATTAGATATTCATTCAAAATTTGACCAATTTGAAATTCCATATGATGCAATTTGGTTAGATATAGAATATGCAGAAAATAAAAAATACTTCACATGGAATAAAGAAACGTTTCCAAATCCAGAAAAGATGATGTCGGTATTAGATAGGACTGGTCGTAATTTAATAGTGATTATTGACCCACATATTAAGACTGGTTATCAAATAAGTGATGAATTATTAGCTAAAGAAATTACAATTAAGGATAGTCAAAATTCGACATATTTTGGTCATTGTTGGCCAGGTGAAAGTGTTTGGATAGATACATTAAATCCAAATTCACAATCTTACTGGAATAATAATCATTTACAATTCATGAAAAATAATAAAAATCTTCATTTATGGAATGATATGAATGAGCCTTCAGTATTTAATGGACCTGAAACATCATCACCAAAAGATAATTTACATTTTGGAAATTATGAACATAGATCTATTCATAATTTATATGGTTTAACATATCATGAAAGTACTTATAAATCACTCATTAATAGAAATTCAAACATTAGACCATTCATATTAACTAGATCTTATTTTTCGGGTAGTCAAAGAACATCAGCAATGTGGACAGGTGATAATATGTCAAAATGGGAATACTTAAAAATTTCAATTCCCATGATTTTAACTTCAAATATTGTTAATTTCCCATTTAGTGGTGCTGATGTAGGAGGATTCTTTGGGAATCCATCAAAGGAATTATTAACAAGATGGTATCAGACTGGTATATTTTATCCATTTTTTAGAGCTCATGCTCATATTGATTCAAGAAGAAGAGAACCTTGGGTTGTTGGTGATCCGTATACTGGATATATTAGAGATGCAATTAGATTGAGATACAAACTACTCCCAGTTTTCTATACTTCATTTTATATTAACTCAATTAATGGTACACCAGTTATAAAACCGATTTATTATGAGAATTTAGATAATGGAGATATTTATGACATTGATGATGAGTTTTTCATTAGTGATACAGGTATTTTAGTCAAACCAATAACAGATGAGGCTGAATCCAAAGTTAATTGGATAATTCCAGATGATTCAATATATTATGATTTTACAAATGGTGTATTAAGTGGTGTTTATAAAGATAGAGAGTATGGATTAGGTGATATTCCAATGTTATTGAAAGGTGGATCAATCATCCCTATGAAATTAAGGTATAGAAGAAGTTCAAAATTGATGAAGTACGATCCTTATACTATTGTCATTGCATTAGATAAAGATGGAAAAGCATATGGTGAATTGTACGTTGATGATGGTGAGAGTTTCAATAATGATCATGCTTTTATTAAATTTAAATTTGAAAATAAGAAGTTTAGTTATTGTATTGATGGGGATTATCTATTCAAGCTTGAAAAATTGATTATTAATGGAATTACAGTAACTAATTTTAAAAACAATACAATTGTTGATTTTGATATTGACTATCATGATGAACTATAAATATATATTATAATAACGACATTGTTGTAACGTAATACCTATAAGATGTTCTAAATGCTAATATCTATAAGAGAAGTTATTTTGAAAAAATATACATATAAAACTACGTATTTATTCAAAAATTATGCTAATTTTAATACACTTAAATAGACCTCGTAAACCCAAGGCATTATAGATCTATGCCCTGAACTTTCTCAGAGCCCTTTTGGATAGATTTATGCTCCTGGCATTACTGACTTGAATCTTGAACGAATAAAGATTGTAAATTTGATCTACTTCTGTTTTGACTTACTTCTTCTTCGAGCAATAATTGAGAAGCTGTAGTATGTTTCTTTTGACTTGATTCTTCTTCGACAAATAATGCTTGAGTAGTCTTTATTTGAGATTGGGCTGTTTTGGTCTGTATACTTGAAATTGATCCATTCCTCTTCTTTTGTTGTTCAATTTCATGATTGATAGTATATAATGATTGCTTAACCATTTCTTTCCATATAATAGTTTCACCACACACACAGTCAATTGTATCAGGAATCAATAACGTTGACTTTTTCGCTAAACAACCAAAATGGAAAACATGATCGTTACAAATACCAAATTTATCACCAACTGCCTCTTTACAAATGATACAAACTCTTTCAGGTATATGTAATAGTTCTATTTCACCCATATCAAACTCATCAAAATTTATAAGTTCCGGAGTTATTACTGAATTTATATTATATTTATTCATATCCCATATTTCTTTTGCCTCGTTGTCAAATATACATACTTGTAATCTATGAAATGAATCCAATAACATCTTAACATTTCCAAGTAATTTATGAACACTTCTACCACCCTTCTTACTGATCTTTTCGTCTATTAGCCGTGTTTGATAACTATGTTGTAAACTATGTTCAAATTGTAATGCAGAAATTTTTGACGTGAACCCATATACAATTAAAATCACTCTCCATGGTCTTTTCTTTTTTGTTTTATAGGCTCCTCCTGTTAATTCCCCATTATGCTGTCTTAATCTCTTCTTTATATCTGGGGTTGATCCAATATATGTTGATTGTTTATGAGACATTGATTGTAAGATATAAACACAATAAAAATTGGGTATAAGGAACATGAGCCTGAGCTAATTTCACTATTTAATACCTTTCTAACTGTTATCTCCTCGAGTATTCAACGGTAATTCTTTTGCATCAATTTTTCAATATTTTATTTTACGAGAAGAAAAAAAAAAAAAAATGGAAAAAAACTATTTTTATCAACTTTGAATTTTATCGATAATCAATAACAGAATATCAAAAAGTATTATTAGTATTTGTATTCTCATGTCTTTACAAACACCAGTACCGCCAAATTCTACATTGGCTACTACTGCAAGTTCAAATCAAAGTGGTTCTAATGATTTTGTTAAGAAATTATTCTTAATGTTATTGGAAGATTCATATAAAGATATTGTTAGATGGACCAAAACTGGTGATTCATTTGTTGTTATAAATACAAATGAATTTACAAAAGATATATTACCTCGTCATTTTAAACATTCAAATTTTGCATCATTCGTTCGTCAATTAAATAAATATGATTTTCATAAAGTCAAAATTCCAAATGATGCAAAATCAACTTATCCTTATGGTGAAGATGCTTGGGAATTTAAACATCCAGATTTCAAAATAAATGATAGAGAAAGTTTAGATAATATAAAAAGAAAAGGGCCAAATATTAAAAAACCAAGTGGTCTGATAACAACTAAAGAAATAAATAATAATGGAATGGGTCAAATTGATTTACATATGAAAGAAGAATTAAAGAAGTTGAGGAAAGAAAATGAAGTACTACAAAATGAAGTTAAATTATTAACTAACAAATATAAAACTGTGGTTGAAAATATAGTCACTTTGAAAAATTATAATGAACGATATGATAGAAATCTTACAATATTGGCGAATACTTTATTACAAGCTGGAATAAAAATACCTCCATTAGAAATAGATCAACATCAACATCATCTAGATCATAGTCCTAAATCACAACCACCTCAAATACCGTCACAACCATCACAAGCAACTCCAATACCAATACATTCACAGCCTCAAACACAACAACAACAACAACAACCACCACCACAAGTTCAACCTCAACAACCACATCATACACCAGTTTCTGTTCCTTCTCAACCACCTCATCAACCATCATCTATCCCTTCTTCATCTGCATCACCAATATCAACTACTCAAATACCCAATCCGAAATTTCATGTTTTATTAGTTGAAGATGATAATGTGTGTATACAATTATGTAGGAAATTCCTAGTTAAATATGGCTGTCAAGTTACTGTTGTAACTGATGGTTTAAATGCAATTTCAACAGTTGAACATACAAAATATGATTTAGTTTTAATGGATATTGTGATGCCAAATTTAGACGGTGCTACAGCTACCAGTATAATCAGGTCATTTGATACAAAAACTCCAATTATTGCAATGACTGGTAATATAGAAGATCAAGATTTAGTAAACTATTTACAAAATGGAATGAGTGATATTTTAGCAAAACCATTTACAAAAGATGATTTATATTCAATATTGGCTAAACATTTGCTAAAAGATGATATTGAAAAAGATAGAAAGAAGCCAAAATTAGAATAACAAAATCATATCACCAAAATTAGAATGAAAGTCATGTTTAAAAGTTTATAGTATAAATGTATTCAATTATTTATTACTTTTTAGTTAATCTATGGAATGCTAAATCAGTGAATGAATTGCCCCAGGCATCATTCTTTTTAGTATTTTCAAATCTACTAATACTTATATGTTTAAAATATATCTCATCTATTGGATAGTTGATCTCTGGTTCAATAAATTTTTGTCTGTTCTTTCGTTTATTTACAACTGGTGTAAATCCATCTTTTGACTGATTATCACCTAATAAATAAACAGCACATGATAAATATGGATATTTCTCATTTAATTTCCGTTTTGTTAATCGATCTGTATGTGTAATAACATCATTACATAGTAGATATGTAGGATGATCCATATTTAGTAAATTTTCCATTAATGTCAAAGGAGCATGAGGTAGGAAATAAAGTGTATTTGATTTATTATCATATTTTTCTTCAATTTCCATATCCTTAAGTATCTCCCTATCTTTTTCATTTAATATTGGATCATAAATTGAAATTTTTGCAGTCAAATGCTCTTGCAAAATTAATAATAATGCTAATTGATATTGTGCAGCCAAACTTTCAGAAGGTGAACCCAATGCCAAACATCGTATACAATCAAATTCCAACCCATGTAAACATCGTAGAATCTCTGTAACCAACTCTGATTCAATTAGCGTCTTCCTATATTTTTCAATTTGACTCTTCGTCTCCATTGGTAGCTTTTCGTGAAAAAAAAAAAAATTTGGTCCATCTCATTTATTTTCCTTTCCCCATTATTAGTTTAGATCTTTTCATTCCACGTTGTCATCTTCATTAATGAGAAAGTGTAAGATCTTTGTTGGATCATCACATTCAGAATTGGGTAAATTAGTATGTGATAGACTTGGAGTTGAACCTGCTCCTTGTACTTTAAAAAAATTTTCAAATGGTGAAACTTCTGTTCAAATTGGTGTTTCAGTTAGAGATGAAGATGTATATATTATTCAAAGTGGTTCACCATATATAAATGATCATATAATGGAATTATTAATATTGATAAGTGCTTGCAGAGGAGGAAGTGCAAATAAAATAACTGCTGTTATTCCACAATTCCCATATTCTAAACAATCAAAAATGAAAAAACATAGAGGTGCAATTACTGCTAGAATGTTGGCTAATTTATTAATTATGGCTGGTGCTGATCATGTTGTAAGTATGGATTTACATGCAAGTCAAATGCAAGGTTTTTTCACAAAACCTGTCGATAATTTATTAGGTGCTCCAACTTTGGCTAGATGGATTAGACATAATATTGAAGATTGGCAAAATGCAGTTGTTGTAAGTAAAAACCCAGGTGGCACTAAAAGAGTTACAGCATTAGCAGATAGTTTAAAGATTAATTTTGCCATGATTCATACTGATAGAAGAAGAACTCATGATCAATTATTGAAAAAATCTAAAAAAGCAAAAATAATTGGTGATGTAAATATTGTTTCAGAATTACAAACTGCTAGAATTGTTCAAGGTCATGTTGTAGATGATGATTATCCAAGAGAAACCACTGAAAATAATAATATAGTGAATAATAATTCAAGTATAAATGGAATTTTAGAAAAAGGTGATGATGTTTTAGGTGGTACTTATGACGCCACTAATTCAGATGATGATGAAGATGATAAACCACAAGAAGAAAAATTAATTACATTAGTTGGTGATGTAAAGGGTAAAGTTGCAATTATATTAGATGATATGATTGATAAACCAAATTCTTTTATTGCAGCGGCTGAACATTTAAGATTAAATTGTGGTGCAAAAGCAGTATATGTAATTGGTACTCATGGTTTATTTACTGATCATTGTTTAGAATCACTTTGTGAATCAAAATGTATTGATAAAATAGTAGTTACAAATACTTATCCAATAACAAAAGAAAAATGTCAATTACATCAAGATAAATTAGTTGTAATTGATGTATCACCAATTTTTGCAGAATGTATAAGAAGAGATCATTTTGGCGAATCAATTTCAGTATTATTTGATTCATTAGCAGCAATAGAGTAGAATTCAGATGAGATGAAAATATATGTTATTTATTTATTGTGAATGTCAATCTTTGACATCTTATATATCCCAACGATGCAATCACTTTGGATTGCAGGACATTATTAATCATGGTAATGGACTAACGGAGCGTTGGTAAATGAAAATTCAAAATAAGTTGATATTTAACTATAAGTTAATCTATTGACTTGTATTGAAACAATTGTAGTTTAACTCCTTTTCTTCTTTTTAACTTTGTCTTCAAATTCAATATATGAAATAGGTATACCTTTATCTTTAAACATTTCAATTAATAATTTCCCATGTGGTCCTTGAACTTGAATTGTATCTTCGGTAGTAGTAGTTGATCCTTGACATTTATATCTCATTTCTTCAGCTAATGCACCTTGTTTAAGATTAAATTTCTCATAATTAGAAACACGAGTGACGATTTTCCTACCAATTTTCATTTCAGTAATTATTTGAATTTTAGGTAAGGTTCCTTTACCTACGTGTCCATCAATTTCATAATATGGTGAGAAATTTTTAAGAAATCCTTTGAAAGCTTCATCTCTTGCAAGCTCTTCTTTCTTTGGATTAATTATATTTTTCAAATTATCATCGAATTTTATAAATTTAGGTTTGGTAGGTACTGCTAATTCTGATTTTTTGATATAAAGATCAAAGAATGCACGTAATTCTCCTGAAGTATACAATGCATCATATTCTTGATCCAATTTATTAAAAAAATGACGTGATTTGGCAGTTGGTTTATACAAGGCTCTTATATTCTTATTTATGATCTTCTTTGATTCTGTTTTTGGTTTGTTTATTTTATGTGGGACAAATTGATCTATGATTGGTGATCTTTTAAGTTTAATAATTGTCAAATCTTCATCTTTACCCTTTATATCTAAATGATTTAATTTATTCATTGCTTTTAAAAATTTTGATGTCTTTTTCCATGATGTTTTCTTTATGTTTGTGTATTGATGATCCATAATTGGTAAATTTTTATAAATGTACGATGACATGAATGTAGATGCAGTAATTGGTAACTCAACAGTATCTAATTTTATAGTTTGATATAATGAACGAATAAAAAAATTGTCAATTTCTTCAACTGTTAACTTTGATAACTTCTCTTCCTCATTTTCCTCTTCATGATTCTCTTCTTGAGGCTCGTCAGGTTGTTCCTCACTTTCAGTTTCTTTCATTACATGCAATTGGGTAACAGATTCAGTGACTTCTTGTTCAGGTTGCTTAATTTCCTCTTCTTTCTCCTCCTCTATTAAAATATTTGTATCTATCACCTCTGGTATTTCAATATCTATCTCTTTATTCAATTTTAACAACTCATCATTATAATGATGGATAATTTCAACCGCAGTTCCTGACCTACCCAAAACATTATCAAATTCTTGTAAATTTAATTTTGTAAAACCAATAGCCATAATTCTATTCGAATCTTCTGAACTAACAACACCGACTAATTCATTCTTACCTATATTGAAAAATTTAGGAATTGTGCCTGGAAGCATCAAATTTGCTCCACTGCCTAAAATTTCAATAACGTGAGAATGAGTTTTGACAACTTTTAAGATATAATGATTGGACCAAAGAGTATATATAGTAGGATATACAATTGAATCTCTAGTGTGGAAATATATTGGAATATCTTGATCATTGAAATATACGGTACCTGAATCTCCATTAAATGATTTAAAAGTTGCTTTTTTAACAATTGATGGAACTAGTCTTTCTTGACCTTCTTTTGACAATTTAGGTAATTTGTAAGTATCACATATCTGATTTATTAGCTTTCTTCTATCTCTTGAACTAATATTTGAACTTGCCTTAACAAAAGGTGGTTTTTTAAACATATTGGAAAATTCTGAAACATGAAAAAAAAACAAACTAGAATACTAAAGTATGGTTGTTTCTAAAGAATCAAAATCAATAAGTTCAGTACGTGATTTTATTACTTTATTTGTGATTATATTCATTAGTGGGGTTGGATATCCATTATTTCAATATACTACTTCAATATATAGAGCTAATTTACCAACTATAACTCAAAAAGATATAAATTTTGAAATACCAATACGAAATGATCCAGAGGAATTAAATAAACAAATTGAGAAACAATATGGAATAAAATTCTGGAAATTTAAACAAGAAGAAAATGGGGAGGTAATTGATAGCTTAGATAAGTTTGAGAGTGAGTTGAACTCCTATGGTAAAAGTTTCAATAATTATTTACCTTTCGATAATTACAATATTGTAATTTCATTATTAGTAGAGAATGGTATACCGTTAAATTGGGAAATAGATCAAGCTATAAAAGAATCATTTACTCCATTTTTATCCTTATTTCCTAATCAAAATTTTTCAATCACGACCAATATAAATTATTTTTCAAAATTGAATAAACAATACGAAAATGGAATAATTAAAGAAAATGAATTAACCACATTTATTAATTTCAACGATTGGAATATAAATCAAAATAATGTCGAGCATACAATAAATTTCCTAATTTATTTACCTAAAAATCAATTATCAATTGAAAATTCAAAATCTAATTCATTTTTAATTCCAAGATGGGGTGGAGTTAAAATTTATAATTCAAAATTACCATTAATGAAACATTCAACAATAAATAAAAATGAGTTAATTCCAATTTTACAAACCTTTCAAGCACATGTTTTTAAATTATTTGGAATACCAAATGGGAATATCTCCAGTTTTAAAAGAATAAATTTATATAATCATATTAAATCAACTTATGAAACACTTGGCAGTTTGTATAAATTGACTAATCAATTACAAAATATAAACATACCCGAAAGTACAGCTGATGAAGTTAAACAAAGTTTAAAATATTTGGAAATTGCAATTGAGAAACATGATTTAGAATATTCTTTAAAGGCTTTAAATAGTGCAAATAAAGCATTTTTTGATCCTACTATGGTTCAACAAGCTTATTTCCCAAGCGAACATAAATTGGCTGTTTTGTTACCTTTATTAGGTCCAATTGCTTCAATTGTTATATTTTCAATAATGAAATTGATAAAACAAAGAAAAAGAAAAATAGATTAAATAGAGAAGTTAATGAATAATTGATATGATTATTGAAATGTGAACCTGAAATGATGCTAATTTGTGAGCTTACACCGATATGTTGCAAGTTGTTTAGATTCATTTTGAATTTCGCATGGAAATTACATTCGTAATATTATCTGTATGCAGTCACATAGTTAATAATAAAATTAACTGAGAGGATTTTTGGAAATGACAACAGAATGTCTCAGAATTTCGGTTCAATAACTTTAATCAAAAATTTAGTCTTTTTAAATTGTACGTGGTTAATATGAGGTGAAAAAAAAACAATCTTTGATGGAGTTATGACCGATTTAATTGAATATTAAATTCTTCAAATACTCCATTAATATTCAAGCTACGATTCTCTTTTTTGTCTCATTAGAAACTTCAATCAATTTGGAGCCAGAATTTTGGTCGAACTTTGAGCTCCCGTAGTACTTCCTTTAGCAAAATTTTAATTTGAAATTCCAATGGCCTAAAACCACGATTGGCTCACTCTATTCCAAGTTTAAAACATACAACGCTTGCTTATCATTGAACCTCAAACTTCGTAAATTTAATAGCTTGAATACTCTACATTCCATTTAAAAGACTTTAAAATTTAAAAAATTCATTGGACTCAAAAATCAGCCCGGAATAGTACTACCATTTCTGGCCCTCAGCATTAAAATTTTTGGCTAAGGTCTCGCTCCATTTCACCACTAACAAATAGCATCAATTTGACCAATCATAATAATGGCTGAAAGTTACCCCCTAAATTCCAAATATTAACCATTACCTAGAAAGATCATAGTTTTAACTGAATCTAAAGTAATCAAGAGCAAAACGTTTATAAGCAGATTAGATTTTTATTCTTTGGAGTTTGATCAGGCTACAAAAGCAGAGTTGTACTATGGAATGATACAATTATAAAACACGAAGGTTTGAGCCATTTTGGAACAAGCGCAATATCAGCTTGAATCGTCGAATTATATTTGAATGGAGCTTTTGTATGATCTCCATACGATATTTGGTTAGAAACATATGTGACTCGCAATTTAAGAAAATATGCCAACCTTTGTAAATGTCATATATTATATGACGAGAAACAAATAGGAGATAATTTATGTCAGTAATAGACAAGTTAGGAAAGGTCAAAAACAACTTAGGAGACCAAATGCTTGTCACATATCTTTATGTTGCAGTTATCATTTGAGAAATTAATCCATTAAATGGTTGCAAAATTTAGATAACACTAAATAAATGGCTCATAAAAAATAAAAAAAAGCTAAAATGAAAAAAAAATTTCACTATTATCTATTTTGGTTGCAATTTCCTTTTTTCCTTAACTTAGGTTGCAAAATCTGGTTTATTTCCGGTCGTGTAATGTCGGATATTTATAAAACCGTATTAGCCGATGGATATAATATTTTAAAAAATGAAGCACAGTAACATAAATTTTAGACAAAGAAACAATTTTAGACACACAACAAAGTTAAGAAAATATTAAATATGAGTGGCTCTTAACAATATGCAGTATTGTTAATTTAGATGGAATGGGATAAAGAGGAACTAAATTATCTTGACTAAGGGTCAAGTCGATGAGAAAGGGACGTAGAACAATTGATTTATTACTAAATCATCAATGGTATGACAAGGGGTAATCGATAGAATGAATTAATTAAAGTCTCTACCATCTAATTGGCTGCAAATTAATCTTTCTTTCTTTCTGTTTGTTTATAGTGGTTAAATGAAATGTTTATAAAATGACATAATTTGGTAAAATGTATGAGGGAATTAACATAAATAATAATCTAATTTTGTGTCACGTGTTAAGTATTTTCAGTTTAAAATTTTTCTATTATTTTTATTACCAACATTAATTTCTTTCTATTTTATATAACTTCTTCTTTTGTATTTTAGACCAATTAATAATAGCTAGTTATCATGAAATTCACATCAATTACTTTAGCCGCATTTACAGTTTCATCAGTTGTAGCATCAGGTGGTAGAAAGGATCATGGTACTCCAACTACAACTACAGTTTTAGCTCCAACTGAAGCTTCAACTCATAGATTTGGTCATTTTGATCATACTTCAAGAACTAAAGCTTCTTCTCCAACTGGTGATATGTCAACTCATGTATATGGTAGATTTGATAAGACAAAAAGACCATCAACTGTCACTTCATTTGTTCCACAATCAGTTATTGATCATTCAAAATCAATTTCAAGAGTTTCAGCAAGATCTTCATCATTTTATCACGGTGACGTTGTTTATGTTGGTAAAGCTGTTAATGATACTGGTGCTGGTGCTGTTAATGGTACCGGTGCTGGTGCCTCAAATGGTACTGCCGGTGGTGCAGGTTCAAATTCAACTGGTGGAGTTGGTTCATCTGCTAACATTGCTAATGGTAATGCTGCTGGTTACGGTTTAGGTTTAGGTGCTGCTTTAGTTGGTGCTGCTTTATTAATCTAAGCTTAATTATATAAAAGTTTAACCATTTATCATTTTTTCACAGTTTTCACAGTTTTCATACCACTTCATAACTTATAATAAAGAACGTTTTTTGTTTTAATTCCGAAGTTTTTATACATTTTAATTTTACAAGATTGTTTGTTCAATGTTTTGTAATTTATAATAAATAATTAATATTAATAAAAATATACATAGAGATATTTATCAACATTTCAATTGTTTCTTCTTTGCTTCATTGCTTCATTGCTTCTTTGCTTCTTTGCTTTGCTTCCCACATAAAATACTACTTTAATTCTACAATTGGTTCTATAATTGGTTCTATAATTGGTTAGCTTGCTTGAAAAATATATCTTCAACGTCAGTGGGTCGTTTGATGATAGTGAAAACCAACCCAATGGTAAATTGCTTCGGAAGAGGTTGACATTGAGCAAAAGTAATTGTTAGCATTCTGGTTAATTATATATGTAGTGATTCTCTAGCTATAGTAATTAGTCTATTTCCGTGGTAATCCTATTAATGGTTTTGGTGGTTCAATTTTATCACTGAAATCTCTTACAATAATTTCACATTTGACTTCTTTACATAAATCTTTCTTATTATAATATGGTACTTTTTGTAATAAATCTAATCCGCTCAGTCTTTCCAAAGCTTCAATAGGTACTTGAAATTGAGCTAAAGGTGTAAAATTATTTATAACATCATTTGGTAAAACAAACGCAGCACAAGAAATTTTACCTTCAGTATTATTATTTTCACCAACAATCAATTTGAAAAAATGAGTTGGAACAGCAATATTTGGAGGTGATCCAATAACTTCATATTCAACTTTATATTTCCCATTGGCTTGTAATTTAGGTAAATACAAAGGGCCAGTTAATATTCTAACATTATCATATTTCTTAGTCAATCTTCTTGCAAAATCTTCAAAATGAGCCCAATAATCTCTATTAAAACCATCTCCAACTTGTGGAGAAATATTTGTTAAATAAAAAGTTTCATCCATTGCCAATTGACTATATTTTGCATCTGCAGCTGGTGCTTGGTGACCTCTATCATAACCACTTCTAAAGTAATCTCTTAATTTACCTCTAAACTTAACTGGTACTTGTTCATCTTCTTTAAATATTGAATTTTTACGATCACCAGATGAATCAGATCTTAAAATTGAATCTTTTGTTATATGTTCAACAACCCAATATGGATTTCTAGTTTGTCTATCAAAACAAGAAACAAATTCATTACGATTAGCTAAATCATGAATTGGACCAGGAAAACCATATTTGAAAAATCCAGACGGATTAATAGTTGATGGATCAAATACCGATTGAGATGATTTATTTGACCCGTATGAAATTACATCTGTTTGAGTAACTGATGTAGTAGGTGCACTACTTGATGATTTACCCCAAAAGTATGAAGCTATACCAACTGTACCAATACCTAAGGTAGTTGTAAGATATTTTGACATATACTAGAGCACTTGAATAATTTTTTTTTGTTTCAGATGCGCGTTTGATTTTTCAGTTGAAACATTTGTTCCTAACCATGGTTTTGATTTGGTTCTTTATATTATCAAACAAGATTGAGCTAGTTCAGATGTGTTTTAAGTGGCTTGAAGTGGTGGAAATTGTTGGTATATGTTATTGCAATCAGTTATTGTTTGTTACAAGGTTTTGTTAGAATCCATGCTTTTATACGGCTTCATTTTAAACAATAGAAGGATATACTCCACAATTTTATTCTTTTAGTTTAAACAGGTAAGGTTGATCGTTTTTTATTATGATAAGGCTGAAAATTTATCAGAAGCCGTATATCTCATTATTTTGTACCTCCGAAATTTATAATCACCGTTGAATGGATCTCCATGTGATATTCTTTCAATACCGCAACCCAGCGTTTTACGTCAAATCTTCATTGCATCACTTGGCAACCGTGATAGAGTTATAATCATGATTTGATATAAACAATAGATCAAAATTTCAGTTACTTTAACCAAATGGCACCAAAAATTGAGAGATAGTTCACAAGGTATAAATTTCAAAATGTTTTTTACTATAAATTGAGATGCAAATCTACTTAAGTCTACTTAAAGTTTAAATCATCGAGACTAGGTTAGTTTTACCATGTTTTTACCAAAAGTTTTAGTTTCTTTAGTCTTAGCTTTATTAGTTCAAGGTGTTTCCGTTAGAAAATCAAATGGTGTTGTTCAGTTACCTTTTCAACATTCATATGGTGATAAAAAAAATGTTACTAAATTTTCAGATAAACCTTACTTTTTAGTTTCAAAAGACGGTAATAAAAGGGATTATCAACCAACTACTTTAATTAATGAACAATCTTACTATGCTGTTGATTTAACTGTTGGTTCATCACCAGTAACTGTTTTATTGGATACTGGATCTTCAGATTTATGGGTTGTCGATGCAAATGCTCAATGTCAAGATAATGCAAATTGTAAAAGTCAAGGTACCTACAGTTTAACTTCCAATGCTCAAGATACTGGTGAGTCTTTCAGTATTCAATATGAAGATGGTTCAGGCGCTCAAGGTGAATATTACTTAGATTCGGTTCAAATTGGTTCAATCACTGTTTCAAATCAACAATTTGCTGATGCAACAACTGCTGGTTCAGATTTTGGTGTTTTAGGAATTGCAAAAACTGCTCAAGAAGCTGGTTCGCAACAATATAATAATTTACCAATTAGTTTAGTTGATCAAGGATATATTTCCAAAAACGCTTATTCATTATATTTGAATTCTCCTGAAGCTTCAAGTGGTTTATTATTATTTGGTGGTGTTGATCATGATAAATATGAAGGTTCATTAACTGCTTTGCCAATTCAAGGTAATGCTTATTTAGCAGTTGAATTAAATTCAATTACAATTGGAGGATCGACTCATTCAGCAAATTCTCAAGTTGTTTTAGATTCAGGTACAACTTTAGCTTACCTACCAAGTGGTTTAGTTAGTGCCATTGGTTCAGCATTAGGTGGTTCTTATTCAAGTTCAATTGGTACTTATATTGTTGATTGTAATTTGAGTGGAAGTTTAACTTATAATTTTAGTGGCGTTTCAATTAATGTTCCTTATTCAGATATTGTCATTGAATTATATTATAATGATGGTTCCTCAAGTGGTCAATGTGGTTTAGGTATTTTAAATGGTGGATCCGGACCTTTCATTTTGGGTGATAATTTCTTAAGAAGTGCTTATGTAGTTTATGATATTACTGATAATGAAATTAGTTTAGCACAAGTCAAATATTCATCAAGTTCAGATATTACGAGCTTATAGATAGATGATTGAGCCTGCAGTTTTCAGTTCTGAAGTTCAAAATAAATGTATATTATTTATAATAATATATAATTCAATTTCTATATATTTTGACTATTATTAAGCACACCAATTTTTTAACTTTAGTGAAAGCAATGAAAATCAGGTTGAGTATCCTTGTTTGAGGATAACCATATATTTTCTACTGTTTGTTTCAAGGTTTCGGGCGTAAATAGAACAGTATACAAAATTGCATATTTCGTTAACATCTACTCAGATCACTCTAATAGCATATGGTGGTCTGATCGGGACCGGACTCTTCGTCAGTATAGGTTCTTTAGGATTAATTTATGGTGGAGCTTTTAATTTGCTACTTGCATATTGTATTTCAACCCTATTTATAATGCTTTTAACAACTGCAGTTGGTGAAATGTTCATTTATATGCCTCAAGACTCTCCTTTTTTGAATATGGGAGGTAGAGTTATTGACCAGGCTTACAAATTTGCAACAAGTATTAACTTTTTTTTAATGCAAAGTATTTATTCCCCTTTTGAAATTGTCTCAGTTTGCAATTTATTGTTGAATTTGACATTAGATAGATGTTCACCACTTTTACCGGACTACCAATAGCTGCACAAATAGTAATTTTTGGTGTAATCAACCTATACGCTGTCAGATGGTTTGGAATCGCTGAATTTTGGTTTACTATAGCTAAAGTTTTATTGGCTATCGGTATAATATTTTTCACATTGATAACACTGTGTGGTGGTAATCCGCAACACGTTGCATTTGGTTTTAGAAATTGGCATGTTGATAGAATAATGGCAGAGATGTATACAACTGGAGCATTATTTGAATCATTTTTGTATGTTTTGAGAAATTCCTCCAGTTTTACCTGTGTTGGACCAGAATATTTGCCGATGGTTGCGGGAGAAACAATAAATCCCAGAAGAACATTAGCAAAAGCATTCAAAAGTATTTTATTCCGATTGGATTGTTGTATGGTGAAGTCACCAATATGACACCCGCAAAAAAAGATACTTGAATTGTAAAATTCAACATATGAGAGGTGCATAGTTTAAGACACCCGGTTTTATAAATTTGGAATTCAATTTGTGAGAATAAATTGTTCATGACTTATACGCCAATACGTTTAGTACCAGTCGCTCTAGGTTTAGAGCGAGGAAAATACTTTGTTAGCACCAAATTCGGGCGAGAATTGACATACTACAACAGATAATATAAGAAACCAAACCTATATAAATTTTGCAACCAAAGTTGATAAAACGTCTATACTTCTTTATAGATGAAGATAAAAAGAAGCGCGTCAACAGGCGAGGTTTTTAGGCCTCAGAATTTCAGTGAATGAGGAACTTTCATGTTTGAAAATGATAACAGGTGAGTGATGATCTGAAAACATCAAACTTTCGAGAGTCGAACAAAAGAGCATAGCTTTGAAATAGTTAAGATTCCTGTATATTTCAAGTCACTGAACTAGGGCAAATTCAAGACACAAAGATCTAGAATGAAACAAGATTTGTTTCACTGCTTTGTTTTAATTGACCAAAACCAATTACATCCCTTTCGAAATCAACGGCAACATACATGTATCTGAACAAAAAAGCACCCAATTGAGGGGTAGAACAGTTCGTAAACGATGTATAACATTGTTCACCTGTTTGACCAGGTGAAACTAAGGATTTCATAGGTAAAGTTAATTCTCTACCATTTATGGAATATTGAAATGTCTTACCTTTTAAAGCAGTACAATTTAATCTATGATGCACCTGATTGTATGCTTGCTCGTCAGGGAACGCAGTGAAAAACTCAGAATATGCTGGATCTGGTATACAACCTCTATCCCAACCAGAATCAACAGTAAATCTTTTATCAATCGTAATATTCTTACCATTGACGATCATATAGTTTCCGCGAGCTCCAATATTTGAACCCTTAATTGATGTCCAACTAAACTCACCATCTAATTTTGCCGCATCATAACCGCCTAAGTGAACTTGACCTGGAAAATCAGAGTCTCCGATATAGAATGAATAAGCTGGTTTACTAATAACACCTTGTTCAAAAGCTGTCCAAGCAACATTTCTTTCTTTTGGGGTCGAATGTCCCATTCCCAATATTCCTTGAAATACATCTTTTGCATAGTTGTCGTCAACAAATGGAAAGTGTTTCAATGATATGTCACCAATTGTAAAGTCATCCGTAACTAATTGACCTGCACGTCTAGCGCTGTAACTACCACCACCATAAGCACTTGTGACGTTCATTTCGAATCTCTGTAGTGTAGTTGATGAATTAGCATCAAAAACACCCCATTTAACACAATTGCCATTGCAAATTATATTTTTATCCGGAATATGAGCATTACTTGAACCAGTGTCAAAGGCAACTAAAATCTTGTCTTTATTTGAACCAACTTCTACTTCAACTGAGTAATAAGCTTCGTGAGTAAGATCAGCAGTCCCAACAAAACCATCTCTCTTTTGATTATTAAGATCTCTTTTCAAATCGAGTGACACCACTTGAAATTGATTATTTATAGCAGTAGCTTCAGACGAAACCAAGTATAAGACTACCAATGTCAATAACATGTAAAACATCTTTTAAAGTTCTGAAAAACTGAACTACGGAAGGTCTTGCATTATTTATACATTTTAGAAAGCAATTCAGTACACGGATTGCAAAACTCCACTACTAAGATAATGGTTATGATATGAAATTAATGTGAAATTATTATTTATACATTTTAGAAAGCAATTCAGTACACGGATTGCAAAACTCCACTACTAAGATAATGGTTATGATATGAAATTAATGTGAAATTATTATTTATACAGTTTGAAAAGCAATTCAGTAGACGGATACTATTATGATAATGGTTATGATATGAAATTAATGTGAAATTAGTGTCATCCTATTGTTCTGAAAGACAATTTAAACAGTCCATAGTGTATCTACCAACAAAACGTGTTTCATTATGTCAAATTTTACAAGATAGTAGTTTCGGGTGGAATACTCTGAAAGAAACTCAAAACTTTACTATTGGGATTAGTTTGTAATATTTTGAACATTATACCTTATTTTTTTGTGTTTGAAAATTATATTCTGTAGCGCTACCCGAACTTTCAACCATTTTATGGAACATTTGTAAATACTTGAACTGATCGCTTCATAGGTCTCTGCTTTCATTCTTTCGAATTAAGGTACATAAAATGGTAATGATAAAAGCATAAGCTCATTACTTTGAACGCTGGCTGAAGTTAAGTTGTTATTGGCAAAATTTTAATCGAAGAACGAAGCGAAGCATCATAATTTGTATATCGTAATACTTTATAAGCATACAGATAACTAGTATCAGCACCATCGGTCACTTTATCAAGCAAAGGAATCTGCAAACATTAAAGGAAATAACCTACAAAATAAAAATCAGTGTCATTTCTCCTATTTTCACCATTCATTCATGGATTATCTAAGGGATGTTATTCGTCTCCTCATCTTGAGGAGCCCTATACTTGAATTTAAATGTAATATATTCTACAAAACGCCAATTCAAACTCCGTTTTAGATTATACGGATATTACCTAAAATGTTCAATAACATTGTTCTTTAAAACGTAAATTTTAAGTGTAAAAATTCATAGGGAATTAATAGTGCATCCATAAATTAATATGTCAGTGAACCCAAAAAATAAGTCGTATCTTTGCAAATACCCGAGCTAATTGTATTTATGGATAAAAGGTTTAAAACAATGGAAATTTAATTTTAATAATTGTTTCCTGAGTCTATTTTTTATTTGGACGTCTGATTTGGCTTTTAAAATAGTGCTTTAGACGTAGACGTACGGAATGCAAATCCTTTTGGCTTAACTACTATAAATTCTATTAGAGTTACCAACACCGTCCAAAAACGAGCTCTTTAACATATATATATGTCAAAATTACATTGTTTAGCTTGACAGCGGTTATGATACATTTACAATTTTGCAGTCAAAATAAGGGATAAACATACAACAATACAAGTTGCTTTTCAAATGACATCAATTCGACTTTCAAGGGATATTCAAAGCCAATTTCAAATATCCAAGGGCTCTATGATTTTCAGGGAGTAATCAAAATCTATAAATGTGGTTGCAAATCTATTTAAAATTTGGTTATCATTAAGCTTCAATCAATTTCATCAACCATGTTCTTAACTAAAGTTTTAGTCTCATTAGTCTTTGTTCTATTAGCTCAAGGTGCTTCAATTAAAAGATCAAATGGTTATATTCAATTACCATTCAAACATTCATACGGTGATCATAAAAATGTTACAAGATTTTCGGATAAACCATACTATGAAATCTCAAGAGATGGTTTAAATAAAAGAGGTACAGATCCAGCTACATTAATTAACGAACAATCTTATTATGCTGTTGATATTACTGTTGGTCAGTCACCAGTTACTGTTTTATTAGACACTGGATCATCAGATTTATGGGTTGTTGATTCAGATGCATACTGTGAATCTAATGCCAATTGTTATAGTTCAGGTACTTATACTTTAACTTCAAATGCTAAAGATACAGGTTATGGATTTAGTATTGGTTATGGTGATGGTTCAGGTGCAGAAGGAGAATTTTACACTGATAATGTTAAAGTTGGTTCAGTTACAGTTAAAAATCAACAATTTGCTGATGCAAGTAATGCTGCTTCAGATTTTGGTGTTTTAGGTATTGCTAAAAAGGCACAAGAAGCTGCTCAACAAGAATATGATAACTTACCTGTTAATTTAGTTAATCAAGGTTATATCTCAAAGAATGCTTATTCATTATACTTAAATTCTGTAGATGCTAAAGATGGTGCTATAATTTTTGGTGGAATTGATCATGATAAATATTCAGGTAATTTAGTTTCATTACCAATTACAACTGACAAATATTTAGCAGTTCATTTAAATTCAATTTTAAATGATGGTTCAACTACTGATACTAATGCTGATGTTGATGTTGTTTTGGATTCAGGTACTACTTTTGTTTATTTACCAACAAATGTAATTCAATCAATTGCATCTGCTTTTAACGCTCAATATTCAAGTGCCTCACAAATTTATGTTGTTGATTGTAATTGGACACAATCAGATAAAACTTTAACTTATAACTTCGACGGTATTTCAATTACTGTCCCATACGCAAATTTAGTTGTTGAGTTACATTACAATGATGGTACTTTTAGTGGTCAATGTGGTATTGGTATTGTTGATGCTGGTAATAAAGGTCCATTTATCTTGGGTGATAACTTCTTAAGAAGCGCCTATGTTGTTTATGATTTAACTGATAATCAAATTAGCTTAGCACAAGTTAAATATAGTGACAGCTCAAATGTTCAAAGTTTATAAATAAGAGTAAGAGTGAATAAAAGTGAATTAAAGTGAATTAAAGTGATTTAGAGTGAATTAAAGTGAATTAGAATGAATATATATTGTTTTGGTGATAATAGAAATTTTTTGTTAGTTAAAAATGCGCTACCCTTTAATTTTGCAGCCAAAATTTTATAAATAAACAGCTGATTTCAGAGATCGGCTTAACCTTGTGTCCCTTGTCTCTCCCTTGTCTTGATCTGACTTCACCTGTTTTTTTTTTACGAATATATTATTAGCTATAGAATATAGAATATAGAATATAGAATAATTTTGCAAAAAAAAAAAAAAAAGTCCAACATTTCTTTAAAACCTAATTACCATAATTTGCAAGCTTTGATAGTAATATACTGTATTACCAAGACTACTTGTCATTAAACGTGTTATCTACGCAACTGTCAAGAAGAAAGTTCTTGAAACTCAATAAACGTGTCAACCAGTTCAACTTTTGATTGAATAAAAAAATCAATATGTTGGATGGTAGCTGCATATTAACTAAAACCTCGTCTTATCTATTAGTTGGCACAATGGATCTAAGAATTTGCCATTGTGTTTAATTCAGTTGGCATTATAAAACCTATTTATAATAAAAATGTTGTATAAATTAAATTATTATTAAATTAATGTTGGGATATCCTGCATATAGTAATTGGATCTTATTGTATTCCAAATTGTGCGATGCAACAGATCAAAAATCCAGCGCTACCAGTTGTGCAAAAACTCCGAGATGTCCAACAAAAAATAATAAAAAACATAACCACGAAGTATCTTGTGATAAAGCAAAAGAGCAAGAGTCCTTGGTATGTAAGATCAAACCAGTGCTAAAACAGAGCATTAACTTGACTCTATGTATAACGGGGGAACAATTGTATCACTTCGGGTACATAAACTCAACATTAACTATAAAAATATTTTGTGCCAACAAATTATAATTTTTTTTTTTTTGTAAAACGGTTTACAATATTTTTGTTTTTCACAACAAATTTGTTAGATTTAGGGTTAAGACAAAATATTACGGGTAGTAACAAAATTGTAACTATAAGTGAAGAATTTTTATCAATTCTTTTATATAAAACCATTTTGATTTCCTTTTTGATTTCCTTTTTGATTTCCTTTTTGTTTTTTTTACAATTTTTTTCATTAGTCGTCAACCAATCTATCTTTTATTCATTATTTATTAATTTTCGCACGGGTCATCATATATATTTAATATCCACATGTCAACGCATAGACCTTTTCAAATATCTCATGGTTCAATTGAACATACTTTTTTAGTTCCAAATGAATTATATTCAAATTATTCACAATTAAAAGACGAATTTAGAAAAAGTTTGCCAATACCTACGGAAGATTATGCAGATGATGATGAGCCTTCCAATTCAATTGAATTATATGGTAAATTTTTAGGATTCCTTAAAAAACAAAAGAATATAAATAAAGAAATTATAGATTTATGTTTAAATGATTTTGAATCGAGATTTTTACAAGATAATATTCATTCGTTAAATTTTGAATCTTCTTTATACAAGAAAAAAGATTTGATAAAAAATTATTATTTAGTGAAAGGTTTTAGTAATAATGAAATTAAATCGAGTTTATTTAATAACGAAAACGTCATAATTGCAAGTATATTTGGTGGTCAAGGTAATACAGATGATTATTTCGATGAATTAAGAGAACTTTATAAATTATATCCAATTTCAGACATTATAATACCAATTATTGAAAAATTAAACTCTTTTTTGCAAGATCCAATTTTTGATAAAATTTATACTCAAGGTTTAGATATTTTAAGTTGGTTAAAAAATCCCGAAACTACACCAGATCAAGATTATTTATTATCTGTACCGGTAAGTTGTCCAATTATTTGTATAATTCAATTATGTCATTATGCAATTACTTGTAAAATCTTGAATAAAACACCTGGAGAATTTAGAAAATTAAATAAATGGTCAACTGGTCATTCACAAGGTTTAATTACTGCTGTTGCAATTGCTTCATCAGATTCTTGGGAAACTTTTATTGAAAATGCTATAAATGCTTGTACTTTATTATTTTTTATTGGTTCAAGAAGTTTAACTGTTTATCCAAGAACTACTTTACCACCAACAATGTTACAAGATTCTTTGAATAATGGTGAAGGTAGACCAAGTCCAATGTTATCAGTACGTGATTTATCAATAAAACAAGTTGAAACATTTATAAATCAAACAAACTCTCATTTACCAAAAGAGAAACATATTGCAATAAGTTTAATTAATGGTGCAAGAAATTTAGTCATAAGTGGTCCACCAGAATCTTTATATGGTTTTAATTTAAATTTAAGAAATAAAAAAGCATCAAATGGTTTAGATCAACTGAGAATACCATTTAGTGAACGTAAATTAAAATGTTCAAATAGATTTTTACCGATTTTTTCACCATTCCATTCTCATTTATTAAAAGATGCAACTGAGTTAATAATGAATGATGTTGAAAATATAAAATTTGATTTAAAAATACCCGTTTATGATACTTTTAATGGTGAAAATTTACAAGATTCAAATGTGTTAGTACATAGATTAATTGAATTAATTACTGAATTACCAGTTCATTGGGAAATCGCAACAAATCATAAAGCAACTCATATAATTGATTTTGGTCCAGGTGGTGTTTCAGGTTTGGGTGTTTTAACTCATAGAAATAAAGAAGGTACTGGTTCAAGAATTATATTAGCTGGTGCAATTGATTCTAATGCAATTGATGATGAATATGGTTTTAAACATGAATTATTTTCAAATACACCAATAAAATGGGCAACAAATTGGTTAAAAGAATATAAACCAACTTTAATTAAATCACAAGGTAAAATTTTTGTAAATACCAAATTTTCACAATTATTAGGTAGAGCTCCATTAATGATTCCTGGTATGACTCCAACTACTGTTAATACAGATATAATAATTGCTGCAACAAATGCTGGTTATCATATTGAATTAGCTGGTGGTGGTTATTTTACAGGCCCAATGATGAGTGAAGCAGTTGAAAAGATTACCAAAGAAATTAAACCTGGTTATTCATTTGGTATTAATTTAATTTATGTTAATCCAAGAATGTTACAATGGGGTATTCCATTGATTAAAGAATTAAGAGAAAAAGGTTATCCAATTCAATCCTTAACAATTGGTGCTGGAGTTCCATCATTAGAAGTTGCAACTGAATATATTGAAGAATTAGGTTTAACTCATTTAGGTTTAAAACCAGGTTCAATTGATTCAATAAGTCAAGTTATTCAAATTGCTAAACAACATCCAAATTTCCCAATTGTTTTACAATGGACTGGTGGTAGAGGTGGTGGTCATCATTCATTTGAAGATTTCCATCAACCAATTTTACAAATGTATTCAAAAATTAGAAGATGTTCAAACATTATTTTAATTGCAGGTTCTGGTTTTGGTTCAGATGAAGATACTTATCCATATTTAACTGGTAAATGGTCAGAAAATTATAATTATCCACCAATGCCTTATGATGGTGTTTTATTTGGTTCAAGAATTATGACTGCAAAAGAAGCTCATACATCATTGGAAGCTAAAAAATTAATTGTTAAATCAGCTGGTGTACCTGATTCACAATGGGAACAAACTTATAAAAAACCAACTGGTGGTATTATAACTGTTAGATCAGAAATGGGTGAACCAATTCATAAAATTGCTACTAGAGGTGTTATGTTTTGGAAAGAATTAGATGATACTATTTTCAATTTACCAAAGAATAAATTGTTGGAAGCATTAACCAAAAAGAAAGATTATATTATTGAAAAATTGAATAAAGATTCTCAAAAACCATGGTTTGGTTTAAATTCTCAAGGTGCTTGTGATTTACAAGATATGACTTATGAAGAAGTTGCAAATAGATTATTACAATTATTGTACAGAAAAAGATGGATTGATAAATCTTATCAAAACTTATATGGTGATTATTTAAGAAGAGTTGAAGAAAGATTTACAAAAGAATCTGTCAGTTTTATCCAAAATTATAAATTTGATGAACCACAAGAATTTACCAACAATTTCTTTGATAAATTCCCATTAGCTAAACAACAATTAATTTCAGAACAAGATTGTGATTACTTTTTAATCCTTTGTCAAAGAATTACTCAAAAACCAGTTCCATTTGTTCCAATTTTAGATGAAAGATTTGAATTTTTCTTTAAAAAAGATTCATTATGGCAATCGGAAAACTTGTGGTCAGTTATTGATGAAGATGTCCAAAGAACATGCATCTTACATGGTCCAGTTGCATGTCAATTTACAAATAAAGTTGATGAACCAATCGGTGAAATCTTAGATAATGTCCATCAAGGTCATATTAATAGATTAATTGAAGATGAATATAATGGTGATGAAACTAAAATTCCAACGGTTGAATATTTTGGTATTAAACCAAAAGAATTACCAATTGATAATGTTAAAGTTATTGAAAATGGTTTTGAAATTGAATCTAAATTACCTTCAAAAGAAGCTTGGTTACAATTATTAGCTGGTTGTGAATCAAATTGGTTACAAGCTTTTATTTTAACAAATAGAATTGTTCAAGGTAAAAAACATGTTGCTAATCCTTTACATGATATTTTAGCTCCAACTCCAAATTCAAAAGTTATTATCAATGAATCATTAACTGTTTATGAAAATACTAAAGGTGAATTATTACCATCAGTTGAAATTAAATTAGTCAAATCAGATTTAATTCAATTATCATTAATTGAACATAGATCAGTTGATGGTACCGTTTCACTACCATTCTTATATAAATATAATCCATCAGACGGTTTTGCACCAATTTTGGAAGTTATGGAAGATAGAAATGAAAGAATTAAACAATTTTATTGGAAATTATGGTTTGGTACTTCAATTCCATATGATAATGAAATCAATGTTCAAGAACAAATTATTGGTGACGAAATACAAATTACTTCAAAAGATATTTCAGAATTTACTCATGCAATCGGTAATAAATGTGAAGCATTTGTTTCAAGACCAGGTAAATTAACTTTAGCACCAATGGATTTTGCAATTGTTATTGGTTGGAAAGCTATTATCAAAGCTATTTTCCCAAAAACTGTTGACGGCGATTTATTAAAATTAGTTCATTTATCAAATGGTTATAAAATGATTCCAGGTGCTGCACCATTGAAGAAAGATGATGTTGTTTCAACCAAAGCTGAAATCAAAGCTGTTGTAAATCAACCAAGTGGTAAATTAGTTGAAGTTGTTGGTACAATTTATAGAGAAGGTAAACCAGTTATGGATGTTACTTCTCAATTTTTATACCGTGGTGATTATACTGATTATGAGAATACTTTCCAAAAAATTACTGAAGTTCCATATCAAGTTGCATTCAAATCAAATAAAGATTTAGCTATATTAAGATCAAAAGAATGGTTCCATTTAGAAAAAGATGTTCCATTTGATTTGTTAACTTTCAGATGTGAATCAATTTACAGATTTAGATCAGCAAATGTTTATTCATCAATTAAAACTAAAGGTAAAGTATTTTTAGAATTACCAACAAAAGAAGTTGTTCAAATTGGTTCAATTAATTATGAAGCTGGTGTTTCATATGGTAATCCAGTTATTGATTATTTATCAAGAAATGGTAAAACAATTGAAGAAGCAGTTACCTTTGAAAATGCAATTCCAATTTCAAATGGTGAAGAATTATCATCAAAAGCTCCAGGTACAAATGAACCATATGCAATTGTTTCAGGTGATTATAATCCAATTCATGTTTCAAGAGTATTTGCTGCATATGCTAAATTACCAGGTACTATAACTCATGGAATGTATTCATCAGCATCAATTAGATCATTAGTTGAAGAATGGGCTGCAAATAACGTTGCTTCAAGAGTTAGAGCTTTTAAATGTGATTTTGTTGGTATGGTTTTGCCAAATGATACTTTACAAACAACAATGGAACATGTTGGTATGATTAATGGTAGAAAAATTATTAAAGTTGCATCTAAAAAAGGTGATCAAACTGTTTTAGTTGGTGAAGCTGAAATTGAACAACCGATTACTACTTATGTTTTCACTGGTCAAGGTTCACAAGAACAAGGTATGGGTATGGATTTATATAATTCATCAGAAGTTGCAAAACAAGTTTGGGATAAAGCTGATAAACATTTTGTTAATAATTATGGTTTTTCAATTTTAGATATTGTTCAAAATAATCCAAATGAATTAACTATATATTTCGGTGGTGCAAAAGGTAGATTAATTAGAGATAATTATATTGGTATGATGTTTGAGACTATTGGTCCAAATGGTGAATTGAAAAGTGAAAAAATTTTCAAAGATATTGATGAATCAACAACAAGTTATACATTTGTTTCACCAACCGGTTTATTATCAGCTACACAATTTACTCAACCTGCTTTAACATTAATGGAAAAAGCTGCATATGAAGATATTAAATCAAAAGGTTTAATTCCATCAGATATAATGTTTGCCGGTCATTCATTAGGTGAATATTCGGCATTATCATCATTAGCAAATGTTATGCCGATTGAATCATTAGTTGATGTTGTTTTTTATAGAGGTATGACTATGCAAGTTGCAGTTCCAAGAGATGAATTAGGTAGATCAAATTATGGTATGTGTGCTATAAATCCATCAAGAGTTTCTACTACATTCGATGATGCTGCTTTAAGATTTGTTGTTGATGAAGTTGCAAGTAGAACTAAATGGTTATTGGAAATTGTTAATTATAATGTTGAAAATCAACAATATGTTGCTGCTGGTGATTTACGTGCATTAGATTCATTAACAAATGTATTGAATGTTTTAAAAATTAATAAAATCGATATTGTTAAATTACAAGAAAAATTATCAATTGAACAAGTTCAAGAACATTTATATGAAATAATAGATGAAGTTTCTAAAAAATCATTGGCAAAACCACAACCAATAGAATTAGAAAGAGGTTTTGCTGTTATTCCATTAAAAGGTATTTCAGTTCCATTCCATTCATCATATTTAATGTCCGGTGTTAAACCATTCCAAAGATTTTTATGTAAGAAAATTCCAAAATCATCGGTTAAACCACAAGATTTAATTGGTAAATATATTCCAAATTTAACTGCAAAACCATTTGAACTAACAAAAGAATATTTCCAAGATGTTTATAATTTAACAAAATCAGAAAAGATTAAAAATATAATTGATAATTGGGAATCATACAATAAATAGATTATATAAATAGTAATAGATATAGATAATGTGAATTACGATTTCTCTTAACTAACTGTATTTAAAATAAAAACAATTCGAACGGCGAAATTATTAGCCTCAAGTCAAAAAAAAAATGCGTTGGGTGAAAAATTAAACGCGTAAATTTAGCACGGCTCTTTTGTTTGATGTGTTATGGTTTGGATACTTATAATTCTAATTGAGAACGTGTTTAGATGGTTAGTAAATATCACGTAAATAGAAGTGGTTTTCAGCTTTTTCTGCATCATCATAATCATGATTTATAACTTCATATTACTAGCAACTAGTATAGCAGCAGCGTCAATCCCCGCTGGTTTCAGTTTCTGCTCCTCAGATGGTATCAAAGATGCGTTACCAGACGTTTTAGGTGTCCAATTTGATCAAAATTCAATTTCTGCTTCAATTGCAAATGCGACTGTTGGCATCCCATATTGTAATGTGTCTTTATCATATTCACATCCAGGTAAAAACGACATCATTAATTTAAAATATGCTTTTCCTTCAACTACATCATTCAAGAATAGATATTATAGTGCTGGTGGTGGTGGATATACATTAAATCAAGATCCAACTGGTGGATTAAAATATGGTGCCGGTTCAGGAGCTACAGATGCTGGTTATGATGCATTTCATTATTCGTTTGATGAACAAGTCTTATTTGGAAATGGAAGTATTAATTGGGATGGAATATATATGTTTGGATATCAAGCATTAGGTGAGTTAACTAAAATTGGAAAAGGAATAACTAAGAATTTGTACTCCATGAATGATGATAAGTTATATACTTATTTCGAAGGATGTAAGTAATCGCAATTTAAATTGTGGTGTAATCTACTAACATTTTAGGCTCCGATGGTGGAAGAGAAGGTATGTCACAAGCTCAAGTTTATGGAGAAGAATACGATGGTATTGTCTCTGGTGCGCCTGCTTTTAGATACGCTCAACAGCAAGTCATTCATTTGTTTCCTGCTCAAGTTGAAAAAACATTAGGTTATAATCCACCACCTTGTGAATTAGCCAAAATTGTTAATGCTACAATTGATGCTTGTGATAAGTTAGATGGTAGAGTAGATGGAGTCATTTCTAGATCTGATTTATGTATGTTACAATTTGATTTAGATTTAATTATAGGTGAACCTTATTACTGTGCTGCTCAAACTTCAACTTCTTTGGGATTTGGATTTGGTAAAAGAAATGAAGGATCAACTACTCAAATCACACCAGAACAAAATGGTACTGTATCAAAAGAAGGTGTAGCTGTTGCAAAGGCAATAAATAATGGATTGTTTAATTCCAAAGGTCAAAGAGGTTATTTATCATGGCAGATTGGTTCTTCATTCAGTGATGCCGAAACTACATATAATCATACTACTGATTCTTGGAATTATCCAATTATTTCGTTAGGTGGTACATTTGTTGCCAAATTTGTTGAGTTATTAAACATAGATAATATTACTGAATTACCTGATTCTTATGAAGTTTTAATTGATTGGATGGATATTGCTTATAATCGTTATTTAGATTCATTACAAACTACTAATCCAGATTTAACTAAATTTCAATCTCATGGAGGTAAATTATTACATTATCATGGTGAAAATGATCCTAGTGTTCCTGCTGCTTCATCAGTTCATTATTGGCAATCAGTAAGAGACATAATGTATGGAAATTATACATGGGACGAAAGTTTAGAGCAATTAAATGAATGGTATCAATTTTATCTTATTCCTGGAGCTAGTCATTGTGCTGCTAATGATTTACAACCTGGTCCATATCCAAAATCGAACGTGGAGATAATTATTAATTGGGTTGAAAATGGTATCAAACCTAGTGGTTTAAATACAGTCACTACTTCTGGTCCGTTTTCAGGAGAAGAACAAAATTTATGTATGTGGCCTGATAGACCATATTGGACCAGTCATAATAACTTCACTTGTGAATTCGATCAAGCTTCTTATGATAGTTGGACTTACACATTTGATGCTTTCAAAGTTCCAATTTATTAGAGTGCCATTTCAATTTCGGTTTTCATTAATGAATATATATTAATCTCTATAATCCAGATATCAATGGACTTGAAATATTAACAGGTGTGAATTGCTTTGGTAAAGAAACTCTTGAAAATCTTGATTTAAGTCTTTGAGTAACCAAATCCATATCTAAATGTCTAGTTAAACTTAATCTTGGAATACATCCAATATAATGATCATCATCCAATTGAACATCCAAAGGATCTTGTGTATGACATCCAGGACTCAATGATAATCTAATTGAATGTTTTTTACCTGTCGGTGATGTTGGTTCATCAGCTTCATATAATTCAAATACAATTTGTGATAGATAATCTAATTCAGGTAATGCATTTCTTGCAATTTTCATAGGTAATTGAGAACCGTAAATGACATTCAACAATGTATAAATATGTGACTCTTTAGTAAAATAATTTACAACTGATGGTGAACTTGCATTTTTCTTCATATCTTGTATATCTGAAAGTATTTGCTTTGCTAATGGTAATGATGTTAATAAACCAATATCTAATTTTTCTTCATCTTTAATTCCATATTCTTGTGGACATATAAAATCAAATAAAACTTTTGATAACCTATATAATTCTCTTAATCTAGCATATGTTGGATGATCAAATGGATTTGAAGATTGTTTTGGATTAGCTGTTGTTTCTGTTTCCGTAGTACCTTTAGATAATACCCAACCTAATGAACCAGCAGATGCAGATGTTGAATTTCTCTTTTCTGAATCTGGAATTCTAAAATTATTCATTGCAAGTATATTTATTGGATATTCATTTACCAAACCTGATGAATTTACAGTCTCACCACATTGAGATCTCAATTTTTCCAATAATTGTTCATCATTTGGGTCAAATGAAAATATCTTTTTAAGGAACTGTCTATTATGTAAAGCATCATATTTCATCGTATCATATAATTCTGAAATTTTAGAAGGATGAGTTTTTTCAACACTTATAAATTCTTGAAATAATTTATCCCATCTTTCTTTAAATAAAAATGGATCTTCTCCACAACACCAATTTGTTTGAAATTCTTGAACATTTTTAGTCTCAAAATTATATTGCATAATTTTTGAATGAAAATTCATTAACTCACAAACTCGTTTAATAACTTCAAATGGTTGAGGCATTTTAGGAGGCCATGTAAACTGTGGTGGTGCTCCTGCTCCTTGTCTAAGTAAAGGTTTTAATTTCTTTTTAACCTTGTCCATTAAATCTTTCGCCGCATTTGAATCATCTAATAAATCTTTACGTACAATCAAAAAATCATCTGGTAATTCTTTGCATTCTAATAATGAACTTGTGAAATATTGTGCTGAGGTAATAACTCTTCTTTCTGAGGATGTATATACTTTAACATCATTTAATGCTTCCCTATTTAATAATTTCAAATTTTGACGTAATTGTTCACCAACATCTGTAGCTTGATGTTTTGCAGAATGTGTAGGTTCACCACCCCATTTTAGTATCAATTGTACTTTATCTACTGTTTCTGGATTTTCTGAATTCAATGAAGGTTTAATTTGGATCTTTGTACCTGGAAAATTCATCTTCTTTTCCAATGCAATACGTAATTGTTTTAATTTTTTCAAATCTTCCAATTTCTTTTCTTCAGCAATTTTAACAGTTTCAAGGACTACTTGTAAATCAGGTACCGCTCTAATTATAACTTCTTCAGTATGACCTTTTAATAAACTTATAAATAATGGAGATCTAAATGAATATTTAAATTTTTGTTTAGGTGTACGATCAGCATGTCTAATTACAGAAACCATACCTTTAAAAACCCATTTTTGTTCCTTTTCTTCAAATTGAGACTTGTTATGTAACATTTTAGGTATTCTAGTTTTTAGTAAATCTCTAGACTTTTTAGCTTGTATAAATAAATCTCTTAGGATATGTGCACATGAATCATAATATTCATTATTATCCTTCACAAATGAAAATCCATTAACATCAATAACATAAGATTTTCCATTTACTCTTAATAAATCAAATCCACAAATTGTTTGTTTAAATGCTGCACTTACATTTTTAGCCATTAATTTTTCTTCATCACTTAGATCTGTAATATATCTAATTTCTTTACCATGAGTATTTCTTCTAACAATCCCATCAACAACTGGTGATTTTCTAGTTTCTGCATGACAGAAATTTGGACCAACTGTATATGCTTTTACATCCTCAAAATTATCAGTGTCCATGAATTTTTCATAAATAAAAGAACCATCAGTTCTTGGTTCGTTTAAATTTGGATCAAATTCAGATGATTTATTTCCTATTTTTCTAAATAATCTTCTTCCACCACCACCGGTTTCTTTTGGATAATATATATATACATTGTGATCTTCACCATCGACTGGTTTTTCAACAAATGGTTTTTTAATAATTTTATCACTAACTTTTAAAGTATCATAATCTGGCATTGACCAATCAGGTTCATCCTGGTTTGTCAATTTATACAATTTTTCATCACTCATTCCTATTTCTTTTAACCTATCCATTAATTGATTTTCAATTTGAGGACCACCATCTCTACTAATTTCAATTCTTTCTGGTGTTGGAACATTTGCATGATTTAAAACTGCTAAAACTACTCTTCTATCCCATAAACCTTTTTGAAATACTAAATCATTAATAATAAATGGTTTTCTATAATTTACATAACTTATAGCTTTATTTAGTGGGAACCCAGTTGAAAAAAAACTAATTAAAAAATCACAAGTTGGCCAATTTTCAATTTGTTCATCTAATATAACCTTATCACCAAATATAATAGTCTCAAATTCTCCGTTTTCAATCAATCTGTTCAAAATTCTTCTACATGGTTTTGATAAAACTTTTGCATCCATGGCACAAACACCAATTTTTCCAATTTTGGGTAATTTAGGCTTTTCAATGACCTCTTTTGGAATGCTAATACTCTTTTTTGAAGCTGTTGAAGTATTAGATAAAGTTTTATTTAATTTTTGACCGATATCTGACGAATGTGATGATGATTTATGAACATTTAAATTATCAATAGTTAATTCATCTAATTCGTCAAATGCTTCTAGCTCACCAGGTGGTGAGCTACTAATAGAATTCAATCTTGATGCAGAATCTTCAGCTGATGTCTTTGGTGTATAATTATCTAATAATGGAGCTATTGAAGCAATTGCCTTTTCAGTAGCTGGGGTGGGTAAAGTATGAGATATTGATTTTGATAAACTAGCAGTGTCTTGCAAAGATAAACTTAATGGTGACATAGGTTGACTTTTAGTTCTCTCCTTATTACCACCATTTTCAGTACCAGGTATTGGTAATGAATTTGACATATTGACAACTTCTATTGCATAGAAATCTAAAATTTAAAACGTGTAGAAATCAAAATATTGCAACAATTATCGCTACCAAGTGTCTTATAAATATTTATGTATTAATATTATGCCTAAAGAATCCAATAAAAAACTATACAATTTATATATATATATCAAACCTATTAAAAGAATATTTATTAATCAATGCATTATCTCGTTATCATGTTGTTTATCTAGAATTGAAAATTTTGTTGTTGATTTGAATCCATACCAAAACCAAATGCATTTCCATAACTTTCTGGTACGATATTTTCATCATCAATTTGATCATCATCTTCATTAAAATATTTTTCAATTATATGATAAGCTTTTTGATAAATTTTATCATTTGCATTGTTTTGACATTCAAAAATTTTTTCCATACCACCTGCTTCTTCAATATATAAAGCATTTTCATTAACATTTGAATTTCTTGCTTCTTTATCCATTTCACCCATTTTTAAAATATTTTCTAAAGAATCTAAAGTAACTTCAATAATTTTTGAATCAGCAACTGATAATAAATCACATAAAGGTTTTATACAACCTTGAGAAACCAAATATCTAATTTGTTCAGGTTTTGTTAAACCACCAGATGAAGCATTTGATATTGCCCAACATGCTTCTTTTTTAGTTTTATAATCACCATGAACTAGTAATCTAATAACTTGAGGAATTAAATTTGCATCAATAACTGCTTGAATTTGATCAGTAGTACCAGCAGTAATATTCGAAATTGTCCAACAAGCTTCTTTTCGAATTGTATCTTTTGGTGAATTTAATAATGGAGCTAAAGCAGGTAAAACACCAGCATTCAAAACAATTTGAGTTTGTAAATCAGAACCAGTTACAATATTACCAATAGCTCTTAAAGCAGGAGTTTGTACTAATGTTGATTCATGACCTAATAATTCAACTAATCTATGAGGAATTCTTGCATCAACAACAGCTTGAATTGCTTCACTTGTACCATCAGATAAATAAGAAACAGCCCAACATGCATCAACTAAAGTTTCTGAATCAACAGAATAAATTAATTTTGCTAAAGTTGGAATTGCTTGTGAAACAATTTGCCAATCTGGTGGTGGCAGTTTACCTCTACATAAATTTGATAAAGTCCAAGTTGCAGTTCTAATTAACGACATTTTTGTACAATTAAAAAGGCCCAAAACTGGTTCCATTGCATTACAACCTAAAACATAATCTCTATTATCAGAAGAATCACCTGCAACATTACCTAAAGCCCAAATTGCTTGTTCTTTAACTTCTAAAGATTGTGAATATAATAATTGAACAAATAAAGGTACGGCGTTTGCTTCAACAACAACTCTAGTTTGATTTGAATTACCAGAAGCAATATTAGTTAATGCCCAAGCAGCTTCCAATTGTAACATATCAGGATGAGAATCTTTCATAAATTCAACTAAAGTTGGTATTACTCCAGATTGAATAACTAAATCAATTGGAGGATTATGTTCTCTTGATAAAATTTGTCTAAATTTAACTGTAGCTGCTAATTGAGAATCAAAATCTTGAGCATGAATCAATTCAATCATTTTTGGTAATTCTGTTTGTAATCTATTATAAAATTGTGATTCATCATTATTAACATTTAAATTATATTCATCTTCATCTTCTGAATCATTTGTAGTTGAATCGTGATGAAAATTTCTTCTTTTAGCTAAAACTTCTTCTCTTTTCTGTTTTCTCAAATCAACTTGATGAGTTTCTCTTCTTCTTCTTAATTCATCTGTTTGAAATCTACCTTTATTTTTAAAATTAGTTCTACGATATTCAGGTATAAATCTATTAGTAGCATCAGAATCCATGATAATTTGACCTTATACTTTAACAAACTATGGATGATGTTGATAGAGAAGATTTTTTTTTTTTTTTTCTGGTTGGTAAAATTGCAAATCATCATCAACCACAACCAAGTAATGATTAGATTGATACGACAAAGACAATTGATACTACCATCTAGATTAATAGTAAGATACAGTTCAAGTAGTTCATTAAAATCAACTGATTCTCAAATTACGACTGATGAAATTTTATCTGAAAATAATCCATGGTCTCCCTCTTTAGAAGATGATCCAGTTTATATTTATGAACCAAATAATATAAGAAGAACCAAATTGCCAGATAATTATAGATTATCATATAATGAACTATATGAGTCACCATCTTATAAACATGTGTCTATTATGAAGAGATTTACATTAAGTTTTTCAGTTATTGGGTTATACGGGGGTAAATTATTATATGAATCACCACAATTTGATAATTTATATTCTTATTTAATGGTTATTGGTACTTTATTACCTGCTGTTTTAGTACAATATAAATCAAGAGATTATGTTACAAGAATATTTAGATTATATGATAAATCTAAACCACAAACTTATGAAAATTTAGTCAATGATGAACAATTGATAATTGAAAAATTGAGTTTCTGGGGTTCAAAGACATATAACGAATTATTAAAATTAACAGACAATAAAAATATAAAGATTGATAATGATAATAAGTGGTATAAACCTTATTCTACATGGATTGAAAAAACTCCAAAGTGGGCGAGAAAATTCTATGTTGTTGATAATATTGGTGGGATGAAAATGGATAGAGTTTGGGGCTTAATAGAGAAGGATAGTGGAATAAATAATGGTAGATAGGTCAGGTCTTGTAAATATATGGTAAATATATGGTAAATAGATGGTGAATACAGAATGATGGAATTAACGCTTTCAAGAAGTATTTAAAGTATGCGAAAGCTTCATAAGATATTGGTTTAACTCGATTCAGCTTTTTAATACACATGGTTTAATTTCTTAATACCATTAATTATAATAAAAGAGTCATTAAATATCGAACCAGGTTATTGCCAAATTTCTGAAAAATTATAAAATATTCATGTTGCATTAAGCGGTAATCATAAAAATACTGCGTTTTGATTGGCCAAAATGAAAATACCCCCATGAAAAGAAGATTGATCAAAATAAAGAACCAACTCCAGCAGTAGAAGAACATGTATGCAACAAAACAATTGTTTGAACATTTAATAACATTTATTGATTATCCGTAGACCACCACATCGCTTCATCCTCTTCGGTTGAACCATCTCTCGTTGTAAAGTAGTACCATGATAGATTGGACGCGCGGCTTTTCCATTTTTAAATTTTTCGATCTTCGGTCAAAAGATACCAAATATTATAATTCAATTTATAATCAGCAACAGAACAAGCTATATTTTCTACAACTACAATGGTATTAGAGAAAGGAGAAGCAATACTACCGCCTCACATTAAACAAGAAAAAAGCACAGAAGAAGAAGAAGAAGAAGAAGAAACAGAAACACAAAAAAACACAAGATTCAACTCAAATCTATACAATCAATCAACAGAATCAATAAATTTATATAAATTAGAAAATGACAGTAGTGACCTACTTGGTAGATTATACTATGATGATTATGACTCCTCAACTGCACTCAACTCTCCAATGGCATCAACTTCAACATCACCAATGTTATCACCTGTCCAAGATGATGAATTCCATTTCACTCCAATACAACAAGAAGCTCGTCCATTCACTCCAATACAACAAGAAGCTCGTCCATTCATTCCAATACAACACGAAAGACCAAATATGCCTAGATTGAAATCCTTCGAACGTGGAATATCATTCGACACTACTCCACATGGAACATCAAAATCACTCACCCTAAAAGTCAAATCACCAAATTTTAAATTTAGGAGAAATAATAAAACTTGGTTGGTTGGATATAATAATGATTTTGAATCTCAGAAGGCAATTGAATGGTTGTTTGATGAGATGGTCATAAATGGAGACACAATAATAATATTGCAAGTACTTGATTCAAGATACCACACTACCATTGAAAAGCTCAAAGGTGAATCAAATCTTGAGTTGTTTGAAAGGTTGAATGTGCATAATAAGAAAGTATCACTAATATTTGAAATAGTAGTAGGTAAAGCACTCAAGAATCTAAAAAAGGCAATTTCTGAATATAATCCAAGCATGATGGTCATAGGAACACATCACTTCAAAGAGAAAGAAAGAAAATTCATGAATTCAAGCTTATCTAAACACTTTCTAGAATGTGCTTTAGTCCCAGTCATAATAGTAAAACCAAATTATAAATATATCGAATATTTGAATAAACCAATTGATAAAGACACCTATTTTGAAACATGGGTTAAAAAAATTGGTGAATTGAACCATGATGAAGTTGTTACAAGACATAAACGATCCGGGTTTTTGAGTCCTAACCTTTCTAGAAACAGTTCATATACAAATTTAGTCCAAGAAGAAAGAGGTAGAAAAAATGGTCTTGAGTTATTGAAAGTTAATGAGCCAAGGTCCAGATCAACTAGCAAATCAAGGTTTAGTAGATTTTTCAAAGGCTAGAATTGTTGTGTATATTGTTAGCCTAACTGATAAAGTTGGAAAGTTTAAAGCTTAAATATTTTAAGTTTTGAAACATGAAACGTAAAACGTGGGGGCAGTTTTTCAAAAAAGCAAATGCTCAAAATCAGAACGACCAAACAGGTTTTCGTCTTACAACATTGATATTAGTTTGTAAGACCATTAGTCAGACTAACTTTGTGTTTATGGACGCCACTCCTTGATGAATTTTACTAGTATGGTCTTATAAAAAGCTTAATCGATATTACGAGATCTTAATCCATATCAAAGACGTTTTATTGTTTTAAATCATACACAAAAGTGACCTAATCTACAACGGATATCTCACTGCTTATACTCTCGAGGGCTATAACTCTCAAAATTCCTTCTTATGAACTCCAAGCGAAGCGGCCCTCTTGTATATAATTTTGCTGCATAAATTATTTGGTAGCAATTTATATATATTTATTTATACCGGATAAATTTTCATTTTTAATGTTACACATCATCAACAACTAAAAAGTCAGTTTTACGTTATCAGCTATATAATTCGCTTTATCATTCTGTTAGTTATTAATTTATACTATCTACCATGGCTTCAAGAAGAACAATAGGAAACCCATATATTATCATGATAAATCTTGCTTCGATTTTAATTGGGTTGTATGGAATTTATACTAATATATTATCGATTGAATTACCTAGCCATTTAGCAAACGCGGGCCATTGGCAATTTCTCACAAACTTATCATTAGCATATAGTATGATTGTATTCACCTTGGGATTAATTTCACACACATTTAAAATTGAATGGTTATACAACGTCAAAAACATATTACATCCAATTGCATTAGCTTTAGAATTCATAGTTGCAATAGTCTACTGGCCATTGCGTATATTTTTCCTCCATTTATTGACTTCCAAACCCAAAGATTTTAATATTCCAATAAGAACTGATTTATCAATCCATCTCATGCCTGTTATTTCCTTATTGATTGATTACTTAATATTTATGCCACGTTGGACAATCAAGAATTCAACAGCATTGTACTTGATTGTGAGTTTAACTACTTTCTATTGGTTTTTGTTGAAACATTTGATTGATGTTGATAGTGGTGCTAAATATCCTTATGCTTTCATGGACGTTGAGAATGATTCTGAAAGGGTAGTTATATTTGGCGTTGTTGCATTAGTTGCATTTAGTCAATTTTTATTCATGAAGGAATTATATGATTTCATTGTAAGAAAGACTGAAAGGGTTGATGATGAAATAGATAAGAAAATAGATTGAGGAATATATGGAAGATTATAGATTATGATTTATTCGTAGTGATTTTAAAGTACTATTTGTTATATGACGAAATCTTGATGATCCAATTGGAGTACCTCCATACCATCTCGTTACAATAACTAAAATATTAACAAGATCATGTTTAACTAAAATATCTAGTATTCTTGAGCCACCTCCTTTTTCTCCATTATCTTTAAATCCTTGATCTATATTACCTTGAGTATTTGTTGCACACCTCCAAGCAATAATATGAGGATGACTAGCACGTTGAATTGATTTATGTTCAATTAAGAACTCATGTAGTATATTCGGAATTTCTTCCGTTGTCTTTATTTCTACATTTCTAGCCTGAAATTTACTCTTTTTATCTATTATTAACTCTGAAGCATTCCATGATCTAAACCTTGTCCATGTTTTATTCATTTGGCACCCAAAATATTGAACTGAAATTTATAGGAAGTGCACCTTGTTCAAAAAAAAATAATTTTTCACTTTTATTATTCAAGACATATTGATTATGATTTACCTTAAAACATTATTAAATGTGATAGATAATAGTGGTGCTCAAGTAGTTGAATGTATAAAAGTACTTCGTCATAAACCAAAATCATTTGGTAAAATAGGTGATCAAATAACATGTGTTGTAAAACAAGCAAGACCACAATTAGATTCATTTCAAAATACTCAATCAAATAAAGTTAAACGAAGAGATATTGTTAGAGGAGTAATAGTTAGACAAAAAGCACCATTTAGAAGAAAAGATGGAAGTGTTGTAAGATTTGATGATAATGCAGTTGTATTAATTAATAAAAACGGTGATCCATTGGGGACTAGAATATCATCAGTTGTAGCTAAAGAATTGAAAGAATTAAATTATAATAAAATAGTATCATTGGCTCCAAAGACATTTTAAACTTGTACATATATATATTAAGTAAATGAATGAATTAAATACATTAATTAATTGATTTTTGAAATCTGAAATCTGGATGAGACAATTGTAAATTTATGGAGTCTTTTTTTTTTTTTCATTTATTGATTTGAGATGTGATTGTAATGGTCATCATCAATCTTATTCAATAAATCTTGATTTACCAGTGTTGATGATATCTTATTTTTCAATTGTTCAATTTCTTCCGTTTCTTCTTCTTCTTGTAGTCTCTTTTGTAGTTGTAATAGTTTATTATAGTTATTATCTATTAATAATTCATTTTCATTAAGTAATTGTTGTAATTCTATCAATTGTTCCTGAATCATACTAGTAATGAGTCAATCGATGTTTATATTATGGTAATTGGTAGCGTATTTTTTTTTATTTGAAGATCGTAAAATTAAAAATTTTTTAATTTTTTTCACCATACGAAGTTTTATTAAATTGTTAGATTAGAGATATAATTGGTAATAAATAGTTATGTCTGACGTTGTTGTTGATAAAGTTAATAAATTGGTAAATAACTTATCAATTAATAATAATGACACCAAAAAAGATGGTAAAAAAAAGGACAAAAAAGAACCAATATCAGTATATTTAGATCCTCAACCATCTTATATTGATGATAGAATTACAATGTTTGAAGAATTAAAATCAAAATATGATCAAGAAATAGCATCTAAACCAAGAGTTGAAATTAAAATTACTTTAAAAGATGGTTCAGTCAAAGTTGGTAAATCATTTGAAACTTCTCCATTAGAAATTGCAAATGAAATTGGTAAATCATTCGCTGAAAGACAAGTTATATCAAAAGTAAATGGTCAATTATGGGATTTACCAAGACCATTAGAAACCGACACTACTTTAGAATTTTTAGATTTTGAATCAAAAGAAGGTAAACAAGTATTTTGGCATTCTTCAGCACATATTTTAGGTGAATCTTGTGAATGTCATTATGGATGTCATTTATCTCATGGTCCCCCAACTGATGATGGTTTCTTTTATGATATGTCAATTAATAATGGAGAAACTACTGTTTTAGAATCTGATTATTCAAATTTAGAAACTATTGCAACTAAAGCAATTAAAGAAAAGCAAAAATTTGAAAGATTAGAAATGACAAAAAATCAATTATTACAAATGTTCAAATATAATAAATATAAAGTCAAATTTATATCTGATAAAATTCCAGATAATACTTCAACTACAGTTTATCGTTGTGGTCCATTGATTGATTTATGTATTGGTCCTCATATTCCACATTCTGGTAAAATTAAAGCTTTTAAAGTTTTAAAAAATTCATCTTCTTATTTCCTTGGTGATGCTACTCAAGATTCATTACAAAGAATTTATGGTATTTCATTTCCTGATAAAAAATTAATGAAGGAACATTTAGAATTTTTAAAAGAAGCAAGTGAAAGAGATCATCGTAAAATTGGAAAAGAACAAGAATTATTCTTTTTCAATGAAATGTCACCTGGTTCTGCTATGTGGTTACCTCATGGTACTAGAATTTATAATACTTTAGTAGAAACATTACGTAAAGAATATAGAATTAGAGGTTATGATGAAGTTATTACTCCAAATATGTATTCAACAAAATTATGGGAAACTTCTGGTCATTGGCAAAATTATTCAGAAAATATGTTTTCATTTGAAGTTGAAAAAGAACAATTTGGTTTAAAACCAATGAATTGTCCCGGTCATTGTTTATTATTTAAATCTAGAGAAAGAAGTTACAGAGAATTGCCTTGGAGAGTTGCTGATTTTGGTGTATTACATAGAAATGAATTCTCAGGGGCATTATCTGGATTAACTAGAGTTCGTAGATTTCAACAAGATGATGCTCACATTTTTTGTACTCAAGAACAAATTGGTAAGGAAATTGCTGGTGTTTTCGATTTATTAAATAAAATTTATGGTATATTTGGATTTGAATTTAAAATGGAATTATCAACAAGACCAGAAAAATTTGTTGGAGATATTGAAACTTGGAATTCAGCAGAATTAAAATTAGAAAATGCATTAAATGATTTCCTTGGTAAAGGTAAATGGGAATTAAATCCAGGTGATGGTGCATTTTACGGACCAAAAATTGATATAATGATTTCTGATGCTTTAAAAAGATGGTTTCAATGTGCTACTATTCAATTAGATTTTCAATTACCTTCAAGATTTGAATTGGAATATAAATCAGATTTAAATAATGAAAATAAAAGACCTGTAATGATTCATCGTGCAATTTTGGGTTCAGTTGAAAGAATGACTGCTATTTTAACTGAACATTTTAAAGGTAAATGGCCATTTTGGTTATCACCAAGACAAATTTTAATTGTACCTGTTGGTCCAAAATATTTTGAATATGGTGAAAAATTACAAAAATTATTTAATGATAAATATGAATTTTATTGTGATGTTGATTTATCTGGTAATACATTACCTAAAAAAGTTAGAACTGGTCAATTATATAAATATAATTTTATATTCATTGTTGGTGAAGAAGAAGAAACCAATAATTCTGTAAATGTTAGAAATCGAGATATTGCTGAAGAACAAGGTAAAAATGCAATGATTTCAATTGATGAAGTTGTAAATAAATTAATTGAATTGAGAGAATCAAAAAGAAGGGATAATAAATTAGTGTAAGGATGCTGGATGCTGGTAAGGTCCAAGTAAATGAAATGACTTACTTATTCACCATTTATTTACATAGTATATTAATATAAATCTATAAGCTACCAGTTGCAAAAATACGCTACCAGTTGTGGAAAACTTTCAATTTCCATTTTCCATCTTATTCTTTTAGCAATTTCAAGATCAAATATATATAACCAATCAATTATCACTTGTTTTCTTTCAGTATATTAAAATATGTCCGCTATTACTAATCCATTACAAAGATATTTAACTCCTGAACAATTTGATAAATGTGTTTCATTTTATGAAGCTGATCAAAAATTAAATCATAATGATCGGACTATAATTGCATCAAATTTACAAAAAATTGGTATAATTTCAAATTTTTCAGGTTATACATTTGGTTTGTTAGGTTTCTTTGTATGTGAGAAACAAAAGCTATTCAATTGACACCCAAGTAAGGATGCGAGTAAGGATGCAAGTAAGAATTTCAATAAAAAGTTTGCATCCAACAAACACCGTGGGTGTCAATTGGTCAAAATTAGATAGAGTCTTTTTTACTAACTATTATCAGGCACCAACATTTTATTACAGATTAATCACAAAAGGACCACCACAACCATTATTTCTCCTCCAAAGACCAATATTATCATTTTTCATTGGTTTTGGTTCTTTAATAGGTTCAACAAATCTACTTATTAAATATTTATTTGAAAAACAACAATCTGCCAAAGAATTCTCTGATCCAAATATTGAAAATGTTTATAAATTAATGGATTGGAAATTTTTAAATGCATTTACCTTATATTATGCAAGAACTAGCTTTAATCCAATGTTTATAATTAGAGATCCAAGATTATGTACTAATGAATCAATGATAGATCAAAAGAAAAAACATTATAGTGAAGTTTATGGTTTGGGTGAAAAAGATCAAGATGGTAAACATCATGAATTGAGTATGTGGGATAGAATTAGATTGGGTCATGGTGGTGAAATCAGTCATGATTCTGCAAAGTAACGGTGCTTAATAATAGTACTCTCTTCTATATAGCTCAATGTCAATTTATTAATGTATAGTATTCCAATCGTTCCATTTCGTTCCATTTCGTACCATTTCGTTCCAATTTCGTGCCATTTCGTTCCAATTTCTATAGTTCATTTTCGAACTCCATTATATTTTCGCCTGGTGAGTTTTTATAATTTTCATTTCATTTATCACGAATAAGAAGAAGCAAAAGTTGCTAGTACTTAATAATGTCAGTAACAGGTAATCATTCACCAATACCAGGTTTAAATCAAACTCAATTTAATCAAAGTGTTAAATTCTACGAAGCAGACTCAAAATTGACTCAAAATGATAGAATTCAAATAGCAAAAGATTTACAAAGTATTCTAATTTCAAAGAATATAGTAGGTTATACAACATCAATGTTTGGGTTCCTAACACCTACAATCTATTATCGTTATATCAAAAAAGCACCAGTTAATAAAATATCATGGATACAAAAGCCTTTTTTGTCATTCATTATAGGATTGACTAATTTGGCAGTTATGAATTCATATGTCAGTAAAAGAAATTGGAAGTATAAACTTGAAGATAATACCATGAATGAAAGAGAGAGGGAAGTTTGGTCATTAATGGATCCAGTAAACATTCTACCATTCTATTTTTATTATTCAAGAAGTTCTAAAAATCCAGCATTTAAATTAAAGGATCCTAGAAGTTATAATCCCAATGAAGTGATGTTTGATAAGGAAACTTATGAAAAGCAAAAAGAGAAGGAGAATGGTCATTTCTTGGATAATTCTCATGATTTGACTTCTTGGGATAAGATTCGATTAGCTAGTGGTTTTGATATCACTGATGAGAATAAAGATGACTCCAATTTGAGAGATGTTAATGGTGGTGGTTATAAAGAGAGTATTACTGATAATGATGAAGTTAAATCAACTTGGGATAGAATAAGAAAAGAAGGAAAGTGAGGATGCCAATTTTGACAGATGAAAAAAGTAAGGATGTCACTCAACAGATATTAAAGTTTAGGATGCCATTATAATGAGCAAAATTGGTTTATTGAGATGAGATGCTCAATTATTATAAGATGCAAAAATAGTACATAGTAAATAGTTTATGATAAATACAAAATACACACATGGTAGCATTTCTATTTTCAATACACGTAAATTTTGAAAAAATCAAAAATCTGAAGTTCAACAATCAACGAAAGGCATTTTAGGTAAATATGGACATATTCAGTGATTCAGGTGAATTATATACAATTAGAAATCAATTTCATACCTACCAACACAACAAAGTTATACAGTATGATTTAAATTCATTTTCACCAGATGTTCAATTAAAAGTATTAGAATATCAAATTAGATCAACAATAGCATTAGAACAAGATGCTTCAAATTTAATTGAGAATGGAAAATCCTTATTTCCAGACTCGGAAGAATTATTTCAATTATTATCAGCATGGAATGATTTAAAAGATTTTGGAACAGATGACTCTACATACTTTGAAGATATAAAAGAAGGAAAATTTGAACTCCAAGCTATCCTCACTACCTTATACTTAATCAAATTTGAGAAAGACATAGACCAGGCAATAGTTTTCCTCTCTTCATATATCAATTCAGTCAATACATTAAAAAAATATAATGAATTAGAACCATTTTTGATTTTAATCCAGTTGTATTTAATTAAAGGTAATCTCAAAATGGCAATTAATATCTTTGAAAATCTTAAGAAAGATTTCCCTGATTCAGCTAGAGATTCAACCATTTATCAAGTTTTTGAAAGTTGGATATTAAGTATTAAAAATGAAACAGATAATATTAATAATAGTTATTATTTCTATGATGAAATTTTAGCTAGTGATTTCGGAGATGATTCCGAACCCAAAGGAAAATTTAAGATTTTGAATGTGTTGTTAGTGTTGACATTACAATTGAGACATGTTCCCGAAGCTCAAGAATTAATTGAACAGATGAAATCATTAAATGTGGTTGATGATAATTTTATCGCTAATCAAATCACTTTGAAGAATATATTAGGTGATGATACGAATGATTTGATTTCTCAATTGAGGAAATTGAATCCTGAACATGATTTAATTAAAGATTTGGATGCTAAAGAGTTGATATTTGATGAGATTGCTACTAAATATAAGTCTGTGTAAGTCAAGGTAAGGATGCATTGAAACCAAAGATGAAGTGACTAAAGAATATATAGCCAATGAATATATAGATATTTCTAAGAAACTCAAGTAAGAACCTAAGTTTTACTTTTGAAACAAGCACTAAATTAAACCAAACATGAAGAAGTTAGATATATCAAGGATAAAGTACAGCCAATGATCAATCAATATTATAATCTACTTTATTAGATGAATATGCAAAGTATGTTTTTTTCTCTGAAAACATTGGTATGAGAAAATTATTTATCGCGCTGAGTTTAGCGCGACTCGTATGAACCATAATGTGTTATATGTCATGAACAAGACTATCTCTGGAGGTACATCGCAATTATATAAAATCAGGAGTCTTGAATTATATAGTCTATCTATTTCAAAGTATAGATTTCAAACATATTCTTTTTTTGATTTGTCATTATGGGCTTTCTTCACCTTACAAAAATTTTCTAAAAAATGTAAATCTGAATACCTTTTAGTTTAGGTCCAAAATCTTGAAAAAAACAACAGATTATATATATTAGAGCTCAATTAATATGTTGGATTGGATTCTAGATACTCTCGGCTAAAATTGAAACATTTCGAAATTCTGACGTAAGTATTGGGAAATTTGAATTATATCACCTTACAAAAAATCTATCACCACATTGAATACTCAAATTAAAATATGATGAAACTAATCAAATTTGCAGTTTTGGCTTTTAATAAGCTTGGAAATTTTTATGCTAAGGTGTTCTAAATTGAAAAAGTAATTTTGCAAGGTTGGTTTGAAATTTCTGCAAAAATTTCAAAATCTGTATTTCGCCTCGGAATCATTTCTGATATAATTTTCAGAGGTTAATAAGCCAAAAAAGCTATCTTAGAAGTCGCCAAATCAGGTTTAAGTATTATTTATCACCTAAAATACCGTTTTTTTCCATATTTTAAATGCCGAATAAAATGTTCAAAAATATGTTTTAACCAAACCAAGTTAACGTCAGGTAGCTCTAAACAACTCTATCTTTTCTTGAAGTAAGTTTGACAACGTTGATTTGAGTATTGAGCGAGTTATTGGCAATTTAAATTTTGAGATTAACTATCGTTATACTGCATATAACCTAAATTTGTTTCAAATTTTTTAATCTGAACTTAAGTGCAGTCGACCTACTTGAAGCGAGGACGCTGCTGGTGAATTTTTACTTCAAGGCGAAAACTAGTACCATTCTTCATGCGATATAAATCGAAATAGATCAGAATTTTATATTATCTCTATCTATATTTTTATTCTTTATTACTACTCCATATTTTCATACTCTTTGGCTGTCGTATCGTGATTTTGCATCCTTGACTGAATTTAGCATCTTTATCTATTTCACTTTGATCAACAATTTACCATTTGGTTTATCACCATCAAACAACAAATTCCAAATCTTTGGAATTTCAGTAAACTTTTCCCTCTCATCATTTCCTTTTAACTCTTCAACATGGTATGCTTTCTCAGTTTGAATTTTACCTGATTTAATAGCATCAGATAAGATTTTAGTAGCTTCTGGAATTTTATCTTTATATTGCATAACAAGAAATCCTTCAATAGTTAATGTTGAACTAACGACATTAAACCAATTAGAAACCAAAGCCTTGTCTGGATTATTATAACCAGCAATAGATCCACAAGCAGCGATTCTACCGAACTCTTTCATTTTACTTAAGAAATAACTTAATATTTCACCTCCAACATTATCAAAATAAACATCGACCCAGTCGTTATCTAAAAATTCATCAATCTTCTTCTGGTAGTTTTCAGATTTATAATTCACACATAAATCCGCACCTATTTCTTCTACCCATTTACACTTTGCATCCGATCCAGCGAGTCCAATTACTTTCTTAGCACCTAATAAATGTTTTGCAATTTGGACAACAATGGATCCAACGGCTCCAGAAGCAGCAGAAACAGCAATGATTAAATCTGAATCTCTTTTATTTAAATACTTTTTCAATTGACCGGCTTCAATTAATCCAAAGAATGCAGTTAATGAAGTCATTCCAAGAACAGATAAATAATATTCAAGTGGGAGACCTTGTGTGTTATCTATCTTGTTAAAAACACTTGATTCATTAATGATACTATAATCAGCCCATTTGATTCTGGCATTTACAACATCTCCTTGTTTAAACTTGTCAGATTTGGAGTCGATAACTTCTCCAATTCCTAATGCTTCCATTGTTTCACCTTCATAGACAGGTGCAATATATGCTCTTCTGTTGTCCCCTGGTTTCCGGAGCCATGTCCTTTGAGTAGGATCATTTGAAAAAATTAATGATTTGATTAAAATTTGACCATCTTTAAGTGAATCTAACTTGTTTGTTTTTACTTCGAAGGTTGGGTTTGCTTTGGTGGTATCTGGTTGAATTGATTCTTTTGGAGGTGGTAATCTTTTAAATACAACTTCGGTTACTTCTGAAGGAACTGACATGATAAATTCGAATTGTTGATGTGAAATAGGTTTTAATGATTTTGATGACTTTAAATACTTGTTACCCCTATAATACCAATTTTGTGTCTTAGACTCATCATAAGCGCAACAGCAATTAAAACACTTGCTGTAACATAAATGGCTGCAAATTTAATTAAAAATTGGTAGCACTAACAAGTTCCAATGTTGTATAAAATTCTCATAAAGAGTGGTACTAGCTCTCGCCTTGACATAAGAATCCACCAGTAGTGTCCTCGTTTAACGTAGGTCGACGGCTTTTTCTTTCAAATTAGTAACTCTACAAATTTGAAATAAATTATATGCAGGATTTCAGAGTTTATCTCAAATATTGATTTGCTAATAACTCCTTCAATACCCAAGTTATAAATATAAAACGTTTCTCGTTAGAATTTCAACTAAGTTCGAGCAAAGTGAAGTTAAAATTTTTTGATAAGACATATTTTTGATCATTTTATACTCAATTTAAAATATGTAAAAAAATGCTAAATTTCATGATTTCGAATACTTAAACCGCGTCTAGCTGCTTCTAATACAGCTAATCTGTCTGACTCGATATCGAAGGATCTCCATATAGTGTTTTAAAGACGCCAAAAATAGTTTGAAATCTTTTCGAACTTTTCAAACCACTTTCGAAAAACTACTTTACCAAATATGAATACCTTAACACAACAAATTTCAAACTTTATCTGCCTATATGAACTACAAATATAGATAGATTTATTATACTATGAGTTTAATTTGATTGTGGAATTAGATTTTTAGAAAGGCCAATTTATTCGATTTTCCTCAGAGTTTAGACAAAATTTCCACACTTTTCAATTTTCATCAAGAGCTTCTAAGACCAAGTCCAGCATGTTCGATTGAGTTACAATATAAATAATCTGTTGTTTGTTTGAAAGTTATGGCCGTAAATTAAAAGCTATATACAGATTTACCCTTTTCGAAAAATTTTGGTATGGTAAAAAAAATGGCCAAAATGACATCTCAAAAAAAATAATTGAAAGCTTCGGATTTCATAAAATTGTTATTCATCTTGAAAGATTGTCATGATAATGACTTTATAAGCCAAATCGTTTAGTACGAGTCGCCTTAAACTTAATGCGAAAAATTGGTTATGTAGAACCAGTTAAAGAACAAAAAGGTACACTACTTTTCACAAATAAGTGGTTATATAAATACAAAAGAGTAACTGAAAACCACTTTGAAGAACAACTACGATTGATTAGATAGACTATAGATTAGTTTAAATAAATTCACGTTGCATTATAAATAGTTAGTTAATTATTCAGTCATCAATTTTGATATATATATACCTTTTTGCATTCTTACTGCATCCTTATTCATCAATTTTAACATAATCACCATTTTCATCAATTCTCAAACCTTCAGCTTGTAACCTTTTTTCAATTTCTTTTAATTCATTTTCTCTTTCTAATAATTCTTTTCTTTTATTGATTAAATCTTGATGAACTCTTTCTTCGAATTTTTTCAACCTTTCTTCTTCCAATTTAATTTGTTCTTCTTTTAATAAATAATCAGATTCAGAATTACCATTGTGACCATTTGAATGATGACCATTACCATTTGTAGTTATAGTACCATTATTAAAATTTTGATTTAAATTCAAATTTTCAACACTTGTATTTAAATTAGTTGTCATTGAATCACCTTTTGAATATTGAAATTGTTTACCACTTAAAGCTTCTGTTCTATAATTTTCATAGATTTGATCATGAGTTAAATCTTTAAATTCATTTAAATGGGTAATTAATAAAACATTTTTTAAAATTGTAAAATCATTAATATCAGGATTATCAATATTAATTGGTTTAAAATATCTATTATCTTTAATTCTTAATTTAATTATATCATCACCAGAATCATAATCTTGTTGTTCTTGATGAGTATTTTGTTTATATTCATTTGCACCAATTATTGCAAATGGAATTAAAGAATTTAAATATTTATTATATTCAATAATTTCATCATCAATATAATCACTTTCAAAATCATATTCATTAAATTTAAAAAATCGAATATTATAATGATTTAAATCTTGTAATATTAATTGTTTATTTAATTTTAATTCTTGGGTAGTTAAACTATCAGCTTTTGCAATGACAGGTATAATATTAACTAAATTATTGATATATTTTAAAAATTTTACATCAATATCACTTAAACCATGCGAAGTTGGATTAATCATATAAATTAAACAATGAATTCTACCATCTTTAAATCTTGGATTTCTTTTAACTCTACTTTCTTCTAATAAAACTTCGTCAAATTGATGTCTAATAAAATCAACAATAGTTTTAAAATCATCTTCACAATTTATTGCATTACCAAAATTTGGTGTATCGATTATATTTAATGAAATCTTATGACCTTCATTATCTTCTAATTCAACATTTTCATGTCTTAACGATAATTTTTTACTAAAAGGATCTTGTAAAATGGTACTACTGCAAGGAACTATAGAATTACCACCACATAAAGTATTAATTAAAGTTGATCTACCTAAACCTGATTCACCAATAATCATAATTGAAAAATTAATTGATTTTTTAAGTGTTTTTCTTTTTCTCAAAGCTGATGATGATGTATTTTGATCTATTGAATAATTCATATTGTGTATGTCTTGTTATATTAATATATGACACGCTTTTCAATAAATTGTGCTTGGTTATTTGTTATTTGATATTTGTTGATTTCTGATTTCAAAAAATAAATTTTGTTTTTTTTTTTCGTTTTGTTTTTTTTATCAACAAATATTGAAAATTTGTATTATGTTGAAGATTTGTTGATCAAGTAAGTTGTTTATATTCAAGCTTGAACGAACAATTAGGGAAGATTTGCTTACATCTGGATGCATTCGATGTCTGGTTTTCTGATAATTTATCTTGGACGAATTTTTGGGCTCTTTTGAAGTCCTTTCCATGTCAATAACTGTGGTTACATCGATTTTAAGTCATGATTTATTAAATTTCAAGTTCAAGTTGAAGAGAATATTTTAGTGTCATAATGGTTGTGTCAAGCTTTTAGGCTAGACCGATATTTTAGTGACATAATGGTTGTGTCAAGGTTTTAGGCTAGACCTCCGTTATCAAATCACTCAGCATCGTGTCGGTATAAAAGTTGTTCTTTTTAATATGGTTAGCTTCTCGATCATTGCATTAGCAAGCATTTCGGCATGATCAGTATATAGTTTTTTTTTTGGTCATTAGTGATATTGAATATTGGAAGTCAAATTGGTACTGATCTTTTGAGATTAATTTATACTTATAGCCATTCATTAAAGTTGATATATTTGCCGATCAATATTGAATGTGCCTGACGTATTTATTATTATATATTTTTAGTTCAAGATTTAGTTTGTTCTAGTTATAGAATTCAAATTAAGTTGAAAATAAAAGACTTTGATGCATGCTTTAGAGAACGCTGTTGAAAGAAGCTAGTCACATGTTGGGTCTCAAATTAATCGATTTGAAGCTGCTTAATGAGAAAGAATGACAATTGCTGCTGCCATGTCAAATTGAGTTCCGAGTTTGAGTAATCGTCCAACTTAATTTTGGTTAGTTGATCTTTTAAGTAAACGGTTGTGTTCATATGTAAGGTGATTAAGGTGGAAAAAATGCTTATTTACTAGTAGATTGTTATCATATTATACCAGACATCTATTTTGACTGACCACTAACGCTAGGTAATATTCATAGACAAGTATTGAGTCATATTCAACCCTAGTTCTCAAAGTAGCTGCAAATTCCTCTACTATTTGTCAGTTACATAACTTCAGTATACAATAATCCATACAAAAAATCCATCTTTTCATCCAGTTTTTCTCTCAAATATTCATTCTGATCCATGTTATACCCAGTAGAACTCTCTTTTTTACTCTTGCTCTATCTATTTCTCTTATACTGGTACATTTCAATTATTTTGCAACTATCAACAAAATCTGAAACAAATTGAATAAAAAAAAAAATCTCGTATTTTTATTTACAACCAAATACGATTAAACAATCATCAATCAATTGAAAAGTTAATTGGTTAGGTTTCAGCTTCATGAATGACTACAATTATATATAATGGTAAATTACCAACATTATTATATGATCCAAATTGTATATTTACATGGTGTCCACAATTAAATTTAATATTCATATCAATGAATAAGATGTCAATTTGGTGTTATAGAATAAATGGAGAACGTATCTATTCAATAAACAATAAATCTCAAATTAAACAAATTACGTTTCATGATAAATTTTTTTGTCTAAGTGGTATAGATAACCTTATTAAAATATACAATTCAAATGATGGAAATTTAATCAAAATTTTAGATTATAAATTCAATAATATTCAATTTTTAAACTGGAATAAAACTGAATATAAACTTGATAATGATAAATTATCTAAATTTCCTAAAATTTATGAATTGGAAACCAAATTGGATTATTTGGTAGTTGTTGATGATAATGAAATTATTTTCAATTTTAACAAATTGTGGACTATTAATCTACCTTGTGAATATAAAATAACTCAACAGGTTCAACTGGATTTATTTGATCAAGTGTATTTAAGTGAGGATAAATTGATTAGAATAAATTTCAACATTGAGAATAAGCCATTATATATTGATACGATTTTAAAATTATGTCAATTGAGTCAAATGATGGAGAATATAACTAGTACAATCAAAAATTTAGAAACTGAATTGAGAACTTTTGTTATTATTTTAGATCGTTATTTATCTAATTTGAATGAAGATATACGAAATGTTGATATTTTCACATTTTTAAATGATTTATTAATTACAAATTTAATACCAGAGAGTTCTAAAGATTATTGGTTGAATCAATTTGGAGAAAGAGGATATAAAAAATTAGTCAAAATGTCAACTCATTTAAAAGAGTATTGTTTAAATACAATTTTTCAATATTTGATTTCAATAATGGAAAGAATTATTATTTTGGTTGGTGATATTAATGGGATTATTAAATGGGATAAACATTTAATTGGATTAGATAATGTTGATCAATTTTTACAATGTTGTAAAGATTTATTAAAATTTTATTATAAATTTTTATGGGATTTACGTATTGAATTTGATCAATTTGATGAATTTTTAAATTGGATAAAAACTATATTAGATACTTTAAACGATCAAGAAAATGTAGAACTAAATTATTCAACTTCAAATGTATTAGAATATATAAATGAAAAATTAACAACCCCATCAATTTTGAAATATTTCAAATTTGAAGATTTAGAATTTATGAAAAATAAGGAAACTGATTTGATGGTACAACAACATAGAACATTTCAAAATCAGTTTGAATTAATTTTATTAAGTATAAAAAATCATCATTCATCAATCATATCTATTAATCTTATTCAATCTATAAAATTACCTAAGCTATATACAAGTTTAAAATTGACAAAATGGAATAATGAAATAATTATAGCTTATATTGATTCTAATTCAAATTTGATAATTACATCATTAAGGAAACAATTATCGTCAATTCCAAATGTTAAATTATTTGAGTTTGATCAAGATTCATTGATTGCATTAACTGACAAAAATTTATTAATTATAAATATAAATAGTATAATACCAATCCAGTTACCGAAGATTAATTTTGAACCAAAAAGATTATGTTTGAATAATCAATTTGGATGTCTTGCAGATTCAAAAAATCAAAATTATACAATTTTTAAATTTGGGTAAGGATGCAACAAATATTATGTTATACAGTCTTCAAATTTGAGTAAATAATATAATTACCTTCTGAATAAGTATATTGTCTATCACTATAAGTTTGAAAAATTTCATGAAAATCTTGGTCGGAAACAGGACCAACTTTCATAATTAAATTCAATACATCTCTATCTATCTTATTATAATTTGCTCTTCTTCTCCGTAGATGTTTATAAAAATTTGGAGTTATAGGTTGATTTATACTTTGAAATAATTTAATTAATTGTGATTTCTCCATTGGTGGAAATTTATTCAACAATTCTTTTACGTACTTTATTTTATTCTTGAATCTTATTTCTCTACCCTTTTGATATTCTATTTTACCCAATTTTGAAGGAAAGTATAATACTTCAAATGGTCTTTTTGAAACTTCAAATATTGTCTTATTTGAAATTATTAATTTGAATGCATTTTTTGCATTATTGACAACCTCGTTGATATGATGATCTTTTTCGGCTCTTGTTATTAACGGTAAGGTCTCATTTGGTTTTTCACCCATGAATTTAACAACTGAAAACAGTTTTTGATAATTTCCATAGTACCGATCGAGTAAATATTTATTATTTGTTAATTCTTCAATTAAATGAACTTCAGGCCAATATCCTTTAAATTTAGTATATTTCAAAGAATCTAACTCTATTAACCAATATGGTTTGTTTATATATATCAAATCTAATAACTTGGGTATACCATCTCTATATTGTTCTTTATTCAATATTTCATTGAATATTGATTGTAAATGTTTAGTTTCTTCGTTTAAATACAAATGTTTTATAGTTCTTGAACCATCTAGTATTATATTTCTCGGTATTGGTAATCTTCTCAACTGTCTTTGTAATAATTTATAACTCATTCAACCTTTAATACCATTTGTTTCAGAATTGGTAAAAAATGCGAAACAAAAAAATTATCACCAAATTTTATACCAAATGGCATTAGCTGAAACTGTTTATAGAAAGATTAATAAATTGGGTATTATACCAAAACTAATACATTTACTACCTAAATTATCATTCATATTTGCTGCTTTAAGTGTTGCTTGGTTATGTTATTTACCATTGGATGGGAATTATAGAAATGTATATATTTCTGAAAACGCTTTGATGCCTGCCCAGGTTACACTGTATTTTAGGGAATCTGAATGGAATGTAGTCCGAGGTTATAGAGAAGAATTTGGTAAATTAGAAAACCTATCATTAAATGAAAGAAATTCAATGGTTGAATCATGGTTAAAAGATTTAAATTTACAAGTTTCATATCATAATAATCAAACTTTATACAGTATAATGCATGCTCCAAGAGGTGAAAATACTGAAGCAATGGCATTAGTTGTACCTTGGTTTAACTCAGATAAAGAATATAATGAAGGTGCTTTAAGTTTGGCTCTTGCTTTAATTCGTTATTTTAATAAAATGTCAATTTGGTCAAAGAATATTATTTTAATATTCCCCGAGAATTCAGGTAAAGTTCTAAGATCTTGGGTTGAAGCTTATCATACTACATTAGATGAAACTGCTGGTTCTATTGAAGCTGCTATTATAATGGAATATGGTAAACAAGGTGATTATTTTAATTATTATCAAATGTTTTATGAAGGTTTAAATGGTCAATTACCAAATTTAGATTTATTAAATACGGCAAATTTAATTAGTTCTCATGAAGGTATATCGAAATCAATACAGGGTTATAAAGATAATTTAATGAATTTTAATACTAGATTAAATACATTATTTAAGGGCATATTGAAACTTAGTTTAACTGGTTTAACTAATGATTTATATGGATGTGAAGCATTTTCAGGGTGGCAAATACAAGCATTTACAATAAAAGCAGTGGGAAGTGCAGGTCATGATGTTACTCAATTTGGAAGAATTGTTGATTCAACATTTAGGTCAGTTAATAATTTATTAGAAAAATTTCATCAATCATTTTTCTTTTATTTGATGTTATCACCAAAGAATTTTGTTTCAATTGGTACTTATTTACCTAGTGCTGTATTGTTAGCAGTTTCATTTGCATTAAGTTCATTAAGTTCAATTTTAAATAATATTAAAGTTGAAATGATATTTGATAATTTAACATTTTTCCTTAATATTATAGCATTTGTCGAAATTGGATGTTTAATAATTGCATTTACATTACCAAATACTCAATTTTTTGAAATTGGAATGAGTTTATTAGGTGTAATATCATTATTACCAAATTTTGAATTTAAAAATAATCAGTTTTCATTTGCATTAATTTCAATATCATTATTTTTTATAAGTTTATTAATTACAGCTTTATTAATTGTTCATTTTTCATTAGCTTTTATAATTGGTTTATTAGGATTTCCTTTAACATTTATACCCACATTATTAAAACAAAGAAAAGTTAAAATAGCCAAATTAATTTCAATCATTTCGAATCCATTTTTCATCATATATATAGGAAGTCGATATCTTGAACATCCAGAAATTTATTCAAAATTATTAACTTCATGGAATGATTTACAGTGTTGGACTTGGTTTATAGTTATGCTTGGATGGTTTCCATCTTGGATTTTAATTACAATAAGCATAATAGGATATAAAGAAGTAGATGAAATTAAAAAAGATATCTAATATATACAAGATGACTATTTAAAATCTATAACTAAAGGTGGTGTTCTACCAGTACTTATATAACAATAACCCAATTTATTCTTCTTCACTACATTTGGATCATCTATTATTTTATTAATATATTCACTTATTGATTTTAAATTTGATATAATTTGGTAATCATTAAAATCACAATTTCCAATTGGGAAATCAATTTTTGAATCTTTTTGTCTAATTTGAAAAGAATTTAATACTTGTAAAATTTTATTTGGATCATCAGTTACTGTTCCCTTTTTAGCAGTTGGTTGTAAACCAGAAGGACCTAAAATTCTACCTAAATTTGTTTTTAAATGTCTTTCCAATTCTGGTGTAGCAAATGCATGGGTAAATAAATCTGGTGTTAATTCTTGTGATAAAAATTTATCAACTAATTCATTACCACCAATCATTATATCTAAATTAGTTTTACTTAATACTTCTTTAACTTCATTATTTGATGTAAATATAATTGGTTTAATTTTTCGATATGGTGGGAATGGTATATTTATAGTACCTGAAATTGGAATTGCACCTTGTTCACCTTTAATAAATAATGTACAGATTATATTTGTTGATTTTGATGGTCTACCAATTTCAAATGATCTTAAATAATTTAATGCTTGTGATATTGGCATATATAATGGATGTTTTGGTAAATTATCCAATTCCTTGAATTTTAAATCGGATTTTATTTTCCTTTTTCTTTCTTTTACTGATGCATCTGGTGCAGTAGGCGATGCTGCTCGACGTATAGATATAGTTGAAAATGATTTATTATGTTTTAGTATTGATTTAAACATTTACCTAATTCAACTATTGGTTTCTAATGTTGAAAAATTTTTTATATGCGAATCAATGAAAGAGTTATATACAGGACTGATGAATTTTGGTTGCAAATTTGGCTGCAAAATTTGGTTAAAAGATGAAACACCAGATGAAATAAGATTGGAGCACTCATGAAATCACTTTGATTAGGTGTATAGCTTGGTGTTAATTTGGTTTATGTGGTTTCTGAAGTTAAGTCATCAAAACTGTCCCTTGAAATTGATTAAATAGTGTGCTACCACTATAATACAACATAAAGTTTAATAATATTATATATATATTCTAATCTAGTCTACTGTAATCTAATCTAAACAAACATATTTTCCTAATCATATTGCAACTTATTTGATAAATCGTCTTTTTTCAATGTTGTTTTTCTATTCAATTTTACTTTTGATCTCAAAGTTGTAGTTGGATTATCAATAACTTTAGCATTCCTATCATCATATGTATCAATTAAACAATCACCAAAATTAGAAGTACTATTACAATTCAAATTTAAAACTTCAGTCTTGTCTAAACCAATAGCACCATAAATTTCATAAGTTTTATTAATCTTATAATATACACATTCTGCAGAACATAAATAAAATCGGTTACTTGTACTTGAAACACTAACTGAATCAACAATCAAATCTTGTATAGCATCAATTTGATCTTGTTTGGGATAACTATATCCAAATCCTTCAATTTTATAATTTACACCCAAAAAATTGGAAAATTCATACATTGAAGGAATTTCTTCTCTACAATTGCATGTTTTCTTTCTAATTGGATAAGAACAAGTTGAGATTGAAATGAAAATGAATAATAACGTGATAACTGGAAATAACATTGCTATATGTGTCAAGTAAATTTTTGCAGTCGTCGTCTCTTTAAATAGTGATTATTTTGATATGCAAGAGGCAATTACAATCGAATAACAAATAATAGTTGTTGTTACATTGTAGCTATATACCTTACCAGTATGCTCTGAGATTCTATTATAATCATTTATTGTCATATTTCAATGTCATATATTTCTCGACACTTGACGCAACATAAAAAAATAAATTTGTTTCAGAATAAAATCAGAAATTAATTACTAATTCATTTATACCAACTACCACAAGTTTTATATGATTCAAACCTCAGATGGGACACGTCTTACAGATGAGGACGCAGATATGTGTCCCATTTGTAAAACTGATAAATACTTGAGCCCCAATATGAAATTTCTTATAAATCCAGAATGTTATCATAAAATATGTGAATCATGTGTTGATAGAATCTTTAGTTTAGGTCCAGCTCCTTGTCCTTATCCGAAATGCGGTAAAATATTAAGAAAAAACAAGTTTAAACAACAAGTATTTGATGATTTAAAAATTGAAAAAGAAGTTGATATAAGGAGAAGAGTAGCGCAGGTATACAATAAAACAGAAGAAGATTTTGAAAACCTCAAGGAGTATAACAAGTATTTGGAAAATGTAGAAGAGATAATCTTTAATCTCAATAATGGTATAAATTCAGAAGAAACAGAAGCAGAATTAAATAAATATGAACAAGATCATAAAATTGAAATTCTTGAAAAGAATATGAGAGAATCTCAAAAGAATTCAGATTTAGTTAAATATCAAGAATCAATGGAAAGATTAAAACAAGAAAAACTTAAAATCCAAAAACAAATGGAGGTTGAAGATGTTGAATATCAAAAACAACAACAACAAGAATTATTAGATAAAATGACAAATTCAAGTATGAATAGTGAAGAATTAATAAAACAACAACAAAATCAAATGTTGAAAAGAAGTTCATTAAGAAGGAAACAATTACAAGCGATAAATAATCAATTGGATCAAAATTTCAATCAACAATTTTCTGGTGAAGTTAAAGAAGAAATTATTGTACCGTTTACTCCATTCCAAGGTGATCGAGATTTAAATAAAAATTATAAATTATTACCTATACCCAATACAATTGATGAATTATATCATATTGAAGATAATATAAAAGATAGTTATTTTGATCCCTTTGTAAATAATTTGGCAAAGAACAAAGAATATCTTGGTGGTGGTTGGAGAATTAAAAATGTATTTGAAAAAGCATTAGATGAAGCATTTATTGGTTTAGGTTGTAATATAGAAATGGAAAAATCTAAATTAGTTAGTCAATATATTTAATTTCAGGATGATAATATATTGGACATGACCAATATGATCGTTTAACATCATCCCATACACTTTTATCATTTTGAATTAATGTAGATTTTGGTACTTCTACCTCTGTAAATTTACAATCTAATCCATAATTAGATAAATCTAAATCAACCAATTTTTTATAAACATCATATATCACTTGTCTATCAGCACCTAACCCATTAAAGAAACTAAATATACCATGTGGTTTCAATAATCCAACTACTATGTCAAATAAGTCTAACATGTCTGAATAATGTTCACTAAAAGTATCATAATAAATACCATTAAAGAATAAATTTCCATTCGATAATATTTCATTTAATTTATCTTGCCATCTACCTTCAAGTATAACAACATTGGACCTATCGTACCATCCATCTTCTTTTAATTTTTTTAAAACATCTGGATGCGCTTCACATATATAATGTTTAGTTAATGGTATTTCATTTTGTATCATTGTATCAATTATACCCATACCAAACCCAATATTTAATATGTTAACCTCTGAATCTAATTCATTTGGCTCTATAAAAGACCCTTTCTTTAGGGTATCACAACCTAACTTCATTATATTAGATTCCCATGACATCATGACTCCATCTTTTCTATCTTTTGTTATCAATGCATTGTCAACGTATTCTAGTTTAGAATTTAAATATGACTCTTGATTTTGTGAAGGAGCATCAGGTGCATCATCTACCTCAGCTTGTTCTTCTTTTACCAACTCAGGTACAACTTCTTGTTCTTCTTCTTGTTCAAACTGTTTATATAATTCATTCTCCTCGTCATCTTCAATAATCTCCATATCATATTCACTTACTTTCCTTAATAAAAGTTCTGCCCTTACACCAGCATCAACAATTAAATCATAAATTGGATTCAGTTTTAAATCACGTTTTATCAAAATACAACCAGGAGTATCATTATTTATATCAATTAATGACCAACCAGCTCCATATTCAAATAAAGTAGAGACCATTGAATTTACTATCTCTTGTTTTTCATTACTTACTTCTTTTGGTAAATGAGTACATATTAAATGTAATGGAGTGGTAGTTGACGTTGGTTCTGTTTCTATATTATTTGTATAATTATAAGCTTCTTCTATAGTATAAGTTGATGGTATACCACTTTCTAGATAATATTTCAATTGATCTAAGTATTCATTATTTATAGGTCTATTTGGAAACTTACATAAATCATGTAAATCAGACATCTTCAAATCTGGTTAATTTATCATATCATCTCTTCTCGTAAATTTGATTTTTTTTTTCGCATCTTAGGGGGTGGTACAAACCCCCCCTAAAAAATGTTTCCTATTTTTGGCTGCAAAAAGGTTACCCTGAGTTGTTCATCAAGAGAAATTTTGAGATGGCACTAAAATGTTGAGTTATGTACAATATTGGTAGCTTAGACTTGCCAAATTTTGAATTGGTATTTGCCTAGCATTATCGTACCTGTTGATGGCTGCAATATACATCAATTTTTCTTCGATTATCTTTGAAATCTATAAAATTGTTTCGTTTATGTCAAATAATGTAAATCGAAGCATTAAAGAAGTGAGATTTGGACAATTGTTTGGCTAGATGTAGAGTTATGTAAATTCTTTTTAGTTAAGCGATATGTCAACGACTCTTGAATGCAGGAAAATTGCACCCAAAATCGTACGATTTCAAAATAAATACAATTTGAAAAATCACAATAAAGCAATATTGAGGAATCGACGGTGAATGACTGTAATTGATATACATGATCAACAACTGACAAGCTTAATTCCTCAATGAGTTACATTTGAATTTTGTGTAAAGAAGAAAAATTGATCAACTTAAAAAGAGTAAAGTAATGAACAGGACATCGATGAACCCTATAATTAATGATATCCTACTTTATTCTTGTGTTTTAACCTTAGCTAGAAAGATAAACTGAAAACTATGAAGTATAATTGGAGTTGCAATAACTTAAACTTAGGGTTTTATAAATTTGATTGGATTTACCAACTGTTTAAGATGTCAAAGTTTTAGTAATCTTTAGTCTTATCTAAATTTCTTCTATATGTAAGAGTCGAATGATTTTGCTGAGTAATAGTCTAATAGTTCAAAATGGATTAGTTGAAAGAGAAGAAAAGAGTTTAGTTGGCGATTTTGTGATTAACAACTAAATATTTTAAACCTAGTTTCAACATTCTTCCGTAAGTAGCTATTGTTTTGGATAATTAAATAGTACATTAACAAAGGCTTGTATCTTCGTTACCAATTGAAAACATATGATTAAAGTGGAATGTTTGCAGCCATACATGGTAGAAAATTTCAGTTTATTGTACCTTAAGTATTCATACATAAAATTCGAGGCTAGCATTCGATGTCATAGTTGATAATACTAGTATGATCCACAATAGGTGTTATGAACAATGTTGTTCTTTTTCTTTACCCGCTGGTATGCAAAATATATTATTATCAATTTCAGATGATCTAAAATCGAAGGAATATTTTTCATTTTGTACATGGGACAAATTATCAATTTATAGGTGAAATGTAACAAGTGTGTAAAGATGAAGAGGTTCTAATAAAGCTGTTTAATCTAATTGAATGAAGCCCAGGGTATACATTATTCCTCTTTTTTTTCAGCGTTTAAATTAGGAATAGAAATTACCCGTTATTTACCACTTTCTCTAATACATTCACAATGTCAAATGATAACTCTACATTGATGTCTAAAATTTAGATAATAATTCACGATATTTATTTTAAACTTTTAAAGGAATTTTTTATTTTTTTGACAATGTTTATTATCAAAAATCATTTCACATAAATTTGCATTCTATCACCATTAAAAATCTCATCAACAACAAAGAGAACAACTGTTTAAACTATTCAATTCAAGATTCATATTATTTAATATCATAGATCTACCCCAGTTTCCTTATCACTTCTTTTTTTTTTATCAGTTTGATTTTTTAACGTCATTTATTATTTAGTCTATCATTGATTCACTATCAAATTATAATTCACCAATTCAGGAAACTCGTTACAGCTAGTCATTATTTTGAACTATTATATTAAACCAACAATTTAACTATTCTTAATATTATTTAGAACCTGTTCAAACTACTATTATTGTTAAATTTTACCTAGTTAAGAAAATTTATTGCAATTTATTCCCCCATTCAATATTATAATTGATAAGTTTATACATTTACGTAGATAATTTGAAAATAAAGGTCAGAGATTTTGTTGAAAAAGATATAAATAACGGTTTTTTTATAATTTTGAAAAGTTTATATAAATACAACTATAATTTAGAGAATTAATGATAACCGAACTAAATGTCATATAAGATTAATAATAACTATAATGCATTTATAAATTCCTTGTTTGATAAAAATGGAAACTATCAACAACAGAATCCTGATATTGAACATGGTATTGAATTAGAAAACAGTCCACAAGTTAATAGTATGAATTTAGAAAATAATCAATGTCCTTCATTGATTTCACCATCAAGTACTAAAACATCCTTATCAAATCATGAATTAATAAATAATGACTTACAAAAGCAACAAATACTAAATAATGGTGTTATACAACCTGAATTTGATTTAAATTTAGCATTACAATTTCAACCTTATCAAAATAATGAATTTGTAAAATCAAAATCATTAAATGGTAGCTTCCAAGATGGTAATTTGCCAAATTCAGTAGAAATTGAACAACCAATAATTTATAATGAAAATTTAGATCAATTTTTACACAATACAACTCCATTAGCATCACCATTATCTATCAATCAACAAAATTTCATAAAACAAGAAGAGGTGGGATCAGTATTAAACTTCAATGATCCAAAACAGTTAACAAGTCAAGCTGCAAATATACAATTCAATAATTCTTCACCACCTGTTTCACCATTAACTACTACTGATAAACCACCAACTAGATTGATTCGTAAGAAATCAAGTAAATTATCAGATGAAGTTGGTAATCCAATAAATCATAATCCTCATCCAGGTAGACCAAGAATCAAATCAGCACATAATGTAATTGAACAAAGATATAGAAATAAAATTAATGATAAATTTAACTCATTACAAGATTCAGTACCTACATTAAGAATATTAGCAACCAAGAAATTAAAAGAAAAATTATTAATGAAACAACAAAATCAAGAAGATGGTAGTATAAATTATGATGATTCATCAGATGAAGATTTAGATTATCAAATGAATGGTATTGACATTAATCAATTAGATGAAAATATAGATTTAGAAGGTTTAGAACCAGCTAGAAAATTAAATAAAGGAACAATTTTAGCAAAAAGTATTGAATATATTAAACATTTAGAGTTGAAAAATTATAGAATGAAAAAAGAACATGATGATTTGATTATGAAAGCTAAATTGTTGGGTATGAAAATTGATAAACAATTAGAATAGGTGTATAGTATTATTATAAATTGAATGATTACTATTTGATGAACGAAATTGGTAGCATCTAAATTTGCAACAATAATTTTTTCGCGTCAGTAAACGAGATCTCGTATAAATTTTTTTTTAACCATCGAATAACTCTGTTTGAATCAGACCATTTTGAAGTATAAAAGAAAGTAAAGTCCAGTTATTTAAACTTCAGTTCAGTATGGCTATAGTTGATAATCTAATTGATTTGTCTTTACAAGTTTATTCACAATTTGTATCATTTTCATTATTAAAACAAGTTTTAATTTTAATTATAATACCATTTTTATACAATATCGTATGGCAATTTTTATATTCCTTGAGAAATGATAGAGCTCCATTGGTTTTTTATTGGATTCCTTGGTTTGGTTCTGCTGTTGGTTATGGTCAACAACCTTATGAATTTTTTGAACAATGTAGACAAAAATACGGTGATGTTTTCAGTTTTATGTTATTGGGTAAAATTATGACTGTTTATTTAGGTCCAAAAGGTCATGAATTTATATTCAATGCTAAATTATCTGAAGTTTCAGCTGAAGATGCTTATAAACATTTAACTACACCTGTATTTGGTAAAGGTGTTATTTATGATTGTCCAAATTCAAGATTAATGGAACAAAAGAAATTCGCTAAATTCGCTTTAACAACTGATTCTTTTAAACGGTATGTTCCACAAATTAGACAAGAAATATTGAATTATTTTGAATCAAATAAAAATTTTGAAATGAAGAACAAAAATGAAGGTGTTGTAAATGTTATGAAATCTCAACCAGAAATAACTATATTCACTGCTTCAAGATCTTTAATGGGTGAAGCAATGAGAAACAGATTTGATGAATCATTTGCTCAATTATATTCAGATTTAGATAAAGGTTTTACTCCAATTAATTTTGTTTTTCCAAATTTACCATTACCTCATTATTGGAAAAGAGATGCTGCTCAACAAAAGATTAGTGCTACATATATGAAAGAAATTAACAAAAGAAGAATAAATAATGAAATTGAAGGTGATAAAGATTTAATTGATTCTTTATTGAAAAATTCAACTTATAAAGATGGTGTTAAAATGACTGATCAAGAAATTGCAAATTTATTAATTGGTGTTTTAATGGGTGGTCAACATACTTCTGCTTCAACATCTGCTTGGTTTTTATTACATTTAGCTGAACAACCACAATTGCAAGAAGATTTATATAAAGAAGTTACTGGTTTACTTAATGAAAAAGGTACTAAAGATTTAAATGATTTAACTTATGAAGATTTAAACAAATTAACATTGGTTAATAATACTATAAAAGAAACTTTAAGAATGCATATGCCATTACATTCAATTTTTAGAAAAGTAATACAACCATTAATGGTACCAAATACAAAATATGTTATACCAAAAGGTCATTATGTTTTAGCTTCACCAGGATTTGCTCATACTTCAGAAAATTATTATAATCAGCCAGAAAAATTTGATCCATATAGATGGGAAGGAAATAGTTCTACTAGTGCTGATGATGGTGTTGATTATGGTTTTGGTAAAGTTTCAAAAGGTGTTGGATCTTCATATTTACCATTTGGTGGAGGTAGACATAGATGCATTGGTGAACAATTTGCTTATGTTCAATTAGGAACTTTATTAACTACATTTGTATATAATATTAAGTGGAGATTACAAGGTAAAGAAATACCTCATGTTGATTATAATTCAATGGTTACATTACCAGAAGAACCAGCTAATATAGTTTGGGAAAAAAGAGAAACTTGTATATTTTAATTTACGCACTTGGTAGCATCTTAAGATCTCGTAAAAAGAAACAAAAATTTTTCACTTCGAATCAACAATGTCTTTTGAGATTAAAGTTCCAGCATCATCTGCAAATATAGGACCAGGGTTTGATGTGTTGGGTATAAGTTTAAATTTGTATTTGACTATAAGGGTAGAAGTTACATCAAAGGATACTTCATCATATAATAAAAATATTAAAATCAATTACCAGGGCAATTTAGCTGAAAAAGTTCCATTAGATGCTAATAAAAATTTAATAACACAAACTGCTTTATATATATTAAGATGTAATAATATTCATGAATTTCCAAAAGGAACTGAAATCTTTGTAAATAATCCAATTCCATTGGGTAGAGGTTTAGGTTCAAGTGCATCTGCTATAGTTGGTGGTATCATATTAGGTAACGAAATTGGAAAACTCAACTTGTCTAAAAATAGATTATTAGATTATTGTTTAATGATTGAAAGACATCCTGATAATATAGCTCCAACAATGTTGGGTGGTTTTATTGGGTCATATTTAAATGATGGAGTAAATAATGATATACCATTAGATTATATACTTCCAACTGATTCAACACCAAAGGATAAAATTGTAACAAACCAACCACAAGAAAATATTGGTGAATATTTACCATATAATTGGAATAAGAAAATTAAATGTATAACAATTATTCCAAATTTTGAAGTTTCGACAGATTTATCAAGAAGTGTTTTACCAGATTCATATTCAAGATTAGATGTTGTTTATAATTTACAAAGAATATCAACATTAATAACGTCACTAACTTTAGATCCCCCAAAAAATAAACTAATTTATCAATCAATGAAAGATAAAATTCATCAACCTTATAGATTTAAATTAATTCCTGGTTTAAATAAAGTTTTGGAAAATATAACAACTGATAAATTTGATCATTTATGTGGTATTTGTTTAAGTGGTGCTGGTCCAACTGTTTTAGTATTGGCTACTGGTGATTATGAATTAATTGCAAATGAAGTTATTAAAATATTTAACGACGAGAAGATAGATTGTGATTGGAAAGTATTAGACTTAGCTTATGATGGAGCAACTGTAAATAGATTATAGACATTAAAGTTAGATTAAACTTAGATAAATATCATTTCACATTGGATATCGCCCGGTGCTCATTCGATAAAATTGGGGTCTCGATCTCAAATTGCTCAGGTTGATCCTAATCGCATTGAATAGTCTATCTCTTGATCTTTTGAAGCTCTAGGGCACTCAGCTGGTGTACAATTTCGTTGTACGCTGTATTTTACCAAACGCAACATTTCGCAATTTCATTAACCAATAGAAAAATATATTGCAACTTCAACATTTACTATGGTTTCATTAAAAGTTGATACTAATCCAGATTTTAAAGGTAGATTAATAGAACAAGATATATTAGATCAATCTGGTTCTCAACCAATTTATTTATCAAGAATTGAAATTAATGGTGGTGAAACTTTTAGTTACCAGTTCTTTAATAAATTATTATCACCATTAGTTGATAATAGTGATTATACATTTTCACAATTAGTTACAAATATACAATCAACTAGATCTAATTTATTAAATACTGGAGTTTTTAAAAATGTTGATGTTAATTTACAGCCAGATTATTTTATAAATTATCCACAACAAATTAAATCTTATAATAATGAAAAATCAATACCAACTAAATTAACATTTGATTTATCATCAATAAATTTAAATATTAATGAAGGTTTCTTTAATTTTAATAATGAAGAAATGTTAAATTTGAATTTAAATCATTTAAATAATAATTTTAATGAAAATGCAGAATTGGTTTCAATTGGTGTGGATTATAATCCTTATAAACCATATGATGTATTATTAACAAATGGGAAATTTATATCGAGTTTGAAAAATCCATTATTCAAATTTTTAATAGATTTAAATGTTGGTCAATCAAATAATTTAAATTGGGGGAATTTTAAATCTAAAATATTAAGTGGTAAATTGGGTTTATTATATAAAAAAGAACAATTTGATATATTTAATGGATTTCAAATTAATAAAAAGAATTTATATGATATTGAAGATGATGATATAAAATTCTTTACTGGTGATTTTTTAAAAACTTCAGTTTTGAATAATGTAAATTATTCAAATGTTTCATATATTAACACTCTTACCAAAAACTTCCCAACTAACGGAATTAAATTCAACATTAATATTGAATTATCATCTATTCAAGAAAATTCAAATAATTTAAATGGAGGTGAATTTTTCAAATCAAGTATAAATGCAAATATTTATAAAAGTTTATTTAACAATCTTTTAACAACTCATTTTGAAACTGATTTTGGTTTCATATATTCATTTTCAAAATTCCCGATCCATCCAACTGATAAATTTTATCTTGGTGGATTTAATTCATTTATTGGATTTAATAAAAATTCAGTCGAACCAAAAGGTGGTTTACAATTTTATAAAGTTCAGTCTACATTTTATACTAAAGTTCCATCATTATTGTATAAAGCAAATGGTTTCGCACATGAAGCCAATCCATTAAGATTATATGCAACTGCAATAATTGGTAATGTATCAAATAATATATTTAAAGATGAATCTGGAGCATTAAGTTATGGTTTAGGTTTAAGATATTTTAATCATTGGGCAAATTTTGATCTTGGTTATTATATAAGTAATAGGTTTGGTTATCAACAAGACAATACTCAAGGTTTAAGAAATGGTATACAATTTTCAATATCAATTGGTGGTTCAAATAGAAATACATAGACACTTGGTAGCATTGTAAATATAAACAAACGCGTAAAATTTTTTATTGAAAATTACGGTATGGGCGTTAATGGTTTATTACCATTATTAAAAGAAATACAAGATCCAAGTTCATTAGAAAGATATAGAAATAAAACTTTGGCAATAGATGCGTTTGGTTGGCTACATAGAGGTATTGTCTCATGTGCAGAAGATTTATGTTTAAATAAACCAACAAGATCGTATATAACGTCAATACTAAAAAAGGTTCAAATGTTGAAACATTTTAATATTACTCCATATTTTGTGTTTGATGGTCAATCATTACCTATGAAACAAGAAACAAATAATGAAAGACTTGAAAGAAGAGAAGAAGCGAGAAAATTGGCTGAAAAATTGTATAATGATAATAAAAAACCATTAGCTTATAAACAATTTATGAAAGCTGCTTATGTTAATAGTAAAATGGTTAAATCTGTAATGTGTGAATTAGATTTATTAGGTATAAAATATGTTGTTGCTCCATATGAAGCTGATCCTCAAATGGTTTATCTTGAAAAAATTGGTTTAGTTGATGGGATATTGTCGGAGGATTCAGATTTGTTAATATTTGGATGTAAAAAGTTGATAACTAAATTAAAGGATAATGGTACATGTGTTGAAATAGATAGTGAGAATTTTGATAAAGTTAGGCAAATTCCGTACCTAGGCCAATACAGTCGTGAGCAAATGAGACTAGTTGCAATGATATCAGGTTGTGATTATACAAAAGGTATACCTGGAATAGGTTTAAAAACTGCATTTCAATTAGTAAGAAAGTATAATAATTTGGAAAAGATTTTAATTGCATTAAGGGCAACAGGTAAATTTAGTGGTTCTCCAGATGATCTAAAGATCGAAATTGCTCATGCTAATTTAGCATTCCAATACCAAAAAGTATTTAATCCAAAAGATCAACAATTGACAAGTTTAAATGAGGTAAATGATGAAGTAAATGAAGAGTTACTCGAATTATGTTGTGGTAAGAAATTAACAAATGATTTATATGTACAAATTTGTAATGGTAAAATACACCCACATACTCATGACATACTAATAAGTAGAGAGCAAAATTTGAGTCTACTAAAATCAAATTCGGTTAAATATGAATCAAAGAAAGGTCAAAGTGCAATTAGATCTCAATCAGAATTAAGTGTAAAGACAAGATCTATTGTAGATTTATTGAAATCGACTAAAAGAGTTCAAATTGAATCATCACAATCTATAAAAAGACAAAAGAGTGAAGTTGAATCCATACGGAAGACAAATATTGATAAAAGAATAGACAAATTAACACAGAGTAAGAATGGTACTGCCAGTAAATTTTTTAAACCTCAATCTGAAGAGAATCCAACAGATGATGATGAAAACATACAGGAAGATGAGGATCAAGAATATGCTATACAAGAAAATGAAGTATATACAGATAATATACCTGATGAAATAGATGATTCAATGTTACCAACAGAAGAAGAAATAGATAAAATGGTTCAACATGAAGAGAATTTTAATTTAAATTCACAAGATGATGAAATTGACGAATCACCAATTAAAAAAGATCATTTACAAAAATGTATGATATCATTAAGAGACACATTTTCATATAGTTTGAAACCATTACAAGAAAAGAATATGAATACACCACAAAGAAAAGAAAAATTTAGTCAAGATGATGATGATGTAAGTGAAGAAGATGTAATAAATCTGCCAATTAAAAAACCTATAAAGAAATTTTCTAGAGTAGATATTAAACAATTTGCATATAAAAAGTAATTAGCATCCACGTAATACACAAGCACCAATAGCTAATTGGGTTAAATTTTCAAGATTATTTAGGTCAATTTTAGCATCATTTAGTTTATACAACTTTTTAAACCTTTGTAAGTCGACAAGACTACTTAATAGTTCATCGGTGAGTTCAACTGATTCGCCCGTCATTATTTCTTCTAACTTCTCCTCTATATTTTCATCTTCAACCAATTTAATAATTATCGTATTTTTACAATCTTCCAGTATACCAAATTTTTTAATAGCATCTCCTATATTATTAGTTGGAGACAAATTATATATAAATTCAGTATTTAAAGTATTAGCAGACATTATTTCATGATCATAATTTAGTATTGATTTATAAACACTCTGGAGAAGATGTTGTTTTGAAATGATGAATTTTGTATTTAAAAAGCAGTAATTGTACTTTGAGTTTTGAAATATTAATTCTTGTTTAATAGTTTTTATATTATCATCTGTTAGATTAGTATATAAACTTATAAATATCTTGTATTGTGGAAATTGTGGGAATACGACTGTTTCATACATTTTTATGTTTTGATGAAAAATAATTTTTAACCAGGGCTAAATATTAAATAATGAAATGGATAATACTACAAACAATGAACAACAAGATATAATAGATATAATATTCAAGGATTATAATATACTGGATCATCAAGTAGATACCAATGTTTATCCAGAATCAATACTTCACCAAACTGCAAAAGGTAATAAATTATATACTCAATTTCAATCTTATAATAGACAATTTATAAATGATGATTCTTCAAGTAATATAGTACGATGGAAGAATTCAATAATAGAACAAGCTTCAAATATTATATTAAACAACTGGTTGAACCAAAATAATGATGATAAATCAATATCAACAATTTCACTAAATAATGCATTATTTACTTGGTCTTCAACTGATGAATACATAGCAAGAAGGAAAAAACAATTACAAAAATTAAAAGGTATAAAGGAAGAAATTGAGGAACATCATGAAGAAGTAGATAAATCTAAAAATGAATTAATCGAAAAATTAAATTTAAAATTTTCAAAAGAACCAATAAATCATAGATTAAACAGAGCTATAGAGCTGGAAAGTAATAAATTTATATCGGATAGGATTAAAGTGATACGACAATACCATACTCAAAAAATGTTGGAAGAAATTGAAGAGAGAAAGAAGAATGATTATGAAACGTATTTGAAAAAATTAAAATTAAGAGAAGAGGAATTGGAAAAACAAGATGCCAATTTGAAAACTAATAGTGGTAACTTTTTTGGCAATTTATTTGGGTTTAATACAGCTAAAGAAGAGGAATCGAGGAACTCATTTGAAAGTGAAACTACATTAGATTCATCTACTCATAATAAAAGGAAAACTGGGTTTCCATTATTTGGTGCTACTTTATTTAGTTCAAAGAAACCACAAATTGATAAACCAGAAACATTATTTGAAACAGATCACCATCAATCAGAACAGTCATTTAATTTAGATATTGATCAGTTAGAACAGTTAGAAAAGCATGAGGATGATGATGAAGAGGATGAAAAGGATGATGATTTTACAGATTTCACATCAACAAAACCAGAAAATGAGTCACCAAAGAAAGAAGAAGTAAAATTAAATCGAAATTTTTTCTCAATTGATAAAGCCAAACCTAATAATGAGTTGATTGATCTATTTGATAATGATGAACCTGTTTTTAAAGATAACAATAATAATAACAACACTAATGATGATGTAAATTTATTAGATTTATAGTGATAACAAGACTAATGATGGTGTAAATTTATTAGATTTATAGTAATACAAACTTATTTATTCTGTAGTACACTTTACTCACGGCGTGACTAATTAGACTAATTAGATATCTAGATGTCAAACACTGGTATTCTTCGTATTTTAAACTCTTATCTGCTTGTTTCTGGTTATAAATTCCATTTTGTTATACATTTTCCCTATTTTGCAGCCATTTTTCCTAATTAAGTCATGTTTCAGATCTCCAGATCCAAACATACTTCCATTTTAGGAAACTGTAACATAAATTTTCCCGTCGCGACTAAAATAAGAAATTTTGATCTGAGTAAAAATTGTAAACAAATTGATTCAAGATGTCTGATATTAAAAATTGGGTATGGGTACCAAATGATACAGATATATTTGTCAAGGGATATGTTTTAGAATATCTAGATAATAACAAAGTCAAAGTTAAAATCAATCATCAAGAAAAAATCATAGATCAAAATTTGTTACAACCATGTAACCCTACCCAATTTGATAAATGTAATGATATGGCAGAATTAACCCATTTAAATGAAGCTTCAGTCATACATAATTTATTACTTCGGTATCAAGATGATTTAATTTATACATATTCAGGTTTATTTTTAGTTGCAATTAATCCTTACAAATCACTACCAATTTATAATTCAGCAAAAGATTACTATAAAAATAATAATAATCCACCACATATTTATTCTATTGCGGAAAATACCTTCAAGAATTTATTAAGTAATAGAAAAGATCAAAGTATATTAGTTACTGGTGAATCAGGTGCTGGTAAAACTGAAAATACTAAAAAAATTATCCAATATTATTCATCAATTAAAGAAAATGAAAATAATATAGATGTGAAGATTCTACAAGCTAATCCTATATTGGAAAGTTTTGGTAATGCAAAGACTATAAAGAATAACAATTCTTCAAGGTTTGGTAAATTTATTAAGATTTTCTTTGATGAGACGGGGGATATTACAGGTGCAAATATAGATTATTATTTATTGGAAAAATCAAGAGTTGTATCGCAGGCAAAGAATGAGAGAAACTATCATATATTTTATCAGTTCCTTAAAGGGTATGAGAATTTATCAGATTTGGGATTGAATAAAGATTTATCAACTTATAAATATTTGAATAATGTTAGTATAAATGTTGATGACTTTAAGGAGTTTAATTTATTAGTTGAAGGATTTAAAATTATGGAATTTAGTAAGGACGAAATCAATTTCATTTATCAAATTTTGGCAGTTGTGTTACATTTTGGTAATCTTGATTTTATTTCATGGAAAAGTGAACAAGCAAATTTTGCAAAAAATTCACCAGTTGATAAAATAGCTGATTTGTTAGGAATAGATAAATCTAAATTAGTTGAGAACTTGATAAAGCCTAAAGTAAAGGCTGGTAGAGAATTTGTTACAAAATCAAAAAAACCAAATGAAGTTAAATTTACAATTGATGCATTTGCAAAATATTTATATGAGAAATTATTTCAATTTATTATAAATAAAATTAATCAAAGTTTAAATGGACAAGAAGGAAACTCTATTGGAGTTTTGGATATTGCTGGGTTTGAGATTTTTGATATAAATTCATTTGAACAATTGTGTATTAATTATACCAATGAGAAATTACAACAATTTTTTAATCATCGTTCATTTATATTAGAACAAAGTGAATACCTTAAAGAGAATATTCAATGGGAATTTATTGATTTTGGTCAAGATTTACAACCTACTATAGATTTAATAGAAACTAGACAACCAATGGGAATTTTAAAGTTATTAGATGAAGAATGTTTAATGCCAAAATCGTCAGATAAATCATTCATGGAAAGATTAAGTTCTAGTTTCAAAAAGAATCATAAATTCTCAGAAAATAAGTTTAAAAGTGGATTCGTTATACATCACTATGCTGGTAATGTTGAATATAATGTTGAAAATTGGTTACAAAAAAACACTGACCCCGTCAGTGAGAATATGCTTAGCTTATTAACTGAATCAAAAAATCCATTCATTGCAGCATTATTTGAAGAACCACCAAAATCAAAAGTAAAAACTGCATCACAAAAGCATAAAGATCAATTAAAGGAATTAATGAATCAATTAGAGTCTACTGAACCACATTTTGTAAGATGTATATTACCAAATTTGGAAAAAAAGGCCAATAAATTTGATAAAAACTTGGTGCTTAATCAATTACGTTGTAATGGTGTTTTAGAAGGTATTAGAATTACAAGAGCAGGTTATCCAAATAGAATGATGTTTGATGAATTTTTAACAAGGTACTCAATTATAAGTGATGAAGTATTTACAAAGAATTCAAAGAGTAATTGTGAAATTATACTAAAATGTTTGGACCCAGAAACATATAGAGTTGGGCTAACTAAAATTTTCTTCAAAAATGGTATCCTTGGTCAATTAGAAGCAACAAGAGATTTGAAATTGAAGGGTATTTTTACTGATATACAAAGAGTTATTAGAGGTAATTTGATACGTAAGAATGTCAGACAAGAAATTAAAAAAATACAATCAGCTACGTTAATTGCAAAAAGTATGAAGAAAATAAATGAAGCTTCACCATGGATGGAATTATTCTTTCATATCAAGCCATTATTAGAAGATTCAGTAAAGGATTTAGATTCAAAAGAAATCCAAAATTTGACAATTAAATTAAAAGATTCAGAAAATCTACAGAAAGGACTAGAAAAGGATAATGAAAAATTAAGAAGTCAATTGAATAAATTAGAAAATGAAATTATATCAACTACAAGTATGATCAAAGAGAAGGAATCAATTGTTGCAAGATTAAAAGGTGATGAAAATAAATCAAATAAAAAGTTTACAAATCTTGAAATTAAATTTAAAGATTTACTAGTTTTAAATGATGAATTGAAAGATCAACAAAAGAAATTGACAAGCAGATCTTTGGAATTACATGATAAAAATGAAGCGAAGGCAATGGAATTAACTAGTTTAAATGAGAAACTTGCTGATGTTACAAATGAATTGGAATCACATAAATCGAAACTTGCTGATGTAACTAATCAACTAAATTCACACAAATCAAAGCTTTCTGATGTTACAAAAGAATTAAATTCTCATAAAACTCAATCAAAAGAATTATCACAAAGTGAAGCTTCCTTTAAAGAAAAATTAGCTCTTCATGAATCAAGTAAAGCTAAATATGAAGCTAAAATTGACGAAGCAAAAGAGAAAATTACAGCACTTAAACAAAAAGTTGAAAAGAAAACTGCTGAATTATCACAGTCAAAGAAGGAAATAATCGATTTGAAAGCTGAAATATCGTCATTGAAAGGTGAAATTGCTAGTTTTAAATCTGAAATCTCCACGTTACAAAACAAATTAAAAGAAACTGAGGAAGCTGCTTCATCTAAACAAGAAATTGAATCAGCGCAATTACAAATTCTTCAAAAAGAACAACTTACCAAAGCTCAAGAATATAAACAAAGAATCAGTCAATTGAACTCACAAATTTCCAACTTACAAGAAGAATTATCAAATAAAGAAAATTATGATCCACAATTTATTGAAGAATTTACTCATATGAAATTTAAACTTAATGAAAATGGTGCTGCTCTTCGTAAAGAGAAATTTGAAAATAAAAAGTTGGTGGAAGAATTACGAATTTTAAAAGAACGGATTATGAACGGTTCTTTAACATCAAGTGACTTAACGCCAAAAAGAAGATCATTAGCAATAGGTGAAAGAAATATCATAGGTACAGTTGACAATTTAAATAAAGAAATTAATGAATTAAAATTACAATTACAACAAGAGCAAGGTAATTTTCAAAGAGCTGAAAATTATGCAATTGAATTACAAAAGAAACTAAATGCAATACAAAGTACAAGAGGTTTAAATTCAAACGATGATTATGAAAAGAAATTTAAAGAAGCACAAACAAGAATAAATAAACTTGAATCAAAAATTGAATCTTTAATTACTGATGGTCCAACCCCTGAAACATTGTCAAGAAGTGAAAGTTTTGGTATGCTTCCATTAAGAGGTGTAAGTCAAGATTTTGTACAAATATATCAAGATATAACAAAGACATTGAAATTGACAAGAGAAGAATTGGGTACATCCAAATCTGAAATATTAAGGCTCAAATCACTTCTTCGTGAAAGCGAAGAAGAGTTATACCAAGTTAAACAACATAATTTTAAAACTAGTGTAAATGATTATGAACAAGACTTAGCACAAATCAAGGTTAAGTATGACAATTTATTAACTAAAAATGATGATTTGTCCACCAATTTAGAAGTTTTCAAGAAAAGATCAGAAGAATATTTTAAAAAATTAGAATTGGCAGAATCTGCAGTTACAATTTCAAAACGTCATGAAGAAAATGCAATTAAAGAAATGAAAGAATATAAATCACAACTACTTTTAATAAAGGAAGAATTGAGAACTAGTCAAATTTTAATTAAGGATTTTAGACAAAAGACTGGAAAATTAGAAGAACAAACACAAGAAAAGAATCATGAGATTGAGAGGGTGAAGCAAGAACTACAGGAAACAAAAGATAAATTAGATTACCATGTGAAGAACTATGAAAATAAAGAAGCAAATGAACAATTGAAGGAGGAAATTAGAAATTTGCATAAAGATTTGAATTTTAAAACTGAGAAAGAAACTGTATTAATCAAGGAGAATAAGAAACTTGAATTGGATCTTGAAGAAACAATCCTAATCAAGAACAATTTTGAAAAACAATTAGAAGAAGCTGTTTTGAAAGAAGAAGAACTTGAAAATACCATCCTTGAATTTACTGATAAAACAAGAACATTGGAAAATGAAAAAATCATAAATGAAAGAAGAATCAACAACTTCAATAAACAAGTTTCTGGTCTTAAAGAATTGGTAGATGATATATCAACACAAAGAGATAAATTATTATCAGAAAAGGAAGAATTAGATGATAAACTATTCAAATTAAATTTAAATTATGATAATAAATCAACAGAATTAGATCAAACAAAATCAGAATTAACCTTTCTCAAAAAACACTTGGAAAATCAAAAACAAGATTCAGAAGCAATACAAAAAGAATTAAATCAAAGTAAATTATCATCAACATCAGATTATAGAGATCAACAAAAATTAAGAAGTGAATTATTAGTTACCAACCAAGAAAATTTTTCGCTAAAAAAGACAAATAAAGAATTGAATAAAAAAGTTACAAACCTTGAAGAGAAATTATACTCCAATGAACAACTTAATTATTGGGAAGATAAATGTAAATCATTAAATAATAATATTGATACCCTTAATAATGAAAAATATGAACAAGAAAAGACTATAAAAACATTACAAAGAACATTAAAATCTTTAGAAATACGAGTTGAAAATGAATCTCAATTATCAAAGAAATATAATGATGAAAACTTTGATTATCAAAATAAGATCAATCATTATAAAAGTACAATTGATATTCTACATAATGAAAATGTTGATAAAGAGTTACAATTGAAATCATTTGAAAGAGAAAACAACGAAATGAAGGAAAGTATGTTATTATTACAAAAGGAACTTTTAGAACTACGTCAGAATATACATTAGAAATGGGAATCCTATTTGTTCAACTCTACTAGATATATGTACAATTTTACGACACGACACTAACTGGTAGCAACTCAATGTGCGCTAACCAGATCTAAATTTGAAAATTTAACGAAATAGACAAGTTATTCAAATGATATAATGTTTAGACTATCAAAAAGACTCCTAACAACTCAACCGGCAGCAAATATTGAGCTAACGACTTTAAATAATGGTCTAAGATTGGTAACTGATTCAACCCCTGGTCACTTCAGTGCTTTAGGTGCTTATATCGATGCCGGGGCTCGATATGAAGATTCAAATAAACAAGGATTAAGTCATATTCATGATAGATTATCATTCAAGTCAACTGAGAAATATACTGGTCAACAAATGTTGGAGAACCTATCGAAATTAGGTGGAAATTATATGTCATCATCTCAAAGAGAATCTATAATATATCAAAGTTCAGTTTTTAATAAAGATTTTGAAAAAATGACAGATTTATTAACTCAAGCTATAAGATATCCTAAAATTACTGATCAAGAATTTATTGAAAGTTTACAAACTTGCGATTATGAAGTTCAAGAATTAATTTATAAACATGATGTAAATTTACCTGAAAAATTACATGCTGTTGCCTACAGTAATACATTGGGAAATTCATTATTTATACCAAAGGAAAGAATACCATTAGTAGAAAAGGCTGATGTTTTAAATTATCATAAGAAATTCTTTCAACCTCAAAATGTTGTTATAGCCATGGTTGGTGTACCTCATGATTATGCACTAAAATTGATAGAGTCTCATTTTAACGATTGGAAGAATGCAAGTGACAAATCTGGCTTAGGCAAGGTCAATTATAAAGGTGGTGAAATTTGCCTTCCTCATGTTCCTCCATTATATTCAAATTTACCAGACTTATACCATATTCAAATTGGATTTGAAACGACAGGTTTATTGAATGACGATTTATATTCATTAGCTACATTACAAAAATTATTAGGTGGTGGTTCATCATTTTCTGCAGGTGGTCCAGGTAAAGGAATGTTTTCTAGATTGTACACTCAAGTTTTGAATAAACATCCATTTGTTGAAAATTGTATGTGTTTCAATCATTCATATATAGATTCAGGTTTATTTGGAATAACTTTAAGTTTAGTACCTGAAGCTGGACAAATTTCATCTCAGATTATTTGTGATGAATTGGCAAAAATCTTAGATAATAAATATGGAATTAAAGAAAATGAGTTTAAAAGAGCTAAAAATCAATTAATAAGTAGTTTATTAATGAATGTTGAAAGTAGATTAGCTAGATTAGAAGATTTAGGAAGACAAATTCAAGTACAAGGAAAGATAACTACTATAGATGAAATGGTTAAAAAAATTGAAAATTTATCAATAAAAGATGTTACAAATGTTGCTGAAAAAGTACTTACAGGTAATGTTGTAACTAAAGGTAATTCATCAGGATTACCATCTGTCGCAATGCAAGGTGATAGAGAAGTATTTGGTGATGTTGAATATATAATGAGAAGATATGGTTTGGGGAAATTTGAAGGAGAATTGAATGAACCAAGAGATTTCAAATTGTAAATAGTAATAGATATCAAACTGAAGCTTGATTGTAATGTAGTACATTTGCGTCGTGAATCACATAAATAATTAAATTTTATTGCAAAGGTTTAAAGCGTTTTGTTCTATTAATGAAATTTAATATTATAAAATGTATTTTATATAAGTATTGAAGAAATCAAAATAGAGGTTATTTGAAATATTTATTACATTTACGAAAAATACCAATAAATCAATTTCCGTTGGTTTGTGATCGTACCTTCGCTTAACATATTCAAATTGTTTGGAAATAAATATATCTAATCGCTTCATTACCAAAAACTAAAAAAAATGAATTATTAGTTGAAATAATTATGAAAAAACAACCATTAAGCTATCTTGTTTTTAAAATTTCATGAAATTAAACCACTTTTCTCCGTTACAAACAGGACAGTTTTTATACTTATAGAACATTGTACCTTTCTTTCTTCTGTATGATTTTATTATATTACCCTTTTCTAATTGATTTTCGAGCGAGTCATGACCTTTTTACTATAGTTAATATTAAGTCGTAGGTTTAGATCGTTTCAATTTTATACCTACCATTAATTTCAAAATGAGGAATCCAATTAAGACTTGGATGGAAATGAATATGTAAAAGTTCCATTATTTTTTTGCTTTCTTTTGATTTATTTTCGATTTGATGAAAGTATTTCAAGATATGAAAATCTTGAACTTGTGTAATATAAGGATACACAAGCTTTTATAATTGTAATACAAATAAATTCTTTGGAAAACGTACAAAACATAATACTCTATCCTATTCTCGAAATAAAATAACACACAATTTAGTGCCGCTTAGTGCCGCACCAGATAAAATTTTAAACGGATTGTTGAGATTCAGAAAGTGTAATGCAATAATACATGTAGTGATATAGAAAGTAATGCTGAATTTATGAATGTGACTCACCTATGCCTGTATAGGATGTCCCTAACGTGATTTGATCTATTAACTAGAATCGAAAGTAGATAGTAATATATGATATAAGCTACTTTAATCAAAAGATTAATAATAGATAATACATTCGTATATTTAAAACTAGTAGATGACAAGTGTTAAACTCTAATGAAGCTTGAATAGGTACCTAGTAAGTTGCCAAAAAGTAGCACAAGTCTAACGTCTACTTAAAGGTTTGGCTCTTTCACATAACATTTCAGTTGAAGTTGCTTGAAATAATTCTGTAACCGGCATGACCTAAATTATCAGGTAGTGATCTTATCTCTAACCCAAACTTTCAACTTGAGTGAACAAAATTAACATTGAGAATAAGTTAATGTTAAAATGAGTCGATACAAAGTAAGCCACCAACTACTTGAAGTTTTGTAATACAATAACTAAATTTTAATGTTAAAATGAGTCGATACAAAGTAAGGCATCAAACTTGAAATTTTGTAATACAATTTTGTAATACAATTTATGAAAATGAATATATGAGATTGAAATATTAAGTTAGTATATCAATGTAGAGCTCAAAATGAGAAATTTGTATAAATACTCAATCAATTACCAATTTCTTCTTCAATTTATTTTCTTTATCATCAAGCCAATTTTATTTTAAGTTCAGTTTTAAAATGAAGTTAAATGTTTTATTCAAAGTTTCTGTTTTAGGGTTTTTTACAATTACCGATGCTCATTTTGCAAATATGGATCTTGATGGAGTTAGTTGTTATATTTTAGACGGTATTGAAGGTACAACTCCTGGTGACGCTATTGCAATTAATTCGACTCATTGGCATGATCATGACGATCCTTCCAAAAAAGGTAGTGTTACAGTAGTTACTAGTCAAGAAGAGTATTTAGATTTACCTACTCATCCAAAAATTGGAATTGTTTGTTCACCAGATGAAATTGATTTGTCATCAATTTATATTCCTTATGCTGAAATGGAACCAACTGATGAGGAATTTTATCAAAACAATGCTACAGTTTATCAAGCAAATGAAGACCCACAAAGCAGATTTAGATTCAAATGTGTCATTGAATTTTGCAGAGGTTCTGATTAATAAAGAAGTTCAAAAGCATTATGTATTTTTCTATATTACAATAAAATTTTCTATTTTATATTATGAAATTAATATAGTTTTTATTGAATCTTATAAAACGAAAGTTTTTTCTTTTTTTGACAAACGCTGATATTATCCTCTATATCTAAAAAGCAAAACATTATTAGTATAAAGAATTTAAATATGAAAATTTTTTTATATATTGATTGTATATAGTCTTTACTTAAATTTTTGCAATTTTTTGCAGCAATGTCAATTTTATCAGATTCAAACTGAAAACTTGTGATTTTAATTATAAAGTAGTATTTACTTGTTAAATATGCTAAGATCGCTATCCGTTGTCATTGAATACCGGTTTCATATCTTATAGATATCAAATGATTCAGTGTAATTTCAATCTAAATTTAACAACTTGAGGTAAGGATGCAACAAACACTTGAGGTAAGGATGCAACAAACACTTGAGGTAAGGATGCAACAAACACTTGAGGTAAGGATGCAACAAACACTTGAGGTAAGGATGCAACAAACACTTGAGGTAAGGATGCAACAAACACTTGAGGTAAGGATGCAACAAACACTTGAGGTAAGGATGCAACAAACACTTGAGGTAAGGATGCAACAAACTTGAGGTAAGGATGCAACAAACACTTGAGGTAAGGATGCAACAAACACTTGAGGTAAGGATGCAACAAACACTTGAGGTAAGGATGCAACAAACACTTGAGGTAAGGATGCAACAAACACTTGAGGTAAGGATGCAACAAACTTGAGGTAAGGATGCAACAAACTTGAGGTAAGGATGCAACAAACACTTGAGGTAAGGATGCAACAAACACTTGAGGTAAGGATGCAACAAACACTTGAGGTAAGGATGCAACAAACACTTGAGGTAAGGATGCAAC